AAGTTCCTTCTGGCCATGGTCGCAACCTTGATGAACGAGGAGGAACTGTTTGCAGGGCTAGAAAGCAAGTGATGGGAGTATTAACGACATTTCATGTAGCATGAATCGGGAAAAGATCTGCAGCCCTACAATGTATACGAGCCCCCGTGCAACTTGGGCACCTCAGCTAGGCGAGTAGACGCGCGTTGGCATCAGCCTCATTGTTGCGTCACGAAAATGTCAATGCACTCGGTAAAGAAGGAATGTTAGTCGGTAGTCATAGTACACACCGTAATGACTATGCGCTGCAAAGTCAACGAATAGTTCAAGTTGGATTTTGACAGCCCGCAAACAATTGCTTTGCGAACTGTGACAAGGGAATTCTTCTTTCTTTGAGCCTCAGCGTCGATCTCTGCGATCTGAGGAGCTGAACTTCCGCCAATGCTAGTTCTTGAAGGCTAGAGCTGCAGAACATCATGACCCGTTGCTCAGCTATGAAAAGAACGCAGAAGCCATTGCTGCAGGTCTTGATTTGTTCCGCGAAAAGGTGGTGCTTCGTCAATGCTGGCCGAAAATACTAGCGACATCGTCTGAACAGTTGGCTCTAGATCGTGCGTTGTGGGCCTCTCTCATGGATTCTCCTCCTAGCTGCCATCAATTTGGCCGTCTATGCCGCAGTAAGTTCAACTGATCACCTCACAACTTCCTCATGAAAATTTGCCGAAGAACGTTGTGTACACCGGGCCTGCCGGAACACTTGTGAGGGGAAGTTTGGTCTAAAAGCTGATGGATGATACGCCGTGTTGCAATTCATTTGATAGCTTGAGGCATTGATTGGGATCAATCCCAGTAATGCCTAGTGACAATGCTGCGAGCCACTGTAAGTTTTGCTGGCTTATCATACCTTGTCAAGTGCCGCATAAGGGAACACTCGGCAGCAATTCGACGGACAATTCCACGAAGACAAATCGTGCGTTCTCGGTTTTGTTCAAGATAACCATCATTCGCGGGGCTTGTCGATGAAGTGGAACCGATCGCCAGGTACGAAAATGGCCGGGACCTCACCCGGAACTGGGGTTCTGAAAAAAGCATAGTCCGCTAGGCCGGTCGAATGAGCTGCAATTTGTGCTCTCATGGCTACCGGCTAATGCAAGGTACGGCCGCATCCAGACAAAGGATGGCATCGCGGTATATATCCGGTAGTGAAGTACATTCCCAACCGTAAGCTCGGCACAAGTGAACGGCATACAGCAAGCTAGGACATTCCTTGATTAGCCATGCAGCCCATCTGCTCAATGGTATTTTCTGTGCAGCTGATAATGTTTCCTAATATATGAACTAGCAGGGCTGAGCGACTGCCAGTGGCCGGCCTATAGAGTTAGGAGCTGCTGTCAAAATAGTGTCCTGAGTGCATTCATCATTGCCTCACATGAAGGGCAGGCAGACCAGGTTCTTGCTCTCGGCGAGACCACGTACTTTGTCGAAATGCCAAGTAATAAGCAGCATGGGTGTTCGTAGTACATACGCAGTTTGCTGCTACTGTCTTCTCGACACGTCCCGCAATAGCGACGACGAATAAGTGATGCTGGTGTGTTCTGTGTGCTGGCGCGTTACCATTGTGAGTGAAGGAATCCAGAAGTGATTTCGACAAGAGCATCTAACTAGAATGTCGGTAGATATTGACGACTGATCTGCTGATAGGACATTCTAGTGCTATGCTCGTGTGATGTTGCAACTAGCGATGGGTTTATCTTCTCGAGGCCAACAGGACTAGTCCATGTTCTTGGATTGCCCAAACCATGTGCTAGGTGCCACAGCGGTGTTGGTCAAGTCAAATCGCAGCCGGCTAAGCCAAGCTGCGCACAACTTCCGACAGTTTGGCCAGCACGACACAAGTGTAGCTGTTAGGCTCCACAGAATCGTCTGTCACTCCTTACCCCAGGTTCTTGCGAGGATGTGGCCGAATTTTCCTGTGAGACCTGAGTCCATGTGGTGTCAGATGTAGCAACGACACCCTATCCGTAGTGGTGATGTTAAGTTGCCCGATACTTGACATTTCAAGCTCAAGAATACATGAATCGTTGATGAGGCGGTTCTCGTGCCACATTTAATAAAGCAAGCGAGTCGTCATCGTCACTGCGATACTAGACTCGTCCTTTGCTATGGTATTTTTATTTGACGATTTGGTTTATGGATATGATAAGTCATAGCCTCGGTGCCTCGTGAAGCATCTGAATTTACATATGTGGTTCAGAGGAGCAAAGCCTCGAGTCATCGTAAGTCGTGCGGGACATGGCGTCTGGCGGACCACAAGATCTCGGAGGCACTTTGAACCTTACGGTGTGAGATATGAGTAATCAGCTGACGATGATACGAGGAACCTGCTCAGAGTGTGCGAATCGTAAAAAAGTCTAGATCCGTGTGCTTGTCTGACCTCGAGGTGTAAGACTTGACCCATGAACACGACAGACGGCCCGGACGGGTAGATGAAGTTTGGAAACCAGAAACGCTCGGAGACACGCATTTGGGACTGTTGTTGCACAGTAAGCTAACACGTACTGGAAAGGGTACTGGCAGGTCAAGAAAAGCAGTCGATAAAGGCACAAAGCGCTTCCAATTGTCAAATGTGCTGATTGACATCTTACAGGGTCACTACAGTACACAGGCTAATGAAAGTTTAGACCAATATAACCCAATCTCTCCAATCTCATGGTACTAGATGATGCATCTACCGGAAAGACTTGTTAGTGTGGAGAAGCAACCAGCCGTGTCATAGGCATCCCGAAAATGAGGGCGCCTTGGGTGCTGCAAAGCTGGCAGGAATAAACACATGGCGCTAGACGTGCTGCACAAACCCGCCAACTGAGCGGGGACACTACGGAATATACTGGATTGCGTCACCCACCTCTGTCCGAAGTGAAGAGTTATGTAGCAGTGACCAAAGGCAACAAGCAACCCAGACGGCGAGTTGGAAATAAGTCCCGAGGCATGACTCCGCGCTGCTAGAATTACCGAAAAGCATGACACCAACCATGAGCAGCAATCAAGAAACCGCATGTAAAGCGCATAGAATGCTTTTTCGCGGTTTCAGCCATCAACGTGCGCAAAAGGGTCGGTGTTTGAGTCCTGCAAGCCATCCGCCCTCCCGCCAACTTTCTTCTCCCCAAGGAAATTCTCGTATTTGTGCGTAAGAACAAGCACATGGCGAACCATGCCAACAATACACACACACACACACTCTCTCTCTCTCTCTTAGTACACAATACCGAAGAATTTCCTGGGAAAATCCAAACTCTTGCTGAATCGCGTTCGGGACCTTCCATCTGGATGCCGTCACTATAGATTTATTTAGTCGGGTGGCAGGCTCACAGGCTACCGTAATCGGCACTCGTCTGTTGCTCCAATCATGATGCTAAATCGCTAAACCGCTACAGGCAGTCGCTCCCGGTCACTAGGCTTTGTAGAACGCCCTAGACTCTTCTGAATGGATGCCACGATGGGTGGCTGGCATTAGATGCGGATGATTCCTCTTCACACAACTACGCCTAGTGTGCGATGTGCTTTTTTACTGCTTTTACGTCTCTTGCAGCTCGGTTATAGATTTTATTTTTATTTTTTATAAACACGGGATTATTTCTATCGATCTTTAGAACCGATATGGCAGAGATGGTTATGGGCGTGAAAGAGCTCTCTCGGTTAGGATGTAGGACCTAGTTCTCAGTGTCATCACGATAGCATCAACCCACATCATCCGACCTTACTAACAGTGCGAATGACACAGCCTACGGCAGGCTGCTTGCTACGAAACGTCCAGCAGTTAGTCATTGCAGCTGGGTTAGACCTCCGCATGCCGGTGCACGTCTTCCTTCATGCTCCCATCTATGCACATAGGCTATGAGGCGGAAGGCCTTTAATTACATGCTTGACGCACTTGCTATCTTGACATATGCTGTCTCACACTTTCGAGGTGACCAGCCCGGTGCTATTTCGTCATCGTGGCATTTGCAATTGCAGAGACGACGAGTCGAGCAAGTCTACGGATCCGTGCATTCGAAGGCCCACCGGGACTACGGATTCAGGACCCGACGGCTCAGTCTTAACTAGGACTAGTCGGCTCCATGGAAAACAAAAACAAACAAAAAAACAAAAGAGGGTTTCTTTCCCATGTTCTTGTGGGCAGGGGTTGGAACTGAAGACAACAAACGGCTTCCCAGTAGGGAAAGGTCAAATGGAATCTCACAAAAGTGTCGATTGATTTCTAGGACAGGGTCCACGAAGGTTGGCAAGTGCTGGGGTTGTGGTCATGCCACACAAAGTTTCCTGGAGGATTAAGCGATGACTGACGGGATGCTCAAGATAGATCAAGATTCGAGTGGTGAGATCCCAGATCCTCCATGGACGAGGCTTGCAAGTCCGAAGGAGGATGGAGCATCTTCACCCTCTGTTGATCTGGTTTGTTTGTTGTTTGCGCAGTCTCGTACTGGCGCATGCTCGTTGCTCTGTTCGTCTTGGGGTCAGTGTAGTCCTGGTTAACAATCAACCGGGCAACTGGTGTTTGATTCGGTGGATTAAGTTACTATCTCGCCATCCATCCGTCGCACTATCGGTGTAGAGTCAGTGAACCGCCACAAATGGCTTTTTCACTCAAGTATCGCAGCCACAGCCGCAATCTTTTGTGTTTCTGTCAAGTATGTAAGTACTTTGTGTACACCATTTCCGCCGACAAGATTAGCTGCCCGTTGTCGTCAGTCGAATTTTCATTTTCAAACCTTCTACAGCTTCTTCAGAGGCACATGTATATATGCAGGGATTCAAAAGCCACCTCGGAAGCGATTCCATGGTTCTGCCACACCACTGACTGCGCGAGTCTGCTGTTCGTAACCCATGTCCGGTCGAGAAAAGAATAGTGCTTGGTAACTTAGTTATTATGCCCCCATGCACGCCGATTCTGGGCGACGAGCTACGAGCCTGCGAGCTACAAGCTAAGCTGCGTGCTACGTGCTACGACCCTTGACCCGGAACAACGGTGTGGGTGTGGGTGTGGGATGTGGGCGCGCTGCACAAAGCTACTGTAAGTAGGCCAAACGAAACAAGCCATCTCTTCCCATTCGATAGGGTCATTGATGGGGCAGTAATGGCACCCGTGTACCCCAGCTCAAGCCAGTGCATTGCGTTCTTTTGGGTCTCGTCAATGCCACCAAGCCAGTCCGTCGTCCACATCAACCCAAGCCTTCCCACCACTGATTTTTCTTTCCCGCCCACCCTGCGTGCTACCGTCAAACGTCTTTCTGATAGCTGCCAGCAATTCATTCATCTATTAACCTGTCCAGCAACCTTTTGCGCGAGTTGCCCACAGGAGTCCCGGGACTGAATTTCTTGACACATCATCCATTATAACCGCTGCTGTGCTGCCCTGTTGAACTCTGATATCAAGTCGATTTCCGCAGTGGCTACCCACGCTCACGTGCACCGCTTTTTGCCAGCTGAGGACCAGAAAAAGTGCATCTGCAAGAGACTAAGATACTCATTGGGTCGAGACAACACCACTTACCTTGTGTGATTGGTGGCCCGCTCCCGGATCCTGGATACTCAACAACACAGCACAACATAACAGGCTCACAGTGCTTCCAGAGCCCAACTTCACCATTTTGAACAGGCCCCTCTCACGACACTCCATTCCTTGTGAAGTTGCATATTCCCAGAACACGTGGACGAGTGCAGCTAGCCGAGGCACCTTGGGCAAGAATCGCTCTTGTACACGTACGCAGCTTTGAGCAATTGGACATCCCCGGCCGTTGCAAAGGGACCCGAACGCATTCATTCTTATTGCACGTTCTATATGAAGGATGCACGGGTAGTTTGTTGACCTTTGGACAATTCTATTCCCGCCCGCACAAGTCCAAGCACACGCCTCAGCCCAAAAGCCTAAAGCTATACACCACATTACTTGGCCAACGAAACCAAAGCTCAGCGTCCCGCCAGCCTTGACGCACTTTGCTCGCCGAGCTTGCCCGGCCGCATAACCCCGCCACCAACCAACCAAGAAGAAGAAAAGAGGGAGAGAGAAAACAGAGTTCAAGCTTGAGCTTTGTTCATACGGTTACTCGTCACGCTCAAGGTGCCTGTTCCTGCAGCAGCCAAGTTGGATGTGTTGCGTATAGACAATCGCGCAACACGCAGCGAACATCATGTCCCCCAAATTACGCCCACTGCACCTCCCCGTGTTAGTCGAGCAAAGGAGAAAGTTCGAAGAGTCCCTCTATGACTCCGATAGTGACATGTATCGGGAATTCGATGTCCTCGACTCCTCCTCAGATACCGTGTCTCCTCTTACGCCAACCTTTTCTCGTGGCCATCTTCGGTATTCCAGCTCAACTTCCTCATTTGAGTTGACAACGCCAGCCAGCCCAGAACCGCCATCTTCTCCGAGCCAGCCCTCACACAAATCCAGCAAGTACAGCTTACCCGACGTGGAAGAGGAGCCAGTTGAGCATTGCGATCCTGGAGACGATTTGGATACTTTTGACTCTTCGGCATTTGATGACGATCTTTACGATTGTCTCTGTAAGTGCTACATGGGAAATGTATTGCTGGAACCCAAACTAATGTGCTTGCAGGTGACGAACCGTGCCTTCATAGAGATCATGGAATCGCTCATAGCGCGACCGGTTTCTATTCTCATAATGGGCAAGTTGGTTACGACTTTGGCTTTCTCAGTGATGGCGATCTCAATACCACGCTGAAGTTCTCAAGAAAGCCGCGTGCCGGCATCGAATCTCCACTTGCTGGGTTCACTCAGCGTGTTGGATCCAAGTTCGCGGGCATCACCAACTGGAACAGGAGGCGCCAGGCTAGCATCACGCAGTCGCCCGTGTCCGACTTTGGGTTTGAGCAACGACCAGCCTTATCCAGAGCTGCTTCCAGTCGGTCATCCTCACTTTCAGCCTCAGGCCACTACCAACCCGACCGCACCAATGAGCCGCCTCTGCCGCCAACCCCTGCTCTGTCATTCTACGAAAGCAGCGACAGTATCGCTTTGCCGGCGGCAGTTGATATCGAGAAGGCGACCCATATTGATCCCACCGATATTGAACGTGACCGCGCCCTAGCCACGACGCCTTTGTTACCACCATTCATGAACGATGCCCTGAGCGCTCCGGTCACGGCTCAGGCATCACCCTTGGTCTCGCCAAAAGTTGCTTTGTTCCCGGAATTCGAGCCACAATCCCCGCTGGTGTTGTCTCCGCCGTTGAGTACAAAGCCCTCAGTTTCTTCCTTCTCCCGAGTTGTCATGTCCGGAGAGCTACCCGGCATGCAGGAGCAAGATGAAAAATGGTGCAATCTCCTTGGTCATGCCAACTACACGATCCAACCTGCGCCGTATAAGCCAGAAATGGTCAACCTGGATACGTTACACCAGCTTCGCGCTGCTTGGGTAACGGCAAGAATCAACTATACCAAGCATCTAGCGCGGACTGGCGAGCATTACGGCATCACATCCAAGACTTACAGTCTGACGGAGACTAAGTGGGCTGAAACGAAGGCACTGTGGCGCAACAACCATGATGAAGTCGCTAAATTCATTGTCGCGAGTGGTGCAGCAGATACACTGCCCAAGTTTAATGAAGATGTGCTCACTGCCGTGCCTCACATGGACACCGAGGGCAAGTTCCCAGAGCGTGGCGACGAGGACATCGTTGGGCCTATGGTTCGGGACGCAGTCATGCTTGTCCCTGGAGATGAGAGGAAGAACTACAACTTCTGGCGTACTCTCGCTGGTCGAGTTGGCTTACGGAAGTAAGCACGCCAAATTATCACGAATTTATGCATGCTAGATCTTTATGACGACACGACAGTCATACACGCTCATTACACGATAACGATTTGTTTTCTTGCGAAAGATACCCACCTACAGTCACTCCTTCACACATACCCTTCTTGACGCTTGAGGCTTTCAGCGACAGCCTTGGGTCGCAACTTTTATTGTTCATCGTCGAATGCTTTAGGACATTGCACGCGTTGCTTCTGAAGTCGCAGTACAGACATGCCACAGAGAGAATGTGTCTCATTTCCTTGCGTTATTTCCGACTTGATTTAGGTGTTTTGGCAACAGCGTCCACACGGGGCCATGACGCTGCTTTTTTCTTTTCTAGACTCGGGATGGGGTTTGTCGATAGCGGAGCGATTCTGCAAATGGGATACAAAAGTCGTTACATAGAGGTTGGGCTTGGGGCATTTTATGCTGGACTCATATTGGTAATCCATAGTGTTTACCTGCTTGTTGTATACTGGCACCCTGGATTGATTGGGATAGGAGAAAGCGGTGTACGAATTTCCGGACTCTGTACACCACATGTACCACAGCGAGATGGGAGATAGTCGATGAATTGTGGGCAGACAAGAAGATGGCGGATGATGGTTAGCTTGCTGAGTCTTCTGACTACAGCCTCCGGTCTTCGAGCCCAGTTTGGGTCTCTAGGACGTCGAGGAGAACTTGATATAGGAGCAAGAGCTCCTATAGGTATCAAATATTGATACACGAATGAAAGAAACAGACCAAGACAATACTGGAACGATGATTCGTGTGATAGCTGCATGTTGAGATTCATATACTTGCTTGCTTTACCTATCGTATGTCGTACAACATCTACCAACAGAGGCGAGGATCGTCATATCGCAGAGCTCATCCCTTCTGCATTATTTCGACCATCTTACCATCTTAGGCTTGGGATCCAGCGTGGGAACGTAGCCGACGCGAACTAATGCATACTGGTTTTTATTTTATTTTATTATTTTTAAAAATATACTCAACACGATTTGGTACGATCCGAGAAGCGGCTACTAATTGCGAATAGGCCAGATTATTATGATACAGTCTTGACGTGTTCAAAATATGGTAAATGACAAGGAATATATACTCAAGTATTTCTAGACATAACTAGGTGGACTTATCAGAGGAAGGGAATTTCCAGGTGACCAGTTCAAAAGCACGCTCGGATACCCAAACATTTAGGGCCTGTAATACAGTATATACAAGTTCTTGAAACGAACAATTCATATTAAATACTCTTACTCCCTGCTGACGGGACACTATTGGATTGTCCTCCTCCGCACTCTGCTTCACTCTCACGATATTCATCTCAGTCTAGGATCAATGCATAGCCAACAAGCACGTGCACACCAAGACGGGGGCTTCCCCGCGGAGAACCACGTCAATTGTCAAGTTTCCATCAATCGTCGCCGGGGGAACCACGCGACGGTGTCGATGCCTCACCTGTCCTGTACCACGCCTACTCACCTCGGAGATGTCTGTCCGGCTTTGGATCAACTCCTAGGCAAAGGAAATCGTGAGGGGCACGTAGACCATGGCAGCAGCAATAACAACAGCGTCTCGTACTCTCAGCTCAGTGGGTCGCTTTTCCCCAGTCGAGGACGTCGTTGCAAACACTCAACGGTATGCGAGGCTGACTTGGCGTGGCCTAGAGGCAGATATTTTGTTCGATGTGACATTTAACTAGACTGCCAAGGTGGACGAAGCTCATTGCCATGGGATAATGTCCGTTGAGGTGGTGCAAAAACATCCTCAATCATTTCAGACAAATGGCACCATCCACGCGATGTCCACTGATCTCAAAAGAAATATGACCGAGGCCCAACCTACGTTACGAATAGACGGTAGTACTTTTCCAGAATTTTTAAGGCACAAAAATCCTCAAGGTATATTGGGGAATTTATAATTAAATAAACTCAACCACTCTCAACCAAAACCATTAATTTTCTCAGCAGCACAAGTAGGTTGAAGTAATCTCATCTTCGTCCTGAAATACCCAGTTCTGATCGATGGCTTCGATCAAGTAAACCGGCCGCTATGTGAATTTGTGGGCGATCCCCAAAAAGTTTCTCGCATCGCTTTTTATACTCCAAAACCCCTGTCTATGCAAGCCGTAGTCTAATGAGAACCCAGATAAAGTCAGTCCAAGTTTATACGCAAGCGGCTGACGGTGTTCTAGATCCTGCCGCCCTCGATTACTTCTCGTCCTAGAATTTCAATCTCACCCGACTCGGCCGTGCGCCGACGCTCTAGGACCCACCTTGTCTCTCCACTGTCTTCCTCCTTGCGATATGAGATACTGTCTGCGCTGTTCTTGTGCCGATGGCCCATGCCTGGACGTCTTTCCGGAGGTACACCGAACGTGGGACTCATGATTTCTGCTGCCGGTGGTGGCTTGGAATAAGCAACAGGACTGGAGGCCTGGGATGCCAACTCAACTTCTTCATCTTCGATAACTGGCGGAAACCCGGTATGTCCAAGTGGGGGAGGAGGGGGGGTATATAGTGGCGCATTGAGGGCAGACGGTGCTGCATTGGTCACCGAGCTGGACATCACAGGCAGCGATGGTATGGTGCTGTTTGGAATGCCTGCCATAGCCATGGTCAGAGTTGGGCTGCCTGCTCCGCTACCCGCTCCTGAATCGACACTCCATATTGAGAATGCAGAGTTCTTACGGCCATGGGCTGTCCCCAGACCCGACAGATCCCTTTCTTGGCCAAAAGGACTCGTGGCGCCGTTTCGGTCGCTAGGGGAGCCTTCGCGTGAGCTCGCTAGTGATGCTTGCGAGCCGCCCCAGGCTCTTGACCGGAGCTTGAGGAGTGCTGACAGGCTCATGTTATCGTCATCTGCCATCATAGCCAATTGAGCTAACCCGGGACTCTGTAATGGCGCATCTCTGCCAGCACTATTAGGCATCTGTAGACTCATGATTGAGTTGCGATTAGAATACTCGGATCGCTCGGTGATAGGTGTCAGATTAGGCTCCCTGGAAACCAGATGTCCCGACTTCGTCCGTGCAACACCACCGGGTCCGAAATAGCCACCCCAAGCCGGATTGTGCTCGCTGGACCCGTGGCCTGAGCGCCCCGATTGGGAAGGAGGGTTTGAATAGAAGCCAAACTCTTGGCCGTACCAGCCATCGTCATCGCTCGCAAGGGCATCTGCGTTGGCCGCGGCGATTATAGCATCGTCGTCTAGTTCATAATCGTCCAATCCATTGCCACCATAATCATCGTCATAGTCATAACTTCCAAAGGCGTCGTCACCAACATTATTCGATTCCTCTGAACCACTTGTAGTAGGTGAGGTAATCGTCAAATCGGTGGGTGGAGGCGGCGGCGATGAGTTCCGACGGAACTTTCCCGTATCAGCAGCCTTCTGAACGGCTGCAGCAAGAGCAGCCTGCATTGCATCGTCATCCACTTCAGGGAGATCCGGCACAGGCGGCACGGGTTCTTCTTGGGCACTGTTCGTCTCTTCGTGGGCTTCCAGAGCAGCGAGTTTCTGATGCAAACCTACGCTCAGTGATGTATGCTCGGTTGAGTCAGATAGCCCTGAATGAACAGACGTTCCCGAGGTTATATCATCAGACTCTCGTTTCTGTCGCTGAGCCAAGGCACTTGCAAACATGCCCGGGATTGGTCTACCATACTGGTCTGTGTCGTCGAGGTCAAAAAGAGATTCATCAATGGCCCGTCCATCTCCCTCCCCCTCAAACTCATGACTACCGAAATAGAGCTCATCGTCCTTGTCTAGATATCTCGGAACTGCTGGACCTTGAGGGGCAGGTTGCGGAACCGATATTTGCTCGTGCGCTTCTATGACTTCGTCAAGCCCCTCGATACCTAATCCCGTCGGACTATCTCGTGTCGGCGACTCCGCCAGTTGAGGCGGCACATCCACGGCCAGCATTGGCAAGGAAAACCTACGAGTTTCTGGAGACTCCTTTGTCACAGCATAACCGATGATGTTGCCATCGACGTCTCTCGGTGTCGGTAACAATCCGGCAGTCAGGGGACTGGCCAAGGAAGACACAGGGTCAGATCTTTGAAATACGAAACCTGCAAAGTTTTCCTGGTCGTTGTCCGGGTCTACTGCAGGTTCCCCATCTACTTCTTCATCGTACTCGTAATTTATCTCGGGGATATCTTCATCATAATCGTAATTTATCTCGGGGATTTCTTCCTCGAGACCATCGTCATAATCCATAGCATCGTAGTCGAACGAGTCCTCATCAAAGTCATCAAATCGGGAGTCCCGATGCGCTGCAGAGGGCTCTGCTTCTTTCTCCTGTTGTCTTTGCCGATGTTTTTCTTCAAGCAGCTTCTCCGCCTTGGCAGCACCAATCATGTCGAAACTGAACCTCGAAGAGGTACTCTTCATGTGCTTGGGCAAAGACGACAGTACGTCTCTATTCGAGACTCCAGAAGCGTTGCGTGAGAGGGTGGAGATGGAAGATGGAATTGAACTTTGCCTCCTGCTACTATTCTTCTCACGTTTGGAACTCAGATTGGAGAGGTCATGCGTGTCAACGGACATGGATTTTGAGTGTACTAATGATGACGTCCATACGGAATGCGCCTGTTCATCTTTGGGAGGTACCGGGGGAGCTGGTTGTGGCAGAGGTTCAGGCTCTTGTTGCTCCTGAATAGGAGGCGGACGGGCTGGCTGCGGTGGTGGTTTATGTTCCAGAGTAGGAGGAGGTTGAGCTACTGAGTCCGGCTTCACAGTGCCCAATTTAGCAACATCGTTACTTGAGACAACCCTCCGAGGTCGAGGGGCGCTGAAATCGTGAACTCTTGTACCCCTGATGGGCTGATACGATGGTTCCCCTCGACTCGTGCGCAAAGATAGATCCGGAAGAACATTATGGCTTGTCTTCCTCCTCAGAAGCAAGTTCGATATGGGATTTTTTAGAAACGGGATCCCTCTCCTGTCCCTCGGCGCTTCTTGCGCATTGTTCTGCGCATGCGCCGCCTGGACATCGCTGTGCAGTCTCGCGCCGGGTGGCCGTCTCCCGGTTGGGTTGCTGCTGCCATGTTCCGTCGGGGAAAGGAAAGAAGGCGATGGATTCCGGTCCGCAGGGCTTGTTGCTGCAGAGAGACTAGGCTTTCCATGGTTGCTCGATGCTTGGGATGGGTCTGGCCGCAGGGCGTCTTGCTGTTCACGCCGGTAATTTTGCAGTGCCAGTCCACCAAGAAACCCGGATTGTTCAGTGTAAGGCGTCCGCTGAGGGGCCTTCTGTTCTTCGTGTCGCTTTGGCTCCCTGTTCGAGGCGCTATGGGGATGTTCCGACTCGGTCGAAGTGGCTCGGGCGATGGGAGGCAGACTCGGGGCCGGTTGTTGCGGAGGCGGAGGCGGAGGTTGTTGCGGGTGTGGTGGGAGCTGGGAGATCGAGGGCGGTCCGGTGCCATGGCCAGTCAGAGGTGGGCCCGTCGAAGTGCGCGGCTCTATGGCCGGGGCTGGCACGACGCCCTCATCAGGAGTCAGCTGCTTTGGCTGAAGTGCAGCATCCCAGGGGCCGTTCTCGGGAATGGGTGAGGTGGGATTGGAGGGGCCCCGACGGTGGAAGCGCAGATGTGAGAGCATCCCGGAGCCGCACAGCTCGTAATCCAGGATACGTGAGAGTGCTCAGTCCGGCCCGGCGACGAGAGAGCCTCGACAGCTGACTGAGACGTGGGTTTCGTAATGGGCGATCAGGGTTCAAAGCACGATTGCGCGACGCTGGGCGTCTTCTGGAATTGATCGCGTCGCCGTCATCCGAAATGCGCAGTCTGGTCTGCGATGCGATGCGATGCGATGTGGTGCGGGCGCGATGGGGTAGCAGCTTGTGTTTTAGGTAACTATTTCATCCGCAAGTTCAAATTAATTGTGGATTCGAGCAAGAGCCGAGACGGGATCGTATCAAAGCAAATAATACTCGGCAGAGGCAAGCTGAGGAAGACGATCCATTTAATGCCCTTAAACACGAGACCGTTGGATCTTGGATGATTCCCGCTAGCCATGGGCACTAAGGTCAGAACGATTACCGTGACCTTGATTCCAAGCTTCTGCTTCTGCTTCTGCTTCTGCTTCTGCTTCTTTGTAAGTTAGCGGTGCCATTCGCCTGTTGGTTGAGGAAGGTCCCTGAGAGACTCGAGTCCCGAAGTCCCCTGCACACACTTGCAGCACGGAGTGGCCCAAGGCACGGATCCGTAATAACAATAAGGCTAGTCTAGGTTAGTTGAAGGGTTAGAAACGGGATATACGCTACGTTGACTTATGGCTCGTGCGCTCTTCCAGGATAGTACTTGCACTCTTATGTAGGTAGTTAAAGGTGAATGTAAAGCTCTGACGACTTCCTTCTGACGATTTCGACACTCGGACAAACAAACGACATTTTTCTATAAAAAAAATTTAATTAAAAAAAAAAAAAGAAGTGAAATTTTTCTTTACTGACAAAACAGCACTTTAGCTTTGTTTGCGTCAAATGCACCCCTTACGCGGACTGTTTCCGTATTCAAGTGAGGATAAAAGCTTGCGACGTGAACGGGGAGGGCGACCAACAACATCCGTATCCGTTAGTATTTAACGGCGATCTTACTATCAAGGAGTCCTGTTGCTGTAAGAAGCTACGGGATGGATAAGACAAGTGGTTGAGGCTTTCTTCAAATTACTCCACCTTGATTGCCCTCATTCCTTTCTTACGAGCGGTACAAAACCTCTCTCTAGCTACTACGTTTCCCGTACGGCTCAAACGGGAATACTGCACTAACGATTGCCATACATATAAATAACGCCGCACATACGTAGATCGGGACAGAAGTTGTCGTATCTGAAGTCGTGCCAACTACAGCCGAGATGATTCCCATAATCCTATTACATGCGACTGCCACTCCATTGCCGGTAGCGCGGTGCGCCGACGGCAATACTTCCGCTGTATACGCATACAACGTACCATAGTAAATGTTCAGACAGAAGCCTATGGCGCAGCTGAACCCGACGTTCTGCGCTGGTGTGTGGACTGCCGTATATGCAAAGAAGAATGCCATGGTAACAAGAGCTCCAATAACCATGGTATACTTCCGCCCGAGAACCTTTTGGTCACACATCCACCCGGCGAGCATGGGACCAAAAATACTCGAGACGTTGGTCAAGGCATAGTTTCGCCAAGTGTCATATGTGCTCACACCTGACGTTGCACCCCGACTTGCCAGGTAAGTACTGTCATAGGGTCAGCAATCTTACTTGTAAGTTTTCAATACGGGGATGCAATACTTCAGGAAGACGTAAAAAAGAGGATACGCCAATCCTATCAGTGTCCACGATAACCAGATCAGTACTGTCGAAAATGCGATCTGCCTGGCGCTGAACAGGCCCTTGAAGTGAATCAGTGCTCCCCCTGCAGAGAATCCGCTTCCCTGTTGGGCAGACTGAACAATTCCGCATGATTCAAGCTTCTCGACTGTCAAAGAGCACGGCCTGTTATATCTATGCGCAATGCTTTGCAATGAGTCAACCAATGCCGCGTCTTGCCCTTTACCTAGGAGGTACTTTGGCGTTTCCTTTAGGCGGATGATGGTGATGCGAAGCACTGACATCACAAGGACCAGCGCGCCTGCCGTAAACATCGTGTATCGCCAGCCCATGTTGGAATTGCGCGGGCATTCGGCCACGGATGAACAATTCCACTGCTCCGGCGCTGTCTCTCTGTAAGCAAATCGCCATGTACTGCCATGGCTGACTTACCTAGAAACCCCCAAGCGACAAAACCAGTTATCGCTTGTCCCAGTCCCCACCAAGAAGCAAGAAAAGTAAGCACCCATTGCTTATGGGATGGCAAATATTCCAAGAAGACGGTCGTGTCGAGGATGAGGTTACCACCACCTCCGAATCCAACCAATGCTATGAAAAACCCGAGCGAGGGCCAGTTCGGAGCAGCACCAGCTACGATGGCCGCAGCTGAGCATATAAATAACGAAATATTGAATGCCCCTGATTTCAAGGTTAGTACGTTGAGGGGCCACCAGGTTGTATATCTTAGGTCACACACATCGTCGTCCGATCATGTCAGCACTTAGACCCCAGAAGAGAGCACCGATGAGCATGCCAACTAAAGGTCAAGATTAGTGTTTGCTTCAGCTAGATTGTGGCGACTTGGTTGGTTTCATACCATATACCGAAACGGTCAACCCTGCCGAGTAACCTACTTTCCCAAATTCCGTGAAGGCTGGAGTTGCAATGACTGACTGAAGGAGCAGAACTAACGAGTCAACCGCATAGCTGACAAGTGAGCCAGGGAGCTGTTAGAAGGGAGTTTTAATACGAAACGTACCCAAAGCCATTCAACACAAAAAGCTTCGAGTGATAAGGGGTCCATCCAATCTCGTCAATGGCCTCAATTTTATGGTTAGACACAATATACCTCGACAGAATTTCGTAATAACTTACATTGTTAACGAGATGCATCTTCATATTCAGGACGGGATCAAGATCCTCCAGACCGAGAATATCCTCTCCATCGCCTCTTGCAAAATCGTCTGGCACTCCATTGTTGTTGGTCGGGCCCTTTTCTGATTTCGCAGCTACGATTGAAGGCTCCTGCGATTCCGCCATCTCACAATCACGACTTGGCTGAGAATGAATCTTGATTCGGGCGGAGGAGTACCTTGAAAGCAATGAGGTCAACTGCGCCACAGCGGCATGCAATCTTTGTGATGATTGTCGAAAATATGTATACACCCATTGTGATAAAGAAAGACTTGTTTTTGCAGAAATATGTTGTAATAAGGCCCATCCATGGGCTCGCACTTGTTGCGGGCACGTGGTAAACTCCCGTAGAAGCAGGAATGTTACATAATTAACCTTAGAGAAATGTGGCCCCTCACTAACAATAGAAGCCTCCTTGCCAAGTACTCGTTCTTTGCCAAAGGTTGCCAATTAAGTTCATAAAAACTATTAAACCAACACACGTGCTCGGCAGACGCAGCGCTAATGGTTAGATTTCTCTTGGCCCTCCCTAACGTTAGGCGCTGTTTCCCTACGATCCTTCTGGAACGGAACTCGAAGAATCAAAGGTTGCCCTCCTACTGACATAGCTACAAGAGACCACTGTATCGTAACGCCAAATTTGACAGCCCGATCATATGCTTCGACACAGCCTTGGTACATATGATAGCTTACACAAGTAGCTAACGACCCAGAAAGGGTACGCTCAAACTACAAGCCTCGCGACAATTATACTTGGTACACCCTCATCAAGACCAGTTAGACACTCGATGTCAGCTAAACCTAGTGATTGTTGAGAGGTTGCATTGACGCACACCGAGTTGCCCAAGAGGGAATGAGTTCACGCGATCAGTCCTGTATCGGCAACCAGACTAGGCGTGAGACAAGTTGCTACAATGAGGGCACGGAGTTCGAATTCCTTTCAATGGGTCTTGCTTATCTAACATGCGCGGCCTAATCATTAACTCCAACTAAATACAATCGGCCACTCTAATTATGAACACTAACGGACCGGATCGTATACTGCGTACTAATACCAGACTGCTATCATCTACGTCGTTCTGCAGTTTAATATTGGATTGAGAAGGCGAAATATTGTGATCTACGACCTCGGTTAGCTGCAAAGCAATCTGCACATCTTGGGGAGCATTCTGAATTGGGATTCCCGATTCGGGAGTGAGGTTGTTGCAAGGATCGGACATGACCACGCCGTTGAGTGGGGTCAATTATAGCTTAAAACGTGCCATTATTGCATGCGGCGATTGGTTCTACAACAAGTTTGCCGGTGTTTACATTCAAGGTTAGCAGGGGTTGTCGACGACGGTAATGCATCTCGACATCATCGGTTTCTCCTCCTGCATAGTTTCTCTATGCGAGCAGATATCGAGCTAATACCGACCAATTCGAATGCGGGGAATGTGATAACGAATCAACCGCCATCCTTGCCCAAGAAGTTTGTTCCTAGGCAAACATAATAATGGGCGGCCAATTATCAGGCCAACGAAACACACGAGCCGAATGGGACCGGAGTTATTTCTTGCAAGGGTAGATTGAAATCTCTACGCCAGCCTCCTGGTTTGACAAGCGTGCCCAGCATTGTGCTCGATATAGTGTTAGTTATAAGAGCGGCATCTCACGCCGCTTCGACTTGGCAGACAGGCCTTCAAGGAAGCTGTACCCTAACCAAGCCGCCATGATGGTTCACGCAGTCCACGTCTTGTCGTTGGCCGGTACGGCTCTCGCAGCCTTCACTGGTAACGTAAATTACGGCTCTCCTTCATTGCACCACCCGGCTCTTGGTGTATCGATCAGTAAGGTAGCAAAACGAGCTTACGCCAGCTCACCATGGGACCCATCGCAGCTCAACTTCACGCATGGAGTTGCAAGCGGCGACCCCTATGAGGACAGCGTTATCTTGTGGACAAGAGTTGCCCCAACGAGTGACAACGATAAGAGTAACGTCACGGTCTCGGGGACTGTTGGCCTCTACAACCACGATACGGATTCATATGTGTCTAAGAGTAGTTCGCCTGTTTGTGTCGATTGGAAGATCAGCACCACCGATTCCTTCACTACTTTAGCCAATTCAGGCACGGCATATACCAGCTCTGATATTGACTATACCGTCAAGGTCGAAGCGTCAAAGCTGCAAGCTTTTACCACGTATTACTACCAGTTCAGCGTCTGCAACTCGGAGAATGTCTCGCCAGTCGGTCGAACCAAGACCATTCCCTCGAAGAATGCCAAGGTCGATACAGCCATCAAGGTAGCTGTGTATTCATGCAGCAACTACCGTATGTATAATTTTGAATCGTGGCTGTATTGTGTTAACACGTTTCTACAGCTTTTGGCTTTTTTAACGCTTATGGCAATCCTGTCAGAAAGGACTCAGTCGACTACGTCATCCATCTAGGAGATTATATTTACGAATATGCCAACGGCGACTATGGTTGGGGCGATAGCTATGGCAGGATTCCCCAGCCTGACAGGGAGATCTACACGTACGTAAACCTTCTCCTCAATTGGAAATGTAACTGTAACTGAATCTTTTCAAAACTTAGTTTGTACGATTATAGGAGACGTCTTGCAACATATAGAACAGACTTGGATCTCGTTGCAAGCCACCAGAACTTCCCCTGGATTCCCGTCTGGGATGATCACGGTAGGTTTCAATCCTGTAGGGACAGTTCGGGAGCCTCTGACTGAACATAATGCAGAGGTTGCCGATAATACCTACCGCGATGGCTCATCGGAATTGAACAATACCGAAAACTCGTTTATCCACGATGGTGGTGTAGCAGTCGATCAGCGGAAGATGAACGCGGTTCGAGCCTATTTTGAGTGGAGTGAGTATCACAGCCAGTCGAAATGATGACTTCCATGACTGACGCGGCATCTAGTGCCAATTCGCCAGGTGGAAATGGACGATAACTTGCGCATCTGGAGAGACTTCAGCTTTGGTGATCTCTTTGATCTCGTCATGCTGGACACCCGCCAATACGACAGGTCGATCACAGATCTGTACTGGAATACCCATTACATTCACGAAATTTCTCAGGATGCTGGCCGCAGCCTTATGGGCCCTCGTCAGGAGGCGTGGTTTTACAATAAGCTCAAGGATAGCTCATCTCGTGGTGCGACGTGGCGTATCATTGGAAACCAGATCGTCTTCAGTCGTATGAATGAAAGTTTGGGTCTTGGTAACGAGGACCCTTTGAACGGTGACTCGTGGGATGGTTACCAGGCAAACCGCAACCGAACGTTCCAAACATTATACGAGAACAACATCAGCAACACAGTCTTCCTTGCCGGCGACTCCCACGCATCTTGGGTCTCGGACCTTGTTTGGCTGGGTGAGCATGACTACGACGAGCAAACTGGCTCTGGTTCTGTTGGTGTCGAGTTCGCAGGTTCTGCCGTCTCTTCTCCGTGCCCATCCGGCCAAAACGTCTCTCTCGCTGCGGCGAACTCTGCGTCTGCCTGGCTTACCGGGGCAAACCGGGAGCTCCAATGGCAGGATCTGTACTACAGAGGCTACTACGAACTGTCCATCGGATACGACTCTCTCAATGCTTCTTATTTCGGCATCCCAACTACAGCAGCAAAGCAAGGTTATGAAATCTCCTTGGCCAACTTCACGGTCCTGCCCGGCGAAAACCACCTACATCGCCAGAATGGGTCCTCTGCAGCCATCGTCGCTGAGAGTGGAAGTTTGAAGAACGGACCTTTAGTCCAGACAAATCTGACGCACGATACTGCCACGGACGAGTGGTTTGTGTATGATGGGTACACTTCCACGTCAGCTTAGTTTGCTGGATCATAGATCTTGGCGTATTGTGTCATAACGGGAAGAGTGCGCTGCATATTGGATAGTGCTCTAAAATATTAATCTACCTCACTCTAGAGAGTTAAGTCGATATTAATCAATTGTACAATATTATCCCATGCGTCATAGTTGCCCTCAATTTATCTGAGTCATCATTTTGCTTGGAGAATTACTCGATATGAATCGATATTAAAATTGCTGTATACCGCTAGGCTGCGTGGCGGGAGCCTGATAAAATAGTTCAGAACGTGACCTTTAGAGATTAAACGAACTCTTCGGTATGGCTGTGGTTCATATGGAAGTTAGGAAATGAAACAGGTTCAAACTGGCAGCTTGACTGACCCATGATATATTGTCTATTGTGTTGTGTGACATGCGTACGAGGTTCGTACCATGTACCACTCTAATGACGCTGGAATCTAAGTTCATGATATTTACTGATTAATGCAGTCCTATGCACTGGTGGAGAGAGGCTTTCCGTCCTCCGACACGAGATATTGATCCGATTTCTTGGGGCCTTCTCCAACACCAGTCATGATGACTCTGCTCACACCACTCTTCAATGAGCCGCTCACTGCCTCGTCGAGCTGGACGTTGGACTTGGAGCTTGCACCTTGCTTCCAGCCTTCAACACTCTCCAGTAGCGGGTAGAATGTACCCAGAACAGCCTGGCTGTCCTCATCCAAATAGTAGATAACTGCGTTAGGGCCAGCATCGAAAGTGTAGGCGGCCACTGTCTTGCCGGCAGTCGCATTGATGGTCTCAACTGCTCTAACAGCCGCCCTGGAAACGTCGTTCATGTAGAAGACGGGAGGGTATGTATCCGCACAGGTGGCATGGAAGGAATTCGAGTCTCTCATGGTGACTTCTGCGAACTCGGCGAAATCCCTGTGCGCAATGGACCTCTCCATACGATCCATGTGTTCTGGCACCACCTGAGCGATACGGTGCTTAAACAAACCGGAGGTGGCGACGGTCTGCTGCATGCCGCTCGTGGAGCTGACACCCTTCTTAGTGGCGCTGACGACGAGGATGAGGGCGCGCATGTTGGGCCAATGGGAGGCGGGGGCGACTTCTACTGCCTTGCTGTCGAGCCCATCTGCCTGCTGGCCCTCGCGCCAAGCCACATAGCCGCCAAACAGACTGCGGCATGCGGATCCGGAGCCCTGGCGGGCAATACGAGAGAGCTCGGTCGGCGAGGCGGGCAGCTGGTAGAGGTCGGCAATGGCGCGAACAAGGGCGGCGAAGCCCGCGGCAGAGGACGCGAGACCAGCGGCGGTGGGGAAGTTGTTCTCGGAGACGAGGAGGAGGGGTAGATGGGCGAGCTTGGGCAGCGACGAGTCCTTCTCCTCGAGGACGGTGCGCAACGCGCGCAGCTCGCGGAGACAGGCCTGTGTCCGAGCACCTGTCAGATCGGAGGGCGAACCGTTGAGGATCAAGGTGTCCTCGTGGTAGGTCTCGGAAGCAGAGGCCGTTGTCAGGGCTCGCAGGTCATCTTGCGAGAGGGTGACGGAAAGGGACGAGTTGGTGGGGAGGTTGAGCTTTGGGTCTCGCTTGCCCCAGTACTTGACGACGGCAATGTTGACGGGTGCCGTCGTGCTTGCGCGGTAGACGACCATGATTATAGCTATGCGATAGACCAAGAAGAACCTGCCTATATGAAACAACTGAAAAGGTTAATCGGGCACAAACTTCACGATACTCAGATGGCGGTCAATTCACCCTCAGCCCAGATAATTCACTTCTGGCTTAATTAGAGGTCAATCCAATTCCAATAGCGGGGGTGTTGGTGGGGTGAAATTCAGGGGTCCAGTCAGTCCAGTCAAGCCGCCAGTCCAGGCCTGGCGAGCGACTATCGAAAGCGCAGCAGCCAATAATACCTCCACCCTTACACAAAGTAATGTTAAAACCCCATGTTACATATACTACTTAGACTAGGGAGAGTAACGTAATCCAATTCTCTGCTCCGGCCAAGTGCGAATCTCGGCAAGGCCTGGCAGTGAACGAGGTAGTGTCTGCTGCTCATGTCCTTAAAGGAAAAGACCGTGTTGCTGTCAAGCTCACAATGACAAAGATTTGGAGGGATTGGCCGCTGCAGATGGCTAAGCCTACACTACAGAGTTGTTGGAGCAACCAGGTTAGGGGAAGCGAGATATCGCTCCATGAAAGAGTAGAAGTATGTAACATTAATAAATAAAAAAAGTACAGAAAAAACCCCCCCAAGATTGGAAAACCTCGATGACTTATCTATTTCGGAAAGTATATAGATCGTAAGATGTCCTGGGGGGGACCAACGGCGGCGACCCATCAATCACAGCGTTGCATGTCACACGAAAGGCGCATCGGCCCCCATGTAAGTTAGCATCGCGCATCGTGCTTGAAATGATCCAATACAAGACCACCCGGAACACTTTTTCCCCTTCATTTCTATTTACATCCTCAATCCACTATAGCTCGTTGTGGTCGCTGTTGCATTGAACGAAAACCACCGCGATGTCTGACGAGCCGCTAGCGCTCCCTTCTTTGACCAAGTGTCTAGGGGTCGGTTGCGAGAACCATGCTGGAGCTCTACAGTGCCCGACATGTTTGAAGATAGGCCAGAAGGACAGTTATTTCTGCACCCAGGACTGCTTCAAGAGAAACTGGGTATGAATGAATGTATATGCTCCCTACTAGCAGGCCTCCCAGGCTGACAGAAATTACCATATAGGACCAGCATAAAAGCGTACACAAAACTGCGCAAAGCAAGATGCAAAACAGTGCTGGTCACAAGACTGTCCCTTCAAAGAGAAAGGCGGAACTCAACACTGGGCTTTTCAATCCGTTCCCGATGTTTGCCTTTACCGGCTCTGTCCGACCTGTCTATCCACTTTCTGCGAAACGTCTTGTGCCCAAGTCAGTTCAGCACCCTGACTGGGCGGTCACTGGTATACCCAAGGGCGAAAACCGTTTACACAGAACCAAGATTGCCATCCTAGATGCCGAGGGGCAAGAGGCAATGCGCAAAGTCTGCCGGTTCGCTCGAGAAGTACTAGACATCGTTGCTGCAGAAGTTAAACCAGGCGTTACTACAGACTATCTGGATGAGGTCTGCCATAAAGCTTGTGTAGAACGGAATGTGGGTACATCTCTTTCTGAGCTGACGGCGGGATCTCTCTAACCTCGATAGTCGTATCCTTCTCCGTTAAACTACAACCGCTTTCCTAAATCAATTTGTACTTCTCCGAACGAGGTCGTTTGCCACGGCATACCCGACCAGCGAGTCTTATTGGACGGCGATATTCTCAACCTCGATGTTTCGCTCTATCACAGGGGCCACCACGCTGATGTTAACGAAACCTATTATGTGGGCGATCGAGCCAAGGCGGACCCAGACTCAGTCCGGGTGGTTGAAACGACACGGGAATGCTTAGATGAGGCAATCAAGCTCGTGAAGCCCGGCACGCCAATAAGGGACTTTGGCAACGTCATCGAGAAGCTTGCCAACCACAGAGACTGTAGAGTCATCCCTATCTGGGGAGGCCATGGAATTAACACGGAATTTCATCCACCGCCGTGGATACCTCATTATGGCAAGAACAAGGCAGTGGGAATCTGCAAACCGGGAATGGCATTCACCATTGAGCCTATACTGACGTTGGGAAAACCTCGGGACGTTGATTGGCCAGATGGGTGGACAAATGCAACTGTCGACGGCAAACGGACTGCCCAATTCGAACATACCTTGTTGGTTACAGAAACCGGTGTTGAGGTTCTAACTGCACGAGACGCGGATTCTCCAGGGGGCCCAATAGCGATGCCAGCGATGGCTCATGTCCAAGTTTAATCTATGGGGAAAAGTCCACTACAAAAAAAAGTCAAGGGGTAAGTAAGAGCATGGTGGCTCGAAATCATCAGCAAGGGGCTATTGGTATCCATCCGTACAGAGTGAGACAATACGGGGGGTTACATAGGATAGTTTTTATATGTAGATTGCTTTTCGCCTTCCACAGTAGTAAACGGATCTGGGCGCCGACATGAATTCTTGCGTCCAACAATAATTGATGCTTTCAAGGAGTACTGCCAGCTGAACTGCTGCAATTTGAATTCGTCGTTGAATCCGCTGATCGTCATGGTCGTTGCACTGTGAGTTCACGTCCATGGCAATGGTCCAGCTCGGATCGGATTGAATTGAGTTGAACGCGGAATCTTCCGCACAACCTCCACTAAAAAGTCGCGATCGCACCCGCTAGCTAAGCTTGTCATCGGCCGGCCCTGCGATTGGAGGCCGCTAGGAAATCTGAGGATGACCTCAACATGCTCTTGCATCTGAACGACTATATCTTCTTTGACACTAATTGACGACTTGTTCAATCCCGCACCAGGGGAGCCATCACGCCATGTCCGAACCACAGCCGCAAGATCCGGCGGCGTGTCCCGTTGACCACAAGAGCCGCGAGGCCTGGCTCAAGCAAGCCCAAGCCGCCTCGGGCTCTCAGTCGCAACCGCAAGCGCAAGCGCAAGGGTTGCCGGCCGACCATCCCTGGATACCTGCCGGAGGCGACGCGGAGGAGAGCTGCCCGGTGGACCACAACGCGCGCGAGGCATGGATGCAGCAGGCGCGGGCGGCCTCGAGCTCCCCGGTCGCCGCCAGCACAAGACCGGCACAGCCGCCGCCAGCATCACAACCATCAGCGGCTTCTGGGGGGTCCTGGGCGAGCTCCGTCCTCTCCTATCTGCCCTTCGGCAGCTCCTCCGGCCAGGCCCCCGCGTCGTCGTCGATACCACCGACCCCATCCCACCACAGCCTCGACAGGGGCCGCATAATATCTTCGATACCCCGGTCAACACTGCCGCCGGGAAGCAGCGTCGACGGCGCAGCGACGCACGCGCCGCCGGCAAACAAGGAGCAGGAGACGGGAGCGGACGAGAAGACGGGCAACTGGATCTACCCGTCCGAGAAGATGTTCTTCGACGCCATGAAGCGCAAGGGCCACGACCCCCAGGCCCCGGACATGCGCACCATCGTGCCGATCCACAACGCCGTCAACGAGCGGGCGTGGGCCGAGATCAAGGAGTGGGAGCAGCCGTACTACGTCAAGGGTTCGAGGTATGGATTCTTATTCTTAATTCCTAATTTATATTTATGCATTGCTCCCCAGTCGCAAGATGTCTGATAGTCCCTTTGGCATCCGCGTCTGGAGGTTGTTCTTAAAGATTCTTGCTGACAGAGGCTTTACTTTCTTAGTTGTGACGGCCCGAGGTTGAGCTCGTTTTCCGGTCTGAGCAGCAAGATGTCGCCTAAAGCAAAGATCAACACGTGGTTGGGTTACCAGGCACCGTTCGATCGGCATGACTGGATAGTGGACCGTTGTGGTCAAGAGATAGAGTATATAATCGACTTCTACGCCGGCCGGCCGCGAGGAGACGGCAAGCCTTCGTTCTATCTGGATGTGCGGCCGAAGCTGAATACCTGGGAAGGCGTCAAGATGCGGGCGTTCAAGGGCCTGGGCATCATGTAGATGTGAGTCGATCAAGTGTATCATATGTAATATCAATGAATTGTACAATCACAAACATATCCTCCTGGACGGTTCACAGTATAACGTGGAATGTCGGGCATGTGGTCTGGTTCATCTCATCTCAATGAAAAACATTATGCTAGGGTATCGAATACATGCCACATGCCACTTGCCGCATGCCACTTGCCAAACGCCATTATCTATGCTTGTTCCGCGCTATTCTATTCCACCACGATTCGAATGGCGCGTCCGGTCTCAACTGCTCCACTCTCTAGGTTCCAACCACTGCTTGATAGTGACTTCCAAAACTCATCATCTGGCATTGCTCCTGAATAAGCAGTGATGTATGCTTCCAGGACATCAATCGTGGTTGCACCAGCCTTCATGAAGATAATCTTGTCGGCAGTGGTGATGAATTTCTCGTCCCGGTACCTATGAAGAGCCATTGCATCGATTTGGCCACTGGCAGGAAATGTGCGGGCGAAAGTGATGCTGGGGGCCTTCCAGCTTAGGATTCGTTCCTTTTTAGCGACTTCGGCTGGACGCAAGATGCGACCGCTCAGCTTGTACTCGTCGATGACGATGCAGGCCCTTTGGCGGTTTAGGGAGCGCATTTCGACGGAGCGGACGGCCTGGTAGTTGGTCCAGAGGTGGGCCCCGAGTAATACAAACATCCAGAGCCAAACTGCGGTCCTTCCTTCCACGAAGTTGACAAAGAGACTGCCGACCAGCATGCCCAACAGGGAGATGACGGTCTCCTGGCTCCCATCCTTGGCGTTCAGTTCAGCGAGGTTGCCGTTTTTGGCAAAATGGGCGCTGAGACTGGCCTTGGCTGCTCCTGCTGCCACTCCGCAGAGTGATCGAAGAATACCGGCGGCGCAAAGGCTAAGTATCTTTGGGGTTTGGGGTAGAGAAGGTGTCAGAATATCGAGCAAGAGCGCAGCGTCGTTGAAGATGTCAGCCATGTAGCGGTAGTACTTGCATTCCGGCTCGATTGCTTGTCCGAAACGATCTGCAAACACAATGGTCGCCAGTCGACCAGTCGATTCCTGCAGAACTGACAGCAGTACAGCACCGGTAGCTGATGATCCTTCTTTGCCGACGCCGAAGCCTTGCAAAACAGCTCTGTTTGACAACAGCCCGGCAATGGAGCTTGAAAACGCCTGAAGCGAGTCCTGTTGAAAAGCAAGTCAGAAACAACGTCATTTCATGCCATGGAGTAGACTTGCATAGATTTGGTATGAGGTATAGTCACTAGTGACTGTATGTGGGTATCCAGCGGGGAGGAAGACATCAAGCAGTTGCTTAACATAGCTTCCAGTGGTCTTCCTCGGTGCCTACAATTGGGTCAGCTGTAGACCGCGTCCAAGTCAGAGGAACGAGCTTGTACAATTGCCTGGAAAGAGCCGTCCTTGGCGTCTTCAGCGTAACGGCATATCATCTCACCAGAGTCGTCGACAGCGCCGACGAGCTTGGGGATAATCGCCGAGGACGCCATGGTCGTTTGATATTTTTGGTTTTTGGTTATCGGTTTCGCTCCAGTTGAGGTTGCTGAGTGCAGCTGAATACTTTATTTAGGCAACTTTAGTTGGCCAATTCAGAGCTGAGGGGGCGCTAGCGCGTTTGTCTAACGTTAACATGGGGACCTGGACTGCAAATCTTTAGGCAGGTACGTATTACCCCCCTTACCCAACGCTATTCGGATTAGAATAGCAAAAGATATCCAATGGAGATGATCACATGAAGCGTGAATAATACCTGAAGCGTGAATAATACCGTGGCGTGTGTGTCTTACCCGACACTATACGTCACTACACCGATTAGAATAGCAAATACACATTCAATGGAGATGACCAATCTGCCAGCTTGGAGAGAACTTACATATGATGTCGTTTGTCAAGAAGATAGTCCTCACGATGCAGTCTAATTAATCCTCCAGACATGATATTAGTATAAACTCAACTCAGAATATGTCTGTGATGCGATGTGATGTGATGTGATTCTCATGTAATGCAAGATACACAATCCAATATGCACACTCAGCACATCAAAGAAGTATTGGTAGGACAGGTTCTTTCCACTGTAATAATTCACGGAGGATACTTTACAATAAACTCTTTGATGGACAACTTGGTCCCCAGCCTTTGTAAGCATGCTAAACCCTTGTGTAGTAGCACTATCCTATCCTTCCCCTAGCATCTCCACGGAAGAGGTCACTGATAGACATGGTTATGGCCATGATTTCATTTGATTTGCTGCATATAGATAGATACAAAGTTGACGCATGTAATGTTCATTCAGGCCGCCAACTGGTATGTGGTCTCCAGGTTACGAGAATGTGTTGTAATCTAACGACGGATGGCGCCATACATGTTATGTCCCATAAGATCATACTGTATTTTTCACGTGGTATCAACCGACCACACTCGTTACTCAGCCAATAATTATGTGCTCTGATCTAGATCATACTGGCGGCATATGAGTGGCATCTACTTTAAGGCCGATGACGCGCCGATGGTATCGTTTTATTATCTAGACAAGTGAAACAGAGGAGACAGAGTCAAAATGGGGGAACTATCATGTCGCTCTTTGCGACCTGCGTCCAAAAAAAGTCACACGGATCGGACGGGCGCGTTTTAATCACTAGGAACTATACGTGAGTAATCAACCGGAAAAGACCGGAAAATACACTCCTATCGCTGATGGTTTCCCCCATGGCTTGTGGTGCTCTATTCTGACCGATCGGAAGGGATGGTGATTGAGAGTATCAGAAAACGCAAGTTTCCCCCAAGTCAATATAACACGAGCATCCAGATAATTTGAACGAGACGTCTAATCATCGCTCAACTAAGGCCTTGTTCATAGTGTCCACCAGAAGCTGTTGGTATTATTGTTTGATCTCTTGCTTGCGGGTAGGGAATGTCATGTGTCGATCAAGTAGATGCAAATCAAAACTGTGATCGAGTTGCAGTTAACATTACTCTCCGTCGATTCACATGATCATAGTATTCCTAACGTACGAATCTTCAAGGTAGTGTGCTAATTCCATCAGTATCCGCAGACGGCCTGGTTCTTTCTGGATCCTCTAACTGAGTTTTTATGCGGCGGTCTAGTCTAACCTAGTGGAGACCGCGCATAGGTTCCAGTATATCGGGATGGTAATACACAAGATTGATAAGAGCGGCTAGCAGAGATAATGAGACCATTTGGAGATATTATGTACTTAACTCTTAAAAGCGTTCATTTTTTCTTCGGATAGCCCGAGATAGTCGATTGGAAAGTGCAAACAAAGAGTGATAATATTTTACATATCACACAACCGACACTCAAACCTGAGGGCCTGACGACGCAACGGTCGTAATCATAATGCACATGGAGCTGATACCCATGGGGCTTCTTTTTTATGTATATACATTTACACCGGTCTCTTTCCTAACTAACCAACATATTGTAGAATGACTTTTGCCTCGATAAACAGATCAACAGGAAACTGGCCATATCTGATAGTCCTCAACGACATCTGCGAGCCTACTGTTAGCTAGGCGCGACGGGATGGGTAGAAACACCGAAAGATTGCTCTACTGTAGCCGTCAAGTGCCATGACGACCTTTGGATGTGGCCAGACGTAATAAGACTTGATACGCGTCCTGAGTAGTATGCTACAGGGCTGATATGAACATCTGGCGGCCCCGAGATTAGTTGCCACCTACATAAGACTAAGACTAGTGCCCTATCTCCACCACAATAGTCAAACAAGAGATAAGCCTGCCACAAAACCCTACCTGACACCACTTGGCAACACACCTAACCCGGATGCCCAGAATTGAGGCTGCTGATGATCTCCAATCGGTTATTTTCTTACATGGAATGAAAAGTCGCTTAAATGCTTGTATCAAGCCATGCAGGGCTTTGCCGCTCAAGCCGCTCGCCGGTATTAGTCGCCCGCACCAGAGTCTTTAGCGCATCTATCAAATCTAGACCCCAGATTTGGGGAGTTGATATGACAGACTAGAATTACTGCTGCATGTGTCCAGAAATCGGGGGATTTATGGGTCGAGCAGTCCAATAAGCAAAGCACTTTGCGCGTTGTGGGGGAGAAGAAGCTCCAAAGGAGCGTTCGGAACTGAATAGGGCTCGAGCTCACGATACCTGGAACCCAGCTTGCCTGACGTCGCTCCACCACCTTGGCTCTGCCTGGGGCACGACGCACATCCGGCCCGAATTCTCGTCTGGGGCAATGACTTTGATTACCACTAAATTTATCCGTTTCTAGATACCAGAGATAACGCTACTGCATACCCCAAATCTCCCTGGTGATTGCCGGATTTTGTCATTCGAAAACGTCAAGCTTTCGCCCAGGTTTCCCGCAAGCTTGGAAAGTCATGACTAGCATCGTCTCGCATCTCTAGCACTGTTCCCACCTGGGGAATATGGTCTAAGGCTGTACCTACCGAAAAGGGTAACATGGAAAAAAGTTAAAGCAGAGATGACATCTCGTCTTATTTGAATTATCATGAATAAACTGTGACAAGCTGCTCTCACGACTGGCAGCCTGACAGTCCAGCCCCCCCGAGAACAGAGCACCGACTTCGATTAAAATATCGTGAGCTTTTGGGAAGAAGGAGCTGCACTTGTTTTCAGACAACACACAGCAAAACATTCGTCACAAAACACCATGGAGTCGGTTGTGGAAAGTCGCCACCACACGGTGGGCGAAGATGCCGCCGCGCTGGAACATCTAGGCCACAAGCAGGAACTGAAGCGGAATTTCTCCATGATTTCTATGCTTGGTCTTGCTTTTGCCATCCTCAACACCTGGACTGCCCTCGCTGCTTCCATTTCCTTGGCACTGCCATCCGGTGGGCCGAGCTCTGTCGTCTGGGGTCTAATTGTAGCCGGCTGCTGCAACCTGTGTCTCGCCGCCTCGCTCGCGGAATTCCTGTCGGCATATCCTACCGCCGGCGGTCAGTACCATTGGGCCGCAATCATCGCGTGGAAGCGTTGGAGTCGGGGCATCAGCTACGTGACAGGCTGGATTAACGTATCTGGATGGGTTGCGCTGACGGCGACGGGCGGATTGCTTGGTAGCACCTTCGTGTTGAACGTCATCGCCTTGTTCAATGAGAACTACGAGGCTAAGACCTGGCATCAGTTCCTCATCTACCTCGCGTTCAACGTTGTTGCACTGGTCGTCAATGTCTTCGCCAACAGATTGTTGCCTCTGGTCACCAAGGCTGCGTTTTACTGGTCCGTAGCTGGATTCATCATCATTAGTATCACACTCTTCTCTTGTGCTTCGCCAAACTTCCAGAGTGGATCCTTCGTCTACGGAAGCTTCATCAACGAAGTTGGGTGGCCTGATGGACTTGCATGGATGCTTGGCCTTCTTCAGGGCGCTTTCGCCTTGACTGGTTTCGATGGTGTGGCACATATGATCGAAGAGATCCCCAACCCGCACATCCAGGGCCCTCGCATCATGCTATATTGTATCGGCATTGGAATGGTGTCTGGGTTTTTCTTCCTCAGTTGTCTCTTGTTCGTTCTTAAGGACGTCGACACGGTCATCGACTCTGCTTCTGGACCTCTCCTACAGATCTTCATGGATGCGACCAACAACATGGCTGGAAGCACTTGCCTCCTCATGTTCCCCCTTGTCTGCATGCTGTTTACTACAACCTCCATCTTGGCCACCAGCTCTCGCATGAGCTACGCTTTTGCCCGAGACCGCGGTCTTCCCTTCAGCAGCGTCTTGGCCAAGGTCCATCCTACCTTGGATGTACCCGTGAACGCTCTTCTCTGGACCCAGGGTTGGGTCGTCATTTTTGGGCTGATCTTCCTGGGCTCTTCCAGCACATTCAATGCCATCACGGCCGCATCGGTCGTTGCCCTGGGCGTGACCTACGCTATCCCGCCGGCGATCAACTGTCTCCGGGGTCGTAGGATGCTACCCGAAACCCGGGCGTTCAAGCTCCCGAACGCCGTGGGTTGGCTGTTCAACATTGTCGGCATATGCTGGACACTCTTGACGACTGTCCTCTTCGTGTTCCCTCCGGAGACCCCTGTCACCTCGGAGAACATGAACTACTGCATTGCTGCTTTTGGCGTCATTCTCCTAATTGCTGTTACAACCGTAAGTACCTCTCTCTACGAGTGTCTGATTGGATGGACTGGAACTAATTATGCATGCAGTGGATCTTTGATGGCCGCAAACACTACGTGGGCCCTAAAATGGATATCGATGGAATGCTTCATGGCAAGGTTGAGGGTATGGAGCCGGTTGGATCGGCGCAGACGGCACCAGAGGAGGATATCAAAACATAAGCTTGACTTGATACCATGGTGTTATTATGTTAAATAGTGTATTGGAGCTAACGGTGTTCTTGAATATTATTGGTTATATTTTTGTCGGGTGTCCGATAATCAATTTCTGTCATTGTCCTCTCTGCAGATCTAGAGGGGCCACAAGTACTACGCGTTCACGAAGTCAATCGTCTTGAGCCTATTCGGCCCCGTATTTATTGATTGGACTCTGATGCGTTGCAGCTGCGCTGCAAAACTTAGCTTGCGATATAGGCATTGGAAATTTTGTCTTGAATTCATTCGTCGATATTTGTTTCAGTCAGCCGCAAATTGTTGGGCCTCGGGCGCGCAACGGCACTGATGAAGTGGTGGACGCCTTCCATTCAGTATCACGATTGTAGGAGCGAATGCGGCCACGGGGTGTGTAGTTGGCTTTGCAGCCCTATAATTTTTCCTAACCGCCCGGAAGGTTTAATCAGGGGTTCCTCTTCCCCCTTGACCATCCTCCAGTTCGAGAGGGTTTGTAGGAAGCACCAACGCTGTAAAATCTGTAGGCCGCTGTCCTTGTTCTTCAACTTCAGCCATTGCAACAATGCCCTCCTTAGGACGGCCGACCCGAGTTGATATAATGTACAACCTTTGTTCTAAGGACGTATCCACATCAAGAACCGCTGGCCCTACTTGTTCGACCATACGGTCCGATGGGAATAGTGCCAGCCATTGATACTTGAAATGTTCCAGATGTCGCAGTGTTCGGCCGCTATTACAGTCTAATGTTTTTCCTCCTCCTTACTTGTTGAATCAGTCACCTCACGCATAGGCAGGCATGAGTGAATGGCTGCTTTGCACAAAAGGGTGACCCTTCTCAGCGTCTCTGGCATCGAACCAGTGCTCTTGGTGATGACGCTTGCGACCCATACAGCACCTGCCTATCAGATCAGGTCCGCAGAGGGCCAAAAAGCAGACAATAATTGTGAAGGCGATGGTTGCACCTGCTGCCGCTGCCAAGCCGACGATGAAGTCTCTTGTGAAATTGCCGTTCACTCCCTCTGCCGCCAAGCTGGAATCAATCCAGCAGAATAGGACGAGTAAAGTTGCCGCGTTGATTCGAAACATTGCTTTTTTATGCTGACTGGGCCTGTGAGAGTTTGGAGAACCGGTCAATTCTCGAATAATCGATTTAGAGACAACGCCAGAATGATCAATAACAACAACCAAGAAATAAAAAAGAAATCAGTCCGGAGTCCTAGAAAAATCAGCAGGTGCAGCCTCATTTACCTTTACAGCTCCACAAGAAGGATCTGGTCAGCCCCCCCTCCAAAGCCCAGGCAACACCACCATGAGACAATGATGGCTGGACGTGTACTTGGCAGAGCACACATGGTCGCCAAAAGTGGCATCATAAGCAAGAGACATGGCCTATCAGGGCACCAGCCGCTTCTGGTAGACACCCTGTACTGACTGCAAGCCCCGTGTGAGGGGTCGTAGCCCGTCAGAGTCGTTCGTATATGCTGCGCCTGTCGAATGCAGGTCTCGGCGCTGATTTTGTGCGTGTGGCTGTGCCGTCTTTTTCGATAGACCACGGTTGAGAACATGTAGAACTTTTGCCAGTGGAACAGCGGCCACCCCGTCCGTGAGCCTGGCGGTTAATGGGTCCACAGTGCCCACGCGTTTAGATGGTACTGAAAGCATCGTTGCTAAAATATATATATATATTTAAAAAAAAAAAAAAAAGAATTAAAAAAAACCCCTACCTTGCGAGCTTGAGCGGTTGCACAGAATGCTCCTTTTTTTTTTTTTTTTAGCGATGTCAAGAAGGAGAGAAAGGGAGAGGCATCCTGTAGCTTTCATGGCAAGGGCCATTGATCCGGGAGGATTGTTAGGCAAGGATCAAACACGATCCAGAGCTTGCCAATTGCGTTACTTGTGCACCTGAGCTTGAATTACTACATAGTATGCAGAATACCATGAAGCAGTCAGCAAGGATGAGAACCCGTCAGCCCGTCAGCCTGTCTCCCAATTTGAACCTAAGGTTGAGCTTAATCGGCCACTGAGCATTGTTTGTTTTTAGGTCGCAGTGGATGCAATTTTCTAGGTTAGCAGCACCCGGCTGGCTTGAAGGGGAATCCCCCTGCACATGCCGCACAAATTCCAGAAGATATATACTCAAGTGGTCTTGCTTCGATTGCAAATACTACGGAATACACAATACATAGTCTCCAGTGGTTGCATTACCTGCTTAATGGAGTTGGGCTTGAGTTCCAGCAGCTTGGAAGGTGGGTCTCGGACCATTAATCATAGCCACGTCAAGCCTTGGAACAATCGAAGCCAATCTTGAGCTTTCAAGCGCCAACTTATGACTACGGATCCGTACACAGTCACTCATGTACTAAGTCAACTAAGTCGTGTATGGCCCAGGGGTGGCAGCGCCTGACGTCACTGTTATCGTACGCGAGCCATGCGACACACTTGCACTTGCACTTGCACTTGCACTGCACTCGGATCAGCGCATCCCCCTTGCTTTACTTTAGGTACAGCAAGTTAGTACACAGATCAACGATACAGACTTTCCGTTTTCGGCCCCAATCCCAATGCACGTCAGTTAGAGGAATATATTAGATTCTTCTTTGCATTAGGGTAGCCTGCCAAAAGCACACCATACCATAGCAGCAGAGATGAGCTATGCGTTTCGACGAGGGTGTGTACAGCTGATGAGCAGCACAGCACCGCGCTGGTCAACGCCTGCCACCAGTACCTGCTGCAGTGCACAGTTCCGGCAGTCATGCTACAGGTCGTCAGTGGCATCGCGCCATTTCAAAGCCACGGCTCGACTGCCCAAGGAATTGTCAGATGAGACTGCCAGAGAAACCAACCAGAGAGATCAGGATGCCCACGAAGAGGAGGTCAAGGCCAGCATGGAGGCTGCCGTCAAGCAGCAGATCAAAAGACCGTGGCAGCGCGAGGGCGCCGACAAGCCCCCCGTTGACGAGGAAGCAAGGCACCTGAACAAGAACATGGCCAAAGGTAAGAACCCACGTACACGTGCGTCGGAACGTGCATTGACCTACCCTGCTCTCTCTCTGTCTAGGAAAGCTCTTGACCACACCAACGCGACTCCTCAAGCTCATCATCCCCCTGCCCGCCGATGCTACCCACGACGAGAAAGGAAACAAGGGCGAATTCAGGTCCTTGGCCCAGAATGAGGAAATCCAGCCTCTGGCACTTTTGGTTCATCCTCAGCAGCCTCTCTCCTACCTCGAACGCCTGATTCAAGCCGAACTGCCTCCCGTATACGACGACAAGGGCCGCGAGAAGATGCCAAGCGTATATTTCCGCGCTGAATCTTCGGACAAGGACGAGGATGGCCAGAAGAGACAGACCGGTGACCACATCGCCTCGGCCTCGGGGCTCGGGAGAGAAGGTCCCAGCACCCCCAACAAACACAAGGACTGGGTGCGCTGGAGCAGCAGTACCGAAATCGGTGACTTTATTCGTGACGCCGCCCGCGGCAGGGAATTCATCATAGACATCACTGGACATAATACCGGCATCACCGTCGGCGTGCCCAGCTTCGGTGACCGCACGCATTACTTGCGGGTCAGGCTACGCCGCATGTCACGCAAAATCGAAGAGCTGTCCAAGATCAAGCACGAGTGCGATATCCTGGCCCACCGTGGCGCGCATAGGATTGCCAAGGGAGGATTTGCAGCACTGAGTGGCTGGTGGGGAGTTGTGTACTTCGTCACCTTCCACACGGAAGCCGGGTGGGATTTGGTAGAGCCCGTAACATACCTGGCTGGGTTGACCACCATTATGGGTGGCTATCTATGGTTCCTGTTCATAAGCAAGGACCTCAGCTACAGGGCCGCTCTCAACATCACGGTTACGCGCCGCCAGAACATGCTCTATCAGGATCGCGGATTTGACCCGCAGAGGTGGGATGCCTTGGTGGCCGATGCTAATTCCTTGCGCCGGGAGATTCGCGTCATTGCTGAGGAATATGATGTGGACTATGACGAACAAAGGGATCTGGGCAGTGAAGAGGTCGCAGAAGTTTTAGATAAAGAACTCGAGAAGAAGTCAAAGGGCAAGAACGACGAGGAGGTCGAGGAAGAGGAAGAGACGTCCAAGGAGGCCAAGAAGAAACAGTCCAGTGAGGGCCAGAAGACAGAAGATCTCAAGGAAAACAAGGATTAGAACAAGTGGTGGAAATACCCGTACACGTATGTATTGTAGACCGTCATTCAGCGAAGAATTTGTAATTGCCGCAACTAATGGATTCAACAACTTTGCAACCACTTTCCATCTGTTTTTGTCTAAACCTGAAGAATAGGAACGTTCATGAACACGGTGTCCCAGACCTGCGACTCTGGCCAAATTGCAGTTTATGCCTTCAGCGTTTCCTTGAGAACGCGAATCTGCTCGAGCACACTATCCTTGCTGGTACCACCCTTGGCGGAACGCATCTCTACACTCTTTTCATAATCGAAGCTCTCAGCAATATCCTTCTCAAATCGAGAGTCAACTTGCTTGAGCTGCTCGTAGGTAAGCTGGTCCATGGGCGTGTTCGTGTTCTCAGAGAGAGCAACGACCTGGCCAGAAATGTGGTGGGTCTCACGGAATGGGACGCCCTTGCGGACCAGGTAGTCTGCGATGTCGGTGGCCAACATGAAGGGGTCGAGGGCGGCCTTCATCTTTTCTGGCTTGGTCTGAAGTGTCGACAGCACGCCCTCGGCGATGCGAATGCTGTCACTAACGGACTTGACCGTGTCCAACATGGGCTCCCAGCTCTCCTGCAGATCCTTGTTGTATGTGCTCGCCAGGCCCTTGAGCGTCATCATGAAGCCGGCGGCACGGCCGAAAACACGGCCACTCTTGCCTCGGAGAAGCTCGAGACTGTCTGGGTTCTTCTTCTGCGGCATGAGAGAGCTTCCTGTTGAGTAGGCATCCGCGAGGCGAACAAAGCCGAACTCGGCTGTTGAGTAGATGATAAGATCCTCGGCCCATCGGGAAATGTGCGTCATGACCATGGACGCCCACTGCAGGAACTCGGCGACAAAGTCACGGTCTGCGACACCTCCCATCGAGTTCCACAGCAGCCCATCAAAGCCCAGCTCCTTGGCCATCATGTCCCGATCAATACCGAAAGGGTTGCCGGCTAGTGCGCCGCAGCCCAGCGGGCTCTTGTTGACACGCTTGATCGTCTCACGCAGCCTCTCCAGGTCAGCAGCAAAGGCCAGTCCGTAAGACATCATCCAGTGGCTCCAACGAATGGGCTGCGCACGCTGCAGGTGAGTGTAACCAGGCATCACATAATCGATTTCCGACTCTGCTCGTGCCGTGATGACCTTGAGGAAGTTGACGAGGTAATCGTCGATCTTGCGCAGCTCGTCACGAAGCCACATGCGCATATCACAGGCGACCTGTTCGTTACGGCTGCGTCCCGTGTGCAGCTTACCGGCAACGTCCTTACCAATGATCTCACCTAGGCGGCGCTCGTTGGCCGTGTGGATATCCTCATCGACGCCGGGAACAATCTTGAAGCTGTCGGTCTCCCACTCTTCCATAACGGCGCGAAGGCCCTTCTCGATCTTTTCGAACTCGTCCTGTGTCAGGATTCCGCCCTTGGTGTTGGCCCGGGCAAAGGCGATGCTGCCAAGGATATCCTCCTTGTAGAGAGCCTTATCGAAATAAATACTCTCATTGTACTCGACCATAAGAGGGTCGAGGCCGCCTGGTCTGGCTTAGCTTTGTACGTTGCCATTGGTTGTTGTTGCAATGTTCATGAATCGAAGTGGTTCATGAAATGGCTAATGAGTCAAACCTACCAGTGAAGCGGCCTCCCCAGAGCATATTCTCGCCGGGCTTGCTGCTGGGAGCCATGATTGGATTAGAGGTTGCTGAGATTGATGTAGATTTACAAGTATTTCGAAAGGTAAAAAAATCCAGTGGGTTTGAATTGCAAAAAGTGATTGAGATTCGCCTGTTTATGTTTGTTGGTTGGTATTGTTGGTCGTGAAAGATAGCAGCTGCGAAGTGACTCCGATGTTACCCATTGATGAAAATTTAGCTGGGGCTTAGCTGCATAATTGTGGTGGTCTACTATGCATACTTGCATGAGAAGCGCCGATATTCTGTCGCAAAAGCAAGCATCCATCTCAGCCAATTCGAGTCACTTTGCATGCTCATTTCCTTAACGCAAGCAAAACAGTTGTTTGGTGAGTCAGTTTTAATGGAATCGTACTTGTCAATGTTCTAGTGCAACATGTGCTGCGAGCATCTCGAGCACAATTCCAGCGCACTTCGTTCAGACCATCATGGAACTTGGTCCAATGCAAGCCTCTCTAGTAACTTTGCCAACTCCTCTGCGTAAAAGACGCCTATTGAAACCGCCATGAGGAGTTTCAGCCGAGTCCCACTCAAAAGTTGCATTTCCTCAAAAGGTAGGTTGAAGCCACTTGCTGCTTTCCAGTTGGCCAATCCCACTATACGACTCCTGCCAGTCGGATGACATTGCCTCAATTACTATTGGTTGGTTTCTTTATCTCAAGACACACGCGAAGTCTCGTTCTATATGATTTCCTTTGTCATTGTGGTGTTTGATTTGCTAGGATGATACCAACATGATCCATTGACCCCACGTTGGGCGGGTGCCTTTTGAGGGCGCAGCTACGATCGGGAGTGACCGTTGAGTGACGTTTATATGCTGCCCAGAAACAATGTTTGCCATTATCAGACCACTGTGAGCTGCCAGTCACCTGAAATTATTACTTAAAGCCAATTATCTTGTGTCTTTCGGAATCATACTTTTGCCTTTCGTTCTGAGATGATTTACCTAAAGTTGCACTCTTAGTTTTCTTTCTGGGCACCGACCCCGCAGTATTACCCACCGTCTACTTTGGTCCTCAAGTCAAAGCTCTCTGGCATCATCTCTGCGATAGTTGCAGGTATCTTCCAACAAAACCATGGCACCGTCGACGGTTCACCTGCCAGATGGGCAGACCTTTATCGTGAGGCCTGTGTTTTCAGGACTGCAATTCACGTCAAACGACATGTACAGCAGGCGTTCACGCTCACCATTCCCGCCAGGTTGGACAGTCGTCTTGCATACTGAAGATGAACGTGATGATGGCTCGGATCAGCCCAGCTCCCATAACAAAAATAGTGCTGATGGAATCGAGCATGGGAAGGATCATGAACCCATACAGCCGCGAATACGCAAGTACACGACACCAACGCTACAGGGTGAAACCGTTTTCATCTCCAGTATAGTAAATCCGTCCTCTGAGGATTTTGAGCCGGCCAAAAGCCCTTCACGGCACATAGCTTTGATGCTCTGGATCACCCTATACTGGTACTTCCAACAGCCAGAACCACAACCGCACATTGAGACAGCTCAGTCTCGGCTCACGCCCGCGGAGGCACGACCTAAAGGGGAATGGCGCATCCGTATCAAGCGCGAAGGTGTCCTGCATTCTCGGAATATGATTCCAAAACTTGAGAGAATGGGCCTTATATCGACGTTGGACTCCGCTGTTGGCACAAGCGTTGAAGAAAACTCAGAAGGCTGGGATCGTATGTATGTTACACAACAGGGCTTCTGGCAGATACCGTTCGGGCTATTTTTGTTCACCCTACAACCCAAACGACATGAATCTCGTCCAGGATCACCAGACAGTAGTAGACCTACTTCGCCGAACTTGACTGAATCACATCCCAAAGGACACTCGCATCATCACTCGCCCAGTGGACTGCTTTCGGCGGATTTACCTGGCGGGCCGATACCGACGACTATGATGAATATACCGGTGCACCCTATCACCCCGTATTACTCTGCCTCACACATGCCTACATTCTACCCGCCCCCGCCACTTCAATATGTGAAAACCGATGGAGTGCGACATCCTCTGCGCCCGAAGCCGCCTCGAATGGGCGAAATATTCTACACTCGACATGTGCCCAGTGCCGGGAAATATCTATCCTTTCGTGTCGCGTCAGCGTCTCAAAACCCTGTGCCTTACCTGGGCCCTACTAGTCACAGTGGTGCGAAGGAGAACGGTCACCTGAGCAATCTATCTGATACGGAGCTGATCAAGAAGTGGATGTCAAATCCACGTGTTACCAAATTTTGGGGCAATTATCACGACAAATTTCTGTCAGATGGGCTGAACTCGCAGCATTCTTTCCCAGCCATTGGGATGTGGGATGGGGAGCCGTTTGGCTACTTTGAGATATACTGGGCGAAGGAGGACATTCTTGGCAAACATGTCCACGTCGATGATTTTGATAGAGGTATTCATGTCTTTATTGGAGAAGAGTGGGCTAGAGGCAGTGTGCCGCTGTGGTCTTCAGGCCTAGCACATTGGATTTGGCAAGCAGATAATCGGACGATGAACATCTGTCTGGAACCGAGAATTGACAACGAAAGGCAAGCACACTCTAAGAGTATTATTGGAGACTAACTAACGGTGCCATAGGTTTATTGACCATTTGCAGAAGCAAGGTTTTCAAAAGGTACGCCAGATCTCATTTCCGCATAAGCAATCATGGTTGGTACGAATGGCCCGAGATACATGGACGGCCCCGAATCTATAGAATGGATGTCTGAGGAGTTTCAAGAAAAAAAAGGCTCAATGTACGGACTTGTTTTGTGTCAAGCGGGTGGACTGGAAAGGCAAGACGTACCTTGAATTGTAAGCGATCAGATGTCAATTGTGGACCGCATATCGTTATTGGTATGTTAATAAAGACAAGATGGAAGATCATGGGCTAGTAACTTGTGTAAACGAACCAATGACAATTCTAATGACGATGTCAAAACCACCTAGTCCGAGTTACACATATCCACGGCTGCCATGTATAAGAGCCGCTCGGTCAGCGCCTGGACAACCAAAGAATAGCCTGTGATATGTATATCTGCATCAATTGACACGTGATTTTCGAATTGATCGCACTGTTCTTGTGTGTATACCTTGCCTCGCTAATATACTAATCGAGCAAGTGTCTCCATATGTCAGATTAATGCCTCTACGCCGCGAATATAGAAGGCCGTGTGTTGATAGCTAACCATAGAGCTTCAGGAAATGGTATACAATTAAATCATGCTTAAAATAACACATTTAATAAGACAGTGTATAAGAATCAATACTAGATACTTTTGCCATTTTTGTATGATAGATTATACAATTATGAAGTGATAGGTTCTGGTGGAGAGAGAACATGTGTACGAAGGTAAGATTTTTGCTTACTGATTGTAATATATCTTTTAATATTCAAAATGTTGGATAGGAACCCTCATTTATGTATACACTGGGAAACCACATCTACTAGCAGGAGTGAGCGCGGTAAGGGAGTAGTTTCTAAAACGGATCATTTAATACGAGTTGGCAAGCGTGTGCACAACTAGCTAGCTCCCTTGAACTTGTGAAAACCTAAATGTTTTTCTCTTACGGTCAATCCAATACATAGTGATAGTTTGAGGGACCGGATAACTATGAATCCAATCAAGCAAGACTAGCCATACGATAGCAATCAGACGTATGTAGCCAACATTGTCGTGTCCAAATAAGGAAGCTTTGATCAAAATCCCTTCAAACCATAAGTTGACTTCGTGCCAATGGTTGGCAAAGTCTACTCTCTAATTGCATACACACTTCCGCATTTAACCTCGTTATGTTTCTTTCTAAAATGGTTGTATAAATAGTGACCGCTTGTCGTAGACTGATCATTTGTGTCACTGATTCAAGTGTCTGTTATAACTGCAGTCGCTATCGAACCAGGTGGAAATGGTGCATAGAAAGCCTGTTGAGTCAAACATCATTCACCAACGTCATCTATCATCGCAAACGTGCTAACATATCTCGTCCTTAGATCCAATTGAGATGCTATATTACACACAGATTTTCCATTAGCTGGACATGGCTCTTGATGTCTAGTTGTAAACAGGCCATACAAATCGCTAACATGACAGGCGTCATCACTCTTTACACCCATCCATGTCGAGTCCATAACCTCAAGTGGTGGCTCATGTGGTATGTGACATGTAATAATGACTATTCTCAGCTTGACTTGCGTGCTATCACATAGAAAATCAAACATGACCTAACACTGTGATGGCATGTTCGTTATTATGCCTTAAGCCGACATTTGTAGGTAGGTAAGGAATATTTAATTACCGCTTTCGGCCAAGATAACACGTTATTCACACGTTTTGCCAGCGTGTTTGGAAGCAGAACTTCTTTTAAGTCTTATAATACATCCATATTGAGGAATGATTGTTCCCGATTGATCCTCGTGATACCCCCGCCTCCATGTCGATCCTTCTTCGAAGATTTAAGTCACATCAATGCATGCCGAGGCACCGGGCAAGCATTGCGATAGCTATTCTCATAATAAGCTCACATCTATATCTGAGTTTCATCTATCCTTTTGCCCTCGTGTCTATGGGCACACCCAACCCCACTTGAGGCTATAATACGCCAGGATCAGCCTTTGTTGCGATCCCTGTTCATCCCATGGCTATAAAGGCAACGTGGTATATCCTGGCTATTGATGCAAACGTGACAAGGGCAGGGTCAGAAAGCTCAACATACTCCGCAATAGAGTGCCATATATGAAAAAATACGTGTCCGTGTCGAAAACCATCGTGGCTGGGTCCAACAACCATGACTACATCATATCTGTGCGTTCCATGACCAGTAGCAATCAACGAAGTTTTGTTCTTTTGAGTATTACATCTATTCTTCTACATATCAGATTTCTAGGGTCGTGATTGGTAATGTGATCACAGCCTCAGCATTTTCTTCCAGGCAAATGGTAATTAGGGATCGTGCTCGCCCAATTATTGCGCACATACTTGAATAACATGTCATGTGAAGAAGGGCGTGCACGCGTTTCGTACCCCTCTCCGCACAGACGTCGAGCATCTCCGACGACAGAGTTCGTTGTGATCACCATTCGAGGCGGTGCTGCGCCAGCTTCATCCGATGGAGAGCAACAGGACCGTGCTCGTCAATTGCCGGTCATGTGGCCTCGACTTCATAAGCAGGCCGTCTATAATCGGCATGTCTGATGTATTGCATAACCAAACCGGACGAAAAGAGGTTACTTGTCGACGGACATTTTTCATCCCAGAATATTGCCGAGGACAACCGTATAAAGACCTGGTAACCTGTTGTCACTTTCATGAAACGGTTGACAGGGAAAGTATGCTGGTGTGATGTCAAAAAATCAATATGACGAGTTGTCTCGTCACAATCATGCCTCTCTGCGGCGCTCGACAGAAATAATTCAGTTCAAAGTTCAAAGTCTCTGACGCAAAATGCAAGGGCATGGCGTACGGTAAGTGCGAAAAGCGTGCACAACACGCCGTCACAGTCGCCTGCGAGTGACGCTTGCCCGCGGCAATACAACATACAGACAGACTATTAGCTTGTTTCCTCAACACGCACGACTACCGTTCTTTCGATAGAGTTCTTATGCTTATCAAGGTCTGCATGTCAACATGGTTGATTGACAAAGGGACATCGCTTCTCGGGTATTTACAAGCCAAACGCGGCGGCGACGGCTATTCTTTTTTCTTTCGTTTTTCCCGCGTCAATTAGGAGTTCAGAATATGTGAGAACACGATCGACCTTGTGATACCTGGAGGACTGTTTCACCGTCCAAATTAGCAGCACAGAGAACCGGGGTGCAAGCACGTGTCGTTTGATGTAGGTTTTGAAACACCAGCCGTCTTGCGTCAATGGTAGGCTCGAGGAAACATCAACCATGAACCTTGGCCAGAGAAGCAATCAGTAGCTTCAACTGCTTTCGTCGTTTTGGATCATGTTTTGCCGCTATATTCCTTCTGCCGCTACAAATTGAGTGAGAAATGTAAATCAGGCTAGTATGGCGCCATGATTGCTTGTTATCGAAAAGGTGTCATCGTCAAGTGATGTATTGATCAAAGACGACAAGCGTGCAAAATAACGCTACTTGGGCGCACTTGATTGCTACCGCATGTCTTATAAGGTAATAGCCGAGAAGAATACGCTCCCGTTCTTGTCGGTTAGTCTAGTTAGAAGTTTAGCTCGCACAAAGCTTCAAATCCCGGGATAAAGTTCAACGTCGGCCTATACTAAGCAGAACTATATACACTGCTCGTATTCGAACACCTAGATTCCCAGACACTCATACAACTCATTCCAGGTAGGAAAAATCTTCAATAATCTCTTTGGAGAATTATTAGTCCCCACTGAGACTATCCAAGAAATGAGAACCATGCTTTAACTTAGAAACCATAGCATGTTATGTTGCCTACCTAGCCCTAGATCCATTATAGCTGATTATAGTGACTAATAGCAGTACGTAATGCTTAAAGTAAACTAACCTAGCCGATAAAGTAAATGAAAACACAGCTGATGCAGCGGTCGCTTGCGACGTCGCACTAGAGCAAAGAAGCTTCGTTTCTCTCAATAGCGTGCTCATTTTCACGTGAAGTCTTCTCGAAGGGGGGTCGAGAGTAAGCTGGCGTTGATAGGTAGATGAAGACGAACACTGCATCCTATCGTCTGCTGTGCTCTGTAAAATGTCGTTTTGAATATCCATAGTGAATTCGTCTAGCAACCCGTGTTAGGCAGCTGAGCGAGCTCACCTCTTAAGTTACCACATTTCCTAAAAGGAACTGCGGGGTGACTGCGCTGGTAGCATCATGAAGCTCGCGACTAGACTAGTTGAGCATTGTGTGGCCCTCATAGTCTGAAATTGATTTGTAGGGCAAATGAGTGAATAAAGAAAGTTCTTGACCGAAGGCCGAATTGGACCCTCTGCTGACCGTCATCTCTCATCGCTTGAAGGCGAGATGTAGACTGTCAACCACGTGCTGTCGCCCGTTGGCCGGCACGTCGATTGCAATCTTGTGTTGACCTCGCGTGCGCTGCTTTGAGGCGGGGCTACCGGCGGGAGATTAGCGAGCCCAGGATTAGTGCACCAATAATGATGATCACCTTCGGCATGCGTTGCTGTCATCACTTCGTGCAAAAATCTTCGTCCGGAATGATGCACTCTGATCAGGTACGAGTTCCAACGATGGTTACATCGCATAGCTGATATCGCGGCATCACTTCCCTAATAGGGATAGGCAAACTGCTGCGAGAGTCGTATTAGCACGTTGAGCAGGTTTTCTTGGAAGGAGGAACTCTTGGACATGACATCGTGATGTGGCAGGCGAGCATGTGCGATGGGCATACAAAAAGGAGAGACTCCCATGAATTGAGCTTTGCAGTGATAGGCATCCCAGCATTGGCTAGATCGACGACGACATGAAGCACATTGCCAGCATCACGACCGCAGCGGCCCTGCTAGGAGAGGTCTTAGCAGCGACCAGTGGCAAGTTGAACGTCCTGTCAATGAACGTCGCTGGGCTACCCGAATTTCTGCAAGACAACGAGGTTCCCGGAGACAAGACAACCAACTCCGGGACTATTGGCTCAAAGTTCGCAGAGTACGGATATGACATTATTCATGTTCAGGAGGACTTCAACTACCACGCCTACATTTATGACACGGACACTCATGAATACCGTACGGCTACATCGGGTGGAGTGCCTTTTGGCTCCGGCCTGAACACCCTTGCAAACTACGACTGGGTGGACTTCACCCGCATTAAGTGGGCAACCTGCTCCGACGCCTCCAGCAACGACTGCTTGACACCTAAAGGTTTCACCTTCATGAGGGTGCAAATCGATGACGGCGTTTTCGTCGATGCCTATAACCTGCACACCGATGCAGGTACTGAAGATGGCGATGAGACGGCTCGTAATGCCAACTTGGAACAGGTCGCCAGCTATATCGACACCTGGAGCATCGGCAATGCTGTTCTCGTCTTTGGCGACACAAACAGTCGGTACACTCGTACCGCTGACAACATTACCGTCTTCAGCAAGCAAAATGGCTTGACGGACGCTTGGGTGAAGCTGATCAAGAACGGAGTCCCACCAACGACTGAGATTCTTTGTGATAACCCCAGTTTGGTCAACACTTGCGAAACAGTTGACAAAGTATTTTACCGTGGAAGTTCTGTCGTTTCTCTCGATGCTACTTTATTCAACTATGAAAGTAGCAAGTTCTTGCAAGCCAATGGTAGCATTCTTTCAGATCATAATCCAATCACTGCGAGCTTCAGTTGGACTTCGAGCTCCTCCCTGCGCCAATCCAACTTCTGGGGAGGTAATTACGGTGCCTGGTTCAGCGACGTGCCAAAGCTTGCGAGCAAGACCAAGCCCAAGGCTGCGGTGTTGACTTTCCGGGGCGCCAGCCGCCTCGATAGCGTGGGCCTAACCCTGACGGACGGCACTGTCTTCACGCATGGCGGAACAGGCGGCACTGCAGCTACACTCACGCTGGGCAGCAGCGAGTATTGGACAAGCGCACAGTTATGCCAGGGCCAGAAAAGCAACGAGACGCGCAATTTTTACATCAAAGCCACGACCAGTACTGGACATACTTTGTCAGCCGGAACTTCGACCGCGGATTGCACGACATTCACAGCGCCAAGTGGGTGGCAGATCGTGGGGTTTGTTGGCCAGGACGGTGATGAAATAGACCAGCTTGCTTTTGTGTTTGCACCTCAATAGTAGTAGTCATAAGCTGCCCTCGTGTTGCTTCTGAGCGGATAGGTAGTTCCAAGATAAAAAAAAAATGTTCCTAGATGCTCGAGCGATTTTCGTGTTCGGGGTGTGATTGCCGAACTCCCCACGAATGACACGATCTAGACTCACCTAAGCATTGTAGTGAGCTCCATAACACGAGGATCCCACGGTCTTGACGCTGCTATAATGCATAAAGATCAAGCCACCCAAATGTGCGGTCATAATTCCGATTGCTAGAGCAATCGATCATGATAATCTAAGCTAGGTAAAGGTTCAATGGGGTGTTACATGGTAGGTAATATAGACACACGTCGGCAATTGTTGGCGGAACCAAAAAAAAATGGCCGTGCTCGCGAAGCTTTGGCTTTGTAAGTTGCAGTAGCGAACATAACGAGGTCTAGGTTAGTAGACTAATGCAGGACGCGGCACGGCCAGCCGCCGGTGTGTCTTATATGTGCCCCGAGCGGGACTTCTAGTATAGTCTAATGCAGCTCTTATACTTCCGCTATTCCTAGATTCGTATTGCTATGTGTAACAGGTGCCAGAGTTTGCGAGAGGCGTAGCCGGAAGTTTGTCCGACCCGACGTTTGGAAAATTCTTATGAACATGTTACGGGCTTCTTCGGCAGAAGATCACGCAGCAAGTAAAATCTCGATCATGTTCAGGAAAAATTGGTTGACGTGAAAGTAGAGTTGGTAGCAACGCAAGCCTGCTGTTAATGCCTGGATGCCAAATAGACTCAGTAAGCTCCAACTCTCCACCCAGGCGTCGGTCCATCTGCGAGGTTCGTAGTTGTTTGCTGAGATCTTAGGGGTCCTGGTCAAAGCTCCCTTCATGATGATATCAACGCTCATGGTATTGAAAATAAACACTCCATTGGGTTTCGGCACTATTGTAACCTTATCTTTGCGCAGACATTAGTGAGTATGTAAAAGCCTTTGGAAACATGATTTGTAGCGAATATTTCAATTTGCTGAAAGTTCGCACGGCTTCGCAGTGTCTTTAAGACTGTTGGTGAGGTCCCAATGGTAAACCGAGTCCCCACTCTGCTACTTTTGGTTGAAAAGGGTGAAGGTATTACGCTCGGGGGTTCTTTAACGCTTCAAACAGCGTTTGGAAAAGTTTAGGTAAAATGTCTCAACCGTCTATGGCGTTTGCAGAGTCTAATGCAATATTTGCCCCTTATTCAACTTGGGCTATTTATGTCACCACCCCAGCCTAATAGCACATCTTTTGTTGTGCCTCTATTTAGGCGCCACTTTTCTTTCTTTCTCTTTTCTTTCTCGATTTACCACAATTGACGTGAAACCCTTGTTCATTGAACGCGGGCCAGTTGAGTTGGTCCCGGTACTTTGGACAGTTCAACTGGTACTAATAGTGGCACAAGTGGCTTCAATTTGACAGCGGAGAGCACTCCTATAGACGCGGCTTCTAGCTTTTTATGTGGATGTTAAGCACGCGAGTGAACCGATTTTCAGGTGTGGGTTTAGAGACACTCACAGCGATTACCTTAGGCATGAACCTCCACGGCTATCAATTTAGTCCACAGTATGGCTTGTCGGTTATGGGGTTGGCCGTCCAATCGTTGTCGATTTGGTAAGCAGCCCACTCTGCCACTTACTTGGAGCCATTGAAAATATATCCAACTCGCACGAATGCGATATTTGATCTTGCTTATACGAGGCATGTTCGTAGCCTAGTTCGTATCAACCGATTCTGGCGAGATTTGAGCGGATCAAATCACAGTCTCCCTGAATAAAATCTTGAAGCGAGATCACGCTGTAACAGATTGAACAAAGTCAACGATTGGACCCGCAATGTACTGATGTACCTACCTAGCTTTGTCGGCAACCAGACCGTCGGGTCGTATTCGAAGTTCGTACGGAACCGTACGCTGCGACTAAAAATTTGCAACGGGACCTGCGTAAGTGCAAGGAACAACGCCACGTAGTTAGCTGCTGAGCAACGACAACCCAAGTCTGTCAAATGACGCTGCCACACATTTTTGGCATGAAAACCTGCCATTAGGTGGACAAAATTTGATTGCTCGGGATATCGCGCAATGTTTGCCTCGTTATCGCATCTCCAACTGCAGCCTTGTTGAGATACATCGTAATCATTTGGCTAATGTTAGGGCCAAGGTCATTCCGATCCGAAGACTGACATCTCTCTTCCGCACTCATCAATGCGCCTGGTCCTGGTATGAGAAGAGTCTGGTCTCGTCACATGTGACAGTGATGCACGTCTAGGGGTCACATTTTGGCAGAAAGGCTGTGGCACAACCTTCTGAACAGCAATCAGTCATCGTCACTCGAAAATGCCAGGAGGGAATCTACGAAGCTTCAAGAATCCCAAAATATTTGTTGAGAATTGATACCATCTCATCTAAGGATGGCCTGAATGGTGCCATCTGCTTTTTTTGCTAAGTATTCGATCACATGTTGGTCTGGTTGCGATTTCGGCGCGATACATTGGACGAAGATCGATTGGGCAATTACGCAGCCGTTCGCAATTACAGCAATACCCCACAGAAGCATGGCCTTTCGTTTGCACGTCTGACTAGACTAGTGTACACCCGCTGCCAAGGTGATGTATGTTATTGAGGATTTCTCAGGTATACCTGACCTTATTTGTGATAGGATCGACATCGTGTCAATGGGACCGCTGAGCAGTATTGAATTCACTGATGCCTCGACATGACGCCATTTCCCGTGAACATACTGGAATTCCGAACGGAAAGGACACGAGCCGACCACGTGCCGCCTCATAGCGTTAGCGCTAGATTCTTCCGAAATATAGTGGTATGCCAGAGTATACAACAGGTGTGTATACACGGCTTTGAAGACCAGGAGCGGCTGTATCCTTGTAATTCGAACATCATTGCCAATATTCACCGCTGTGGCCACCGTGGATTATCGTCGTCTGCATGATGCAGGTGCGCCCCGCAACGAACCTGGAGAAGAGCTCAACTACTACTACCACCTAGATACAGTAGGCCGCAAATACTGTGGTAGAGTAAACGACCTGCGAAGATCCCTTTTGGATATTCTCAGCTCCGCGCGATGCAATAGCTGCTGTTGAATATGTGGCATTACGTTGGTGCTCGCGTCTTCTTCTAGGCTGTGCACCCACACGCAGATATGGAATTTCAATCATCACGAGGAAAAGTGACGAGAGATTGTGCATCAAGCATCGAGAGGGCTTGTCAATTATTATGTGACTAAACGTGCAGCTCCATTGACAATTTCACCAGTTCCGCACGTGAACCATTTAAGGTCAGACTTGGCGACCCTTGTTCCCGTTGAAGCCCAAAAGCTCTGCTGAGTGATAAGGAATTTGGACGGGAATCTCTTCTCAGATGCAAAGGTACCGTGCGCTGTGGCTTGCTAAGAACCGCTGCCAGTCTGTCTCGGAAGGTCTGCCGACGTGACATCGGCCAAGAGAATGTACCAGCTCTGAAAGCCTTCAATCCTACCCAAATTTTTTGCCAAACTGAGTACCGTGGTTCAATTGGGCTGTTAACGACATGGATGAGCGTTTATTTACTTGTTAAAGAGGTAGCCAGACTATGGCGCGGCATCGAATGGGCTTCAAAAGTAGGGCGGAAAAATCGGGTTGGTATTCCATGAAGAGTGCCCCTGCATGGCAATGAAAAAGGCATATTGCCGGCGGCAAAACAACGATGCGAATTATATCCATTCCGTCTTCAACTGGTCGCCCAATATTTCCGTTTCTCTGTCGTGTCACCATAATTATCAGTCTAATCGTCGAATATCGCGCTTAAGTACTGTAGGTCGATTAAGTTTGCAGGCAATATTGACCCAGGATCTTCAACGGGGGTCTGTTAATTTGTGCTCCGACCAGTCCTGGTTGTGACTGGTAGTGTAGATCAAAACGCGAAGATCCTCGAGGCCCAAAGGTTGGTGGACCAAGTGGTGACTTGGAACGATGATATAATTGCATGACTGTTGCAAACCTATCAGTGGCGATAACGACTACAAGCGAGATGCAACGAGAATGCACTGTTCGTGCGATGTGCGGCCTCAAGGGATCTTCGTTGGCCCAAGTCGCTGCCCAGACTATGAGCTGTGCCTCCAACGACGGAGGACTGGGCTTGTGCAGAAGACCAAATACAGAAATAGCTTCAAGACAAACCCAGAGCTTATAGTGCTGCCACCACAAGGTATTCAGACCCAAACCCCCCACCCCCCACGAGTTCCATTGTTTAATGGGATGGTGTAGTTGTTTAGTCTACTGAGCGATGCTTCAAGATTGACTCAGACCTAGCAGGATCCTCAGCTGCCTTGGTAAAATATGACGTCGTGAACAAAGCTTTCCTTTCCTTAGGCAAGTTGTCGCCCTTGAAACGAATCCTCATCGTCGTAGGGTAGCAGTCCGGTCGGACTGCAGTGCTACACAGATTCGAAGCATTCAGAGCTTGAGCTCGAACATCAGGTCGGCGATCAAGCAATTGGTCTCCAGCAAGTGTGGGGGAACTCACACGAACCGAGATGGCCCTGGCTCTACTGTACTGGCCACAGCACTATTACAGTACTTGTAAAAGTAGAAACATTCGAGGCTAGGTAAGATAAGTCGAGCCGGAGACCTGCTAGGGAATCATAAGTCCTCCACTAACCAAAGTCAAAATTCAGATGGCTTGAACCACATGCAGGCATATCATTTCCACGTCGGGTTTGCCTGCTTCATGCAGAAAATACATTTTTACCAATCTGTCGCATGTGCCTGGTCAACAATGTGCGCAATGCTATGTATGCATACATGCATGCAGACGGGTATGCTATCACAATTCGCTCCCCTGTTGCAGTTCGCTGGTTTTTCCCGTCCCATGCGCCAACGATCTGTGAATGGACGGAGGCTGCTCCCGGTCAAGGCTCGATACTCCACCCCTGATTGAAACCCCCTGCATCTGGGCAGGCCTACAAACTTACGGAACCACTGTCCCAACACACCCGAAAGCTCTCAAGGCTGCGATTGATCCCCAGCCTACTGTAAGTTCCAGGGTCCCTGGAGGTCTGCTCTCCAAAGCTATTTTAATGGGGGTGTGAGGTTAATATGGACCTCGAACTCATGGGACTGTTCGGTCGGTCCAACCCATAACGGGTCATTGAGTGCCGCGTTGTGACGCCTGAACCATTCTGCAAGTGGCTTGACGTTTTTGCTTCAATCAATGGTCACGTCGTAAAGCCAACAGGGAACACTGAAGTTTACAGGGAGCTCACAGGGATGCGACGCCCGCTTGTATCCTCATTCGCTCCCTGCATCGCTCCTCCCCCACGACATCCAGACCTCTGAGTTGAGAAGGAGTGCCTTTTCCCATCTTCTCGCGCGGGCCGGCGTATCGTTAACCATGACTGTAATCGAATAATTGATTGCGGTTGCGCACTCCATTGCCCGTTTATGTTTTTCTGGTTCCCCTTCTTGAAATTCTGCGGATATACAACCACTCACTACTGTTTGTTTGTACATTCCCTTCAGACAGATCTCGGATCAGCGAAAGCGCCCGAAACACCTCTCTAGCTTGCCTACATACGATTTGTGAGAGGTCACACATCGCAGGACCTGGAGAGTGTTAGAGAATAGAGTCCGTGGACGTGGCAGTAGTACGGTACTTGAGATATTTACTCGCGTCTCTCCTGTACTTGTAGAGAGACTATCTTTGACATCCCCACTGTTCAACCGTCAGCCGACGACCGTCCACAGTATCCATTCTTTTATCGAGATCCATACGACGGAGTCGCATCGCAACCTTCGGCAGTCGAGTCTCACACACAGACATACACACCATTAACGTGGGATCATACAAAACGAACAGACTGGCGGGACTGCGTCTTCCATCTCAGGCCAACATCAACGCCACCGTCATTGCTCCCGTCCTCTCCTAGTTTGTGGTAGCTTCAGGCTAGGAGCGCGGTTCGTCTGTTCTGCAGAAAAACGGTCTGCAACTCGCATTTGTTTTTCTCTCTCTCTCTCTCTCCAAAAATCAGCTGCTTCTACGGTACCTGGGCCCATTCCTTCGGATTTCAAAAGGGGTACCGCCTTTGAGTGAAATCCCTGGAAGATATTAAGGTACGCATCACCCTGCGTCGTCCGTTTATTGTGTGGTACAGTAGCACGGAACAATACGCTGGCCCCATCCATCCCTCGCCTGGTCTTGTCTGGTCTGGTTTGGTCTAGCATTGCATCGGTCTGGGTTCACGCTTATGGGTCTCGTCATAGGACTGAAGCTCAAAACTTCTGCGTCAAGGGCATTCCCTGGCAATCCTGCAAGTGCGTCAAGTACCTGGTCAAAGTGCAAGTCCAGCGATCCTGGACATTCCAAATTGGACCCCTCCACAGATCCCAGTCCCAAGTCCCTCTAGCACTACCTACGCGGTAACCCGTACCATACTTTCGTCACGGCTCTCCAGTCTCCCTTCATTCCATCAAATCTACGACTATTGATTCACCTTTGCCAAAATCAACAAAACAAGTTTACGCTTGTACGAACACAACTAATACTTCTAGTTGCAGGAGGCTCTATAGTTGGGCTTCACCTTTCCCACATACCCAACCAAACCAAGCTTCTCTGCCATTGTAGATATTTGCAGGACCCGCGCTGGGAAGGTCGTCTTTGACAGTCGACCTCGAAAACGATCCATTGTGGAAACATAGACGGCGTCTGAGCTTACTGCGCAGCGCAGGGATATCACAATTATTGCGCTTCGACGACATCGATTCTCTCCCATGGTTTTCAACCACCAGGTTCCGCAGCATTCATAATGCTTGACGACCAATCTATGCGATCGAGCCTCCAGGTTGCGCCGCTCGCCATTCATAAAAATAGATCTGAGTCTATCAACGAAGCACAAGATGGATGCCAGGGCGCCGATATGTGCGCCGATTCGCACATAACACCTCCAAGAACACCGAGTGGCTCAGAAGAGGACGTGAATGCCCACAGCGAAGCGCCTGTGCCGCCGCCAGTTTTCCACAATTTCTTAAGGGCCTTCTATCCTTTTCATCCAAGCTATACAACAACAGATTCGACGGTCACTCTGCCACTCAATGAAGGAGATGTTGTTCTAGTACATTCGATACACACGAATGGATGGGCCGACGGCACTCTTCTTGTTTCTGGTGCCCGAGGCTGGCTGCCAACAAATTACTGCGAAGCGTACGATCCGGAGGAGATGCGAAACTTACTCAATGCACTTTTAAACTTTTGGGACTTGTTACGCAGCACTGCGACTAATGAGCGAGATATCTTCGGGAATCAAGAGTTCATGAAGGGTATCATTGCAGGTGTTCGGTATCTTTTGGTAGCGTCACTCCGTTCTCAGGTCGTACTTTCGGTATTTAGTACAGCTAACCTCTTTGCCAGGAATACACAAACTGTCTGACTCGGGAATCGCCGATTATCCAACGTAACGATTCCTTGCGGAGAGGACGCAAATCACTGCTGTCAGAGCTGTCGTCGCTAGTGAAAACAGCCAAGCGGTTACAAGAAGTCTTAAAGTCTGCTCAACTGCTCAGTGAGCATGTCAACGACATCATTGATGAGATGATTCTAAGGGCTTTCAAGATCATTGTCAAAGGTGTACGCTTCCTTGATTTACTCGAGGAGGATAGGCGACAACGCGCACCTGCCGCTGTGACGGTGATGGCGACTGTTGTAGAAGAGTCCTATATTCCGCCAACACCTCCAGCTGAGTCGGCTATCGCGTCTGATCAGAACCAGGATGTCGACCGGGATGCCGGCACCCGAGGAGTTGAGGAGGGAACTGCTGCCGAATTGGCGGAGACGCAGCTAACCGACGGTGCACAAGAAAACGCACCATCCAACAAGCGCTTGTCCTCCGTTTACTCGCCAACAAACACGACAGGTCATCGGCTGTCACAGACCAATTACAATCGAGGGAGTCGATTGTCGGCCAGTATATCACATCGAGTGTCTCTAGCCGGCCCATCATCGCTGTCTCAACCTCAAAACTTGGTTTCAGCACGGTTGAGTTCAAGTCATGACACTCTCTTGTCCTACCTCGGATCTTTCATCGGACGGTTACAACTACAGTCTCAGTCCCGTTCAGAATTAGCCTTGGCAATCAAACAGTCTGCAACCCTGGGTGGAGATCTCCTTGCCGTTGTCGACACCGTCTGTCGGCACAATCCCTTTGGCTCCGAATCTTTGGATCAAGCTAGAGCTGCCATGTACGACCGCATCCGAGACCTGGTGTACTCTGCACGGGGAATTTTAAGCAGTACTGAACTTGAGGCAGAAGATTTGATCATGCTTCAGGATAACGGACAGCTTCTTTCGGCTGCCATGGGTTGTGTGCAAGCGGCTGGCAGCTGTGTGGAGAAAACCAGATGGGTCATTGAGAGGATTGGCGACTTCGAATTTGAGACGGAAAAACAAGGCCTGGGGATTGACTTGGGAGTTTTTGAGAAAGCTGCGGCAAGCCGGCCGAGTACGCCTGCGACAGCGAGCGTCGCTAGTTCAAAGGCCTCGGATTCTTCTCCTACCCGAACCCGGCATCTGCATATGTCCATGGACAAACCTCTACCTGCGGTTCCTGCGGGGTCTGAATCTGCAGAACGAAGCGAATCTGGAATTAATACTGATCCAACATCACAACCACCATCTTTTGCCACGGATGACGCGGCTTCTAGCGTTCCTTCGTCTATTGGGTCACTGCGTACTGCTTTGCCGCCGCTACCCAGACTTACTACCACACTTCTTCGGGAAGACTCTTATAGTCCTACAACCGAGACGTCTCATGACAGTGAATACCATGGCTCTTTTCGCTCAGAAGCTTCGACTGCGTCCAGCACGGGCACCAACAGCACATACCTCAGCAGAGATTCCGAGGTCAGTCTCATCTCCCAGACATCGACTAGGGCAACCACCCCAGACTCCGCGGGCGTTCCGAGGAATCAACCATCAGTGTCAGATCTCAGTGTCGCTGGAAGCTTCAGTACACCTGAAGAAGTTGATGATGTGGAGTCGAAATTACTGGAAAAAACATACGCCCATGAGCTTATGTTCAACAAGGAGGGCCAGGTCACTGGGGGCTCTCTCCCTGCTCTTGTTGAGCGTTTGACTACCCATGAGTCTACGCCTGATGCAATGTTTGTATCTGCATTCTATTTGACCTTCAGGCTATTCTGCACGCCTAAAATGCTCGCAGAAGCATTAATTGATCGTTTCGATTATGTGGGTGAGGCGCCCCACGTTGCAAACCCTGTGCGTCTCAGGGTTTACAACGTGATGAAGGGTTGGCTCGAGTCGCATTGGCGCGAGTCGACCGACCATGAGGCCCTTTCAGTCATTCGTCGCTTCGCCGAGTCCAAGCTTAGCTCCTTGCTTCCGTCCGCAGGAAAGCGATTGCTAGCGCTCACCGAAAAGGTTTCTGCCATTGAAGGCTCTTTGGTACCGAGGCTTGTGTCTTCTATGGGCAAGACAAGCACATCCACTGCTCAATATGTTCCTGCAGACACGCCACTTCCAAATCCTATTTTGTCCAAGAATCAGCAACACTTGCTTCAAACTTGGAAAACTGGTGGTAGCCTACCATCCGTCCTTGATTTCGAGCCTCTAGAGGTCGCCCGCCAATTGACAATGAAGCAAATGAACATTTTCTGTTGTATTTTACCCGAGGAGCTACTTGGTTCACAATGGATGAAGAAAGGTGGCGTGGAATCACCCAATGTCAAGGCCATGTCGGGACTTTCAACCGATCTTTCAAACTTGGTTGCCGACACTATTCTTCAATATCCTGATGTCAAGAAGCGGGCAGCCGTCATCAAACAGTGGGTCAAGATCGCGCATCAGTGTTTGCAGCTCAATAATTATGATGGATTGATGGCCATCATATGCAGTCTCAACAGTTCCATCATTAGCCGACTTCGGAAGACCTGGGAATTTGTGAGCCCGAAGAGACGAGAAATGCTGAAGACACTGCAAGCGATTGTTGAACCATCCAACAATAACAAGGTTCTGCGCGCTCGACTACAGGGTCATGTCCCGCCATGCCTGCCGTTCCTGGGCATGTTCTTGACCGATCTGACTTTTGTCGATATTGGCAATCCTGCGACTAAGCAATTGCCGGGGTCAGGCTCGGAAGATCAGGGCTTGACCGTCGTAAATTTTGACAAGCATACGCGCACAGCAAAAATAATTGGGGAGCTGCAACGCTTTCAAATTCCCTTCAGACTTACTGAAATTTCAGATCTCCAAGACTGGTTGCAGGCTCAAATTGTTCGTGTAAAGGAGGCAGATTCAGGCAATGTGCAAGTCAGCTACTACCGTAAAAGCCTGCTACTGGAACCACGCGAAACTGTCGCCCGCACTCCCGTGGAAGGCCCTACAGCGACTCCAAATCCTGGGCAAAAAACCGACCTCTTCTCTTGGATGTCACGAGATCGAGGAAACCACAGCAATGCGACTTTAGCAGTCTGATCACTGAACATGTGCTGTATACAACACAGACCACAACAACCACCTTTTGCCCGCCACTCCTCACCTTCTACACTTCCATGTACAACAACCAGTGCTGGACTTATGACCATTTTGCATTATTTATTGATACCCCATCGTTCTTATTTTATTCTTGTTATGAGCATATTAGGGTTAACACTAGTTAGCCTCATCTTTTCCATCCTCTTTCAAGGGATTTACAGCGGGCGGGCAGAGCACAGCAGAAGATTCAAATCAGCTCCTCATTTGGAGGTTTTTTATTGACATGGGAAAATCGTTGTTGGGTTAGGGTTTAAAGCCGTGGCTCAACATGCCATGAGGAGTTGGTCGGGGAATGATTTGAGGCAATGGCACGGGAACGGCGCATTCAAGGCATTGGGATACCACAACGTTTCGTTACATCTTGGTATTGATATTTGGCTCATGACGCCCCGGGACTGTCTGTCGTATAATTGGGATATGATGGAGCAGCTGGTTGGTTTGGTGAGGGAGGCATGAAGGACAACAGTAGGCATGCTTGCCTTCTGGAGTGGAGTGGAAGACCAGCAGGAGAGGTGTCTAGCTGTCCCAACGGACCCGGCCTTGAATTGAAATGTACAAATTGGCCCCTTTCATACAAAATTGGATGCGCATCCAACCCAATCTCAAATGGTTTTTGCAGCAATGTTTTTATGACGACTTGCTGTGGTGCCAGGACATATGCGGCTGCGAGAACTTGATTTCTAGTTTGGCAATATTTTACCAATTCATTTCACCTGTTCCGATTCTCTTCCAGTGGTAGAACGCTACCCCCGAAAGCTTCTTTAGGCTGAGTGGGGTAGAATCCTTTAATTGCTGCAATGTGACCTTGATGCATGAGGTGGCACCGTTGAAGATACAGTGCATACCGACAACCGACCTTGGGACTTGACTGAAGCAGTGAAGAGTGTCAAATTTTCAGAATGAAGAGCAGAGTGCCAGAAACTCGAGAACTTGCAACTCCGAGCGATGACAACATGGCGTGAAGCCGTTGACTTTGGCTCCTTGATAGTGTCGTTTTAGTTGAGTGCTATCTTCCCAACTGCCAACTTCAACCCCCCCCCCCCCCCCCCCACTGCTGGAGAAGAGTTCTACGGTCTACGCCGCCGCTTGAACCCTGAAAACCCAAGCTTCAACCACACCACATGTAATAATGGAGGTACAGACAGCATTCTATTAGCTTCAATATCTAACTTGGTGATTGCCTAAATTAAAGGACTTGGTAGGGTGTTTGATACACTGGAGTCTATATGCTTCAGGACGTACATAGTAGCTGTCAATGTTCAATACTCATGGCTTTCTCCAAGTTTGTTTCCACCAGTCGACTTTATTACGTTACATTCTGGCTGGGTACGTACCAGACAGCTTTTTTTTGTTTTGTTACGTTACGTTACAATGCTAGCTGGGGAAGTCAGGGAAGATGGCTCTACTTGTACTGAGCACTAGCGACCAGTCGAGGCCGCTGTATCCCATGTCCAAAGAGACCCGGGCGCCTTCCTGAAAGGGGCTTGACACTTACCCCAGCTTTCGTGGGCGAGCCAATTGTAGCCCCTGCAGCAGACTGATCTCGTGCGATACCAGGAGCCGAAAGTACGAATCAGAACATGGCCTACGGACCGACTGCAAATTTCCCCTATCGACACACAGGCGGCCTGTCATCCTTGGTGTAATGCTTTTGCTTTGCATTGCTTACATTCCTTCTTTCTTTTCTTCTTCTTTGTCAAATCATGGCTGCACACGTACACTTGGGCGAGGGTTGAAAATGTACTCTTAAGCAGTGAACTTGTTGCTGTGTATTCGCATTGGGGCGTCGGCCTGATGCGTGGTAGAACTGACATTGTGTTTGCATAGTACCCAATGACATATTCAGGATGCTCGTATATCGATTCGCTAAAAGCAAAACCGTGTTCCGCGTCGACCTAAGTTAGCTACATGCTTAAAATCGGCCGCCACGGTGCATCCCGTATCTTTGGGAAGTCGTCGATCGGGCTCATCTGTCAGACGAATGTAGCTCCAGTAGTGCTCACTTGTAACATTCCCCGACAAGCTTCTACGTGCCGGTCTAGGTAAGGTTAATCTAGTGCTACTTTGATAGCGAGTATCAGCACTGTACAAGGTGAGGGGTGATGGGTGATTGCACTCGGACTTGATACAAAATAGACGGCACCACCTCGATTCGAAGGAATCAGTGTTACGTTGTGTGTTGTTGGAGTTCCTTGCATTTCACCCACATGATTGCCTCGTACAACGTTCATTGATATGTCCCGCCGACCATCCCACCCTGATCATTGATAGCATCCTGCCTCGGACTGCTGCGGTATCATACCCATACCATACCCTCCGACGTGCCAGCTGCGGCCCGCAGGTTGAAGTGGACTCGAGATAACCACAGCACCCTTGTCCATGCCTTGGAGAGATTCCTATCTCTGAATTACAGGCCTCGGCCGGCTATTGGATGATCTGATTAGACGGTCTCCAGCACTCCCTCCGTACTCGTACCAAACAAGCTCCACCCGACGGCGAATCCCTGATCGACAATTCATGGTTCATTCTTAATCGTTGGGAATTCTTAATCAACTTTGTTTCCTGCTAACTTACCGCGTCTCTTGTTTTACATGTAAATTTAGCAGCTACTTCTCGGTGGCCATCCGCATTTGACGCTGCCCAGCAATTTGGGACGCGACCAGCAGCAGACAGTTCGAGCCTACCGGCAACACCTTTCCTGGACTAATGTAAGTTGTACCAGTACCTGTACCCTAATCGCCCATTGTACCGTACCCCATACAATTATGGTTACAGGCGCCTGCAATAGCTTCAGAGTACCTGTGCTGGGACTGCCTCGGCCTGCTGCTCGCTTGTCAAGTAAAATAAAACAAAACAAAGAAAGCTCGCTAACGAAGTACGCTTGTCGCAGCAAATCCAACCACGCATTTATCTGTAGAGTGTTCGCATCCTTGCTGGACTATTTGGATCCCCAATTGAGGCACAGCCAGCTCCGCCTGCAACACATCAGATCATGGCTGATATCAAAGCGGATCCTGCCGCCATCACCGCGGCGCCGGCACATGCTACCACCGACAGTGCCGCAACTGCCACCGTTGACCCCATCCCGCGTCCGTCAGGATGGATGTACAAGGGATTCAGGATTGGCAAGAAGGAGTTTTGGTATGCATCGCCCAAGGTCCAGCTCTTCATGGTCGCCATGGTGTGCTTCCTCTGTCCCGGAATGTACAATGCGCTTGGCGGTTTGGGCGGCTCCGGGCTGAGCGACACCACGGCGCAAACCAACGCCTCAACAGCCCTGTATTCTGTCTTCGCCGTTGTCGGTTTCTTTTCCGGCACATTCGCCAACAAACTCGGTCTTAGGCTGACGCTGGCGCTGGGTGGTCTGGGATACTCCGTCTACGCTGCCAGTATCCTTTGCTTTAAGCACACCCAGAACATGGGGTTCGTCATCTTCGCCGGAAGCTTTCTCGGTCTTTGTGCCGGTCTGTTGTGGTGTGGTCAAGGCGCAATCATGATGGCCTACCCACCTGAGCGCTCCAAGGGCCGTTACATTTCATGGTTCTGGATCATCTTCAATCTTGGCGCTGTCATTGGCGCCTTGATCCCGCTCGGTCAGAACATCAACAACACAGGCGGTGATGCCACCGACGGCACCTTCGTTGGCTTCATTGTGCTCATGGTCATTGGTGCCATCCTTGCCCTCTTCCTTTGCAACGCCGACAAGGTGCAACGTGAAGACGGCTCCCACGTTATCCTGATGAAGAGCCCTTCCTGGCGCTCCGAGTTCATCGGCTTATTCGAGACCATCACCACGGATCCTATGATCGTTCTTCTGTTCCCCATGTTCTTTGCTTCCAACATCTTCTATACGTATCAGCAGAACGGCATGAACGGCGCACACTTCAACGCTCGTGGCAAGTCACTCAACAATCTTTTGTACTGGCTCGCGCAGATCTTTGGTGCTGTTATCTTCGGCTATGCCCTCGACTACGCCAAGCTACGCCGTTCCGTGCGTGCCAAAGCATCATTGGTGGTTCTTTTCGCACTGACCTTCGTTATCTGGGGAGGCGGCTACGCCTGGCAGATTCAACAGGTCGATCGGGCCGTCACCGAAGACGAGGAATGGAAAAAGACCAATACTTGGGACTGGGAGAATGGTGGTGGCAGGCTCTTTGTTGGGCCCATGTTCCTGTACATGTTCTACGGATTCTATGATGCCGCTTGGCAGACGTGCATCTACTGGTACATGGGCTCGCTTTCGAATTCCGGTCGTAGACTGTCCAACTTGGCAGGTTTTTACAAGGGTATTCAGAGTGCTGGTGCTGCCATCTTCTGGCGTTTGGATAATCTGGGTACTGAGTATATGACGGAGTTCGCTGCTACGGTACGTTTATTGTTCTCTTTTCCCCCTCATCTTCGGTCCGTCAGTTGAACAGGAAACACTAACACATGGTCTAGTGGGGCGTTTGTGCCGCTGCTCTCTTAATTGCAGCACCCATCATTTTCCTTAGAATTACTGATACCGTCTCTATCGAGGACGACCTGAAATTCAGCGACGAGACCGTTGAAGATGTCGCACCACAGGCTGTCCTGGAAGAAAGAGGTTTTGGGAAGGAAACAGAAGTTTAGCTATGGTAATGGAGAAGGGGAAGCGGACACTGTAAAGAAGACAATGATAATGGCTGAAATCGGTCTGAGTGGTCTCTCAGATTCGTGGATATAATTAAGTTGCATGTATGAGAATAAGTCTAGCTGGAGACGGAGGATTACCACCTGCTCTCAATATTAGCATAAAGTTCAAATCAAAACTCTCATGGATGATACTGAATAACCGCTTTCAAGGAGGCGGTGCCAGCGAAGATTGCGAGATGAAAGTCCTAAAGCCCAGCCCAGTTCTACCTTGAAATGTCTCATAAAGAGATAGGGGTTAGTAACATTGGAGGGACGGTGTCGCATTCTAGGCTCCAATTCCAAGCTGTAGATTACTGCACTGCGTCAATAAGGGTTGTGTTGTGTTTCTTACGAAGGGGTTTCGGGAGGGGAAGAAAAAATATCAAGTCCAAATAACCAGATGAAGCTAGCATTCGTTTGTTAGAGAAAGCTTATCCATGTTGGTCAGTGAGTGGGTGTCCTAAGTGCAGCTTGTTGTTTCTGTCCTTTATTTGCTCTCCTCGAAAACCTCGCAAGCAACTTCTCCAGGCGAATTATGGCAGGGAAATGGCACCAGTTAACCCGGCTAATTTTTGACTTTGCACATCCAGCTATCTCCCCCCGGCTTCGGTGTATACCATCATTCTTGAGCACACTGTGCTGAAATGGGGGAAACAATTGGGTCAGAGGACAGGACGGCTCTCTCTTCATATCCCAGGACATGGTGAGTTCCATGGTATCATATCTTAACTATTCCAGAGCACCAGGCCTTAGGATTTAACAGGGTCGGTAAGTTAGTAAAAGTTGAAAGTGCGTAGTTTATAGTCCTATCTCATATTAATACAGGAACACCTTAATCATCGACTTCAATATAGAGTCGTCAAAATCCAGTTGTGTTAGAGTAGTGGCAGCGCGGACGTTTTTAGTACCATTGTGGTGTCTCGCAGATAGCTATAGGGTATAGTAGGAGGGGGCAAGTTCACCATGGAGGCCGAGTAGTCGTCCATGATCACTCAAGAAGAAGGAAGCGGTCACTGTTGTTGTATTCGACGTGAGTTTCAGAGATACGTTCATGAGAATCAGTTGCACGATTCAGCCTAGCACACTCGTCCTTTATGTGTGTGTGAGCGGTGGTGCTCTCTACTTTGTTGATGAAGCTCGGTACATATCCAGTGAAAACACGTAGCATCCTGTATATTGTGAGAACGAAGAAGAAACTTATGGGACTCACTTCCCTATGAACACGATCAGTTGCCCACATGAGGGAAAGAAAGCGCCCAGCAGTGTTTGGAGGCGAATTTACGTGCTGTTGTTCCCATATGATCTGCATTCTGCGCTTCGGAATCAACCTTTTGATGAAATTTTGTACTGCAGCAGGCAGATCTCCTTCTCCTCCATGGGCTGTGGAAACACGCCAAAAAAGGGTCAGTCGAATAATAATTTGGAATGGTCAGTTTGTCATAGTAACGCAATTTCAAGTGTCCAGTAGCAACCAGCGTTGTCCCGCCACTAAACGCGCACAGCTACTTAATGCTTATCAGTTGCATCTATTTCCAACCAGTCCCCGGCGTGGGAACATTGTAAGCCCTGGGGCACAAGTCCCATTCATCGTGGCGCAGTGGTAGTTTGGGGTGCTCTTGCACCCATGGGCGGCTGCTGGTCGGGTTTCGGTCCCCAAAGGCGCCCAGTTCAGTTCGACTAAGCTGGGGACAACGCCTTTTTTTTCGTTTTCTTTTTCTTTTTCAGTTTCTCTTTGGTTGTTCGTGTGTATGCCCGCTTTGCTTCCTCAGGCAGCCTGCATTTTACTTCAGCCTTATCGTAGCTTGATCAGATTCGAGATAATAGCCACATTCTTCTACATCATATATTATAGCCGCCATGAAAGTCCGTGCCGTTGACCTAAAGTATGTTGACATCAATGTGTCTTTTCTAACAGAAACAGCGCTACGTATGGGGCTCACACCAGCCATCCTATGCAGTCAGTATTTCCGTAGATATTGGTAAATCAAAAACATAACCCCGGCGTAGATAGTATCTACTCTGCAGTGGTGTGAATATGATTGTTTCAAGCAACGCCCACTCAACTATAGCTTATATAATTAGAAAAATAAAAATAAAAAGATAAAGTCCCAACATGGGGTCTCTGATAAGGTTCATGGGGATAAGCCAATTTGAATCCAGCTTGCTCAGCGGCGCGGAAATTCTTTTTTCAAGAGAAGCTGGCCAGACTGCTTAGGCCCCTTACATTCACACCACCGCACCAATCATGCACAGCGGATCTCAGCCTTCTCGTTGCTTCAAATTTTGAGTTGTTGGGCCCTCACCACACTCCTGATAATTTGACATCTAAGCTACATCTGCAAGGGCAATATATCCAACCATCCACAACACTACTCAAAATCTTACCTATGAAGGACTTGAGAGAAACGGCATCGAAGTATTTCTCGACATCCCATACGGTCAAGATACCAGCGGCGCCCTCGTTCCTTCTTCGGGCACCGCAATCAATGCGCAAACATATGGGGCAGCATGTCCGCAGTTTGTCGGCTAATACGCTACCTTTCTCATTGAGCAACATGGTATATATCTCAGAGGGCTGTCTCAACATTAATATCGCCTGACCGAAGCTTGGTTTACCTGAAGGATACAATGGCGGCAGGGGAGAGTATGGTAGGGACTACGGAGACAACACAGGACGTGAGAATAATCTGCCTGTAGTGGTCTACATTCATGGTGGCGGTTTCATAAGCGGTCAAAAACAGCGAACTGAAAATCACGCCTGATGACTTGATATTACAGATTTTCGAGACCGGGGCACCGGTCATCCAAGTGGCCATGAACTACAGCCTTGGAGGTAAGTACTTGGGTTCTTCTGTTCTTGGATGATAGATTGAATACCTGACGAGAAGAAAGTCTTCGGTTTTGCCCAATCCGAGGCACTAAAATTAGAAGTTGCACAAAACGCCGGACTCCGCGATCAGCGTCTCGTCATTGAATGGGTGCGCGACAACATTGCGCACTTTGGTGGCAACCCTGATCGGATAACCATATTTGGGCAGCAGATCATGGCCTATGGCCTATGTCGCCTCGCACTCGGTCCCCTTCTAGCATGCGATCTGCGAGTCGCAAGCTCTCGAGCCTGGCATAACGGGCAATTTTACCTTGAAAACCATGGAGGCGGTTATCAAAGCTAGGGGCTGTGAAGGCTCAGGGCTAGACTCGCCCAAGACCGTGGTATGTCTTAGAGACCTCGACGTCGACATCCTCCTCAATGCTTTTCTGGCTACATACCAATGCGACATCGGCCACAAACATCGGGGACATATGGCTGCCTATGGTGGACGGCGACTTCATCCCTGCTCCTCCCTCTCGACTTATCGCCGAGGGCCGGCTTCGCCAACGTCACGACTATGACGAGGTGGTGTGAGGACGACGTGACATACTTCACAGACGGCCCCATTTCCACCCCAAACGACACGCGGAGTTTCATCTCGTCGTACTTGCCCGCCATCTCATCTTCCCACGTCAACGAGCTTCTTGTACTCTGCCCGATATCAGAATTTGCTGCCATTCCGGCTTCCAGGCGAGGAGTGGACCCGAGCCCAGAGTTCCACCGAACCGCCCGCATCTCCCGCGACGACCTCATGACCTGTCCGCCGACCTATCGCGACTAGCCGCCCGCGGCAAAGACGTGTATCTGTACGACTGGAACCAGACGATGCTAGATCCGTTCTTAGTAGAGGCAGGTGGCGCGGCGGGCATGGGCATGATCCACACCTCCGAGTTTGCCTACATCTTCGGGAATCTGACCCATTACAACGCCAGTGGATATCCATTTGACCCGATGCCGCAGGATTGGGCGCTTGAGCAGAAGGCGAGCCGGAGCTGGGTGGTGGGGATACGTTCAAGTGGTTCGGGACGGTATTCAGAGGGGACGGTTATGATCATGACGAGGTGAGGATATTCGTGGTAGGCGGCCCCGAGGAGGGATCAAGTGCTATTGATGGGCCGGCTGCCGAGTCAGCTCTGGCGCGGCAGAGATTGAGAGAAAGAAGCGCGTTTGCCAACTCGCCGGAGATTGTTGAGGAGCTATGTTACTGAGCACTTGATGATGTGCTTCATGGTGAATAGAAGCCCGGGGAAGCGTATTTGTATTTAAGGACTGGAGTTGATAAAGCTCAAGGCCCTCTGTACAGCACTTAACGATCCTACTGGCCAGACACGCTGTCCGCTTGTTACGTAACCTCGCCGTAATGATTCAGGCAAATCGCGAAGGTGAAGCCGTGCTTGGTTGTGTATGTGATCTTACAATTCCATAGAAAAAGAACACATGACTGGAATGTGTGCATCTGATGTCAAATTACCGTCGATTGTTGGTGAAATTTGGTTTAATTCGCATCTACTTCTATGCTGTCAAAGATTTGTACAGTATTTGGTGCCCACCTATATCACAATAACATAGCGCCTATTCGCCAGCCATTATATAGGCTAATACTTACCACTGAACCTTCTTCATGCTACCCTGCTCCTGCAGAGCCTTGTGCATGTCGAAGCTGTTGAACAGAAGATGGGGCTCGTGTCCCCAACCCTTCTTCATGCATTCATATTCTGCCTTCTCAAAGTACGCCTTGAGGATAGGCTTGTAATCATCGTGTGCACACTTGTCAATGATGACGCGTGCCCTCTCTTTGGGTGACAGGCCACGAACGTCGGCCAATCCGGTCTCTGTCACGATAACATCAAGGTCGTGCTCCGTCTGATCGACGTGTGTGCACATTGGCACGATGCAACTCACACCAGTCGGGTCGGTCTTGGAAGGGCGCGTTGAAGGTGTGTGCATGATAGAATATTTCGCCGAGCGGAGGAAGTCGGCGGATCCGCCGAGACCGTTCAGCATGCGGCTGCCCATGACACAAGTTGAGTTGGCATGAGCATAAATATCGACTTCAACAGGTGTGTTCATACCAATGACGCCAAGTCGTCGGATGATCTCAGGCGAGTTAGATACTTGCTGGGAACGAAGCAGAAGCTTATTGTAGTACAGTTCCCAGTTGTCGTAGAATCGCTTGAATCCCTCAGGCGAGAAACGAATGGAGGTCGCAGTGGCAAACTCGAGTTTGCCAGAATCGAACAAGTCCAAGAAGGTGTCCTGGATGACCTCGGTCCAGACCTTCAGGTTATGAAAGTTTGCATCAGCCAAACCTCCAATAACAGCATTGGCAATGTTACCAATACCAGATTGAATGGGGAGAAGCGACCTTGGCATCCGGCCATGCTTCACTTCGTGCTCGAAGAATTCGATCAAGTTTTCAGCGATAGCGGCTGAGTTCGCATCTGCAGGAGTGTTTGACGCAGTCTTATCCTGGTAATCTGACTCAACAATACCGACGACCTTCTCAGGATCAATGGGGACCGAGGTACGGCCAATTCTGTCCTCAACACCCATGATCAAGTACGGCTTACGGTTAGGTGGCAGGTCTGTCATGGTGATATCGTGCAGTCCCTCGAAACTAGGTAATGAGGTGTTGACCTCGATGATAATCTAAGAACATGTCAGCACGAGAATCAAACCCCTCCTTAGATTCAACCAAAATATACCTTGTCGGCCATCTGGATAAGTTCAGGAGTTGCGCCTACGCTGGCGCCAGGCACAAAACTTCCGTCTTCCTTGATGTCTGTCGCCTCCACAACCACAACATCCAGGTTCTTGTTGGGACGATCCTTTGTGTAGAAGCCCTTTATCATAATCAGTGTCTCGTAACCAGGTCAAATCATGGGCTGTTTCTTACATAGACCAAATCTACAGGGAACATAGATAAATGCTTATCGAAGAAGTTGATACGGCCCTCGTTGATACCCTTTGCGATGGCCTTGCCCACTTGATGCGGACTTCGACGATTAATCATATCCAGACTGGCCCAGCGATTTTCTGTCTCGGAGCCGGAGGAGGCTCCAACAAAGAGCGAGTACTTCAGCTGACCCTGAAGACCATTCTTCTCCACGTGATCTGCGAGGAATGTGGGAATCTTCCTTTTTTTTGCAAGTTTTAGCACAATGGGCACAAGGTTTGAGGATCAGAGTATTACACATACTTGGGGTAACCGACACCAGTGAAACCGGACCAGCCGACATAAGCGCCATTGGGGAAGTGCTCCAGGAGATCCTCTGGTCGGCAGAGCTTGTTGAGCATGGACGGGCGCCGAACACGCTCCTTCAAGAGGGCCGAGACTGCCGGAGCAGTCGAGCTCCGCAGCTGAGCAGCAGTTGGGAACATCCTGAAGTCTCCAAAGCAGTACTTGTAGGGCTTAAGTATACTAGAGAGAAGTGTCCAGATATAGCCGCTTCCCTACAATGCTCGGATGGAAGTTTCAAGGGAAGAGAATGCGTGGATTGGAGCTTGGGTTTCGAAAGTCAATTCAACAAAGTGGTCCGAAGGGATCCACTTGCGTGACGATTACCTAAAGGTCTAAATGAAGACGAACGCGCCAAGGAGGCTCACGGTAGAGCGCGAAGGCCGAGGTGACTTGGAAATGGGCCAATGGAAGTCGTTCGCTCTTGCACAATAGGAAGATGACTTCTGTCTTTTTACGATCGCTATGATTTGCTTGTCAGTCGATTCTTTATTGCGTGCATAGTTTTGACTCCGGACACGAGCGCGGGATGACGTGGGTGCAGACAGGGGTAGCTCATGAGCTTCGCTGGTCAGGAGTTCTCAGCAGGGAGCACTTGGCGGTCCCGCTATATGAACCTCTCGGGCCGAGCAAGACTGCCGCTTCCTTTCGTCCGGCACCACTAACAGCAAGCGACGGTGAGTTTGGATACAGCTTCGATGGTTGGAAGAAACTGGCCAGTCGTCTCAGTAACGAAACCTGGGCTTGTTTGAAGCGAAATTACGGTACAGGAAGTGGCATGCGATGCATGGGAGCTTACAGTGCAACAGAATAAAATTGTACTACAGTAGAGCTAGAGCCAAATGCGTAATGTGCCAAAGTGCTGGCCAAGCCATTTTCATAGGGTTCAGATCGTTTTTAGAAGGAGAAACTGTTATACAATGATAAGCTGTTATTTCATGCTGTTCAACGTGCGGCGGTTGACCGGCCCCCCTCTAGCTCATTAGAGACCAGCCAGGTAGGAGCAGCCGTGACAACATGAGGATGACAGCAAGGGTTGACGAGAGATGGCAATTAAGATCATGGGATTCCAAGAACACGCTCAGATTGCTGGGACCATGATCAATATGGGGGGGTAGTAATTTTATACCAAGATTCTAGAATTGAGCTGAGCTACCCCAAACTTTAGTTGGCCTCTTTCCTGAACAAATCCCTCAACATCTCTCTGAATCCATAATTGGGTGTCTTGGAGTCATAAACCTTGCTACGATGCGCCTCTCCATTGAACCTGTCCAGGATGTTTCCCGGTCGCTGCCCGGCGCTCTCGCCGAGAGGTTTCGAGGGTCTGGCAGCGCGATCCTTGATGGCGTCTGCGAGTTGCGGTGCTACATCAGCATAGCAGGCATTCAGTTCCCTTTCGAGACTAAAGTACGGCTTCTTGGCGAGTTCGGGCGCCATGAGATTGTAGGACCGCGTGATGGTGTTTAGATTGGTGATGGAGAGATCCATGTACGTCTGTTCGGTACGCAGCCAGTCTGGATCGCGAAAGGGCGGCGGAAGCGGCACATCCTGAACTGGCACATTTGCACTTGTTACTTCGGTCGCAGCCCCTTCATTGGGCGGAGATGAGGTGGTGGAGGCTGCTGAATCGTCTATGGCAGCGGTAGCTTCAGCATCTGCAAGCTCTTCCGCAGTTTCTGGACTTAGCAGTTGCCGCACCTTGACCATGACGGGGTCATCTGTCGAGTTGGTCGGCACAACGACTTGCTCAACGTTGCGCTTTCGCGGGTTGTGAAGCAACTCAGCGCTAGCATATCTTCTCGCACGCTCCATCTGCTCTTGGAGCGCTCCACCCTTACTCGCTATAGTCCGAGCAGCATGACGCTTCCAGTCGTTTCGCAGTCTTGTCCGGAATGTATGGGCAGTCTTGATCAACTCCTGCTGCTTCTCGATCCAGGGCGGCACAATGTCCTGGCGCTTGATCATCTTGTTCATGATGTACTCGGTTGTATCAATGAAGGGGTTGTCTGCCCTGGTGTCGCGCTCTACGCCCTTTCCTCTCGGGATGTTTTTGAATTGGCCTCTGGCGATTGCGTCCTCAATTCGCTCGTTGGCCAGCGATGCCAGACCAGTAAAAGTGTTGGGCATTGCCCTGGCGGCGGGCTTGAACCTCTCGCGGAACTCCTTTTTCAGCTCGTCTCTTTCTTTCTCGCTAAGCCCGTTCTGCTCCTTGTCTTTCAGGCCCATTCCCGCATAGACGGCGGCTTTATCTCTGGCACCAGCCGCGCGCTGACCCTGACTCCTCGTATCTCTCGTGAAGCGCATATCCACGGGCTTCAGATCGGGCAACCTCGGTTTCCCCCTGAGGCTCGGTGCCAGGGGCTTATGCGCATCGTTCAGCATCCTGAGCACTGCATCCTCAGTGCTCTCCGCACCAGTCCAGGGCTGGCTCGCGGCGAGATGGGCGGTGCCGCGCCCGGCGGAGGCGGGAAGACCGGCTTCGGCAAAGGCGGATGCATTCTCTGATCGAAACTCGGCATCTCGTACCCTGGCAAGAAGCCGCGCTTTGAGCTCCTCCGAAAAGCCAGCGTCCTCGACTGCGCGGCGGCCGGCGCGTCCGCCGGTAAAGAGTGCTTCCTCGGTCGCTTCCTCGAGACGTCGGGCCATGGGGCCTGGTTCATTTTCAGGTTTGGGTTTGTGTGTGGAGGCTGCGTTGCCATTCGAATGGTTGCTCCTCTCGGCCGGCGTGTCTGAGGTGGCAGCATTGGATGTTGTTGAGGATTGTCGCAGACCACGGGCGCTCAGTCGCCCACTGCGAGCGGCCAAGTGAGCTTCACGCCGCAGCAGAGCGGTGGTGCATCGGACACAAACATAGTGAGATGTTGCTAATCCTGCCATGTCGCTTTCAAGTGATTTCCATAGCGAAAGTAAAACCACCACTCTTGCACTGAAAGGGTGGGAGAAGAGAGCTCTCCGAAGAGTGGCAATGTGTGAGAAAAGTTCGGAGATAAGCAGTCATGACAGCATTGAACCTCCTTAACAATAAGGTGGAGCGGAGCGCCTTCAAATGAGACCACTGGGCCCAGTGGGCGTCGCCACATACTCTAAGGTTATGTATGCAGATGTGTATGAACAATGGAATGTTTTGCTCAGTTCACGTTCAAATTGCTCCCCTTTTCTTTCTTTCATTTGTTCCCGACTACCTTGCAGCTTTTACAACAGCGGCGATGATTTTCTCATATTTCAAACAAATGGGTATTTTTGGGTGTATATTGCAACCGCTATATACTATCAGATCCAGTATGTACAAGTCCCAAATTTTAATTCCTCGGAACGCCGGCTAATGCATGACGAAAATCCTTTAATCCTCGTCAAAGGGTATATAATGATAGTGTTCTATCCGTGAGAACCTCACGCTCCCAAGCCTGGAGACTTCGCTACCCTGCGAAGTTGAAAATTGCCCTTCAAAAATGATGAGGGCCAAGCCAAGTGCGGCCTAACTTTGTGAAGTGCACTGGTCGCACTGGATGTTTTACCGGACGCCATTGATCCCAACACCTGAGGCCGAAGCGTTGGCTATGAGCCGAGATGAGGACTGGTGACGACCAGGGGGGCGGTCAACTGATCGTCGGCAATGGTCGCAAAGCCATACAGTCAAGAGTTGAATGAGTGCATGTGTCTCTTTGTTCTCCTTTTCTCTCTCTCTCTCTCTCTCTTTTTAATTTTATCCAGTGAACTCCCGTGGTGTCAATTCCGTTTCTTGCCATTTTTTGAGCCAATTGGCCCCTTTCCACACGTGCATCCTGAAACGGTTTGCGGCAGCTTTACCAATCTCGTTTATGGCTCTCTGCCCAACAGTAAATTCTGTCCAGAAAAGGTGCTCGTCCGGCGTCGAACACATGCTTATAGGCGCCTGGCTGCTAGGCAAAGCCTTTTTGTGCTTGGACAGTGTTATGGTCGTGCTGTTACCCCCGGCATTTAGGGACATGCAAGGCTGCGAAACCTCGAGGAAACCCTCCTCAAGAGGTTTGTTGCCGAGACCATTGTGGTCCGCAACTTCAGAGTCTCGCAATTGGCGGTCGACGATGAGTTCTTTGAGATACTTGGGCACATCGTATGTAATAGCTTCGCGCCGCGCGTTAGGAACAAACACTTTGCGTCCAGAGGCATCGCGTTTCTCGACAAGAGCTGTCTCGTTGGTGGTACCGTTGGCAATCGGATCGGGAATAGCGATCCAGGCGTCAATCCACTCGGTCATGAGTTGCTCCCACTGATCGGTTAGGTATACGGCATTGACCATCTCCCTTGCCCGCGAGTGGGGTGCAGGAGGCTGTGGTCGGGAAGTCTCAAAACCCGGTGTGAGAGAAATGTCAAATAGGGATGGTATGAAGATACGGAACGACTCGGCTGGTACGTCCAGCACCACAGCAGTATCGGTTTCGCTAGAGGGCGCTGTCGTATTCTCCAGGACAGTGTAAAAGTCTGAGTAGGCAATTGAATCGTCGTGACGTGCCTTTTCGTACAGTAATTCGATTTGCGAAAAGAGATGCTCGGCCTGGATTTCCAATGCCTCCTTTGCGGTATCGCGTGGCATAGCCGCTAGCTTCCAAACATCCCAATAACCGTAGTTGAAAACCCAAAGTGTTTCGCGTGGCGGATGCCGGGGCGCGGGCGTCGTGAGAAAGGCAGTGACCTGCTCTTCAAGATCTGGCAGTTGCGTCGGCACAGGATGTTGCTCCAGCATCCATGAGTAATCGTAGCCGGCTCCTTGTGTCGCGTTCGGCCATGATGTGATTGCATCCAGGTGGTCTCTATACAAGGCATTCGAGATGATGGATCCTCCTTGGATCTCAGTGCGCGGCATGTATGACAGATGCGCGTTGCAATCATCCAACTGGTTTCTGTCAGTTATATACTGCTACGTTCGTAGCACTGGTCTTACCTGCTGGCAAAGGACCTCTGTCCATGACTTGTCCGCGAATCCGGACTCCTGAGGTTCTTTGTTGGGTGTTGCAACATCACCTCCTCCGAACACAACTATCCTTAGGCCTCCGCCGACACTCCCATCATCATGTTCTGCGGTTGGCCTCCATTTCAGAATTCTCGTGTAACTTGAACCAAATGCGACATCGGTAAATCTTGTTGGTAGCAACCTCGTCAGAGTGATGAGTACGATTATGCATATCGCGACCTGGGAAAAGAGACGAGGCCCTCCGCGCATTGCCTTGGCCGAAATGAAGGCGAATAGCGACTTCAGTCCAAGCCCTTCAATTAGCCCATCCGGCCCGTATAATTGCAATTGAGGCTTTGCATGCATCTTGACTCGAGTGGGCTGGAGCTCGATAATGGCGGCACTTTTCAACACAATACGAAGCGCTGGCTGTCGCTTGACCTTGGCCTATATCCTTGTATGAACCGGGCCAGTTGCTGTGCACTTTTCTCCTCGTTTCCGACACAATCTGGTGCTGGTGGGTATGGTATACAAGAAGTAATTTCAACCCAACAATAAGAGTTCGAATTGCCAAAGAAAGAAGATGAAGCACTGAGTATAGTGATGTCTCCTCAAGTGTCACCTGCAGTTATGGTGTAAGTCGGTCGGGCCAAGCCGGATTGGGTGCAATGTGTGGCACCGCCAAGAAACGGTCGGTTCCCTTGGCTGGTACCAGTCGGGTTTGATCGCTGTATGTTCGAATGGACCTATGTCGGCGAGAGTAAAATGCCACGCTGGTTGAGTTGAGTGTCAAGAGACTTTACTCGGGGTGCACGCAGGATCGTGTCGGCAACAATAACAAAACAGCAGAAGGAAATGAGAGAGCCTGGAAATGGGGAGACAGAGACACAGACAGAGAAACATGGGAAACGGACCATCTTTCTGTTCTGTGGCACCTACAATGTGATATAATGGACTTACCAGCTTCGGCGGCCGTTGATGAGCGGTTCCACAAACCAGAGGCTAAGAAAGTGTGAGTACGTAGTCATCCTGGACGAGAACATATGCCTCACGGCCGCAAAATTGCTGAGGATCACCGTGGCATAATTCCCCGAAGTGGGAGGCCAGCGGTGGCCGCGAGTCGTAGAGAGGAGCGATGGCCGCTGTGATAGAGTAGTCGTAAGCTTGTGGAGACCAGGCCGTAGCCCCATTGTTTCAATGGCCCGCGGCCAGAAATATCCCACACTCGCACACTGAAGACATGGTATCCCTTGTAGACTATCTGTCATCAGATGTTTCCGTCGCATTTTCTGACTGGCTTCTGTGGATATTTAATCCGACATAGATCGACGTTGTGGGGAGAAAGCGCGACAGCCTCGTTTCGACTGACGACGTCTTGTTAAAATGGCTCTCAACGTTAGCCTGTGACGCGGCCAGTGGGAGTCTGTATATGTACTGAGCCTTCGGTCAGGCCACGGTACATGATGAGACTTGCTCCTGAATGCGCTGTGCAGATAACCTTGCTGCGGCAACGCAATCTGAACGTTGGCAAATAATTGGATGATCGTGGTCGGGAATATCGGCTCTCCATGTTGGATCGCCGAACCACACGCGACACCCAGACACCCACCAGCTGCATGATCTTATTAACAAATAGTGACGATGGACGATAGGATGCAAGCCCGCCTCCCCCACAAATTGGACCTGCCAAGCCTGGCATGTCGATCCTCCCACGATCCCAGTCGCGTGGTCCGCTGGGTGAAACCACGCTGTCAGGGCTGTGTGTGAACGAGCCGCAATTTGGTGGGTTGGATAAGCAATTATGGTTGGTAGCTGGATCGCTTGGAGGGCTGAGTGGCTTGGAACTTGGGGTTGGGGGGCGTTTTGGGGCGTGAACTGCCGAACACCCGCCGCTCCATCGCATTGTTACAGGTTTCTTGGTGCTGCAGCATATCTCTTTTTTAGTGCTTGGCATGCCGAACCTCGAAGCCAAGATATTGACGAGGCAGATCCTCGTATGGTACATGCCGACGATGCCGTATTATATTCAGAGCGGCCCCGGCTCCAGTAAAATGAGCTCTTCCATGTCCAGCCCTCAACGAGTAGGCTACGATCTACATAATAAGCGCTTCATCACAATCTGATGGCCCACAGTAATTGGGAAGTGCGCAACACCTTACATGTGGCTCAGAAAAGCATCCTGTTGGGTTGGTTCGGAAACCTTCATAATGCAAAGCCTATCATATCTTGGCATCCACATCTTACCGATATCAGCATGTTTCAGAGACAAAGTTTCGCGATGCCGTATTCGAGAAATGAACCCGACAAGCCTTCCAGAAAGCTTGGCGGCGTGGTCGCAAACTCTTCCCGTCATCGCCAAGGAAATATGGGGGAATGGGCGTGCCGTCCCGATCGCAATCTCCTGAAGAACAATGCCGGCCGTAACACCATGAAGAGTCAGGAGGAGCGAGACTCGATGCGTTTCGTATATTCCTTTTGCCGCTCGCTTTCCAAACTTAAAGGAGTTGCCTCCACCATGAAAATGATTGATTGATTACTTTGTGCAAAGACGACTGGTGCCGTGACTGCGTAGAGCCGGCATGATGGCGTCGATGACTTTTGCATCTTCAAAGCCTCTCACTTTTTGCGTTGCCACCGTTTTGTGGGTGATGATCAGAATGGTTAAATAATTGTCACGTAGTTGCAGGCGTGTCATGCTGAATGCATCTCCCTATAATTCGTTGTCAACCATCATTGATACAGACGGGCAGATAGGCGGTGTTTACCATAGAGATAAAGTTGCAATTGATGTCTCTGAAGACGCAAATGCTAGGCCCATTTGGATGGATTTTTTATGTCACATATCAATCAAGCTGATGCCACGCAACTGACACGAACTCATGTATTCCTCTATCTTCTGGCGGCACACGTTTAGAACCGATCGTTGCTTCTCAGATACCTTGCCTAAACAAAATCAGATCAAATCCCTCCCCGAATTGGTCTCTGGATGAACCCTCAAGGTATCGGAAAAAGCAGTACAACGAGCGAAGAGGTGCAGCGAAACTCTGACTGATCTGACTCTCGCTTTTCTCTATTAAAGACTGGGGCCTTGCAATCATGATAAGTCCACAAACGGTCCAAGAACCAGCTTCCATTAAGTGCGTCTGAGAGGCTGTAGATGCCGTAGCTGCGGTTTTCATAAATAGCTACTTTCTCATCATTTCGGAAAGCAACAAGTGAAGGAGGGGGTGAGAAGTCATACTGTAATGAAGCGTTCTACTCGATCAAAACAGGTTCATTGAGACCGCCGTCCCAACGTACGCCACTCTTGTCGCCGCTAACATCTTCGCTGCCCTGGCGCAAGTAAATACGGCCAGTTTCGTCACAGTTCGGACCATCATGATCGATGGCCTCAGGAGTGAAGAACTTGTTACCGCGCTGGGAATTGCAAAGGTCCCAAGCGGTAGTCTGGTCGGCCGTGAAGGTCTAAAAATAGGCAAGTGCGCCGACTACAAAGCAAGTATCAACAACAAGAAAGGCGAGAACTTCATTGTCGATGTTTCGTATTTGGTTTTTTTCATGTCTGCATATTGAGGAGACGTGGGAGACCAGGTGGTCGGTTTGGGTCGAATCGTAAATAGTTGTTGTTTTGTTGAGGGGACGGGTAGGATGTCCCATAGATTTTCTCTAAAATCATTGATAGACGAGCAAGGATTGCTACCTTGGCCAAACCATCGACTGACCTCGGTTCACTTGACATTGCGTCAAGGGGAGTCATTAGCTAATTTGTCCTGATATGCCTATGATCTTACGATTGGCTAACTCTAATTGCTACGTTCTACGCATATAAATGACCACCCCTGGGCTTTTGTACATCATCGTCTCTTCCACCGAAGCTCAAGTGTTTGACATGTTGCCCACTTTCAGTCATTAACTGGGTGGCTAAATGTTCAGGTAACGGCAGAGCCCCCCATCTGATCTCGCCTCTGGACAATTCACGGAGTGCTCGTGTTTCAGGGTCCTCGTTTTCCTCCGTAATGAAGGGATTCTCTACACTATTGTACATGGCTTGGTTACCTACTGCCGTATGTTTAGGCGTTCCATGATTTGAGGTTTCGACGGATCCACGGTCGTTGTTTTGGGGAGACAAACTCTGGCGTACAGCCCCTAGAGACACGACGGCATGACAAGCGGCAGATATCACTAAAGAATTCGTGCCGCCACTGACCATGTCGCCTTTGACCTTACGGAGACCCCACAGTGCGGGGAATATAGATATTACAACGGAAACAACAAGCATTACAAGTATAGCAGGCGGCGAGTACCCAATGGCTACTATAGCGTCGTCGGAAACACCGAAGTAGCTCGCTGCACCTTCGACGGTGCCTTCTATCTCCCAGTAGCCTTCATCGGATTAGCGATATTAACTTGTGTTAAATATCATTTTAAACTTACCCCCTTCGGTGATAAAAATATATACCGAATTTGAGACGAGCCAATGCAACAATATACTAACAGCAAGGAGAGGTATACTGTATCTATAAGGTAACTGAAGACGATATTTAGACACTTGCTTCCCCACGGGGTACGATACCCGTAGTGGCTGGTGTCTTAAACTGAACGAGTTCCATTCCGTCTCAACCGCGAGTCGAGTGAAAAAGGTATTGTATGAAAAATAACACAACGATAAAATGAGTTGTGGCGTATTAGCCACTAGAAGTGAGCCGATATAGGACCCTGCAAGTTGGGCTGTGAGATTCTCATCCGTATGACCGAATGCATATGCCCTGAGTAAAGTGTCAATGATATAATCTCGTAGCTTCTGTAGTAGCCCTAATTGAACTTGAGAGGACTTACAGAGGACTGCGACCGCCATCTAATGCCAGGGCGACGCAGACTACGAGGAACACTATCGCACAAAACAACAGACAATAGGTGCGTGTCCAAGCTGCTCGGGGAACCATTCCAATGTAGCGCCGGGGTTTGGTCTGCCAGCGTCGAGGTCGAATGATCTGCGTCAAGTCGCTGGAAGCCTCGGTTGATAATGTTCGAGGACCGAACTCCAACCGTTCACTATCTGTAATATCAAGAGTACCCAGACCTTCGATTCGAGTGTCCGGCCTGGAAATGAACGACTCCATCGCATCGCCTGGAGTTATCAAGGACATGTGATGAGTGAGATTTCGTATGACCATAACGCATGTGAGTAGTTTTACGAGGATACAGACAAGAACGATAAGAACCAGAGTGTTCGAAACACCAATCTTGCACTTGTTTACCGGTAGTGCCAAGCAATAGTTGACGTCTAGGCTATTGAACGTATCGTTGTAGCCCAAACTTTCTCGGACGGATGGTGCGATATTCAGCTCTACTGGCTGGAATGAAAGAGTCCATTGAGTATTATCTGGAGCTTTTGTAGAGACATCGTACGTTTTTGTGTGGTTGAGTCCAAGTACATTAAGACAAGTATGCTCGCAGTGGTCATAAACCGACGGGTTGGTGGATCGCGTTACTTTGCACTGGGCGGAATACCAAAGTGAGTTTGTCACGTTTGGAGGAATGTGCGAATCCCATATTGAGGATAGATTGCTCTGCGGGTCGAAATGAAAAACTTCTGACCGAGTCCATCCAGCTGCGCTAGAAGCGCTACTGTTCACAACCACAACCACATTTCCGTAATTCTTCCTAGGGTTGCATGATCTGTACTCTGCCAAACAGGTTTTGGGATCCAACCTCGACCAAGAATCTGCAACCAAAGCTGTTGCAGCGAGTTCCAGGCGAGGTAAGGAATTTTCGTCCCAGTAATCTGCAATGTCAAGAGACTGGCCGTAACCATCAATGCCGCCCTTGGCCTTCCAAACAGGTGTTGGTTGGTGTTCAGGCTGCCCGACAGTGCTACGGATATATGCTGGTGAGGGAGATCCAGCAGGAGAGAGACTTGCACCCGGCGCATAGAACCCTGCACCTTGAGTGAATGCTTCAGTTGCAATAGTGAGGTTCCAGTAGCTCCCTTGGTAGCCCGTTTCAAAAACGGCACTATTGAAGATGAGATGTAATGGAAATGAGCTTAATAATAGTATAGCCCAGCATATCTGCTTGAATGGTGAGATGAATCGAATGTTCTTCACAGATGGAATGCCGATGTCAAGAGACTTCAGATATTCGTGGGTATGGTCGATTTCTTTCCGAGATGGTGAGCTTAAAACCTGCATGTAGAAGTTTGAAGAAGCTAGAACTCCACTCGAGACTAGGTTTATAAGAAGGTGAAGAGAAAGATTAAGCCTTGAGATATAACTACACTCAGCTTCGTAGATGATCGTAGCAGTGTTTATCGAGGAATTGCTTCGTGTGATGCTAGCCACCAGACTGCCGAGCAGGGACGCAGCGCAGACTGCAACCAAGACAAGGTTGACTATCCCAGTCCGCCTCCATCTTTCAGAGGCAGGCTTTCCTATTGGATGCATGCGTTGTTGGTGAGCGGTGGCCGAAGAAATTATCAATAGAGCTGAATTAACATGTCCATGAGTGAGACCTTTGCATGAAAGAAGCAGATGGGGGGAAAGGAGGAAAAGAGACTTTTCGATGATCAAGCTGGTGCTTTAATTGCCAAGTCTGCTGCGACCTCCTGTGAGCCTTCTTTGCGAAATCCTACTGCGCTTTGCTGTGTGTCGAGGTAAATTGATTCGTTCATTATTTTTAGCGTTCCTTGCTTATTGAAGGACAAGGATTGGAATCCTGCCATATAACGGACTTCTGCCATACGACCAACGCTTGCTGGCGTGGCATAAGGATGCGCGCACTGACCCGGACAATCACTTACTTAATGAGGCCAGGTCACTGCTCAAGGATCTTTCACAGAAACCTCGGGGTTGATTGCGTTTCCTACATGGCAGTTTATGCCAGCTAAGGACGCTGATGGAATGCAATGACACTCAAGTCACAATAGGAAGCCATACGCATACAGCCAGACCAGTATGACAGGTGGTGGAGATAGCTTCGAGTACCGGCCGCACTTAGGAACCAGCGAAAGTCCCGATGGCATCCTGCTGTCGACTCTAGGGAGCACTGGACCACTCCCATTCTTCAGGATTCCACAAGCAGATCAAACACAATTACAACAACAAAGCCATGGACATAGCTTTCGAGGCGGCAGTGGCATCGGAAAAAACCTCGGGAATCTCTGTTCTGAGATAAAGCGACACATACAGCAAGCTCAATGGCATAGAAATGAAGGTCCGTTGCGGGCGATTCATCTGTTGTTGAACGCCGTGAAGCTACCACTGCACATATTCACACCGGACAGCATGATTACCTTTTTTATCGGTCTTGGCTTTGTTAGTGTATCCTTCCTGGCCAGCTCCGGCCGGGGCATCAAATGATCTTCCTTTATCTGACCAATGTACTCACTCAGTCATCCGGGTTGATATTATGGGACACCATGTTATTCATCGATGCGCGTTGGAATGACGCTTTCAAACTCAACTATGAGATAAAGACATATGTTGATGGGTTTGCATTCATCGTTGTATTTGTTGCACTATGCTTGGAGCTCTCCTCCATTTCGCCCATCTATCAAAATCGCACAGCTCTAGCTTTCTCGGTCTTAGACACGGTCATTATTTTGTGAGAAGTTGAATGCCCCCCCAATTTCTGACACATGAAATCTGACGGTTCGAGCTTCATTACAGGGTCATCACTGGAGTGTTCGCGTATCGCCATCTCCGTGGGTTCAAGGAAAATTGGCGCATTTACAACAAAGCAAAGCCAATCATCATGTTTAATGCCGACGGCAACCCTATGGCTGTTATACCAAAGTCGCCAGTAGGCTTCGAGTCAGATCTAGCAGGCCGATCCATGGATTCACTTCTACAATATTCTGGACGAAACAGTGGCGAGGAAGCCTCGCAAAGTGCGGTATCCTTTATATAGTACATCAGAAACACCACCGAGTTTCGAAGTATTACAACGAGTTACGTGTTGTCCCAAGACTGTAGTGAGGTCTCTCTGACTTCCGTACTTTAGAACAACTTTGACCCCTCTATCACCAGATATCAGAAAACAGACACCCGTTCTATCTTGTCCGCTCGATTAAGGATTTCCAGCGACTGCCCAGAAATGAGTAAAAGCATCACGGCAATGATGGGAATCCGGAATTATCTTTAGCGTGCCCCTCTTGATTTTTTAACTTCTGGCAGCATATTCGCGAGTCGTGCCCGAGAAACAGCCATGTCAGATACACAAATCATCAAATCATAGTAGTGACAGTATTGAAACTGATTATAAGATGGATACTGTTATGGCCTCTCTGACATTGCTTATCAACAGCGAGTGTAGCGACGATACAGAAGGCAGTATTTAGTCACATCAGTGGGACCAAAACAACCGTTTGAACCAGTAATTTGATCTTTAATTCATCACCAACGTTCTCTCTGGTCGGTATGGTTGCACCATCAACCACTTCTTGATATACCTGAAAAAGCCTGCATATCTCGATACAACGATGGCGTTTATCGCCTATTGCGAGAGTAACCACAAAACACTCATCGCGGACGCTTGCCACATCTCCCCTTGAACTCATCGCTGCCATGCGGGTAAAGATATTCTTACATACATACATTGGACCGGCTAGCTCTGGGCCGTAGGCCAAGCCTTTCGTATCCTCATAAGCCCATCCCATTGGTGTCGGGCCCGTCTCCAGCCGACACCTTTCTTGCTCAAGATTAATAAAAGCGAAACGAAAAATGTGCAAAGAAGTGAAGACAAGAAATGCCTGAATCGGATCGAGCATAGCCTACTCCTCTTCCGAATCACTGTCCTCACTAGAATTGCCTGGTCGCTGTTCCTCGTCTTCAGGCACAGGCTCCTGACTATTGCTGCCCTGGCGTTGGAACTGTGCCTTGAGCTCTCGCAACTGCTCGATCTTACGTTCTTGCTCATCCTTATTCATTGGCTTGTTCTTCCTCGGCTTCGAAGGGTTGGCAGAGTGACCTGGCGATTGCGCCGGCTTCTCAACTTTGCTACTGCTGCTGTTGTTGCTAAATTCCGGTCTCTTGGACACCGTAGCGTAAATATTGGGGTAAGACTTGTTGATCAATTCAAACAGCCGGCCAAGAGCATCCTGGGAAAGCACCTCTATGTCAAGCTCTAGTCGGCCATCATCGTCCTCTTTCTGGTTGGTGTCCTTCTTGATAATGTCGACCGCCTTGTCCAGGGTAGGACCGTCAAGCTCGCCGATACCATCGGTGATAACTTGCTTCTCCATCACTCCGATGTGTCGCTTCTTGCTCGAAGGCTTTTTGCTGTTTGCAGGACGATTCTTGCTTGTAGCACTCGCACCCCCAGTGGTCTTCTTGTTGGCAGACCCTCCAGCACCCTGAGAGGCGCTGGATTTGGCCTTGCCCTTGGAAGTCGGCTTCTTTTGCGTCTTGGTTTTCTTGGAGCTGCCGACCTTCGACTTTTCCTCAACAAGTTTTCGTTGAAGCATGGAAACGACGTTTTGTTGAATTTCAATCATGGTCATATCGGGCTTCTTCGCACCAAGCATGTCGTTCAACTTGTTCTGTTCTTCAAGAAGCCTTGACTGAACATTGCGAACTGACTCAGAGCTGTCCTCCTCAACCTCGCTGTCCGCTTCAGACTCCAGGTCACTAACCTCGGGGCTGGCTGCGGAAGCCGTGGCTGAATGTGCTGATGGCGGATAGTTTTTGCTCATCCAGTTCTCCTTCTCTGCAACCTTTTGCTTGAAAAGCCCCTCCAGCTCTTGAGCACATTGCGTCACAAGCGAGATTCCATTGAACAATTCCGAGTTAGCCACAATCTGTCGCATGTCCTTTTCTACTTCTTTACCACTGCGATACTGTCCGTCTTCAAGCTTCTCGGTCATTGTCTTGAGGTCCATTGGCTTTTTGATGACGGAGAAATAGTTAGGGATGTTGAGAGCTACCGGATCAACTGGCTCAAGGAACCACTGATTCTGAGTCCAATACTTCTGTTTCTTCAAATCTCCCAAAACGTCAGCATAGAACTTCATTTCGGGTTCGAGCTTCTTCTTTCGAGAGTTTTGGGCACCATAATCAGGATCACGATTCTTGGGAGGGTGTATAGGGCGCTTTGGACGATCCCCATCGTCGCGCGTTGAGTCCCGGCGGATCTGGGGCACACCATTTGGCGGCAGGGCAAAGGCCGGAGCAGCGTTGGGAGTAGACGTGCTTGCTATGGCAGCCGCAGCTTCTGCTTTAGGTTTCGGGCTCGTGGCGGTCGCGCGGGGTTGAGATTGTGATTGACGCCGAGGCTGAGTAGCGGCGCGGTGTTCCACATGACGTGTTGGCTGTGCCTTGGCCTTGTCAGGTTTGCTTGGTTCTTCCAACTTTGAAACCTCGCTCAACTTTGCAAACAAATCGTTGCGTACACGAAAAGCAGCTATGCTGATGGCATTGGCGGCACCATTGTACTTGTAAGAGTTCTCGTACAACAGTCGGAGATCAGCCTTGAAATCGCCGAAAGTCGCATACTTATTATCGCGGAGTTTGGCCTCAAACAGGGAGAGATCCACCGGATTCTTAATCAACGCCTTGTAATTCTCCCAGATGCTTGTCCATAGCCTCTCGACAGAACCGCGGAAGTGCATGCCGTTCTTCGTCTTTTTGACCCTTGCTAACTCTTTCCGAATCTCCTTGCCATGGAATTCCTTGAGAGGTTTTTCGTTGGGAATGTCGTCGACAAGATTGTCAACCTCGCCATCCGGAGCTGGAGATAGTACGGAGGAAGCGACGCCGATATTATCGCCGACTTTCTCTGTCTTCGGTTCTACTGGCTTCTTCACAACCGAGTCAAGCTTCGTCCGTTTCGCCGACGGCTCGTCCTCCTCATCGAGTGAGCGCTCTCTAGACACCTTGGCAGGAGATGCAGCACGATCAGGCATGGGCTCATCCTTGTGTTCCAAACCTGGGGACTTGATATCGAGCTTGGCGACATCCGCTGACTGGCTAATCTCTTGTGGCGAAGCGATCGTAACATTTTCGCTCACAGCAGATGTATTCTGTGTACTATCGGCATGCTCAATGCTCGAGGATAAGTCGGGCCGCTCAGTTGGCGTATCGACATCCATTGTTTCATCAGCTGCTGCTGCGTTGGGAGTAGCAGATCGCGGCGGACTTGCGGGCGCCTGTACAGCGCTTTCGTCTTTCGTTGCAGGCGCATCTGGCGACGTTTGCTCCTTTGCACCATTCACGTCTTTCATCTCGCTGTCTTCTGATACCGGTTCCTTGATCGATTCTTCGGCCGCAAGCTCAGCCGGCGACGGCACTGATAATTCGCTGTTTGCCGCGAATGCTTGTTGATTGATTGTCTTGTCCGGCGATGGTGATTTACCATTGGTCTGAGGGACTTCCCCTGACGGGGAATGACTGAATAGCAACTGTGTCAGAAGCTTGGGTTGGAGCGCATGCTAAGAGAAGGGTTGTACTCACCCATTCACCACCTTTACGACAGGTTCGTCAACAACCATATCATCCTTCTCAGGCGCAACACTGTTGATCTTCTGATCAACAGATATGGTTTGTGGTTGTTCACTTGCCATGACTGCCATTCAGAAAGATGCGAGAGTGATTTATAATATGGAAAGGTACTCGCAAGGTCTCGACATGAACCTGTTCATATGCCATTAGCAATCAGAAGACCTATGACATGGATGATGGGTAAGAATTTCCCCCAAGGATGGTGAATAAAAAACGAACAGTCGACGGGCACACTCGTGATCCGTTGAGCCTGATGATGCATGAGCGGCAACTTGCAACAACTCGCAGCAACAGTGCCTCGGCAAGGCACGATAACGGACCTCAAACAGCGTGGCGCATATCATTCCTTGACCAAAACGCGCCTGCCACACGGCATGGGAAGAACAAAGTACCCAAAGAAAAATAAAAAGTCAAATACCAAATGTAGATGTGAAGATTGACTCTGGATTGTCCTCGCGCAACTTATGGCAGGGAGACCAATATGCACTCCTTCCAGCCTTGTGAATTGCGATGAGTGTTTCAGCAGGATCGACGGTTGGTGGTTGGCCAATTAGAAGAGGGGCTGGAAGAGCGCATCGCAAAGGCGCGTGTCAATGCAGGAGGCGCGAGACAGGCTACCCTATTTATTCAAGCCGGGCTGATTCCGTCCAGCTAAAAATCTGCACCATCCATGCTTCTAAGGTGAAATTAGAAGCTAGGGTAGAGGCATGGCTTCAGGATGGTTCGTGCGCGATCGACCGAAAGGAAGCTGCACTATTGAAGCCACCGACGAATAGGAACGCGCACTCCAAGATTGCAGTCGGCAGACGGACGGCGTGGGTCTCTGAACGGAGTGGACGGCCGGTGTGGTTTCGATGCGCCGCGGCCGGGTCCCATGTATGGACGGCTTCAAGGAGAGTTTGCGCGAGTGCAGTGCCACGAGGGTGTTTCCAGAGGGCTTGCTAACGTACATGGATCCGAGGAGATGATGGAGAGGTGTATGAGAACGAGAAGAGCCTTGCTCTTGGCGAAAACGAAGCTGCCAGAGAGCAGAAAATGGAAGATAAGAAATGACCACGCGATATGATGTAGTGCGACATGAGAGATGAAGATATTTACCTGGCTATGTTGACTATGCGAAGTAGCGGACGCGACAAAGATTGGATTCAGCTGCGATATTACGCGACGACGATGTCGTGATAGTGAGGCGCGAAGATGTTGCACTGCAATGAACTAAACAAGCGTTTGTGCTGCTGCAACAAATCGTCTTTTGGTGCGTTGAAGTAAATCAGACCAAAAAAAAAAAGGGATTTGGTGGTGGGACGGGTGCAGCGACGACGAGAGTGGCGATGGTTTCGTGACGGTTGGCAGGTGTCACAGTTGGTGTTTGACGGGTGCGGCGCGTTTCAATGTATGAACAAATGCCGTTTCGGGTGAAGGATCAAGAATTAAGCTCTAAATCCTAGAAAAGGACAGATGCGCGTAGTGGCGGTGCACCTAAAAGCTTGCCAAATGGGAATATGGATGGATCTTGGAATAAGATGCGGAAGGTACGAAGGTACTTGCAAAAAGGTTGAGATAGTATTGTCGGGTTCTGGCTCAACTTTTGCGACAACCGAGATTCGCGAGGTTTCTAAAAACAATCGGTGATGTCGGAGGTCTGGGACACTTAAGTGGCGAGGGGTGGTTGGGTTGGGTTGGGATTGGTAGGAGGGGCCTAGAGAGACAAATGACGAGCTTGTTGCTGGTCGGGAGTCGGGTATTTGGGGGGAAGGAGTGCAAGTCAAGGGGAAAAAAAAAAAGTCAGGAAGGAGAGGCAAGGTCTCGAATTGAAATCGGGCGGAACGGAGAATCGCGACTTCTTATTTGTAAAAACGCGCCAAAGCGCGCTGGGCAAATCACTGTCAAATCAGCGCTCTCCAAACCCAACAAGGCCCTGTCGCCTTCAAGAACAGTCCTTCAAAGCCCCAAGGAGCTCTTTTTTTCTTCTTAGGACAAGGGCTGCCTCGACGCCACCGTTGTGAGTGGTTGTAATGGTAGCGCAGCAGCCAATCATTTTCCACAGAGCAGATAAAGGCGGGTCGCCTCGAGACATGGATGGGTGCATGTGGGTAGCTTGCTGCTTGACCGGGATCGCAGAAGATCAAGCGTCAAGAGAGGTTGTGGAAAGTCGCAGGTTCAGGCATGCCATTTTGACACTTGGTAAGAAAAGGCGGAGGGAAAAGCACTTGCTTTGAGGTTGGGCGCAATCGCCGACAATCATTACAAGTAATAGCTGGAAGCTCTGGAGTTTCCCAGCACAGTACCTACATAGGCTGCCGCCCGAGTTGCTGTAGGGACGCGGCACGCGATGCGCTATGCGGAAAAAAAAAAAAAAAGAGATCATGAGATGTTGGCCTCAGGCCACCATTTGCACTCTCTCCCCAGCCGTGGCCAGGTTTCACCGAGCCTTCCCACAATGCTCACCTTACATACCTTGGGTATCATATGTACGTGACTCATCGCTGTTCAAGTGGAAGGCAATTTTGCCGTCGCAAGGCTAAATCATCTGGTGGGAGAAATTATTGAGAACTGACGACTGTTCTGAAGCCGGAGAACTGCCATGAGGTTTTGCTCCTCGCAGTATGAATATGTAGAAGCTCGACGTCTCTGAAGATTCGTATTGTATGCAGACTGGGGGAGGAAATAGAAACTTATTAAAAAATGAAAATAAAAATAAAAAAGACCTCCACCAAAGACAATGTGAGCACAATGTTTTGCTTAGTTAGACCGAACGCCTGAGGGGTGCCAGTGCATGCCCGTGGGAAAGGACAGGGGCACGTGCCACTTCTGATCTGGCAAAGACGCACAGGTTCTAGACAGAAGCCAAGCCTACACAGAAGCTCAAGATCGCTACCACGGAAAAACCTACCACCGAGGGCGGTCCCTGTCAGGCCAGGAACTAAGGCATCTGATTTTTGAATTGGCGCTACTGTTATCGATACAAAAAAAGTTAGAGAAAGTTGGGGGACTCTTCCGCCTCGAACAGAAAAATTTCGGGAGATATATCGTATCGAGCCAATGTACAACTGAAAATCACCTTCGAGTAGCCCCAAAGTTGCGGCCAGGATCGGGGCGTACACACCTCTGCTGTTCGCAAACAATTCGCAATTCGGAACTAGTTGGGCTCCATTGGCTCTGCCGTGTCATCTCGCCACACCTGCTCGACCGACCTCTTCTTCACCTTTCCACCCCACATTGACACTATGGCAACGAAACGCAAAGCGCCAGCCAGGATCGCTCAGCCGGTCGTCAAGCAAAATGCGAAGCAGACGCTGAAGGCAAACATCAACGAGGCAGACACCGCTGTTTCCGGGCTAATGGGCGCGGATGGTGTGGCTGGCGATGTAATAGAAATCTCGAGCGATCCTGACAGCAGCGAATACGAGTTGTCCGATGACGAAAACAGCAGCAAAGCCGCAGCCAAGGAACCGAAGACACAAGGGACGGGAAATGCACAAGCCTCCAATGGCGATGCGGATACAGAGATGCCCTTGATCAACGGGCCCACGGATGATGCCGAGTCTGATCAAGAGCTTGCTTCGCCCACATTCGGCGATCTTGTCCGTGCGAATGAGACAATAGATGTGCCTTCAGCCCTCTCAGCTGCACGACCTTCAGCTCTGACCGCGCCTGGCAAATCCATAGTGCCGCCGAGCTCAGCCTCGCTGGGCACAGTGCTGTCTCAAGCCCTGCGAACCGACGACGCAGATTTATTCGAATCCTGCCTCCACACCACCGATCTCCCTACCGTGCGCAACACCATTCAGCGCCTGGATTCTTCTCTAGCAGGCAGTCTGCTCACCAAATTAGCATCGAGAATGCACCGGCGGCCTGGTCGAGCTGGTAGTTTGATGACGTGGGTGCAATGGACTTTGGTGGCACACGGAGGCGCGTTGGCAACACAACCTGGTCTGGTAAAGCAGCTCAGCGAGCTCAACCGAGTCTTGGAGGAACGATCACGAGGTCTCAGCTCACTGCTGGCCCTGAAGGGAAAGCTGGATATGCTGGAGGCTCAGATGCAATTCCGGCGCAGTATGCAACAGGGTGCGGACTCGGATGATGATGAGGACGCGGATGGTGAGGAAGGTGTTGTTTATGTGGAGGGAGAAGAGAGCGACGTGGATGTCGACGCTGAAGACGTCGACATGGATGATGACTTGGTTGGTGCCAGTGGTCTCTTGGACGATGAGGCTTCCGAAGACGATGACGAGTACAGCGAAGACGACGAAGACGACGCAGAAGTCATTGGCGCCGAGGAGCCTCTGGACGAGAATGAGGTTGATCATGATGACTTGGACTCGTTAGGGGAGGACGAGGATAGCGAGGTGGAGACGGCTCCTCCAGCGAAAAAGGGGCGTAGGTGAGGAACCAATTCAAGCCAGACTCAGAGCATAGGATTGGAGAACGGACTGTATAGATGTGCTTAGGAAGCGATACCCGCCAACATCTTGCCTCAAGCAAGTAGACATTCTCACCGCACACAGGCCGCCGGTGAGCACCGGTCATGAAATTTGCAAGTGGTGTTTCGTCGTGATACACCTAATTAGCAGGTTGTCGGATGTTGCTGCGCAGTGACTAGAAGCGATAACCTCTTCAAAAAGTGTGGGGGTCGGGAATGTTTCTCGTTCTCGGACACCAACGTTTTGAGCGACAGATATGCTGAGATCATGTAGGCAGGGTCTGTCTTGCTAGTCTAGATACAAAGAATCATTCAAGGTGTTCATAGGTCATTATACACGGACTGTACCATTTGAACTCTTGGCTAGTTCTGTGGATTCAAGTAATAAGTGAGTAGGGTAGATTGGAATACTAGTCCAGCTCATGCTATGATATTCCAAGTCAATAGCAAACTTTACTCTGTACAGCAAGCACATGTAACTTGTACTATGTAGACAGCACCAGCAAGTCCAGCTCCAGCTCCAACTCTCACGGGCTCTAGGTTAAGTTAGTAACTTAGTCCCTGTCCCAGTTTTAGTGCCGAGCGGCTCTGGCCCCCACGCTGTAAATGGAATCAATTGGCTGCATTGGATTGGTCTCTCGGCGCGTCATTGGGGGGACTAAAACTACCTGAGGTACTATGTAAACCTACTGTATATGTATGCACAGGCTTTGCGCATGCTTTTGTCTTCACGAACCGCGTCTCGGTTCAGTAATTTGGACAGCGCATATTTTGGGTCTTTGTCGCACTTCTGCTTTCCGGCATCTAAAACAATCTGACAGCGCGAATCCGCTTGCTATAGGCGTGCCCATATGCCAGCATGGTCGAGTGTCCCATCTGCAGCAAACCGGTCCAGTCCGTCAAAATCAATGATCACATCGATTCGCAGTGCAAGGACTTCGTGGTCGATAGCTCCTCGACGGCGCCGGCCTCTTCTTCGCCGCCAGCCCCTACGACACAAAACGGCTTCTTCTCCTCACAGAAACGACCGGCCGCGAGCTTCTTTCACACCCCGGCCTCAAAAAAGCAGGCGACACAAACAGCCCGACCGACACCTTCCAAAACCCTACAGCCTGTGGTGAACGGTGCCAAAGAGACGACCAAGCTCAACGGGGGTACCAAGAGAAGATTCGACGACGACGATGGACCTGGATATGGACAAGGCGAGGACTTGCCCATGCCCGACGCAAACGGGCAATTAGATATTGCCCCCGTAGCCGAGGCGGGGAGAGTAATAAAACGGACAAAGACGAACAGGGCTGCACCACTTGCCGAGCGCATGCGACCGCAAAACTTGAACGATGTGTTCGGCCAAGAACTCGTTGGGCCACGAGGTGTGCTGCGTTCTCTGATCGAGTCCGATCGCCTACCCTCGATGATTCTTTGGGGAGGCAGTGGCACAGGCAAGACGACCATTGCAAGATGTATGGCACAGATGGTCGGATCAAGATTCATTGAGCTAAATGCTACAAGCTCAGGGGTTCAAGAAGTCAAAAAGCTCTTCAATGAGGCAGAAAACGATCTCAAACTCACGGGCCGGAAAACCATCATCTTTTGCGACGAAATACATCGCTTCAATAAAGCGCAGCAGGATGTGTTTTTGAAGCCCGTCGAGGCTGGAACAATCACACTCATCGGCGCCACGACTGAGAACCCGAGTTTCAAGGTCGTCAGTGCTCTACTGTCCAGATGTCGCACTTTCACCCTACAAAAGCTCACGACGGCAGATGTCGGTAAAATCTTGCATCGGGCTCTGCAAATGGAACTATCCAGCTCTTCGATACCTCCTTCACCCCTATTAGACGAAGAGCTGCTCACATATCTGGCAAACTTTGCTGATGGCGACGCCCGTACGGCCTTGAACTTGCTGGAGCTTGCCATATCCCTTTCAGCCCGGGAGAACACTACAAAAGCCGACATCAAGGCCTCCTTGACCAAGACACTAGTTTACGACCGCGCAGGCGATCAACATTACGATACCATCAGTGCTTTTCACAAGTCCGTTCGCGGGTCGGATGCGGATGCGGCACTCTACTATCTGGCTCGGATGCTGCAGTCCGGAGAGGACCCGCTCTTCATCGCCCGCCGCATGGTTGTCATTGCTTCTGAAGACGTTGGACTCGCAAACAACGCCCTTCTGCCCTTGGCCACGGCTGCTTATACAGCAACGCAACAAATCGGCATGCCTGAAGCTCGAATACCTCTTGCGCATTGCGCTGTTGCATTGTGTCTCGCCCCAAAATCCACCCGAGCATACAGAGGTTTAAACAATGCGTACGCCGCTCTGAGGGAACCCGGTGTTGCGGGTCTCCCGGTCCCAATCCATCTGAGAAACGCACCGACGAGGCTCATGAAGGATTTAGGCTACGGTGCAGAATACAAATATAACCCCAACTACAAAGATGGCAAGGTCAAACAGGATTACCTGCCTGACGATTTACTCGGGAGGAAGTTCCTCGAAGATCGTGATCTTGGCACAACAGTCGATCCAGATTTGCCGGAGGAGGATGGGGAACGCAGTGAGCCGTAGCGAAGAGGCTATTTGGTATAGAGAATATATGCGTCTAGGAAAATGCATCGGCACACAGGACCGTGTGCTTTCGGAGTTTTGGCATGACAATCCACATTCTGGAGGTTTTGGTTCAGACATGCATAGCGAGATACCATGCCTCAAGGCACCATAAAAATAATGAAAGGAGATAATAACAGCGCAAGTATTCTGTGGTGGTGTGCCAGGTTATGTGGAGAATACTCACTGGTGTGGGAGTCTTTTGCCCTTGTTCAAGCTTGTTTGTTCGATGCAGTAGGATGAACAACTATTGGATGAGCAGGTTCTTTTGTCTGCCACGAGAGATGTCACACATAACATGATAGACACATCATGTATGGCGATCAATAGTAGTCTATCGATATGGAGAGTGATGTAAAGGTGAGGAACAGAGCTAACCTTTGTTCCACTGAAGGCTGCCTAAAGTGGTTGCCCTAGGTGTGTGTACCTGAGGCATCCACTATAACATGTATGTCTTCTCTCGCCGTTCTATCTTCGAGTTCAAGTCAATGACATTTGTTATATGGTTCTAGGATGTCCCTACTAATTCTTCTGAGGAGACCTCCAACAACTTTAGTAGTTGTAGTGTGGCATATAGACCAGAAATCTAGTCCTCTTCTCTTGATGAAAGGACTTTCCCCTGTCTCTTTGGGCCCAGTAATCGCATTCTTGGGTACAATATGGTCCTGGTATGTATCCTCGAGGTCTCCTATAGTGTATTTCTTTTCTTTCTCTTTTTCAAATCTGCCTACAGTCACTGGCATCATGTCGATATTTGTCGTGGTCGAATCAAGTCTAGTTTTTATAGTGTTCTGCAAAAAGGCTTATCGCTCTGCCCTAAGCTAATCCATACCATAAAACCTAGGCAGTACGGCTAATGTATTGAAATTGTTTCTCTCTGAGGTCGGGAATGTAGAAGACATCTATTTCCTATGCTCTTCCAGATTCATTAGTAAAAAGTTTTCCACCCTCGTGTGCTCCCTGGCCATTAAAAGGGGTTGGCGGATGCTCATTGGCTGAGAGGGACCACGATGCTTGGCACGTGCGCTGGAAGCGATGCATTTCCACCAAAGCAGGTGTGCGACATCGTTGATCACGTTCAAGCGACACGGCCTAGAAGGCAGAAGAATACCCTGGCACAACATCGTCTTTGGAGAGATATGTCAATCTTGAACACGAAAGAACAAACGTAGCAGCAGAAGCAGCAAACACCTGAGCTAACACATCATGGATTCTTCGCCAGCTGGCGATCCACAGCCATACGTCCTCGTTGAGGTACCCCAAGGCGTGACACCAGAGAGGTATCAGGACGGAGCGAACGAGCTCGCACTGCCGACCGTCCCACCGAGGTCTCTTTCAGCACCACCAGGCCCGGTTCCAGAAAGGAAGCCTTCAGCTCACGAAACAGGAGGGCTGCCACTAGTTGCAGCGGTTCCGTCGCAGCAATCGCCTGACGGATTGACTTCGCCTGGTGAGGAAACAGAGAAGGAAAGCCACTTTGCAAAGAGGTTTATGGGCAACATGCTCGTCGCCCGTCTCGGACGCGCTGGCGTGCAGTCAGTGACGTCTACCATGAAACTGCCGTTGTACCTATCGCCCTGGGGTGATAATAATCCGTTCGTCCTTCCGAACCTTCGGAAGCGCGATCTTGCTCTGGCGGGAGTAATGCACTTCGGAGCCGACGCCTTGATTGGTAGTTCCCTGACAGCCGTCGAGACCGTTGTTCAACATGGCGCCACTTGGACAGCTGAGCAGAGCATGGATCAAGGTTATGACAAGATACGAGGCGGCAGCAGGCCTCACAGCGTGAAACGTCAGGCCGGATTGACCAGTGTTGAGGTTAGGATCAAGCACAAGTTGATCGGAGAAGAGGCGACCCTTAGATTTTTCGAGTCTAGAGACACCGCACATGTTTTGAGTTGCGCTAGAGGATGGTTTTGCCCCTATCTATATTGCTCAAGTCGGGTATCTCAGTTGTCGAGAATGAAAGATTTCACGGTGGTGGAAGTCATGGGACCGGGATTGAAAGGTGAGCTGGTCCAGTTGGTCCCTTGGTTGTCAATCGCTGACTGAAATCCAGCTGATGCCGCGCTGGCGCCTACACTGTTGTCATGCATCACTAATGAGGATGCACCAATCTGTAGGTTGGATGCAGGTGAAGATGCTGGGACAACTAGTAGCCATTACAAGCGACTGGGGATTTTCTTCATGGGCATTTCACCGTATCGCACGGCTTCGACATGGTCACAGGCTAAGGTGCCTGGTGAAGCAAGAATCCGCTTTCACCTTCTCACTCACATTCCAGCAATTGTCATACCTATCAAGTCGTCAGCGCCTGTGTGCGCCTGGAGTCCGTCAACGCTGGATCAGATGCTCAATAGTAGAGAAGAGTACAATGATGAAGTTCACCGAGATGGTATTCTTCGGTATCTGGATACTGTTATTGACGTTTCCTACATGAGGGTTCAGAGTCGAGATACCTGGCGGCTAGAACTTTCAGCTGCATTGGACCAGATACTAATTGGGACGAAAAGTATTCCGTCGGCCCTGGGCTCGATCGCGGATGCATTTTCAAACGAGCATGGCGGCATCGTCATGTTCAGGTTTTAGAGAAGAAGAAAAAATAATAATACAATTTGGTTTCAACCAACCAACAACGCCATTAAAAGGCTACGTTCTATCTATACTCTATGTCTATTATTATGCTTGTTATATCACTATAATCAGAATTTCCACCTCCCCAGATAACGCCACGATCTGCCAGAGGCTAATAAAGAAAATTGTCCGGATATTAAATTATTCGGCTTTCTTGGAAGTCTTAGTTCTCAGTTTCATCAAAGCGTAGACCAACGCGTATGAGCTGAAAGCGAAGATGACCACTATTCCAGCATCGCGCCAGCCGTAGGAATATGTGTTGAGATTGAGTGTCCTCAGGTAGTCACTACCATCGCTGTACTGACACACCTTGCACCCTGATGTGGCATCGGGGTTGACGAGGTTGCTGGCCGATCCAGCACCCATCATATAGTCAGCGAGGTATTGCGAGCATGTCGTGCCGTTCGGGGGGTCGAAAACAGCGAACTCCTTCTCGGCACAGTGAATCGGGGTTCCCCAGACATCAAATACGAGCATTGAACCCATCAAATAGTTGAACCTGTGTTAGGGATCATCCCAGTTAGTTACCGTTTTCATGACGAAGGAGAAGGTAGTTTCAGGATACGTACGGGTTGAGGTAGTACATCCAGTATTTCCAGAAAACCTGAAGTTGGGAGTATGGCACCAGAACACCACAGAACGAGACCAGGACACCAATAAAGACCGGGTTGGCGAGAGAGGCAAACACGGCATTCGGTGCGTAAGCTGCAATGAACTGACCGATACCGGTGTAGACGAACTCGTACATAAGCATGACGAAGAAGGTAGCACCGGCACGATTGGAGTCGTTAGGAAATCCAACAGTGTAGTACCAACAGACAAAGTATAAAACCGCGCAGATGCACAGGTAGGGGAACTCGGAGAAGACGAGGCCGGTGACGAAAGCTACCCAAGAGTACATTTTAGACTTCTTCTCGCGGGTCTCGAAGATGTCACGTCGCTCAATGAAGAGCGGCTGAAGCTGATTGATAACACCAGGTGCAACGAAGATAAAATTGAACACAGTGAAGAGTCGCATCTGCAAATCACTGATCGTGTCGCCAATCATCCAGAACGAGAATCCGTTCATTAGTGCTGACGAGATGTGAAGCGCGAATTTGTTGTTAATGTAATCGGTGTTACGAAACAGGGCGGTGTTCATTCGCTGCGTGACGATTGTAATTTGGGACCATAAGGGCATAGCGAACTCATGCCCATCATCGACTGTTCCTGGAGGCTTGGCGGCCGCGTCGTTGATCATGCGATCAAGCTCCTTCGAGACTGCATCGTGCTCGGGCGAATCCAGCCAGATCTGATTCCAGTCGCGCCCTTGAGAAAGATGACCAGAAACAACATCAATCATATGCTCCGCCGGGTTGGCTTCTTCGGGACATGGCGCACCAAATCTGCCGAAATATTCCTTGACGGTCAACGCGTTATCACCAATATCACCGAAGTACACAGTCTTTCCACCCTTTGCGAGAAGAAGGAGTGTATCAAACTGAGCAAACAGCTGAGCAGAGGGCTGGTGAATGGTGACCAGAACAGCCTGACCAACATCTGCAAGTTTGCGCAAGAATCTGACAGTGTTGAAAGCCGATTGGCCATCCAAACCTGATGTCGGTTCATCCAGAAAGATGAGGATACTTGGCTTAGATACCAGCTCAACTCCGATAGTTACTCTTTTCCTTTGCTCCACGGTCAGACCTGCCCCCACTCGGCCAATGAGAGTGTCAGCAAGGTCATGGAGCTCGAGCAGGTCAATAATTGTGTCAACGTATTCTAGCTTTTCTTCTTTGGAGACAGCTCGGTCTTGTCTCAGTAGGGCTGAGAACTCTAAAGCTTCACGCACCGTGGCGAACGGCTCATGAACATCAAGCTGTTCACAATACCCGGCAGAACGCTGGAATGATACAGGTAAAGGGCGACCGTCGACTAGAACAGATCCGTGGATAGTACCTTCTGTCTTGCGTTGAGCCAGAACATCAAGCAACGTAGTCTTTCCAGCGCCAGACGAGCCCATCAATGCGCCAAGCATCCCCGGCTTAACCCAGCCTTGGACGTCATCTAGAAGGACACGGTCGCCGGATGGTGTTTTGACAGTGTAAGTAAGGTTCTTCCAGGTAAAGATTGATGTGTTGCGGATGAGATTGTCAGCAACTGAACCCTGATCGGGGGTCGCTACAGCGGTGTTGTCGCCACTGCGATCTCTACTACTTGGTATGGCCTGTTTTTCCTGAACTTGAGATTCTGGATCCATCTGTAAGGCGCGGGCAACCTTGGCTTTCTCACGAGGAATAAGAAGCGAAGGGCCACCTTCAGCCGCGGAACGCCAGCGACTGGTCATCACAATAGTAATCGCAACAAATAGTGCCCACCATGCCCAGACAATGCCGAAATTTCGCCACAAATGAGCATGACTGTACGACAAGGAAGCCAAGTATGCATCGCCAGACACCGAGGTTGCGCCTTGAACTGCACCACCTACGCCAGCACAAGACATGTGCAGGGGATCGTCGTAACCAGCGCCCATGGGAACAATGTTGGTACCGACACAAGGAATCGTTTTGCCATGAAATTCGTTCGACAAAAGTGCATTGAATGCATATGCCAGCGGGTCGATCCAATATATCCAGACGAACCAAGGGTGCATCTGAGGCTTTTGGATCATATAACCGGTGTACCTGAATTGTAGCGTGAGAAAAAGATTACAATAAAATAGTTCATAGTGTCGTGCGGCCGGAGAGCTTACATGATGGCTAGTGCAATGACGAGACCGGAAACCTTAGATGCACCATCAAAGGTCGAGAATGAGGCACCAATGGAGCGGAACATGGCGGTCATGCACTAAAGCAATATTAGTCAAAGCTGTGCCATCGAAGAAAACACTTTCTTACCATTGTCGTCGCCAGAAGAATAACCCAATAGGTAAAGAAGATACTAGCTGACATGGTCAACCCAACCATGAAATACAGCACTATAGAGAAAATTGAGACCTGGAACAAGATGACCGGAATATCTGCTGCAATCTGAGCGATGCAAAATGCAGCTGGGTGGAAGTAGGCGAAGTGTTTGTGCTTGACCAGAACCGGCCGGCCACCGAAGGATTCCGTAACCTCAGACATTGACAAGAGAGAGTTAAAGAGAAGGGAAAAAAACAGAGCTCCAGATTTGACAAAAAGACCCCCGGAATTGTTGGGCGCGTTGTAGAACAACGAACCCGCGATGAGAGCTTGCGCCAATGTCGAGATCTGTTTGATGAGGAATGTAGCTTTGTCTCCCCATATGATTTGATATTGACGAGTAACACATGCTTTCACCTGCGTAGTGAAACTGACCGTCAATGGACTGCTTGCAGGCAATTGTTGATGTTTCTCGGCTGCCACACCCTCTCGAAACAATCTGGTATTTTCAATCGCTGCTTCTGTGTTTGGGAAGTCGTACTGAGAAATCATTTGAGAATGGATCAGTGACGCCTCATATTTCTCACGGAGGGTCTCTGGGTCCCGAGGAAAGGTGTTCTCGCAGCCAGAACGAATCTGCCGTTCTGTTGGGACACTAACACCAGTCAAGAAATCGGCAACGTTGGCTCCATCTTGGCACACAAATCCGAGCTCTTCCATGAAGGGTCTGGCTTCATTCATAGGACCGTAGTAGATTTCCTTCCCGGCATCAAGAACGAGCACTTTGTCGAAGAGCTTATAGATGCCATTGCCGGCCTGGTAGAGGGTCACAATGGACGAGAGGCCAAGGATATCCGTCATCGCTCGAATAGCTTTGGTATACTCCAGAGCCCTATGAGACAATTAGCACATTGCCAGAGGCTACTGCAGCACTTCGTGCTTTCTGTAGAGAAAATAATAATGAAAATCCTTTTTAGAGAACGATTAATTAGAGTCGGTACTTACGTGCTAGCATCAAGACCTCGTGTGCTATTGTCCCAGCAGAAGACTGAGCCTCGGGTCGCCATAGTCTCGATGATAGACACTCTCTTCCTCTCTCCACCTGAAACACCACGGACGAACTCATTTCCAACCTTCGTATCGAAGGTGTGCTCAATTCCCATGGATTGCAACAGAAAATCACGGGTTTCGATGCGCAATTCCTCATCAGATGCAACTCCGTTGGGAAGTTTTGCTGGGATCTTTAGTTGTGTCGCAAAATCCATAGTCTGGCCCACAGTCAGGGTCGGAAAGAATAGTTCTTCCTCTGTATTCATGACGATCTGGCCTCTGTACTTTTTGGCCTCCTTGGCATCCATTGACCCGTATCGGACATCGCCAGAGACTGAGGTGTACCCATCCCTTCGGTTGGCCAACAGACTCAATAGAGTTGTGCACCCGGAACCTGTTGAAATCGAAAGTTAAAACAATTGTCCATTGGGTCCAGTTATGCTCTGGCAGGAGGCCGCGCATATCTCGTGATATCTTACCTGGTCGACCTAGAACCAGCAACATCTCTCCTGGTTTCACGCAGCCATGTGTGTTGTCGAGGATTGTCTTCAATGGTGGTTTATGTCTCGACTCCTGAACGAGCTTGGGTATGTTGAATTGCGTGGCCACATTCTCGTGAATTGCTGCGTCGGCGCTGACAGCCTTTACTGTGAGGTTTTGCCACGTCACGCCTAGTTGTCGTGCATGAAAGCCAGAGCGCTCGTCTCTCTCTCTAACTGCAGCAACCTTTGGCTTGAGAGCCCATGCGTTGTCCTTCTCATCGTAGTTGGAGCGATCACTGTCGGTCAGAGTGCCGTCCGAATCCATGCTTGGGTCGTACAAGGTCTCCTCTTCTGGCGAAGAGCAAGATCAGTATGGAAGCAGTCGATTGGAGAGATGAGCTTGTTAAGGACAAGCATGGTCAGGAGAGCGGGTCGAAGGGATGATATATATTCTGAACCATTACCTCCGGGCATCTTGGTCGGAGCCACGGGGTCCTGGGCGTGGGCCGAATCCAATGATTGCGGGCCTTATGGATCATTATAACCCACAATGCTTATATCACTTTTATGACTGCGTATGGGACGAAACCAATGTCGGCGCTTCCAAGGCCGACGCCGCTTATCAAGAAGCCACATTAGGACATGTTCAACTAGTCCTATATCAAGCCAGATCCACGTCCTTGGGTGATTCCAAAGATTGTACAGGGGTGTGAGATCTCCGGAATCTCAATGAAACAGTTGAGATCTCGGTATCGGCATTGTTGAAAAGTCCTGTACTCGATAGCGATGTGGGAAATCTGTGGGTACTGCAACGACCGGGTTGTGATGAATGATTCGTTGGCATGAGCTCAAACCGCCGCTTAGTCAGAGATCTGCCAGCATCTCGGATATGATGGCGCTGTAGCTTGATTCTAGCGCAGCTAAGGAAGAAGGCTTAGCGCTCTGCCACTCCTCTCCCATGCTGGATCGACCCACTCAGAGGTCCTGCTGGGATCCATTATTCCATCCAGGCAGCCCATGGACATTTTTAAGTTTCATATTCTTCTAACGACAACCGGGAGTGCTTCCGCTTACTCAGCGGCGAGATTATGAATCATGCACCGAGCGACGACGCCAGTGTGGGCGTCAAGTCACTGAAAAATTTCGAGAGGCATCATCACTTCGGCCTTGAAAACGCGGTGATTGGGACAAATTTTTAGTTTTGTTTTTTTGGGAGAAAGACGAAGCGCATCACACGAGGCCCGTAGGTGAAGATGGAATCAACCGCCAAACCAAGAAAGAGAGCTTGCGACTCTTGTTATAAACGCAAGGTGCGCCGTCCATGCTCAATGGCGTCTGATCATGGTACTTAAACGACTTTTGTAAGATCCAATGCGACGGCGAATCTCCACAATGCAATTGGTGCAAACACCACGATCTTGAATGCACATTCGACCGACCAAAACGAGCGGCCAACAAAGTTACCAAAACTCGGAAGTGTGTTTTGCCACCTTGCAATTCATTTCAAGTGGCACACCTTATTGGATATTGAGCTAATTATATAACATTACCCAGAGAAGCCAAGGATAAGGGCCTATCTCAGCGAATCGAAAGGCTGGAACAGATTCTAGCTGAGAAGAGGAAACACGATTCCAGCGTCTCCAGTTCCTCCGCCGATGGCGGGTCAGGGGTCACTGATGCGGCGTCGCCTAGATCCCTGGGCTCTTCTCCGGCCCGCTTACTTGATCAGCCGCCCGGTGCCGATGTTGTAGGATCTTACGGCAAACTTCATTTTGCTGGGTATCAATTGGGCGAGATCAGCTCTTACCATGGTTTGCCATTGTTCTCCCCCAACGGTCAAAAGTGGATCGAATCTCGGACTGGGCAAGTCGGTGTCTTTCCCAATTTGGGTCTGCCCCTCTGGCATAATCCGCAACTTGGCCACGACGCTCTTCTTGTCCCTGCCTCGAACTTTGATTTACCAGACCGGCAAGTCACAGAGGAATATTTTTCGCTCTTCTGTAATAGTCCTATTCGCCTCGTCTTCCCCATTGTCGAGCCGGAGCTCTTCCTGAGAACCATTAACACCGCTTATCAACCTCCGCCCAAGATCCTATCCAGCGAACATGCAACAGCGAAAGCTTGCGTCTTCTCGTTCGTTTGTGTCGTCAATCTTTTTGAGCCACTGCCTGGTGTGCCGCTCCTTGATATCGACGCTTGCGCCTTGAAAGCACAATATTTACTTCCCCAGGTACTGATTGACGCAAGTATCGAAGTCCTCCAAGTTGCTTTGATGCAGGTAAGTGCAGATCATCTTACAACATGGTTAACGTACTCATTACCCGTGTCAGTGTATATATCATCTGTTTTCCGGCAAGTTTCAATCGGCCTCGATGTTTCATACAATGGCTTGTCGGATACTCTTCATGCTGGGCACCCACACCCATGGGACTGATCCCCTCGCCGCAAAACCGGAAGGGGAGACTGACGAATCATGGCGTTTAGAGTGTCACTTGCGCAAATATTTCTGGATGCTATATTCATTCGACAAGGACATAGCGCTTCGGTCTGGCCAACCGCCCGTCATCCCGGACGACCATTGCGATCTTACACTACCGAAAGGATATTCAAAAGATGCACGCGGATGGTATATTGATACAGCTGGCAATCCGTATCTGCCAGGCGACTTGAAACTTGCGATGATCAAGTCGAAAGCCGTACAGCGTTTGCATTCCATAAATGCACTCCGGAAGTCTGACGCTGAGCTACTTCGCGATGTTCGTGAGCTTGACGACGAGTTGGAAGAATGGCGTCTTTCCCTAGACCCAAGCATTCGCCCGAAGTTATCGTATCGCGCCGAAGAAGGTAAGGTGGACCGCAACACAAGCATTTCTCAAAAGATGCACTACATTATCACCAATTTTGAGTATCACTATCTCATGGCCACAATCCATCAGACAACAAGTCGTTGTCGCTCCTGGTACAACCGTAAGAGTGGTGAGATAGAGGGTGTGAGCTCTAGTCTCGCTCTATCAGTAGAGGCAAGTCGCTCAACCTTGGTATTTTTAGGCACAGCTGTGCGAGAATTGGCATGTGAGTCTTTCTGGTAAGTGGTCCCACCACACTACAACAACGAGCGTAGTTAAATACCTGTTAGGTTGATGATATTCTATCCCATCAATGCCGTATTGACAGTGTTCTGTAACATATTGCTGAACCCACTGGACACACGCGCAGAGGCCGACCTCAAGCTTCTTGGAACTGCTCCGGAACTCATCAAAACTATGAATTTTCGGCGACATACTATTGGTGAAGTCATACACATAAAGATGATTGAAGATTTTGTGGCAGAGTTAGTTAGGCTTGGGTCGTGCGCCATACAGAAAGCTCGACAAACCCAGCATTTCGAAGCACAGAACCCTGAAGAATTATGCCTAGGGGGTATACTTTAAGCGGAAATCTTTATCAACACAGCCTTTACGCCCCTCCGTCAAATCGACTTTCGCTCTACGTATATAGGGAGAATCTCCGCATCGACTAATGCCGACTATGATATGAGACTAGGCAAATGTATCATTCGAGTCGGTACGCATGATATACACGACTAGGTTAGTTACTACACTCTCATCAACCATATACGTCAAACTAACTAAAAATGAATGATTAGCACTTTCGATCCCCGTACCGAAGTTTGATCACTTTGGCACACACCATACCCATCACTAGATCCATAGTGTAGAGATGGTCGATCCTTCAGGGAGCTGCCGTCAATATTCTTAGTTCCCTAATAACTGGCTCCTTTCCTTGCTCGTAGCAAAAAATGCTACTGCGCGTATCTCGACGGGAACGGTTTGATCGGTCGAAAGTAAGTTTCGATTTCCAGAAAATGATTGCAGGCAAAGTCGTAGGGGTTACAGTGTGGGCCAGCACAATCCCACTGTACCTTGGATTTAGCGTGTAGCTCTATGTCATCTTGAAATTATTCAGCTGGGCTGTCTCGTCCAAGATTTACGACTTCCCAAGTGTCGTATGGAAGATCAAGAGATGCCGTTCGGTCGAACGATGGGATAATATTGGTTGGATCTGTTGTATTCATTATTGTGGTTTAAATAAGGAAAATATTAATATTCTGCAGATTCAAACATCCGTTTTGTTGTACAATTACGCCAGTTGAAACATCATGGATGACAGCTATGACAGGTTTTCCAATTTGCGTATGAGCTATGTAAATGATGATGAGATAAAAGAGTAGAAGTGTCGTACTGAGCCCATAGATCAAAACCTGCCCGGTCCACACATGACGGCTATTGCTTGATCGCATCCTGGCATACCTATCCTGTCAGGTCGACTTTGCGAAGAACAACCAGCCATTCATGTGATTTCAAGGCGTACAGTCTTTAGAAAACCCGCTTATACTGCCTTTCCCCGCACGATTTAGTCCTACTATCAAAGTGCTACCACCGTGCCATTTCCCCAGCAGTACAAGGAAGAAGTTATTAATCAAAAGTCAATCGTATAAATTTCTTTTTCATTGCCAGTACTCATGTCGCTCTATCCCCTTGCAAATATATCACTTAACTGTAGCAAATGATTCCACTTGTCATCCTTCTGAATTTCAATACTGTTTTGCGGTGTAACTACTTTGATCTCGTCAATACTTCGTGTACCAAAATCGTAGCGTTGATCGTTGTGAGCGAAAGCAATAAGTATATCTATCCATTCTTCCATCAACCTGAATTCTTTGACTGTGGGACCGTGCTGTATGGAAAAGCTATAGACTTATAATTAGCATATAACATCTGCTAGAAAAAAAAAATTAAAGGAAACAAAAAAAGAAACGGGAAGAAAAAAAGAAAACACCTTGGCTTACTTCCACCATGGCTTATCCATGGCATGAGATACACCAAACGATGCAGGCGCGACCTTCTCTGTAATAAACGACAGCCTTTTGGCAACTCGATAGCGCCAAATATCGCTTATCGGTACGCCGTGAGTAAAAAGATGTTGCACAAGACCTCTAGATGGAGCCCGGACTTGACCATCAGCAATGATTTTGCCAAAGACTTTCCGCCATTCCGATATATCGTCAGTTTTTGGCAGTTGGTAATGTTCGATGATGCGGTCTGTTGTTGCCGGCGCATAGTAGTTACCAATTTGTAAACGCAGGGCATCAAGGCTGGCTTCTTGCGGCGGATTGTAAGTTGCGTAAAGTGTTTCCTCATTCAAGACCTCGCCGATCAAGATCCGCATTTTACGCTCTTTGAAATGTGCTGCAAATCGACCGTCTTGCATATATTCAACCATACCGGAGTCTACGAAGAGGTCGTCCGTGACTGGCCGGAAAGTATGGTTCTTGAGAAGGTGGATTGCAGAAACCAACTCATTCCATGTCAGGGCCCGCAATTTCGCCAGCTTTTCGGGTCCGGAATCTGTGGCCGGGATATGGAAATAAGCACATATCTCGTCAAATTGTGGCTGAGACTCGGCCAAGGTCTTCGGCTGCGCGGGGATGGCATTCGAAATCATATAAAACCTGTGAAAGAGTTCTTCGTGTGGCTGAGCTCGTCCATGCCGGAAGTCATGGAGGACCTGAGCTTCTACACCATAAGAACCGGCACTTCGACCTCCAAGAGTGATGTTGTGCTTATCACCTCCGAAAAGCTCAATGTTTTCTTTGACCCATTGCATTGCTAAACGTTGATCCCATAGGCCATAGTTGCCCGCGCACTCGCCTGCGCTTTCAGCTGCAAGCTCTTTGGCAGCAAGAAACCCGAGTATATTGATTCTGTATCCAATTGCGACCACAATGGCGTTCATACCGCCTGTCGAGATCATTTCGGTGGGATCCATAGTCTTGTCTTGTGACGGATCTCCCAGTTGGAACCACCCACCGTGCAACCAGAGCAAGACAGGGAGTTTCCTCCTCTTGTCATCAGGCTTCGGCACAGGTGTCCAAATATTCAATATCAGACAATCCTCGGAGAATGCCTTTTCACTGTTTTGTTCGGGATTGGCACCAAAAGACTCTTGAGGACATACAGGCTTGAACTTCGTCGCGTCGAAAGAGCCTCCGTTAGGACCGCTAAATTTGTAGTGTGATGGAAGAGCTCTTGGCTTCCGCCATCTATGCTCGCCTGTAGGCGGAAGAGCATAGGGAATGCCAGCATAGCGAATGGATTTGGCATCGTACTGAAGACCTGTTACAGTCCCCTTTGAGCCAAGGTTGAGCTCATACTCCTTCGTTTCGTAAGAGATTGTGTTGCCCATCCTGTAGTGAGTTATTGTATTGTTGGAAGTTCAATTGATGCACTTGTGGCATTTCCCAATCCACGTTTGAATAGGAGCTAAAGGATTCGGTCGGATCACGGCTGAACCTATGAATCGAATCACATAATTGCTGCCGGAGTCTTGCTTAACCGGGGCCGCTCAGTCGGCTGTACAACAAGTACCGAATGTCGCGATTGCACGTAGGAGATGAGCAATGCAAGTTCAAGGGACGGATCTCGGATGCTTCACCCATCATTTCTTGGGTTGGTGTCCATTTCCACCAGTATATCCGCTGCAGGTTCACATTGCGTTATTTGTTAGGTAGACTTGCTTGGTCTGGAGGCTCTAGCCAGTTTTCAGCGCGTTCCGGAGCCGATCGCGGCGCTATTGCCCGAAACACCAGACGGCTTGGATTTGATAGTGGCTAGCGATTTCTCATACACAAAGCATCAGGAATCAAGCGAAAAATTGCGTCTCCTTACTCGCACATCCAGAAAATGAAATTAGAGCTACCGCAACAGCACCGTCAAAAGAAAAGTTCATCAACGAAGGGTAAGGAGTGAGCGACAGGGAAAGTGGAATTTTCTTATTAGATCTGCCATCGCTGCTATGGATGGAACTCCGTAAGGGCTTGAAATCCAGTATCTCAAACATTTTGATAATGTGTTGTCACAATGCATTAATCTGTTGCCTTTCCCTGCATTCTTTCTGTAAGATTATCGTTTAAACATGGGCAAAAACGGAAAGTATATTAATTTCAGATTGAGTGGTTCATTGAGGTGTAATTACTTGTTGCGGCACAATAAACACAATCCAACAAGTCATCCAGCGCTGATGTGGTTTTATGACATTTTATCGTGGAGAGAAAAGGTGCTCGGACATGACCAAGCCCAAGTGGCCTACTCTGTCAAAATCACACGCATTCTTCGCCAGGGCAACTGCATCACATCACGTCATTGACCGATGCGGCAAATCAAGCGAAGCACTGGTGGATGGGTGCATAACGCATTCAAGGCCATAACGGTTTCGTGATCAGAGCATAACGGGAAGCTTAACGTACAAATAGTCGTTCAATCGAACTCTGCGACCAACAAAATTGTGTCCCTACGAGACACGACCATTCATAATTTGACTCGGTCATTTCGAACCGCACCAATTTAATGAGAATGAGTCAACAATATGTAACACTCAGCGATGGGGCCAGGCTTTACGTCAAGCTTCTTGGCGGGAACAAGAGAGAGAAACCGCTAGTGATTGTTCTTCATGGAGCGCCGGGGCTTTCAAGTCATGCCGAGCCGGAAAGATCGTTCGGCTTTCTGCAAGATCAGTTCCGTGTGTTGGTTTACGACGCAAGAGGCAGTGGAACAAGCGACCAGAAACTACCTTATACCGATCAACGATGGGTAGAGGATGTTGACGAGCTCAGGTGAGTATCACTTTATCTCTGATAATGCTGCTATCGCGGCGTTGTCAGATGAAACCTCCAGATTTGGCTGACCTTAAGCAAGGTCTTGGGCAGGAGCTGAAAACATCATTCTCGCCGGGGGGTCTTACGGAGGGTTCATAGCTCTCCAATACGCATTATCCCATGGTAACCGCTTGTCGGCACTGATCCTTAGGGACACCTGGCCCTGGGGCGCATTGAGTACGTTGACGGTTCTGAAGACTATTTTAACATCAGACCGCATCAGCCCCAACCCGGATCGTCAGGTTCGCTTATGGTCTGGGACGCTACTTGACGATGAGGATTTCGCAGAGGCTTATAAGGAGATTGTACCTATGTATGCACCTAAGCCGCCCAAAACGCCAAAGGATGCCGAGGCAGTGGCAGACTTCGAGGGTGAGAAGGCAACGAAGAGGCCGGAAAATCTACATTCAGCCACGCAGAACGCTGCCTTCTCGTACAATGTGCCACGATTTGATGTACGGGACAGACTGAAAGATATCACGGCCGCAACGCTGGTAGTCCATGGCCGTCACGACCTGATTGTGCCAATTGAATATGGCAAACAGATCAGTGACGGAATTCCAAATGCGCGCTTGGTAGTATTTGAACACTCAGGCCATAGTCCTCCAACAGACGAGCCGGATGCATTTAAAACAAGCGTCAAGGATTTCCTGTCCTCGATTGGCCTCTGGGTTCGGGTGAGTGATTGAGAGAAAGCCATTCAGGCTTTGAGGGGCATGACACAAGTGAGTTGAGTGAGTTGCGTGCACAATCAGCATATTTAACAGATAGTCTGAGTAGACAAATGGGTGGCACTGGACTTCAAAATTGGCCAGATTATATAATGTATTTGGTTGTATCCTAGTGTAGACGGAATTACACAAGAAGACAAGACCATACATCACCGGTGTTTCCCAAGTGGTCACCCACCTGAGTACTAATTCAGCGCAGTATGGTAAGTGTACGTGAATGTTGTCCGTTACAGAGCGCATTAAACGGAAGGCAGGAGCTAGAGTTTAGCGTGGTGAACAGGCTAGGTTATGCGTTACCGTGTTACAGGCTATAGAAAAACCGACCCCTTCTCGCTAAGTAGATATGTCCTTAAAGCGTTAGTTTCTCGAATTTAAACCCTAATCTATTAAGCTATTACATTAACTAATTTAGTACTTAGCTTATAGCTTTCGTATAAATGCTGAAGTAGTGAGTGTTGGCTGTACTATTACTACAAGGGAGCTAAGTGGGTCGTACGACCTTCGTCGGGGTTGTTCAGGGTCTGATCATTATAAGGTCTAAGGGATGGAACTTGTAAATAGTCTCCTGGGGCATGCTTTTCACACTTTTGGCAGAGTCAAGTTGTCAGTTTTTGCAGCAGTGCATTCGGAAGACAACGAGAATGGCTCGTTGTCGCTAATTAATGTTATTTTGGCCACCAAGTTCATTCTTTCCATTCATTTCTCAGTGATCAGTCCGCGAGTGAACCAGCGAGTTCGTCGCGAGGCCCATAACCAAGGGGACAAGACAGTGGTCCTGGTTCAATATATACGAAGCTTCTAAAGTTAATTATTAATCATTATCATACCTAAGTTACTACTCGTAGGCCTTAACTTTGGCTAAACATATCTTATTTAAGACGCTGTTAATTACGTTTAGATCGTCGATACTCGTCCGATAGGTAAGGGCTACGGGCTACTCGGTGGGTTTACGCTTATCTACGTTAGTCTAGTTATAAGTCGTCGAATCACGCTCTTACCTCTTCTATACTTATAATATAGTGTATTATAGATCGCCACAGGCTAGGCGACATAGTTAACATTTCGCATAATGGCGAGCATGTGTGGGTAATTAATCTTACTCATTTATGCCAGGATGATAGCGCTGCCTATATGCAGTGTTAGAGAGTCCGCGATGATATCGCTAGTTAGCACCGATATGCAAACGATCGCGGAGACGTTCCATCTATTTCTGGCGAACCTAGTTCCTAGTGTTCTACAAATAGCAATTGCCGTCTGCCTCCTTTACACGCAGCTAGGCGCTGTTTGCGTTACTCTAATCTTCGTCGCCTTAGCTAAGCAGCTAATTGCTGGGAAGTCGCAGAGCCACCGGTCCACCGACTGACTATCGTCATTAGTTTCCTTCGGATTGTTAATGTGGCTGGCCAGCGGCATTAGCGGACGACAGAGACGGTGGCTTAAAGCAATACAGCACCGCATCAACTTCCCATCCGTCGTGCTCAACTCCATCAAAGGCATCAAGATGCTTGGGTTGTCTGTAATAATGCGCGATCACGCGAAGAATATGCGAGATGATGAACTAGATATCTCTCGACGGTACAGAAAATTTCAATGCCTTAATATCGCACTAGGTATGACGATCGCCCCGGATTTAAGGGAAGGCCTGTTCTGATACTGATTTCCTCTAGTTCATCTACTATAGATTGTATCATCTACGCTCGCGATCTTCATGACCTACGCGATCGTGGCAAAGCTGCAGGGCTCTCAAGAAATGCAAGTTTCACAGGTAATCACACCACTCGCGGCGCTGAATCTCCTCAAATAAAAATAAAATAGAGTATAGAGAAGACCAAAACATACAACACCGGGGATTCCCCAGTGGTCACCCACCTGAGTACTAATCCAGCGCTTCTCAGTTTATCTAGGGCAGAGCGGACGGGATGCCGAGTTTTCTAAGAGCTGTGGTCGTATGTGCTTGAGATTGCCAAATTTGTGAATATGTTAGTACCAAATAATCACGATTAGGTATACATAATCAAGCAGTAAATCAATATTTTACTGGTTTTGCTAATAAATATATATGGCCATTCATACGTGTCTCAATTCACCACAGGAGACTTGCTGTGATGGACACGTAACACAATTGTTGGTCGAAGATAGGTCTAGCGATCGAGTGTGGTGTTGCGGTTTGAGAACATATCTGTCCTCTGTCCCATTTAAAACTACCTAAAGTTGTTGCTCCAGATGGATCCCTGAGGCACCTTTCACGCTGGCTGCTTCTCTTCGGGGGTGTTCCAGTATTGGTGTCACGATAGTATAGTTGCAAGTCGGGCAGTAGGTTCGAGTATCTGGTGTTGCTGTATAGTTGTCTTGCCCGTATGTGGCATTAAGTGAGACACTACCAACCACATTTCCCGATTCAAGGCGGATCCAAGTATCGACTTCCAAGTTCTTCAACTTCTCCTGCGTAACGAGCACCTGCCTGGCGCCCCGCTCCCAATTGCCATAACCACCGTAACCAGAATGCTGCCCAAAGCATAGGTTGACCCCATTTCCTTCGACAATCATACCCGGGAGCAATGAGTCCCATTTATAACACCAGGTGTCTCCATGGTCGTGACCTGAAAACACAGCGATCAGACCAGGCGTTGAGACTATCGCATACATAAACGGTCCGTCTTGCCCGCCGTACGAGCAGTTGGTGTCGTTACTGCCATCTTCACACCATCCTTGAGCTTGTTGGGCAAGTGGGATGTCATGATTGATGCCAGGCTGGTGATGTGGGTTAATTCCGATTTCCTGAAGTGCTAGAGACGCATTGGTCGGAATGTGCACAAACACGAGTGACGGAATGACTTTTCCGTGTCTGTTGACAAGCTCCTGATTCGTCGACTCGAACCAATTGACGACACTTATATCGACCCAGTCAGGCTGTCCCACTTGATTACCGGATTCGTCTAACATTTGGTAATACCAGCCGCCTCGAGAATCGAAAAACCATAGAAGCAGCTCGGGTGCACAACCAGACGCGCAGCATGATGGGTCGTATACGGGCAGATAGTAGTTAGATATGCCAGATTCAAGACCAAAAACCATCTGTTGAGTTCGTGAGTTAGGCCATAATTTTTCACGGGCTAGGATAGTGGATCCAGTCACGTTGAAATTATGGTCATGATTGCCATAGGTTGAGGCCCATGTCAAACCGCGCTGAACAATTGGACCAACGATCTGATCGACATATTCTGTACTGTTTTCCAAGTACGTGTTTTCTCCAGTGATCAGGTCGCCATTCAATACAACAAGACCTGGAGTTTCGGAGTCGAGAACTTGATTGAGTACCTTCACCGAGTTGATGTCTTGCTGATGACCCCATGAATCCCAAGCATCTGATGAAAGATGATCAGTTCACATCGAGCACAACAATCCAACATTTGATAACTCACTCTCGCCGAAATGTAGATCCTCGAAGATGGAGATTTTGAAAGTACCGCCAGCGGTAAAGGTCAAGGGTGCCGTGAGGTTGTCAGTAGTTGTATTCTTCCAAGTGGAGTTTACCACCGCCTGAATGGATACCCCTATAAGCCATGTAAATGCAAGTAATTTACGCAACATAGTGATGAAATAATTCCAAGCCAAGGCTGGATCATAATTTCCGAAGTTGGTTATCATTACCCCCACTGCCTGATCGTTTGGTGAGCAGTCGCGATTTAAATAGGAGCTGGCGGGGCAAGTCTCTATTAAACAGGAAACTGCACGGAGACACTCCATTCCGACGAACAAGATGTGATAAACGCTTTAGGAATGGTGATCAGTAGTAGGTCCATTGATAGTGCGTCATGTAACGGTGAGGAACAGAAGGCTACCTAGTGTGGTTACCTGAGGTATACATTAAGATATGAGGGCATGCCTCTTAATTGCACTTCTTCGTGAATGGTGAATGGTGATGGTAGTTGCTGGGATCAACTGTAAACCTTCTGGAGGCGTGGTCCAAGCAACGACGCTCAGTGGCTGAAGCAATGATCGGCAGTCGGGAAGCTTGACCAGGATGGTGGATGCATGCGACCCACCGCTATGCTATCATGAGCTCAAGACAGAATACCGATAAGTTAATGTTCCGCTCCATTAAATCTTCTTTACAAACGGCGATTCTGTTTAGGTAGGCACCGTCTTAGCTGCACAGGGATGTTCTCATCACTCATATTGAGCACATGGTCGATACCACGATTCTGAATGATATATCTCAAGCTAGCGGCTACCATGACCGTCTGGTGGTATTTAATTACCGATTGCTACTAGCTTGAGACTGCCTCATACATATGTGATTTCAGTTCCAAAAAGACGAATTCTGCGCTATCTGTAGGTACACTGTGAATTTAGAGTACCGCGTTTCAATCACGTATTTGGCTTTAGGATCACGCAGGTATATAGACAGGTCTAAAAGTTGTCAGGACCCCGCAATAAGTGACGGCGCCCGAGATGCATAAGTGCTTTGTTATTCTGTTCCTGAAGGACAACGGAATAGTGAGCCTACTTACTGTACACGTCTGTCCCATTTCACGTGCTTGATGCGAAGCCACCATGCCCGTAAGTGAGCATTGAAGTTGCGGCCGGAGCTCGGTTAAGCTACCTAGGTAGCGATAGCCCAATAGCTCTGGCGTATATACTTAGTGGGTCTCTGACAATAGTGTATGACACACCACGTCCTTGCAACATTACTCGATTGAGGGATTTGGGCCATGATCAAGTAACATTAGAGGCGCCTTACGAAACTAACGAGGACGAAGAAAGATATCGAATTTTCAAAAACTATCCGCGTCGTAGTCGGGTTTCTCCGAAATACCTCCACCGCGTGGTACTGTAGGTAGAGGTAACATCCGAACCGAATTGGCGGTCCGAAGTGGACTCGAAGGAACACACATATTAATCTGGTGGCCACGTGCCTATTCTCTCGTATCTTATAGAACTGCGTAACCTGTGACCCTATCTCGCAATCTAAAGTATCCGTGATATAAGCAAAAACTTTTTCATCTGGCAAAATCATGGATGATAGCGAGACCAAAGCAGCAGCACTGGAAGAGCCAGCTGCGCCCGCGGTGAACGGCGTAATTACCAGCGCAATCGATCTGTCACATCACCTCAACTTGTCATCCCGATCCCGCCACCCAAGTCCCTTAAAAGAGATTATTAAGTACATGGCATATGACGGCATGGTTAGTTTAGCTGGAGGTATATACGAGTGTGATCCAGTTTGCCCTTGAAACAATGCATGTTAACACACTCTTGGAAAGGTTTACCACACCCATCGCTATTTCCTATACACAATGCATCATTTTCCGTTTCGGCGCCAAATCCTAAGGAAGGCAACATTGAGCTCCAAATATCGAATAACCCAACTTCAACACCGCCTTTGTCCAAGTTTTTACAATATGGTCAGACGAACCTTCTTCCTAATGAAACCTTCGCCCCCCCACAAAAGAAAAAGAAAAAAGAAAAAGAATTAAACATGCATTGAGCTGACTTGAAGTGTAGGAAATTGCACAGGCAATGCTGAACTGAGGCAATGGTGTCTTGAATTTACACAACAAATTCATCGCCCTGCTTACAAGGACTATGATGTCTTGCTTCATCCTGGTAACACCAACGCATGGTGTAAGGTTGTGGGGTTACTTTGTGAGAAGGGCGATTATATCCTTGTGAGCGATTTCCGGAACCATTTTCTACCATCCATAGCATGCACGCGGTCGCTATTGCCTTAATCGGTAATTGGTCTCTTTCTGAATGTTACATACTACTCCTCAATACCATTCAACCCGTCTGGTACAATTACTAATTCTAGATGTGGTAGTGCGAAAGCTATACCTATCCTTCTGCGCAGGCATTGTGGATTCCAAATGAGAATTTCGCTGCCCCAATTGCCATGGATGGAGAAGGAATCATGAATAAATCACTTGAAGAGACACTTGAAAGTTGGGATTCAACCCACCCTGGAGTGAATAGACCGCATGTCTTGTACCTAGTCAGTGTTGGGTCGAACCCAACGGGTGTCTCCATGAGCGCAGAAAGGCGGAAGCAGGTATATAATATCTGCGTTAGATACGGTAAATACCCACACCGCAAGTGTTTAAGAAGATATCACTAATCGCTCGTACTAGACGTAATCATCGTTGAAGATGACCCTTACTTCTTCCTACAATATCCCGAATTTGACCTTTCAGCTACCAGTACCGAGTACAAGGCGGCGTCCAACGATGAATATCTTTCCTCACTTATTCCATCATTCCTGCATGTCGACTATCAAGGCCGGGTCATCAGACTAGAATCCTTTAGCAAGACCCTGGCGCCAGGTCTGAGATTGGGCTATTTCGTGGCCAATCCTCTCTTCACCGAACGTCTGCTTCGAGCTACCGAAGTCGAGACGCAGGATCCTTCCGGGGTCTCGCAGGCGCTAGTACTATCCCTGCTCGCATCTTGGACTACGAGTGGTTACATCACCTGGTTGCAGAATCTGAGGTTGGAATACCAGAGACGGCGCGACTGGATGACCGCTGCTATCAAAGAACTTTTTGACCTTTCACCTGCGTCTCAATTCCCTGAACTACGTGCTGAGGGTCTTGTAGCAGCGATCGAGGGATCTGCAGGAACGAGAACACCAATATTCAGTTTCATTCCACCAACCGGTGGTATGTTTTTGTGGACTAAATTCTATTTTGCCCAGAATGGCAAATACCAGGTAATCAAGAATTCGAAGCAAGAGATTGATCCAGAGCAGGCATTTGCGAATAAGTTGTGGAGTGAGCTAGCAGAAGAAAAAGTGCTGCTAACTCCTGGCTACTACTATCACCCATGGCAAGGCGCCCAGAAGACCAGCACATCTGCAAGAGGTGCTGATCCCGATACATCGCATTTCCGATTGACATTTGCAATGACTACTGTACATTGACCTGTCCTTCTCCTTTTGAAAAATAGTTCGCTAATTTCGTCTTTCTACAGAAAGAAGATATGGAGCTTGGTATTGAGCGTCTGGCCAAAGTGGTCCGGAGGTCCTGGTCCTCATGAGGGACCGCCATAAGTCAGTGGAGAACATTACACTGAGAAGTGGAAACAAAAGGAAGAAAAGAAAATACAAACACAACCACCGAAGTTCTGGCACCTGACTACGAAGCTATATTAGGCAAGAGGTTACCTGGCGATAGTTCACTGCTACCACTATGTATGACGAGCAAAAGTCACGAAATAAGAGAAGCAGACCTAGGCGGAAAATTTTGGATTTGATAGGCCAAATCTATGCACACGCTGTGGGCATTCGTCTATATGATACAGTATCGTTGAATTATTTACATGGAATAGGAATCTGCCATCAAGTGATGACTCCAGGAGTATCGACCTCCTGGACTTAAGAGTGTAATTTCAGCTGTTGGCGAGCGGCCGAGCGTCTGCGTCTGCGAGAGCACTTGGAAGTGCTACCTGTGCCAGTGCTGGGAACAGTGGTCGTCGTGTTGGAGCCAGTGCTTCCACTCCAGTTGGTGACCTCATATGCGGCGATCTTAGCGGCGGCCTGCTCGGCGACAACCATGATGATGGCTTGGGTGTTACCAGTGGGTAGATCGGGGTGAATAGAGGCGTCTACGACGAACAAGTTGTCGGTTCCGTAGACCTTGGTATCAGTGTCAACGACGGAAGTACCGTTGTTCTCACGACCATCGTCAGTGCCCATTCGGGTGCTTCCAACCCAGTGATCGCCGGAGACAAGGGACGACGTAATGATGCTGGATGGTGTGGCACCAGATGTTGCGTAGCTCAGGCTGTAACTGCTGTTGCTAAGGCCGGTAGTGGAGTTACTGGATGTCATATCCAAGAAGGACTGGATGAAATCAGAGTAGACAGCCAGGTCCTCATCGGTTTGCAACCAAGGCTTAGTGTTGAGAACAGTGTTACCAGAGGCCGAAATTCCGAGCTCGCCACGGCTGGTAGAACCGTGTGTAAGGAAGGCCTTCACGGTAACAGTGTTATCTTTCATGGCACTCACAGTACCCTGGAGGTAGCGGGTAACACCATCAGTTCCATTGATAGATGTCCACAAGTGCATGCGCTGAGCAGCTTGAGTGATGGTACCGGAACCTTCTTCGTAAAGATCCAGATCAGTCTCCTCGGGCGAGGCAGCAAGACCAGAGAAGTCGAACGCAGTGAAAGTTGGGTTGGCAGTGAACTGCAGGGGGACCTGGGCATGATCCATCAAGTTGTGGCCGACAGGAAGGTCGATCCACTCAGACGAAGCGGGAAGTGAGACACCGGATGTGCCACCTTTAACAATGCTCAGGGCATCAGAGCGGCCGATGCCAGAGTTCCAAAGTACGCGAGGGGTAGATAAGGCACCCGCAGCAAGGACGACCTTACCGTTCTTGTTGAGGTTGATGATCTGAGTGGAGCCATCGGTCGCCTGGGTCAGGACACCGGTGACGGTGCTGCCTGTACGAAGTACCTGGATGACGCTAGTCTCGAGTTTGAGGTTAAAGTTGTTCAACTGCTCGGCGAAAGGCATGTAGGTCCTAGCAGGGCCAGCACGAAGATGGTTTGAGATACTCCAAGCGGGACGAGAGAAAACGGCGTGCTTTTCGTTGGGGCTCTCAATCGAGTCGACCTCGCTATACCCTGACTTGCCAAGGTAGGCAGACAAAGTGGTGTAAGCAATGTCATTGTAGTGCTTGCCATCAGCGGAAGGTTGTGTGGTACCAGGGTTACGAGAATACAGGCGGTCAGCCGCATCTGAAATAGAGTTCCATTCCCAACCCGTAGGCCAACGCTCAAAGTCATGGGCGGCAGGGCGGATAAAGTTCAGACCGTTGATAGAACTAGAACCACCAAGCAGACAGCCGGCTGTTGAGGCAGTATCGGAGCAGAACTTAGTTCCGGAGATGGTAGACAAGCTGCTGCCAAGGGCAGGAACGTCGTAAGGGGTAAGGGTCGAGTTCCATGAAAGTTTTTGACTGGAGCCGAGGGCAACGGTGTTGGCAGGACCACGCTCAAGAAGTAACACACTCACTCCGGCTTCAGCCAGACGCTCAGCCGCGATGATACCTGCAGTACCTCCGCCAACTACGATGACATCATATCTACGAAGGGATGTAAATTAGTCAGGCTTTCGATTATAGTAAGGAAATGTTTTCTCTACGTACGTGGTGTTGAGAGTGGTAGGAGTAGAGACAGTGCTGTTCGAGCCGGTGCCAGTCGAGGGAATTGTCGAGTTGGAGGAACCGCCAGTCGAGGGAGTTGTGGTGGTAGCAGAAGCCCACGAAGCCCAGGTGGAGTATTGGGCGTTTATAGAAGCCGTGAAGTTTGCCACGTAGATGTTGGCACCAAGATCATGGTAAACAAGAGCAGTGGCAGAGTCCGATGGTGTCGTGGGGTTTGAGCTTGAGACTGCATAGCCAAGCGCGCCAGTTCCATCGGAGAAGCTGAAGGTTGTAGAATCGCCGACGGCACAGCCCTGGCAAAGGAATGTATAAGACACGTGTGTACTGTTGATGAAGGTACCGTTGGCGATGGGCAGGGCTGAGAGCGTCGAGTTAGAGTAAACGTCCGGGGTGGAGTATGCACTCGTGTATCGGAAGCTAGACACAACTTCGTCACCGTTGGGCCATGCCACGAGGAGAAGTCTGCCAGTCATTCCTGGTCCAAAGGCGGCAGCTCCCCAACCTGCGCCGTCGGTAAGAGGGAACACCATCTGACCAATGAAGTCGGTGGTGGCATCCTCAGGGATCGCCATACCGAAGCTATAGCCAGTGGTAGCATCGGAATATGTCTGGAATTCGATGCCGGTGTTGGAGTCCGTGTAAGCTTTGGTTGCAACAGCTGCAGTTACGGTCTGGGCAAGCCCAGCCAGGGCTAAGGAGCCCAAGAGTCTTGCGTGCATTGTTTCTGTGTTTAAGAACTATGATGGTAGAGAATGATTGTAGTGAATTTGTTAGATTGATGAATATCTCGAAAAAGAACGTGAGCCTTCGAAGGCTATAGAAGAAAGAATGACAAAAACCGAACTAGCGGTGATACTGAAAAGAACGACAGACAACTCTGATACAGAACAAGAACAATCAAATGTCAAAGATGAGCCGGCTCATCTCAGTATATATCTCTTCCCAGATCATCACCCTACCTTGGTAGCGCTATCAATCGTTTGTTCCCCTGGGTAAGAGCCTTAGGGGCAGAATTTCCTTGTTCGGTAGGTGAGCCGATTGAGGGATAAATCCCTGGGTATGAAACGAAGTGCTTATATTCCTCCTGTCAATAATCGCGGGATATGTGGGTTATCCAACATGAGAAAATGGGACGCCTCCAGCGCTAATGGTACTCTAGCCCACTCAACCCCAGGTGAGTGTTCATTTTAGGTGTGTACGCCATCATCCATAATCTAAACATCAGGTGGACGTCTCCACGAGCTTCTGATTAAGTTTCTCAGATAGAGACTGGCATAGCCGCTGTTGTGAATAGACACTTCTTGATTGGTTGGACGAGATAGTTCTGTTTCATCCAAACAGTGTCCGGGGTTAGGCGGCCCTGGTGCAGATCCACTGCGTCGGTAATCGGCTAGGATGAAGATGCTGTAGGATTGGTCGCATCATCTAGACACGACGCAACCCCTGTCAAACTACCGGACAGGACCTTGGCATCGCTTAGCTTTCCATGAATTCTAGACTTTCGAAATGAGCCACTTGCAATCCTCCTGTGTGAAGTTAAGTGAGGACTTCCAAATCGTGGACATTTGTACAGCAATGCCTTGCATGACAACCACTGGAAGACGGAGACCCATACATGTATTCTCTGGAAATCTGTTTGCAAAGACGGATGGACCAAACAGCTTCCCTCCTGCATTAACCCCATTGAGTCCCAGGAGACAAGAGTCGTGTGCCAGTAATATTCGAATAATCTCAAACCTGCACTGCTAATGCTACCCAAGTTGGCTGAACTGTGAAAATGCGTATATGGCACGTCGTTACAATCAATCGGCTGCCATACCTATCTCACTATACACACTCGGACCGAGCCGGTGGCATTTCATAGGACGCCAAGTAAGTCTGCCTGACGGTAACGTTTGGCAGATCTATTCATCCCTGTCAATCTTCAATATCTGTAAATGAAGACCCAGTGCCCTTATGAACTATGACTTCAAGTGGGACCTCTCTGCGCGACATACAAAGTACGTTCGGGTGCGCGGGCGCAATACTAGAGCCTGTTGCCAGTAGGTATACGCCGGCGAGATAGAACAAGCTCAAAAATGATCTGTATTCAAGAAACGTACCGTGTTGTCGAATCGCAAAACACTGGTGTCCCCCGGGTTAAAGCAGCACGGTACGTCCCAGTCAGTTGATGTGAGTGTCAATACAGTTCCTCGACTCTTTCTTTACAGCTTGAATGACTCATTCTTCACGAAGATGCTTTGGCACACCGACCAACGATCTGCTGTACGGACAAAGCCACACCGAGGGCCATTCACCGACATATTTAACGGACTCGAGATTTTTCGTGAGATTGGCTATTCCTATACCATTTGATGTAAGTGTAGTATACTTCAATCCCCATCCAAAAGCAAAGACGGATTTTGTCGGCTCTGTAACATCGCGGAGAGCATGCCACACTTCTTGGGGGAGCTCAGGTGGGTTTCCAGAGGTCTGTGCCACTTTTACAGGAAGGCACAGACCTCGGGGGACATCATGATCTGATAGAGCACTGAATCTTTTGTGCAATTGGTCCCGCGTGAGATTGGAGTTTTGACAGAGAACTACTTCCAGGCGGGCGATCTCCGATGGAGTGCCGATTGTCCGTACAATTTCTGTGCAGGTGTTTGCCGCTTCAGGCGTGCATACTAAATTTCGGCGACCCATGGCCGGGTAAATCCATGTCGAAGCAATCCGTCGCTTCTCTTCGTTGGCGAGATGTCCCCTTTGCATGGCCGTAAACCACTCTTGTTTCTCGACAGAATGGTGTGAGAAATCGGAAATTAGGCCAATCAGGATGGAGGTATCTACATTTAATGTGCCAGAGAACCCAGATAATGGATTCGGCGCCATTTGGTGCAAGATTTCCTCCGTGAGTGGAGACGGCGGTGATGATGGTAGTTCGTTGCTGCACAGAATCTCAACTCCTGATTTGCGGATCCGCTGGAGCACAAAATCGACATCTTTGGACTCTCCACTTGCAATTCGTGGCAAGACCAACTTTATCGCAGGAGAATTGCCTCGTATTGTATAAGCCTCTGCCGAGACTGCCAGACTTTTGGCGGTTTTGAAAAGTGGAATGTCATCGAGTTCCTCGTCCGTCATTTCTGCATATTCTTCATCGCTCTCGTCTGCACCTATGGCCCATCCGAGTTTTGTCATATCCCATAGTAGCCGTTTCGTTGTTGTCGCGGCAATTTTGATCCAGGTTTGACCTCCATCGGAAATGATATCTACCAGCGTGGTCGTGTGTTTGGATGGAATGGAATCCCCGGGCATGTGGACGATATGCGTACCTGGCGCCAGTATTTCATTTCCATCGACACGTCCATTGCTGACCCATTTGCGAAGAGCAACTATATCGTGAGACCGTTTGGCAAAAGCCCATAGAGATTCGAAGAACGGAAGGTTCGTAGACGAGATACGATGGGTGGACATTGCACTATCTTCTCCTGACTGTTTGCTAATAATGCTGCTGAGTGCCTGAATCTCGCTTTTGAGTTGTTGCTTTAAATAGTTTAGAGCACCTGCAGTAATGTGGGCACCATCACCATTGCACAGGTTCGCCATGTCTTGGAAGTGGGATGCAAAGATCGATAACTCAGACAGAAGTTCATGCGCTCTTGCCAGTAAGACTTGAGCCGCATCATTGCGCTCTTCTCGAGCATCCATTCCTGTTCCTAGCGGGCAATGGCCACGCCTTAATCCTTGCCGGTCTTATTTTTGCCACAGCTGAAAGCCTAGAAGTAACACAATTCATACACACTCCACCATGTAATAGCTTGTGAGGTGAATTATTTACCGCTTATTTGCGCTTGTTCTATGGCGGCTGGGGTATGAGAAAAAAAAATTGAGTGCTTTCCCGGTTTTCCTTCTATGTTAGAGACGACCGAGTTGAAACGGACTTGGAAATTGTGTAAAGTAGACAAGTTGGATTTTCTGGAAGGGGGAGGTCTGTGGGTGGCAAAACCGGACAGATTCCTCTTCGTAGGAGAGTAGGAGAAAGAGGTTACTGTCACACAGAAAGTCAGGGTCGGTTAGAACCAAAGAATTGCCAAAGCGAATCAACGAGATGGCAATGTATAATAGTCATGGGCAAATTCAATAAAAGACAACAGTAATGCTGAGTAAATCCATGATGTCGAGAACTTTCTATGGGAAAGACTCATCGCAGGATTTACGAAGTATTTGCAGACCCACACTCCACAGGGCGGCAGGCTCGCCAATCCAACTCGGGCCATCACTACGGAGGCACTAAAAAACTAGCTTGAGTCCCACACAGCCCAACACAAGGAAGTATGCACCTTTGACATTGTTCATTCCCTATTTAAGAAATGCTGGATTAACGTTTTTATTTTATGTTACTGGCCTATCAGTATCTTGCAATGTCTCTTCCTCCGAGCCAGACAAACAACCAGCTGATTGAGATCATGATCTTTCTTCGCCAACTTCTTGTCCAGCCCAGACTGCCAGACCTCCAGGCAAGCCAAGCGCTCAAGCCTGTCCAGTCTTCTTTACCGCCCATTATTCCGTCGTGCCGACCCAGATAAGCCAGCAGAGCGCGTTGTTTGTACTCAAAAGGCTTCGTGGACGCATCTTCTTGATTCAGAGCCTCGGATAGGTACTCTCCTTTCTGCAGTGCCACTTCCGCGAGTGTTGGCAGGGACTCCCCTTCAATGTCCGCCGCGTCACCCAAACCGTAAACACCTTCCATATGACTGCCGTCTGGTCTCAGAATTCGCAAGTATTTGTCGGTAATCATTCTTGGCAGGCCCTTTTCGGGCTTCTTCACCGGCAGCCTCTCGACTAAGGAACTGGCCTTGTTGCCAGTAGCCCATATCAAAAGTCCAAACGGAAGCCGACCGTCCTCTTTGGTGAAAATGGCGTCGGGCTTCACATTTTGAATATGCGAACTCGTCTTCAATTCCACGTGCTTGCCTTTCAGCGACTGTGTTGCATACTCGCTGAGTTTCGAGTCGAATGTAGACAAGATTGAAGGAGCAACGTCATGAATGGTGATGGTCATCTTTCCATCAAGGTGCGGGTATAGGAAGCGCATGTCCTCATTCCAAAGATCGAAGATTTCAGCAGCTGCCTCGATTCCGATCGCACCACCACCGACAATGCGAATGTTAAGGATATCGTTCTGCTCTTCTTCGCTGATGTTTGGTAGTGAGGCCTTGTCCAGCATTTCCAGGATGCGTTGTTGGATCAGTCGGGCATCGTTTGTTGTCCGCAGGAATAGAGCATGTTTGTCAGCTCCTGGGGTACCGAATGTTTGGATGTCGCAGCCTGGGGCAATGCAGATTTTGTCGTACTCAACGTTGAAAATCTCAGCCTCTTCACCACCGATGACTGCTGCGGTCTTGCATCGAATGATTCGCTTTTCGAAGTCAATATCCTCAGCAACGGCCTTGTAGTACTTAAGAGCCGTCCTATGCCTACGCCGAACCGGCTCCTCCGCCAGGCGAAAGTTGAAAAGTCCACATGCCGCACTGGCCAGCAAGGGAGTATACTGAATCGTTCGGACTGGCGATATGACTGTCACGTCGTATTTTGCAAGTGAAAGTTTCTGAGAAAGTGTGAAACCGGCCCAGCCGGAGCCAATGATAGCGACACGGATCTTGGACATTGTCAAGTGCAAAAGATTATTAAATTCTGGGAATCGTAGGTTTCCAGGAGAATACTGCAGACCATTATATACATACAAGCCCTTAGCAAAAGCTGTCAGGCCATCATTCTCGTCTTTGTGTCTTCTATCATGTCAGGTCATAGATAAAAATCATCGACGTCATCTCTTCAATGGCATTCTAGTACAGTGGGCCAGTGTCCGCTACCAGATACCCCAAGCCCTTGATCTAACCCTGGAAAACACGTATCATATCCCCATGCTTTGTGAAGATGCCTGCAAACGAAGACTGATTTGCGCAAGCTACTGACGCATCAAAATATTGTACAAAGCTTGAAGCGACGACTACCGAACTCCACGTGGCTGTGGTTCGGGTCAAGGTCGGTTTGTTCCTCAGTGTCACTCGTCAGTGCAGATTAGTGGGGACTATCTTGATACATAACTAGGCTATCCACATCCTTCTTCGGAGATCTCTCGGATTGCGGTTCTTGATGAGCAATCACGATCATAATTTGCAAAGTGCTTTGATGTTTCGGGCTATTTTAGAGAGATTTAATTAGCTTTCTTTGATTACATTACTTCTGCTGCAGGAACCAACGCTGGTTGAGTAAGTACCGTCACTGGTCTTGGTACTCAGCCTGCGATATTATTAATTGATTCTTTCGTTTGTCCTGCGTCATTCACTATTTGACTGCTGAACCTAGGCTGTTGCGATATATTTTGTTCGCCATGTTCGCTGCCAATGACCAAGACTGTGCATGCAGTTATTAATTCGCTGCCACCCCGATCATGGCAACCTTGTAAATAGGTAAGGGATATCTATTATCGCTTTCGAACAAGAAACTATGTTATTTCCACGTTTTACCTTTGGGAGCCAAACTTATGAGACAGGTATCAAAGCCCATAAGAACATTTTGATCGGGCATTATTGTCCTTGACTGACCCCATATATGCTATGGTTGGGGTAATTTGATTGTCTAAAATGGCTCCTAATTACAGGATCATTATAAGGGTGCTCAATCACGCTAACCTAAAAAGCTCAAGCAGTGTTGCGTCTTGTTCAAGATTGTTGTCCATGGGATTTTGAATACAAAAACTTTGGTTGAATAACACAGATAGGACCATTGCCGGCTACCTGAACGCGTATGTCAAAATGGATCGCCTCTTTATGCTTTAGATACAACCACATTTTATCCTTTTAGCAGGCGAGGCGTCCGTCGCTCCTCACGATTGACCAAACTCGTACCTTCTCATTCGGTCGGCGCTTTTGACAACTCCTGGCTTTATGCTTCTCCTAGGATATAGATCAAGCTTATTGTAACTCATTTTGAAGGACAAAATCTACAACAGCTCGATTTGGACCTTGCCAGCGCCCTTTGGCCCTCAGGAACCAGACGCCGATGGTACCGACGAGTACAGCTCCAAATACTGGTCCACAATAGTTCATGTTTGAAGCTGTAACCGGTAAATTGTTGGGGAAAGGCAGGAAAACCATGACCCACAGTGTGTAAAGCAAGCCGACTAGATTAACGAATGGGCCAGCCTTGCCCATGGTCCACTCACCAAGTGTAATGGTATTTGTGATTCGAGCGTATAGAACACAAGCCAGTACGATGGCGTAACTCAGGTATGCGGCCAAGGATGATAGAGATGTGATTGCTCCAAAAGCAATGTAAGTCGAAGTTCCAATGTTGAGGAGTGATAAACATCCGACGATTGAGCAAGTCAAGAGCACAGCACGAAGAGGCACTCTCTGCTTCGCGTCAACATATCCGAAGTATTGGGGGAGACCGCCATCTCTTGCCCAGGCCCAGGTCAAGCGAGAAACGGACGAAACAACGCCCATATTACCGGATATCCCCATCAGAACCAATCCAGATACGAGACCTGTGGTTACTTTCTCGCCAGTCGCGTAGACTAGGATCGTGACCAGAGGACTCGATGAGTTGAGAAGGATGTCGAGGGCAGGCATGCATATCTGTTGCAAATATAATCAGCGATTCTTCTGACATTGCACCTCCCCGAATGAACTTACGCCGAAAGTGATAAGCATTATAAGACCAAGGACGCTATTGGACACCACGGACCAGAATACAGCTCGCGGCACTGATTTCTTAGCATCGCGCGTTTCTTCGCCCATGTGAACGACGCTCTCGAAGCCTGTTCAATGATCTTAATGTGTTGCTCAGAAGCCGGGTAAAATTTATGGTAAGATACTCACTAATGAAGAGGAAGATATTTGATAAAGCTCCAAGGTTTGCTGAGATGAAATAGTTGTCCCAGCCACTCGAGATATTTTTGACCAAGAAGACATCAGGGCTATTGCGTGGGGACATTACCCATAGAACGACAAGGAAGATCAGAAAGAGGCAAACGTTCAATATTCCACTCAACAACTCAAACCACGGCACAATCTTGAAGGCATAGATGTTGACAAGGGTACAGAACAAAAGCATCGCTAAGATGATAAGCGTTGTGTGCCACCCACCAGGTACGTAATCGGGATGAGCAAGCTGAATGAGACCCTCAAACACCACGGTGTTGCTGTTAAGACAGCTTGCAAGTAGCGCGACATAAGCAAGCCAGGTTATCCATCCCTGAGTCCACGTAAGGAATAGCTTTAGTGATTTGGGGGCAAAGTGCTATTATCATCCGGTCAGAAGCTGTTCAGATAGGGGACACCATAGGACACGGCATGTATTCAAGTTCCGATCACTTACATAAGTCCACGTATATTGAGCACCAGCAATGGGTTGTATACTCGCGAGTTCGGCAAATGAAGCAGCTTGACAAAGAGCCCCGAAGGAAACTATAATATAGCTGAAGAGCCACGTGGCAGGGCCGCCATTGGCCAGGGCAAAATACATATTGCTGTGCTTTCGGTCAATATCATGAGCCATTAGAGGAGTGTATTGATCATATCGACACATACCTACCAGTGCTGTACCATGTTCCTAAGTACACAAGGTTGAATGCAAAGAGCTGTGCGGAGGAAAACAGACGGCGAGTTCTTGTTTGCTGCTCCAGAGCCGAAGCAGAATGCGATGGCTTGTCGCCCATAGCCATAGGTTCCTCCGAAACATTGATAGTATTTAACTCAAACTTATCATCTTGGGCCATCTTGACAGCGTTGAAAAATACCACCGTGCACTGAACGAGTTATCGAACAAAGTGAGGCAGCAATGTTGGAAGATATAATAGAGTGGCTACCACAAAGGTGAGAAAGATACCAAACAAGGTGCGATGTACAATTAGCAGATAGAGCAAATTTCCAACGATCCATTCCATAAAAAGAACGGTAGCATGTGTGCGAGATTTGCTGGTTATCTTGCTTTTTACAGCCTGCAGCCGAAGCCTGGATTTACGCAGACCAGGTATAGTTCCCTGTCACTGTGACATTGCCTTGGTGGGGCTCGTCAAATTGAACTAGGCATGGTGACATACAGCCGAAAAACGAGACGTAACATAGAGCAGCTCTCGGATAATGGATTGAATAATGAAGAGTTTGGAGTCTGCAATATTCACTCATGAGGTGACTGGATCAAAAGAAAATTGTGATTTCTTTACCTGAATTGACATGGAATTATTTTATCGAATTGGTAAAGTACCGCATACCATCGAACGAGTGGAAATCCTTGCCTCAGGCCATGCGAGGTGGGCAATGCATGCATATTACAGCAAGGGTAATATGATGTGTAGCATTTCCACATTAAAAATTGCCACGCCATTGATGTACGAAAGACCTACGGATACTTACTACCTCATCATATTGATAAAATATCCGTTGCGCTACTCTTTACGGTGCCATAAGCGAGACAATACCCACGAGAGTATTTTTCTACCTTTCGCAGACCTTTCTCCGGTTCGCACTTGGATCTATATGATTCTGGTGAGACTGAACGAACTGGGCTAACAAATCAGTGTTCGCTTATAGACATCATACCATGCCCCATGTGAAAATGCCTCTAACCTTAGACTAGTCTAAGGTTAGTTGATAGTAAACAATTTCGGACCGCCAAGCGTACCAGATTCCCGGGCCGACACTAACGAATCAGATCTCATGGAAACACGGATGATCCCTGGGGCTGTTTGAGTCTCATCAATTCAAAATTCGCTGAACCATGTGAAGCGGACAGCTTCCCCGACCCCTGCACTGTGAGGCAATCTTGTCTACTGGTTCCCCGACCCCTGTTCAGTGAGGTATCCTAGTCTGTTGGTTCCCCGACGCCACATATAGGCGATAACTCGTTAGTTCTTACGTCTTAAGCGCAGTCGGCCTGGTCGGGTAATTGTTGGTCATGTTATGTGCTTTGATGGTGAGTTTTATCTGGAATTGATTAAATCATTAAATAAATCACTTCTTACATTGTGAATGCATATCACACCACTTGAAAACCACCTCATCAAGAGTACTGTTGCGTATTTATTAATATTTCTAAACGCACATGTAGTAACATGTGCGGTAAGCTTTCGGTACCATCTTCCCTTTTCTTCAAGCAATAGTAGGTTGTCGTCAGGTTGCAAACATCGAATATACATCAATTAATGTCGTGAACCATACTTGACCCAAAACCGCTTCAGAGCCTTGGAGTTTCCCAAGCCATATGTACTTATGCTGGGTTCTATCAGGTGTGAATACAGGGGTAATGAGCCGGTGGCTCCGGGAAAGCCACATCGTGGTATATCAACACAGCAGTAACCTACAAAATCTCAATTTTGGAAGCGAGACTACATATGCAGCTCTAATGCACATGGAGGCATGAGAGGTGCATGACCGCGGCTTCTCAGAGATTTACTTGGGTCGAGGAATCATCCGCCCGTTCTGGTCAAGTATGATTGGCACAGGGATCTATGTGATATGTAGCAAAGGGGTAAGCCGAAACTTTATATCATTGGTGCCAGTCCGCTGCCTCATCGTAGTGTTGCCGACAGCACACATCCGGCTTCAACCATGACAGAACTGACTGTTGCTGATCCATTCTATAAATTCAGCGATGATGACCATACTGCGCTAATCGTTTCGGTTTCGCTTGTGTTCGCCTTGCTTACCTTTACTGCTATTGCCGCGAAGCTCTTGATCCGCCGTGGACTGAGTTCCCTACAATTGTTTGATTATGCTTTACTCCTGGGCACAGTGGCAATGCTCCTCCAAACCAGTTTGATTATAGTAGCGGCCAAAGAAGGTCTGGGGACACATGCAAACATGTCCGATAGCAAAAAAGAGAAGATTCGCAAGGTATGTTTATTATATACGGATTAAATTTTACAGTATGATACTTACCAAAAAGAAAAGTTACAGTATTCCACCGCAATCCTCGCCATTTTTATAACAACATGTACGAAGACATCGATGTCTCTGCTCATAAAGAAGATCAATGACAACGGTCGACTCCATTACGCAAACAAAGCTCTCCTGGTTTTGATTCTAGCATTTTCATTGTCGAGCATTCTCGCCACTGTCTTCCAGTGTCCGCTACCATCACCGTGGCTGGCGAGCGACGTCATGAGCTGTCCCACTGCTAGATCAACTTTCATGTTTGTCAATATCAGTAACATCATCACTGATGTGTTTCTGTGTACATTGGCAGTTGCTATGATGTGGAGGGTTCAGACTACGAGAAACAAAAAGGTGTTGGTTATTACCTTGTTTACTTTTCGGATCATGTAAGCATTGCCCTTGATCCGGAGCCCGGCGGAAGGCCAGATCTAATTCCCTGCAAGGTGCCCTATTACGATGATTCCTAGTTTATTGGATACACAACATTTGTACAACGGCCCAGAGAGCGATTTCACATGGCTGGCGGTCGTATCTACCACTTGGCTCCAGGCTTCATACAACCTGTCGGTAATCACAGTCTGCATTCCCAGTATAAAAGTCGTTTTTGACAGCTTCTTTGGTAATGGAACAAAAATGACACTCGACCCTGCCTGCGAGCTCACCCATATCTCCACGAAGACGGACTACGCCAAAGGCGAGACTACCAAGCATACAACGGTGCGTCGTAATCAGACAACGTGTTACTCAAAAGCGAGGAGTAAGAAAGATAACAACAGTCAGAGCGAAAGTGTACAAAATTTGACCGAAGGAATAATAATTCGTGAGGACTTCGAAGTTCAGCTCTCTGATTGCAAGTCTAGGGCTACTTCTTTAGAGCGGTCACGCACGTCGTAAAGTCACTAATAATGTCATCGAAAGCGACGATACACAACTTTTTCAAATTTACAAACTGTCATGTCGCCACTATTTTTTGCTGTATACACCAAACATGTAACTTTTGTTGGTTGGACGAGGTGATTAACGTGAACCAGCCAATAGCTTAGTAACATGTTCAGATCCAGCATACCCACTTATAATCCACTATCTATATAACAGCCTCGTTGAAAAAGAAAAGAATTCCTTATTCACTTGCGGGCTTCACAGTACTATGACACGGTTAGGGCCAGATTAGTCTGCGCATTGTCATGATATGATTAGCGAAATGATCTTAGAGGCCTTGTATTACTACTGACCATACCAATCTCCATTGATTAGTTGGTAGGCTGACATCTATGCGGGCTTTCGTCTGGAGTCGTACAGAACGCCGCAGAATTCGGGGTAATGCAGGATTTGACTACGTTGTGCAAAATTTATGTATATATATACTTTACAAGCTAACGTCATATTCTATTTGCCAGTGATGAATTCTTCTTGACTTTCATTGGCAGATGGAAGTACCCAACAATGTGCACATCCAAATAGACAGCTTAGAACGCCCAGGCCATGGCAACTACACCAACAAAAAAGCCGAAGGCACCAATCTTGAGTGACTGAGCGCCACTATCAATAACAACGGTTGTGCTAACCTTAGGAGCAGATGAGGTTGGGGCCGGGGTGGCAACATAACTCGAAGATACCGCCAAAGTTGTGGCATTCGCAGCCTTGGACGGAATAGGAACCACAACCGCCGTAGTAGGGTGAATAATGTAAGAAGCGGTAGCAGTGCCCGCGGCCTGGTAGGTACCATTGCCCTTGACTGGGTAGTAACCAGCACCACTGCTAGGGATGTCGCTGTAGCTTGATTTGGCAGGGCTACTGGAGCTTGTAACGTATAAGCCCTTGCCGGATCCAATGCTAGGGCTACTGTTATCGCTCGACTTGACTCGGGTGCTAGAGCTGATGTCATCGGAGACATTGTTGGATCCATAACTCGAGTTCGAGCTCGAGCTACCAGTGCTGCTTGGCTTGTTGGATGAGCCATAACCGGAGCTGCCTGTCTTCACTGGGTTGGTTGTAGTAGCTGTCGTCATAGCATCGGTAATAGGGCATACGGTAACAGTGGTCTGAATCTCACTAGTGACAGATCCGATGGGACAATTGGTGACAGCGGGAGCACATGAAGTAATTGTGTACACTTTGGTAATGTACTGAGTGCTAGTGGTGTATCCGGAAGGAACTCCTGTGGTCGCAGGCTTGGACGACGATGCAACAACAGTCTCCGTAGCAGTCACCGGGCATACAGTGGTGTAGAGAGCGATAACCTCTGTGGCGACCTTACCAATCTTCGCTGGACAATCCGTAACATCAGCAGCGCACGCAGTAACAGTGTAAGTGTTGGTCTGGTAGACTGTTGATGTTGTGTAGGAACTAGCGGAAATAGAAAAGTTGCCATGAGGGTAATCGGAATGTGAACCAGTCGGGTGCGCCGATCCGCTTACACTGGAGTTCTCCTGCTGAGGATAGCCTGAAATTACAGGATAGCTTGAAGACTCCTCCTTACTCTCTTTGTGATCATCATGTTTGCTATCAGGGCTATCAGCAGGGCCAGTGGTGTAAGCAGAGGACGATTCAGTCGCCGTATTGGCCGAAGAAGCAGAACCAGTGACGGAAACGGTAATGGAACCAGAAATGAAAGCTGAAGATCTAGAGCTTTGCGAAATTGAAGCAGGTCCAGAAGAGGAGCTCACAGTTTGAGAAACGGAGGAGCTGCCGGAGGATAAGCTTGCTGTCTCAGAAACAGAGCTAGATGTCTCAGAAATGGAGGAGCTTCCGGAGGTCGAGCTTGCTGTCTCAGAAACGGAAGAGCTGCCGGAGGACGAGCTTGTTGTCTCGGAAAGGGAAGAGCTTCCGGAGGTCGAGCCTGCTGTCTCAGAAACGGAAGAGCTGCCGGAGGACGAGCTTGCTGACTCAGAAACGGAAGAGTTGCCAGAAACAGAGCTGCTTGATGTTTGCGAAACAGAAGAGCTGGTGATGGTTGCACTAGACGACAATGTGCTCGAGGACGAACTAGATGTAGAAGTGCTTGACGAGGATGAAGAACTGCTTGACGAGGACGAAGAGCTGCTTGAAGATGAACCAGATGACTCCTGATAGATCTTGACTGAGTTGATGACGAAACTGTAATCCGAGAAAGCCTCAGGGTGGTTGCCCACATAGCTAGGGCAAGAAACTGTGTTATCGGCCTTGTAAGTGTCCGTCTGGAGCCAATAATAGCTGGTGTCGCCAGCTACACCACAGAAATCAAGGTTGAACACGATCTTCTGGTCATTATAGAGGGCATCAACGTCACATGAGCCCTCGCCACCCAGAGTACTGAAGGTGGGCTTGATGTCGATCCATTGAGATGGATCTGGTTCACCATTTCGAATGTCATCAGGAACACTACTCTGATCGAACGACCACATCTTAATGTGCTCGTCCGTCCATTCGACGACGTAGACGCCTCCGTTGGTGCGACCAAAGGTACCAGCTGGTTCACGAGAACTGCAACCTTGGTATTCGTATTGTTGTAGACCTTTGAAGACACCCTTCTCGGCAGCATTACAGCTATACGAGTCCATCGTGTTTGTCATATCGTTGTTGTTCTTGATCCAGCAGGCGTCGCTCTCACCACGCGTATGGAGTGTCTGACGATTGGTATCGATCTTATTCCAGCCCTCATAGATGTCGATATCGCCGTTTTTGGGCCAGTTGTCATAACTGTCTACCCAGTCTCCATAGGTCCAGCTGCAGTGTGGTCAGTACAAAGGTTGTGAGTGAGTGGTGATCATCAATCATACATAGCTGGCCAAGCGCCGTCCACAAGGGAAGGGAACTTCTCAATGTCAAAGACGTAGAGACCCTTACCAAATGACTGCTTGCTTTCAAGCCTCACACTAGGACGACCGAAGTAATCGTCCCCGCTAACCTGATTTTTGTGGTCGACTCCGATGTAAGGAAGACCATCCGTGTCGTAGTACCAAAGTCCTGCATCGTAGGCATCGTCTTTATTCAAGTACTTTACAAACCCACCAGTTGGATCCACATCGTAGCGTTCGGGGAGGTCGCCGGTCTTGCTCTAAATTTGGCTACATTAACCGTTCTGATTTCACTTGCACACTCAAATGGGGGTTCTTTCAACTCACCTCGAAGAAGTCGAAATGGTCGAAGAAGTCGTGCGTGCCCCAGCTCACGACGTTCTCATAAGTGGCTTTTTTAATAGCAAGAGCCCGAGTAGCAAAAAGAGCAGTGCCAGCAGCGGCAGAAAGGAGAGAGGGTGCCATGGCAAATTAGCGTACGATTATGTATTATGGTAAAACGAATGACTACAGCAATAGCTGATGAGCGAACGGACGACGTGCGATACGTCAGAGGACGAGCGATATGCTCAAATTGACAGGACTGTCTCAGGGAATAGGCGAGTCTAGGAAGTCGACAGACGCAAGCCCTGGAGAGTATGGGAATGCCATCATGCTTATATGTAAGTCTAGTATGAGCCTTATGAGTAGGCGTGTTTCCGGCTGTCATCACCTAGTCGGCACCGGTTGAGCGCTATGGCTGTTGACTATCGAGCAGCGAAATCCACTTGGAAGCTTAGCTGCACTATACCTAGTCTAGTAGCCGCTATCTTGTGCAGTTCGCACAAATGCCCGAACAAGTCATGTAAGGGAGATGAGATGGATACCTCCATAGGTTGCTAGCTTCGATTGTCAAGCCACCAGTCCCACGGAATGAAGCAACTCAGCTAGATCTCAGCTGGCCACTTTTCCTTGCTCGACGGAGCTGAGATGCGCCTGACAGCATAGGGTATAGAGCCTAGGCTTGGACAGCGCCAATGACCTGGAAATCTGTGGGTCCTCACATCGCAAGGGGTCTCCTGTCGATATGCGAACTCATTTAGCCTCAAGACAATTTCTCTGCGATTACCAGATTTGACGAGGTCCAGTGTTCCGTTTGCTTTGTTGAATCGAGATCGAGAATGACTTCTATGCGCCTTCATATTTGAAACTCTTGATCAGATCATCGTTGCCCAAGATAGATTGTAGACTGGTTAGTGTATGGAAAGACGTTTTTTTCATCGAAATCCCCCAGGGGTTAGCTAGACGAACGCTCTGCTGTTGTTTACAAGTCCAAATTTCCTCCTGCTTTTTGGTGGCTGGCTGACGACGTGCACTAGGCGATGGGACCAAGCGCAGCGTCCAAGAACACGTGATATTGAATATTTTGTGACCGTATTGATGCGTTAGAGTTGGGACAGTGTTGGTTCACAACCGTCTATTTAAAGGCTTGCTTGCTGTTTGATGTTGTGAGAAGTTCTGAACCCATTGAGATTTCTCACAATTCACACAGCGCATCCTTTGCTAGACTACACAGTAGTTAAGTGGTTAGTGCTAGCGGTACATCCTGAATTTCACAATTATTCGCCAAGTTAGCGGGACAAATCTTCATGATCGCATAACCTCGAGCATTCACTACATAGGTTCACTGCAATGTCCCATTTTGTCCCATAATATACTGCTGGCGCTCTATTGAGAAGATTCCCTTTTTCTAGCGACTTCCGAGGTTACTATATTCTTACTCTACGTTTCATATTAATGGAAGCCCACTAGGCATCATTTGTGGGCATCATGAACTTTTATGTATCGACTAAACACAACTCGAGTAGAACGCTACATGACAAGATCTGAGGTCAACAATGCTTCAATGACAGTGATCACCAATCTCGACTACTTGTCTTCGTACAGGTCCTTTTCCATCATCGCCAGACGTGCCTCTGAAGACTACTAGTGGTAACTGTTGAGTATCTTTGCTTGAAAGGCCGGGGAGGTGCGAGAACCGTGCCACTTCGAAAGTCTGCTCACGCGTATATGCTTGGTTTTTGTTGTAGTACTTGTTGTTGCCGCCTTTGTCAAAATTCGAGTATTTGGGTAGTAATAATGATGATGGCGAGGAAAACAAGAGCTGCGCAACGACAAGAGGCTTATTTAGTGGTGAAACAGTAGAATAATCGAAGCACAGCTGCCTGGATATAGGTGGAATTGAATTTGCCAAAAAGAAACCAACTCCCCCCCATTTGCGACGTGACGCAATCATTTCGACGAAGTCTTGTGCTCAAAATATAGGTTGCGACTGCGAGTTTATTTGAGTTGGATTACTGGCGAAATGACTGACACTCTTTTTTTCGAACGGAGATGTAACATGATAAATGGACACAAGACTGATTTCAAGGTCCCTTGTTTAGATAAATGTCGACGACATTCAAGGACGGGAAGTGATATCAGATCTCTTTCCTATTTGGTCTCAAAACAAACGGAGTTGCAATTTAATTAATGTGCTTCCGGACTATTAAATGTTATACATATAGGTAAACCAGATAGTCTCCGCGTTATGAGTTATGGCCTGGCTTACACGGATCCGTATGCGTGTTGCAGACATGGCCGGACATTTGAGCTTCTACGGCCCCACTTTTCAATGAAGCTTGAGTAAGGTCCCCAATAAGCAAAGTGTCTTATGGGGACACTTTGGCAACTCCGAAACCAGCGCAGTCTGTCTTGGCGATAGTCACAACGGCATTGTCGACCGCATCTAATACAACGAGAGCGGACTCACTCTCGCTTAGAAGAACAATCAATTCTGTGTCTTCAATTCAGATGCGCGTCAACCTCGCTGGGCCGAGGTAGCTATGACGAGCCAACTTGCTCACCCATGGGGCCGCATTCTCTCGCTTTTGGCCCTGCACCTCTTGCTCGTCGCTGTGACGGCCTACCAACCATTGTCTGATGACTTCCTTCGAAACGTCACCCTGAACGATACCGACTTCAACATAGATTCCGGCGGTCTCCTCGCCCCCATATTGGTACCACGGGTTCCCGGCACACCGGGCCAGGTAAAGGCCCAAGAACATTTGGCCGGCTTCTTCAGGAAAGAGCTGCCGAAATGGGAGCTGATATGGCAGAACTCGACATCGACAACCCCCGCCACGGGAAAGAAACAAATACCTTTTGCCAACCTCATAGCGAGGAGAGAGCCGCCGTGGACGAAGCCGGGGCAGGCCAATTACTTGACATTGGTGGCACACTACGATAGCAAGATGAAGCCCGACGGCTTCATTGGCGCCACGGACAGCGCGGTGCCTTGTGCCATCCTCTTACACGTGGCGAGGTTCGTGGATGGGTATATGCAGCGAATGCACGACGAGATGGTGTCGCTGGGCGAGTTAGGCGGCACCGTGCCCATGGATATGGGTGTACAGATACTGCTGTTGGACGGGGAGGAAGCTTTTGTCTCCTGGACAGACACCGACTCGTTGTATGGGGCCAGGAGCTTGGCCGCCGAGTGGGAGAGCTCCTTCAACCCGGCCATGTCCAAGTACAAAAGCCCGCTCGAGCAGATCAGCATGTTCGTCTTGCTCGACTTGCTAGGGACAGCAGACCCAAACGTGCCCTCCTACTTCCAGACGACGCATTGGGCATACCAAGGCATGGCCAACGTCGAACGGCGAATGAGGAACATGGGCCTTTTGGAAAGCCATGCTTCCAGCCCATTTCTTCCCGACGCAGATAAGCAGCCCAACCAATTCGGCAGAGGTGGCGTCCAGGATGATCATATTCCATTCATCACCCGTGGGGTTGACACGTTACATATCATTCCCTCGCCGTTTCCGCCCGGAATATGGCATACCATGAGAGACGACGGTGCCCATCTCGACCTGGCCACCGTGAGGGACTGGGCCAAGATCATGACAGCGTTTACGATGGAGTGGCTCGATATGATGGAACTCGTACCATGAGCACTGATGTAAATGTACCAATGTATTCAGCGGGATAGCGGGCGTCATCAAATACTAATTTTTGGTCAACCTGACACCGCCATGCTTTTACTTTTGATGCACGCTTTCCAGCAACGTCATCCTTGCCCGTTGTGGCCTGAAGCATGGGCAGAAATGCTTCTATTGTAATTGATTGTTACCCCTGGAGGAACTGCAACTATTTGAACAGGTGAATGGATTTCGGCGCGTAGTCTAGTGCTTGAAAAAAAGCACAAACCCAGCGTTGTAAGTTATCGATATGACAACCCCGATAAAGTACAGTCAGTACCTCTGCCACAGCGGTGGCATATCACATGATGTCGGGCTTCGCCCACAGTATGTCGCCAAAAGTAGAGTCCATGTGTAGGACGACGGTCCAGGTCCGGAACTGACGACTGCTTCGGGATAGAAACAACAAAATTTCGAACGCGACTAGTGGAAAAAACGTAAATATCGTTGCGCCTGACGCAAACAGGAATAAGGAATACATACACATTAGGTCATTACGATGCCAGGTCGAAACGCAGAGCACTCTCATCTCTTAGCAAAGGTTTCCGCTAACTGCATTGTACGACCGCTCTTATGAACCCTAAACTACCTTGACGTTGAGTTCCTCCATTGCTCATTGGCTTCTGACTATCATATTTGTTAGCACATCTCGTGACCTCTTCCCCGCTTGCGGCAGTGCCTTCACACGGTCTTCTCCAACCAAACAAAAGTCTGCTATATCTGTTAAATGACGTGTCGATGATAGCATACCGCAACACCAGATAGCATCGTGTTGTTGATTGGGCATATGAGACTCCGCGTTGAGTTCGGAGTAGTCGCAGTCTGACGTCAAACATTGGCAGTTGTATTTTAGCTTCTTATACGGCGGATGAGCTCCCCTTTCCGAGAAGCTTCCCTTTTGTCACCATCAACCGTTGCTGACCAAAGACAAAAATATACACACTAAGTTCCAGCTACTAAAAATTCTCAATATGTCCTCAGACGGGCACGGTATACCTGATAGCGCTGCGCAGGCAGTCCACCAGATGATGGGCCATGCTGATCAACAGCAACATCAGCATGAGCTTGAGCGGCAGCGTAGTGGTCTCAGCGATCAATCCGTCGACAATGAACGCGTGTTTATGAAGGGCGCTGAGAGGCGCCTTTCGGTATGTCTACACTATAACCCTGCGCGTATCAAAACATGATACTAATTATATGGCCGCGCAGCAAGGAGAGAACACCGGTATCGGTGGCAAAATCAAAGAGTCGCTGAATAAACTGATGAAGTAAAGCAACGGATGACGCGAAAGAGCAGGAGAGACGGAAAGATTGGACTCGAGCTTTAGCAGCAGACTGATATTTACGGTTTGAAAAGGACGGCGTCCAAAAATTGATACCACAACCTAAGATTGTCCACACTCGAATAATAAAACCACGTACTGCCAGCTCGCAGCTGTTTTGAGTTGTCCGTGAGCACCTCAATCTCACTTATTCTTGCGGATTTGAGGCCATGCCCAGATAGCAGTTGCTTGCTACTGTTCGTTTCTGGTTATAGGAGCACATCCACGTGAGTAGTAGTTTCTGCCTTGGACCGAGTCTGCTGGGTATACGGAGGGTAATACAGGTTGACGTTTGCGCAATACGCCTCATGGGGTCGCCGCAACGCCATCTTGGTGTATGGATAGCACATCCGAGCTGTTGTCATGATGGGTCCTGTTTCTATGTCGGTAGTTCGATGAGCTGCAGTTTGAACACTCCCGTTCGAGATGCATTATTATTGTGCACCTGTCCTTCCTATCCAAGTAGATACAGGCTTGGTAGTAACACTCAAGCGACCATCAGCGCGTTCAGGCGCCGCAACAACCAAGTTTGGCAGCCATTGAGAGAAGTGGAACCATGTATGCCTAGTGAAGTGTGCTAAGCTCAATGGGGTACTTGATCAACCCGCCCTCCGAATGGCCGCGAAACAAATAAATTGAGTTCCCAAATCTCCGAGACGTGGGATTCGTTGCGTTGAAGATGTCGAGTTCCTGCTTTTTGTGACTGCTAGTCTAGCTGCATATAGGGGGGTTGGCAGATGGGTCGACATTGGATGGGCCTTCGTACTCCAGTGTTTCAACTGCTCGACACACCCTGTTCTGTGCTCCCCTGAGATTTGGGCGACACGGGGACGAGGAAAGCATGGCTGTTGAACTCCAAAGAACTCGCAACTCACGTGGCATGCTCCGTGCGTCCATACATAGGACGGCACGGGCTTGATGGGTAAATTATCTGACGGGATTTTCCTGTGATGGACGCTGACCGGTCCCGCAGATACTTGCCAATCCTTTAATCGTCCGAGGGAGTGTTTTGATGAAGATGCTGCTTACTACTGTCGATATTGGGGTTGCCTTGTAGGGCCTCATGGTGCAGCTTATTGCTGCAAATACACTCGATGAAATATGTTCCTGGGTTGCTTAGATACCGCACTGCGAGACCGAGAAGCCACTCTCTCTCTCTCGCTCTCTATGCTAACTAGCTAACCTTGCCGTGAGCTGTGCACTCTGGCACTGTTGTGAATTGGGAACTGGGCGGCTGCAGGTGAATGGATCAAATCATGAATGGGTTCCGGCGCAACTCTCCGGACCGCTAACAGCAACTACTAAGCGGGTTGATGTAGTGGGCTGTAGCGGGGCGGGTCGGGGTGCCATCACTGGACCTTCAGGCTCGACAGGCTCGACAGGTGCTGTAATTGGAGAGATTCTCGAATTGGAACCACAGCTGATCCTGGGCATGCAATCTGGGACCTGGTCCTGAACCTGGACCTAATCCTGGACTTGGACCCGGCCTGGGGGTGGTCTTGCATGGCGTTGAATTAGCTGAAGTAGACTAACTGACAGTAGTTTCCAATGAATACTGGACTGTAGCTCCTGTCTTTCTTGTACCTGCGCTACTGACCAACATTTTCCGAATTGTCGGACGAGTTATCGCGAGATAAAGAGTGCTTTGTCAACATACGACGGCACGACAGGACAGGACAGGACAGGATACGAAACAACACGACAAAAGCCGAGACACCAATGCCCTCGCCCGCCAAAAGATACGTGACAAAATAAGTGCACGTCATACCGCTTGGCGCGTCTTCGACTGGCAGCATATTTCCACTTCGCAGTATCGAACCAGCACATCGCATACCGGTCACGAAGCCATCCGCCGTCTTGTCTTCAGAAGCTCCCACGGCGACGATCGCCGTTTCTTCTGGCGAACTAACCAAAGAGACGTTCAGAAAGAGTCTACACTGATACACACAATCACCCTGGCCCTCGAAACTCAGCACGGTCGAGACCGGGAGGTCGTGGGCGAGGCTGAAAGCCGTCGTCGCATATTCAAGAGGAGGGTATGCAGACACAAAAGGCGAAAGCCGAAGCGCTGGGACGGAAAGCCAAGGTCAGTAGCAGCAGCTCCGCCGCCCCAACCTGCAGCCAACGCGAGGTTTCTCATGCTGACCTCGGTCTGAACATATCTATAGCTTGCCAATTCCTACCAGGAACTGCTCGACGAGTTCTCCAATAAAGATCTCAAGAATGTTGGCAATTATGGCCTCGGGCGATTGATAGGCAAGGGTTCTTTTGGCAAGGTCTATCTTGCCCATCACAAACTTACCAACGGCTCAAAGGTTTGCCTTCCTCCCCCCCATATCACTTACACCAAAGCGCTGGGCTGACATGGCCCTGACTCACAGGTTGTCCTCAAATCCGCCAAGAAAGATGACTCGAACCTCGCACGCGAAATTCACCACCACCGACAGTTCGTCCATCCTCACATCGCACGACTGTATGAAGTAATTGTGACCGAGTCCATGGTCTGGTTGGTTCTGGAATACTGTGCTGGTACGATATTTATGCTAGATGACTGTCAATGGTGAAGAATAACAGCTGATATACCACAGGCGACGAGCTCTACAACTATCTCCTCAACCATGGTCCTCTGTCCGCCGAGAAAGTCCAGAAAACGTTCACGCAGCTGGTGGGCGCCGTCTCTTACGTTCATCAGCAGTCCTGCGTACATCGAGACCTGAAGCTCGAGAATATTTTGCTGGACAAACACGAAAATGTCAAGCTGGTCGATTTTGGGTTCACTCGCGAGTACGAAGGCAAGTCCAACTATTTGCAGACTTTCTGTGGCACAATATGCTACTCGGCTCCAGAGATGTTGAAGGGCGAAAAATATGCGGGAGAAAAGGTAGACGTTTGGAGCCTGGGTGTCATTCTCTACGCACTACTATGCGGAGAACTTCCATTCGACGACGACGATGATAATGTGACGAGGTCGAAAATTCTGTCTGAGGAACCCAAATATCCCGAACATCTGCCAGCCGATGCCGTCTCCCTCGTAAAGGTCCTGCTCTCAAAGCGGCCTTTGTTGAGACCAAGTCTGCCCGATGTTCTCCAGCACCCTTTCCTGGCAGAGCATGCGCCCCAGCAGCAAGCGATACTAAAGTTGCGTCAGCCTCCGCCGTTTAGCACACCACTGGAGAAGGATTGCTTGGAGCGTATGCGAGGTGCTGGCGTCGATATTGATAAGGTTATCGAAAGCGTGCTAGCGCAGAAGTGCGATGCACTCGCTGGGTGGTGGACATTGCTTTTGGAGAAAGAGGAGCGAAAGGCCAAGAGGAGAGAGAGGAGGCGGAAAGAGAAGGAGGCAGAGAACAGAAATTCCCGAAGATTCTCAGGCGCCTCAGGCAAGCTTGAGCGTATGGCTCCCATCCTTGATGAGGATGGCATTCTAAGAGAACCACCGCCGTTACCGAGAACACGCGGCAGGAGCGAGCGAAGGAGTACCCATTTTCCGGCCGACTACAATGTCACGGAGCTGCCTAACCTCCCAGAGACTACCGATCACAGCCCTGAGAAGGACTTCCCGCCGACTCCCATAGATAAGGACTCGGTCCGATCTGCAAGCACATCAAGGCATCGACGACCAATCCCCCCGCCCAAGGAAGGCATATTGCGGAGTGCAAGATCTAGAGGCTCGACTTTGCACCTCGTAACCACTTCAGATGCTCTCGGCCTCAAGCCTCCAGAGCAGCCAGCTACGAAGGTGCGGAAGAAGCCTTCGCAAGCCATCATAGCCCATTGGAAGAACTGGACACACTGGCTGGTAGATACCACCCGGCGGCATAAACCAAGCCGAAGGGGCACGCAGTCCACCCCGAATCTCGCCGCTGAGAATGGTGAAAATGGCAGGAACTCGAAAACTCACAGCCCTCGCCCGCATACCAGCAAACATTCCACCTCGGCTTCCGGGCCTGCCACAACGGCCGAGTTTCATGGAAATGGTCGTCCAAAGGGAGGCTCACGTGTGAACAGCAGCAGCTCTATCAATATGTCAACATTGTCTCGAACAGGCACTTTGCAATCCGGATATCGCATGCCATCCTCGTCTTCTTATAAACGGCAGTCACTGTCCCCAGCACCCATGACCCCTCGAAACCCAGTACGGCGATCATCGACAGGACTACGGGGCCGCAAGTCGACATCCTCATCTTTAAGCTCGATACGGACAATGCCTCCACACCATCACCACTCGCATTCCAAGGCCTCTTCCACATCGTCTAACGGGTCAATTTCGACAACCAAGACACCTATGGGCTCTGGACGCTCACCTCACCATTCGGTGAAAGTACTACCTGCAACACCCACTACAACATCATTTCCTTCTAATATTCGATTCGCTCGGGCCGGCCCCCCTTTGCAGCTAAATCTTAGCGAGGGTCTGCCATCCTACGACCAAAATCCTGCACCGGGAAGCCCCAGTCCGTTTGGTATGGGAGGTCCTTCCGTTTTCTTTGCCAAACGCAAGAAGAATATCTTCAAGGGACCTATGCTCCAATTCGGCAGCAACCATAGTCCAGCGCCTATCGGAAGAAGAAAGGACAGTGGCAGTCATTCGCGAAATGTCAGTGCATCGGGCCTGGGCAGACGGAGTGGAGAAATGCCAATCCAGGAGGAGGATGAAGAGGAAGAGGAACATGTGCCCGGAGGTCAGACCTTCGAAGCGCGTGAGGCAGACGAAGAGAGCATTGAAGAGGTGGATCAATTCAGCCCCATTATCCAGGCCCCGGGCGAGATGATCGAAGAGATTTACGAAGGTGAAGAGGAGGATCCTGCTGTGGAGCCAGCAAATGTAGAACAGGCGAAAAGAGAGACGGATACCAGCATAGCTGCTTGAGCGGAGATACCCATGATTGTAAGATTTGGTTCATAGTGGAGATGAAGATTGTTTTCAGAGGTGTTAGGAATATTTGGATGAAAAGATGGCATAGCTTTGTAGATTCGCAGATCTTTGAAGAGGTCAACTCGATAGCATATATCTTCGGCGTAGCGCTTGGCGCAAGCGAATATTTAGACCATTCTTTGAAGAAGTAAAGAGGATTTGTGGAGGTTTAAGTTTCTCATTTTGACAACGACTACCGGGTTGATCTTATTATTCGCATTCTTATTTTCTTCGTAAACTTGCAGACGCTCGTCATAGCCTTTGCTAAGGATCTCGCTATCATGTTTCTTGCTCGGGATATGTTTGATGAGAATAACTAACTGATGTCAAATTCAATCCTTTCCCAAAGCACTCATACTTGTTGCTTCCCCATGTCCATGGCCGTGTCCCGAGCCACTCCCCTTTTGCTGGAATCCTCTACAAGTGGCGTATGAGGCGGTCGGTTCTGGGAAGGCCTTCCGGCCATTGTCCACATTAGCTGTTGGTTGAATCGATAATCGTATAAGCCTCCTGAAATCGGTGAGACGTTAATGTCATTGCCTTGCACTACGAAAATAACGATCATATATGATGTACCAGTGAACCGATTTATAACCGCAACCGAAGCCTCCTATCGCCGCCACCATCCTAAAAATAGGCATCCCGATTCTTCGATTCTTTCAAGTGTCCTAGAGAGGTGGCTTTTTTATCAAATGGCAAAAGAAACTAAAAACCAAAAGAAAAGAACCCTTCGTTCTTGTACTAGGCGATTTGAGGATTATATGTTCTGAAATAGTTTGAGCGTATGTGTCAGACGCGACAAGGTCGCATTCTATAGCAGCGGGTTCTTCAGCGTGTTTCGATTTGATTCGAGACAAGCTGGACTCTATCCTGTAGGTATAGAATGTGCAGTCTTCCTCTTCAATTTTCTAAGGACATTCTTCTACAATAGCCCGGCGTCGGCCATGACCATGTGCGAATACTCCACCAACATGTCCAGCCTGTTCATTTTGGCAAGCGTTATGTCTATTTTGCAAATGGATTTGCGATTTGCATTATAGTCCAAGCGATAGTTCTCAGATTTATTTCTCTTTTTTCCTCTCATTTTCTCTTTGCTCAAACGACCATACTCAGTTTAAAGTATCCAAAACTCGACTCATTACATTGACATTTCTGAATTCATTCCTCATTATTTCGTTCACTCATTATTGTCGTCAACATCGTAGTCTAAGAAGCTACTGACTGGCCATCCGTTCTGTACATTGAACTCGCTCAGGTTAGTAGTGCCGTAAAGAACCTCGTACCGCGCCATGTTGTAGGAGCCAGTACTGTTGCTAGCACATGTCTCGTTTTTGACAAGTGCTGCCGCAACTCGCTCGCCAACCTCCCGGCCCTCGTAGTAGGCACCGTGCAAGAACCCAAAGTATTCTGCAGAGTTTGCCTCGCCAGCGAACCACAGCCTGTCAATGTTCGCCCTCAAGTTTTGATGCCTTTCGAGCGTCGTTCCGACTGGCCAGTTGCTGTAAGATCCAAATGCCCATCTAGCACAGATACGTCAATCGTCATGCGTTTTAGGGTCGTTGAACCAAAAACTTACTCTTCTTGGCTCCAGCGAGGATACTTGATTGCGATCGGTTCTGGTATGTCTATGTCTGGAAACATGGCTTGCAGCACGGCTATGCATTCAGCCAGTGTTTCTTCGTCAGATTGTTGTTCTATTCTGTATGACTCATCTCCAACGACGGTTGCAAAAATGATGTTGGATCCTTCGAGGAAGCCTGGTGTAGAAAGAGATTGCCAGACTGGGTAGTATCCACGTGTATCCGGGTCGGCATACAAGAAAAACTGAGTATCAGGATCCCAAAACGTTTCGTTGAACTGCAGGAATATTTTGGTGTACGTCCCCATTTGGAATGACTCGATTGCTTCTCGTTTCCAACGAGGTAGAGCCGGTTTGAAGTCGACCACCTCATTTTGCAGAACACCTAGGGAAAAGGTACACACTGCATGCTCAGCTTCAATGCAACCCTCATCCCCGAGCGATACTGTTACGCCTCGCTGGGAGTACGTAATCCCCGTGACCGTCGTCTCCAGCAATATGCGGGAATCATTCTCGGCCAGAAACTCAGAGGCCTCACCGATCACAAAGGAATTGAAGCCTCTTTGGTCCCAGACAAAGTTGTTCTCATCGCTGAACTGGTTGAAGGTCAGATTATTGCCTGCAACTCCGAACTCGAAGCTGCTTTGTTCTGGTACGTATGACGTCTCCCAATCCCAGCTCCACCATTCCACGGCCTGTGCGTGCATATCTTTCTTCGGTTTCCATCCTGCAAGACCAAGGCCTGTACGCGCACTATAGTCCTGCCGGTTCTCTGTCAGTATTGTTCCAGCGTCGTCCTCGGCGATGTCGTAGATCGTGTCCCATTCGTCTAGTAGATCTGCGTAATCCATATATCCAGTTTCATCATAGGTGAGGATCGAGCTATAATCGGAGTATGTATTATCTAGATGGTACTTCTTTCCCAAAGACCAAATGGGGTTCTCAGGCCCGTCAGGCGAGCCCAGTCCCTGGATCCAGTTGGCGCCGAGCTCTACCGTATAAGACGAGCTGTCGTCAGTCCTACCGAAAGATGTATGAGCGACTCTTCCTCCGATATAGTCGTTCCGCTCAACAATAATGAAGTCCGTAATCGAGGCATTGGCCAACGCGTGGGCCGCTGTGACCCCAGCAACACCTGCACCGAGGATAGCAACTTGAGTCTTGTAGCAGCTGGTTGCGTTACGTCGTTGTTGGATCACAGATGCATTGGACCCAACCATAAGAATGAACACCAATCTAGCAACCTCATGCGGAAACGGGAACATCGTGTTGAAGACAGAGCCGTGGGTGATAGAACAACATATACTGAGGCAAAACTCTGCATGAAAACCGAATCAGAATTCAAGTCTCTACGCATCTTTGACCAAGCCGATAAAGAGTCACAGTTTTAGATTGGTTATCATTCGCGATGATGTAACTTGATCTTGGATGCGACTACAAATGACGCACGGGCCGTACAACTTGCGAGTGACCATAACTCAGGTCACACATGCTCCTCGATATGTATTTTGTTTCGCAGACTTAAGAACTTAATTCAAGCGCGCAATGTGATCATCTGAGAGCTTCACTATCAAATGGTGTAAGCTTCGTATCATCTTCGACATGAAAAGCTATCTTATTCGCGTTTTAAAGAACAGCCTTAAAATCGTTCTAGTAATCGTCATTTTCAAGTGCACACACCCTTGGCCTAATTTTTCCAAGGCAAATCCTCCCTCGAAATGGGAATCAGGTGCATGCATGATGCATGTCCGTGTGCAAGCGACGATACGAACATCGGCGGTGCTACGTTACACTATTAGGCCCTCTAGGTGATCAGAGCACCAGAGCTGCAGATTGGGGTGTTTTTGAGTTAACATTGACAAGGGCATTTGCATATACAAAGTAAACGATCGCCAAAGGATTGGTTAAAAATGTTAAGGTTTAACGACATGGGAAGGACCGGCACGCTAAATTGGAATATGTTGCGGATGCATCACAGCACCTATGCTACAGACGTCAAGAAGCAAAGCTAAAGAGTACAAGGGAGTAAGCCGTCTCGAAGAAGAGTCGAAGTATCTCTCTGATGAGAAGAATGCGTTGTGATGGCCCACGAAATGGGCGGGGGTCTGATCATTTAAATCACAGGTCGCATTTTAGCCCCGCTTGTGAACAGCCAACAGACTTTTAGTACACTATAGTCATATACTATCTAGGAAATGTTTGAAAAACCTTGAAAGCGTACAAGACCAGTAATTTGATATGATGTATTCCAGTCGATCCTAAGGCCTGATCCTGTTGTATAATAGATGTTAGAGTATATATCCAGGTGAGAGGCATTTGAATTGTAGCTTCAGGTTCATACAAAGTAGTAGTACTCTTCAGTGACAGCTGAGCGTGCCCGCAACTATCTTGGAGTACTCCCTCCTTGCTAGACTTACACTTCCTCGATGATCTCTCCATGAATCGTGATACGCGGTCCGGCGAAGTTCTTTCTGCCATTGACAAACCACTGAAATATTGAAATCAAAAGTATGATCGCAAGTGCAACAACACAGTAATTCATGGAGGTGCCGCTGACGGGGAGTGAAGGCAATAACAGGAACAGGAAAGTTGTTACAATGGTATAGAAAAGCCCAATGATATTCAACGTCCATCCGAGCCAACTTGGCAGTGTAAAAGCTCTCTCTGGCAGTCTTTGTCTCATATAGATAAAGTTCAGGGCGATTGGTATTCCATAACTGAGCCCGAGTGTCGTTACCGCAAAAGCGATTATGGCGTTGAAAGCCGTGGTAGACCCAAGATAGATGCAGCCGAAAATGGTCACGATTCCTACGTTGAGATACAAAGAGTCTAGAGGCACCAGCAGAGTAGGATGTATCTTCCACCACAGAATGGATGCATCTTCCACCACAGAATGGATGCAGGTTATCCACCGTCTTGAGCAAATGCAAAAATCATCCGAGAAGATGTCGTCAAGCATGCCGTGCCTGCGAAAGTAAGACAAATAAGTGGAAACATCAGCAAGCATATAGCCCCGGCTTTGTTGCTTGTGGCCAGATAAAAAATCTCAAGCAATGGGCAAGCTGTTGCCTCGATAATATCCGGTGCATTGTTAATTCCGCCTGATGCGAACAACAGTACGACAAGAATAAGAATCCCGTACTGATGCCGATGTATTGGCACTACAGCGCCTGAAGTCAGTGATCACTTCTTCGTAGTAGGTCGGAGGTCTTCAAGGGTAATGTGAAACAGTCACAAAGAGATTAAGTACATATGGCGGGCATTATCTGCCCTGTAAACATGCCAAGAAGTTTGTAAAGTGATCCCAAAAATTGCTTACGTTTATTATAATCTTTGGGCCCTCAATGGCTGCGTTTGGAATTTCTTCGATCATGTCAGCCACGGCGTCGAAACCTGTTAGGCCGAGGCCGCCCTGCAAAAGACTGAGCAGCCAGGCAATACCGTCGGGCCATCCTGTTGTGTTGATAAACGTCGCGAATACGTATTTTGGGGTCGCATAGTTGGGAGCCGCGCATGCAAGTAGAGTAATAGATATGGTTAGAAAGCCGCCAATGCTCCATATAAGCGCAAATCGGTGCGAGGCAACATCGGAACCAAAAAGGAATCGACGCAGAATGCTACAAGCGTGGTAGGAATGTATACAAGAAATCGATGCCAGCGTTGGGGTTCGTAATCGACAATCATAAGTGAGACAACGTTGATCACCAGTGTACTTGCAAGAGAACTATTCGTAGCAACAAGGGCGACCCAAACCAGACACATTGATCCAGCCTGTTACCCAGGAAAGCCCCCTCTGAAGGGATGGCGGTGCAATCATCGCAACCCAATAATACTGGCCTCTGTCACGAGAACATACATTAGCTTCTGCCCTGATACTCCGGTTGAAAGCTTTGGTACCCCTGAACCAATACTGAAAATGCTCGATTTGTATACAGACGCATTGAAGATCGAGAATGTCGCATTTGCGCACTTACCCTGCAGTAGGATAAGCAGATAGGAACTCAGCCAAGCTGGCAGCCATGCAGAAGAATGTCAACAGAGCAAGGATGGATACCCCAACGATTAGTCTTGGAGTAAACTTTGGTTCGTACTTTCCAAGATTGCCCCTCACTTTTGAGAAACTGCCACAAGAAAACATCCAAACTAGGCACAAATGTGATAAGGAGGTTGATGTAATTGTGCTGAGGATGTTGAGAAATTCGTTCTCCTCACGCTTTTTCTCTGTAGCTGATAAGCATTTAACCTTTGTTTCGACTAGCTTCACGCGATCGGCGGCGGTACGAACAGGCCCACTCCATAGATCAACGCTGACCAAAGAGAAAGACTGCAGATTGATAACCCGTAGCTCGGAGTAGGTTGCCGAAATAGTATTCCGTGGCCAGGTATGGATATTTGTCTTTCGGTATTTTTTTAGACATCAAAGATACAATAGATCTGAAGAGGCACATCGTGAAGCGCTATCTTCTGAGAGCAAAGTTTAATGGAGACCGGGACGGCCCGGACAATAGTGGGCTAAACATCGTGGGGTGGGGCCCACACGGTGAACGTATTCTCCACCAGATTGACTGGGGGTTTATGGTCGACAAAAGGGGGGCTTGTGTTGTACTTTCTATTTATTTGATTGACTCACGTTAAAAGTACAGGCCGAAGATTATTTCTATGTATATCAACATAGTCATATACCACAAGGTGCTATTCTAGCGTACTCGCCTACGGCTCCTGAGTAGCTCCAGTCTTAGACTATCGTCAGTTATTCCCGGGCTTGACGGGTGGCCGCTTGTATGTTTGGCGTCGCCGTATAACAATCAGCAGTCCAAGAAACGGTGACAAGGTTCTTCTCGCTGCTATTGTCTGCAATGTATATGGTCTCCAGCTCAATACGGTCATCAACCCTGATTCCCATATCACGCTCCTCGAATTCATTGGTGCTAACCACAGTGTTCTGCTTGATGGTTTGGCTATGCATGACGCCGGCTCTAGATTTGTTGCCTGAAGAAGGGTATATATCTCTTCGCTGAGAGCTTTGGGATGGACTCAGCTTCGGGATTGTTTTGACGAAGATCGGTTTAATTGCTGGGACTGAAGCACAGGTAATCGCAATGTTGAGCTCTAGATGGGACCAGATGGCTATGTTGACAGACATGCCTGTGATAAGTCAGTAAAGTATACGCTGTAGTGGAGAAGCAGAATTTACTTGGCTGTTCATCGGTTGTGGCTGAAATGTTAGCATGAAGGGCTTGCAGCCTGATGATTGCTACGATGCATGCACTTTTCTGGTCAGTGATACTCGGAAATTAACATCAACAATAGACCACTTACACGCCACCGCAAGCAAAACATGCTATAAGGACCCATTTTGCTCTAGGTGTAATATGTAGCTTCTTAAGGTGCAGGATTGGGATGATTAGTAATGTCAGATCAATCGCGATGTTTATGCCTGCGATCACATAGTGTAATATTGCTCGATCGATACAGCCGCCAGGAATGTCATCGTTCCAGTATTTTGCAATAGGCCAGCAGGTGAAAATAGTCGAGAACTCCGCGAATAATGCATACGCACACAAGATAACCAGCAATCCAGTGAAAGGCTTTCTTGACTGAGGAGTTTGAAAAATCCGCTTATACTGGAACAGGAGAGAGAACTTGAGTAGAAGTTGAGTCGATGTATATGATAGAATCATTGCATAAAGAGCTTTCAGGAAGTCGACAAGTTGGTCCAATCTCACTTCGTCACCAAGGCCGAATCGTATTTCTATACAACATCCCTGTCAGTCAAATTATTCCCTCCGTGTGACTGGGTGCTACCCAAGCAAGTGGATCTAGTGGGGAAGCATTACCGTACACTACAGCATTCGAGGTCAGCAATTGATTCTTTGAAATGGGTCCAAGGGTCTGGGAGTCTTGTGGAATAGTCAAAAAGAGACATTGCCTCTGATAGGCAATGTCGGCTCCGTAGACATGGAAGAAAGGGTGGAAAATGACGCCAAAAATTGCTTACTGGCAGCCGTGAAGAACGAAATTGATCCGAGCTAAACAATCTGTCAGCTCTTACAACTTTCGGTCCCGAAACTTTAAAATTTACCATGGCTAATACCATAAGATAATCATCGGCACCGAATCTTCGAATCACCAGGGCTCGAGTGCAGACCCGCAACCCGACGGCAATTGTAGCTATTGTTGTGAAGAAGAAAGACAAGAAAACTAAAGCATGGTTTCTAGCCACTACTGGGGAGCTGCCCAGATGCCTGCGCGACAGTCAGATGTCAGTATTGGTGACTTGGGGAGAGACAAGGGAGATTTCGGGGTTCCCTCTCAGATAACAGGAGAAGTAGAAAAGGAGAGGCGATGAGAGCCACTGAGAGTCACATACCACATTTTAACAGCTGTTACTCAATACGGTCACCGTATTTGAGATTTGTTCGGAAAAGAGAAAGATGAATTATTGTCGACATTGGCGATTAGATAGCAGTGGCTTTAAAGAAGTATTTCAGGTCACACCGAATGGGCAGCTCATAAGACCACAGACTACTTCAATCAACCTTCTGTCTGCCATAGGATTTGTGCAACGCCATTTGTAATACACAGTGTATCAGACACATAACGGCACAAATTCTTCTTAGGGCCGTCCATGGCTTACGAATGGCGCATCTGTAGTGCCGATATCCTGCATGAGTTAAAATATGAGCGTAGCAATTATACTTCGGAATCAGGGCATTCGCTACTTCGCGAATAAACATCGCGTTGTTTTCTACCTACTTTACCCTTCTTACCGGCTTCCTGGATTGCGTGTAAACTTGCTTCAAGCCACGAAATAGCCTGTTCAAATTTGGTTCGTTACCATTAGTATCCTTGCCCGCATCCTTGTTCAAATTCGATCAAGGCAGATCGCGATCCTGGTCAGGGGGCTTCGCCGTGAAGAAATATCAGGCCCTGCAGGAAGCGAGCTTTATAAATTGAGTATACGATGCGTTACCTAAGCTATCTCTCTGTATTCCGGGCTCAATGCCTGAACTCAGTCCAGCAAATCTTCTACTGCAAGCCGATGTATTAAAGTGCGTTCCCGGACCAAACTGGAAAGGAGAAACTTCCATTGTCAGGATGTTTCCAATAAGCCAACCAGGATGTTCACAACGCGAGGTATATTGACCATGTGCTTCTAGAGCAATGACATAGGTTCCTGCAATCTTTTACATGCTTCATACTCCGTATCATCAGATGCTATCATGACTCGGTACATCCTTACAGGAGTCGCTTGGCTCACGGATGAGTTTACTCCTATATAACTTCGACATATGCCCCTCACAACAGCCCCCCCCCCCCCCCCCCCCCCCACTTAATATTAGTTTCTAGTTCATAAACACAGATCTATGTTCCGTAGTATAATTGGGGACAAATCACCCCCTCCCACGCTCGAGTATAATTAGCTGATGAATTATCCAGGTTGTTCAACAACTGAATTAGAGTCGAACGATTTCTCAATGGGAGCATCAATTTTATCTCTGAATTTTTGCTTCGGGTCAGACAAGCATGAAGTAATCAGACACATTAGTACTAGATATCACAAAACATTTCGGGAACAGGGACATACCGATCAAAGCTAAGGCGACAAAACATGCAGCGGCTATCCCTACATGTCTGAATGCTTGAGCGTATGTGTTCAGAAGGGCTCGTGCCCCTGCATTGATGATCAAGGAGTTGCGCCAGGAATTGCTAGCTTAGCCGTTTTATTCTGCGTGCGTAGGGCCGTAACGAAATCGCTAAACTGCTCCGAAGAAAGGTCATCTGGGATGACCGCCTCAGCAATATTCTCTGCCATATGCCTAGTACATCATTGAATACTGTACTGTTTGAAAAAAGAGTCAGTGGAAGGTAATGAGAGAACGAAGCCAAAAATAATCAAATATAGCTATAGCAATTATGCCACCAAGCAACCACACATTGATGGCAAGACCACTTGCAAGGGCAATAAGCTCTGACGGCGTGGATTGTTAGGCAGCGGTTGCCAGCGTTGTCAGTGACGTTCCGATGGCAGTTCCAAGAAGTACCGGATAGAATCAGACTGCGCTGCTTGATCCAGTCTTCGATCTGGCCATGCAAAATGAAGGAAATCACAAATATAAGAAAGCCTGCAACAGTAACCCAACGGACACGCCTGTAAGCAGCGTTGTATCAGCCAGCGGCAAGATGCCCCAATAGATGCGGAAATCAGCATAACACTGTGGAGCGTACCAAAAATTAGTGCGTCCGTTTCGTAAAGCACATTAATCTGGAATGCAAAATAATGGTTGGCAGCGTTGCAATACCTTTGTAGCCAACAGTAAGAACGCTGATGGAGAAATTTATGATTCCAGGGAAGAGTCCATGATGGAACATTCTATCTCTTTTCAGGAAAGTATTGTATCCAATCAAGCAGAAGAACAACACAAGACCAATCGAAAAGATAGCAGAAACTCGAGATCACTCCAATTATAAGGAATTTTGGAATAGGAAAGCCCAACCGCAAACAAGACAAGACCTGTCGCGAGGAGGAAGTAGCCAACCCAGTCAAGTTTGGCCAAGTTCTGGGAAACGATGAACTGTCTCTGCTTCTCTAAAGGCATTGGGGGGGGGGGGGGACTATATACGGTCACGCAAAAAAGCTACTACGATTAAGTACCAAGCCATGCCAATCGGAAAGTAGGTGCTGAAGCCGTCCGATCTGGGTTGCTCGTCCGTTTAAGTGAGCCACCAACAAGAAGCCCGAATATTGTTCCCAGACAAGTCGAGACCATATCGATAGCTTGGCCCCAGCCAGGCCATCTTCTCGGTAGAAATTCAGACGTGACAGTATGCAACAGCGGCTGTGCTCCGAAAGCTACAACCGTAATGGTGAAGCCGCGATCAGCATTTCTATCTTGGAGTCACGTGCAACGACCACGGAGCTGGCGGCGCCAAACAATGTGCAAACCACCAAAAGCCATTTTCGACCCCAATAATCGGCCGCCTGAGAGACGATTGGGCCGAGGACAACTGTGAGAATCGTGATTGGAGCAGACGGCCAAACGACACTGGCTCAAGAGTTGAAATGAGCGGCAATGGTTTGGCCATTGCTTGAGCGAGGTCAGTGGACAATGCAGCATCGAAGCACAATGTCGAAAGACACATCACCGATCCCAGCTAAAATAGTAAGTTGACCAAAGTAAATTAAACAAATCGCTAGAACAGTGAGAACAGTCGTCGTATGTACTTGGAAATTTATGACTTCACTGATGACCAAAAGTTGCTCTTTATGCCCTTCAATCACTGGTAAAGGAATTGCATTTGCATTGGAGCTGGCGCTTTCAACTTATGGTCCAGCCACCGTTGCGATCGATATTCATTTCGTAAGCATGAAAACGGGCAGTGGACAGCCAGTCTGCGGCCAAACCGTTGGGAATAGCACGGATCAAACGTGGGGGCCGAAAATAGAAAGCAAATGGTCAAGGTCAAGCAAAAGGCTGGCTCAATGTAGGTGATGCCAAGATGCACACCTGACAAATCTACTGCATGTCGAAACACAAGTCAAAGTCAAATGAGCAACCGAAAGTTTTAACGCTTATCGCAGGAATACCCATGTCTATGTACCGTCCATGTTTCTGTCTAGTTAGTCGAAGGAATCATACAGTCTAGACCAGTGCGCTGAGACAACCGAGCTAATAAAAGTAGTGGCTACGCACCCTTGAGCCCCTACAGCTGCATCAGATGCTACAGATCCTTCACGGCTACGTAGGAGTTCAAGATTCGGTTAACTCAGCATTGCAGAGCACCCTACCTGTTGCTAGGTTATAAAATTTCCGTAGACTTATGGTCATTCGATCGGTAAGGAATACTGGACGTACAATTATGTTCTATGGCCCTGGTCAAGGCCTTTCTTGGGGAGTGTACCATCAAACTCAGTTGCATCGCCGTTCCATGTGCAAGGTTGAACAACCAGGTAGCAACCTGGTCATGGAATCTGACTCTCATGCACGCACTGGGGCTTACATGTACACTGTGCGATAACGGCGTCGAGAGCTGCATGCAACCCCTACTGACTTGCGCTTTATAATCGCTCAAATCGGCATCGGAAACCGCATGGTACCACAGAAACGGTCATTAAGAGACATGCTAAACATGATTTCGGTTCCGCATCTCAAACTTCCATCCTCGCCAAATCCTCGCAAATATGTTACATGTTTTGGTAGCCGGAGCTGGCATAGCTGGATTAACAGCTGGGATCGCTCTTCGTCGAGCTGGACATACTGTACACGTCTACGAGAGATCGTCCATGAACGAGGAAGTGGGAGCCGCTATCAATCTACCCCCTAACGCTGGACGCCACCTCATTTCATGGGGTTTAGATCCCATCAAGTGTCGATTTGTCAAGGCCGAGAGCGTTGTCTGGCTTCATCCCCAGACACTGAAAACGGTAGCTCGCCATGAACACGCAAACAATCTCGAGAATTATGGCGCTGAGCTATGGTATGCCCACCGAGTTGATCTGCACGATGCGTTGAGGCAAATTGCCACCGATCAGGATGGGATAGGACCACCTGTGACTATACATTTGAAGTCATTCGTCGTGGGCTATGTGTGTGTTCACACGTACGCATGACACACTTTCGGCTAATGAGTGTAGAACACAGATATACCATCCCTTAGTCTCGCCAATGGAAAAATTGTTCAAGGTGACCTTATCATTGGTGCTGATGGGCTTCACTCCATTGCTTGCGAAACAGTTTTAGGCAGAAGAAATCCACCTGTACAGCCGAAGCATTACAACTACTGCTACCGGTTCCTCATACCAGCTAAGGCTCTCGAGGCAGATCCTGATACCGAATGGTTTAATCAGGACAGCAGAGGCCTGACACGTCTATTCATAGACAATGAAGGTTCAAGGCGGCTTGTGGCTTATACCTGTCGGGATAATACCATCCACAACCTCGTGGGGATTTTCTACGACAACGCAGCCAAGAATGCAACTAGGGAAGGTGCGTAGACCACTCCGTTTGCGAGTTGTCATTTCTAAGATATCTATCAGATTATCTTGCTTCCGTGGAAAAAGAAACCGTGACAGAAAGATTCAAGGGTTTTAGTCCAAAGATTATTGCTGTAATCAAGTGAGTATTGCTGGTCTGCAGGTTACCAGATGACCCTGTAAGTTGACGACACTGGTTTAGCAAAGCAACGGAGATTAAACGATGGCCACTTCTTTATCGAGCGCCCGTGCCGCGATGGAGAAAAGGTCACATGGCGCTGGCTGGTGATTCAGCCCATCCTATGCTACCTCGTAAGTATTACATCTTCTCGTCGCGTACGATACTAATGCCCTGATAGATCAGGCCCAGGGAGGGGCACAAGGTATTGAAGATGGTGTTGCTCTAGGAGTCATTTTTGAGGGTGCAAATCCAGATGATGTGGAGGAGCGGCTGGACTTATACGAGAAGGTCCGCCGCGGTAGAGCGAGCGTCATTCAAATCCTCAGCAACGTTGGCCAGGACCAGTCGCATCTTGTCAGGGAGGACTTGAAAGATTATTTGGATGAAAGCCAGATTCCCAGTGAGCATTCCTATTGTTTCTTAGTCAGCGCGCCTCAAGTTTTTGACAAATGTGCAGCCAATCCAGCAGAGAACTACTCCTATATGTTTGGACACAACGTTGAGAAAGAAGCAGCTGCTTTGAAGCTTATGAAACTGTCGCAATGAAATCTGCCAAAATGAGGACTGAAACCTACACTGAGGCGTTTCTCTAAGCCCTACCTCGCTAGATTTCCAGTGTGCACATGAGGTGAACAGCAAACATAGTACCATGACATCAATGTCAAATCAGTTACCAGAGATTGAGGTCTCCAGAACCTTCTCACTTATTTACTACAAGCGATGCAGTCTTTCACAGAATAAGCCGAAACAGTATAATGAAGCCATTACGCTACCCTGGTGGTATTCTTGCATATACTAATTGTGGTTGGAGCGCACGACTAAGGTCGCATACCCATCCATTGAATTTGTTGAACCTCTGAATACCCTCTGGCAATTTGAGTGTTTTGGGGTCCTTCTTGTAGCAATACCAGTGCGACCAAATGGTAGAAAGCTGACTTCGATCATAAAATGCGCCAGTATAAATTAGAGTTCGTGACGTACAATACCTCGTCTTAACTTGCTTGTTTCCTTAAGAGAGCTCACATTGACCGCACGAACTGCATATCCGTCAAACTCTGAAACCAACAAAGTATTGCCATCTGGGCTGAGGCCGAATTCTCTTGGAAATTGTCCAGTCCGAATCTGCGGAAAATTTGCCACAATGCCTTTTTGTACTGACAACGTATCTACTACCGTCAAACCAGTCGAAGTATTGCTGTATCCCCACCGGTTGGAGTCAGCTGTGAGAACATAGTCACCCACGATGGCCAACGAAACAGGTGATGTGCCGACCACAACATCAGTAATGAGCGCCTCCCCTGCAGTTTCGTTCGAGTTAAGCTTATCTGCGTCAAACACAAGAAGTGTGTTTGCTTCACGAGTATTGATCCAGACACGCTTGCCGTCGCTTCCGAGTTTGATGCGCACCGGATGACATCCTGCGTCGACAGTCCAGAGCAAAGCACCTGATGGATTCGTCTTAAGCGTTTCGACGTCAAGAACGGAGATGCTACCTCGGAGCCCGTCAACGTCATCGATACCAGTCGCTTCACTGGTAACGTATAGCTTCGTGTTGTCGCTTGAGAATGCCATGTCAACTGTGGCATACCCAAGAGTGATGTATCCTTTATAAACCCCAGTCACTACCGCATTCGTGTCTGTATTTACCTCCCATACCTCTAAATCACCTCGCTTGCCATTGACAGGGCTACCGAATTCCTGCGTCAAAAACACGTAGCGACTATCGGGCGTTATGGCTGCCATGGCCGAATAGTTTCCAGCAACGCCGTTATTCGCTAGAACACCGACAACAGAATCATTCCGGCCGGCGACTGCTCGTTCCGTGTCCAGTATCAGTGCCCCATGACCGCCGGCTGCATATACATTCTTTCGATCCGGCGACAAGACTAGACCATGGAAAATATAGGTGTCTTCATCGGGGTCGCTGTCGCTTAAGCCCAAGTGCGCTAGAACGTCTGGAGAGGGGATGATCTGGTGCTTAAGGACGGGTGTAAATTCCGACACGTTCAGCACTGCGACACTCCGCCGGATAATCACAAAAGCAATATCGTTCGTATAGTATGCGATACCAAATGGGTGGTGATCCACGGTCAATGCCGAAGTAGCGACATCGAGGGTGCTCTGCACCGGAGCTACCGTGGCACACGTTCGAACGGGGAAAGCTACGACGGCCATTCGAAACGACATGGCGACCAAGGCCAGTACTACCATGCATCTAGACACCATCGAACCTGTCATATTGCACATACTTTTATGTTGACTTACTTGCTTCGAATAGAGGTCGAGTTTCCTCACTGGAAATGATGCAGGCTGTCAATTCACAAGTAATATGATATGATGGTCCAAAATTCGGCGCCGACACAACATGAGAATCATGAGTTTCATGGTTGCATTTCCCACATGCAAATTTTCGAGTTATGGTTGTGACACGTGCCCCGCGATTCGGCGATGTAAGGCGCTTCAGTTTGTTATCTGGGCCATGACAGTTGAATATAGAAAACATGCAGGTAGCTCTCATGGTTGTTACCGTTATTGGCCGCTTTAGCGGCCTCGGATTCAATGCCTGATTTTGAGCCATGATACGTCTCACCAAGATGATTTCCAATCGGCATTGGGCCACGTACTATCACACACATAACGTTGACATCTGTCAGTATCAGAGCCCCTTGCATCGGTTGTAGAGGTGGGCCCGAGGGAACTCCACTAACCTAGGTTAAGTAATTATGGATGGCAAGGCCAAAGGTGACTAACCTTAACTTACAGTAAACGTCCGCCTAGACTAGAATTAGTTATGGCCCCCTAGAACAAGTAAACAAATACCACAGAGTACTCATTCAATATATCACAGCATTATATTTAATGATCCCCATTGTATGTTTTGCGGCTCAAACTAGTGCCCGACTCAGATTCTTGATTGACTATCTTGAATGCAGCAGCTCAACTAGTTGTCACGAAACTGGATTCACCCCGCACAACATTTCCTCACTACGACGCATTGACAGAATCGACCCCTACCACATCCGACGGTTTTGAAGTTCCGATTCGCTAGCTAGCCCTCGAGGCCACAATAAATTAGTTTTACTGGCATGAGTTACTTGATTCGCCCTAGGCTGGGACATGATCATGTCTCCATGTAAACCTGGAACCGCTGAATTGGCTTGGCTTAAAGACCATCACACTAATGTAACACATCTTTCCTATCAGGATGAAGTTCAGGATGTCTATCAGAGTGTGGCAATTGTTGGAGAGCTGCAAGACTGGAACAAAAAATGCCCAGAATGTACCGCACAAACTCCCATACAGAAGCCAGCGCAGAATGTCCGCACAAGGCCGCCTACGAGACATGGTAAGGGACCAGGTTATGCCATCAGTATATACTGAAGATATTGCTGGTTCTTACAACAAGGGTATATCATGAAAATCTAGTAGAAACCAGACCTCTGTAATATTGTGGTAACGTATCGCTATCATCACTATGAATGGCAATCTGGTCTCCATGTTCCAGTTGAGCTTCGCATTTGGCATACTATATTCTCTTTTCGGTCAATACTCTACGTCCCAGAAATACCTTGGCCTATTTGGAAGCGCCAAGGCGTGGTTGAGATCCGCCAAGCTTCAAATAACGTACGGAGACATCCTCGGCCTCGAGGCCTGTTCTGGCAACCTCGTTGTAATCAATAGAGCAAAACAATACCGGGAACTGTATGACAAGAGAAGGACGATCTACCCAACTTGAACTAACGACCATGTTCTTAGAAAGTATATCTTACGAGGCACTCAGCATGTTATCATCTTGCCAAGAGATGAGTAGCTTGGCCAATGGAGGAGCGTCTTCCACTATCTTCTCAATCACGAAGACTGCGTCAATGTTTAGCTAGTCTAGGAAGCTGATACGTCCCATATAACATGTACTCTGATTCAAGAACTAACCAAATTCTATGACCCCCCCCCCCCCCCCCCCCCCCGCCAACCTGGAGTCTAGTCACTGCTTTAGTGGCTGTTTGAGTGTATCAATCACCGCAAAAAGATCATGAGTTACCAAGTGGTTCTTCAACAATCAGAATTACTTTTTTAATCTACCGATACCTGCTATTGCGCCTTCCGCGGACGTCTTTCTTATTTTGAAGTGCATACCGGAGTTTCTGGCAAGGAGGAAGCGACAGACACGGAGGCTTGACCAAAACCAGAAGGGCTTCTACTTGATGATGCTCGAATCCGCCAAGCACGAAAATCAGTACGAAGTGGAGGCGGTGATGTCTCTAATGTCTAAGCCGCTGAAAGAGGGGGCAGAGTCGAAGAAAATATTTGACGATAATCAGCTCATGTATCCACAGGGCGGTTGCTCAACGCCGCGATAGATACAACTTTACACCTCCGCATTACTACTAATGAAAGTCTTTTCCTCACGACCAGACATCTACAAGCATGTTCGATTTGAGATTGATACTGTTTATAGGATGCAGATTCCACCCAAGACACAGTGTCTTTCGACACTACTTTTTCTTGGAAAGCACGGTTTCTTGAGTTCGGTGACATGAGTCTTACCTAGCTTGTTGTATGTACCAACCAAACACAGATTATGCACAGGAGGCCATAAACGCCGACTACATTATCTCGTCTGATGAACGATGACGATGTAGTAAATGGCTAGTTCACTCCTAGAGGGAAATTTGTGCTGGTGAATTCCTGGCCTATAAAAAAAAGGATTCTTAAGGCCTACTAGCCACCCGAATCGTTTTGTCCTGGCCGCTTTTTGGGGAACTTGTATAGAAATAGTTGTTTACCTGGCAAGGCTCATACTATATCGGCAGAAAACAGCTCTACTGTCTTGGAAGCGGTCGTAGAAAGTGCCCGGGAGACACAGTCACACCAGGAAGCGTTATGACTACTCTGGCATACCTAACTTGGGCATTGGATAGTGTTTCCAGAGAAAACATAGACCTCAGTATTGAGACTGGGTTTCATGAAGGGTTAGTTATGGGCCACGAAATGTCAATACCATAGGGGAGGTGTTCGAGCAATTAAACAAGTAGATATCCCTTTGAGCGTCAGATAATTACGACCTACTACTCAATTCACACGTGATGCTGTGGTCGTCGCTGACCGCCAGCTCACCTCGACTACACAATATAGTCACTGTAGAAAAGAAGCAATTTTTAAGCCAACACAACCATGCGCTAGAACACAATGTTCACGTTTCCCCAACACAAATTCAATGCCGGCCAAGTAGATAATCCACTAAAAGTCCTCAAGTCTGTATACATCATATGAGGGTTCTTCGTAAGGATGAGCCCTCCACACTTCAACGTTAGCTATCTGGTTCCAAGTTCACGAACATTTGATAGCTTACTTTTTCAATGCTTCAACTGACTTTTTCGTAACATCTTCACCACGACACAGAATCTCTACTCGAACCTCTTCTGTGTGTTCAAGCTGTCCAACATTCCCAATATTTGGATTTGCATTATCACCGGGACGAAACTGTCCGGTGCCTAGCGAGGTCCAGGCACACTCAGTGTAGGCGGGGTAGCGACCAGCGCCTGCAGCGAAGATCGCGCTCTTGCATTGTTCAACTGAGGAAGGTGGCACGAAGAAGACAAGCTTGAAGCGTGTGAAAGCTGCCATACTAATCGATTTCAGGTAAACCCTTGATGAAACTGACACTCTTGGTGATGAATTGTAAGAAAGGCGCCCTGCTGGACGGAATGAGTGAGGTGACAAGACGCGGGGTTCGCAGAGGGTCACACAAGCATAGTCAATCACTCCACACCAAGAAGAATTCAACCACCACATTTCGATTTACACAACTTACATAATTTCACCATGGCCAAGAAACGCGGAGACAGAGTCATCAGTTATATAATCAAGTGCAACAGTTGACTGTAGAGCCTTCCTAGATTTGTGCACAATTTCACAACATGAACACCAGTGATTCAAACACATAATTTCCAAACAAGTCTTGTGTCAATATTAGTCTTCTTTAGGTGCCCTGCGTTGCATTGGAAAATGGTAATCCCGGTGAGTCCACACTTGCTTAAGCAGAATACTTGGGCTGCGACGCCTATGGTCGACGATAGTTCCAGAGCGGTTTCTGAGGAATGCTCAAAGCGGTTTGGAGTTTTCACGCCATATCCGTCCGAGCCATTATTGCCGCATACGGAAGATCTAGGTAGCTTGTGGCTATAAGAAGCAATCGATGGAGCCTGTTTTCTTTGTTCATCCTGCGCCTGATCTTGAGGCTATTCATCTTCGCCGAGAATCATCACGAGATGCATCTTGGGGTCATCGTCTCTTGAGAGATCAGGCCCAATCGAGCCTTTGGAGAAGCAGACATGACGCTTGATTCTTGATTCTAAAGCTTCTACAACACTTTCCAACCCCTTACAAGCGGGTTCATGAGCATACACGCGGTGTTAGTTGCAGAGTTAGGGGTTGTTGCAACCCGACCGGGTCATCGCCAATCCTTACTATGGAACTCAGACTCGGCGTTGGTCGCATCTCGGCCCCTTTTGTTGCCAAATCTTTTCTTTACCAAAATACTTCGTATCCTGGGGATAATTTCCCACCGCTGACAAATCATCGATACTGAGATCGCGGTAGCTTATGTCTGTTAGCGGTGTCAATTCGAGGTCTCCGTTTTCCAACATGCGAATGCGATAAGTTACTTATGCGCGTTCCACGATGAGACAGGATATGGGGATATGCTGTGACTATCTGGATAGATCTCTTACTTTCCCGTGCGGAGTTGTCTCCGATGACATGGATTACGAATTTATGCTCATGAGCATAGGTGCGCTTTCAAATGAGGCCATAGTCGACAATAGGCCGTCTCTGAAGTAGGGGTCCGGCTGTAGAACACATATTGATTTCTGGGAATTCAGGCAGCACCTGGTTGTGAGTGTGAGTCATGTAAATAAATTTTTATTAAATGTATGAAATTATTAAATGAGGCAGTCCTGCACATTGAATAACAGTTAGGACCTGCAGTGGCGCTCAACGTAGCAAAATTCATTCGATATCCGCATGAAGGTATAGCGCCATGCAAGGTTTCAAACTCGGTTCAATACAGAACATTGTTGTGCCGCCCAAGTAAGAGGAGAGGCCACAAGAAAATTGCAGAGATTCACCAGATAAAACCACCGGTCTATTGATGTTTTGTTTCGCAAATGGAAGTCCAGAGTTGTCTGCTCAACAGTATCCGGTTTGCATAACATTACAGAAATAGTGGGCATCGTGCGTTGGAATTTGGTGCTTACAGAAGTGATCCATTTAGCGGACTTGACATGAAGTGGCATCCAACTATCGCAAGAGGCTCTTTGTATTGTTTAAAAAAAAAGTTTGCCTCACGCATCTACTGATAATTTCAGACATAAGGATATCGGATACGGGGGCTATTGGGCTGACTTGAGGGTAAGGTGATGGTGAGAGTAGAGATGTTTCAGTACTAGGAGTCTCACCAGTGCTGTTGGTATTTGTTCGACAACCATGTCTATAACTGTCAACAGACATACTGTATTGTATGTCTTTCTGTTGCCTCGGTGCATCGCCGCCCGTCTCGATTCGCAGACAATAGACAACGGATCTGGTAGATCTTGTGGCTGAGGCCGATGTGCCGCGCCAAGCGAAGACAGGACGCGCTTCATTTACATAGACTACCAACTAGGGTTAGACTAGTCCAACTGCAACGGGAGATCGGACGTCATCCCCAACCACAGTTTGCACAGGCCGGGAGCTCCACCAAAGATGAACAGAACGGGGTGTCAGTTTGCAGAGCTTCGTTGGAAGCAACACTTGGTTGTCACGAACAATTGGGGCCAGGGTAGTCATATTTCTGAGCTGTTGATGCTGGCGTATCATTCCACAGAAAACTTGTAGTTTGCACCCCATACAAGGCCCAATCATGAAGTTGCAAAGTCAGCTCCCCGCGATTCTTGCTGCCAGCTTAAGCTCGGCAGCTCAGTTCCTTGATGCCACCGCCATATCCTCGCAGTCCGTCCTTGCATCCACTTCCGACTCGAACGCACCACACTACCGCGATACACTTTTGGCTCTGCACAAGTCTCTTGTCGAGATTCCTTCCGTTACGTATAACGAGAATGCCGTCGGGCAATTCCTTGTCGACTACCTGACCGATCTCGGCCTTCAAGCGGAACTGCAGTTTTTACCTCCCACGTCTTCCTCTGGCGACTCCGAAAAGCCTCGTTTCAACGTCCTCGCGTGGTTTGGAAAGACCAGGAGACCAAACCCAACGGTCTTGGTCAGCAGTCATATTGATACTGTGCCGCCTTTCATCCCATATTCCATTTCCAGCGGCGACAAAGTAAATGGCGAGACTGTCATCAGCGGCCGTGGCAGCGTTGACGCAAAGGCTGCCGTAGCGGCTCAGATCACGGCGTTGCTGGATCTAATTCAATCGAAAGAACATGAGGCTTTTGATGCTTCTGAGGTAATGCTGGTTTATGTTGTTGATGAAGAGAACAAGGGAGAAGGGATGCGGTACTTTTCCGACTCGCTTGACAGTCATGAGCCCAAACCAAAATTCAAGGCAGGTATCTTTGGTGAGCCGACCGAAGGCAAGCTGGCATGCGGACACAAAGGATTTTTGGGTTGCACCATCAAGGCTACGGGTCATGCAGGACATTCTGGCTACCCATGGCTAGGCAAGAGTGCAACTGAGGTGCTCATGCGAGGCTTAGTTAAAGTCCTAGACAAAGATCTGGGCAGCTCAGAACGACTGGGCAATACAACAGTCAATGTGGGCAGGATTGAGGGTGGTGTCGCTTTGAATGTTATACCAGAGAACGCAGAGGCTCGCATCGCTGTGCGCATTGCAATTGGACCGCAAGAGACTGGTGCAAAAGTAGTCGAAGGCCGGATTCGAGAGGTTTTCACGAGCGTCGATGAGGAGGCATTCGACGTTAGCTGCAACAATGGGTACGGCGCCATCGACTGTAACTGTGATGTCAATGGGTTTGAAAACATCACCGTCAATTATGGCACAGATGTTGCCAATCTGAAAGGCAACCACACAAGATATCTTTATGGACCTGGAACCATTCTAGTGGCTCATGGACCAGACGAAGCGCTCAAGGTTAAGGACCTTGAAGCTGCGGTCGAAGGCTACAAGAAGTTGATATTACACGCATTACACAGCGACGTCTATATCTAAAGGATTTGACATCTAGGCTACATTAGTTGTTAACCTTCATCAAATCACTACTGTTAATCTGGAGCTATCATTCCAGTAAACTCGTGTCCAATACGGACGGATCCTCGACGGCGCAATCCTCATTGGGCTACATAAGTAGTAGCTTCATACACGCAGTATCTTGGCTGTGGAAGTCGGTGGCTGTCAGATACATTCAAAACGGTTATACAAGTAAGGCATTGCCGAAGGTCTTGTACTTTCGCACTTATTCAACCACTTCTCGTTTCGCGTATTGTGCCACATTCATTCTTGTTCAATATCTCCTCTATGTTCCGAGTACCTGAGATTTTAGGACATTTAAGCCCTCGACAAATGAGCAACCAAATCCATTTGCATTTGCGATATTCGGCGCAAGCATACCAGGCCTTGAACCGGCTGTATAGTATGCAAGCGGCGGCATATTAAATGTTACGAAGGTAGACCACAATGTGTCACCTGCAGCGTACCAAAGCGGCCATGCGAATACGTTGACAATACGTCCCTGAGAAATGAGATATTATCGACACCGCTAGCCAACCAACAGCAGCACATACGCAGGGGTACCAGTCTACCTCGTAGTATGCAAGGTCTTTTGTGGAGAGTACCCTCGGCAGCTAGTTGGACCAGACCTTTGCCCTTTCTCATATGCGGCTCTCATAACACGTCAAATACGGGATCATTGCCTGGCTCGGGGCTACTGTGTTCATATATACCTCTAGTACAGCGGTACATCGATACAGCCCTCACCCACACCTTATATCATAAATCGACTGCTCGCTTTGGCCGCATTCCACCTTAGCTTTACCAAGATTGACGGCACTACTATCTTTGATGCGATGACTACAGGGCTTCAGGCACGTGGGCTTTCATCGTTGAACGGTACCAAAGACAGCACCGATGATACTGCAGAATAGTGGCTAGAGAGATATCTGGTGTATTTGTTAGTGATACTTGATACTTTCACCAGATTTTGTCCCCGAGTGGTGCTACCATCAGCAATGGACCAGACAGTATCTCGGCCTGGTGGAACGGCACTGGCGTTGGCTTCCAGGATTCAAGGTGCGAAGCTGATAACGTGCAATACAGCGTGACATTAGACTCTTCTGAACTCGGTGTCATGCCCATAATCACGCTCAACTCCGTAAGTCTCCCAGGCATCTTTTTACTGCAAAATCAGTGCTATACTGTTTAACTAGCAAGTATTTGCTCATTATCCTTGCGATCCGAATATGCCCGACATCACGCAGGTGCATCTGCCACGCTTCTTTTGGACCAATGCAATTCCTGATGCTGATATTGTCGTCGACTTGTCCATTAATGGCACCCCTGTCCGATTTTAGGGGTATCGGATACCACGACAAGAACTGGGATGACAAGACCATCCTAAAGAACCCCAAGCACAGGGACAAGCCCTTGCTCATTTATACGGTGCGACCCGCTTGACCACGACGACGATGAATGTCATAGCTGCTATATCGCCAAGGGTGGAGAAATCCTTACTATTAGCTGTGACGACCCTTCAGTCGTCACACGACTTTAACTGGGAGAAACTCAACGTAGCCGCCGGCCAAAGGCCTTACGGAAATTGCAGAGGTTACGTCCACCTTTCAGCTCCCTGATGGCGCTACTCTTGATTTGAATGTCACCACAGAATCCATCACAAACGACAAGGTTGTTCGCACACGTGCTGTGGGCTTGACAACTGGCAAGGCCTTCATTGATGAGTTCTCCTATGGCCTTCTCTTCGGTTAAGCAAGATGGGGCAACGAGCCAGTGCTAGGCTATAGTTTCCCCGGCATGCTACAGTGATGAAGTTCGTGCTATACAAGCATACCTTACTCGGCCCTACCACTTAGTACGAGTCAAGTTTTCGAAGCATGGTCGTCTCCGACCACTTTAACCTTGAGTCGTCAAGACAAACTTTTGGACCGAAAATTCTTACCAGACTCCACCATCTTGACAATACTCTAGTTACTCGTCTCCATCGTAATGGTCTACATGAGATAGCTTAACGCCAACTCATCACATCAGCGCATTAAGCGCTCAACCCGCCTGGTTAGCTCAATCGGTAGAGCGTGAGACTCTTAATCTCAAGGCTGCGGGTTCGACCCCCGCATCGGGCTCAATTCCTGATGCACCTCAGTTGACTGAGGTATCTGCTTTTTGGTGGTTTCTAAGGCAGGTACTCATAGCTTTTTCCTCTTCTACTACGCGACCGGCCTAGCCGCGGCGCTAATTGCCGCTGGGGTTAGAGTAGCGGAATTAAAGTGGGCAATGAGGCAACGGAAAAGAAGTAACATGCGGGAGTTAGTTTAAACCGCCGTTGCAGCTTCGTCGACAAGACCAGCGTTTCCCAAGTCGAAGCCATGTCATTCCAGGAGTGGCTTTATTCATTTCCAGTGCTTAATCCATACGCCGGCAAACTATCTGGAGCAACCATTTCTTCTTTTTCTTCATGTTCTCATCCACCTTGCGTCGCTTACAGTCAACCTCAAAACGGCGCGATGATCCCTGTGGCCACCAGCGAATTAAGCCCTTCGGGTTATGTGACCCATCCTGAAAGGTTAGGGGTAGCCTGGATATAGTCCGAAGAATATTGATATTACAGATATGAAGGTAGCAAACTTATTGGGAAGCGGGTTTGATCTCTGTGAAAGGCTACCGACTTCTTTATGGTGTCCTTTTGATGACCAGTGCCGCTTCGAATGTATCTCAGTCAAATCCTCTCTTGACTCTTTTCAAGGGTTTCTCAGCCTAGTAGTGCTTCCTGATCACTTAGACGCAAACAACAAAACTTGAGGGAAACAGCAAGATAGCAAGGAACGTGTGACCGGCAGACACCGGCAAAGAACTCCAGTTGCCAAATCCACGGTCGTCCAAATTGACGTTGGGTACGTAATCCTAGGTAGGATCAATATATTGGCTGCAGGCAGTGAAAGCTTTGACTAGAAGAACGCTGACGATCAAGCCAGATGATCCGAGAATTATCATTAATCCGACGGCAAATTCCCTCCCGAATTTGATTTGAAATTTTGACTCGTGAGAGTCTCAAAGCTCATCTAATTTCAGGAAGTCCTCCTGAGCGACGGCAAGCCCAAGGTTGCGTACGCCAAGGCGAATACGTCAAGGTGCATGCCTCCCTTGATGTCTTTATTCCAGTAAAGCTCCACAGAGAGGGCAAGAAAAGACAGTCAGGAACGTGAAGGTGAGCGAAGGCGCTAACATAAAGCTAAGCGCGGGATATGATGTATCTCGAAGTGTTCCACCTGAGAAGACCCGTATATAGAACAAGATAAATAACAACTTGACGAGGCAAAGAACTATGACGTAGACCACTTCTGCCACGTACAACGATTGCTGAACTTTCGACAGAGCACCACCTTATAAAGACCAAAGGTGTTGACCAAATACTAGAAATGTCACTGTTCAATTAGTAAGTGTTCAGCCGACAATGAGCTTTAGCGCCTAACTCCGAAAAGGGCACCTAACCGGTATAATAGTAAGAATCTATACTAGAACTTAGATCCAAGAAAAATTGACACAGCACGCTTTGAAAGTGCTCAAGACGGCTGACACGAACAGTACATCTTCCCTGTGATTGGATCTATCATGGATTATGGATAGAGACCGCAGGAAAACGGCCGCCGACGTAATCGTGAGCATCACCTGCTCTGATTGAGAGAGTTGTGTCTCGAATTTGAGGGACTATATTAATGATATGTCGATGCTTGATAAATATACTATATAAATGTATATATATCTATATATGCAATACTTAAATGCCCAGATCATATGACTTAGTGTCCTCGTATGTATCAAACTAGAAATCTTGCATCGTACAGTTTTGCGTCAAGCAAGCTGCTGTCGAAGCAGCCAAGTCTGAATTCCCGCATCCACAATTGCTGTCTGAAGCGAGCATCCAACTTCTGTAACACTCCGCATCACAATAGAGAGCTAAATGATGACATGATATAAGCATTAACTAGACTACGTGTCTGCAGGAGTATATGCATAGGCTTAACACAGAAGGGAGAATGGATATATCATCCCAACCTAGCCCAGCCGTGCAAATAAGCCTGGAGTATCTACGAAGTCCGACAACGATAACTATTCGTAAGGCGACGATGCAGATACACGCGAAAATTCCTCGTACCAGCGGGTTCACAGGGAGTGGAATAAATGTTGCTATTTTAGTGAATTCAAAGCACAAGTATCCTATTGCAGATAATGGAGAGAATAACCCGGCAAGAAAGAAGGTTTCCTTGCACTCAACGAGATGAGAAGAATCTTTTCGACCGTCGGGGCTATTAAATTGTGCAGGTAAAGCCCATGACAATAGATCATCTCAAATATAAGAAACCGGAACTTGGTTGATTATGGAAATGAACGTCAGTGTTGTAGAGATCAGAGGTAATGTTAGCAAACGGCCATGGGTCAACATATATATTATGTAAATGTTATTTTAAGGATCTTACGGAATTAATGCATATAATATTATGTACTCTAGAAGCCCCTAATAACTTTCGCCCCCGACCCCCCATGACTTAAGATATAGGCATATGGCGATGAACATGACTCAATTCGGCTATAAAGTCGTGTTCGTCATCTAGTGGACATTTAAGTTATGCTTGAGTACTTGTGTCCTAGTTAGTTACTGGCATTCGAGGTTCGCCAACACCTACTTAAGTGAGGGAATAGGTTTGGTGAGCTCTTCTCGGAAATCAAAGTCGTGATACGATTGGGGCAACATCTCTGACTTTAGCCCTTTGCGTCTATTGATTTGATCGAGAATTGAGCAGGAAGTAAGTTACAACAGCCAAGCAAGGGTATGGTTCAGGGACAAGGCTTGTCAATACTTATTGATAGTTTGTTCAAACGTATCTCAATGTTTGCCTGATGTTTACTGGTTGAGGACATTTCATTGATACATATGGCTCAGAAGAATGACTTCTCAAGTATTTTGGACCTGCCCGTTTTGATGATCTAGGCTACTTAATGGCTATTGGAAGCTTCATTGTAGGGTGCAGGGCTTTACCGGTATTTCTATAGCAGACCAAAAGAAAGAGCTTACATACATTGAAGAGAGCTATGATAGACAAAAGTTGCCAATACCCATGGCTTAGAAGTCCTACCGATTATTTAGACCAGTCAACGGCTGCTTGTCTACTCCATTCAGTGAGACATAGTGAAAGGAAGAGAGAGAGAAAAGAATTGGAAAAGGAATGACGAAAACAGTGAAGGTTGAGGTAAAGGAAAAAGTACGCTATGGAACGCCAACGTTAGAAACGGTAATTAGGACTGGGATTAGATTGTCCAAATTTTCCACATCATTTTCCCTTCAGATGTCTAATTCGTTACCTTACTGCAGGATCTTCGCCGGCTAGGGGTACAAACGCTGCACAAAGGCTCGGTAAAGTCTCAAAACCGTCAGATACCGTCTAAGCGACCACAAACATGACAAGGGATTACGCCAAGCACACATCTTGCATAATAACTGCAGTGCTATGCTAGATTTGGGTGTCTTTGCCGGAAAAGTTGGTAGCAGTGGGCATGCAATTATTGAGAAAAGCAAGCCCGATTGGACGGGGTTAATTCTTGTTCTCGCCAACTCAAGCCTTGTTGCTTTGCATGCTATGCATATACTTCTAGAGAGGTCCAGATCTGCTTACATCTGGGAACGCATAGGGGCACTACAAGCGGAGGCTTTCATAGAATACATAAAGAGATGCATCTTCAAATGTTATGATCCGTAGTCAACGCTTGTTACATTGCCTTCTGCATAAGCCGCATCACGATGATGTTGCTCGCCGTCCTACTTTTTGCTTGTGCTAGCCTGCCCGATGTGCGTGCAGGCTTTACATCAGATGAATCCTTATCATTTGGTAAGTCAAGTATATGATGTCCCACTGCCTACTTAGATCTGATTGGTATGGAAGATTACATCATCATAGGTGGTGGAACCGCAGGCCTGACTGTTGCATCTCGTCTCACTGAAGATCCCAAAGTCAGTGTTTTAGTCGTGGAGGCTGGCGCAGACAAGAGTTCAGACCCGCTGGTTCTCACGCCTGGCTTGGGAACGTCCACCGTTAGTAAACCCGACTATGACTGGTCTTTCAGATCTGTACCACAGGTATTAAATTCCACGCCAAAGCCGTGTTTCCAGCTGTGTTAACTGTTGCCAGCCAAACTTGCTGGGTCGCGTTATTGGTCAGCCTCGAGGTAAACAGTTGGGTGGTTCGTCGGCCATCAATCTAATGGTGATTATGTACCCATCTCAGGAAAACATCGATGCTTGGGGATCACTTGGCAATTCGGGCTGGTCGTTTGACGAACTTGCACCCTATTTCCACAAAATGGCGACTGTCACTCCACCGAGCACCAATGCAAAGGAAGTCACTCATGTAGACGAATGGTACGATCCAAGTATCGAAAACACTGGCCCCTTACAGATCGGATGGGGCGATGGCTACACCAAGACACTCAATGGCGCGTGGGTGGAAACCTTTGATATACTTGGCCTCAATATGTCGGGCGATCCGAGAACGGGGAATGCGATTGGCGGGTTTCAGAACATGCAGTCTGTCGACCCCATAACGAAGACGCGATCGTACTCGGCAACTTCTCATTATGGGTTTGAGCAAAGAGCACGAAAAAACCTTGTAGTTCTTACCAACACGGTTGTGCAGAAGATTCTGACGAAGAAGACGAGCAAGGGCGTCGTTGCGACTGGAATTTTGATGAAGAACGATATCAACGAGACGCATGTGGCAGGCGCAAAAGCTGAGGTTATCTTGGCTGCTGGCGCACTCCAGTCTCCTCAGATCTTGGAGCTCTCTGGCATCGGCAGTCGGAAACTGCTTGAGAAGTATCAAATACCGGTTGTCATAGACAACCCTAATGTTGGTGAACACCTACAGGACCATGCCATAGTTGCGCAACTTTTCGAAATCAAGGATGACATCCCGAATACCGATCTGTTGAAGAATGCAACATTCCTTGAAAATGCTATGAAGCTTTACGCGACGAATCGTACAGGCTGGCTCGCTCAGGCTCAACTTGCCTCCGCCTATACTCCTTTCATGAACGGAAAGGGACGGGTACAGCCTACCGAAATCAAGCAATTACTCGACAAGCACCTGAGCACGACTCATATCAGCAAGGAGATTCAAGTCCTTCGGTCACTCATGGAAAAGCAGAACTACAACCAAGTCCAGTACCATCTCTTCCCGGCCACGCTGGCCACCGCTAATGCATCTGGAGTTGTCCCTACCTATGACCACCGTTGTATCGCAGCCATGGCACTTCTGAGCCATCCATTCAGCCGAGGAAATGTTCATATAACATCCTCCGACGTCGATACCAAGCCAGCTTATGATCCTGCATTCATGTCGCACCCTCTCGACATTGAACTTCTTGCAAACAGTGTTCAGTTTACAGAGAACATTGTCAACACCAGCCCGTTCTCAGATGCCTTGACCGGCGTACGACACCCAGACATCGTAGCTGACACGATAGAAAACGCCAAGGATATCATCAGAGAGGTTGCGATCTCTTCCTTCCACCCGTCTGGCAGCTGCGGCATGCGGCCACAAGGTGAGAGGGGCGTAGTCAATGCACGCTTGCTCGTGCATGGCACTTCGAACATCCGCATTGTTGATGCCAGTATCTTCCCTCTCGAGACCTCGGGCAATATCCAGGCAACAGTATATGCTGTGGCTGAAAGAGCAGCCGACTTCATCAAGCAAGATCGCAAGAGTCTCTAGGACACCTGCGTACTTATATCATAGAAGAGATGTTTTAATAAACCTTGCTATGTACGAAGTCTGATCATGTAATCATGCAGAAAGCGGAGGGCTAATAATTGTACTAATATGGCCTTAAAACACAGCCAAAGTGATCATATTTCGTAGTGGCGGTGGGAGGACGGGAGATGGTAGCTTGTGACAAGTACGATTGCAGAAAACTCACTGGCTAGGCACTATAAATGATCGTCAACTTGCGCAGCAGATAGACTCAGTTAAATCTGAAGGCAAAGCATCACTACCACCGGGGTTCTTGGAGGAACTGCTGAAAACTAGTCTTACAGACGGACGGTGAACACCATGGCCAAGATGACGACGATCAACAGTGGACTCTCATGTAGGATAGGGGCATACTCTAGATCGTCTCTGGGGTTCTGATACTACACAGCTAATTGACATTACTCAAACAGCATGCGCTAGTACCCACTGATCCATTGCCTTCTTCTGTTGTCCAGAGAAGATACCTAGGTTAGCATCGAGAACGGGCGCATCATGCGCTTCGCCCCTTGCTATCAACGTGGCTGTCTTCGACCCATTATGAACCTGTGTGTTGGGATTAGTTCATCGTTCTGTAGGATTCTGGATTGCTCATACAGAAAGTCTGGCGACGAAAGACTGGATGTCATCGCGAAAGAGCTCGTCTTCTCCTGCCAATATGCATACGTCCTGGGCCCGGATTCCTCTCCACCAATCGGCGCCGGCTCCCAGAGGTGTGTTATAGTAATCTACTTCTCCGCCCGCCATGAACTTGTCGGAGGCTAGCTTCAACCTCGCCTTACCGAGGTAATCCTTGTCGGCGTTTTCCACCATACAAGCCGCCGATTGGTCGAAAGAAACCCACGGTGAGATCAGCAGGAGCCCTTTGAAGTTATCTTGGGAATTGATGATCGGTAACGAGGTGTGGGGATGGGATAGGTGTGACATTAGACCAAGGGCCAGATTGCCTCCAGCGGAATCTCCGACAAGGACGATCTGGAGTTGGAAGGTTAGATTCAGGCAGACCTCAAAAGCATACAAAACAGTGTGTTCACTAACTCGAGAAAGTGGTATCTGTGCTTCTTGAGTCAAGTACTGCAGGGCAGTGACAGCTTGCAGTAGCTGCGTTGGGTACGCTGCACCTGGCGCGAGGTCTGATGGTTCTTGTCAGATCAGTGCGGCGTTGAACTGCGACTGGGTAAAGGTACCGTATTGTAGGAAACAACAACTTAGCTTGGCTTTATTGGAAGCCGCTTTTTCTATCAAACTCCCAACGAGCGTCATGTGGCCAGGAGTAGCCGCGCTGACATAGGCGCCGCCTGAATGAGATTGTGAGAAGCATTTTGCAGAGTACGAGCAGGTCTCCTAGCCTTACCATGTAACCATAGTACAACAGTCTCGTCCGCCCAGCTGCCAAACCAGCATACTTTAGCTCCATTGGAAAACTCCACAACATCAGGGTCCATGGATTTTCTCTTCATATATGCTTCGTACTGGTCGACCGTAGACGCCAAAGGTATCTGACCCACACTGAAAGACTGATTAGATGCCGATCGCGTACTGAGACAACAACTCACGTCGTGCTCGGGTCTCGATGAACGCGCAGCGCGCGATACAGCACATGTCTCCATAGCGTCGATGCGCCTTTCTGGCCACGAAATGGCCCAGTCACAATAGAGACGAGTATAACAGTTACTGTTAAGACATGTTATCGGCCTGAGCTTACGGCAGGGTTGTGGTCGCAGTGTATCTTACTGGTTTTCAGGGCAGCTTTAGCGAAAAGCATCTTTTGCCCAAAGATCATCGTTGGCCCTTCTGCCATGGTGGCCAACGAACGGTGGCTCGAAATGCGGTTGGGCTTTCCTGGGATTGGAAGTGCTACAGCATGTCGAGGTTCGGAAATCGACGCAGTGAAAACAAGAAGGGCGGCTTTGATTTCCATCAGTTCTTTGAACTATGAAAGGAGATCCTGATGTCTATGTAGTTTCTCGTTTTCATGGATCCTGGCTAGCAGCCCCCGAAGCCCGAGTTTTAAGTTAGGGTCGATTATTATAGGACTACAATAGTGTTAAGACTATATAGCTCGTGCTTTGCTAATCTTGGCATAGTGGCTGTCATAGAAGGCCCCGCTCTACCGAAGATGCCGAGGCTTCAGTATTCTCAGGCGTCAGTATGGAGGAATCCAAGCGCCAATGGTACTTGGATAAGCAAGTCAAACTATATTGTCCTGAGCAGAATGCCGTCATTCTGATGCAAATTGATCTAGAAACTCACAGCAAACGAACATAGCAATGGTAACCGATCTAGCTGTCGGGGGTTGGTTGTGTAGAATGCTTTCGCTCTTGACTACTGTAGGTAGATCACGCATCTGGAGTTCTGCAGATGGATTCGACTGTATTGGCTATTTTGATTTCACAACTTTTCTAGGTGCCGCTTGGCCGATAGCGGCCGGCTCACCATTTCTCAGGTGTTGTATCCATGCAGTCTAGATCTGAAGCCTGTTCCCCCACCACGTCTTGCCATCTCTCAGGCATGATATTTCTGAAATCGAATTTGCCATCCGAGCCCTTTGTCACAACGCCCTTTTCGGTGACAACGGCATCGATCAGATCGCAAGGTGTGACGTCGAAGGCTGGATTCCATACGCCGATCCGTTGATCGGCAATGGCGACTCTTTCTGTCCGGCTGGCATCGACACTGCCGTCCTTGCCAACTACGGCACCGGTGATCTGGGTCAGCTCTTCGCGCTTACGCTCCTCGATCTTGATGTCGGCACCACTCTCAGTCTCCAGATCGATTGATGTGGTCGGGGCCGCAACAATGAATTTGATGCCGTGATGGCGGGCCAGCACGGAAAGGGCATACGTGCCAACCTTGTTGGCTGTGTCACCGTTGCGAACAACACGGTCGGCGCCCACTATCACGGCAGCGATGTGGTCCTTTTGCTTTCGCGTCGCGAATAGAGCACCGGCCATGGAGTCTGTGATAAGGGTAGAGGGGATCTTTTCGAAGACCAACTCGAATGCCGTTAGGCGACTTCCTTGGTTGTATGGTCTCGTCTCGGTGCAAAAAGCGTGCTTCAGTTTGCCCTTCTCGTTTAATGATCGGATTATGCCCAGAGCGGTGCCGTGGCCCGATGTCGCCAGGGAGCCGGTGTTGCAATGTGTAAGAACCGAGACCGCGCCCTCTAGGGTGGCTACGGGGGCGTTCTCGAGGAGCCACTCGGCGCCGTGGGAGCCGATGGACTTGTTGGTCTCGGTGTCCTTGCGGAAGATTTCCTCGGCGGCGTCGATGTATGCCTGCACGATCTTGGAGTGGTCTGCGGGGGCCTGCCGAATGACCTTCTTCAGTGCGGTGACTGCGTTGCCCAGATCGACGGCCGTGGGCCTCGATTCGTATAGATAGTCCAGCCTCGAGTCGATGTAGGAGATGGTGTCTTGGGGAGTGGCAGAAGAGGCGAGCGCGCCGTTGTGCAGTTCGACGGCGTGACCAAGGGCTGCTACTATGGCGATGGCTGGGGCGCCACGTACGCGCATGGACCGAATGCTGTCGAAAGCTTCTTCCGAGGTAGAAACAGCGTCGTAGTGGTGCTCGTGAGGTAGGCGCAGTTGGTCGAGGACGAGAAGCTCGCCGCGCTGGTAGCGGATTGCTTGTAGGGAAGACATGGCGATGGAGCGGGTGGCAGAAGCTGGCAGACGAGGAGGGCGCGGGATTTTCTCTCACTGGGTGTATGGATGGCCTACTGCAGTGAGCGAGGAGAATGTTGCGGCGCAATCTGAACGTAAACAGTCTGACAAGTTACTTTGATTGTTGTAACAGTCGTGGTGATGGGCGATCATGGAGGGGCAACTTTTTTCCCAAAAATCTTTGGAGTTCTGCCAGGAACCCCGCCATCAGGCTAACGCTACCCTGGAGCTGCAGTAACAACTAACTAACCTTAGGCCTGCCCTGCCTGCCAGGCTGCTAGGTTGGACTAAAGCCCAACGCTACCCTCGATCTGCATGTAATAAAGCCTAACGACATTCCGCATCACTCACCTCACAGCTGGCTTCAGGGGGAGGGGTGTATTCCAATAGGGCGGAACACAACGTCCGCCCGTGCTGAACGGCAAGTAGCTCGAAGCAAGTTGTCATCGTGGGATGCGCAGTATCTGCCAATTAAAAGCAGAGGAAGTGAGCACAAGGTAGATTTCCAGGTCGTCTCTTTTCGGGAACCACGAATCACGTGCAGTTGCAGATTTGATGACGCGAACGGAGTTTTGCAATAACTATACCTTACTAACCTAACCTTAGGCCAGGCGACCTACATGCTGGTAGTCGAGCTGCCACTTGTCACCGCTTGCCCGCTGTAATCCGGGCTCTGTACTCTGTACGCTGTACGCTGTACTCTGTACGCCGTACAAGCTTCCCCCAATCATGCAAAGTAATAATAAGTCACGTTGATACCTACGGATCCGTCCTGTAGCTACTGCACCGCACAAAGAGCGCGAGCGCATGCGCCTGCGCGTTTCGAGAAAAGCTTCATGGTGAGCTTTCGGTACACCGCAGCAACTGAACTCGACCAGGCGCTTCCAATCCGGCACGAGTTGCACCGCTCTGCCACAAGAACCTGCTCCAGGGGTATTCAGTCATGAAGTCATGATAATACCTTGAAACCTGTTCATCATGGAACAGCCCTTTTCTACCTCAAAGGTAACTGGTATGTCGATGCTCCCGCCTGCCCTTGGCTCTGGCCACGTCCTCCACGTCCATCATGTGCCCTGCCATCGCGCCTTGCCTCCCCCACGCTGACCACCCGCCCCAGTCGAGTATTTCGACCCTCATGGAGTATACAAGCTTCTCGCGCCGGGCTTGATACCCAGGCTGCCCTTGCGCAATCTGCACTGGCAGTCCCATGCCGGACCCCTTCGATCTATAGACACCTTACACATCGAGCTCTCCCCCGAGGGATCTGTCGACCCCAAGCCCATATTCTCTCCCGACCCTTTCTTCCCAAACTCCCAACGAACCGATAGTCCCGCGCCTGCACACCCTGGCGGCAACAATGGCTTTCAAACACAGATCGGCGCCACCTCCGCAGAGCCCGCGAATGCCCAGCAGCCCGCCGACCACCGCAGCAGCACCCCGGCGCGGAGGCACCAGATCCCTGGCTTGAGGACGACGCCGTATCTGAAAGTCCTGCTGGTTCGCTGTGATGATAGTGACTCATACAAGTCGACTGTGCGACAAGAGATACGGGACTGGATCAAGGCACAGGCTCCGTCGACCAGCACCAAGAAGAGCACGGCCGAGAACCATGATGCCTTCGAGTGGCTGATTCTCCATGTCGTCGTGCCAAATACCGCCGCCGCCGCCCAGTCGAGGGTCACCGGAAAGTCCGAGGCCGCCGCTCCAACATCCACGTCAAGATGGCGGCCCGGCTCAACCACCCTGCTGGAGAAGCTGCGAGCAGACTTCAATTCGAGCAGCAAGGGGGCCACCGACCGCATCGCGCAGATACGAATTGGCGTTAATGACGTGCCATATGACATTCTGCCGCGCATCACGAACATTGTCCCCAGCAGCTACAAGGAGACGGCCGACGAAATCGAGGCCGTGTGGGACGACCTCATCTCCAAAATGCGCAGTCTCATCTTGAGCAGTTTCGACATGAGGGTCAGCCAGTACGAAGACGACATCAAGGAGAAGGACAACCAGCGCAGCTTACCCGGGTGGAACTTCTGTACTTTCTTCATACTCAAAGAAGGCCTCGCCAGAGGCTTCGAAAGCGTAGGCCTAGTCGAGGACGCCCTTGTTGGTTATGACGAATTGAGCGTGGGTTTAGACATGGTCATCAAGGAGCAAACTGTCGGCGAATCCGGGGCATCTACCAATGCGCTCTTGGCCTTTACCGAGGAACTGAAAGAGGCTGCAGAAAAGGCCATCACAGAGGCGAGCGGCGAAGACGCCGAGGATGAGGTTGTCAACATGCAGGCTTCATCCGGATCCGCCCCACGAGCAGCCAAGGTCGCATTTGACGAGATACCGATCAGTGCAACAAAGAAGCCGTACCGAGACTTGATTTTGGAAAACAAGGTTTCCGTATTCGACTTCAGATGTTACATATTTGCGAGGCAAATCGCCCTTCTGCAGCGCCTTGGCAATGTATGGTCTACTCGGGAAGAGCTACTGGCCAAGTTGAAGGAGCAGCAAGAGTCAATAATACATGGTGTGGCACCCAGAGCGCCGCCACCAAAGCACACGGAAAACGAGCAAGAGGACCTCTCCATGTTGGCAGAGATCTGTAGGCGCACACTCGAATTCATCCCTTCCGTTTCGCAAGTCATGCGGAATGACGTGCAGCTAGCCCTGGCCCAAAGGAGTGGCCTGACCGATGCGAGACCTGCATCACTTACTCCAGCGCTTGTTGAGATCGTTGACAATCTGGTCGCCTCGTTCGCCTTCTCTATAGCGCAGCAAGTCCTCGCACAAACTTCCACCAAAGCGCTCCCGATTCCACCTACAGCGTTAGCTCCATCCGATGGCCATGAACAAAAAGCGAACATCCCCGAACCCAAGACCATGATGCATCCCGCTAGGAACTCGTCGCTGCGTGTCAGCACGGGCCCCACTAATATCCGCCCACCGGCAAGCCCGAATGTCTTCCCGGGACCAGGACAAAATTCCGCCCTCTCTGAACATCAGGCTGCGAAAAACAACGTTTTCCTCAAGGTCGGCTTGGAGGAGCTGGCCGCTAGGAGAGCTGAGCTTTACACACTATCTCGAAACATCCTTGAGGAGGCTGGTAAGAAGAGGGAATGGAGCGATGGGTGGGCTGGTGTTCCTGTTATAGGTGAGACATCCATGATTGATTTGGTCGAAATCAGTCTCGATGATGACCCTGCTCCTGCAAACGAAGAACCTGGGGAGCATCAGAAAGCTGTCATCTCAGTCTCTGGCCTCGAGAATAAACTTCTCAGAGCTTCCTTGAGCAGTAGCGAAGACTTCTATCGGCTGTACGAGACGTTAACGGATAAAGCCTTACGCCACTATACCGTAGCAAATCACACATACTCCGTGCAAGGTTGTATGGCAGATCTCGCAGTACTCAAGTATCACTTAAAAGACTATGGTACTGCGTCGTCATTCTTCTGGAGGACAACACCCTTCTTTGGCGAGAGTGGGTGGAGTCTACTGGAACTATCCATGCTTGTCATGTATTCAAGATGTCTAAAACAGCTTTCCAGAAAGGACGATTTCGTCAAGGTAATGCTGAAGTTACTGTCAAAGGCTTCGGCTGCGGAACGAGATCGGCAGAAGCAGCAGCGGTCCTTTCGCATTGGCAAGCAAGAATCTGCCAAATATCCCGACAATGATGCTATCAAGGGGTTCTTGGACGACCTACTATCCGAAACGAGGACAAACTCCAATGAAGTCAGAGTGCCGCTGTCCAACTTTTTCTCGACTGTCGAGGTTGACGAAACGGTTGACTATCACGACGGTAGAGACAGTTTCTCGGCTACCCTGAAACTGAGTAGTCTTCTTGTCGATGATTTGAGAGTCGAGAAGGCCAAGGCACGTATGGTGGGACAGATTGCTGGCGCGCAGAGAGAGGTCTGGCTTGAGCTCCCCGAGCCAGTAACTATCAAGTCTGGATGGAATAAGCTCAAGCTTGATAGTAGTGTGAGTTGGCCATCTCCAAACTAAAAGCGTCGTGTATTCTAACAATCTGCAGGTGACGATACCTGGCAACTACGAGTTCGACAGGATTGAGCTCATTGCCAGCAACATATGTCTTCACCTTGAGCGGAACATCAACCAGCCTGCCATCAAATCAAGTGAATGTCTAAAATCCTCTCGTCTCACCATTTACCATCGAGCGGATGCCCTCGATGTCCGGCTCTTGGCGTCAAATCATGTTCAGCTCGACAAGAACAACAGTGTAGATGTTGAACTCAATTCTGGTTGGAATGAGCTTACCAATGCTGAGATTAAAGTCAAAGGCGCCACCGGTGGTCTGCGACTCCTCACATCTGAGGCCAAGGTCATCAACTCATCCGCAGAGAGCCCCGACTTTTCGAAAGCGCCCGAAGCAGGCCTGTTCAGCTTTGATTGGATTAAACCCAGAACGAAGATCAAGATCCGCTTCCCTTACACTGTCGAGAATGAGGTTTCAACTATTTCCGTAAGAATCGAAGTCGCCTACAAGACGAGTCAGGGATCGTTCCAGTTCTCCACAACCCCTAGTATTCCTGTCTCATTGGCCCTCGGTGTCAACGTACAAGATGTGTTCAAGCACAAGGCATTGCTATCCCGTTTTACCGTCTCCACAGCTAATCAGAGTCCGCTGCGTCTTTTAAGAAGCGAGTTGATCAGTTCTGACATTTTTGAGTCGAAATATGGCCTGGCTCCCAGCGATCCTACAGTTATCTTTCCTCGGCAGCCTGCAACCTTGCTCTACAAAATTTTACGCAAAAGGGGCGTCAAGGTCACCAAGAAGATCAACAAGACCCTTTATCTCAAACTAGACTATACCATTGTTCAAGAAGATATTGCTATAACAGTACAAAAGTCGATTGAGGGGGCGTTGAAAGGTACACCTCTGCAGACATACTCCAGGCTGTTGGCCTCTACGATTCTGCCTCATGTCGAGCATGACCTTCGTGCATTCGACCTAGAGAGAACCGCCTTGCTCGGAGCTGTCTCCACAGACTTTCTTTCTGCAATCGACTGGAATTCCCAGCTGATGGGGTTAGGCAAAGGTCCAGATGGGCAAGACCTATCTGCCACTTTGCGCACATTCCTCCGAGCGTGGTTGGCTGAGCACAAGACGTTGGTCTTGCAACAAATGTCCACTTCAGACGATGAAGTCAAATCAATCCTTATTCCGGTTGAGATTCCCAGTATCGACGTTGTGCATACTGCGGACATTCGTCTTCAGCCGCCCCCATATCTAGCGCCTCCAACTTCATCCGAGCATGCAGACACCCCACTGCCGTTGACCACCAATCAACTTGTCCCAGCAACTCTACGTCTCAAGTGGACTCGCATATGGGACACCGTAACCCCCCTCAAGGATATGTCTGACATGGAGTTCTCCTACGACGTTACCTCTCCAGGTGACGCATGGCTGATTGGTGGGCGGAGGAAGGGACATTTTGTGATTCTAGCTCCCTCACAATCAGAGAAGGACCTTAGCAGCTCCCCGGAAACAGAAGCCGACATCCCACTTCTTCTTATCCCGCAACGGGAAGGATACCTGGCCTTTCCGAATGTAGATATTCGAGAAGTAAGGCCAAACGGACCTGGTGACTCAACGACATCGGGTAGTGAAGGGGTGACGCCTGTGGAAGGGGAAAGCGGTCACTGTGAGACAGATCTCAGGAACTTGGGCGAGACGGTCAGGGTTGTTGCCGATCGAGAACAAGTTACCTTGAGTCTAGATGCGAGTGGACCGGGCGGTGGTCCACTCGTCTTGGCCATTCAGACAAAAGGTGAGAGTGGACGGATCGTTGCTTGATAGCCGGTGGCAACCATGATGCCCGAAACATGAAACCTGGCAGTCAACGAATGTCATGTGTGTGTGTGTGTGTGTGCCTGCTCTGGTTAAGGATTCAGTCGATAAACAATAATTATTACAATCAAAGTTGAAAACCAGCTACAAAATGCGGGATCATCATCTTTAAATATTCGTGGCCATCATATATCGCTTCGACTCCACTCCTTCTGCAGCGCCTCCCGCATATGTCTGGAGGCCCCTTGGTGATGTCCAACCAGGATGAGTACAGTTTGCACGGGAACGAGCACGCTAATTAGGCTATTCAGGGGGGTAGGTGACAACGATGCCGCTCACCAAGGAACTACACAATATCTCCTATAACTCGTAAATCGCGCAGAACACTCATGCTGCATGTTTTCGCCCCGTCGTTCCTTGCTACCACGGGCAGAGTAGAATTGATTCCTATTATCATAGCAAGGTGGCTCACTGATTTCATTGCGATGACCCATCTCATCCCATATTATACTCTGGGCGTTTCCCCTACGCACGCGCCTAATCTAGTAATTTTTGAGGTTTTTGCATCACACTGTTGGTGGAAAAGTACTAAGACTTAATTGTATGCTCCGTGAACTTTTGTATGCGCCACTTGATCTGGATCAGATCAGCTAATGCCGTACAAATGGTACCCGTTTCTTCTTTATTGCGCAATCTAGCCACTCTGATGACATGCCATCTTTCGATTTACTATTTACTAGAAATATTTCTTGATTTCGAACTGGGTAGTCTTCGAACTATTTTGAACTCCAACAACAATCATTCAGGTATGGGATGCTGATCTGCTGATACGCCGGCTCTCCACCGATATGACGATGCAATGTGCTCGTCCAACGGTCCACTCTGGCCATGCTTCTGGTAGAAGTTTTCTCTGTATGTGCCGTTCTTCACGGCGTAATCATCCCAGAACAGACCTCTCTTGCGAAGTTCAGGAAGCAGAAGCTCGATGATGTCTTTGAATGATTGAGGGAAGAGCGCGTATGCCTAGTGCAGCGTGTTAGCCGTAGTTCCGTTTCACAATCTCAAGGACAATGCGCGACTCACAAAGTTGAAGCCGTCTACGTCCGCCTCCTTGATCCAAATCTCTAGCCCATCAGCAACCTCCTCGGCTGTACCCACGAAGATGGGCCCGTTGCCACCAATGCTGACGTGCTCAGCGATCGTGTGCTTTGTCCATTTCGAAGTGCCGGGGGAGAAACGTGCATAACCTTCGACTGTGGACTTGACGGCATTGCTCTCGACTTGTCGTAGCTCCTCTTCGTCGCCATACTTGCTAAGATCGATCCCGGTCCAGCCACCGAACAGAGCGAGCGCACCTTCATGTGAAGCGTACTGCCGGAAGTCTTTCAGCTTGGCTTGAGCCTCCTCCGTAGTCTTGCCAAGAATGGGTGTTACCAGGGCCAGGACCTTGAGGTTCGATGGGTCGCGTCCGAATTGCGACTTCGCCAGTTCGCGAACCTCGGCAATGCTCTTGGCGCAGACCTGTGGTGCATGGGCTGAAACGAATATCGCCTCGGCATGCTGAGCTGCAAAGAGTTTACCAGCTCGTGAGGTGCCGGCTTGGAGAAGTAGTGGCGTTCTCTGAGGGCTTGGCTGCACAATGTGTGGCCCGGGGACCTTGAAAAACTTGCCCTCGTGGTTGATCTGGCGTACCAGGTCTGGTTGCGTATAGACGCCGGACTTGCGGTCCAGTTTCACTGCGTCGTCTCTCCATGACGATTCAAACAACTTATACATGACCTTGATGTACTCTTCTGCCTGGGCATAACGGTCGTCATGCTAACCATAATGTCAGTAACCTGGTCATCTTGGTCATTTCGGCGATCTCACTTGTGGTTGTTCTGTGCGGCCCATATTCCTCGCAGCCGAGTCAAGATAACTAGTCACAATCTAGAACAAGGTCAGTCATTCCATCAGGCTTTGGCGTGGCAGCTCGAAACTTACATTCCATCCAAGACGTCCACCACTCAGATGATCGAGGGTGGACAACCGTCTTGCGAGATGATATGGCTCTTCGTAAGTTGTAGAGACAGTTACACCAAACCCAATGCTTTTCGTCACTGCAGCCATGGCGGAGACAATCGCCAGGGGTTCGTTGACAGGCCATTGAGCCCCTGAAATCTTGGCTGGGTCGAGGGAGGAACTGTACACATCGTAGCCGCCTGTTTTATGCATCAACTCACGTACTGATATCGATCTCCAGAGAACAACGAACCAAGGACATCTGCGATGAAGATGCCGTGAAACTTAGCTTCCTCCAGGAGCTTCGCTAGCTCTACCCAATGCGATATCTCGTTGAAGCGCCAGGATTGATCATCGGGATGTCTCCAAAGCCCAGGCGACTGGTGGCCACTACCTGCACTTCCGTGTCAACAGCTAGAAGGTCGTAGTCAGGCAAGACACACTTACACATCTCAACGAATGCATTGAGCACAAGGCTCTTCTTGGGCTTTTCGGCCCCGTTGACCTCAGACATTGTGAATAAGCGGTTTGCGTGTGTTCTGGAAAAAAAGAGTCTCCGGAATCACCACGAGTATCTTAAAGTCCGTCACAAAGTGTCATCGGTTTTCAAGATATCACGCAATCACGGAGCGGCATTTGGCAGCTATTGGGCTACGTCGGATTGTATAGTGGCCGCGGATCACGCAACACGAGCAATGGCGCACGCCATGCCGATGCGGGGTTGCGTCGTCCATTGGATCGGCGCCTCGATTCTTGGGAGATAGATTGAGTTTGGTATCACGAGAGAGGTCTCATGGATATCGGCGAAGCGCGATCTTGTCATGCTTTAAAGAACCACTTGTTTGTCACAAAGTTTTGAAGTAGGTGACAGCAGTGCCGGATGCTAACGATTCGGCTAGCGCATCATAACAACCGCGACAAATGGCATGCAGTATTTGGCAGTAGATTGTTAGCAAGGAGAAGGATACAGCACAAAATTGACCATCAATCTTCTAGGCTGCTTCCAGTCCAAACTCCTTGAAGATCGAATTTGGCTTTGAACCATTCATGAATTCCTTATACTGTGGGAGCCGTGCAACCCGTTCTAAAATGACAGGCAATGCGTCTGAAGCCAAGCGCGTCGATTTGATCCACAGCAGCAACACTGAAAGCACGTCATCATGAATTCCATAGTACGAGATTGCATGTTCTTGTTTGCGAACAAATTCGTCCGAATCAGGAGGCGGCTGGTCCAGCGCTTTCGGCAACCTCCTCTCCCCCAACTACCGCCCCCTCAATGTTGGGCTGGTATGGGGGTTCTTCCTTGTACCTGTCATACTTGTAAGTCGAGCCGGGATGGTCGTCTCGCAGCCCGCTCTGCCCTTGTCCGTAGATCCTCTCTCTTGCTGTGAGCCCTTCGCCATCATCTTTCGCCTCAGGGTAAATGCCACGACGCCTCAACTCCGGAATCAACAACTCGACCACGTCTTCGAAAGTCCCGGGAGTGGTGACATGGCCGATGTTGAAGCCGTCTAGATCGGCCTCCTGAATCCAGCGCACCATGTCGTCTGCCACTGTCTGGGGGCTACCGATACCGACTGGCCCCAACCCTCCAATTGCCGCCTTCTCCGCGATGACTCTCGGCGTCCACTTTGGGATGTGCTCACTAGTTGTGGTGAAGGAATCTAGAAGGCTGCGAACCTTGTGTGCTTCCAATGAGTCCGCAGCTGTGACTTCTTGATCGATGGGGATCTTCGAAAGATCAATGCCAGTCCATCCGCTCACAAGCACGAGCCCCCCGACTGTCGAGGCATATTTCTTGAGCTCTTCATACTTTGCTTGGGCTTCCTCATCGGTGCGCCCTACGATAGGCGTATAGGTGCCGAAGAATTTGATTGAACGTGGGTCGCGCCCTTTGCTTGCAGCCAGCTCTCTGATCTTATCAATCTTCGGCTTCAACACCTTTGGCGAGTGGGAAGACACAAATATACCTTCCGCGTGGTTCGCGGCAAACTCAGATCCTGCTGCTGATGTCCCCGCCTGGAACAGGAAAGGGGTTCTTTGAGGCGACGGGTCCACGATGTGTCGGGAGTCAAGGTTGTAGTATTTTCCATGATGACGGATGGTCCGAATTTTATCTGGGTCAGCATAGCTATCGTTGTCGACATCTGGAGAGATTGCATCATCTGCCCAGGAACCTTCCCAGAGCCTGCCTTGGTCAGCTTTCCAGTGCCTCGTCACACACGTCCCAGAAGCTTACTTGTACAAGACGCGGAGATACTCGTCTGCTTGGCGATATCGTTCATCATGCTCGATAGGGTTGTCAAGACCAATTGCTTTGAAAGCTGCCTTTTTCCATGACGTGACGATATTCCAACCGAACCGTCCTCCTGTGAAGTGGTCCAAAGTGGAGAACCGCTTTGCCAACAGAAATGGGGGCTCGAAGGATGTTGACGCCGTAATGGCGAAGCCCAGATTCTTGGTCACAGCCGCCATGGCGGTGATAGGCTATGCGAAAATCAGTATGATTTCATTATAGACAGACTTGGACATACAATTGTAGGGTCTGTCATCGGCCATTGCGCGGCTCGTCTGATGCAGTTATCGAGGCTCTGCTCATATGTGTCGTAGCCGCCATATGTATCTGCTAAGAAAAGAGCGTTGAAGCCACCCTTTTCAAGGAGCTTCGCGAGCTCCACCCAATACTCAAGCTTCCGTTTGGTCGCTGACTTGTCAGCAGGGTTCTATGATATGTTAGCAAGAGTCAGGTTTTGCAGATGGTAGAACTTACTTTCCATTGTCCTGGTGACAAATGTCCCACAGTAGACATGTCAAACGCATTTAGGAATATTTGTTTCTTGCCATTTCCGAGGATGCCCTCATCGGTCCCCTCACCATGCCCATTGGCCTGGGAACTCTGGCTGTTAACTTCATTTTGTGACATTCTAATCTGTTGTTAGCTTTATTTTGTTATCCGTGAAGTCGTGTCATTCCAAACTTCCTGGCAGCTTTCAGTCCAGATATAAACCGAAATGTTGCACCTGTGGAGCTACTGTTGCTATCCTATCCCGGATGCATGGTGACACTGCAGGGTTATGATGCCATACGCAAGTGGGGTAGTTATAGCTGGTTGTCTCTGGCGTGATCCCGCGCTTCAATGTCATCATTTAGTATCTCACAGGGCTTTGCTAGACATGACCCATTTCCATAGCCGGGTGAATAGTTATGTGACATTCCACATATGTTAATTCGGCACTATGATTGCGCATTCGGCTGCCAAGCTTCATCTGTTATGTCACAAGTGTAAGGAATGAATTCGGGGAATAATTGCCAAGAGACTATCTATGACTCAGAATATATAGGTTAGGTCTTTCAGTTTCACATACACACTATCGTGTATAGCATAGATCGTGAGTTAAGATTGCCGAAAATTCTTACAGAACAATACGGATTAGCAAAAGAAAAAGAATGAACGCCAAGCCCCCAATTCTACTCAGATAGTATGATGGCAAATAGTACTAACAAAAACTCCTTGTAGCATTGATGAGTTTTTAAGATTTTCGTGTCGCCCCATGTTGTATGACTACATTGCTATTATTGGTCATTTCATAACAACAAAGATCATTTCTGTAGAGGGCTAGGAAGAAATATTGTGAGTAATGAGAGAAACGGTAAGGATAAAATAACAAGAATCATCCTTTCAGAGAAATATTCTTATTGAGGAAGTAGAAGCTCGGAAGCTGGAAATTTAGGTCCATGTACGTCTACCTAAACTGGGTCTAAACGAGGGTACGAAGGACAATGTCCTTAAAAATGAATTGCTTCCGACTCCCACTGCGCTTCTACAAGGAGATGATCACTGTGCTTCTCGCCCTCGACTCTCTCTCCTGGCTGGCAGTTGAAAATATGTCCTCGAAGCAAATTTAGGTGGCTGATGTTGTGTTTCCAGAGTGAGCAGTGATTTTGACATCATCAAAATAAGTCGCTCCCCCGGAAGTAATGCTGGCGCTATAAACTGTGGCGAAAAGAACCGAATGAATGTTCTGGAAGCTGGTGGACAATCTAGCGGGCACCAAGGTGTTCTTCGTAACTCGACCCGGGTTGAAGGTGAAAACCTGGTTGGCAACTCTCCAGCCATTTCTATACCCGTTAACGCCAACAATACAAATTGACACGCCTTTGGGGTCTGTACCGCTAAGCCCTCCGTAGACACATCCAAATCTGAAGGACTCCAAGTCAAATGACGTGACGTTAGATCGTCTGGGTATTCTAATTGTTGACTGTGCGGCATTATTGTCTTGAAGTGAAACGCCGACGTTCGCACCTGATGAAGGCGTGATGCCAACGGTAACAACACCTCTACTATTTCCTGTAGCTAGAAGGATTAACATAAACGTATGAGTCGATGACCTAATACTTGGAGAAGAAGCTCTCACAGATATCTGTGAAGTTTAGTGGCGTGTTCCCCAAAAGCTGGTTGACCTGGGCTCCAACCCTGTTAGGGAAAGGGATTCTAATCTGGTCAAAGGTTGTCGTAGAGGACACATCGGCACGTGGGTGGATAGGGCCCGCCGTAGTAAGAGTCGCGGCTGCGAAAACAAAATTTGCGAAAGACTTGAGCTTCATAGCAGATTCGAAGAGAGTGAATGAGTATTGATGTTTTGTTTGGAAATAAGGACAACTGGATAATTATGTATATTTTTACTTATGGTTAGAAGAATCTGGTGCTTACACTTATAGAAGAGGTAGTAACATGCCAAATGAGCAATCTGGAGATGATCTGATTTCGTTTATGCAACTCTTCACTCTTAGGCCATCTGAGACAAGCAGCTCACGGCCATGAACACTATAAGTTCCAGCGGGAAGTATGTCGTAATATTTATGACATTGAGACATGATGGACCATAGCTGCAGTGCAAAAACTCAACCAAAATTTCTTATAGACCAACACTAAAGAACGTTTCTCAACATTCAATGACGAAATGTCAAGCTTCACATATTGTTGACAATGCGAGCCATTATTCTAAAATCACCAGGTAAGCTCCTTGTATATAATTACCATTCTCCTAATGGTGAGTTAAGTGGGAGAAATCATGGAATTTGCCTGAAGCTGATGACTGGGAGGCACCAAACTTTTGTCCTCCGTAAGTTGTGTTGAAATGATAGCAAAAGAATTACGTCTCATTGAACAGCATGGATCAATTATCATCGATCAAATAGCAGAAGCCCGACGAGGCTGTTCTGCCGCTCCTGCTGCAGATGTCTCTTTTGCAGATGACGCTGGTACAACTATGCTGTGGCCACTGATTCCGCAAAAAAAATACGTTGCAGATATTCTTTGTGTCATTATATAGACTCTAAGTAGTAAACTACGATGTGACAGCCTTCAGAGTAGAAAGTTAAGACATGCTGTTCTTTTTGGGGCAATATGTTAGGTAAGAATATCTAACCTAGTGCAGTGTTTTTAGGTTGACCAGATCCCGCTTTCAGGTGGCTATCATGACAGCCACCAAAATGCGACAATAGTACACCGCCTGACGGTTGGTATTATGGAATTTCCCAGGTTAGAATCCATGGTTTCTCGTAAGCAGGACTATAGCTGCTGTGCTACCTTCAAGTCTGAATTAGATTATTCACTTACCGTATCGTGCTAAGAAATAGCTGCGAGTTGTAAATATCTGCTATGCAGACTCGGTGCCTGCTCCAGAAGGTCCTAGATACAAGAAACCCAATGAATCCAGTGCCACGATAGTAAGCAAATACATTTCAGTGATGTTGTAGACAAACCCGATCGAATGGTAGCATCACTCGTTCATTGGATTACTGATCTTGTTGCGGCGACTTTTGTGCCGTGTTTCAAGCTCGAATTGACAAAACGACGTGGTAAGGTTTCAGTTAGCCTCCAGCAGAAGGTCGTCACTAAGCAGTCATAATATTGCTTCTCAAGGCGACCATAGAAGTTTGTATGATCGAGATGTCGGATAAATAGGCTAGGATTAGATTCATGTTCATAGTAATCAAGTATTTTTACACAAATAGCTTCTAATACAGATCATGAGTTTTATTGACGGGATGAGACGACTACGGCGGTTCCTTGGCCAAGAGAGATATAATAATCAATCGAACGTGAGCTCTCAGACACATGGTGCTCAGTTGCACTTGATTCCTTGAAGTTAATAAATTGATTAATACGAAGAAGAGGTCGATAAACTTGGCCGTCGTCCCTACATAAGCTATAATTACCTTTTGCAGCAGCATCTGTACTGCACTCATTAGAGGAATCCAAGCTGTCACCCATAAATCCACCTTATATGCCAAACAAAAGCCTAGTAGCTGGCGGCAGCCGACTGTCGGGTATGAATAGCGCTCTTGCTGTTATCATCACCAATTACTGGGGGTTCTTCGGATATGTCCGACGCAGAGTCCTGAGATTTCTTCCTAGAATTATGGTCAACAACTATCACTTTAATGAGAGAAGTATAACCACTTACTCCTTACGCTTGACGTAAGCCTTGAGGCCATGTGTAGCACCAATGAGAAGCACAGCGCACGCGAAACAAAATGTAAATCCCTTAGTGTACCTCGGTGCCTCCACAGTCGGGAAGACCAACAGAGGCGTCCAAGCAGTGGTAGATTGAGAGATTGCGTTCATAAGCACGAGTGTGAAGGACCGCTCGGCCGGCGATCCTCGTAACTGCGAATTGACCCAGCCATGAATCACGCTGGACATGGCCACCGACGCGTATATGGTTGAAAAGGCAAACCATTTCGCGGCTTCAGGCACATTCCAAATCACTAGAATCAGGAGGCCCAGAGCGTTCCAGGTCGTCGCCAGCGTTATGGCCCAGGCTGGACCAATGAGGAGGTCAGAAGAGAAGCAAACGAAGAGCGTGTAGAATATGCCGAGTGCTGGGGCGATCGTGCCCAGCTCGTTAACATGAGCTGAAGAATATCGACCAAGGCTCTTGATCCACAAGAGAAATGTACCAGCGGACGTATGGGTGCCTGCATTCCAGAACAAAACATCTACGACGATGATTGCCCAGAAGTGCGGATTCAGTAAGACTTTCTTGACAGTGCTCAGTGTTACTTTCCCGCGAGCTATGTGGCCGGCCTTCTTCAGTCGCTCTATACTCAGATCAATATCGTGCTGTTTGAGCACCCATCGATTGGGGTGCTGGGGGGTTCCTGGGATCAAAAAGTAACCAAGTACTCCTATAGGGATAGTGACGATGGCGCAGATAATATACATCCACCTCCATCCAGCAAGGCCATTGACACCATCCAGGCGTGCAGATGCCCCTGCCTGGATGAGACCGGCAGTCAACGTTCCCAAAGACAGGCCAACGTAGAAGACACCACCCCGGCGAGCGATCTCATCACCTCGATACCAGGATCCTAAGCAACTCTATTAGACAAATCTATAGATAACAGCAGAGCTAAGATTATATAACTTACCAAAGACGTAGTGGATCGCGGGGAAGAAAGCCGCCTTACACGCGACAATGTTAGTTCCCCATATTTCAATCTGAGCCTTGCTGTTAGGTACGTACCTCAAACCATCCTACCAAGAACCTGTATGCAGCAAGCTCTGCGAACGAAGTCACGCGATATTGAAGCAGGGTAAAAATGCCCCAAGCGACATCCATCAACGGAATAAGCCAATGCATCGGAACATGGGTGAACAGCCACAAGAACGGAAGCTGTCCTACCACCGCACCTACTATATAAAATGTCTGCAGTTGCACCAACTCATTTCCCACAAAGCCCAAGTCTTCTTTGAGCCCGGCCACATAGGCATTGTCTGTGAAAGGTCAGCAATTGGTAGTCTTATACACTGCGTTAAGCATACTTAGATTTGATTGGTCTATGTACTTGACCCAGTACGACAATACGGCATAAGGAACGAAGAGCAGATCAAGCTTCAAGATCAATTTCTTCTCCTCGTTGGTATCGATATCTGAGTACCATTGAATGTGCCACCATCGTTTGCGAGGTTGAACTGACATCTTGATTGGTGAGCTGATTTGTGTTTAACAATGAACATTGAAAACAAAAAGGGCCATGATTACCACCATCCAAGTTATATCATTCACCCCTGATAACAAAAGTGTCACGCCATTACTTATCCCAGCGCATCTCTGCGTTTCGGCCTGTCCAAGGATACCACCAACTCCATTATCTTGAAATCACTAGCAATGCCAACCACCCGCCGCCTACTTGGCAATCGTCCTAAACATTCACTATCAACTCCCGTTATTTTTCATTTCTCTCTTGCGTGGTTTAGTCAGTCGGCCGAGTCCCTATTGCGGACTGGCAGTCGCGCAACATGATGTGATGGAGGGGTGGAGATGGCGTGCTCACCCCACTGAATACGTGATTCTGATAACGCATGATAGGCATACTCGACATATGTCGTGATAGCCGCTATCGGGTCGGTGGCTTGGTGAGAATCACTATATTGCCATAAATTCAGTCGGCTTCATTCGATATCAACTTCCCGTGAATATTTTATGGCTTGAGTCGGACGACCTCAATATGACAGCTGAAGTGATTGTGCCGGAGGCGGCCCATGCACCACTGGTTCAGGAGGTAGACCGTGATACAAGTATTGATGGTTCAAGATTCGCTCAACAAAAGGAATCTAATGGAAAGGCAACTGTGCAAGAAGTAATCAAGCCGCTTTTGGAAGAGCCTCAGTCGGAACCGTCAACTCTACCTCACAAGTATGATCTGCCTGAAATATCACTAGTGGATCGTTACGTGGATGAGCCGAGAAGCTTGAGGGTGACAGTGATTGGTGCCGGGCTTGCAGGACTTATTTCCGGTGTGCTTCTACCTGCAAAGGTTCCTGGGATTCAACTCACCATCTTGGAAAAGAACGCAGACGTGGTAAGGAAGATTCGCCCTTGCTTATCTGAGAAAGTACTGACTTGACCCAAATAGGGAGGCACTTGGTTCGAGAATGTTTACCCTGGCGTGCGATGTGATGTCCCGGCTCATGTGTATCAAACATCATTTGAGCCAAACACTCAGTGGACTGAGGAATTTGCACAAGGGGCTGAGATAAGAGAGTACTGGACCAACATTGCAAAGAAGTACGACGTCTACAAGTACCTTCAACTGTCCCAACGTGTCGAAGAAACGCGCTGGGATGCAGAACGCTCGGTGTGGCTCGTCAAAGTCCACAACCTAAAGTCTGGAGAAGTGTACACACACGAAACCGACTTTGTGCTCACGGCAATCGGAAGGTTCAATGCTTGGAAACTACCCGATTACCCCGGACTGAAAGATTACAAGGGCCTCCTCAGACATGCATCAAACTGGGATCCAAATTTTGACCCGTCCGGCAAGCGAGTGGCTGTCATTGGAAACGGCGCATCCGGTATACAGCTGGTTTCAAACATACAGTCACGAGTGGCACACCTCGATCATTATGCGAGAAACAAGACCTGGATCGCTGCATCATTCTCTGGCGACGCTACATCCATCAAACCTATCATAATTTCAGAGGAGTTGCGAGAGACCTTCAAGAAAGATCCGGAGGCGTATCTGAAGTATCGGAAACATTTCGAGGAGAAGTACTGGCGTGGTTTTGACACTTGGCTGAAAGGCTCTGAGAGTAACGAGAAGTCAAAGCAGGAGTTCATCCAACTCTTGGAGAAAAGACTGGCAAAGAAGCCTGAACTAATCAAAAGTCTTATCCCGGACTTTTCGCCACACTGCAGGCGGTTGACACCAGGACCAGGCTACTTTGAAGCAATCACGGAAGACAACGTAGACTACATACAGACACACATCAAGCGATTCACAGAGACCGGCATCGAAACGGTCGATGGGAAACATCGAGAAGTCGACGCGGTTTTCTGTGCCACTGGAGCGAACGTGGACTCAGTGCCGCCTTTTAGCATCATCGCCAATGGCAAAGACATCAGAAATCTATGGGCTCATGATGGCGAATACGGGTTTCCTTACAGTTACTTAGGAACTTCGACCCCTGGATTTCCCAATCTGTTATTTGTCCACGGACCCAACGGGTCGGGAAGGTCTGGGACCGTCCCACACAATGTCGAAACGCAAGTGACATTCTACGCCAAAATCCTGCGCAAGGTCGGCAGAGAAGGTATCAAAACCATTCAACCATCGAAAAAAGCTACAGATGACTTCGTACAGTACGCGGACGCTTTCTGGAAGACGACCGTACTTTCAGAAAACTGTAGTTCCTGGTACAATGGTGGGAAACCGGGTGCGAGGATTCACGGGTTATGGCCAGGAAGTGCAAGCCTTGTCGCCATAATATCGAGGGATCCGCGTTGGGAAGACTGGGAATATGAATATCTGTCGGACACGGGCAACCGTCTCGCATGGTATTTCGGCAGAGGATGCACAAAAGCCGAGAGCGACTTAGAGAGGGACATCACATCATATCTACACGATCCCGCGAAGATTGATTTGAGAGACCTCCATGAGCAGTGGTGGGATATCCCGTAGATTGGCGCCGTTGCTATGATTCCGAATGATGGAGGAACACATGAGTATAGCAGTTTTGGCAATCCGACAGGTTTCTAAACCCCGTGTGACGTCTGTGAGCCCAGTTGATGAAAGCGACCATCACTCTATGGGTGCCGCCTTAGGTAGCGCCTCCCTCCACAGTCTGGCAATCCAACAAGCAACCAACAAGTCGCGTTTCTTGTCGTTGATTTTAGTCTTTAGTTCCAGCCTACGCAACATCGAATGCCCTGTACCATCTCCCCCAGTCCCATATCTTTTTTCGATCGCCACTAAAGTCCCCGAGTCCCAGTCCAGCCACCTGACCTCTGGATCCTGAGATAGTCGATCCAATAAGCCGAGACTCGTGCGAAAGTGACCGGGAATCTTCCAGCTTGCGGCACCCCACCCGGGAACCATTGTCACTTCTCCAAAAGTGATGCTTTTTGAGGCTTTTCCAAAGATGAGTATTTCAGTCCGTCCGCCTATATAGAGATAGTGCGGCGTCCGACTCGGTCGCATGTCATACAAGACATCCGATCTGCTGTGGCGGATACTCCCCTCCCCACCGGTCGAGCTGAGCCTGTACTTCAATCGTCGGAGTTCATAAACATAGCTGGACGCGACGCAGGGGTCGCTATTGAGCTGATACATGGCGGTTGACGGAGGGTCTGAAGGAAAGACCAAGGTTCCGTCCAGGTTGAAGATAGGTAGCTCATCATCGCGCAATTGAGCACGGGAGTTAGTGACGCTGGTTGCTTCATATGATGGAGGTTCCACGACGGGTGCCCCGCTTTGGTCAGTCATCGTATTGAATGGTGTATTTAATGACTTTTCATTCCCATGGCACCGAGCAAAATATTTGTGATGATTGAGCTATTTATAAGGGATGCTTTTCGTTCCTAATGTATGCGATGAAATTGTCGCAGGGTCATGAGGATGAACATTGCGCGGTACATACGAGAAAATATAACCCCTCATACCTTGCACTCAACGGGTAATTATGTCGCATGACCGAAGCGAGTTAGCAACTGCCTGGGTCATTGTGCGCTAATCACCAATATATGTATAAAGATCCAAGCAAGTTGAATAACTCTGTTTATATCATAACTGGTTGGGATTATTCTAACTTGGCTCAGATTCTGGAGTAACCTGGTGTGGAGCAAAAACTCGCCCAAGGGCGACGTTACTCACTCAGGTAAGCACTTGCATCCTTCCGACTTGTTAGTCATCATCTACCTGCACTTTTAGGCCAATATCAGCTAGAAACGCGTCTTGTATAGGACAGCGACCGAGAGAGTTTCTCATCATATCCTTAGGATCCTGACTTGCTCTAGGCTGAAGTACGAGTCATCTATACCGCTCCCGCACCTCACTACTTCGGGAGTTATACTTAAAGGCACTAGTAAAAGTATCCGGCGAGTATACCTGTGAGCTAGCATCATGTTAGTAGGCGATATGTAAAGCTTCTGATACCGGATAGAACCCACAAGAGATACGAGTAATCATTTGACGCCGCCCCGTCTATAAAGTGAATCGTTGTCGCGAACCCCATGCCCAGGGTTCATTGTCGCCTCCATTGATTCAGGTGTGAAGGATATTGCCCCTCTATTCTCATGCCACCATCTTCTCAGTTCTCAGACGCCTCGAAGACGGCTTCCCTAACACCCTCGTCGTAAATATGTGTCAACATTGTTCTAATCATGCTGTTTTTCAAAGACAAACGAAATCTTTCAGGGCCGATTTCTGGCTCGATTCTACGTTCCAGAGAATTTACTATACATAGGGATATACCGCACAGCTCCCCTATGATCAGCCAGATAGAGTCTTTGGTCTCCGTGAGCACTCTCCGAAAGTCGCCTCAATTGGAGTTGGCCTGTTCAGTGACCTCATGGAGCTCATCCTCTCGTTGGATTCTAGGAGACAACCTTCGTTCAAGAAAAGCTGGTACTATTTTTCGGTTAGTTTCTTTGTTTGGCCATTTGAGTGGGAACCGCTCATTAGGTGATGCACTATTTTCACCCTTCCAAACAGATCACGACGGGAATACCATGACTGGTAGATCGTGTGCACCTCATGGTGGGCCGTACGGACAGCTTTGCGAGTATTCTCATCGCTAGAGGCAGACTCGGGAAGCCGGATTCTTGAGCCACAAATCGATAATCAGGGCTCGACGAACGCCATCGGAGTCATCGTGTTCTCGAATGTAGCATACTCCGGGTCAACACTCTGGACAACAGCACCCAGAACATCATTGAACCCATTTCGTATTGATTTTGCATATCCAAGAAAAGAGGTTGGTGTGTCATGGAATGTGGGTGGAAAACAATGTCACAGTGTCAAATGAACTGCAGCAATGTAGGCGTTGTGCTCAATGATCGATCATGAAATCCCTCTGTACCAAAATTTGTACCACTTAAATGCCGTATTTAACATGCTTGCTCGAACTGTCCGGTCCATGACCAATTATAGATGCTATGTCTGAAAAAAAAAAAAAAAAACCGGGAAATTGCATGTAGAGTCGTGATCTAAGCAATTTTCTAAATGCTTGAACAGGATGCTGAGCCACTGCTTCGTAGCATCAATCTGTGTCTGTTTATAGAGACGCTATGTATCTTCGCAAGTAAAACCTAGCTTTCGTACCGATGGATGTTTTATTACGAACAAGTTGGATATGTTCACTCAGCTGGGTTGAAGCTTGAGACCGCCAGATTCGAGTGGGTTACCATGCTATTCGTCCGCCTCTGCCTCTGCCTCTGCAGCCCTTTCAAGCACGTGGTTTCTCCCTTGCTTCACCCTGTTTGCGGCTTCCCGTCCAATACATAGTCTAAAATCGAAGAGACCCAGTCCTGCTTCCTGTTCTTCGCCTGCCATGGTAGCCAACGCGGCCAAGCCCAGATACGAGTGCAAAACATCCGGCGGCTTACCCGCATGCTTTCCAAACCCGCCGATAACATGCTGTGTCTTCTGAAGCAGAAACTCCCTTCCTGATGCACTATGCACAGTTGTAGGCCCCGGAAATGCTCCACCAAGCAATCTTAGAGCTCCTGTCACCCACCAGGTGTAGCATGTATCGGGAACCTTATTGAGCCGGCCGCTGAAGCCAGTGATGGAAAGGTCATCAAGACTAAGCGTAGCCAAATCCGAGATTGGCGTATCATCGGCCGTGACGTTTTCCACGTCGTCCTCATCCTCGTTCTGTCCGGCGAAAGCGAATTGTCGAGACACAAGATAGTGGACCAGTGCCGATATATCGGGAATTCCGGCCAGTATGTAGCGATATGGCCTCTCTCCGTCTTCTGCAGCCAAGTCTAGAAGCGACAATGCTGCCACAGCGCAGTAAGCATACCCGGCGTGGCTCTCGCCCATGGCGCTTTCTGCAATACCTCCATCAAATGACTGACTGCGTCGGATGTGGCTTACAAGATTGTCGACGTCAAAATCGAGCGAGCCGTCACCCGCGTTTCCACCCAAAACCCAGCGGATGGCTGAAGCCATGTACGCATACCGCATATCTCTCCCACCACCAATGGAGCCGTCTTCTTTGACAATCTCACCGAAGCTACCATCGGGTCTCTGCAGCTTCTTGAGCCATTCCAGAGTCGCAACTCTGTCAACACCCAGATAGATGGCTTTCGCATCCTCATCCGAATCACCAGCTAAGATACCAAGAAGCATCAAAGCAAAGTACGTTGCAGCCACATTGGCATTTTCTGTATGATTGGGCGTGGGAAGGGTCGTTTTGCTGACAAGCCCTGTGGTGAAGACCTCGGGAAAGACATGTTGCGGACTACCACAAAAGCCACCTGATGGGTGCCGCAGCGACAAGACCCACTTGCGTATTTGGGGCTTGTCGTTTGCCGGCAGGAGTGAGGATGAAGCTGGCTTTGTGGCAGATGGTGAGGTATGAGACGAGGGCGATGAAAGCAAATCCAAAGCTGCAACAATGAGGTAGCCAAGCGACAGCCTGTTGCTATCGTTGGCGGTGTAATGGTGTGGTAGGATGGATGCGTAGCATCGCTGAAAGTAGCGAACGTGACGAGCTGTGTCAAGGGCCATGGTGCATGTGATTTCTGACAGTTGTGTGATAGTAGACTCGGTGTTATCGTGACTGCTTCCAACGGCCCGGCTCGTGATCTCCGCCAGCCTGGAGCCAATTCCTACAGAACAGAATGTCACTGTTCTGGTCGTCCTCGGGGTGGAGAATCCAAGTACTGACTAGACTAACCTTAGGTTAAAAGAACGTAACTACTTTACGTGTACTTGAACACGGATGGGCGACCAGGTTCCCAATGAGATATTCCCTAAGAAAGGTGCAACATCCGTACCTAAGCATATGCACAACAGCATGAAGCTTGGTAGGCACCCCACCAATAGCGGCTCGCTCACTCGGCGGACGGCAATCACTTGCATGACTTTAGTGAAGACCGACCTCACCTGCTCACCCACTGATACGTACAGTAGGTTGACCTAGACTAACCTGGTATGTAGGTAGACCCCAGCCCCACCTCAGCGCGCGCTCTCTCTCTCTCTTTGTCCCTCTTTCTCTCGCGATAGCGATAAGACTGCGCTGTGGCTAGGCGGCCCGACACATGGCATGACGCGCCAGCTGGTCCCCGAAACTTCCAAGCAGATCCGTACTTTCAGGTACATACGTTATGATTTAATTCCATTGCATTGCATTACTTTACGTTAACGTGCCGTCTCCTTCTCCAGGCTGCGTTTAACAGCACACCCAGCCTCGTCAGACGCTTCTCCTTCTCCTATCCGCCGGCCTTCCCCAGTTCGCCTCTTTCCTGGGTCACTAAACGATTTTCTCATCCGGAAGGTGTCCAAGTCTCCGTTCTGTAGCAGGAGCTCACCACTCGCCCTCCCAGTGCTGTATATTGCATATTGGACACATCGAACATCCTGGATACAGGAGAGGAGCGGCAAAATTGAACACTTGAACCGGCATACCGACACCGAAAAACATAGTGACAGCCGTCATGGCGCTCATATCAGCAAAGACGATCCTGACCTCGCTATGTCTCTTTCACATAACCCTGGCCTATTTCTTCTTTACGAACCCACGCTCCATCGCTGACCAGGCAATGGTGTATCTGCTGGGTGAAGCCATGGGCATGGTGAGTTTCTCTCACATCACCCTTACATCGCAACCACCCCTTTGTATTGAAGACTAGCTGAACTCCCCCTTTCTTAGCCCACGACAACAGCTTTCAACACGCCTACACCTTCGACCTCCCTCCTCGGTCTCGTGCTCCTGATCCTTGGCCTCTCCGACATGCTCTCGCTGTCCCTCCCCCAGGAGATCTGGCTCGTCCACCACTGGTCTTCGCAAGCCCCTCTCCGCGTTTTCCTCTTCACCTCACTCGCCGTCGTCACTTTCCTCACAACACCCAAGGGAAAGAGGTCGGGCGGCCGCATGTCCCATCCCATCGCCCTGTCTGGAATCGGTCAGGGCGGCGGCTGGGATGGGCTCCGCAATCGCGTCTTCTTCACCTTGGCCTTTGTAGAGATGATGGCCTGGTTCTGGGTCTGGGTTACACTTCAGGAGGAAAAGAAGGCTTTCATGAACAAGAAAAGGAGAAGAAGTTCCGGTGCTTCGCGAGGAATCCAGTCCTAAATTCACAATGTGACCGAGATGAAAGCGACAACGAGTGGTGAAAGGATGGTGCGAGTTTGGAACAACGCCCAGCCTTTTTATTTTTTTATTTTTACGAATCGTAAACCCAAGAAGATTTTCGAGCAGAAAGCTATTGATGCGAGGATAATTGCACTGGTGCGAACATGACAGCTAAAGAGCTGATCGATCGGGGCATCATCTATGCCAGCATGCAAATGAATCGTTTGCTATTGCAGAACGTTAGGCCGTATCTGAAGGGAATTTGCAATACTCTCCAATGCCGCAGTGGTCATAGGCATGGATATGGCATTGTAAGGAAAATGGGGCATTTCTGGCATTTTATTGAACATCGCGTGGAGGTTATGGAACAAATGGGCATTCAAGGCGCATGTGCTGGTTCGGGAAAATCCCGTTATGGCGATTGGTTCTCTGATACCTTTTCCCTCCCCCAATTTACCTAGCTGAGAGAAATCAGTCAAGCTTAACTGTACTCCAACCCTTAGCAACCTCTTGCCATGAGTCCTTGATTTCACCCATCGTGTGCTCAAGGCCAGCCTTCTGGCCAGAAGCAATGAATACCATGGCTGACAGCTCGCCACTCTCAGCATCACTAGGGGCCTCACCGACAGGTTGAGCACCACTTGCCAGCTCGCCAAATGCAAACTCGGAAATCCTATCAAGCCAGCCTGATGCGTTGGCCTCGTCGTTGAGAAGCTTGATCTGCTTCTTCACGAAGCCAGAGGCTCCAGCAGCCGTGCTGTTCAGGGCTCTGACGTCTTCGCCCAGCCACTTCGGGGCGTCGTTCTTGAGGGGTACGGCGGAACGCTCGAGGTAGTTAGCCGTGATCTTGACCGCCTGCACGGTTTCTCGAAGCATGCCCAGGGCGTGAAGCGACACGAACTGTTGAACCGCGCTCATGCTCTCGGGCAGATCGCCGCGCCTTTCTTGTAGGCCTTCAGTCTCGGCCTGCAGCAGCGAGGCAATGTGGTTGACGGCATCCGTGGTTTGAGGTGGCCGGGACGCATTCTTCGTCCAGGGGGCCCGTGTAGAGAGAATGACAATTCGCAGGAGCGAGTTGATTGCAGTAAAGTAGGACAACTCGGCGCTGGTGAGATATTGGGCTCCATCCAGACACTCCATCAGAGGGGCCTCCAGCTTTTTGGCAATCTGTTCCGCTGTTTCGGCGACGTATGACCGGTCAAGTTCTGCCACTTGAATGGGCTTGGTTGGCTTGTACTCCTTGGCGTCTTTGTACGAAAGCAGGGATATGAAGCGCTCGGCGTAGAGCGATAGCTTGGCTCGGACATCCTGGTTCGTGGTCAGTGATATGCTATGCGGGTCAGGATGGGGCGGAGTTGCACGTACCGAAAGACCAGGTCCAATACTGGTGACATCAGCTAGAGTGCCCGGAGCGCACTCGTGATTCGGCAGGGCTACAACATCCGTGACATTCAAAAGTTGCTTGTCATCCTTGACGAGTCCTAGCAATTTTGTCAGCCGGGTAGACTCAAGTAAGATGAAGTTATTGTTAGATGGGCAGATTAATATATCAAGCCGACGGCAGGTTCACTTACGAAGCAGCGGGTCATCATTAGTCTCGAAAGCAGCCTTGCTGCCAATTGCTCGCAGGCCTCGGCGATCTTCAACATTAGCCATTATCATGGTGCAGCTATGACCAAGACGTTCTTGTGTGTCCAGAAGACCCAGAACGCTGGGATAGTTGGCGAGTTCAAGAGCAGTTCGTATGTTGGACGGAATGGTCTTTCGAATAGCACTTTGGAAGTATTGGTGATATTGGTTCATGGGAGTTCTGGAGTTGAGTCGCCACAAGCCAGGGGCAATGCTTGATAGACGGTCGGAAAACAGCGGTCCGAGTGAATCGAGAGTGACGTTCTTAACTCCCAGTGTATCCCACAGAAGTTGAGCTTGGGGAGCACAGCCGATGAGTAAGTAGAGCTTTGTCAAAAAGACAGTGATTGCTGGATCTTTCTGAGGAACTCGGCTGTAATGCGAGTTCAGCCATGAAATAGCTTGGAGCACCAGTTTTGTGTCGACATCGCTGACAACGGACACTCCAATGGCGCTGTTGTAAGACGTCAAGCCGGCAAGCTTGAGCAAGCAAGTAGCGCCGATAATGGCCAAGTATGCAAACGGGTCGACGTCTTGTAAGTTGTCGATGTGCTCCCGCAGTGCTTTATCCTGAAAGCCCTGGTTATACATAAAGGCGCAGGACTTTGCAATGGAAACAAGACACTTCTCACAGGCGCCCGTATCTACAGTGGAGTCGCAGAAGTTACACTTGGGCTTATCATGTCCCGGCACCACCGCGAGTGATCGAGGGGAGGTCGTAAATAGGTACCGGAACCTCAAACGTAGAGTGAGCAACATGGTGTTTTTGAATGTGTCATTATCTGTCTAGGAGATGTGTTAGCCTCTGTCTGTATTGTCGGGAATCAAATAAAGTGGTTCGCTCAATAGTCACATACTTTCCCGCCTTCAATGCCGATGCAATTGAGCAAGGACTTTATCTCGCTGATAGATAGTTGCTCCAAGAAAGTCTTTAGGTCGTCAAAGCAAGAAACCATCTTGTAATTTGATACTGTATAGGCCGCCAGATGCTCAACACGAGTGTTCGCGGCGGCGTCGTGTCCATTCAATGTGACACCTGTTTCTGATGTTGAGACTTGATATCTCATGAATAAGATCGAGAGATTCGCAATTTCCATTTGTTTTCTGTAGATAGGGCGAATCTTCGTCACCTTGGATACTTTAGTGACGAAACCGCGGAGTTGTTTGAGAGCCCTAGACAAGTCAATACATGGTCTCATGTGAAATAAGGTCATGAGCTTACTTCCTGTCGTTTTCCAAATGACTTGCAGCGGTAATAAACTGCTTCCAGAGTGCCCAGTCCATAACTACACTCTGGAAGGCTCGAGATTCTGCTTCCCTTCTGGGTTTCCCAAGTTCTTCGGCACGAGTCTCAGTGAAAGTCAAGATATTCTGCATTCTCTTATGAATTTCGTCATCGCCGGCCACCACGTCCTGAATTGGCACAGGTTTAGAGGACTGCGCGTTCGAGGCTTCGACCAAGTAAGCAAGCCCCTTGTCGAATAATTCCTGGGCAACGTTGAAGAGTTCATTCCAGGCTTCGTGTCGTTCAAGAAGGCTCATAATCTCCTTGAATACAGAGACACTGCCCTCTGAAAGACGTTTCAACGCACTGAAATCGGGCTTCTTCAGGAGAGCAACAACCTCCGTGTCATCTTTAGCACAAGTGGTCTGGATGCGTAGCCATAATAAGAGTTCCTCTTCGCTGGCTATGGCGCGGGGAGGGTAACCGCCGGATATGGGACTCTGTTTATATTCAGCACGAAGGATGGCCCTAATCCTAGAAAACCACCACTCACATTGTCACGTAAGTCTCGGGCCTTATCAATCATTCTCATAGCTAAAGTACGAAACATAGTCCCTTTCGGGTCCTTTGGTGGGAGCTGGGACTTTCCGAGATGTCAGTTGACAGCATGTAAAGTTATGATTTCAAGATCATACCGATAACATGTAGTACGCCAGGATATTGTAGAATTGATGCCGAGGGTCTTTGGGGAACTTCTGGTCCACCAATGCCGCGATCTGAGAATGTCAGCTATGATTCGTAGACAGAATATGTGTAATATATACCTTCTGTGCATTCTCCCAATCATTGTTCAGCACACAGGCGTAGAATTGGCGGATAGCGGCATTCGCTTTATCAACGTCTGGCTTCCAGGCTTCTTTGACGAAAGTAGCTCTCAGAGTGCCAATAGTCTTTGCATAGTCCTTGTCGACATCTATGCAAGCCCAGTCATAAAGCTCGATAATCCAATAGTCTTTGATTGGCTTTCCATCTGCAAGGATTTTCTCAACAGCAAAGATGGCAGCATGCTGATCAGCGGGAGTATCCAGTTGGGACCTAACAGCAGTTTCAATCGCCTGGATAGTGATCAGTTAAATACATAGTGCCACATGGAGCCGAAGTATGTGGCGGGTAACAACAATTTCCAACTCAAATGAGGCAAAGGTCGTATGGGTGATTCAGAGACGGCATGTGTATGGGCTTGATCCCACTGTATGGTGTCCTTACCTCATAATATGGATCATGCGTTCGCTTGAATTGTTGCTTGGCATATGTTATGACCTGAGCCCATCTTTCTTCTTGGAAAGCAATCTGCACATTTGCATCACAGTTCTGCCTCAGAGATGGCAAAGCCGATCTGTAAGATGCACTCATGATGATCGTATCACGTGATGGCCTGGTCGTAGTGGTGAGAGAGGGAGACGTGAAATTTGGCAAGGTTGCAAGTCTCGGTGGGGTCTCATGGCCAGAGTTTAGGTCTAAAATTCACTCGATTTGTTTTGTTTAGGACGTTAAGCAAGACCCGCTTCACAATTCTCAACTTATACTCATCGACTCGAATTGCAGTGCCCACGTCATACGATAATATAGTTGGGCTCTGTTGCACACTTGTATTTGCGGTGCCGTCTGTGGCTATCTTACTCAAAAGCATTTGGCGGGGTCCGACAGTCATGCACGAGCTTATTTAACCTTCTTTGGGCCATAAACGGAAGGCGGTCACCTCACCACCCAAGCAAACGAATCTTTGAGGAAACTGATGCTGGTTCCGCATCAAGTACAACATGCATCTTCAAAAGAGCGAGCGGTCTTCGACTGTTTTGCTGTTATTATTATGGGAAAGAGGAGTTTAGCGTGCGTATGGGCTCCATAGCGCTGAATTGCACAAATATCTTCCTCTGCTTTTCGAAATCTTACAGTGATAGTACACTTGATTCTTGCATCGAACAATGCTTCTACACATGGATATCTCCAACCTCAACAGGTTAGCCATAATGTTACACGGCTGTAATCTCATGGACACAACCCCAAACAGCTGAGCGCTGCCTGGCTAGAAGAAGAAGCCCCCTTCCTTTTTGCGCCTATTTATCTGGTGGCATAGTCAGCATCACTTACAATATCTAATCAACATTGACCCTGCCGACATACCCATTCTTTCTTACAAGCACGATATGCCCTGCATTGTGTTAGTGCCACGTTCCTTGTTGGATTTGCGACGGCGAAGCTCGGCTTCTCGAAACATACTCAAAATAGTCTGTACACATTTGTCGGTCGCCTCCGTTTCGTTTCAGGCATCGTATGCTTCGTTCGGCAGCTTCTTGACATGGATCGAAATACTCGCTTTTGGATTTGCTGCAGCAAAAGTGTCAGTTCTTCATGGTCTTGTCGCGATTGAGACGGATTGAACGAGAGCTGTCCAATAGAAATACAGACCTTTCAAACTTTCTCTTGGTCTCCTTGTCCCAAGGATCCTTCCCATCATCACCTTGCGATGCCATCTTATTGCCTCTGCGGATTGGGAGAGCGACTGAAGTTTTGCGATCGAAGCTCAACGGAAGCTCTAAGGCTAACTTACTCCGACTGTGCACGAGCGTGGTTCATGACGTCGATAAGCGGCAGGTGGCAGCAGCTGAGCATAATCGATGTGCAATGAGTGATTCGTTTCCACACATATCGGCTCCCCTCTTCAGCATTCGGCGGCATCGCTTCACAGCTGCGACCTTTGCGGATTTTGATCAGTGGTTTCTTCGAAGCCGTCCCTCTTCAGGTGCTCGTAGTAAACGCTCTCAAGACATATACAATTGTGTGTTCCGACAGAGTACTAGGCGCCTCGATGCAAAAGCTCGGTCCAAACCTGTCTTGTCTCGGCCCTTGCTTCTTTTCCGCAATCATCTCGTTGTTAACTACCAACTGCTACATCATATCTATCCAAGTATTGTAGTGGGGTTAATAGATTCAGATCTTGTATGATTTTCTTGAGTCTGCCTGTGGCTTTGCTAAACTAATATACACGCTTACGCCACAAGCTTTAATGCAGTCCGAACAACGAGTCGAGCAGTTCAGAACGCAAGACAGCGCCGAGATAGCGCATGAAACAAACCAATCCAAAAAAAACATCTTGTGTTGTATGTATCCTTTTGATCGACGAAATTCATTCCATAGAACGTCTACTCTCGCATCAGTACTTGGTTGGCGTTGATTCTTAGCTAGGCAAGACCACGTACAGCAGAAATATGTGGTACAGCAGAAATATGTGGTAAACATGTGATGATTGCTGTGGTAAAGATGGGCAAATAATCATCGATTCCTGTGCTTTTGCAGATTTCGCGACCGACTGGGCGCCAAAAAGAAAGGCATGCTTAGTGCTAATACAGTATCTATGTCATATCACTATCCGGCGCCCGCAAGATTGAGCCAGACTCATACTTCAATCTGTTATATACCCACATCAAATCCGCAAGATGCTGTCACGCAACGTCGCACTTAGGGTCTTGCTTCTTACGCGGAATGTTTTACCCAATAAGCTTGAGGATTAGCCCAAGCCTGGAGACCAATCTCACCCCACTCCATGCCAATACCGCTTTCTTTATGGCCACCAAATGGCACATTGGGCGCGAGTTCGAAGTGAGTGTTGACCCAAATACTACCGGCTTGAAGCTGCTCCGCAATGCGCTGGGCACGAGGTACGTCCTTACTCCAAACCGAGGCACCAAGACCTACTTTCGACGCGTTCACACGGCTAACCACGTCGTCCTCGTCCCTCCACTTGAGTACAGGGACAATAGGACCGAATGGTTCGTCTTGCACAATGCTTGAATCCTCGGGAGGATTATCGATGATCGTCGCCGGCATAAAGAAGCCTTTACCTTCTTTGGGCCCCAGCTCGCCGCCTAATGCTGTCTTCCACCCCTCCTTGCCGATCTGCGAGTAGAAATCCTGAAGTTTCTCGTACTGCATACGGTTCTGCACAGGACCGAAGAACGCCTCAGGATCAGTATGATCACCTGTCTTGAATAGCTTAGTTGTGGCTACCATGGCGGCGAGGAACCTATCATAGATGTTTTCGTGCACGTAGATACGCTTGATATTCATACAAATCTGGCCATTGTGGACGAAAGTAAGGAACGTGACCTGTTCGATCTGATCAGCGCTGATCACAACTATTAGGCCGAAATCTAAGACACATACTTTGGGAACGACCGAATCAATATCAACATCGTCGCAGATCACCGCGGCGTCGTTGCCGCCAAGCTCAAGCGTCACACGCTTTAAAGTACTTGCCGCAGACGCTTGGATCTTCTTACCAGTTGCGACAGAACCCGTGAAACTGATCTTGGCCACATCGGGGTGAGCAGTCAGTAGAGGGCCCAAGTCCTCTTCACCACTAAGAGCTTGGAAGACACCAGGAGGGAAGATCTTCGTTCCCAATTCGGCGAGCTTAAGTGACGAGTAGGGCGAATAAGGTGATGACTTCCAGATGAATGTATTACCAGCGAGAAGAGCGGGGAACAGCTTGCCAACCCCAAGGGTGAGGGGAAAGTTCCACGGCACTATACCAACTCCAACGCCGAGAGGGACATAGCGCACAATAGCTGTACGCTAAAGAAACTATTAGCAGGTTGTATTGGCACTTGGAAATGTGGTCTCCCAGCGATGGAAGGCCAAGACAACTTACGTCGGCGTCGTCGATTTTCTTCTCTTCCTTTAGGCGGAGTTGAGGGATCCCGCGAGCAAGCCCCATGCAAAGGTGCAACTCGAACGCTCCAGCCTGCGGTGGTTTTCCCACTTCTTTACCAAGAAGCTCTATGAAATCCTGCGTGTTTGCCTCGATGGCATCGGCAAACTTGTCTAAATAGTCGGCACGCTCATCCTGGGAGAGCTTACTCCACGCAGGAAAAGCAGCCTTTCCTGCGGCGACAGCACGATCAACATCCGCCTGAGTCGACACAGGAGCCTCCCAGAGAACGTCTTCAGTACTCGGGTTTACGGTGTGTCTCGTCGTAGCAGTGGTGGTTAACTCATTATTGATAATGTTATGAAATTTCTAGAGTGAAGATCAGAAGAATGTCTTACGGTAACGATGTGGCTTAGGATCATCTTACATCGAATGAAATCTTGTAATCCGCTGCGGCAGGCATGGTCTTTTGTCTAATACAAACTTGCGAATGTCGTAGTCAATATGGCAAGTCTCTTACGCACGAGAAGAAAACGTCGGAATAAAACAAAAAGAAATGAACCCCCGCTGAAAGATATAGATCGCGGCCGCTGGTGTAGTTAGCCCCATAATGACTGCAGGACATGATCTGATGGTTGCCCCTTGGCTGTTGCGGGGTGGAAGTTATAGCGAAACATTTCCGACAGCCGTGACGGAGCTACCAAAATACACTGTAAGGTAATTTGGCGACCAACTGCAAACCCCATGCAGATTGCTTTACAACATCCTTACTGACTAAGGACATGGCAATGGGCTTCGAGCGTCAAATTTCTACATCGAGCCATATTTGAGTCAATAGTGGACCGCAGATTGGGTTGTAGGTATCAAGATACTGAGTCGTCGAAAGACCACGGGATAACTAGGTTAGTTGAATGTGTTTTGCTTGCCAATTGCACCCCACGGTGCGGACAAGACACACATATTGGATCAATTGTGCATTATCTACAGACCATTTTGTGCCGAACCAACCCACACAGTTTGTTGTTTTCGTGGCCCTGGGTTGGTGACAATCCAACCTGGCCCACTGCAGTAACAGTTTGTACATAGAAATTGAATTCGCCCTCCATGGAATACTATGTACCCAAATCTAACCCGTCACACTCCCTGGCCATTGAGCTTACTGACAAAATCACGATAAATATAACATCAACTATGGGACTTTTTTCACGGTCAACAGTGTTCAAGTTAATTCTTCAGGATAATGGCACTCGTATATAGGGCTGCACCAATAATGACTGCCGATTCGAATCTAAGTTCGGAGGGAGGAAAGCACAAACTTGGTCCGTGGTTCCGGCCGGCCGCTATCTGTCAGTCCACTTAAACAGCATCAGAGGCTGCTAACAGTTTCTGGTAATTGGGAGTGCCCAAGCCCGTGGCAGGGTCCCATCCCTTATAAAAAGATTTAGCACAAGGTAATTGCAAAAATGGACGAGGCATCAACTTACAGCAATGGCGGTGAAACCTGCGCCTGAGATGACGGGGCAACCACCGATCTTGCCAGAGGTAATATCGTTCAAAGCGCTGGAAGCATTGCCGTACTGTTGTTTTCATGATTAGCAATATGGTCTTGTTTTAACCATAAATAGAAGACATAACTTACCAGCCAAGGGTTAAGGAAACCAAGAGCAGCTTTGCCAGCAGCAAGACGGTTGCTATTAACGAGCTCAATCACACTGGCGAACGTTGGCGCAGCACAGGAAGTTCCGTCGACAGCTTCAGTCTTGCCACTAACAACAATTTCAAAATAGGTGGCAGCCGCAGCGACATCAGGATAAGCGCGGCCGGCACTGTTGTAATAAGCCGTGTTACCGTCGTTGTTCTTAGAGAGCCAAGACTGAACCTGAGTTGTCTGGTAATCTGGCTGAGTGAAGTAGTTGGAGAAACCACCACCACCTGAGGTCCAGGCAGACTCGGTCGTGCTTCCTGTGGTGCCTCCGACCATGGTGACATAAGGGCAGCCACCGGGGAAGTCGGGCTGATAAGCTTTCTTACCGCTAATGGTACAGCCTGAACCAACACCGGAGTCGCCAGACGCAAAAATAACAGAAACACCAGCGGCTCCAAGTTGCATGAACTGGTTGCAAGTCGTCTGAGCTACACTCTTGGTGACAGAGCTCTCATCTCCGCCATATGAGACAGATATGACATTCGGACGCTCGGCGGCGCTGAGACCCAAGAGATATTCTGAAAGGTACTCGTAGATCTGGTTGTCGTTACCACCAACAGAGTAGAACTCGTTGGGGATATCGCTGGTAATGGCACGGGCGTATTGCACATCCAAGTTCGCCTCGTCACCTGGGTTGCTGGCTGGGCAGGTACCAGCATTGACAGTAGTGCAAGTGTAAGACTGAGCGCTATTACCAAACCCTGAAATGGCAAATTTACCCAAAAAGGTCTTCAGATCCGACTGACTGGGGTACTGCTTGATGAAACCAGCAATGCCCATTTTGCCTTTAGTCAAGGTGGAAATGCCTCTGAAGCTGTAAAGGCTTGCCAGGATGGTCGGAGTTGTGTAGGTGACCTCAGGGCTGATGCTGCTATCATTGACGCGAAGTTGAGGCCTCAACTGGCGGAAGCCGAAGAAGGTGGTGGGTTGGATAGTCTCAATGTGATCAAAAAGAACCTCGGGCAAGTTCACACTGAGGGCTCTGGTTGCCTTGACTCCGGTCTCTGTGTTCGCTGATCGGTCATTGTCAGCTATGCGCACATGAGAACTGGCTTTTCAGGAAATGTACTTACAGTAGGTGTCATATTTTGTGCCCAAGAGCGTCTCAGCTCCGCTGATGGTTGTGTTTATAACAACAATGTTGCCACGAGGGTTGAGAACAGCGGAGTTGGCAAGACTATGGTTTCCAAGCCACTCAAAGACGAGCTGACGCGATTCGCCCGAGGGTGCGATGATCGCATCGATCTCATCACGGGTCATATGCTTTCCATACTTTGCATGGCCTGGAGTGGCAATCTTAGACTTCATTAGACGACAGATCCACCAGCGAAGGCCTTCCACATTTTGCGATCGTATTCAAAGTAGAGCGTTAGATGCTGCTTCCATGCAGGATCGGGCTTATGCCGCTCACTCGAGCCCCGAGACTTGCCCCATCAAATAACTGTCGGCTCTCGCCATAGAAATTGATACGCAAACCCGAGCTATTTTGGATCGCCCAAAGAGTACTCAGCTTTCAAGTAAAGGGACTTACATCCATTGCCAATTTTTGCATCTGGGCCATGTTCTGATGCTTGAGCTGAATCCTCAACTCAAGGACCTCGTCGGCGTCGGCAGCGGCATCTTCCTTGACCCACGCGGCCGGGGGAGCTTCGATTGACTCCCAGAGGCTAGTTGGCACGGCGTTTGCAGCACGACGGTCCGAGGCAGGGAGAGCCATGGCGCGGACCGCAAGCGCCAGGACGGTGGAAACAACAGTAGTAGGTATAAACATGGTGTCTAAATGCGTGATCCCTGACGTCTAAGGCCTCAAATCTGTACGAGAATCCGATAGCCAAGAATGTCAAGAGATCTTGGCTCCTTGGCTCCATGGCCTTACATATACTATGTCTCTGTCCATCAGGGTGCTAATCTCTTGGCGTTGACCGATCAGGAAGCAGGATCAGTATATTGACTTGAGGGCCCGGCATTGCCGAATCAAGAGAACTGGCCAAATCATGTCTGCCATGAGTTGGTATACCACCTGCCATCAGCCCTTCCACAACGGCTGCTCAAGTTCAAGTCAATAGCATATTTGACCTGTAGTGGAATCATTTTCATATGAATCTATACCTCCTTACAAAACAAGAAACGTTGCCCCGGTTCAATGCTGCCACAGCATTTGTCGTTTTGTCGTTTGCCTGCCTTTTAGGGAATGGCACTAGCCGTATGCGCTGTATATAATACCACTCACATGCACAAAGCTATCGGACAAATCGATTACGGGAATGATGAACACATGGTGAAAAGCTCGTTAAAATAATTCGTTAGCTTAGTTTCAAAAGAAATATTTTCATGAGCAGCGGATGTCAATTCCGTATGTTCGCATTATCCTGTTCGGTGTTTACGTCAAACACATCAAAGCACTATCTCCACAGTCGTGTACCTGCAGTTTCTGGGCACCATGGGTAGCGATATGCTCGGATGTCGGATGGTGAAAGTGGACTTGAGCATACACATAGGTGATGTTGGATATTTTCGGCACATGAACATCTCCATATCATCACGGATGTATGTATCCCTCATGCGTTTGTCAGAAATGTACGAAAGCACCTGCTGGCGCTTTTGGCTTGGGGCGCTAAGGGCAACCGTATTGCAATACTGTGTCAGAAGACACAAATTGATCGTGATCACTATCAGTACCGGATGACTGCAGCGATATTTATAGTTGAGCGCCCTGCAGTGATCAACACAACGTCAGGCATTCACATATACCTCGTAAGGGCATAGAGGTATTTAATCCGTCAACTTTAAAGGCTCGGTGTCTCATCACAGGCTCTGAAAGGCAGCGAATTAGCCAGGAAAATATCATGTAGAACATCTGTAACCTAGACGAACAGTGCAATAAAGTACTAATCCACGTCATAGTTAATGATTTTACGATCAGGCTTGAGCTGTATGTAGTGAACATCAAGGAACCGCTTATTGAGGTCGCTTGTAACCTTCGACGTCGGTACTGTTGGCTAGCTCTTTCAAGTCCGCCCTACCGTAGTTATCCCCATACAATTTGAGCTTTTCTTGTATGGCCGAGTATGCATCACTACCAATAACCATTCTCAATGGAGGATCTTTCATGATTGCAAGCTGGTACATCGCCTGACCACCTTTCTTGGGGTCACCAGCTTGGGTGCCGTTGCGCTCTCCCATCATCTTTTCCGCATCCAGATGATCATACGCCGGGTGCTTCTTCTCCGGAAATTTCATCGAGCGACCAGCCCAATCGGTTCTAAAGCCACCCGGCTCGACACACTGAAACTTGATGCCCCATTCAGGCTTTACTTCCTTGCTCTGCTAAAAATCAGTGGTTTATCCTATTTTTTATGTCACTTATATGTACTCACCACTGCCTCGGTGAAACCTTCAACCGCCCACTTGCTCGCGCAGTAAATGCTAAAAAGCGGAACACCGCGTTGGCCACCGATCGAAGTAACCTGCTGAATGAGTCCTCCTGGCGGCTTCTGTTCCCGCATAACGCTCATAGCTTTTCGCGTCACGGCAATTAAACCAAAGAAGTTGACCTCCATCTGGGTCCTGGCAGACTGCTCATCCAATTCCTCAAATGGACCCGACAAACCATAACCGGCATTGTTGACGACGATATCAACACGATTGAAATGCTTCAGCGCTTTGCTGAAGGCATTTTCAATATCCTCTTGTTTTGTGACGTCTAGCTTGAGTGAGAGGAAATTCTGGAGTTTGGGTTATTGTCTAAGCACATGTCCACCGAGAAGATCGCAGGGATAAGGCGTGTCATATTTACCTTCTCGTTAGTGTTTTCAAACTTGAGTTGACCTGGGTTTCTCGCCGTCGCGATGCAGATATCACCTTTGTCGATGATCTCTTGAGCAAGGTAATACCCGAAGCCGGTCGAGCAGCCAGTGACTAGGAATACTCTTGAGGACATACTTTCAGTTTTGGTACGAGCAACTGTAATATCAGATACTGATAAATTTGGGCTTTATAGGTGTCGATCAACCTACAGCAACGTCACAAACCATTCTTATATACAGTTCCTTAGTGGGCAGCGCAGTAATGACGTTGGCATAAGCTGGCTCTTATCCATTGTCAGATTTCAATGATCCACAGTCAAGTCTTTGACGTCCCATTTCCCGAAGTATCCGTTCAACAGAAGCACTATGTATTTTGCAGCTCGGGAACCTTTTATTAGCTTTCCAACCATTGCTGCTAATCTTGACGCTAATCCAAACGGACTGCCGCAGTTTGTGCGGAAATTAAGAACCAACCGCGGTGATGTATGATATCATGACGTACGCGGTGTCATCAAGGTGAACCGCAATCGAAAGAATTGCAAAAGCGTGTATAGCACATTTGCGCCGAATAACAACGATATCGAATCTCTAAATATGGACGGGGGTTGAGTAATCCCACATGCATGTTCGATATGGGCATCTTTAAAACTGCTAATGTATACGAGAGATAGAAATTCATTATGTCCAAGTGGCTACTAATTTTCACCTTACGTTCTTGAAATTTCGCGCTTGGCAGCACTACTTTTCAGTGGAGTGAAGTCCATCAGCTACGAACTGTTTATCTGGAAATTGGCCAAGGTGCAAAGCCCTACATATTCTCATGAGGGTACGAAGAAAGGTTTCCCACCGAGGACATGTTACAGACTGCAGTAGTACCAAAGCATAGAAATGCTGTTGACTCACATATCTATGTCGTTTTTCCAAGGTAGTTCAGTCGGAGTGGAGATAAATCCGAGCATCGATGGCTTTCCACATCCACGCATGTATACTCCGTAGAAGTTGAAGTGCTGGGCAAAGGATCCCCACGCTCATGCCCCGCGTTCCCCGCTAAACGGAATGTGGAGGACGAAGTATAAAGAACGCTCTGGCTGTAGGATACCTGGACAATATGGTATTCTTACTGTAATAGCTACTGGATAGTTGTCGTACTCAATCATCATGGAAGCACTGAAAGCAAGATTCCCGGAACTTGGCTTCCATCCTCTACAAGCTCCTTCGTCGCACCCGCACTACTTGTATGATCCGTTCCACCCTTCGAGCCGTATACTTGGAGCCGGGCACCAGAAGACAGAGGGGCGTCGTAAGTTTGATGTCGATACAATCTTTGAGAAGGATGTCGCTGTAAAGATGAGAGACAACGCAACGCTATTCACCGATGTATTCCGGCCGGTAAGCTCGGACGGCGATGTGAAAGTGCCAGCCGTCCTTGCATGGAGTCCCTACGGGAAAAGCGGCGGTATGCCCTCGTGCTCAACCTCTGTTGATGTTTTCAATGCTCATACCCACGACAGGCGTCCAAACCTATGACAGCATGGGCCCTTTCCGATGCGGTCTTCCCCTAGGAACGACATCGGGTTATGAGAAGTTTGAGGCGCCTGATCCAGCCGATTGGTGCGGTCGGGGTTATGCAATTCTCAACATTGATGCAAGGGGTGCTGGAGACTCAGATGGTGACATCGCCTTTTGGGGCGAGCAGGTACGAATATTCGCTCGCATGAGGTGCGGTGTAACTGACTTGGTGAACTAGGAAGCAGAAGACGTCCATGATACTATTGGATGGGCGTCACAACAGCCATGGTGCAACGGTTCTGTCGCCATGGCCGGAAACTCCTGGCTCGCCATTGCGCAAGTCAACTATGCATCTAGATATGCCCACCCAGCGCTCAAAGCTCTTGCCCCATGGGAGGCAGCGACGGACCCATATAGAGACCTACTCGCTCGGGGAGGCATTCCCCATACGCATTTCGTCAGGATGATACATAATGGCATGGCCGGTAAGTTATGTGTCATTCGATACTTTTGTTATAGCTTTGACTGAGACTATCAAGGAAAGGGCGGTATGGAGGATGCCGCAGCTATGCTGGAAGTGCACCATCCCTTTGTAGATGAATATTGGGCGACGAAGCTTATCCACACCGAAAATATTGACGTGCCACTGTACCTAACAGCTTCTTATTCGACTGGTCTACACTCCAGAGGCTCCTTTGATACATTCAAGCGGGCCAAATCAACGAAAAAGTGGCTCCGGGTGCACCCGTACCAGGAATGTAAGTGTAGTTCAAAGCCAATTTGGAGGTGCTAGTGATGAATTACGGCTTCATGAATTGCTGATACCCAACAGGGTGGGATTTATATCGCAAGGAAGTCAATGACGAATTGCAGTCTTTCTTCGACAAATACTGCAAAAATATGGACAATACCTGGGAGTCGACACCACCGCTGCGTGTTTCATTGCTTGGCTTTGATGGAAGCCGTGCCAAGACCATTGTAGAGCGACCGACGGAGAAGTATCCTGTGCCTGGAACGGAGCACCGACGATACTTCCTTGATGCTTCGAAAGGCTCTCTGTCGTTGTCAAAGCCACAAAACGAGATGAAGACCAGCCATGATGCACACCATCTCACTGACTGTTCGGATTTTGTGGTCCAATTTGACGAAAACACTGAACTCGCCGGCTACCCCATGGCAAAACTCTGCATGTCCTGCGACGAGCACGATGACATGGATGTCGTCGTCCAGATACGCAAGATCGGGAAAGATGGGATCCCGCTGGTTAGCATGAACTATAAATGCCCAGTTCCAGAGCCAGAAGTACCCGACGTGAACATCGCCAAGTTCTTAGGGCCTGACGGAATGCTGCGGGCTAGCCATCGGGTTTCAAGACGGATGATCGACGACAACTTAGAATACGCTCATGATAGAGCTGAGAAAGTCCCACGAGGAGAAGTTGTTAGCCTAGAGATTCCGATATGGCCCATTGGCATGGTATTCGAAGCTGGTGAAGGTATCAGTAAGTCACTTCCGAGTTCACGTTCCGTCCTTCTAGCATGTCTGTGCATCGCATATTGCCTATGGCGCAAATGTGTGATACTCCCAAAGAGTCCAAAAGTACTTGAAGGTGAAAACTGCTGACTCGAAGTGTTGTAGTGTTGAGAGTTGCTGGCCACGATCTTCGACTGCCCGAGACTGAAATGTTGAGAAGCGATAAGCCTTTGGACGAGAACGTTGGGCGTCATCAAATACACACCGGCGGTCGGTGGGATAGTTTCTTGGTTGTACCAGTAATTGCAGAAGGCTGAAGGGCTGCGGTTGCACTGTGTAATCGTCTGGGTGAGAATCTGGATTTTCATCTATTTATTTTATCTTTTTATCTCGAAGAATCCTGGTTCATCTACGCGTGTCGCGAGGCAAACAATCAAGCCCAAGCTTAGCGTAGCGTAGCCTTAGGTAGTTAGCTCACCTGGGCCATCCCAGCCACCACAAAGCAATGCAATGTTCCTGTCAGAACTTCCCCGCCTGTCAGTTGATTTGGTCCCCGGATTTTCTCATCATATGTCCCACACTCCACCGTCGATTCAAGATGTCCAATGCAAGGCCTAAGCATAGCTTCATTTGCCGGGTGTGCCAGAAAAGCTACACAAAATCCGAGCATTTGCAGGTGAGCTTGTCCCGTCCCCAAATGACGTCACGTAAGCTAAGCTCGGCCTTCGCAGAGACACGAGAGAACCCGTAAGCAAGCTTATGACAATGTTCTGATATTGTGATATGAGTTGTGGAGCTGAGTATAGTGCCAACTTGCAGATACCGGGGACAAACCATTTGTCTGCTCGACATGCGGCAGGGCCTTCGCGCGTTCTGACTCTTTGACGCGGCACATGCGTATTCGTAAGTGTTCCGAGTATGCCAGGATGCCAATTTCAGCCTCAGACTTTGCACAGTTGCTCGCTCCCTTACATGGGCCGTTGAATCAGCACTACCTCTTTGCGCAAATTATGTATGTCTTAGCATAGGATTATGATCAGCTAATTTGATGCTATGCCTAGATGACAAAGCAAGCAACTCCGTTCAATATGCTCAACAACATAGCACTACCACATATAACAATGATGCAGCAAGTCTAAGTGGTGGCAGCGACATTACACAGCAGATTAGTAGATCATCTGATCGCCGGGTGTCGACTGCACAAGAGTTGGAGGTAACACCCTCAGATGAATATTCCTACTCAGTCCCGTTCACGGATTTCGAAGGTGGTCTCGCTTGGCCGGATGCGGAGCAACTTTTTCACACAATCATCTCTTCTGACTGGGACTCCTTGACCTTGCCTCCGCAAGATTGGCCGACTTTGCAATCAAATGAGCTGGTATCTGACGCACAGATTGATCCTAGATTGCAGGACAACCATGAATCTTCTGCACATAATGGCGAATCACACAAGGCAATACAGAGTCTTAGTACGATGATTACCAATGTGGTGAGTTTATTCGAACAGTGAATATCATCGTCAGTAATGGCAGTTTCAAACATATCACCTCCCTCTCCGCCGGTCCTGTGCCCATTCGTGGCCATTTCCTGGGTTGGAACATCGAACAACCAGCGAGTCCAACAAATTTCTAACAAAGATTAGTCTACTCGAGTGACGAGTGCAGTGGAGACGCTGCCAGACCTGACGCCAGCATTCCTCGACAACTGTTTACAGACATATTTCAATAAGTTCAACCCCACGTTCCCGGTTCTCCATCGCCCAACATTTGTGTTTCGAGAATGTTCTCCCAGTTTACTATTGAATGCCATTGCGCTCGGCTCCTTGTTCATTGGAACTGAAGATGCTCTTTACAAGGTAAGCTCTCATTTACTCGGAGCCTATGACTGTCCTCCGCCAGAGGGCTCTCAGCCTGCCTGGCAATTAGATAATCAGGTTGACTTATACTAAAATGGTTCAGGGAGAGGCGTTGTGGCGTTTAGCATATACAGCAGTCTCGACATCGGTAGGTTCACCATCCGACTTCGGCTCTCAGTCCAAGATAGCTGATATTTTTTCTCTATAGTGGCAGAATCTCATGGGTCATCGAGGAACATATGACTCTCATAATGGTCTGCAACTAGTCTTGACCGCACTGCTCGGTCAAACATATGCCATGATGTCCAAAGTTTGTCTCAGACCTACCTTCTTGCACGGCATTGCCGCTCTAACGTGACCTAGACTGAGAGTTTACGAACGACCAGCCAAATATATCAGAGTCTCAGCTTCAATTGGGCCAGGCATTGCGATTTGTTCAACTTCTCTAGTCTCTCACCATTGAGTCTTCCTGGACCGGATAATCGCGAAGAACAGATGAAAAGTTGGAGAGTTTGGGTGTCTAGAGAATTGCAATTACGTGCCTTATTGGGACACTATATTTTGGATGGACAGCTCTCCTTCTTGTCTGGTCAGCCCACGGCTGTCGTACATACAACCAACCCTCTTACGTTGTCCAGCAGTCCCCGTCTCTTTGACTGCCAGACAGTTGATGAATGGTATTCGGAGATGAAGATCATCCAGAGTACTCCAGCCAATTTCCGTGGTATTTACGGTGCACTCTTCGAATCACAAGCCTTGGATCCCGCCTTAGGAGCAAGCTCAAACACATGGGCTTTCCAATCACACATTGATGTGCGTGTGGTGCTCGAAGGTATACACGCCTCAGTACGAGAGACGCAGGATCCGTTATATATCCCATCAATCTGGTGTCCGCCCTCGCCCTCCGATATCAGCGGTGCGCTTCTTCAGATTCGCCGCCACATAGAGCTAGGATGGTCTCAAAATTCACTCGAACAACTCGGGCTTCTCATGCGGTGGCACTTTGTTGGGTTGGATGCTGCTTCCAAGTTGATGACCATGAGCAAGGAGCTATGTCGTCTTTATCATGTTGAGCAGAGCTTATTCCGCACCCAAGATTCGTCTACAAAACATATTGTGTTCTCGGAATGGCTTGATAGCTCTGCTGATGCTAAACGCGCTTTACTACATGCTGCTGCAATCCAGGATCTTGCTGCACAGCTACCATTGAACCACATCAACTCCATGTGGATGCCGATTCCGATATTCGCCGCTGCGACAATATGTGTTCTATTCTGTTTAAACGGTGTATCCACAGTGGCACTACCAAATACGGTTGACTGGAGCATCGTGCTGGATGGGCCGGATCCAGTCGCAAGCAATTCGATCTACGAGGATCAGAGCCGAAATAAAACCCAGATGTTTTTCGCTTCAAGTATCCGAACACCTAATTCGACCATAGGACAGTCGAGAAATTTGAGGTACGACCTCAATTCTCTACAGACGATTATTCATGCAATGTCGGTTCAGTGGGGCGTATGCACGGAGCTAGAACATGTGCTTCAGTCTCTCAAAGCACATTGTGTGTAAGAACAAGGAGTCCTGTACCAGATACCGAGTTATAGTCGCCTTGTCTTTAAGAAGGGTCTTTCTCATATTCCCTTTCTGGAGCGGAGCTTGGTCTAAATCCCAGCATTCGGGATTTCGATCAATAATGAGTGCCATTAGAGCACTTAAGCGGACTTTACGTGGTTTCTTTGATAGAGTTACCATCTTATCCATGTTCCCTCCAGCGAGCACAAGTTTCTTTCACGATATCTGTGTCAAACGCGCCCGTTCTACTACGTCTGGTTTACCAAATGTCCAGGGCTCTCAGTTTAGATCTTCCATGCTTAACGATTCGTCATGATCCAAGAAAACAAGACTCTGGCAGTTGTATTACTGGAGGAGCATGGTGATGGTTCCAAATTTCAATGGCACACGAATCTGTATGTTTGAGATTCTAGTACGGAACGTGTATTCTGATGTACATTTCTTGTATGCACATTTCCGTTCCGGCTATTATTCAGCATTATATTCTCTAATTATCGGCAGTAACGGTGTTGGCACCGTGGTTTCTGTTCACCGCATCCGTTATAGAGCACTTCCAACAACGTGACACCACATAATATGCCTTACGAAAGCTGGCGCTGGCGTAGATTTCGATATTGTGGAACAAGTAATATTTGATAGCGACTCAGAAGCCATTGCAATGAAAGTGGCTCCTTGGTATGGGCTGGCACCGGGTCAGATTCCCCAGTTGACGTGCAGAGGCTGAGCGGGACAAAGAACATCAAGTTACACTATCCTACTGTCTTTGCGTATTTTTCGGTGGTAGAATTGACGCGTCAATATGCGGATGAGCTGTTAGAGATGGTCTGGAAGGGTAATGTCAACGTTGGCGGGTATAAAGTGTATGGCTTGGTGGGTGTAAGAATGGCGCAAGATGAAATAGAGGAACCAAGGGCTGAAGGGGAGATGGTGTTGAGAACACCACAGAAATTATTTCTCTGGTTCTTCTCTAGCGGAGGAACGGCACTCGGGATGGTTGTGTCGGTAGTGACCTCAGCAGCAGCACCACATTGTTTCGCGCGTATAGAAACCGCCGAAGGTTATTGATCGTCAGGTACATCCGTAGATGCGTGGTGCCATCCATTGCAACATCGCATTGTGGAGACTGTAGCGTGGGGCGTGGGGCGTGGGGCACTAGGGATCGTTGTGGGGAAATAGTGATTTGCGAGTTTCTAGAGTTTCTAGAGTTTCTTTTTGTAGCTGGTCCAATACGTAGGTACTTGGTGTGATGTTACACAAGCGTTTGCACTTTGGACTTCACTTCGCTCTGTGCATTTGCATTTTCAAAAGCCTGTCGGCCAATATGTCAGTCCTAGCTGGTAATGCACTGGTGGACAGCACGACCTCAGACTCCTTTTCGAATAGAGACGTCAAGACAGGCGGTGTTGCTAGACAGAAAGATACAAACAGTGAAGAGATACCAGTTTTGATTATAGGCGGTGGGCCCAGCGGTCTACTTCAAGCGTATCTACTTTCGAAATTAGGCGGCGAGTCTGTCCAACTGAGCTGTGAGACGATACTAATTCCCTTGTAGTAAAATCGTTGCTCGTTGAGAAGTACCCTCAGAGACTGGCAGCCCCAAAAGCGCATGCACTTAGCCCAAGAAGTTTCGAAATATGCCGGCAATTTGGCTTGGACACCAAAGCTATGCGCAACCTAGGTTCACCTAGAGAAGACGCATTTTGGGTCAATTTTCTTACTAACTTATCTGGTGAGCGGATTGGTGTGCTACCGTATGAGAGGATGGATTCTAAGGTGCTGGACGACACACCGGAGGTAAAGGTTGAAATAATTGGCGTAAAGATGGAAAATATTGACTGTTTCTAGATGATCCATAATATCCCTCAACCAGATTTTGAGCAGTTTCTAGCGAAAGCGCTGGAAAATGACCCAAATGTGGAGATACGAAAGGGATTTGCTTTCGTCTCCTGTAGTCAGGCATGAATAGTCACCCGCGTACCAGGCCAATGATGGCTAATTACTGGGCAGGATGATGATACTGTGACTAGTATACTTGAAGAGCGCAATGATGACCATCCTCTATACGTGCGATCACGGCATGTCATCGGTTGTGATGGCGCACGAAGTCAAGTCCGAAAATGTCTAGGGATTGGGCATGAAGGCGAAGACAGCTGTAAGTCCATCTGCAGCAGTGCATTCTCGTTTAGCTAACATTTATATAAAGACGAAACTATGATGACCATCCACTTCAACGCTGATTTGCGGCCTGTGGTGAAGGATAGAGTGGGAATGCTCCACTGGATCACCGATCCTGCATGTTCTGGTTTCATCATTGCTTATAGCTTATCCGGAAACCAAGTCCTCATCAGTAACTTCGATGTAAGTTTCAATGTCGGACTGGAATATGAAAGGCGTTGGACAGCTGTGTTAACTTCGGTCCAGTCTAATAAGTATCCTGTGCAGTTATGGACAGATGAGCTCAGCAGAAATGTGGTATCAGCGGCCATAGGCGCAGATGTGCCATTCGAGATTTTGAGCTATAGGCCATGGGTACTTAGCAGAAAGGTCGCAACCCAGTATCGCATCGGCAATGTTATTCTGTAAGCACCAGTTTCAAATACCCCAACCTTCGCATCCGAGAACTAAACTACCACATAGCGCTGGTGATGCAGCTCACTCATTTCCCCCGACTGGAGGTCTCGGGCTGAACACCGGAATTGCTGATGTTCATAACCTCGCCTATAAAATTGCCGCGGTGCACCGTGGATGGGCCGACCCAGGCATACTCGAATCGTACAACGAGGAGCGGCGTCCAATTGCTATGGTCAATGCAGCCCAAAGTGTCAAGAATGGCAAAGCGATTTTTTCGTTCTTGAAGACTCTGGGCACCGCTGGCATTGAAGATATTCAAGAAGCACGAGCTAATCTGCTGAAGTCAATCGTTGACCCGGGTAAGCAAGAAATGATCAATGAAGAAGTGCAGGGTCAGCGCGAGCATTTTGACAATGTGAGTGTTTAAGTCATATCTGCAAATTTCATGGAAAATCTTGCTTACCGGCGATGTACAGTTGGAACTCCATATTGGCTACGTTTATGGGCAGAAGGATACACCCTCGCATGCCTCGCATTATATTCCAAAGTTTGTGCCTGGTGCCAGGTTGCCCCATGCTTGGATTAGTTGTGGAGGCTCTAGTGTTTTGAGTCCCCATCAACCACTAGATGTATCGTACGTCAAAGAATGGTCAATGGAGGACATTTCTGCGCGAAAAGCTTCGATCCTAGATCTATGCGCCTATGACTCCTTCACTGTCCTAGTCGGCTCCGGCGGCGTTTGGGGAAGGTCGTTTGGTGAGCTTCAGCAGAGGCTCGCGAAGAAAGGCATCAAGATTAATCGCTATACTGCACCAGGCGACTTTGACTTCATCTTTCCAGAACAAAAGAGGCTGTTCTCGAATATTGCTGAGTTTGCAAGTGGTGGTTGTATTCTTGTGCGTCCAGACCAACATATACTGGCGAAGGTAAAGCCAACAGACGCTATTAACGATCTGGAAAGACACGTATTGCACCACCTTGGACTTGCTTAATGAATAGTCAACGAGCTTGATATTTACAGCTACAAATCGTGGTCGACTGATCGTGTGCACTCAATTGTGGATTGTAGATCTACTTAGGAGATTACTTGTTCGGGGATCAAGTAATAACAGACGGATATGACAGTCGTGGGAACAGTCGTGGGAGTATGTTACATCACAAATCACTTCCACAAAATATAGCAACACCCATCATAGATCAGGCAGCGTCATTGAGCTTCAGGACATTACTTGGCGGTGGCTAGACCGCCGAGGAGAGCAACCCTACATTTGAGCTTGGGGCGAGACTTCGATTGCTAAATAGTAAAGGGCATTGAGTACTTGTGTTCGCATCACTACGTGAGATGCTAACAATGGGAGAATCTTTGCGGGAATTATGAAGGCAAACGTGAACATATTACCACCAATCTTCTGAGTTGGTCACAAACTACCACACGCTTCCAAAACGAGCCTGGGCAAAACTTTGCTCCGAGGCAGCCTTCTTAGATGCACCGACGAGATCGCTAACAACGTGTGGAAGCCGAGGCCTGCGGTGCGCCAGTCAGGTCTCGAAAACATACATTTCCGGGGACCGTTTTCTGTAAAAATCATCTTTGTGTGACTTTTCATTTGATACACAAGAGGTATCTGAGTTGAACGAGATATCTACAACACGATGGGTATTTTACCTGTCTGGCTCGGCTTCAATCTCTATGGAGCTACCGCTGACTTCACCACTTTCGGTGCCGATCTGTACACCATCACCAACGGCCCCCAAAGTCTTTTACTCCAGTGAGACAATCTCCTTTATCACCCTTAGTCTTTGCAAGATCATGGCCCTGTGATTGTATCTCATAGTCTTTCCAAACCAGGAATTTTGATTTGCCGCACATGCTTCATGAGCTATATTTGTTATATTTACTATTGTGGCCCTGTCCCTTCAGTTCATTTACTGTCTCCCGTTCTTATCGGTCTGAAAAAGTTGGACGTGTCACTTCTGCACCTACAAATGTGTCAGTATCAAGCTGATGACCATCACGGTTGCGATCAACTTGATTCGCCAGAATGTCGTTATATTATCACTGCTTTGGCCTTTGCTGAAAAGTTCAACATGTTCAGGAGGAAGAGGATCAACATCACTTTCGTGTTCAGTCTAGGCCTATTTGTGGTCATCGCAAGCTGCATTTGCCTTGAGTTTATTGTAATTATGGCGAGATAAACCAACACTGCGTCTGAATATACAGACACCGTCATCTGGGGGGGGGGGGGCTGGAGGTAGGCATTAGTGTTATTGTGGCTTGTTTCCTGGCACCACGATCGTACTTGAGTGGCAGAAAATCAACTTCTAAGCATTGGCAAAGAAAACTCTGATTGAGCTGCGTTAACCTTCAACACCAAATGCGAAGGCGTTATTACTTCAAAAGGCCGTAGACAGAATGAGCAAGTAAATTTGGTGTCGATCACTCCTCATCTTTGGACAGTGGCCACGAGATCCAAATCCAACTGGGCGCCAAACCAATTAGGTATACCAGCTCGGAAACTGGGACCGCTAGTACAATGGAGGATGGGTTGGATCTTCGTGTAGACGGGAAGACATGTGTAAAAGACGACCGTAATAAACAGCGCGAAGGAAAGCTACGGACCCCAATCTAATCAACATGAATAAATGGTTAGAGGTGTATCAACATTGTATCAAAACGTGTATGCAGGGGCCGGTTGGACCCCTTGTATAGTGTTGCAGAGATCGCCACCCTTGCGTCAACGGGTTAATGTGGTTCTGTGGCATAGCAGAACCGCAAGTAAGATATGTGTTATTTCGAACAATGGCTATGTAGATGGGATATATATTTGCGTCGGCGGCTACCCGACAAGTAGGAGCCTATATACTGGTGCTTGGGTCAGAGGGATTCTAACACTTATCCGACACAGCCAACGTAAAACGCCATGCCTTAGAGATTGATGTGGCTATTCCTTGATCATAAAATACCAATTTGAGGCACTTTGGGAACTGCCTAATGAGGACTTCATCCAGCAATAGGTGCTTCCGTAATAGTCTCCCCATCCAGCGCCGGCGCAAGTACCATTCGTCGCGCAGCTGTTTGCGCAATCTTCCGCGGTGTCTGTTATTACATTGCCAATATCTGAAGAACCCCCGCCACCGTTGTAATCGAGGTTACAAAGCACGAGAAACTTGGTGTTGCCTGAGGCTTCGTAGTAACTTCCATTACTTGACGGACACTTTATTGCTGAAACAGTCGCTGTTGCTGTCGCGCTGGAGCTCGTTGAGGTCGAAGTTGCGTTTGAGGAGCTACTTGGAAAAGTTAGACTTGTCTCAACGAGTGCAGATGCCATTTTCAAAGATCTGGCTCACCTTGATGCCGGGGAGCTACTGCTCTTATGACTTGTACCCAGTCCGACACCTAGACCGACAGCCAGACCGATAACCAGGACCGCTATCAGTGGCCCGAATATGAGCCAGAATTTCTTCCTCTTAATACCCAATATCCTAGGTTCCGGCGCGCCCTTTTCCGACACACTTGGCCCTACTGTTCCGACTTGCGACGGTGCCCATTGTGATTGGGGAGGCGCTACTGAAGATTCGGGATATGGCGACTCGGGAGGGTATTGACCGTATCCACCATTGACAGGCGGCGCCTGGTATTGCTGATGCGGCACGCCGCCAACCGGATGCGCATAGGTGTTGGATGGATCAAATGGTTTTCCGTAGACTGTTGGTCCATTAATCACCTGCGGTGCCTCTGGCTCTGACACGACCTCGAGGCCGGCTGGTTCATGCACCTCCAGGCCTGGTTGTTCGTGCGGATTATAGTGAGCCATTTCCACTGTAGTGTCGCACGGTTCAATTTAATCTCAAGACACGTCGTCGAATGGGTTGATTTTGTTAATTCGCAAATCACGGCATTCTCGGAATGATTCTCACTTTGCACTGCAGGATTGTTGGAGGAAGGAGTAGTGACGAAACTGTCGCCTCTCAGTGTGCGAATTAGACGAGACATGCACACCCCCGTGAATCAACCGTTGGCAAACCTCGAGAATCGAATCCTTCGGCTCCTCGTCCCCATCTCACAACTTCACTAATGCCCGGGTCGATGTGGATCCGTAGCCCTGTTTGTGATCACCATTGCCATAATGGGTCTAGAGGCAGGACCAAGCTCTATTCCAGGCGCTGCAACCGCTGACAAGCTTTAACCGCATCTCAGGCTGGTTGGCTGGAGGGCACCCAAAGTACCGTTTTAGCACTGGACCCAGAGCGAAACGACGGCAATGCGTATTACGGTTCGCTTCCCTAATAACTACCCTGTCGGCGAAATGACCAAATATCCACTTGGCGACAATGGCTGTCAAGGACGATGCTTGCTCCAGCACACCGGTATCAGGGGTAAGGCATCCCGCCAGGCCACTCCCATTTGTTCGCAGATTTCAATCTTTCGTGGCGCAAGCACTCGGCCGATGACCTCGACAACGAGGAGACGGCCAATTTTCCTCCCACATGGCTCCAGAACGCTGTAGACCTCTATAAATAAACTAGCAGAAAAATGTTGTTGATTCATATATGACTTCATTTATATAGTGTTGAATAACCGGCCGCACCAAGCGCTTTGCTCAGGCAGCCTTTTGACTATGGCTGTATGGGAATCCTAGCTCACCCACGAGACACAGAAGCACTCCAACTGTTTCGGCAACTTGCAACTGTTCCACCGGACTAAGATACTACAACCTGCTCTCCAGGTAGCAGCAATTTATGTCAGCTTCAGACAGCATCTACAATTTTTGTACTGCATCTTCGCTTGGAATCACTACGTGCAAACATCAACGGAAATGGGGCATAGGGATTGATCGAAGCATTGACTTCTTCTGCCGGTGTTTCCTCCAGTGTATTGGAGAAGCCAATTTCCGAGCTTCCCATAGTTTCTTGTACTATTAGGGCGATGTATGGAGTACACAGTATTGGGATAGCGACGGCGGCCGCTCTCACCGCAGCGCGGTCAAAGCCTATTAAGTGGACAAAGTACGGATCCGTAAGCCCTACAAGGATAGCGAACCAAAGTTGGCAAAGATGCTCGCTTCTCCCCACACGCATCCATATTCCCGGGAGTTAAAAGCCTACCATTATTGCCTCAATTGTGGTCATGATATCACATTTTATGCCAAGCAGGTTAAACATCCAGAATATTGCATGTTATTTGTATTTGACACCTGGTCAGTTGTTGCGTGGAGCTGACAACATGATTGGTTCTCACAGCAGCAGACATGTCAGCATAGCTGAATCGTAACAACTTGAGTCTGTCGCTCAGCTTGTCGGTCGCATTGCAGTAACCATCAAAGTTGGAGAAAGCTACCGTAGTAGGAAGCTGATATTCACGGCAGCGCAAAGAACACTATGTTCATACTTTGGCTATATGCTTCAATAGTATCTTGTATTCTCTAACCCAGTCGCTCGCCCTCCAGATCGAAGCCATTTGTCAGCTGTGACACCATTCACTAAGTTGTAGTTGCTGTCAAAAAAAGTTCATGGACCCCTTGTCTACAGCGAAAGAGAGGGGAAAAAACAAAGAAAGAGAGGAAAAGAAAAACTCCCGCCCACCTTCCATTTAAATGCATCCTGGCAAAGCCTGGCACCCAAATGGTTTCACCGCAACCACAGCGAAGAACTAGATTTAGCCGTAAGATTTTCTAGATCAAAATCAGAAGGTCTGATGCAGTGGATGATCGCTCCAAAGCCGGCTGAGACAAGCCCGGGGAAGCCGGCCCCCGGGTTCGCTTCGGCTTCACACGCTGCGGAACGGATGTTTCAGGTATGTTGGCATGTTGTTTCCCGCTTTTCATTTTTCGCCGTCGTACCTTTCTCTGGGCTGTGGTCAGTGAAGCGCTTCCTTCGCAGCAATGGCGGAGTGACGAACCTTGAGCTTTTGATGGATTCGTGCAGTCATACGATGCTGAGCCATATCATCCTCCGTCTTGAAGTCTCTGCCACAATCGCACCGAAAGCGCATCTGGTGTTCACCATCTCGATGTTGATTAAGATCATGTTTTGTCGCACAATGTCTGCCGCAATCTTCACACAAGATGATGTGCTTTAGAGGACGCTGCTAATGTTATCGGAGATCTTCCTGATTTCCGAAGCGGTCACCACAGTCACAAATGACGATTTTGTGCTTGGCTATTTTGTAATGCTGTTCGAGCATCTGTTGGCTGTCAAACTGAGCACCGCAATCACAGGTGAATTCCCCTTGAGTCGCTATCATGATGTTTGCGATGATCTACCAAACCTTGCTGGTTTTTGAAATGCTGGCCACATCTACAACTGAAGCCCCCTGGATTGTGTTTGAACGACCTCTCGAAGTGATGTTTCAGAGCATCTGGAGTAGTGAAGAATGAGCCACAGCTGCATTTGATGTTTTCATTCACATGCGCCCTAATTGAATGATTTTGTACAAAGTTCAGACACCGTAGGTATTATGCTTTGAAAATTCTTCTGGCCAACAGCGACCCTGTGCCATACCCTTTAACAGGTGCCAAGGCTGTATTTTTCTATGCATATTCCCGCGATGTGACTTGCAAGCGCACCTTATACAGTGAAGTCTATTTGAACGCGCGCATGCTGCATCAGCGTTCTTCTATCACGGGCCGTTATTTACAGCATCTGTAGGCTAGTATCGACATGTGGTGGCACTACACTTGCTGCCACAGTCTTTGAGACAGAGGTAAGGAGGCAGCGAGAGGATATCTAGAATGTAGTTTGTTGTGGACTCAGTCGTTGCATCCTTAGGTGCTCAAATGAAACACGCGAAATGACCTCTAAACCAATGCCATACTAAAGCCTTCTGACAACAAATAATCTATCCCGCCCTACGGGCGGAGAAACGTAATAATCTATATCCAGGTATTAAAATAGTAGTTTGATTATTGAGATGGTTTGAGAGAAACCAAGGACCGCAAAGCAAAGCAAGCATACTGCAGCAGTATTGTGCTTGGCTGATCTGGAGTTTTTCACAAAGCTTACTTAAATATTACGTGTTGTGTTATGTATGCATTTTGAAGCAGGCAGAATGAGACTGCAATCTCTTCATAAAGTACCGACGCGGGACCTATTCAATCACTAGTAGAAATACATGTGAGGCGCTCGACGATAAAATCATCAGTGATGGTGACCAATTCTCATCAGTTACACGATGGGTGTGGCGTTTGGGCTAGGTGGGTAAAATAAAAAAGATTGACAAAAGAAAAGTTTGAAAAAAGAACCCTTGTTTCGCGTCTACTATTACCATCCTTGACGAAATCATCCTCTTGGTTGGGCAACAAATATCTATATACTTTCTATACTCCAGAACACCGAGACGTACTCTAATCGCCCCAAATATGACTAGCTAGTACAAACCATCAAGCATACGCTTGATTAGAACCACTAGTTTCTCCATTATTTAATAATACATAATAAGTCATACTCCACAATGTGTATAACAATTCTATTCCTGTTGAGGAATATGCTGGCAAGCACACGTTAGCAACATGCTGCGTCATCCAACAGGTGCCTATATTGCCATCATGCTTCTTCCGCCATCGGCTGTAACTCGTGCTCGAATTCGTACTCGCATAACATCGTGATCCAGTCGCTTTGGCGTCACGACAGCTTGCGGGTTCTTGCCCCTGGACTTTCTCTCCAAGCCAACAAAAGCACTGGGCGCGAATATCAGAGCCTCTCCTGTTCTGAGCTTGACAATATGCGACATCATCTCTAAGGTGGGATTGTTGGAGTTGATATCAACGCCCCTGATTCCGTCAAAGGTCGTTGCACTTCGAAAAATAGCGTCATTACTTTTGCGTCTTTCCTGGTCGTCGACTAGCTGGATTTTAGACGCAGTTGAGAGACCAGCAAGATGACTCTTTAAGACCTGAAGCCAGTCTGGCGACTGGAAACGATGTACGATAGTGATGTTGCAAAGATCGAGGAGTTTTGGCGAGATTGTTGGTTCTTGGGTGGATATGATGACTCGAAGGGCTAGATGTCGCTGAAGTCGGATCGTAGAAAGTAGCGTATTAGTCAGAGTCTGAGCGTCAGCTGAATCCCCCATGTATTTGTGAGCTTCATCCAGAGCCGCAACGCGACCAATGGACGGATCATTGTGTTCTAAAAAGAGAGATAGGCAGATGTTGAACAACGAGCACGCCATCTCAGATGTCACACATGGACAGGAAAGATCCACAATGGTCAGTTGGCCAGCCTACGATGGAAAATTAGCCTTGAACCTACACATTGCCGAGCACAAGATACGTACCTTGGGCGTCCAATCAGTACCAGAGGAGGCCTTCTTGGTACGTTTCGAACTTTTTGACTGTATCGGATCCTGCTGCTTCACCATGAAACTCTCTAATGTCTCAAGACGTTGTTGTAATGGAACTGTTTGAATGGGAGTCAAATTCTCTGCATCTAATAAGCGCTTGAACTGTCTGTAGTTGAACGTGTGCCCAGTGGTCTGCTGCTCGATACGCATATCTCTAAGCACTCTCTGAACGACGTGCATGTAGAGAGGCATCGATCCGGATCCGACGGCCATCAGGTCTAGCATTCTCTTTGTGTTCAAGTCCGAATCACGAAGCCTGAGCTCTTCCACAATTACGCCGGGTAATCGACTGTAGATATGCTGTGATAGATTAGACTAGAGCATAGCGACTTTGCAGATAAAAGAGATTAGCGTACCTTGATGGTTCGAACATTTGTCGGCGGACAGAGAACTCGAACGTTGACGTTTGGGTGCGAAGCCCTAGTCGCAACATATCGGATTAGCTCCTCGAGTGTCTAGTGCTCATATGGTTTTCCTTGAAGGGGACGGGAATATTCTCAAAGTCTTGTGCGGAAGCTCCAGATAAGACCTCGAAAACGGGAGGAAATCGAGATGAGGACTGGATATATCTGAACCACTCACAAGTATGCGGCTTCACAAGGTGTGCCATCTAGGTCGGAGACAAAGGTATCGTAATGAAATACGATGCCCGTCAATGGGCGGGGAAGCGAGCCAAGCTTTCCTGAAGGGACAAGACAGTTTTCTAGAAAGCAGGACAGAGTGTGACTCTTGCCTGAGCCCTGATTACCGCAGATGAACACGCTGGAGGGGGCAGTGATGTTGTAAAACAGGCCACCATCTGATGATCCTTGAAAGTCGTCTGAACTAGCTCCGAGGAGGGCGTATTGCGAGAAAGCAGGGATTCTGGTGCTCGCCGGAAGTGAGTGAACGTAATCCCAAACGGGCTTTGTGAAGAGCGGCGAAGACATGATCTCGTTGAAATCATCTTGGCTGGGTAGACGGTGCAAGAGGTCAGGCAAGTACATTAATCTTCTAGCCGTAGTGCCGGTTGTCTGTTGTACAGAGTTCCCATCACTCGACTCATCCTCATCCTCATCCTCGGAGTAGGAATCGTCATCTGAGTCAGACGTGAATGAGTTAGAAGATGCAGAGTCATTACCGTGGGACATGGGTTTCATGACGCGCCTCTCGGGGGATGTTTTGAGTGATCTCAAAGCAGTGGGTTGTTGGGCATGTCCCATAGCGCTTCCACCTGTCGTATTTGCAGTCAGTCAGTGTTGCCGATGTACAGCTCGCAAACGTCATATTGGTACCTTTTGTAACTCTCAAGCCCTCCATGTCTTCACATAGTATATCCTCAGCTGTTGGTGCCATTTCCGCCGCTCATGCGTATTCTGCGTCCAAGGAAATGGATTGTAGCGTTGATGTGCTTGACTTTTCTTAGTCCCTTAATAGTGGCAAAACTGCAGTCAACGGAAGGTACGCGACTGATTTCCAACGACAAGACACCAGTCGTTTGAAAGTTGCAAAGGACAGTACTGCGCTCAGCTGACAATGGAAAGCTTCAAATATGTGTGCCAAAATAAGAAACGAATGCTGCAAAGATTGCAATGGAGACAGTGAGATGTAGAACCCTGAAGAATAGGTAGCTGTTGGTGAAGCAAACACGGGTTTGCGCCTTATAATTTTGGACCCACAGAACTGCTTTTTAGCGTCACGACCGGCAGGACCGAATGATTAATCTCTGCTACACGGACAAATAGACAAATGATGTTGAATGCATACCTCCCGCATTTCATATTCTATTATCTGTCGTCCTTACTAGCGTAGTTCGTGTGATTTTCATGATTACTACCGTCCTGTTGTGGTAGAAGAAGCAAGTAGTATGCTAGGTGAGCGGCAGACAGCAGTTGGAGAAGTGGCCAACATTCACTATAAAAGGAATACCCCGTTTCAATATCTTGTGCCAGTTTATCCTATATTAACTTAGTGACCTCCTATGTGGTTTATTATTACTTTCTAAGTTAGAAAGCTAGTTGGGCACTGAACAACTTGAACAGTCTCGGCACAGAAAGAGAACGGAAGAAATTAAATAGGAAGGAAATTTACTGCCCCTCTTCAAGATTTGACGGCTTCTCCTTCGCCCTTAGTAAACCGGCCCCTGCCTCAACGCATACGCTATCGATTTCCAAGGACTCCAAGGAATTTTGGGTTACTTTCAGGCATCCAGTATCTTTTGTCGCCATTGCAAGTGAAGATCTCAGAATAAATTATGCGTCATTTTAACTGCATGCAGAAATGCGAATGGAAGGGGAAGTGACTATCCCGCTCTCATCCGCTGAGAAAAGAACAAGGGGCACTTGGCAGCCTTCCGTGCATCAATGGTATAATGGCCGCAGTTTCATATCAAAGTTCTTCGGAATTCCAATATTTAAGTTTCCGTGCATACCTAACAAAAGCAACATTCCCCTGGGTGAAACCAGTGCCTCGAGCTGTACTTCGGGCTTTGATATAATAGCTTCTGTCAACCTAGACAAAAGGTGTCGAGAAGCCTTCCAGCAGTATTCAAAATAACCATTATGGAAACAAGAGAATTTGATATCTATTCATTTGGAGTTTTGTAGTCACATCTTGTAAAATCTGATTTCAAGTCTGACGACACGGGTTTGAAACTGCTTATTTGGTTCATTCGACCATACCCATTAAAGGAATCATTTTTAATTACCCAGCCAAATAAAAGTCCACTTGCACACTAAAAATGTGTTTGCGGTGAGGTGTGTTGGCGATGCGTGGAGAAGCAAATTGGTCCACATATATATGTAGTCAGACATGCAGCGGTCAACCAGACCGCGTATTTCGTTAAACTTGTGCATATATTGTTTCTCACTCTGATTACATCTTTACCATACTCGAACATCGTGACTCGAACTCAATATAATTGTTTAGTGTCGATCTTATGTGTTTTACAACCTCTGTACTGACTTCTTAGTCCAAATTTGAAAGCCCATGTGCATAGATCCTTGTTTTTACCACGGCCTCATTGCAGATCTGTCCCCCTCCGTAACAAGATCCTACCAATAAACCCTTGTATTTCCCCTGTTTGCATGACAAGGGGTCCTGTGTGGACCAGGTTTCCAGTAAACGATTTCTACAAGACTGCGCCTTCCCCGCATTGCGTAGCATGTGCTCGTGAGGAACCCTTCTTCCAAGCTTTCTAGGATGAGGTTTTGCTTCTGAAGAAAAACATTGGATTTGATACAAAGTGATATGATTAGATGGCGGACGAAAACCCTTCAACCAACGTCGAAATTGGCGGCATTACAAAAGCTCAGCAGCATAGCTCATATCATCTCAGGGATGTAAGTAAATAATTGGGAAACCTTTTCAGTCGCTACAGTATCTCAAAACAATACAGTCAGCTCTAGGAAGTGCTCTAGCTTCTTCTGCAGAGCAGCGCGCTTTGCTTTGGAAGCAAGATCTCAGGTACGCGAGTCGTTTACTAGTAACTGTCCTCTACTGATACTGATAGGATCATTCCACTTGCCGCGGGCATATATTTCCTCTGCAACTTGGACCGTTCCAACATTGGGAATGCTCGAATCCTCAACTCGACAACAAAAAATGATATGCAGACAGAGCTACATATGACTCCAGTGCAATTCAACATTGCGCTGATGATCTTTCTGATTGGTTACTTTGTAAATGCTTTCGTCGAAGTATCATCAGGCATACCCGCTGATTTTTTACTAGTCATTCGAAATTCCATCCAACATATTGTTGAAAAGGTTGCGACCTTCGAGATGGATTGCATTTCTCATGATGTCGTGGGGAGCCATCACAATTGGGCTTGGCGCCACAAAGAACTTCAGCCAAGTCACTGGGGTGCGATTCCTGCTTGGAGCGTCTGAAGCTGGGCTATTTCCAGGACTCGTGTATTACCTGACATTTTGGTATAGGGCCAACGAAAGAAGCCTCCGCGTTGCTCTTATCTTGGCCAGCGCGACACTGGCTGGCGCTTTTGGAGGCGCAATCGCTTACGGAATCGGCCACATAAACCAGGCCTCTGCACTCTCAGGGTGGAGGTGGCTATTTATCATCGAAGGCGTTCCATCATGCTTATCCGCAATTGCTGTATGGTTTGTCTTGCCCGACTTTCCAGAACGTGCAAAATGGCTTTCTGCCGAGGAGAAATCACTAATAGCTGAGCGACTCTGTATCGAAGGAAGCAAGGGAGACAGTCATGATATTACCTGGGCTGACGCCAAAGCGACTTTGACGGACTGGCGACTCTATGGACATTACTTAATCTACTTTGCTGTTAGCCTTCCTTTCAGCTCATTGTCTCTATTTACGCCCTCAATCATAGCTGGTCTAGGATATAAAGATCTCCAAGCACAGCTGATGACGGTGCCACCCTGGGCCGTCGCTTATGGTCTGTCTGCGTGTCTTAGAATGAAAGATCTCAGCTAACCCCTAACGCTCTAGTTGCACAGATACTCGTGGCATGGTCTAGCGATCACTTTAACGCTCGTGGGTTTCATTGCGCTGGAGCGGCGTTTGTTGGGGCGATTGGTTTCCTGGCATCAGCGGTTGCTCCAGTAGACGCATACGTGGGTCGCTATATTTGCCTGACTATAGGTTCGGCGGGCGCTTTCTCATCCATTCCACCTATGCTTGGGTGGTTGACCTCGAACATGTGGAACACAGCTGCCACAGGCCTCGCAGTTGCTCTGAACGTTAGTATTGGGGCTGGCATTGGGCAGATTCCGGGTGTGTGGATTTACAAATCCGAGGAAGCTTCTCGGGGGTATCCAACTGGTCATGGGGTCAACTGCGCCATGTTATTTGTGGTTGCAGTTGGTGCCATATATTTGAGGCTGTTGTATGGTCGTAAAAACAAGATAATCCTTGGTCAAGCAGTCAGCAACCAACCACCTCGGTTATATGCACTTTAGTCACATACGCACTAAGTTTTGGTACTGGTAGGCAGAAACTGAAGTGTGGGTATAGGCTAGCTAAGTCTATGGAAAGTTTGCGTATCCGCGGGCTCAGATATTGTTATGCAGCATGACTCCGTAGCCTGATGAAAATGATTGTGTTTTGATCGCAGCATCGATCGAGCTTAATCGTATCTATTTTCTAACGCTTGAGCGGCGCTGCCTGTGTCATGAGTTGGAAATGCTGTGCTAATTAGTCTTTTGACTGCCAAATGAATGTTGAGTGTTCCATTATATGGAGGTTCTTCGGTAGGCAACCAGCAAATCCAAGATGCATATGTTTTTATGTCGTAGAAACTTATGAAGCTTATGCTACTGCCAAGAAAGTTGTGTGACTTGTGTCACTCATTGACAATCAATTTTGAGGTGAAAAACAAACCATAATCTCTGAAAGGGCAGATAAGTCTATTTGGAATTTTACAAATCCAGCGGTCTGATTAACATACGATCATATGCAAAGTGCTGACGTATTGACTCTCGTGTTATTGACCTCTGCCAAATTGCATGTTAGAAGGCGCACCCGGGATCACGTTAGTGGATCTGCACTCATGGGCTAAGTGTTGATTCAGAGAATTCAGTCATGTTGAATGATTCTCTGGACGATTCGATCACCGTATCGCCAGCCATGTATGTGATACACACGAAGAGATTTATTGGCACTTCTGGGTGTATCCGGCTATAGTCCTGTAATATGGACCGTCGATGTGCGCATGCAACTACCAAACATTTGACATTCCTCAATCTCAGGGATCTTCTAAAAGTTCTCGTGTTGGAGGATTGCTGAGCTTGCTCTAAATCTGATGTCAGCATTTTCAGCTAGGAGCCCCCGGACGGGAAGTCGCATATCTTGGACGAGGACCAGATCATTGGTCGCCAGGATCTGTGGGCAACAGAGTGGCTGAATAACGCCCAACCAATAAGTTCCACTTTTGACCATTGACACGATGGAAACGTTTCGTTGTGCGTTACTCAGCCTCAAGTAAAAAGCGGCAACTTGCGGCCGGAATACGTGCATGAGACGCTTTTTACGAATGATTAGCAGAAGACCAACTGGACGCCTTGAAAATTATAAGAGGCTTTGAAGGAACGACTGATGGCTGAAATCTAACAAAAGTATCACACAAGATTGATGTAATTACATGATTTAAGACACCAATATACGGCACTTGCTATATACTTAAAGCGTAGACACTAAGACATCGCCAAGATGAAGAATATCGCAGCCATCTCTACTCTCCTCCTTTCCGTTGTCTCTGGCGCGCCAGTCGAGCAACGTCAAGCCACAGAGTTCGACATTACCAACTTCAGTGCCAACACTATTCCTCATGGCACTGGCGCCTTGTACGTTCTTTGACCATGGAACCCATCTCCTCTATTCTGGGGAAGTTTATGTCTTTCTTGGCACATTGTCTAACACCAGACGCGCAGTTTGTCTTACGACATCACCATACCTGGAGTGCTCAGTACCAACTGCTTCTACTCTGACCAGTCATCCGTCGGTTCAATCCCAGACATCACACCATATCGTGGTTGCGCCGACGCCGCTGTTCAGTGGCAGTTCCGTCACGAGCCTTCGCAGCCAGGTGGCTCGGCTCCTTACTTGCTCGTGATTACCTACAAGGATTTGAACACTGGCGTCACAGTTGCCGGGTCCAAGGAATGGCCTTCAACGGACTTCCCGTTCGAAGACTTTGGCAGCACCGTCGCACAATTTTATAGGGGCGAACCAAACTTTGTTGTCGATGACGTACAGTAGATGGTGGGTCTAATAGTTTCCAGGTCGAACAGGATTCCTGGAGGATGATGGGAGGTGTTAATAAGTACATAGTCAATTGATTAATCAGCCCATACCTGTCTGAAAAGCCCTTTTACTGCTCAAAATAGGTGCATCCAACGGTTTTGCCTGCCAAGTAATAGTTAATAAGCAAGTGCCAGACGCGCAACCGTGTGTTACGAATGCACCTAGATCATGGTGTTTATGGAGTCAATGTTCGGTTGATCAAGTAATTGCCCTGTCATTATAGACGCACCAGGAGTAATCAATAGTGCATTCCACATCAAGATTGGCACGAACGATTGGCCGTGATTCGGAGTCGTAACTGCCTCAACCCTGATCATGGGGTCGAAGGAACAAGCACGAGGTATCTGGATCTTGCACAAGAGATATTCTAGTGATATCACTGGTCTACAGTTGGAAGGAAAACTAAATATCATTTCCGTCGTTACTACAAATTCAAAGGCGTCGCTACACAAAATCATTATCCGCTTTTTCTTCATGATATGATTGATTTCTATTATTATTGATATTCAATTGAATCGCTAGGACTACCATCTGCGGTCTAGAACCTTGATCGTTTCAGTACTCAGTCTTGCGATTCTAAGTTTTGCATCCATCCCTCAAAACCTCGCCATCCATCATGGATCCTGAGCACTACAATCCCCTCCCGCCACCAAGTATCGTTAAGGTGGAAGACTTGCCAAAATTGCGCAGAGCTGGTCGACTCGCTATTGAGCTGGATTACTTGAAACAACATATTCGCCATTGCTTGAAGTGCGCTGCGTGTATCATCCATCTATCCCACAGAGAAGAACACATTGCCGGGCTTGGTCACTCACACAACCAAGAACAATAAGATTGACTCAATATATCACGATTATATCTATAAACAGTATCAGGAAACTCTGGTCGGTACAGAATCATCGGCTGAGCTTGGTCGTGGCCGCGAAAGGCCCAAGGTAACCGGATATCAACAGCAACACATTTGACACGCATGTGCCACACGAATCCAAGGAGCGCAGGCTAGTGTCACAAGCTATCAATTCGAATGTGATAAAAAGGAGAGTCGAAAAAAAATAAGGAGAATCCTCTTGGATCACTACACACCACATGCTCTGAAGATATGTTGCCGGCTGAGCATGAACACAACCAGTACAATCTCCACATCTTGAAAAACTTCGAAGAACAAACTTTCCTTAATTTTCTCGGGCTTGGTTGGATACGTTGTCATTGGTTACTCGGGTACCCTAAAGGGTCTGTCGTGTTCTGCGGTAAGTGCCACTTCTTTCTCTTCAATCCCGAGCGTCGACCCCGACTATGTTGTTAACTCGGAACATACGGCTTGGTAAAGCGCTTGCAACAAGTTTACAAGAAAATAAAACAGCCAGCGCCGAGCTTAACGACGGCGACCGCTTTGGATTCGTCCTCCATACTACCTTCGTCAAACATTGCCAACACCGGCGTTGTGTGAAGATCTAAGGCTCTACCCCCGGAAACATTGAGGTGTCGATGGAGATGTAAAAGGGATGGTGATCAAAGATAGGTCTATTGATCGAGTTTGGTGTTGCGGTTGAAGAGCAGAGCAATTCTATTAAAGGCTTACCTAAAGTGGTTGGCCCTAGGCGGATAACTTAGGCATCCATTAGGGTTTTCTAGAATCCGCAGGCGAACAATATAGTCTCATCCAATGAAAGCATGACGAAGTTTTGAAAGACGAAAATTGCAACAGAGGAGTTGTACATGTATGGCTGAGCTACCGGTGAAGCTGGCCGCAAAACGCGCTACTATTTCCGTTGGAGAATATACTCAGTTGGAAGAAAGCCTGAGAAATTAATGGATCTACACATAGAGTATGGTGTAGATACTCACAGCTTACGGTATGCTACGAGACTCGGGTCCTAAGCGAAGGGGCTCATCTCGCATGTACGGAGACCTCAATAGCCTGGCCCATTTGGTTACCCTTTTCTACTTCGACCACCCATGAGATAAGCTTGTAACCAATGCTCGTGCTAGATGACTCTCGCAAGTATCTAAGGAAGCAAGATGTGCAGGAAACGGGAAAGCATCGGCAGGGAAGCTTTTATGGGACTGAGAACGAGTTTGGACAGCATTCATGCTTGATTATAGAATGCGGCTATGACTCAACTCCATGGGACTTTGGTCGTCGACACACTTGTTGATGCGTTACTTGAGTCTTCATCTCAAAATACCAACAGCTTCTGAAATAGCTGTTTAGTCCTCATTGAGGAATGTGAGGGTCGCAAATGGGAGCGATGAAGCAACAAGCCGGTGAGTTAGTGCCCAGCTCCCGTCTACGCACAGGCGATGAGGGGAAGGGGGACCTGGGATGGCGTGGACATGTCTGCAGGAATGCCTTACAAAAGTTTCCGACAAACATATTAACCTGAGGGCATATTTTCCCGAGATGCTGGTTGGCGCACATCATTCAAAGCCGTTATAGCCGGACATAGCTTAGCCCAGGAATTGCAGTTGAAGTGATATAGTGAAGACATTTCTTGAATTTTGCTGAGCGTTTCTCTTGATACGGCTTGACAACAGGACTAGGTTAGACTAATGTAAAGTTTTGAGCTAAGATGACATGTGGTTGATGGCCCCGCCTGTAAGCACTGGCACAAGAGTTGGCGCACCGAGACGTTCAACCGATCGCTGTTCAATCTTAAAATAGGGCCGGACTAGGAACGTGAACAACAAATGCTGGATGTCCTGTGATTCTAAATTCTTAAGAGGATATTGACTAGTTTCTCCTATAGTGACATAAGTGAGTCTGAGTACGCCGGCAATGTTCTTGTGTACGTTGCCTGGGGACGATTCAGATGCCAGCGCCTAGTCTCCAGCGGGGGGATTATGTAGTTCTGGCTGGGGCCATAGTACCCCAAGACCCGCCGTCCAAGAAGCGACTTACATATGGTTAGTGGATACGAGATATCATTTTCAAAGATAAACTTCGGATTTGTACCCAATATTGGCCGTCCAAATTGATTAAAGCCCCATTTATTCGTATGTACCTTGCAGCTAATACCGAGCCATAATGTTTGCTGTTCGTCTTGTTTCTTTTTATTCCTTCGACACATTCCTGCCTTGAATTTGCGGGTTTCCTGGCCAAGAGGACTGCAATAAGTATTCACTGTCACGGTCACGTGATCCCTGGTTTGGTGGTCCGTACATTGGAGAGTATATTTGTAGCTTTACGCTAGACTGCGCTGGAGAGAGCTCTTTCCTCCAGCGTAACGACGTGTAATACTACTACCCTCACATTCATCATGATATCTGCGGTTTTCTGGGTGGCTATCGCCCTCATTGCTCCGTCTCTTAGCTACAACACTAACACTACATCTGGACTCACCGTGGACCTGGAATATGCAGTTTATCAGGGGTACTACAACAACACATTTGATCTGAATGTGTGGAAGGGGTAACGTCGCCACAAGCTTGCAGCGTACGAGAAACTTGATCGACTGACAAGATTCGAACAGTGTTCGTTACGCAGCCCCTCCAACTGGGAAGCTTAGGTGGCAAGCTCCGCAAGATCCTCTTGTAACTCGTAACGGGACTATTCTTGCAACGGAGCAACCTCCAATTTGTCCTCAGACTGGAGCATTTGGCCTGCCTGATATATACGGCTTCACCTCTGGATACGGAGATGAAGATTGTCTGTACTTAAATGTCTACGCTGCACCGAGCGCTCGCTCGTTGCCTATTTTAGTATGGATTCGTAAGGAACTCTAAAGCCTAAACTTCCAACATAATCTCTTTCTAATTTCATAACAGATGGTGGTGGATATTCCAAATTTGGAGCTGTTTACGATCCTAGTGTGTGGATGAACACCAACGACAACGGCTTCATTGTCGTCGAGATTCAATATCGCCTTGGAGCATTTGGCTTCTTAGCTGCGCCTGATGTGAAGGCTAATGGCGCCTTGAATGCAGGGCTACTTGACCAACGTTTTGCTCTAGAATGGGTGCAGAAGCATGCTGCTAAGTTCGGTGGTGACCCGACACGCGTCACCATCGCCGGAGAGTCTTCGGGGGCTGGTTCAATCATGTATCACGTTCTGGGATACGGTGGTACTGGTTCTGAATTATTTAATAATGTTCGTGACTTTCCAAAGCCCTTCATAGTATCGAGTATCACTAAACAACCCTATAGATCATCGCTGCTAGTCCCTACACTGCTCCACTACGCAGATACGATGATGCTGTTTCCACTGCCTACTACGAAGCTTTTGTCGATCAAGCAGAATGTCGCCACAGCTCCACTTATAGCAGCGCGTTCGAGTGTTTGGTCAATACAGACACTATAATTCTACAGAACGTCAGTGGGACAGTATCTACAACCATGGGTTATTTCGGAAGCTTCGCTTTCTTGCCCGTCATTGATGACGGATACATACAGGACAGACCATCACAGCAACTCCTTCAAGGGAAGGTCAACGGCAAGCGTATCCTTGTCGGCGTGAGTACCTTATTAACAACTATCAAACAAGTTCACTCTGCTAACACTCAACAAGAACAATGCAAACGAAGGTGTACCTCTCACCAATCCAGACGTTGATACATTCGAAGAATACGACGCTTTTGTCAAAAATACGTTTCCCTTATTCAATGCGTCTGACGTTTTGGCTCTCAACTCCATCTATCAGATAGCAACAGCGCGAGAGGGCGACAATGCGACTCGCTTCGATACACTTGGTGACTCTGGCCCTACGGCACTGACCGTGTCCGAGATGGCGACCGGACTGCAACAGACGGTCTTCAATATCGCGGCAGAGTCTACTTTTAATTGCCCAGCACAATGGCTGGCTGAGGCATTTAGTTTTGATGCTCGCAAGGCTTGGAAGTATCAATACTCTGTCACCCCAGCCTATCATGGCGGCGATCTCTCTGTCTATTTCGCCGTTGGGGCAACAGTACCAAATGAAAAATTTAGAAGTGCTTTTCAGAAAATTTGGGGCAACTTCATTATGCATGATAGCCCTATCATTTCGGTGGAAAATGCGACAGCTGGCTACGCCAATGCAACTATACCCGTGGGCGAAGATGGCCAGATCGCCTGGCCAGCTTATACACCGTATCAACCGTTGCAGTTGGATCTTAACACGACTGGAGGCACCATAGCAGAGGTGAAAATCACGCCTGAGCTGATTTACTATGAGCGATTGGGTCCGGGGATTGTCAACAATTTCCGTCTAGTTAATTCTCTGTCTTGGGAGGGCGACCGTGGATTGCGCTGCGATTTTTGGAGAAGCGTGTCTGCGAGTATTCCATATTAGGTGGGACAAAGATACTGTCTTACAAAAGCCGTAGGATTTCGTTTCTAACATATTTCTCAACATTCAAATTTATAAGACCTCAAGCCAATGGATGCTTCAACACAAGTTTCCCAAAGGTTCTACCCTCTGCTACATCGTTGACTCTCCGCAGGGCGTCCTCTGCCGTTCCTTCAAACACGTCAACAGCCGGCATCATGAAGCCCGAGCCGTAGTTCTTTACCGCCCACTCGAGCCCTTTCCACAACTGAGCCTGTTGCGCTGGTTGAGCTGATATTTTCGTGATGTTATCAGTTCCGGGTATTCGTAATGTAATGTCATTACCCTTTGTCGCGAACGGCATCTGAAACCTCCCATCCCGCTGCCCTCTCGTTGAAACTAGCTTAGTTTGATTCGAAGCAACTGCTGTCACTTTCTCTGCATTATCTGGCGAACCTACACAATCTGCTGCGTAAAGTATCGGACCAACCTTTGCATCATCAACTGCCCTTTTGATTTGATACACGACGTCAGTGTCGGAATAGTCAAAGCATTGGGTGGCGCCAAGTCCCTTGAGCATAGCATGTCGCTTGGACGAAGCAGTCACGAAGATTGGATGCGCGCCGCTCGCGCGTCCAAGTTGCATCATCGCGATACCGACACTAGTTGACCCTCCCCAGATCAACAATGGTCCTGCCCTGGTACCATCTGGTCCTTGCTCTCCAGGTAAGGGAAACCCGAAGATATTGAACAATGCATCCGCTGCAGTGCAAACAATCACTGATAGCACAGCAGCATGGGCATGCGGTACGTCGCTCGGCACCCGCCAGGTATAATTCTCTGGAGCAACGAGATATGGTTGGTGGGCGCCGTACTTTGATGGTCTTCCGATACCTGTAGGTGTGTAACCCGCAACCAAATCTCCAACTCTATAGGCAGAGTTGGGCTCGACTTTAGTGACCTTGCCCATGAAGTCATAGCCCATCACAGTTGAAGTGATTCCGAGGTGAGCATGTGCAATGTCGGCTGGATTGGAACCTGAATAGAGCACTTCGACCTGGATTTCCCTTGCATCCGGCTCTGGTGTTGCTACATTGCGGAGGACTTTGGCAGTGCCGTCTTCGTTGACATATAGTGCTGATCCGCGAGATCGCGATGTTGCCATGGCTATTTTGAAGAATACAGTCTATGAGATACATGAGATCTCATTTTTGTCGCCTTTGGCTGTGACACCATCCACCTTATATATGCACCGTACTACGGCCATCGGCAACTCACAGACCGGCTTTTAAGCTTTCAAGAGGGGCCTAGTGGAGGTGACGGTGATACGTATGTTAGCTGGGACGTAGGCGGGCACCACAAACGATCCGTTCCGCTTCCGCTGACAAAGCTGAACTGCCGATTTAATACAAGATGCCAAGTTCTCATGGCGACCAAGTTTCACATCAAATCTTACGAGCGAATAATTCACTAACACAGGCATTTCAAAAGCACCTGTACAATTACGAGCGCCAGAGCCTGGTGCATCAAGTCTGAAAGAAAAAAGAAAAAAAAAGAAAACAAGAAAGCGCGATGATGTCATGTGACACCAGGTCGCAGCGGCCCCAGGGAAAAGGCCGGAGGAGTTCGAATTATTCTCGTTCACTGTGCTTACACAATATTATCAGTGCTCAAATCTCAACGGTAACTTATGAGTGGTTGATTTAATGATAGATCGTAAAACAATTTTGAGCCCGCATGCCGGTGTGGTCCCTTGCATTTGGACCCTTGAGTTAGGGGGGATGGTGATTGTTAAAGCCTGGAATGGTTTATTTTGGGCCTGGTTGGTCCTGAGTGGCCAGTGCTCTCGGCGCCTTGATCTCCCAGGGTAACGCGCTCCTGGAGCGCGATATTGATGATGAATGCGATCATCCCACCGAGTGTTTAATGGCACAGCACTCGCAGTCTGCAACAACCTGATATTGTGTCCAACTTCCTCATATGATGAAGTTCATATCGATTTCTCCAAGGACGCCATACAGTACAGAGGCAGATTCCAAACAGTTGTGACTATGCGGCATCAGCGTCATGAGAACACAGATTAGACGAAAGGAAGGGTACCCTGAAAATAAATGATCTGTATTCCTGTACTATCACGCGAAATCTTCAAGGGTAGTAGACACGAAGCATTAGGGTAGCAAAACCTCACAATGGGTTCTGTGCATCGGCCTAGTCGCCCTGGTAGACGCCAGTCACTCTCTGTCTCTATACAACCTGACATCGAGTCTGGCAAGGAGCTAAGCAAAGCTTTGGTCGATGGCACTCTATCACAAGAATCAGAGTCTGCATTGATATGCATGAATGAGCTTCGCGAGGGACTTTTGCGGCAGCCCATCCCACATGAGGTTCATCAAGCTATTACCCACGGCAATCTCAGCCCAGGTCTTCGCAATTTGCTGCTTGTACAGCTATACCGTGGCAAAGGTGTTGCTGTAAAGCTGCCCTCGCCAGTTAAAAGCAGAAACAACTGGTCAACAATATTCAGCAATAACAGATGGCCCTCACAGCATGCGAGCCAGTCATTCATAGAGGAACAAGAGGTACTCGGACCAGTCATTACTCCACCTAATCCATCAAATAATACTTCGCCTAACAGGAAGATATTCAATTCGGACATGGCACAAGACTATGAAAGTCCGAGGGCTTCGATGAACATAAATTGCGGGTATTCATCATCAATTTCAAAGGCGCCATTTGGAGCTTCGTCTTCAGTCCCAGCGAAACTCGCACCAAGTCCAGGGCCAGCGGAGGATATGGGTAAAGCAATCAAACAACCGAGCGACAAATTCAGGGACAAAACCGAGCCTGGAAGCATTACGGGCATTCTTCGAGGTGTGTGATGTGCGATTGTCTGTATGGAGCCAATTTCTAATCGATTGTTAGGCTCTGGTGCTGGTCGAAACTTGAAACGAAAACGTGTCGAAAGTGTAGGGTTGAATGCTACCGAATCGTTTCAATCACACTTATTTTCTTCAAATCTAATGGACTTCGCGCAACCTATCATGTCATCAAAACCTGGTAATACAACATCTGCCATACCCTCGCTCAAGCAATTCGCTCAAAACTCTATATCACATTTTTTGTCGTCGAAACCAAGGAACATTTCGGGACCGGCATTGCAGGAAACTCAAAGTGTCCAGGATACCAATTCGGCCGCGGCTTCTCAAGCCAATGCTAAGGGCAACGAGCTGTCCCAGCCGCTCGGAGGTAGACAAGGATCCGGCGCCGGAAGTCTATCGCTCAGGATGGCGCAGAACATCAAGAATTCTGATTTGAGTAGTGACCTAAGTCTTAGCGAGGATCCTGTGAAGCAGGCCACGGACAATGACGATAAATCAGTAAATGCTGAGCAAGATGATAATGATGAAACTGACGAGGATGAGGTCGATCTTGATATTGATATTAGTGACACCCATCCTACTGTCAGTGAAAACGGGTTGACGGCCTCGGGTGGAAGGCCATATAACATTTGGAGGTGTAAGTACTACTCCATGCGTTACGAATCGTCGAAACGTACTAACGTATGGCAGTGGCAAATGGCCAAGAAATTGCCACTCGTGGTGCTAGTAAGCATTCCCAGTCCCTCACAAATTCAACTCTTACTGATTTAGCAGTCCTTCCAACCGAATATCAGCTTTACTTCGACGTTGATAGACCATGGGTTTGTCCAGTGCGCTCATGTCGCATTGTTTTCAAGACACTTGACTCATTGGGTGGACACTTCAATGCAAAGCATCGGGGGGCAACGCTTAACGACAACAGAGATGGCACACTTTCAGTAACCGGATATCAAAGAGGTACTGGTAGATTGCCCGCCATTGTTGTCTCAAAGAAAGCACTCGATGCTTCTGAGCCACCCATGCAGGATCCGAAACAATCTGATAACCAAAAGAGTAACAATAATAATACTTCGCCAGCGAAGAGGGACAGTGAGGGTATGGTTAAATACATAACCATGTCTGCAAAAAGTTCATCAAAGAAGAATGCTGCGATATCAGCCTCAACGCCACGCTCCGACCTAGCTGCTGCCAATGTTGCAATGGATGATAATGCACAATGGACATGGAAGAATATTGTCCACAAACATCTAAGAAGCACACCTATCTCGCCCATTCCCAAGAAAGGATATGTTTGCGATCTTCTACCACTCAACCGTAAGCGTGGCGTTGTATTCAATCCTCTGTCACCCAAATATTTCGAAAGTTCAGGTCGACCTCAAGATATTTCCGCACTACTTATTCAAATCACTGGCAATAAAGCCCGGACACCCTGCAAACGATGTGAAGAAGGAAGAGGCCCTTTCATTGGATGTATTGTCATATCTCTCCAGGCGTCAATCCATGTCAGGCGACAAGTAACCTCATGTGCAAATTGTTTTTATAAAGGAAATCAGAAGTGTTGCGATCTCACCAAATGGCACCAAGATACATACCCGGAACTACTCAAAACCCACATTCCAATCGATGATTCACCAATACCGATTGCTGATCTGCAAAATTCGATCGCACAACCGGATTCACTCACCGTACGACGGTCTGAGAGGAAGTTGCTGAAGCTTGAAGATACTTCACCAGCAACCAAGCTTACCGCTGTAACATTGCAAGACGAAGTCTCAAATGATAAAAACACCCCTACTCGGCAGTTACGGGATGCTCGAAATACCGGTACACTGGATTTAGCGCCGGCAATTTGGGAGATCGCGCCTGGACGCATTCGTACTGATCCAGCCAACGGTGCTGAGAGTATGTCATCCGCTCCAATATGCTCGTATTGAGGTCGACTACTAACAGAAGCAAGATATTGCATTTTCAGCAGCGTATTTGACCCACGTAGAAGAAGTCAATATCGGCCCCGATATAGGGTTTCACGTCCTTGCCCTCAAGTCAGGCAGTAAGCAAATCTTGGAACCATTTGTACTATTTCTAGCATATCTACAGCGCTGATATTGCCTACTTGAGGTAATTTTCAATTTGGAACTGTTTCAAAATACTGCTAGAGACCCCTCAAACCTTTTACAGGAACAATTGCTGACCGCAAATGCCGTAGAGACACATCGATTCGAGCCGGTCACCAATCGTACACGTCTATGTTCAATCGCAAAAGGAAAAGTAAAAGTGATCACTTCTCATCAGGACTTTGACCTCGGCTCAAATGGCTTGTTCCGGGTGAAGCCAGGGGCTCTTTGTGTAGTCGAAAACCGAGCATCTGGCGATGCGACGCTACATATCACTGCTATTACGGATGAATGTTCCTCATTTTGAACTTGTCATGAATGCAAACTGGCAAGGTCTTAACAATAGCTAGGCCTTGAAGAGAATTGCAAATTCAGGTGCTTCTTATCGATTTCAACCCTCAAGAAAATTTCTATTTCTTTTTTTGGCAAGGTGTCACTCAGGATCAGCAACGCCTTGTATTCAGTCTATTCAATGCGAAGCAAAAGTACCGCGGAAGCGATCAAGAGATTCTACTAATACTGAAACTGTTCCAACCAAGCATGCCCGTGACGGACTTGATACGCGCCAAATAGGCCAACTATTAGTCCCCCGATCGCTTTCTACCTGCAAGCATCTATCGTTCACAAGTCCCTGGTCTCAAAGGGCATGGTTTGGACATCGTTATCATCATTTCCATGGACCTCAGACATTTCGCTGATGTTCTGGGTTTGTCTGTCGCCAGAGTCGATTCCTGTAACCTTGAAGTCTGTACCGTCCACTTCACCTGTGACATCAATCAGACCTTGAACAATAGAACCCTTGCTGCCGATTTTTGTAGGACTTATTTCAGAATCGGAGGCAACACCTAACTTGCCACGGTTGGGCGCTAGTCCACGAAAGTCCTCGGCAGATTTGAAAGTCATGATACCATCCGCATTAACGTTTGTGATCCAGATAGCTTTGGTGCCTGAGTTTGCCCCGTCACTACTTGGGTCCAACCATTCTCTCCCATCAATCAAAATGCAGCCCAGTTGTAGATCAAGAGGTTCAGAGAGGCTCCTTCCCCACGCTTGCAACGTTTTGGCCAGCTTTTCTAGAAAATACTCTGCTCCGACCGTGACACCAATTTGAGGTTGTTTGATTGACAGGAATTGTAGTCCCAAACTACGCAATGAGATCTCGCCTCTCCTTTCCGGATACTGTGCCGTAAAGCTGTCGTAAATAGCCTCTAGCGCACACTTCAACCCTTCCCCTTTCTTATCTAGAACACTGAAGCCATTCGGATAATAGTTTTGGGCCTGTGTACCGCTAGCTGCATGAAACACTGACGGTTTTCTTCGTGCTGCTATTGGCCGGGGGGTAAATGGTTGGCCTTGAACCTGAAGATCCTTTCTTGCGGTCTTCATTCTGAATACATGCGATAACGGCCGTTGAGATAGAGGTCTTGGTGTAGTCGGCTTATCTGTCTGTGTGCTCGAGTCGCTCATGATGACAAGATTGGTAGTCTTTTCGCTTAGCATCTTTTCATTGTTGGAACTATGATCAGTCTTTGTTTGTTTACTTTGACTAGACATCCTGTCCTCTTTGGGCTTCTCATTATTGCCTTCGCTCTGTGTTGGCCTTTGCACTCCCCCTTCATCAACCTCCTGCATTAACCCATTCTGCTTCGATTGAATTACTTGCTTCGCTGCTTCAGATTCACGGTGTTCTTTCTGCTCGACCATAGTAGCCAACAATGCCTGTATTGTTTCGCGTTTACCACTTTCAGTCGCCCCTTGCACTCCTTTGAAGCTTGCAACCAGGAGATCTTGGCACACGTCCCAATAAGACTTGATTTGCTCGTACCCAACGTAACCGAAGAGTAATGCCTTCCACTGCCGTTCAGCGGGGCCATGCGCAAAGTGTATAGCCAACGATTCGGCCCATACTGGCAGGTAAGCTGCTTTGTCCAGCCCCACGATGGCTGTTACTTTAGTACCGTAGACAAAAATGCTATTGAGAGTCAAATTGCCATGGGTAAAGACAAATGGCTCGTTCATCGGCATGAGCCTCATCGCCAAATTCGTGATGGTGTCATCCCATCCCTGCGATTCGAACCGTCTCCGGACATGCTCGCGGTATTGAGACTCGTCCTTGAAATAGACCGAATGGCCAGCAGACCCACCAATGAGGTGATCCGGATAGAGGTATGGACCTTCATCGAGGCTTGATATTTTGGCTGATGTCATTTTTCTCCATTGCTTTACAAAATCGGCTACTTGCTCTGCGATTCTGTGTCGTTTGTCTTCGGAAAGGGAGTACCATGTCTGTGCCAGAGGCCAACCTCGCGCACGCTCGGTGATGGTGATGGCGACTTGTCCCTCTTTCCACGCCGCAACGACCTCTGGGACTGGCACCGTGGTATACTTCCGTAAGAGTCTTGCCGCCCACACCTCAGGAGGTAATTGATCTGGTCGGAGGCTCCAGTACTGTCTCTCTATGACTATGTATCGGTGGCCGAATGACCAGGCGTACTGTTCAGAATCATTGTATTTGAGGTTGAGTGAGCTGCAAAACCCGAGATCTTTGTCCATGACAGAGCGAACAGCATCTTCTCGGGTTGCATTACACACAGCGCATGGTTCATCGCGATTAGAAACAAAGTCTGTCCACAAGCGCCTTCTTCCCTCGTGGGTTGCAAGCCATGCCGAAGTTGCTTGGGATAGAGCACGCCCCTCTCGTCCTTCTCCAGCTAGACTGGTAACAAATATCCCGGCTTTATCTTGGAGATCGATGGCTCTCAATATGGGATCAACATGAGATTTTCTCCCGAAAATATTTGCTGGCGGCTCTTCTAACACCTCATCGGAGTTGTAGTGTGTGCTTCCGCTTGAACTTTCGTCGTCATCGGTCTCCCAGGAACCAGAGCTCCATTCTGAACCAGAGATGGACGAAGTCGATACCTTGTCCAAAGCAACAGTCTTCGGGGTTACAAGTCGCGAGTTCTGTATTCCTGATTTACCTCTTGAAGACGAGACTTTGCTCGTTCGGTCAAATAGGTTGGCGATAGAGGCCAAACCAAACCTTGGTGATGCACTAGTCGTCGCCATCTTCCATATTTGTTCACAGAGGAAGATTCCAATAAACACGCGGGACAGATGTTGAAGTATTCACTTGCATCTTGTCAGGAATTAATACTTGACATCATGGAGCGGCGATCCGCTGCTTCTTTGTCCATGAATGCACAAAGGAATTGAACGGAAACGGTCGACTTCGAGTTCGCAAACATGGTTGCCCATAAACTGAACACCGAGCAGTACTTTTGACAGTTCTTAAAAATATGTAGTTAACCATGAATAATGTATAGATTATGATTCGTAATTATAAACGAAGACACAAGGCCCAAAGTAATAACTCGAACGCCGCATCATCCCACACGAAACGACCAACGACCCACACCTAATTGCTTGGCTTTTCTGCAACAACCCGATATACTGTGCTGCAGAGTCGTAAATCATCCATTTTCACGAATGCTTGGCCATCCAAGCATAACCTGTTGATCAACGTCTTGAAGTGCGCTGGCATCAACTTCATCCTCACAGCACCAAGAATCATTTGACGCATAGCGCGAAAGTAGATGTCGACCTTGTCTATAACCAAAGCTTGCTTTTCGTCCATACTCGGGATATCAGAAATGGTGACCTTGAAACCCGCTTCTTGAAGTGCGGTCTCGAAGCTTTTTGGTGTGGGCGTCCCTACCGCCCCGATGAGAGGTTTTACTCGGCGCATTAACTGCTGGTGCTCTTCGTTTGTCGGATCATACGCGGGTAAACTAACCCAGTCCATGAGAAGAAACTTAGAGCCAGGCTTCAACACCCTGTAGATCTCCTTGAAGAGAGCCTTCGGATCCTTGCAGAGACTTAGCGCCTGGATCTCGTAGAATGCATCGAACGACTGATCAGCGAAAGGAAGCGGCAGATTGTTCTGGTCATGTTCCACAAAGTCATTTTGCAACCCTAGTTTAGAGTTGAATTCCTTTGCCTGTGCGATCTGATTGGGGTCAATGTTGAGTCCGGTCACTACTGCGCCGGTGTAGTTGGCCATGTGGGCAGCTACCCTTCCACGCCCACAGCCAAGGTCTAATACTTTGTCGCCGGCCTTGAGGTTGATCTCCTTGGCAATAGACTCCTCGTTTAAGAGCTGGTTGTCGATAACCGAGGCGTGTTTATCCATCAACGGTGGAATGTACATTTTTTCCACCTCACCAAGGGCACATCTAAGTCGCGTCAGTGTTGGGGAAGCAGGTTTGAATGTCTGGTACGCACAAATGGTTGATCACACCATAATAAGCCTTGAGACAATCTCCCACTTTTTCTTGATAGTCAATTCCTAGGGCGGCAATCATATCCTTCTCGTTGTTCCAGTCTAAGTTGTAGATCTGATACGATGCCATATAATCATCAACTTGTTGAGGCGATAAGTTCCAGAGATATTTGAGCGACCTCCAAAACGTTTTGCTTCTATTTGGTGAAGCAGAACGATCCACTAAAGAGCCATGATTATGACTTTTGAAGAACCACTTTCGCGGAACAGGAGCAGCGGAAAGATCTATTTTCTCGTTGCTGGTGCTCGTGTTGCTGGACCGTGGTGTTTCTTCGCCGAACACTGACTGAGGTACAATTTGGGGGTTCTGTACGTGTGGCGAAATGACAGTGGCAGTTGCCATTTTGGCGAGTCTTGAAGGCTACAGATGGAAAGTGTGATGTTCAAACTGTGTGAGGCAGTCACAATATATGGTAATGTTACGGGGGAGAATGAGTAACCACCAGAAACAAGAAACAAGCAACCACGACAATTGAAAATGTTCCATTGTGACTGCCTGCAAGATCGTCCAATGGCCTGTTTTGTCTTGACCAGGAATCAAGTTGGCCGGATGACGCGGAAATAACCGCGCTGACACGGTTGGCCATCTGGATGCTGACAAACGCCCTTCATCATCACATTCGCTGTCACCCTGCAACTCAGCGAAGCGAATCGCAGTAACGCATGACTCATTTTATCCCTCGCTTTATTTCGGGGGGAAAAATCCACCTACTGTGTGTGTCCAGCCATACAGGGTAAAATCTGCTGATTTGGAGATTTGCGGAATGTCATTCGACTAAGCTCGAGCCTTCGGAGTAAAAACCAACGAATTAGAACCGCAGTCGGAGGTCAGTTCTTTCGGCTTTTTTTTTTTTCTTTTTTTTCTTTTTTTTTCTTTTTTGGCACGCCATGTTATCCCGGAATTCGTATAGTCCATAAAGTCTCTGCACTGCACGTTTCCTCTTGCCGGCTTCTGCCTGAGTGAGTGAGCGAATATGGCGTCCGGCGTTAGATACGTCTGCGACAATGCCGGCCGGAATTAAGATATCATTCGCCTTACGGAGTACGTGACATAGTTAAGGCCCATGAAGCTGGCTAGACTGCGTTAGCTTAAGAACAAGCCGGAAGCACCATGCGTTAAAGACTTTCGCGTCGTATGACGGGACTTGAATCAAACTTGGGGCTGGTTTGGTCCTCTAATTTTGTCAACATTCGAAACCCAATCTCTCTTCTTTTCAAGCGCTTACGTCCGACTTCTCGTACTCAGTAGGGAGTCCCTCGCTAATGGTATTGCCGATAAGGCTGGTCTCTCAAGATACACTACTACTCGCTGCACTGCGTACTGAATTGTGGGCAAGGCGGTAAACTTGCATAGTGCCGCCCGCTACTAGCTAATTAACGTTACTTAGCTTCACTTGAGTTTACCTACGACGCCAATTTTTAGAGTGGGCCATGGAGATCTCGGACCAAGTGTGTGAGCGGGATTCGCCAGTTTCTCGCCTAGCCGAGCCGAAAAGATCATCCAGGGAGCCAGGCAACCAGGGTACTGATACATACAAAAGTCCATCCTGTAAATTCAGGTATTGGATTCGCTTCTAAAGCTCGGCGTCTCAAAGAAGTGCGGCTCTTCAACCCAGGTCTCGTCATCACGAATGAGATAAGCCTTGCCAAGTCTCTAGGCTCAGCATCCCTGACTGTTTGCTGCCAAGCAAAGTTCTTGGCCATTGGGTAGTAGCCACAGTAGCCCTCCCATCGCCATCCAAGGCTAGCATCACCCATATCATACGCCGGCAAGTGAGGCTTCAAATGGAGGGCAAGACGGAATACCTAGCCACGGGATATCGTGTCGAGTTGCAAGGGTTGGCGCAAACTCAACGTGAAATGTGATGGTTGCGTTGGCGTTCGTTCTACTGCACCCACGATGAGCGGTTGAACGATAGGAGAAGTCCCGTCATTTGTTCCCGAAACTTGGCAAGTTTGCACAGGGGTCGATCATTATACTAAATTAAGTGAGACCCTCCGCTCCTGCAGATTCAGCGGCCACTCCACTGAAACGTATTGCGCTGCTATTAATGGGAGTCTAGGTTCCTGAGAAATAACAATAAAGAACATTTTGCCCTCTGAAAAATCCTTGAAGACGATGCATCTTTCGCAACAACTTGCCAAGGAATAATCTTTGACGGTTCTACATTTGTCATAGTCTCTTGGATTAGTTGGTTCACTACGGTAGCTTTAAATACTTTGATCGCGTCTTCGGTATTGCGAACATGAGTCCACACCGGTAGAGGCCGGTAAACCAAGCACTAGGTTAGGTGGGTCTTGGTCGCCGACAAACAGCTGACCAGCGGTAGCCTGATTAAGATCTGCTAGAATTGCTATTGCAACTTATCCCAACGCTGTTCATAGTTGTCGATATGTTTATGTAACAACATATGGCGACATATGAGAAGCCCCTCTTTGGCATATAGCTTTGTATATATATTCTATTGCGAAGTTGCCAAAGACTTGGCCAATTAGTTCCCGTTTTCAGAGAATGGCGGTCGAATCACGGCACAACGGTTTGTGCAAGTCTGCGCCATTTGACTTTCCTCATCAAAACATCATCTATGAGTTGCCCTGTGGTGGCTCTGCAGACTAATTTTATGGCGGATATCGATATGTACAGCTTGCATGTATATATCTAGGCGAGATTCTCCTGCCGAAAGGCTAGCTCATATGACAATCAGGTTGCAGCATAATTGCCTCCGACACCACGCAGCCCATTCGAAGTTTCGCAGTATCTGCAAGCCCATTGCGATAGCAAGTTTTAGAAGATGTCGACAGGAGAGCGCTGCCCTGGATCTAGTCAGTACCCGGTCATTATTACCGAGTGAAGTTCCTGCATAGCTGGAGCGGTTTGGTATCGCCTTCACATGATTCAATCTGCGAGGTAATCTGTCAATGCGTTACAAGGTTGGATCGAGACTTTCTTGCACGAGTGACTCCATGGTTAGAACTGAGTTACTACGACATATACGAGTCTGGATTCGAAACACATGTCACAAAGCGTTTTATTTTGTGTGCACGTGAGCCTATACCGGCTATTGAAGCTCATTTCATCCATCCTGATACTTGCAATGACACATATTTATGAAGAAGAAGAAAAGAAGGGGAAAAAAGGCCATTTTCCAAGGCTTCGGCAGCCACCCACAGGTCTTACTGACATTGCTGAGACAGATTATCGTTTGTTGTGGGCCCCCCGCTATCGGATCGGATGATGCGATTTCGACCGGATATTGCGATACCATCTTCAGTATGGTGCCGTCGGAGCCTGCGAGTGTTGCTTGGTCGGTACCCTCGATGTTATGATAATGAAGATATGCTGCTTCAAAAGAGTCTGGTTTACAATAATCCATTTGAATTGCATCTTTTAAGAAGAACGTGAAGTACGCACACAATGGCCAGCACAGAGAAACTATTCACTTCGCTTAAAATCGCCAACGGGCGTATTGAGCTTAAACACAGAGTCATCATGGCACCGATGACTCGAAATAGGGGTGTGCCGCTTGCAGATGGCACCTCCGAACATCCAAACCGGACATGGCTTCCGGACGATCTTGTCGCTCTATACTATGGGCAACGGGCATCCTCCGGTGGCCTTTTGATCACGGAGGGTATCCCTCCTTCGATCGAAGCAAGTGGCATGCCGAATGTCCCTGGGTTGTTCGATAAATCGCAAGTCCCTGGTTGGAGAAAGGTTGTCGAGGCAGTACATGCGAAGGGCGGATACATCTATGCTCAACTCTGGCACGCAGGACGGGCAACTGTTCCGCAATTCTCCGGGGCCGGACCATTTAGTTCCTCATCCATTGCGTGGGATGATGATGAAAAGTTTCCGTTCCGGACTCCTTTCACAAAAGAGAAGATTGCATACCGAGATCATCCGCCCATTGCTATGAGCCAGGACCAGATCAGGAAAACAATTGACGATTTTGTTGCTGCCGCCAAGTTAGCTATCGACATTGGCTTTGATGGTGTTGAGATCAATGGCGGTAACGGTAATCGTGAGACAGCCACGTGAAACGTGAATAAACACTCAAACTAATGGTAAAACAGTGCTTGACCAATTTCTTCATTCCAATATCAACACGCGCACCGACGAATATGGCGGGTCTCCGGAGAGGCGTAGCAAGTTTGTACTGGAGCTTATCACGGCTTTAGCAGACGCCATTGGTGCCTCCAACATCGGCATTCGTTTGGAGCCGACTGGCCTCTATCAACACACACGAGGCATAGAGCGTGTTGAGACATGGTCGTACCTATGCCGACAGCTTGCTGACACTTATCAAGGAGACAAGAAGCTATCCTATGTGCATTTCATTGAGCCACGTTTTGACCGCATCGGCTCCGAGAATGAGAAGGATGGCTTTTACCAGTCCTGGAGTCTCCCGGAAGTTTCAAATGAGCCTTTCCGGAAGATCCTAGCGAACAAGTCCATCCCAGTGTTTTCATGTGGTGGCTGGGATGACAAGAACGCGTAAGAAGATCCCGAATTTATTTCCCACTGTTTCAAGCAAGTCCACAAAGCCGAAATTACCTATTAGAAACAATTATCTCTCGGTAACTGTTTCATGATACTCTCAAAGACCCCTTGGTCCAATCTAAAGAAACAATAACTGACCCTAAATAATGTAGTGGAGAAGCCTCAGAAAAGGGTTGGGATGGTGTTGTGTTTGCGAAGTGGTTTACAAGTAACCCGGATCTGCCGGAAAGGATACTTAAAGGCCAGCCTCTGACCGAATATGATCGGAGCAGGTTCTACGGTTCTTGGGACGGTATTAGAGAGAATGGCTATACGAATTACCTTCCATTTGGGGAGGAAAAAGAGAAGAAGATAGAGCAAGAAAAGAAGATACCCTCGTAAGTGTATGGTAGACCTAATATAGATGATCATAAAAAGTATCCTTCAGTGACCAATATAGAGTTACGCGAAACAATACCAATCAGGAAGCTTGACGTGTGTGTTTCATTTCTTGAATGGTACAAGCCCACCCCACGGTTCTCATACATGACTGTGGATAGAGCGAAGCATGACTTACCTGAGCAAGGTCTGCGATACATACATGTTAGTGAATGCAAGTGAACGTATCGGTCCCGGTCCCACTCGCGAGTCAATGGCAATTTTATAGACGGAGACAAAGAACTCTAATCAGAGAGCAGGAACTGGGAAATCTAGAGCGAAGCTAATTTGTGAAGACACTAAATGAATTTTCGAAACACCCAGATTGCCTGTTTTATTGGAACAGAAACTACAGCTATTCAAGAATTTGTCTCATATTTATAATTAGAGCGCTTAAGAATATTGGTTTGCCCGGACCTTACCTCTCAAAGTGGATTTGCTGGCGGAATATTACAGTGAGTGATTACATCAGACGTATTTTCAGCTAGCGCGGTCGGGCTTTATTTTGTAGCTCAAGGTGTATGAAAGGCATTCAATAGTAGATACGGCCGAACCAAAGAAATAACTAATATCAGGAAAAGAAGACAGGAAAGCTGAATCTACGCAACACATCAGTGAAGCCAATACTTATAAGTATGAGTTTGTTTCTGTTAATGCATTGTTTATATCACAGCGATCAGCAGATCTTAGCAGCGTTGTCTGTTGGACGCACTCACCCTCATCCTCCTCGTGTCGATAGGCATCTTTGCAAGCTCCTCCTCGTCGTAGGCTCCATTCAGCACTAGGCGCCTGGGCTGGCGCATATCGTTGAACTTCTTTGTGACTTTCACGATCGTGCTAGTCACATCCTCACCTATAAGCTTTATTTCTCAAACCGTGACGGGTCCTGTTGGAGATAATATGTCAGAGTTTTGTTTGACAACACGAAGCACTTTCTTTTCCCAATCTGTCATAATGCCAGGCAAGGCCCGGAAATCGACTTCCTGGGGATAGGTAAGCACGCAGCAGCCTCGCGGAGAATTTCTAAAGATCATTTATGCTTCCGAATCATCATTCAATTTCACCTAAAATTTACAAATTGAATAATATTGTCCATCTACTCTATCAAAGATTCCAGGGTTGTCTCAGACCCATTCAATTCCGTTGTCCAAAGAAACGACATAGGACACAAAACCTCCGTGCCGAAGAAAGGCAATGAGTGTTGTAGCAGATACAGAATCTCCACGTCGTGAGTTCTGGAAAAAGAGAGAGAAACAACTATTCCGCCCTTGTGGTAGTTGTGCCTTGAACATGTCCACATTCGTTGCGTAAACAACAAACAGGCTATTTGAATTCTCGGAATGAGACCATCCAAGGATCAAACTACGTGACAGAAAGATTCCAGTAAAATACTGTTGTCTTTTGTTGGCCGCATATCTGTAGGTCTGCCAGCGATGCAGTGTGTATCATTTTTCCAACATGGAGGCCTAAACAAGCTTGAATGTGAGATTTATTTACTATGTACTAGTGCGATCACAGTTCTCCCATCGACGCATGCAAAGCGCCATATTAGTCAAGTAAACTAGCCCCTGGTGTATTTACCTTCCCACGATATGAGAGGAGCCACCATCGTTGACAGTCTCCCCGCCATCTTCACCATCTGCCCACGTAATCGTGTTGCCCTTCCTCGAATTTAGAGGAAGCGAGAGGTTCTCGGCCCTTCGCCTTAGGCCCCGTTGCTGCCGCGAGGGGCGTTGTTCCTCCTCCTCCTCATCATCATCACCGTCTGTATATTCCGGATCCTCTGGATCCTCGCCTCCCAAAACCGGTGGCCAGCTCAAGATCGGATGGGCGGCGACCAGAAGCGCGCTCGCCGCGACCATGACAAGTGAGTCGAGCCCCAGGAACAGCCACTCATCGGCATCTATGCCCCCCTCGGCGATCTTGGCGACCGCGCGGGCCATGATCAGCACGGCGGCGCCGACCATTGGAAGGATAAAGTCCTTGGGGAGGGGTATGCCGGAACGGGCGCAGTGCCAGAGCACCAGGGCCAGGAGAGCCAGGAAGATGCTGACGGTCACGATCTGGGCGATCATGGCGGCGAGGATGAGGTGCAGGAAGGTGTGGGTGTTGTCGTGCACCTTGTCCACGGAGTCGCCCGGCGAGATGTTGTGGAACGCGGACGGGCTGCCGAAGACGACGAATGCGGCCGCGGCAATATCGAGGATTCCGAAGGCATAGCAGAGGTAGGGACCAATTCTGTGGACAGGTCGGTGCCTGTTTATAGTCTTCACGTATTGTACCATCGAAGCGGATATGCTGTGGCGGGCCGGTGGTATCAGTAGGTCAATTTGGTAAGTAGACACTGAGGCTATGGAAGGAAAGGAAGAGCCGACTTACGCAGCCATGATGAATGCGGGTGCTGAGTTTAGCAACGTGAGCTGAATTAAAAAGTCGCGGTACGATTTCGGGTTGTCTGCACCCCTGACGCGCTCCAAGTAGCCTCCGAGCTCGATGCACAATGCTATCGTGACTAGTACGCTGCGCAGGAGCCATCGTTTGTGCTTGACTTCCAAACACATGTAGCAACTGACGAGAGCATAGAGGGTCAGAATGCAGTAAACGACGAGAAACGTGACATTGATTCCGAAGTGAGGAACGTAACCGTATGGTGTTTTCGTCTCCTCAGGGTATTTCAATTCTCGGATTCCGAAAGCGAGATTCTGAGTAGGGGCCATCATGTTGCAAGATCCATATAAGAAGAGTCATACAGTCTTCAGTCAGCGGTAATTTTGTATGTTGCGTCGCAAATTGTAAGTGTCATGAAGAGAAGTCTGACGACGGCGAAAAGGCATACTACATGGTCCTAGAAGTCATCCGCATTTATTGGTAAGTGGCTGAGCTATGATTTGTAAAACCAGCGCAACCATGAACTTTCGGATAAAGTTAATTATTAAATAATTGAGGTTATGGAAAGCCGTGGTTTCTTCATGTCTTGGGACACTTTCGCATTTGGCTGACCCCTAGCCGGGGAAGGCTTTTCCACGTTTTTCAGTCAGTAATGAAGATAAGGAGCAAGATATGAGCCTTGATTCTTGGTAGGGAATTGACTGCGTCTTGCTCAGGTAGTCCTTGCAACGAAATTGTTGTGGGATTCACCGACACATACACCTTCAGTACACACCTTCCAATGTAGACCAACTCTGGCATCGGTGGCAACCTCTAAAGGGGGGTTGTTGTTTTAGGAAGAGTGCCCAAAGGCATGCAAGCATACATTTACAGAGGTAACAGGGTAATCGGAAAATTCGTACTAATGCATCTCCCTGTGAAGGGAGAAGATTTTTCCAAAACTGATGATCACCAGCCAAGCCACAGTGGTTCTGAGTTGCGGTATAATAGTGATGCTAGAAACAAGCTTTAGTATTATCATAACGAGAGTACAAGAGGAGACTTGTCCCTGACAGGGTACTACGTACAAGCTCAGTCTTTGACGTACCCAATTTTCGAAAGAACGGGCAATTATCTGCACCCCGCCCCTTGAAACAAACTCCTTTGTATGTCCCAGAGTGTGCGTTATCAACAGAGGAGCAAGCGTCGTTCACAGAGTCTGCCACCAACACTATAACTGCTGCCGTAATCATATAATTCATGTCCTCAGGTACTTCACTGCTGCTAACTAAATGAAAATGAGCATCTGACCCTGAACTGGGTTATGAACGAGGGACGCCTCTTCGTTGAATGCTGGAGGGTATCCTGGATATTCGCTCCCCCAAACGCCGAGCTTGCCATTGAATGAAATAAAATAACAAGTAAAACTGAGTAGCAGTTGCAATAAATCAAGCTCATGGCTGGCTCTAAGATTAAGCATACGCATGCGCAGGCCATTTGGTCTGCGATGAAAATTGTGGAGATGGAAATTATAAATGCCTTTGCATCCTCAATTGTGCCAACAGCCCTGCCTTATCGGATGGGATCGTGGCATTTGAGACAATTGACAGGTTCTTTCCATTTACTCTCACCTCCAAGTACGTCACGGCGCACATCTGTGATCTCCATGATGGGAGGGTTTCCTGATTCGTTCTTTATGACGGCCTCGAAGTGCCCAATATAGGGTTTACGACGTGTGGTCGACTTTTTCGAACGCCCCATCTTGGACTGAGAAGCTCTCGGAGCAAATTTGATTTCCTGGACTTCAGGATCGACTTTTGAGCTGGGGACACTTTCAACTTCAGCCAAACTGATGTTGTTCTCCTCCGGCTTAACCGCGATAGACGGCTGTGTAGCATGAGCATTGTCCGTCTCACTTGGGCTAGGCAACCGTCCGAGCGCATCATTGTCTCTCTCCTGCTTGACTGAGCTGGACATGTGCGGTTGATTAGAGCCAAGGCGTTCCCAGGTCTCCAATAGAGCCTGGTGGATGAGACAGTCATCATGAAGCCAGGTGCCACACTGCTGGTTGCTGCAACGAATCAAAGTCTTGTCCGGGTTTTCTGGCTCCTTGCAGATACATCGCTCCGCGACCAACTACATGATTACATGTTAGTAGAGCACAGGGAGTCACGGTGGATGTTGCGGTGTATTGTGGTAGTGTCTTACAGAGAGTTCCATGGACCGAACATCCCAGGCCTGCCGCCAGTAGAGTGCCTGTTGAACCTGCTCCTCGTCGTGCTCGTCCCACTGGTTTACAGTGGCGGGAGCTGTCACACTGACGACGTTGATGATATCCACTAAGCTATAGTGTCAATAAGAGGGGGAAAAAAAAAAGACGGAAGCTTGAAGATAGGGAGCAACATACTGTGGTTTGAAGCAATCAGCTCGTGTTGCCCATGATACGCTTGCCTCCCGGAAACAACCTTGTCTCGATATGTGGAATTTGGCGGAAGCTCGTCTGGCCAATAAAGCCAGTATACTCTTGCGTAGACATGATGTTCATCTGATGCGCGAATCTCGAGAATGCGGGCGACCCAAGCTTCGTCGGATTTGCTTTTCACCTTGGACGGCTCGTCGTTATTTTGTGGTCTGGGCTGTTCCAAGCTAGCACTGTTGGCTACGAAGATGTAATTGTCGGAGAGGTACTTGACGCCATGAACTAGAGGGGAGGAAGCATCGACGTTAGCAGAAGTCGCAGCTAAACATGTATCTGATTTGAAAAGGAAGAAGAGAAGCGACCTACGAACGAAGCTGTTGTATCGAGTCAGTTTGTCCCAGTCTCTCTGTCCCCCTTCATGTACGACCTGGTAATGGCGGTCCATGATGTTTTCCGGGTCGTAGTAGAACTTGCCATTTGGCGTAAAAGGCGATAGCTGCAAGGGCAGCTTGGAGTCGTGTTCTGGTATGTAGCCAGAGCCCGACACTTCTGAGGCGCTTTCGCTGCGCTTCGGTTTACTGCGCCTCTGCTTCTTGGGGGGCTTTGTCGTCTTGTCCGTCCGCTTTTCCCACCAGTTGGGATCTGGGTGCTGAATTGTATATTTGCACTCGGCATGCACTTCGTCTCCGGCGCGCTCGGCCTCGATTCTGGCCCGTTTGCGCGACGCCGCCATGTTGGTCAAGTGTGGCGGTCGCGCTTCGCGGTTCGTGCTCGTGTTGTGCCTGTGCCTGTGCCTGTGCCTGTGCCTGTGTTCGCACTTGTCGCCGTTGTTGTCGTTGCGGTCGTCGTTCTAATTCTAGTTCTTGATGCCGCTACACGGAAAAGACAGTTGTGGAAGTTTGGAGGAAGCACGCGCCGAATGTGAGCTATGCAATTGGACGTGGTCGTTGCTTGGTGTTGTTGTTGTGGCCAGCTGGAAAACAGTTTGCTTGGTGGTGCGTTTAGATAATGTTGTACTGGTATCTGTGTTAGGGCCCAGAGTTGGAATGGTACAGCGCGACAACAAAACTGGTCAGTCGCTGTATAAGAGGGCTTTTTTCTTTTTTTTTTTTTCCTTTTTTTTTCAATTAAATAAAAGGAAATAAGAAGAAGAAGGCGACATAATTATATCTCACTGTATTGTATCGTGAACAGCAAAAGGTTGGTCGAAATGTCTACATTTACACATGACACCTTTGGAGAGAAAGCGACAGACACAAATGATTGGAAATCGACGACAAAGCTCGATTTCTTCGATCTTTGCGTTAGGGTGGCAGCTGAAGCTTGAAGCCTCAGCGAAACGCCGTTGACTTGAATTAGTCTAGCACTTGTTAGCTCTATGCTACGCTATCGGCGCAGGGCAAATGGCCATGAGGATGTCCATGTCGCGATCGGCGGCGGGGAAATGCAGCGGACTGAGTGCCTGCCAATTTGTTTGTTTGTTTGTGCATATAATATAGTATACCCCCGGACCGAGAGGCCCAATCGAAGTTGATGATACCTGAGATAGATATTTTGTTCCTCTTACTTGAGACACTGTTGCCGGAGAACCTTTTCGTGCAGTGCAGATTCATCTGTCGAGCCCTTTCCAAGTTGTGTGCAACTCTCTTTGGCCATCCTCGGGCACCCAAAGTCTAACAATCATCTTGCAGGAAAGTCGCCATCATATCATGACATCCAGCCACCTAACTTATCCTGCAAGGTAGCGTACCTACAAATCCGAAGGCGTGGTGTGTGGGGGGCTACTGCTGGGAGACCATCCCTACATAAGTAGTCTGACTGCACACAAGCAGCCATTGTTATACCGCAGTCTAACGTATTCGTAGGCACCACCAAGTTAGTGAACTTTTTTCTTGGATTGTACCTTTTTGTTTTGTTTTTCTTTTATTTCTTGCCCAATTTTCTTCTTCTTGGGTTATAAGAGAGAGGGGAAAGGCGGTGGGGTGTTCGCTTGCCTTAAGAGTCGTCGGCTTGAAAGAATACACCTTGGATAAAATGTGCGAGAACATTTATTCCCTCTCCCGGACAATGAGAGGGATACAATTCAAGATGGCATGACTTGTACAGTGATACACACGATGGTCACAACAACCGATGATATCGTCTTGCAAGAGAAAACCGCTTACACACTTGAAGATTGCATGTGCCTATACAGGAGCATCCACAAGGACTACACGCCAATTGTTTGTGGTTAAAAAGTGGCATCAGTTGCTAGCAATGTTCAGTAAATTTCCTAGTCACGCAAGATAGTAATAATTATTTTTGCTGAGAGTACACGACCCAAGACTGGGAAAATACGCTTCCCTAGCCAACGCCTTCGCTATGCAGCAAACGATGAACGAGATAGGTAACGCCCATCTCCTATGACCTCCAACTTGATGAATAATATTATATCCTGGCTCTTCACCTGTCATCCTCGACTCGGTTGTACTCTGCAAGCATTCCCCTTCGCTCTTCATCTACTTGAGCTCGATCGGCTGGAATATCCTCCTGGTTCTTGAACCCTTCGATCACTTCAGCCAGCAGCTCGCCTTCCTGTTTCCCACGCTCCACATTTACGAAATATATCAAGGGTGCGGGCAGACCAACCAAGGCAGCAAGGAACCAGAAAGCAGGGCGGATTTCCCCAGAGGCATCAATGATGGCACCAACTATGGCAGGCCCGAACACACTAGAGCCCTTGTCCGTGATTGCATATAGAGCATAGAATGCTGCTTCCGAACCCGCGGGAATGAGCTCGCCGTAGAGCGATCTGCAGTATGAGCTAAGACCACCCAACACGAAACCGTACACAGCAGCCAGTGGATACATCTCCCACGGTTGTTGCAAGCCAACAACGCCCCATCTCTGCACGAATGGCAGGTAACCCAGCAGACCGTAGATTGGGATCACCTCGAACAGCGCAATGCAGGCTAGAATTGTCTTGTGCGGCGGCAGTTGCAACCTTCTCGAAATCCACGACCAGCTAAAAGCACCCATGACGCCGGTTGATGTGGAGATGACGTTTATCAGCCCAAGTGCCCACGGCTTCATACCAAGCGTCGTCTTAGCAAAGAGGATGGCAGTCGACGACGTCGTAGCGATAGCATCCGAAAGCAGGAACCATCCAGCCAAGAAAAGTACGATATCAATAAGGTGTCTAGCCAGCCCGATTGTGCGGAATAAGTTTTTCCACGCATAGATCGTGTACGATATCCACGCCCATCTGCCTTTCGTCTTTGTAGCAGGCAGAGGCGGCCCTGGTCGCGGGCGAAGCCACATAGCTGCTGGAATGGTGAAAATGGTCCACCATGAACCGATGAAGAAAAGAACAACACGTTGTGACCATGTTGAGCTTCCCATTGCCACTAATATCATGATCGAGACGCATTGAACAAACAAAGCAGCTCCATAACCAATGCCTATACCCTTGGCTGAAATCTCAGTTGAAAGCTGAAGCTCGATTGAGGTCAGCTCGGACTTGGCCGATGCCCTGATCAAGTCGTGATGGACTGAGGCAGTATCATCCACTGGCAAATGGATGGATGCAGCGCCACTGAGCGGATGATCGGTTTCCACTACAGAGCCAGCATCGTTATGCGAGCCCTCGTGATGAGTGATGGCCTCAGTGTATAGTACTTTCGGGTGGTGTCGAACCAGCAGTGGTAGAAATGAGTTTAGGAGAACAAAAGAGGCCCCGAATGCCGTGTTTGAAACGATGGCAATAATCGCCCCTAATAAGTAGACTTGCTTGGTAACGAATATGTATAGCATGACACATACGCCCCCCGTCCATCCGAAAGTCAACAGCAACCGCTTTCGATAATTGCCGTGATCAGCAGCGCAGCTTATACTGACAACCAGAAGCGCCTGCAAAAGGACGCTGATGGAGAATGTGTACATAGCGAAGCTCGCCGTGTTGACCTCAATTCCCAGGATTTCCACAATGCATTGTCCATCGTTGCCCTTGGGTTTTTGTGAGCTATCACCGCAGGGTGTCTTTCGATCGGAAAGGAGGACGCCATTTTCTCGCGCGAGACTCTCGAGGAGGATCGGTATAAAAGATGCTTCACGGAATGCGCATTAGTTGTGGTACAGCTTCGGGGAGCTAAAGCTAATTGTAGAGGCGCGCGCAGCAATGGCGTTGACTGCAAGCTGCACCGAGACCTATGTCAAGCAGATTAGATAAAAATAACTCACAGATAGCTTCATGAGGGTCAGATTAGCGACATACGATACACACAGATTGGGCGAGGTTCAAGCTTACCGCATATTACGTATGTCTCTGCCGCAAATGCGTACATATACCATCCAGCAAGCTCCTTGGTGCTTGTGGGCCGCGTGTCTTCGCCCGGATAGCGAGCGCCAGCGGGCGGGCCACCTTCTCCGTCACTGTCAGACGCTCTTCTGCTCATTCTGCCGGTGCCAGTATCTGTCGTCGTGGTGGAGGAGAATTCATCGTCGGCTTCGAAGGCGGAGGAGTGTGAGTGCTTGGACGCAAATGATTGAACAGACAGTAAGCGCGATTGTGGCGGGCGCCTCAGCTGGTCGTCGTTCCGGGGAACCATAATCTTTGGGCTCTTTGGGGTCTTTAGAGTCCTTGGGCGCCTGCGTGCACTGATGCCAGGCTTGCGCAGGTGCTCATGTGCTACGTAGTACGAGTACGAGTACAAGTAACTTACAAGATCTCACCCGTGCCTAAGCCCTGCGCTGCAACTCAAAACTTTATCGCAGCAATACACCACGCTGCGTTTGGTCGGTGAGTGTGTGGCCTGCTTTGCATCAACCTATTGCAACCACTTCCAAACGCAAAGATCACCGGAGCGAGAAATTCAACGTGCCCCCGAATTCGAATATTGTCTGGGTTTTGTTCACTGGACGATGTCCAAACCATTGCAACGCTACTGAATATCCATGCAAGGGAGAGCTCCACCAAATGGGTCGGTAGTTGCTGTTGGGGAAGCCTGAGTCTCTTTTCCAACGATCTTATGACTCCGAACCACACCTGAGATGACGAAACATAATAGAAATTGGATGGGCGAGGTAACAACTGCACATAAACCAGCACGAGAAGGCATCCGAATCAGCTTAATCATTCGAGTCTTCGGGTTTTCGAAGCTCAATCCTTCACCTATGTCATACCAGTGGGTGGCCGATGAGATATCAGGTGATGCGTTCAGGTTGCATGGCTGCTCGGTGACCCACGGCCCAAACCACACATCTCGAGCAACTGTAAGTTCAGTAGCTGGGCCAAATTTCATAGATAATTCGAGACACGAGTCCAAGATATATCCCAACCATTGAAATATTGTCGGAAATTCTGAGCAACTACAGTAACAACAGTTCAATGGTCGTCACATTGAAGTGTTGGATCGACACCCCCATGTCGAGCTGGTGGGGTCGCGGACTCGTACCTTCATTGCATTACTACCTCAAAGCTCGTACGAGGGAGGGCTTTGGCATACGATTCGAGCGCTTAAAGTTGGCTGTTGTTTCTTATTTTTTCTTCTTCCAAGTTAAATAAATGCTCAAGTGTCTCCAACAAATGGTATAGTACTGCCTTTGCACAAAATAGTACTACAGCACTAATTCCATCAAGGTACGCTAGTTCCAGGGTGTTAGTTCTGGCTAATACCATGTCATCAATATCGATGCAAGTATATTCCAGTAACTCAAAAATACCTGGCCATCCTTACTTGGCACGTTTGTCCTTGTATGATTTCAGCGCCAATAGAGGCACTGGTGAGTCTGATGTCATTAGTTGAGCAACAAGCCAAATAAACGTCTGCCAATGCAACAGTACTGTTGCTCTCGAGAACACGCTCGCCCTGGTATGAATACCCAGCAAGACCCTGGAATCAAGATGGAAGAAACCACCCCGACATGGTCGAGGTCAACGAAAGTTTTCCGAACCTGGTACCACCCTCGCGTCCTGCTGATTGGGGCTGAAGACCATAGGTTGTCGATTTTCTCTAAACATCTTCTCAAATTAACCATTACCAGATACCAAAACAGCAATCTCTGCGAGCCAAGCCGGGACAAAGCTCGGAGAGGTTCGGAGAGGGAACACCGAGATATTCAGCTATGGCGAGTCATGTGGAACGACTATAATAACCCTAGCCGGGAACAACTTCAGGCTATTTAGAAGCAGCCAGACCTTACAAGCTTAGCCTTCGTGTTAGTGGTTATGTCTTATGGAAGTAAGGTTTGCTATAGTGTATATACTATCTCATTGGATGCATCATCTATATTAACCCTGAAGATCGCCTAATTTAGAAGCATTGACAAACCAAATTGGCCGCTGGAGACCAGGATAGGCACTTGCGGTATGTCTATTATGCTAGGAGATGAATCACTCTGTACTTGGTGCGAACAAGCAATTAAAGAATTGCCTTATGACGTTGAACAGTAGCACCGCGCGTGGCCCCAGGTTTTGGTTATATAAAGAGCCAGAGTCTTTCGTGCAAGGATATCGCTCTCCTTTCGATCAACATCAAGATCAGCCTCGAAACCAACATATCTGGCACAATGAAATCCACGCTCCTGCTTCTCCTTAGCCCTCTTGCCGCTCTTGCAGCTCCTGCAACGGAACTGGCAGAACGACAATCTACCACCTCAATAGACCAGCTCATCAAGGCCAAAGGCAAGCTCTACTATGGTACATGCACAGACCAGAACCGTCTGAGCACTGGCAAGTCCGCAGCCGTCATCCAACAGGACTTTGGCCAGGTGACGCCCGAGAACAGCATGAAATGGGACACAACCGAGTCGTCTGAGGGCAAATTCAACTTCGCCGGTGGCGATTACTTGGTAGACTGGGCCACCACGAACAACAAGACCGTTCGTGGCCATACACTGTGCTGGCACAGCCAGCTTCCGGGCTGGGTTAGCAACATCCGAGACAAGACCAAGCTGACCAGCGTCTTGCAAAACCATGTTACAACCTTGGTCACTAGGTATAAGGGAAAGATCAGGGCTTGGGTCCGTACTTCTCTTTCACTTGGTTTAGGGAACTCTTTACTTCACCAGGATTTTCACTAACTCTTTTTCTTAGGACGTCGTGAACGAGATCTTCAACGAAGATGGTTCCATGCGCTCTTCCGTCTTCTACACCGTGCTAGGCGAGGACTTTGTCCGTATTGCCTTCGAGGCCGCTCGAAAAGCCGACCCGGACGCTATCTTGTACATCAACGACTACAACCTCGATTCTGCGTCTTACGCTAAGCTCACCAACGGTATGGTGGCCCACGTCAAGAAGTGGATCGCCGCCGGCGTGCCCATTGATGGAATTGGTTCCCAGGGTCATCTCTCTGCTGGACAGGGTGGCAACGCCGCCGCAGCACTGAAGGCTCTTGCAGCCACGGGTGTTAAGGAGGTCGCAGTTACGGAATTGGACATTCAGACCGCACCCAGCAACGATTATTCTGCTGTTACTAAGGCGTGCTTGGATACCCCTACTTGTGTCGGTATCACCGTCTGGGGTGTTAGAGATCCCGTAAGTTTTATTCTCAAGATAGAACGTATTGAGATTCAGCTGACGATATTACAGGACTCATGGAGAGCTAGCACAAACCCGCTTCTTTTCGATACCAACTACAGCCCCAAAGCTGCTTACACCGCAGTCGTCAACGCCTTGAAATAGATGGTGGCGTAGTGCAAACCACGCTTCTCAGAGCAGTGTAGGACATACTATGTCAGATCGTGTCGATTCGTATTAATAAACACCTTTGACTGGAAAGGTCTGCTTAAACATGATGTTACGAACGAGTGATTGTTCAAAAAGCGCCGTTCGGCAAATTTCGCAACGTAGATCGTCGTGACGGAGCCTCTCGAGGTGAAAACTGCCTCGGAACAATGAATAAGATGAGTCACTGTATCGTCTTGCTTTGCCTGCGGCGCAGTCGGAGGCCCAATAAAAAAGAGGATCCCCTGCTGCACAAGACATCTTGCATGCCAATACTATTATGAGGCCTCCGTGCAAGGACGCAATTTTCGCAGTTCCATGTGCGTGCGGGGAACAAAATTACAGAGTGGTTATGATCACGTAGAGCTGAGGATCATATTTCAACTTTCAAACCCTTGGTATTTAGTGTGGTGAGACCGTTACATTATGGGGCCTCATCCTGGGGAGCTAGATACGCCAAACGAGTGCCCCGGGCCGACGTTGTTGTTCAATACAATAATGGTGCCGGTGTTCCGAAATGCCTCGGACAAATATATGATTCTGAAGCAACAGCAAGGCCTGATAAATCATCCCTGCCATCGTACTTATTTCAATCATTTAACACTGCAAGCACCGAAACAGGAACCTAGCTACTTGGTATTCTAGGCCCTTTTCCCAGCATTTTGGTTCGCGACACCTTGTGACTTACATTGTCCACTACCCCTTCCAATATCCATAAACTTTATTTCGACGCCAGTGACATTTGATCCTTCATGAACGGGACTGTGGCATGTTCACCAACGATGGAAATATTCCACCTAGATCCAGATACAGAAGCACATAAATCGCTAATCGATTGCGAAATCCAATATGATTCTGACCACTCCACAGCGGTTCTATCAGGCTCGAATATGGTTCACCCGAATGTTCGCCACTCTCAACGCGACTTAAAAGGTATATTCATGACAATTGCCAAAAGTCACTGGACGTAAGAACTCCACCAAAGAAACCCGTAATCCGATTTGCATAAACTAACCGTGGATAGCCCCATCTTCATTACACTGGTTCTCATGTTAGGAAACACCATCTTCGAACTAATGCATGTGGCCAATCCCGATAAGCTCACCATGGCGCTATGGTACTTTTTTATGTTTGTTTACATGGTCTTAATGCAGTGGGCTGGTGTCATCACCTTCCCACCAAGTCGTTAAACGCTCCTCGATGCGCGTCAGTGAGACATCACTTTACAAAGAAACCAACATTTGGAAATGAATCAACTATGGCACTGTTGGACCGGTTGTGTCCGACTAGAACATGTGTATGAAGGAAGCCATGTAGAAGGATAAAGTATAACCTATGCCACGGAGCTGAATAACAGTCCGTATCTGCTCAAATGCGCATGAACGAGTTTTCACAGTGTCCGAGATTAGGCAAGGGAATGAAGATAGGATGTACTTGAAGCTTTGACCAAAAATTATCTTTTAATTCTTATATGTGGCGAATCATGAAATTGCGTAATTTCAGTGTAAGTGCTGAGTATCATTAAGCTGTAAAGCTGATTTATCTCCATTCCTCTCATCCTCATCCAAGGGGGTATCCGATTCAGACCAATCTAAGTCTGCTTATTCATCGTTCTTCGTTGTTATCAATGCCTCACTTCTTGAAAACGCCCAGGACCTTGTGTTTCAGTTTATCCGCGACACTGCCATGGCTAGCAGGTGGCTCCTCATGCGCTGCACCATCGATGACCTTTTTCTTTTTGTGCTCAGGCCCAATATGAACGTTGCCGGCGCCGCCACGGCCTGTGTGAACGTCTTCGTCTTCAAGCGGGCGTACCGCAGCTTCGGGGACGATGTCTGCATCTTGACGCACGGTGGGCGCGATACCTTTGTCGCCGATGTTCCCTCCTCCTATAGACAGTCAGTTTAGCCACCTACGAGATTACCAAACGCAAGCTTGATAAGAAAAAAAAAATTTTTAAGAAAACCACCTGGCCAGAAAAATTCATGGTCGACACAGATCAATCTGGCTAAGCAAAAGAAATCATGCCTAAGAAAATGCGCAGAGTAATTGTCAATCCTGCGGTGGCGCTTGCCGGGAATCAAGCCAGGCAAAGGACGCAATTTGCGCTCATCAGTGCTACTAAGACTACAACAACAACTTCAAAGCCTGGACACGCCTCAAAACCACCCGCTAACATGAGCAATAGTAGGCACACGTACCGCCTCGTCCAGTGCTGTATGCGCCAGCACCTTGCGAGCCTGGTGTTCCAACGCGCACGATCTCGCCGTCGATGTATTTGGTGTCATCAGGATTGATGTTACCGGCACCACCCCGGCCGTGAGATACCTCGGGTGCAGTCATTTATGCGGTTTGCTGGTCTGTACAATAAGTGTTGGTTAGAAAAAAGTGTTGAACGTATGCTGAGTTGTGAGAGAAAAAGCTACAGGTTGATGACATGGGGTCGTCGCATGATTTTGTACTCGGCTAGATGCTAGGCGCGCGATGCGCACGACATCGGCAGACCAGGATCTGGCGCGGGATGCTTTTGCCTTTCACATACCTGATTTTTAAACCCTGGCGAGTCAAAAATATCTTTGAACTTGTAGATGAACAAATCTGTATGCTCTTTTGGTTATACTTTCGCATGCGTAACCGGAGGACATCGGTATTGTTAATTGTTCGGCCCAGCACCAGCTTTATCATGCGTTTTGGAATGGTTCCCCCGCTGTCGTCATCATGGACGGATGGCTCCAATGCGAGGTACGCATTCCAAGGCCCTACATCGCTCTGGGGGGCCATTTAGAATTGCTTGTTGGGTACCTACATCTCCGACACATGTTTCTTGCAAGGCCCTTGTCCAGGCTGAAAAATGGTACCTGAGACGTGTGACTCCCGGTATCTTGGGCGAAAGTATTGCGTGACGTAATTGCAGCTGCTCAAGCCGTGATAAGATTCTGAGCTGTCAGTGGTCAATCACAAGCCACTAATTACATCGGGGGCTTGGGGGCTGCTACTGCGCTTTTGGGAGGTCTTATAAAAATTAAATGGTGGACGATGATAGGACACCAAAACTTTGTTACAATGCTAGAGACGGACACCTAAAACTCGAGTCACGTAGTTCTTGTCCCTTCATGTTAAATCTCCAGGCATTGTTTCAAGCGAGAACAACCGGCACAACAAACAAGCTCCGCTAGGACTCACGTGGAATTAGAAGTTTGTGGATTCCACTCTGAACCAAGTTAGCGGCATAACCAAGCCTCCGCAGAGTCGGAGGACAATTGATACACTTTGAAGCAAACGTCAAGAAGCAATATAGAGATTTTGATAGGTCGCGTCTACGAAATTTGATTGCTACTAAGTTGGAGGGCAAACGATTCACAACTTCCTGGGCCCTCTAATTCTTCCTCCATCTCCACTATCCGTCACCACTATCCATCATTACACGGCGACTCACTGCTGAAGCTGTCAACAGCCATAACAAGAAGTCCCAGGGCTGTTGATGCTTGACGCAATGATTTTCACCGTGGGATCCAGTCATCAACAGGTGAAGACGGAGCGATTTGATATAATCCGAAGATTTTGCCGAGGCTTTTTTCCCCATGCCCATCTGTAATACAAAAGGCACGCTTTCCATGATTGGCTTGCTATCGAGCACGCCTGCCTTATCAAATTTGCCGTAACAACCAGGATTCTCGGCGAGCAGATTCAAGTTCTCTTGGTTTTGGTCGGCATTCTTACTTGAACAAGAAATCCAGAGCTATGGAGCCAGAGTCATCGAATCTCGAAACTGCACATCTTCAAGTATCTATCTCCCTACCAACCTCGTGGGGGAATTAATCGGCATCGTTTCTCTGGAAAGTGTGATTCAGTCTCAGCTACCTTTTGTGCTGGTTTCACGGTACTATAGGAAACCATCGAGGAAATGCAACACATTAATTTTAGGCTCAAATTAATCGTTGCATCGCCTTTCAGTGCGGCGACGCACTCAAATGGGTATCATCGCATAGCTTCCAGGCAGGCATTTCCATATTCATCGCGTTGCGTATGGATATATACTTCTTGAAATACAGAGACCCATATATCGATTGAGAAGAGTCGTACGGTTTCAGAATGTAAAAACGTTATCCGGGATAATGAAGCTTAAATCACAATGACTCTTTCCTGACCCTCTGACTCTAGTCTATATGTTTGGCCTAGGGCCCCAGGCAATTTCTCGATCGACCTTGTTCATGTCGCCACCTTTTCCAATGCGTCTTTAAACGCCGGAAACTGTGTAAACATCCTCGTTTGGGGTTCAATCATTGGGGCCATACCATCGTCGCCCTTCTCTAGCGCTCGCTTATATGCTGGTCTCTCACTACAGTAATCAGAGTTAGGAACTTTTCATAATGTGGAAGCGGGGGAGGAGAGAAGAATGATCCTTCGGGGGTATTGCGAAGCAGTCAAGCAGAGAATATTGTCTCTAATAGGCAAACTCGGCTCCATAGACATGCAAGAAAAGGTAGAAAATGATTCCGAAATTTGCTTACGATACGTCCTTCATCCATCTTAAAATATTTGGATACGGGCCTAGGTCAACCGGGCTGAAACCGCGCAGCGTCGAAAGACTGAACATTATCATACAGTCCGCAGCACTAAGCTCCTCGCCTGCAAACCACTTGCTCTTCGCTAAATGCTCATCAACTAGCTTGAGCTGGTTGAGGAGTCGGCTGCGGTAGATCTTCGTAGCGATACTTTCACCAAGTCCGGAGAGTATCATCGTTATTTGTTGCGCGATGGAAGGTTGGAGGGAACCGTTGGCGTAATGAAACCATTGTAGGTAAGTCGAGTAGTCCGGATCATCCGGGGTTCTGATGAGACGCGGGTGACCAGGCGCGGAAGGGAACACGGAGACAATATACGAAACTATGGCTGACGACTCTGACAAGGCGACTTCGGGAATCTTTGATGTGTCTCTAAAATAGGGCGCAGTACCATATGGTGTCTAATCGTTTGTTAGCTAACTTAGTCTACACGGGCTCAAGGTGATTACATACGATCGCCTTCAACTCATCCGGTGCTAGAGCAGTTTGGGGATTTCGCTTGAAGACGTGCAAGTTGTAGGGAATTCCCATCTCCTCGATGAGCCATACAATTCTCTCCGACTGAGAGAGCTGGAGGTGATAAACTTCAAGTGGCATTTCGTTCTTACGGATGTGTCTGGCTAATGATGTATGATAATGTGGAATGTTGCTGATAGTTACAGGCTGACGCAAAGCTGCACCTTGCACTTTATATAATAATGCCTTCCGCCACTAGCGGCTACGTCTTCAAACAAGTTAGGTTAGAGTGTGTCCTAACAACTACATCCACAGTCTAATTCGAGTGGCAGACGATCTCGGCCCATGAAGGAAGTGGCCCACCACTGACCTAACTTAGGATAGTCTAATGTCCACTATAAAAGTGAATCATGAGATTTGTAATTCAAGAATATCGTAAGAGGGCCCCACAAATTATTCATCATATCCTCGTACATACGAAGGTTCCTACCACTGTGAATTTCTACAGCGGGACCTATCATGCATGTGAAGTATTTATGCTGTGTATACAGATCCGTACCTGTTGGTATATTCTTTTGATGACGTTCTCAGGCTCCAGACTGCTGCGGGGCGGTGGAGACTTTTCGCACCATTTTTCCCCACGGCTGTTCGGAAAATCACAAACTTTATTTCCTAATTGGGACATTGAGCGATTATTAACCTGATGTGGTTATTGTGTACAGCGATATGGGGAGTTTGAAGCACGCTGGCAGAGAGTCGCAATCTTGTTACATGCCCAATCGATTCCTATTAAAAGCCTATACATCTGGTCGGTTTTTACTAAAACAGAAAGTCCGTACATACCTGGGCTGATTTGTGCTCATCTCCACCTTTAAATCCAATTTCCAAATGCGCCGGTTGGTATTTCGCAACCACGATGGTTAACAATTATGAAAGAACTATTTAGGGTTAGTATTTGAGCTTAGAAGTAGTTCTGGCAGCGGAGGAGGCGGCGACGGTCCCTTTCGTTAGAAAATGGGGTTTGTTATACGTGGGGGGAGATATCTAGCAGGAATGGGTGGGCATTTAACTACTGGCGAGTTGAGTTAGAAAAGATGGAGAGTCCAACTCAGTCCAATTGAAAGGCAAGGGGATCGTCCTGAGAACCTCGTTCACTTACTCAGCAGCAGATAAGAAATTACAGTAAGAGGCTCTGTGTGAAAAGGATACCAAGGACAGACTTCATCTAATACAATATCTGCACAATATAATTGAACATTCTAGCGTTTATGTGAGCTGTAGTCTTGGTTACCTTTACCATCCGGCAGAGTTCACGGGGGATCAAGCTGTGCTTGAAGATATCAGCGACTATAGTATGGATGATATTGAGAGTATATTATATTTCCATAATTCTATAGTAGCTACTAGTCATGCACTAGTACTTAGCTCTCATATCATTCGCCTTTTGCTCCTCCCTAGAGCCCGGTAGTTTTAGATAAGAAATGCAGCGATACCTATTGCGACAGAAAGGGCTAAAACCACGTGGGGGAATAGTCCAATACCAGTACCAGTTGGAACAGGAATTGGCTGGCTTGACGTTGTGGTGGTGGCACCGGCTAGAGGGGTTGCGACGGTAGCAACAGTCTGAAGCAGCACTGGCGTTGCTGTGTATGTCATAAGATCCGTTGAGAAAGCGACGCTTGAGAAAGGTAAGCTCGAGACCGATGATGCGTTGGGAAAGGCGAGTCTTTCAGATGCAGGCGCAGACGGCTCTAAAGAGGCTCGGTCAAAGTGTCCTGGACTCAATACGCTGAGAATAAGCCAGGTTAGCATATACAGTTTCTTGCGATTGCAATCCACTAACCTATCAATTACGTGGGCGATACCGTTATATAAAATGGTGTTAGGAAACGTGATTTTTGCGTTGTTCACCCAGGCAGAACCGTCTGGTAAGACAGTGAAAGTCAGGTTGGTCCCTTGGAGGGACGGAACTGTAACATTGCCCAAGGATGGTGAGAAGATGACATTGTTGGGGATAATGTGGTAGCGAAGGACCTCCTGGAGCGTCTCTGTGTCCGCCGACTCAAGCACGGAGCCAATCGACTTGAAGGCCGCGTCCGTGGGGACAAAGATGGTGTAGTCAGAGATATTGAGGCCTTGAACGTCGGCTCCAGTCTCGCCTAGCGCGAAGTTTAGTTGAGCAGCCTCCAGCGCGGCATTCATGGCGAGGTAGCCCGATCGAAATGTGAAGAGTTGCAACGGAGCCCCAAATGCAAGTACTGTGTCGACCTTGTGGATCGTGATACCTTCACCCAGGGTAATATCCTGTATGTTACATCAGTGCACTGTAGATTGTGTATGCAGATGAAGGAAATACGGACAGCTTTGGTGACGGTAGAGACGGTTTGCTCTCCAGACAGGATGCACACATCATCTCCGTTCTTTACGAGTCCATTGTAGGCACCGCCAGTAAAGTTGGAAAAGGGCTGCCGAGCAGTAATGTATGAATCGTCGAGCAAAGTTTGGGCAAACGTAGGAATATTGGTGATGACGTTTGAAGGATATACTCCTTTGAAGACGTGGTTCGCAAGGAGAGCTCCAATCGAGATAGTATCATTGCGAAGTTCGATGGCCTCACCTTCCGGGATGTCCCGTGGTACATTTGCGAAGGCTTGGTTTGTTGGCGCCATGATGGTAATATTAGAAGCCGAGGAGAGAGTGTCTGCAAGGCCATCCACAAGTTTGACAAGCTCAAGCAGCGTGCTGAGGTCATCTTGAGAGGCGAGAAGCGCAGCAAGGTCACCCTGAGCCAGGCAGGAGCCAGCCATTAACACACAAGACCAAATTGATGGACGCATGATGAGGGGATTCAGAAACGCAGCGGCGTGTGGAAAGATAGATGTTGGTCAGTGAGAAAGATTGAAGTGTGTAATATGATACTCGAAAGTCATTTTCTCCAAGTCGATGAGCTCACGACATGCTCTTTATACATGAACTTGGATCAGGGCAGCGCAAGGTAGCTCCAGCCTCCCACAGATCAAGGCTCGCGTGCTGACAATCATGATTCATGACGGCCAGCCAAGACGCAGTCGTCGTATTTGGAGTCCCACGATCGAGGAAAGTCCAACTAAGTTAGCATTTCTCTCCCGATTTTGGTGTTCTAAGCATTGTTAAAATCTCACGACCCATGATGTCCAAATCTGCACAGCCCTTGCCCAGACACGCGAACACCAATCACCGAAGGCATCGCTAGGAGCGGAGACGGCCAAAATTTGCCGACTCCATTCTTATGCAGAGAAGCAATTTAGCTTAAAATTCCCCGGCATTCAGACCACGCCAATACAGTAGGCTTCAGGTTCAGCGTCCGTCTATTTGAATTGATTTCTTTCCGAATTGGTCCATTTCTAGCACTGTGTAGCGCTGACATGATGTGTGTCTTGCTTCCGGATGTCTGCTTTCAGCTGATACCTCAGATATTTGTTTAGTTCAATTGGCCCCTAGTGCGGAAAAGCCAGTCCATACTTTTGGTGACATAAGATAGAGTCGACCGAGAACTGTCTTCTATTCGTGATTACATTGTGACTGACTCGTGAGAGTTGTGAGTATGTTTGTGCTTCACTCCTTACTGAGATTCCGATAACGCATAACGCCGAAACTATTCTACGCATCGAGCACGACGCCTGAAGAATGCCAGCGACTGTAGAATATGCAGTATGAGACTTTGAAAATACCCACAAACTGCACTGATCCCGATCCCAAAATAACTCCCAGGATGCGTGATGTACATGGTAAATTACTAAATAATAAGCCTGGTATGCTGCGCTGTGGGATAGTTGCCTTCTTGCCTACATTTTATCATTTTCAATCATGACCATGTGATACTGAGTATGACGCCTTCTTTGATACGAATATCCATCTTTTGATTGGCATATATATGCTCAAGATCGACACGTTGCTTTCAGGTGATTGAAGCTGGTTTGAGAAAAAGTATACCTTCAGCCATCATTCTGAACCCGAGCATAATGCCACCCACTGTAGCGCTCGATAGCCTCATATCATAAATATAGGGGTATTAGCATAGTCTGATACTTACCCGTTACCGCAGCATCACTCTCGACGGCCTTTTATATTCTTTCTAAGTACTGATTGGGCTGCTCAAGCAGGGCGTTATCACTACCAGCACCGGCACTAGCATTCACTTGGGTCTTGCAAGCCTTCCTTCCACCTCTATTTCTCGGTATCTAGCTATGTGACCCTGATAAAAATATTCCTCGGATCTAAGAGGGAAGTACGGACTTCTGGTCCTACAGGTGGTTCGTTAAAGCAGACCGCAAGTAGTCTAACGGGTGAGGACAGCCGGATATAGTCCAGGGATTGAGCCTGATGGTCCCGGACAGATCCCTGAAAGAACTTTTGAAATTCGTTTTGAGCTCGTGTTCATAGGCATGAGGAAATCCTTGAATACTGCATTCTGTCTTGGGGATGTGGAGGATGTTGAAGAGGCGGAGGATCGGGCAGGTTCCCAGAACCGGAACTAGTCTACACTAGAGAAGCTGTATGACTGAAAGAACAGTGGATAACATGACTATAACATCCTATACATTTGAACCGGTGGTGATAACCCAGTCCAAATAGGGTAGAGACATTGTATTGTGGGGCGTCGGGTGTGAATTCATGTTAAAAGAGCGATTTGTTCTTGAGCGAGATATTTTTCAAGCGACAGGTTCGATACTGGATTCTACTAAAAGTTTGTAGTATAAAATGAGATTGATGATATGTGTGGGGAGTGAATGGGTTGGGTAATTAAAGAAATTCAGCTTTGGAAAATGCTGAGGTCAGATGAAACTGCTATATAACTGGTGGGAGCGGGGTCACAAGTAATCAAGCCTTGAGAATAAGGCAGCCTAGGTGTCATGGCCTAGAACCTAAATAAGGTAGGCCTAGAACTAATCATTAATACTCCCTTTTGCCGTCAAGAAACAGACTGAGTCCAAGCTGTGGGGCTCCAATAAATTAATTTTACAAATGACTAGCAAATGAAGTGTGGATTTATATGGCGATTTTGAGATGTTCGCTGAGGACTCAAGTCTGGAATTGTACGAAGGCAGAGACCCACAGCCAAAAGCCTTGGGGACTATGACTAATCCTTGAGGAGCTATGAAATGATGGCCATCCTTTCATTTTACCCTAGTCACAAATATCGCACATTTCGAATACAATATGAGGAAACGGTATCGTGCTTGTGAAGAGTGCCATCGTCTCAAGATCAAGTGCGATGTAAGTACGTCCACTGGAGCGGCGTGCGAGCGGTGTAGCCGCAACAACGTGGAGTGCGTGCCGGCGGCATCTCGTCTTCAGCGCGACCGCATCAATGAGCTCGAAGCTCAGGTCCAGGAATTCAAGAACGCGCTTCGAGACCAGAGCAGAAGCATGACGCCGAACCGGTCGCCCGGTAGCCTGCTGGAGAACCACAATCATGCCGTGTTATCGTTCTTGGACGCCCGTATTCCGCCAAGCAAACAACAAGATCTGCTCCGCCTCTTTGCGCACCAGGCGGGAGCTGCGTGGCCAGTGATTCGCCTGACCATGACACTGGACCGTATTCGTGCGAAATCTCCAATACTACTGCTCTCTGTGCTGGTGTATTGTGTCACGCAGGAGACGCAAGGCACTGAGCTCGACGTGCACGACGAGCTCGTGCGAGAAACAATGCACATCCTTGGCGACGAGGTAATAGGCAGGGGACAGCGATCCCTTGAACTCGTGCAGGCGCTGCTCGTGGCGGCCTTTTGGAACAAGACCACGCGGAGAGGGCAGCAGGCAAGTTGCTATCAGATCGTCCAACTAGCTGCTGACATGGCCATTGACCTCGGGATTGCCGGGGTTTCGCTGCAGCCCTCTCCGGTGGCGTATTTCTGCCGGCACGAGGATCCAACATCACTCGAGGCACGGCGTACTTGGCTTGCCTGTTTCGTGGCACTCTCGACATCATCTATAAGTATGCGTCGGCCTATTACAGTCACGTGGAATTCTCATCACCAAGACTGCCTCTTACACCTGGAAAGCAGAGGGGAACAATCCGATATTCTGCTTTGTCAGATCGTTCGCATCACCCAGCTGATTCAAGAGATTTCCAACCACCTTTGTCTTTGCCAATTAGCTACTTTCGTAGACGGCAACGACTACAGTTCTCATGCTACAATTGAGACTCTGAAGGACAAGGTCGACGCATGGGCAGCTCAGGTTCCACGTAGCCTTGCATCGTCACAGACGCTCAAAGTGTGGCGTCATGTAGCCATGATACATATTTACGAACTTGTGCTACATACCCCTACAAACAAGGCATCGTTTGCAGCACCGTTTATCCCGGGACGCATCGCTATCAAAGACTTCCCAATACCAGCCAATATCATCCCTCCTCTCAAAACGGCGCTTGAAGCCATCATCCAGAACTGCCACGCCGTCATTGACACTGCCGCAGAGATGGACCCTGTTCTGTTACTCAGCCTCCCTACGTTTTGTTTTGCCCCAACCGTGATATACTCTCTTTTCGTGCTGGTCACTGTCTTGGTGGCGGCTACCGACCCAGCAAACACTTACGGAAAATGTCTAACAAAGGACAGTTTCCGCATCGAGCAGTGTGGTCTGAAGCTGCGAGATTTGATAGCATGTATTAAGTCTCTTGATCCTACGTTGAGTTGCTACACGACTCGCATGTTTGACGCGACAGGGTGGCTTGAGGAATGGTACAACGACTACACTGCTATTCTCCGGCGATACGAGACAAACATGGCTCACTAGTATAAGACACAGGAATTGGGTGGCTTGTGATTTACTCTTGATCAAATAATATATACTTGGCTTAGCGCAGACATTATATAAGTATACTACGCATCACGGTATAATAGAATTTAAGCTTAGCATCTAATTATTAAGGTTTAGTTCGAGAACACCGCTGAATCCGCCATATCGGAGGGAAAGTGCCACCAATTAGCAGCAGTGCGGGGAAGCCCAGCGACGAAGTTCATAGGTCCACTACTGTGGTTCATCATGCTTTGCAGGGCGGCCCGTGCGGCCCGTGCGCGTGTTCAAAGAGAGGGGCAGAAGGGGCACAGCGCACGACGATTACCCACATTTCCAATGACCAGTTTTAGTCCCCTTCATCTAAAGCTACCAATCATCGAATCAGGCATGCCTGATGTGCTGAACTCGGATCTGATCGTCGTTTCTGCATCGGTGGATGATGCGGATTCTTCAGGGGCTGCTGTCGTTAAGCTATCGGCCATCTCCAAGTCGCTAGCCATCTTTGAACCAATACGGATCCGTTGTTGATTCGGGGGTAGTGATGCTTTACCCCGTAGTGCTAGTGATTTCCGACGTCGTTGCGGTAAGTCTCAGCCGTGCAGCTGTTGGTCTCTGATGTATCCGTGGCTGGACCAGTAGTGGAGCTTAGGAGCCACCGAGCTCGTTGTTTTTGAAAGAATCACCTCCAGAATACTCGTGGCTGGATCGGGGTCACATAGCTGCAAAGGCGGACCTTGAAAAACAAACTGCATTGGCGAACCGGAGCTGTAGTGCAACTGTGACAGATTTAGCACAGGATGCAGCGAGCATAAATGTCACATCTGAAACCATCGGTATATATATATTCCCGTTGTCGTCTCCCAGGGAGTCGAGGTTTTGGTTATAGAACGCTGAATACCCACAACGGTAGATGGTCCGGTCGAGTCTATGCATATGGTACCGATAATGCAGCTTTGAATAAGATAACTGCACTAGTATTCATGCATCCTTGAAAATCTACAGACAGAGTGTACTTTGTTGCAATAGCCAGATAAGACACGGGTTCGCTGGAAGTCGGCATGTTTTGAGCACCTTCAAGAATGCCGAAGCACCTATCGCTATCTCAAGTTCGTAGCGTAATGAAATAGTTCTTACAAATAGTTGTTGGTATTATTGCCAGTCTTAGCACGCTCAGAAATTAGAGTCCAGGGCATGAGGCCATCGTCGAAGGAGGGATTGGCAAGAAGGTTCGTAGCAGGGCCACTATTACACAGCTGTGCCAGAGATCATGCAGTGAAGCGTAGCAACAACCATTAGTGCCAAGGAAATGATCGGCTCGATGCACTTACTATTGCTGCATTTGTTGTCAGGAACTGTGTATCACGAAAAGGTCTGATACTCCACCTTCTTATGAAATGAATCTCGGAACGATTGGCATGCGGATTGAATAGTGATTTAGCCAGTGTAGAGGGTAATTATTCCAAGTCCAAAGCGGATGTCAGAGTAAACCCGAAATTAGTGGTTTCAATCTTGAACAGCATTCCACCAAATGTTTTGACTTGTCAATTGCAATCTGCAAGGGAGACTCCTGCTATCTAAGCAGTATCATTTAACATTTATTATAAATGTCTAATCAAGGCCATCCTGATACTAGCCCAAGATATTTCAGTATACATTCCTGAGAGCCTAAAAGACTAACAAATCATAGAGCTGCTTCTATAACAGCCCTTCTTACTAAGCTTATGTACTAGCATCGCTACCATAATGTTCTTGACGTATAATTCCGCGGCATACTTCCATTGAAATAAAGGACACTCTTCGAGGTCGTGAACAATTAGACCAACGGTAGGGCTAGGAACAAGCGGCTCTTCTAGGACCTTCTCCGTATGAATGTCACTTACCACGGTTTTATTCACAAATACCACATGACTACTATTAACGAAAAACACAGTACTGATATTGCGGACTCTATTGTTAGTTATAATCGCCATTGGTGCCGATTTTCACGAAGAATTAAACACCTATTTTAACTGATATTAGTCTCAAGGGGGAGGGGAATGGGGTCTATGTGAATGACTTGTCGTATTAATGTTAGAATCTAATCACAGAGTTAACCAAGCTCTACTAGTTCTGTACTGTGTCTAGTATCGGTTTGTTGATAGTTTTGTGGAACCTCGGGGTTTTTGAACACATAATAAGGATCCCAGCTTGGCGACGGCTCTCATTTATTTGCTCCCCCCTTGCGCTTCTTGCGTTTTATTAAATAGAAAATACCAACTAAAACTAGTACAACAAGGCCAACGACAGAAATATCAACTGCTATACCGATAATTGCCCTCCGGAGACCCTTCCGCTAGCATTTTTAGATGATGTCGATACCAAATACGATGCCTGTGGGATGCTGCTGGAGATGATGGTGCCTGAAGTAGGCACAGCCGTTAAGTTCGAGGTAGCCGACGCGGACGTTCCAGTCGTGTACGATACAATTGAAGTCGGTCTTGACCCGGCCGTACTCGTGATTGATGTTGTACTTGAACTACTCAAGATAATAGGAATTTTAATGTTAAAAAAAAGCAGAACTCTGCTGACTATGGGAGTTTTTGTCGCGGAGCCAAAAGAAGAAAACTGGAGAGTTGGGCAACTGAATTTCATAGGTCTGCACAGTCCAATAGAAGCTCTGAGGGAGATAATCTCCAGCGTCCTCTTGAATACGAATTAGTCAAACTGTACCAAACAGTGACATGACACATGCCCCGGCTTACGTTCGTAAACAAGGGTGGGCGATGAAGTAGCATTACCGACGTCCAAATTCTGCTGCCATAATTCAATTTTGTATTCGTCCCAGGTCGACTGAAATGCTATCAACTGACTCAATCCTAGATCCCATGCTGAAACGCCTGCAAATCGGCCGGTATTCAAGGAGGACTGAAAATTGGGCGAGATGAATTCGTTACTGTCGGCAGCGGTGGCACAGTTGAAAAGGCACAACATGAGGAAGCCCAGTGCCGACCTCGTCTCGAGCATTATACTGCACTATATCGTTCTAAGTTCTGAGGAAAAGGTCTTTTGAATGTGGCGCCCTAGCCAATGCCCCGTCGCTCTGTTGGGTCAAAAACGATGATCAACAGTAGGTGAAGAATGATGGTACAGGTCTGCTTCGATATGTATTTCAACCTGCATCTTGCGCCGCGTATTTAATTCTTTCTACGATTATATGTAGCTTAGATTTGTATTCTCCCAAAACAAAGTCCTATCCTCCAAGAAGTACCTCTAAATCGCCAGCAATACCTGATTGGGTTCATCACCTCACTCGAGTATTCTCGGTTCTTCCAGGTTCGAATCAAGGTTAGAAAACAACATGGTAGAATGTACTTTGTAATTCGTGGAATATTCTTTTCCGACTTGGATGGCACAACAATCGACGCTGTATCGCGCAATCTGACCTGGCCTTAGCCCACGAATCAAGCCTCGATGTAGGCAAATTTGTAGCGTATGCTTTAGTCTATGCAACTTAGCGATATTCTTCTATCAAACTACCTGGAGCTTAGCGGTATGCTGTCGAAGGTCAAGGACTTTGGTGAGAGAGATTTTACATTAGTCAAGTTTCATGTTGGCACAACCGATCGCTTCAACTTTTAGCAAGCTTGCCTTGCCGGAGATGATAATTGAGTGACTTCGATGCTAAATGATCGAAAATTATCTTTGCATCCAAAATGGCTTCTCGAAGCCGAGACCAAGGGCTATAACGATTATCGTGCAATATATTGAGCAGCATTGTGAGGGCACATTCATATTTTCAAGACACTCATCACTACCGGGGCTAAAATCACCTCAAAAACAAAATACGGATAGACACCTACACCCTTATATATTGGCTGTAGTATGCAAACACTTTGGTAAACGGAACATTGGTAAGACATTCTTTCCAGGCAGGACTCGTCAGGGACACGGAAGATGACTTCTTTGCTAAAAGGAATAATCGCTTTCCCGAGAGTCCACTTCACCTAGCTGTGGGACATGATCCATCCATTGAAACAAAAGGCCTTCTTCGTCATGTGCAACAATACGAAAGATCAAGTGCGTGGACACTTGCCAACGATAACTACACATATTATTACCGAGCTACACCCGTAAGTCACGCGTTGCTACTACCATATCTGCACTACGAGAGACGTTTTTGTTATCCCAGCAAGCATCTCAACGGCTTAGGCCGTACGGTATTCTGCAGAACAGCTTCGTTCGGAAAAGACATGACTGTTGAAGCCCTTGAATGACTCCTGCCGGAACTCAAGGTGATTTGTATCTTCAGTAACTCATGACCTAGCGCTACTATACGTCGCATGGTGGTGTCGGTAATGCTGTAGCGGTCAAAATACTGCTCGAAGACAGTGCCGATCCCAGCGCAGTCTCGGCGAACCCTAGTCTAGCAACTGCTCGCATAGCTGCTTTGTACCGCCACAAAGGTTGCCTCAAAGTGTTGATGAATGATGGCGTTGATATCGATCGGTCCTCGGAGTATGGTGTAAGTCCACTGCACATCTCGACATCTCGCGAGAATAGTTGGCCATTGGGTTTCCAAAGCCGTACTCACAGCAGCGATAAAGAATTTATTTGTTACATCTGACGTTACAGCGACACGAGCTACGCACTGAACTTGGGGAAAAGATGGCCAGCTGCTTGAGCGGCTCCATGTAGTTGGCATTACGCTACAGCATTTGAAAGGCGAACTGAGCAAGGAATGAAAAGCCAAGGATCCTCTCCTCAAGGATCTGATCCGAACTTGCCACCGCAACTTTGTCTAGAATCGCATGTAAAGTCGAGTCATGATTGGGTCCTTTGAGTTTCTTTGTTAGCGCTGTCATATATTCTTGAGCCGTTACTACCGTTGAGTCGTGTTAAAGTATGAGCCCGGTTTGTGCTGGTAGAGGCGGATTATATCGTGGTATATAATGACGTAAGATTTATATCGGCCTAAGTATTATACCACGCTGAGTTTGAGAGATTGGAACTTTTTCCCTTGAGAACTGGCCCTTTTGCGCGTAATCGTATTGGTTCCCCTCAATTCTGCGAAGAGAAAGACGTTGTTCTTCGGACAGCGTTAAAAATATGCCACCGAGATAAACAGACGATATTAGGCAGTAGTATATCCAAATACGAGTACGAGATAGTATTGCCCGCAGTATACTTCGTCAAGCAACTGATTCACCAAAATTCATAGCGTACCCGTCCCAAAACAGATTTAGCATGATCTCGTCTTCACCCGTGGGCATTGGGAAGTCTAGTAACGACTAAGACTGAGGTCAGTCCCAAACTGTTCACAAGATGTAGGCCGAATTAGAGAGTACAGGCAATGGATGGCTCCATGCGAACGACTTCGACAACTTACCTGCGTTCCTAAAATGTCTGACCACGACGTTGGGGTCGTTTCGCTGTCGACTGCCTCCGATCCCGATAGCGTGGCATCAATTCCTCCAATTATGGATGATATGGACCGGTGAGAATCCTGTGGGTTCGATGAAGGTTCTAATGTAAGAATTCTCTCGACCAAGGGTGCTTTGGATCGCTTTTGTTCACGCGCCAGTTTATCCTGGTATGTGTTGATGGCGTCCGAGAAGCTTGTCAGTATCTCATGGTATTGAGCTGCCTGTGGGCTGAGTTTACCAAGCCAGGAAAGGACCCGCCGCGAGCCATCAAATGCATCTCTGGCCTGAGTATTTGACTGATCGCCTGACAATAGGCAGAAGCCCAATACTAAACCAGCAGCGAAAATCCATGCCCTTGTAACGATTTAGCTTGGTATACATGATAAAGTCAGCTGGACTTACTTCAGAATGCACATGTTTCCGAGCAGAATTTCAGCATCAACGGCTTCGGAACACATTTGTGCCATATATACTGCAGCATCAATACACACATGTGCCATCTCGGCCACGCTCCCACCGTCTTTAGAGGTATAACTATTATCGTCTGTTCTCTGCTGTGAGGGTCTGCGCAATAGCGGCATAGTGTGCTGGATGAGAAAATGTCGAGTTGTTAGTATGACGCCGAAATAATATGTACACTGCAGTCTTTCGAGTCAGTAATGACACATCTCCTAACGGATCGGAGTTTTCGAGACCATCATCAAATAGGCATAATACAATACATAGACATACTAAAAAGGGTAGAATATGACCCTGGGATTTGCTTACAGCGACATGTATGTTTCCAATCGAAGTCTCCCTCGATATTGAGTCCTTCCCCGCTCGTTGCCGCAGAAGTGGTGGCAACGCTTGACTCCATTCTCGCAACATCTGCAGAAAGTGTTCAGCCGCAATCACATCCATATTGCTGTCTTTCGCAGCTTTGTGCACGATGGACTCCAAGACTGTCGATGCTTCGTATGTTGCACTGAGGGCGACCGCTCGGTGGCCCGATGATTCAGGGATAAGATCGCTTGCGAAAACGTCATCTGACCGTAGTGACATCGTGCTACCAGGCCTGCCCAGTATCGAGCTACAGACTAAATCCAAAGCCCTGATGCTCTTCCCAGTACGGATTCTATGATCACATCAGATTATGGCATGATCGCCGTGACACATGAGCCAGTATCAACTCACCTCAGGCCCCGCTCTTCAGGCGATAGATACTTATACTGTCCCGACACGTGAAGCCCTAGGACCACGGCCGCTTTCGAAGCTACACCTATAAACATGAAAGCTGTATTCCTTCTACAGGCACCGAACATATAAAATGCCATCAAGAGGAATGTCCGAGCCATGTTGGTCGTTGGATCTTCAAGCATGCTTTCGAAAGCTAACTGGCGCGCCTTCGTGAAGTATCGTGCCGCAGTAAAACGCTGTTGGCCGTCTTTCCCACCACACTGCGCTCCAATGGCAATCACGGCGTAGAAAGAGGCGATATCTTCTCTGTCGGTGCCTTTGATTGTGCTGAGACCATTCTCTTGTGCATGTCGAGCAAGGTTTTTAAGCCGCTCTATCTCCATTTGAGTGAACAAGTCAAGTAGACCACACGACTAAATTTTTGTCAGCCCAATCTTTCGTGGTAATTTAAAACTGGTTTTGGGACCTACAGCATCAAGAAAGCACTGTATGAAGGTTACTTTCTCAACCTCCCCTAGATCGTCTATGAACGCGCTAGCTTCGCTGTTGGGTATGTCGATTTCGAGCATCTTTCGACTCTGCTCGCCTTCAGTAAAACTTGAGGGTCCGGCATATCGCTTCAAGGTCTTCCGCAGAAATTGGTGAAATGATAGTGCTGCTGTGTTACCCACGAAGACTACCCGCCGCGTGTCAGTAAATACGAACCATGAAACTACCTATAAAGCACCTACCTTTTTCTCCAGAGGAACTAAACAACATAACAGGCTTTTGCCCGCCATACGGGGCAGGTGTGTTGTCTCTAGTATTATCTCGAGTATTGTCTCGAGTATCTTCGAATGTTGCCGTCTCATGATTTACTTGTGCCGCGCTACTACTGGGAGCGAGGCTAAGATTTGAGCCGGATCTTGACTCCTGCTTATGCGAAGGTCTTTGCGGGGGACAAAATGGCCTGTCCAGGCGACCCCGAGCCCTGTCGGAGTACTCGCAAGACTCTGGGATGCCTTTCTTCGTGCATGGCGTGCACGGTGAGAGGGAATCGCATCGCTTCTTGAGATGCTTACAGGTATCGCAAGCCTTGACCGAGCGTCGCCGGTCTTCGGGTCTCACTTTGGGTCGGGGCATAGAGCAAATATTGGACCCTCGACGGGCCAACGATCTCTATCGTGTGGCCGAATTTTCGACCTTCCGCATCTGCGCCGGGCCGGATGCAAGTTGCAAGTTGCCTGTGGCGGAAGTCGGCTCGGAACACGAGTTCGAAGCAATCAACACCTAAACACCGCTTATGCACAACTTTTTCCGGTGCACGGGTGTAATCACACGATTGTATGCTCTCTCACCTTCAAAATGGTTCGATGGTAGACAATATCGGCTGTTGCACCACCGGCATAATAATAATAGTGTCACAATCTTTGATTAAGAGTCTGTCGCGGATCGCACACTGGAGTATCGTAAGAGAAACGGAGCGGAGGTGCAGCGGGACATGGGATCCGTAAATACCCATGAGAGACAATAGTGTGACCTGTTCATTGGCTCACGGTTCAGGAGATAAGGTTCAAGCGGGCCTGGACTAGGCTGTTACTACACCCAGACCACAAGTCGCGCCCTACTCTATAGGGCAATGGAGAGTAATGGACTAGGTTAGGTTACTGAGTCCTCATTGCCAAGAAGAGGTGCACTTGCCGCTGTCGGGTAAAGCACTATGCATCATGTTTATGTCTCTTTTGCCCTCACTCACCAGCCCGCAATGGTACATACCCGCTATCGTTGACAACGATACCACTACTGTCGCTCACTCAGTTGATGGTGGGGCATAGTGATTGTAAGGAAATCCAAAGGAGCACAACTAGTTACAAAACTCTATCGCTATAGTGGATCGTCAGAATGGAGAGGAACTGTTCCGACATGCAGTCGGGAAATGCATCGATTAAAGTAAACCCCAGATCTCGTCGTTGGCCTATAAACGCAATGTACTGTCCGCGGTATTGAGCATACCACACATCAAAAGATCTCCTGCAGATCAGCCATCCCTTAGCATCTCGGCTGACGATTTCTGTACTTACACGAGCCTGTTCAGAGTCTTGCTTGGCTACTATAATTCAGAGATCAAAATGGGATCACAGTTCATCGCACCACCCGGTTGGAGGCAACTCGATGTTGCTGTAATTGGCGGAGGTATCGGGGGACTATCCGTGGCCATTGCCCTGCGCCGTGCGGGCCACAAGGTCACCATCTACGAGCGAGCAGACTTTGCTGGCGAGAAGGGTGCCTCAGTATCATGTGCAGCCAACGGCACAAGATGGCTAGAAGAATGGGGCGTTGATGTCCAGAGGGGCGACCCCGTGTTGCTAAAGAAGCTCATCAGCCGCGACTGGTACAGCGGTGAACCTTATAGTGTCTACGACTTGAAGGATTACAAGGAGCGCTGGGGTTACGTATACTGGATGTTTCACCGTCAGTACATGCACGCTATGCTCAAAGACACTGCTCTGCAAGAAGAAGGCGAGGGCGTGCCGGCCAAGTTGGTTGTCAACCACAAGGTGAGATCCCTCTATTGATACTGACGCAGCGACCGTGGGAGCTGACATAAGTTTCAGGCCAAGAATATCGATCTGGAGAGTGGGAAAATAGAGTTCGAGAATGGAGTCACGATAACAGCCGATCTCGTCGTTGGTGCAGACGGTATCGGGTCCGCAGTTCGTGGTATCATTGGCATCCACCCTGAGAAGCGTCCTGGGCCCGCCAGCTGCTTACACGCCAACGTTATGACCGAAGACGCTGTTCGGCTAGGGTTGACCGACTATTCCCAAGATAGTGCACTCGAGTACTGGGGTGGCCAGGAGGGTAAATTTGACAAGATCGTCCTCTCTCCTTGCAACGGCGGCAAGCTGCTATCATACTACTGCTTCTTCCCCCGTGAGAAGGGCGACTACACATCACAAGCCTGGGGCGCAGAGGACCTCCCCGTCGAGGATCTCTTGGCACCTTTTCCTGAGCTGGACAGACGCGTCCGTGAGCACCTCGCCATTGGTATCGAAGTGCAGCCCTGGCGCCTCTGGGTCCACGACCCTTACCCATATATGAACAAGAACCGTGTGGCCATTCTCGGCGATGCTGCCCACCCAATGATGCCTCATCAGAGCCAAGGAGCTTGCATGGCTATCGAGGATGCCGCAGCGTTAGGCATCCTGTTCAACAAGACATACTTCAGCGGCGACGTCGCCGAGACCCTTAGAGTGTATACCGACGTTCGTCTGCCCCGCGTTTCCAAGGTTCAGGCCTCTGCCGCCAAGGCTGCATATAACATCAACGAGCGCATCGGCTTCTCCAGCAACACGGACGTTGATGGCTACAAGGTGGAAGACGAGAGTAAGAAGCTAACTATTGAGGAGATGAACGGATATGACATGTACATGGATATTGAGGAAAAGATCGCTGGGAGGGATGGCAAACCCTTCAATCAAAAGTTCATTAACGGTCTGCCGGTAGGGCTGAAGTTATCGAATGGTGTCACTGTCAGCTAATATGCGGTTTCGAAGGTGGGTTTTGTCGGTTAGTGCGGCGTAAAGTGATTCTTCTCTGCCTTTTGAGTTACCCTCCTGGATAGGCTGTGTGGAAATAGGAGCACTGGACTGTATATACAAACACGGGGGCATAGTCGGAATAGACTTAGATTGTGTACAAATCGTATGTCATAGAACATCTCAGTCGATTTTAGAGTACTTTAATAAGCTCGTCTCTGGCAAGTCGCTGATTAGCCGCATGATCGTCGTCTCTCCGCATGATAAAAGCCTTGACGGTGAAGTTGAGGACATCACGAGCCTTCCAGGTGCCCTCCCCTGAAAATTGATATCACTCTAATGCGGATACTGAATGATGCATACTTGGTAGTTAAGGTAGGGTGGAACTCACTTTTTCGAGCAGAAGTGTTGGTAGTGGTTTCCGTGGACAGTTTAATAAACGTTAATTAGGGTGACAGGAAACGGTCTGTAGAAACAGTTAGTGTCGCTTTTCGTTCGGGTCAGTCACTTGAGCCATCTACTTGGGATGTTCTCGTTATTAAGTGGATTGGAGTTTGTGGTGTGTTGGGCAGATGTTCCAGCATTTATAGAGGTTCTGTCTACATAAGTTCCTGAGCTTATCTGAGGTTTCCTATCTCGAGACAATGCTGGTCAACCATTTTAGAACCATTAAGTTCCGCGCCGAGATACTTTGTTCGTTCTGTCAAGCTTGCATCACGGTTTAAGAACAACTATAATGGGCCACTTTTAAAGTATGTCTTGCTCGGACAACTGTCTTCAGAACCGAGTGCGTCGACGACTTTCCAGAACAATACAGCTGCCCTCGAACAGTAATGTGCGCCAGAATCCAATAAAGGCCATTACAAGTTGAAAGGAGCACATCTGTCATGTAGACAGCAAGTGAGCTTCGCCTGTCTTTAAATCGAGCTATACTCACCGTCGCAAGCGACGTCCTTGTGTTTAAAGTGATTTGTTGCCGTGGATCCGCCGTCCACTAGTCACCATCAAGAGTCAGCCATGAAAAGGTTGTCGCACCCTGGCGCTCTCTCCCTTCTGTCGACGAATAAGCTGAGGCGATGGGCTCTCTCCAAAACCTTTGATAACACGTCGGTCATCCTTTGTAGTCATCAATATGCGCCGCATGAACCTTCAGACCTGATTATCCTGCCAGCGGATGTGACATGTTTGGTCAGGCCGACAGCGACTATGAAGAAAACCTTCTGAATACATGGTAGTGATGACTTCCCAAAATCCAAGTAAGATGGTTGATAGACTAAAGGTCCACAAACCTCATAAGAGTGCAAACGTTGCACAGTAGCCCGTATTCGTACCACGACTGTAACAGCGACATCGGTGTATAAGTCAAGGTTAGCCCACGAACGACCGCCACTTAGTTACATCTTCATGACGCGACATACCGACCAGGCTTTCATGCATGCACGTTAGTTCGAATGATTTCGAGGGACAATCATTGACAAACAAGGCCTCCACAGGACTCCAATTGAAAGAGGGTCGAAGCTTTGGCCGCAGCATGATCCACCAATGTCGGCGCCAGCGGCACATTACTGAATTAAGGGTCCTCACAGACCTGGTTTGCCTGGTCACGGTTATCTTTTGCTTGCCGTACTCGGAACTGTATGCCCACGAGAGCTCTTAGCCGACCAGTTTCACCCAATGTCATGAACTCAAACCCTATTCAGGCTGGTCTTTGCGGCTGTAGGATCCCGTGTCACTTATTTACGACTGCAGGTCGAATGCGGAATGTCGAAAGTGGACAGACAATACTAACCTAGAGTCCTGCAAGGACCGCTGGGGAAGAAGGGACCAGCTAACCTAGGTTGACAAGATCCTGGGACAGATCGCTGATCCACCGCGACGACTGGCTCGTGGAAACCTGAGGGGTGGGATTTGGAGACTTCGAGTGACGATACTTGTTCAAAGAGAGCGGAAATCCGTGTTATCTGTTCATCGCACAACGTTTTTTTGTTTTGTTTTGTTTTGTTTTGACAGCACCGTCGCAATAACCAAGACTGAGGCAGGTACTATCACATGTACACTGTGCTGAGGTGAAAGTTTTTGACATGCTATGCTAATGCAGGAATAAGATTGAAGAGTGACTAACTTGCTGTATTCGCCGTAGTCAAAATCCAAACAAGTTGTGAGAAACGTAAGACCAAGATTTAGAAGCAGCAGCAACAGCAAACAACAACAACAACAACAGAAGAAGAAAAAAATAAAATAAAAAATAAAAAGGAAAAATAAACAGCAGCAACAACAAGAGCCTCAATTGGCAGGCCCTGTTGTTTTCCATGGGCTCAATGTAATGTGATTGTCACCCAAGGTGAACACGGCGGGCCTGATTTCGGCAGTGCTTTTGTTTTTGGTTTTGTTGTTGCCCTTGCTCTACTCTTGCTCTCGCTCTTGTTCTTGCTCTTGCTCACTCTTTTGCTTCCAGAGTTTGGGTTTCTGGCGGCTGAACGGCTTCCCCGTGGCAGGCAGGTAGGGTACGGTTCAGGTACGTGCATTTGTCACTGCCCCAAAGGTGGTGGCCTCTCTGCAGACCCCGCCATTCCGCAAGATTGTGACTGGCTGAAATTGGCGCAAATTAGCTGGGATTCATCTCGGTAGCCCGTTCTTTGGGTAACCTAAGATTGGACCCCTGGCCACTTTTACAGCGATTTTGAGTACGGGATCCGTACCAAGTATTAGACCTAGACTGCGGATCCGTATGTAGGAAGTGAAGTGACATTACGTAGTTTGGGTTCCACGATCTGGGATCAACAAACGTGAATGTGAATCTGGCACGATTGAGAGGTAGCCCGAGGAAGCCTTGGTCTGACCTTTTGGTGCTGCATCGTCAAAATCTTGAATTTGGTGTTGCGCATCTGCTGCATTGGCGTCCTCCCCCTTCCAAGCTTTTAGACGCTTCCTTCACTATCGTCCCACGCTATTGATTTCCCTTTTTTTTGTGCCGCAGTAGTGTCCGCATGGTCGTCGTCGTCGTCGTCTTCTTCTCTGTCGCCGTGCTAATGCCAGTCTAAATTCTAATAGTATCTGTTCAGCACTACTTTTGGACACACTTGCGCCTCCCGGCACTTGGAATATCCATACCATACCTGACCATATTGTCACCAAGCCTGTCTTGCCTCTTATTTCCTCTTTAACCAAGGTTTTCTTATTTTCCACGTTGGATTTTCGGTGAGGCGATAACTGTCATTCGCACAGGCACCCTGCCACTACCACTACCATTTCCCCTTCCAGAAAGCTACACCGGGTTGTGATACACCTTCCTTACTGTTGCTTGTCAGTTGGTCTGAGTGGTTCATCGGTCCACCTACACCCATCGTTAGCAGGCTTGTCTTGTCCAAGCTAGACTAAGCTCAAGCTCAAGCTCAAGCTCAAGCTTCAGCGTTGTACACAACGCGACCAACAAGCAAAACACATGCTTACGGCCAGCCTTATTACGATAAGCGACAGCCGCTAGAGAGCGTACACTACACTGCGGCCTCCGACTCATCATATTGCACGTCAAAGTCCAATACTACTTTTTCGAACAGCGCCACATCACTGATTACATCGTGGGCTTGTTCTTCAGCTCATAGATTATCAACAACTGGTCCGCTTGCAACTCAAGCTGCTTCTGCAGCAAGACCAGCGCAACAATGGCAACTGAACAGTCAGCCCTCGAGCTCAAGCAGCAGGGCGCCATTGAAGCTGCCCAGGACCCCGACTCTACGGTCACTGCAGATGATGCCCAAAGAAAAATGGTGGAAGAAAGCAAGAATGCTGGAGTGGCCGCTTATTCCTTCGACCCCGACGCCAGTCCAGAGGAAAAGAGGCGGCAGATTAGATCCGTAAGTAGTTGCTACGTTCTCCGTACTGGCAATCTGCGACCCTGAAGTCCTCTAACAAGCCGTGGTGCAATTGCAGGCAGTACCAGAGGAGCTAAGACCCCATCACCGGAAACACCAAGCCGTAGCTGTGACGACCGATGCCGACGACGGTGGACCCAAGGCCGATTACCTACCAGAAGCCTCCAAGGCTCAATTGGCCGAAGACGAGAAAGACGCTCAGGGACGGCCAATCGATCCAAACCAAGACAAGGAAGCCTTGGCTGCCAAGGTTGGCTGGACGCAGCAATTTGGGTGGCCTCACGACAGTGTTCTCGAAGGCGATAGCTTACTCGACCACCAAACCTGGGTAGAGGGCCAGATCCCCGACAAATACTATGGAGACTGGTATCACAATGCTGGTGTTATCATGTTTGCCTGCTTGGCCTCATGGCTGGTTGCGCTGCTCGGCGGTGGTTTGGCCTGGGTATTCATCGTCATGGCCATCTGCTCCACCTACTACCGTACCTCGCTTCGACGCGTCCGGCGCAACTTCCGGGATGATATCACCCGTGAAATGAGCCTCAAGAGGCTAGACAGCGATACCGAGTCACTGGAGTGGATCAATGCTTTCATGCTCAAGTTTTGGCCAATTTACCAGCCCGTCCTCGCGGAAACCATCATCAACTCGGTCGATCAGGTCCTTAGTTCGGCAACGCCTGCCTTCCTCGATAGCCTGAAGCTCAAGACGTTTACGCTCGGCTCTAAACCCCCTCGTATGGAACACGTGAAGACGTACAACAAAGAGGAGGATGATACCGTCGTTATGGACTGGAAGTTCAGTTTCACCCCCAATGACACGGCGGATATGACAGCGCGCCAGGTCCAGAACAAGATCAACCCGAAGGTTGTCCTCGAGATCCGCATCGGTAAAGCCATGATTAGCAAGGGTCTCGATGTGATTGTCGAGGACATGGCCTTTTCAGGTATCATGCGCCTCAAGATGAAGCTTCAGTTCCCCTTTCCCCACATTGAGAAGGTGGAGATGTGCTTCATGGAGCGGCCCAGCATCGACTACGTTTGCAAGCCTCTAGGTGGTGAGACCTTTGGATTTGATATCAACTTCATCCCCGGTCTCGAGACTTTCATCTTGGAGCAAATTCACGGCAACTTGGCCCCTATGATGTACTACCCCAACGTCTTTCCTATCGAGGTTGCCAAGATGTTGGCGGGTACTCCTGTCGATCAGGCGATCGGTGTTGTTGCTGTGACTCTCCACGGCGCTCAAGGCCTCAAGAATCCCGACAACTTCTCTGGTAACCCAGATCCGTACGTCTCCCTCACACTCAACCGCCGGACTGAAATTGCGCGCACCAAGACCATCAACGATACGCCAAACCCGAAATGGAACGAAGTTCACTATGTCATTATCTCTTCGTTCAATGATTCTTTAGATATGATGGTCTACGATTACAACGAGTTCCGAAAGGACAAAGAGCTCGGCGTGGCTTCCTTCAAGCTCGAACAGTTAGAGGAGCTCCCGGTCCACGAGAACCAAAGAATAGAAGTCATCGGAAGCGGCAAAGCGCGAGGTGTCCTGTCAGCAGACATTCGTTTCTTTCCTGTCCTGGAACCCAGGAAACTGGAAGACGGGAAAGTCGAGCCACCACCAGAGTCCAACACCGGTATCCTGCGTTACACAGTTGAGCAGGCGAAAGATCTTGATGGTACCAAAAGTCTGGTGGGCATGCTCAATCCCTATGCGGAGTTGTTGCTCAACAGGAAAGTAGTCCACTCCACTAAGAAGTTGAAGCGTACGAACAACCCAATCTGGGACAATGGCTCCAAGGAAATGCTCATCACAGACCGCAAGAAGGCCGAACTGGGTCTTGCTATCAAAGACGACCGTGATCTAGCCGGAGATCAGCTAATTGGTGCTCACAATATCAAGCTGGACGATCTTCTGGAGATGTCAGCTCAAGGAAAGGATTGGTTCCTTCTGAGTGGCGCCAAGAGTGGTCGTGTAAAGGTGACTGCGCAATGGAAACCAGTAGCACTATCCGGTGTCTTGGCTGGTAGCGGTGGTTACCAAACACCAATTGGAGTCATGCGATTACATTTCAAGGGCGCTCGCGACCTGAGAAATTTTGAAACTATGGGCAAGTCGGATCCTTACGTCCGCATCGTAGTGTCTGGTATCGAGAAAGGCCGTACAGTTGTTCATCGCAACACCCTCAACCCCGAATGGGATGAAATCATGTATGTTCCCGTACATTCCCCTCGAGATCGGCTGGCGTTGGATGTCATGGACGCGGAGAAGATGGGCAAAGATCGCAGTCTTGGCCAAATCGAGCTCCTGGCCAGCGAATACGTCGTTCAGGATGAAAGCGGTGAATATCTTGTACATGACCAAAAAGCGCCTCGTGAAGATGGACTGCGTCTTCATGGTAAAGGAGTTCCAAAGGGCGTCCTAAGTTATACCGCTTCATTCTATCCATGCTTGAATGTGGCCGATCCCGACGATGAAGATGAAGAAGAAGAGAACGAGGTTTCCGCCGACGAATCACCCAGAAACCCCCTTGAGACCACTAGATCAGTCGACGCAGGCAAATTTACGTCTCTTGAGCGAACTGCGACCAATGTCTCTCAAAGAGAGCCCACTACTCCCTTATCGGCCACAATGCCAAAATCACCAACAACACCATCAACCTTTGCCCGGAAGTCGCGCGATGCCCCAAGAAAAGTGCCCAAGGTCCGTCTCAACCCAGAGGAGCTTCTCAAGCATGAGTCTGGGTACCTCATTTTCAAGCTTATGGAAGGGCAAATGCCAAAGAGTGGGACGCACCTGGAGGTGTACGTCGACGATATGAGCTATCCCTCTTATGTCTCCGGAACAGCAAAGTCGAAGAACTTCAAATTCGACGAGATTGGAGATTGTTTCATTCGCGAGTTGGAGTTCTCACGTCTGACACTCAGAGTCAGGGAGAAGCGGGAAAAGCCTGGCGAGGAAAGAGACGAGGACCATACTGTTGCTCGTCTCGCGGGTAACACCTTGGACACTCTGAAACAGTGCCTTGTAAGCAAACACCAGCGCCGCGGTTCTTTGACAACGTTTACTGATCAAACACAGAACAATCCAACTATCCTTAGGCTAAAGGATGAAGAGAACAGAGAAACACATATCAAAGTCAGCTTGAAGTACATCCCAGTGAAGATGCAATTAGACCCCAGTGAAAGCATCAACAACATGGGCAACCTGCGCGTGGATGTTCTTGACGCATCAGATCTTCCAGCTGCCGATTCCAATGGAAAGAGTGACCCATACGCCAAATTTGAGTTCAATGGCCAGGACGTCTTCAAGACAAAAACGCAGAAGAAAACACTCAATCCTCAATGGAATGAGTACTTCGAGATGCCAGTCCCCTCCCGGACGGCCGCGAAATTCCATGTCAACATCTATGACTATGATTTCGCTGATAAGCCGGATTTCTTAGGCGGAGCAGACATCAATCTTGAGCATCTAGATCCATTCAAAGCCAAAGAAGTCAGATTGCTTCTGGATGGTAAATCCGGTTCCATTCGCCTAAGATTGTTGTTCAGACCGGATTACGTCACGCGATCCCGTTTGGGTACCGGCACGTTTTCTGGAACGTTCGGCGCTCCGGGCAGGATTGTTACTGGCGTGGCAGGTGCTCCTATCAAGGGAGGTGCCGCCGTCGTTGGGGGAATCGGCCATGGAGTAGGCAAAGGCGCCAGCTTCATCAAGAGAGGCTTTACAGGCCGCAGCAAGAAGGACGATGATGGTGGTTTTGGATCAAACCCGACCAATTCTGACATTCCAACAATAGTAGAGAATGGCGGCAGCCCTGCTCCTGGTTCAAGTCTTCGAAGGGCGACGGGTCTGGACGGTGCCGAATCACCCATAACACCGCCTGGCACTGCCATCGGTGCTAGCAATGGACATCATCGCGCCCCGAGTGCTGGGGCGATGTCTATCGCGAGTATAGCCCCTGGTAGTGCAGGTGCGGGCACTGCCACTTTCCAAATTATTTCCGCAACCGGCTTCCCTCCGTCTGCTGATGTGTATGTACTCATCCGCCAGTTGGGCTCTAAGGAGAAGACCGTTGGAAAGACAAAGCACCATGAATCACCGTCAGGTCAGGTGGAATTCAACGAAACATTCAAGCACACCTGCACTGCTGATACGCAATTCCGCATTGAGGTGAAGGACCATCATACTTTCGGCAGCGACGACGATCTGGGTGAGACATTATTCTTCGTTAGCGACCAGGGTTCAAATGAAAAGGAGGTCAGCGTCGGCTCGGGAACGGTCATTATTAAGAGCTCATTCGCTGAGGCTGGTTCTACATTGTCTGCAGACAGTCCTAAAGGCGGAAACCCGATGCGCCGCAGCTTCCTCTCCAAGAAAGAGAATAGCCGAAGCCGGGAAGCAACGCCGAGCTAGTTGCGAAAGGGCGCTTTACCCAGCACTATGGATACGGTAGTTGAAAGGGGCAGACAAGTCAGTGCCAATCAGGGACCGCTGGAGAGATGTGGCAGCTTGTCGCCTGGAGCAGGCAGAAGCTCCAACCGCAGACCCGGATGGTTGGTAATTGCATAATTCGGTAATAAAAGGGTTGACGACGGACTAAATGGCGTTAAAATACTGTGCATTTGCGCACTGATTACGAGTCGCCTTTTGTGAGCATGGATACCACCTTGGTCACATTTATAGGCTACCTCAATTTAACAAGTTACGAAACCGTGTCCCCGGTCAAGAATGACTTGACAGATTGTGTTTCCATGCTGTTGTTCTTGATGATCACGCAACCTATGGCCGTGTATGTAAAACTGGCGAATTGTTGTCGTTATATACTAAGAACAGCACTACTCATGACCCATACATGGGAAAAGCTTTTGCTGTAATGGGACAAGTTAATCCATCTAGCCATGACCAATGACATCTATTCGAATGTCAAAGCTGGCAATCAACGACCAAGTTCATGGGAGATTCTGAATCGAAAACTGCCACCTCTTACATTGCACATTCTGGCCTCCAAGTAAAGATATCTTTGCATGATGGTCTCTAATGCCGTCCGTTAACTGATTGACAAGGTAGCCGAGATGCGAAAACGGAAGAGCATGTGGTACTACGAACTAGTAAGAACAACTGGGGGCTTTGTTTCGAGCGGACTTGAGCTTCGAGATGCGCCGCTTATGAGCCGTCGCTAGATTGTCGAGTTCGCAGCTTGCAGACCATGGCGAGCTGGCAGCTATCGTTTAGTTACAAGAAAACCATCGAAGGAGTAGCCTACAGAGAAATGCGGAGGAAGGTTTCGAGGCGTATCTACGAAACCGTTATCAAGGCAGTTTTTCCCCCATCGACCAGGCCGAACTGTTAGCAGTAGAGGTCGCGCTTCTCGATGTGGTGGAGCTGGAGAATGTTGACATCAGCAGGTCACACCGCAACTGGAATAATGAAAAAAAAAAAAATGAAAAAAAAAAGGCCAGGCGTGCCATGGTATAGCTTGTGACTACTGCTAGCAACGATTGGAGAGATGTTTCATCACCAGAGGATTTCGTCGGATCATGGCTAGTCCTGGAAATACATTACTAGTCACAAGCCGTACAGTCCACCTTTTCTTGACCGTTTGCACGGGAAACATCATGACTGAAACCAGCATGCTTGATATGGCGGAAACCGGACGACTTGAAATCCTAGCGCTGATTCCTCAGGGTGTTGGATGGTGCGCGGAGTCGCATAGGCAGGGAGGAACAAGGGAAACGGCGTGCGCTGCTAATGACTTCGTACTGGAGATCGCGAACGCTCCGGGACAGAAGGTCGAAAGTGTTCCAGATACTGATGAGGTGTGCATGTCAGCTATCCGATACGATTGTATGAATAATGTCTAAGTAACTAGAGCTGTATTGCATCATAATTCATATGTTATGTGATTGTGCTGAAGAATGATACCGAGACCTGAAGCTCCAAGAGACCCGTCCTTGAACCTCAATCTTGTGAAAACCAGGTATTGCGGTCTTCCTCGTGCTGCCCATTGACCTAAATTCAGGTCTTGTGGTCTGCCGAATCTTTGGCTGTCGTCATTGGTCACCGTCAAGCTTTCCTCTGAATTTTTGATAGGTACTGGAGAACCCAAGCTCAAGTGTCAAAAACTTTGTTGAGTACAACTGGGAGGTCGTACAGAATACGTCAGCAGACCAAGAAAAGTTCGCTCAATTTCGTGGGGAAAACTAGGTAATTTTGCCGTATCACCGGTGGTAAAGTGATTCTAGGGATCAGTTCTTTGGCTATCTGCTAGCATTGTATAGGGACGTTATATGCCATTGATCAGTTTGGTCGGGTTTCCATGGCCGTGAAAACAATTTGAATACAGTCAGCTTGCAGTAAACTATTGTTGACATTACTCCAACAATACTGTTTGTAATCTTCCAAGTGAAGCTATACTAATAAAGGTGCCGAAACGGGAAGGGTCATTGAACCGGGCATGAACAGTCGAACCCCTCTGCATATATGTTATTCAAAAGACCGACTGCATCTTGCTGAATCTCCGCGGTAAGTGGAGCGCGTATTCTTGAGTAGCATTCTTCATGCCGCATTGTAATATCCCACTGCTACGGAAATACTGTCATGGAGGTGTGTTAGTGGAAGACTCCAATTACTAAACATCGGTCGATTAAGAAAGAAAGAATCCACCCTAATGCGAATTTTAAGACTTGCCGAAACGCTGCCGGTCGCTCAGCTTCCAACATGCAGGTTTGGCTGTTGTCAGTATCGGCTGAATCACGCCATCAACGCAACCCATGCATTATCTTAACATCGGGTGCACCGATCCGACGCCGACCTAGATGCACCTATGTGCCAAGACTGTGGCCACTCTAAGTGCCAAAGACGTTGGCATGGCAAAGGTATGAATGTATCCAAATACGTTTAATGGCTGGTCGATTCCAGGCAGTGAGATATTGTGGGTTTGATGCTATAGCACGAAACCCGACCGTTAAAAAGTTATAACTCACGGCAAAAAAAAAAAAAAAAAAAAAACCCCCCCACTTGCGCGCAGGTATGCGTTATACTAATATAGCTTTTAGTTGTTTCGCTTACTTTGCTTGAGGTAGTAGTGGTGGTTATTGATGCCGGCCGGGTTGCAATGCACGAAAAAATGCCCAGCCAGCAGTCGCCCACTGTATGTGGATCATCGGCTAATCCATAGCTAAGGACACCATAAATATCCACACTTGCGTCTTCTCCTCCCGATAATCGTCGATGCGTTCAAGATCTGATTGGATGTTGAAACTAGAATGTTACGTGTGCTACCACTTGAACTTGCGGGCAATATCGCCCGGCATGCGACCGATGGAGAGAGCCAGACTATCGGAATCTGCCATCCCAGTCGATACATCATGTATATATCATGCGCCTACCGGTAAGAATTATACATTCCAGCTGAGTCGTCGACCACGGATCATTGTCGAGTAGTACTGAGTCTGTCTCGATATCTCAGTATGGGTTCTTCGCCAACTGATAAGATTGAACCGACTATTGTCGTACAATCACAAACGGAACTTGAAAGTCCCTCAGTCGAGAAGACCAAAGAGAAAGACGACTCGCTTCATCCTTGGTCCGAATCTTCATCTAGCCAAGAATCTAATGAGGAACCGCATTACGACTTCGAATCAGAGGAATTCGCCCGAATTCCCGAACTCGTTCGCTCCGTGGTGGGCTTTGAAGACGACCCAACTCTGCCTGTCATCACCTTTCGATCAGTCTTCTTGTCCTGCATTTTCTGTGTGATAGGGAGTTTCGTATCTCAGCTTTCATAGTAAGTAGAAGTCGTGCTTGGTACACCATTATACTAACCATCGGGGTGTAGTTTCAGAACTACCACCGCGCCTTTCCCGTAAGTAATTCTTGAAGCCGCCGCATACTACTCTTGTCCTACTTCTCGAACTTTGACTGCATGCTTCGACTCCGGATACCCGGACTCTAGGCAACACACTCGAGATACTTATCGAGTCTATTGAGGATGGCATCGCTAATAAAAAAAAAAACTATTGCAGGGTCTTCTTTGTGATTTTAGCGTCTGCGCCACTCGGAAGGTTTCTCGCCCGGATTTTGCCCGACTATACTATCCCTCTAGGTAGATTCTCGTTCTCGCTCAATCCTGGGCCATTTTCCATTAAAGAGCACGCAATCATTGGCATAGCCGCCAATGCGGGTAGTCAGGGCCAGTGGGCGAGTAGGTACTTCAAAAAGGTATCCGGTGAATGGCTGCTAAACAAGAGTAGCTTTTCTACCCACAAATGCGGCTCTCTACTACGGTATCACCATGCATCCGGCGGTGGCGCTCTTCTTCGGCTGGGTAAGTTGAGTCCCGAATATAGTTTGATACCAAACTAATACCTAGTAGGGGGCTTCTCTGCTTGGATTTTCATTCGCAGCCATGGGTGAGTGTCATCACTACTAGAGCTTCTGAATTTCATTGACATCCATCAGTGCGAAGATTGTTGATTGATGACCCCGAATTTATATTTCCTCTTTCTATGCAGCAGGTTACACTCTACCGAAGCATGCAAGGCAAGACAGAGTATCACACCAATAGAGCCAGGCAGCAAATGAAGGTCCGTTTCTCAAAATGACATGATGAATGCTGGGTATGCTAAGCGAAGTACAGATTTTCTGGTTTGTGCTGCTGGGAACGTTCGTCTGGCAATTCCTGCCCGAGTATCTTTTCCCACTAGTTGCATCTCTTGCACCATTATGCTGGTTCGCAAGTCGTAATCACACTGTCAACTTCCTGGGTGCTGGTCGGGGTGGAATAGGTCTCCTGAATATCACGCTAAACTGGTCAAATATCACATCCACGATCATCACTTATCCTTATAGTGTTCAGGTTACAATATTCATCGCCTTTGTCATCACTGTAAGTACTGTTCCGTAATGCTGCAGTAAGCCCGCACAAATTACTCACTGTGCTCCAGACTTGGATACTCATTCCAGTCGCATACTTCGGCCAAATTTGGGGCTCACCCACCTATAACATCATGTCGAACGGTGTATTCCAGAAGAACGGCTCGTCATATCCATTCAATAGTCTCAGTAAGCAGTGCATATCCACATAGTAGTATCTTACGACTTACCCCCAGCAGTATATACAGATGCTAGTGGCACTCAGCATGTCAACGAGACGAAGTATGAACAGGTTGGACTCGCCTATTCCGGCGCGCAATACACTTGGGAGATCTTCATGGTATGTTGTTGGTCAATATGTGTGTGATATATGCTTACCACGATCAATATAGTGGTATGCGTCATATATTTCGTCTTTCGTCTGGTGTGGACTGTTTCTCGGGCCAAAGATCTGGAGTATCTGGAAGGCAAGGAAAGATCAGGATCACTATCATAAAGATCGACTGAGGTGAGTATCATGACAGCTGAAGCTATGAGAGAACGCCGGCTAATCATTATTAGCCGCATTATTCAACAATACCGGGGTATTACTTGGTGGTATGTTTGCAGATAATCCCTGGATAACTAGAGCTGATCACGACTAGGGAATGGGCTTTACTAACAATTATTCCCATTGGCATTTTGTTGGCCATTGTCGCTGCTGGTTCAGTTTGGATGCCAACTTGGACTTACGTTGTGGCGCTTGGGTTTGGTGCAGCCGCTATGCTGCCTATGTCCCTTGTCTACGCTATGTCTGGTTACTCAATAAAAGTCGGATTCTTCAACGAGCTGATATATGGATGTAAGTTGACTTGATTCTTGGGATTTCTAATGAGTTTATGTATTGACGCTCACCTGTCTAGACATGATTGAGGCTAAAGGCTCCTCACGCCATCCACTTGGGCAGCTCGCATATCGCATTATCTCTGGTAATGTCTGGTATGATGCACGCATAGTCCTTGAGGACCAGAAGGTGAGAAGCCAGAGATCACCAGCCACACCCGACTTATACTAAGCACTTTTTAGATTGGACATTATCTTCACCTACCTCCTCGAGATGTTATTGGTATGCAAATATTTGCTAATATGGTATCCCTCCCGGTCAACTACGGCGTCATGCGATGGGTTCTTGACACAAAATTTGAATACGTTAGTGGCAAGGTCACGGATCCATTAGGACAGTGGACAGGCCAGGACTTTAAGAGCTATAACACCGCGGGTATCCAGTATGCGCTAGTGGGGCCCAAAAAGCTGTTTGCATCATCTTATTTCAGCCCCGTCCTATATGGCTTCCTCGTAGGAGCGGTGGCGCCGGTCATCATATGGCTATTGCACAAGAAGTTTCCTCGAGCTCGGTTTGATCTTTGGAACACGACTATCTTCTTTGCGAGTGCAGCAGTGTTTTACGGGAACCTCAGTACTGGTCCATTTACCACATTTCTTCTTGGGACCTTCACCAACTTCTTTCTCTACCGATATCGCCACAAGTTTTGGAACAAGTGGGCTTATATAAGCGGAGCAGCTCTTGACACAGGGTTCAACGCGAACCTGCTATTCATCTTCCTCTTTCTTGGAACGACTGGTGTGGCTATGGTCAAATGGTGGGGGAATGATCCGGTCAGTGTTGAGAAGTGTTATGCTCTATAGTGCATATCCCATACTTCTTCGCCTCACCAAGAAGAGAAACCTTCCTTCGGAGGAAAGGCAAATCACCATTAGTTACCAGGTACACGTCTCTAGTGTACAGCACAATTTACAATAAGTAGTTCACAGTAAGAACTTCTGTTACAATATCAGAGCATTTGTACGCAACAGACAGAAGTACCATCACATAGCTGAAGCGGAATCTCCTCCGACAAAAGTAGCGAGCAAAGCCAAGTTCACATTCCTTGAAAATTGGTTGTTAGATTATACGTTCCCTCCTGCTCCACTCAACACTGGAGTTCTCCTGTTGCATTTGTTGTACACTGGTCAACTACAACTCCCCGCCCACAGGGGCAACGTTTTTATGTGGGGAACCCCCCCCCCCCCCCCCCCCCCGGCAGCTCCTACATTGAGTACTCCTTACGCATTGCACGGTCCGCAATGAACATGATGGTAGACGTCACATATGATGGTCAATAGTAGTCTATTTGATGAGGTGTGATGTAAGGGTGTGAAGAAGAGCAGAGCTAGCCTCTGCTCCACTGAAGGCTACGTACAGTAACTTAACCTTAACTCTCCTAACCTAACCATTTTCCCCCACTTTTGCAACGCACCCCCTTTCGCAACCATTTCCCCGCCAAATCCGTAGTTTTCAATATTTGTAACTTCTTGAATGCATATGTTAAAAATATATAAAAAATGTCATTAGAGTGTGATTATGATTCTTAAGAAGTATAAAATACTATAAGAAAATTACGTAAATTCTTTTGAGGTTAAATAAATACTTTAAAAGTTAAAATTTTGATTTTCTACTAGGTCTTACTTTAAAATTCTATAATTAAATAAAGAAAATAGCTATTAAGTAATAACTTAGCAAATAGAGTACAAATAGAAATACATTATATATATAGAGTTTATAATTCAAGATTATATAAAAATATGATTTTTAAATAATTTTTAAAGTAATAATATAATTCATATACTTAAATGTTTATAATTAAATTAAGAAAATACTTATTATAATAAAAACTTTAAATATATAACTATTATAATAGTATTAAAACCATTCAAAAGGATTTTATTCTATTAAAAATGTTTATAAAATAAAAAATATTATTTTATTATCAATATTTTATAAGAAGAGAGATATATATATATTATATTCTTAAATATTTGAATTAAAATTATTTAATATTCCTTTTTCATACCATAATACAAATTAATATAATAGATATATAAATAAAGATTATAAAGATATAACTATTTTCTTAATTTAATTACAAATATTTAAATATATGAATTATACTATTACTTTAAAAATTATTTAAAAATCATATTTTTATATAATCTTGAATTATAAACTCTATATATATAATGTATTTCTATTTGTACTCTATTTGCTAAGTTATTACTTAATAGCTATTTTCTTTATTTAATTATAGAATTTTAAAGTAAGACCTAGTAGAAAATCAAAATTTTAACTTTTAAAGTATTTATTTAACCTCAAAAGAATTTACGTAATTTTCTTATAGTATTTTATACTTCTTAAGAATCATAATCACACTCTAATGACATTTTTTATATATTTTTAACATATGCATTCAAGAAGTTACAAATATTGAAAACTACGGATTTGGCGGGGAAATGGTTGCGAAAGGGGGTGCGTTGCAAAAGTGGGGGAAAATGGTTAGGTTAGTTGGGTTTCTCGTACGGTGGACACTGCTGTCTGTTACCAGTCTGGCTGACGACCCAATAGCGGGGTAACTCTGCAATGGTGCACATTATGAACTCCAAAGACAGGAAGCATTACTCTTTGTATCATTTCGCCTGTGGTTCTGGTCAAGGCTACACTATGCAACCCAAGCATGCACGACGAAGCAACTTCTCTACAGTTGACTTCGACTCTCTTTGTTGAAGGTAATGGTACAGCTGAGATCATAACGGTAAGTTGGGACTATGTAGTCTCCTGCCCTAATTAGTGCAACCTTTCGGTTGAACCGCCCCAGAACGAAGGCCGCCTGAGCAGTCCCTCACTGGTTGGCTACCTCGATTGTATTCACACACGGAATTTTCAGATGGACGGAGTATGCTGTGATTGGGAGAATCGCAACCGAACACGGGAAATGACTGACCAGAGTTGCCCTACATCTCAATTGTACCTCATATTTTCTATGCCGAACCTGTGTTAGATGTCTATTTGCGATCCAGCAGTGCCAGCGCCCAGTCAGTTGGGGCATGCTTTTCTCTTGTCAACCATTGGCCCAGTATACAATTCCATCAATCCCGTTGTCTGCTTCAATCTTTCGAAGAAGGCCAAGATATTCGCGTATTGTGGGCGCATTTCCGCATCCACATACACAAAGTACAACGCGAACAATGTCCCGCCGATAGTCAAGTCAGCCAAACTCGGCCCTGCCCCATCAGCGTTGATGAACCACTGCCTTCCTGCCAAATGTGATTCGTAATAGTCCAACCATCTGACTAGGTCTTTTGCAGCTGCTTTCTCTTTCTTCGCATCGAATTCTTCAATTTCCATGCGCCATGCAGCTAACGTATAAGCGGTTGTCTCAAGATGCAGCTCGTTGAAAAGAATCCATTGTTCGTTCCTAGCGCGATCCTCCGCAGTTGCGCCCAGCAATTGGTCGCGTTTGGAGCCCTGTCCTGCAATGTACGATGCGATGGCAGAACTCTCGACCAACTTGAAGCCTTCTGGGGTTTCAAAAGCTGGGACCTTGCCCAATCTTCGACCATTAGTGACGGGGTTCAGCTATAGGTTCCCTTCCCCAGGTCGACGTACGGAAATTTGTTCAAAAACTCAGGCGTCTTGTTGGTCTCGCCAGGCTCAAAGTCACTCGGTACTTGAAGCTCAAGGCCGTTCAACGTCGCAGCGGCGAAGATCTGGATACGTGAGCTTTAACTCATCAATACTTTCTTACTGACTCTTTGATACCAACCTTTCTTGTTCTTGGATGTACTCGTCCTGGGATAGTATATAGTGTTCCAAATGGGGCCATTGTGCTTCAAGATGCCGTCGAATCCAAATGAACGGAGATCAAGACAGTGAAAAGTAATGGTGATACATAGGTATATGCTCAATAAGTATACAAGGCGATCTCTTGACATTTGTAAGCGTCCAAGGTCTACAAGGTGTATCGCATTCCTTGCCGCATGCTTGCATGACAAATTGTATGAGTGGTCAGCGCTTGGCCAATTGTTTCCAATCCCATAGAATTTAGTGTCTTCGATTTGATGGTCTAATGGCGGATCTAGTATAGTCGTCGTATGCAAATAGCAATACTGCCGTGGCAGCCTAATTGCTACACCAATCAATAACGGGATGTAACATTACGCGAACGTTGCAGAATCCTTCAATCCAGATTGACTTATAGCTTGACAGTGCCTACGATAGGTGGCACTTCGTTATGAGTCATGACTAACGAACCATGGCGGGAAGTGCTCGTAGGTATGCTATGACGTCTGGCCATCGGTATACAGCACAATGGGGAGCAGTGCCCGCGTATCAGACAAATACTCTATGCATGTGGTCTAGCTTATGGTCGTTGTAAGTCACATGGAAACCTAGAATGGTGTGCCAAATGTTGCGAGGGATTTGTGTTGACGGTGAAATAAGTGCCTTAACGCTAAACCCACATCAAAAACTTTGTGAAGCGGTGGGTGTGTCAGGTTCTCAGTCATTTGACCAATACTGCCAGTTGGCTATGTCGATGTGGCATATAGCCTTTTGGAGTGGTACCAAGTTTGGCGACCGAGCTTTTGAATAGCATGATCGAGCAACTGACCCTAGGGTGTTGTACCAGTGACTCAATCGCGACTAGAAACGGGAGATGCATTAATCAGGGTCGAGTGACAATTATTCAATGTTATCATCATCATGAAATGGTTTGCGAACTGTCTGTCTTTGACCATTCTAAACCTTCGCGGTATACAAGCCACCATGGGCCCTACACGATGTGGGTAGCCGATATCTCTTTTCTCACAACTATCGCATCCAGCTCTTCAAGCTTCGAGAACTTGCCCTCTGATGTGATGCTCACCATGGCATAATGGTTTGATAGGTCCGGGCGATATATCCTCGGGATGCTACTCGGTCGACCCTTATGGTACTGGAAGCTCCCGCTGAAGGCAGATTCGTCGAATGGATTTGATGACGCCTGGCCTGTTCTCATTCTTCTTAACAATGGCTTCAGAGTCGCAAGACATGAAGCAGATAGGCCGGCTCCGATTTCGACAGTGCTCCAGATGCCGAGATCTGTGAATTGGTATAGGTAATCTGGCTTAACGAGGAAGTCTTGCGCATATGGAATGCGCACGATCGAGGCGACGGACGCTCTAGAACCTCGATTAGTTGGTTATCCCATTGTTTAGGTATTCCTATACCATGACTTACATCGACCCGATTGCTAATACTATATAGGTCGTTATCTTTAGCTTTTTCTCCATTTTCAAATTCCACAATACTGTTGCGGGTACAATTGCCAAAATCCAGTCCACTATAACATTGAGGAAAGCTGCGATATAGGTCGGGATCGTTCCCAGTAACTTGTCGTTGCATCCTGTCATGTCCGTTGGCTCAACTCCGTATCGCAACCATTCGTGCTCGATGGGATGACACGTGTTGATGTTTAAAATTGCATAGAAAACACTGTAGACAGCGATGATACCCATGATTACCCACAGGGTCTAGCTCCAGTCAGTACTGTGTGCGAACGAGATATGTCGGAAAAGAAAACCTACTACATTATGCCATCGTTGCCTGGTACATACACGCGTCAAAAAGATGCCAACGATGAGTTTGGTCATTCCCGACACCAAAATGTAAAATGTGACTGCTATCCAGCGCCACATGATAGCCTTCGGCCGTTCTTCGAGCGGGACATCGGCGACGTGCGAGCAGAGGCCGTGCTGAATGGATATCAAAGCACACGTAGTATATGCGGCATAGAAAATCTAATGAAAACGGCACAATTAGTATTCGAACGACACTACCATAGGCTTGATACATGGAAGGTCCTCTTACATATGTTGCCACGGCTAAATAATCCTCAACAGCGAATATCCTGACAAGCCTTATTCTTGTGTAGCATCGCGCGGCGACACTGACAGTAGATGCTAGAAGAAAGGCGATTAACACGCCTTGAAATTGAGGCGCTCGGGTTTCTGCCATTGTGATGACCGTTTGCGATGATAGTCGCACTCTAAAACCTCACCGAGGTATAGACAGTCATAACTTGAGGACACGATGGTGGTGAACTACGCAAATGAACAATTCATGACGAATCGCCGTCGCACAATCGAGCAGCCTGCACTTATTATGGTCGGCAGGTCGATTCTGCGGGACTATGAACCTCAATGCGGCAAGCAGTGCACCATTCTGACGGATAGGCCATGCAAGGCCTAGGGCACGGATGGTCATAGCATTGCATATTGCTGTGAACAGCGACCTCAAGGCCAAACATTCGGAACCTCCGTAGATTACGCCAATGGAAGTGCTGTATGTCTCGGGGCAAATGAGTTTCCTTACACGTGCTAGCAGGCTAAGAAATCAGCGCATCTAGAAGGCTGTTGTCAAATGTCTCGTTAGCCGCCGAATTTCATATGGACGTCGAAGCCGGATCCAGTTAGGCACTGCCTTTCGGCAAGGTGCATGGACCCGACTATACGATTTCGGTAACCCAGCCGATGCGAGATTGCTAACAATGCCAGCCTTTTTCTCCTTCTCCACACCTACCAATGCGGAGAACTGTCAGGGCTTTACGTCTCCCGGCCAGGTGCTTTCTTACAGATGTTTTGGATATTCCAAACGAGACCCTACGACGTAGCGTATATGTCGTCGGGCGTAGTGTTTACGATCGGAGTCACAGAATCTTAATCATAGTTGTAGAACTTGTTTCCAAAACATACTTTGGGCAATATTCCGAGCCACCAGCTTTTTCATAAAGCCCGTTTCCTTCCAAAGTTTGTCACAATTCAGTTATTACAACCCGTAACACACTATCGAATTGAAACCCTTGTGAATGTAGGTTGCAGCATTGCTCGCCTGATAGTCTCGCGGTCTCGCGCTCTGCTGAGAATCTCCGTCCGACATGAACTCCACTTTGCTGCTTGATAATACCAAGGGGCCGCGCCCACACCACGCCGCGCGTTTGGGAGTTCGAATCATGGTTGCAATGTGACGGATGAACAACAAGCGTATCCAATAGTTCCTTATTCTCGGCATTCCTGAAAGTCATGCAAACACTTATTCCCCAGCAACATTGGAATTATTTCCATGATACGGTTGTACCGCGTCGCCTGAGGCGCTCTTCCATGTTTCCCCACGCCCCGATTTTGAAGTTGCCGAAATTCTGAAACCCACCCAGTCTTGAGGGACAGGCTACACAGCGGTCATGGCATGCAATTACGTGTTGCAGTGATGCATATGTTCTTGTTACTTAGACTGTATCACTTAGTGACTTGATAGCGCAATGTAACACACCGGCCGACTATATGATGACTTACACGTGCTGAAGATTGCAACCCCTGGGTTTTCCAAGCCGCAATGATCCTCGAGTATTACAAGCACGCATAATCTGACAGCTTGATGCGCACTCAACCGTAAGCGATTTCGTCTAAAGGCTGGAACTAGAAACCGTTATCTGGTTGGAGTATGGCCTTGCCTCTAAGCCGTTACCTGGGCTCCTAGCAAACTTATGTCCAACCATCAAAGCGTGCCTTGTTATGGCAGCGATGACGGCAATTTGCCATAACTGAGACCTGGGAGGTGGTTCCACGAGACGACTTCTCGACTTCTCAAATGCCCGTAATTGGCCTAAGGTAAGTTATGTCAAACTCCAGTATATGCGATGTTATCAATTGATTGTTTCATGCCTAAATTACTACGAGAACGGTTCACGACGAGTGCTTTGTTTCCTTCCACGGTCTATTTGCTAAATGCCCAGAATGTTCTTCGATCTTTGGTTTGAGCGATTATCGTTGCTTTAACAAGATTTCTTTTGATGGATTCGGGATCGACTGCATCACCTGTTAGTGCTCTGTCATGACGCGCGGTCCTTGCCCTGGACAGGATTATCTCAACTCACCATATGCGCGAACTCCATGTTGGGATATCTCTCAGTCTCTCCATTCGCAAGCTTAAAGTCGTATTTCATCAGAGCGTTGGCAAATATCATCTTGATCTCGTTGGCGGCGAAGAATCTTCCCGGACAAGCATGACGACCGTACCCAAAATTGAGGCTGTTGGCACTGACGCTCACGAATTGATTCAGTGCACCGCTTTCGTTTGAAGATTCCTTAGCCTGCTGACGCATCTTATAGAACCTGAGAGGGTCATATTGATCGGCATTTGGGAACACGTCCGGGTCTGAACTAATAGCTGTTGCCGGTATCTCAATAGTGACGCCTGCGGGAATCACGCGGCCATCTAAAAGAGTAAACGTACGCAGAACCTTGCGCTGAAAGGAGGCTGTCGAGCGATTCGGATTAATATAGACCGGCATATTGGACACAGAGAAGTTTGAAAGCTCACCCATTGTTGCCGGGTATACTCGAAGTGTTTCCTTGAGAAAGCTGTCCAGTTTCGTCATGGCCTGTAGGGCTTTGCTCGTGAAAATACCGTCGTTCTGAGCTAAAGCTTCCTCGATCTCCTCGCGTAGTTCCGGCATCAGCTCCGGCAAAGCCGCAGCACTGTAAAATCTGCGATTATATTGAGCACCCAAATACCATGCGGGCGTCTCAACAGAACTTACACATTTGTCGCAACCAGCACAGTCGTGTGAATCGCCGCAAAACTTAGACCCAACTGAACTTCGACAAGGTTCTGGCTATGTTCATCAGGAAACTTTGGTTGATTGGTCAGAAGCCACTGTAGCATATCATCCGGACCGTCGTTCTTTGCTTGATTCCAGGCCTGTCTACGAGCGTCAATCATGGGACCAAGAAACTCGTAAGCTTCTTGCTTCCGCTTCTCTAACTTTTTGATCTCAGGCAGCCGAGCTGCAAAGAAAGGACGCAACCAGGGATGCATCTGAACAACCGCCCTCTGTGCCGTCATTACCTCAATGGTATAGTTGATAGCGGCATCTAAGTATCTCTCATCGCGACACAGCTCCGGACCGATGAAGATACGACCGGAGACCATAGCTACTATCCGAAGAAGCTTGTGGTGAATATTGATAGGTGTCCATTCGGAACATGGTGGAAACTCAAGTGCCATGGATTCCCGGACTTCTTGAGCAATGGTCGGGTTCAGCCGGACTATATTGATGGTTACATGTCAGTAATATACGAGCAACCAAATAGCAGAGATTTCGAGAATTTACCGAGAGCAGGGGTCAGCTCAGCCTTCACTGTGTGTGGGACGATGGGAACTGTGGGCTCGATTTTGGTATACTTGGCCTCAATAGTCTGGCAAGATCAGTTAACTAAACAAGGCTGGGTGGGTGACTATTCATCAATACCTCAACGACCGAAGCATCCATACTAAGTATTGAGTCTGGCAACTTCTTGATCTCGGGCAAATATTTGGGACTCAGTACCACCACGGTTGTGTCTTTTATAAGTTAGCGAAACTGTCGTGGACATGGGCGACTAGATCATACTCCGCGGCGTTGTAATCTGGAATACACCATTCTTGAACTGCAGCTATCTGTCAGAAATTGTGGCATACTCCATTCCAATATACTACGCACTTTGCGGTAACCATCGTTATACAATTGTCGCGCTGACGCGATATAAGCTTGTCTGCGCTTATCTACGCCGCCTAGTTCGGTGCCAATGGTGGGTATACGCGCAATTTGAACGGCCCTGAGTGCGTAAGGGTAGACGCCTGCGAGGAGCACTACCAGAAGAGCAGCCAATATGACAGGCCACCGCTCCGCGATGATGTTGTGGCGAGTCTGCGTAATATCCATTATGAAAAGCAAGACGAGGTTGGGCTCGGTGTTCAATGAAAGACGTTCAATTGAACGAAACGTTATCAAACAAAAATGTCGGCGGGCAGTCGTTGCTTTATGCTTTCCATCTCTTGAAGGAATATTCAAGCTACACGTGTGAGCAGCTAGCGGTGGACAAATACGAGTACGGGGTAATTACCGAGTTCAATGTGCCCTCTTCCTTAGCTCTCAGCAACGCACATCCACTAGATGTATGGACTTTAGGGAGCAGACTTCTTAACGCATCAAGCGGACACTCGGCCCGTGCCATCTTTCCATGGTGCACAGCCTGAACTGCGCCAAAGCCGAAATTGCTGTCGATCTTCGCTCTCGTTCTCGCTCTCGCCTGCGCTAACCTTGGTGATATTCCACCGCCCCCCCCCCCCCCCCCTTTTCCCATTTTCATTCCCCATAACTTGGACAATAACTTTGGGGTGGTCGAGATAGGTCGTGTCAGTTGGGCATCTGATTGGTTGTATGTAAATGCCGTTCCGTGTTTTCGGATTCCTCGTTAAATTCCTCGGGTTGTAAAACTTGTTGATATACATTCCCCCTTTATCATATGGCAGTCGCTCCGGGTGTCGGTCGACGAATCTGAATTTGTGTCGTACTACATATGCGCCGAAGAGGCATCAATCGTCAAGTAACGCCGCATCGATTGCCAACTCCGAAAGATGTGTTGGCACCGTAACATTTGATGACATAAGGTTTCTTCCTATAAGCGAGAAGCGAGAGGCGCCGGTGTGCGTGTGAGTTCACTCCCGTTGAACAAAACCATTCCCGGACATGGGACAAGCCCGGCACTAAGCAAATGGGCCTTGTAATACCGCAAATGTGTGACCTACGCTGTGCCAAAGATATTGGGTAGAATGATTTTACAATTGATATACACTACTTGTACATCGTGGCCTAATTATGCGATCAAGTACAATTGAGTCCTTTAGAATTCTCTGGCGAACTTTGGGTGCATCCTGAGACGATTGCCATAAATCGCCAATATCCAAGTCACAGGGGCAAAAGCCAGCAAGATCAGGCCAAGCAAAGTGTTTCCCCAACCCAAGCCCAGTCGATCGTAAAGCTGCAGGCCAATGAGTGGAAGGACCGCTCCTAGAACACTCCTCAACACAGCATTGGCTGCAGTTACTGAAGCTGCATGGGCTTGAAATGCGTCGACAAGGTAAGTCAAAATACTCATGAAGAGACCCATCATTCCAAATCCCATGATACCTGTGCCGACAATCGGTGCCATCCAATGGAGCTCTTTCTCGGCCGTCCATCCATACATAATCAGACCCAGTGGTAACGCCAGCCCAGAAGGTACCGTAATCAAAAGACTAAGCCGGATTTCTGGTTGAGGCTCCTGACCTTTTGCTTTTTTCGCCTTGATCATCTTGTCTGATAGAATACCAACAAGCAGTTGGCCAAGTATATTGCCAACACCGCCTCCAATGAAGACCAAGCCAGCACTCTGGGCACCAAAACCATACTGTTCCTCGAATACAAATGTAAACGTCGTGAAAAGAACGTACATAAGGCCATATAGTATTGCCACATACGTGCACAAGATCGTAATTAATGGCGAAAATAAGAGCATTCGTAGTGGCCGGACGATGGCGGTGGCAAAGAGCTTCTTTGAGGATCCTGGCTTCTTCAGTTTGGATTGGTATCCTGTATTGCCAGTTTCTTTCCGCAGTTTGGCCGCTTTCCTCTCGAGTATTTCCGGTGCATAAGTCTCACGGAGGACAAAAAGCGACACCAAAGTCGTGATTCCTGACTGAGTTGTTTTTTATTAGCACAGGTACGTGTGCATCAAAGGTCGTGCTTACCGCGATGGCGATCAGCCAGAAAACCCATCTCCAACCAGCAGCTTCAACCAAGAATCCTCCACAGACTGGGCCGATGACGGGACCGAGGATCGGTCCGCCAGACCAGAGAGCCATTGCCCGTCCTCTTTGATCCGGCGGCATCAAGTCAACAATAGTACCGCTTCCTATCGTCAGAACAGCGACCCCGGAGAACCCTGCGAGGAATCGGAAAGCAATCAGCATGCCTATGTTGGTCGCAAGAGCACATGCGATTGTGAAGATGGTGAAAAGCGCATTGCAGACGTGGTAAATACGATTGCGACCGTAAAGCTCACTAAGAGGTGCAAGGATCAGTGGACCGAAGGCGAAGCCCAACACAAAGACTGAAACGACGAATGTTGCAAGCTGATTGTTGTTGGTCTGAAATTCTTCTAGAACCAGCGGTACACCTGGTGCTAGCATGGACGAAGCTAAAGGACTAGAAGATATATTACTGTCAGTTTATCAATCATGGGTTGCTATTGTGATTTGAGCTTACACAAGTAGACTTAGAAAGGCTAAGATACCAACGATTGACCATTTGCGAATAGCACTCCAATTCATGGGGTTCTGGGGATCCATATCTTCCGGTTGTTCCCAATATACGACCAGATCCTCGTGGTTCGGCGCATTGTTGGCATCAGTGCTGCTACCTTTTTCTATGTCAGCTGATCTTGGTGCCATGCCTGAGTCTTCTGCTCTTGTTGTTTCGATCATCGCGGCGATCAATATTGGTGGGCGGAAAACGATCGACCTTGTGAGAAGTAAAGCAGTTTTCAGGAGTAACTTTACGAAACGAGACGTGACATTCTTCTACCTATTGGTCTCGAGCCTGCCGGTAATGTCAGGCCATGTTAAGCTTATAAGACAGTGGAGACGTCCAGCCAATGATATAAGGATCCGAGGATCTCAGCTGTGGCGCGTCCAGAGGCTTTGGAGCACACTTTCTCCATACCCTGTCCTCTGCAAAAACAAACTGCGAAAAAGTCTTGTCGTTATCCACGTAAAAAAATTTCATTTCCAGGGTTCGGAGCGAGCGGATGTCGTGCCTCAAATTTGAAATGATACTCTTCTGTTTGAAGTTGTTGGCTATGCGCACAATGCTACCAGACTCTACCATAGGGGTGCATCGCCAAATTGGCGACGCCAATTGCGGGACAACCTCACCGTTAAACGCTTTTGAGTACCGACTATAGTGCATAGCTTTCCGAATGCGAACTGCACGTTTGGATGAGCACATCACTGCCAAGACCGACGTGTCTCTTCGAAACATTAACTAACGGTGGCCAAGTACTAGTGTTTATCGTGGATACTGTAGAGTGTGGGTGGCTTGCGTATATCCTCTCAATCGTTGCCGGCAATCGCTCGTGTTGTTCTTTGTCCTATTTTTTGGTTCCACGTCGTCAATTGTACTCCGTAGCTTCTGTAGGTCGTCTACCGTGTATGCCAATCCCTAGCTGCATAGCTAAGATGAGGAACGGACCAAAAGTTCCACGTCTTCACCATGACTTCCAATTTGTGTAGCTAATTACACCAAGAGGAATGTGGAACTCAATGAATTGCACATATGAGCCAAGGACACCATAGCGGATATCATTGGTGTTTCGCTTCCGAGTCCGATTGGCTCGCTCTTGCATCAATCAACCAGCCGTTTTGGTGTCCTATTAGGACGATGGGCGAATCTGTCAATTTTTCGAGTGGCCGACAATCTCTGTAGCGAAAGCTTATATCTCGGTATATTTTACACTGGGGTCTCGTAGAGGCAGATCCGCAAGGCACACTCCAGTCATGGATTTCGGCAATTGCGCCCCTGCGCTTGCTTGACAGATTCAAGTAGAGTTTTCGCTCAAATGCGTTGACTCTGTGTGCAAGAGGAGCAGCTATCCCCGGGAGCGTCTATTCATAGCGCTGGGGTTAACGCGCGACCCTCACTTCGGTAAGTAATACTATTGGTCTTCCGGCAGTTGAGGCTGCTGAGCTTAACTAGTGGCTCTAGGTGCATGGTTTGCAAGCTGTCGTCCTTTTGTAAATGTCGTCGTTGAGTGCACTGCCCAGCGCGAGTAATGTGAACTTTTTGATAAGCCACTCATCTAGTAGGGGTATCCTCCTATACTTCTATGGTCGGCTAATGCTTCGTACATCCAGTGCGAGGCAGTTTTCGCAACTAACACGAATCAGACACGTGGGCGCCTTGCATTCATGCTTAGGCATCCTTTCAAAGGTGCCCTTGCAGGGGAAGTCACAACGAGTAGTCGTTTTATATTCAGCTTAGCCGGTCGTTACACATCGTTTAGTTCTGCATACACAGCCCTATCAGTGGAGTTAAATAGCTTGCCGTCCGTGAATGATACCTCCTACCAACCAGCTGCAAGGTCTGACAAATACTCAATCGTGCTCAAAGACGCAAAAGCTCAGGCTCACGTACTAGGTGTAGTAGTCGATATATATTGATCGATCGACTGCCGTTAACCAAGTGGCAATCTCCATTATTACCGAATCCCATAAAACATATCCTACATCGCATACAATCGTTTATCACCACTTCATATACTGCAACAGCTGTCTAAACCCTTCTGTGCCTTTTTACTGGCGGTCTTCTCTCTAAATACACGTCCTCTCAGCAGCCAATTATCACGAAACCTCATCTAGAAATGTCGGACTTGACGGATTCTTATCCACCACCATCTTCTAGCATTATCAATCTTGCCATTGCCGACCTTACTATATATGCGGTTTTGTTCTTTCCTACTTGCTGGATCACTTGGAAACATGGGAAGACTGGATTGGTGTGCTGGCCTATCTTTTTGTCCTACTTCGGCCTTCGCTTCTGTTCAGACGCGTATCAAATAGTTCATCGTCACGACCCACTGCTTCCAAATACAGTGACTATCATGACGAATGCGGGAAGTCTAGCATGCCTCTCACTGGCAATCATTGGTATCCTCTATGAAGTGTAAGTGTGCCCTTGTCTCGAACCCCGATTCTACAGCTAATATGTATTGCCCATTAGCAATATCATGCTCCCATATCCTCGACGCTGGACCGAAAAATCGATCCTTGGCATTACTCATTTAACCAACGTATGTATTGAAGACAACCTGTGTCCTCAAACTGTCTTTGCCCTTATAAAATAGTAGTCGATGACTTTCTTTGGCTGCAGGTCTCTCAAGAAGTGAGACTAGTGGTCTTCATCAAGTCAGAACCCGAAGCATATTTCCTAGCATCACATGAACATTAACTAACTGAGATCTTTGAATAACGCAGACAGCCGGTATCGCACTAGCCACATACGGAGGGTCCCCAAGCGCGACTGCGGCGGGAGGTGTCGCCGCCCAAAATCTCAATCAAATTGGCAATTGTCTGATGCTTTTCGTCATCTTTGTGATGTGCTGGTGGATTTGGCCAACATGGAAGCGCTCTTCAGCACTCGGCCCCAATCATCCGATCACAAGGCCCGCCAGGCTTATGATATTCTCTGCCGCCGCTGCGATCCCTTTTCAACTTGTGCGCCTGGCGTATAACACAACTTATGCTTTCGACCATTTGCCTCTTCTGGACCCGATAATGGGTTCGTTCGCCGTCCGACTCATTCTACTCTTCTTCATGCAGCTGGGTGTCTCGCTTGCGCTGATAGCTGGGGGCTGGTCCAGTATGCCACCCCACACAAAGTTTGTAGTGGCAGAAGACATGACAGAGCTCCAGCAATTTCAAAGTTCGACTGTGCTCGCGGCTTGAGCTGGCATTGTTTGACAACGGACTGCCATAATGTACCATTTCCATAGTGCGCAATCACTATCGGAATTATCTAAGAATGAGGCTGTCATAAACCTCGTTTCCCTAAGCCAGCGCGCATCATCCAGGAGGGTGTTCAAGGTAGATTTGAGTGCTGGACACGCAATTTGAGTATTTAGATAAAAAGAAAATATCCCATGAAAGTGTATGAGGTAGTCCTACTTATAGTCTGGCCTGGCTATTTTGAGCTTTCCCGCGTTTGGTGCTGGTATTGTGCTGGTGTCTCCGTAGTTTCCAAGTCTGAGGGAGCTATTCCAGTTTGTCAGTGCGTAGAACCTTATTTCCACTTCGTTGACTTTTCGAGTATGATATCAGGTTAGAAGTTTTGTGTGTTGGTGCTTACGAAATAGGATGATGGATCCCACTGCAAATTGTCTCCCGTCTTTTCGAGATGTTTGGCTCCCATCCATCCTCGCAGACTGTTACAGCGGTGCAATGGTGGGCAATCTCAAGATATCTTGCCGACTCTCAAATTAACGTCCGATTAATGAGTAGTCCATGCTTTCACATATATCATTTGATTTATATATATACATATGAGCCAGGTTCATTTCTACATGCTGGTCATGAGATAACATATTTTGCCCAGTGAAATGTCCAGTCCAAGAGGAAAGCCTAGCGTACCTCTCAATAACATATCTGCTCATTTACTGTCATCCTAAGCCATAATTTGTGTGAAAAGAAAATACCTGGCTAGCCTCCCATGTGAAGATGCTCATTCAGTTGGCCAGATTCCTTGGTTCACCAATCAACCAGGTTAGCAAGTTCCTCATCCCTCAGTTAACTCAAACTTTATGAGCAGTCCCCTCTAGCTGTTCTCATCGCCCGTAATCATCGGTGCTCTTTATAGGATCCTTGCCTGATTCGCCACGGCAATGCTTACAAAACGTGAAGTGCACTGGATTTGACGCGAAAGAACGAAAAGTAAAGATGCCCATGTACAGTACTGTCTTTCATTATAATAGCAGATCATGGAATTCAAACTCAACATTGTTGGTGCCGCGTGAACTTGCGATGATCGACTTCTATATGTATCTGTGAAGCAGACAGATGAACAGTGCAATGCCTCTTTAGATAACATTACCTTTAGTCTGCTTGAAGTTTTTAACGTTGATATTCCTCCAACAGAAGGCCGCAATCCAAGGAATAATTAATACAGCAGTGGCGGCAATGAGCATCAGCTTCTGTGTCTCGCCATAGGCGCGCTGGATGGCAATACGAGTATCAGAGCCAACAGGATAAGCCAGCTGAGCAGCTACGTTCCCATAAATGGTCGATGCGTTGGCCTTTTCGGACTCTGGAAGATATTCGGCCAGCTTTCCCGGGAAGACACCGGTCCAAATAGCCGTAGCTACTGTTTGGCCGATAGCACCCCCAATACTCGAGAACATACTCTCGACAGCCAGGACTACAGCGACATACTGGTGTGACGTCGCGGCAAGAGCTGCGACTTGTTCGGTAATGACGATACCGCCACCGGCAACTGCGATGAAGATTTGGCACATGACAATTAGGCCGATGCCCTGGTTTGGTTCTCGGAAAGCAATCATGAGTCCGGCTCCCAGGATAGTGAATGGAATGGCGAAATAAGTAGCGATCCACTTGAAGCGTCCAGTGTAACGAATAGCCCAACCGATAACGAATGACCATGCACACGCACCAATAGTGTACTATTGCAACAAGCATGTTAGCTTTGATGATGAACCCTTTGAAACAGCTATTCCGTTGGCTCGGAGGTGGTCAAAGAGTTGCACATGCTCAAATCCTGGACAAAATTCATGTGTGAAACCTATGAACTAATTACTTACAATATTCAAGACGTAATTTGCGTTTATAGGGTCGAGGTTATTGACAACCAGTATAAAAGGGTAGAAGAAGGAATCCCAAAGATAAAACGAGATGAAAACACTCCCGGCCACGATGAACGCGCCGAGGCAAGTCCTGTCTTTCAATAGGCTGAATGGAATAAAGTTGACGCTACATCAGCAGAAATGGTCAGTAGATCATTCTATGGGAAATCCGAAAAATAATTGTTCAAATATCCACCCCTTCTCTTTACCGAATTTGGAGCATGGGATCAGCATGATGACGTACCGCGCAAAATACTTCTCGTAAATAGCAAAGAGAACCATCAAAAGAACTCCAAATACAATGAAGCAAATGATCATTGGGGATCTCCAGCCGTCTGTCTGGTAGGAGTAAATGTTGAATGCCAATAGAAAGAGCGCCAAACCAGCAGCAAGGATCAGAACGCCAACGATATCGAACTCGATAACATAATGCTTGAAGGATTGCCACTTCGTTCGCCCGCTTGCTTTTCGAGGAACCAGGACCCCAAGTCTTTTGGCTTTCCTGTAGTTGTATACCATGAGACCCCAGAGTGTTAACATCGTGAAGGGCACGATGATTGAGAAAGCTCCGTAAGCCCAACGAAATCCTGGACCATTGAGAAATGCAGTGGCGATCCTGCCATTAATCCAGACGGTGATGATGTAAGGTGACGAAACGAATGCAAACATGAGGCCCCGGTTTTTGAGAGATGTGGTGTCGGATACAAAAACTCCAATGATGTAAACAAAGCCATTGTACCCTACCCAGTAGAAGACCTGGGCTGCTGCAAATGTTTCCACATTTTGGCAAGCGGCCATCATAATCAAGCCTAATGTCATAAAGCAAACCACTACAGTATTTGGAGTCAGTATTTGCCTCTTCACGCTGAGTTGAGCTGTCTTGGGAAGTATTCTAAATAGTCGAGAAGAGTTCGCTACCTGAGAGGCAATATACGCTCTCTTCATGAAAGGGTATGAATGATTCCGAAGATTGCTTACTGAGAAAATATCCTTGAGGCCGACCCCAGAGGTCGATAATCTTTGCAAGAGGTAACCTAAATAAACCTCCAACTAGACTGGATACAACGCCGGTGGTCGCAGTCAACGGTGCCTGCGAGAAAGAGCTAGTAACGTAAATTGCTAGTAGGTTTGCTGTGCCCTCCTGCATTGAATTGACGAAATAGATAATCCAGATAAGGACATAGGCGGCGATGAGGTTTGACTTTGACCAGACTTTGGCCATAGCCTCAATGTCCTTCACACCTTCCTGCGCATCGCTGGAGATATCGTCTCTTTCGGAACCATCATCCGGGTTTTCGGTCTTGTTAACAGCCTTCTCTGGCTCAACCGGGTGAGTAGGCTCCTCCACTTCTGGCACCACAGGTGGTGAAGTCCTGTTGAGAAACCTCATGACGGAGCACGAACAAGCAACACTTCGATATACTTGAAAGTAAATAAACAAGTAGCCGTTCTTGCTGGAGAGCGGGTAGCAATGCTCAGGAAAGGGAACGAAGAAGAAGAAAAACTCCGAACATTTATTGCGGATTGGGATCGACGTGCTTAGGTATTTAAGTTTATTGTTCTCAGCCGTATCTTTTGGGACTTACTTGCGTAGGACCCGACTGTGGCAAAGGCGAGGGTACAATCGTGCTCCGTCCCCACGCAGCATGCAGCCTGAGAGCATTCACGCCCTGCAGTAGTGCCATGACCCTTCCAGAATGCTATGTATACATGTGGACCCCTGGTGGCAGCAAGTCTAAATATGTAAAGCAGGAAGATAGAATGGAAATATGCCAGGGTTTACGCAATGCTAAATCCTCCCATGAATTAGAGTGCATTAAAGTTGGCATTTGGCGATCAATGGGGTCTAAGTTGGTTTGGTGAACCGCTAAGTTAACACAGTGGGGGTTGATCTCTGCAAGGTGCTGGCCCCTGGCAAGCCTGGCTGCCTGGGTGGTTAATGGCGCTGGGGAAATCGGCTAATATTCTGCAACAGAGCTTTTGCTTTTGCATTAGCTAACTCCCGCACCTCTTAAGTCTCTGGGCGATACTTGTGCAACATTGTGCTCGGAGTACAGGGCACGAAATCTGTGACTTTCGATCTCGGATCAAATTAGCAAGTCGTGTTGCGAACCATGCAGCTCCTGAAGTAAATAATGTTGCCGTCTAAGCGCAACTTAAGCTGATTCTGTCATCCAGCCGTTTTATTTTACCGTCTGATCATTCTCCGGTCATGCAAATTGAGCTTGTGCTACCGATCGCTGCTATTACCGTTGTCCGAACCCTGCACACCAAGAACCTTAGAAGCGGGGTTGTCAGTTGCAATTTCCTTAGATTGATAAGATAAAATTCTTATCTAATAGATCTCCGAAACACTAACTGGAAGCGGGCTCAGCACTAAACAACTACATATGCAAACAGCACATTCAATTGGATTTTGGCTCGAGACCTTGTTGTCTACATGCGTTAGCCGATCTTGGTGGGAAGACCAAGGCTGCCATCACGAAATCGATACAAGTCTTGCGGATTCTTTGAAGCTGATCAAGAGCCTCTTGGACATAACGTCTCCTAGTAAAATCCGCGACTAGACTAACCTAGCCATTTCATTCTCATGCTGACAAATATCCCAATGCGATCATCGAGCATCCTTCTGAAGAGATAAACCGTTGATTTCGTCTTCGCGACATCATACACAAGAGACCTAACCGATCACTTCACTCGGAGCCGCTAGCTCTTCCTAGTTTCATCATGGTAGGGATATGATCGAGATGCCACGCAATTTGCTAGCCGTACTCTGACTCAAAGTAAGCCTCATCTAATCGCCACTGGGCAACCTGAAAGAAGCCGCTTCCTCAAAACGAATGCTATCCTGTAAGGTCATATCTTAGGGAGGTATTCCCGTGGGCAGCGTCACTATCAGACTGCCGCGGAGCCGCAACTTCGATGGTGCTGCTGTTGTCTTCTGGGTTCCACAGCGCTGGACCTCCGCGGCACGGTCTCAAAGTCATATTAAATCAGTATATCAGATTCAGAGCGGATGGGATTTATGTCACGATGTGTCAAGGCTGATTTTGCGTAAAGGCCATTCTGCTACTTGAATTGACATCCGCGCTCATTCATATCCCAGTCATCCCTTCCAAAGGTTTGATTAGGGCTTGCTACCTGTTGATCTGCTTGTTAAAGTCTGTTCCAAATAGTGCGGTGGTCGGATTCCATCCGGAAAACCCTGCAACTAGAGCCTTGTTGATCGTAACTGACACAGATGCCTTTGTACTGTATGTGAGGACTTTCTTAGACAATGGCCAAGCTACGTTTCTATTGATCCTACAATGTGCGGCCATTTAGTGTGGACGTCAGTCTTGCGGCGAATTGCCTTAGTGCATGCGCCATTATGTAATTACACCCAATCATGATGACATGCACTCGTCTAGAGTATAGGAAGATGCACTCCAAACGACTCTATCAGTGACTAGTGTGTATCCAGGCACAGACGATGAGTCAATATCACTTTCGGGGCGATGATACCTTCTTACCATTATAATATCCTCTTCTTTTTTCTTTGCTAGCTAAAATATTCGCATTCAACACCAGATTGTCTACTAAATATATACGAAGACTCTTACAAGCAAACCTGTATTGCTCACGTTCGTGGCCCTGCTTAATAGCAATGGAAGCAGTTAAAGCACTGCCTGTTAGCCCGTATCATTGATCTTGCCTGTGTGAGAATACAAAGTATATAGATAACTTCGGCTGAGCTAATTTAAACATTCGCAGATGTGATTGAGCACAACCATGTATGGTGATTAATTTCTTTGATTCTTGTCTAAGCTAGTTTTGCGCACAGTCTGGAATAGCCCTCGTCAGGCTTGACTGCTGATCTATCACCGCTTATTTGACAATCTTAAGAGTCTCGCTGAAAGGGAGTTTCGCGGGGACCTCAGGGTGCGGCTGGGCCTCCTCGCCGAAGTTGAGGTGGGCCTTCAGCTTCCAGTCCTCAGGAACCTCAAGGAACTTCTTGAGGGCGGCCTCAACTGGTGGGATAGCATTCATGTGCTGCAAGTTGGCACCGAAGCCCTCAAGTTCAAGCGCGGTCCAAACAAGGATCTGAGCAATACCAGAGGAATGCTCTGCCCACTCAGGGAACATGTGTGCAGATGCTTTGTGTGTGTCCTGCGCTTGCTTGATGGTGTTGCCAGCCTCAAAGAAGACGACCTGTATAATCATGATTAGCACGTAATTGCGAGGGGGTTAGGGATGTTAGGACAGGAGACCGAGAGTAGTAGGACTGAGAATGGAGACTTACAGAGCCGTAAGCGTTCTGGAACGCCTGGAATCTAGGGTACATGGCGTCCCAGGCGCCAGCACCTTGGAGAATATCCTTGGAGTGCTCAATAACAAGGTCCCAAAACTTCTTGTGCTTGTCACCGAGAACAAGAACGACACGAGCAGACTGCGTGTTGTATGACGATGGAGAGAATGAGAGAACGTTCTGAAGGATCTCTTCGATGCGGCTGTCAGAAACAGGCGATGAAGGCTTCAAAGCGTAAACGGTGCGGCGAAACTTGGCAGCAGCCAAGAACTGGTCGGTGGAAATGTTGGAGGAAGCCATTGTGATAGGGAGTTAACTGTCTAGTGTAAGTCTATAAATGTATGTCTTTGTCTCTATTGATGATGAGGACGATGAAATCGATGCTGGAAGTGGTCAATGGAGTGATTGCTTATTTGTTTTGAGTTCGAGGACACGGAAGCTTATATGTGTAAGTGAGGGGATCACAGAGAGGACAATTGGCCTATGCGGGAAGACAAATGACGTTAGTAAGCCCTTATTATTGTTATTGAAATGCTGGCACGCCATCAGGGTTCATTAACTTTCTAAAACACGCCATCATGCCTATTGTGTCGAATGAATTGCATTAGCTTCGAGATAGCTGCATTGCACAGCGTTACCCGCGCGGCTTAGCTATGCAGATTGGAGTCCTTCACAGCTCGTCGTGCAGCCCCGCGCGCACGATTTCTCAGCATATGTAAGCCCCGTGTAATTGTCTTGTTGGTCCCTCAGCTTGCTAAGCTTGACAAAGCGACGCTAGCCTGCTTGGATTGGGTTTGATGAGGCTTAAGCAAGGATGGGATCCCGAACTTGGTCCAAGTTCCAACACATGGAACTCCTTTTGGCACCAACCTGGATAGCGAATATAAACTCAGCAGTTCCAAGAAACTCCAATTCGAAGTTCCGGAATTTGAGTTTAAGTTAGGCCTTAGTTCGTGATGACTTTTGTGCCTGACGTTAGTAACACCAGAATTTCCTGATGGAACTGGACTGGGAGGCGGGGTAAAGGCTTCGTATGCACCATCGCGCTAGGATAGTTTCAGGTTATCAGATATGCGGTATAAATATACTGTACCATCCCGCTCAATCCACACAATCCCTAGGTCGGGTTACTGGCTATCGAGAAATTCCCTTGTAAGGGTTCGATAACTGAACGACAATTCCTCTCATGTGACAAGAGATAATAAACAAATACATCTGAGGCCATTGGGATGAAAGCCAGCCAGTAGTATTCCTGCCCGTAGGTAATGATTAACATCTCATTAGGCAAGTCAGACACGCCTTTCAAGCGTTTCCTGTAGTAATTATCGTCTTCGTGAGTCATTTCACTCCGAATTTATCTGAACTTGGTAAAGGTCTGAACAAAAGCATTAGCTTTCCTCTTACATTTATGGCAGCGTTCTTTGCCAATGTCGAGGTTGGTGGCCATTAGTTGCGTTATCGTTCACGGTATATGTATAAATCATGTAAACAATCAGTCTCTTCTTCAGATGTGGTTATTTTGAATCTAAGTGAGCATTTACACTGGTAAATCCGTCTTTTTCATGTTCGTTACTTTCAGTCAGGATAGTGTAACTTCATGCTTGAAGACTTTGAAAAGACTCGTGCTAAGGCTGCATATATGTGTGGGCGCTTGCCCACGGCGGTGATTCTATTGGTCGTTATTTGGATGTCTAAGTTGTCTAACAGTACTCACATCACCAGGACGGTAGCAATTTCCGTACCTACAATTATCATGGTGATTGTTTACACCATACTTAGAATGATGCGCATAGATTCCTCGCCGAAAGATTGAGCACGTTCCACGAAGGGAGTGTGGACCACAGTTAGGAGGTTCCAGATTGGGTCTTGGTGTGATCAAGCTCGTCAGCGGGCAGTGGTTTCTCCATGATATATCTTCAGGGAAGCCTGGGAAGCTAGTCATTTAGGAAGATAACTCATTGTTGAGATTTCCTTGTGATGTGTGTTAGAGCCTGCAAATGCAAGCGTTTGGGGCACATTGAAGACTCCATCATCGAATTCGGTAGATTCATAGCTGATCGTAATGAGTGTATAGCTTAGCCTGTGCCAGCTGTAGGCTAGCGCGTTCAAAGAAAGTGTGTTGTTATATACAAATTCCAAGACCAAACTTCACGACATCTGTACGTATCAAAAAGGAAATAACTGTGGGACTGTAACTCAAGGAGTCTAAATGCCCCGGGTTTGGAAGGGCTGCTCGTGGCCGAACTCGTCAGTTCGGCAACTTGTTGCAAACCATCCCTCTTAGACTTTCAGCCTATTGAGCAGCGACGATCTGCGCGGCGATATTCAACAAGCCTTGCGTAGCCTCGCGGAGACCAGTAATGGTGAGTTGCGCTACTACGGAAGCCACCAGAATGGCCTTTGCTGCAGCCTGAAGAGGTACCACGAGGGGGTTGATGAGAGCTCGGATCGCAGTGAGCTCGGCGCTGGCTGCCGTGGCAACTGCCGCAGACAGATTCTGAGTAATTACCAATTGAGCCCTAATATTCCGAAGTAGAGTGATGAGCTGTTGAAGGGCGCCAACGAATGTGTTGATCTCGGATTGGGTAAGACCAGCAATCGCGCCTTGAATGCCACCTGTGGCGCCGGTCGTTGCTGCTACTACGGCGGCTATAGCGTCTCTGATGGACTGGGCAATCAGTCTGAGATTGGTCCTGATAACAGCGGTTGCAGTAATGATCACAGAGGCGGTGGTGGCATTCCTGATTTGACTGGCAGCAAGTTCTATTTCTCAGAGTTAGTTATCCGATCTAGCCTCCGAACGGTAAAAATAACATAGTACACGTACGAATAGCGGCAAGGTTATCGTCCGTAGCATCCTGAAGGTTGCTGACGATCGCCTGAATGGCGGTTCCAATAGCTCCACCTTGTCTTGCTTCCAGTTCACCAACGACGCCATTTTCCAGAGCTTTCTTTTCCAAGTCAGCAAATGCCAAGCTGTCGTCTAGGGGTGCTGGACTAGGCAAAGTAAGAGCCAGAGTGGCGAAACCGAGGACTTGGAGGAATCTCATATTGAGGGAGGAACAGAAAATCTATGTTGTTAGGTGCTGGGATGTAGCTGAAGCTGCAAATAATAGGAAGGCAGGAGCGTCGAGGATCTTGCAGAGCGGTGACCATCAAGTCATTATCTGCTCGAGAAGACATCATATATATACACATTTAGAGGTCATCACGCATCTTAGTGATACATTTTAGTCAGGTCGCCGACCAAAGCCGCAACTGCTCTTGCAGCATCGTACTCCAAATTGACGACTGAGACACGACTATGCAGACAGTCAAACAATATGTCGACAGCCACAGGTTTTCAACCAGCAGTCGACTATACCGCCCTGCCCAACGACTCATATGGGTAAAAGGTAACGCCTAGGCACCCTGCTGTCGAATCCCTTTTTTTTCTTCTTTTGTTTTTCAAACTTTCTCTGTATCGATTAGCGTGAATGTAACACCAGATGAATCTAGCCCAACTGTATTAAGGTTTTACCGTTGATCCATCACCAAGAACTCGGGTCAAGTATTGTCTTGTTGGTATACGGCCGGGCGCGTTAAACTTCAGCCCAACACAACAGATCCTTCACCGCGGTAACAGATCTTGTCTATGACTGTAAGAGTCTAAATGCAGAAGTGCTTCGGTAAGCCAAGTTCGTAAAGTGCAAATATAAGTTTTGAAAGACACGGGAAAGGGTGGCCATGTTCACTGAATTTTGCGACAAGGTGTGTTGAACGTACCAAACTGGAGTAGTCACATATTTACCGGGTCTTACTCTAGACGACCACTCCCGGACGAATTGCCACTGCAAATCGAGTTTTTGCAGGACGCAACTTACTCCCTCAGTCAGTACGCGAGACTATTTCAACCTTAGTCTGGGGCACAGTTACTTTTGAAGGCTTGGATGATGAGTTCTGATATTTGATTGGATGAAATAGCGGCTTGAAAAGTCTATAGAGTTGGCTGTCTCGCTCACCCGCTGCTTGTGACATATCGTCGGCGGTTGATAGTCCGGGCCGTGGGCGGAAACAACCTAGATTGAATTTAACCTTCTGTCAAAATCTCGAGTAGCCATGTGCGGGAACTAATGCGGAAAGAGAGCTTGACAAGTCAGGGATTTTGCAGCCCTCTGAGCGTTCAAGAGTGCTTGAGTCATGATGTCGGCGTCAGGGAACCTAATATTGTATGTAATCTACGCCAGGACGCACTGAAAATCAGCCTGCTTCTGGGACTGTGACTGACCCAAGATTTCAACGATCTTCACAGAACTTTGTTGCCAATACCCTTGAGCAACAGACTGAGTTTTCAAATGCACAAGCACTTTGCCAGTCCACTTGTCACTCATCAGGGTCGTTTTCGCCGGCTTTTGTCAGCATGGCCTGTGGCTGCATAGCCCAGCCGGGACTTGAGCCTTTGAGTCATGTCCTAGAATGAAATCTAGGTGATCTCTGAGACACAGGCCTAGACTGCACGGCTTGCTAGACGACACCAACTGACAATATTGCCACGGAGTTCATTCCATTGGTAGTAATCCAATCTCTTAAACAGTATGTTTGATATCAGGGTGTTAACACGCGAAATCGAGTATCTACAATAATTTGGCTCACGAATGGACCGCTCTTTGAATCAGGAATATTGACGAGGATTATTTAGCTGAAGTGAATTGTTCCGCTGGGATTAAGAAATTATTGATAATTGAGGTTGCGTGCACACCTATCCAACCTGCCATACCGAGTTCGAATTCTTAGCATGGATGTTTCCCCGATGGCTAGCATCTAGTAGCAGCATCTAGCGACATCCAATGTCATCATCGGACCTTTCTATAGGCCGAGGCACGCACCTTGAGGAGATTTTATAAGTTTCCACGTGGTATGGCAAAGCAACTATCCGATCGAATTGAGTTTAAAACAGAAGATCTCGAATAGCGGTGAAGATTCACTTGGCTAACTCCCATTCCGGCGCATTGGATCGCCGCTAGAGTCTATTTCTGGTAGCCTACACGTCAAGAAAACCATAAAATCTGACATCTCAATTAAGTTCGCTGTTTCTTCCACTATGATGTCAACATGGTGAAGTCCGATTGGTAGAATTTGCAATTGCGTATTCAGTGTTTTGCCGATTTGGGTAGTGACCACTATAAATCTTGCGAGATACTTCTACTCTTAGGAATGGTGGGCCGCGAGTGTGGAATACCTCGATCGGTCTTGGACGGGCACAAGTTTGCCGTATGGTTTCCAACGAGACACGGAATTTGACGAGTAAATGCTACAGTCTTGTCACCAGTCGTTTTAACATGCCGTCCACCCACATCCTCACATCGACAGCAAATCCATATCAAGTATTACCACGTCTGCCTTACCGGCAACCGCAATTAATTACCATTCTCCAGTGTAGCTAAAATGTTATGGTACACTTCTCTATCAATCATAACCCGTCGTAACTGCTAAAATGCAGTATAACAGCAGTCTAATCATGGTCGCAAACTCACGGCCACCCCACGTATAGTGCATGGCAATTCGACTTCAAGTAATAGCAAGCGAGAACCTACTATCCAGGAAACTGGGGCTCATCATATGCTGCATATGATATCTCATAGCATAACTCCTTCGAACAATCCTAGCATCTTCCAATATAACAAGCAGAGCCTGGCTGTCTAAATGGGTCCAACAACCGGTGTATGTGATACAAATCGCTGTTTAAATACTTTTCAGCTGTATGTAAATCTCTGAAATGCCTGAAAGGAGGGGCATGATCTGGTGAATGTACTGGCTGACGATATTTAGGCATGTGAGCCTAAGACAAGCATGGCGAGTAAGAGTAAGAAACAACGCATCATGGACATTTCATACAAATATATACATATGACTTGAAATGAAGTCAAACTCGTCTAGGAGCATCCGTAGCTTGGACATTCTCCAGTTTCCATGCTATAGCATAGCCTTCATATGACTGTTGATATGCGAGAGGGATACCGCCTTTCGCAGGACCGGATGAAATCCACACATCTTGTGACTTGCGATTAGCTGAAATGAATGGGTAGTCTCCGCTGGTATCTCAGAAGAGTTCTCACGAGACGAAGTAGCTAGAAGCAGGTTTCTAGCCAAACGGCGACCTGCAGATCTCATCACGAGGTTAGACATGAGTCATTCTCCTTCAATATGTATGTGATATTGCATTATGGCGTCGTTACCGGCCACTGCGCAGTGTCTTACTTGGAGGTATTTGTATTGTTCATTTACGCGGCGATAGATGGTGATGATGATGAACATTGCCGGCCGAAAGCTTATACTGAGGTCGCACAGCATGTCACCATGGGAAATAACGCGCGCGCGCAAAAGGATACGAAGTCTGCTGAGGGATATAGTATTGAAAGTCAAAATCAGTTCCTGGTGTTTCATGCATGCTAGAACGGTAAGGCCTTGCTGGAACTATGATGGAACACAGATGACCTACTGAGTGTCGCAATCGTGTCTCCTACGTCGATTCATCAATATGCGGATGTAAGACATGTAACACCTCTCATGACTCTTGTCGTCAGAGTGGAGCATTAGTGACGAGCGTCGACAACTTCTTGTAGAATTGATAGCTTTGACTAGGCTACCTTCCCTGGATGAAAATCGCCGGGATAGTAATGGAATGCCTGCCCAAACTGGCAGCTCTAATCTCAGAGAATCTCCCAAACTTGTCTAGACCCACAGTCCCGTGGAAGGCTGTATATCGCACTCCTACCATGAGACGGTTTCTCGTGGTTCATATTCATACAGCTCGTATGAACTGTGATGTAGGCTCAGCATTGACGATTTTGTCACGCGGCATGAACAAGAACTAAAGACCACCCGCCACAATACATTACATCAAGGGATCGTCGAAGCCGAAAGAAAAAATTTGGTATCTATTGGCCCAGCGACCATGTCGGGAAGAAAAAATCAGTAGAGGTTTATACTTCGCGTCGAAGAGGTGAAGAATCTCGGCGGTGCTTTTTCGGAGTTGTGCTCAATCCGGGCGCGTTCCTTTGATGGGCCATGTTGGGAGTTTGGACCTCGTGTCAAAGACTACGTTAATAGTTACAGTACGTACTCGCCGCGTTTGCAGTCCGCTGGTTCGACTGAATTGCTCAGCGTCGTCATCCCAATGTCTGAAGAGTATACTGGTGCACAGGATACAGTTTCAATAGCGATCTGCGTATTTTGATCTCCCCCGACCCCACGGGACTAACAATGATGGACATGTAACACAATTGGTGATCAAAAATAGGTCTATTGATCAAGTGTGGTGTTGTGGTTAAAGAACAGAGCTATAGTGGTTCCACGTGGATACCCGAAGCATCCATTAAACACTACCTAGGTTAGCAACTTTCACAAACCTAGCAACGCGTTTGTGGCGTATTAGCTTAACATGTTATTACTAGCCAATTCTTTTGGGAAAGACAAATTAGCCGAGTGGCTAGTAACCCGTCATGTTCCGATGATGTTCAAATGTTACACAGGATGATCAAATTCCATGATTAACGCGAAAGCGAGTTCGATTACCTGAGGGACCGTGTTTTTGCTCGAGGAGGCTCTTGATTGGCGTCGCTTTAGGACATTGTTTCGCAGATAATACATCGAATCCTTTGTTTTGAACCAGCCTTAGTTAAAGGCGTGCTTTACTGATAAGTTTGTCCTGGTTTAGATCTGTCGTGGATCTGTCATTTAGTCGCCTTCTGGTGTGTACTGTACAAAAGGCCCCAACATCCACATCCCACTCAATGTGATTTTTCAGTGCCCAGTAATTAACACCAGCAGTTGACCAGCAGTCGACCCGCACCAATTCATCAATAAAACAATAACTCGCCCAGACAGCATATCGCAATGGAATGCGATAATGTGGCTTTTACTTCCTCTCTCGACTATACGAAACGTGTATCTCGTGCACGTCTTCGAATAGATCTATTCAAGTCAGTTAGGGGCATGTGTAAAGTGTCGCGAGTCTATCCCGTAGATGGTGCGCCCGAAGCTCGATTGCGACAATACACAAGAGAGACTTTCGACCACTATGTGTCATGACATACATTACAACAAAACAAAACAGAACAAAATATAGATCGAAATAATCTTCAAACGCATACACTCACCCACTCGCTTACACACGATAGATTTGGTGTCGATCATAGGCAATTCTTTAGGCACATAAACATAATGCTTAGAGCTGCCGATCGAGTAGGATGACTCTGCTCGTAACCAGATACTTGATCGTCCAATTCCGGTAAGAAAACCTTGCATCGAAGGGGTTTTTACTACCTTTACATTGGCGAGTTGACCTTGTTATACGCGGAGTAGCTGGGCGAATGTGTTAATCGGATCATAGTTTCGTTGCCAATTGACTCTTGTCAGAAAATAAATATTACGCCATCTTCAAAATCATGCATTCAAGGTGTGAATGTCTGTTCAGTATAAATTTCGCAGGCCAGAGCCATACAGGCAAAGGGATAAGCCTTTAACTCGAAATCTGAGATACGTATAAGACGTTGGCATTCGGGATTATAGACGGTAATTTCAATTATCTAAGCTGGTCCTCTGGCCCTGAAGCTAAGTTGTCACTACTAAAATATCGCCAGGAGAATCAATATCATCACGCACCTCCAAGAACCCAAGACCCCTTTGTTTACTATTGACAACTTCAGCCGAGCTAGAGAAACCTCTGAGTATACCGTTAAGAGCATACGTCTCGCAAATAAAACAAGTCGTATGTGCTGCGGTGTAATGGTCGTCAACAGACAACCACTTTCCCACGCCTAATCCTGTTAATTGGCCATGTCGTCTCCGAATCCAATTCGGACATGTGGTGTTGATCGCTTGGGCTCTTCATCTTCGTCAAGTGCGCGGTGACTAGCAGGAGTAGCATTGCGGCTACGCTTTGGAACCTTGTCTCCGTTACTGTCTGCATTCATAAAAGTGGTAACAGGGTTGACATTGGCAAGATCTTGGCCGAAATCAGCAGTTCCCGAAGCCGAGCGAGACGAGAAAACCCCAGAAAAGGTTCGTGCGCTTGCCGGTGATTGCAATGAATTCGTTTTACGGAGAGCAGGGGCCGGCTGGTTCAGCAAGGAGTTCGTCAGAGTTGTTGCAAAATCCGTAGAAACCAGGCCAGTGGTCCAATCAAAGTCAGACGAATCGTTTGATTGATGCTGTGAATCGAAAGGGTCGACATGTGTCGTACTCTGCAGAAATGCTTGGGTATTGGGCATTGATCCAAGGAAGCTCGCACTCGCATTCTTTGTTTGGTACTCAGGGGAGGGTGCTGATCGACGACGAGGTGAGTGGACATGGGAATCGGATCCGTCGGTGGGATGCTCGATTGGCACCTGCATTGTCGGATTGAATGGACCACGGCGCCACATGGCAGGGTTCGGCCAAGCAATACCCGAAGCTTCGAGGATATCTACGTCTTCAGTTAGTTATCGTCATGTCCAATAATTTGATGCCGTCAAGCTCAGGGCTAGCTGGAAACGGTGTTTAATAAGGATGACTTGCCAATAGGTGCGTGCTGAAACGAGAAGGCGATGATGTTCTTGACCCGTTCGATAGGCACTGTTAAAGAATTGCGAAGAAAACCTTCACTGATAACAATCTTGATGCGACCCAGGTCATCGGCAGGGCTCCAGTAGCTTTGTCGAAGCAGCTCGCTGCGGAAAGGAGGGAACTTCAGGTGTTCTAAGTCACCATTCTTGGTGAACTCGAAACCGTGACTGATATGCAGTGGCCAGTTTCCTTCTCCTCGATCAATAATAGCCGAGCTGTTTCAGATGATTGTGTGTTGGCAGAGGCGCTTTGATACATGGACATACGGGACGTTTTACTTACGCAACTTGTCTTCCATCAACGAAGACGCGTGCTTCGAGTTTCACGAGGTTTTCATGTTTGCTGAAATTGCTTTTGGTGTATTGGCTGATCTTTGGCATGGACCAGCAGTGTAAAGAGATGAAAAAGGGGTTGCCGGTTGGGAGTGCTGGCATGAAACAGGTCATGGTTGGAAGGCCGTGTGACCCAAGAGTGAAGGTGAACTCTGTATCATCTCGAGTTGGTTACCATCACGACGAATGGAGGGACCGGGAAGCAACAGTTTAGACATACCATTGTCGTGAACTACATGGCACTGCGTTTTGAACTCCTTCATAGGAACTTGTTCATCCTTGGGGAATAGGAGCACGTCCCAATCTTCGTATCGCATTGTGGTGGACAGAGCTAGGACACGGACAAAATACAAAGCAAATTTTGATGATATGGGACCAAAGGTTTGAAGCCTGGAGCAGAGACGAAACTGGCAAGAAGATAAAGAGGACCAAGTCGAACAACACTGAGAGGACTGATAATAGCGGCAGAGCTACTTGAAGTACCAGCACGGGCGTCTCTTGATTGGACGGGCAGACTTGATGCATCGTGCCCTCCCTCTAGCATCACTTGGACCCATCACCGATGGCTCCGTTCCTGCCAATGTTGAGTTGCGATAAGGCGGAAGCAGTATAAACCCATGTGGTGGTAGCGCCTTGTGACTACCTACAGCAACCGAACGATTGACGCCATAACTACGATGGGGTATTTGATCTAAGCACATAATCAAATCCATGCATGACCGCTATCTAGCTGTTGAGGCTGCAAGCGCTTGGGATGCTATTGCTCAAAGAATTTGTATACCTAGGAACCATTCAGTTGGGTGAGAACCAATGCCATCTTGTCACATGCACTCGCCAAAGCAACTGTAGCATAGGTATCGAGTAGCGAAGCATTCATCTGCTCGAAGACTTGGACGAGGCTACAGTTCATCACCCATAATCTGGTCGCAAATTGTACATTGAAAACGTCAGTGAAGACTGGAAACGGGGGATAACAGCAGAGCCGGGCATCGAGCGATGAGTTGGTCATGGGCCCACCAACCCGGGCTCAAAGCAGCATTATACCATCTAGAACGCTTTATAATGTGGTATGGTAACCCACTTGGAGGCCGGTTCGCTGGAAGCACTGGCTTCAAATCCGCAACTGACATGAAGCCAACCGCCGCACTGTCCTGGCTTATCGGTTCCAGCGAAAGGGGTATTTGCATCGAATCCAGGGTGTGAAATGAAGTTAGCGTCTATGTTTCGTCGACAAATGGAAAGACTAGGCTCTGGCACAATGGCCTGTCACATGAGACAACTTGGTTGTTCCAAGTACTGCCGATCCCCTTCTTCGGGGGCCTTTGATATTGTTATGTTTTTGATTCCGTCCGCACACCAGTATATGTACACATTTATTCTTCAGCCTCCTCAGACTGGTATGGTTCAGGGTCATCGGGCGATCTTGCCTGTTCGTCGTGTTAGTAAAATGCGGCATGTGTTGCCGGTCCTCCAGAGGGCTGCTTACCCTCATGGCGCCCGATCCGCCCAGTTCCCGCTCCAGACCACCCTCAAACTCTCGGGGGAATGACTGCTTGTCAGGATATACCTGTGCAATAACCCAGCAGAGGCCGAAGACGGTGGCTACGAAGGCACCGATTTGCAGGGCACCCTTGGCCGGGGACACCCAGGTGTACTCGTGGGGAGTAAACATCCCCATCATGTCGTGGTCCTCGTGTACAGGCTCGCCGAAGTTTCTTCGCTCTTGCTTGTCCCACCAGTCGGCGTGAGGGTCGCGGAACTGTCGCTTGACGCGAGGAGGGTTGATGTATGCACCGTTCTAGAGATGGCGGTTAGAGAGACATCGTCATGGGGCATGCGACCACATGGGCACGAACCTGGTTGGGGTCCTCGGCTTCGGTCAACTTGGGGGGCTCAGGGTACTTCTCCTCCAAGATGGCATTGTCGTTGACGGCGTTGGGGATGAAAGTCCGGGTTTGAACAACGGGAAGTGCTCGTCGCGAAATGAGGGATCGCAGGGCCGGAGCCTGGGCAATTCGACGGGAAAGCATCTGGTTGACGGTTGTTAGCTATTTCCTGGGACAGGGAAAGGCCAGCGGGGGCCATTGAGACTTGCCTTGGCTTGTCCGGAGCCTCAATGCCAATCTGAATTGCAGTACGGGTATTCGAGATGGTTGTGAGCTTGAGGTCATTTGAACGAAGCTGGACCTCAATGGTTGAGCTCGGGCCAATTCTGTGTTTAGTGGAGTTGGCAGCCGTCGGGGGGGGCGTCCGCTGACTTTTAACTTACCCAGGTTAGCGGGTTAGGTATCTAACACACTGTAGACTTACAGTACGTCGTACCGCATGTGCAAGTAATGGCTTTTGTATTTACAGGTCACGTGCAGCAGACAGCAAGATGCTGGCAGCCGGGCGGGAAAATGCTGCCCACCAGAGTTCGGTGACCACACAATGTAGGCCCTGCAATTGGCCAGCGGTGTCCCTCCAAGTTTTAGTGGATGCAGGTGCCTGTTAGAAGCTTAACGCTAACTTAGACTACTGTCAGCCTGCGTAAGTTACACACAATACAGTGGCTGCTGGAGGGTGTGGGACAGCCAAGCCATGACAGCCGCGCTCGCTGACGTTTCTGCGCGTACTTAGTTACTCTCGGCTGCTGCCCACTGCTGCTGCTCACTGCTGCTGCCCACTGCCCAACTGCAAACAAGGCGCAACGCAACGACAGAATCGGGCAATCGGAGTCATGGAAATTTTTTGAATCATCGCATCCAACAGAAAAGCACTTTTCCATGACATTTTCCATCGCCACGGCTCACACGGAGCTCTGAACATGCCCAGACTTCACAGTGACACTCATCCGCGCATTTCCTATTCGTAGACGTACTTTTTAGCATCTCAAATGCAACGATCGCTGAGATCAAGGACTACCCTCCCCTCTCCATACCCCGGACAGCTATGACAGACATCGCGTCGCCGCCCCATGCTGAAGCTGCACCCGCACACGACAATGGAGCTGCGGGAGAGAACGGGAACAAGAAGACGAATGCGACCGCAACTGCTGTCACAAATGGGAAACCAGAGTTAGACCCTATAGACACCAGTCCTGTCAATAATCCCCACGATCCCGACAGTGACTCTGATCTAACTCCCATTAAATCCGACGACGACGACGCCATCGACCAGTCTCTCTCGCAAGACGCGTCTACCCTCCAACGCGCCCATCAAAGTCCCCCGGACCAAGACAGGCCCGCCAAGCGACCTCGATTGTCCACGCCACCGTCCAATTCTCAATCAAAGAAGCCCAAGCCCATATCCCCGCCCTGGAAAAGGTTCCAGGCTGATAAACCAACCACCATAGTCACTGAGGATGGCAAGCGTAGATCAGGGCGCACACTCCCTACATCCACCGACAACGTCGTCGTTGCCAACGCCGAGGCCGAGGCCGACGCCAGTACTGCCCAAGTCGGTGCCGCCGACGTCAAGCAGCCCATATCGCCCCCATGGAAGAGGTTCGAAGCTCAGATCCCAACAACATTCGTCGAAGATGGGAAGCGCAGATCCGGACGCACTAACCTAGCACACCTCGATTCTCCTGAAGGGAAAAGGAGCAAACGCCCTGCACGAGGTACTTTGCACGAACAGACCGGCACGCCTGCGGGCAATCGCCTGACCAATGGCCACCCTCGAAGTGTCTCGTCCAGCAAAGCTACTCCGGCCAAAACCTCTACGCCTACGTCCAAATCCAAGCCTGCCAGCAACAAGAAAGCCCCCGTCTCCAGCTCAAAGTCCGCTCCCAAGGTCTCGAATCGTCGGCGATCTCCTCCGCCGCCTCCAGTCTCTCCGCAACGAACCTCTGCTAGGCAACGCAGTTCTCGCAATTTACGTGGCGACTTCGATTCTGCGCCGCGCGACTCGTATCTTTCACATCAAGGAAGCCCGCGGTCGACAAGAATAAAACTGCGCGTGCGAGCCACAGCAATTCCCATTGTGCATCCCGGTCAAGTGAACGTCTTCCCAGGGCAGACAGTGGCCAGACCTAAGCTGGGAGAGAACTTTGCCGATTACGTTCAGAAAGCATCCAATGTTGATATCAGAGACGGTGGTTGGCAAGATCCTACCGATGATGCGCCAGTCTACACGGAAGAGCAAGCAGAGGCAGACGCCAAAGTCTTGTTACGAGTTGAGGACGAGTCGAGACCCGGGGGGATATTGAGCGAAGAGCGCTGTGCGCTGTTTGTTCCCGACCCTGCCGAGGAACCGGCGCGGCAATGGGCACATTACGATCATCTCGTCAGAGCGGCGACCAACTTCAGAAAACTCTTGGTCAAGGAACATTATATACACAAGCAGGCAGCAAAAAGACTAGCCGAGGCCTGTCGCGATGAATGGATACGGCGGCAACCAAAGAGTGCGGAACAAATTGAAGCAGAAGCTAGGATTCTGTGGATAGCAAGATACAAATCAGTTGTGAGGGCCTTGGTAGGCACGTGGGAGAACGTTCGTCTTGAGATTAATCGCCGCCGCCTGGAAGAATTTGAGGCCAAGAGACAAAGAGAGGTGAAAGCGGCCCTCAATGAGGCCGTCAATATGTCCGAGCTTAAACTCCAGGCACGTCGCGCCCATTTCGACTCCGAAGCCATGTCCTCTGACGAAGATGAAGAGGAAGATATGGAAGACATCGATGCGGAGGACGACGGCATGGATTCGGATGATGCTAGTAATGGCGACATTGAGTTGGATCGTACATCCCAGTCCAGTGCAGCCATGGGTGAAGATGCAGATAACATGTCATCTTCCGACGATGAGGAGGATGCCAAGTCCGTCACTTCGGATGCCGAGTTGGATCAAGAACAGCTGCGACAAAAATATGCCAATATTCCGGATCTACCTCAAGCTCAAGTTGCCCTTGTGGGCGAGGATAACGACGACGCCGCATCCTCTCGACCTCTGGGCGATGAGACTAGTGACGAGTCTGTAGACATGGATGACGATATGGGGTCGAGTGACGAAGGCATGGACAGCGAAGACGAGGAGGAATCGGAAAGCGCCAGTGTCGAAGAAGACGGAGAAGAGGAGGAAGAACCCACAGGCTTGCTGGGTATGCTATTCGGCAAATCTGAGTTGAAAAAGTTGCAAAAAGAAGCACCCGCCGACGAATCTCAAGAGATAACCGATGTTTCAATGGCAGATGTATCACCATCTGTCGACGGGGCACCGACAACTAACACTAATGGGTATGATGCGTCGGAGGATGCGTCCAACTCCATTCAGCCAAATACGGAACAGGTGGACGCTCCAAGGAACCCTTATCAAGCTAACAAACCTGATGCACCTGCCACTGTGCCCGAGCCTCTTCAACCGGGCGCGGTGCAGAAGGAGGTTATTGAGACTGTTGAACAGGTCCAAAATGACAGCCCTGATGTTCCAATGGCAGACCCAGATGTCGAGTCTCCAGCGGTCACTACCACAGAGGTTGCGGTCGCGCCAAACACTGCAAATGCGAGCCCAGGAACTGACGGTGCCACAAATTCGGCCAGCCGTGATGATAGCCAATCTCCCAGAACATCCGATACCAAGGCGTCAGAAATTGACAGTGCTTCTTCAGCGATGCAAGTCGGCGCAAGCAGGTCTGTATCGCCCTCTGCTCACGTGCCGAAGACGGAGATCCCGTTCTTACTCCGCGGCACGTTGCGAGAGTATCAACATTTTGGCTTAGACTGGCTGGCAGGATTGTATCAAAACAAAACAAATGGTATATTGGCCGATGAGATGGGTCTCGGGAAGACCATCCAAACCATTTCGTTGCTGGCTCATCTTGCTTGCCATCATGGAATCTGGGGGCCTCATCTTGTCATCGTACCAACTAGTGTCATGCTCAACTGGGAAATGGAGTTCAAGAAATTCTTCCCTGGTTTCAAAGTTTTGTCCTATTATGGAAGCATCGAAGAACGAAAGCGGAAGCGTCAGGGTTGGCAGAGCGATGATATGTGGAACGTGTGCGTTACATCTTACCAGATCGTACTGCAGGATCATCAAGTCTTCAAACGGCGACGGTGGCACTACATGATCCTCGATGAAGCGCACAATATCAAAAATTTTCAGTCGAAACGATGGCAAACTCTGCTCGGATTCAATACTCAAGCACGCCTCCTGCTCACCGGAACACCACTCCAAAACAACCTCACAGAACTCTGGTCCTTACTTTTCTTTTTAATGCCATCAGAAAACGGCGTCGGTGGCTTTGCAGATCTGGCAGAGTTCCACGAATGGTTCCGCAAGCCAGAATCGCAAATATTAGAAAGCGGCCGGGAACAAATGGATGATGAAGCAAGAGCCATCATCGCCAAACTGCATAAAGTCCTGAGGCCGTACCTACTCCGTCGTCTCAAAGCCGACGTCGAAAAGCAGATGCCGGCCAAATATGAGCACGTGGAATTTTGCCGTTTATCTCGCCGCCAGCGAGAATTATACGATGGGTTCCTTGCCCGCACAGACACCAGAGAGGCTTTAGCATCTGGTAACTACATCTCAGTCATCAACTGCCTCATGCAGCTCCGGAAGGTGTGCAACCATCCCGACCTATTTGTGGAGCGGCCCATCATGACGTCGTTCCGTCAGCGAACCTCTGTCATCGGCGAGTATGCCTTTACGAACCATTTATTAAAGGATAAGCTCCTGGCAGAGAAGCCAATGCGTACTGTCAGCTTGAGATTCCTGAATTTCTTGCCCACCCACTACGAGGACCTGTCACTTGGCGACTGCCATCGCGTGGCACAGTTGACAACACACCATGATTTGATGGGGCTACGTGAAATTCAGAAACAGCGTGCCGAAGAAGGTTCGATGAGTCTAGACCCGTCTACTGTCGAATCGAACATTATCTATCTAGAAAGTGCATCGAGATGGCGACGTTTTGAGGAGCTACAGCATTCTGTATACTTGAATGCACTTCGTCGTCAGCAGCAGCCCGTCTATGGTAAACGACTCCGGGATTTTCTCACTATCGATGTCAGTAAGCGGCCATTTAAACCACGCCCAAAGGTACCAGCCAAAGTCATGGCTTGGTTTGAAGAGGATTCCACATTCTTGCGCTCTGCAGTCCTAAATCTGGACCAGCGTGCAGAATCGATGAAAACAACAATATCCAAGTTCGCATGTATCACACCAGCCGTCATTACGAGGGACATTGATCAATTCGTCTTGGGGTCCAAGGGTGTCAATGCATTCACCGAAGCCGACTTGCGTCTTGCGGCTCCTGTTCGATATTCGCCATTCATGCCTAAGGAGGTTCCACTGGATCCCTGGCACGAAGCACGAATGCGCCTGAGTATCCAGTTCCCAGATAAACGCCTTCTACAGTACGATTGCGGCAAGTTACAGGTTCTGGATAAACTTCTGCGCAAGCTCCAGTCTGGTGGTCACCGCGCCTTGATTTTCACACAGATGACCAAAGTCCTGGATCTCTTGGAACAGTTCCTGAACATACACGGTCACAAATATCTCCGCCTCGATGGTGCGACCAAAGTTGAACAACGCCAAATCCTTACCGACCGGTTTAACAACGACCCACGTATCTTGTGCTTCATCTTGTCCACAAGATCTGGTGGCTTGGGCATCAATCTGACTGGTGCCGACACTGTGATCTTCTACGACCAGGATTGGAATCCGGCTATGGACAAACAGTGTCAGGACAGATGCCACCGTATCGGTCAGACAAGAGACGTTCACATATATCGTTTGGTCTCCGAGCACACCATTGAGGCCAACATTTTGCGCAAAGCTAGCCAGAAGCAGATGCTCGACGATGTTGTTATTCAGGAGGGTGGCTTTACTACAGATTATTTCAATAAAGTGTCCGTTCATGATGCCCTGAAAGGAGCAGACGATAATGTGGGCGAGGACGTGGTTGGGGATGCCATGGACCGTGTACTTGGCACCGCTGAGCAAGGTGGCGAGCGGGCAGTTGGTCGCGTATTGGAACAGGCCGAAGATAGAGAAGATGTCGCTGCTGCTCATGTAGCCGAAAAGGAGATTCGGGAAGATGACGCCGACTTCGACGAGAATGCGCCTACGGCATCAGCCTCGGGGACATCCAGTGCTAGGCAAGGTACCCCGGCTACGAGAGATGCTTCTGCTGCTCCTGGGCGGTCGAACTTGGGACTCTATGAACAGTCTGTCAGTGAACTGGCGGAAACTGAGCTCAACGCCTGGGGTGAACAGGTCCACAATATTGATGAGTTCATGATGAGCACCATGACGATAATGCTCGAGGGCACACCACTCGAGATTCCAAAGGACAAAAAGAAAGGCAAGAACCATAAAAAGGGCAAAGATCATAGGAAGCGATGAAAGGGCCAAGGATCTGCTGTACCACTTCAATTAATGTATTATATATTGTGCGACTCCTGATGCAATGCGTCTCTGCTGGAGAGCCAAACCGAGCAAGATCTAGAATGGTGAAAACGGGACCGGACAGCATGGACAAGGTTTCTATACATATGGCAAGGCGTTACGGTCGGATGGGACTTGGGTCGTGGGAAGACGCATTGGCGACTATTCAAAAAGTACTGTACCAACTAGAGACACCTCAATGAGACATGAAGGCCCCTCGGTCTGACCACTTAAACCTACAACTGCGCATTCAGACGTGTCGCTTGTCTTGCAAATCATGAAACCGCTTGAAGAGAATGGCTGGCTGGATAACAACCCTCTCGTCGCCTGTCGGACTACGTTCTCGACTCAGCTACCACAATTGGGGCCTATGGACGGCGTCTTCCTTTGCCCGTTTCCCCACAGCGTCTCCGCATCGCGGCGACAGCCACCCGCGACCTTGTGCCCCTCACCACAGATGGCCATGTGGGAAGATGGCGGGGTGCTCATCGTCAGCTACTTCTTTTTCGGTCCAAAAACAAGGTCCGACTCCAAGTCAAGATCTGAAAGAACCCTCGCGCCTCTCCCCATCAGCTGATGAGCAGTAGGCCGCAAACATCGTTCGATCAATTCGAGGCCCTGTCCTTTTTTATAGTCCCGAATTGGGTCAGAAACGGCGGCACTATCCATTGAGCAGGCTTCTTATTGTTCCGCTCGGGCATTATATCTGCCGTACCATAACTTAGCTAACACTACATCTTGCTCGGGAATTCCGCCTACAACTGCGTCTTGGCCATCTCCATAGTATTAATCAACCGTGACTTGATCTCTTTCCAGCTCAAACAAGGAAACCATCGTGCATACTGTCCGAACATTGCCTCTATACCCGAGACCTAGCCTGCATTGTCACTGTCTCGGACGACTTCACCCTGGGACAATTCAGTTCAGTTCAGTCCAGACTGCCACCCAAAATGGCCAGTCTTGACGAGGATAAGCAGGTTGAACTGTCCAAGACATTCCGTGAATACCTGCCGGACCTCAACACACCGCGGTTCCAGACCATAGCTCAATGCAATGCCTATAGCCATGCCGCCGAACTGCTCGAGCACCACCGCCCTCCATGGTTGTATGGACTTGTCTCGCTCTGGTTCGACTTGCTTAAGGAGCCATACCGAGGAGTCACAACCGACGGTAGCCCTCGCAAAGACTTGTTCAAGCTGCGCGACGAAGGCGTCCCCGTCGCGGACATTGTCAAGACTACCGAAAGCGTTATTGGCAAGCTCGACGCCAGGCAAAAAAAGAAGACGCTCCTACACGTCGACAGCGAGAAATGGCGGACATGGTCGAATCCCGAATTTCTTCTGTCTGACAAGGGCGTGCGGCTCGACGAGATCTCGTCCGACCTCCGCGACTCCGTTCTGAAGGTTCTGGAGGTCACATTGAGCCCTGAGGGCTACGAGAAGGCGCTGGGCGCCATGCGCGTAAACCACTTCCTGGGAGAGCTGGTGAAAGCGCCCAAGGTGATGAACGAGTACTCCTACAATTTCTGCGTCTTCGGTGTCCCCTCCGTTGATGCGCCGTGGGGCTACAGTTTCTACGGCCACCACTTGTGTCTGTCCGTCTTCTTCTACGGGCCCCAGATCGTCATTAGCCCGTGGTTCACGGGCGCTGAGCCGAACATAATTGACGATGGGCCTTACAAGGGCACGCGGATCTTACACGAGGAGGACAAACTTGGCTTGCAGCTTATGCAAAGCTTGAGCCCGGACCTGCAAAAGCAGGCTCAGACATACGAGAAAATGAAGGACGACAAGATGCCCAAGGGCCGTTGGAACCACGACGACCAGCGCCATCTGTTGGGAGCGTACAGAGACAACCGCGTGGTGCCATACGAGGGCATCGTGGTGGGCGACTTCTCCAAGGAGCAGCAGGACCTGGTCCTCGGCATCCTCGAGCAGTACCTCCTGTACCTCCCCGCCCAGTCGAGGAAGCTCAAACTCCAGGACTGCAAGGACTGGTTCCACGAGACGTACTTCTCGTGGATTGGAGGATACGAGGACAAGGACTCGTTCTACTTCCGCATCCAGAGTCCGGTCATTGTAGTCGAGTTTGACCACCATAGCGGCGTATTCCTCTCCAACACGGAACCGCAGAGATTTCACATACACACACTTTTGCGCACACCGAACAAGGGAGATTACGGTATGGCGCTCAGGGAGCTGAGGAGAGATGGTGCGGATCAGCTTAAGGGCGAGGTCAACCAAAACTGGGTCTTCGAGGACAAATTGTGATATAGTGACAATAGAATCGCGAAGATGTGCTGTATATATGTTTCAAAAAAAATTCATTGATACTCAAATGCGATCCCCCTTGAGATTTCGTTGCAGATTGGCTGGCAGGAAGGCTTCGGGTATATGTGCTACCTGCAACGGTGTACTAGGATCTTGACCCATTGCATGTCACTCAGAACAAAAGTTAGCCATATAAACGTGCACTACACAAGTCTGTGTTACGATTGGAAGCTTATACTGTTATCAAAATTCAGTCCTAGAGAAAATTCCACGCAATAGATGTTACTTTCACCAGTTACACTACGCTTTGATTGTTGGGCTGATCGTTATAAATACTTGTACCGCGCAAAAAGTTGCCGAGACTGAATATAGCATGGGGTGTACCGAATCACCCACGACCAAAACAACGACTGTCGCTGGAAAGCTTGAAAGACTTCAGCCCCTAATTCGGGATATCCTGGAGGTTACCGGCATTCCAGGCATCTCAATTGGGGTCAGTCGCAATGGATCCCAGGTGTAAAAATTCAATACCGGTCTCCACGACGTCAAGAGCAAGTTGCCACAGCAGTCTGACACCGCCTTCGAATTAAAGCTCTCGCACAAAAAACATTACGGCTGCCGCTTTTGCCTGTCTCGTTCACGCGGGAAGGTACACTGGGAGATGCCTGTCAGATCAATCTTCCTGGATTTCGCAATGTGAATGCGACGCGATAGATCTATGCATCACTCCGCTGGGTTTGCTTCAGGTGGGTTCCGTTCAAGGAAGCTTCTCGTAGAAGCATATTTCTCATGTGTTATATCGCCGACACCTTCTTATTCAGCTTCATAGGAACAAGTCGCATAACCTGGATGTCAGGGGATATCGGGGATAGAGCCTATGTCTTTGAAAGAATGGGCCGGATGTAGACAACCTTCGTTGCTGCAGTCTGATCTTACGATAGTAATGATGGTCATGACCTATGGAGCCTTTTGGAACTACGGTTTCAAGCGCCCGATCACTCGTTATGCGGCGCACAGGGCGCAATTGTATATCGACGAGTTTTGTATATGTGTATGTTTGAGTGCTCACTTACAACTACACGAGGCTTCCATAATGGCTCCTAGACTTGCAAATCTCTACTCCCAGGCATTGCGGACTTTGTTCCGGGCGGAGAATGTCGGAGGCATTCCTTAAAAATAATGAAAGTCCTTCACATTGACCCACGAGAGCGTATGGGTCTGTGTTGCTTTGGATGATGGCTGTTGTTTGTGTGTATGTAACTTTGTACTTGATGAATTTGTTGCCGGGGTCTTTACCCCAGATTTTATCCTTGCAATAAGGACGTCGTCGATGTCCCAACGTGGCTTACTCGACGCTGTGGCTGGCTGTTTTAGGGCGGACTTTGGCACCCACTTGCCTACCAGACTAGCCTAGCCGCTACCTTTTACAGGTGTCGCGGGTGGACGCAACTGCCTGCAAGTTTAGTTGGGTTTCAAAGTAAACTTCCCTCCCCTTAGTCTAAAGTACATACCTATTATTATTATGTCGCATTATTGTCGTGCTTACCTGCGTTAGGAAGGTCAGGCGGTAACGGACGTTACTGGACGCGGCAAACGACGGTGCAGGAGCACACAGCAACCTTAACTTCGGTGGATTCAGTTGGCAGTTGCCTTGCCCCTCACTCCCTCAATGAGGAGCCTTTCGATGAATCTGTCCCGAGGGGCCTTGAAAAGACTCCAGACAACCTCAAGACTCAGCAGCGTGCCAGTCCTAACCCGCAGCTCTTTTGTACCCCGGTGTAACTTTCCAGCAGCCGCCAATCTGAATTTGACTGGCGCCCACAACAAGCTTGTTGCATCTACTCCAACCCGGTCCTACGCTTCACTAACCTTGGCCAAAATGGACGCCGCCGATCTCAAACACTATCTCGCCGACTCCCCTCCAACTATTGTGAGGTTGGAGATTGAGAAGCATTTCGATGCTCTCACGGACCAGCAGAAGAGATACGCACACTTCATCAGCAAGTAAGTCCAACCAGCGGCGCTTGCTCACTGCATGTCCGCACGACGAGCCTGCTGACACTTTATCCAGGGCTGCCTTTGCTGGCACCCGCATTGTGCTACGACAGATCTCGCCCGAGTCAGAGTCCATTTACGACTTCATTCTAGCTTTGTACAGGAGCTCCGGTGGTGACTGGGAGGCTCTGCAAGCCAAAGCCAAGATCTCTGACGAGGAGCTCGATCAATTCTTGCAGTATGCTGGCCAATTCCTTGGCAACAATGGCAACTACAAGAGCTTTGGCGATGCCAAGTTCATTCCCAGGTCCTCCGAGTCTGCTTTCGCTGCTCTGGCCGCCACCGACTCTGATGCTGAGAAGCACTACAGGGCCACGAACGGCGCTATCTTCTCCCATGACCGTTCAGCCTTGATGCACTTGGGCTACCCTGAGGAAGGTCACATGACGACCTATTATCCAGAATCTCCAAGCATCACCAAGGATGATATTGATGCTGTTTCGGCCTGGATGGAGAAGCAAGGTCTGCTGCCCGAGAACACCAGACTTCTCAAGTCAAGCGAGGGCAATTTCCACATTCTGATTGCCTCGGCCGATACCACTGTGCCTAGTGAGGGAGGCGACGTTGGCAAGGAAACCTCGTTCTCCGTCAACGAAGGACCGCTTTCGGGGAAAACTATCAAACTCATATACGGCGATTACGTTAACGAAATGTCTGCCATTGCAGAGAACATCAAGAAGGCTGCTGAGAATGGCGACAACGAGACACAGAAGAATATGTACAAGGCATACGCCAAGTCGTTCGAGACGGGCTCGCTGCTTGCTTTCAAGGATTCACAAAGATATTGGATCAGAGACAAGGGCCCGGCAGTTGAGTCCAACATTGGTTTCATCGAGACCTACAGAGATCCGGCCGGTGTCAGGGGCGAGTGGGAAGGCTTTGCCGCCGTCGTCAACCTCGAGAGAACAAAGGCGTTTAGCGGCTTGGTCAAGGCAGCTCCTGAGCTGATCCCTAAGCTGCCATGGAGCCAGGACTTTGAGAAAGACAAGTTCTTGGCACCCGACTTCACTTCTCTCGAGGTGCTTACTTTTGCGGGATCTGGCATCCCTGCAGGCATCAACATTCCCAACTACGACGATATTCGACAGACTGAAGGTTTTAAGAACGTTTCGTTGGGTAACGTCTTGAGCGCAAAAGCACCCAACGAGAAGATCCCATTCATTGCGGAAAAGGATCTGGATGTTTACCGCAAATATCGAGACGAAGCCTTTGAGGTTCAGGTCGGTCTACACGAGTTGACAGGCCATGGATGTGGTAAGCTGCTTCAAGAAACTGCCCCTGGCGACTTCAACTTTGACAAGTCCAACCCCCCGATATCCCCCATCACCAACCAGCCCATCACCTCATGGTACGGTCCTGGTCAGACATGGGGCTCCGTCTTCGGCAGTGTCGCCGGTGCATACGAGGAGTGCCGTGCTGAGCTTGTCGCTATGTTCCTATCGTGCGATTTCCCAACTCTCAAAATTTTCGGATTCGGCGATGGAACAGAGAACATGGATAGTGAAGCCGGCGACTTGCTCTATGCTTCCTACCTTACAATGGCTCGTGCTGGTCTTGCATCGTTGGAGATGTGGGATCCCAAGAGCCGTAAGTGGGGGCAGCCTCATTCGCAAGCTCGTTACTCGATTCTGCAATGCTTCTTGCAAGCCGGCGACGACTTCTGCAAGCTTGAATATGCAGGTGACGATGTCAATGGCTTGACCATCAACCTGGACCGTTCGAAGATCCTCACCACCGGCCGCAAGGCAGTGGGTGAGTACCTCCAGAAGCTGCACGTGTACAAGAGCACTGCCGATTTCGAGACTGGCAGTAAATTTTTCCTTGGCATGTCAGAGGTTGACACTGAGTTTTGGGGCCAAAAGGTTCGTGGAGAAGTCCTCAGAGTCAAGCAGCCACGTAAGGTCTTCGTCCAGGCCAACACATACTTGGACGAGAAGACTGGCCAGATCACCGTCAAGCACTATGACGCGACTCCGAAGGGCCTGATTCAAAGCTGGGCTGAACGTAATGTCTAGTTCGGTTCGGGTTTGCATGGTATCGCATACAACTGAATTCGTATTGCCATAGCATAGCATGCCTTGAAAAATCAAAATGTAAATAATTGACCTGTAAACACAGTTTGATTCCTTTCTTATTTAGTGATTCACGCTTGTACGGTGTCCATCTCTTTGACGGTCTCACCGGTCTCTACCATGCCATTCCCGATTTGAAAAACATGCTTTGGCCCATAAATCCCGGGTCAAGAATAAGTTATTAATCTAGTGGCCACCATTGGATTGGAAATGATATTATTCAAGTGTGATATGGGATGGTATGGTAAGTCAATATGGTCAGATAAGGCGTGCAGGAATTGCTTTACCGATGCTGGGTTAGATCTAGTTGGATGTTGTATGAATTGGTAGCATGGGTGCCCGACACCTCGCACCAAAGATAAAAACTTGAAAAAGCAGATTTTATGAGGGAACGTAGACTCCATGGCCTGATTGCTGGTCTCTTCGAACTCTACTTCACTTCGCAATTCCTCAACTTCACTTGACCTGCTAGGTTTCGCGGCTCATACATTCTCATCAGCACCTTTTGACATATTCCAAAACGTGGCCCAACCGACTGGCTTTTCTAATCTTACCTTCTACAAGCGGCACGTCTGTGATACCCTGCAACGCATATCGAAACGATTGGATTGCCGATAGATAGGGAGACTATAGCTAGTCCTGACGAAGATTGGATCTTGCTGATGAGGGTTTTTTTTTTTTTTTTGGTATTTCATGAGTAACGTGTATCAATTTTCCTGTGAGAAATGCTTGCGCTCTCCTTCGGAAACATGTTATTGCGATCGATCAATCGCACGCTTGCTCTACTGATAACCGTCACCAGGCTGCATCGGAGATCGGATGTTGAAAGTGTTTCCTGTTTATAAAAGCTCGAATACCTGAGTGTCTATACCCGCCCTTCGTAATACATCGGCTTCAACTATGCACATCGCAGATAGACCCTCAGAGAGTTCTTCACGAAACCCCTCAAGATCTATGCCCAGTTTCTCTAGGCGCGGGTCTGGCTAACTGGTTTTGCCGCTGTTCTCATCCTTATATCCCCAACGGTCACCAATTTGAGAGCCCACACGGACTGGGTGAATATTATCCGAAAAGGGGTCGATGATTGCTTCCCCGTGAGATACGCCATCTATACAGCATGCGCCCGCGAACTGGAAGCTGTTGGCGTCGACTGGGCGCAATGTTATAGGCGTTCGACAGCCAATCAAGGTACATACGTGGTCGCCCCTTCGCGCTGAGGTAGTCGCTACACCTGTTGACTGATTAGAGCCGAATAAGAGTTTCCTTCCTGTAAGGTAGTTTCTTGTCAAAATAATGACTTCGCCTATAATTTTGTCATTCAACACTTTCTTGAATCTCATGCGAGGATGGCAGTGTAGTCAATCTTGCAAGAAAAGGTTTGTAATCATGCGAGGTTGGGAAATCTTGTCGGGGAGGGTGGTATTGATCTGCCAGCCTATAGGCTACCAAGAGCTCTAGTGCAGCTCTCAAGCAGTATATCAGTATCGGGGTGTGGCTTTTCGAACGCCATTTGGATGACGCTGCTGATGGCTTGTAACCAGTCAGTATATGACCTGCAGCTACCGAAAATATCCTCCACCGTATCCTCTACCAATGAGGCTATCCGTCCCACAGCTCTGAGTGCCTTATCAGTGATTTCGGTGTACATTTGTACCGGAAGCGACCCAAAGAATGCTGACTCGGGGCACCCTACAGCCGTTGGCTTCGACCAGTCAGGCATCCACGATGGTCCAGCATGATTGAGCGCAAATTCGCACGCAACGAGAATGTCAAGGTTTTTGAAAGACTGAATAAATCGCGTTGCAACGTCTTCAAAAACTTGTGTCGGTGTCTGTGTGTAATCAGGTACAGTTCGTAAGGCGAGTCGATCATCTAGGATATTTAGTATTCCGTAGATACGATCTCGCGGATCCATACCGTCTGTATGTTGAAGAAATATTTTAAGTCAAACGAAGAGAGACTTTGGTGCTGGTATATAAACCCTTCAAGGCGCCTGAAAAAAAAACCCCCCCGTTTGAAGTCGTCAGTAAAGTCAAATGACCACGTCGGCCTGCGGTGTGAAGCCATCATCGCGTTGCGGAAATGATGCCAGGAAACCGAACGCCTGCCACTAAGAATGGTGGTGGTGCTTTTAGCTAAACGTATCTCTTGCCGTATCCATAAACGTTTGAACCATTCCCGAGACAGCAGATAATATGTCGCACAAAGCTCTCTGCTCCCAAGTGGAAGTCGGTTGCCACTGTGAATCCATCTGTGTTCGGTGACTCCTTTTGCTGCGCTCATGGCATGTGGTGCAGCCTCCCCAAAGCAAGGAGGAAAATTCATAACGATGGGACTGCCGAGGTATTGCATGGCATTCATAGCTATATCACTGTCGTCTGCTTCTGGGCCCGGCCATACAATCACGCGGTCAGCATTGTCAAAGATGCTGCCCATTACGGCGACTTGTGAGCTCCTCTCTTCATCGTCTATCTAGTTGATACAAAGAGCATCAATCACCCTAGGCGTGTCTTGTTTGCGAATATATCTGAGAGCGATGTCAAGGCTTCGGGTGATTGATATCCCTGATAGGCGCTTCTGCCCAACGTAGACAAACTGTAGGTTCTCCCTGGAGCCCCATACATATGATAGCGCTTCGTATGCCATTATTGTTCCTTGAATGATCTTGGAATCTCTAGTACTCTTGAAGTATCGCGTCGGTTGCAACCGAATGACAATTCCGTCTTGATTAGTGCCAGGTTCGGAAACAAGGAGCCCGATGAACCTTCGACGCAGCGATTGGTACTCATATGGTGGGCACGGCGGGCCAGGCTTAGCCTTACTCCCCGTAACTGGTGGCATCTAGAACCCTCACGGATGGCTCAACAACAGTGAAGCCACAGCTCGTCAACGAGCACCAGTTTCGATTGTCTTTGACGAGTATCTGATGTGAAAATTAGAGCCAGAAGAAATACACAATTTGCAATATTCAGTTGTCATCCACGAGACTGAGCTGCTTGGGTCCTCGTGACCAGTCAGTCGCAAGTCGGGGAAAAGCAGACGCATTCTCTGCGAGGCATTGTTTTGATCGGCCCTGCATCGCGCTGCACCTCACAGCCTTCTAGACCGCAATTCTTGTGAACTCACGGTTGAACGGCAGACGCAAGGAATTTGAGCAGTTGCACAGCCAGCTTACTACCACTAGCGCGGCAGCGAAGATTGCCCCTGACGGTGACCATACAATGACAGGGTTGAGATACATATTGAATGTGTGAATTTGTGGTTCCGGTCTTTCTCATGGGCCATGCTGCCAATATCCAGCAGTGGAGGGTGGCGTACAACCTCCAGCTTGTGCCACGAGAGTGATAGCTCATGTCGGCCAATGCCTACAACCTACCTAAACCGAAGCAATCGTTGAGGTTCGAAGCATGGGCGACTCCCCCACACACGGTAGCCAAGTAGCAAGACTCACTCGAAACCATACCCTAGGCTAGCATTGTTCTCAGCATAAGTCATGGACAGTGATTGAAGTGATAGGAGACGAGACATCGATTGAGGTCCTGGCCGTGCCCGCAGGGAAACCGGTGTCATATCGTCATGGGCGTCATCGTAACCGAAATGTGTCGAATGCTGTGGCTGTTAGCTGGATATTAGACATGGTACTGCATTTCACATGTGATGAAACGGATTTCAAATGTTTGATTGCCCAAACCAATGAGGATTTGTCATATGCTCTTTTGTTGACTTGAGAACCTCATTACAGACGCCAGAATCAATGTGACCGATGACCGTCAACGTCCAGATGCAATTGGCAAAGCCAGCCCAGTTTCCGCAGACACCTATCATCTGCGGCCTCTAGAAAAGTTTCGTGTCATGTCTTCCCTTTAAAAGTAACAAACCATCCCCTCCCAAGTTTCCGTTTTTTTCCATGCAGAATTCTTGAGAAAGTCCTCTACCACTTCATCTCGTGGGGCTTGTCACCCTTGCGCAGGCTGAAAGAAGAGGCAAGGTAGCTGGGAAGGAAGTCGACCTTCTTGATGGCGGCAATGAGGGGCTTGTCGACGCTCTTCTGGTCGGCAGCTCGGCTGCTGCTGACCTCCTTCTTCTGTGGGGGCTGTTGTCAGTTACTTGTCACCGTCGGGACTTGTTCTGCTGTGACATACCTGTGGCTTCTCTCCCTGCTTGAAGAAGGCCTCCTCACCAGCCTTGTCCTTGACCTTGTCGCCAACGAAGTACTCGGCCTTGGAGATCTCGTCAACCTTGGAGGAGTCGATACCGCTGATGTCGACCTGCTGGGATGTGGCAATGACGTAGCGGGAGTTGACTCTTCGGAGGGGGACACCGTTGATCTTGAAAGGACCAGTGACCAAGAGGACGCCCTGGTCAAGGGTCTTGAGGAGGACGACACGCTTGCCGCGGAAGCGACCAGCGAGGAGGATCAGGACGGTACCGGGCTGGAGGGAAGTGCGAGGAGCCCAAGCACGAATGGCCTTGCGGACCTGGATTTCAATGGATTAGCAACTGTTGCAGCAAATAATCATGTGCGCGCGCCAATGCATCGCAAGGTCGCTCCGTAGTTGCTGCTGCCATGGTGACCATTGCTTCCCGATCTGATTGCGCCTGAAGATGTTTTCGCGTTTGTCGTTTCGGTAGTCGTTGAAACCTTGTGCCAAATTTGCTGAGCCGAACTTGCGAAGGCGTGAACGGATGACCTAACTCTCCCGTGCTCTCCGTGCTCTTTACTCCCTCCACATCTCCGTGCGAAGCAATCGATCGGGAAGAATGAACCACGGCCAGTCTACTGTTGTCGGAAATCTCGTAACGTAACGTAACCACTTACAGTCTTGGGCTTGGACTCATCGTCGGCAGGGTACCACTTCTGGGCCTTCTGGGAGTGGTGAGGGACCTCCCGGGTCGACTTGCCAAACTTCTTGCTGGTCGGGGCCGACATTGTGAAGGATTGTTGGCTGCTGTGGTTAGTTGTCGACGCTGTAGGATTTGGCGTTTGGGAATTGAATCTTGAGATCGTCAAAGTGTTCCTCTTGCTCGGTCTCCGTATGCACACAGGAAAAATCTTGTGGGTTCGTTTTACGCGATTAAGCCCTGCCCCGAAAAATGAATGTGGCCGTGCAGAGAACTGGATAAGAGAAAAGTGGCTGGTGCGATTGGGCCAAGAGGTTTGCCTTACGCTAGTGGATCAAGCCACAGTTGGCCTCAAAGATTGGGGGGGGGGGGTTCCGTTTCCAAATATCCATGATTATGTCATTCCTCTTTTCCAAAGCTCCGATGACCGATGGTTGATGACCGACAGACTAGGCCCAAGCTCCACCCCACTTTGTGTGCTGTGGTCTCGTTGCCTCGTCTCCCAGCTCTCAGCTCTGAGGTAAGAACCAAAGCTAAGCAGCAAGCCCCCGAGGCGACGTACGAATGCCCTTGGTAGCCTTGCATCTTTCTCTCAATCAAGTCGCCGTAAACGTAAACGTAACCGAAGCACAACCGCAGAAGCAGACGCAAACGAAGACAAAGTCGCCAGACAAACAGTCGACTCCATATTCATTCCCCAAACCCCAAATTCTCCCCGTAGTTCACAGCATTGTAGCACACAGCCATGTCAATTTCGCCCATCATAACGTTCAAGGCCGGCATGTGCGAGGTTGATGTCAGTGCCAACACTCGTCCGTCCGCTCATTCACCCCGATCGTTCAAGCTGATATCCAACGTCTAGCCCTCGGCCAAGCCGTACAAGGTCAAGCCAAAGCCTGAGAAGGGCTACGTCTACCTCTACGAAGAAGATGGTTCGTCCCATTGCCTCTACTATAATGCTCATCCAATGCGGCTACTGATCTTTCATGTCAGACCTGATTCACTTCTGCTGGAGACAACGCAGTGCCCCTCTCGACCAACCAGAGCTTGACCTGGTCATGGTACCGACGGATCCTCACTTTGTACCCCACGATTCCAGCAAACAGACAAGACCCGCAGCCAAGACAAACGGACGTGTCTTTGTCCTCAAGTTCACCTCTTCATCAGAACGCCACATGTTCTGGATGCAGTCGAAACCTCAAGGCCGAAATGGCGACCCCGCATGGTTCAGCCCCCGAGATCTGAAGATTGGACAAGTGGTCGACGCCCTGCTGCAGGGCGAAGAGGTCGACGTTCAAGCAGAAATGGGTGCTGTGGCAAGCAACGACAATGACGACCCACATGGAGAAGACGACGACGACGAGACCATGGAGGATGTCGAGGGCGGCGACTCCAACGGCCCCCGCGGTGGCGCTGGCGCCGGCACCGGAGGGGCTGGCTCGGGCGCTACAGGTGGAGATGTGCGAGACGAGGGACAAGGCTCCAGAGAGGGAGGTGCAGACGGAGCTCGAGCGTAGGTGCATTTTAACCCATGTTTGCCGGCATTGCCAGACGAGACGCCATTCTTCAGGAAACCAGCATCACGGCGGCATGATATCCAACCTGGCCGGTGTAGGATGTGGGAAGACCTGTCGTGAGACCCGCCGTGTATATTAGACATGACAATTGATGAGCTAGCTGGCAATTTTACTTAAGCCAAGCATCTACACTGCTGCCAGAACATTGGCTAACATGTGTATTGTAGTGTTGCCGGCGGGAACAATGACGCTGCACAAGCAGTGAGAAATTTCCTTGACTCTCTGAAGGGCGGTTCAGGTGGCGCTGGTGGTGCCAGCCAAGGGGAGGACAAGTTGTATCCCCTCCTTTCAGATCTCCTCACACCCCCCACGACAGTCCCCATGGCACGCGATGCCACAGAAGAGCAGATCGATGAGCTGCTGAGTTTTCTGCCTCCCCAAGTGCTCATCATCGGCCAACAAGCCGACTCTGGAGATGCCACAGCTGAGCCCACAGCCGACGCGATAGAAGCAGCCAGGCAAGCCATGAGTCTCGGACAAAAGAAAGCCCTTCTGGAGAAAGTTCTTAGGAGTCCTCAGTTCCACCAGAGTTTGACAAGTCTCACGATGGCTCTGCGGGATGGCGGCTTGCCCACTGTTGCAGAGGCGCTTTCTGTCAAGGTTGAGAATGGTGGTTATATGAAGGGTAGCAGCATGCCCTTGGGTGGCGGTGCTGCTGTCGAGGCTTTTGTTGAGGGTGTCAAGAAGACGGTGGAGAAGAAGTAACCGCTCTCATTAATGTTCACGTTAGGCTGCAACCATAATTCTGTACATTTGGATGAGATCATGATAGATGTTGCCGCATAAGCTTGATGTACGGCAATAGATGAGTGCTTGGTGCATTGTGTCGCATACACAGTTTTGTTATATACTAGTCTAACTAGGCTTTGGCCTGTGACTTCTGGCAGGGTCAGGGCTCAACACCATGCGATGTTACGAGGCCAGACACTGGACGTGAACGATTAAACAGTGATCGCCGTGAATCATCATAAGCCATCTTATGCCACGGCCACCATGGCAAGTACAGAGGTTGATGAGTATGTCGTGCCACAATAGCGAGGTAAGTCTTAAAACAAAACGGTGTAAACGGTGTGATGCCGTCTCATTGGCTTGCTGACTCACCTATGGTAGCTTTTCCCCGAAATCCCAATCCCCGGTCCCTGGACCTCCACTACACACTGCCGGGCCAACAGCTGCCTACCCGCTCCAAACTATTCCGCATTCAAGTTAGCATCTCGAAAGCTTCACCTTCGTCATCTTCTTACATGAGAGCTTCTCGGTCTAACCTCTGCTTCATTGTCAACCGCAACTCTCCGGACAGGCGCTCAAAATGGCAGAGACGGTCCTCAATTTCCCCACGGACCCCAGCGAGTTTGATACCGACCACCGCATCTCATTCTCCAAACTCGACAACAAGTACATCGCCGTGCAGGAGGGCGGCACCGAGTTCGAGTTCGACGCACAGCTCAAGCGCTGGATCCCCACATACGACGATGAGGAGCTCGCCGCCCAGCAGCGCATGTACGGCGGTTCCCCGGCGGACGACGACGACGACGCGGAAGCGGGCGGCAGCAGCAGCAACCACAACAACAACAAGCGCAAGCGGAAAGAGGACGCGGCCGCCGCGCGCAAGAAGCAGAAGGCCCCGCCACAGCCCAGACAGAACACGGCCATCTACGTGACGGGACTGCCCTTCGACGCCTCGGTGGACGAGGTCCACGATGTGTTCAGCCGCAAGTGCGGCGTCATCGCCGAGGAGATCGACAGCGGGAAGCCGCGCATCAAGATGTACACCGACGCCGAGGGCCAGTTCAAGGGCGACGCGCTGGTCGTCTTCTTCAAGCCCCAGAGCGTGGAGATGGCCATCATGCTGCTAGACGACACGGACTTCAGGTACAGCTCCAGCGGGACGCCCTCGGGGAAGATGAGAGTCCAGGCTGCGGACAGCAGCTACAAGAAGGTGCAGCACGAGGCGGGAGATGAGACGGCCGCTGGTGGAGCTGCTCACACTCCTGCGACTGCTGTCGCTGGTGGTGCTGCTGCTCCTGCTGCCAACGGTCGCGGCGGGGCGAGTACGGCTGACGCTGCGCCGAGAACGGCGGCCCAGATTCGCAGGGAGCGCGAGCAGGACAAGCAAAAGATCATCAAGCGCACGCAAAAGCTGGATGCGAAGCTGGCGGATTGGGATGATGACGAGCCGTACGGTGCGCAGCTCGAGACGAACCAGAGAAAGGATAAGGTGGTGATACTACACCACATGTTCACGCTACAAGAACTCGAGGAAGATCCTGCGGCGCTGCTGGATATCAAGGACGATATCCGAGAGGAATGCGAAAAGTTGGGGGCGGTTACGAGCGTCACCCTGTATGACCTTGAAAAGGATGGTGTTGTCAGCGTCAAATTTCAGAGCCCAAAGTCAGCCGAGGCGTGTGTGGAGATGATGGATGGAAGGGCCTTTGATGGAAGGACTGTAAGAGCTACCTTCGCTACGGGGCGGGAGAAGTACAGGAAATCGGGCAAGGACACCGGCGAGGGTGGCGTATGATGTCCGAAATGGATTCATTGAGTTGCTTGGTTCTGACCTGGATTGTATAACAGTCAACAGACACGTCGGGAGGGTCTTGGAGGGGATGACTTTCACCCGACAAGAGAGTTTCGGTTCCTGATGATGAGGTGACTGGATTCATTAGGCAGCCCCACGACATGAAAAGTGGTTAAACCTTTCCTCTCGGCCTTGCATAGTGGCCATCGAGTTGCTGTAGAATTAACTGCGCATTCGAGGAAATGTAACATTAAAAAGGATGCACGGCACTAATCAATCTTTGCGTGTATGGCAACTCCCGGCCCTCGCTGATATGTGCAATACTTCCCAAGACGGTTCCTTTATCTAGGCTCATTAAGAACGGAATAGAATTGGCACTTACAATACCAACCATACTTAGGTGGAGGGAGCACAGTTACATGTGCCAGTGGCCGTACGCAGGCTACTGACTGGTTTTTATTTTTGTTTTGTTTTTTATGGCAACGACGCCGTCTTCAGTCACAACTCGGATAAAGACGATCATACCGAGGACAAGGAAGTGCCGATCTAGGATCTGTTCTGTTGACTACGGCTCATCTCCACTTTGTAAAGTCTGTTTAATCAGTAGTCAAACATATACGACCATAGAAACCTGGGCATATTTAGAGGCACTACTTATTTCAGTCTTCAATGCTGTTATGTAAAAATGGGCCATGTAATGAGGGAATTTTTCTTCAATCTTTGCTAAGGACAACTAAAAACACATTTTCCCTAGGGACATTGAAAAGCAGTCTCTTAGATACTGCAGCCGATCGTTTATGAGTACGCAAGTAGACGCCGTTACGTGAGACAAGAACATCACTGGTCATCGCAATATGCAAAAATTGTAAGGTTGTCATTGATATGATTTTTAGGCTTGTAGCTTCCGATATCGATATTGAGCTATTTGTTCAAGTCAAACCAAAATGGTGCTACATGATGGAATTTTCCCTGTAATTGAATTGGTATCTTGCTTTTGAATTCAGGAGACAGACATCTCAACGCTTCTCATGACAGCATGCTTGAGCATCAAAAAATTCAGTTATCAGCATTTCCAAACGTATTGATGTGTTGGTCCTTTGCCATGCACCACCAACCTGCAGCTTCGATGATTTTGCACACGATCTTGACCTCGTCCATAGTCCTTGGAGAATAGATCATGACAAACTGTCTTGGTACGGGCATCTTGAACCACCTGCCCCTACACGCAAGTGGATGCCTTTGACCCCAGCCCTTGAGTAATACCTCCCTCACATCATCTGGGTGCAGAGTCATATGCATCGACTGGTCTGAATTGTGTACATGGCATATCTCCCCTGCACAAGTGTAATTGACAGGATGTCGTGCGAATAGACCTAGACCGTGCTTCTCGAAGCATGAAGTGCCGAGACCAATAACGTCGTCGTGCTTCTTGCCATGGTTTTCCAGGATCTCTCGTAGCGCCAGGTAGCATTCTCTAGGTCCTTGCTGGTCAATCTGTCGTTGAGGTGCAATGCCCACCACTGTTGGCCGTGGACCACATCGAAGAGGGAGAGGGTTCTTGCTCAAGATTCCTGCCGATGGATAGCTGCTTGCATCAGGTTCGGGGGGTTCAAGCGGATCTTTCAGAGTCCATAGCCTCAGCCAGTTGATCTTGAGATAGCCTTGAAAGGTTGCTGGTGTCCCACCAGGACCTAGCTTGAGATAATTGTGGAAATCATTTCGGATGTAGAGGAGAATTGGGGCGACAGCAGTAACCAAGGCAATAAGTGAGGGTTGAAAGAAATGCACACTTAGTGCGAGAGATGTAGCAAGCGTGAAAATAGCCGGGCCATCAAGAGTTATAGACATTGGGTCCTGCCTGATGGCTCTTTGCATTGCATTTCCTTCATTGCTGTAGCCGTCGTCGATCATTGAGGTCGAGCTACTAGACTCAGTCTGTAGTTCAGAGACAGACATGATAACGTTGGATATAGAGATTGGTGATATGTATAGGTGTCCAGCGTGGAGGGAGTAAGACGGATGAAGAGGAGTGGAGATGAGCAAACCTTAAGCCTAAAAGCATTTGGTTAGGTATGGATATGGGTTTTTTTCAAACAGCAGGCAGCTGAGGGGTCCATGAGGATATTTGAGGACAGAAATCCTGAGAGCTGGAACGTGTCTGATCGTGGGTTGACGTCGGTTTGTCCTCGTGGTGTGACTCCGCGGCTAGCTGAATACTAACCTTGCATGCCAATCCGTATAGCAACTCTGAGTGGTCGGGTGCAACCGAAACAGCCAGGCAGGTATCCATCACCGATAACCGGTGCCCACTTGAACTTGGGATGCATTTGACCTATTGTACGACAGTGACAGCATGGAAATGTTCTGAGGTCCAACGTCAGAATTGTTGATGTGCCAGAATGACTGATCCAGGCTGGTTGCTCTCAGTCGTGTTGGCGCTATTGCTGCTAGGCTTTCCTCCTTGAGCCCTTGACGGAATCAGCCAATCTGAAGCTGGCCCAATTGCCCTGGACAACACGATTGATTTCAATTCGTGATTGAAAGGAAACAACTGCACAATGTTAGATAACAGTCATATCTCGATCGTTCAAATTTCTGACAGGCCATGGAGAAAGCGCATATCGGATGACCAGACAAAACTTTGAGATTACCGCAGTGTGATGTAATTTGTCAATGCCAAACCCCCGGGTTGCTAACCTTCTCTGCCGGGTTGGGCTTGTCTCAATCCAGTAAGGCTCGCAGTGCTTAAGCGGCGTACATAGTATATAGTTGCAGTCGCCCCACTGGATGTGTTATCAATATTCTACTGCAGCCGTGCCTGACAGCTGTCTTCACATACTTAGTTAGCCAGGCGCACCCTGACATGGTCAGCATGGTCTGGTGATATCGGGAAACCTTGACATGAACTTACTGGCAAGCTGCATGCGTCCTTGTTTCTTATTCGGCGAAAAGACCCCGGCTTCGGTTCATATTGAGCAAGCCACGACAGTACCAAAGTACGGTGTAAGGTCACACATGACCTTGTTGCTGTCACGCGAGTCGTCGGTGACTGCTCCGGCTTGCAGACGCAGGACAGTAGGGCATCCTGGTGGAAAGCATCGGAACTGCAAGAACTTGCGATTCCCTGTGTATCTGTCCATGTCGACAACATACGGACGCTTGGCGGCGCTTGCTGGCCGTCCATGTAATGGGTACCTTGTAGTATATCTTCGAAATTTATGGACTGTGATAATTGTGTGATAAGACGTAACATCTTTGTCAGTTGAATCATAAAGCTTGCGAAGTCATGTCAAACCACGTCCGGCTATGTACTATTCCAAGAGCATATGGTCATCACGTTTTCGAGCCTATGCAGCTCTGCGAGATGGCAAACCGATGGCGCCGACACAACAGTTTGATGGTCGGTTTGTGGTCATGTTGAAACAGGCCCAGATATGTCGGGCTTAACTTGGCGTAGTCGCGCCAGGCAGAAGAATGTAGGTGCCAAATTCGTAGTAGTTCCTGTGGCACACAGATCTCCCATGGAGGTCGTATGGTGACCTCGAACAGTGCCGATGAACTTGGCGTGGAACTACTGTCGGGAACCAGAAGGCTGCGATGCATATGCAGCGCGATAAAGTGCGAGGGAATAGCAAAAGGCACGGCCAGAGATGTGGTTGAGCCGTTGCCAGCCTGCTGTGATACTGGAAAATGCAATTGGGCGGAAAGCGAACGAATCCAATCCAATTGATGCCGGTGTAAGACTGTGACACCCGAAGCGTGGACGGAATCCACACTACTAAGATGTGACCAGTCTGCAGTCTACTCTGTACAGTCTGCAGTCTGCGGTCTGCGGTCTGCGGTCTGCGGTCTGACAGGCACAAATAGAAGACTGCTGTTGCCTTTGGAGGTGGTTGCTCCTGGCAACTCCCATCCAGGTGCCACGAAGATCTAGCCCGCCCAATTCTCGGCCGTGAGTGGACGCAAGTGTTGGTGGAGAGCTAAACCTGGCTCCTCCTTCGACAGGGATACCAAAGGGGCAAGATGATGGAGACCGTCCTAAACAAGGCAGCTCAGTCGATTCATGCGCTTGTTAGATTGACAAGGGACACACGGAGAATACTGGCTGGAAGCCATCGCTCTCGAAGGAAACCAAACTCCTGCAACACGCCGTATGATTACCTGAAATACTAAGAAAGGAAGAAAAATTCTCTCGCTTTGGCAGTTTAAGAGTCGCACTCTCTTTCCGCACCCGGCAACGGCAACAACAACGGCTAAGGAACGTTAAAGCGTCGACTGTTGACGTAGCAGCTTACGGAGCACGATCACTACATAATACACTGACTCGTTGCACGTGCTGCACCCGCAACAAAACAAGCTTAAACTTGGTGATCCTGAGACCGACGAAAATCGCGATTGGAGGCGTCGTGATTCCTTTCATTTTTTGACTGCCCATGGGGCTGGTTTTGGTTTAGTTATTGATTGAGCATAATATATTCGGGTGGTTCGGTGTAGGTATCCATTGACAACAAACAAAACTTGGCTTGCAACAGGTGAGCACCCAGCTGACTTGTCATGAAAGGCTCCAACGCACATCTTCAAAAATGGGTGTTTTCTCCCGCGACGAACGGCAGTCGAGGCTCCCCGTGTACGAAAAGGTTGCCAAAGAGCGCGACTCAAACGACTCTTACGACGATTCCGACTACGAGGACTATTCAGTAGAGTCCTCACCAAGTACAAATGCGTCCAGGCATACGACCGGTCTACTATCGTCTGCAGCGACCCCCATGATCAAGAGGCCACTTTCTCTTACCAGGAGAACGGGAAGGTCCATAGGCTATCGGCTACCCAACAAAGTGGTTCGATATCTATGCATAGCCCTGGTATCGACAATACTGCTGTTCATCTTCACGTTGGTTCGCGCAAGCCAGAACGAAAATAGGAGGATACGAGAGGGTGGCGTATACAAAGCCCCATCGGCCCCTCCAGTGTGGGAGTCGTATCCCTTCCTCACCAGGTACTACGGCGGCATCAGAAACCTCGTGTCCATCCAAAACAATGTCGCAGAATACCCCCGCGCCGAGGATGAGCTTCCTCTTGATAAGCTCTCTTTCATCAACTTCACAGAGGATTCTAGTCTCCACAAGCGCGCCATCCCCGAAAGCAAGGAGTTCTTGAAGCACCCAAAGAGCATTTTCCAGACCACACCTGAGAAGATCAGCGAATGTTTTTTGGACGCCGACAACAAGGTGCGGGTACCCCCGATCCGTTACTACGAGGGGCGTCCTAGTGGGTTTCCGGAGGCAGTTGTTGGTTCGTACGATATATTTGGAATCAACGAGGATATTTGCTACGAACGTTATGGAAGATATGGCCCTTATGGGCTTGGCTACTCACAAAGGACTGGCGGTCTTGGTGTTGGCGAACACGGCGAAAAGGAGGGCTCCGAGCAAACATGGTCAACAGTTCATCAAGTCGACTGGAGAAACATGGATTGGGCTGATGCACAGCGTCGCTGTTACCGATCAAATGCCAACCGGTACGAAGCCCTGCCTGACCGGACACCCACGCCTCGTGGCTTCTTCGTAGACGACAAGACCACCAATGCTACGCTTGTGGCGCGGGACATGCTCTCTGAGGCCATTGCAGCAGAAGATGTGACCACTACCAAGGCCGGCAGCAAGGAAGTTACAACTAAATCACCGCGAACCGCTGTCGTTATCCGCTGCTGGGACGAGTACTTCTTCCAAGAGGAGGATCTCATGAACCTGCGTTCGCTCATCACTGAGTTGTCTCTTGCTTCTGGCGGTCGATACGATATTCACCTTCTCGTACAGGTGAGGAACGACGCTGCACATCCCATCTGGGCAGACCATGCCATTTACGAGCAGCGGATCCGTGACGTGATTCCCCGGGAATTTCAAGGGCTTGTCACATTTTGGACGGAAACCCAAATGCTTGCTCTTTACCAGGGTATTTACGATTTGTTCGCTCGCGGTCCTGATTTGCCCGTTCATGGTGTATATCGTGGCCTAGCCATGGCAATGCAATGCTTCGCCTATCAGCATCCCGAGTACGATTATTTCTGGCAGTGGGAAATGGACATTCGTTACACGGGTCACTACTACGACTTTTTCACCAAGATTGAAAACTGGGCCAAAGAGCAGCCCAGAAAAGGTCTATGGGAACGCAATGCACGGTTTTACCTGCCTTCAGTTCATGGAACCTGGGACGACTTTAGGCAGATGGCTCGTGTTCAAGCCGAGATGGGCACTGCTGGCGCCGACAACATCTGGAAAGGCATAAACCAAAAGGACAAGCCCAAAGCACAATCCGCACCTCGTGGCGACAAGATCATTTGGGGTCCTGAGCGACCGGTCGAGGAAAATGATTGGTTCGAAACAGAGAACGACCCCAAGCCAGATACAACCTATGAGAAGGACAAGTATGCATGGGGCGTTGGAGAAGAGGCCGAGTATATTGCCTTCAACCCCATGTTTGATCCGGAAGGCACAACCTGGGGACTGGCCGATGATATCACGGGCTACAATACGACCCACGAGAAACCGCCACGACGAGCACAAATCATCACAGCCTCTCGCATGTCCCGCCGCCTACTTCTGACCATGCATCGCATGACAGCATTTAAGAAGCAATTTGCATTCCCGGAAATGTGGCCTGCGACTGTGGCCCTCCAGCACGGCTACAAGGCAGTCTTCGCCCCGCACCCACTCTATGTTGACAGGGAATGGCCGACAGCGGTGGTCGCGCAGACTTTGAACAACGGCAAGAATGGCGCCTCAGGCGGTTCCCGTACCTCCGTCTTTGGCGACCGTGAGCACAATCTCCGCGGATTCACATGGTTTTACGACTCTGGCTTCGCTCCCAACCTGTACCGTCGCTGGCTGGGACTCAAGGTCAACAACGACGGTGGTGAGGAGTTTGAGCTCACCGAGGACAAGACCAAGAACGCTTCGACCGTCAGCCTTCTTCGTGGTGGTGAAGGCCGTATGTGCCTGCCACCCATGTTGCTGCATCCCATTAAGAATGTGGATCTGCCGGTTGAAGAAGAGCACGAGGCGGCCGAGGTCCCAGAGAGTGATCCTGCTGCATAAGGATAGAGGTCTTGTGAGAATACGAATCTGATGGTAACTGTCACATAGCATGATCTTGAGGATTTGTGCACATAAAGGTCGGATGATCTGATGAGGCGTACGGTCCATATTTACTGTTGTTTTTTTCAGGACTGTTTACATATATCTGGCGTATAAAGAGATGTGTTTGTAGGGCACATGGTTTGAATATTTCAACCTTCATTTTTGTATATATGTGATACCAAATTGCAATGTCTGAGAAGTACCTACCGTCTATGAGAATGAACATTGCTTTCCAAAGTGCCTGTAATCGAGCTCCTTCCAGCGTCGTAAGCAGACAGTACACGGTGTAGCCCTACAACAGAGATTCATGGCTAACAAAAACTCAGCAGTATATCACCAATACTGATACTTGATTTTTCAATGACGGCTGTCGCATACAACTGGAAGCAGGTGCGAGGTTGGAGTTGCAGAGCCGATTCAAGCATGCAGAAGGCTATTGACGTCAAAACGTTGAATTCATTCTTTTGGGTCCTACACGTAATGTACACCCAGGCTCGTACATTGCCCGAGCGCTTGCTCAGACATCAAAAATCCACGGTCGCAGGTGAGTGGGTGTTGTAATAATACTCTCTTCTTGCCCAATTCGCTGCTTAACTGGTGGCGCGGAAACCAACCCCGGGGTGTTTAGACAACACGCTTGACCTCAAAGAATCTCTTTAACCACCAGACCTGGAAAACAGATTCGCCAATGACGACACCGACAATGAAGAGGTTCCACCATTTAACTCGGCTGTTGGTGCTCTCGGCAGTGTTTCGGTGGGTGCGCTCGCGGAGTACAATGTAGGACTGCTCGTCCTTGACAGCTTGGAGGAGATCGGAAAGATGGCGGACTGGAGCAGAGGTCAGTGACTTGTTGGGCACATGAAGATTGTATGGGCGGTCATCTCACCTTCAGTCTCGAGGGGGTCTTTGTCCGCCTCGTGCTCAGCAACGTAGACAATACCGTGGACATTGAAGGAAACCTCCTTGCTGTTCGCGCCCCAGTGCTCGTTGCCGAAGCAGTAGGTGTACTTGCCGTCGTGTTTGGCGTCGAAGGAGTAATCGCCATTAGACACACTCTTCTGGAAGGTCTCGTACTGGCCGTTGGGCGCCGTGATCTATTGCAGCACACATGTAAGCTCACTGCTTGCTCCCTCGGACTTATTGACTACATAATTGGTGGGTGCGCCCCAACGTACCCAGAAGTCGACGTCCAAGTTTCCAGCACTGCCGAACTCCCTGTCGCCAACCTGGAAAGTGACCGTCATGGTATCATCGGGACGGAGCTGCTCGTGAAAACACTCGCGGCCATGAGCAGGAAGCTGAATATTGTGACCGAGGACAGCTTGGAATAGGGCGGCAGACAGCAGCAGTGCTGCCGACGAAAGAAACTGCATAATGAATACGGAAGAAGCCAAAGAGGTGGTGGAGAAGCGGCTGTGTGAGAAGAAATGGCCGGGTGGAAAGGAAATGACGTTTTTGTCAATCGCAATCGCGCTCACGAGCTTTCAAAATGCTTCGAGTTGACACTTTGCAGTCGAATGCAGTGACCTCCAGCCTAGAGTAGCCTTTGAGGCTCCAGACAACGCTTCGGCTGGCTCTAGCGCAGAGACCTGGGGTGGGGGTACCTGTGGAATACCTTGGCAAGCCTGGAACTGCTTGGAGCTCGCGGCTGTGGAGGGGGTAACGGATCCGTAGAGCTTCCACTAAATGCCTGGCAGCTGCTGGAAGACGTCCCCTATCTTGTGCCATCAGGAAAGGGGCCACTTCGTATCGACCGAGTACACATCACACTTCCCTCTGTCTGTTGTGGGCAACCAACGACCAGGGGGTGGCCGAAACTTGGCACCAGGGGGCGCCGGGCGCCGCTGGATCGTGCGCTTCCAGCCACTGACAGACCTGCAAGTCACCCAGATTGAGAGCCCACTTGCCACTACCTGGACTACAGTCTAGGGCATGGAATGATTGAATCAAGTGCAAGAGACGCTATCCACTGCCCAAAAGAAAACCCACAATTTACGAATCCAGGGATCGTCTATCAGAATGGTGACTGGCCACTGGCCACTGAATTGCCTTGTGGCCTTTTCTCTGACCTCTATCCGTCCATACATGCATACATACATACTGTACATAGTAACCTTTAACTGGATCCGGCCCCAAAAAGCACGCGCCACTGCCAGGCTCGACGAAAGACGAAAGCGAAAGCACAAGCACAAGCTTTGCACACCCTTGCACCAGCACCCAGCCTCCGACTCCCACTCCCACTCTGCTCCCAGCTGCCACGGCTACTGCTACTGCTGCTGCTGCTGCTGCTGCTGCTGCTGCTATCCATTATCTGGCTGACTTGGACTTCCACTATCCAGTCTTCACCGACAACAACTCACAACCCCCTTTCGACGAGACGACGCATCGCATATCAATAGACCTCTTCTCTTCGTCAAGAGCAGGTCTCATTGTCAACGTCGCCAGGTAGTAAGTTTTATGCCTCATCTCCTTTCCCCTTGGCCGCAATTGCAAAAAGACAGAGAGCAGAGAGGCAGGCGCGCGTGCCACCCTTTCTTCGAACTGTCTGTGTCCGTGTCTGGTGTCTCTCTGTGTCCTCAATTTCACCCGATTCAGCCTTCTTGACATCCGGCCCACTTCCCAACCACAACGGTCGCTGTTGACTGCTACATACTGTATCCTCTTCTCAAATACCGCGTCAGTATACGCCATCTTGTTTCTGCGGCAGCCTAGCAACGCACTCCAAGACGTTCGAGATCTTGGGGAACACCAGTGCGCTCCAGCAGACTCACGTTATCTGTCCTGAGCTAAAATCCGCTGCCTGCGCTGCTTGTTACCACATAAATTTACAAGCAGCACCACGTTCATTTTAACCCAGGACAACTCGTCATTCTTGCCCCTCAATCATCGCGGGAACAATAAAAAAAACCACCCCATTCTTTCTCTCTCGTCTCACCCATCGACGAATCGCTATCTCAACCACCCAAGACTAACATTAGTCTTTCTCTACCAGATAATAGACGCCCGCTCTCACCCGAGCCTAATAAATCAAAACACCACCTAGTCGCGCATCCACACCAAAGTCGCAATCATGGGTCTCTCAATCTCCAAGTTGTTCGACAAGCTATGGGGGAAGAAGGAGATGAGAATTCTGATGGTCGGTCTCGACGCTGCCGGAAAGACCACCATCCTCTACAAGCTCAAGCTCGGTGAAATCGTCACGACCATCCCCACCATTGGTATGTCGCAGTCTTTGCAGCCCGCCTAGACCGAGTTCGCATCTCTCCGGTTGCCCCCTCGTTCTCGATATATCATATCAGGCTAACCGCTCCCTCCCTCCCCAACAGGTTTCAACGTCGAGACTGTCGAGTACAAGAACATCCAGTTCACCGTATGGGATGTCGGCGGTCAAGACAAGATCCGTCCTCTCTGGAGACACTACTTCCAGAACACCCAGGGTATCATCTTCGTTGTTGACAGCAACGATCGCGACCGTATCATCGAGGCCCGCGAGGAATTGCAGCGCATGCTCAACGAGGATGAGCTCCGGGATGCCATTCTCCTGGTCTTTGCCAACAAGCAAGATTTGCCCGTATGTCGTTACCGCCCCTGAATTTTTTCAATCATCTCATACTGACGATAACATAGAACGCCATGAACGCTGCTGAGATTACCGACAAGCTCGGCCTCCACAGCTTGAGACAGCGTGCCTGGGTAAGCCCCCTTTCCCGGCATTTTAACAAGCCTTTGATCGCTAACGCTGCCAACAGTACATCCAATCTACTTGCGCTACTTCCGGAGATGGTCTGTACGAGGGTCTCGAGTGGCTCGCCACCACCCTCCGCAAGGCCGGACACTCGTAAAGGTGCAGCAAACAGTAGTAGTAGACGTCCGCCAAATATCCCCCGATACGCGTCCCGGGTTTTCCTCTTGGCTTCAAAGGTTGGTTGCATCTGGCAATCTTGTCCTATGGAGCAACGTTATAGTCCATAAATCACGAATCCATCTTTCTCCATACCCCACAGTCTTCCCTCTCTCTAGTGGGTTTTCCCACGTGAATCCGCTCACTCGGCAAAGCAAGCTCTCCTGGTCTGCATCGTGTTTGGTTTTGGAACGGGGGAGAGGAGGGCGTACAGGATGGGAATTTGTACGATTTAAATCTTATGGAAAGCAAAAGAGTAACTTTTTTTTTCCTGCTTGGGTTCTTATTGCATGTGTGGGGGTGGGCGTGCTTGCGGTTCAATAGATGCTCTTTCATGCATGTTCGTCGTTGAAAATCTGTTGAGCTGCTTTCTGCAAAATATCCTCTTCTTGCGATATACGTATCATGTCTCTCGTGTCCCAGCCCAGTAGCGGGTATCAGAAATGCTGCAAATTCGTCACGACGAGGCTGATTGGTATACACTACCCTACACACTACACAAAGACCCCTATTAAGTTTCTGGCTCTGGGGTGTTTCAAGAGCCACGTTTGAATATGTATCTCTAAAGCATAACGCCAACTCTATTCATCACGAACAAGCATGTCCCTGCAGGTTTCTCCCAGGTCGTTGGAACCTTTTGGCGTAAACGACCCTAAGATGGGTGCTGGTTGGATAAAGCATAAAGGTAACCAACACGCATGGAGGCAATACAACAGAACCGGCGTCTCATGTGATTATTGACCGGCATCCCGGCCATGGTGATCAATACTGTCTGTCCGGGCTCACGTACTTACCTGGAATGTTATCAGTCCGGGTTGATAACGAAATAAATACTGGTTACATTGCTCTATGAGCCAAGTGTCCGCTAATCGTTCCATTGTCATTCTCGTGACATTCTATCAACATTTCGGAGCTCCACCCCCGCTATCGGTGTGATCGACGGTAACTATCGGCCTTGGGCCAATACCACATGCCGAATCAGCTTTGTCTCTTGTAGGATTCACTTTACACACTTTTTTTCAATTGAACATCGCTACGACTTGGCATTTTATAAGCAGTTGGAACAACCAATTGAGCAGAATGAAGCTGTCCAGAGCTTTCATCAGGGGCCGCAAGGTCACATCCACGCTTCCAGCCCCACGATCGCAGGGTCTTATTCAGCTATCCCGAGCTCTCTCAACAAGCAGCACTCAAGCTCCTCTTGCCACACAACGACAGCTTATCCATGCCGTTGCCCACCCCAATGGCCTACAACAGATCCAGAAGAGGCAGTACGCCTCTTCGCCCCCCGAAGCAAATGAATCCTTGAGCAAGACAGCCCTCTACGACCTTCACGTCGCCCACGGCGCCAAGATGGTTCCGTTTGGCGGGTTCCATATGCCCGTGCAGTACTCCTCGCTGTCCGTCTCGGCCTCGCACCACTTTACCCGCTCCCACGCCTCACTTTTCGACGTTGGCCACATGGTGCAGCACCGGTTCTCTGGGCCGGGCGCCACCGATTTCCTACAAAAGATCACCCCGGCCTCGCTCAAGAGCTTGCCCAAGCACCAGAGTACGCTGTCGACACTGCTGTGGCCCGGCACCGGAGGCATCGTCGACGACACGATCGTGACGAAGCTCGACGAGGGCCTGTTCTACGTCGTCACCAACGCGGCGTGCCGCGACAAGGATCTCGGATACCTGAACGAGCAGCTGAGCAAGTGGGAGAAAGACGGCGGCGGGAAGATCGAGCACGAGGTCCTCGACGGCTGGGGTCTGATTGCCCTGCAGGGGCCGCTGTCCGAGGAGATCCTGGCGTCTGTTGTGCTGGTTCCTGAGGATGCCAAGCTGAAGGAGCTGTACTTTGGGCAGTCCCGCTTCGTCATGCTCAGGGTCCGCGGCCGCGAGCTGAGCAATCCTGTCCTGGTGAGCAGGGGCGGCTACACGGGCGAGGACGGCTTCGAGATCTCGATTCATCCCGACGACACCGTGGCCGTCACGGAGGCGCTGCTCGAGAGCGCAGGGCCCAGCAAGCTGCAGCTTGCCGGTCTAGGAGCTAGGGATAGTCTGAGGTTGGAGGCCGGCATGTGTCTCTACGGTCATGATCTGGATGACACGACAACACCTGTCGAGGCGGCGCTGAGCTGGGTCATCGGCAAGGATCGCAGATCGCCTGATGCCTTCCACGGCGCCGAGGTCATCATCCCGCAGCTTACCCCCAAGAGCAAGGGCGGAAGTGGTGTGGAGCGGCGGAGAGTCGGACTAGTGGTTGAAGGCGCGCCCGCAAGAGAGGGTGCCGAGATTGTGGATGGGGAGGGAAACAAGATCGGTGTCATCACGAGCGGGTGCCCGAGCCCGACCCTGGGCAAGAACATCGCCATGGGATACATCAAGGACGGACTGCACAAGAGCGGAACCGAGGTCAAGGTGAAGGTCAGGGGCAGAGAGAGGAAGGCCGTCGTATCAAAGATGCCTTTTGTGCCTAGCAAGTACTGGAAGGGCACTGCTCCCGCGTGAGGTGTTCCTCGGATGGCGAAAGCATTTTGCGAATTAACTTAAAATAGCGATATCCTTCAACAAGTACTTGGGGGTGAATACGGCGTTAGGAAATGTATGTTACTCAACATAGGGTTCAAAATATTACAGTATGCCTAATCGGATATGGATTGGAAATAAACAATCGTGTCGGATCAATATTCCCTGAAGTTCTCCCCGGGTCCGATCCTTGGAGCCTGTATAGACTCTGTTCTGCCAGGAGTCCTCTATGCAACCAACCGTGACCCGATCTATGCGAGGCTCAGGGCGTACATCCTGATAACCTCTACTCTACACAAACATTTGAGGCACCAATGCTCCGACCTCGTAACCCCTGGAGCGCCAAGACCACCGCGCCAGGAAAACATGAACCATATCAGGCGAAATCTTGCTCGCTCACCCAAGGCAGTATCTTAAGGTTTGGCATTCCGAAGAGAAGCCTACTTAAGGCCAAACAAAACGGAAGTTGTTAACACTCCACGAAGCCACAGGTCACAGTGGCGTAGTGGTTTTCTGCTCTCCTAAGAATCAGTACCATTATCTGAATATCCTTATCTCCTGGCTGAGCCGCCCTCCCTCAGCCAACCTCCTTTTTTCTTCGTCCTTGTACAAGTTGGGCGTGCGATTTCGTAAGGTATCTCCACGACGACTTTCAGTTTTTTGTTTCTTCTGGGGGGAAGGGGGTTTCTTTTTATGCCGGAGTACTTTGCACCCGACTACAACTCAGGTCCACAAGCTTTGGTTTTTCAGTGGACGCCTATCCAGATTATTTACTGCGTATCCATCTTTGACCTTTTTTGTACAATCAGGAGCTTTAGTAATGAATTCGCTAGAGAGTTCTAGGACCGCATCCTTTGAAAGAGGAAGTGGTGGGCTTGCGCCTATGCCTACTTCTGTAGCAACTTAGATAGTTCGTCTATGTTGACCTGTAATATATGTATCCTGCTCATCCGGTTATTGCAGTAAAGATCGAAGGCCCCCATTTCACTTGATCATGTAAATGCAGTGGTTGTATAGGCGATATAAACAGTACTGTTTAACGTCTAGGAGACAAAAGACTATAAAAGCACTCGAATGAGTGATTATATTAGCAATGGCTGCGTTCCAAAGTTGGGAGAGACCTACAACAGCACAGGAGAGAGACTCTCGCCCCTTGGCTGTTATTATCAGCTGCTGGTATGCTCCACCAATCAAGTCTAGGATGAGGGTGCGACTTTCTTTACACCGAATTGAGCTCTTTGTTTCCAAACGGCGAAGAAGAAGAAGGACAGGGAAGACAGTACACCAGGATTTCCGCAGTCTTGGATGCAGCCACGCTAACTAGATGGTTGACAGACTCGTAGGACTATGGTTGCCACCTCATTATCTGGGTGATTGTCACAGGACAAGAGAAATGGCTGGCTTTGAACAGTATCGCTCTTGCATGTTTTGCGCATCTTCCCTTTCAAGGAAAGTAAGACATACTTGAACTTAAATCAAGATTCACACTTTGTGGATATTCAATGTCAATAGGACCATTTGATGGTCCCCTGGTCTCCTATTCCAATTCAAACTCTGTTATGATTGTCAACATATTACTCGCTAGTAATTTAAGAAGGACGAAAGCCTTTCGAACAATGATATCGCGAAAGAATAATATTATATATGCCAGTCTAGTCTCTTGTCACAATGTAAATGTTGCTCCCAAGAAGAAGGAACCATCTATTGGCCAGAACGACTTCTAGCAGGAAGTTTGTACTATTACCCAGGATGGGTTTCTAATATTCATTGAGACAAGGTCGTAAGCCCAGTTGCATACCACTGTTTCGCCAACAAAATGACCTGTGATCATATGCTCAGGGGTGAGTGGATGGTTGGAAATGAGATATTGAGGGATTGTACATACACTCACATATAGCCGTTGGAGATTCGCGTGGGAAATACAATACATAAAATTGTCTCTATTAACTCGGTATTTTGCCCTCACTTCTTGGCTAGCTTTTAGAATTCCTCAACATCTCATTTCCAACCATCCACTCACCCCCAAGCACGTGTACGGTCGAACACCGACAACAAGGCTGGTGGGCTGTGACAGCAACTTTATAACTGAAGGTCTCTGGATAACCTTCACCTGGTCCTATATAACCAGTGTCATATTATCCAACGAATTGCACACATGGTCAAAGCAAGCTTTTCGTTAGAAATTTACTTGGCGAATGTAATCCAAAAACATCAGCATCTGGGTGAGACTTCACAACTCGAGGGCGGGTACATGTTAGGCAAGGATCTAACAAATGTGATTGTCAGTTAGGGGGGTCAGGGGATACTGATATATAACAGTGTGACGCTGCAGATATGACCTGTTGCACTCTACAAAACAATACTTAGTATTATCTCCTAGCTCACCAGGTTGCAAAATATGTAGAACTAGTGTTCGTGGTCCTGGACAATTTACAAGTAAGTTGGGACTGAACTATTCCAAAGATCTCAGGCAAATTCCATGAAGACAACAACCGATGTCTCTGGTTGGTTGGGCTCAGCAGTGCGGGAGCCGATTGACTCTTCAGCCAGTGTGGTTATTAGCTGTAAGCCCGAGAAGTGTGCGGCGTGACCAAAGCATACAAGCTTATCAACTAGCAGACGAGGCCCTATGATGCTGTATTCGAGTGCTCGTGGCGGTTCACCACGTCACGTTGAGGTGTATGAGCTTCGTGTGTGTACTTGACTCGAAAACCATGACAATGCTTGATGATGACGTTCTTACAAGCCTTGTGCCCCAGCTCGACAATCGGTAGTTTGATCAGTGAGTACGAGTCAGTCGTTATTGATCAGGCGTTAGAGCATAAATCATCTTGTCTAATCCAATATGTGCTCGCATCTCGCATCTCTCCTCATCTCGTGCGCAGAAAATTGTTGTTGTACTTATAGATGGGAATTATATAAAAAATACTGAAGAGCGCTTCTCGGAGCATTAACCCATGTAGGGGTTGTGCAATGAGCTTTGAGTATTTGAAGGCCAAATCGGCGATTGGCACCTGTTTGAGCTTCGACTTCGGGGGCTTTTCGCCCCAAAGATCGTGTTTCAGCTTTGCAGCTGAATAGAAAAGGCCGCCATAAGAATGATGTGCCTAACTTTTTCAGTGCGTGCATATAACATTTTCTTGCACACATCGACTGTTTGGTTGTGATACTCGCATCTAATTGCCCCATGTATCTGTCGTGCTGTGGGACTGTAAGCACTTTCTTCTGAATAGCACGCTATGAGCAGTAGACCCATGTGGATGCAAAGCCCGGCCTCGAGTATGCTCTTGGACATTGCTTTTTACGGCCATTTGTCACTCCCGTGTATCATGCTCAAGAGATGAGCGGTGAATAGCTGGAGTGTCCTGCCTGTTTCGTTATTGTCCTATCGGGGAGCACAGTTGTGCCGATGTGATTATCGTGACATTAATTACCTACAACGGTGTTGTTACCGGACGCACGTTAGTGGGTTCCGCCTGTAGGGCCCGGAATGCAATCCGAACCGTGCCGAAACTATGGCGAGAAGAGAAAGGAAGAAAAAAAAACCCAGATGCCCTCGTGATCATGTTGCGGTGTGCAGCGCCCACTATCTAAGCGTCTGTTACGTCGCAACCGATCCCTTGCTATAATGCAGCAGATTCTGGAAGTCACACAACGAACTGATGGCGCATGAGCAAGATGATATCGTGAAGCTGATGCTCGTGCATACTGCAAGTAGACCCTATAGGGCTAAATAAAGTGACAGCGAGTGACCACGCGGACTGTACTTGCGTGGCCACTAGAATGGTGCATCTACACTATTTGTCCGACACAGGAGCGCTGATGAAGCCTCCATGGCACAGAAAAAGCTGCTGGTGAACAATTTTCCGGTTTCATTCCACTCCAGATTTCGTCACGGCTATTACCACGGCCAAAGTATTACCAATTTATCCGAGGAATGGTAAAACATGTTCATTAGTCGAAGCGATTTTATGCGTTCAATCCTGTCTTGAGGATATGATCCTCTGAATCATTCAGGCTGGTCCTTGTTCTGTACTCGAATTACTATGAGCGCCGTCCTGGTGAGCGTTGTAAGAGTATACGGGCCAATATTCGTACGAACATGGTTGCAATCTGTCCGGCACCCCCATCACGTCAGAATTTCCCCTTTTTTCTCCCATTCCAATTTTCTTGCCCGTGGGAGAAACCCACACACCACGTTTGACTCCACATTCTACCAACCAAATGGAAACAATGAACGAAGGTTCGAAGTCGCTCATCTGCGGATCACTCGGTCGAGACTCCACACATTGTCCTCTGCCCCCCACGCCGCAATTTCATCATTTCTCTACACACTACGGAGTGCAGCTACTATACGCTTTTCCGGTTGCGATTTGTTCCTTCTACCATGTTCCGCCACACGCGGATACGTTGTCATTGCAACCCATATACATACTGCACTTTGCATGGAGACCAGTCTGTTTCTCAGAGAAGCAAAACGCCGCAAGGTGTCGCGCTCGTGTCCAGCCATGAATCGTCGATGTCACTTACATCCCACTTCCCCATACAGGAGTACTAGTTCAAACTAAAAGCCCCAAGACTATTTGCTGAGTTACAGGGCCCACCCGCCCTGACGGTTCGCGATCCACAGCAAGGAATCCGACATCCGCTGATTTCAGCTTACACGAACTCGCTAAGTTGAGGCAGTCCGAACATGTCACGTCTCTATCCTTTTCTAGGTCAAGTCGACCAGTTGGGCATTGTACACAGTACTCAGTGTCGAATGAGCGTTGCACACTATAGTGTAAGTATGTAGTTGCAATTAAAGGACTCTACTGATGCTAGAAGGCTATCTGAGGGATGGCTACAGAACCTCTATTAGTGTGGCTGTAATGCTCGAGTTGTTGCTTTGACCCCGTATATTAGCCGGTTCTCCTTGTTCTCGAGGCGTGTGCATCGGTGGTGTTTCCTTGAGAGAAAGGTGCCCCCTTGTACCTGACCCGGTGTCATCATCCATCGTCCATCGTCCATCCCCTCAGTCTTGTGGACCGAGCCGTCAGAAGTCCTTCAACGGCTCCTAATTGGCTCCCCGACCCCTGAGACTTGCCCTCTTCGACGTTTGAGGGCACGACATTGGGCTTCAGGATCAAAGTTCAACCCGCGAAAAGCAAAGCTTCCAGCCGGGCACCTGGAATAACTGGAAAACTAGTCTAGGGTGGGTGTCCTTGCACTCTATTTAAATCGGCAAATTTTTTACCTCATCACGCTCACCACGGGGCATTCACCCGGGACCCATTTGTCAATTGCCCCAATAGCCTATTGCAAGGCTCTGACATCAGGCATAAAACCGTCATGGGCCGCGCCTTCCAGCTTTGAGTGTTTGTCCTTGGTTTTGCGATTGCAAATTTCTTGACGCTGTGCCAAACTTTCTATCTTGTTATCCTTGTATATCCATAGCAAATTCAATAGGCGCAGCTTTTTTTTCTCATCCTGGGAATTCACCATCGCTCTACCGTGCTTTGCAACAGTTTGCGACCCTCCCGTCACTTGCGCATAGTCACTCTTACACTGTCTCATTCCGCAAAACGCGCAGGCATTCTTGACAGGCAGCGGTCCTCCTTCCTTTCTTTTGGTACATATAAATAGACAGCCAAAATGCTTTCATACGACAACCCAGTTTCGAGCCCGACAAAGATGAACAAGCCAACGACTGCTGGCCGGAGTGCAAAGCCCATTACCAACGCTACTATGACGCATGCACCACACGTATCAGTCACTGCTGCGCAGAAGGGCAACGCCGGACCCAGACATCACCACATCTGGCTAGTGACGGGTCCTGCTGGTTGTGGTAAGAGCACAGTCGCCGCGCATCTTTCGGAGAGCTTAGGATTCCCATACTTGGAGGGCGATGAGGTAAGAGAGATACAACCTTCTCCCCACGCATTAGCTCATCGGCTACTATAGTACCACCCAAAAGCCAACATTGACAAAATGGCCGCCGGCATCCCACTTACAGACTCGGATCGATGGGATTGGCTGACCGAGTTGCGCGAGGCCTCTCTCAGAAAGCTGGCGGATGGTGCCGACGGTGTAGTGCTCACATGTTCAGCTCTCAAGCGCAAGTACCGCGATGTCATTAGAGTGGCACCCTATTACTCTCACGACGTCGTCCTGCACTTTGTTTACCTACATGCGCCAGAGGAGGTGCTCCTGCAGCGCGTCGGTGCCAGACAAGGCCACTACATGGGCGCAAACATGGTGCACAGCCAATTCTCCATCCTCGAGCCCCCCACTGCCGAGGAGACCGATGTCATCAGTGTCGATGTAAGCGGAAGTGAGCACGAAGTCCAACAGGAGGCCCTCAGCAAAGTTCTTCAGGCCATGGAGGAGCAAGCCTAGGCGGCATCACTAATGACAAGTTTCATACTGGCTGCTTCACCTGAGAGCACAGACCGGCCAATATCTGCACTTGTTCAAGAAGTGGGCATCACTATATGCGCCGCGGTGACAGCTGTGCTCTTTGGTAAAATCGCATCACTCATGGTCCTTGGAGTCATTGGACTTGCATTTCTAGCGATTATGGCATTTAAATTTTAGGTCGTCGGGGGGGGGTTTGCTACATTTCATTTTATTTCTTTTTCATCGTGGAGTCGGGGCGTTCAGCAAATATGGACGATTGCATGCGAATACCGATTACGTGCACAGGGCAGGGCGTTATGTGAGTATTGGTAAATAAAGGCAGGAACACTGGTTCTCGAGTTATAGAAGATGAGTGGCATCTTCGCCATTCACGCGAAGGTGGAACGGACTGGTGTCCAATACAAGGGGTCATTTCCATATTGCAGCAGTATTTTAGAGACATACAATACAACACATCCCTACAATAATCTTCAACGGACTACACGGACAGGCGGAATTCTTCACTGGCCTGTTCAAGATATTGGGCTTTAATGAGAGAAGACCGCATCATGCCTAGACATTTGACAGGAAAATAGAACCATACGAAAGAAGATGTCGCGTTCCCCAATTTGGCTACCCGCAGTCCCCAAATCCAGAAAGGTTTCCTTGCATCAGCACTAAAGACCGGCTGTCTCTTCCTATTCGACGGCACTTGAGACCGGTGTAGGCAAGAGAAACTCCAAGGTCAACGTGGTGATGATAGGTTCCCAGAATTATGGGAATTGCACCCCCGTTGGCGAGATGCAAATAAGGCGATGCTGCAGATATGATCTGTTGCGCCGAACAAACCAGTAATATTCTAGCCAAGCACGAGGGATACATGCACAACCCCGGATTTCCATGACACCGCCTACATATGTACGACGTCCTGACCCCACATGATGTGTAATTGCCAGTATCATTCATTATATCTGGGGAGCAGCTAAACGACTTCATGTGTGTAACAGTCCTGGTGTGGCTTGTCTGGATTCTATCATTTATGTCTACCGTATGACACATCAGATATTGGATCACATCCCCACGTTCCAATGCACATGCAGCCACACGTGTGCGAATCTGCGTGGTTGCTCACCAAGAACCCATCCAGCAGTCGACCGGGTGCTTGTCCCGACATAAGTTGTGAAGCAGACAGTCACAACCAAGAATTGTTCATGTGGATTACCTGGGCCCCTTGGCTGCCAGCGATTGCGCAAGGTAGAACTGGCTACCGCAGGTGCATAAGCATGGTGTCTGGTTCTTCTACAACCCTCCTCACGACCTCGGCGGCCCGCGCCATGGTCGCGCCATCGACGACACGGTGATCGGCGCTCCAGCTGAAGTTACAAACCTGCTTCTTGATCACCTCGTCGTTCTCGTCAAAGGCCGGCACCGTGCGGATCCTGCCGACGCCCAGAATGGCGACTTCCTTCTCCACGATGACGGGCGATAGATAGGTGCCGCCGATGTTGCCGATGTTAGACACCGTGATGGTGCCGCCACTGAGGTCCTGCGGAAATAACTTGCCGGCGTTTGCTGCTGCCTGCAGCCGCGCGAGCTCCGAAGCAATGGAAAGGATGTTTCGAGACGCAACGTTCTTGATGACCGGAACCAGCAACCCGGACGGTGTGTCCATGGCGATGCCGATGTTGTGCTGGCTTCGGTGCACGAGGCTCGGCTTTCGCGTCGTGCTGTCGATGTCCACTCTCGCGTTGAGGACTGGGTACTGATATATCGCCAGCGAGACGGCTTTGATGATAAAGGGGAGGTAGGAAAGTTTTGCTATGTCGCCTTCAGGAGATGACGCCAGGACCTTGTTGAGACGGGTCCGAAGCGCATGAATTTGGGAAAAGTCGATCTCGTCAGTGTATAGGAAGTGTGGAATATTGAGCGAGCGTGTCATGGCCTTGAACATCTGTGCTTGAACATTTGTGAGCTGGACACTTGTTTCTGACTGCGCGGCAGTGTCAGTTTCTGCCGGTGGTTGCGTTGAATAAGGTGCCCGGGACGCTGAGGCAGTGCTGCCAGACTTGCGGGTTTCAACGAATTTGTATATATCCTCTTTTAGCACACGACCATCTTTACCCGTGCCTTGTACGTCCATGATATCCACGTCGAGTTCTTTCAATAGGTGCCTCACTGCAGGCGTAGCAAGAGAAGCATGTTTGCCATTCGATTTCTTTGATGCTTCCGCCTCGCCTGCGGCGGCCAAATTCACCTCCGAGCTGGTAGTCTCGATCTTTTGGCTCTCGGGTGGCTTACTCAGACTCTCGGTATTGAGTGGTTCTGATGACCCCCCCTGGCCTTGCGAGGGCCCCGGCGCCGTCAATGCCTCCAGGTCTTCTTTTTTGGCGTCTCCTTGTATGTCAATGTCTACGAAGGGCTTGCCGACTTTGGCCATGTCACCCGCATCATAGTGCAGCTTCTTGACGACACCCGCAAAGCGACTTGTGATCTCGACGGAGGCTTTGTCGCTCTGTACCTCGCACAACGGAGAGAATTCTTCCACCCGCGCCTCAGGCTCGACGAACCATTGTATGATCTCGCACTCGACAATTCCTACAAGGTGGTGGGGCGTGTAAGTGATACGTCAATTGCAACATAGAATTACACAGTCGTGACCAACCTTCACCGATATCTGCGAGTAGGACCGGCTTCACCACTTGCATCCTCTGGCTTGTGTGGAATCCGTGTCTCGGTATGCGGTAAGCGCCCCGGGCTCCCTGGTTGAGGGAGCGGGACAGGCCCTTGTATAGACGCCATTGAGAGCGGACGACGCGTGAACTCGGCTGAAGAAACATTTCAACGTATGTATAAATCACCGGCTGTGTATTTCCACCGCATGTCTCGAGCAATCAGACTACATGGCGAGGAGAAATTCTTACTCTCAACGGCTTCGGCATAAGGAATGCTGCGGTCAAAACGATACGGCACAAACCGCCTGATTACATGAGGAAGGCCGTATGACGCTGGAATCCCCCGCTATAACCGCTACAAGCCGAAATCTGGGGAAGGCCGCCGGGAACCGCTACAGTATGCAATCGATCAACCTAGCGCTAGCTGCTGAGGATTGATAACGATAGCCATGAGGGCAGAGGGATAGCGATTAGGGGTAGCGATAGCGATTAGGGGTAAGCAAGTGGGTCGACGGGAGTTTGGAGTCGATAGGCTAGAAATTGGAGAAGACGCCTTGGAAAAACCCGAGCTGTCCTGGAAAACTTTTTGGCGGTAGCTTTTGGTGAGAGTTTGAGGGTACTAGATCAGAACCACAAACGAACCAAAACACTGTACAACACACCCTGTACCATACGCTACTAATACAAGCCTTCCCATCATGGAGGCCTTCAAGATGCCTTTCCGTAGGAGACCGCAGCTTCTCTGCCTCCTCTGCCAACGGCGATCCTTTAGCACGTCTTACCGGCTGGCAGAGCAAGCTCAGAAAGCTGCAACGAAACCTTCGTTCAAGAAGGTCGCCACACCCGCCGCAGCGCCCGCAGAAGCTCCTGGCAAGTTCATCCCTGAAGCGCCGCTTGAAAATGCGCCCAGAGGTTACGGACCGCGAGTTGAAAAGTTCACACCAGTACCGCTGCCGCGGCCCATAGGCATGCCCTATCCGCCAGAACCGGGCCAGCACACTGGCCTTGACAATCGCTCCATCAGGCAGAGAAGAGACGATTTCGTGAACTGGGATAAGCATCTGGCCCGGCGTGAAGAGCTGTATGTCATCCTGCAACGACCCCTTCCCCCATTCAACACATCCCAACGCACAACTTCCATGATGAGAACAATTGGTCCGTGTTTCCGAGGAGCTTAAGACCCTCCAGATGGCGACAGACACAAGAGCACTCTGTGCAACTCTGATACTCGATTCCACATCCCCCATCGTTCTTCTTGCCTCAAGTGGGCTGGACAAGGAGCTAATGTGCAGCTGCTCATTATAGAAAAACCCAATTCCGTAAACCGTACTTCCGTGACTGGTCGAATCTTGAACTCCACAAGGGCAAGACATTCATCGCACCACCGAGACCCTTCAAAGGTGATCTGTCTCTTTGGTTCCCCAATATGCATGGAACTACGCTATTAAAAACAGACCGGTCCCCTCGCGACACGACGCCAGTCATGCAAGGCAAGGTCACAGTAGTGAGTCTATTTAGTGGCCAATGGGCCGAAGGTCAGGCGAAGAGTTTCGCCTCCGCAGAAAGCAACCCTGAGCTCCTGAGTCTGCTGGATGCGAACAAGGGCAAAGCCCAGCATGTCCGCATCAATGTTGAGGAAGACAGACTCAAGGCCTTCCTGATTAAGCTGTTCATGGGCAACCTCAGAAAGACCGTAGGAGAGGAGAACTGGGACAAGTACTTTGTGGTGCGGAGAGGCGTTTCCGAAGAAGTCAGAGAGGGCATCGGCATGCTGAACAGCAAAGTTGGCTATGTCTATCTCTTGGATAGCGAATGCAGGATACGCTGGGCTGGCAGCGGCTACGCCGAGGATCATGAGCGCACGGGCTTGGTGAAGGGCCTGCAAAGATTATTGGACGAGGAGAAGGGCCCGAAGAGGCCCAAAGCTCCTGCTGCGACAGCTGCACAGACGGCCTGAGCAGACGATTGATGTGAAGATATGTGTAACCTCTAATATGTATAACATGAATGATACCCGACTCAGATATAGAGTCATACCCTGGCAAAAGATTTCGCACATAATTTAAGCAGTCTTGCTCTCTTAGTATCCTTCCATGCCTTTTCTGTCGTGTTCGCAACACTCACGAGATGATCTCGCCTTTCGGACCCTTCCAGGTTCTCGTCCGGCTTTGAAACTGCCCAGAAAAGCCCTATAGTCACGATGATCAGATGGGCAGCGAGGCATGTGGCACCAGGTAGATTTAATTTATATCAGTGAAGACCTGCTTGACGCCATAGGATGATATATTTTCACTGATGGGATGGCTTTTTTTTGGGGGGGGGGAAGGGGGGGTTTCTCATGAGCAGGATAGTTTTATCTTGGTCGGCTGGGTGGTTGGAGTAATTGTCAGATGCAGGAGTTGCACTTTTCGAAATATTCTAGGGACAACTTTGCATCGTGTTCCGTGGCTTTTGTGGGCATGAAAACGACAAGCTGTGTATATGCACCCGTAGAACGTGCCGGGCAGTGACATGCATTCCATTCCATTCCATGACTTTGTTGGTATACCAGTACAAAAAAAATAAATAAAGACCAGATCCGTAACGCCCTGCAGAAGTGTAGTCCAGACAAGCTGTAAATCGATAGCGCAAGAGCGTAACGCCAGATATAATCAAACAATCGTCTCGCTCCGAAAAACAGTCGTGGCCGTGCTGTTCTGCTTAATGCCCCTCCAACCATACTACAAGAACCACCAGAAGACCAGGAAGCAGAAGGCAACGAAACTGCCCATGATGATTCCGTCCCTGCGCTTCCTGGCAGAGATCTTGCCGATCAAGGTATTCAAGCCGGGCACTTGGCTGGCGGCCATGGTGATCCTCCTGTTGATGTTGGCCAGCGTCTCCCTCTGCAGCGCGAAGTTCTCCTGGGTCGCATAGGCCTGGGACAGCACGCTGTCGACCATGTTGTGGCTGTTGTCGACCCTGTTGCGCTCCTCGAGCATGTAGTCGGCCTCGGCAGCCTCGGGGTTGCTGGCGCGGTACGCATCGATGTCGGAGCGCACGTTGCTCAGCAGGTTGGCGCGATCTCGGGCCTCGGAGATGGAAGATTTGATGCGGCGCAAATCACGACGGTGCTCGGCGAGCTTCTCACGCAGCAAGGAGAGGTTGTTCTGTTTCAGGGCGGAGGAAGTCAGGGTGGCTTCCGAGTCGAGCAGGCGGGTCAGCTGTGCGATGACGGTCTCTCGTTTCGATAGCAGGTCCTCCAGTTTTGCCTCTGTCTCCCTTTCCTCTGGGGTGGGCTTCGGCGGTATGGCTGAGAGTTGTGCGAATTGTGAATATGTATGGAACAGAGTATCGGTCTGGTATTAGAGGTCAGGGCTTGGCTTCAGCTGGGGGGGAGGACAAGCCGCTCGAACGTACCTGTGATTCTAAACTGCGGGCTTGTTGGCGCAGTTGAGCCCAGCCCTGGTTTCCTGTTGCTGCCATGGTGGTGGCCGGATGTGATGCACTGTCTGTGAAACAAGATCTTGGATCTCCGGGCGTGCTGATGCTTGACCTCCAGGGTGCTAGAGTGCAATGGTAGGCAGCCTCTTGTCGTAATACAAGCTCGAATGGTTGGCAAGAAGAAAGGTGTTGATCTGGCAAGACTAGACTCGACCTGACGGACGGGAGAGAGGTCTGGATTGGATGAAAAGAAGCTTGAAGACAAGGAATTTCAGTTTCAACTGCAGTTTTATTTCTTTTTGTCTCTGTGGCTTGCCTCAGGCTAAGATAATTTATGATTGATTTCAACTATATGGCTTGTAGTTCTGTTAATGGTCGTCGTCGTCAATGGTCAATGACATGATCATGGCAGTGATTCCCATCTTCTCATGGGTAGCTCGGCATGCGGCATGCAGGTTGCGGGTTACGGGTTACGTAGCGCTACAAGGTGATCACAGCCACGGTGATAACAGGTCTTGGCATGTGCTGCAGCTGAGGCGGCTGTAGCCGTTTGACGTCGTAGCTGATGCTCTGCAGTCGAACGTGGGCCATTGTGCATACGGACCGCGAAATATTTACTGCTGCTTTTACCTGCATAGGCAAAGCACAACATGAGAATAGGTGTCTTTGGAAATGGATTATCAGAGCAGTACAACTGGACTGTCCATGTAACTCGTGCGGTGCATCAGTGGCAGTTCTGTTGTTGTCATCTGATGCGCCCCGTAAGATGCATAAGTGGGAAGTCGCAGGGCGATTGGCCGTCCAGGTACCCGACGACTTATACTAACTAGCCAGTGAATCACATTCCCGTCATATGAAAGAATTCGTTTTGCTCAAGAATCGTTTTACTGCATCCTCTGGTATCCGCACCATCCTTTCTCCAAGATCCCATCTACACCCGCCCAGCTATGTCGCCATGTCTTCTGGTCCTGATCTCTGGAACCCTGACCGTGACAGCGATGCCTGGCTGATGCTGGTAGAGGTTTGCGTGAAGTACAACGTTGACCCTGAGTAAGTCATGGCCCCGTTACTTGCATTCCATGTCCCGGGCCAAGTCCAAGTCCGCTTGGGGGAAAAGGGAGCATAGTCTGGCCAATCGGACAACGGTTGCAAGTTTCCACCGTGCACTGCGTCTCTCTGCCTCAGCGCGCACGGGCCACCTTCTGGATGCCAACCCACAGAAACAAGAAAATCAACCCTAAGGGTCGAAAATTACTGACAGGGAAATTTTAGCTTGTCGACAACTGTCCCGCGCTTCAGAACTGAGAATCTCGAGTGTAAGCGACGCCTTCAGCACATCCTACGAACCGACAATCTTCACCGTCTACGCCGCCAACCGAAGAATCAAGATGGTAAGTTCATTGCTGCCATTGCTGCCCTTGAATCGATACGACGCCCAGCCGCCCCCGGATTGAATCCATCGTCAAGCTCCAATTCGCATCACTGCACCGATCAGATCACGCCACACCACACGACAGTTCATTCAATCCTCTCTTCCAGACCCCGATACCGCCTACAATTCCCATCACCGCGGTCAATTTCGAGCAGACAAACTGTGTTCCTGAGGCTAATCATGTCCTACCAACAGTCCACCTCGAAGGTCAAGGCCGGAGCCCTCTGGGGCAAGAGCAAGGAGGATCTGCTCAAGCAGTTGGGCGAGCTCAAGACCGACCTTGGTCAGCTCAGAATCCAGAAGATCAACTCCTCCGGTGCCAAGTTGAACAGAATGTACGTCTACATGTCCGAACTTCGCTTTCTCCTGTTCGGGCTCGGGCTAGGAGCGAACCAGACCGACCCGGCCTGATCCCGGCCTCGACTGAATGAGTGCACTTGGATGCTAACACCCTCCACAACAGCCACGACATCCGCAAGTCCATCGCCCGCGTTCTCACCGTCATCAACCTCAAGCAGCGCTCCCAGCTCCGCCTCTTCTACAAGAACAAGAAGTACTTGCCCTTGGATTTGCGCCCCAAGCAGACTCGCGCAATCCGAAGACGCTTGTCTCCTGCCGAGGCCGGCCAGGTTCTTGAGAAGACGAAGAAGCACAGCACCCACTTCCCTCAACGCAAGTACGCTGTCAAGGTACGCATCAACACCTCCCTAAACTCCCCCTCCGGCCAACGCCGCCGAGTGCTAACCAAATCACAGGCCAACTAAACTGGCTTTGTTTGTTTGTGAACTTGGGGAGGGCGAAGGGAATGTTTCATGGCTGGCTGGATGTAGATGAGGCGCGGCAACGGTTCCTAAAAAAGATGAAAAAGGGAATCTTCTGACTTTGCATGGCATCAACGGCTTTTCGGTTCATCAATGGTCATGGTGTTTACGAGGTCATTCTATACAGCCAAATGTAGCTGTCAATGAATCGCACACGTTGCGTTACGAATCACATCACGATACGTCCTGCTCGGCCACGGTGATCGGAGACGCTCTGGGACGTGAAAGGAGCTATCATGTCTGTTGAGACATGAACGCGCAATGGCTTTGTAGGACTGCCTCGCTGTGGCTCTATTGAATCAACTCTAACATGCAGCTCTGCCTTGGGACCCCACATTCAAGACCGGTGACTACATCCATCCTACGTAAAGATGTTAGAGAACAAGGCGTAACTCTTCGTGGTATTGCAACCAAAAAAAAAAAAAAAAAAAAAAAAAAAAACACGGGCCCCCGGCGGCGATCAACTGGTTGGAATTCGTGGTACTCCGAGTCGTTTCTCCCCTCCCTGCCTTACCATGCTTATCTACATGTGGAATGAACGAGCTTGTCTTCCCGCACCAACCGTCTTTTCGAGTCGTCCAGTGCGGTGATGGTGATTCGGAATCCCAGCATGGATCGTGCGGTCTCTGGTGAAGGTCGCAAAAAGGGAAGCCTTCCTCTCCAGCTGCTCACCCTCCACGCCCACCGGGGAACAAGTTTGACACGAACCTCATTTCCAGGCTTTTCGTCCCCATCAGATAGATGTATGAAGATTCTGCCCAAGATAGGGCTCCCGCTACTTGGAGCTAGTCTAGCACAACCTTTTCCCACGTTAGACCTGGCGTTTCCCACATCTCCATCACGGCATGCTTCGCAGTGGAACGTACAGAGTCTCGCGTTTTGCTGATCGCCTTTTGGCGGAACGAGCACATGTTCTCTGGTACTTCTTGCCAGAATGGAGACAACCCTACGGAAAAGCACCACGCATCGGACAGTTGCCTTGATGTAGCAGTCCGTTCGCAAACATACACGCTTACAGATTTGGTGACGAAGAGCTGTAGTTCGGTGCTGACGACACATCACCTCCTTGGGCGATTTACCTGTACATTGGTGGTGTATTCTAGACGCCATTATGTTCTAAAGCCACGGCACAGGGGGGGCTGAACCTCGGGCAAATACATGTGGCGAGCTTAGATAAGTAGCAGGAAGTCACCTATGCGGTGAGCACTGGGGGAAGTGGACTAGCCCGATACCATTTGACTCTGAGCTGGGCAGTCGGTAGACATACACGGCTATAGAATGTTCTGCTCGCCTCGATACTATCTCATGTCGTCGCTTTGTAAGAGGGTGAATGTTTCGCGGGTTTCTTCTACACATTTGCAGCATGTCGTTGAAAGTCTAAGAAAAGGGGATTCTGAAATATATATCGTTGATGTTCGCTAGATCGATCAGACCCTATGTGGCCCATCTGACACTGACCGACCAAATCACCATGTATGATCATGTCCATGCTTGATGTCTATCATCGTGCACTCATTCGTTTTCCCTCGGAACACCAGGAGCCCTCGAAACTCCGCATGCAAACATGAATAGAAAAATGGAAGAAGAAAAAAACAAGGAAAAGAAAACGCCAATGACTTAGACCACCTAACACGCCATTTCCGCCCTTGACCACAATACCTGGCCTTCCTGAAAGTTTTGTTCCACTAGGGTATCATGAAAATATGTCATGCTGTTGCTTGCTCCTATGCTCAATATTATTGCGTATGTCATTTGTAAACACCGCCGGGCGCTTCGGTTTTTTTCTATTTGCCTTTTTCTTTCTTTCTTGTTTGAGTAAGTTGATCACATCTGCAGAGTTGTAGCTTCGAGATCAATTCAGACGGCAGCACTGTGTTGCCCATTCCGACAGCCCCGACGATGCTGCTTGCTATTTCGAGGCGACAATATGGCAAGCAAGAATATCGCCGTTGGGTAGTCGGCGGGAGCGCTCCGGGTCATAGTGAGCTTATAAGTTGAAAAACCCTCGGTCCATGCGCTGGCGCCATTTGAAGCAGCTTTTCTGACTCGACAGTAATCTTATTATCATGGGGTCTGTCAAAATCTCGGAAATGCAAGTTGACGTGCTGAGACCGGGAGGGTTCTGTCAGAAGAATATATGCCGCTTTGCCTGACGACGCGAAATCAGCCAAGTATGGAAGGAGATGGGGATACGAGACGCCTCGTTGGACCGCAAGCAACCATGCGAATATGTACAGATTTGGGTCGGGCTTCTCTTAGTAAAGTACTCAGTTCTGTGGGAACTCATACATCGAGAAACTGTTCGTTGACGATATGTAGACAGTCGGCCTCAAGATCATCTTCCGGTATCGAAGGCTCTAGAACACGACCCTTGCCCTTCTCCTTCTCTCGATCATGCTTCTGTTGGTGCCGCCGAAGTTGGTCAACACGGATGAATGATCTCGGACAATGCGTGCACTTGAACTTGTAGTCCGCGTTGTGGATCTTTCGATGCTTCGATAGGTTCGACGATTCGCAAAACGACTTGCCGCAAATCTCACAGGTTAGTGGCTTCTCGCCTGTGTGGGTGCGCTTGTGCATAGCTGAGGAGACGTTAGCATTGGTCCAAAACTAAGGGCATGATCACAACAAGATGAACTCACTAAGGGCGCTCTTTTGCTTGAACGCTTTATCGCAACCGGCGTAGTCACACTTGTATGGCCTCTCCCCAGTGTGGATGCGAATATGCTGGTCCAATGCCTGCTGCGCTGAGAAACTCTCTTTGCAGTGCGGACACTTGAACGGTTTGACTGAGAGGGGCCAGTCAGCAAGGCAAACACTATCGCTTCCATCGTGGAAGGCAAGAACTTACATGAGGTATGAGTGGAAATATGACGCCGAAGCTTGTTGCGCGAAGCGAAGACTTGATCGTCTTTGCGAGAACATCCCTCCCATAAGCATATGTATTTTGTCTTGCTAGACATCTGTCCCACGTGGTCTTTTCCTAGATGTGTATGAAGGTCTTCATTACACTGGAACGTTTCACCGCATATATGGGCATGGATGTCTCCCTTGCTTTTAACGAGCCAACGGCACACGTGCTGTCCTGATGCATCTTTGGAACCAGAGGAAGAAAGACTAGGCCTGTGAGACATGGGACTTGTGGCATGATCGGCCGTTAGGGTTGGAGTTTCTATTGTCGACGCAACTTCGGTATCTCCATGGATGAACTGATCACTGTCGAATGATCCGAGGAAAGCATGATGCTGCTGCTGCTGCTGCGAGGGAGCTGCTGGATCCTTCAGATGTCGCAATGTTATCGCGACATCATGTTCTGCAATTGTGTGGTTGCAGGCCGGATTGTGAGAAAAGGGACCATGTCCCGGATATTGATGAAAGTTCCAATCACCGCCAAAGTCTTGGGTCCAACCCATGGAGTCAAAAGCTGACGCCGACGGTGGGCTGGTTAAACATAGAGTATCATCGCAAGTGTCCCCCAGATCAGCGCAAGCTTCACCATGGCATATGACATCTCCATCGCAGAGATCCTCACAGCTCGCATCAGCGCAGCTGGGATCGGTACAACATGCTCCCTCAGAGCAGGTCATTACTGACCTGCAATCTCCCGAAACGCAATCGTTGACGACATCGCATTGGGACATGGTGCAAATGCCGGGAGCATTGAGAGGGGTAGAGTAGTGCTGGCCATTATTAAGCGGGTGATTCATGTATCTTGCGGCATGGTTGACAGGAAACTTGAACTCCGAGTCAACGGGAAAGTAAGCGTGTGCTTGATGGAAGTGTTGTGCAGGCGGTTGCAGGAATGGTGCTTCGGTCACGTAAGGAAATGAGCACAATGATGTCGTGAACCGTTGCCGGGGATGTGGTGCTGCTGGGAATGTGCCTCGTGGAAGACCTTGAGCGTTGTAACTGCCAGGACATTGGTCCACACAAGAGTCGTCGTGCGAGGTGTGGGACACCTGCAGAGTAGAAGGTTCCACGGTGTTGTCGAAGGCGAAAGCAGCTAGGAAATCACTACCAAAATCCGCAGCATCATGACAGGTAGAATCGTGACTGTGGCTGTGACTGCCAGTCCCTGAGTGTAGGTATTTATCCACGGAATTAACCGCTGTCAAGCTGTCGTACCCAAGATGTGAGTGGCCATTGTGATCGACCGGGCCGTCCATTTTTTATAGATGGACTACCACTACCGACCTTGAGGGACCATATGGATGACAAGTCGAGAGTCGCCTTGGGTTTCAAGTCCCACGGGCCCTATCCTGGCTGAAGAGTAGACAGCGACGCAAGTCCACTCTATTCGTCTCTTGGGAAATCCAAGCAGCAGCACCGCAGGATTGCTTAGTTGGCCCGCGCACAATAGGTGAAATGGATGTATGACCCCAGACGAATCGAAACGTCACTCTGGAACAAGGTCGGGTCGGGCAAATAGCCACGAGATTGGGAGACACAAAGTTTATCAGCCTCAAGGGAATTTTCGGGTACCCGTTGCGCAGAACTGGATTTTGCTTTGCTTAGCCTGATAAAGTGAGACTGAGGGGTTCTTCTGGGTCTCGATGGCCCAGGAAAGATCGCCGAATGAATGTAGTGGTTCATGTGCCACCGGGCGCAAGCATTGGCACGTTTTCAATGCTTGAGAACCTTGATGGCCACCTCAACTCGGGAGGCATCACGACAACCCCGTCAGTCACTCGCGCCAGCCTTACTTGGGCCTTAAACTATGACACCGAGACGAATAATGTCCTGAACTGAGCCGCTAAGCCGGTAACGAGCGATGCACGCTTGGATATTGCGGCTCAACGAGTGGTTGATTTTGATGGTACAATGGGCTCCGGCCCCAGGATGGTGTGGACATTGGCCATCAAGGTGTCAGAAGTCGCCGTTTTTGGAAATAACTTGGTGGTTGGCGCTTCGGAGCCAGTTGTCCGCCAGCTGGCCCCTCCATCGTGAGTGTTGTTTATTCGGCATAGACCACCCTTGCAACGGCCGCATTTTGACCATGTTCTCAGACATCAGTCCTATCTTCCTTTTGTCTGTCTATTTGCCCCCTGCATCTGGGACTCGGTAGGTTTGGAGGTCTGGCACCTTCCTTAATCATGCATCTGTGTGGATTGCGTATAATTCCGCTTGATACGTTACGCCTACAGTATGGTCATGGTCATTGTCATTGATGATATATCTTTTGCTACCCAACAGCCTATATCCGTATTCTTCTGTCGATTACCATGATGTTATACTGATGTTCTAGTCATTCATGTTACTGGCTGGGAGCCTTGCCAGACTATTCAGGACGCCGAGCATCTTGGCACTGTCAACATGCCAATCTGCGGCCCATACAGAGACTGCCTTCGACCTTGATTGCAACATATCAAAACCGTATAACCTTCTCCAAATGGGCTTGGTGTGCTGCTCAAAGTGGAAGGTCGCATGAGGTTTACTATACGTTAGTGTGAACTTATTTCATCTCTCGTGACGTGATTGTCCTAGCTCTATGGATCTGTACACCAAGTTAGAATATTTCGCGACGGCCCATGATTCGATACGAACCGTCACAACAGAAAGACACTCATAACAACCAGTTCTTGAACATCCATGTTCACTCCGGGAGGCTCCAAGCGATATCAGTATGATGATATCCGTTGGCGTCTCCTTTACACGGTCTTCAAGCTCTCAGTTCTTGCCGTCCCTTTTGGAAGCCACAGACAATCCGCCTTTTGGTGAAGGACGACTAGTCTAGAACCTTGATATAGAAACTGAACAAAACAACATGTTACGTTTTCTTACGAGACCGTATTGACAGCTTCTTGCACACATGAAATCAAGCTGCTGATATACCGAGATCCATACCATTTTCTCCCATAATGCTCATCCACTACATAACTAGTGACAGGTCCTAGTTTCCCAACACCTGAAAATGACATTGATCTGTCAACTGTGTTATAACGAAACCATGTACCGCCTAGGCTTGTTAGTTTTGAGGACAGACATTGCCAACCTCAGTAGTATCGTGAAGCAACTAGATACCGGGCTAGGATCGCCTTGACTCTGTTTTTTGTAGTAGCTAGAGTCCCCTTGCTAATCCTCTGCTCCCCATACTCGTCCAGGCTGACAGCGCGTGCCCTCCCACAGACACAAACACAGATTGCTGCTGGATACCATTTTTGCACACTGAATTGTACACCACCTTTTACATCCTTCTAAAAACCAATTAAGGTTCATTTGTCCACTTGGAAAGCCCATGGGGACAGTGGTCAAGGTTAGCTGTTTCCTTGGGCCATGCAGATATTCTGTAGTCTAGTGTGCACGTAAGCCATCAAAGTCACATGGCGCACCATTTCTTGCAAGCAAATCTCAATCCGAAGATAAGATATTAAAAATACACCATGGGCAGTCCAGGTTGTATTACTGTCGTTAAATTTTGTTTTTGTTTTGTTTCTTTGTTGCTCGACTAATTCCTCTCTTTCTAGTGAAGACTCGTCTCATTCTAAATCGCTCCGAGCTCCAAGATAAATGTAGTTTTAATGTTCTAGCAGCAAATTTGACTGATCCCTTATCAATTCCAGCACTGTATCTCCATTTGTTCCGTAGCTCCCAGCACACACAGTTCCCATCTCGAATAACGTCATAACCTTCATATTCTATGGTCCATTGAACGCCGCCTTCACCAAACCGATTTTCGTAGTAATTGATATGCGCCACTCTCACCAATGAATCCAGATTCTTTGATGCTCTCACGATATCGTCGAGCCAGTAACAGTGAATGGACAATAAAAAGATAAAAGAACGGCAATACAAACGCCAGGTCGAGGTTGTCTCGTCAGCGCTGTGTGGTGTACGCCGCCGGGCTGTCTTGTCGAAACTTCGGCACGAGCCTACCCATGACGGGCGGGGCAGACATTGGTGAAGCTTGTCTGCTATTGCGCAGAGCTAGGATCCTAGCTGCTTCGGCACATTTGACTTCAAACTTCTTGCTACGCTCCTGCTCACGCGCCATGTGTTGCATGCGATGCTGCCAATCGCGGTTCGCCTCCTCTTTGGTTCTGTCATACATGAGTGTCCTCTCGCCCTTGGTCCAAGTATTGTCAAGCTTTCTTGCCATGAGCTCAGAGACACAAACAGGATGCTCATCCATAGGCCTCAATACCGAAGACGCGCCCCAAAAACACTCAAAGGTAAGCTTAGCCTGGTTATTGACATTATCCAGACCCCAGAAAACGACGGTATCACCGTGGTAAAGCTGTACCCATTCTTTAGAGGGAGACTTGGCGTTCTTAGGATCGTGCGAATACAGGGGCACGTTATTGATGCGCAACCCGTTTGTAGCCTTGGTCGAAATGAAGAATGCATACGACTCGGGTTCAGGAGAGGTGCGCGTAGTACTAGTTGATCGCTTACGGTCCCATGGTCTAAAGTCGCTTGAGGATCCGGTGTATCCCTCTCTCCACAAAGCCATCTTGAAGGCGTGCTTTGGGACCTTGCTCTCCATTGCCTGTGGATATTTGATAGTATTATCGGCTGATCTACCCCATGACACGACGGGATCCGTAATAGGAATCGAAATGCTCCTGACCAAAGACCCTGGTGGGGAGGTGAACCGAGCAACGACTGTCTTCGAGGTTGATTGGACCATCAATGGCGGGGGCCATTGCGTCTCGGGAGGCAGAGTATCAGGCAGTGAGTCCTGGCCATCATCTTCCGATTGTGGTGGTGGAGCTGTCGGGGGCATGTCCCATTCAGTGATTTCGCCCAAGGGCCGGTCATCCCGACGCAGGAGAGGCCGAGTCTCTTGCAAAGAAGCATCTGCCTCTGTCCTGCTGTTGGTCGGTGGAAACCAACGCATAGCAACCTCCCATAACGGCGTGTTCCCTGCGCCAAAGTCTTCGTTACGTTCCTCAGCGGCGGCCTTGAATGCATTGTGCTGTGAATGTGTCATTTCGGGATAGTTCAAATGCCACGTCTGCTTGTCTGCGGCATCCCAGAATGTTCGTTTGTCCACAGGATAGTCAATGAGGCGGCCAGAGTCACTTTTGGCCGCCGGCGGAATTTTGGCAAGGAGAGTGTATTCGTCGTCGTCTTCGTCATCTGACAAATCATCTCCATTGGACTTGAGTCTTTTGAAGGACGGCTTCATGTTCGCTGAGACACTCTCGAGTTCGTCGCTTGTATCATAGGTAGGCTTGCGCTTGCTCGTGTTTAAATCACCCATCTCAGAACGCAAGCCGGATGTGGTGCGCGCTAAAGATTTCATGTTAAGGTTTTCCAAAATTGCAGAATCGCCACCTAAGCTCTGAGAGCCAATAGCTTGATTGGCATGGTATGCACTCTCGTCGATTGTGGAGTCGGTTGATATAGCCAGCCGATATGTGTTCTGCGATCTTCGCTTTTGTCGAGGAGTTGACAGGTCATCAGAATCGAAGCTGTCGTGGATTTCGTGTTCTTGGATATCAGTTTCTCCAAGGCTTTCTCCACTTTCTCCGGGTAATGGTACATTCATCCGGGATTCATGGATAGCACCAGAGCTTCCAATAGCCGAGTTGTTGACCTCGCCCCAAAACCGATCTGGTGGAGGCTGGCCAAAGGTATAATTCTCCTTGTCTTCCTCCAACTCCATGGACGAATCAGGTTCCGGGTCTAGAAGAGCGCTGGAACCAATGTCACCAATGGACTCATGCTGTCGTCGTTGCGCTCTGTCATTTAGACTAAGCTGAGATGCTCCCTGCTCCAATCCGTCATCGGATATTTCATCGGCAGATTCCACATCAGGGCTTTCCAGCCAAGGGTGGCTCTGCAGTTCGGCGATTGTCGCTCGTGTCTCAGGCCGGTTGTCAATCATCCGTCTGAGAAAGTCAATACCATCCGTAGAAACGTTTTCGTCCATCAGGGGGGCTACGACAAGCGGCTGGGTCATGATGTGATGGAGAAGCTCTGTATAGCTTGTACCGTTCCTCACAGGAAAAGGTGGGTGACCAGTCAAAGCATAGAAGAGCACGCCGCCGAGGGACCAAACGTCAACGGCATGATCATATCGTTCTCGAGTAGGGGGCCGGCGACTCTGTTGACGAAGCCTGCGACCCTTCTCGTCGTATGTGCCATATTCGGAGTAAACTTCAGGGGCACAGTATAGTAATGTGCCACAGAAAGTTTTGAGGAATGTTTGCTCCGTGTCGATCATTTTAGAGAGGCCAAAATCTGTTAGTTTGACAACGAACGGATCCAGAGACGAAATCAAGATGTTGTCCGGCTTCACATCTCGGTGTGTGATGCTGTTGTCATGCAGATATCCCAGGGCATCGATCAATTGCCGAGCCATAATCTTCACGTACGTTTCTCTAAGCATTCCCTTGGTCGCGACGAGCTTCCCCAAATCACCTCCTGGGACGTACTCCATGATGATGATGAATTGATGCATGTCCCAATCAAAGTGCTCGATGTATTGCACAATGTTTTCCTGTGGTTATTTAGTCCAAGCCACGACAATTGCAAGCGAGACAGATCGCTTACATGAGAAACTCGTTGCATTATTTTCATCTCGTTTTCCACTTTCTGGTCGAGGACACCGTTTTTCATGAACTTGCGCTTGTCGAGCTCTTTGGCAGCATATGGCATACCAGTGTACCTATCTGTCACCTTGTACACGACCGCAAATGCGCCTTTGCCGATCTGACCGACGCGGTTGTACCGTTCGCCACCACGAAATTCCCGAGGATGTCGATAGGCGGCTGGCGGATCAAGTGGCTCAGTCTCGGGGCCGTCCCGATCATTTTTGAATGGGGGCGGAAAGAGGTTCACCTGTCGCTAGTCAGCAATGAACTTGCGGTACGGCAAGCAAGAGAAATAACTCACAGGGCCGCTTGGTCCGGGACCTATAGTACGGTCCAGGTCAAGCTCTTTGCCTTGCTTCCGGAAGTATTCCCTGAGATTCTTCTGGTATTCGAGCTCAAGAGATCCTTCCCGATGCGGCATTCGCACGATGAATTCCATGTCTTGCGCATTCTCGTGCATGAGAATCTTGACGTTTGTGCCGCTCTCTAGTGTTCTTTTTGTTTGGCTCAGCTGTCCGTCTCGTCCGTCTCTCTTCTTCTTGAGCATTACATCATCCACAATCGTGCCATTCGTTGAAGTGTCTTCCAACATGACGACCCCATGATTGTTGATGTAGATGCGAAAATGGATGTTGCTCAGCCGCCGCAGAGGGTCGTTATGGAAGCATATATCACATCGGGATGAGTTACGGCCGAAGGTGAAGCCCAGGTTCGGAGACCTCGCGTTCGCCGACAGCCTCAAGACAATGGCATGGTCTCCTACGGCGCGGGCCCTCCCAAACTCGCCGGGACCGTCTTCGCGCCGGGGGTCGGTCCTGACGGCATCAGCTGCGTACCTGCCGGCGATATGTGGGCTTAGTATGTCGGCGAGGCCTTCGACTTCTCGCCTGGCATTCTCGGTTCGCGGGTATAACATGCATACGATGTCTGCTATGTCTTTGTCGGAAAACCCCGAGTTCTGTTGGCCGAGTCGTCTTGGGTCAACTGTGTTCTGAGTTGCTGCGAACAATCGCGGTTAGAGGCTTGTCAGGGGAGACCAAAAACAGCTGGGACTTTGTGGCGAACCTAGTTGTGTCGAATCTTCCTGAGAAGCCATCGGGCCAGGACTGGGTGGCCCTTGAGCCGAGACGATTCGAGGGAAGACTTCGGCCAGAGATGGTAACCAGGTTGGATACAGAAGGGAGGCGTCAGGATAGGCAGAGATGGGATACCGACTGCGGAGATCGGATTCCGGCAGCCGGTAACTGAACAGATCAGACGAAAATCACACAAATAACCTCCCGTTCTTCAATTGAAGCCATCCGAAAGAAAGGTGGTCGGCAACGTAGGCAGAAGCTGGATCGCTAGGCAGAAGCTGGATCGCAAGGCAGTTTCGGTGGGGGGTTGTCGTTGCCGGGGTTGCGGCGTCGCGTTTACAAATAGAAAAGCTGCGACGGGACTACAGGTACCAGTAGTTGCGATGCATGCGCATCCTCCGAGGCAAGACAAGGCAAAGGCAGAGGCAAAGAAATATATTACAGTAGCAATGACCGAGGGTTGTAGGACTATACGACTATATAGGGAGAGGCAGAGGTGCAAAGGTCATGTGGGCGCGGAAGGGGAAGGGACGACTCGAGAAGGCGTTCACCATATCACAAGGCCTCAAAGTCGACCGATGTCATCTCTCCCAAAATTATTTTAGTTGGGCGAACGAGGTGTCACGTCTCACGTCTCGCTCAGGCGGCATGCACGCTGCAAGGTCTAACGTTAAGGTAATGGACGCGGAGAGGTCTGGTGCCAGGGTGCTTGCTTTGCCTCTCGAACGGCGGTGGGGGGGAGCGGGGCCAGAGGCACCGACAGGGAGGTAGGATCTGGTCGACGATTGGTCGTAGAGCAACTTGTCGGCTGTTCACCGTCATCTCCACCGACCGCCAGGCCTTTTTCGGTAGAGCCTCAGGGCGGACACAGCTTTTCCTGACGCCCCCTGCCCACTGTCCAGTCGTAACACCGTCGGGAAAAGGGATTGCAGGTACTGTAAGTGACTAGGTTAACGTTAATGACTTCTCTCCAGCTCAGTCGACCGACCACACATTCCGGGCATCTGGGACGGCATCACCTTGTATACATTTCCCGTACACGGTCCTAACGCAAGTCGTTCGCGACACATACGCCAGTGTTCGATTTCCAAGTACCGCCGTCAAACTTCCCCAAGCTATATGACCCGTTTGCCTGTCTTGTCTCGAGATGAGAAAACCATAAACGTCCAGCTATGTCTTGTCCGACGTTGCACTGCATGCAAGCGACCTAGTCTGCACCGTTACGGGCTTGCAAGCGACATGGCAAAAAGCAACGACGTCTCATCCTTCCGCGGCCGTGGTCTGCCTATAAGAATCCATATGTTCGACGTCAATGACAGTATCATTGATCCCCCTTGTTCTCTGCTGCATTGCTAGTCAAACTTGGAAGGAAGATCGCATGCATTGTCGCATGATGGCCATGCTTGTCAGGGGCTCACCGCGGCAAAGCTGGAGACTTGGTACAGAAGACTCCAATAACCAAAAAGAAAAAAGAAAAGAAGAAAAAGACATCAATCTTCACCGAACTTGAACCCTGAATTCGAATGTTGTACACAAACTGCATAGCCCTAGAATCCGAACATCAACCCCCACCCCCCCTTGTTCTTGTTGCGTTTCTCCTACTGTATAGACTCACTATTACAATTCACACACCAAGATCCCGGACTTTTGACATGTAGAACAAGTGAATGTGAAATTAAAAGACATTACAACATCATTGTCACAGTCAGTTCAGATTCGACCTTTGGAAAAAAGACATTAATTTCAAGCAACAGCCGTCAGACTCTGCCATGCTACGCATCTATATGCAAACTTGCTTGCTACACAAAAGTGCCATGTCGGTGTTCCCACACGGTACTACAATGCTATGGTAATCATACATTCAAACCAGAATATATGTATAAAATGAAACAAAAGCAGATGTGGAAAATGGAAAAGGGAAAGGATAGAACCCCAATCAACCGACTCTTCTACCGTATTTTCGCTTTTCTGTTCTTTATGCGTCAAGTCTCGTGATCATGTCATCTCGTAGAACAAGATTCAACCGAAGAAACCCTTCTTCTTTTTTGGCTTACTTTCAACGTCCTTGAGGATATCGTCAAAAGTGCTAGTACCGGCTTGCAGGGAGTCCTGCCGAGAGCTTGTTCCTGAATCTGGACTGGCAAAGCCGGGTGCGGGCCCCACGCCATGGATATTGCCGGAGGATCTACTTCGTGCCATCATGGCACTTACTGGCCGGGGGCCAACAGAGCCGTCCCGCCCACTGAAGACACGCGACGTACGCACGCTTCCGCGCCGCGTGTCTTCACCGGGCATGGACACTGGCTCGAGTCCAAGAGCGACGCTTGACCGGTAGCCCGGTCTGCCAGCAGGGGATGAGCCCCTGGGCCTTAACGCAACCCCCGGTGCTAGGGTTGTGGGCGACTCACTTCGCTCGATCATAGAGACGCCCGGGTCATTATCAGTAAAGACAGACTGTGGTGCTTCTAGTGGAGGTAGCTCCAAGGGCTCCGCCATAGGGCCTGCCATGCCGGCCTCCCACTGTTTCGCAGCAACCCAGCAATGGCTCCTGTGGTATATACCCTCGATAGAAAACTCGACGGTATCCTCACTCAACTCAACGTAACCTGCACCGCCCGAGACCTCGTACCACCTCTTGCGCGGTTCTGCATCATCGCCCATCCACGGCGGCTGACCCCGTGGCGGTTGACACAGGAAATACTCCACGCCCTCAGTGAAATGGAGTCCCGGAGCGTCGACCACCAACATCGGCAAAGACTGAATAACAACGTAGAGGAAAATCCAGTATCCGATTCGCTGATCCGCAATTTCGCTGATGGGCTTGCCCTTGGCTTCTTTCTCCTCGAAATCCTTGAAATGTTCGATGAAAGGAAGCTTGAGCCTCAAAGTCTCAAAGTCGTACGATTTGCTGAGAATCAAGAGGAACTCATGCTCCTTGTAGTTGCTATCCAATTTTCTCTGCTCCTTGGCTGGTAGATCGTGATAGTTCTCTTGAACCGATTTGAAATCCGGTAATGTGGGCACGTCATATGGTATAGGGGGTAGGACAGGGGGCGAAGAAAGATCAAATTCAGTGAGGATCCTGCGCAATGCCGACATTGGGTCATTCTCGTCCTCCTCCATCTGGTCCGAGTCCATTGACCGCGGTGTTAAAGAGTGCCGGTCGACAATAAGGTCGTACAATGCGCAGAGATCAGAGTACAAGATCTTCAGGACTTGTCGGTTTAACCCGCTCTCTGTAAATGGGTTCTTCTTGCTTCGTGCTTTCGGCGGCCAGCTACCAAAACTGGATTTGTAATAACCGAGGACGAATGACCGCATTCGATTGAAGGAAGACCTCCATCTGCCAAACTTCACGGTCTTGTACTGTGTCGCCGAGCTGGCTATGCCGGAAAACAGTGCTGGAAACTCAAAGTTTTCAAGGCGATTGTTGACATTGTTCTGACGATTTAGGAGCTCTAGGTGTCCGCGCTCTAGTCTTTGCCGTGTAGGTGCTGATACCTGTTCCCAAAGAGGAGAGCTCAAGTCGCGCAAGGCAGGGTACTTTCCTACGGCGTGAGAAAAGGCTTCGTTGTAAAGGTCCCATGATTTCATGCGTTCGCCAAGAATGAGTGCCTCCAGTGTCTTCTCTCTGGAATTTCGCACATCGGCTACAGCCAAACCTTCCATGAAGAATCCGAAGCTCATATCCACTGAGTCTCCAAAAGTAGTGCCGTCTACACTAGTGAACTCGAACTAAAACCCATGTTAGTACCTGCATCTTCCAAACAGTATTCTCTTGGGAGTGTTTTCGGCAAGAGAAAAGTCTCTCATGGATGTGCTCACCTCTGCCAGTAGACCGGCAACCTTCATGAGAACTGCGAATATGGTCGGCTGTTCCTTGTTCCCAACCAAAGGCTGTCCCGTCAAAAGGGCGAACATGTTACGAATCGCAAGCAAGCGATCCAAGTCTGGTTGCGGGCCATTGCCAGGCTGCAGTTGTCCTTCCAGAATACTGGCCAAGTACAGCTTTGATTCGCCGAGGGTCTCACTCTCCGGAGGTGATGGTGGTTCCTCGTCTCGTCGTTCAGCGTCGGTTGTCGACAGGCTGTTACGACCTGTGAAGCTTGTGCTGCGCGGCCGCCCAGCACCCGGCGATGAATTGGCTTCGGCTTCAACTAGGTCTTGGAAATTGAGCGAATAGTCGGTAACGAACTGCATAACCTTAAAAGAAGGCCCCTTCCCACTAGCCTTCGGATGCAAGTAGACCAAGACGTTGCCACTTTCATTCCAGAGCTCGGGTACGCGTTCTCCCTTCTCGAGAAAAGATGTGTTGTAGTCTGCCTTCGTTTGACCCAATGTCCAAGCTCCTGAGCCTTGTCCGCCTCTCACATCCGTAGAGTTGGAGCGAGACCTCGTTCCTGGAAACCAAGATCGTCGAAGTCTACCACGCTTTTCGACTTCCCGAGTGGGACTCTGGCTGCCATTGCTCGATCCTGGCCGTGAATCGACGGCGGTTGCTACGGGTGTTGGTCGAACGGGAGTGCCTGGTTCCAGTCTGCCGTTAGGTGGTTGTGCGGAGGAACTTCTCTGCCGCAGCTCTGTGGGCGAAGGCGCCAGAGCAGTGGCCTGCGCGGGTGGAGAGGTCGGCCCATGATGTAAAGAGTTACTTCTGCGTCTCGGAGACAGCGGGGGTTCTGCCAACTTCGGAGATGGTCTCGTCTCCGTGAAGTAGAACCCTGGATCACTAGGGGTGATAGGTCTCTCAGACGCATTGGAAGGCACTGGTGGTGCTGGCACTTTCGGGAGAGGCGGTGGAGCCTGGGCCTTCCTCAACTTACCCGTCTTTACATTGTCCTGGGAGGACTTCTTCTTGTGCCCGCTCTGCTCTTCCGAGCCCAAAGATCCTCCCAGTGTTAGTTTATCGGTACTGGGCGATTCGAATCTACTTCGGAGTTGAGCCTCCCATTCGGACATGGTTGAGTGCTTCTCTTTGACGGGTGAATCCGTTTGCGATGCTTTTCGGTTGAAGCTCGAGTCTGAGGTCGGACTGATCAGTGACGGAAAAAACGATGACAGCCGACTCAGTGTGGATCTCCTCCGCGAGACTTCGGGTCGCGGAGGCATGAGCACTGGCCCAGTACTGGCCATTTGGCCAGTTGTGTTTGCGACGTCGGGAGATAAGGTAGACGCCGATTTGGCACCGTCAGGCTGATGTGAAGTTTCCAGCTCGCTGGGGGACAACTCTATTGTCGGCGTGCCTGTCTTTTCCTCGGTGATGCGAGGGCTCTCCGCAGTTGGGTCCCGTTCGGCCGTCGTGTTCTCCGAGTACAAAGAGGAAGAAAGGGAGGCAGGAATAGAACTACGGCCACTGCTGGCACGATTTGACTTACTTGAAGCCATCTTTGCTTGTTGCAATGAACCCCTGACCTGAGTTCTTGAACTTACAAGTAACAAAGTTCGAGAAATAGAGGGCTGCGCAAGCCTCCCCTCGCTAAGCCCACGACTCGTGTGGGTTTCGATGGATGATCCTTGGTCTCAACCACCTTTTAGCTGGTGACGTTGTCTCCACACAACGGTTTCGTGCTTTAATGGTTATGTGCAGATGCTTGTGACGCGCAAGCAGCAAAAATTGGCAGTGGAGATGTACTAGGACTGGGCGATGCGATCTCGGGCGCTGCGGCAAGAAGTGGGCAATATGGGACAAGCTTAACTGAGTAACCACTGAGATGATATTGCTGTGGGTGATTTTCATAAAAGTTGGAGTTGATAACTAAATTGGATAGGTCTGAGGGACCGGGTATAGTGAGCGGTATGCATGGAAGTCTTTAATCTTTCTAGAAACGGTAGAGCACCTGACGACCCCGGACATGAGGCAATCGTTCCTGACCCAGCCCAGCCCACTGTGTGCCCACCATGCAAATGCAAGCAGCCGGTTTACTGTAAATGCAAACCAACCCGAATACGTGGGTGAGTGAGAGTGCCCTCTGCACAATGTAACACGGCCGGGATTGAAGAGCCGTCCAATTGGCAAAGACCTGCCGACAGATTCAGGTTCAGGTTCAGGTTCAGAGCCAACGACGCAATCCTGTCGAGCCACGGCCACATGCAACATGTTCGCAATGCGTCATTCGCCAAGTACAGACAGGGGCAGAACCGAAAGGAATAATCCCGGGGTACTGGGCCAAGGCCATTTCCTTTCTCTCCCTCTCCATTGCTTCACTTTACCCTGGTCGTCTCAGGGCGATCAAGACGACCAACAAATATCGGATTATGACAGCGCGAAATTGCCCCGAATCTGACCATCACAATTTACTCAAAACTTCATTTCAAAATACAGCACCGTCACAATCCAGCAAAATTGCTCTTAACAAGTCAAAACCCCGCCCTTGTCCAAGGAAACCGGGCTACAAACGCTACTGCCAGAGCTGAGGAATTAGCTGGCCTAACGTGGCGTTAGGGGTCCTCCGAAGAGCTGCACAGGGCTATTATTAGCCTCAACTGTTTTAACCTTACAAAACTCAACTGCACAACCCAGCAGTACGGAATACATACGGACCAGAGCCAGCGCCATTCGCGCATATGCGTCTCGGCACTGAGAACTCGTTCATTCCGCGTGGTACAAGTTGCAGCCCGTAAGGTCCCGCTGACTCATTCTGTATCCTCTGATGGTAGATTGTCCTTGTGTTGAGTAAATAGCGATATCTCGGCCAATTCATGAACACTATTGCCATCCACTCCGCCCCATACTGAAACCTGAGGAGGTTGAAATTTCTAGTCTGCGCCCAAATCGGCCGCCTCCCGCCTCTCGCATCGCTGCTCTCTGTACATATAGCTATCTGCTACTAACTTAAGGCTCTCTGAATATCCTACATATCACTAGTGCTGACGGCCAGAAGTTTTGGCGCGGGTTTCATTCGCATTCTTTACGTTCTTCGCACAAAGTAGTACCTGGCCAATCGTTTGAGTGAGCGTGGCGACGCATCAGAGGTGGTAAACTATCCTCGCTATTGTCGCCGACACGACGCTTCATAGGGCTGAAAGGAGGAGGTAACACAGCCACCCTCCACGCTGTTTAGTACTACACGCCACTGTATAATACTCAAACTGCCTGTGCCAGAAAATTTTTCGTCATCCTTTAGTCTAACCTAGGGCTAACATACCTGTCAAGGCTGCCTAGCGGATGGATTTGTTACTTAGACTCGTGCTGCTTCTCCTCGGCGCCGGCTTCGGGAGCGACAAAAAAGCCCACCTACTGTAGGGGATCCAGTACATAGCACAAACATATAGCCATAATGTCCGGGTGGTCGAGACGCTGGAGGACATTGTCCGAGATATGATTGGCTCTCCTGTGAATTACCTGCATGGGTAGCTACAGAACCTGGCTGCGAGCCAGCTGTGTAGGATATATGTAGGAGAGCAGTGAAGCACATTAATGTAGCAGGTCATCCCGATCTCGACGTAACAAAACTCCAATTCACTAAAGGTACAGTACACTAGTACTATTCTTCTTGTTTTCTTTATTCTTTTTCTTTCTAGTAGGACCGTATCGCCCATGTGATAATGCTACTATATTATCAAAGTGATTAGAAACAATATCGTACGACCTGTCGTGTTACACCGAGATTTCCGGGATTGCATAGAGCACAACTCTGTCCCTCAACTCGTTTGCAGATGGTAGAAATACGGTTGCCCTTTGCAGGCCGCGTCAAAGCCCACACATTCCATGCTATGCTGCTGTATTACGAATACCAGCTACGTAAACCAATCGTCTGCGTCAGTGGTCACTGCTGCAATTACTCCACCCTGACGCGTAGTAACACTTATTTGACCATATTCAAAATTGAACTTTGCTTCTATATAATTTGAGCCTTCCTGGAGACCCTACCCAGCGCCAGTTCTCAGCTCTGATTCCGTGTTCTACCGAATCGGTTACCGCTGTGTTTGTTCGATTAGCTGAGTCGTGCCTCTGGGAGGGGTTCGCCATGTTGAGATCCACTGCTGTATGTACACACAAATACCTTCCTGACAGTGCAATACCTAGTATTATGAGTACCCGGATCCGTTATGCATTGTATCACAATTTGGTTTGTGGGTTGTGTTCCCGTGCCGTTCAATTCCTGTATTCATTATTTGGTTTCTATTCTTGTTTCTTTATGTTCCATGACCAAACAAACACGGCGGTATATAAAATTCTTGCACGATATCTGCTTGGTTTTTAGAATACGGCCTACTTGGAATGAGCACCTAAAAGGCCACGACTGGGAATTCTAGCCATATTCGAGGTATATATAAACTGACGGAAAACGCCTGTGTATAGTAAAGCGATACTTGTTGGTTCGGCATCTCAGTGGTATACTATAATATTAACCTTTATGCGGTATAACAAAGTGTGTGTTGGGACATATATCTGGCATATTCGGCATCATCAATTGCAGTATCTGGCAGTTGAGTCCTCCAGACCTAGTGGTATCCGGCGGCGTCGCACCACCATCTCATGACCAGCAGCATATTTTTCTGTTCTCTGTTCATACATATGATTGCAGCGTGGCATGGTTCACTATGAATTTAGCTACCAGCAGGCGTTGAAACCAATACTTGGATCAATCAGCTGTAAAGTGTGGGTTCTAGCAAAATACGACTGATTTCTTCGACACTTTTGTTCTATGGACGCCCGAGCTTACATTACTTACTACATCATCTCTTCCCAACGATTCTCTCATCCGATCAGAACATCTATTCAGTGGGGTGCTGGACGTACGTGACCCCGGCGCCTGCTTTGAAAGCGCGTGAAATGTCCAGAGATTCCAGGATATGCGTAATACCCTTTTTTATATTTTAACACTAAACATTCTATCATTGCTCGTTCTACTCATTAGAAGAAAAGTCCACAAAATACTGACGACGACCTACACACGTACATTGAACAGCACACAGTGGTTAGTCTCTTCTCGCCGTACAATTATGTGTTGATCATTAGAAGTGTCGAAATCTAGGCGGAACAACAAAAGGCCGAACCTCGAACACGTAATCGGAAATCCCACCAAACCGTTTATACTCGCGCACATCAGATCACCTCGTGGATAAACATTCGAGCTAGTCCTTCATCGCTGACCCCTGCAAAAGTTATATCAAGAACTCTCACCACACGATAACCCCCACCAGTGACCGGGTTATTTTGACATAAAAGGTTGCATATTTTGACCCGTATTGTTTGCCTACGAGCCAATCAGCATATTTGGCATATACCGAAAAGGGTAATCTGACAAGGAAGGTGTGTGCGCTGCAGTCGGTGAGTTGAATGGCGGGTCCGATCATAATCAAGGCAGAACCCACGGCGTACCCATATCAATTGATCCTCTGCGTCGACCCCTGGGTATGTTTGATGAGCAAAGAAATAGAAAAGGTTCGTCAGTATCATGTATATGCAGGCGTACGGTCGTCGATGCCCAAGGGAAGGTGGTGATGCTATTGGCGCTGACTGGTCAGGTCTCAGTTGTTTTGCCGCTAATACTTTCCAATAATTTGCTTCCTTGTAACCTTGTAGATGCAGGCTCCCTGATAGGCTCCCAACCCGTTGCCTATTTGGGTGAAATTGTCTGAATCTATATCTCATGAACACTGTAACTAACGTTCAGTCTATAGTTCTATAGCATTATATAGACTTAATTCACAGCCTTGCGCCCGACCACATAGCAGTTGAGAGGCTCCGGTGTCCTGGCCCCCAAAATGCTGTGCATACAGAGAACGGGGCCTCAGAACTGGCCGCTTGTCACATGACTCGACCAGTGAAGAGCCGATTATTGTGCTACGACGGTTTTCGGTGAAAGCAGGGTATGCTATTCGTCAATTGAATACTAGCTCCATACTATCTCGCCAATGAGCTTTCACACTGCTATACGCCCCGGGGAGTGTTCGCGGATGAGCAACCATGGGGTCTCTACATCTTCGAGTCCAGTATCACAGGTCTGGAATACCTTCATTGCTTGCCCTTCACCTGAATAAGACAGTTTATCGTCTAATTTCCCCCACTCAAAATACGAGACCCGCTCTATCTGCGCCTGACGTCTGCTGATTCGGTTGTACTTGGGTTAGACAGAAACAAGGTACATATGACCAGTGACTTATACGCACGCACCATAAGAATGGGTAACCACGGGAACCTACCCCAGCTCGTCGAGCAAGTCCAGCATGTCATTCGACAGGTACAAAAGCCCCGGCTCCTCCAGGATCCGGGTGCCGTTAGTTTCAATCTTCCCAGTCCCTCTTCTCTTCTTTATAGTTTAGAAGTTAGTGAACCTGGCGACGAGAGCATTTGTGAAGATTTCTTCGATTGGGCTTTGTGGGGGACCGACCAAGTCGAAAAAGCACAATCTGGTACCAAGTCTGAAGATTCTTCTATGCCTGGACTCACCTCGGCGACAACTCCGCCGCCATCAGAGAAAGGCGGTGCTCCTCCATCACCTAGGGAGGTAGAAGATCGTACACAGCACAAGGACAAGCTTAAAGAGGCTAGGAGAGCTGATGACAGCTACACCTTCCCCCAACGAGAGCTTCGGCCCAAGGCAGATTATGTTTCACAAATTTCTTTGAGCACTGCCGTCCAACACGTATTGGTGGCTAGACCAGGCCTTATAAGGTCTACCAGAGAAAGCTCACTACCGTCTCCACCGTCTAGCCCTCGGTCCAGCAGTGACAGAAATGGCCCGCCAAACAGCTCCCGATTGTCTCGAGGCAAGCGTGTTGGACCTCTGAAGAATGGAGATGAAGTAGCAGACGTGCGAGCATTAGGAGCTTGCATTTGCTGTCGCATCCGCAAAGTCAAAGTATGTATTTTATGCGGTTTGTGTTTCTTAGATCAAAGGATCTAACGTCTGAATTAGTGTGACGATCACGAAGTCTGCGGGACGTGTGCTGATAGGGCATCGAAACCGAGTCTCTGGCTGGAGGGCATTACTGGTCAACAAATATGCTTCCGAAATCCTTTTGCGGACAACCAGTTGTTGTTCCCTCAAATCTCAAGTAAGCTAAGATCTTTCTCGCTGGCGGACGGAAACACCACAGCCGAATGAAATGAGACGTGGCTTACGAGAAGTAGAAACTGAAGCGAATCGTCAACCCGTGGTATGTCGACCAACCCCGGTCGATTTTATCAACGACATTCGCGTTTTCTTCCGATCCAACACCGATGTTCGGCAGGCGTTGTTGCTTCAAACTGTCTTGAAGGATGGTCGTCTCGCTGGAAACGAACGAGAATCCAATAACTACAAGCTGAACATCGATGAACAGCCCGACGGCAGCAAGCTTCAGGATTGGGCCGAGCACCACATGAATAGTGTCGGAATCACCGACTTTCAGTCTGCCTTGGACCTCTTCGTCTTGAAATATGCAAAACAGTCAACAAATTTGCCACAGGTAGGCACACATTCTTGGCTGCTGCAATGCTATGCTCACCTATCCCAGCATGATCTTCTTCGGAAGGTTCACAAAATGCGATGCTTGTACAAAGTTTGGAGTCAAAAGGACTTCGTATTTCTTGAGAACCCTTCTACGCCTGTACGCGTGCTTCCAAAAGCTTTGCAGACAGGTTTGAGAAACCTTGCCAAATTCGGCCTTAAGCGGCTAGAAGGAGAGGTTTTTGCGTTGCTCGACAAGTCCCTTTGGATGAATGGGGCCAAAGTCAACGAACAGGACCGAATGGGCCTATGGGTATCAGTCATGCAACTGATCCTGATGTATCGAGATATATTCGGAAAGACAATGGCAGCCAGTAATATTCCGCCAAGTAAGCATGTGTTTTGCTAAACTTATGATTGTCAAACTGACTGGCTCGAACAGGTCATGCATATTATCGAAGCGCATGTCAATTACGAAAACTATCCGTAAGGTTGTTCTCGGCACTTGTCGTGATATGTGAAGTCGCATCATTTGGAAAGAAGCCATTGGCCTTCGACTTAGAAGTCCCGGGCACCGATGCTGTGCAAACCGCGCGACGCTTCATGAACAACTGTCTCCCACTCCTCGAAAGACACCGAGATGAATTCTGTAAGTATCATGTGTAGGGTTTTGTGTTGTGGTAGTATTGATAGACGTCTAGTTGAAAGCGTCGAACACAGACCCGACCTCCTGGACAAACTTCTTTTGAGTTTGCGTGGCCGAAGTCCCAAGAAGGGTCAAACGGCGAAGCGCCAGAAGACGACAAAATAAAGTGATCAAGAACGCGATATCGACTTAGGTTCTTGAGTGGATATGTTCAGAAGTAGCGACCAAGGTTACTTTTGATTTTTTCTTTTGTCTGGTTGGTGAGACTGGAAAACCGCCGGTGTCAATATCGCATGATTGCGCCAAGGCGTTCAGGTGTTTGATTGATACCCCAGAGCACCTGTTGTTCGAGATTCATTTGGATTTGTCGGCACCGTTGATTAAGAATTTTGGAATTATTTGAAATGTTTCCCCATCGTTTGGGCTGGTTCTGCTTAGTGTGTATGGATTTTATGTTCGACCACGATCGGCTCGACTCTCCTGGCAACAGTGAAAGGGTCTTTCTTGTGCTTGCCTACTCCTTCAAAGACAGCCCCGATGTCGTGCAGATCAATGCCTTTGGCTGCATCAGCAGAGATTGATATGGTGAGCTCTATATGTGACTTTTTCTTCCCTTCCACCATCTCAGCTGTAAACCTGCGAGTATGTTAGAAGATTCACATAATCACATTCTAGACTCGAAACACACCTTATAGCTTTTTGTAGATGCGTAGCCGTTCGGGGCTCTGCAGGACAAACTTTAGTCAGAACGGATGCAACAGCACCGAAGTAGTCCGTCCAATAGTTTGCCTCCGTCGAATCAATAAATGTGAGCGCTCGAAGATTAGAGTATAACTGCCGATCGACTGGGCCTAAAGTTGAGCCCCATCGAGCACAGGCAGTGAGACCGAGAACAGCGCGTGCCAGATGAGTCAACCCTGGTGTACTTGGATCGCGCGTCACGGTCCGATGCAGTTCATAGGCGGCGTTAGCCTCGCTCGGCTCACCCAGATGCGACCAAATCTTGCCTACAAACAGCGGCCCGAGGCCTAAGTTGAAGACTGTGGGGATGTTGGATAGGTCTAGGCCATTGGGAACAGCTGATACCATGGTGTTTATGACAGATTGAATCACTTCATCGTTCATGGAATCACCTGGCTGGTGGAGAAGTTCGAGCGGTCTTGCTTCTCGAATGACACTGGGAAGTCTCATGAGCAAAGCACCCTCTCTGTTGCCCCCACTACAGAAGGTTACCGTTCGAATACGAGGTACTACCTCAATCAGTGCCTCGACCACAGTGGCAATGGCAGGGAATTGCTTTCGTCGTCTTTTGGACATGCCATGAATCTTGGCATCATAATTCTCGTTGACCTTGCGCATGACGTCTGTTTGCTTGAAAGATTTGCCGCTTACAGTATATGATCCAATAGCTGGAATAGGGTAAGGTTGGATTGGATCGTTGTGCATCAGCATGCTGCCATAACCTCGGAAGCCGCCTCCGCAAAGGTAGACATCAATTCCTTCGTGGTTGGCACCATCACTAAGAGCTTTCAAACTGGGAAACTCCTGTTGCAGCTTAACGAAAGCCCCTCGTAGGCCAGACTCGAGGTCGTGTTTCGCAGTTTTTCGCATGCCTGAATCATCATTGTCTAAGATATTGATCAGCCTGGCGGCGCCGAAAGGTAGACTCTTTCCAGTCTGTGATGCTGCGAACTCGTAGCCTTCCGTGGCCGAGTTCATGTAAGACATCTGTACCGAACCGCCGCCGAGGTCAAGAAATAGCCCGTTGACTTCCGCGAAACTACTTCGTGCACCCATAGCGCCGAACAAAGTCTCGACTTCTGGAGCAAGCACCTGTACCCTAAGGTAAGAGGCCTCCAGAATGGCATCTAGCATGGCATCGGCATTCTCCGCTCTTCGCATAGCCTCTGTTGCAAGGACGGATATATGCTCTTGCGGTACTCCATAGGCGTCTGCAATGGATTTGAATCGAGCCAGGGTGTGAGAAACCTGAGTGATTGTCTCCGTGGGAAACAACATAGGCCCACCTGCAGACGACGAGCTGAGTGCATCGAACAGCGAGATAGCTGCGCGCTCACGGTACAAGCAGTTCAGAAGACGTGCTCTCGGTGGTGACAGATCTGAGATGGAGAAACGAATACCGTTGCTTGGAAAAGTCAGATAATCTCTTGTCTACCAGAATCCCTCTGTGTGCGGTATCTATGAAACACAGACCTTCCCATATCAACCAATGCGTATAGATGGTTGGAGAGGTTGGGCTCCCATCGTGGCATTTTGGTCTGGAAGTTTTCCAAGGTGATGACATCTGTCGCAGACGCCATGGCGATTTGTGAGCAAGTGCAATCTAGCTAGACTCGTAACGAGTTGCAATGGACGTAGACGACTGTGCTTGAGACTGGTGAAATCTTGTGTGCATGACAACTGTGTGCGTCAATGAGGAATCTGAGAGCTGGCAACAGGAGGGTCATCGTCAGGCGCTGAAGTGGGAGCTGAACGCTGTAGGGTCTGTGGAGTTGCGTCATCGCACAAACTCTGAGTGGACAGCGGATACCGTGCGAAGCTTTTACCCTGGGCAATCATTCTGGCTGTCAAGCACTGCCTTATTTCCAGGAATTGGAAATGGCAAAAACAAGCTAGACTAGATTGCTACAACGAAGTTGAATTGTCGTTCAACTAGTTTCAACTTTGTATTAGTGCAGAGGTGGACAAAGTAATACAGTTGAGCAAGTGACTATTTGAGCTAAAGTCCTCCGTATGTTCCCTGATAAGTATCCATGCTTAAATTAGTACCCTGGGTTAGCAAGCTTAGCAAAGCACCTGTTCATACATGGGCCAAATTCAGTCTAGACCTGTATGATCAATTGACCTCTATCAAGGCCAAATACCTGACTGCATGTCCATGTTCTTGGTATCGTCCTTGCCCATGATCACGGACATATCATCCTGCCATCGAATATGCTCTGACGAGTTGGAGAAAGGCGCATGGCCACCGACATAGCCTTGCGCTGCTGCTCTCCTCAACGCAACGTTCCAAGCAAAACTACTCGCGCTAACCCCTGCCATCAGGTCAGCTTTGAGAAGCAGCTCAAAGTCAACCAAGGCCTGCTGGTCCCAACTCAGGCTGTCCAGGTATGAAAGCTCATCGGCCTCGAGAAGATCTCTCTTAGTGAGAACGGTGATGTTGAACTCGCGCGCACGCTCTGTAAATGCCGTAATGTTCTCCGGTGTTGCCCCTGATGCTAGATAGGCGATCCGATACGGCGATTGAATGACATAGTCCAGATAATACGCCGCTTGTTCCTCGTAAACAGGGAAATCGGTACCCCAGACGTCCTTCTCCGTCCGCAGGTGAAGGCCCACGAACCCATGGTAATCTTTGGGTTGCGGCTTTTGATCTGGTCGTGGCGTCTTGGCCCATTTTCTTTCCATGGAGTAGAGCGCTGATGCAGCAAGTTGTCTAACGTCATGTCGGAACCGCAATATGCGTCCGAAATTCGCGACGAAGCCTGGAGGGTCATATGATGTAGGCCAAACGTAAGTGTTTCTACCAACAATAACTTTGAATGGCCATGTTCGTGTTCTGGGGTTGGATTTCGCATCGATAAATTCTCTAAATTTCGTAATCCAGATTTGGGGAAACTCCATTAGCGACCCATTTACCTGGGTCATTCCAATGTCTGAGACGGAAATGGTGACTGGATTACCCATCGGGATGTTGTAAAGTTCGTCTAAAGACCACCTCAGCTTCATCTGTGGGCAAATTCTTGACAGCGTCCGGTTAAAGTATTGCTTGTCATAGAAAAAGTCGAAGAGTATACCCCGCGGAATTCCCTTTGTGTCTGGCACGACGATGGAAATGTCCTTGTCGCTACGCTTGATGATCTCGGGGATAATGAGTTCAGCTAGAATTCATCAGTTCAGTAACCATGAGAGTCGGGAGACAATAAAGCACTCACCTCCTGCTTCCATAGCAAATCTTATACAGTTGAGATGAGCATTTCTCACTTCGCCTATTCCCCCTGGTGGAGGTTCACATTGAAACAGAAGTCCCTTCGTCCATGTTGTGTTAGCACATAAAGCACTGATTGCGCTGCCATCTATGGGTCCTCCGACATCATCTTGGAGGAAGTCGTCAACAAAGCGTGCCTTTTCGCCCTTGAATGTCTGGAGCACCCGTCTATAATCTGATGTGGATAGGCCGAGATACGATATAGACCCAAAGAACATGGCTAGTGCTACCAAGACTTTGAGCAAACTAGAGACTCGCGTAGAGCTGAGCATCGTGAATCGTGTTTATGTTGTAGGAATCATTTCGTGATAACTTCCGACAGATGCTCAACAGACGAACAAAAGGATAAAGGATGCACGACGCGATTGGAAAAGGGTACCTTATTATGTGTCAACCGCCCTTTGCATGTCTTGCTCGTCTTTCCAGCTGAGTTTACATCATTGGTGTGGCTACACTAATGTCTCAAACTCAACACACGATTAGCGGAGGAGGCTACTGACAACACTCAATCAAAGTGGTCCCCAAGGATTTCCCAACTTCTGTATAGATGTCCTGGAGCGCATGCATATATAGACAAGATGAATTACGTATGTTCAAAGTTGTTGGCTGGCTAGCCGAGTAACTTTGAATCGTGCCTTGACAGGCCCATGTGAAGATTCACAGCTGATCTAATACCATCACAATACGCCAAAACCAACGCATCAGGTGTGATGAGAGTCTCACACAGCTCTGTCGACAATTTCGCCGTTCATTAGCGCAGTCTACCACGCCACCATTTACAGGCATATGGGAGATCAATCTTCTGCTCTTCGCTAGACGGTAGTAGCACAAGCATGATGTCCTAGTTCGACAAAACAGGATACCACACGCAAGCTGCTGCTGATAGACGGAGAGACCACAGCAGGTGCTACATCCCTGTGCGTTTTCATTGCTTCATACGGACATAATAGAGGCTTGGGCTCCGAAAGGATTGAAATATCTATCTAGCAAGAGCAACGAAGCTCCTGCGAAGTAGACAAGCGGGCTTGTATGTGGGTGTGGCGTGGCACTGGCGAATTATTGTCCGACCCAGGAACCAGGGCTATGTCTCAGACGAACTTCCACTGAAGCTAGTCACAGGCGATGTACAGACTGGCTTTGAGCACCCCAACTCCGATCATTTCATTCTGGTGTTAAAAGGGAGGGCAGGGGAAGACTTGTGTTAATAAGACAATAGATTGTATTCATAATATCTCAACTAGATACCAATTCTACATTACGGTGATTCTTGTGTCGTCTAGGCTACAGAGAAGTGATTTGTTTCGTGTGAACCCTGGACAATACATCGGGTTGGTACAGTACGCGCAACGGCTGGATGTTGTTATAACCGAATCAGTGATTGGAGCTTTCCACCATGCTACCTATGTATGTACCCCAAGAAGACGAGTGGAGAAAGAATGATCCACCTTTTGACGCGTTTAACTCGCGTAATTCTCGCGTTATCATTCCAAACACACATTCAGTCAACTACCAGGTAGGCTTCCAGTTGACACACAACTCCCACGTCCCCATTCTTTTTATGCTGGCGTGTAATCTTGCACAAGTTTCACGTTGCTACTACCGCCGTGATACCTTGGGAGAAGGCGGCAGAGAGGGGCAAACGCAAGGAAACAAGCGAGGTTAGTGAGAAATGAGACTCGACCCAACCCACAACCTGGATGGCTTTGGATATCTATACTAAGTAGCTTATGCTTCACACTATGTTTCTAAAGTTCGAAAATTCCAGGGTCTCATACTTTGTGACCTCTTCACTGACCTGACGGGCGGCAAAGAGTCAACGGCAGCTCGTCTCTCAGCCTCTCACTTTCCAGGCCGAGCAAAGCAATAGCTGCATGGTAGACCACATTAGTTCTGGTCTTCAACCAGGCCTCACTATTCCGTACAGGCCCACACATACTTGGCATGTCACAAGGAGGGTCACATCTAGTCACATAGTCACATATGTATACTTTTGGCTAAAAGCCGTCAACTACCTCAGAAACCCGTACTGTAGAATATTGTCGGCCCCTCCCATCTGCTTCTTTCGTGCGGTGGACCACTAGAATAAAGTATACTCCGGCGTCGATCTATGTTCACAACACAGGGTTCATTAGGCTCTAGAGTCTAGCTACAGTACATAGCGACTCCACGTAGTCCAGCGCTGTTCGCAGTTTCATGCTGCGAGCGCGCCTTGCTGCAGCAACAGTCCAAAACAACAGATCGGTCCAAAACAACGCAAGCAAAAGCCCAAAACATCGAGGGTTTGAAGCGAATAGTTCGCAACATCAGGACAGACTGGTCATAGAAACGCGCCGCTGTGAACACTTCCCAACAGTGGCTCTCACGCTTCCCTGACGCGTAAGTACAACCTATCTTTTGGTTCGCCTATGTGTTGGTTTCGCTGCGTCCCCTTTCGCACTGCGCACGCGCCGATCCATGTACATGCGCTGCTGTGTTCATCGTCGTTGGCTACCGCCCTGCAGCCGCTGTGCATGAGCAGGTGATAGTCGTCGCAAAACTAGCAGAGCACTTAAGTATGCCACTAGAATGCAGCCAGCATGGGGCAAGCACCACAGATTTCCAACGCTTCCTCCCCACTATCTTAAGGTATTCTGACCAGTCCTACCTCACCAAGCCGGGGGGGTGTATGGCTGGTCGAGATTTGTTGGCCCATGGTTCTGCCAGTCCAGACTGGAGAGTTGCAGTGAGGGTCCATAGCCAGCCCAACCTATGCCCAAGTGACCAGCCCCTAACATCTGCGCGCGCTTCAGTTATTGGGAACATACTCTTCACGGGCATCTGAACTGACCGCTCATGTGCAGCGGTGACTACAGATGCGCAGTGGGGTTCGACACATACGATGCCGCCAGTAGCTCAAAGGTCTAGCGTGACGACTCAGGGCTTCGTCCGGTCTTTGGTCTTGGTCTTGACGCAGCCAAACAATCCTAGCACACCCCCAAGCACAGCGCCACTTGACCGTCTTGGGTCAATTGGTAGTATGTCTATCTACTGGTATCCGTATACCCTGCTATGACCTGTGCCAACTCCACCTGGCTATTACCCTCTCTCTTTCGCTTCATTATTATCTCGCACCCATCTCCCGGCTTCATCTTTCCACCCTCTGTTCTCCGTTCCAAAGTTGCCCGGGCTTCCGTCGTCATTTGTTCCCTCCCCCTTCAGGTCGCATTCTGGTGGTGGTGGTCACCGTAGTGGGCAGCTTTCCCCCATCAATGCACTTACGGTGGGAGACTGTTACTAAGTAATGTGCTACTGTACGTCCTGCTAGCATATCCGCTGCGTCGATACCGCCAGTTAGAAGGCCTCTCAGCCCTCTCAACACAAGACGCCTTCCCTCTTTCAATATATTTCCTCACCTATCCAACAACGGCCACGATTTTTATGACATTTTCTTCTTCTTCTCTTTTGGACATCTACTGTATTTTCTTTGGCATCTAACTCGGACAATACTTGGGCAGACGGAGGGTAGTGCGCGTCGACCATCTGCGCTTGTTCCCTTGCCGCACAACTGCAGGGTATCAAGTTGCGACTAGGACTGCTGGATCCCAGGACCAGCCACCAGATTTCCAGGAACGCTGAACCCAAATCCTAGACATCTCCCCCCCCGCCGGCACGTCAAGTTTCAACCATCTTTTGTGCAAGTTGTGCTCAGACTCGAACTATTGCATTGCGCACAATCAGTCGCGACGATACCGATTGTTTAGATTATTTGCCTAGGCTTGCGCTTTACCGCGCGACAGACGCTTAGATCTGATATTCGATATTGGATCTTCGGGGCTACCACACGATTCCCTGCGCGCGACTTGATTTCCGCTGTGAATCGGAACTGGTTGCGACACAATGTCTGCGCTTCAATTCGCCGCAACGGCGCTTCCCAAGGGCTTTTGCAATGCAGCCAACCTGCCCAGGACTCCGGAACCTTTTAATGCAGGCGATGAACAGCTTCCATTCCCGCCGCGGCCACGCTTCAAGCTAAAGAAGCGCAATGCGTCGTCCCACCTGCATGCGCCGACCGAGCAGTTTCTTGCATCAGTGGCCGCTGCAGATGTGCCTATCCCCAGCGTGGAGGAACCGGACTTTGCGATCGCCGACTATGACCAAAATATGATGGCACATATTCCCGATTCAGATGACGATGGCTTGGATATTTACCATCACCTTCACTCGCGTGTCTTTTCACCACCAAAGACTCCGGCATTAGATTTTGCCCGGTCGCTACCAGTACCCAACTTTCCTGACTGGTCCACTGGATCGACATGGAGCGATTCCGATTTAGAGTCAAGTCCTGAGTACGAATCTAGTAGGCCATCTACGGCCTTCTCAACCCACACAGCCTCCTCACTCTTCAGCCACTTCTCGCATACTTCAGAAGATGGCGACTGCATCAGCCCCGACGTAGATAAGGGCGCATTCGATCTGTCTGCATTGCACGATGAAAACGCCGGCCACCTGTCCAGAAGGAAACCGAGAAGAGCGCCCTGGACCAAGGCGATGGACTCACATCTGTGGTCGACATATATGCTTTATCTACAAGACCCTAAAGTAACGCCTGTCAATCAGGGTAAGAGCTGTATCCCGCCAAACGGCGTTTGCGCTCGCGTGGCCCGCGAGGCCAAGCGCAGCTGGAGGGGTTCCAAGCAGAAACCCACCTATGTACAAAGTGGGAGCAATACTCCAAGAGCCGAGTCTTCCAATATCTACATGGATTGGCCTCACACATGCGCCGCTACACGAGCTCATCTGCGTGAATTGTGCAAGTTGAAAGCCGTATCCAATCACAGCCGTGCTCCTTACGTCTCTCCAACCCCAGCTCCCTTTAACAAAGCAGCTCACCGACGGTGGAATCGGCGATCTACTCCTGCACCCTCGCCTGCAACATTCTCCGCCCAGGATATGTCGATGTCTTTGACGTTGAGCACTTCTGAGGCAATGCAGCCCCAAGGCCCTATGGCTCTCTTGACAAGTTCTCAACCCGAGCCGCCTTTGGCGCCCTTGATCAAATTGGAATCTCCCGAAGCAGACCGCATGCGACTTGGATCTCCATTCTTGGCAAAGAGCTATGGCCCTAGTTCCTCCATTACACTTGCAGAGGGTGTCAATTTCGAACGACAGTCCCAAACCCTTGGCCCACAGAAATTCCTCAAGTCACCTGTTCGTTTGACACACTCAAGGTCTAGCACACAAAAACGAAGATCTATCAAAGGTCTCGAGGATCAGCCTCGCAAGCGTCGTCCGAGTATAGCTGCTGCGCTCTGGGGCCCGCCAGCAGAGGCTGCGGCCAGCACAAAGAACACTGTCTTCAGCTCGACAAACTTTTCGGAGAATGACAAACTTTTCGTTCCCAGAACAAACGTCGCAGATCCTTTCTACCCTACGAGCGTGTTGGATCATGCCACAAACTTACATGCCTCACCGCCTTCACCAAAAACATCAATTCCTACCAGACTGGGCTCTCCTTTTTCTTCTTCGCAGACTAGCCATTCCTTTCCAAACAGGCTCTCTCAGCCTACCAATTTCAACCTCTCTGCACTACGACGACCTTTCGCAACAGTACAGCAGACCTCAGACTCTGGACGTGATGCTTCGCCAACTCGTTCCAGTCTGTCAACACGTTTGGCCTATATTGATCAACGACTCAAGGAGTTGAGGAACCGCAACAATCACCGCAGATCCCAATCACCAGCTGCATAAGCATTCCACCACTCGCCCAAACACACTCTGCCCGAAGTTTTTCTTTCTACTACAATTCCTTCTGTACATTGTACGTGGTACTCCACCGTACTGTGGATACTTTCAACTTTCGCCTAATCTTGCTGGCGCCATACACGCTTGCAAATACTAGACCACTCATCATCAAACGACCACTCGGAACATCGCAATGCTCCATATAATGGAAGGTTGCATGTCCCAACTTGGTCATTTTTCTTTTCTACTACACATTGAATGATGCTCTAGAAGACGTTTTAGCTTGGAGTGCCTTCAAGATTTGCAAAACTTCGTTAGGACTACTGCAGGAAGATCTTTTTGTTTTACAGGACCATGAGGATATGAAACGACGCGACGATTGGAGCATGACACGGCCGTTGCCCGGATCACAGTCACGACTTGAATTCACCAGCATGCCAGCAAATGGCGAGGATAAACCGGCGTTCCTAGGCCATGACTTGAAGAGGAGCCTTACCCATGATTTAACGATACAACGTGTGCATAGGCATCTGCGCAGCTCAAATGATGTATGACAGATTGGAATGTCAATACAATGAACAATTAATGATAAATCCCACCTATCCCATTAGACATTTGAAGTGATGACACGCCTATGTGCACTCTTTTATTCCCAGGTGAAGGGATGATGAATCAAGGAAGGCATGTGGAACTGCTGTCACAACCTCTCTTGTTACCCGTTAACCGCATCATCCCCTACAAGTCCTTGACTTTCACCCGCAACAATACTTTCGACCTCTCGCCTCGTCATGAGCTCATGCACCTCGTCCAGCTGTACTGAAGCACTTTGCCATGCGCTTATCAGGTGCATTTGTCTGTGTAAACTCTCCCGCCAGAAACGCTCATCCAGCTGAGCCCCTTGCATTCTCTGAAATCCTTTCAGAGGGAAATTATAGGACAAATGCAGTTGAAGCAGCCGCGGGTTTTCTTGTAATGCTAGAATCGCCTGCGAGAGACATTGCTGGTGATATGCGATCGAAGCCCCAACAAATCCGATGCATGATCCGAACAGGAAGCCGATAGACCCAGAGCCAGTGAGGAAACCCAGCGTTGCTGCTAGCGAAAGCCCTACCACTGCCTATGTCAAGAGTGAGGAGATGGTTTGTGGCGTGAAAGAAGCCGATACGCACAGCTGTAGATGATGCCACTATCAAAGACCGGAACATCTGTAAACCGCGGCCACTACTCGTCAAGATAGTTGAGCGATTGGTTTTTATGATTGCTATGATCTGCATCTTTACCTTGGTGTCCCCCAACTGCCAATTGTTCTGAGGAGCTGTGTTACACCGGTGACACCGCTTGATTCATTTTCAACCTGCTCAAATCGTTATTATCAGTTTGCCCTGTCCACCAGGATACAGTCACCTACGCTCGACATGGCTAACAACAGCTCGCACCATCAATCATACTAGTCGGCATGTATAGGTCTCTGTGAAATGAGCTCGAAAGAAGAGGTTAGGAAACAACGAAATAGTTAGAAGACCATCCTGATTTGTTTATTTTCCGAAGAGTCTAATCTACAAAGGCGTAGGTCGCGGCTGCTAAGCAACCTACGTACAATAAGATTTGCACGGGGTTTGAGCCTGGGATGCGCTACTGTTTCAATTTGGAGCTGCAATGAACTGAGAACATTGATGGATGTTTGAACTGCGCTGCTCAACCTATATTTTAACTACAAAATTGAATAAAATAAACAAAGAAGAATCATGTTAATGCTCGACTATTCAAACAACAGTCTTCACAAATAGGCTGTGCCAGCGCGCCAATGCCTTCAAATGACGCTATATTTGTCCGCGACAGCATGACACGTCTTTTATCAGTTCTCAGAGTCTGAATACGAACGGCTTGCAGCATCACGAGGCCAAAAGGTTCACAATGACTCAATTAAAGCATTCGTCATGACGTGCACGCTTAATGCTGCTTCTCAAGTGCTGGCCTTACCTGACTCTTTCCTAGCGATCGAAACTACCCTCCTATTACCCCTCCGACCGTACCCCGCGATGGACCCTTCCTTGTGTGTGTCTAGCTACCTAACTCAGCAGGCCAGTTGTACCCATATAAAGACCCATCGGCTCCCTCCGGAGATACAGGAGACCTTTGCTATTGATTAGGCGCGCGAGGCCATTACAGAGGCTTGTCTATCGAGGCCTATAAGCTATTTCACAGTGATTTACAATGGGTTCTATCGACTCAATGCCGAACGACGTAGGCCGTGATGGCCATGAAGAATTAACGGTCCTGGTCACCGGTTTTGGGGTATGTAATTACTCAACCGTCTCGTTCCGTCCCAGTAAGCGCACGTGTGCCGCAGTACCTGACTTGCCTCTTCCGCTGTTATGCACTGTCTCAAATTTCGCAAATCTGCGTCGACAATTGAGTTCGAACATGCTGGCTGTTCAAAGTGCTAATATGCAGCGTTTTTTGTGACGGTAGCCCTTCAAGGATGGATATCCAGTCAACCCGTCTTGGGAAATCGCCTCGTCGCTTCCCCAGTACCTGCCATGGGATAGGGTGAAGGATCCCTCTCACCGGACCTCTACCAAGATGCCCAGGGTACGGCTGCTTGTCCATCCGCAGCCCGTGAGGGTGAATTATGAAACGGTACGAGAGCTTGTGCCGACACTTTGGGACTATCCGCAGCAGAAGGTCGATCTGGCGCTACACATCGGCATGGCTGGGCCAGCCGCTCGATATTCTATTGAGCACAGGGCACATCGGGATGGGTACAAGCATAAAGACGTCGACGGAAATCTCCTGGAGGACGACAAGAGGAGAGAGCGGGAAGGCGATAAGTGGATCTGGCATGGTGCACCAGAGGAGCTCTTGACAGATCTTGATATCGATGATATTTACGGGAAGTGGGTTGATAGAAGTCCGGTAAGCCAACACCCCCTGAATCTCCTCATATCATGAGCATCAAAACCATCGATGCTTATTTTATTGAACATGTGTATACAGATCTACGGCAAGGATGGCCCAGAACTCCGGATATCTGAAGACCCCGGCCGTTATCTATGTGATTTCATTTACTTCTCAAGTCTTGCACACCTGTATAAACAGAACCGACCCCGGAAAGTGCTCTTTTTGCACGTTCCGGCTCAAGGCACGTCGGAGTTCGTGAAGCAAGGTACTGAACTTGCGACACAGTTACTCAGATCAATGGTTGAGAGCGAGGTTGAGAATAGGGAAGAAAAGCTTCAAACATCGTGATCTGAACTTTGGCAGATGAAACGCGGCTCGCTTGGGGTACGCATGCATGTGGTCAAGAACACCTTGATGGCAGATTTAAGTGGTAGTGGTTGTATAAAGAAGCCTAACAAACTTTGTACGATTATAAGTTACTATAAATCCCCCTTGAATAAATGCGTCGACACACAAGAGAGCGACATGATGAATTTGTACAGTTGGAGACAATTCGCTGTTCACATGTGATAATTTAACCTAGATTAGTCCCATTTCATAGGTGCCCGAGTTGCGGCGACGCCACTGTAGAATAGCAACTAATCAATCGGCGATATCGGGGAGCAAGATTGTGCTCGCCGAACTCCCAACTGCCAGGCGATGAAGAAATAAGTCGGCGATTGATAGTGAAGACATCTCCACGAACTCCTCGGGAAAAAATTCAAGTTATATATAAACTCTTGACCCCGCGTGGACACAACAGCCTCGCCTTATTTTCATAATCTTCACCAGATATCAATCAGTCCGTCCAATCAGAACCGGCAACGTAAACCGCAAACATGTGTATGAGAGTCAATTGCAACACCTGCAGTACTGCGCATTCCTCGACGTTCCATTTCTTTCCATAGCCACTGACACACTCTGCAGAGAAAGCTACCTGGTATGGCTGTGGTGCTCATATCCCTAGCGTCTTGGACAACGTCTCGCAGGATGAGTGGTGCACATGTGAGCCCAAGGTTGAGATGAATGGAAAAAAGTACCCACCAAAAGCGAAATAGGGATTACCCGAGTCAATGCCATGGATTTGGTAGGGATAGTACGTTGGCTCATTTTGGTTTGGGAGAGATGTATAGGCATGATGTCTGTGGTAAGGCGACCGACAGAGAAGGCAGAAAACGTTTGCGAGTCCCATTCGGCGACAGCAGTAATACAGTATCGAGTTTGTCTTGATAGTTCATTCAGTCATGGTCTTCATACACTTTAACTTGTTGCACTCCTGACACGTTGAGTGCCATGCCTCCTGTCATCAATCCTGTGCAACCACGCTCCGACACTCAGGATTCACGAATCCTTCTCTCCCACCACCTTCTCGTCAGCACACCCCTCATATTTTTTGACCCTTCTTCCACTCAGCACGGTGGTATTGGATCGGCCATTTGACCTCAACGCCCAGCTGATGAGCCACGCGTAGCGGGAACTCAGGCTCCCGCAAATGCTGGCGAGCTATGAGAACCAGGTCAGCTTGCGTTTTTTGACCACCCTCCTGTTCAACCTCAATTTGGCCAACGCTTGCCCTCCTGTTCTTTCCGTTCGTATCTTCCTGTACGATAGACCGAGCCATCTCCGCTTCAGTAATCATGCCCACAGCACCGATGAAGAGGTCGAGCCCTTCCTTCTTAAGTTCATCTCTGATCTGGCCGGCGAGGTTAACTTGGTAATAAGGATTAATCTGGATCTTCTGTTGCGCATTGTTGCCGCCCGAGCTGACGTCTAGCAAATCGATGCCAGCGGAAGGAAGGAGCTTTGCAAGTCTGATACTGTCCTCGAGAGTCCAGCTAGGCTCGTTGTTCCATTCCATCCATTCCGTGGCAGAGATACGCAGGAAGAGGGGCGTTGACTCAGGGATCACGCTCCTGATTGCCTCAATGATATCGAACAACAAACGCGTTCGGTTCTCAAAGCTTCCTCCATACTCATCAGTGCGCTTGTTAGACAGCGGCGACAAAAATTCGCTGATCAAATATCCATGAGCGCCGTGGATTTCGATGACATCAAACCCAGCCTTAATAGCTCGCACGGCAGCGTCTTTGAAGGCAAGCACTAGTGTTTTGATGTCGTCTTTGGTCATTTCCTTCGGGTCAGGGAACTCTTCAGCGAACTTGATGGCACTGGGGGCCCAGATATTGTCCGGCCATCCGTTCTGCTCAGGCGGTGCTACTAAACTGCCTCCGCCGTGTCTCGGCGCAATCCATGGGGCAACAGTGCTTGCCTTCCGTCCGGCATGAGATAGCTGGATACCCGTTTTTTGACCCTGGGAGTGCGCAAAAGTGTTGAACCTCTTGAAAGGCTCGATGTGACTGTCCTTCCAGATTCCTGCATCCTCCGGAGTGATGCGGCCATTAGGTGTTACTCCAGAAGCCTCAACAATTGTCAATGCGGTCCCTCGTATAACATATTGTGACAAATGAGCAAAGTGCCAATCCGTGTGGTGCCCATCCTCGGCACTGTTGTATCACCGAGAAAATTGTCAGCAAGTGTAATCATGTTGCAGCCAGGGCAATGCTCCCTGAAACTTGTACTGTTCACAACGCCCGGCCTCATTCGCGGAGAGGCTAAAGCAGCGGCTGAGGAAAGTCGGGCAACATTTGCACATACCTGTACTGGCACATGGGCGACACAACGAAGCGGTTGTGCAGTGTAAGACCCCGAATCTTGAGAGGCTGGAACAATGTCGGCGCCGTCTCTGGGTTCAAAGCACTGCCGGCGGGCGGCTCCTGCGCTGGAGTGAAATACGGTGTATTCTTGGCCGGGACATTCTCTAGTGACTTTGACATAATTATAGTGATGAGAAGCCAATCAAGACGCAATTGACGAACGGCACGGGACCTTCCGTAGATCGAGATCAACTATGCTGTGCTCAGGGCGGGTAGATTCGGCTTGGCGTGCCTGAGTGAGATGAATGAGGGGGACGTGCAGTGGACTAGATGAGGGGTATGGGACTCGGGGGTTGAGACAAATATATTTGTTATACGAGGTCAATTATCCTAATTGATACTGAAAAGAGGCCTGATAACGGTGACGTGAGGAGGAGGCAGGCCTATTTTATATCTCTTAATTCCCTTGCTAGGTGGCAGGCGTTTATATCTCCGCCTGCACCGGGTATTCGATTCCATTGATAAAGCAGTGACTATGCAATTCGCTGATTAATGCATACTTGCCGAACGAGTTGATAGGCTTCTGCACGGATGGTGCAATCAACCACGGCTATTTGCCGGCGTCTACCTATTATGTCGGTGATACGAAGAGGAAGCCCGCAGCGTGAATGCTGACGTCGAGAGCCAACAAGTCTAGCCATCGACGGCGTGTCTTTGACCCAACACCAATGATTACGTCGTCAAATCTCTTAGTGCCCACCGGACCGCACCGACAGATCACTCGAACGATCTAATGTCCTTGTCGATACGCTATGTTTGTTTATATGCCGCTTGGTTGTTGATTCACGTTGTTTGTCAACACAGCTTATTTGTTTATACATCTTGTTTTTGTACGGTCCCTTTTAGACCTCAGACCAGACCCGCTTGTCTGCAGAATTACTACACGAACAACACTCGTACCGCGGCGGTGGATCATAACCACGGACTTCGTTTTGCTGAATCTGACGGACTAACTTAGTAATGACACGGATTTTGACAAACTGGCCGCATATATATGATCGCTATCACAGTGTCAATGCCACCGTAGCCGATGCAACGGCTTTTGCCTGCCTTCAGCTCCAGCAACTGAAAATGCACCCATGGTCTTGAGTTTGACGTTTTGTGATGGCGAAACATCTTGAATCCCCAGGCCTCATGGGTACCTTTTTCAGCTTCTTATGCCCATGATCTGCCAGGATCGACGTGAAACAACGCGTGGGAAGAGAGCACAAGATCCCCCTCCCTCCCAAACCTGCAAAAGTTGAGATGATAAACAACGATCTGAGTTTTCCCATGTTCAATGCGTCGCATCCCACCTGAAGCTCGACTTCTTCGTGTTCGTCCGATCTGGTGAGGGCGAAGCCCACACTGAAATTTAAGATAGCCAGAGTTAAGCCCCGACCTTGCCTATACTACACAAGTCATGTGCACGCTGTTCTAATTTGACAGCTGCAGTGCAAGGACGCGCACGATGGTTCAGTGCTACATACGGATCCGTACTATCTCTCCGCCAGTTTGGAGTAATCAGCCACGAAATTATTGCATTCGGAGTCCAAGTAGTATTCCCAAGACGCTCAACCAATCACCAAACAAGTGCCCCCTACCCATCAATTTCAACCAGCTCTTTTTTCATCCGAACCCCAGGATCCTAGCACCCGCATATCGTCCGAGTTTCACCACCTCTTATTGTGGTATTGAACTCAGCCTCGAAACGTCTGGGCCCGTGCTGTTTTCCCCAGTAAGCTTGTCGGCTGTCGGCTTCTTCCACACGATGCTTTTAGTTCACGGGTCCCCTGTCAATTAGTGTTTCGATGCCCCGACTGCGACAAGCTTTCTGACGGGTCGTCTCCACCTCCGATGGCTAGCCATGTGCGTAGAAACGGGCTCGATGCTGCGAACTCCTGCCAAGACAACAGCGACGGTGCAATGCCCGGAGGTTCCACTATAGTTGACACGCCAGCAGGGTAGCTGAAGCAGTGGTGCTGGACGAGAGCTTGTGTCTGTTAAGGTTATTGCTGTAATATCGGTACCTATGTCCATCATCCCGGTTCGGGCATTTTCCCTACAAGACCAGCCCATCGCTGTCATATAATCGTTTGAGCATCGTTCGTGGTTCGCCTCATGTCGTGTGCTTTTCGAACCATTCTATACTTCGTACAATAGTCACCCGTTAGATCAGTCCTTACAATGTTGAAAGCAAAGTTCACCTGCAAGAGATCCTCCTCTCTGGCTCTGAAGCCGTAAGTCCATAGCTATCTAGGAGGCAAACTCGACCAGAGGATCATGCTAACACAAGCTCTCATGATAGCATCCCCAAGTCGGACACAGTCAGTGTATTCGTCGGGCCGGAAAGCCGCGAGTTCACCTTCTCTAAGGAAACCCTATCCTCAACTGCGCCATATTTTGCGACTCGCCTCGATGCTTCTGGGCTTACATATCTGAAGCCCGATGCGCAGCTCAATACGTTATGGCTCGAAGACTTGTGCCCTGACATGTTTGAGCTATTCGCTTATTGGGTCGACCTACACTACAGCACTAGAAGTCATAACAGTGGAGACAATATCAGCTTCAAGCCCTTCATCGATGAAGCGTGTGCCCTAGACTGTCGCGAGGAACTGCATTGGGACCTGGTCCACGTGCACCTCTTCGCAGCAAGGATCGGTCTCGACACCCTACAGGATGCTGCCATGGATGGTATACAAGACTTATATCTCCGCTGCGACTGGGACATCACGCCTGGCGTTGTGAAAGAAGTATATACCGAGTGCGATGCAGAAGACAGCTACCGCCTACGAAAATGGATCGTGGCCATGACGGCGTGGTCCCAGGGCAGCTCGCTCGACGGGACCATGGATCCCAAGATGGAGATGCTGTTTGGGCTGGTCCCGGATTTCTGGGACGACTACGTCGCGCACCTGGACAAATCTTCCATAAGCCGGACGAAGCTTCAATTCAAGAACCCGCAGTTGCGCCTGCCTAGTAATAATTTGCGGAATGAGGAGCGGCAATTCGGATACCGACAGTGCTCGTTTCATACACACCGCGCGTCCGCAGGACAGGGCCGCTGCCCGCATACGCTACCGTCTCTTGTGGGCATGTCGTTTCTGCATGACGCGGAGGATGTCGAATCGGATGATTCTGGTTCGGAATTTCTTGGCGGTCTTGTGAGCAAAGCCCTGGTGGCATCACCAAGGACAGCCATATTTGAGCTTTACTTGGACATAAACTGAGTTGCTGGGCAATTCTTCATTACCATGACAACACAGTCACCCAACATACACTTTTCCTTATATACCCAATATTCTTTTTCTTCATCTATAGGGTTTGGACTTGGCGATGGCGCTATATATATCAGCTACTCTGTTGTTTTAGATATTAGAGATATCAGAGACATTGCTGTCTGACCAATACATTTACTTCCATCCTTCCAAGTAACATATTTCTGTGAAGAAGCTTTGAGTATCATTGAACGGTGCATCAGGTGTTCTCGTTGCGGCTTGGACTAGCAGATGATTAGGTAGAGAAAATTCCGATGACAAACACAAATGCGGCCGTCATGAAGAGAGTTGAAGTTTCGAGCTTAGCACATACATATTGAGACTTGTTCTGGATGTGACACTGCTCATCAGCTCTTTCAAGTCGGATGCTGCCATTCAAGTTCATATATAAGGAGATATTGAACAAATATCGCAGTACAAAGGTTAGTATTCATGTGGGCGGATCCCCCCCCCCCCCCCCCCCCCCCCCGGGGGGCCGGGGGTTACAACAAGGCAGTTCATCTACTTAGCCTCGATTACGACAAACTCTCCATATCATTGCACATACCGTAGCACGACCGCGCTGTTTTGCCGCTGTATCCAAGTAGACGTATCATGATTTACTCTTCTTTTTTCTGATGTATTAGAAATATGTACACGTACTGCCAGCCGCGCCTGTCTGCCCGCTTCAGCTTTTACAGGAATAGCTCTCCATGATCACGACGCCAGATCAACGCAGCTCCTGTGATGTATGGAAATCGTTCCTCTTGAGCCTAGAATCCACCTACAACCCACGATGCTCTTCCCAAGCTATCTCGGTATACTTCCACGTAAATAGACAAGCCCCTCGACCTGAAACATGTATACACATTAAGCACCCCAGGCCATGTCCCTCGCTGTGATGATAGCACCCTGTGCTGGGAGTGATGTTACACTACAAACGCGAAAGTCCTATAGTGAAAGGGAGAACGTTCCACTTGATGAGAAACTCTCAAGACGCGAACGGCATGTGACCCCCGGTCTCATGATATACTGTACCACCGTTACAGTACTACTCTACTACGAAACATCGAAGTCGCTCCCGAGGTGTTTTTGCAAATTTATGTAATTCTATGAATTGATCTACTCAGGCTATATCATATTAACACATCGTGCTAATATTATCCTTCTAGGTGTATAACGATAATCAAGTCACTACGGCCGGATGCCGCTCTTCCAAGGGCTATAAGCGATAGGCAACATCAAGGCTGATTACCACGCGAGCAAATGGCCCAGAATGCGTCCCGACTCCAAGGCCATGCTCCATACGGCATATCTGGAGGCTCTCAACTAGCATGAGCGCCCTCGAACTGGGCATGCGCAACTGCGGTAGCCCCAACGATTTGCAGCGCACCTGTGTTATCCCACTGCACACGGCCCTCGTTGACCGCCGTGCGCAGTTCGTCGCTCAAAGGCTCGCGCTCTCCGGTCTTCGGATCCCAGTCCCAGCCCTCTCCCATCCACATCCAACGCAGATAGGCCCTCAGTTCCTTATCCAAGGGCAGAACTCTCATCCACTCTGGTTGGAAACCTGCCTCTCTCCCTTTCCCCCTCCAGTCTTGTGCCCGGCCGAGCAAGACGTCGCGACAGAAAATGCGCCAGCTGTCTATCGCGTATGGCCCTTGTGTCATGTGACCTATTTCCCACGCCGACGCTCTCGGATCTTCCTCTTCTGGTGGAAGCCTCTCGCCAGCCCGAACGTCGGACCCGTCGCCTCGATTGGGATAGTTCTTGACCCCATACCGTATGTCCTTGCTCGGCGGGCTCTCGATCCAGATACGGGCGTACTTTTGTATCTGTGCAGTCCGGACAATTGACAGGCCAAGGTGCTTGATCATTGCGATGATGTTCTCGGGATCAGCCTCGGCGAGTGCTTGAGGGGTTGGATATTTATCTACTAAGCCCTGGAATACCGGGACGGATATCCTTCCGGGAGTGCGTACAAGAAAGCTTATGGCTATCATAAGCCTCAAAGGGTCATCGGCCAACTTCTCTTGCGTAAGTCCAAACCGCGTTGCCGTAAGGGTTGGAAACTGCAGGGCGGATACCGTGTTACGAGGTGGCCGCGGACTTTTCGGCTTCAGGGGGCTGGGTTTCGGGGCGGTAAAGTAGTTGGATGTAGTCACGCGAGTGCCCTTGGACGTTTGCAAGGCTGGGGTACTCTCGTCCAAACTACGGCTTGGAGGTGCCGATACTTTGACTGGCGTTCGTGATGCAGATCGCAGCCCGTACCTCATGCCCTGAGGAGGTTTGATAAGTGGAATGCCGGCCTCAAACGTCGTACCCTGAGCGGTGGGGGCTTTATCCAGCATTTCAGCACCGAGTGAATTGATGATCGAAGGCACTTCTGGCACAATCTTTTCCACGCATAGGTCGCGTGATTGTGTGCTCAGGTTGTTCTCAGCACTCGTAGACCCCTGACCATCTACGAGTGGCCGACTTTTAAACCCTCGCTATTAGCTGTGTCATTTTCCAAGTGCGAAGTTTCGATAGGCTGCTCTTTGTCTGCATGGAGAGTCGCGACTTTATCATTACTTTGATACCACATCGCTGCTTCTTGGAGAACAGGAATAGCTGGAGTGGGCTCTACTGGTAGGGGCTCTCCCTCCAGCCGTTCCAACGTCCTCCTTGAGCGCCGATTCTTCTTCTTCTCTGCTCGCTTGGCCGCTTTCTTCGCCTTTTTGTGAGGAGTCACTTTCTGATTTATAGGCGATCCAGTCGCTCCAGGAACATCACTCTCAAAGAAGTGAGACTCGTTCTGTCTCTTTCGCTTTCTCTTGCCTTCCTTTGGGTTGTTTGATATCTGTAGTTGCTTTACACGTGATTGTATGCGTACTTGCGAACTGGTTGCACAAGGCTCGACCTCTTCGGGGAGGGGTGCCATCAACCTCGCAAGATATGTGAGAATATCCTGACCGTCCAAGGAGCCCGGGTCGACTTGCTGGGCTCTTAGCGATCTCGCACACGAGATCATCATATCCCATAGCTCGACGCCCCGCATCAGACTCAGTTGCCTGACCTCTCCGAGGTGCGCAGGATCGCACTGCCCGTTGGCGGCCATGAGACCCAGATGCTCACGCTCGCTCTCATCGCTCATCTCCCAGCCGAACATGTAGTCGTCTGCCAGCTGCAACTCGGTAGCGTCCTCCATGGCTGATGACTGGATGGCCTCAAGCCAATTGCTAATTTTCCGGAAGTTTTTGCCAGGGTCCGGAGGAGGGTATGCGACTCTTCGCAGATCAATGAGACCCATCTAGTGCCACTGAGTTAATGGACGACTTTTTCCAGAGTTGCCGTTCTGTTCGTAAGAAACAATCGTGAGGAGTGCAGCAAAAGGCATGCTACACAATAAAGTGGTTCAAGGCGACATGACGAAATGGTACCTTGATACACTCAATTGCGCCCTTCCAGAAAACAAGAGCAATGCAAGCTAAAAATAAAAAGAAGGGCTGATAATTGTGTTGCACTGCTAACAATGGATATATGCTGCCTGAAAGAACAATCGGGGGCAAGAAGATGCAGGGTAGCTCGGCCGGCTAAAAAATTTCGGGTAGTAGTGAGATGGGTGTAAGTGGATGGATGATCTCACTAAAGTTGACTTACCGCCGAGGCTTGCACTGACTGACCTTGGGAGACATGGAACACTACAATTTTGAACAGCCCGTGTGGCTGAAAATTACCTTCGAAAATTGCAGACTCTCTTGGATATTTTCTTTTCAGAGCATGCAGAATGTTTTGTTTGTGAAAAATATAGAAAAGACCTAAAGAGCGTAGAATCAAGACAAACATGGACGGTCACTCTCGTACAACTGCCAACTAGAGGACTCGTCCACCTCTCGATGAGCGATGATGTTTTGTGACATTATCACCAACGAGGCCGTTGGGCTGCTAAAGTGATACAAGATCCTTTGAGAGTCCCTGACCGTAAGCGGAGAGCTGAGAGCTGAGAGCGTTCAATCAGCATGCATGAATCACAAGTCAAAAATCATGGTTCGGCGTACACCAAGCATCTAAATATCTGTGGCTACCATCAAACCTGGTTGCAGCAAAGAACTGCGAGGTAATCTAATTGCGCCCCTCTTCTGTAGTATAAATTCTTCATTCCGATGGAGACCGTAATTCAGTGGTAATGGGTAACAAATGAAGAACTTGATTTACACTCTAAAGTCACTATCCCCGGTTGCCCCCGCGCTTGTCTTTTGCTACAAAACAAAGGAACCTCTGGGAGCCTAGTATTACATACAGGAGTTTGTTTCGTCTAGAGGCGCACGTCTCGTTGAGCCTTGGGAGGGTCATAAACGGTCTTTCTCGTCTTCAACGGGGCCCACTTGTATCTCTTGACCCAGATGCTGAGAGCGGTAAGGACGGCAGAGACGGTCAAAACCTTCAAACCCATCTTCTTGCGGTCATCCATCTCGGGTTCGGCAGCCCAGTTGAGGAACTCGGTGACGTCCTTGGCCATTTGGGAGGTGGAGGCAGGAGTCTCGTCCTCGTACTCAACGAGATCATCGTACAGAACGCGAGCCATGGCAATTCCAGTGCCGGGGAAGTAAGGGTTGAAGTTGAGGCCAGACTGGACCTGAGCGCCAGCGGGGGGCTCATCGGGGTAGCCGGTCAACAAGGAGAAGATGTAGTTGCAGCCACCGTGGCGGCCCTTGACGATCAAGCTCAAATCCGGGGGCAGAGCACCGTTGTTGGCAGACCGGGCAGCCTCGTCGTTCTTGTAGGGAGAGGGCAGGTAGTCGGAGAGCTTTCCGGGTCGCTTCTCGATCTCACCCTCATCGTTGGGCTCGGTGTCGTACTCGTTCTCCTCGGCCAGAGCCTTGGCCTCATCGACGGTCAAGATGGTGCCAACCAGAGTTCGGTAGGGGACACGGGCGAGAGAGTGGCAAGCAGCGCAGACCTCGCGGTAGACCTGGAAACCACGGCGGAGGCTGGTGGGGAGGAAGTGGTTAGCCACAGGTGGCGAGGGGATTTTGCGGTCTGACTTACGCTTGGTGGTCAAAGGTCTTGGTCCATTGCTCGTGAACCCAAGGGTACTGTGTGGGGTGCAGACCTTCCTCGGCAGGTGTCATGGCATGCGCCTCAGGTCCGTAGAGGTGGTAGTACCAAGCGACGGAGCCGATGGCGACGGCTGTCGAGGCGGCGGCGGCCAAGTTCAAACGTGTCGGGGTCTCGGCGGAGGCGCTGGAGCTCGATGTGGAAGCGGAACGCTAGAAAGGGGCTCGGGTTAGCTTCAACTGTGGTTTTGAGTGGTGATGATGGCATTGAGAAGTCTGGCGGTGACCCTGATGTCCCGATGGATTCTCATGGAGGAGGGACAGGGCAGCCGAACTCAAAGACCAGAGGGCGATCGAATGATGCGTCGTCGTACCTTGGCGAAGCTGGAGGCGCCATTTCGGGCTCCGTTGAGGATGCGCGTCGAGCGCATGCAGGATCTAGCCAACATGATGGGCAAGCAGCTCTCCAATGTGACGAAGGGCGGCGAGCTGTGTTGACGGGTCAATGGGTCGGCAGACTCGTAGTCTTGATGTCGGGAATCGTAGGCTTGAAGATGAGCGAAAAAGCTCAAATGGAATGGCCCGGCTGGGGATAATCGAGTTAGCCTGGCCTTGATTGGCCACCTCCCAAGCTGGAAATATGGAGCTTTTTTCTCGTCGGGGCACGTGATTTCTTTTCCACGTAGACGCTCAGCTCGGCTTCCAAAACAGCTGACACTACTAAAGCAGGTTAGAATGGACGGCACCTCCCATGGTTCAAGAGACCAAGTTGAGGAGAGGCGTTCATCTGACAAACATCTAGTCCACTTCAGTTCGAATGTCTTCCTTTGTTTCTTCACATGTAGTCCGTACATATCAACCAGAAGTCAGGTGCTGCCACTTTGGCCTCTCAATGGCCTGAACGCAGGCTGCGATATCGCTGGTCTTGTATATACGCGTTGCCAAGTCCAATTAACCCAATGCCTACTTCGGATCGTTGTCACAGGCAGTATGTATGAAGAGGCGTCTCGGAAAGTAAGAAGAAAACCTATCCGTCATCATTAAAGCGTACTTTTGGTCGTGTTGCTTCCTTGTTTTATTCTCCCTCGCGTCAACGTAGTGCTGCTTCTGTACCATCACAACAATCCGGAGCTCCCCGTCTTCCCTCCCTTCCCTCCCTTGTGCGGCGTAGAACCCGTGGCACCAAGGCATGATATGAGAACAAGTTACTTCGACACATGTTTGCTACCCGTGGGCCCAGCCCCCTTCGACGGTCCAATTCTTTGACAGTTGGTTCCTTGCGTCCCCGCTACCGCAAGTAACCCCCAAGATGGCTTTTTGTATGATTTCAGCTTGACGAAAACCACAGTATACCCCGAGCTCTAAGTATAGCCTCCGTCCTTTTGTATTTCGATGGTGAGGAGGGGGACAGTCGAGACACCACGTCAACATACTGGCAATACCACATATATGGCTGCAACAGTCGACTCAACGCGGCCCGCCTCGCAGGTTGACAGCTTGGCTTCCGCATCTCTGCCGGTCCGGGCAGTCCTCCGCACGCCGGAGCTGTTAGAGCTCGTTCTTCTGCCCATAAGCCAACGCGCCCTCCTGACTTCGGTCCAACGAGTCAACCATTGGTTCCACGATGTTATATCCGCATCTCCACGCCTACAGACATATCTCTTCTTTCGTCCGCGTCAACCCATTCATTGGGACACTGTTGAGATCAACCATTTGGTCGCCGACCTCCTGCCCGAGAGCTTCAACCCTAGCGCCTTGCTCATGAGGAGCCGTCGCTTTTGTTGGGTTCCCAATGCTCCCAGGGAGCTCCATATTTTGCAGTGCCAGTGCGTGACACACCTCGAAACAAATAGCTGTCCTTCCGGGGAGGAGACCGAGGAAGAGGCTGGCCAGTGTGACCCAGACAGTTCCTGGTGTCGGCCAGAAGCGAGCTGGCGGAAAATGCTTGTCCTCCAGCCCACCAAGAGCGCGAAAGGAGAGTTGCCTCCCCGTCGTTATCGCATCAGCGTTGAACCCCTGCCCCCGAACGCCTTTCTATTTGGGCATCAGAGTCTCGTGATGGGCCAGCTTCTGTCGCAGGCTCGACAGAAGAGTAACGAGGATATCTATGTCGTCTTGGTCCTATTATGTAATGGAGCTGGAAAAACAACACCGCTCCACATCTTTTTGACGAAGCGCACGATTCGAGGGGGCAGTGATGTGATATACCTCGTGGCAAATTTCCCACGCGCCAAATCGCATGAAATTGGTACTGAAACAACAAGCATCGAGATTTGATTACTTTATGTCTTCAGCACATTTTGAGCCTGTATAGACATATGAATTTAGTAACGGCACGGAGCAAAGCGAGAGGATTGTATTCATTAATTGCTGCCAGGCTCTACCTGTAACTTTTCTTTACCATTTTCACATACTCCATCTTGCTATCCGAACTTCGTAAAGAGACTATGCCGTATCGAGAACCACGCAACTTTTGCTAAATAGAACAAAACATAACGATAAATTCGGATCAACCGAGAGATGTCTACTGTTGGCCATTGGCAAGCTGTTTTCTCTGCTTCACAGCATCTGCCAGGGTCTTCAGCACGGACTCGGTATCTTCCCACGAGATGCAGGCATCTGTGATACTGACACCATGCTTGAGACCAGACTTTCCCTCTAGGGGTACCTTCTGATTGCCTGTGATTTGTGTCAGCTTTCTCCCCATCGATACGAGAATTGCGGCTATTCATGCACTTACCCTCGTTGATATTGCTCTCGATCATCACACCCATGATGGCCTGCTCGCCCTTGCTAATCTGGTCTGCCAACTCAGCAGCTACCTTGGGCTGGTTCTTGTGGTTCTTGCTGGAGTTGCCGTGCGAGCAGTCCACCATGAGCCTCTCCCGCGTGCCAGACTTTGCCAAAGCTGCCTTGGCCTCACCAATGGACGTCGCGTCGTAGTTGGTTCCCTTTGTACCACCACGCAGAATCACAAAGCAGTCCTCGTTGCCCAGAGTGCCGACAACGGCGACCACACCAGGCTTGGTCACGGACAAAAAGTGATGCGGGTGTCGCACGGCACCGATGGCGTCGATTGCAACCCCCAGCGTGCCGTCTGTGCCGTTCTTGAAGCCCACCGGGAAAGACAGGCCACTGGCAAGCTCTCTGTGCAGCTGACTCTCCGTTGTTCTTGCTCCAACAGCACCAGCCGACAACAAGTCGGCCAAGTACTGGGGAGAAATGGTATCGAGCATCTCGGAGGCGATCGGCATGCCCTTGTCGGTCAAGTCGACAAAGAGTTGCCTGGACAGCCGCAATCCCTTGTTGATCTTGAAGGTGTTGTCGATATCCGGGTCGTTGATGAGACCCTTCCAACCGACAGTCGTCCGGGGCTTCTCGAGGTAGGAGCGCATCACAATGAGCAGCTCATCCTTGTACTTCTCCTTCTCCTTGAGCAGGAGATCGCAGTACTCGAGGGCGGCGGCGGGGTCGTGGATGGAGCAGGGCCCGATGATGACAAGGAGTCGGTTGTTGGGGTCCTTGCCTTGCACGACGGCAGCTACCTCCTCGCGGGACTCGATGACGGTCCTCTTGCTGTTGGCGGTCTGGGGGACTTCATGTTGGAGCAGATCGGGTGCGGTAAGAGGGTTGTAGCCGCGAACTGGAGGGAAGAATGGTGAGCGGTCGTCGCAGGACGTAATTTCTTAGAATGACAGGTACATGAGATTACATACTTCTCCAGTCCTCACTGTCGGCCTTGTTGCCCACGTTCTTGTTTTGAATGAAGAAGCTCTATAATCACATGTGAGTCAGAGTGGGAAAGTCCCCCAGGTCAATTCAGTGTGGGAGGGTGTAAGTGGGTGGTACTCACCATGACGGGCGATTGAGTATGCTCGCTGGAAATCTCAACAGGGGAAGATGATTGCTTGAGCAGAGCACGAGACCTTTGTATACCGATTGACAGTTTCCTAAGTGAATCTTAAAAATAGTGTTTGCAGCAATGCTTGCTACAGAATAAGCACCTGAAATTTTCTGGTCCTAAAAGTACGTTTACTTAATTCCTTGCGTCACACATAGAGACACACACACACACACACACACACACACATAGGTCAAGTTAGCTCTTGGTGGGGGGAGTCACTTGTGCTTATGATTTGCTCTGGCGGGGTTCGCCGCCACTAACTTGTTAATGTATCGATTGTTAGTGGGCAGAAGTGCCAGGAAACTGTACTGTGTACAGCAGACCTTCTTGTTGCATGCGGAAACGCATCCGTTACCGGCATTCAAAGGGTTAAAACGGTGACTCCGATTCCAAGTTGCATCGGTTGTATATTCTGTTGCCCAGTGCTCCCGCCACCAAGCAAGTTTATCGATTCTGAGCCTCTACTGTATTTGCATATACGACATTGATTTCCCCATGTTTTCCCAGCTTTCTGAGTGCTAGCATCTTCCCCTCGATAGATGGGACTGGCCTATCCATCTCACTCCTTGCAACAGTACTCGTTGACCCTGGGCTGCCATGTTAAGCATTGCCTATTAGTAAAAGAAAGAAAAAATACAAGTAAAAAAAATACAGTTAAAAATACATGATATCTATCTATGCACACTCTCCCTTCTTCCAATACTCTCACACTCATGCCCAGCAACGCTATGCTGTACTCTTTGACGCTGCGCATTACTTACGCAGACTTGATCCTCCCGCCAGCAGGCTTCGAAACAGCCTCCTTCTTGAAACTCTCGATACCATTTACCTTGCCATAGCCCCACTTCAGGACCATGGTGCTCCCGGTCATCAACAGCGCCGAGAATGAGAACAACGCCGCCCTCTGCCAGACGCTGAGGATATCGAAGATCGGATAGGGGTACCAGCCGTTCCTGCCGAAACAGTATTCGACCCAGAACCAATACGCAAATGCGACGCCCAGGCTCAAAACCAAAGCGTTGTTTCGCTGGATCGTCCACGGCGGACTGAAGAGTAGCAGGTCCAGCGCCAACAGCACTCCAGGCGCCGCGTGGAACCCGACGTCCGGCAGGACATCCAGCTGGAATTCTGGTGGGAAGACAAGCGACTTGTCGATTGCGCATAGACCCCAATACAGGGCGGTGATCAGAACCTCCAGCGGTGCCGCAATGACAGCTAGATAGTTCTTGAGCCGGAAGAGCCGAGGAGACAAAGTCAGGTCTGAGAGCAGGGCCACCACGAAAGTGAGAAGAGAGGCAGCCAGGCCAATGATCGTGAGAAATTGGTAGTTGCCTCCATACGAGTTGGAAAGTGGCGTCTCCCATGTATAGAGAAAGCGGAAGGAGAGCAGAAAGGAGGTAATGCCTGCCGCGTGAAGAATGAGCGATACAGAACGAGACGGTGCCCGCAAGCGTTGCAGGGGATGAGGAACCGCCATATTGACGGATGACGATGTTCTGGTCTAATCTATACGCGTGTACAAAGAAACAATAAAGCAAAGACTATAGATTGATTGTGAATAGCATATATCAAATTAAGGAAGCGAGTTTTCCGTTTATTTATTTCGCAATGGAAGGCTCACTTACAGCTGCCATGACGTAAAATCCGGCTCAATTCCCACTGTAGGCAGGGTCCGTAGTTTCTGCTTAGTGGGCCAATTCTCTGAGAAAACCCACGTGGGTGCGGCCCGGCCTCGACGCCCGCAATTCGTTCGCATTTCGGGGTGCCGGGTACTAAACGTGTCCGATTTACATAGTTACAACAGTTGAATCGACTACTTCAACATTCCATTCACATAGTTCTTTTTAGAAAGGTCACAGAGAAGTTTCTATACAACTCTAGAATAAAGAGCAAAAGTAGGACACTTCCTATTTTTCTATTCCATCAATTTCGTTCTTCTATTGTAATATAATGGTCATTACTTCAGCGAACTCAAACTTACATATTTTCCACGGACGCCTCTCGTAGTGGTTCCGAGTCCCGGTAATAAACAGCCGGTTGGATGATGGGCATGGCCGTTAAGATGATAGTACACAAAGATAGGCGTAGTGAGAAGCGCACGATCAAGCCAACGTTCATGTACATGTCCTTGGAAAGCATTCACCTGATATGGGTATTATGGAAAATTTAGGAAAATTTAGGAAAATTTAGAGAGAAAAATTTCGAGGCAAGTTCGTCAGCCCTTTAATTGAATGTGGTTAAAGCTGCTGAGCCTTGCAACATCCGCGACGTCTGTAATGCTACGCACACTTGCTAAATGCCCTCGACGAAGTAAAATTATTGGAGCTGGGGCTCATCGCTCTGAACATCCTACTCGATGACTGACGATGACTGAGACTTCAATTAGGCATCGTGGTATGGCATATTGGATAGGTGAGCTCACCGTCATCAAAAAGCCTGTCTTTTCTTGAAGAACCTTACACCATTTTCGAACTCAAACAACTGCAGTCAAGAGCCCTACTTTGCTCCAGCGCTGATAATTCGAAGTGTGCCAAGCTCACAGTATGCAAGTGCATACCTATTCGGTGCCCACGCCACCAACGGACAGGGCGAGGCAGTCTTGTATGTGAACAAATGCTCTCCGGTCTCGCAACTGTGGAACTCCATTGCATTGCCTGATGAAAATTAGTACCGATGACACGGAAGACAAGAGGAGATACTGACCTTCGTCGCTACCACCCACGATGCAATGACCATCGAAAGAGAAACCTGCGCCAGAGATTAGTCATGAAGGTGCCGCGTATAGATGGGACTCACTGATGCTTTTAATGGGTCCCACCATTTTTGTGATGGTTCGCTGGCAGTTCCATTCCTCGGTGTCCCAAAGGGATATCAGTGAATCCGTTCCACCCGTTGCAAGAAACCTACTCATTGGGTGCAATTCAACAGTGGTGCAAGCTGACGTGTGACCATGCAGCTTCATCTCCGCATCCTTGGGGTCCTTGTAGCTGTAGAGGAAGGCAGGCTCTAGGCTTGGATATGTGAGGATTCTCGTGTAGCCTTCCGAGGTGGTGGCATATATTCTTTTACCGCTCCAACAAAATGTAAGATTGTTGGTCTGTACGCTTTGCTGATGTGTTGACAAGGGGGTACTCTGGGTTGGTGATAACACGAAGAGCGTATCTGCCTTCAAATCTCGTCAATACCGGCACAGCTAGATATGATGTTTTCATACCTTATTGCCAACTACCAAACTCTCTCCGTCTGGGGCCCAAGCAAGGGTAAACGCCTCGCCTAGGCCTTTGACTTCATTGATGATGTTTCTTGTTCGGACATCCCAGAACTTGACAGTGCCGTCACTGCTAACGGAGCAGAGTTCCAGCTCCTTGACAGGATTGAAAGCTACTTTCTCTATGGAAGCCGTATGGCCTTTCAACTCGGTAGACTGACGGACATTAGGCTTGTCCACATTCCCTGTATCTCCCATTAGAACTAGCAATCTAACCCATTCTTAGGTGTGACACAATAAACTTACAGACACGTAGGGTCTTGTCTGTACATCCTGTCGCAACCCATGTACCTACAGGGTTCCAAGCAATTGTTCGAAGACTATTGCAGATCAATAAAACCGGACAAGGGGGTGCAGTAGGTGAGCGGTCATGTTGACTCACTTGCCCGGTGTTCTTGCCGTGTTTGGGTCGTTATAAACAGTCGGCTTTAGTGTTGGGAAAACAGCCTTGAACTTGTCTGGATGGACATAGGCCACTCTAGAGGATCGCGACATGGTGATCACGCGGCAATTCGCATGAGTTATTGCGAACGGGTTGCAATCTTGTAGCAGGAGGGTGTTGGGGCAGGCTGCAAGAAGGCAAACAAGTAAATAATAGAAATCAAACCAACATATTATGCTAGATTTGTTGTCGACCCTGCATCAGATCTTGGGAAGAGGTGTTGCAGAGCTCTTTATGCTCGAACAGCTAGCTGGAAACAAGCATGGAGGCCAGTTATTATGCATTCCGTATGCTCCAAATTTATTGTAACTAGAAGGACGCTAGCCCAATCAAGTAATACAACGCGCAGGGTATTAGTTCAGCGGAATGTCATTGTATTGGTGTTAAGGCAGTGTCTCTATTCATTCTACATTTTGATATGTCCATATTTTATTCTTGGACCAGAGGCTTACCGGTGTTGTACAAATCATTTGGCTTCAAAAGACGCATGAACTTGGATGGAATTCACGTGCTGCACAAAGGCGCTGCTGGGAGCTTGCACAAGCTTGGAGCATTTGTGGATCGCAGCGGTCACAATTGCAGGGGTTTAGGTTAGGTAGTTACTGCATGGGCATTACATTACAGTCGCTGCGGCGGCTGGCGTCGCGGTACATCAACCCCCCGTTGTAACACAGCATCTGATATCCAAACTCGCTGTCACCGACAGGGCAATTGGCAGCATTGGCAGCAGCGGCGAAAACTCCAAGAAGTGTTGATACATCGCTGGCATGCGGTGACGCGAATGAGGCCTCATTTGGCTCAAAGCAGCCATGTATTGGCCCGTTGCGACTCCCCGGATATACGCAACCACCAGCCAAGCTCCGTCCAGGCCAAAAGCTGTGCTATCTCACGATGGCACTGATTCTGCGCTTGCCGACGACAACGGCTCTATCCTGACGCTTGAGTCGGCGGCCTTGAAACCGACAGAAACCAGTCCCGGTGAAACACCGCCTGCTCCTCCCACTCCGTTGACCCCAGGGCTCTTCTCTCCACGAACTCCTGGTATCAACTCGGTTGAACATGAGTTCCCGCTCCATGCAAGCGCACAAAGCTCCCAAGAGCAGCTTGAGAGCTCCAGAGAAGCATATATGCCAACTGGGGAGCCCATCATTGCTCTGAAGGTTTCCAGAACCGGTCATCTGTTCGCCACCATCACATCAACGACCATGACAGTTTGGCAAACCAAAGTACGTAATATTGGGTCCGAGGCTTATAGTTCTGTTCGTATCTGACATATTCCGCGTCCAGCCCACCGTTGTACTTGTTGTAGTGGTGCGCTCCAAAGCTTCCATACGGTCCTACGGCACCAACGTAGCCCTCCTCCTGCGTCCCGACTCTGCCATCTTCGTCGTCCAGACAAGCTCAGGTTACCTTATTACATATTCTCTTGCCACAGATGCCGATTCGCGAGTGTATAAACCCCACTTCTCAGACCACACAAACATCCAAAGACGCCGACAGAGTCACTTCGGAGGGCCCGGGAATTCCTCCCCAGACCAGATCTTCCTTGGCCCGGGAGAAGGCTCCGGTGTCCGAGACATCAGTGTTCGATTCCGGAGGGTCATCAAGGTGGACGCCGGCATCGAACATGTGCTCGCGCTCGAAGACGAACTGGTGGTAGCCACAAAGAAACCAGCTGCGGTCCAATGCATCCGGTGGACCCCGGACAGCACTGGCAGTCAGACAAGCACCGAGCTGGTCAGTCGTATGGGCTGGCTGGAAAAGAAGATATCCATCAAAGAGATGACACATGATCGACCCATGAACCTGTCTACTTGGATCACAAGTGATGGCAAAGCTTACGCTATACAGCGCACTTCAGCTTCACAAGGGCCTTCACAAGATGACGAGCTTGGCCCTAAACGGCTTTTCAAAGGCCACTGCTTTCATACCCCTGAAGATGAAAATTCCCGTGCTATCAGAGCGATCGTAAACGCCAGGTTCTCATTAATTGCTGTAGGATGTGCTGACGGCAGTGTGCGCGTTTATTCCGTGCGAGATTATTCTGGCAACATTCCATCTTCTCACGTACACAAAACCTCCGTCTCCAGGCAGTCTTCCGGGGCACTTACTACAATCACCTATTCGCCCGATGGTTACTGCCTCTTTGCCGGTTATGAAAACGGTTGGGCAACTTGGAGTGTATTTGGCAAATCGCTAAGTACAAGTTTTGGGGCCAATCCGTCGATCACGGAAATCAACAAAGAAGATTGGATATCTGGTGTTGCGGATGCCTCCTGGATAGGAGGCGCTTGCGAGATCCTTATGGTAGGCCGCCAGGGTGAAGCCGTATGGCTTCTTGAAATGGCTCGCAGTGCGGTGACAGGATGCTACAGTCCTCCAAATCTGTTTCGAACTGTTCTGCAGACGTCTTCTAGTGTCATGGTCTACAGGGGATATGATCTCCCGGATTTGACCAGTATCTCCGCGGAACCGTTCTTGTGGCATACGGCGAGGATACCCTCGAACTATCTCCTAAATCAATGGCCTATTAGATCCACCATAATATCATCGGATGGAAGATATGTGGCCGTTGCTGGTAGACGAGGTCTTGCACACTACAGCATCAACAGTGGCCGATGGAAAACATTTGCAAACGATGCTGCAGAAAACGAGTTCGTCGTTAGAGGTGGCATGTGCTGGTATCAGCATATCCTTGTCGCAGCAGTAGAAGCCAATCGGTCGTACGAATTACGACTCTATTCGAGAGAAGCGGCTCTTGATAGTGGCACAGCCATGTTCACCCAACAGTTACCGGCCCCAATCGTACTAATTACTCCTTCTGGGGACGACTCCCTACTAGTCTATACATATGAAAACCTGCTGTACCACTTTGTCTTTGTCCCGGTCGGTAACACGATTCGTCCTGTTCAAGTCGGCCAGATCGCATTCCACGGTATAGTCAGGTCGCCTGCCAGAGTCAGGGGTCTGAGTTGGATACTGCCAGAGAGCCAATTACTCGATGGAGATCCATCCCAAGATGTTGCTGTCGCATCAGTCTTGTTTCTGGTTGATGGCAAGCTCGTATTACTACAACCATCGCTTAACGGCGAGGGTCATCTAAAGTACGACATGCGCGTTATATCTCAGAATGTCGAGTTCTATATTAGCATGCGAGATCAGTCTGCCGTGTACAAGCTTCACGATTCAAACAGTCATTTCTCAGCGGAAACCGAAGAATCATGTCTGAGGAGCTCCTTGTGGGTGTTTGAAGGGAACGACCTCAAGGGGTGGCCGGATGTTCAAGAGGTTCTTCAAGCAGCAACGAACTCAACGAATGAACTGCCGCCAACAATGAACATGCCGCTTGATTTCTACCCCTTGTCGCTACTTTTAGGTAAGGCGATCGTGCTTGGTGTGGAGCCAGACTTGGTGCAGCGGAGAGACATCACCTTCTCCTTCTTCCGCTTTTCGATCAGGGTAAGTCCAGTCCCGTCCCAACCAGTCTGATGGTAATTGTTGCAGGGGTGCTAACCAATTTCAGACACACCTGTTTCTTCCGGAAGTGCTCCGGTTTCACCTGACTACTAACAACTCTCTGGGTGCGCTCAAGCTGGCGCAAAATTACCAAGACCTAGAATACTTTGCACATGGGTTAGAAATCCTCCTGCACCACGTCCTCGATGAGGAAGTTGATTCGGCACCAGCACCGGAAGCAGCGATTCTGCCTCGAGTGTTGTCGCTGTTGTCGTCGTTCAAGCAATACCTGGACATCGTGGTGCAATGCACGCGAAAGACAGAAGTCAGATCTTGGCGAACACTCTTTGCGTATCTTCCTCCACCTGGAGAGCTCTTCGAAGAATCGCTTCAGCGGGGCTCGCTCAAGACTGCGGGCGGTTATTTGCTGATATTGCATACATTTGAGGAGCTGGGGCAGGCGTCGGAGCAATCTGTACGTCTCTTTTCGCGAGCTATCCGCGAGGAGGACTGGGAGCTCTGCAAGGAATTGGCACGGTTCCTGGCGGCCATGGATGAGAGCGGCGAGACGTTGCGTGAAGCTATGCAGCTGGTCAATCTCAGGGTGGAGCAGGATAAAGACGAGCTGCCAGGGCTTATGGCCAGACTAGAGGTGCCTTCTCGACGGTTTAACGGAGGCTCTCGACGGGACTCGGAGACGGGATCAGATACTCAGTCCGCAAGTGATGGAAGCAGCTTTGGGACAGCTAGCCCTGCATAAAACAAGGGTCAAGAGAGGTCGATGCCATGCAGATCTGACCTGTTGTAAGTGAACGAAGGTGTGAGCACCCGGTTGATAAGAGTAATACGGGTGATGGATCACCTTAGATATTTACTACAGACTGTACGTGCTGCCATCAAGTAATCATAAGAATGCCTACATAGATCCATCTGTATGGGCAGAGGAAGTTATGCACGGACCATAAATTGACTCAGGATTCCTGCTTGTTCGATAGAGCGGCACCCAAAAAAAACCACTTTGCGCGGGCAGCCGCTAACAACTTAGCTAACCTCAGACCGAGTACATACTTAGCCAAAGGTAATCCTGTGCATATTTCGCACTGATTGCAGTGACCAAGGCAGGCACCCCACCACTAAGTTGAGGAATTGATCGCAACCTGCCAGCCCGCGTCCCTCCGTCCATCGATAATAAACCCCCCACCATAAACCCAATATCAACTGCTTGGAAAGCATTACAGTACAGCACGGCACAGCACCGCAACAGTAGACCACGGACCAATTGTCTGGGCAATACCGGCGCCAGGAATATCGTCCAGATATCTCTGCATCCGACGCGCGTGATGACGGGCGCCTGATATCCTTGGATCAGAACCCTCACCTCCTCATCTCGCCCCCCTTCGCCCAGTGTCCGACCTTCCCGTTGCCGCGCATCGGCCTGTAACACCGTATCCCAGCCATGATGGACGACTTCGCTTCCGAGTCAGATAGCGATTACACCAGCTACTGGCGGGACTGGGTATGTGAATCCCTCCCGTTCGTCCCGTGGGCTGTGTTCTTGACAGCGACCGCTTACTGACAGAGACGCTCCCAGTTCATCTCTTCGCGGGGCAACGAATACTTTTGCGAGATCGACGAGGACTACCTCACCGATCGCTTCAACCTGACAGGCCTCAATACCGAAGTCCAGTACTACCAATATGCGCTGGATCTCATCACCGACGTCTTCGATCTCGACTGCGATGACGATATGAGGGAAACAATCGAGAAATCCGCACGACACCTCTACGGCTTGATTCATGCCCGATACGTAGTCACGACTAGGGGTCTGGCAAAGATGGTAATGCTCTCTTCTCCACAGCCCCAAGATCCTCTTCTCTAACCTCCCCTCACACAGCTCGACAAGTACAAGAAGGCCGACTTTGGAAAGTGTCCCCGTGTATTCTGCCACTCCCACCCCCTGCTGCCCATGGGCCAGACCGATGTACCCAACCAAAAGCCTGTCAAGCTTTACTGTGCCCGTTGCGAAGACGTATACAACCCCAAGTCGTCACGCCACGCCGCTATCGACGGCGCCTACTTCGGTACCTCCTTCCACAACATCATGTTCCAGGTTTATCCCGCCCTGGTCCCGCCCAAGAGCGCTGAGCGTTACATCCCACGAGTCTACGGATTCCGAGTGCACGCCCCGGCAGCCTTGATCAGATGGCAAAATTCCAAAAGAACCGATATGCTGAGACGCCTCAGGAAAATGGAGGTTGAAAGCGGGTTCAAGGGCGAGAATGGTGAGGACCTCGAGGATCTCGATGATGAGGAAGAGGACGACGACGACGACGAAGCTGCCGGCTTACTCGATGAGGATGTGCCATTGGACCACGACAACGACGTTGTCATCGCAGGTGGCGGTCAAACCAACGTTAGTTGAGCGTCCCTGATCGTCTGGCGTCGTTCAAGCGCCCAGTTACGCCAACGCGGGGAAAGGACTTGACGCGTTGATGCAGTGCGTATTGTGGGTGTGCAAAGGAAACACAGATTGACCTGGCCATGAAGATGATCAGGTAATATTCGGTTGTTGGAGGGGTTGAGGATGGAGAATTGCACATGGACCGGCGTTCGATATAGGAATGGGGTCCCAGCCGGTTGCCTGTTTATTTTTGGTTGTTGCCGCTCGCGATGGCGTTCCTAGAGATTCCCCCAGTATTCATCAGATGAATTACAGCAGGGTATAATGGTATTTATTCAACAAGACTGACCTGTGCATTGGGGGGAGTGTTTACAAACTGCTCATGTTTGTCAGGTATAAGGGAGTTCTAAGGAATTCTGATTAGGTCGTTGTATTCTCAGGCACAAACCTAGGTCCGCACATGTTACAAGACCTATGTTTCTGGACCTATATAGGTAGATCTTGTTGTAACGTCTACTAGTTGCAATGGATAAGAGGCCGACCTCGATACCATTTCTGGGAACGGGCTAGAACGTTGAGAATCTGACCGGTTTTATTTTATTTCCACTACTAAAACGGAAGAGTCTACAGACATTCCATCTTCTACTCACATATGTCGTTGCAGCCTTCTAATGAGAACATTGTTATGGTCTGGTCGGATCAAACATAAAATTAATCTTGACTCACAATCTGCCCGTCATGTCTGGGACTCTCCACAGCTACGCGCCACCACAACGTCTCCTATCCGTATGTAAGCCAAGAAGAACCCCTAAAACTAGGGTTTACGATTGAAACATTTTACGCTTTCGTCAACCTATCACGTGTATGTCTCAAGACCTTGGAATCACTCCTTGCCGTCTAGCAAGCCAGCTTCAAAGCATCAAAATAATAGTGAAAGCTGATGAGCCGCAACACGAGATTTCATCGCCGCTCGTTAAGGTAGTGGAGCGCTACAAGTATGAACTTGACACCAATGAAGGCGTTCTAATCTGTCGTGTCAGCTTGCTTCAGTTGTGCCCAACGATTTTCTTTCATGGCCGAATCAACGAAATACCACGGCATGACCTCTAGTAGCGTTTCGTAACAGGCCGACGTTTCCATACTCGCCTAGACCTCATATCTCTCGGAGCACGTGTCGGCTGGGACATGTGTGCTTTCGTCTGCCATAACGGATGTCTAGCTAAGCGTAGAGACGCCTGCTTCCAAAGCAACCCCTCTCGCATTTTGACATAGTTTGGGGTGGGCTGCCTGAATGGATAGTTCGCCTTCTCGCATGGGAAGATACATGGCCTGGCCCGAATCCAACTTATAAGCCACTCAGTCACTCTACGGCTGTATGCAAAATTGTCAGCTCTCGGTTGCCCAAAACTCAATGACCAGGTAAATGAATGCATGTGGCTCGCACACAAGGCACCATTCGCTTGAAGCGATTGCGATTGCATCAGGAGACAACCCGGAACGGACATATAAATGTGTTTGTAACCTTGTTTTGTTCCTGAGCGAGGTGACAGTACGGCCAATTTGTATATGCAGCTGGGCGTTTCTCTGAAAACCTGTAGGAGGATTACAAAATTCATACTACGAAGTGACTGAGCAGCAGGCGCCAACCGGCGCCATGGAAGCCCCGGCCCAAATATATCGCTCCCTTTATTCACTCCCAGAGATCCCAAAATTGTGGCAGAGCCTCGTGCCCTAACCTCATCTGGTGTCTTGTGATGCTGAGAGATGTAATATCACTCGGATTAACGAACGATCAAAACCTTGCATTCGGGCGCACTATCCTGACAGTGTTCATCCAGAGTGCATTTTATCTCAAATTTGCTGCTGGTACATGCTTGGCTGTGTCCGCACTCGGTTTGTATTGACGGACTTGATACCGTTCTCGTGACAGTGTTGTTGGTTAGGACTCTCATAAGATCCTCTTGCAGTGACATAATAGTCGTTCGTCTGTGAATAATAGGTCACAGCCAGGATAAAGCCAGGTACGGACCGGCACAATATTCAAGATCAATGTGTTGTCATCTGGTCGATATTAGCATGATGACATATGGTGCCAACTAGTACAGGGGCCTGGACTATAGGTTCTATAACCTATCGTGCTCAACTTCATCCAGCGTATTTGCAGACCAAAGCTGGGTTTCCACAGACACGTCGTTGCCGATATTAGGAGGGACATTCGGGAGACATAAGAAGAGCAAGAAATTGCTCGAGCTCATCGAAAACATCAGAAGCCTCACAATTTTTAGGACTATGAGAGTTCGATTCTTACACAAACATGAGGCTCCCTGAAGACAAATGAAACTATGCTGGCGATATCGCCATCATGATTTAGCTCGTACAGCCTTGATGGGTTGTCCGTCTGCAAAGTTTGAGTACCAGAGTTTCTGCCTGTTGGTGCCGTCGTAACGACTAAGTCGGACAACGCAAACCAGCAAGACTCGTTGAATGATTGCCCAAAAGCTGGTCGTGTTGTCCGATTATGGCGTCACTCAGAACCAGTATTGGCGCTGCTTCAGTGGCGGTTTTTCTTTTACTTTTCGAAATTAGCAATAAGCCCCTTTTTGTGAGCTTATAGGTCGCCTCGTAACACACTGGAAGAGGAAAGCCAATGCAAGTCATATGCAGTTCAGGTTGACATCCTAATGATTGAACATCTCGACTTTTAAGGCATCGCAAAAATACCCAGTCGCAAGGAAAGTCATATCAGCTTGAACGCCCACTGACGTGTGATTGTTATACACCGGCTTATCTCATATAACGTTATTGGCTTTCTTGCAACCAATCATAACATCTTTGAACATGTCTTCCACTATGTTGCTGATGCTCACTATTGGGTCGGCATGGGTCGTGCCCCTGCGGCCCCGCGGCCCCGCGGGGGCGTCACTCCAGTGGGACCTTTCCAGGTGAAGCTCGGAATCCGAGCAGAACTGATTATCACCGCACCTGAAAATACGAGCTATTACGCAGCTGCAATGTGCGCAAAACAAACCAAGAGACGTTTTCTTCTCCTTCTAGATCAACCTGGTGGACCCTTTTCTGACCGAATTCGTGTTCGCTGTATGGCACTCGCTGGACCATAAATGGTCGAAATGTCCACTCTCGAATTGAGGATAAGTACTGGCCACCTCCCTCATACATGTCTTTATTTCGTTCATTTTATCATTATAATGCAGCATTATGCGTCTTACACCTTATAAACCTTCCTGCACACGCTTTTATTTATCACTCTCAGCGACAGCTGTACGCCTGCGCTTCTACCACAAGGTCAAAGTTTCTGAGTTGACTTCGTCTTCAGTTTTGGCGATAAGACCATTTATGAGTCGGTCAAGAAGCTTTGCAGCCCATCTGTGGAATGCGTACCAATATAGTCCTGATGGAAAACCGGAAGGTTTGAGGACGATAAATATTGGTCCTCATATAGGGACATTTCTGTGTACACAGGCGAAACAATCAAGTGATGAAGAAGAGAATGTGGAACAAAGACCAGATTTGTTCAATGATGTCTATCTGTGTTATCGGTTGACCAGGGGCAAGCGCACGTGGTAACAAGAACACAATTTTATATATACAGAACTATGTACAGGCAAAGTCGACACGCTCACAAGCAGTTCTAACCATCAGCATTCCAAAGCGCTTAAGCAGTGCTGGAAGGGGCAGCAGAAGAGCCGCTGGCACTAGGGAAGGAGCCACTGGCATCAGGGGGAGAGCCGCCACCACCACCACCACCGCCGGAACCGGAGTTCTCGTTCTCAACACCACCCTCGGCGTAGTAGAAAGCAGCGGGGGTGACGGATGAGGTCTCGGTGGTGTTGATACCGAAAGCGAGCCAAGCAAAGACACCATCGGAAACGCTATCGCCTAGAAGAGTGTCTAGACACAAACGAGAAGTCAGTATTTGCACGTACTTGAAACAAGGGTATGACATCCGGATGGCGGAGAGACGATTGTTGTGAGACACGCTCTCAATGAGCACAGACGAAAAAGATAAAACATGGATGAACCACTTACACTCATGGAAAGGATCGATACCCTCAGTAGCAGTCTCCTCAGACAGGATTGAGTCGTCAGCGTTCTCTGTGACTTCCTGGGTGTTGGTGCTGTAGGGAGCGGTAAGCTCGACAGCCGTGATGAGGTCCTGGTCAAAGAAAGCTTGGCCAACGTGGCTAGCGACAACCTCGTTGCCCAAGGTTCCGTTGCAGTAAAGAGTGGCGTTCTGGTGAACCATCAAGTGGATGTGGGTAGCACGGGAAGTGTAGTGACCGGGGAAGATGGTCTCGAACTGAGCCACACCGTCGGTATCCGTCTTCTGGATTCCGCGGAGCCAGGTGTTGTCGATGTTGGTCTCATCCGAGGAGTCACCGTTGCCGGAAGCAACAATACCGGAGTAGACACCAGTCGAGTTGCAGTGCCACATCTCGAGATAGACGTTAGGGACTGGCTCGCAAGTGTCGACATCGATGACTTGGTAGTCAATGACGGTGTCCACACCCTCCTGGTCCTCGATCAGGTTGCGTCGGACGTACTCGCCTCCAACGTCTAGAAACATATTAGCCACCAACACCTACAGTCTGGATGGCGATGCGATAACTCACAGTAAGGACCCTGAGTAACTTCAGGGGTGAGAATACAAGAGCTGTTACCGCTGAAGAGGGTAGCGGCATCAGTGTTCAGAGTGTACCCAAGGGAGGTCTCGTTGTGAGAAGTTGCCAGCACGGTATCCAGATCACGCTTGTTGATGCCTCGCTTGGCGCGGGCCTTCCCAAGAGCGGCCGTTCGGCGTGCGACGTTGCGCTTGTCCATACCGCGGGCCTTGAGCTTAGAAGCGCAGTGGCTGAGATCGGCACGCTTGACGGAGCTGAGGAACTCTCGGCGCTCGGCAATCTCTTGGGTAACATCATGGCCGGGGTGGGCGAGCACTGAGCTCGACAGAAGGGTCAAGCCCGAGACGACAGTCTGGGCGAAGCGCATATTTGCGAGTATGGAAGAATGGAAATTGACGAAGTGAATGTGTGTTCGAACTGAAAGGAAGGTAAGTCAAGCACTGAGAGACTGGTGAGGAATTTCGAGATTTGGAATGAAGGTGATGTTTCTCTGATTTATATTAGACAATCATGTCGATTCCCATGGGCCGTGTAGCCATGAGAACTTCTCCACAACTCGACCATATCCGCACGCTGAGCCCCTTGACGACGGTCTTGCAGAAGCGTTGCTTGGCATTCAGGGCAAGACTCCATTGGAGGTGGCCAGCGTTACGTATGCACGTGCAGGGAGGCAGATGAAGGCTTTGGAAGTTATGCAAGTTCTCAAAAGGCCCATTCGCATTTTCCAATACCTCGCTGTCCACTGTCATCCTCTCACCAGCGTCGTGGCTGCTCACTGAGACGCAGCTGAGATGACGATGTCCCAATACTCGTGCTTTCACAAAGAGTTGGAAGTTGACATGAACCCACTTTGTCTCGCTCAACCTTGTTTTAGCGCTTAAAACATTCGTCAGCTCCAAAATCGTTGGACTGGCGCACGCAAAGAGCAAAGCACCACAAAGAGTCATGTGAATAATCAACTGCCAAGACATCTGGTGAGACTGTAGCTAGTAATTGGTATATTGGAGGCTGTCATCATGTTTCGCTCTAGAAGGAAATGCCGTAAGTGCTGTGGGCCATGGAAGTCAAACGAGACGAACCGTCCAATCAAAGGTTTTGCATAAACTCCAGCACCCAGAATATCCTCATCCACTTGGGACCGAATGAGGCTAAGCTCCCCAGGACCGCGTCAGCTCAAAGCTCCCGAGGTGCGCGGCACCTCATCCCGTACCTTTCATCACTAACTTTGACGTGCAGTGCCGATCTTGACGACGACAACCCCAATTCTGCCCAATCGCCGTTTGCACATTTCCAACTCTGGTTCATGCTTCCAGAAGACCACGAAGCACCGCCTCGAATAGACTTTACACAAGCGGGTCCGCTTCGGTATGTGGGTAGGCCAGTCGTCAGCTCCCCATGACCACAACTGAAAAGCGTCACTGTCCCCTCGAACCTCATCTCGCATTGACTCCTGGCAGAATCCCGCGGCGAGTGGCCGGCCTCCGAACAACCGCTAGATGACTCTCGAAGAAATCCAGGCCCGCAGAGATGTCAAAGAGCCGCATCATGCGCAAAGAGGAGTGCGTGTGGCCTGGTTGCGCCTGTAGCTAACAATTAGACGACAAATTGCTTTCTTGGACCTTAAAACGTTGTTTTCCCCTCAATTTTCGCTTTCGAGAGGACCCTATCGCCTCACCTCAACTCGATAATTTTTCTAGCCCTGCGAGGTTCAGTCTCAATTTAAGATCATGGTGTATGTGTCTTTCAGGAGAAGATCGATAATAAACCATCTGCTAGTGGCTGTAAGACTACTTACAGATGGCAGTTTCTCAACCACAACCAGCGTTTGAAAACTCGACCGGCTGTTCGTCAACGGCCACGTCTCAAGAATGAACTACCAACATGAAGCCTTCCTTTGATCACGAAGTTGTCAACTGCAGTCACTTCAAACGCACCACGACTCCAACTCGATTATCTCTGTCAAATGCGCCGCATCAATCACTACTTGCGGAGCCAGTCGTGCATGTATGCAAGCTGACCACGTGACTAGACGAATTAATATACGGAAACGTCGCAGATGCAGGAAAACGACATCGACAACTGTGGTTGCCGATAAATACTTGTTTTTATGAAGTTGTAGGGGACTGTCGTTTCTTATCTGAGATTCTATAGTCGGGTGCATGGTCGATACCCTGTACGAGCACTCGCCCTGCCGGTATCTCGCATTGTGCCACGGCTTCAAGAATAAACATATGTCCACTACATCGAAGACACTAGGATACCAAACTCTCATATCTGAGGTTTGTATTGGTCCTAGATATCATAGAACCCGGTTCGGGGCAATGCAATGGTCTCTGATGTTGTCTTATGTGCCGCTTCGGGTACCACTCCCGACACTGCCGCAGCAGCACATGTGATCAACAGGGACGACAAGATTCAAGTAGCCTCTCCCTGCAGCCAGCAATCGCTTGCCCAGCTCATTATACCACCATTTCTATAGACCCACCAATGTCACCCCATCAGTTCAATCTCGTGCACTACTAGTCATGCGATAAGAAAAAACTAATATCATCTGACCATGCATGCACTTCAATAGCGCCAAGTAGTAGAAAATGTGCAGACAGCTCCGGCACACAGCCAATAGGGTGAGCAGGTGAGCAGCACCGCCTTCGAACGCGCAATGTTGCGCGACCAGCTCTACGTTGCAAAACCTTCGCAATGAAATACTGATACACTTAATTGCATATCATGATATGGCTCTAACACGCTGGTTTTCGATGCGTGTGTAACTTCTGCTTAAGTTTGGTTGCACATTTGTGCAAGCTCTAGACTACGAGATGTGGTGGTAGTGAAGCGTGGATAGGACTTTCAGTCCTCTAGCGGATCGAATGTCCACCAGTACAGCTTTCGAGTCGTACACGACATAAAGATACTACACTTTTCTTTCAGCCATTCACTTCCCAACCACCTTCCTCGCCGGTTGCGCCCTCGCCGATGACGCTTTTGAGGCGCGGGGTATTGGACTTTCGATGAGCTGCTTAACCGACCACGCCTGGAACCTGTGGTTGAATATCTCCCTCTGTTCTTAAAAGAAGATGGTAATGGATCGACGGGCTATTCCGTTATAGTAAGAGAAGTTTGACGAGATATAGAATTGGACTATTCAAGCATCCGGTGCTCCTTTGCAAATGAATAAAGAAATAATACCTTAAGCATATGGCTTGCTTGTGTCAAAACTGAAATCCCGCCTAATCGTGGGACCGTAGAATTAACGACTGGCTAAAAGCATAACCAAGAACAATAGTGAAACCGGCTACAGATGACGTGATCGGCCGACAATCCACAGGCGACTATCCGATATTTTCCTCCTCAAATTTGATCCAGTCGCAGTTTTGATTAATACTATAGCCAATATAGATTCCGGTTTGGGAGAGGGAATAGAGTTCTTTGAAGGAATGTACGTGTCGTAAGGTTATCCTGGTCGCAGCGCTGTTAGATAGACACTAAATATCAAAAGCACTAGCATCCATCAACACCTGCGACGAACTAGCATTAAATCTGAGGGTAGATAAAAAAGTCCGAGTTCATGTATCTGTAGCAGGGGGCAGGAGGAAAGAAGAAAGGGGGAAGGGCAAGGGCAGAAACAGGCTTACTAGTACGACGGCAACGGCGATGGCGACGGCGATAAGACGAAAAGAAAAAATAACAGCGAAACGAGCCGGCGGGAAGAAGCACAGAGAATGATATATGTGCTCGATGAGGCAAGTTGAAATTACCATAGCTTTGGTACATGGCCGAAAACTCATCCACTAGCTGGAAATAAAAAATGCTACACCCAGATTATAGATAGCAGAGCAGTAGTTAAGGGTTCGTCAACCCTATAAAGCGAGGGGAATTCAATCTCGAGAACTTCATGCTAATCTCCTACTCTAGTGCCGGACTCCAGGGGTTCGCCGGCTTTTGTGTATTATCCGGGTCTTCATATCTAAGGTTCGCTCTCCGTAGTTTCCTTCGCTCCTTGACGTAGCTCAACAGGCTAAGGAATCTTGCGCTTCCAAATTTGAGTGACCGGGTCGTCTTATGACTGCTCCTAAGAAGCACGTCCATGTCCGGCAGTCTGTCTTTGACTTACTGACAGTCTAAGAGCCTCCAGCTAAGGTTGCATTTAACAAAGTGCTTTCAAGCAGATGTATGCTAATAAAATATATCGCACTTGCACACGATCGGAATTGATCAAGTTCCATTAGATATGAAGCCAGTTTAAAGCATTGGAAGTTTGACAAATAACATAAAAGCGCGACAACCAAGATATGAAAAGAGATAATCAGATATAAAACACCATAACCAGTTGTGAAATACCGACACCAGGGTTTTAAAGAGCAACATCAAGATAATTGATAGACGTTAAAATCAATCGTCAACTCCATCTTCCAATGTATAACAAAATAGTTCAATTCTGTTAAACATTGGTGCAATCGACTATAACCTGGTGAGTAAATACTCACGATCTTTTTTGTGGATATAAACATACGAGTACTGCAGTTACAACAACGATTCTTGGCACATTGGTTGCAATTGTTACAGATCTTGTGGACTGACTCTTTACAAGTTGCGCAAGTGGCCGCCATATTGGATGGATTGAGAATAGACGATTGGTAAGTTTCAAGAAGAATTAGGGGATGACAGCTATGAGACTGAATACAGTTGATTTGATGCTATGATCTAAAAAAAACTTTAGAAATCGAATGCGAGGAAAGTCTAATTTATATCGATTTATCACATATTATCATCTGTGTTCAACTCCCCGTACATACCCAGAAAAGGACTATCCATGTTGTTCTATCACCAACATGTGCTGTTATATCTGTCAAATTCCACGTATAGACAAAACAGAACAATTATCCATATTGCTCCCATCACCAACGTTTGCTGTTACATATGTTCAATTTCACGCATGTACAAAGCAAATTGACTGTGTATTTTGGTCCATAATCAACGTCTACCGTCGTTCGTTATTGACTTGTTGGATGTTGAAGTCAAAGCGGGGTGCTGCTTACGTAATTTGCTGATGTTATTGGTGTCAACTAACCTAGCTTATCTCATGTTCGCCGCATCCGGCATAGACAAAGAAAACCGCTATATAAGGTGAACTAACAACGAATTCACCTTCGCATGCGGCACTAACAAAGAGCTATTACACCTAATTAAGAGGTCTCAGTTTACGATCATTCCTATCTCAGATCAACAACAGAGCATAGGGCCGGATGCAGAGCTAATAAGAAACGAAACATCATGTAATACATCTAGAAATTCAAATCGGCATTCAGCTAGTATTTCTCAAGACTCATAACTGTGTTGGACCAACCAAGATCCTGTAGTTGCCTACAACCGCTTTTGGGTTGATGATGAGTAATTACTTGGATGCTATCGGGGCTAACAAATTGATCTCGTTTCAAGTGCTGCCAGCACCATCTGTTGCCGTTCGGACAAATATCGTCAGCTTGTGCAACCCCTTCATCAACTCCACTTCAATGGAAGAAGTTGGGAAATCCCAGCCTTCATAGCTTTGCCACATTTGCCTTGTCCTGGGGGACTCGGGGTCCGCAAACGGTTTACTGTAAACGTTAGAATTAGACCTCTAACTCAGTCTGAAAATCCTTACTTTCTGTTGTTAAAAGGCGGCCATTGGTCAAATAAGCTGATAAATGCAGCAGGGCGAGCGAGGTCAGCAACGATTTCCTTGACAGGAGCAGAGACATAGGCACAAAACACAATAGACTCGTCATCGACTTCTGCAAAGCCTCCGGCCCCAAAATCCCCGACGACTTTGAACCCCATTCGTTCTAAGAGACCTTTGGTGTCATCTGTATACCCTGGATCCTGCGCAAGTAGTTGGACCTCCTTGCCATTATGGCGACGGGCTTCCTCCGCCATGGTCAATGCTGCCGCGTGTTGCATCATTTCTGAGTCTACTTCGGCACCATCCGACTCTGCGTCTACTGTTTGGTCAGCCTTTTTGGGGGGTGGCACCACTTGGGGGGGCCGACGCGCCATATCGCCGAGACCGAAGCAGACGATCTTGGTCACTTTGTGGGTAGCCAGGACCTTACCAACAAGCGACTTGAAAGATTCACAAGTGACACTCGCATTCCATAGCTTCATCTTAGTCTCGAAAAGTCTCTGCCATCCCTGTATGTTGCCCCGGAAGTCTCGTCTTAGCTGATTTTGCCAGCCTACTAGATAGGAGCAGTAGTAGGTTTCGGAAGGACCCTCCGGCTTTCCAGCAGTAAGTAGCCAGTACTCTTGGTATTCAACAAATGGTTTCCTACAAAACCCTCGAGAGAATTAGTTCATGTGTTTTCCATATCAAGCTTAGCAGATTAAGGCGAATGCTGTATTAAATGACCGTACCATATTGGCTTTTGTACTCCGAATAAAGGGTTCCTCACTTGGACCTGTTTTCCATCAATAGATCGGATAGTAAATCTATCTAAGAAAGTGAATCATTCTAGTTGTCGTTCAATGTCTGCCAGGTCGTCCTTCGTCCAGAGTTTGACGCCTGAGTCGTATAAGTCCGCTACGCGTTGGCTGCTTATTGTCCACGGTGTATAGCCATAGTCCAGCAACGGCAGAGGGGACTCCACTAGATCCTGTTCTTCACGCTCCAACGTGTCAGCTGTGAATCTGCTATCGGCCATTATTGATGTAAGGTAACGAAAAACAGTCTGAATGCTTGCATAAACTAAATAAGCCCACAAATGAAGTGAGGAGAGGACATTGACTGACAAGAATCTATGTTACTACTGAATAATACTCATGGTAAGGTAATTACCCCGCACAGGGAAGCGTTACCGGGACCTACAAAGGATGAGGGGGTATGCGAGATATCTTCTTGTGAATGGCCGCGCCGTGTCCCGCAATTACTTCAATTCTATCCCACTGCCCAGCGTTTTATGTCCTTCATTCACCTTAAGATGCCTTCTCTTGGCACTACGAGATCCTTGTGGGATTTGACGATTTAACGCTATTCTTATGTTAGATGACTTGCTATTACTCTCTTTTTACTACAGGGTTAGCTAGAGACTACATGTAAGCTAAAGGGTGGCGCTTCTTTATAAAAAGTAAATTTTATAACTCGTATATAACGTTACTTAAAGGGTGGTCGTATATAACTTACAAGGTATTCATAAATAAGTTAAAGGACATTATAAAGTAGTAATATTTTAATAAACTAATGTTTTTGAATTGTTATAGTACACACATTAAGGCTGGGTGTTTATAACAGCTATATAGAAAGATCTCACGATCTCTGCCTAGTCTAGAATAGTTTTCTAGTTAAGACATATTGCTACAGTACCCAGAATGGGGCTGTGTGTCATGACAGCTATATAGAGAGATCTCACAATCTCTACTTAGAATAGTTTTCTAGTCAAGACATATTACAAACCCAAATCAACTTTACAGTTCGTGACGTTGTAGGCTTGTTGTCTCACACCATTATTGTCAGCCCTTATAATTCAGTGCTATTCACACCCATACTCTCACAATATTATTAATTAGCGACGACGAGCCTTTCTCGTTATCTTCGAATACATCGCAGCAAAAACCAACGACTAACTGTACGAAAAGCGTGAAAAGCATGAAAAGAAAGCTATCTACAAGTCCTATCTCTCAGACCTTATAGTGATCAGGCCGAGAACAACTCCGACAAAGGCCGACATGATCCACTTAGGCTTCCCGCTATAATAGTACAGCCAACACTCACTACTTCAACATATAATATGTATTTTATAAATGAAGATATTATAATTTGAATTCTAGTGAATTAATCTTATATTAAAAATATTTGTTATGAGTTTTTCTGTTCGCGCGTTACTCGTACGATATTAATCTGTGCTCACCTTACGAACTAAATTCTGCGTCGTTAAAAGCAGCCACAAGGGGTAAGCGCCATAAGAGCTATGTGCATATTTCCTACCTATTGAGGTGCCGAGAGAAAGTACTGCATAGGGACTTTTGGACCACTGCATTTTGACATTACGGTAATCGCCACGGTTAGTAATTGGCCCCCAACTTCATGTCGCAAAACTGGTGGCTAAAGCCGCCTGGACTATCATTCGGCTTCCGGATACATTCTACAGCATTGCCGTGCATTAGTGGCTATGCTGTACTACACGTCAGGTGTCTGTCAGTCATGCTTGCAAACCGTTTAGTTAATGCAAGTAATATCCTGCATAACCTGGCTAGTTTTGCGGTCGCTGTGTCCAGAGCTAAGGCTTTCCAATCAATCCTAAGAGGGTCAGCGGTCCGGCCTAGTCGTGATATGATTGATCCATTCAGTGCATCCTGCAGACGGGAGGGTGTGAGAAGCGCAAGAATGCCCAGATGCGAACAAACCTGGAAACTGACTTTCCGATGTGCTGCACGTAAACGTGTCGAGCGCGATGCATCTGTCAGGCCGAATGGATAATATTAGTGGCAGCTCGCCCCGCTGATATGTTTATCTTTAACTCTATCTACAATGTTCTGGGGCCGAAGATCCTCGCCCTGAGATGATCGCACCGACAGCCTTGTCACTGTCCCATCGGGCCGCCGTCACGGCCCAACCGCGCCTCGCGGAACGCCAAATAGTGATTACGCAAACCATTACAAGCTCCGAAATTGTGTACACAACCGTTGTAACACTCGGGCGCGGCGGCGGCACAACGGCAGGTTCATCAACATCAACATCAACCAGCGTACCAGCTGCACCTGTCACACCAGTTTCGGCAGGTACGTCCGGTGGATTGACACAAGCTCAGATTGGAATCATTGTGGGATGCTGCGTCGGAGCGGCTGTACTTGTGGTCTTGGCATGGTGTTGTTTGGCTTGTACGAAGCGCAGGAAATTCCCAGAGCCGTCCATTGAGGATGATTCCAGTTACACCACGTATACCACCTATGAGTCCGCCGAGGTCACACGGCCATCAGCATCAGCAGCTCGCTGGTCAAACTATTATCGGGTCCGACCCCCGTACCCGCCTCGATATAGGGCGGTTGACCCGGGTCCGAGATGGACGACGAACGCTCGCGGAAGGGCGGTAAATACGGGACCGAGGTGGACGGCAAACCCAGGACCAAGGTACACAACCAATGCTCGGGCAAGCACTACTTACGTTCGAAGATAATATCTTCTACCTCTTTGTGAGAGCAAGGAAACACGCTTCTGTTCAAAGGAAGACAACGTTATACCGATGCGCTCAGGTATTTGTGGGACAGCATGAACTACACGGTTATAAACCCTAAAATACAGGGCGCATTAAGAATCAATCTTTCATGATAGTCTCCTTTCAAGTTATCCATGATGTTCGATGATGGTGTTGGGAACGGTGATAGGGAACGTCAAATTTCAGTTGGTCGTCTTGAGCTGGCGTGATAATTATGTAGTAGTTATAGTAATCAAATACCATTCCTTATTTGTCCCGATCCCCAGTCTGTGAGCTTAACGTCGCTACCGTTTTTGCCTTGGTCGTGTTTCCAATGAAACAATAGCCTATGAGCAAGCCCATAATCTTGACTATCTATAATAAAATTCCGCATCCTCGTGTCGTAAGATCTGCTATATGAAATAAGGTTAAGCCTTTCGTAGGCAATAAAATCAAAATGCTTGCTGAGATAATTCCAATTCGCGCAAATCACATTATATTGGGCCTACTCATTTCATCAGGTTTATCTTAAGCCTTTATTAACTTAGGAATTCTTAGGTTCTGAAGATTTGATTCCATACCGAAAACGTTCTATCTAATCAACATATGTATTATGCGTGAAGTATTCATAGGCATACCTTGGGAGAAAACTTTCGAATTTAGTGATAACTGTAAAGGATTTCTAACTATTTCTATGGAACGGTTGTACGGATGAAGTATAGCCAGGTCAATAATAGTGATCATCTCATTAGCAATGAAAACTCGTGTCTTCTTATAGGGCTATGGGCTAGGTAGGCTCTGGGCTGAGTTAGAGGCCAAGTATCTGTCGACTTTCAACCCCTTTCACGCATGGCGGTAAAAGCATCGAATCATTCATACTCGTTGAACTGCAACACGGCCCATGGCCATGTTTTATAAGTCAGCCTCGATCAAAATATCACTCAAAGATGAGGTTTCCTGTGATGCGACTTGAAACATGTTATCGTCTCTGACACAGCGTCAACATGGCTCTCTCGGTGTGGGTCTGCGGGTCATCGCCTACTGGGTAAACCGGTTAAATTAGGATAAATCCATATGCGCAACGCCCATTCCTCCGGGACGAGATACTCCAATAACCGATGCGAACACTATATAAATACGCAATTGAGATATATATGAGGAAATATCCAGTAGTATTTGACAGAGTCTAGTACGAAAGAAAAAGAGAGTCCACCAGTGTTGTTGAGAACCATTCTTTCATACCAGTTTCCTCATTGCTGTATGACCCCGCAACACCAAGACCGCAACCAGTACACCATCAAGAACCCACTATCACGGGGGCACCACAAACAACACGCTACCAGCCAAAAATGCCACCTCTGATAACTCACGTATACACCGCGGATCCTTCCGCTCACGTGTTCAACGGACGCGTGTATATCTACCCCTCGCACGACCGTGAAACCGACATCAAGTTCAATGATAATGGAGACCAATACGACATGGCGGACTACCACGTCTTCTCCACCTCCTCCCTGGAGCAACCTTACGAGGACGTGGTGGATCACGGCGTGGTCTTGAAGACCGAGGACGCCCCGTGGGTATCCAAGCAGCTCTGGGCGCCGGACGCTGCCGAGAAGAACGGCAAGTACTACTTGTACTTCCCGGCCCGCGACAAGGAGGGCATCTTCCGCATCGGAGTCGCCGTGGGCGAGAAGCCCGAGGGACCGTTCAAGCCGGATCCGGAGCCGATCAAGGGGAGTTTCAGTATCGACCCGGCATCGTTTGTCGACGAGGACGGCAAGGGATACCTTTATTTTGGTGGCCTGTGGGGAGGACAGCTGCAGTGCTACCAAGACGGCAACGACCAGTTCGACGCGAAATGGCAAGGACCGCAAGAGCCGTCTGGTGCGGGAAAGAAGGCCCTGTTCCCAAAGGTGGCGAAACTGAGCGATGACATGCATAGTTTCGATGGCGAGGTGCAAGACCTGGTAATCTTGGCACCGGAGACAGGCGAGCCAATCGATGCGGATGATCACGACAGGCGGTTTTTTGAGGCGGCTTGGGTGCACAAGAAGGATGGACTATACTATTTCAGCTACTCGACAGGCGATACACATTACATCGTTTATGCAACGTCAGAGAGCCCGTTAGGCCCGTTCACCTACGCCGGACGTATCCTGGAGCCTGTTTTAGGCTGGACGACGCATCACTCCATTGTCGAGTTTCAAGGACGATGGTGGCTATTCCACCATGATTGCGAGTTGAGCAAAGGAGTGGATCATCTGCGGTCTGTCAAGGTCACGGAGATATACTACAATAAGGAGGGCAAGATCACGACAGAGAAGCCCGAATAAGCTCGTCGACGGAAGTCATTATGAAGTGGCACTTGTACCAATAAACCACAAAATGGGTATCAAGCGCCTCCACAAGCGTGTTTTAATCTCCTGTGAATAAGTAAACGATCTTCTAAGAGTAATGCAAAAAAATGTATGTGTCGATATTCGAAATATTACATGCTAGTTCATGATTACATGACGCCGAGCGCCAGCCGTCTCAGGGCATCTTCATATCGTCCAGGACTGTGATCGGTTAACATACTAGCGCCAAATTTGATTTCCCTGAAATGATTTTCGGCGTCCCTGATGTACTTCAGGACAATTCGTGTAGCAGAGCGCCCAATGTAATTCTCGCCAGCTTTGGTAAATGCATCTCTTCTCAAGGCAGGCGTGCTCTCTACAGCGAATACTTCACCAGGTGGCAGCAGCTTTGAGCTCATCATGCTAGCACGCAGGGTCTTCAAAGCTGCAAACGCCCACTGGTCTTCATCCTCAGTAGACAGTTTCGGTGCATTGTTATACCATTTATCGGAAAGCCCCGTCTGCAAATGTTGCCAAATACGCTGGCGGATCTCAGCTTTCGCGCCATCGTTATCTGTCTTGAAAGCCAACGATAGTGCCTGCAAATCGTGTAGTACACCAAGGGAGAGAAATGGGACCAAGTCATTGCCGTGAACGATGCTGGTAATCAACCCACGTGTAGCCATACGGAATGCCGGCGACATTGTCGCTGGGGGGCCGTAGGCGAATACATGTATAGGCCTACCAGCAGGCAAGTAAATAGGTTCATGGGCTTGGCTCGTGATACCAGTAGCCGCAAGTAGTCTTTTATGTTGCTGTGCGGAGGTTACAAAAGCAGTTCCCGTAGTAGCGGGTTCTGCCAGCATCGCTCCTAGCAAGGCGGCAACAGCGCCGCCCAACGAGTGGCCACAAAGAACCAAGCCAAAACCAGGAAACTCTTCCAAGGCTTCCTTGAGGGTATATAGCACGCGACCATCACCCCCATACAAAAGCCTTCGTGCGGAAGCATGTATACCCTTATGGACTTTGTATGCTTTTCCACGCCACTTCAGGTCGTCGTAGTCACACATCATATCTGCTAGGACATCTTCGAACCCGAGAGTTCCGCGGCACGCCAAGACGACAGCCTTGGACTCTCGGTCGATAGCTATGGTGTGAACAAGGGGAACACCAGTGTCAGTAGAGCCAGTTGCATCTGAGCCTCCCTGTGGATCCACGAACGAAGACAACAGTACGCTGTCGGGCGGCAACTCGGTGTGATGTGAGAATGAACGCACATCTTGATGTGTTTCTTCAAGGGGGTTTAGAGTTTGCTTCTCCTTGGCAATCCCCATAAGGTTGAGGAAACGCGATCCGTAAGCAGCAGATGCGTAACGACTATATCGAGTGATATTTCTCAAAATGTGGAATTCAGGAAACATTCCATTGATCATGCCAGTCCTTCGAAGGGTGTCAACCGCTTCAGAGTCGCTGTAAGCACTCTTTTGTTGATAAGATGATAGAACAAGAGACGTCTGTGAGCTACTGGCCTGCAGCGTATGAATGCTGGGAGAGTAGACACCACGTTGTGACCTTGCTCGATTGTGATATCTTGTAGGAGATTGAGCGGGTGAGTTTAAAAAATCATCTCCTGACCTGGTCTTTGACATATGGCTTGATCGATAGACAGTAGGAGAGCCTGGTCTGCTCTCAACGGAGTGAACAGATAGCGTATCAGTTTGTGAGGCAATCGAGTTTCGCCGCCGGTGCTGTTGGCCAGCATAATTTGATTTGGATCCAATTCCGAGCGGGGTGCCTTCAGCTTCTGAAATGCCGAAATCCCGAGTAGAGAGAGAATTGGGGATGACGCGCTGAGACGCGCGCAGCGTGTCCTGTCTGGAGATCATGTTTGAGTTTGGCTCTGGTACAACTAGGGTAGTGTTCGGTTGTGCCTTTGATCTTGTAGACTTGTCGCCCCTTGACGATGATCTAGAGTTGAGGCGAGCTTTGACCATGGCATTGCCGTTGTCAGTCCCTCTATTCATAAGATTGCTAAAGCCTGTCATGGGACTCTTCCTGAGGACATCTCTGAGACCATTTCTTTTCTCAACTGACGTTGTTAAGCCCTTAGATTCAGTCGTCGCAGAGCTCGATTGAGAGTTTATTCCGACGATAGGCGATGCATTAGACTCCGGTGGCCGTCTAGTTCTTTTTTGGTTCGCAGCATTTTCCGGCGACTTTGTAGACACTGGAATTTGCGACGCCCGCGCTCTAGGGGAAGTAGGGACTTCGCTCGCACTAGAACCTGTACCTAATGCTTGTGTTTCTCTTGCCTCACGAGGATGAGGCGCTGCTACTTGACGCGGCTTTGGTGGTACAGGGGGTCCCTTTTCCGATAGATCCGCGTGCGATGTGGGACGGTTTCCTTCCTCTCCCACTTCAAAGCACGCTGGCTCAATGTTTGCCTCAGATTGCTGTATAATAGAGCTTCTTTCTCTTTCTCGGCTAATGCGGTATACAAGACGGTAAGTAGGAGTATCTTGTGATGCAAAAGAGCTCCGGTCAGGCAATGTGACTTCTCGCTCAATCAAGTCGGCGCCGGGCGGAGCTAATAGCGGAGGATCATTGTCCCCTTGAACTTCTATGGTAATGATTTTAGTAGTCGTTGTAGAAGTCGAGATTGAGACCTTCGCATCTTTAGGCAGTCTTCCCAAGATCTGCCTCCTCAGATCCATCTCTGGCAGATCGTCTTCTGAACTGCTTTCATGCGCTCCTTGTTTCTCCAAAGCTTTAATGAGCTGGCTGTTGCTAGCTTCACCGCCTTTGGTGGCTGGATTTGTAGAATGATGGCTGTCACCATATACATCAGCACGTGTACCATCATTGAGGACAACAACATCCCACACGATTTCTTCGTGTCCGAGACGTCGTGCCTCTTCCTGTATCGTCCTGCTACACGTATTTTGCAAGTATGCTAGCCCGCACAAGCCAAGGACAAGATCTGTCACACCAACTTTTTCCCCTTGCACACCCGTGGCTGGGTTTCGGAATTCATGGCGAACTAGTGTAATGATACTCGCAATCGCCCTTGACGAGTCGGTAGAGCCAAAGAATTGGTCCAGTGAGGACAATAAGAGCTGAGAAAGCTGCGATATAGAAGACACGGTGGTTTCGGTAACTTGGAATCCCGTGTTAGTCCAAAAGACGACATGCAGCATGGTCCGATGCAAACTCTCTAGGCTCCTTTCCAGTATGGTCTCCGCATTCTCTCTTCCTAACTCGGATTGCGATCTTGCCAGAACGTCTTTGCCTGCTCTGCTCAATATCCCTTCAAGAATTCCGCGGCCCAGTTCAAGACTGGAAAGTGTCGTGATCTTTGCGGCGCCGATACCGTAACCGCCGATGACGCTCCCCAGACGAAGAGCAAAGGACGTCGACCTAGTAGCAAGACTGACTATACTTGCTACTGGCCCGGGAAGGAGGGTGCGGCTTGGCGCAGTCGACAAAGAAGCTTGTTCTTGACTATTACGCTTTTCGGCAGCTGCTAAGGCAGCTCTGGGAGAGCTGAATTCGACTTCGCCAGCCTCCATCGCTGATATCAATCTCTCAACCTGTGCTGGTCCATGTACTGAGCCATGTAATGTGAGAAGCCCCGATCATGGTGTGCAGGCGATGAAAATGACACAAGTTGGACTACAGGAACATCATGGTTCATGCGGCGCGCAATAAACCAGGATGGTGGTGGGCGAGCCGAACAGCGCATAAGAATGCTCCCAGGGGTGTAATTTGGTTGGTTCCCAACGTCATCTGAACGCATGTGATGATGGTGGGGGCGACATGTTGTTGGGCCGCCGGCTATGCCCCTGAAGCTGGTGGGGAGGCTTTGCGGTGACTACCGACATAAACACCCCTTTCAGCTATCAGCCCTACAATGTCAGTTCCGGCTTGAAGGCGAGACCTGTGTGAACTGGGGCTTGCTGGGTGTGATAATGCACTTGTAGCGCAATTACTGATACTTGGTTTCCAAAACCACGGCCTGGATATCTTGTGACTCTAGGTTAGTGGTTCACATGTGATATGCCGCAAATCTGATTAGGAGCTATGTAGGCTGCCGAACCACGATACCCGAACAAGACCTGACCGAGTCAAAGTCATATTCTAGCCGTAGACTTTCAAAAGCATCCGTGTTAACTTATCCATCTAAACATCTGCGACAAGGGCCTGGCGCTGGATAATAATGTTGCGATACGTCGGCTGCGTTCGTGTATGCGAACAGCCGGCAGAGACCATCCTAGGTTAGGTATGTAAGATATTTTTAGTGACCATGCACTAAATACACGTACGTGAGCGCTACTGTGAGGCTGAGCTGCGCTAAGCAGTCAGGGGCAACGGGCTGTTCACATCAAGATCGTATTCTTGCAAACTGTCGCATTGAAAGGGGAGCGACAATTGATCTTCGAGCACTCCATTGAAGCATTCTTTGTTGTTGTCGTTCTTCTTATTATTATTTTTCTTCTTCGTTACCAAGACACTCGCTTCAAGCCTCACCACTCGACTTCGACGTCCGAATCCACGATGGCAGGCCTCTTTTCTTCTGATCTCATCAGTCCTTCGGTCGCATCAGCCCTGCCGCAAGGCTACACGATCCGAGCCCTCCAACAGTCTGATTATGAAGCGGGCTTCCTCGACTGCCTCAGGGTGTTGACAACCGTTGGCGATATTAGCAAGGAGCAATTTGCGGAGCAATATGAGACTCTGAAGAAGAAGGAGGACGTATACTACGTTTTGGTAATCGAGGATGCTAGTAGTGGAAAGCCCGTCATTGTGGGCACTGGCGCGCTCATTGTTGAACAGAAATTGTAAGAAGAAAATTGTGCGGAGGGGCCGTCTCAGTGCATAGCACAAATGTGTTTGCGTTGCGAAGGGTCCTGTCCCACTCCGATTGTCAATCGCTGTTTGAAGATACTAATGCATTCATTCATAGCATCCATGCGCTCGGTAAGGTCGGTCATATTGAGGATATTGCAGTAGCGAAGGACCAGCAGGGCAAGAAGCTGGGACTGCGACTCATCCAAGCACTCGACTTCATTTCCGAAAAGGTCGGCTGCTACAAGACCATCCTCGACTGTAGTGAAGCCAACGAAGGCTTCTATGTCAAGTGTGGCTACAGGAGAGCCGGGCTGCAGATGGCTCACTATTACGAGAACGAGAAGAGTAAGCATTGAGGTGCTCTCGTTTGCATTGTTCGGCAAAGAATACAAGCAAGAAAGTCTTTGCTAATTCTTGGGTCGTTTTTACTCAATAGAGCCGAAGTTATAGTAGAGAGCCAGAATTGCGTCGAGATATTATCTTGCTACGAGGCATGAAAGAGATATAGACCATAAACATGCAGGTTGAAATGGCAGGGAATAAACAAAAAGGTTCAGAAGCCTTGACATATTCTTGGAAACGCGTGACGTATTATGTGGATTATAGCCTAGGAAAGTATGACAGTTTACTTTCGGATTATCATGCATGCATACAAAGCGCAATATATCATTGCAATGTCTCAAGACATGATGCCGCATTCGGAACTAAAACCGCAAAAACCTCACTCAATAAGAGCGAGCGCTTGTTATCAAACAGCGGCCAGAAGAGGTTCTACGTAGATTTTCTCCATTTTCGATTTTCCATTCGCTCGGGTACCAGTGCAACCTGACGAGATTACTCTGCCGAAGACTTATTTCTAAATTTTACATTTAATACGGAAAACAGAACTTGTGCTTCCTAGCTAAGGCATCCTGAAAATGGGTCCTCGAGCCGATAAGCAATTCCGAAGGTTGTTGATTCGGACTAACATTGTGTTACTGCAAAGACAGTATGTCAACCTTGCAATTGTCTTGGCCAGGCTGAACATGAAATCTGGACACGAAGAGTTCCGCTCATAGTTTTATTCAGAATTCGCGACCAATGCAACTGGTACAACACAACTCGTGTTCTAATGCGCAAACCGTCTGGCAAGGTGATTTTATCACGTCAGGGAAATCGGCTCTGGGTAGACCAACACAGGAACTTGGACTGGTGCAATGACTTTGAGATCATCCGACTCTAAAGTACATGCTGGGCTGCTGTTAGCCAACTTCACTCATCTGAGAAGGACCGGGGGAAAGATTTGAAAGAGTAGTAGTTGAAACAAATGTTCAATAATCTCAATACACCTGAGAGCGCCCTCCCCTGTCTATATGACCATTATCTGCGATCTGATAGTCTCTTACAAATCTCTTGGGGGTATTCTTTCTTTCTTTCTTTCTGCCTTTTGTCCTTCCTTCCTTCCTCCCTTAGTGTCTGCAAGCCAGGCAATTTACCGTCCCATCCAGCCACCGTCAACTATTAACGTATGACCTGTAACATAGCCACTGGCGCGACTCGAAAGGTAAACCACGCTGCCCTTGAAATCATCCGGGCTGCCCCACCGCCCCGCGGGAATACGCTCGCTGATACTGGCAAGTCGCTTCGGATCGTTGAGTAGAGCAGTGTTCATCTCAGTCTCGATATAGCCCGGCGCAATACAATTGACTGTGATGCCCTTGTCAGACCACTGGTTCGCCATACTCTTGGCCAGTTGGCCTACAGCGCCCTTGGATGCTGCATAAGCGGGCACGTTCAGACCACCCTGAAATGTGAGCAGAGAGGCGAAGTTGATTATGCTGCCACGTCGACCGGTCACCGGTGAAGGCTCGAGCTGCAGCAGGTGTGCACCAACGTCGCGGCAGAGGGTGAAGACAGAGTTGAGGTTAACTTGCAGGACCTATAGTGCTTGTTAGTCCAGATGTCGAAAGAAAGATGCTCAGATGCGCATTGCGTACTTTGTTGAAGTCCTCATCGGGAAACACTTCGCAGGCATGTCTGATCTGAATACCGGCGCAGTTGATGAGAATTCGGATTTGGTGGCCATCGGCCAGTACTTTGGGCACCACGTTTTTCACTTCTTCGGGTGAGCTCAGGTCTGCTGTATAGACCGAGACTTTGCGGCCCAAGGCCTCGATCTGTCTTTGCGTATCCGTCACATTTGTGTTCCTCTGGTTATACAAACGTCAGCCACGTAGCTTGCTTTGACGGCTCAGATGACCAAGTCGTACTTGAACCAACAGAATATCTGCACCGGCTTCGGCCAGGGCAATCGCGCAAGCGGCACCAATACCACGGGTGCCGCCAGTCACGAGCGCTGTTTGTCCTTCGAGGGAGAATAAGTTGGCCATTTTGAGATGCAATTGAGTATGAGGATGGTCTAAGATCAACACGAGCGTGTAGTGTTTCAACAAGCAGTAGACGACTGTCAGTACAGAGAAAAGTATAAAAGTTCTCCCCGGTCTTGATCGGCTCACGAAAAGCTGCGTTCGACACATGCATGCAAGTGACTTCGTTCCGCCATTCGGGGCAGTGTATTGCCAAGCCGTCTCGTTCCATATGCCGCCTAAACAACCCACAAGAGCCTATACATTGCAGTCATGTACCTAGCTCTAGGGCGGTTAACCACTCAGACGTATTCCATTTCCCGAACGTAAGTCGATTCCTGCTTTCGCTTGTTCTTGGGCCGGCGTTACAATATCCCACGAATTCTGCCCCTCCCCCGCTATTGTGCCAGAACGGCAATTTTCGCCGACAGGCACGAGAAATGACCCAAACTTCCTTTCCTGAGGTAGAATAATATGAACCTGTCGCATCTCTATAGGAAACCTTTTGCACTTACTAACATATCGAATTCAGGATATTAACCTCATGCCAAGACTTATCGTATCAGCCGCGCCAACGTGCGAATAGACAGGCCTCTGACCGGTATGCATGAACTACGTACTGTACCTATACGCGGTAGCGAAATGCCGGCTATAAAGACGGCTATTGAAGCGGCAATTGGACTGCCCCCACCACACATCTCATCAACAACCGGTTGCTTCTTGTATGTAATGCCTGCAACTGAATCTAGCACTAGATCGTGTTGTAGCGATTTGGACTATTATATGCCTAGTACCAAGTCAAGTACAGCACGAAACTCAATGGCCCCGTCTCCATATTCAATATCCAACGTGCCGAAACGTGGGGTGAAATCGGAGAAATTGGGGTAACTTGCCAGAAAAGTCGCTTTTGGCCGAATTCACTATCAAAACTCCAACGCCGGTGGGCGGGTTAAACTCCACATGCCCGCATGCAGAGGAGCTCCCTCCGCGGTAACTGGTACAGCACCGTCATATCGTGCCGTACTTAGTGTCAGGCTTCGATATCGGAGCAACTTGGGTTGCCGAACATACGAGAAGGGTAGGTAAAACTTTCATGGGAACTCGTGAGCTCTCGTTTGCTGGTAGCCAGAAACTCAACTCTCCCTCTTCATTCCTCATCTTCAGGGTTCCATCTCGTAAAATTCAATTGCTGCTTTAAAATCCAAACTTGCTTGTAATTTGATCCTAGACAAAATCTCACTCGAGATCTCTTAAACCTGCATTGAAAGCACTCAGCTCAAAATCATCCATTACCATGTGTGGCGGCGACATCAGAGCCTCTGTTTTACATGGAGCAAAAGATTTGCGCGTGGTAAGGCGAATATGACACCGAATCGCATAGCGATTACAGGCTAACAGAAGACGCAGGAATCGCGAGATTTGCCAGCCCCCGAACCGACTGAAGTTCAAGTCGCAGTCAAAGCTACTGGCCTCTGTGGCTCCGATTTGCACTATTTCAACCACTACCGAAATGGCGACATCATTTGCAAAGAGCCTATGGCCCTAGGTCATGAGTCCGCAGGAGTTGTCACAGCTATAGGCTCGGAAGTAACCACGCACAAGGTCGGCGATCAAGTAGCACTTGAGGTTGGCTTGCCCTGCGAGGCTTGCGATCTTTGCAAAGAGGGCAGATACAATATTTGCAAGGGTATGAGATTTCGCAGTTCCGCAAAGGCTTTTCCACATTTCCAAGGAACTCTGCAAGACAGAATAAACCACCCTGCTAAGTGGGTGCATAAGTGAGTTGAGATGTGCTGTGCTGTGAGGCCTAAGAGCAAGACTAATTACGTTCTTGTACCAGACTGCCCGAAACTGTCTCCTTAGAATATGGCGCGCTCGTTGAGCCGCTTTCAGTAGCTTTCCATGCCCGCGACCGAGCGAATCTGAAGCCGGGCTCAACAGTCCTCATTCTAGGTGCTGGCGCAGTCGGCCTGCTTGTCGCAGCAGCAGCAAAGGTATCAGGTGCCAAATCAGTAATCATTGCCGACATTCAAGAAGACCGCATCAATTTCGCAGTCGAGAACGGCTTCGCGGATGCCTCGGTGCTTGTACCGATGGCGAGACCACAGACAATTGAAGACAAACTGGCATATGCAAAAGATCTGGCAGAAAAGATCACTTCGACAAAAGTGAAGGGCGAGGCCGTGGGAGAGGTTACTGCTACGTTTGAGTGCACTGGCGTTGAGTCGTGTATGCAGACTGCCATTTACGTAAGTCGCACTCCACTCTGGTAGTAACATTGTAATTGACATAATCTAGTCGACACAGGCCGGTGGTAAGGTCATGATCATTGGCATGGGAAATCCGATTCAAACTTTACCGCTTTCTGCCGCGGCGCTACGCGAAGTTGACCTCGTTGGTGTCTTCAGATATGCGAACAACTACCCTGATGTTATCAGCATGCTGGCTAGCAAGAATGCTGCGCTACCAGATGTTGGCAAGCTTATCACACATCAGTATAACGGATTCGACGAGATTCCCAAGGCTTTCGAAATGGCTGGAAAAGTGAAAGACGAGAAGGGTAACCTCGTTCTGAAAGTTATGGTTGGTATGTAAAAGTGGTTTCTAGCATTTGCGAACAGGATTAGATACCCCAGTAGTCTTTGCCAAAGGGCATATAGAAATTGATTACTGGATAATATTTGGTAATGAGACCATTGTGCAGTCAAGTACTTCGGCTTCACAATTAAGGAAGCAAAACAAAAGCAAAGCTATACACACCCAATCCTACGTACGTCTGTTGATGGTTGATATTCATTACAGCAGTATGGAACTGCAGAACGCGTTGTTTCGTGAGCAGTTCTTGCGATATTTGACATGAAACACGGTACTACAGCGGCTTGTAAATCGCCGGGGCAGGAACGCGCGATGGCCTGCTAATTCATACAGAATTCCAATACTGAGCCACATTAGGTATATGTTGATTTACTTATGCAACTCTAGAAACTTCCGAAGTCCCATATAAGTTCGGATCAATTCGTTGGAAGTAATTGCAGACATGACTAGGCAATAAAAATGCGTCAACCAAGTAAGAGCTGCCCCTGTTCAAAGCCGTTCCGACCCCACTAAAAACACTCTTCAAAAGACTATATCGCCTGCCTTTTCCAGCTATACTACCAACTGCCGTATTAGCGAAGCTTGGCGTATCAATCCTGCAACGGGAAAGTCGAAATGTTTGGAAGCATCAATGGACTGCCAAGCTTGTTCTAGCCAAAAAATGGTCAAATGTCACATGTTGCTTATTGTGTATTTACCTCCCGACGCCCTGCTCGATTGCACCGATGGACAGCGTTGCTGTTGCTGTTGTTTGTTGTTCTTTCTCGGTGTCTCAGTTAATTGAAAATGAAACCACAACGTTTTTTGCCCATTTACGCGACCGGTGTGATAGGAAAGAGCTCTCTCGGTTATATGGTTGATTATGGCCGCTGTCACTGGGAGAATTTTCTGGGGAACTTCGAAAACTCGTTCTGCGATGCTAGTTTCGAGGGGCCAGACGAACTGAGTACCATCGAGTCGAAGCACACCCATTTACTACATCCGGTAGCGACACCCGTCTTCCCATCTGTAGAAAAAGCGATCACAAAATCCGCTGAGCAAGCTGTAGGGACGTTCAAAAATGATGCAGACCATCCGACATCGCCGCTGCTTGTAGAGAAGAAGGAAAAGATTAGGAGCGAGAAGCTGCAGGCTCAAGATCTATGGCCTATAGCAACAACTTGTGTTTCAAGCCACAACAACACAGAAGAGTTTTGCATCTATGCAAACCCTGGATTCGCTGGTGGCAGAGGCATAACCATTCTGACCACGCCATCAGAAGCGCTCAAGCTCGCAAAGAGCCCAGCCTTTGAACAAAAGGATTTGTACAAGACCGTCAAAAACTTCAACGCACCCGAAAGTGACAAGTGGCACGTGGAGAATGTGCCTAACAAGGGTATGGGACTTGTCGCAAGTCATAATCTGCCACTAGGTGACCACATAATGAGCGTCTCGGCAGCCATCATGACCGATTTCAGTATGTGGGACCACGTCTCTGAAGAACAAGTGCGCAGCATGCAAGCGGAGGCCATCAGTCATTTACCGAAACACCACGAGAAGATATTCATGAATCTTTCGACCCACGATGCCGTCCAGAGCCGCGAAGAACAGGTCTATAAGATCATCCTCACCAACGCTTTTGACATCTCTGACATTGAGGTCATTAATCGGCCGTCGGGCGAGCAGGCGGTTAACTTTTTCACCGTTTTCCCTGAGGGTAAGTCATAAATATTGCACACGACACAATATTAATAAGCATGCCGCCTGACATATATCAATTCTATAGTTTCTCGGATGAACCACGATTGTCGACCTAATGCCCACTACTACTGGGACCCCGATACTTTCACCCAGAACGTTTGGGCCACTCGGCCTATTACAGCTGGCGAGGAGATTACTATCACTTATGTCGAGTAAGTTCAGTTTGCGCAGAACACTGAACACTGTATCCTAGGCCTCCTATGTTCTAACAGATGTGACTAGCATGCTTCTCCCCAGGGACGAACGTGTTACGCGACTGGATCATACCTGGCACTTTCCCTGCGCGTGCACACAATGTACACAAATGGACCGTATTGTGGAAGCATCAGACGCGCGAATCGCACAAATCACCGATCTGCAACGGCACTTCAATGATTACTCCGAGGAATCGTATGCTTCACCAGAAATGGCCGAGACGCTAATATCGTTATACGAGCAAGAGCGCCTGTACTCGAGAATGTACGAGGTTTACACATACGCTGCTGTCGAGTATAATGCTGTCGGCAGGCCCTGGGAAGCTATCAAGTATGCCAGACTCGCTATTGGACACGGCTTCGTAGCAAGAGGTGCCAAGAATGAGGATCCATTTGACTTGGAAGTTTTGGCTCAGGATCCTTGGGAGCATTGGTCTTTCATGATAAGGCGGAAGGAAGCGAACGGAAAGCCCACTGGCGGCCATATCACAACCAGTGGTTGAACAACGGCAATTGCTTGGGCATGAGTTAAGAGTCTCAGTGTATTATATATAAGCGGTGTTGTCGTATGTCATTTAGATTGATACTCTCTGACTTGTTTGCTTAAAGTCCAATCTTGAAACCTCCTGGTAGAAGGGTTTGGAAGAACCTCCCTGGGTCGTACTTCCGCGAAATTGCCAGCAACTTAGCTTGATTTTCCTCGCCATATCCAGGAAATGCTTGGTCAAGTTGGAAGCCAGACGCATCACCGATGTACGTGAATGGATCATAAATGGCAGCTTCCTTGGCGGCAGCATTAATAGCATCAGTCGTATTCTTCGCCCAAGTTGCCACAATCTCGTCGTACTCGGATCCATACCATTCCACTGTTTCTGCCCATGCTAGATACGTGCCTTTATTGAGATCAATACCAAGGGCATTGCCCAAGGGATTCGATGCTTGAGAGCCCGCAACCCACAGGTCTCCGATCGGCTGCCAATTGATACTGGCACTTTTGATTACATTTGTTGCATTGGCGCCAATAGCGTCATATAGGTATGGAATATTGGCAGAGAAGATGTTATTGGTCAATCGTACGCCTTGAAGAAGTGAATCGTAATCGCGGCCGACAGTGGTTCCAGCAATGAACATATCATTGTGACCATCAGCAACTCCAGCGGCGATCTCTGCAGCTAGAGATGCAATACTCCGATTCCCGATGACTGAATTGGATGCCGCAGGTATCTCAAAGAATGAAGCGAATGCGTCTGGAACGGCATTGGTATCACCGGGGCTATCGTGAAACAAGACAGCAGCCGGACTCCAAGTGTCAATGCCTGTTGAGATTGTCATGGCGACTAGGTGAGTAAGTGGATCAGTATTGAATGCTGCAAAGTTCGCAATAGCCTATCATAATAGTTAGGCACCGTGATATGCTGTGTGACGAAAAGACGGTCCACTTACCGCTAGCATGTCAGATGTGTGATGCTGGTCAGCCACGTAAATGCCTCCCCAAATACCAGGCGACGGAAAGGCACGAATTTTAAACTGCGTGACGATACCAAGGTTACTACTGCCTCCTTTGAGAGCCCAGAAAAGATCTACGTTCTCTGTTGAGGAAGCTACTACGATGTCACCTGAAGCCAGAACGACTTCGTACTCCAGGACGTTGTCGGCAGCCCAACCATGTTGGTTTCCCACTATGTTTTGATTAATCACCTAAAGAACTCAAAGATAGTATCTCAGGACTTACAGAAGTTAATTCCACCTGCAAGCAAGAGACCTGGGACACCTACAGGTGAAAGTCGACCACCAGCCACGGTCAGTCCATGCGGTTCGAGCCAAGAGAAAACATCGCCCCATCGCCATCCAGAAGCAAGCGTCAGTGATTGATGATCATCAGATAGGTTAATGCTTGACAAGTTCGACAAAACGACAAGAACACCATCGTCGACATTATTGGCTCCCTATCTCGTCAAATCTGTCAGCACCGGGGGCCCAGCACAGCATGCTACACTGACCTTGATACCCATGTGACCGCCGCCACGAACCGCGAAAACAGACTCATTCTTGCCACTCTGCAACGTCAAGATTGCGGTAGAAACATCAGTTGCGCTCTCTGGGCGAAATACGCATCCGGGCGCCAAGATCTCTGTGTTTGACCTATATTACACGAAGACATGAGCGAAAGCACAAGAAATCCCTAAACTCGGAACGCGTATAACTCACCAGAAATTTCCTGCCTCATATTTGTAAGCATCGCTGCTTGGGAAGAAGACCTTGGAAGGTAAAACTAATGCCAGTGCTTGGCAACCAGTAACTGTGATATTGCTGCATGCGGCAGCAGCAAAGGTAGCCGCAAACAATAAGCATGCAGTCGGTACCAACATTCTGAGAGGACTCGGAATTCGGAATGTCTAAGAAATTGATGAAGCAATAAAAATTGTCGCAAATGACCGGGAACCGGATTGATTCTATAGCCACGTAAAACCGGGTACCTGCTGGTTCTGCTGGTCTAGATTGCTCCCAAAATTAGTCACTCATGCACTGTAATAAAACATATTTCCTCGTTTAGGTATGTCTTCTCGTTGGAGACTCATCTCCGATGCAAATATATGAAATCTTTGATACGGTCCCAGCCTGTCGGGTCGTCCATTGCGGCACCAGCAATGGTCAATGGGCCGCGATTGGTCCGATTTACCTCTCACCCCTGCATCTTGCGAACTACCTTGTAAAAGTCCATTAAATTCAATATACATCTGTTGAATTCACGAGATTCAAGGTGCTAGGATCAAGAACCGGTGACCAGAAGCCTGTCGGCCAGGAAGGTGGAGCATGAGACACTGCATAGAAATGCCATCTTGGAGGGTTTGCTAGCCCTCGTATCCGAAATCCAGATCATTGTATTAATAGTCATACAACAAAAGGAGCCCGCCGAGCCAAACTGAGGACCTATTAATCCCACCAAATACATGATCAGTATGAAAATGTTTGTCGTCCAGAAATCTTTATTGGCTGCACATGCTACAATCACATTTCGTGTTCGTGTCATGAAAGGAATATCCACCAAAAGATTCAATGTTTGCAAACCCCAGAAAATGGACACGATGATACGATTTAACCTTGTCCGTGGAATTCAAACCCGAGGCGAGCTCCGTCCCGGAAATTATCTTGGAACCGGCCCGACGTGTCGGGTCGTGGATACGTGGCGACCGTCGTTAGCACCTGAGGACTGTCCCAACAATTTTGAAGAGAGAGAAGGCCTTATGTAGATATGAAGTAGTCGACCGCAGTTTTGGGTAGTGAGGGTATGGGCTGTGTGTTTCTTCTTGTTGAAACCTTTTGTTCTAAGGTCCGCTGATCATGTCTTTGGACAATGGAGTGATGTATCCAATGGATCCGCCCGTTGGATATATTCGCAACCCGGGTGAGCCGTACGAAGCCACAAGTTTAATCACTGCCATATCTGTTTTCCTTCCGCTGGCTGTAATCACTACAGGTATACGCGTATATATGAGAACAACTGTTGCTGGCGGCTTGGCAAAGGATGACTGTAAGTGAGTCGTTCTTCACCATCGTATATGCTAACTAGTTTTAGATTTGATGGTTGGTTCTGTTTTCTTCGCTGCTGTGGTCATGGGACTCTCATTAGATAGTAAGTACCAGTTGTTGTCTCGTGACTTCACTAACCTGAGTAACATTCAGTGCTAGACTATGGGCTGGGGAAGCATTTCTGGAATGTGCCAGTTGAGCCTGATCTCTACCCAAACTGGCTCATGCGAAATGTCCTTGCCGCATCCATTCTCAACTTCTCGACAGCCCTAGCTAAAGGATCAATTTTACTTTTCTACCTACGGATTTTCACCACAAGGGGCATGCGACGCGCAGTTTGGAGTGTGTTCACTTACACGATGTGCTATTCTTTCGTCGGTGCCTGTGTCACTATGTTCGCATGCCAGCCCATTGAAGCATCATGGAACTTTCAGGCCTCACTGACCGCCAAATGCGTCAACCTTCCGGTCTGGTATTTCGTGTCCGCCGGGCTCAACATATCCTGTGACATCGCGACTTTACTGCTTCCACTGCCAAAGTTGAGGTCACTGCAAATGCCACGAAAGCAAAAGATCGGCGTGGCCTTAATCTTGACAATGGGTACCTTCGTCTGCGTCATCGCCATAATTCGCCTATCTTCCCTGTATGCACTACTGGCCGATAAAGACCTTACACGTAAGTACGAACAAATTTCTTGGCCGCCCTCACACGAGTTAATAGTCACTTCATACTAGGGAACACAGTAACTGCACTAATGTGGTGTGTACTAGAGATCAATCTCCAAATCATTGGCGGTAATATTCCAACACTGAAGCCATTTATCCAGCGCATCTTCCCACAACTCATAGCTACATCTCGGCGGCACGACACTGATGGGCTGATTCAACTCGACGCTAGGGCGAGCAACGGCAACACAGGTCACAAGGACGGTGCTTTCGAGAGATGCCTCCTAAATAGGCCGTCTACGAATGGCGTGTTGATAGAAGACGGTAGTCAAGAGAATATTGTTGGTGGTATGGGCATTTTCAAGACGGTCCAGATTGGTGTCGAGTATGAGGAGCAAAGTGGACCGTGCCGAATATAATACGTTCAGCACAGGTCTTCTTAATCTAACACCTAGCCGCCTCCACAGCCAGTTTAGTTGGTTATAGTCGTACATTGAGTGTGTTTTTCCGTTTGCCTATGTACCGTACACTGCAGAATTATGTATATAGTGCTCATTGCTGACAATTGGTCATTAATTGCTCTGCTCCGTAGAATTACCAGGCTTCCCACACACATGAGCTGAATTTATCGTTTAGCCTTCGGTCTAAGATCAGCCCGAACGAACACACCCCACTGTCACTCCAAGTTTCGTCCAGAATTTCCACAAACGGCAGCGCAATCAAATGCCGAGTCAGTTGAGAGACTCTACGCTTCTCGGTGGAAACCGCCCCATTAGTTCTTGGAGGCAAGAAGCAAGAAAGTCCAATCCAAACCATTGATGACCGAGAGCCTCTAGTTTCACGCCATCCCACAGCGCAGTGCCTTGAGGTAATCCACTCCCAGTAACTATCGTGAAAGCCCCGCGACATACCCCGCCATCCCAAACGCGCTGCCCGCTGTGCCAGGCTTGGATTTCCACTTGCCAAGTGCTCTTCGGGGTGTGATTCCCGCTCATTTTGGTGGAGATTCCTCAGGATACCTTGTTGTCATGTAAATAAATTATCCGTCAGGCGAGCTGCTTTCGGTGACGTGATACTGTACCACTTCGCAGGTACAGTAGGAGCTCCGCGGTATTTTGCTTGATGCGCATAAATAGTCCTATCCGCCGCATAACACATGCCGCGGCCTTTGCTATAAGTCGTTTGAATTCCAGAGAAGACCAATTGATACCCACCCATTTCCATTGCAAATCCTTATACAGACAAAGTACTATAGAATACACGAGAACATTCGCAACCATGGCACCTACTTCTTTCAAGCTCAACACCGGCGCAGAGATCCCGGCCGTGGGTTTCGGTATGTTGCCCCGCACCCCACGATCGTGATGTTCGCCCCGCCTCTTGTGGTTGTAGCATACAGTTTTCGCGGATGGGGGAGAGTGAAAATGGCGACACGAAGTTGGGTAATCAGACGGCTTACACAAAATCCCAGGCACATGGCAAGCAAAGCCTGGTGAGGTCGCCAAGGCCGTCGAGATCGCACTGAAGTCCGGTTACAAGCTCATCGACGCTGCATACTGCTACGCAAACGAAGACGAGGTTGGCCAAGGTTTAAAGGCCGCATTCGATTCCGGAATCAAGCGTGAGGACATCTTCGTCGTAACAAAGCTATGGAACACATATTCGACACGTGTCGAGCACGGTCTTGACAAGTCTCTCAAGTCGCTTGGTCTCGACTACGTCGACCTCTATCTTGTCCACTGGGCTGTGGGCATGAACCCCAACGGAACAAGATCTGATGGTGGAGACGCGGACCGATTTCCTCTTCTGCCCAACGGCGAGCGTGATATCCTCTGGGACCACGACCACGTTCAGACCTGGAAGGATATGGAGGCCCTGGTAAAGACTGGCAAGACGAAGGCTATTGGTGTCTGCAACTACAGCAAGATCTACATTGAGAATCTGTTGAAGCACGCAACCATCACGCCCGCAGTGAATCAGATCGAGAACTCGCCGGCTCTACCGCAACAAGAAGTTGTCGACATCTGCAAGGAGAAGGGTATTCACATCATGGCGTATAGCCCTCTGGGAAGCACAGGTGGTCCTTTGATGAAGAGCGGAATTGTCACTGGTCTTGCCGAAAAGAAGGGGGTCAGTGCTGGCACAATCCTGCTCAGCTACCACGGTAAGTCCCAAGTAACAAATGAGGTTGCCTTCGCTAATCACCTCGCTTGTAGTTGCAAGAGGGATCACTGTGTTGGCCAAATCTGTCACCGAGTCCCGCATAAAGGACAACTTGAAGATTGTTGACCTTAGCTCAGAAGACCTGAAAGAGTTGGCCAAGGTACCAGAGCAACTGACCGCTGACAGCAAGCCTCTAAGATATGTGTACCCACCATTCGGCATTGACTTCGGTTTCCCCGACAAGCGGGAAGGCAAACCCCTCAAAAACGGTGCTACTGCATGAACCACGTCTCAACCATGAGATTGCATAGGGGTTTATGATTGTTCAGCTTGTTTGTGATTACAGCCTTCGAAGAGCACGCAGGCTGAAAACTTGGATGTACTGAAATTGTAGAGCATATAGAAAGAGTCATGAACAAATCCAAGCGCTTACAAGTCACTTTGTCCGATACCTTTACTCGCGCAATATGAGTTCAGTTCAACATATCATCGTTTGAGGTTGTACCTATGCTTTCATATCGAGACCGCGTACAAATATGTGCTCGATAGTTCTGAGTATATAACAACATCTTGAAAAAAATATTGTCATATATCAGGTCGTATGACTATAAAGCAAAAAAAAAAAAAAAAAAAAAAAAAAAGGGTTATGTCTGGCTTTGAAAAGCTCGTAACTTGTTGACCAGTGTGGAGTTGCATGGTAGTTTGACGGAAGCGATTATTCAATGCGCCGGGATTGTCGCGCGTCGCCCAAATGTTTCGACATAACCTAAATAAGTTCTAGTATAAACTCACTTTTCCAGATTGTGTGCGAAACTTCGGTATCGTTTACACAAGCTGCTTTCGATCCCTGCAAGCGAGGCTAATTTCAATAGCACTCCCAGTTCTTCATTGCATCGAGCATAAAAGTGCTAATGATCATGACCACGTCTCAAAAATGTCAAGCATGGACTTCACTATCGGCCCAGCTAATAGAGATAAGCAAGGATCGTTCTTGTGTTTCCTTCTGCTATAAAAACCCATAAATGAAATGGCGAAGAAAGTCGATCTTGTGTTCCAAAAGCCGGTCTGTGGGACTGTATACGTCGCCGCGTGGACAATCATCCAAGCGAGCAATGAACTCCGCATCACATGGGGTGAGCTGGATTTCCAATAGTCCTCGATTTCGACTTCGACTTCTCAGTCTACTTTCGATTTATTCAACATGATGCTTCAACTCAGCTTCGCTGATCGGACACACATAGGTCTTGAAAATAAGCTCATCATCTTCCTGCATTGCAGACCACATGGCCAAAGCACTCAACTCACGTTGCCAGTGGTGCGAAGCCAATCCTATCCTGAGTAATTTTGCGCTTGGTGCTGGAGAAAGAGGATCAACCTTAGATGAAAAAGCTTCGTATGCTTTATGTAGGTCGTTTCTAGGATCTAGCAGACTTGGAATACATCAGTTAGGGAGTTCGGCGGGTTGAACTCGTCCAGGCCATCTATCACGATGAAGAACAACAGGTCCGGACTCCTTTGATACATGGTTCGTAATGCTTCGCGTGCTTTGAAATAAGGTTGTATCTGTGGCCGAGGCTTCATGGCCATGGCATACGGCATTGAAATTTTTCTCAAGATCAACTGGAATCAGCTCACGCTTGATTTCGAGAAGTCTCCTTTTTACAACGGACCCGAAGAGCAGACGACCGAGCGTGGATTTCTGATCTCCTTACTACATGAAGTAGCAGAAAGTTTATAAGATATTCCTTCCTGAGCCCCATACTTTGAGACACTCCTTTGTTCTTGGATCATCCATGATGCACCGTAAGGCTGTATGTACTCTTGCCCGAACCGAGCTTACCACTGGGCCAATAGGCAGTGGCATTTCCCTCTAAGAACCAAGTAAAGCTGTCCCACCGATCCCCTCGAGTCTGAGAGTTTTGAGAGAGCCAGTTGAGTATCTTCTTATGCGCATCGGCAATGCTCTCTTCGCGACCATGTATGACGGGATACCATAGTGGGCCCAGAATCCCATTCTCAGCATTCTTTTTCATCTTCCCATAGTTCACAGCAGCTGCCCCCAATCAACAGTCTGGATGCGTTGGAAGGAAAATAATGCCGTTATCTCTGTCAAAAGCTCGTGGTGACGACCTTATTGTAATTTCTCGTTCCTAGAAAGCGCTTGTAACATATGGAAGGCAGCCTCCTGTGATATCGCTTGGTAAATGGCAACTCGACGCAAGTTCCCGTACATGTCTTGCAGTCGCCCGTCTCCAGAGCCTGCAACTTTCCCCCCGGATGGCGACGAGAACTTGGACTTGCAGTTGGTTCTGCCCCATGCGCTAACGCGACTGAATCTCTCTCAACTCCTCCGCACTCCACATGCCTCTGGCAGCAGCCTTGAAGGCTTTGACCTCGGGCTTATTTTCAACCAAGACCTTCTGCGATGTCTCTTCGAATTATTTTCCTACTTCGGACACTCGGGACCCTAGGTCTTGTATAACCTATGGAACACATAATTAGCACACTGTGCTAAAGTATGGATGAGATGATGGCAGCGACCCTCCTCGAGGAAATGAGTCACACCAGTGAATACATGGAAATTGATGTCTTGCACATTCGATACCCTTTTCTTTAAGGCACCCCAAACGTACAAAACCCACGGGAAATGATGTTGCTCGGGATGAGGCCAGTTCAGCCCGCAGATTCACCTCATCATCTTTGTCGCCTGCATCCTTCGCACCTGAGAGCTGCTAATCCTCCAACCGACGGATTACTGCTTGCACATTCTTAACCACAGTGCTCAAGTCCCAAGAATAATCGGGTCCTCCATTCCCAAGCACTCCTTTCACGTTGCGAGCGAAGCTATTGGTGAATATGAAGAGTTTGTACGCCGTTCCAGCGAGACCTATTGCTGTAGCCAGGTCCATGGTGGCCGGCTAATTTTAAGTGGTGAGAGAAAGGGTTCTCAATCCCGACGCAGCCTCTCAATATATATTAAGAGGTCTTTTGATACAGCCGGATGCCTCCTACGTAGTTCAGCCAGCCGCCCTGGAAGGCAGTGGTGTGTTACTTACCCATATTTATTCTAATCAGTCCCCGTAGTGGTTTTTGCCGTCTGCGTTACCTGTGATACGTGGCTGACAGACCACGTAGCCATGATCTTAATATCCCTTGGTTCATACAAGCAGCAGGTCGGACCAGTGTCCGACGTATGCCTGCAAGACCTAGACAATGCTTGCCTACCGAAAATTAGATTTCCCAAGGGGTCACAAACAAATATGCTGACAACAACCGTTTTTCCAAGTTGAAATTGATGCATTAGTGCTAATGATGCTGCTATCACAAATCTAAAGCATGGTGCAGTCATGTGGGCGACCATTGTTGTACAGAATGATGTTGGTACACCGGAGCACTTACAACTCCTCTTTAACCAGCGATCAATACCCATAATCTGTAAACGCAGTCAGCATGTTGCTCAGTGGGGTTTTGTTATGGAAGACAGTTTCAGGGGAGGGACCTACAAAAAAAATATCATCAGAACGCCGAACATTTTGGCGATGAGCCAGCGATTGCTAGATACTCGCGACCAGTACTTCAACAGCTCCTTTTGTGCTCCCTGAACGTTGTCTACTACATCCTCGGTGTTGGCATCAATACGCTGAATCTGCTCGCTCTGCTCTGATACCATCTGTGCTAGCTGGCCAAAGATAGACCCTAGTTCGCCGATAGTCTTTTCAATGGCCTCGATAGCTTCGCCTCTTTGCTGGATGTATGTATTTTGTGGTTGTGCCTCCTCCATCAAGAGCAGTTGCTGGTCGCCCATTACCGGGTTGAGAGATAATGTATCGCCTCCGGGTGATGGAGTACCCCGGTTGGGTGTGCCGTACAAGGGCGAGGCTGACTGCTGTAGCGAAGGTTGCGTATGCTGCGACACCGAAGAGATGAAGTTGTCGGTCCTCGCCCTAGACGCCTGTATGTTCTTGGTTCTCAGTTCCAGCACATCTTTGAAGTTGGCCGAGACGTCGGTCAATTTCCCTTGCAGCATGAACACGACATTCTTGTTGTGTTCTCCTACTTGATCGGCCTTGGGGTGTTGTTGCCGTGTCAGACTCTGTAGCCCGGAGATTTGCTGGTTGAGGCTGGACAGGTCTTGCTTGATGATAAAGGTGAGCTCGTTGATCTCGACTGGCCTGTCATCGAATAGAGTTTTCCGTTTTGCCAGTTGGGCCAGTTTTTCGAGCTTGCCCATGGTCGCGGATATGCCCTTTCCGATTTCAGCTGCTTTGCGCGCGAAGTCTGATCGTCTCGGTCTAGCCGTGGCATCGCCATTTGCGTCAGCCTTCTCCTGGTCCGTAAGAAGTGATCGCCTCTGTGCGCCGACCTTTGACGATGCCTGCCTCCTTTGCACTTGGCTCAGCACGGTCCTGAACTCGGCAGTCCGGTCTTGAATGGATGCAACGGCCATGGCGACGGTAGGCCACGTTGAACTTGGGCGTGGGCGGTCGGTGTCGACTATTCGCAGAGTGGACGCACTCGAAGGCGCGCGGAAGCAATAAAACAAGAGGCTGTTCGCGATGGGTTGAGAAAAGCGCCGAGGGCTTGTAGATGATAGAAGCGCAGCACCTGGATTGAGAAACCGAATTGAAGGAGCCGCTCGCGTTGCCGTAGGAAAGGAGAGAAGATGGTGTGTGAATTACAAGGGGAATAAGATAATCGGCGCCGAACTGTCTCTTTGGAAAAACGAATGGGTTTTGAGCTCGTCGCAATGGCCGAGAGGAAATGGGGTGCTCAACAAGAGAGCGTGTCCACAAGCGCTGTCATGGCCGGCCTGCAGGCTGCGCAGGCTGCACGGGCTGCAGTTACAGTGCGGATCTGTAGTTATGTACATATGTAACCTAACCTAACCTTAGTCTAGCTAGTCTAATCCGTACCACTGCCACTGGCAGAGAGGTCTCTGAGAAGTACCGTGTACCTGCAGCCTTCAGGCTTCAGGCGCCAAGGGTCCCACCCACCCCTCCTCTCCAGCAGTTAATCCGTTCCGTCGCATCCCGCCATCCAGATGGAGGGGTACCAACTTTGGGGGCTTTTTTTCGAAGCCGAGTCCTTTCTTTCCTCCGTACAACGACGACGAATATCGTGCTTTCAAGCTCAAGCTACAACTATCGCAGCATGACAATCACAGTCATTCTAGGTTCCCAATGGGGTATGTCTCGTCCTCTCCCACCCCTCACTTCTTCGCGCTATGCCCTGCTGATACCGGGCATTGGGCGGGATGCGATCCACCTTCTTTGTGGTGCTAACCTACCGCGCTTTATAGGAGATGAGGGCGTATGTCTTCCCTTCCGCCTTCCGGCTCGAACCCAACCCTTCTGGCCACGCGACGCCTGCAGAACTGATCTCTGACGATGTACCATGGTGTAGAAAGGAAAGCTGACCGACATCCTTGCCTACGATGCACAACTTTGCGCCCGAGCCGCTGTGAGCAACGACACGATCCACCATGGCGAATGCATACTGATAGAAACTCAAGGGGGGTCACAACGCTGGGCACTCCATTGTGTGAGTCGAATGCTCCTTGCCTCCTGGCAATTGACTCGTGAGAGGACATGGCTGACTCCTTCTCCATAGCGCCAACGGAGTGTCGTATAGGTGGGTGTAAACAGACACGGAAGTCTTTCAACAACTGCTCACCTTTTCATAGCTTCCACTTGCTTCCCTCTGGTCTCATCAACCCAAAATGGTACTTGTTCAACCCACTGCGCCCAGACAACAGTGAAACTGACATTTCACCCAGTATGAACTTCATCGGCTCGGGAGTCGTCTTCCACGTGTAAGTAACCATGTCTCTACGTCTGCTCACCTTCATCACATCGATCACCATACAGGGCGCCTCTGTCACAAGTATGTCGAGATATTGACTTTGCTCTCAGCCCAAGCTTCTTTAAGGAGCTACAGGAGCTCGAGGAGAAGGGTCTTCCCTCGGTACATGATCGGATCCTTGTTTCCGACCGAGTGCACATCGATTTGCAGATGCACGTGGCAGCCGATGGACTAGAGGAGAGGGAGCTCGGAGGTTGGTCCCTGGGCTTTGGGCAAACACAACCGAGTGGTATATATCATTAACTGCTTCCAGAAAAAAAGCTAGGGACAACGAACAGAGGTATTGGGCCTTCGTATGCCGTCAAAGCCGCGGTAAGAGAAGATTTTACGGTTGTGTTTATTGGACATCTTGCTGAACCCTGCACAGCGCAGCGGAATCAGATTAGCGGAGGTTTTCAACCCCGAGCTGTTTGAGTCTAAGCTCCGACGATTGGCCGCTGGCTATCAAAAGCGCTATGGAGACCTATTCGAATACGACATCGAGGACGAGCTTGCTCGATTCAACGAGTATCGACCGAAGTTGGCGAAGTACGTCGTGGACGGCGTGTCGTTCATCCGGTCAGCCCAGAACAGCAATATGAACATCGTGGTGGAAGGAGCGAATGTGAGAGCCCTATTCTGCAGTTTATATCCTGATATTGACCGATTGGTGGGTCGAGCAACCCTGCTCGCGGTCTCATACTCCTTTCCTTGGCCCGGGAAGGAATCTCAGGCAGGGGGGCGGGACGCAGTAGTCACTCTGGCAAAGGCACTATGTTGGTCAAATCCCAACATTCTTTCGCTGAACTGAGCTCTGCGGTTTTTCTGGCTCTCCACTGAGGTTCCGGAACGGCCTAGGGGACTGGCTTGTACTTGTGGTCTGCTGGGCCTTGAGCTTGGCTGTTGAAGGGACTGACGCTTTCCATGTGAAAATTGAGCCTTGGAATCATTTACAGACGGACCAAATCTGGTCCCTTGAAGTTAAACGCGATGCTTGGCATGCGGTGACCTTGTCTCTAGATGATTTCAGGGCCTTTTTCCATGTCGGACTCTTTTCGCGCTCTACATCTGGGCAGAACGACCGGTACAAGTTGAGTCCTCTTTGAAAAGGAAAGGGGTCTGGGGCCCGGCACTTGTGCTCGTCCCCGTTTGAACAGGCACTAATGCTCGACATTGATTATGGCTCATACCCGGTAAGTTGTCACAGTTTGGTCTTCAAATCTTGCAATTATAGTAACAGATCAATAGTTTGTGACCTCGTCTAATACAACGCTGGCTGGGATTATAGGCGGACTCGCCTTGAACCCGAAGAACCTCACAGAGACGATCGGAGTGGTGAAGGCTTGTACGTTGTTTGCACTCGGAGCATGATTCAACGCTGACCAGTGGTAGACACAACTCGCGTCGGGCAGGGAGCTTTCAAGACGGAGGATACTGGAGAGTGCGTTCTTAGTTGCCTAGAGCTATAGATGAGAAACTAACTACCTGCGATAGGATTGGGACCAAACTCCAGGAGATCGGCCGAGAATGGGTTAGACTCTACAGGCAATTAGTTTCCACACCTTCCAAGGCTAACTATATACCTAGGGAACATCGACTGGCCGAAGACGCAGATGTGGATGGTAAGTACTTGATCAAAGCAGAACTCTGCCGGATGACTGGCTAATTGTAACTTAGGCTTGGTAATTATAACCATCATACTGCTATAATTTGTTGGTCAATGTCGCTGACCTGCACTGTGTAGACCTTGTCGTTGTCAAGTACAGTGCTTCGATCAACTACTACTCCGCTTTGAATCTTACAAAGGTAGATATTCATCCCTGGGTGCCTGCTGGCCCTACCCGTGGCAGCTAACTGACACCTTTCAGCTCGATGTTCTAGACACCTTCGAAACGATCAAGATCGCCATCGCCTACAAGGTTGACGGCGAGGTTAGTCTCTTTGGTCAAATGCTAGTGAATAGGAAGACACTGATGGCCTGCAGGAACTGGACTCTTACCCTGCGGATCTCGACATCCTAGACCGAGCCGAGGTTGTCTATCATGAAATGCCAGGATGGCAGAAGCCGACGACTACTGCAAAGTCCTTCTACGACCTCCCTAAGCAGGCTAGAGACTACGTTGAGGTAAGATACCTGCCAGTGTTAGGGAGGCTCATGCTAACCACCTTTCTAGTACATCGAGAATTTTGTTGGAATTCGGGTAGGCTGAATTCGGGGCATTCCTGCTTGGCAGACTTTCACTAACATTAACCAGATCAAATGGATTGGTACCGGCCCCGACCGCGAGGCCATGATCAAGCGCGCTTAAGCGATCCCTCGTGCAGCGGAGTTGGCAGATCCCACACGAGCACAGGCCTGTTGTCCCTTGACTGCAAAGACCTCTCGCGCAATCAATAACTTATGTCTCTGGGCTTTCAAGCGCCTTTGCGCCACATTGCCCTAATCGGACACAGTACCACATAGCGTACAGGCTGGACATTGGAGTAGAATGTGGGCGATCGAGTTCACGGAGGTTTTGCGAAAATACTACTATGACGAGATGGTTGACAGACTGGATCAAGCATAAAGATTGCCAGGGCTGATGTACAGTGAAGGGATCGAACAAAAGTGCAACTCGGTGTTCTATCACTGGTTGAACATTGACTTAGAACATTGACTTAGACAATTAATCTGAGCTTGCGAGTAGTAGACAATTACGGCATTGCAACGTTCTGCCACATACTCCTCTGCTCTTTTTTGCTAGTTGCTTTATTGACCAAGGCTGATGAGTAATTCTTCCCAAAACCTGCTAAGCACGGTCGGTAGCCTTGACCCTTGTATGTGTTCCTTTCCAGAAGCTCCAGTATGCCATGGTCGAACAGACATTCTATTTCTTACGGCAGCGATCCCGCATTTGCTTAAACCTTGTCAGCACCCCGTCTTTCTTTCGAGAATTTCCAAATTGCGCGTGGAATGCAACAAGCAAATCTCACGACACATGATCAGGCCAATCTCAGAGGAACCGGTTTTCTCTTAGTCCAAGTTTGCCGCCTCTTCACCGGACATTCTTTGTCATCCTTGATATGTTGGCGCCTTATCTTGATCGCATCGCAGACCCGTCCATTTCCGGATTTCTTCCAAAACTTATTGCATACCTCCGGTAACTCGAGATCGAGATGATTGTAGAGAAAAGGTAGTTCCACTTGGGACCAGTCGGCGCTGTTCTTCGCCTTGTCGACAAGCCCTCAATCCCCACGCCTCGATCGGGACGTATCGTAATCCATGTGTTGAAGCTACTGGCATCCGTCGTCGAGCAGAGCAGCATTATGATGGCATTCCGAGATGCAAAGGCCCGGGCGAAGCCAATAAGACTGCCCTGCGAGCCCATCGTCGTTTGTCAGAAACAGATATCGACAGGGGTAGACGCCGCAGTACTCTCCATGTTTCCCTTCCCGGCCCCAGAGATGGGAGAGAATACATTTCGCCATTACTTGCTCATACTCACCCCCGTTGAAACTGTCGACGTGCTTCTCGTCGACTCTCTGGGTACGCCAAAAGATAGTGATGCCACCCGTTGTATTGGATCGCGGGAAGGATTGTCATCTCTTAGGCCGGAGCGGTTGCCTCAGCGCGCCTATGAATGGCTCGCCGGGCCTTGCCGGTGAAACAGACGAACAACAGGCTCGGCGGTTTGATTATGAGCACCAGCTGGTCTCCTCAAGAAGTAGCGTCCTTCATCGGCGTTGTTGAGGAACACGACCAAGGCGTCTACGTTCATGGTCCTTCTGGTCTTACTTGTATTCAGTATGACTTTCTGGTATCACAGCTGCGTCTCAGAGGAGTGTACAAACGAAAGCTGAAGTGGTGATAGTATACCAAATGCTCATCTGCAAGCCTGAATCTGATTTATCGCATCAAGCAACATCTAGAGCAGGAGGGTCTGGTCACAGAGCCCAGGGATGACAATGACCCCTTCTACCATATTCCGAAACTGGAGGATAGTCACAAAACTTCATGGCACTTTCGAGAGCTCCTACAAGATACGGTATATCCAGACTATAACCATATCATTGCTCGTAAGAAGTTCTGAACTATTTATCTTCCGAGGTTGCTGCGTAGGGATGTTTGGAGAAGAACTACAGTTAACCTGTCCCTTCCAAAATTCTGGAGTATCTAATACTAATAATAAAAGCATCCGCACCCGAGCGCTTGTCAGCTATAAGACATTGCACACCACAGCATATTTCCGAACGGACGCTAGCAGTTGTGCTCGGCTTCACGCGACAGCTTCTATTAGAGCGGCGCTCTATTCTCGCCGCCGACACCCCTCTTGTCCCGGTTTTTGCATGGTCAGACTTGATCCAAATCTGGCATCAAGCTTCCGCTCAGCTGTTGGTCGATGGTGTGCCTCGCCAACAAATTCTTGCTAGTGGGCCAATACTCACATCGAATTTATTACAACGACACAGACATCACCTTGTAAATCCAGGTCGCTCTTAGCCCCTGTCACAGTGGACGCACAATCCATCGAAGAAAACACCGTCCAAGGAGTCTAAAGTACAGATATCAGTCTCCTCTAACCACTCCAGAGACGAGTATGGTCAAATGCAAGAGGATGTTTCTGCAGAAGAAACATATGAACCGGAGGAAAGCTCTGAAGAGCTGTACGAATGCCTGTCTAAAGAAGGCCGGTATGAGGCAGCAGCTTCTGTAACAGCGAGCCTCGCAGAAGCCGCTTGTCCAATACAGATCGGATCCTTGGATTGATCTTGGTCCCAAAGCTCCAAAGACCCAAAGCTCTAAGCTTAAGTGACAAGATCGGCGCTAAACTCATTTTATCCGTGGTTGCTGGGTGCTTGGCCTGGAACCGACATAATATCTGCAGCTGCACCATTTCGTCACTCAGGTCCTCTGCATAGATTATATGTTCTCAAGCTGACACACTTTGCCATTTTAGACTTCGTAGATAAAACACGTGTGCGCACAAGGACACGAAGTGCAGGGGACGAACATGTCTTACTCCGCCTTTTGCTCGACATGTCCGCATTGTTGTCGACAATGTATCATCGACCCTGAACTTTCTCTTGACTTTTTGCACTGATACCTACTCACGATGAATTCTGCAGAAAGTATAGGGATGTTTCAATCAATGCTACACCTCCTATAATTTCCGAACGTTGAGTAATTTCAAACTTTGAGTTTGTGGTTGGAATAAGAAATACTTTGAAACAGCTAGGTATTGAATGTTCTACTTTTTGGCACGACGGACCCGCCTGTCATTGTTGAGACATCCCCTCAGGGCTTGTAGATCTGGGGGATTCGCAACCTAACGGCCTGTGTCCTCTGTGCGCATATAGATAGGTATATTACGGCCACAGCAGGATGGAGCTTCTTGTTACTTGCCAGCTGAGGTGTATTTCGATAGTAAAACTGAGCCAACTCCATGGGCTAAGCTTGAAAAGTGCCTACCGTTGTGCAGTGAGCATTCTGTTCTACTGCCTATAGTAATAATCATAATCATAATTTTGGAGGTGAGAGTGCTGTCAGGGCGTTGAGGCAAGGAATGGGCATCATTGAGCCGCTATCATGCAGGCCTTAATGCCCCCCAACTACTATGTACTATGTATGTAACCACACTACTGCCCAGTCTGGCTTCTGCGGGCGACTTATCCACATGGCAGTGCATTTTGATAATAATAAAAAATAACGCCGGCTCCCGCCCGCATTTCGCCATCGTCACCACATGTGCCGCCTCTTCCAAGTTTGTTGATGATCAGATGAATGTGGGACAGTTGCCCCGTTTCCTCATGGATTTCAACAACATCAGAGAACAGGGCATCTGTCACGTTGACAATATCCCATTCCTCATTCCTGTTGTCAACATTTTGTAGTCTAAACAGCATTGCATTCCATCCCACTCCATAATAGATTGTTGTAGTATATGTATACACTTACACACACTCAAATGTCCATTTGTACCTAAATAGCTGATCTATCCCTTCCACGTCATCCGTTTGCCCCAGTTAATTGGCGCTGCTCTGCCAGCCGCCTCTGGACGTGATAAGCGTACAACACGAACCCCATTCAATTCAGCCAGCGCTGGAGGGCGGATCTCTAGCACAGCCTTCGACATACGTTGTGTTCCGAACCTAAACTTAAACTGGACTCGGAGAGCTGCGCATCTTTCTCCTTTCAAGGGTCCTCTCCGTTTGGTTTGTCTCTTCCCGTTTGAAGCTGTCGGCGATGTCGTTTTAGGTGCTCCTTTCGCTGAGTACTGCCGGTCGAAATGGACGATAGCACGTACAACAATATCTATCGGAATACCTCGCCGATGTAAGTTGGGTTAGCTCTATTCGCGCGCGCGCGCGCGTGCAAAGTCTACAACAGCGTCGCTGACGGCTCTCGCCCTAGGACACCCAGCACCCCTGGCAATGCCTTTCAGACAAATGTGAATCGCACAAAGACGAGGAAGTGGGTTGAGGCAAAGAAGCAGGACTATGGAGGTGACGATTGGGGCAACGAATTTGACGATGACGAAGAACCTCAAGAGCCACAGCCGCCTTCGAGGGTAACTGCTGGACTTAGGCCAATCGGACAAGCGACGCAGCTTCCAACGCCGCAATCGTCAAGCAACCGAGCCGTCTCTCAGCCAGCCGTCACGTTCGGCCATATCAGAGGAGAGTCTTTCGGACGAAGGAATCCTAGCGGCCCGCCCGCACTGCACATCCAGACCCAGCAGCCGACGCCGGTAAAGCAACCCGAGCCCATCGAGACCGAGCCCTACACGGACCTGTCGACATTTAACGAACCTGACCATAGATATCCAGAAAGGGTGATATCACCACAGTCTGCGACCTCGAGGCCATTTCCATCGCTACCTGGATACCCAGGTCGGAGAGACTATTCGCCAGCTACACAAGACCGCGGCCGTGGGTCGCCGGCCCCCGCGCCGACGAATGCTGCCCTGGTATCGACTTCCCGCTTCCCCCCACGCAAAAGTAGCATGGGACAACAAGACGATGCATCGGGAAGTAGGCCAGGATCTCGCCCTGGTTCGAGCGGTCGACCTTGGAATCAACAAAGGTCAGATTCACCGGAATACCAAGCTCTTGCTTCAGCTGGCACACCGAACAAACCATTGCCCTTTATTCGCCCAGCTGACATTTACCGTAGGATGGAAGAGGAGAAGGAGAAGGAGCGCAGGTCAATGGACTCTACCGACAATATACAAGGAATGCGCACTAGCTTCGACAGAGAGGATGATTCGGAGGCTTCCCGTGGGCTCAAGTCAACGCTTACTCCTGTCGCCGAGAGAAAGAGTGAGTACGGCCTCGACCGTCTGACCCATCATGTTGACAAGGTATATCCTGCGGAAACAGCCGCACCAGAGCCAACCACCAAACCGGAAGAAGTCTTCTCTTCCCCTTACATAGCAGCGCCCGTAGTCTTGTCTAGCAGGAACCAACCTCTTAAAAGTTCCGAGGACCGTCGAAAATCGATGAGTCCCAGGCTACCCGACTTGACGCGCATGTCAGGATTTGGAACTGATTTGTTTTCGGCGCCAGGGTTTCCAGATACAGAGGAGCCAGCACAAGCAACGCTTTTTGGTAGTAGGTCGGAGCACCGCGGCGTAGACTCGAAACAGACCGAGGCAAATCAAGCCTCCATCCAGCCCGATTCGACATTACAGCCGAGCGATGGCGTTCCTGACAGTTCGGAAAAGACACCCCCGAAGAATTTCCAAGGTAATGTCGGCAATGATGTGCATGGAGCATCAAGTTTGATCGAGGGCCCCGCGCTCAGCGACGAGGATACGACAGTTTTACGATCGCCTCCTTCCGAGATCTCCGAATACCCCGGATCGCAGGGTCAGAATGCTGCTTCACAATTCTCTCCACCATCCCCTGACGCAACCGTCAAGGAACGAACAAAGCCGTCCAGACCCTCGATACCTGGTGGGTGGGTATCAGAAACTACAAACTTTGGCTCGGCAACACCTACGCCTATGGAACGGCCAGAACCTACAATATCGCAACTATCTCCTGTTCAAGATGTCTCGGAAAGTTGGCCTGTTACCGACTTGGCAGTAGGCGACATTGCGCCTACAACAACCGTGAAACATGCTCATTCTCTTAATTCTGCCCCGAACACGATTCCCAAACCCCACACGATGTCAGGGGCTAGTGAATATGATTTTGGCAATACCACGGGCAGACATGACCAAGCAATGGCCGACGAGGTGATTGCGGGCCGTCCAGAGCATCTTCCGACACCGCAAGCCCTTCCACCGCTGCACACGCCAGACCCTCTATCTTCGTCCAACGCACCGCCACTAGTCAATCAAGATACAGCAATCTCTGGAGCGCCAAGCTCAGGAGATTCTCCATCGAAATACTCATCCTCAACTTACCCACGAACGGCAACTACGGCATCTGGGTTCACTCCAACTGCGCCATTGAACCCGAAACGCGGTGACACCTCATCATCCGAATTTGTAGCGCCTGATTTTCTCCCTCGAAACTTCACCATGAGTTCCATGGATACATCGTCTCCAAACGAGAGCGATAAGCTCAGGGAAGATATCATCAAATCGCTTAGTCCAGTAGACTCGGCCCTGGCAAATTCTACCACCATTCCGTCGGGTGCTGACCAGTCACTTCCAGCGCCCTCGCCAGAGTTGACGCGAGAGAGCAGATATTTATCCGGAGTTTACGATGATTACATGGGTCTCAATGAAGACAAGTCGTTGCGGGACACCAGCCAAGTTTGGAGAGACGAAGGCAGCACTACTTCACCAGCTCTTCCGGAGTCAAGGTCAGTCAAGACTCCTGCCTTAGAGGGACACCCGCCTCCAGTAGCAGCCACGAGTATTGAACAAACAAGTTCGGCGACGGGGCCGGTTTTGGAGAGACGATTTTCGTGGGAGCAGTTAGCAGAAGAAAGTGATGTCAACCCGGTCGAGGCGCCAGTTATTCGCGCCCAAGTATCAGAAGCAGTGCACGAAAGTGCGGAAACTTCGACCGCTACGAGTGCCACCGTCCACGGAGACACGCCAGCTCTGGCCTTGCAAATCGAGCCTGACAATGGAGGTACCATGTCTCACCAGGTTTCCCTGGTCAGCAGCCATACCCCAGGGGGCCTAGGTATCGCCGGGATCGAGCCACCGTCGCCTATATCTGTCATGTCGTCGGAACGAAGCCCTGGAGTCACTGATCACAAGAACAGACGTTTGTCACTCGCGGAAGAGAAGGTTCTCATCCAAGTTTCTTCCAACCCGGTGTCGCCGAGTCCCGAGGAGGAGCATCCGGCCCTTGCCACCAGAACGCCCCGTGAGGCCTCACCAGTGCTAGATAGTGCCAATCCAGTGGCGTCGCCACCAAAATTCGTCAACATTACGGGCTGGCGGGAGATACTCAGTTTACCATCGCCAGCGCTTAGAATACAAAAGTTCGACGAGACAAGAACACAATACACAGCTATGGAATCGGGTCTGTCCAATTGGCTGGAGCATATGCAAGGTCAACCGGGCCACGAGCCATTGCCATCATCTTCCGCGAGTTCTGCTGGCATAGCAGCCACGGCGGCTTCTGGGCATGGACCCTTGCAATCATCGCCAACAGGCACACAACCACCTGTTCAACAGCCATATTACCAGCAGTACCTCAACGCGAGCAACGACAAGCTGGCGTCGGCGCCGGCAGGCCTGGTGCGGCAATCTACGGGTAATGCCTTGTCGTCCGGTCGGCAACCCGTGAGCGGATTTGGAACATCTAAAAATCAAGTAGGGACCAAGGGCAAAGAGTTCTTGCAGGCAGCGGGCTCGTTTGGAAACAAAGCTACGAAGGCGGGTATGAAATCTGGACTGAAGTTGTTCAACAAGGGCAAAGACAAGCTTCGTGGTTCTGGCGACAAGGTATTTCCATAATATTTTTTCTCTCATTGATACGGAGACAGCACATTTGATTTGAGAACACTCATAGTGGCTGGCGCAAACCTTCTTTTATTTTATTTTACTATTCTTCTTCGAATTGGCGACGTTTCCCCTGTTTAATCAATCAATCAATCAGTCAATCAATCAATCACACACCATACCCATACTTGACGAGCAGACTTGGGCCGCTTGCACGTTGGGGGCAGGTGATAAGTGTAATTTTATCTTGTCTCTGCTCAGCTTCCCGAGAAAAGGATCAATGATCCTTTCTCGGCTAAGAGCGCCATAATTGTGTTCCATTCGCACAAGAAAAACGGGGCTCCTGTGCACCAATAATATGGAGAATCAATTCCACTGTGCAACGGGTGGCTTTGGCTGTTATTGGCGCTAATGGACCCGACACTGGGGGCTGATCCATCGCCTCAGGCTCTATTGCAATCCATTGCATCCATACCCTCCACACGCTGATGCTGCTGCTGCAAGCTGCATCAAGCACGAATCCTTCAATCTAGTCTAGCAGCCTGCCTGCCTTGCTTACCTCGACACATTTCGTTTCCGTCCCGAGTGGCTTCAGTAGTACTGTTATATCTCAACACTGGTTTTTTTTTTTTGGTTGTCTCTTCATCTCGTTTTCAGCTTTCTGCTTTCTGCTTCCACGGCGGATTTTTTTTTCTTTTCAATGCCAACCCATTGCCCCGCGCTGTCTCCGTTTGTCCAATGCAGAGCTTGAGATATTAATAGAAACATTTATTTGTCTAGGACTCCAAAGAACCACAATTGCATGCACGGTTAGGCTCTCCCCCCCGGGCTACGTCACAAACAGTTAAGACACGAAATGAAGGTCGGCGCTCCTCTTGGGGTTTTAGCTTAATCGGGAGTCGTTCACAGAGCCGACAAGGCTCAGAGGTCCACCCAAATTATCATGCTCACTCCTCCTCATTTTCGCTAATACAGCACCTCGTCCACCGGGACTCAAAGTCTACCAGGCCCCCGTCTCCAGCTCTAGCTACGGCTACATCTACAGTGTTGCCAGCCGCAAATCTAGCCAGTAGTACCACGCAGCGGCCGCCCGGCACGGCAGCACTAAAACCCAACGACAGGGCACCTGCAGCGCCAGCACCATCATCAGCTCATCCTAACGCTCGTGCCGCATCCCACGCTTCTGTCCCTAGCACTGATAATTCTGGCAATCTCACCTGTGGTGCTGAGCCGTATGCGACCCTGTCTTCTAGATCTAGGTTCAGCTTCCGTCTTCCGCCATTGCATCTGTCAAGAAACTCTTCACGTTCGCCTTCCCGCTCCCGTCCTTCTCCATTATCGCGTGTCAGTCGCAGCCGTCCCTCTTCTTGGATATCGACAACGACAGGTGATCGACGCTTGTCATTGCCGCCACCGCAGTCGCAATCTCAATCCAGGCGCAACAGCTCAATTTTCGAGGTCGTACCCGCTCCCCACAATCCACCAGACATCGGATTAGCGTCACCTATTCCCACATCGTCGTCTGCATCGCTCCATCGCCATCAGTCTTACTTCGAGCGTAACGAGTCCCCTCCACCGCCTGTGCCTCCGTTGCCGAAGCCACTCCCCATCAGCAAGCAGCAGCCAACTTGGGATCCTTACACGGCTACGCCGCTCGTCGAAGAGGAGGATTTTGAGCTTGTAACACCCGTGCAAGCGCGTCCCTCGCCACCGCCAGCCGCTGCCATTGCGACGGACTCGACTATCAGTGATGCAGCGCGTTTAAGCACCGACGATAGATCGGACGATTGGATAGAAATCATTAGTCAGGAACCTGAAACAGTGCAATTACCAGAGCCACTCGGTGAACCGCCCCGAAGTATGACGGCGCCGCTGACGGGTCAGAGGCCGGTCGCATCGCCGCTACAATACCCCCAGCAAGAAGGCGGCCCCGCGGAAGCTCCCCGAATAAGCTCTTTTGTTGGGCTGCCACCCATTCGTCGTACGTCGACCTTTGGTCTGTTAGGCGACAAGAAAAGCCAAAGTGACAGCGAATCCATCGATTCGCCAACTGCGCCTTCAGAGGAGGAAGTGCCACCGGTACCTCAGATCCCAGCCAGCATGAATCTTCAGACTGCAAATGGACAGCAAGTGCCTGGTCAATCTCGATATAACCAGGCATCCTCACAACAGCCACAGACTTTCACACAGCAAGTGCCCCAAAGTCTGCCTCCTACGCAGTACATGAATGGCCATAACGACTATGGTGCCTACGCCCCGCAAGGTGTCCATGGCTTCCCAGTCGATCGCAGTGCTATGCAGAACGGCAATATAGTTCCGCAGCAGCATGCTCCTGCTACTGGGCCATACCAAGTACAACAACTCACGGGGGGTCGCGGCGCGCAAGTTCCTGGGGGCGCGTTGTCGCAATTCACTGTGCAAAGCCAGAATGGGTCTCCACCTACGCCAGGACAGCCATTCGCGCAGATGGGTATGCGACCTGGTATGTCCTCTTCTCCGGCTGCCGGCAATCCCATTCACCGGTTCCCGCCGCAAGGTCAATGGAAATTGGAAGAATCTCATTTATCCGAGCCCCTAAATTCTTCGAGGAAGGCGCAGAATAGTCCTCCTATGCAACAACCAGGGTATTATGCTGAAGACAAAGAGACTGAATTACTTACACCAGGCGGTCCTTCACAGCCTCCACAACGTTCGATGCGTAATACCGGTTTGCCACCAGTGTCTGCTCAAAGGTTTCCCGGTCTGTTCCCGGCTGGAAGCTCAAACCAGTCTCCCGTCCAGCAAGCCCAGCAAGTCCAGCAAGCCCAGCAAGCCCAGCAAGCCCAACAAGCCCAACAAGCCCAACAAGTCCAACAAGTCCAACAAGTCCAGCAGGATCAGATCCAGATAACCCCGGCTGCCCAACATGCACAGCAACAACGCCGTGACAGCATGAACGTTTCGAGAGCGTCCACACAGGATTTGGACGAAGATAATCGGCGTCCATCTCAATCTGGTCTTTTAAACCAGATTGGCGGTAAATTCCTGCCGCACCGTGGAAGATCTGATTCCATTGCCAAGGATGGGCCTTCTGTCCAGACCGATGAGGTTTCTGTCTCTGAAACGAGTGAATTGACCGATGAGCCGCAAGAAAAGAAGCACAAGCGGGCTTCATTCTTCGGTATTAGCAACTTGGGCAATAGTGGTCCTAACACGCAATCCAGCTCAGGACAAGGGCCCCAACAGTTCGGTCCACCTGAGAAAAAGAAGACTTTTTTCGGTGCAGGAGAAGCCGGTGCTGGATCCAAGAAGCGACTTTCTGAGCTCAAAGACATGTTTAAGAGCGGTCCTAAGGACGATCCACAAGGAGGTAAACCAGAGCTAGTCCATCCTGGTGGGCCATCCATGCAAGCCGCCATTAGACCTCCAACGGGCGGACCTACAGGCTATCAGGGGCCGCAACCCGGGCCGCCTCTCCAGTATGGTCAACCCGGCATGATGGCTCCTCCTCCGCCGGGTGGCCGAACTCGTAGCAGTACTCAGGGCTCTGTGCAGGGGCCCCCAATGGGACTACCACCGAACATGGCCATGGGTCCTCTCCGACAACAGCATACAGGAGATGGCAAGGAGAGAAAGTCGTCGACAAGCGGGTTCTTGGGTGGTCTGTTCGGTAACCGGCCTGGGACTGGTACCAAAGATTCAAAAGCTTCACAAGGGCCACAGCAGGCGCCGCCACCTGGCCAATTATCTATGCAAAATGGGCAGCAATTTCCCCCGCGAATGGGATACCCCGGGCAGCCAGGCTTTCCGCAAGGCCAGCCGGGTCCAGGCGTGCCACCCCAAGGGCAGCTAGGTGCTCCCGGGCAGTATCATCCCGGATGGCAAGGTCAGCGGCCTGGAGGACCTAGCCCTCAAAGCTCACATCACTCTCTACATCAAGCAGGGCAGCCCGGCATACCACAAGTATATACAGCTATAGGTCAAGGAAGCGTGATGTTGGAGACGAGACAGCCATCACAGACAAATTTGTCGACTCAAGCACACCCAGGTTCATCACAACAGCAACTATACCAAGAACAACGACCAGGTATTCCTCCTCAACAAGGGTCACAGACTAACTTGAAACCCGAGGAATATGATATCAGGAGGCCGTTACAATCGAACCCTGTTACACCGTCTGGTGAACACCAAAGGACTCTTGCGCCATCAGATGATTTCTCCCGCCGATCATCTCAGGACCACCTAAGCGTCAGCGGATCCTCCGGCCTTCCTCGACCATCTCCTAATCGAAAGCCGGTTGGCTCTGGCCCTTCTAGAACAGTTTCTGGCAATATTATAACCTTGCAACAAGAAGCATCCACTTCTCAGACATCAATTTCGAAACCTGAAGGGCCGCCCCAACCATCAAAGAGCCCGGGATTATCAAATGAGTTTGGAGGCGATGGGCAGCAAGCCTCCATTGAGACATCTTCTATTCATCAAGACCCCCGTTCCGGCACACCGACTCATTCCCCACACATACGGCACCCGTCCCTGCCAAATCCATCTCAGTCTCCTGCGCCGATGCCAAGTGGCCCGGAATTTCAAAGGAGGCTTTCATCGCAGCCTGGTCAACCACAAGGCAGCCCGCTCTCCCAACAAATCTCAAATGGTCAACAGCTGGTACAAGGCACCACTCCGGACCAACCATTACGAATGCCTTCCGGTCAGATGGGCGGCATGCCACAAGGCCAGCTTGGACAATCAATCCTTCAGACTCACGCACAGCCCGGTCATGCAGGCCATAGTCATCCAGTTCAGCCAGGCTCTGGACCCCAACAGGTTCAATCTCAGCTCTGGGGTTTCACTCGCACGGCTACGCAGCCCCCAAACATGCCTGGTCCTTCAGGTCAGCAGCAGCAGCAGCAGTTACAGCATGGCCCAGGCCGAGGTGGACAAGGTCCATCGCAAGAACAGAAAGGTGCCATGTCCAAGCTGTTTGGTGGTGCCAATAAGAGACGAGAATCAGCATCTCCCCAGCCACCTCTTGCTAATCAGGCATCTCAACACAAGGAGAAAGAGAGTACTTCGTCAAAACTGTTTGGTGCGTTCAAACGAACAAAGCAACAGGAGCAGCCTCAGCGTCAGCAACAACAACAACAATTACAACAACAGCGACCACCTCAAGGATCGCAGATGTATGCTCCAATGATGCAAGGTGCTATGCAGGGAGGCCGTGGCCAAACAACAAACCAGCCAAATCAGCCTGTTCAGGGGATACAACCAACACCGCACCAATTAATTCAAGCTGGACGTGGCCAGCCGGCCCCAAGTGATTCATTGCCTCAGGCCTCATTTGGCTCACCTGGCCAGCAACAGGGTAATCCACAAAGCCCTCCCCAATCTGTTCAATCAGGTCGTGGCCAAGTACCGCCACCACAGATGCTTGGCGATCGTGGTCAGCTTCCCTCTCAGACACGGGTCGGATATGGCCAGATCTCTTCCGCGGTCATGCCCATGATGCAGTCCAGTCGAAGTCAGACAATGCCTCCGCGACAGGAACCCCAGTATGCTTCAGTGCCAATTCCTCGCGGATACGAAGCAGTCCATGGCTATGGCGTGCCTAACATGGTAGCCACTAGCCCATACAACGTGGGTCGGGGATCGCCGCCTCAGAATTTCGGGCCACAATTTCAGCCTATGATGCCACAGCACACTGGTGCATCACAGCAGGCGTCACTGATGATGCCTCAACATACGGGTGCATCTCAGCAAATTTCTCACCAGATGTTACCGCAGCACACTGGCACATCTCAGACTGATCCGCGACTGCCCTCTCCAGCCTTGTCGCAGCAGGCTCAGTCACCCTATGGTCCCCCACAAGGCCGAGTTCTGTCACAAGCCGCAGGGAACGTCGCTCAGAGCCCGCATTCTCATCATGGTATCAGTTCTGCTCAGCAGCAATTTAGCACCGCTCAGCCTCCAGTGCCACAGAGCGCTACATCTCAAACACAGGCCTACCGTATCGACACACAAGGATCGCCGCATCTGCAACCGGCTCAAGAAACCTTCTTATCCCCTCCCAGCGCCCGAGGGTCCGAGCAGGACATCTTGGCTCAGTCACAGGATGAGTCGGTCCCTGCCGAAAACAAACATAGACAGACACTGAGGCCGCAGCCTGAGCATATTATCACAATGGTAGATCAAACACCTGGTCAGCCTCAACCCCAGGACACGGCCTCCCCGCAGAATCAGCCCCTTCCTGATTCAGCACGTACTTTCTCTCCAATCAACTCAGCTATTGGTAAATTAGCAGACCCTCCACTGCCACCGATTGCGTCTGTTCAGGATGCTCATGACCAGCATTCTGCCAATAGTGTCAGTCACACCCCATCACCGCCACCCGGCGCATCCAACTCGGAGCACCACAGCATTCGTCATGTGGTTAGCAGCTTCTCAATTGTTGATGACCCTCCTCGAAACACCTCACTCAGCCCGGACTTAGCCTCGCATAAGCCTTTCAGTGTGAGCCCTGAGCCATCTGGGCAACGACTTGCTCCGGCTCATCATGCTTCCAGCCCAGACCTTTATGTAAATGTGGACAGGGCGAATAATCATACACCTGATCACGAGGATTTGTATGATGCAACCCCTCGTGATTCACAGGCAATACGGCCGCATCAGGTGCCTGTTCAAAATCCAACAACCCAACATAATGAGAGCCAGACTAATGGCATCAATGGTGCTGCAGCCGGCCTTGCTGCGGGTGCCTTGGCCTCTGGAGAGATTTCAAGGACGAGTAGTTTTCAGGTAGAGCAACCTCAGCAACAAGTTCAACAGATGGAGCCAGAAGAGAAAATCCTTGTGGATGAGCCAGTTGAACTTGCTGCCGTCAATGATGACGGTGACGATCTACCCATGATGAGCGCTACATCCTATCCTGGGCAGGAATGGAACCCGTACGGTGCAGGCGAGTTTGGGGACTGGGAATAATGTGCTCCAGTCCCTGGGCTCTTCGAGTTATAAAGGGACCCATCATGCCAAAATTCCAATCGTAAGTCGGATTGTATCCGACTTGCTTATGGCGCATTCAAGTGTCCGCAACATGTAGAAAAGATTGCAAATTCTATTACTGGTTATATTCAGCGGCTAGATATACATCTTCGGTCCGTCTGCTTTATTTTGTTGATATTTAACTTCATCTACATACCCCCAGCTCAATTCACAATAGCTACACAACGAAATTATAATCATATTCACTAGGCTGCGTGTATCATTGACCTGAAGTGTGCACATTAGAGTCTAACAGCTATCCGCATATTCCCAATTGAAAGATAACCTTCGCAATATCCTTCTCACTACAATACTGGACGAACTTGGAACTACTTCTTCAGACAAGTAATGATACGCCTCATGGCGTAAGTGAACAATAATATCCCTAACCCCAGTTCTTCATTCAATTACAGTGTTACATTGTACCACTGTCGAGCTGTTACTTGCAGAGCAAACCTTTTTTCGTCTTTTCGTATTGATTTTCACAACTGGGCATGAGCGTGTTCGCCCGTTCCTGGCCATTGGGGCCACTATTCCAGCACAAATAATGCCCGACCACAGGTTTGCTATATGTAAAGGTAGCGTCCTGACTGCTTGCTCTATCCTGCTCTCCAATCAAAGTTATTAGATCTTTATATTTTTCTTGACCGTACCTGAACGGCAGACACCCTGCGCATTAATTTTCGGCGGTGGCGTGTACTAAAGGCACGATATTGGGCGGGAGACTCAGTCCTCTTCCATAGAAAGAGACTCCACGGGAATATCTTCGCCTTCACGAAATGCCGCCCTCCTGGTGGCTATCAGATTGGCGAGACACCTACGAGTATGGCTTACCTCAAATATCGAGTGTGGTCATTGATATTTCAGAGTGCCTTTTCAACAGTAATCATGAAAACAAAAATCAAGACGCCATCTATGCCAATAGACATCCCAGCTACCGCTTCGAGCTTAGCGTCTGCCATGTTCGATACCACGACACGCGAGAGGAGGTCCGACAGTACAGCAAGCAACTTCTCCTCGACTACCTCGATGGTGATATCATCGATAAAGCGCTTCAGTGCAATCCAAGGTAGACACCGCTCTTAGTAGCCTGTGCATACCGGACTTGATCGTTGAGTAGAATATTTGTTGGGTAACCTACTTGGTAGTACGCACTCAAGCTGTTCAGAGCCTCGGCCGCGGCATCTTTCTTCACCAAAGATTTCCCACACTTGACTAGTCGATCAACAAGCAACGCCAAATTGACGTATTGGCTGATGTGGACCTTGGTAGAGGTCGCGTCACCAAAAAGTTCCTTGATGACCATGGAGCACGCGGCTTGGCATTATTCATCGTCGTAGTTCTTGATCATCTTATATACTATTAAGAAAAGTTCAGCGGAACCCCTAGGGGCCCTGCACGCCGCGTTCCCGGTGTCATTCGGGAGCGCTCGCCGGCCTATTGATAGATACCAGCTCTTCTAGCCTGGGTGGAGAGTTTCCCCCCTTCGTTATATTATACAGTAAACCAGCGTATCACTATATTTAACTTTATTTCAATTTTGAATCTAGAAAACACTCAAAAGTTGCCATTTTGTCAGTTTTCGTCAATTTCCAAACTATAACTTATATAGATGTATTAACTTTATAAGTATAATCTCAATTTAGTACTCAATTGGATATGCTTGATCGAGATTATACATGAATAATACATCCATTAATTCTAGCAATTCTAAGCATATACGACCATAGCTTTTAGAAAACTCTGCATCCCCGCTCTGCCCTAGATAAACTGAGAAGCGGATTCTTGGTTATAGGAGGGCGGAGGAGGCATTCTTTTGCTGGCCCGCCTCGTATGGGCCTTATCCTGCGATACGGAGCGCTGACGGTGACGGGACTCAGTGGCCCTTAAGGTCGTATCCTTCACCTCCGTGTTGATTTCGCCGGATCCTTTCTATCAACGTTGTGGCCATCAGCGTCTAGCTCGACTTACGCTATTCGAACGCCCTCTCGGCATAGATCGTACGCTTCTAAGCCAGTCCTAGCTGCCGCTCAATTGAGAGATCCGACCCATCGAGAGCCTTGGTTACGATATAGGTGAAGCTCTGCCATAGCGCCGGCGATCAGGAGCTTTCGTACCCTTTGGCGTGGGGATGGGGGAGAGGTGTCGAATATCGAGAGATAATGATAACTGGACGCCTGATATAAAAGCAGTTCGAATTAGGTTTACAATGGCAAGTAGGTGAATTCAGCAGTAGTAAGAATCTGTAACTGCTGCGAAGAACCCAGAAACCACGTTAATCTAGACGCGCGACCAATGGTCTGCTTTTGTATGAGTATTTCTCTATGAATTGGACAATATACGAGATCTCTGGTAGCTGTGAGTGCTGACGCTGTATCGAATGGAGTGGAAAACAAAAAGGGGTGCAAGAAATTGCAGGTTCAGTCGGCTATATAGTAGCCTCGCTTAAGATACCATAACTTGCTTCTATTGAAACCATCGATCTAGGCGCCTCGTGTATGGAGTAGGCAGAGCTGCTGCCAAACCAAATCAGAAATTTTTGATTATGACAAACTCGCGTAAACAGGCCAAATTATCCGGCTCAGCCTAATTCATAAACTAAAAGCCGTTTCGGTGATGAAAAGTAACCAGATATAAGTAAAAAGCTATAACGATCGCCCAGTCGTTATGGCTGCCAGCCACTATATTTCAGTCCTGTCCGTCCCGTCGTTAGTTAGTCCGTTAATTTGTAGTCTTGTTCCAATCTAAGTCTTTAGTTTTCGTCGTCGACCTCACCTACGTCGCCTACTTATCGTGACTGTTCCGTAGTCATTACATTTACTATTGCTTCGATCCCTTCTCTTGCCTAAATTTAAGTATCTAATAATGGCCAAGTCACTTCACTTATTGCTCTAGACTAGCGACAGCTGGTCAGCCCTTGGTCAAAAGCGTGTTAACGCGGCAAATTCTCGGAGCGGAACAACAATCGGATCATAGAAGCTCTCTAACTAGCCCGGAGCTTTATTCCGATTCAATTTAGAAAAGTTTGTATACGAATATGTAAATAAGCTTGGCCAATTTACGATATTAGCATAAATCAAACGCACGCGCTCTGTTAGCAGCTCTGAGAGCAGGTTTCATTGACGGCTGGCTGGCTATCAGCTAGTCTAACCTAGTTTCTTGGCAGCCCGTCCAAGTAGCGGCATCCGTAATTGGTGTGCAACTCTGCCCGCAACCCCATTTTAATATATGAACGTATCGGCCATCCCATGCCAGCACCACAAGTTCTCTTTTTCCTTTCTAAGTGGGGGTTTTTTTTTTCTACAGTGCTTATGGGGGTGAATTGCTATTGTTCCAGCGATGCAAGGAATCGCTTGCGCCAAGATGCTCGGTGCCCGAAGTTCGGGGACCGAGCATTGATTCCTATTGGCCAGTTCCCCACGTGTCCATAGAGCCTTCAGCCAGATCATGCTCTTTCTACCAGGTGCTTGTGGAAAATCAGAGGGAATACCCTTCACAAGTCTGGCATAGCAGAGTAGAAGTCCACTATGGACACTGAGATTGATAGCCCACGCCCGCTGAGCCTTAGGGCACCTTCAGCATCTATTGTGCCACACGCAGCGCTATACGCCGTCCAAGTTCTCGCCCTAATCCTACCTCCTTTCAGGTGCCGCAATCATATTTTCGCCGGCCTCATCGTTGGTCTTGCCGTATACACGCACCTCCATCCTCACTTCACGAACGACCCTGGCTTGGCACAGCCCTTCTCCATTGCTTGGTCCTATTATCTAGCAACCCTTGCCAAATTGCTCTTCACTGGCCCCAGTGGTCCTGAAGGTGACTTTTGGCGCATTGACCGTCCTAAACAGGAAGCATTAGGATACAGAGCACTGAGCTGGCAGAAGATCCGATGGGCGTTTGCGCTGATTCTCAACCAGCGTGGAGTGCGCTGGAATCATCAAGTTAAGAATGTGCATCCAGTCCAGACTACGAAGAAATCCAAGTTCCTCGCTCTACAAACTTTGGAATTCATCAAATGCTTCTTGATTGCGGATCTCCTATTCAGCTTGAGTCGTCGCTTCTTTTTCACAGATGCGAACGGCGTAGTGGGGACAATCCGGAGCGATGACCTCACTCTGAGGCATCCAGACAGGCGCTGGAGCTTTGCAAAAACACTCGTCTTCGCCGCCATGCCTTACTTTATGCTTAGCATGCAGTACGTCCAATTATCCATCGTGGCGGTAGCCCTTGGTATCTCGAAACCTGAGGTACGCCACAGAACTCAACTCTTAGGCGAGGAAATACTGATTTGAATAGGATTGGCCGCCTCCATTTGGGTCTATCGCCGATGTGACGACTGTCCGGTTATTCTGGGGTAAATACTGGCATCAACAACTTCGTCATGTAAGACCTATACGAAGACAGAGTCCACAAAATTCTCACTAACACTTTGTTCTTACTCAGATTTTGACGTCTTATACCGATACCGTTATCGACGCCCTGGGTATTCCTAGAGGTACGAACTGGTCGTCATATACGACACTATATCTTGCATTCCTCTTATCGGGGACTTTCCATGCCCTATCCCAGCGGCTGATGCCTCGGCCCGAGGATGTTTCTGAAAGTGGTCTCGTTATTGGCTTCTTCTTGTTCTTTGTCTGCCAGGCAGTGGTTATTACAGTAGAGGATTTCGGCCAATGGTGCTGGAGGCGATTGAGGAGATCACAAGCTATAGGCCAAAGTCGCCGTTTGGCTCGGGTTGTTGGATATATCTGGGTGACTTGGTCCATCTGGACCAGCCTTCCCTTGGCAGGAGATACTTTTTTGCGGATGCGCATGGGCGAAGAAAACTTTCTGCCTTTCAGTCTCTTTGGGCCATATGTTGATAGGTTTGTACCCATACCACCTCCCACGTAGACGATAGAACCAAGATCAGGCATAAACTCAAAAGTATGTGCTCTCACGTTTAATAACAGCATGATCAACTATGACTATATCTTCCGTCTCTCGGAAATAGATGGGCAAGACTGGATCTGTGTTCAAAGTGGCAAGTACGCTAATAGAGCTGCACGTGAAACGACTTATTGGATGACTGCAATAATTCGGGACCCATGGGAATTACAGTGGTGGTGTTTCTTTTTCACTCCCCTGTCAAGCATCTTATACAAATAAGCAGTATATAAAATGGCGTATTGGCATATGCTTGCCTGTTTTGACTTAATACCCCGATAAGGTACCTTGCAACGGTGCAATCCATTACCACGGGCTGGATTAATAAACTCCGCTGCCTCCCACACCCCCTACGAAAGACCTTCAAAGCTGAGCAGTCGCATGTCAGCTTTCTAACACCACAAACGTGCTGTCAAAATGTCACATGATAAAACCTTCGACGTTATTATCATTGGGGGAGGACACGCTGGGCTTTCAGCAGCGCTTACGCTCTATAGACAGCTTCACACCATCTTAATCCTTGATAATCAGAAGCCGAGAAATTCATGGGCTCTGCCAACGCATACAGTGATCGGATGGGAGGGCCGTCAGGCTGAAGAGCTACGCGTCACAACACGGAACGAACTAGCTGCGACGGACCTTGTGACATTCGCGGATGGCGAGGCACAGTCAATACAGAAGGTTCAAGAAGCATTTGAGGTTACAGACGAGCAGGGACGGCATTGGAAGTGCCGAAAGCTATTACTTGCAGCCGGCAAGCAGAACATCTTCCCAGACATCCCAGGCTTTGAGGAGAACTATCCTGCGCGAATGTGAGAAAATTACTTCGTCTTCAAACAACGCTGACTGGTCTCCAACAGTTTCCACTGCATGTTCACTTTTGGCTACGAAAATCGCGGGTCTAAGCACGCTGGTCTCCTCGCCGATGGAGCCTTGAGCAGCCCGTTCCATGCCGCTATGGTGGTTGGCGATACCAGGAAGTTCGCAGAGCGAGTCACTGTATTTACTAACGGAGACAGTGCCTTGAAGGAGAAGATGGCAATCGAGATTAAGAACTCGGGTGTAACATTCGACGATAGACGTCTGCTTAGCATCCAACGCTCAGACTCTGGTCTAGTACTAGAGCTAGATGGCGGATCTTCCCAGGAAGTGGAGTTCCTTGTTCATCAACCGTCAACAAAGGTCAATATACCACTGGTCGAGCAACTAGGCCTAGAACTGGACGAAAGAGGCGACATAAAAAATGTTCCCCCCTTCTTCCAAACCAGTGTTCCGGGCGTTTTTGTGGCGGGAGATTGTGGGTCACCGTTCAAGATCATACCTATGGCGATGTTCATGGGAGCGAATGCTGGTGCTGGTATTGCGCGGTCGCTCGCTGCAGATAACCTTAAAAACGAGCTTGCCTCAACTGTCAACGGAACGAGCCACGGGACAAACAGAATAACTGTCAATTAGATCGTGAATAGATCGGAAAGTAGGACCGCCATACAAATCGGCCCGTTCTTATTCGAGGTTGGAGGATGGCCTAGTGAATCAAAGTCTCTCATACACTATTTTAACAACTACACCGTTTGCCGAACGAGGCTCATAGAACAAGAATAATTACCAACATGAAGTTTTAAACGCTAGGTGCCTACTCTCTTTCAGGTGCACGGCCTGTGATAACTCGAAGAGGATAAAATCCACCTCGCGCCAGGAGCTCATCATTCAGCCGTGGCACTAGCATTTTCAGTTCGTCACCAGATAGAGGTGGATCTCCCCCTTTCCCTAAACCAATTGTCATGTCAGCTCTATACGATAGTGATATGATAACAACCGACTTACTTTCCAAAAAACTGAGTAGAGGGAGCATGGCATCTGCTGTCGAGCGCGCGGTACGCTTGGCTAAGTCTTCGTCCAGAATCTTGGCACCAAGAAAAAGCGGCACGCTGCGTTCCTCAACATCTACTATGCCTGCGTCCTCGAGCCAATGCTTTACATCGTAGGCGTACCTGGTGTGGCCGCCCATTTGCTCGAATACCCAAGTGACTAGCGTGATAAAATCTCGCATAGCTGGGCCATCCTCAACTCCGCAGGTTTGATCTGGCTCGATCAGCTGTACCCAGCCACCTGGCTTCACGAGGTCTGCGAGAGATTTGATTGCCGTGGCAAATGGATATTTTCCACAAGCCCCAAGTACTAAACGTTGCTGTACCAAATCAAAGCTCCCGTGCCATTCATCAGGCCAGGGTTCGGTTATGGACTGGAGCTGGAAGGTGATAGGGCCCGCCGTGCCATCCTCTGGGAACTTCACGTTGGTCACATCAGTTCCCACAAGGGTTGCTTCTTTTAATCCTGGGGTCCTCGCAAGCAAGTCCTGTAACCAGTATCCTGTTGAAGTTTAGAGCAAGATTCTGTAACAATGCTGCGATGAACTGACCATCTCCTGTGCCTGAATCCAAAATGCGTAGACCAGGTGTCTCTAGATCTATTGGGCACACTACCAAGCCTCCCATTACTTCCCGGATGGCATCGTGTTGTGCCGTTGTGTCGCTGTTACTAGGCATGATGAGACTGAAATGCTACACAAGCCTCTATGATGGAATATATTCGTATGTCGCAGCTATTGATTCAAATTCAGAACTAATAAACCTCCTTTTTCAAAACAGCCATCAAAGACAAGTTTACCCTTAGTTGATAATGTGCCGCGCACACGGTAGCGTTTGGTGTGCGCTATTCCTTCGAATGATCGTACCCATTATGCTGGTTTCGGGCCCCGACCTTGCCTGCAGCAAGGATGGCACGATCGGCGGCAGGTCCAATCATAAGCGAACAAGGCTTCCAATCAATCATTCCAAGCTTATAGAACGTAGACACGCGGTTATGATATAGCTCAGAGGCAATCAAGCTCACCAAGACAATACTGGCCAGGCGACAAGAATTTGCAGACCTCGACTCAGGTAATATTGAACCAGCGAATCATCACCATGAAAATGGTCTTCATCAGTTTCGAGCCACTTGGGGATGTGACACCGTCTGTGTTAATTCTTGGCACTATCGCCGCCGTGGTCTGGTACACTTTTGCTCCAAAGAACAATATTTACGATGCATTCCCCAGGATTTTCGATAATCGTGTACGAGCCCTTATTTGGCCGTCACATGTACAAGATCTTGTATGGGAGGGGTATCAGAAAGTACGTCTAAGAGTATCATAAAAGAAGCTCTACTGACAGGTTCAAGATAACCAAGCCAACGGGAAAGCCGTTCACCGTACGCTGGTGGGCTAAGGACTTCCTAATTCTGCCTCCAAAGTACCTTTCATCCCTCCGTGATGCTGAGTGGGGCCACTTGAGCTTCTTCAGGACGATTAGCGATGTGAGCATTGGTCTCTAGCAACGAAGATGTGTTGGTATACCAGCTAATGAAATCGAGGCATTCTTTCTACATACCAGTGTAGGGGATCTTTATGATAGCGACTCGACCGTGCAGGTAGTTACCAAGGGGCTCAATCCCCGGATGCGTATGCCAATTCCAGATATCATAGCATTTAGCCTTTCACTGACATCAACATTCAGCACAACTCACACCCATCGTGGAAGAGGAAATTGAATATGCGCTCAATGCAGAGTTGAACGGAAAGCCAGGTGAGTAGGATATAGCGTTATTCATCGTAGAATAAGCTTCTGATTATAGTACGTTAGTGAGCCACAATGCGCAACAGTTTTTCACTGCCATCGTCCATCGGTCTGCCTCGCGCATCATGATTGGCGAGGAATTGTGTCGTAACGAAACTTTCATCAAAACCTCTACAGAATTTGTCATGTCCATCTTTTTCACTGGTCTCATCATCGTTAAGCTGCCCCTTGGTCCCCTGCGCGATTGGCTTGCATACCCGCTCGCTGCTTGGCACCGACGAAAGCTAAGGCAATGCACTCGCATGCTACGGCCGGTCTTGCAGAGACGCATAGAGGAGCGGCAAAAGTCTGGAGGTTCCCAGAACAGACTCGACGCCATTGAATGGTCCCTGATGCTGGTTCCATCGGGAGGCGAGATCGATGTTCCGCGTCTCCTTGATGAGCTCATGCATAACCTGTGGGCTGGTACATCCGCTCCGGGCGGATTGGTGACTGATATCATCTTCCAGCTGCTTCTAGAGCCTAAATACAAGGAGATGCTAGTCCAGGAGGCATCGAAAGCACGAGGAGAGACTGGTCACTGGACGGAAAAGGCTTTGGGCCGATTGCCGCTTCTAGACAGTTTTATTCGTGAGATCAACAGGCTATATCCTACCGGCTCCAGTAAGAAGCTGTCATACTCTGATATCGAAATAGCTCGATCCATATTCACCTATTTGCATCAAGTACCATGTCCTCTTGCTAATGGTTCAATCGTAGTTACATCTTCTCGCACCGTTTGTGGAAGGCCATTCGTCTTCCCAGATGGCCTGACCCTGCCGGTAGGGACCCGTTTTGGTTTTCCCACGATGGCAATGCAAAACGATGCTGAGATTAATTTTGATGGCTTTCGATTTGCAAAGGCACAAGAGACATCCGAAAATGAAGAAAGCACGAGCGCATCAAGGGGAGCAACGGCAATGCACCCGACAAACCTCGCGTAAGCTCGTCTCATGTAACGAATGTAATTTCAGATCAACTCATTATAGCGTCCAAATACAGGTGGGGATACGGAACTCACGTTTGCCCTGGCAGATTCTTTGCAGTGCGCATGGTCAAAATGGTGGTGGCCACTCTGCTCCTGGACTATGACATTGAATGGGATGGTCATGTCACTCATCGACCAAGTCCAACTTTGATCGAAGGACAGAATATACCAAATTTGTCCCAGAGAGTCAAAGTTACCAAACGAACAGAACGGTGAATATTTTAGGTGGAGATCAAAGGATAGTTGGAAATTAAGTAGAAATGAGCGCACCTTTAGTCTGAGACATTAACTATGCTGGAATGCTAATAGTATTCATACGAAATTGCACCACTATGGACGTAAAGGATAACTGGCATTGATTTGAAACCCTTCTATCTTCAGGCATTTTAAAGAGGTCTGAAGTCCATTGCCTTGACCCACGCTCTTCTCAGATCCCACACCTTCATGACCTTCCAGCCAGAACTCTCTGCTAGGTCCTTCCACTGTCTCTCTGTTCTCTCCTGGCCGTTGGCAGTCATCATCATGTTGATATCCCCATAAACGCTCAATCTATCAGAGTGCTCATTGGACAAATTTGATTCCAAGACGATGAGCCTACTCTGTGGACCAAGGATGATGCTCTCCCGGATCTTGGTGAGGATCTCGACGACTTGAGGATCCCTCCAGTCGTGAAGACACCACTTCATAGTGTATACTTTGCATTGTGGAATAGACTTGAAAAAGTCACCCGCGATCAAATTTTGCTGTTGGACGCGGTTGCCAATGTCTGCATATTGCCCTTCAGCCTGGAAGAAACCGCGAACGTGGTCAATCACATGGGACAAGTCAAATATACCGCCCTGCATAGTCGGAAACCTCCTGAGCAAGCCCGTGATAAACGCTCCTCCGCCGCCACCAATGTCCATGACCAGACCATCAGCAACTTCGTCCCAAGGATAATCCTCAAGTACTCCGGGCATCTGCGCGGCGGCGCCTCCACCCAGGGTTCTGTGCAGTTCAGGCACCCAGCCTTGGGAATGGAAAAAGGAGAACATGTTGTCGTCGGTGTCGTAATTGATCTGAGCCGCGCTTCTCACTGTGCCCTTGCGAATTGACGCTTGGATCCCTCGCGCGATATCGTAGAACTGAGTTCCATACAGTTGGACCCAGTTATGCCACTGAGTCCAGTGATTTGATCGTAGCAACAAAGATGCTGGGGTGTTTGAGTATTGCCCGGACGCCTCGTCTAGACTGAATATGCCACTATTACATAGAATCCTCAAGATCTGGCCGAGTCTATCACTTCGCGAGTTTGTCGCTTTAGCCAATTCATCGAGCGTCATTGTTCTATTGTCCAGGGAATCTGGTATACCGCTTTGCACTGCAGCGCAGAGACACTGTGTTCTTGTATAACCTGAACAAAGTTAATTGGGCCGAGGAAGTTTTGGTATTTGCGTCGTACCTAAGAAGTGATCTGCAAGGACTAAGACCGGGGGGTCGAGAAGCACCTGGATTTTATGCAATGTGTCAACAGCTTGAGCTGCATGCCTGGTATTGCTCCAGTCGGGAAGATAGTGTTCGTGGTGGATAGACCCTGCCAAGCCTGGGCCTAGCTGTTCAAGCCTCTTCAAGCAATCAGACAAATTCTGCGTGACATCGTGCAGGACCTCGGTGATGCTAGCGGCAGTTGCATCATGCTGCGATCGCCCGTAGGACTCGGCGCCTGTTCCCTGCGCCATTAAGTTCAAAATTGTGAATGGTGGCTTTCTTACCTTTGAAAATGGAACAAAGTCTGTCTTGGAACCAGTGCTAGTCGCATATTATATGACCGGTCATGAGACTAGAATAGCGCGACTCGCCATCCGCATGACACGGTTCCCGACAGGTGATCGCCGAAGCAGCAAAAATGAACGGATCTATAGGTTTGGCAATAACATCGCCACTCCTGCTGTAAGTTAGGATAGTTTTTCATTCACAAGTTATATCTTTATGGACATTAGTATTGTGATGCTTTCACCATTCAAATCATGTAACCAAAAAGTAACGACCCCTCATGAATTTGCGGGCGCATATATATCAGGTGTTGGTCTACCACATCTTTTTAGTACACCATTTCTAAGCATGCATGCGAGAAACATAGACGAGCGAGCAATGTGTGCCTGTTTATTCCATTTCCACTGTATGTAGCCTAGGGGCTTGTAGCTTTTGTAGTCAATTGACTGCCTTCTTAACTAGCAAATCGGCTACTTATACTTCAGTCTCTCACAGTAGATATTGGTGTTGGCCTGCGTGATCCATACATTCGGGGCCTTGTCCCAAGTTCTCGGCGAGGCAAGTCGTAGTTGATAGTTCTCTATCAGATGAGCAACTACGGTGCGGATGATGAGCTCAGCGATGTGTTTTCCCAGGCACTGTCTAGGACCAAATCCAAACCGCCAATAATGGTACCTCATCTCCGAAATATTGCGGTCAAGGAATCTGGATGGTCTATATTCGGTGCTGTCGCTTCCCCAGTACGGATTTCGAATGTTGAGCGCGTGGGTGTCCACAACGAAGCTAGTCCCAGCTGGCACCACGTAGCCTCCGACCACACGGTCCGTTAGAGCAGCTTGGGGTACTGAGAATGCAGCCAAAGGCTTCAGACGAGCAGATTCGAGTATAGAAGCTGCTAACAGCGTCTCCGAGCTCAATAAATACATCTTCCAACGGCTATGCTAGCCATCGCTTGCTCTTGCAGCATTGATCTCCTTTCGAAGCTCTTCCTGCACATTTTGATGTGCCGCAAGGAACAATGGATTCCATGAAATTGCACCAATTGTGACATCTAAGTTTGCAAAAAGCATCTCATCCAAGGTTTGTAAGAGGTGGTCGGCACCGATCGACCCAGACTGCATATACTCGTACATGTGCACTATCGGCACGTTCTCTCGCGCCAGTATACATGATTCATATGCAGCATTATTAAAATCTCTCCACTTGGCTTTGAAACTTTTCAAGTCGGCGTTCGTGCTTGTTGGTAGATGTTTGCTCCAGGTAAATCGTGTCAGACCTCCTTGAATGACTCGTTTAAACAATGAGTCTCGCAGTGGGATCAACTTTTGTAATTTGTCGCACATTTCTGGTGTTAAATCGCCGTACAAGTAGTCGGCAACGATCCAGAAAGGTAGAAGCCTCAAGTCCTCACCTGGGTTGAGAATACCCTGATCTAACTTTCCTACGGAGCTCACATTCGCAAAAAAGCGTTCAGTAAAGCTGGCTATTCGCGGAATATGTGCAGTGACACTACTGTGAGCAAAAGCGCCGTTGGTAGAAATGCATATTTGTTGCCATTCATATCCGCTGACCAGGCCGAGGCATTTGCCCAAAAGCTCACTCATAAGCCAGCCTGCATCATTGTTGATTGCTTTCAGATGCGTGTTTGAATCCTTGAATACCGTCTTTATGTCATCTGGGTTGGTTAAAACTCTGCACACAATTAGCTACGAAGTGTTGAGTTCTTGAGAGGAACATACACCTCTGGATTTGTACCACTCCAGATCCGGTAGATGCTCCCAAATTGTTCGAACCAGTCATTGCTATTCTTCTCACCCTCTAGGAACTTCGCAATGTCACCTTGTCCATTGGGCCATTGATACGGGCAGGTGGGTATCTGCTTCGGTCTTAGCCTATCGTGAGAGTTGATAGGGTAGATCAATAAGAGATATCGCTTACTGGCGTCAGCACACCTAGCCATGATTGTGCCTTCTGAGTTTAGCTTACATTGATTGTACAAGACAGGATCTTGTTGGCTAGCCTCGAAATGCGCCTATGGTAGCTGGAGCAGCGTATGATAAGGCCTAAGAGCAAGAGAACCAAGATTCCGAACACCAATCGATACATTCTGCTAACGCCCTGACCATCAACTTTCTCTTCACACATGAGGCCGAAGCACTAACCTGCAAATTGGGTTCACTTAGTAGATTATGGTCTCCCTGTGTTCTCGAAGGCGTACACTTGACTGGACTATGATCGAGAAATTTGTATCCCGGGAGAAATAGGTAGCACTGTCCCCTAATCCTTTTTCGCTGACTGCTGTATCTATGGGATCCGAAGATCTATAATATCGTTATAAAAGGTTATAAGAACTGGTGTATGCGCCCCGACCCGGAGACCGAGGCAATTGAAGTGTGGTGGCATCCCGACCTTCCTGATGGAAAAAACAACGAGGTTCTGATTGGACATAGCTTACGATACGTTCTAGAAAGGGGCTAAAAACTACTACATTATTTTTCATCCATGTCATGGCCATATGTAGGACCACGTTCCAACACTGCCTTGACGGCTGGTCTATCGCCCATTCGCTCACCCCAACCTTTGATATTGGGATAATCTTGCAGGTTTACATCTAGAAACTTAAACATCCAGGGCATAGCGAATGGAAAATAAGACAGATCTGCCACAGTTGGTCTGTCGGGAAGAGCAATGTATTGCTGATTCGGGAGGGCAAGTCTTTGTTCCAGAATTTGCCACTGCTTGACACAGTTCTCGTGTAATCTGTTGGTCAGCGGATGCCCAGGTGCTGACAAATCACCACATCGCAACTCACTTGGCTACAGTCTTCGGCAGCACTTCTGGGTTTTGACGACTGGGATATCCTTTCAAGAAATACAGCCAGTACTTTGCCGTCGCCCTACGGGTGATCTTGGCGTCAGCACGCTACACTAGCTCCGATGGAGGGAGGGCTTGCCCAAGTCCAGCAGTCTGATATGCAGTCCATGAAAGCACGGCTGCCTTCTCAGCCGGGTTCCTCCCGGTCCACACCCCTTGGGCATCGTATTGTTCAGCAAGATACTGCAGGCAAGCAGTACCTTCGAATACTGTAATTTCATTCTCCGTGACTGAGCACCAGTCTTTCAAGGCAGGCACGTATCGTTCTGGATGGATACTGTAGTACAACGACGACTTGGTATCGATGACTGCGATGACATAGTCGAGACCGAGCTCTTCGACCAATATCAATGGTTTGATGTAGTTGATATAGTTAGTTTGATCCGCTATTACTATTTAGTAACTCTCGTGGGGCCTAACACAATCTACAACACACCTTTAATAATATACAGAATGACTCGGCCATCGTAAGCCAAGTCACCAAGTACGATATCTCCAGGCATCGTGCTAGATATGATGGAGGATCGAGTTCCTTAGTCCTCTACACGAAGATCCAGCAGATAATTATATTCCATTGTGCCATGCTGCAAGCCCCGGATCCCGAACTATGCGACATACCATTTTCTCATACAGTTAGTCCAGGCCATCTGAAACCCATTATTAGCAATATGTATTAATGCAGTATTGAAGTTATCCTAGTATTGTCATAACATAGTGTGGGTCTAAAACGCCTATGCATGCAAGAAAGTGGGCGTTTTTATAGTGAGTAAGTACTGCTACCGGGCTAGCTGAACACCTAGTCTCAAATCCGTCAGCGACAGGGTGATAAGATTGACGCTCGATCAACAACTAATCAGGGCCCTTGTCACGCCAATATATGCATGCAGTAAGACCAAGCAAGGATTTGCTCGACCAGGTACAAAAAACACACTGACCAGGTACAGAGCCTGGTGGCTTGGCCTGGCCTGGCAAGAGCTTCGCAGGGACAGAAAACAGCGTTAATGGCAAATGTTTATCATATGTTTGACATAGGCTCGATATATATTTAATAACCTTTAATCTAAGTTATCCGAATTTTCTTATTGAATATATGTTTAGTATATGTTAAGCATATGTCACATATATTTAGCACATGTTCGACATATGCTTATACTTTGTAAAGATCACTCAGGGTACGTTAAGTGGTCAAGGATGCACAATGAGAATTTCTTAGAACTAGACTTATTCTTGCTAAAGCAAGAATCTTTGCTACTGTGCGTGCGAGAAGATACCGCCGCGTTAGTGCTTACTTGGCATTGCATGAGCTGCTAAGCCTTACTCGTCTTACATATTTCTAATGTATGTGGCGCTATATTTCTAATATATATTCAGCGTATAAACGTTTCATGCACTAGAAATATAACGCTATATATGTTGAACATATGCCGCTAAGCCACTAGATGCTGTACTATGGTGCCTAACCTAGTTAGTTCAGGCTCGACGAAGCCGCGGATGCTCCCGTAATTCAAACGCCATTGCCGCCGACCCGTTGCGCTAGCAATACAATTGATAGGTTTTTTAAAATAGCTCTTCCCTAAGGTTAGACGATTTCTGGCATAACACCGAGGCATAAACGCATTCAACTTAGATAGTTAAGAACTCGTTTAACTTTGGTGTGTATTTGTTAAGTTGACCGCTTGTTTCCCGACAATATGTAGGGCTTGAGCTAGTGTCTCGTCCGGTCTTACGTTTAATGCAAAGTACTGTGCATTCATTTAATCAGTGCAGTTTCGTGAAACAGGGGCTTGGAACTGTTATAACAATGATACATCACCCGGGTGGCGGCTAACTCGCAAGCTCTGTGCATTCTAGCCTTATTCACTAGCTAGCGAGGTTTCCCTAGCTTCAGGGAGAGCTCGTACCACATGACGAATACCAGGATGATTATGTGCAGAGGTATCCACTCCTAGCAGCCCGGAACCCATTGGGAGGCAAGTGTAGGGCTGAACTGCCACCATTGCCGTCATTACTCGAAGGAAACGCCGAATTACATTCCACTTGTCAGACGAGTCCTGCCTTCTATGTATTTGACCGTTTCCCATCACCGTGAAGAATTTCCAAGTTAGGTAAAGGAGTTGGGGATGGTCCATGGATTCAGATCCTTCTGAGCGACCACACTATCGATGGGGGACACTCAAAACGTTCCTGCGTTAGATTGCGTAAAAAACTGTTTTTAGTACCCGTCTAGCAAAGAAGACGCCTCCACCCTACAGGGCAATAAGCTTGCCCAGATAGTCAGGCTTACCGCAATCGTCTCCCCTGCAAGCGTTCCCCCAGTCCCAGTCAGAAGCTGCGTCGAGCGCTAACATGACCGTCCATACATAGTGATTAGAATCCGATCCGATACTATAGAAATTCTGGTTGTGGATGTGTAATCTTCATAAGTGCTTAAGATTTGGGGGTTGTCAGGTTTCGTGCCGTATTCTAATCATATGATACTCTCCTGTAGAGTGTGGTTGTACGAAAGTCCGCCTAAGGTAGCATTCTAAAAGTCACTACACCCTGATTATTTCGGTTGCGACGCAATGTTAATATTGCCACAGCCTGACCGACGTGTGGATAGGCCAATTCCCGTCGGCTTACATGTTTCACAGCAATCTAGCATATAGCGAGTCTAGGTGTTAGATCATCACAGCATGTGATTGGGCGTTCCCTCGTGTGCATATACGCAATGTACATCTAAAGAAAGACGAGATGGTGTTCTAGGTCACATGCATTCCGAACAAGGCTGGACAGACGTCCCTGAGAACGCTCCTTTCGGATGAGAGGTGACCCGCTGCATGCATGTTGGGAATGCACATTTCTCAACTTCGAGTGTTCTTGCTTTGTGGCTTTGGAGAAATCTGAGGTCTCCCATCTTTTGCACCTACACTCATCGGGAGACTCCATTAACGCAGTGCATGGTCTTGCTAATGCTGATTTATCACGTCTTCTCATCATGCTCCCTTCACCACAGAGGTTCGTTGATCAATTGCACATGAAAACATGCAGCTTCTGAGCTTTGGAATAGTCCACAGGATGATTCTTCGCATCGTTCGCATCCGGTCAAACTTCGCAATGCATGTAACCATTGCTGTGCGGCTAAGGTTCGTTTGATCCCTTGCATAAGTGAATTATGGCCCTAGGCTCTATTGCATATTGACGGAAGTCTGACGATGGCAATTGGCAGGTCAAATGCTCGGGCGAAAAGACGGGTTGCGAAAGATGTCGAAACACCGGCTCTCAATGTATTTACATGGAATCCAGAGTGGGCAAAGTTCCGGGAATCCGAGCAAAAAGAAAACAAACATTCAGCCATGAACCTCCACAACAGCAAAACAGGACAAGGAAAAGTCTTTCTGCCGACCCTCTGGGGGGCTCTATCATTACCCCAGGCGAAATCAGTCTGCAGAACCATGAGCAAGATACGATCATGGTGTGGACTAATGACTGGAACTTTGAAGGCCCCGATGACTCCGGCATTACTCATACCACTCACCATAGTCTCAATGAAGCGCCATCGGGCTCCTTGGAGTCTACCGGAGCTCCCACCATGGGTGAAGACTGTCGTCCAATGTTATATGCAGGCTTTGAGGAGCTATTGATGCAAGAGCCCGCCACTGGTGCTCAACTCCCAGATCATGCGGCAAGTGTACGCTCCCCTCAGATGTCCATGTCCCTTGGGCGGCAGCCAAGAGGCGAGATCGACAGTCAATGCTTGTTAGAGTGCTCTCAGATGATCACCGACCTAGAGACGTATATCATGACAGACCTTCAGGCTTTCAAAATCATCATGGGAATTGTCAAGAAGGCACTCGAGAAAGTCAGTCAACTGGTTAGACTTCAGCAGGCCTCAAGTAATCTTCGATGCCTCCTCTTGTTCACCACCCTCATGTATCAGATCCTTGAGCTCCTTGAGGTCTGTGTAGTGACTGTCGAGGCCGAAAGACAGCGTCAGAAGGATTCTAAGTTAGGTGAGGGTCCTTCTATTTTTACGTTCGGGGACTTTTCTGTCGATGCCGAGGAGCAGTCAGCCTTCCGAGTTCAAAGAATGTTGAAAGAGGTTCGGCAAGGGACGGAGACTATCAATAAACTGAGGAGCCTGGCGGGAGCAGAACTCAGTCCAAGTGGGTTGACCTATTTAGTAGCAGGCCAGCGACTTGAAGCTGGGGATTATTATTCGGACCTCGAGATGCGATTCAGAACTCTTGCGAATCGGCTTGAGACCAACATGTAAATAATAAAGAAGGCCAGAGGCAATTTATAAAAGTGGGTTGTCACCGACACGAAATTTAAGAGAGACAAGATGTCTTACAAGCATAGCAATAACGCACTTATATCACTTTGAAAAGCGGACGGTTTCTTGTAGGAGCCGAAGCTCTTTAGCGTTGAAGTATTCAGCATGCAGTCCGTGCAGTCAGCTCACAGAAACACTAACAGCTCATACAATTGGAATATCGGTGGGATGGGAGCGTCTTGGCCAATGTTACCATAAGAATCAGTCCTTTTGACCTGACCAGTGCTACCTGCTTCTAGCCTACACGCAAAAACTTGCGATCGATAGACACTAACTCACTACTCACTCGAGCTGTCGGAGGTGATGCCGAGTCGGCTAGCGAAGGGGATATCGGAATTGACGACATATATTGCTCACAATAAAGAGCACCAGAATGAGTAACTCACAGCGACTACAAGGTAAATTCTGGATTTTGATAAAGTGTTGCAGGCGATCAGTCAGTGGACATCCATTAGGCCCATTAACAGAGCGGACGCGTTTACGACAGAACCGTTGATAGTGATTGTTCTTTCTCAATAAGCCTTTCGAGCGAACCATTCCCTCCACAGTGACACTATTCTTAGTGTTAACTTTCAAAAATAGTGGGTGTTTTCGTATACGTACACTCCGCCTCATCGATGGGCCACATGGCTTCTGACGGGTGAGTAGCGCGGCGTTTAGTGCTCAAGGGACTTTCGGGTGTTGGTTGAGCCTCCAGTGTAGCCCCTGCTCAAATAGTGGGACCCGGCAATGTTATTGCCGCCAACCGAAGTACCCATTATCCCCTTTCTTATTACTAGCACGTCTATGGTAGGCATGATCTGAGGAGCGGATTTGACAAAAGCGAACCGAATTGCATCTCCGCAAAGTAAGCGGAAACTACTGCTCATGAGATCCATCTCCCCAAGTTGATCTATGTAGATTCTAGCCAATACGACCCGTCCCCACCCCTCACCCCTTCTTCTCTAAGCTTAGTCCAGTCCCAAGAATCACCTTGCTAGTCATGCTGGCCAAGCCCGATCATCTGGTTACGAACTTTGATATCTGACTAGACTAGTCTAGAGGCAGATTCGGCTCCCGAGTGAATATTCGCCTCCCACTCCAGTGAGTACCATAGGGTATTTTCTCAAAATGCCGTTTATAGGCTCAGATCACGTGGTTAATCATGAAACCCAAAGAATTCAGGTGCCACGCTTTCTAGTAAGCGTGATTGCATCTCACTAGCCCCCAAATCTCATACAGAGCTTGCAGCGGATCTTCTTTTTGTCTAGACCTGGATTCGTATGTCATTGAGTGACAGAGCACCTGAGCATAGGCCATCTATGCTATCAGCCCAGACAATGGCTTTCTTGTAGGAAATGGATATCTCAAAACTTGTCTAATCTTACACCATAGAAATCTTCCGGCTCAAAAGCAACCTCATCTTCATCTACGATGCTGATACTTGAAAGCGACCTTTTGATAGCCTCAAATGATGAGCCCTGCACAACCATTTCCAACGCCCCCACTATCAACCGCTCCACAAGGCTCATATCCTTGTCATTAAAGCACTCGTCGCTATACTCTAGCCGCATCAGGAGAGCCTCCTCATTGGCCACAATAAACTCAACCATGAGCTTGAATTTCGCACCCTCTGTCCAAGTGTAGCGTGGTTTTGCATCCATGCCTGGCATCGAAATCCCTCCAAAACCCCCGTGATAGGACACCATTACGTCGAAGAGGTCTGTATCCGGTAACTCTTCTCGCATACTCAGAGCCCTCAACAGGGAATCCCATGGAATGGCGTGAGCCAGTGCATTCTGACTCGATTTCTGGACTACACGGAGAAAATCGGTGTCGGCCTCAGCTGATACAGGAGGCGGATATCGAATCCGGATGACAAGAGGCTGTAGAAATAATCCTATAGCGGTTTGCGCTTCGGTTCCGTCCCTGCCTAGGTGCGGTGCCCCTAGAGTCAGATCAATTGTGTCAGAGTGATGTTGCAAGGCCAGTGAAACGGCTGCTAAGCATATCTGATGTGGTGTCATTCTTCTAGAAGAAACGAATTGGTGTAGCCCAAGAAAAAGGTCTGCCGGGATCTGACATGTGCGCGATGTACCACTGTACGAAAGCCTCGGCCTCCAGTCTCCGATAATATAGTCTGGCTTTGGTAAGTCACACAGGTACTCTCGCCAGAAATCCACATCTGTAGGATGAGCCTGTGTCAGCGAATTTATATAGCCGATGGGAGATGTCAGGTCATCATGCTCTGGATTAAAATACCTAGAACCAACTTTCCGAAGCAAAGTGTTCAATGAAGTGTAGTCGCATATTATGTGGCTGGCGACGATGAGAAGAGCGTGAGGAGTTAATGTAATACGAATTAAATGGCCACGGGCCAGCTCGAATGGTCGATTCACCTCTATTCGTACGTCGACCTCATCAGCTCTTAGTACTTTGGGTGAATCACTCAAAAAAACCTTCTCCAAAGTCCCATCTGATCGAAGTTGATAACGACATCGTGAAATGTTATGACGTCCAAGGACATAGTTCCATGCGCTTGTAAGCTTATCAGTGTCGACGTCTGGGCCGAGGTCGAAGTAAATGGCCACGTTGAAGGACGAAGATCCACCGTTGAAGTGATACTTCCTGTACCAGCTCTCCTCGATGGGGCTGACAGAGGGGATCTTATAGTATCGTTGGGAGGTATCCCTAACCGGGGTGGATACATGTTCCAATCTCTCAACCAACTCACCAAGCGTCGGGGATTGTATGATAGAGATGAGAGGGATGCTATATTCTAACAGACGAGAGAGCTTGTTCGCTACCTCAATTTGGAGGAGGGAATGTCCACCTAGCTCAAAGAAATTGGAGTTCATATGAAATTCCATGCTTTCGTGCCCGAGCACTTCTTTCCAGACCTGGGTGGCTATTTCCAAAAGTCGGACATTGTAGTTATGGGGGATCAGATTAGACTCTGGAATCATGAACTCCTTGATGGCTTTGTAGTCTAGTTTTCCAGCATTGGTTCGTGGGAACTCCTGGACAGCAGCTATATGTCGAGGCACTGCATAGCCTGGTAGAGAAAGTGATAATAGCCTTCTGGTATTTGTAAGCTCCAAACTTTTCGGCTGCAGCAGTACCAGGAGGTCGCCTTGATTATGAATGACGGCAACATCAGTGCATCCTGGGATACAATCGCGAATCCGCACCTCGATATCGTCCAGATCGATGCGAAATCCCCGCAATTTAACCTGCCTATCATTTCTCCCACAAAAGCGCATCTCTCCGTTTTCGTCCCAATAGCCTCGGTCCCCCGTCCTATACTTTCTTTCCCGGGAGTCTCTGTGCACAAGATCTTCCAGAAAGCGCTTAGCATTTTCTTCGGCGTTGTTTAGGTAACCAAGTGACACTTGCACACCAGCAAGATATATCTCTCCTATAACACCAGGAGGTACAAGCTCTTGCAAACTATTGAGGACATAGATCCGTGTAGATGGGTTTGGGTTCCCTAACGTCACTGGTTTCCCGCATTCTAGGCGCTTAATAGTCGCTCCGCATGTGGCCTCCGTCGGTCCGTACATGTTATATGTCGTGACACTAGCAGCCCATTTGTCGCAGACTGCCTGTGGAACCGCTTCTCCAACCAAATAAAGGACCTTAAGACATGGAAAGTTTCCAGGTTCTAGTATTCTGGCTATTGAGGGGGTAAGAATGGTAGCATCGACAGTTGCGAGATGGGCAAATGGATCGCTAGAACTTCGAAGCACTAGTGTTGACCCGTAACTCAAGGCGGAGAAAATCTCATGGATGCTGCCGTCGAATGCTGGGGACATTATTTGACCGACACGCCAGCCAGGTCTCGATCTCAAACGTACATCGAAGTCTTTTTGAAATGCAACAAGATTTTGATGTGAACACAGAATACCTTTCGGTACCCCCGTGGATCCTGAAGTGAAACACAAATATGCTCCGTCGTCTGGGTTGGTTTTTGGGAGGAGCTTTTCTGTATTACTGGGACTCATGTTATTCTCAGGAAGCAAAATGTCGTCTATCGAGAAGCAAAGACCACATGAGTCAGGTTTGTAGGCTTTCTCTGTCGTGCCACCACACAGGAAGATACCACTACCAGATTGGTAAAAGTTCTGAGCCCTCAAGTGGCTAGGCAGCGCAGCGTCAAGAGAACAGTAAACACCTCCAGCCTTCAAGATGCCATATATAGCGATTACCCAATTGATGCTATGGTCGGCGTGAATGCAGACGATCCCTCCAGGTTCGACATAGCGAGTCAAGAACCGAGCTACCAATTCCACCCTGTCACTTAGTTCTAGGAAAGTTAATTTGTTAGAACCCTTCTCGATAGCCGTGACGCTAGGATGGGTTCTAGCTGTCTGATCGAATAGATCTACCAGACTCTCATGCCAGAATCCTGGTGATGTGTATGTTGAAGAGCAATTTCCATTCTGCCAGAGTTGACTGATATCTTCTGCGACTAACTCATTACAACATTGCCCGACGGTCAAGTGCTGCTCGGTGAGGACTCTAGTAGCTTTGGCGAACATGGTTCCTAGTCGCTCTATGTCTTTTGAGGAGAACTCGTGCTCGTGATATAGTATCCGAACATGGCCATCACATAACACTTCGACCAAGAGCGGGATTGCAGACTCGTGGTAACAATTTGGGTACCCAACCAACCCTAAAGGATTTTCCTCCAGCAAGGGGGTCTCAAACTGGATATTAAGCGTCGTTGCAAATGCTTTGTCGATTCTGTCTCTCGGGAGGGTCCATTGGAGCTCATCAAGCTTCAACCAATGCTTGAAAACAGATGAAATATAGTCATGAACCGTCTGGGAAGAGTCCAAAGAGACTTGAAAAGGAACGGTGTTGATTAATGGGCCTATCACGCTCATTGCGTTTGGCAATGGTAGGCTGCGGCCTGACAGGATAAGCCCGAATGACACATGGTCCGAATCCACATATCTTCTTAGTGTCAGTGCCCATGCAGCATAGAATATTGATGCCACAGTAAACCCACTCCGTTTCGCTAAGCTTGATAAGTCGTCTTGTGACACCTCTAATTTCCAGGTTTGACATGCATAGTGTGGGTTTGATGGCGTTCCGGGCGATGCCACTTGTAATTGACTTCTCGCTTGGTCCAGTTTCATTTCCTCTGCAATCCAAAAGTCTTGGCCGCCGGGTTGCCATGTATCTTGAAGCTTAGCAATCTGGCCCACGAATTGTGTGTAGGAAGGACCAGGTTCTATTTTGCCTCCACCAAGGAGCTTCCTGTGTTTGTTCAGAAGCAACATGCTGGAGTAGCCATCCACCAATGCATGATAAATGATCCAAATGACCGTACTCTCCCGGGGTTCTTCAGCCTGTTCCAGATGGATAACTTTGAACTTGACCCCGATAAAATTAGTGCCGCATTCAAGCTGCCCCGGAGCCGTTACGTACGTCTCACGGTCAAAGACGGTCTCTTCTTCCCAAGTAAAAGGAGCTATTTCTCCTTCAACCAGACAATATTTCTCCTCGATGACCTCGAACCGTGTCCGGAAGATTGGCTCTGCGGATAATATGACGCTCCAGGCATGTTCTACTTGCGGAATATGTTTTGTGTCGTAAGCCTCACAATACCGTATGATATTACGGCCGTCGATGGCATTACTACCATAGATAAGTGATAGTTGCGTATCAGTGGCTTGGGAATGTTGCGATTTTGGAGGGGATATGGCATTATCGAACAAATTGCTCTGAGTGGCCAGATGCATAGCCGGGTTGCCTTTCATGTAGCGGTTAGGGTCGACAATCTTTTGTGGGTGAGAATTCAATGTTTTGCAGTTGTAGTCCAGAACATGTATAAGATCTCTAATGGAGCCGGAGCTCATGATCATAGAGACGGTGATGTTTATGCCGCGCGAGCGACATGAAGCCACAACTTCGATGGCTGAAATCGAATCGCCGCCATTTTGAATGAAACTAGCATTGCAATCAATGTGATATGCCGGTATTTTCAATCCAAATGCGATTTCACGCATGAACGCATTTCTCGGAGAGGTTTCATCAAATGAGCATAACGAAATGTTTGACATTGCGAAAAAGGCTGATGGAGACACGACCAAGGGAAAGTGTGGCCAAGAGAATAGCAAAAAACCCAGCACAAAATTCACAGTCAAGCCCATTATTTCGTAGGACTTATTTCAACCGACAGAGGTACAATTTCGCCTTTCGTTCCGCGAATGAGACCGAACTATGCTCCGCTTCAGTTCAATGATCCACATCAACGTAAGCGGCTACCGGTGGCCATCCTTCCCGGCGCATGACTTCCGCCAACGGAAAAGTTGGTTATGTTTCCTTTCAATCATGTAATCTACCTCGCTAGGGAGTTTCTCAAGTCAAATTAATCCTTACATCTGTGACAATCTTACCCTTCAAAACATGCTCGTTGTGCAAACACTACCACCACCCACGTCAAATACTTGGTACTTGGCATATGGGTCGAATCTCAGCGCGGCTAAGTTCATTCACGACCGTGGAATAGTACCACTTGACACTGCCACGGTCACAGTCCCAGGATGGATACTTACATTGGATAGCGCTGGTTTTCCTTATTCTGAGCCGGCTTTTGGAAGCATAACGCCTATCCAGGAGACAAGGAAGGAGAAGGCTGTGCAATTGATAGGTACCGCATACCAACTCACACCTGAAATGTACGCAAAGGTCCTCGCATCGGAAGGAGGCGGTATCGCCTACGCTGAGGTTGAAGTAAGGGCTGAGCTGGTAACACAAGACGCGGCGGAGTATGCTCAGGGCGAGGCCACTACTTTCCCAACGAGATCTCTAGTCACGCTCTTACGTAATGAAGCGAGACCAAGTTCCCGATACATGGTGCTTACTCCGTCTGAACATGCATAATATCACAAGCTGATTCCACACCTCACAGGGCATACTCCGGACAGGAGCCAGCGAGTCTGATATGCCTATCGCATACCAGAAATTTCTGGCTGAAATACCGGTATATCATCCGCCTACCAGGCTTCGGCAATCCATAGGTGCTGCCATCTTTCTAAGCTTTTGGCGGCCAGTTATGTCAACGATGGAGAAAATCACCAAGGCAAGTGTCAAAGGGAGTAAGACGGGAGATGCGCCTAGGTGGGTTGTGATTATCGTGCGAGCCGCTGTAGTTATCATGTGGTTGCACCATGATTTAATACATGCGCCAATTTGGGGAAGAGGCGATGGGCTCGAAAATTAGTTACTATGTTGATTTTGTTCTTAATGCATCAAAATACCAAATAACTATACCTCTGTTTGGCAGACAATTGCCTCCTGAACTTGATATGTCCACAAGTTATACTAATATGACCACTCAAACTAGATCGCTATTGTTCTGATAGAAAACTAAGCAACGAACCTCAACACTTTCCCGTGGTTGGGCTCCAGGTACTGCGTCCGGATGTGGGAAAGCGCAATGAGCGCACACTGCATCCAATGTTAGCTAATGTTGGGGGCAGTTGAGCACAATTGAAATCTTACGCTTGGCCACATCATCACTGTTATCCCAAATCTTGATAAATGTCACTTCGCTGGTCTTTTGTCGGTCGAGGTAGTGCCATTGCTGGTCAGGCGAATAATTGATAGATACAGTCTGACCCTGCATCTCGTGGCGCTCCCTAAATATGCTTGTGGGGTGTATATCGGAAGCCTTGAGGCTACGATAGTCCATCAGAGCAAGTGGCCAATCTTCGACTATACCATGAATTGGGCGCCAGACACTTGGACCCGTTAACGATATACTCGCGTGCCTGAGCTAGGTACATTACTTACTTGATAACTTGTGCTCGTCCTTTCAATAACTCTTCAGTGTCTCCTGGAACATGGCGCTTGACTCTCCCGACTGCGCCGATGGCCGACCTATTGTGTATAAGTCAGAGTTGTGATGATGGAAAGTTTATACACACTGATCGCAGTGTACCTGTTTCGCATGTTACTGTAAGGTCTATGACTATCATACGCTGGATTACTCACCAAGGTGGCTGGCTGCTCTCTCCCGTTTGGGTTCTCGTTCGCAGCCAGTGATGGGTCGCGCTTCCGGTAGGTATGATCGAATATGACCACACGATTAGCTCCAGTCTTCTTCTTAACAAGTTTGGCGACGAGAGGGTAATACTGCTGTTCTACGAACAGTTTACTTCTAGTCCGAATTGCTTCCACGATTTCATCGCTAAGAGGCTCATCATCATGAAAAGCAAACCCGTGTGTGTCAAGATTGAACTCGTCTTTCCTCGCCCTGGCATCATGAACTTTGACCTTGTAATCAACATTCGCGAAGTTCTGGCGTGGAAACGATTCTTCAACTTTGCCACGAACATACGGCCCTTCGGGTTTGTCGAGCCATGGCTCTAGGTAAGCCATCTGACTTTCGACAACTGCCATGATCAGAGACTCGCAGATGGTAATGTTTAGTAAGCAGTAAATTCGATGGACGGTGGAAGCACTATCACCCTAATCAAGAGCTCCTCGTCGAAATGGCCGCTTGAGTAAATCTGGTTACCATCAAGCACATTCACCATCGGCCGCTTCTAGATCACGTGATCGCCGCTTCTGCGCACACTCAGAGAAGCATAGTCTGTTCTCGTATTATTTGTTCTAGTCTCAAGCATTCTATTTCTAGCGACTTGTATGGGTGTACATGGATGGTAGCCCGCATGAATGCCGAGGGCCAGCGACATAAGGTCGGGTCCCGAGCAAAGTTACATGCGGGGTGTGAAGATACCGGCCGCCGGCCAATTACCCAACGCAGCGCGGATATTGGGTCAGCAATACTTCTATGAGGAGCCTCCATTCCAGAGCTATTGGCAATTGGTGAATTAATTATCTTAGGTGCTATGTGTATCATACGCGTGTGATATTGGCCTGATCCCGAAGTCGAGCTTGTACCCAATGCAATAGTTACCACTGGAGATCTGGCTGGAGAATTAGTCTATGGGATACGATGAATCTAGCCATACACCTTGATAAATATAGATAAAATACTCGAGCGATTCATCAGTGAATGGCCTTATCAATTCTTCTACCAAAGCCTTCCTAACAGTCCTATCTCCCGTACCTACGGCACACTTTCCTAATCCATGGCGGAGACTACGGCAGGATCGGAGCAGACTCCCCTCCTCGAAACCGCCTTAGAAGTCACAAACGGTAACGTAGGCACTTCGAATGCTACTGTTCACACGAGCAGCTCTGAAACTGAATACGTGACAACACAAGCCGTAGGCAAGGTGCAGATTGGACGTGTCCTTCCTTTAGCTTTTACGGTAGCTTTTGCGATAGCAGCAACCTCCGCGACCACCATATTCGCCTATGCCAGCATTTTGTGCAAAGACCCTGCTCATTGTGAGCATGGGGAGAAGCAACGATACGCCGGAGTAGTCGCACTAGCCACCACTGTAGCCAACGTATTCGGCGTGATAGCTGTTGGCTTCTTACAACAATGGACCAAGTCTCATCCTAAACTTGGACTGTATCTATGGCTGGCGTGTCGAGCCACCGGCATAGCCTTCTTAGTAGTTGCTGGTCAGAATACCCATATTCCTTGATTCAAAACGAGATTGCTGATGGCGTGCATCTAGTGTTACTGCGTAGCATATATGTCGCGATCGCGGGACGAGTCTTCGAAGGTTTGGCGACAGACAACATACTTCATTACTGCCTTTCGGCAATATACGTTCGGGTCAATGATCAAGCTCGATTCTCGCAGCTGATGGGAACTTCATTAGCATTGTACATGGCCGGCATGTCAATGAGTCCTGTGACCATGACGCTATTGCCAAACTTCTTCTTCAGTTTCATCGTTGCTATTGGGGTGTTGGCACTGTCATCAGTCTACCTGAAGGGCTTCGTTACAATCCCTTCTTCGGACGTGGACACTAATCAGCCAAGTCCAGAGACAACATCGCCACATTCTGAAGGAGGTCGTGCTTTTTTCTTGAGTCCCATCTTGTATCTGTTGAAGGATCGCCATGCCTTGTTGCCAGGTCTCGCTCTTTTGCTGTACAACACGACGCAGGCTTACCTCTTTCCGGCGATAATGGTTCATGCTGCAACCAAGTTTGCTTTTACGGACACTGAGAATAACTACATAGTATCTCTTGCAGCTGCCACTTCTTCCGTCTACCTGTTCGTTGTTCTTTACCTGATTCCGAAGCTCGGCAATGTTTTCAGTCGGACGAGAAAGGGGAACTCCCATCACAATACGTCACCTCTTCATGGAACGTACTGGCAAGATGGCTCTGAGGTAACAGGTACTCGTTTCAGTGGGGACTTATTCTATGCACTACTTTCAACGTCAACGCAGCTTGTTGTTCTACCATGCTTCGTCATAGCTGGTGCAGCACCAATGTTATATGCCTTGGTGGTCCTTGTGGCCTTGGGATTAGGCGCTCCTAGTTTCATCAAAAGCTATGCGGTGCTGGTGGGCAATGTGAAAGAATCGGTTCTGGCCAGCATGGTGATAATGGAGAGTGTCGGCGGTCTTCTATCCCCCATAGTCCTAGGAATGGCTCAGAGCTTGACAGATGATGGAGGAGTTTTTATCATAGCATCTGCCTCGGTTGGTGCGGCTGTGCTGTGTTTAATCGGAAGCCTTCTCGTGAAAAGATAGACTTCATGGTAGAATATCTCATATTAGCTAGAATATCATGCACTGCTTCTTTATGGATTGTGCTATGATGCTTCCCTTTTAGCCCGACCTTGTCCATGAGATGCTCCTGTCGTTGAAAAATCTTGGCTAATCCGTTCCATCACAATACCGCAAGAGCCAGGGCAGAATCCTAGGCTGCTTTGCGGAAATTCGGTTTGTTGCATCTTCCAAGCGATGTGCACGTACTCTATCTGCATAAACGGTTTGGCTTGGTAGGGCTACCAAGAGCAGCACCGTTTTAGCTAAAGACGTCGGCCCCATAACTTTAGCTCAAGGCTAGAGTTTCTGGGCCAGTCTAGCGTCCTGTCACAGGCCCTGCTAGTGCCTGCTTTGCCGATAGCGCTGCTCTAACGGAAGCTAGTACAAAGCCCCCACAAAAGCAGGACAAGCTTAGAAGCTTATATCAACTTAAGGAAAGAAGCAATCTGACAGTATAGCCAGCAAGCCTCATACACTCCAACCTGATCAACTGCTTCAAGTCGATCTCATTCGAAGATGCAAATAGCATTGGGGGCGAGATGGGGTCTCTTGATTGCCGAGCCGCTGTAATCAGTTCACGACCCCACGGGTGTAGCTTCGTGACATCGACAAGTGAGAAAGGAAAGTCCCTACGCCCATTGAAGACCCAGTAGCGTAGCTCGAATTACCTTTCGCTAAACATTTCATCCTCCGCTGTCTTTACGTGGGACTGAAGAAGCGTATGGAGCGATCCATGCCTATTGGCCCAAACGCGTCCATGGCTGCAAATATGGACAGGTGCTACAAGTAAGACCAGGGTAGTTTTAGATAACATTTCTCTGCTTACCGAGATCTCATTGAAGCGGATAAATCCTTTCTCGTCCATGAGGATAAACTTGCAGGCCCCCCAAGTCGTTAACACCACTTCCTTGGCAAGCATCCCGTCCCACCATCACCAACACTCGCAAACGCCATTGCATAAGACGGGTGCGGGCCTGGCATCGGCGCCCGGTGCGGCACCCGCCGCTCTGTCGATGCAGCCCTGTCTATGTTGTGTACCCAGCCCAAAGTCTCATGCAGTAAAGTGCAGAAGTGATTGGTAGTGGCACAAGATTTGTCCTGGTTCCCTTTCTCCAGTGGTTGACCTTTGGCAGACGTGATCAAGGCTTCTTCCACCTTCTGAGTGAGGCTGCTTTCGCTGCGTGGAAGCTATTCTCTAGCTTTTCTTTCCTTCGCAGTTAGGTGAAGCAATTTGATCTCAGTCTACTGCTCACTGCTGTTCTCTTTTTTTTCTCTCCTAATTGTTGGCTTCCTATTGTGTCAAGATTTATTTTCAAAATGGCCTCGCAGAACCAAAGTGCTGCACCTCTTCCTACAACAGCGGAGACTGGGTCAACACATACAAATGACCATGTCCAGAAGCCAACAAGAACCGAGGAAACTCCCCTGGACGGAACCACAGAGAAGCCACCAACAACATCATCATCTCCCGACAACACAGTAGCGCCCACCACCAAAGATGCACCAGCTGAAACCGAAGCAGCTGCGGAGGCGCCCAAACCCACGCCCAAGCCGTTGGCCTTCTGGCTCGTCTTCGTAAGCCTGTGCCTATCGGCCTTCACGGCGAACTTAAACGCCACCATTCTCACCACCGTGATGCCACTGATCGTGCGCGAGATCGATGCTGGGTCACGGTACATCTGGATCAACGCGTCGTACGCAATCGCGGCCGCTGCCATTCAGCCGACGTGCGGCCAGCTCGCGAACATCTACGGCCGGCGCTGGCCCATGTTGGTGTCTTTGGCGCTCTTCACGCTCGGCAGCGGCATCAGCGGCGGCGCCAACGGCCTGGGGATGCTCGTCGCTGGTCGTACCGTGCAGGGCCTTGGCGGCGGCGGTGTCATGATGCTCATGGAGGTTATTGTCAGCGACCTGTTGCCCCAGCGCGAGCGCGCACAGTATCTCGGCATCGTGCTGTCGACGGGCAGTCTGGCTGTGCTTATCGGGCCCATCATCGGGGGCGCATTTGGAACAGAGGCCACTTGGCGCTGGTGCTTCTACATCAGCGTGCCCATCGGCGGTATTGGATTCATCCTTGCTGCCGCATTCTTGCGCCTCAAGACTCCACAGCACGATACCTGGACGAAGGCGATTGCTCGCATCGATTTCCTCGGCAACTTCCTCTTCATCGCGTCAACTTGCTCCATGCTCGTGGGTCTGATCATGGGCGGTCAGCTGTACCCGTGGTCCTCAGCGCGTGTCGTCGTGCCGATTGTGCTGGGCGGCATCGGGTGGCTCGTCTTTGCGGGGCAGCAAGTCTCTCCGTTCTGCAAGGAGCCCATTATGCCCCCACGGCTCTTCTCAAACCGTACGGCAGTGACTGGCTTTATCAATAACTTCATCTCGTGCATGCTGCTCGAGTGGACGGTGTACTACTTGCCGTTCTACTTTCAAACGCTGAAAGGTTCCTCGCAACTCTTCTCTTCAGTGCAGGTGTTACCCTTCAATGTGTTCCTCGTTCCCAGTGCCATCATCAACGGCGGTATCATGGCCAAGACTGGCAACTACAAGTTCCTGCATTGGGCGGGCTTCGCATTCTTCGCGTTGGCGTCGGGCCTTTTCTCGAGCATGGACGAGACCACGTCGACGGTCAAGTGGGTCTTCTGGCAGTTCTTCGGCGCCTACGGGCTCGGCTCTCTCATCATGTCCATCCTGCCCGCCATCCAGTCGTCGCTGCCCGAGGCCGACGTGGCGAGTTCGACGGGAGTTCATGCATTCCTGCGCTCGTTCGGCTTCGTCTGGGGGTTCACCATCCCGTCGCTCATCGTCAACAACCAGGTCAACCGGAACCTGTATCTGATCACCGACCCAGAGGTCCAGGAGGCGGTGGCCGGAGGTGGTGCTTTCTCTGAAGCCTATAGTCCTTTGCTCAATTCACTGACGGGCGAGACGAAGACACAAGTGCTCCGTCTCTACACAGTGAGCTTGCAGACTGTCTGGTATGCTGCTCTAGCATTCAGCTTGCTCGGCTTCTTGCTCGTTTTCGTCGAGAAGCAGCTCAAACTCAGGGAGAGTCTGCAAACCGAATTTGGCTTGGAAGAGGAACAGAAACCGGAGACAAAAGAGTCGGTCTGAGGTAGCTCTATGGTTATGTCTGCGGGGCCTGGCGTCGATGTGTGGAATGTCATGTTAGCCGCAGTACAGCAAGCGCTTGATCGGATGTCAGGGCTGCTCTAAATAGTGAAATTCCTTACAAATGATTCTAATGATATCTTGGGCTGCCATGACGCAAAAGAGAACGTACAGACAGTGTGATTATTCATTTAATAGTCCCGGTTCATGGCACTGGATATAGAATGGGTTAACTATACCAAACCCTCTAGATTTCGTTCATCATTTGGGCTATTTGTAAATATAAGCATGCACATATGAACGCGGATGCATATAGCTTTTTAGAGGTTGTGGAATCCCGTCACTGCTTGGCGATGATACACGCGAATGGTGTTAAGATGTCAAATTAGAACAAGAAGTACTCAATTCTCCATTTCTTTTTCCCACATAGAGTATCACTAGGACATATGGCTGCAGTGATTTTCAATAAGCTTATAGCGAAGATCTAACCGAAAATGGGGGGAAGATTCCATTTTTCCTCCTGGAGCTTGACAGCCACTCCTGCGGCAGCCTGTGCTCCAGTCGCCACGGCGTTCGGCCATACCTTGAACATGTGGATTGTGTCGCCAGCAGCATAAACGCCCGGCTCGCTGGTGGCCTGAAAGGGACCGCTCGTCTCGTATTCTCCGCCTGTTGACGACAGCTTTAGACCAAGCTGCTCGGCAAAGGGGCCACGGACCAGGGTCATTGGGGCATGGCCAAGGAACGCCTCGGTCGCGGTACTGCCGTCCTCGAAGGTGATTTCGACTGTGGTTTCCTCAGGCGATTTGAGCGCGAGCTTGGCAATCTTGCGAGTGTCGGCCTTCCACGGCTTACCCTCGAGGGTCGGCGCGATCTGGTTGGCGAGCTCCTCGTTGCCGTGCGTGTAGATGGTAACGTTGCTAGCTAGCTGGGTAGTCAAGTGTGACATATGGTAAGTGAATTGAGGCATGGCAATCCAGTCGACAGCCAGCACACCAGCGTGTACTTTGGTGGGGTCCTCCTGATAGGCCTGGGCGAAGAGGTTGTGGAAGCTAGAAGGGGTGAGTGGTCAGAAGTGTCTAGATCCTGCTTTGAAAAAGAGCGCCGACTCACATGCCCTTGCCCCAAGCTTCGGCATAGCCTGGGATTTCCGGGAACTTGCTGATGACGCCGTTGGCCAGGATGACTTTCTTGCCGCGATAGGTCTTTCCAGCCGAGTCGGTGGCCTCAAAGCCGCCGTCAACCTTTGCCAGGTTCGTGACTTCGACTTCGACTTTGGTGAAGGTGCTGTACGGCTTGAGCTCGCCATAAGCATGTGCAAGGTACTCAGACGGGGCTTTGCGGTCAAAGCCGGAGAAGCCGTGAAGACGGTGGGAAGGATTGGCGCGGCCCTCGCTGGTGTCGAAGAGCTGTACTGTATGACGCTGACGGACGAGAGTGAGGGCAGCGGAGAGACCCGAAGGGCCACCGCCGATGATGAGAACGTCGACAAAAGACATGATGTGCAGTTCGATCGATGCAGTGAATTGCAGAGAGCAGAGAGGAGCGGGCAGAGCAAGGGGCAGGAGGATTTGGATGTTCTTAGGTGTCGGCGGAGGTCAAAGTACAAACAGATCCTTATGCTTTAGAATGGTTGGAAAGGCTGTGGCTCACAGCAGGCTCACAGCAGGCTGAAGCTCAAGCTCAGAGCTCCCTTGCAGCAACTGTTGCTGCTTCTGCTTGATACGGCCCCTTGCATGCGGAGGGGATTGGCCAGCGGACATGGAGCTGCCTTGGGGCACACCCACTGCCGTCCAATCACTTTGCAGCGGATGTTACAAACGAATATAGCAGACCATGCAGGCTGGCTGGGCTGTGCCTCCCGCCGGGCGCCGTTTGCTGCTAGTCTAGTCTAGTTTGGCTACTAAAGGTGCTACTAAAGGTACTACCATGACGAGGAGGTTATAATCAGCCAATAGGGTACCCTGGAAACAATTGGGGGCTCTGTACTAGTACACGCTCGGCCACCGTCGGTTCCACTGCAACCCACCCAAAACGGGAAGGGGGCAGGGGGGGCCCTGCCCAATGATCCGTTTCGTATCTCAGACCAACAATCACTACTAACACCGCCCAAGGAGGTGGTCATCACCAAGTGTTATAGCCGTCTTGGCCATCGTCCACTCGCAAGGTTGACCAACGACGAACTCTCCCGATGAGATGGAGCACTACATTATTATTCTTTTGATTCTGGTCTTTTGGGCGTTTCGCTGGGCCTTGCAGCTCACGAAAACCCGCGACTTTGAGCTCGTAAAGCCGGGGAGGCGTAGCGTTAACCCTGTCTCCGATGCTGTCAAACGGGGATATCGGCAAGTGTGTCTCATGGTGTGGAAACTGTCTGGAGAAAGAATATTCACGTGTGCATTGTAGATTTCCACCGTAACCGGAAAGCCCTTTTTCGTTCGGTACTGGCAGAGAGACTATCTTATTCTTCCGATCAAGTACCTTCACGATGTACGACACGCCGCCAGGGACCACCTTGAGTTCGTCGATAGCATAGCTGATATCCTGTTCCTATACAATTGGGTCGGGGACCTATTTGAGTCCAGCCGCATGGTGTTTGCTGTGATCAAAGGGGTGAACCCACAATTGCGTTCGTGCAGCCGTCTGTCATGCCCTAGAATACGATCTCGCTGATGCGCCGACTAGCTCGACTTTCGGACGCCATGTTCGAGGAGTCATCGCGTGCCTTTGATATGGAGATAGGACTCCTAAAGGATGGCGAATCCAAGCGTCTTCCTGCATTGGATTTCCTGACTGCCATAAGTATGAGGACTATGGCCCGCATCATTGCTGGCAGAGAGCTAGCGCGGGATGAGGTATTTCTCAAAGCCACCACAAACTATCTCAACGGCAACTTCATCACGGGATTCATCATGTTGAATTTGCCGATCGAGGGCTCTCTCCGAGATTGGGTTACCTGGCCATTGTACAAGTACCACCAGCATTTCAGGCAACAGCGTGTGATCAATATGATCAAGCCGTTCGTCGCCAAGCGAATGGAGGATCATCGACTCGGCATCCGCGGGAAAGGAGAATTTGACACTATAGATGCGACCCTGGATCTCCTACACGAGTTTCCGTTTGATCCCAATGCTCAGAACTCGCCAGTCCACACCTTGGCACACGAGACGCTGCAGCTCGTGTGGGCCGGAGGACAGTCGCCCGCCATAAGCGCTGGGTCTATAGTGTTCAAATTGCTCGAAGAACCATCCTACGTCGAACCGCTGCGCGAGGAAGCCCAGGCGGCCGTCGAAAAACATGGTTGGACTAACGCGATTTTCAACGAGCTGCCAAAATTGGACAGTTTCATTCGCGAGACACATCGTCTGCATCCCGTCTTCTCTTGTACGTTAGCCGATGTACACCTGCACTTTAGCTGTGAGAGACTTTAACACCACTTAGTGAATGCTACCAGAGTAGTCAAGGGCAAGCCATTTACCTTTTCAGATGGGCTCACGGTCCCAGTGGGTACTCGCATCGCCTTTCCTGCTGAGGCATGCCAACGAGATCCTGAAGTGATTGCGGACCCGGAGACGTTCGACGGCTTTCGATTCGTGAAATTGGCGGCTGCTAACACGAAGCAAGAAGACGGGGTGAACCGTTGGGCAGCCTCACACGCGAGCTACAGCAATCTTACGTACGTACATTGGAATTCATACTTTTGTGGCGTGGTCTACTGACCATCAACACGCAGATTTGGTTACGGCAACCATGCATGTCCCGGACGCTTTATCGCAGTGCGGTTGCTCAAAATTCTAGTAGCCCGGTTGTTGCTTGACTATGATGTCTCCTGGGACCACAATGGCGGAGAGCCGCCAAGGATGGTGCTGGAGGGCATGTCTTTTCCTAACGTGACGGAGAAGGTCACTCTACGAAAGAGGATGATTTCATGAGCGGAAGCTTGAGGCTATATAGCATGTTTGCTCTCTGTAGAATAGGCGAGCATACAATACTGAATAAACTACAATACCGATGATTTCAACCTCATTGGTAGCTTTTACAATGAGGCGAGCCAAAAGATCGACATAGATGGGTTCGCTTATCCGGACGGCAGTTTGCTCTTATCCAACCACGGGCTACGCTGCAGCGTTGTGGCAACTCCCGGGTAGGCTGGCTCGGTGGGCCTAAAACTTGAAGATGCTCATTTAGAGACTATTCATTACAACCTTCGTCTTCACCGGCCTTGTTTCAACAAGTTCAACGACTCTAAACGAGCATTCAACGATAGATCTTTTGTATTTTAAAAGTCGTAAAGATATTCCTGAGTCTCGTAAATGATACCCTTCAAATGAAACATCAAAGAAAACAACTAAGCCTAAATAGACATTTTCGACACAATTATTCATCTACGCCTCCTCACCATTATCTATTTCGCTATATCGCTACAAACCCCCAGGTTCATCTGTTTGTTGATACAAAACCCTCTGCCTTAGCTATAACAACGACTACCTCTCCGAGCTCTGATGGCTGTCTCTGGTGAAAGCATACGGCACGATGGGCGTCTGCTCGATATCGGTCATGAACATGTCATTGACGTGGCTTCGATTCTGCGACGACACGTTGGAGCGGTCCGCCGACCGGCTGTGCATCTCGTACCCGCTTTTACTATACTTGCTGTTGCTGTACTTGCTACTGCTGTGATTACCGCTATCCAGGCGGCTCGTGCTGCCCCTGGTGCGGATCCGTGAGAGGAGACCACGAATCGAGCTGCCTGCCCTGGCAGAGACCTCGACCCACAATGCGGGAATGGTGGGAAGACAGGCAGTGATCATACCAAAAGTAGGCTCAAGAACACTAGAAATGTTGTTAGATTATCTAATTTTTTGGGGGAAGGGGGGGGGGGGGGCATGTGGAGTCAGGTCATATCTTACGTGAAAATAAGAGGTACGGTCTGGTTGCGCGATGGGTCATCCGCTCCATCTGTTCCAACACGGTAATACAGCGTAACAAAGCTGAATGCGCATGCACTAAGGTAAAAGAATGTCATCAGCGAGATATTCACGCCCAGAACCTCACAATACTTACATTATACCCACGCCAAGCACACCAGTGATACCAATCTTCCTGCGCGTAGCCATTTGCAGCGTCCAAATAGCGGGAATGGCAATGGCCAGAACGTACAAGTCCATCGCGGCATTGATGACAGCGGACACAACACCCTGGTCCTGTCTGACCTTTGCAGTGCACTGTGCCGGGAGCATGCCGTTATCGGCCGGGCGGGGCGCGCACGAGACCCCGATGTAGATTATCAGAGCCGAGTAGGCCACGAGATTCATGGCCAGACCGGCCCAGACGGCATAGGCGGTTTTAGGTGACGCCCGGCGCGGGAAGATCTGGTAGATAAACAAGAGAACCGAGACCTTGACGAAGAAACTCGCGGGCATAAGCATTATGGTCAAGACAAAGATCAACTAATGAAGTCATCAGCTTTTTCTGGGGCTTGAGTCTAGTGTCAGAAGTGTATGCGATACCTACCCTGTTGTAGACGGGCGAGAGAAAGACGGTAAGATGAATATCCCACATGTGAGGCCCAAACCAGTTCTGGGACAGCTGGTAAAGCGCGGTACCGGCAAGACCGGTAGTACAGATCTACGACGGGGTCTGTCAGCTATAAACTCCTACGTTGTTATCTTCAGGGCTGCGGTGCAACTCACCGCACCGGCGAGGGCCGCCCAGTCGTCGAGCCCGGTCTTCCTGACGACCCAGATCCGCGAATACAGTCGCAACGCCACGACCATGATCATGATGCCTAGGAAGACGGAGATGACAGCGATGGCACGGGGCGCTGTCGAGTCCGGATGGTCAAAGTTGGACTGGACGCCTTCCGGAGGCTGAGCCGCAGGCATTGCCGCCAGTTGCTCCGGCGTCAAACTAGCCAACTGGGAGGGATCCATATTGGGTGAAGAAACACGCGAGCTTTTTGCTTGAAGGCAAAAAATCAGAGAAGTAAAGATGAACGAAGTCTTGAGTGAGCAAGTGAAATTTGGTATGGAGAGAAAATTTACGCTGAGCTAAGAGTTGAGCAGCCACAGCCGTTTTTGGCTGACGGGAACGCGGCTGACGGTTGGAAATGGTGTGATCGAATCGCACACCCACTCGATAGCGGTCAAAGGATTCACCCAAAGGATTCGCCAAAAGGATTCCAGTGACGAGCCAGGCCATAAAGCCAATGTATAAAGGGCCTAAAATTGCACACATGCATATGGCCCAGGGTGATAGGTCCCAATCAGCCCATCTCACAAGTGGGGCGTATGGTATGCATATCTCCAACAAAAGGGAAAATTGACAGGGGTATACACTACACGCATGGACATGGTAGGACTTTCGGGCCCCGATATACCACATGATTTGATCGCGACAATCTGACATACATACAAAAACAGATTCTAAAGAATGCTACCCTAAAATTTCGTAATCACAGTCTTTTATTTCTCTCGTTAAATTGTAAAACGCGGAAGGATTCATTGCAAGGGCCGGCCGACTTGGCCTATATTGAACTTCGTGGTTACGTTTGACTGGATCACAATTTGCCTAGATTGGTTTGTGTCCCCAGATGACGCGCAATGGATATACACCCCCCACTTCCTTCAGTTCCTTGTCCAAGTCAGAGCCCAGTGTGTCCAATTTCTCCGCCGGCAGACTGATGGTGCCCTGGGGAAGAGCTGTAGAATCAGATTAGTACTACAATGGAAGCAGCAGGCTATATGCCTGTGGCAGGTAGCCTCAAGAATAAGGTTTCATGGCTTACTCTGTGCAAACTTGCCAAGGCCCCCAGCAGCGGCGCTTGTGGAGAAGACGCCCTGCCCAGCCAGTGTAGCATCCGGGTTTTGAGCGCCGAACTTGAGAGGCACGTTGCGATCCTGAATATCTACAAAGCCGGCGCCTTTAAGCCAGCCTGGAATTTGGTCGGTCAACTTGAGATCGGCGTCCATGAACTTGAAGACGCCGTTCATGACGTCCACAAAGGCATGCATTACCGGCCCACATCCTTCCGGAAGCTCGTTCGTAGCCTCAATGACTTGAATCCAGCCTCCGGGCTTGACAAGAGCACCTAGAGAATGCAGCGCTTGCTCCTGGCGAGCGCCGGCGCTCACCAAGACAAGGCGCTGGTGCACGAAGTCAAAGTGCCCTGCCCACTCCTCCGGCCACGGCTTGTTAATATCGTGAACTTGGTAGGTAGTGCCGCCGGGGGGCTCGGCCGGAAACTCGGCGGGGTTGATGTCGATACCAATGAACTCATGTTTGACATCTGGGTAAGCGGCTGCAAGGTCCCGGATCCATGTTCCTGTATTTTAGGAATCCGTCAGTATATCATGCATGAGGTGCGCTCGTTTTGCGAGCTAGAACGATCCTCGCTTCGTGGCAGAATTTCGTGCTGTGAGAGGATAGTGAAGCTCATAAATTCACCAAGAACCCAGATCTGAATTCATGGATCTCCTATTTGGGGGGTGGTGGGATCTTTGAATATAAAGTCCCTTCGTTAAACTTTTCTTGGAGGAACATACCGTCAGCCGTGGCCGAGTCTAGAATTTTGAGCGGAGAGGCAGAGAAATCGACCGGGGCTAATACTAAGCCTCCCATGGCATCTTTGATCACATCATGTTGATTGCGCAAACGCTTGGCCTCGAGATCGTTGCCAAGAGGGTAGGCGTGCTCATAGTGTTCAGTTGCCGATGGAGCCATGTTTGTTGTGAACAAATGAGATTTCAGGGCATCGATCTGCTACTGCAATGGAAAATTACGTATAAAGTTTGGTCGAGCACCAAAGGATAGCTCAAGGTTCGATTGAACCTGCAGCGTAGGTTGTTATATCTATTGCCTACCTAGTGGTAAGAGATCCGCTGCGTGCTCGGGTCCTTGCATCGATCCCCTCTTCCGGCTGCCGACGTTACTTTCTACTGCAGCCCTATTTACCAGAGTCTAACCAAGTATTCGGTCAACGGTAAAATTATTCACTTTGTATGAACAGCAATTACGGTATCAGGGTGCTGGGACGGATCTCATATTAATGGCTACTCAATAAACCCGGGACATGGGTCAACACAAATCACCTAACTAAATGTAAGACATAGATTATTCGCAAAACCGGCCATACATCTCTTTTGGCCTGGGCTTGGATTGGGTCTCACTGCTTCTCTGTAACAGCGATCGTTGCAACCATGCGGATCTTGTGAACACCATCCTCGTAGACATGCCAATCGCCCTTCTGGAACTCCTCAGCGGCTATCTCGATTGCTTGGTCCCACGTATCTTCATCCGACTGCTTCCAGCCTCCAACAGGAGTGGCAAGGAAGGTCCAGGCGATTCTCGCCCAGCGCTTGGGATCCGCCATGTGCAGCCACGCACTCCTCTCCACGAACTTGGTGTTCTCAAAACCAGCTTGCTTCAGAATTCTCTTGAACTGCTCCGTATCATAGTCGATAACGGCAAGGAAGGGGGGTAAGGGTGCATCGTCGCCTCGAGTACGGCGATGCGCCTCTTTCAAAGCAGCTTGCCAGGGCTTGTCTTTCCAGACCGCAATGGCTGCCGTTCCGCCGGGCTTGACAGTGCGTAAGATATGCTTGGCAGCCCCAACTTCGTCGTCAAGGCCGAGGAGGACAAAGTCGGTGATGGACAAGTCGAAATAATTGTCAGGGAATGTCAAGTCATTGGCGTTGACCTCGGCAATCTCGACGGGCCAGGAGGGGTTCTTGGCGAGCGTAGCACGCAGTTGTGCCAGATAATTGGCGTTCTTGTCAGTTGAGTGAATCTTAATGTCGGAGGGAACGCCAGAACTCATGATCTCGCCCGTGACGGATCCATAGCCGCATCCATTATCATGGATGACGAAGCCCGATTTGATCGGCGGCACGACCTTGATGAGCTCCTGCGCAATGCCCTCACTCACGTTCCCTTGGAGCTCCTGGGCGAGAGCTCCATCGAACTTCACAGCTTGCTTTGGAAAAAACGGGGCGGACATGTTGCGTCGTTGAAGGCGATTCAGAGTGATGTGAATGGCAGGTAGCTAAGAAAGATGCGTTAACACAAGATCCTGAAGACGACATGGCGGTTTCGCTAGATGCATGATGGTGTTTGCCTCATGCAAGGGAAGTCGGCCCCCGGCCAGATTTGATTGGATGGGAATGCTACAATACCTTTATGGCGCATGTTTGCAGTGCCCGCGAGATCATTCTAGGACTTGGTTAACAAGCGAGGCTTCCAGTGCAAGAAATACTTCAGGTAGTTGAGAAAATGGTTCATCAAGGACAACATTCAATTCCACCTTGACTCGTCACAAGACATCGAGCGTTGTCGGGTTGGAACTACTTCACTTTCGACGGTGATTGTTTCTACTCAGCCAGCCTTTTCCCAGAAGCGCTCGTTAACAGGTGTAGGTACATAGCACTAAGGTTGGTAGTAGTAGGTGTTGCTGCCAAGAATATGATCCGTGACGCCCTAACCTTAGCCGTGTGCCGGACCTCAGCGGCTGGCCTCATACCTCCGGGTGGGGTGGGGCTACTAATTCGGCGGACTTACAGTGCTAGCCTTCAGTGCTTCCAGTGTTTCCAGCGTTTCTGTTCCTTCTAGTTTCAGGACATTCAGGGCTTGAACGGCCTCTACATGTCGATACAGTCTTGTTCAAAAAGATGGTATCGCGGCGCCTGCACCTCAGCGTACAGGGAGGAGCGGGCCTAGCCTTTCGCAGTAGTGTCTGTGCATGTACAGGTACCACGGGCCGTTGATCTGTTGGCGCTAAACCGTTTCAGCACATACCATAAGTTATCCTGTCTTCGCAACGTAGCTCCCACACTCCGGCGATCATGGATGGCTATGGCCTGCATACAGGTAGACATAATATCATATCGAGTTGGAGGCGGCTAAGGACGTCGTCGCCTTTGGTATTCCTCCGTATGCAGGCAGAGATAAAAACAAATCATGCGAGTCAGTGCCGAAGAAGACATCATCCGCCGTCTTCCTTCAATCATACTGGAAGTAAAGATACTCAACAACACAAGCTCGGGGCCCGAAAGGTCGTTGCCCGTGTAAACACAACGATTGCTATCCCACCTTTGTGCGACCCAGAAGTTCCCGAGCGCTACCCCAAGCCGATCGATCGATGGGCCAGCACTTTGGACAGCCCATATAGCTTCATTTATTGCACGTAATTCATTTCGCCTGTTTGCGTCTAATACCGGTGCCATTCCTGCTGCGGCGTTGTCACGGTGACATTGCATCGGTTACCTACATAGGCTGGAGCATGCAGGCAAACAATAGGGAAGGGATATACAGTAAGGTTTGCCAAAAGTCTTCTGCACCGCCCAAAATTACCTGCAGGTATCCCTCGCCATTTGCTGGCGTCGGATCGCAGATCATCCGTTATTCCTGGCCTCGCTCCGTGCAACATTGCCAAGGGGCACGGCCCGATGCAACCTCCGTCCCTAGGATCAGGCAGCATCTTGCAGCAGTGATTGGACGCATTCTGAAAGGGCAGCAGATCAAAATAAGCCTGCCAAATAAAAACGGTGTGGCGCACCGTTGTGTCACGCAAAGCAGCAGGCTGTCTGAGCCAAGGGCGGGCCATTGGCCGTGCCATTCGACTGAGTGGCCGGCAACTCCTGCCAACATTCGTGATTACAGGACACTTTCAGGTTGACATGTAAGAATTCAAATAGGGTTCGTTGAGCTTATCCAATAAGTCACAAATATGACGTGCATAAATACTACTGTGCAGAGGGAAGATTTGGAGTAAATCAAGAACTTCTTTATCAATCATTCGTGTAGGATATACACTTTGACGGCACACAACGATGCAAGCTCAATCTCACCGGTGGCACAGCTTCTCCAAAACTGCATCGATAAGAGCCTAAACCACCTGCGTGCTCACACCTTGCTGCGTCACACTATCTAGTCCTAGGGAGAGTCTGCGAAGAGCCTCGGTCAACTGTCCAGGCGCAAGAGCAAAGTTGAGCCGCGCCCAGCCCTTCTCACTTTCTGGGCCGTGGTAGCCACGACCCAAAGAGAGAGATACGCCGAATCCTTTGCACGCTTGAATCACCGCCGCCTCGTCCTCCCATGTCTTCGCGCTTGGTGCTACTTTCACGAGGATGAAAGGTCCCATGTTCGCCGGAATCCACCGAAGACCTCTGGCCCGTAGTAACGTAGTCAACTGTACATATGCTTCAGTGAGCCGCTGCGAATTGAGTTTCAAGAGGCGCGGGAGCTCTGGCGACAACAGAAGGCTTGTAGTCGCAATTGCTGTAAGCGATGACATCTGTGTATTTGAAGCCAGAGACATCCCAGTAGCTAGAGGTCTGTTTCCTTGAGTAATGCAACAACCCTTGACCAGTGTCAGCGATGGGAAACGGAGTCAAAGACCAAGTGACATACCATTCTCAGGCCGCTAGAGCCAAGGTCTTTGCTGATACTCCAAATGGTATGCATACGAGACAGGTCACAACCTAGCTCGACAATGTCGATCTCCAACAGAGAGATGAATGGCACAGGGTCTGGCAGATCAGGATTTGGGAACTTGGAGAGTGCATAAATCTCGTCTGAGATGAGGTGAATCTTCCTCTTATCACACCACTTGATGATCTCCACGATGGTCTCCTTAGGATAGGCTTGACCGAATGGATTATTTGGATTTGTGAAAAGTAACCCTTTAATGGGATACGGTGACTGATCGAATGCGTCTTCCAGTGCTTGGATCAATTTCGGTGTGAAGATATCCTCGAAGCAGGCTATTGTAACAAAGACTGGGTGTATCCCGGACTTGACCTTGATGAGCCAGTCAAATCCATCTACGAATGAGATAGGTTCATTATCTGAAGCAACAGTTGAGGGTTTCGAAGCACTTACTCCAAGCCGGAGTCGTGATAAGGAGGCCGTCTCCTGCTTCGCCTATGTTGTACAACAAAGCATCTAGCGAAAAGGCCGCTCCCGGCGCAGTTGCGATATGCTCTCGGGCGACAGGTATGCGCGGATTAAAATAAGAATTGAAAAACTTCTCTATAGCATCCAGAAGATCTTGATCGCCCGCAAAGCCGTTTGGGTATGATAGATGCTTGAATCATAATTAACACAGTGTAAAAATAGTGCAACACCTAGTGATGTATTACTTTACCGAAGAAGTTTTCCCGAATAGCATCCTTATAGAGTTGTATAAGTTCGTCACGAAGAAGCCAGTTCTCAGACGTCGCCATATCTATACAGGGGTCTTCAAGGCGTTCTCTCTCCGCCACGGCATTTTCAATTCTCGGCCAAATGGCCTCGACATTGGCAGCACCACGCTGCGAAAGTCCGTATCTCTCCATTTTCCTAAAATGATAGGCAGTTTTAATGAATAGAAAGACTTAATTCAGTGATATCCCACTCTATTATGAAAATCAAACAATACGTCGGAGATCCCGACCTTGTCACGTTGAAGATGGTAAACCCGGCAGCCGAAGTTTCGTTCCGTCTACCCAGCCGCATAGTCCGCCTGATGGCCTACCAACAGCCGCTCAGTATTTCCTGTATGATTGCATCAAGTCTTTGTTTTATCTATAAGATACACTGAATAGTCAAAACATCGAAATGTTTTTCTGGGCGTCCCCCATTACTCTCTGTGTCGGGTACCTTCTATCACGCATTTACCAGGCCACTCAGCTCCAGGGGTCCAATTCTACATGCCTCTTTACACGACACCAACTAGCTAACAGGCTCGTATTTATCTTATATATCGCACTATGTTGTTTCCTGGTGTGTCCCACTCACGCCTCATGTGCACTAACGTGTGGATGGAAGGGCCGGAACCTCAATTGTCGCGCTCTTCATGAGCCGAAGATCTATCTCAGATAACACAGGGCTATCTACGGACTACATAGTAAGAGAACCTTATCACTAGGAAAGCAATTTGATAACATTATTTAGCCATTCACGATCGGGGTGGGTCTCATTTATCTGGCTGGACTCCTACCGGACCCAGGTGTCCCGTATACAGCGTCTCCGGTTCAATGCCATAAGTGCCATAAGTGGCTCATAAGCATCATCTATGAATTTGCTTGGACTTCTTGTGTCATCAAATTTCAATCACCAGATGAGGGCTCTGGGAGAGCATTGGTCAATGTTTGGTTTAGCTTTGCGGTTATTCGGCTGGTGCTCCTGGTGTGCTAAGTTGTTACCTTCCTGACCATCACGGGAAGGCGCCTCTTTTATGTGCGCCAATTAGTCCCAGAGGAGGAAGAGACTCCATCCATCATAACGGCAATGGATCGGGCTACGGAGTCTTGAGCAACAACCAGAAAGACAACATTCGTGTGGGGTCGGCGACGCTCAGACGACGACATGGCTGGATTACCTTCTTGGGTTTCTCAACCTTGTAATGTTTCTCTGGTAATATCTCACCAACCCATTTCAACTCGGGTAGTAACCAAGAGCTCACATTTGACAGGCCCTCTGACTCCTCGGCGCTTCAAGTGCGGGCAATATTTGGTTTCTTCCTCCTGATCGCATAACAAGTGATGAACATTCTTGCGCCGCACCAGATAAGAGTCGGATTTGCTTCACTTAGTCCTGGGACCTAAACAAGCAAATACTATTATATGTGCTCTTCCGAGGATTACAGGGTCAGGAAGGTGTCATAGGATCTTTTCGGCTCTTGCTCTGGATTCCGATTAGCCAGTCGACATAGCGCCGCTTCAGCTCAGCCACATTCGAACATGTGATGCAGCTCTCCCTAGAGTTTCATCTGATCAAACGGTTTAGTGAAGTGACGAGTGCGCTTAGTAAAGACGACACGCTCAACACATTTCTTGGCGGACACATATATTTCAATTATTTCCCATGGTAGTCAACCTCAGGACTGCTGCAGCTTATTTCTTCGGCTTTCGATGTATACTACTCCCTGATGGTCATATCGGTAACATTCTCTTACGTTTATATCACAATTTACATGGGCATATACCGAGGACGAGCACGAAGATAAATGGCCAAGAGAGAACGGAAAACGGAAGCAGCTAAGTATGCTAACTTGCGACTCAAAAGGCAATCGTATACCAACGATTAGTAGGACTAATGCATTGATGTCTTACGAGATTGTGCATCACAGCGGTGTCGTCTCGATAGAAGTGTCGAGATACGGAAACCGTATCCATGATTTCCAAAAGGCAAATCCAAATGTATTCGTATGCTCAATATGCTGATCACCGTGCAACATGGTGTCTTCACGTCGGGAACCCTTCTTGTCTGTTACCTCAATGCGTATCAGATGTCAATGAACTTACAGAATGTCGCGATGTTCGTGACTTTTCTCACATACCTGGCTCAGCTACAAGTTCCATTGAACTTTTTCGGCAGCTTTTATACGCAAATTCAAAACAATTTAGTTGACGCAGAATGCATATTAGAATAGGCAAGTAGCCAATAGGCGTACTACCACGGTACTCAGCTAACAATTCGCACTAGGTTAGTTCGAAGAGAAGCCGGCGGTTCAAGACGGCGATGGCGTCGTGGATATCAATCACTGTGACAGCAAGATATCGTGCTCTATTGTGACATTTGCATACAATGCCTACAATGCCCAGCAGCCTGTTCTGCAGAATGTCCCGTTTGATGTACTACTGGGCACATCAACGACAGTCTGATGCACAACCTTGCCTATGCAAAACCTGAAGCTTCGGCGCAAGACGTATACGAGGATGCGAAATTAACCAGCATTCAGCACAATATTCTTGACCTCCGGAAGGGATATTTGACTGCCGTTGGTGAAAGGGGTCTCAAGTTATCTGCCGAGAAAGGCAAAGAGTATCCGGGAACTGTTCTCCACTGTCGAAATCGACATGCTAATTATACACAGATCGCAATTGCACGAACTTTCCTCAAGTCGCTTCGAATTCTCTTGTTAGATGAGGCAACCTCATCACTCGATTCCGAAACCGAAAGGCAAATCCAAGGGTCTTCGGAGAAAGTACTAGAATGCAGAACCACGATCACAGTAACATAAGTCATAGAGTAAAATTCCATTAGTTTAGACTATTCATTGGTCAAAACCCGATTTTATTAAGGCATCAACTGTTCACGATCGTCAAAGCTGATCAAATCATTGTGCTACAAAGAGGTCGTATCGTGGAGGTCGGAAAACACGCAGAATTAGTTGCCAATGAGCGGGTATGCGCGCAAATGTGGAAGAAGCAGACAGAAACCGAGCATGCATCCGACAAGTTTACCTAGATTTGACTAAGAAGTTTCTTCTTCTATTTTGCCTATGAAGCCCGACTACGATGAGAGCACTCGCCGGGCCTCTGCTTGGTGCGCCCACGTGGTAGGTTTAATATGCCGCTGGCTCCGCAATGGAGGACTGTTGAGTTCCATTTCAAGAGCATTTCCACATTCCAATTAACGCATTTATTGCCCTATGGCGGTACTATTCTGTCTGCTTAATCGTTTCTATATCGATCGATAGGCAAGAAAAGTCAATTGATTCGATGGTAAATAATGACTACAAAATATACATAGACGATTAAACAATACGCTTTATTATTTTCTCGAAATAATGTAAATTAGTGACCTAGGGCGATGGTCTCATGTGCCAACATTTTGTAGAACTTCCCAAGCCATGCTTCGGTCCGAGCCGCTAAGCTCCCACGACGAATCCCGGAGGCTGGGGTTGGTTGATAAGACACGAAGAGTCCTGCACTTGTCGTCTTAAACATCTATCCATACATGGCATAACTCCAATTTGATCTTGTGATACAATTTCTCTAACAACTACAAGCGCCAGATATCTACGCCCGTTCATCATGATGCGGTCGCCGTCTTTTCCCAGTGATGCGAAGGGGTCTCCTCGTGTTACGCTGCTAGCGAGGAGATCGTATCGTTCGCCACCCAAACATTCGATATTATTTACTACTATTTTCTTATCCCTGGTGGTAGTCTCGAGTTACTTTTATTGTCACCGTTATGCGCGGCTGCAAGAATCATATGCTAGTCATGAGGTGTATGCTCCCAACCTATTGATTGGTCAGTAATAAATGAGTCTCAAATTTTAGGTGTATACATATTGACCCGATATCTACGAACATAGATGGCCATAATGACTTTCCAATATGGATCCGAGCTTTTTATCGCAACCATATCTATCAAAAGAATTTCAGCCAGGAAGCAGGGCTCTTTGGACAGGTTGACTTTCCTCGGCTGAAGGAAGGAGGGGTGAGAGGTCAATTCTGGAGCGTATATGTTGAATGGTACGTCGTTTAAGACTATTCTATACGCGTTGAACTCCATTAATTTCGTGTAGCCCAGAGAACGCAGACAACCATTCGGAAGCTGTGCTCAATGAGATAGTCCATGATACCCTCCAGCAGATCGATCTCGTGCACCGCCTCATTCGAGAATATCCCATATATATGGAGCATGCATGGTCAGCGACCGACATCAGCAGAATATCCAGTTCCATCCCTACAATAGCCTCACTGATGGGCATCGAAGGCCTGCACCAGATCAGCAATAGTGCGAGCATACTGCGCATGTACTACTCTCTCGGCGTCAGGTATGCCACGTTGACCCACACTTGTCATAATGCCTATGCAGACAGCGAGGAGCCTGCAGTACCTCTCCACAAGGGACTTTCCGAGGCAGGCAGGGAAATTGTAAAGGAAATGAACCGCATCGGCATGATCGTGGACTTATCTCACACGAGCTTCGAGACGCAGCGTGATGCATTGTATGTAACCGCCGCACCTGTGATCTACTCGCATTCCAATGCGTATACACGTTGTGCCCATACTCGGAATGTGCCCGATGATATCCTTCGGTCGCTGAAGAGTAATGACGGTGTTATCATGGTGACATTCTATGCGTCATTCCTAGAGCTAAACCCCGACGATGCCTCTCTCAGTTCTGTGGCAGACCACATCATTTACATAGGCGATTTGATTGGTTATCGACACGTTGGAATCGGTTCAGACTTTGACGGCATGGACAAGGGGCCCAAAGGGTTAGAGGATGTCTCGAAGTACCCGGCGCTTTTCGACGAGCTCCGAAGTCGAGGAGTGGGTGAAGCTGAGTTGCAAGGGGTCATGGGAATTAATGTTCTACGAGTGCTAGAGCATGTCGAGAAAGTGTCGAGATCTCTAAGAACAGTTCGACCTCTCGAAGATGACGTGAAGCCGTTTTTTGGCTGAACAACTCATAGCAAAGACGACATCATATGTAGACTGTTTGATTTCTTATGATAAATTACAAAATCAACGGTAGCCACATTTTTCACTATACGGATCATGATTTGATGATTTCACAATACGTCATAGACTACGTAGCTGCACATTCACTTACATTTGGTGCTCGCCCAGCATCATTGGTGGAGTATCGTCTCTCATTTCTACTGTGTGCTGTTGCGACAAGACGTTCTGACATCTTGTCCGCACAAATAAAGGTGACTGTTGACTTCCAGCCGTCTATCTATCTGGGCTGAATGTAAACATGACCGGATGCAATATAATCAGGCCCAATATTTGGATGCCCGTCAACTAAAGCGCATAAGTTGGAAAACGGTTCATAGATGCAGCATGAAGAGATTACCTGCTATCTTTAGAAAAGGGAAATCATGTTCTGGTGCCTGATTGTTGGTCATAATGGAAGTGTTCATGCGTTTGCAAATACAAGAAATTGCTGATAGATATGTATTCTTGACGTCTGAGACCATTCTTAGTAGTCCAAGTCATGGAATAGTCTCGTGGGTCGACCGTATTTCTTTCAGTCCTCTGGTCTCTGCCCGAAAGTCTCTACAAACTCGGGTTTTCGATGAAGACATCCTGTCCTAGAATCAAGACTCAGAGCAAACACACCAACAAAGGATCCAAGGTTTCAAACAGGTCAGAATAATGCATCCTTCCGTATTATTGCCGCTCCTGGCTTTTGCAACTTCGGCACAGGCCATCTTGCCCGTTATTGGAGCATGCATTGCCGCTCTTGGTGCTAGTACAGCTGTTGCCCCTGGCGCTGTGGTCGGATATTGGGCTTTGGTGCGCTTGGACCCGTTACAGGTAAGTTGTATCTACCCTGTCTTCTCATGTAGTCAGGCGTATGCAACAGTGATACGAAAGTGACGGAACAGAACTGACACAGCTGGGCGTTCTCTTGGGCATTATCGCGGCCACAATACAAGCTACTATAGGCAATGTTGCGGCAGGAAATGCTTTTGGCATCCTACAGAGTGCTGATATAGGCGGCACAGGTGCTGTGATAGTCCAAACTGCAGGTGCTGTAGTCGGCGCTGTGGGTGTCGGTCTGAGTTTGATGGTGGATGAGAGTAACTAGAAGGATTACAAAGGAATTGAAATATGAGGATTAAGAACACTCATAATAAAGAAAATTGAAAGGTGCTCAGAGGACCTAAAAAATATCACCTACTTACATGGTATTGATAAGCTTGTCGGTATGCAAAACCTCGTGCGAACATTCGTGTGTTTGATGGCATCTCTATCTGTGGTCGTGCTCTGTGAACGGGCCCGAGCTAGTAATTTACCGCTGTCTCTTTGTAATGTTTTATCAGATGAGGTTACTGCCTAATGATATTCATTGTATTTCAGCTTCCATGTAATACATCTAAAGTTGACAAACTTCTCCCCCAGCATGGTCGTGACCATGATCCGCATGGAGATCCTCCGGCCAGTCCTCGAACCCATCCTCGAAAAGCCCGTCAAGCTTTTCCTGCGGGTGCTTAGAATTCATGGCCTTCTCCCAAGACTTGAACTCCTTATCGGTCAGCAAGCAAGCGTCCAAGGCAGAGTGAAGACGTTCTTCACCGCCTGAACGCATCTTTTGCCCAATGAAGACAATTTCCTGTCGGCGATCCTGCCATTTTCCTTCATAGTCCTTCATAATGGCAGCGCGGGCTTTCGGATCCTTCGGCCACTCTGATTCAGGCGCTTCGCAACGCCACAAATCGCCTGCAGAAATTGTAAGCATAACGCCAGCTTGCGACCATTCGCCGAACTGTAAATGTTAGCTCATCTACACAGTCACATGGGCATATAGGCAAAGGTAATCACCATTCTGGGTCGAGTTGCGAGCCAAAGAAAACCTTTGGATCGGAGTAGCGGGCCGAACGTCTCGTCTCTCATTTTGCTCTCTAAACGGGCTTGAGGATTAAGTTGTGGCTGGTCCTCGTCGTCCATCTCGGTATCTGACTCATCTTGAGACTCGTTGTGATCTTCGCCATCAACATCCATGGAATCCTCAGCTTCATACTCTGTTTGTATTACGATGAACACGTCTTTGATCGTGTTCCACAGACGTTCCGGGTGAAACGGTCGACGGGCTCGGTAGATAAATGTACCAATACCGTACTCCTCGGTCTCGGGATTAATCTCTTCGTTCAGGCTTTTTAGCCAGCCGGCACTAAGAGCGGATTTCTCATAAGAGAACAATCGTGTATCGAGAATCTCTTCCAGATTGAGTCGAGACTTGGTTGTTGTTAGAATCTTGGCGTCAGGGTTGAGTTTCTTAATGACGCCTCGGATGCGATTTACCTCATCCTTCGAGACAAGATCGCATTTATTGATGACAAGCACATCAGCAAACTCGACTTGGTCGACCTGAAGATCAGAGATGTTGCGGTCATCTTCCTCAGGTACGTCGATTTGGCGGTCGATAAGGAAGTCTGCTGTCTGGAAGTCCTTCATAAAGTTAACTGCATCGACAACAGTAACGCAAGTGTCAAGTCGGGCAACTTTGGAAAGGCCTCCTGACTTCAAAATTTCTGCCAGGCGCTTGTTTTTCTGTTCGCCTTCTTGAGCTTGAGCTTCTGCTTCGAGATCGTAACCGGCTGCAACATGCATCTCTGCAAATCTTTACCATATCATTAGCAATTAAGCCGGCATAGATAATATGTGACTCACTCTTCTGAAAAGGTTTCAGCAACCTGCATGGGCTCGCTGACCCCTGAGCTCTCAATGACTAGATAGTCCACTTTGCTATCCTCAGCTAGGCGGGCGACTTCTTCTAGAAGGTCACCTCGTAGTGTGCAGCAGATACAGCCGTTCTGCATAGCAACCACCTGCTCTTCCTTGCGGGTCACGTCGTGGGTCGTCAAGAGAGCTGCGTCAATATTCAAGGCGCCCACATCATTGACAATGACGCCAATTCTGAGTCCATGGTCGGGTGAGGTAAGGATGTGCTCCAAAAGCGTGGTCTTTCCTGCACCCAAGAACCCTGACAGAAGAGTGACAGGAAGTCGCTTGTCTCCTGAGGTATCTGCAGGTCCAGAGATGGACGAGCGAGGCGAGTCAATGAGTGCTCCTGGCGCCATTTTGACTATGGCCGCCGTTCTCAAATATTTTGATTTATGAGTTGTTTAAAATTCAGAGGTGTGGGCTCTTCTGTCCTTTCTTAACTTCATCTTATGATAGACACCTTGCAGGCATTTTCAAGAGCCCGGAGAACCCTGATGGCCGTATTGCAGCCACCTTATGCAGGGACTCTACCTCGACCCCAAGGCTATGGTTAGCCTCAGGGAGTTCTAGGTAATCGCCAGCATCCTATTGGATGGCACTGGGATCATGACCATCTGCCGTGCACCTTGGCGGCCACCTGAGGTAAGCTGGACGTCTCTTGCTCTAGATATTCTGTCGGTGTAATGAAGTACGTTCCATGATCACTGAGAGAACTTCTAGCAGTAGCACGTCTCACTTTCTGAATTATTGTGCTGTTTGCAAGTTGTGACACAAGTAGAGGGCTCATACAACCCACCCCGATGCGCCTAGCACTGCTGCCTATGGTTTATACTGGGACTTTGTGGCTTTGTGTGAGGGAAAGTAGACTGGCTTGCGCAAACAGCAGGAACGCAATGGGCTACAAAATACTTTTACAATGGGCCAACTCGTGGCCACGCTGATAATTAACAGAAAGCGAACTTGCTTCTGTCCTTTTGCCCAAGCCTGTTACTTTGATGGGACACATTCTTCGTCGCTCTCGTTGCAATGGTTTCATTTAGGGTCGAACGTCTCAAAAGAGTCGCACAATGCCCAAGATTGCGACTTGACAAGGGACTGAAGCGCGGCGCTTTTCATTCATTTCTTGATTTCTTTTCGCTTGGAATCGTTCTTGTCTAGATGTTACCCTGCTTAGTTTAATTCCCGAGTAATTCGTAGATACACTGCAGCATCGGCGCTAACTAATGACGTCGACTTGATGAAACGCGAAACCTGGCGTGAGTGGGGTGCCATATGTGCTTTTCCGAACTTCAATGATCGAATTGTAATTGCATACTTTATCAGAGGACTGAATTTAGTTAATATAGATCTTCAAAGCCTTGAGCATTTATCCAACCTTCATAGGCTCATGACATTGAGAATGGCTGCTACGTTGACACCCCTCGCATCATTGCATGTGTCCAAATATCAAATTCCAGCGCACAATCTCCTACCCAACACATCAATGCAAAAAAAGCCTTTGTTACATTATCATAGCGTCTTCCCATCATCAACCACGCCGTCGGCCATCGAGTCGCATCTGGAGTTGGTTGGCGTTGTAGATCCACAATGGCGCTTTAGCATGTACACCACAACGCATTTCCACAGTACCACTCATGAAGTCCTCTGTATCTCACAAGGCAAGGCGACGTTATGCTTTGGAGGCGAGGAGAATCCTGGCAAGATTGAATTGGAGGCTCAAAGGGGCGATCTGCTGGTAGTACCAGCAGGCGTGGGACACAGGCTACTGAAAGAGGATGGCAGTGAGGATTTCGAAATGGTCGGCAGTTACCCCAAGGGTTGCAACTGGGATATGTGTTATGGCAAAAAGGGCGAAGAGGCCAAAGTGAAGAGCATCAAGAAGATCCCATGGTTTTCGAGGGACCCGGCATACGGCGATCAGGGCCCAGTGCTGGACGTCTAATGTCAGAATAGCACAGAAGTCAGGCTCTAGATTTCACCCTTGCATGGCTTATACGCGAAGAATAAAGGACTCAAGTGAGGCGACTCGCTACATCACGATTGGTGACTGTGCTATGATCGTGTAAGGTGCTGACGTATCTGTGCTTGATATTTTCAGTACAAATTTTGACAGGACTGGTCAATGAGAGCAGACACATTTTCCCCCCATGACTGCAGCCCGTTTTTGGCTGTTGAAATTCTTTACGGGAGCTAAAACATGCTCATCTATCATGAAAACGGAACTGTCATTAAGAACGGGAAGGCACCAACGTCCAGAATTAACCTCACGATGCTCGACCGATGGTCGGCTACACAATGATACAGCATCATCAAATGACAGAGCACGTGGACTGACTTTGTCAATTGAACCACCTTTGGGGCCGAAAATAGTCATGAGAGCATCATCCCGTTTTGCGTTCTAGACTCTGCAAAATTGCTATGGTTGGGAAAGCACTGAGCACAATTGCGAACGATTTATCACCTAGTGGACGAGTTTGTCGCTTGTGCAATATCTGAGACGACCGTCGGGCAAGACTCTGAATCGGAAAGGCTGCTGACTGGCGAGATACTCTGATGCGTCCCGAACTCCAATTATTCATCTCACCCGCAAAGCAATTTCTGTGCTGCTTCTAAATAAACCAATATCAACTGAGAGTTTTTTGATCATATATTCGAAACAACTGCCGGCACCCTTCTTCACAGCTTAGTCGCGATTACCAGCCAATCTTAAGCCCGCAGCAATGTGTACCATAATCTTTTCCAAAAAGTGTGGGTGCCACGACCGAGTGAAGAAGTGTGCAAAAAGGTGCGGAAAAATCAAGAAGTGGGAGCCGAGTGAAGACGATGAGATCTGCAAGACATGCAAGGTCTATGAACCCGACAATAACAACCCGGAGTACTGGAAGCACATGTGAAATCGGTTCTGTATGTATATAATCACTGCTACTTGATAAGGACCGCGACTAATGCAGGATATAGTGTTTGCTTCGAATGGATAAACGGTTTTAGGAAGGAATTTACGTGAAATAGGAAATGATAGGAGAGGTATTGGGTGCTTGTATCTGGCATCAGGACTAGAATGAAACCATCACCATTTTAGTATGCTAGATGGTTACATTCGATGGACATTGACTAGTCTAGTGAGAATAATGTACCATGCATCCATCCATTCATTCATTCATTCATTCATTCATTCATTCATTCATTCATTCATTCATTCACTTGTGTTATTTAGCAGAGAATGACTTCTCAGTCATTCTTCAAGGTTTGTTGAGAGTTTTTGCAAAGTAGCCATTCAGATTTATCTCAAAGTTCCCTTGAAGAGTTTTCTGAGAAATTTCCAGGGATTTCATCGGTCGAGAAGTATAAGTAAATTCCCCATCCATGTAAAACAAGACGGGATCTAAACGGTGAGGTCTAAAAGCGCAAAATACCAGACAAACTCCCATTGGGTATGTCACTAGTAGTCATGAAGTACTTTGATGGTCCATAACTCATAGTTTGATGCCGATTCCTCTTTGTTTTTAGGACTGCTACCGATTTAGTTCGTAACTGTAATGATAGCAGAACCACAAAACCACCATTAGCGGTTACCACAGACAATCCAAAACAGACGAATAGCAATCCCGTATGAGCAACGGTAGTCGGTGCCGAAACTTCAGTGATTACCCAAGCATGAAAACGCCCGTCAACCCCACAGAAAGGCATGCGCCTCAACGGGAAGCAACAGTACTTATACCACCCGAGTATAACTCCTGACGATCTCTGCCAGGCAACGAAATTTACCGAATCCTTCGGTACGTTGGACCCGCTGCGCCTCGGGCCGCCGAGCATGGGGCCCTTGGCATACAGGTCGTAAAGGACCATCACGAGTCGAACGGCATACCACGATGCCGACAGGCCTACGCTCACAGGGCGGCGTTGCCTGGAACTGTTAATCTCTTCAAGTTCAGGTTACGGGAGAGTCACTTGGAAACTTCAAGAAATTCACCATCAAGCGTTGGACGGAGACAAAAAAAATACTGGGGCCCGGGCAGGTATAATAAGAAGCAGCGCGCCGTGCTTTCTGGTATTTCTTTGCAGACAAAATCTGTATCCATTCGTTTATCTGCTACATCACACACAAACAACCGCTATCTACTTAAGAAAATATAATCTTTCTACTTCTTCACTCAACCCCCGGCCTTCGGGAAGAAAATGCACGTTTCAACCCTGATCTCCCTCTTCGCCAACGCGGCCGCCATCTCCGCCGCCGCCGTCCAGGTGGGCCAGACAACGGGCGGGCAGGACTACCTGGCCAGAATCAAAGGCTGGAAGAACATGTCCAACTGCAGCGGCAGCGACTTGGACCTGGACTTCTACATCACGGAAGCGTCCGTGAACGAATGTGTTCCCCTTCCCTTCGCTACCACCACGGCCGAGCTTGGTGCTCTAAAGGATGGTTCTTACCAGGGTGAGTAGCCAATATAGGACACATAAAACAAAAACCAGTGTTTCCTCCTTCTTTTTTTTTCTTTCCGTTATTGGTTCAGCTGACATTCTCTCCATGTTCCGCCCAAATAGTTTCCTTCTACACCGACGGCGACTGCACCGACCTCGTCCGTGGCACCACAGTCAACGTGTCTGGTAATTGCTTAAACAGCAACATCTGTGCCTGGAACAGCGTCAAGGTCACCACCTACGATGCGTGAATTGGTCAGGGGACGACACGAGCAACTGGTTACTCTCATTCTGCCTTGACCACAGATATTCCAAGTACTAGCATAACAATTGGAGAGCTGGCAATGCTTCAGGCCGTCATGTAATTCGCTTCTCTGTGGGTTTTATAGACCATTCTATCAAATCAAATCTTTGCGAGTCATGCGTAGCTTGGGGCCCGTCGTGATAAGGTTGACAAGTCGGACTTTCACACTGCGCCGAATGGCATGTCAGCATATATCTTCAGATCCCACTCTGACGTCTTGGCTGAGGAAGCACTCGATACATATCGAAAGGGAAATCGAGCATCCAGGTACATGTCATGTAAGAGGAGGCCATCATGATGGGAAAATTATATAATGGGGAAGGATGTGTTAACAGCTATTGGCATTTGGCCATAGGGGTAAAGTTCAATTCAGTAAGTCAAAAGACCGGGCCCAATACCAAAACGCCGCTCTATGCAATCTATCATATCTCATGAACTCCGCAAATGCAATGTCGCCCAAATCATTGTGATGTTGTCTCCAACTTTAAATCGAATCCGCAATTAGCCACGTGGTACGAATACACCTGGAATGCGGGCTATGCTCTGCTGCATCAGTGCTTGCTGGTTTCAGTGCCAGACATGATCTAATGGCTGGCGAGTCCTACTAAACGACTGTAGGAGAGCGCTTGAGGGAGACTTCCGACGCATTTCCTACATGCCGTCCTTGAAAGTTTTGCCTCGATCCCACTCCCGTTGCTCGCCTTTCTTGGTCCATCGCACATCTTCTTCGTTCTTCTGGTCCCCCTTCTCCCATTTCTTCACTTCTACATCGGTATAGCCGGCTTGGCGCAACCTTTCGGCGCCTTTCTGCTTCCATTCCTCGCGAGCACGAAGCGCCTCTAATGACGAGCCCCAGTCATCGTCCTCCTCCTCATGGCCCAGAGCAACATCAGTTTTTGGATCGTAGCCTGATTCAAAGCGACCGTCCATGGCTGACGTTCCTGACGTTGCGCCACGGCCTCTTTTCCGGACGGGAGACGGCGGCTTGGGACCAATGAGATCTTCGAGGGGATCAGAATCTGAGTCGTTGGAGAGCTGTTCCTTTGCGCGAGTCTTTGTAGGATCGTGGTCCTTTTGCACGTTTCGGGAGACCTGGTGACGATCTCCATTGTGCGTGCGTCGGTGACGATCGTTGTGTCTATGGCTGCGATGTCTGCGCTCTCTCGACCTCGACCTCGACCTCGACCTCGATCTTGACTCTGGCGTCAGCCTCGTTCGCTCTTCTTCACGATGGCCGCGCGGATGACCCCGCCTCGGGCCGTGGTCAGCGAACAGCTCTTTCCTAGCATTTCTGTCCTTTCTGGCGGGTGGGTCGCCATCTCTGTCGTCGTCGTGGTGCCGATGTGCTCTACCAGGGGCGTGAATATCTCCTCGGTCCTGCCTAAGGCGCTTGGGGTCATTTTCGAGATCCTTGGTGCTGTCGTCGTCGTCGGTTTTGCGCTTCTTAGACGAGCCACCGATGATAGCGTTGATGCCGCCTAGCATGCGCTTGCGGGTGTCAGCGGCTCCTGGACGACGCATTTTTTCGCGCTCTTCACTCTCATGCTTGGTGCGGTCCAGACTGTTCAGGCGAGCTTGTGATTCCGCACGTTCTTGAGCGAGAAGGTTCCGGTTGTGGTTGTTGGTCGCCTTGACAATACTGGATAGGAAGCGTGTGTTTGGCTTGGGAAGGTTTGAGGGACGCCTACATTGTGAAAGGCGTTGAGTTGCATGCGATATGGAAGACGTGGGAATAGACTCACTTGGCGGACTTGGTGTAGGCCTCCATGCCCATGGTGGAGTATTTGAGAGCGCAGTCAGCCGCTTCCTGGTCTAGGAGGTCGGCGACCCATTCGTCGTCGAATTTGTTGGTGGAAGACATGTTTTCAGATACCGCCTGACCGCCCAAGTAGAGAAGTCATGCACTGTAGGTTGGCATGAATGGCGATCTGACGTGACGGGAGAGCAAGGAAAGGGAGGAACGGCTGGTAGCTTTTAAGTGTGCGCATGTATGTAGATATGTACGTATGTATGTTTTGATTGACCTTTATTTATCGGGGTTGTGACGAAAGCTGCCTCTACATCTGCATCTACATCTGCTTTGGATCGGCATCGGCATTGGCGCTGGCGCTGGCACTGGCACTGGCATTGTCGTGGGCCTCGGAGACAAGTGGAATAATGACAAGCCGCGTCACAGCTTGAGGGCCCGCCCCACGATTCTGCATTCTGCCTGAAGCTACCGCTCTTGTAGGCTGTGTGTGCTGTTTGCTGTGTTCTGTGTGTTCAGTTACAGTAGGGGTCGGGGCGATGCTGCCTCTGCCACAGGGGCCAGACAGCCCCCACATCAACGCTAAGCCCATGCACTGTCCCGCTTTGTTTATCCCCCTCCTGCCCTTTTCCCCTCCATTGTCCCCCTCCATTAGAGTCTAACACTGACCATTCCTCTTTTGGGTCAAAGTAAATAGTCGTGCATGTTCCTTCACGTGTTGTTTGTCTTTGTCTATCGTGAATTCGCATGTCGTCGCAGTCGCCTTTGCATAACTAAACCCCCACAAATCACAGTTGTTGACCCAGCTCAAGACAGCTTCCTCTCTGCACAGCCATCTAGTGTTGCCACCCAATCGCAATGCCGCGCCCCAAGAAATCTACCGCCTCTGCCGCAACAACTCCAACCTCACCAGAACAAGTTCTTACCGCCCTTCAATTGCTCAACGAGTCCCAAGAGCTCAGCATCCTAAAGCTTTCAGAGCCCATCTCTACCACGCCGACAGATCCCTACCGCACACAGTCACGTACATCCGATGCATCCAACAGCTCTCTCGACGCCCCCACACCAGCCAGCCTAGAGGCCGATCTGGTCCACTACCGCGAGCTCTTCGCTAAGCTGCGCTTCAGCTACGTCGAGCAGGTCACCAAGGAAAAGTTCATACGAGCCATCGTCGGCGACCCACCCCTGATCGTCAGTCCCCAGGAGAATGTCGAACTGGAAGCCCAGAACGCAGAGGCAAAGGCAGAGCTGAAGGCCCTGAAAACAAACGTGGTGGACATGGTCAAGGACCTGGAGAGGAGGGGAGCCCAACTTGCCAAACGCTACGAGGGCGTCAAGCTGGAAACCGCCAAGTTAGAAGAACTGCCCGAGAAGATCCGCGGCTTGGAAGAAAAGGTCGCCGCCTTGCGCTCAGAAAACGAGGGACGGCTCAATGCCGATAATCCGGACATGAATCTACCCTTGGCAAGGACGGCTGAGTTGGTGAACGAGAAAAAGAGGACCATGGCCGACCTGGACAGACAATTGGAACAACTTCAAAACCAGGTTCCCAGGAAGAAGAAGGAGCTGGACAGACTACAAACAGAATTGGCCCCTTTAGAAACGAAGCGGGCTACCAGTACAACGGCCGCCAAGGAAGCAAAGAGGAGGAAGGAGGCCGCACTGGGAGGCGTTGAGGACGATTTGGAGGAGAGAGGTCGGTGGTACCGCGCCGCTGAAGCTGGCCTGAAGCAGATGCTGGAGATCTGATTCTAGCCTGACGCCCTCTTTTACGATGTACGATGTACGATGTATCATGTATCATGACTTCTGGATATGTATGGCGTTATGGAGTCCCCCTCAGGCTTGACTCTAGGATTTACAGTCACCATATTGAATACCCCGTCCTTATTGCAATCTCACCTTGCGATGGGCGGAAATTATGCTACCTTACCTACCATGTTCATTCGTATCACAAAGTCTGCGTTGCTTCGCGCCGCCTCCTTTGTGCTTAGTATTTCTTCCATTCTTTCCGGAACTTCTTTCCCAATTTACGATTAGTCCGATCAGCAGTCAGATTCTTTGTGAGTGCGTGTATCTCTCGAGCCCACTCTCTCTCCCTATCTTCATCGGGGATACTCCTAGTGTGTTCTGCGGCGCCTTTATCGCGCACACCGGCGCCGCCAGGATCTTCGCGGCCGCCCACGAGCCCTCGCGTGTGGGTTGGTGACTCTGCGTCGGATTTGCGGATTTCGGGCCCTAGCCATGGGCGTATATAAACGTTGACGGGGTGTCATGGCTGGGGGTTGCAAACTCGAGGGTTGCTCCTAGTGTGTTTTTGTTAGGCCATTGTTCTTGTTGGCGTCAGGCGGCGCCGACTGGACAGTTTCCAGCTCCGCTATACTGTCTTCCGTCTCGGTAAGGGACCGTAGTGAGCCTGAAGACGACTCTGCGAAGGGATCGGACTTCTTCTCCTTCTTAAGGCTTGTGCCAGGAGACCCGACAATCCAAGGTGGGTGAGAGACCATGGTGGTTAATGGTTCTTGAGTGCAATCTTCGGACTCGTACTCCGAGCCCATATAGAATGAGGGCGAAGGCGACGATGAGCTAGATAAGAAAGAAAACTGTGACACTGTGGCAAGCAATACTCTGTCTTCGCAGTGCTGATGAGTATCAAGATACGCACAAATAAATAATGTCGAACAAAATCTTTGCCTTACGATTTAGCAAACACTAATAGACGTCATAGAGTTGTGATCTCACTATACTCATGACGAGCCCATATGTTACTTGAAATTCAGAGTGAATCAAAGATGAATTGCCTACATGTTCTCAATGGTACTGACCAATAAATTACCTCAATGATGCCATCCTCCCCAAGCTACCATGGAATACACAAGGTGCAAAGTCAATCACCGATGTTGTATATCAAGTTGGCTATCTGATCTATGTATGTGCCCGCTTCCGAATCAAGTGAATCCCAACCTACGCGGACTTACGTACACTGGAACTTGATCGGACGAACTGTGCCTCTCGAGCGGTGCAATTATTAAATTTCGAGTAGCTTGATTTCGCTAGAATCTCGTAAGTGCCATGTGCGAGACGCTCTCTAGTCTCCTACGAGACTTCCTATCCCTATTCGATGGTTCCTAGCTGCACAAAGGATTCCTTTTCGACATGTGCAAATACTTGACCTTCTACACCAGGCACACCTTTCCGAGCCAGTGAGACGATCATGTTCCATATATTCCATATATGTGTTCTAGCATCGATCCTTCGTTCCCAGAATTGATCATTACTATCGCGGAGACCTCCTTCACGTTGACGTCGGGCGACGGCGGCGGGTGGACATACAGATGTATAACTGCTTTAGGCTTGCCGTATTCAAACCGACTTACCAGAAACAGGACAGTTGGCGACAGCCATCTAGCGAATCATATGTAGCACAGGAGTGAGTTTACAGAAAATTTTAGTATTTCCCATCGCGAAAACAAAAGCCGTTTTGGGCTCTCTGCCCAGAGAGCGTTTCGACGTGAACGACCACATCCATAACTAGTCTAGTACCCGCGACAGGACTTGTGATTCGCCCTTGCCATGGTCAGTGTTTATAGGCTTCGATCCCTTTTCAGTAAACCCACGTCCATGGTAAAAATTGAGATCTGATAGTAAAATTGCTGCCGCCCAACAATAGGCATGTAAGATCCCGTGACAGCTTCTGCTGGCAAGAAATCGTGATTGTGCTGCGGAAAGAGGTTGTGAAATACCTGGCTTCTACCGTTTCTGAATCGCCCCAGGACACCAAGAAATGCACTAAATACATCAGACTCATAGGACAAGTCGCGTGGAAATGCTCGGAGTTGCGGTCAAGCGTTGTTAGTTTCCTTACTGCTTGGCCAGTACTCCGCATTGGCAATACACCGTGATGGAAGTAGGCTCACGCTGATGTAACGACCAACCATCTACGAGAAAGCAGACCCTTATGTTAAATTCATCCATGGGTTGACCAACGAGAGCTTACAATCCTATCCCGTATATCAGGTACGACAACGAGCTTCTGTTCTCGTACAATGATGTTGTTCTGCGAAATCCGGTGTTTCACCGAAACTCCAAGCAATACCTCATATGAACCGCTTCTAGCGGCTCAAAGAATTGTGATTGCATCTGATTCATATGTTGCTTTTCTTCGGCATTTACTTGATCGACACAATAGTGATCCACATAGACTTGACATGCCAAGAGTAAGGGCTACCCTGATGGCATCATCCATGACCCTAAGTGCATGAGGTATAACTCCTTTCATTCCTGGGGGCGAGTCTCAGGGGTCCTGCCCACCGACAAATGGCCTGATGCAGGAGTGTTCGCCCAGTCTTTACGCTGGATCAGGGGGAAAAAAAGAAGAAGAAAAAAAAAAGGCCTTTATTGTTGCTGTACGACACCCGTCTTGAAACACGGACCAAGGGAGTCGAGGGTCATCCTTATCCAACCTTATGATTCTTATTGTGATGTCTTGTTGAGTCCCCGCCATGTCAGGAAAACCCCATTGGTTAGGATTCAGGGCTTCAGCGCATTGGTCCATTCGCATCGTTTTTCGGTAAGCCCCCACCCGTATAGATGTGTACCGAGGTGAACATCTCCCGAGTATGTGTAGACACCGGCCAAGGACACAAAGCTGTTCTACACGACCACGAGAACAAGTTTGGGAGTCAACTGCGAGGCCAACATGAACGGAAAGTATGTGACTGTGGTAATGCCCGCAGGACGAGGAGCGAAACGGGTAAGTAAGGGGCCCTGCCTTCCGACAGTCTGCTCCGTAGGTGTCACATGATTCGCTTCCTTTCCACCCTTCCCGCAAGCGTGACAACGCCCAAGACAAATTTCAGTAATTCATTTATCATATGAGCGTGATTATTTGTCGAAATTTGAGAATCCAGAATCAAGCCAGAGTAGATGCCTCTGTCTTGTAAGTTGAGGTAGCATGGCTGAATTTGCCTCATTGGCTTACGTTATTTGGACACGGCCTTTTTTTGCCTGCACCCTAGACACAAACCTTATTGCTCCATGGCCGTTTCATTATTGCAAAGGATATTTCTTGATCAAGCGTGTAATTCATTTATCCTCTCTACCAGTAGGTCGAAGAATTGTGTCCAAAATTATTCGGCTGAGTCAAGTTGCGTGAAGTTTTTGTTCCAGCACGTGATCGTTAAGATTACAATACCAGCACTTCAAGCTCTGAACAGCAGTATTTGTGTTTCATGATTTCAAGACATAGTTACGCTTCCAGGAGCACGCCATCGCACGGTCCTTATATCATATCGGGCTCTCAGATAGCACGGCAGGGGTCACTACCAAGGATCGTCACGGAAGTCTGAAGTCTGAACCAAAAAGTTACGGACCCCATCCGCCCCTGAGAATCTGAAACACACAGTCACGTAAGTTCGAGACCAACCGAAACCTTGAGGGACGATAAGCTACGGACGCAAGGAATAATAAAGCAAAAGCGACAATTGATTGAAGTCAATCTGCCGTCTGGGCTTAATCATTGCCATGGCCGCTACCCGCTTCTGGCATCTCGCCAATTGCTTGCCCCTGAGAAAGCAACGGCACGTGTAAAGGTGCATGCTTGCCAACCTAGACTAATGGGGAAATCTGCACCTAGGCCGGGCAGGAGGGCGGAGTTGAGTTGCTCGCAAGTCCCTCTATTTCATATGCCAGTGCAGAGCGTCGTAGCATTCGCACCGGGACACGGCCCACCGGGGTCCATCGATCAGGTGAAGCTTCCAGAAGGACAAATATGGATAGATACGAAACGATCAATCTATTCCGGAAGGGTAATCATGTTTGAGAGAGGGCCTTTTTCTTGAGGCACAAGGGGCCATCGGTTGAATATTGCGGGGAAGCCGCGTAGCATTCCCGCTGGAACCGTGTGGACGAACCCTTGAGCTCGTCTCCTTTGGCAGTCAGGGCGGGAGATGTTTTGATTTCCAGCAATCTGGAGCGGAACATGTTCGACATTGCTTCTGCGTCTCGACCGAAGATCCGACGAGGTTTTTTTTGGTGCGATTGCTCGGATGATCATGTTTGCAAGCTCGCATAAGCTGCTCCGCAACCTATTTCAATATCCGTTACTCGTCGCTACTAGACAAACAAAGATCTTGACGCTGACTGGCCATACGTAACCTACGAAATAGGAGAGTGTATCGTATCTGTCGTGGTCAAATCTGATACGAGCCCGGCTTCACGGGTGCGAGTGCCTCAATCTGACGGCTCGGTATAAGCGTATGCGCTAGTATGAGGCGGAAGGCGATACCAGCCATTGAACCCCTAGGTGGTGATAAAGTTCATGTGGCTGGCGTAAGCAACCACGCCGTGGGGAACGTCAGCCAGCCTCCTATCGTTACGTGGATCATGTCGCTGAAGAACAAAGCACGCTTATTGTCTTTGTAGCTGTATTGACGTGATTTGAGTGGATCTCTCAATATGGTGTCACTGATACGTGCAATTTGAACTGCCCGTCCTGGCAGCTCCAAAGTAAAGTTGGCCCCTTTCTAAATGACTTTGTATTCCACAATTGAAACCGAGTCCACAATTGGAATGAGTTACACAGCTGCAGATGGACCAAATGTAACTACAGATGACTTGAACGGTGATGATGGTCTGACTTGTTGTAGTAGCTGATATGCAGTGTCCTCCTTTCACAGCATAAGCGGCCGGGCCAACTGAATGTGTGCAAGTAGTTAGTCAGATCACCCAACTCGTATGCGTGTAAAGAAGGCAGCAAGATTCCACCAAAAAAAAAACCCCCCCGAATGACCTCAGATACAGCACATTTGCATCCTGCAATGGCTCTGAATATAGATGTATGATCGTCAACGAGATATCTTATCATGTTGAAGGAGTTCCATTTTAGGAACTTGGCGATCTTTTCCCTAGTAATGCATTTCGCATTGTGGCTGACCCCAGAAACTGACGACATTGGACATGACAATAATGATCCTTCAGCCTTCTGGGGAACCAAAATCTGCACCTGATCCTTTATTGGCGTCTGCCGGGACTTTGAAAATAGATACGTTCCTGGCGCTCCTTTCAAAGGTATTGCGGTGAGTTGAATGCAGCAATCATTCTCCAGATTTGCCGGCGATATCAGGCACATGGCATTTTGCAGAAGCGGGCTCAGGTGCATACCTGCTACGGAGGTGACATTGCAGAACCGTTACTCGGCTATCTAGCTGTTTCGAGTTGCACATCAATTTGATTGCGAATATAATGACCCGTACTGTCGAATCGGAGTCTGCGTACGAGAGAGACGAGACCTTGCAATGTGCCCAGTGTTGCCGAGAATATTGATTGTGAATCTAATACGGAGTGCTACTGCCTAGAAGCGAACCAGTCTGGACTCGGGTGGGTGGAATTGTGGTGGTTAATTCAAAAGGGGCGACATGGTTCTGCCAATCTCGGAGTGCGAGCCTCCAAGTATGTATTGCCAACTTCTAGATAATGGCCCGTACGAAACACTGTGCAAATAGTACCGGCACTCAAAATTGATGCTTCGCTGCCCATCGATTCAGGTGACTTGCGCAAGATATTTCCTGTTGGCTCGCTCTGCGTTATGCTCCGATGATGACATTGAACAATGCTGATGGGCTTTTGTTGGCTTGAAGGATGGATCTTACGCTGCATATTCGTGATGCTAAGTTTAGCGACAGTTGGCGACCGCTCACAGTCAGCGCCGCAATGGCCTGCAGCAAACCCACCAGAGGCAAACCCACAGCCAGCTTGGCTTGTGTCTCATTCCAAGAAAAATAAGGCCTCGCATGATATGGATCGTGCCAACAGGAAGACTAAGAAGAAGCTGTTCAACGGATAAGGAAAATCAAATCATTTGATTGAGTTCATGATGACATGCCTTGTTCGCTGTCAAATCAAACCTACTCAGTTAATGTACTGGCCATGTTTCAAACGCAATTGCCGTTGAGTGAAATTTGTGAGCCACAGTGACTTGCGTGCTTTGCTGCGTGTCTCGTCTTTTTTCGAGTGGGTTTAATCTGCTGAAGGCGACAATAGGATAGCTACCGTGCAAACATTACGGGGCGTATGGCAGAATAGAACAGACGAGAGTTGCAACTTGCAGTGGATGCTCCAGTGGGCTGGGGGCAGTCGTGGCACGCAATTCGAGGACAATGCGAGGGTTGACGCAAGACCAGGGCTAGGCTCCAGGGAAGCAAGAACTCAGAACAAAGCAAGAGGGGCCAGCGGGGCCAAAGGACAAGGGGCGGACAGACTCCACTTTCCTCATGTGGGACAGTGGCGTTCCCCTGGGTCCGTCCTCCCGTCAGATCCCGCCAATCATTTGGAGCTAGGTGCCCCCTGGCATTCCTCGCCCAGTCTCCCTCCGTGAGCTGCGCTTCCTTCCCAAAATCCTCCCTGTGCCACCCCTGGCTCTAACGGAGCTTAAGCGTCTGTTCGAATTTAGAGCCATTTTCGGCCTCAGGCACCAAGTTTCAGCTGTTCTGTCGAACAACGTGTCCTCTAGATAAAGGCGGCCTGTTCGCCCTCGAATCTACCCAGGGAACCACACCACAAGACCATAAGCACCAGCCAAATCACCAAGGACACTCTGTCCTCCGCATAGCTCGGTCGCCTGCCTGCCTGCCTGCCTGCCTAGCATACCTTGACTCATCAGGTGACTGACTCACACTAAGATCTTCACATGGAAAGCATGCCCTGCCATAGATGATTGCGCATAGCTGTTATTAGTATTGAGGCATTAGGACGGCACCTCTCTACTCAGCATTCCCCATTCTTTCCTGCATCCACCACGCGTCGAGCAAGAGGTCCCATCACCATCTCTTTTGCGCTATCGAACCGCAGTAAACACCAAGTCCTCCTGACGGCCCAATCACCCCCACACAAAATGGCTTCTTGGACAGACAACACCCCGGCTTCCACGCCGCAAGTCAAGTTCGAGAACTCGCCTGCCGAATCTTTCATGTCTGGCCCTGCCGGCGACATGTACTCTCTCTTCAGCACACCCGCGCCCTCCATGAACCCACTGGAGACTGTCATGACTCCTGAATCGGTTGGCGACGCTTCATCCCCTTGCGATGAAGAGGACGGATCACCTGCCCCCGCCGATGGTGAGAAGAAGCCTACCAAGAAGAGAAAATCATGGGGTCAAGTCCTACCAGAGCCCAAGACCAACCTTCCCCCCAGGTGAGCCTTATTGAGACCCGCAACGTGTTGTCCTCATGGCATCCTATTAACATGACCAAAGGAAACGAGCCAAGACAGAAGATGAGAAGGAACAACGCAGAGTCGAGCGTGTCCTTCGCAACCGTCGCGCCGCTCAGTCTTCCCGCGAGCGAAAGCGACAGGAGGTCGAGGCTTTGGAGAAACGCAACCAGGAGCTTGAGACCTTGCTTCAGCAACAAGAGAAAAAGACCCTACTCCTGCTCGAGGAGCTGAGCAAGTTCCGCCGGTCATCTGGCGTTGTAACCACGACCTCGTCCCCTCTGCTCGACACTCTGGATGGCCCAGTTACCCTATCTCAACCCCTTTTCGGGGTATCGGAGATGATTGATGGAAACCCCAGCATGATGAATGACTTCATCCTTATGCCTGACAATGAGGGTACTGTCGACCCTGCCTCCATCTCCCCCGAGCTGGCCCCTGTCCCTGATGATGCCATTCCTCAGTCGGCACCTACTGCCCTCGCCAAGTCTACCACAACTCTTCCTACTTCCTCTGACGTGACACAACATCCAGCCGCGGTGTTGTGCGACCTGCAGTGTCCGTCACTGGAAGTATCGGAGTCATTGGTAGCTCAGCAGAGACCGCAACCAGCGTTGGCTCTCTATCTGCAGTTCCAAATGCTTTTGATGGCCTCTTCAGCGATGCTCTCAGCCTGCCAGCGTCCACTTCTTTTGATAGCTGGAGCTCTCAAGCACAATTTAGTCCTTCAAGCGACCCCATCAATTTTGAGCACAATCATCTGGATGGTAACGCTCCCGCAGAACTACCGGAATTCGACTTCTCACCCTTCCTTGACGACGATCTCAGCGGCGCAGCTTCAGGCGCGATCGCGGGACACGTTTCGATCCCCCTCGAGCCCGAATCTATCTTCGGCCTCTTTGACTCTGAGACTCAAGTCTCTTCAGACAATCTTAACCAGCAGTCCCATGCTGGCGCGTCCTCTAATGGATGCGACGCTGGGATTATTGCGGTTGGTATCTGAGGGACACGATGACCGGGTCGAGAGGCTGGCAGATGGATCCCCGGGTATCAAGGGAGATCAGAGCCGTGGCCCACTATTGTGGCCAGAAGGCGCCAGCTTACCGTCTCAAGAAGTATTGCTCACCTTGCTGTGGGCAATCAGAGTGGAAGAACGGAATATGAAGGCTAGAGAGGCGATTATAGTCTCTCAGCCGGCCTCCGAGAAACCCGGATCAAGCGTACCTCAAGAAAACACCAACCAGACATTTGTATTATCAACCTCGACTTTGAAAAGAAAGCGAGATATGGGCACGACTAGTAGCAAGCGATCAAGGCTACACTACTAAAGGATTGTGATTTATGTCAAAACGGCATGGGATTGCATGGCGTCAAGGATTTGCATCTACAGGAGGTCCCAAAGTGGACATGTAGCATTACAATGGAATAACTTTATCTGACTTATATGACATTTTCCATACTAAACTGAACGTGTGCTTGTATCATGTTTACTATCCGTGAGCTTATCAATATTTGCCACTCGGTCTGTTGAGTTCCATATCATAACTCATTGTTCCTAATTTTTCTGTTTCGCCTGAAAGTAATACATGTATGCGAGTGGAGATAATTACGTTCAGCTACATTCAACGGCACAGGCCGAACGCAATATACTGTTGTATATGTGTTGTGGCCGTACATCTGTAGCTCATTTTTCGGAATGGAGATTTTGGCGAGGCCAGCACTTTGTTCAAACTTGGCGGTCTGATTCTGGCTCTTATGTAACGAATGCATATGGCTTTTCAAAACAATCATCCCAGCCGGCCCGTTCTGAGTTCCAGAATCGCCTCAAGACTATCGTCCCAAGCCGTGGCAGTGACGAACCTATGTCCTGACACATGTCTTCGAGCTGCTCTTCCACGAAAGCCTGATCTGCCAGGCTTCCGGTCCGCAGTTCAGTGCCAGCAACTAGCAAAAGCCACATTGTGCATTTCAATAGACCGGGTTTGAGTTCCGTGGAGAACATTCCTTCTCTGAGAAGTGACAACAGTCGCTTGTGGTGGATCTTCTTTAGGGAGTCAATGGTTGTAGACCGAGGCAGAACCTGCACGCTCTGCATCGAGGATATGCAGTAGACCATCACCGCGGATTGGTGCATCTGTGCTACGAGGAGCAGCCCAGGGCCACATGAAGATAGTGAGCCTGTCCAGTCAGCTGGCGAGAATAGCTCGATTTCTTCCATAATCCTACGGGCCTGAGATTGAAGAGCATTGGTTGGTTCACACGCCTGCGATGCCTGCTGCCGGAGGAGGTTGATACGGACGAGTATATAGAACAGGGCTGGCGGAGAAAGAAGGGTAGGGAACAATCCGTCTTCATACATCATTTTTATCAAGTCGATGTACTCGGCATGCTGGGTTGGATACAACAAGTCGTGTGCTGGGCTGGTGGTGTTCCCAATGACACCGACACTATCATTCAACCATATCAACAAAATTTCTCCTACGTCGCAATTCAAAAGTATGGAAATCAACTTACATGTAGTAATAAGCTATCAGGATTTTGAGATCTGCGTTTCGAAAACGTCACAGTTAGTTGATTCTTCATCACAATCGTGGATGTTCTTTCGGGGTTCTAGCTTGATTAAGACCACTAGTCTCACTTCTAGAAGTCCTATACGCTGAGAATAGTGTATAATGATTGCTCCTAAAAGATGAAGAGATATTTAAGGATGCAGGTTGTTTTCTATACGCACGAGGAACAAGCCTAAAGTATTCGTTCGGTCCGCCTCGAAGCTCCATCAGGGACGTGAGGCCCACGAAGTGATATCGCCAGTTAAGTGCGCATTGCCGTATCTTCTTCCGTTGTCAGAATAGTTCACAGGTCTGGTGCGGGTTCTTACGATATTGTTTACATACATCGATCAACAAGAACATTAGTACGCCAACAATGGTAACATCCGTGGCTCGTCTCTTGTCGTCACCAATCGCTTCGCTGAGCGCTCGAATGGCAACATCGCGGTGGTAAAGGGATTTGGTCCTCATCGATCGCAGGTCGTCCCCATCACTGCTGTTGCTTGATGTTGCCCCTGTCAGGTAGTGCAGGCGATATTCTATAGCACAGAGAGTCAAGCTATGTCGGATTGATGCATCCACATTATGTAGGGCATCCAGTGGTATGGGTACAAGCCATTCACACCCACCTGGTGCTAGTTTCCGTACAGATTCCCAAGAGGGAAAGATGCTTGCATTATCTGCGGCAGGGCTTAGTATGGCTGGATTATGGTTAGAGTGGATGCGGAGTGCTTGCAGTAGTATATTGCTTGTACAACATCTTCGGCGTCGGACCTCAGATCTATACGGGATACTGTCTCCACCATTGGCTGGGCCTTCTTTTGGCACATAAGAGCCTCAGTCTTCTCTTCGGTCGCTTTTCCGGGGCCATTCTTCTTGCTTGCAGTTGGTTTGGCACGGCGCACGCGGGATGTCACCTTCCCAGGTGCCAGCCATACAAGCGGCTTCTTATCCTCGTAGCCGGGACAGACCACTTTATTAGTCTTGCATTTGTTGCAGACGGGACGAATGCCATCGCAGACGAGGCGCCGCCTTTGGCACTCCCAGCACTGACGCTTTTCTACGTCTTCTGGCGCTTTCTGATTAGACGGGGTTGACTCCATGATCTTTGGTGCTTGGCAATTCACCATTATAAGATTAGGACCAACGTGGCAATGGCGGGCTCCCAATGTATATTGTATTGCGACTTTATATTTCCTTTTGTGTTGTGGTGATGTCGCCCAGCTGGAACCGTCAGTTGCTCCTTAAAAAGTCTTGGCCATAGTTTTCTCCCGATACGGTATAGACCACATGCAATCTGTCCGTTGAGACGGATAGCGCTGACTCTGCCGGCTTGCCCGATTGGTCTACATATGCGAAAGTACCAAGGACTGGACGATCTAATATCCTGGAAGTTTTCCATGAGCACAGGAGTGACCAAAGGTAAAATTCAGCCTTACTGCGCCTTGCTAGTTGTTCATTATGACTTTGTATACCAAGATACTCGCGATTTCCTAATTGAGCACAAACACTAGGCTAGGCATAACGGTCAAGTATCATTATAAAATAGTCGACGCCAAACGAAATGGCCACACCGTGTCACACCCATAATAAATCACTACAACACAAGACCACGAACTTCCAAATCTTCAAACTAACATGCCAGAGAACACTCTAGGTATGGCTCGCCAATACCATACACTGCCATTTCATAAAAGATCGGTACTGATTTGATTGCTGCATAGAGAGCATATACATTTATAGGCCGAATGCTGTGGCTCCAGTCGTATTTGCAGTCGCGTTCTTAATTGCCGGCCTTGTACACTTCTGGCAATGCTCGTCAGTATTTTCGTGCTTTTGATTCTGTATCACAATAAGCTAAGCAGGCCACAGTCGTTATAAGTCATGGAAATGGACAATGTTGCATCCCCTCTGCTGCATCATGTTTGCTGTAGGCTTCGCGCTACGTGAGTATGGAGCTTTCCATTATGAGTTTACCAAGACGAATCTGAACGTATATATCGCAAGCATCTGCTTGATATACATGTCGCCGTAAGATATTTTCTCCGCCGCACGAATTCCCTTCGACTCACATTCATTGGACAGACCTCTGCTCGAGCTAGTGAACTACCATGTTCTTGGACGCATTCTATACTACATTCCCCACCTATCACCCATCCACCCCGGCCGTGTGCTCACCACGTTCGGGTTGTTATCAAGCTTTGTGGAGGCTTTGAACGCAATTGGAGTGTCATACAGCGCAAACTCCGCATTGCCGGAGCGATACATAAATCTCGGCCACGCCTTAATGGAGGCATCGTTAATCGTTCAACTTGTCGTCATTGCGTTGTTTGCGCTCCTCGCCAGCGTGTTCTTCCATCGCTGCCATAAAAATGGTGTGCTTGTTCAGAAAGTGTACACTCCTTTGAATGTTCTCTCCATCAGCATGGGCTTGATCCTGGCACGAACAATTTACCGGACAATCGAATACTTTGTTATAGCGAATGTCATTGTTAATTATGAATCTGGTCCCGAAAACATCAGCCCCCTGCTGAACTACGAATGGTACTTCTGGGTTTTCGAATCGACGTTGATGCTAATCAACTCGGTGATGTGGAACGTATGGCACCCTGGGCGGTACCTGCCTAAGAATAAAAGATTACATCTCATGAAAGATGGAGTTACAGAGATTGAAGGGATTGAGGACAAGGATGAGCGGTCGTTCTTGGTCACATTGATTGATCCGTTCGGACTTTGTACAGCTCAGCGACGGAAGATAGAAGACGGTAGTGTTTGATTGCAGGTGTGAATTTGTGAATCAGGGTGTCTGAGGTTCTATTATTATCAACGGACATACGGATATTCATGGAAGGTCGGAGAAAATTTCGTACTGAAACATAAGACGACTCATTATCTTTAGGGGAACATCCTTTATAATAATCTTACGTCATTGTCAGCATGACTATTTGCAATTTTCATCATATCAAACTTGGTGCGATGATCGTTACGCCTATCTAGTGACCGCCCCAAAAGAAAATAAGGACACAATACTCTCAAGTGTCTCGTTAACAACGGCTACTGTTCGTCCTTGGAGAGCCAGTCACAAGTCTAGATCAAATCTAGCTAAGGCCAAAAGAGGTATTCAAATCATGACGTTGCACAATGGTTGAACCAACCAACTCCATTTAGACGCAAGATTTAGATCAATTGTTCTACAAGCTATTCTCGTTTAGTATATTTACACTCGCACTTACTATCAAGACGCTGCTTTGCCACTTCTGCGGAGTTCACTGTCCAAGCAATCGTCATGCAGGACACTGTATCGTTACACAGTACCTCTGTCACAAGAGGTCATATTTGGGTAATCCCATAACGGCGATATCCATTAGTATATTACAGCTAATATCCGCCGGTGGTATGCTATCATTCACAGAGTAGCTCAAGCAAAGCGCTGAAGCAGAGACGTTCTGGCGATATTTTTATCTACGATTTTGACGAGGTTGCCAGCAAATACTTCAAGTACCCAAGGAACCCAAAAGTTGACGCAGTTCATACAATATGTGTCCGGCTATACGGAAGCCCGAAGTCGCACGGTACATGTATAGGTATTATGCGCGTGGCGAGTTCAATTTGTTTCGAGTAACAAAAGACGCTGATGGCTATGTCTCGAGCTACGCGTCTATGGGTATGCGTGGCGCTTCACTGAGCCATCGTAAATACACTCAATCCTCCGATAAAGAAAATATGATTAATGTGGAAAATGAACCCATGACTAGGTCAAACTCCCACCGTAACGCTGGAGGTTTGGGTGTCTCAGACAGGAGACGTAGTGCTCGAGCTCCGTATGACCATGAATCGCCGTCGAAAGGAATCTCAAGGTAGCCATAACTTAAAAAGATCGACGACTAGACCTTGCAATGCAGAAGGCAGCAAACGGATCAAGCCGTATGGGATCGACACACCGGCAGAATCGCCACAATTGCCTTGACCCCCGAGGCCACCCACTACTATTGAGTGAAAACCAAAGAGTACCAATAAGAGAGCAGAGAACCTTAAGCTTTCTTCAGAAGAAGCTAGACGAGGCAGGATTTTTGTAAAATTTCCACAAGGGTGGACTTGGTATGATGAAACCAGACCACCCCTAGGTCTGTGACAAAAGTTCTTAAGCCAGTCATCAAGAAATTCAGGACTCTATACTACGACGAGATATTGACACCTATGGCAATGGAAAAGTTGAATGAGAGAATGCCAGTGTTGAGATGGTGTCTCATGATGCACTATATCCCATGACTCGCCGGCATCCGTACTTTACGCGTCAACATTAGTCGCTGATCATCGAACCACGAGTTTGTGAAACCCGGAAGATCCAGGAGTCGGCGTGTGAGCTGCCCAATCATTAGTATATCAAGGGAGCAACCTCTTAGCCGCATAGCGTGCACACAGGCGAGAGCTCTAGAACTATCGCATGAGTCATTTGGACGAGGGATTATAGCTGACTGCTGTTATGGAGATCGCTGCTTCCTTTCAGGAGTTAAAAGTCACGGAATTGGAGATCTTGCTTATCGACGTGTAAGTTCAGGATCGTCATGGTTTGAGCATGTCTTGGTATGGCATTGCTACATTACGTCTGGCTGTTGTGGCGGCGCATTACACTATTATTGGTCCAAACGGTATTATCTTTGTAAAACCTATATTCCATGACTCGTTCGCGGTTGCTGATGATCGGCAACTTGAAACATCGCAACGAATGGCATCATGCTCAAATGCAAATAAAACACAACTGACCAATTTTGTTACACTTGGTTATATAAGTCCGATAATGTGAAATTGCGTGGAATAAGGCTTCCTAAGCTTGGCTCGCTAGGTTGTTTAGCTAATTTATATTGCCACTCAACGGTTTCTAGACTTGGTGGCGACAGCAGGTCTCACACTGTAATCAAGTGCACGGCATTTCCTAACAATTGATAATTATGGTATCGAATTGCAGGGTCGCATTCTCCAGAGGGGTACGTCCTCAATTCCAGAGTGCTTGAGGGAACATGCTTGTTTCCGGCAGAAACGTGGGTCTCCCTGGCCCGAGCTACTAGTAGATGCTTCGAGTTACGGATCCTCATCGCCGGGCCTCGCTGACCTGCCAGAATTATTGCCGCCGGCTGATGTTGTATCGAAGCCGGATACGCAAATTTCTGAGTGAGCAAGTAGAAGGGCGGACAGGAATACGCCAATCTGGTTGCCGTGCATGTTCGGCGCTTTCAATCTTGATAAAGTGGTAGCTAAAAGCCGCCCATAGCTAGGTCGAGCCCGTCCATATAGCTGGTTCGGAGCCTCACTTTATTCCTGATTGAGGAACGATGCAGGAAACACGCGCTGGAGGTGAGTGCCGACATACTGATAGATGGGAGGGGAAATAACGCGCCAGGCGCTTAGAGGTCCCCCAATTCTGGAAAGATGTATTGCATCCACGTGGAACAGTTTGTCTCAGGTTAATTTTGTCAGCGCAGTATCCACAATTTAGAGGATCACTCGCTGTTAGGGGCACTGGGCACCCATGGGTCCTTCTCTCAAGTGGTGATTTGTATCAAGAAAGCTTGTGAGAGACGCATACTCAGCTTGAGGCAGGCAGAGCGATGCCCGTACAAACCAGAATTTAGAACAAACGGAGTACAATACACAACGCTCTTGGTTGCGCATGGAGAGTACTGGTAGGCTTACCTGAATAGTATGAGTTCTGGGCTCACGAAGTTTGTGAAACATTTATGCCCCCTCCTTATTGAATAGAGAAAGCACCGCAGCGTAGCGTCAAAGCACACGAGTCGAACATTCATATATGACGATAGCTTTACTTAGAGATCCTGACTCTTAGATATCCGAAGCATCAAAGTGACCATCGCAGAATGAAAGATCAATAAAAGCAAGTATGCCAATACTACTGTACACTTGAGGTGTCTTGGAGAATGGCATTAATCAGAACATGAAATTAACCGTTTGCGGCTCCTGTACCTGAAAATATTTGTACGTTGCATGGATTTCATGCGTGGAAGGATTTGTACTTCTGCGCTATGGAGTAGAAGTCCCCCACGACGGTGTACGGCGCCTACTGAGTACAAAGTCCGCTGTCTGTCATCGAGCTAGGACGGTTCCAAGAAGAGAACTAACTTAGACCTTGGCTTCTTACAGTCGCTTACCGCGCATCAATCTTATTATCATTTTGATCAATACAAAATACAGAAAAGAAGAATCCTCGTATCTCGCAGTATACATCAGCGTCGGCGTATATTATGCGTAGTTATCCGTGAATAAGACGTGTATGCTTTTGATCTTTGAATGAAATCATGGGTCCAAACATTTCACACCAAGCCCTAATAAGGCAATCGTTCTCCGGGTCGCTCGAAGTTGAGCCGGATTGGCAGGGGTATCAATTTCAATATTCAATTGCACTTGCTGTTGCTAGTCTCTATGATGGCCAAACAAGTTGCTATTGCATTGCTGGAGAACTACGACTTCATTATGGACGATCGTCAGCCTTTGGTGTGGTTGGTGGTGTGTGGCGAGATGAGATAAGGTTGCATCGTACAGGTGCATGGCTGTGGGTCGCCGATCTACCAATTCAAGGAACTTACCGTACGTACATACTACATACTATGTAGTAAACAAATAGAACTCGCACCGAACACAGATGCAAGTGCGAGGCAGGGAGGACCCATTCCCGGTAGTTGTTCGTTAATTTCTTACGTATGATTTCTCTCTTACGGAGTGGATGGACTGTCAAAATGTCGCCGTTTCGAAGGACCTTGCCCATTTATGCAAAAGAGCAGGTCTGGACGACCTCCATTCTTTGGACGTATGACACGATTTGGCTGCCGCTCATCATCATCCATCATCGGACCACAGATGCAGTTTCATTTCGCGGTGGATCTGTCAGGCAAACGCTTCATGACCCTTCATGTCCGATTGAGGTGCTACTCTTTCTTCTAACCCTTTCCAAGCAGTGTCTAAGGAGTAGCAGAGGCGACACAATCGGGTTGAAGTCTCCACCCTGGTCTCGATGCTAGATGCCCCTGTCATTCTCTCGCATCTCTAACCGCACGAGTACGGCAATAGATAAGTAGTGTGGGCGCTTTTCGAGCCGCGACAAGGTTCATCCCTTGATACATGGTATACAATCCTGACAGACCAACTCAAGACCAAGCCGTCGCGCCAAGTGCGGAAACCAGGGCTGTCAAGCTAGTGCAGACAGATAATGTCAACTGCATGGATCCCATGTTGGGCTCGATCTCATTCTCGATAACTTCGCGAATTGGCTGTTCGTCGATGTTTGTCCTGACCCCCTTGTCATGAAAGCGACCCAGTGTCAACCAGGGCTGTGGATCTGTTAGCCGACAGTTTTCAGCCAGGCCCAGCGCAGTGCCCGAAGATATAGAGATCCACTTCCCGGCCGTTTAAGAGATTTCCTTTGGAAGAACCCGCACCACTGGTCTCTTGAAAACACGGGGACCTTGCTTCCTCTAAGGCTTAATGAAATACATCGTCCGGTACCCCCAACGAGAATGGACGATTGCCTCCGGCAAATCAAATTTGAAGCGACGACTTGATGTTTGAGGAGGATTGAGGAATACACTCATTGCGTAAGGAGACATGACGCAACAAACTTTATGGGATCTCCTGGGGATATACAACAACTTCAACGAGCCTGAGCCGTCATGGAACAAGGCTTCGACCCTCATACCGACGGTCATCGTGTTTCTGGTGCGCAGAAATCTTGCCAATTCGTCGAGAGACTATTGCTGACTAGAGACTAGGTATTGACTTGGTTGTGTGTGATATTTCGGATCTACACTCGTTTTCGAATCATTTATTCCCCTGGATTTGATGATCTATTCGTAGTACTTACACTGGTAAGCTTCGGCTGTGGACAAATACTGCGGTTTCTCATCTCTAACGCCGTACAGGCATCGGGCACAATCGGCTCCATTTGCGTTTGTCTCGGTAGGCCTTCAAGCGATATAGTCTTGGTTCGATAACTAATGCGGTATCAGCAACTCAAAGTGGATTTGGGAAACATTTCTTGACATTAACATATGCCGAGATGCAGATGTACTTGAAGGTACTACTGCTCCGTCTGACGAAGAAATCGTCAGTATTTACTAACGATATTTCGCAGCTATTTTACGTTGCAAACGCCACGTACTCGATGTCGACATGTCTAGTGAAACTAGCACTGCTCCTCCAGTACCTACGCATATTCAAAGACGGCCCATTGCGATTTGTCACCATCATTGTTATGACTTTCACTGCTTTATGGGGAACAGCATATGCGTTCATGGCATTCACTCCATGCTTTCCTGTACGAGCATATTGGAATCCTTTATCAATGACAGATGCGACGTGCTACGCCTATGGTGCAACAACTTCAGATGCGTTTTATGGCACATATTCTAGCGCATCGGCTATCAACATGATTCTCGATATCGCCGTTCTTGCAATACCAGTACCACTCTACTTCCGAAAAGACACTCCCGCTCGAGCGAAGATGGGGTTGCTCGGGCTTCTTTTCATGGGGGGACTGTAAGTGCCGTATATTTAATGGAAACGATACTCGAAACTTGTAACTAATGTGATGCAGTGTCAATTTCCTCTCCATCTGGCGGACGGCTACGATTGTCGATCATAAGGCGACTACTTCACCAACATTTGACCCGACCTGGTATGGCCCGATCAGTGTTCTTCTTGCTACATTGGAAGTCGATATTGCAACGATTTGCGCATCTGTGCCAGTGTTCTGGCCGGTTTTGACCTCCAAGCTTGATAAGATTTTCGTCACTAAGGAGATCCAAATTGAGAGAGCACATCGGTTCTCAACCATTGACGATGAATACGAATTACAGCGGCAGACGAGTGGAGAGGGAGGTTTTGGGGCTCATAGTCGTGGTACAAGCCAGTCCAGTCTGCATCGGGCTGATTCGAAAGGGGTACAGACAACGACCAAGAACGCACACTACAAGGATAGATACATAATGGCCCAGGTCGACCCATTGAGTGTTGTTGGTAAGGTCGAATCAGAGATCACATCGCAACCATTGGGAAGAAAGCAGTCAAGGGCCGCCCTATAAGAGCTCGACCGTTTGTGTATTCACACGGAAAATATACCCTTTTGTTTTACCTAATAGGTCGCAAGTCATCGGTTCTTGGACCATTCATCAATATGTCGCGTGTAGTGTTCTTGATAGCAAAACTGACTGGCAGCAGCTATGAATGATTGTCAAAGCCGTTGCCATGCACGACGGAGATGGGACCCAAGGCGGCTTCACTGGTGGGGATGTGACAACGCATACCACCAATCGATGGAAACAAGCAATGGTGAATAATAGGAGGTAACTTAAACCGAATCGAGGACCCAGTTCTCCGCGAACAGCTTGCTGAAACTGCAGCTGCAAGCTAAGGTTAAATATTTGAGTGAACGTTGTTTGACGTAGTCATTAAGTTTGCGGTTCGATTAGCGCAGAAACAACATTGTCGCGTTCGTGACGTCATTTAGCAAGACTCCATATCTAGTCCTTCAGCAAACAACCGGCAATCCCCAATCTCTTTTTGTCTATTCCATGAACGATACAATAAAAATACTCGATATCTAACAACATGTCCATCGCTGCATTTAGAAAATCTCCCGAGCATGAGGACCTTGCCAGACTGGCGGAGGAGCACCTGAAGCATGACCTGGAGCCATCAGATCGCGAAGTTCTCCAGAAGGCCGCCGGCAAGGTCTCACTACCCGCAACGATCGGCACGCTCGTTGGATTGGGACTCGGTGTGTATGCCGCCTTCAGACTCAGGAAAGCACGTTTAAGCATGTTCAATGCGTTCCGTGCCACTGAGAAACCCACGCACGTCGTGTTCGCCGGCGGAAGGACCGGTAAGTCATTCAACATGTGAAATGCATAAGAATGCTGACGCAAATTGCAGAGGCTGTGCCTGATATTACCCCTTACCTGAGACCTACGCGCCTTGGAGACTGGGCGACATACATTTTCTTCGGCATGGGAGGCAGTATAGTATTCGGCGAGTTGGGATTCCTCTTGGGCACATGGTCAGCAGCAAGGACCATCGCTAGCGATCCTGCGAGGAAGAAGCGCATTGAAACCGCTTACAGGAAATTCAAAGCCGACTACCTGAGGCAGGAGGCCAAGCGTCTCGACGAGGGTGGCTCCGTGTTCTCATGATTTGCTGAAGGTGTTACCTGAACAGTAAATATTGCGGCTCTTGTATGTCAATTGTGTAATCTTATCTCGATTAAACGACGTCGACGTATGTGATGCACTTTTACGCAATACATTGTTCGGCCGAACCCCTCCTATTATGCATTCAACTCACCAGACTTTCATGCTATGATGGATCACAGACCTCTTGGTGTCTACGTACAACACTTTTCAGTATAGCCCATAGGATTGAAGTTTCGTAACACATGTCCCATTCTTTTAGTTTTAGTAGATCACGCAGGTCAAGTACTCCGTAACTTTTGAGGAATCTACGCACCGCACAAATTTGGACTCATAGTAGTGCTCTTAGCAGCCTGAACCTTATTCGCTGTTGCAGCTGCAGTGCTACTTCGGAGTTGCAAAAGGAAACAATAATACGGGACGGCCGGGTGTGGGGTAATCCCCCAGACCTGCACCCAGTTGATGGCAACATCTCCTCGAATCTTTTCATTTCATGAGACCTGCTCACCTAAACTTATGATCCTGCCTCCAAGTCGTTCTTCAATTCTTCCACACTCTCTGAAACTGAAACTATGGGCGACTCTGCAGGTCCAGTGTCCAAGCTCCCGCAGCTCCACCAGTTCTACACCGGCCACAATGACGAAGGCAAGGCCATCGTCGCTGAGCACCAGGACTTCAAGTGGACACCGTACGCAGACGGTGACATGGGCTTTAGCGTAGTGTATACCACGGCTCAGTCACCACCGGATTTGAACGGCGACAAGGACATTGCGCAGCACAAGCAGACGATGGCCGGTCAACTAGGGCTCGTGAACCCAAATGGCTCCGTTCTGCGTTGTGTGGACTTCGCGCCTGGGTTCGCTTGCGATATGCATCGAACCCAAAGCTTGGATTTTGGGATCGTCTTGGAAGGCAGTATTGAGATGGTGCTAGACTCTGGTGAGCGACATATGATGAAGAGAGGTGATGTGGCTGTGCAAAGAGCTACGCAGCATCAGTGGATCAACACTTCTAAGACGGAATGGGCGAGAATGATGTTTGTTTTGCAGGATATCAAGCCCCTGTATGTCAGTGGAAAGGAGATGGGTGAAGATCTAGGGGAGAAGCCTATGGTGCTTCCAACGCAGCGATAATCATATCGGCTAACACACGACAAGTCGATGTATTCGTTCAACACGATACTGCTAGCTCAAAAATATGCGGCATAGATGCTCTACAAAACAAACACGCACCACATCTCAGAAGTGTTTATTGTCTCCTCTCATTGTGGCCGCACATTCAATGTCATAGACTTTGTTTAAATTGGACTAAGCTCAAATTCTTCCGTGGCAGTGTAGGACAAAGGCCTTCTGTTGTTTGTACCATTATGTTTCATTCTAGCTAAGGAGGGATGAATTGCTTTGTACCCTGAGGTAGCTAAATAGACAGAACGACGCATCCCAGCTTCTGTGGAACGTTCTTCAGGCCAAGACATTGACTCAACCTATTGCAACGAGTAAGTTCAGTATAGAACCCAGTAACCCGCACACTCACTGCACACATTCAGAAAGGCAAGAAATCGAAGTAAACCTCATCCTACTACCGATAATGTTATCTCGATCCAACTCGATCTCCTCGATACGTTCCGTACGTTCTGTCAGAGGTGCAGGAAAGAGCAAGATCACGACATATGCTTGCAAGCATGAACTCACCGCCAGCCGCTTGAACACCGCTATGGCAGGCTTCCCCATAGAAGTCAAGACGAGAAAGTGTCCCGACTGCCAGACCATGACGCCCGATGGAGCCCTGATCTTGCTAGAAGCCATCCGGAAGCGCTCCTCCGCTACCCTGCAGAAAGCAGACGACGCCACCAAGCGCAAGTTGGCGGAATGCCTGTTCGAACGACTCGCTGACCGGCGCCGCGGTTTGCTCAAGGAGGACTGGGACGAGATCTCGCTCTCCTGGGCCACGTTCTGCTACCTTCACGTCCCCATCGCCGAGCTCAAGAACGTGTGCGCGACAATCAAGACGCGCTACGGTGCGGGCGTGGACAAGCAGACCCTCCAGACGCTCGGCAGGGCGGCCTGCGTCGAGGAGAACGTGTGGGAGGCTTTCGAGCCGAGGGACACGCCCATGTTCTCCACTGCCAATCATGTCGTCGCGGATCTCAGGATACGACACGGACAGATCGACCGCTTTGGTCATGTGGAAGACATATTCTTTGCAGCGAAGGAGCTAGGTGTCCTTTGCGACACGACGGTCGTAGTGTATAATAAGGTCTCACAGCGTTTGAATCGATGGGGTGCTGCTCATAAGTAGGCAATAGAGGCTGCTAGATTGTGGATTGTGGATTGTTATGTCAATACAAGTAGAGTTGAGAAGAGTCGCTCATTTCGGCTAGCCAGTAATTTGCTGCTGTACAACCCCAAAAGCGTGTTCGTTACATAGAGTCACATCCAAGCCGCCTATAGAATGTTGTAGATCAACTCTAGAGCAAGGCTTTAAAGGAGCAATTTACAATGTTCTCATATAATACTGATAATTTGTTATTTGCCTTCACATGAAAGTTATTTGGACCAATTCCTTAGAAAGCTCTCAACCTCCACTGCGCCCAATCAATCACCTGCTATAAGGTGCCGGGGACTAGCATAGATCCACCATGACATCAATTTTGGCTGTTACTCCCATCTTCCGAATTTCGTTCTTAACAAGCCGCGCTTGGTCAAGACCCGAAGCAACCAGACGGGCCGCGTTCCCTAGACCATCTAAGCAACTTGACGAGTCGAAGCGAGACTCTGTAATAAACCCTTTACGGTAGTCCAGAGACGACTGCCACTGTGCTGCCGCTTCGCTGTCAGCCACATGTACGACCAGCTGTAGCGATCGCAGATCCTTCATTCGTTGAAGTATTTGCACGTCCCATGGGGGACAAACTGGATCCCAAGGCCTGATCCATCCACGTAACGACGAAGTAATCCGGAGGGCCAGTTTCTGGACTCTGAATATCCAATGTTGGTCACTGAGGGGTCTCGGGACAATCTCAGATTTCCCAGGATAAAGAGGTCGAAACCAAGAAGGTTGCCAACGAAACACGGGAGTCTGATCAGAGGCCCGGTCAAAGTAGAAAGTATCCTCCGCGAAGTTGAGCCAGACCTCTGACGACTTGTGTCTGCTTACTGGACGGTTTCGCAACTCCCCAGGCAGCGTTAACCAAGAGTCTGGGGTGCTCTTAAAGATGATAGCAGCGCATGCCATGTGTGCGAGTATCGATACATCCCTGCCAAGTTTGACTTGCTCCATAGGCATGGATGGTCGTGCTCGGCTCCATAGGTCGAGATCACCAAAACCAGTGGTTGTGTTGTCAACTAAAGAGAAGTCTTCTTTTTCCAGTGCTGCGTACAGTAGGCTGTCACCATCCACAGAAAAGCAATGTCGCATGCCACTTCTACCGTCCCGGTAGAATGTCCATATAATGAGTTGGCATTCTCTGGGGAGCTTGTTAAAGAGATGAAAGTTCGCCGATGCCATGGCGATGGACTATCCTTTACACGACTCCTAATTTTTTTCTTCTATAATCGCTGAGGAAACTCGTGAAACAACAATGTTAGAATATATGTAAAAATGCTTGCAGCTCAAGAATCCAAAAGTCCCCCAGGCTCTTTGAAAAGGATTGAGGTTAACCAAAATTATGCCCCACAATGGGTCGTGGTTGCCTGGTACACTGAACTACCAAAATGATTGGGGTTTTATGTATGCTTTATTGACTCTTATTGATAGTCCTATCGTGGTTAACCTTTTAATCGAATGTGGTTCTAGTAACAACTCTGGGCCGTTCATCTGTCTGTGGTGATGACCACGTAAGCTGGTCCTGATGCCTCATATGAGAGTCTGCCATGACACAGGCGACAACTACCATGCAGATTGTAACATCGTAGTCTACAAACTTCCTTATTGAATGCATCTTAGTGGAATGAATAGTAAATTCTTAAGTCGCATAACCTCGAATCTCCATTAGTCCAAAGAAATACTCCAATTGATCCCGAAGTAAATCACCAGGTTTACATCCAAATCATTTACTAATCCAGCGGCTTTCGAAACCTATCCATGCTCTGTTATGATAGAAATTAATTGTAGTCTTCAGGAACTTTTGTAAGCGTCAGTTGGTCGAACATGATCATACCTAGGGAAGGCGGCCTAAAGTGGATCTGGGGTAAATGCGAACCTCGGTAGGATCGGCACCGGTCTCCATTTAGAGCTTACCTTTAACCTGTATATCTGCGAACCATCGGCTTGACAATCTGCAAAACGCTCATTGAACTCCAACGTCAGTCATGGCTGTGAAGTTGGCAAGTCAAATTGGCCTTGACGAGGTCAGTCCCGGCGAGTATGTATCCGCGGTGTTTCCTGAGCGGATGGGCAACACGCTCCCAATCGCCTATGGCGGGTGCACTCTCGGTGTAGCAACTCATGCTGCGTGTAAGACTGTGCCGGCGTCGCACTCACTGTACTCGCTTGTCGGGCACTTCCTGGGCCCAGCGTCGACGACAGAGAAGCTGCATTGTACAGTGCACAAGACAAGAGACACGCGGACGTTTGCGACGAGGCGGGTACAAGTGAGCCAAGTCAAGCCAGACGGAAATATGCGTATATGTATGGAGCTACTGGCAGACTTTCAGATCGAGGAGCCTGCGCTCCTTACATACTCATCTCCGCCAGCAGGAAAGTACTCAGGTCCGGAGCAGAGTCAAACACTCCCCGAGCTGGTCGAGAGGGCTGTTTCGGAGGGGCAATTGAGCAAAGAAGCCGGGGCACAGGCTGTAAAATCTTTCGAGCTCGGCGAGTTACTCTTCGAATCGAGGTTTTGTCCTGAAGGTGTATGTGGGCAGAACGCCCTGGGCATCCTCAAACAAGAGCGGACAACACAAGATCACCTCCCGATTACAGAGAAGACTACTGCAGACTGGATAAGGTCGCGTGAATCACTTGAGACACGTGGCGAGAGGATGTCGGCCACAGCGTTCATGCTCGACGGGGCCCTGTCATTCATGCCACTGAACCATAACCATATGTGGCTTGACGATGCGGGCGCTTGCAGCACCTTGGATTTTGCGCTGAGATTCTTTGTACCAGACCTGGCTCTAGACGCTTGGCATTTGAGGGAGCGAAAGACAACTGCGGCCGGCTTCGGACGGTCCTACTCTGAAGGAATGTTATGGGATGAGAAGGGCACGTTGGTGGCTTCGATGACGCAGCAGTGCATCGTTCGACCAAAGTCAGATGGTAAGCTGAAGACAAAATTGTAGAACGGAAGGTGAACTGCGAGATATCAATTGTGGGAATGGCGTAAATGAAGTTGGGTATTAAATGTTAATGAACCATTGCTTCTTCAGCCAGTCAAGAATTCCAATCTGCGACGATAGAACGATACCGAAACACAAAAGCCATCACATTGGAGAAGCGGCAAGCATTTCCGAGCGTTCCCGTTTAAGCAGAAAGTGATGACCGGCAACGGATATTGGCTTCTCACAGGGCCCCGAGCAGGGACCATAGGGTCCAGAGTCCAACTTCTGGTAGGAGCGTTGAGCGTTCTTCTGACTTTGAGGATTGACGACCCATCTCTGGCAAGCTGTTACCGCAATGCGCATATGTTATCATCCTCTGCCAAAATACATGTGCAATTCCACCTGCCCAGATCTCTTGGTAACAGTGTCAAGATAAAGGGTATCGATTTCCGCAATAGCAACCATCATATCTAGTCCAATTCTCCCAAGAATCCACTGGCAGTGCGCGTTTCCCGGGCGATCAAAGCTCACCACCAAGAATGGCAATGCAACCTAGTCGGAACTACCAAGACGTTCTGCAGAGCTTGGTTTGGCTCTGAGCCGAGATATGCTTATGCTGCTGTGTGCACGGAGTGGGCAAAGTGGTCGGACAGATACTCTGAGCGACACGAGGAGGGCGGTTTTCGTCTGATTGCACTTGAGCTTTCAATCTGTTGGCTTCCTGGGATCATAATGCTCGTAGTCCTCGTCTTCGGTATCGCTCTCATCCTCCAGCGCCAGCGTCTTCTTCTCCTTGGCAGGCTCTAGTACGGCCTCTACCTTGGCGTCGTCGCCGTCCATGGGCGCAAACGCGCTCTTAAAGCCGCTCTTCTTAAAGCCCCCCTTCTTGATGGCTCCGCTGGCGGCTGCAGCACTCCCATTCCCGCCGCCTTCGCCGAGCTTGATGCTGATGAGCCCTTCGGTTTTCTGCTCTGCCTTCCTGGCTCGAGCGGCTGCCGTCGGGTCCTTGACCATTTGTTTCATGTCTTTCATGCGCTGGCGATGCGAGTGATCGTAAGAGGAGAGGTGGGCTTCATAGTCGTTCATCCGACTGTAGCCCTTTGAGCACAGCTCGCAGTAGAAAGACTGCCTGGCAGCGCGAGCCGAGGCAGTCTGGGCGCTCGGGAGAGTTTGATGTCGTGGAGGCATGGTGCGATGACAGTTCGGGGCGGAGCAGTGTTGTGAGGTGTATGATATGCCTGACGACGACTTCCGGACGTACAATCGTGGACGTGCAAAGCGGGCTAGGCGAGGCTTCTCCGCGACGTTGTCGCGAGACGGTTGCGTCTCGATGATGGTGTGCTGAGTAGTTACAGGACCTACCTACTGTACGTAAACGAGCTAAGGACGGGGGATGTCGTGGTGGGGGGTCCTACAAGTAAGTTAATTAATTACTTAACCTAGACTAATTAGATACTTAATTACTTGCTTGCTTGCTTGCTTACAGTAACCTACCGGCACTCTTCATGTAGGTTGGGTCAGAGCTGTTTGGCGGCTGAAGCCCGCTGTGAAATTAGTGAGCTGCAATTGGCGCTTGGCGTACACCTGGGGGGCCACATGCGCTAAAGATCGCTGGGGCTGGGGCTGGAGCTGGAGCTGGAACTGGAGCCGAGTTAAATAGTGTCGAGAGAGCTACAGGGCAATTACGTAGGGTAGGTAGGGCAGGGGTTCAATTGAACTCGGGATTGACATCAGAAGTTGCGGCACCGACATCGACGTCGTTTGTGTGTGTGTATGCTGCCGTCTCACGTTGCACCTTGAGCTTCACCGCTTGTCCAACGAAGCCAAGATGGAGTCGCAAACTCCCTTGAATCACAAGGCCTCCCAGGAGACTATGATATCTCTCCTGCAGCTGGATCCCCAACCGATAGAGAGCCCCAACGAGAAACCTCTCCCGCCTCTACCTGAGCAAAGCTTGGAAAGCTCCACGAGCAGCCTTGAGGCCGAGTCCAAGTCCAAGTCCGGGACGTCCAGCCCGCATTCTTCAGCCCTCGGGCTCAGTGGAAGCGGCCATGGACCAGTTTATTACTGTTCGTCCTCCGCCACGTAGCAAACTATACACGGCCGCCTGCTGACCGAATCACAGTAACGAGGATACAGCGCTACTCCTCCTACACATTCACCGTCTTTGCCGGTCTGCACATGGTCAACACCTCGATCGTACCCCTGATATACAATTCCGTACCCTACTCCGAGCCCTTCCTCCTCATGGCTCGCGAGATATACCAAACACGCCTATCCGAGCCTCTTCTCGTCGGTCTCCCCATTGTCGCCCACGTCGCCTCCGGACTCGCCTTGCGCCTCATCCGCCGGTCACAGAACCTGAAGCGATACGGAGGCGCGACCCCGGGCATGTACGCGCTGCATCGGTCGAATACATCCGTTCTGAGTACATCGGAACACTCAAAGCATGGGCTCAGGATATGGCCGCAGCTCTCTTACGTCTCCGTCGCAGGCTACATTCTCATTCCCCCGTCGTGGCCCACATTTTCCTAAATCGCATCCTGCCCTTGATTGTCGAGGGTGACAGCTCCAACATTGGTCTGCAGTATGTCTCGCATGGCTTTGCGCGACATGGCCTGCAGCCTTGGATTGCGTATGCCCTCCTCCTGACCGCTGGCGCTGGCCATTTCGTATGGGGCTGGGCAAAGTGGTTAAACCTTGCGCCGCCCATGAACTGGAGGAAGACTACCGTGGACAAGGCGCTAAGAAAGAGAAGGAGCAGGGCATGGTGGGGGATCAACGGGCTTGCAGCGCTTGTTGCTGGTGTTTGGGCTGCTGGTGGGCTGGGAGTCGTCGCAAGAGGAGGTGCCGCATATGGATGGCTGGGCAAGGTGTACGATGCTATATATGCTCGCGCTGGCCAGTAAAGGTGAACTTGGGAATTTGGCTGTATAAACAATACTATATACTCTCGGCATTGGAGAATGGCGTTGCATGGTCAAACAACGCATTTACATGGCGTCCAATGAATTCATTGATCCCTTCTCATTACTGAACATGAGTTTTACGGCTGCCTGGCATTCTTTCGAATTATATTTTGCCTCACTGTCCATACATGACTTCGCATATATTTTGAGACTTGCCTTCAACCGAACCAAGATCCACTGCAGACTAAATCCCAGAGACCCATCATGCTTAATGTAATGAGCCAGCAAGACAAGCGCCATGTGTGCAGTCTGTAGTATTGCGCTTTTACTGTAAAAGATGTGTGTTGACCCATCCCAATCATGTCTAGATATCCATCGTCCCGCTATCCGTGCCATTGCGCCGGTTTTGGCAAGCAAATGCTGGACATAACCATGGAGATACGTTATAGCTTATCGTCCGCAGCATCTCTTGGTCTTTTGTTTTTCATATTTCCATATTTCCTCATTTCTTTCCTAACCAGTAATTCTTATTTATTTTTGTTCCATTCAGGAGCTTTTCGTCGAACCTCCAGATCCGGTCCCCTTAGTCCCGGGTATACCCTTGAATTTCGACTTCATTTCTTCGCTCTTCTTGTACTCTTGTTCAACCAGTGCACACGCCTCTAGGGAGCATGCAGGACTCTTGGACAGGTTTGAACAGCAGGTACCACGCTGGCAGATCGCTGAAGGGTGCCATTCGTATTGGTTCTTGCTAAACTCCACCTGTGTTGGCGATGAACACCGATGATGGAAGATACCGGCCGTTGCCGGCCAATATGCTTTAGGATATGGCGATATCGCGTTATATGGTAACGCGCCGATGGAGGTTGTGAGCAAGAGAACGATGGTCCAGACGAGACGTAGTGGCGAGAGATGGGATGGAAGCATCTTGGACCCAGATTTGGTCCTGTACAAACTTCTATGATTTGCTGCCTGATCTTTTTTGAGGGTAGCAAGTAGAAGCAAACATAAGCTGGCCCGCCCAGTCGTTGCTTAGGTCCAAGGTAGTTCAGCAACCGTGTGTCGTTGGTTATTCACTTGCACTGTCCACGTGCAAAATGGATCAGCTCATGAAAGGTAAGGACACCAAATCGCCGTCGACCAAAAACGGGATACTGCTAGTTGGACTGTGACGATGCTATGAAAACATCGGCCAAGCAAAACAAGCAGCAAGAATCAATTTAACACCTCACCAACGAAGAAGCCAGGGAAGAAGCGGTCTAATTCAAGATAAGCTCCCCGCCAACCCTCGGGCTGCAGGATATGGCTTCTGGAAGATGACGACGCAAACCCGTAAGTTAGCGAATTCGCTCAGCTTCATCAGCCACGCCATGGACCGTTTTGCGTATAGAACCATCCTGACTTCCAATTTTAGCTGGCTCTGCCATGTCCAGTGCACATAAAACGTGCCAATAGCCGTGCTCATGGAGCTTTGAAACGTTCGACGGGGCCCGCTAGTGTATCGGACGCGTCAGCGATCAGTCCGGCGTGTGTCTTGTTATATCACTGATATGCCCGACCGGTATTGAGTAGTCAAGGTGTTATAGTTCAATAGTTCCAAATCATCTCGATCTGAGCATGAGTTCTGGTATCATCAGGTTTATGTTGCTCAAGACTATAAGCTACACTGTAGCATCTGTCCCGACGTCGACCAGTCGAACGGGGCATCGCTCGGCGCCCTAAATAACGCTGAACGATAATTATAGGGCGCTCATAATGTTTTTGGAAGCGTGATGGGGGTTACTAGGAAGAAAAGATGTCAGACAGCATAAACTCAGAAGTGCAAAAGGCATAAGATTTTACGTTGAACTTTAATATATATTTTCCCCCAAAGAGTAGACCATCGGGGCTTGACGGGCTTGGCAAACTTCCGTCTCGGCCCACCAATAGGCAGATGCCGGGTGCAGCCGCCTGGCAGCTGGTGGGCAAAAAATGAAGAGAATCTCCTATATCGCTCGTTTCCTTCACACAAATCATAGATGCGGTACAGCGGCCTAGGCTATCTTACTCTATATCGACGGCTCGATTTGTGAAAATTTAGCGAACAAAGTATACTGTCCAGTTGTCCACCGAGATGTCACAACTCCTACCGCTAGACCTGATGGAGCTCCAGCTCAGCCAGATCGATCTTCTCCTGGCCATGTATCCGGAGGATGCTGAGCTCGATGCAAACTCTGAGTCTGCGCGTGTTGATCTCACGAACTGGATTGGTGGCAATATAATAGCGCCTGGAACCTGTGCTCCTTCCCTTTCTGTTTACCTTACTTTAGATTTGTCAGATGAGCTGAGCGAGCCTCCAGGTTCGCGTTCTGTAATACTGGATCTAATCATACCAACACAATACGAGGGACCACAACCTCCAGATGAGCCACCAGCTATCCGTATCAGAGTTAAGCAGCCGTCATGGATGAGCAAGGCAGAAGTGACAAGTCTGCAGTACGAAATTCCAAGCGAAGACATGCTGAGTGCGATTGAATTTGTCAAGGAGGCTTGCTTGCGTCACATTGAGTCCACCAAGAACAACATAGCAAAAGAAACCGCAACGACAAGTACTGAGCCTCTGGTACGTGTCTGGTTCTACTTCCCGTCAATCAGCACACGCTCGAAACGAGACGACCTGATCAACCATGGACCTTCGTACGGGCTGAGTGGTTTCCTCCTGGCTGGCAAACCGGGGATTCTCTGTTTAGAGGGAGGATCCAAGAGCATCGATGATTACATGAAGTTCATCAAGACGGATAGTTGGGGCGACATTCCAGCTCATCACAAAAAGGTCAGCGAGCGACACAGGGACACAGGCGATATCAAACGCGTCTTTAAAGGCATGCAGGAGATTACAGACCTCTTAGGCGAGCGAAGGGGTGAGAGGGCGAACCGAAATGACATGAAGGCGGTGGAAACATGGTTGGACGAAAGAGGCCTAGGAGACGCATTCAAGAAGGTGTTGATGTGATGCGAGTATGAAGTGTCAGCAGCCATTGCTGTCTGCTAATACTGATGTTCGTTGCTACCGCAATGAATTCTGCATCGTGAGATTGCCATGCCGACACTATAGAAATGTGCAGTTTGCAGGCGTATTGGGCACCAGCTTCTCCAATTTGTGCACGCGGCCGTGGGTAAAGTGACCCCCACGACGTGAGTAAATCGGACGTCCGGCCAGCTGCAAGTAAAGTAATTGAGCTTCAACATCACACTTTAAGCTCAAAATCAACCCATCGATAGAGATACCACATCACATGTGCCAAGATGTCGCTCAACCACATTGCACGTGAAGGGTTTGGAGGAGCAATATCCACAGTAAGAACGAATCCTCTACTGACGGGTATCGTCACCACCGCTGTTGTCGGCTTCGCTTGGCAAGTTTCCATGCCACCGCATACTTGGAGGTGATTATTTACACATGCTTAGGACCATTAATGATTTTGTTGATTGGAGGTCCTTCGGTACAGGTGGCACACCGCCGACATGGGCGTGAGTAGTGCCGTAAGACTATTTGATTGAAGCTCAAGAGTTAACGACCCATCAAGCGGCTACTGGAAGATGACCAAATTGCGCATCAAAGCGCTGCTCGATAATGACGATCTCCTGGATACTTCGGTATACAGCAAGTCAGGGCAAGCTTATCTCATAGACCTCCCCATCCGCGCAACGCGGCGGCCAAAGTTGATGCCCCGCATCCTCCCGCAACGGCAGGTGCCAGAGAGGGTGCTCTCAACAGCGTCGCAGAGCAGGTTGCACAACATTGTCACCTCCCTGGCAGCGGCGCACCCGGAAGTATTTGAGGTCAAGCCATCGCATACCGAAGGCAGAACGACTGAGGGGTTGTATGCGAGAAGGGACCTGGACACTCTGAATCCCATTGCGCGCGATCCAATTCTTGACCATGAGATTGCGCACGCGCACTCATCAGATGATTCTCTGCACGTATGGCTAGGTGATCGGGACGCGGCCCAAGTAGTCGAGAAGGGTTGGGGACAGAGGTTTTGTCTCCCTTTTGTCAACAAAGGATGGGTCATGATCTACGCACCTCGTAATCTCGAGGAGGTCGAGGTCGTGGAACAAATTGTGAAGGCTGCTGCGCAATTCATCACTGGCTTGGAATTTAAATGACGAGATTCTGTGTGTGTACTCGTACACATACACAGTCCACCGTATAGGCAACATCTATGAGGTTGGGCACTCGGTGCCAGGTTCTATCTAGCCATTATTGACATATAGTCCGTTGTTCTCCACCTCAGCAACCCATAACGCCCATGATTTATCCTGAGTACCTTCATTCATCTTCTGACAATCTTCTAACACTGCCTCTGATATCGGTTCAGATACGTTACTCGGTTGGTCGTTCTGGTCTAAATTATCAAAGGCATTTCTGACTAACAGAGTATTCGTCTGCGCACCCGCATTGATCTTGGTATACATTGCCCGATATACAGCGGTCTCGATATATATACTATGAGTGATGTACCCATGGCGGCGCATTAGGACAACACTGTGGTCTAGAGAAGGAGAAGTTGAGTCCGGATTTGAGAAAAAGTCTTTGCAAGAGCTGTGCCGAAGCGGGCAGTGCGGACGAGCATGTCCCGCTGGTCGCCAGGTTCGTACACTTTTGCTATGTCAAAAATAGGCACTTGAGAGCCTGAGAAATTCTCAGTTCTTATAACTTCATGACGTGTAGCGGGTGAACTGTTACCGAGAAAGCCGGCCATGTGGAAAATGGGTGTCATGGGCACATGCACGGCAGCCGCGTAAGGTAATACCGCCTCCGCATGGCTGTGCATCACACAGCTTACCTCGGGATACACTCTGAATATTTCACCGTGGATGAATCGCTCCGAGTACCCTTTTTTTGCGTTTGGGTCGACAGTGCTAGAATCTTTTACCCAATACTCGATCAGATCATCAGAGCTTTTCATGAGCGCGGGTGCCATATATCCAGACATGATGTAAATTTCTGGACTTTTTGGATTGCGGATTGGAAATATGACCATACACATCCACTATATCTTGACAATGTAGTGTGTGGTTCGCTGTTATAAGCTTGCGTCTGAGCTATTTCAATATGCTTAGCTAGTTGATATTTGGAACATTGAGGCTAATCGCGCCAACGGCTTACCTTACTGACATCTTGATCACTCCAATTGCTAAGATTTTGAGCGTTTGGGTCTGAGTACCAGTCCATTCTGGCTATTGCTTTGAAGCTGATATTTTCGGGAGGTACCGATAACAGTCCTGGAAACACGAGGCTATATATGAAGCTTTTCATGGCATGTATAACTTTGACAAGGGACGCACTGTCTGAATTGTCATAAAGAAATCTGAAGTTTTCTCGCCCATCTAACTTCCTAAATCTATTAGCTTATGTCATAATATAAATGTTAAGGCTCGGGTCAACCCGTAGTAGCTCTTAAGTTGCCGCGACGTCGAAGACGGGCTTCGCCATTGAACCTCCGGTACCACATGCACAGTTGGAGCTACTTCTGCCCGCGGACTTATATGCCAGGTTACGAGATTGCCACCAGACCAATCGTTTAATTTGAAGACTTCGCAAAAGCAAAGCGGTCTGATTCGTGACGGTGTGACAAGAGAGATCATTAAGGCTGCTCCATATCCTGGTGTTCGAAGACTGCAAATACAGAACACGAAAAGAAACTGAGCAAAAGGTCTAGATACTCAGGATAAAAAGAATTAATAAAAATTAGAAATTAAAAAGATTAAAAAAAAATTAAAAACTAGAGACGTTGAACTTTTAGCAGACAACCAGTCGGACAGAAAACGCATACTTGCGAGATTCGAGGATGGTATTTGTATAACAGCTTCGATCATGATGGGGACTGGTGGTGGTGCAAGCAATGTGAGGCGTTGGTTACATGGTGATGACCTGGCCGCACAAGAAGTCCTCCCTTCACGTATTTTTGAACTTCCCATTAAAGCTCCTGGCGGATAAGGCGCTATGGCTGGACAATGAGATGAGCCCTAATGTCGATGTACCGCCTCACCCAAAAGTCTGTATATGGGCATCTTTCTCTTCGACAAACAAGATCTTAAACCCTCGGGAATCTGGGTATTCTAATCGATAATAATATGATGTAATTCAAGGAAACTCAATCTTGAGTGCTTCTTGAACATGTGATGTGGCTAATATTCCCATTTGCCCTTGCTATTCATTATGTATGCTCTAACTCCATTGTGTGTAGTTTCAAGTCCTCGCTTCCTATCAAATTTATCAACTAAATGTGGTTCCCGCCCGGAGCAAATATCTGGCAATGTTTTCGGGGTTTTGTTTTGCTGTTATGAATATCGCACGACTCGTTCGTGTCATACCGTCTTTAGCAACGTTTATATGCACCTTCTAGGCAAGCTCACTTCGCTTTACTCTATCCTCACCAAGCTCGGCCTGCGCATTGTCGTGTAGTGCTGCTACAGATATTTCACGACCAGCAGCCTCAGGATACGGCGCTGGTGTATTTGGGGCCTCAGACCTCGGTGATACGGTGCTTCCATACAGTTCCGTCTGCCCACCATGCGGCGACGCAGAGTTGTAGGGTGTTGCTTGTTGATTTATATTGTTGTACTGGCTAGCGGTACCCCCGTATTGGTAATTGTTGGCGTTGCTCATAGGTTGAAAAGCAGTATCTCTTGCCTCGCGCCTCTTCTTGCTTCTATTCCATAAACAAAAGCCTGCGATGATTGATCCGATGCCTGCAACGACAGCGAGGACAATGGCGGCTATGACTCCCGCGGATACTGCGCTCGCGGTCTGATTGAAGCTATTTTGGAACGAATCGGAACTAGAAGTTGCCATGTTGCATAAGTCGTACGACTTCGTAAAGTCGGGATGTATTTGGCGGTGCCGAGGATTCGCTGTATGACTATTAAGCAAAGATTTTGGAAAGACTTCTCCAGACTTTCTCCATTAAACAGAAAGAAAACCAGTAATAGCCACCCATACGTCACGCAGCAAGATTTAATTCCTTTAGTGTCCAATATCTTGCTGCGCCGCCGAAATGCTTAAATCGTCATGAGGTTGTTGTCACCATAACTGGTCCCCGCAGCATAGGATCGACCTTGGCATGGCTTATTGAGGCTCAGTTAACGCTCCGCCTCACACGACACACCAGCTTAGCAAGGCTCAGTGGAGCGATAGAGGAAACTGTAGGATGTGTCAATCTGCCAAGAATAGTCTCGATATATACGATAGATGCATGAGGTATGTTTCAACGTTGAAATGAGTGACTCGTTACTTTTGCAGCAATAAATCCTACACGGCCTTGAGACTTAACATAGCACCAGTGCCACTGGGTGATTCTTTTTTTCTTTTTCTTTTTATCTCTTTCCCCATTCTTTTCCATCATCCCTTTCAAACGGGGGCACTCAATAGACGACTAACTCATGCACGTAGCTTGACCATATTCTGATGCTGCCAAGACGCACAACGTCACACACACACTGTCCAGGAAAAATAAGAGTCATATGATGCACGCATGTGGTTAGCCGTGAAACGAACATGGCCACCTTTCTTCACTCCTGTCATCTCACTAAATCGATCTCCGCTTAAACTTCAATGTCGCCTTCATCGGTGGCATCCTGTTCATGCCGAACCATATATTGTCCGGCCGCTTCTCTTGAAATTCTAGATCATAGTTCATTAGGATGTATGCGAGCATAAGTTTCAACTCGCTCGACGCGAAAAACCTGCCAGGGCATGCATGTCGTCCGTGACCAAAAGCCGTATACTCAGTGCTAGTTGTTGCCCATGCTTGACGTGCCTTTTCGATGTATGTGCCTTCGGTAGCATTGTTTCGCTTCTCGGCAAACCGAAATGGTCTGAAATTGTACGGATCCGGGTATATGCTCTCGTCATGGAAAACGGGGTAAGACTGTGCGCAGACTCTTGCACCAAACGGTACTTCAACACCAGAAGGCGTTTTGACACCGTTCAGTGCAACAACAGTCCGACTGGTGGCAAGTGTTGCAAAAGAGTTGAGTCGTTGTGACTCCCGCATTGTGCTATCTAACTTGGATAGAGCTGCAAGCGTACGCTTATTCCATTGTCCGCCGTGATCTGCAAGGACTTCCCGGATCTCTTCACGCAGTTCATCGATATATTCCTGCTTCGATGAGGCCAGGTCAAGTAGGACATGCGTGATAGCGAACGAGGACGTATGTATGGAGGCGAAATTCAACAACATTATGCGGCACGCTAGACTGTACGACTTCCAGTGATACGGATCGCCAGTGGCTTTGGCCTGCTTGATGGACCATTGCAAGAAGTCGTTCGACTCGCTTTTCGATGCTTTCGCTTCGGGATCAACCTGCTGGGCATCAAATGCTTTTAGACGGCGATCAATCTCTGGTTTCATGATACGATAAAATCGGTTCGTGTGAATGCGGTGAGGCATAGTGATGAACAGCCCAACAATTGGCCGGAGAGGTTTCCAAATGAAGCGGAGCAGCGTCGCCGTGACGGGAATATCTTGTGCACAGGCAATGCCGGTCTTCAACAACTCCTCATTGCGACAAAGCGGCAAACCGACAAACACCCTGTTAGTGACTCGGCCAATAACCCGCTGCATGACATCCCAAACCACCACCTCTCGGTGGGTCAAGGTGTCCTTGCCCCAGATTTCATCAATGCTTTGGCGTAACTCATCATATAGCTCAGGGATAAGATTTCCAGTCTCTCTGGTCAGGGTCGTCGAAATAAGTTGCTGGTGCAGTGGGTTCTCACCGACGAGCTTGGGGTCCATGATTGTGTGTTGAAGCTGCAGATCCTCACTGGTCGAGGCGTGCATACTGAGAACTGAGTCTGGCTGATCCAGCAGCCACTGAAGTTCCTTGATTGGCAAGACGACATTGTCGTTGCCGCCAGCAATAGGGAGGAGGCATGGCTGATCACGATATTGCTTGTACGCCACGAGTGTTGCATCCCGCATATCTCTTGCGTTGCGCCATCTCGCTCGTGTGAGGGAAAACCACTCGCCAGGCCGTGCTCCTATTACAGGAAGCTGTGGCAGCTTCGAAGGCTTCAGAAGCAGATAAACGAGCCATCCTGTGGCCAGCAGCGCTGGCGCCAATACAGCTGGTCGTAAAAGAACATCCATGTTGACGATACGCAATTCGGGGAGAATGAATCCTCGAGGTTGAGAAGCGAACTTAGCGCAGCTCAGCGGCCATGACATATCCTCCTGTCCACGACGGCTCTTAGCTTTGATCAAGGGCTAACGCCAACGCGCGGGGCTTAGTAACGAAATGTCACCATCCTTACCAGCTCAATAACGCCGCCACTTTTTGACCAGTTACGCACCGCACCCTAGTTTCGCGTACAACCGGGGGCTTGTAGCACGTACTGTAATAACGTGGCAGCATGGGTAACCGCTTGAGTATAGGAAGTAGTGCTAGGCATGATACAAGCAGATCAATACTCCGGATAGCCACATTCCGAATGCTAAATGCGTCCAGAATCAACATTATTGACCGATCTGTCCACCAAGCATGCGTGCAACCCAGCAAATGACGAGCAACGTAAAGTCATTGGGTACTACTTTTCTGTAGTAGCGATGCACCCCGCCGATCCAGGTTTCCATAATCGGCAAATGATGGTACCCACTATCACATCAACAGCCTCATCCACAAGGCAGTAAACTTGAAGTTCACTCTGTTGAATCCTATACCCAGGCTTGACTTTCGACACTTTCTTCAACATATCCCTCTCAGTTGAGGAGCTTCGACATGTTGGTATACGAATTGTTTATTTGTGCGGTGTCAATGACTGATGTCTGTGACTCTACTACAACACACATGCGTACGCGGTGCTTGAAGGAAAACATAGTAACGATCGGTTTGAACGCAGAGTTTATTGCTAATAATGTGCCTGCAATCCCGCGTATGAAAATGATGACGCTGCCAGCGATTTTTGACGGAAGCAAGGTTTCAATTGTCCCATCAAAACATCATTCTCCAAAAATTCATCAAGTTACAAAGCTTTCGACTGCTTTGACATATCGACTGACCTTATCCTAGTACCAGACTAGGTTAGTTTAGACTAGTAGCCAACTGCCATACAGAAAGCCAGCTGCGTTTGCACCTTGGACATAAGTTAGTAACCGAACAACGTATGCTCAAATGATACTAGTGTGTCAACAGAACTGAAAACGTCCAGATAGGAAACGCCAATGCATAGAAATATTTCTCGAGATTTATAGGCCATGGGACTTAGACGGTGACCTTCATTTAGTCTTTTTGAGAAGCTTCAAATACTGCTGGCAGGAAAGCGTCCTGACAAAACGAGGTTTGTCATCCCTCAAGTAGTGGATTCGGCATGGTATCATCTTCCCCAGTTTCGGTGGAGGCCTGTCCCGGAATAAGCTATTTAGGCATCCCGGGGGTTCCAGTCTCCCCAGGCCAATCTCTAGGCGTCATGGCGTCCATGCCGTCCAACGCAGCATCATTGAAGAACTGGCCTGCAAAAAATCAATTTACGTTGCGGGAATAAAAGCCAGTTATTCCCTCAAGTCCCGCAGGCTGCAGTTCACGGGTCATGCCGACCCCTATAGATGCAAATGGCTCACTGGAATTGCGCGTGTCTAGGGGAATTGAGGCCGCCAATGCAGCTGCTCAAAACCTTGATTGCTTGTTTTGGCGATCATTTACGTGAAATTTACCTAAAATCAGGGGTACAGCTTAGCGGACAACTGCCAAATCCAAACCTTCGGCTCATACCTCAGAAGCAGAATCCCGAGGAGATGCCAGGCGAATACATGCATGAGCCTCATGTTCGCAATTGCGCACCATGTATCCCACTGCTTGCTGTCTGGCAGTCCTAATATGATCCCATCAAGCGTAATAAGCGGTGTTACAATTAAACCCAACTATTTCAAAGTGCCTCTGAGCTTCCTAGACCTGGGCTGCTGGCAATCGTACCAAATATATGCTGTATGTAGTACAGTTCCCGATATTGAAACTTTGCCTTTCGATGATGTTTCCCACAACATGGCCCGCCATGGCTCTCTCATAAGTAGTTCATAAGGGAGACCCTTACGCAGTGGACATTCATCCGACTATTATCTATTGACTCAGCCAGCAGCGACCCTGGGATCTACATGTAATGGCAGGGGCAACGCCGGATTCTTCGAAAATCAATGGAAATGCGCCAACCATTTCGACAGTACTGTGTATCACTCTAGCAGTCGTGATACTTATTGGTGTCTGTGTCGCAAGGAAAACAAATACCTTGGCAGCACTACAGGAAGTGGCTGCTCGGACAAGATCAACATGGAGAGGACGCGGGTTAGAGGAGGAAACAATCGACTCTATTCCGATCATCAAGTACAAGTCTACGCGTCCCCCTAACACCGAGGATCGTGAGCTCAACACCGACATCTCGAGTGCCAAACCACCTGTACCAGGCGGAAGACTAGAAACAATATTAGAAGACGACACTGCGGCTCTCCCGGCCACTTCTACAGGAAGGCAAAAACAAAATGTCCGAACCCGCATCAAGGATATCATCGAACGATGCAGTTTGGCAATACCGAAGCGGCCAACACCGCTCTTGCAGAAACCGGGTTCAGAACTTGTTCGCCAGGATGCATCTTGTCCCATCTGTACGGAAGACTTTTCGGATGGTGTCGATTTACGCAAGCTACCTTGCAGTCATCTCTACCATCCTCGATGTATCGATCAATGGCTTAGGGATTTTGGTGTAACTTGTCCATTATGGCAGGTGCCTCTCTACAAATGTCTATTACCATGAGCTAACATCTTCTCTTTTGCAACATCAGTCGTGTAGATCTCAGTGTGTCAGCTACTGTGGCAGCACTGCCCCGGCCAGCTGGAACGTCAACAAGAGTAATTCGCCGGTAGCTTGTCGAGAGCTATCAGAAGCGAATGCGTGGGAGGTTTCGGGTTTGAAGGGTGGGTTGTGGGCAGAACGTTCTAAAAAAGAAAACAGAGAAAAAAGAAAAAAGAAAAAAAAGGGAAAATAAAAGGGAAACAAAAGGGTACTTTCAAGAATCATTGTAGCTGGTTGGTTGAGGTCTCTCAAAATGGTTTCCTCCCACAGACAACCCGGCTACGTCTCAATTAGCCTCTTATCGTTATTCTAGCGAGCGTACACTTACAAAGTCCACCAAAATCGATGTCGTCTGTCACTTAAATCTTTTTTCACCTGGGCTGACAATTGCAATATTTCCGGTACTGACATTCCGAGTCCATTGCCAAGGATCCTTAAGGATAGACCTTCAACGACCTGAACTGAATTCGCCAACGTCCACTGGCCGACGTCTCGCAAGTCTGCATCTTCATGCCAAGGGTTGGACGGAGCACGAATGATAGTCTCTTTGATATCAACAAAACCAACCTCTTGAAGCCATTCTTTATATGATGATGGAACCTCCAGATCCCGACCTAGTCGTTTAGCGCCATCTTTAAGCATGGAAATCCAACGGTGAATGGAGGTACCCAGGGTGCTGGTGTCTTGGCAGTAGATATCAGCGCTCCAGTCTTGATACTCGATCCATCCTCCAGGCTGTAGATGGTTGAAGGCTCTCCGCATGACGATTTTCGGATTCTGAAAGCTGGTGACCATCATTCTGAGGTGTATGTAGTCGAACGGGGAAGGAAAGTACGCCCATTCGTCTTCTGCGTCTTCCTGTATCCACTCCACGTTTGGTAGATGCCTATTCTGAGGCTGAATGAGACTAAGGTCTGTCCCGATGACCTGGGCACCGGGGTGCTTCTCTGCGAACTCAATAGCCCATATTCCCGTCCCAGTCCCAATGTCTAATACATGTCTAGGTTCTTCCAAGGGCGCCCAGGCAAGTGAGCCGCTCATATAACAACTCCAGGCGACGTGTTGCAGATCTAATCGATCTTGTTCTGTTGCGTCATTAGGAAGCCAGTATTTACCATCTTTGTAGCCATGATATGTCCGTTCATTCTCCAATACAGCAGACGGATCGCTTCAGTGTTCGGAGTCAGTGATCATAACTCTCAAATGGGTTGTGCGGTTTTCAGGAGCTTTGTGAAACATTCACAAAGGGCCCGATTGCTCCTCATAGGCAATATGCGCTTCATAAACATGCTCAAAACGACCAGAAGATGATAAAAACTGCTTACGGAATAGTGCTTCCTGAGCTCTTATAAAAGTAGCTATCCCGAGCGATAAGAGGAATCGCTACGCTCGGCGAATGGAACTGGTTGGACTGCGCGTGAGCGGTGCCAGCCATGATAACAGGCCCGCCATTGTAAGCACTCATGTGGCCATTCTGATGAGACTTTCCGAGCCTTTTAGTGTGTGGTGGTCTGAGGAGGAGGAGGTGGGGAGGTTTGCCTACGGTTGCATATGCCGCAACGGGATCCTGCCGCTGCGTCTGTTGGATGTGATTCGTAAGCTGACGAGGTCGCGGAGGGGGGTTCATTGGATTCATGATGACTTCACTGTCTGCAGCTAACATGAATATTCTGAATAGTCGCTTAGTCGCGTATGTCCTTCTAATATCGAAATCGCACGTCTGGCGATGAATTAAGCCCTGTCGTTGTCACCATCCAGCCCCGTATTATGAAACGGACGAAACTAGAAGGATCTCGCCCTTTGACCCGAGAACTTGGTACGTTACAAAATGGTACACTTTGTCGAAATTATCATATGCACGAGTGACTTGCGATTGGTCCCAGCAAGGAAGTTACAGGGATGATCACCATTTGCCTTACTTGGAGAAGCTCAGTGCCATGGTGCGCCTGCCCCCAATTGTTACAACTATGGCAAATATTTGGTGGTTCCACAACACACCTTTCTGTACGCACATCGACCAGTCACTGCGCACTCCCGGTTGTTGGGACTTTCGCTTACAGTACTGCGTTATGGTGGGACATCCAAGTGATCCATTCTGGTAATGGAGTGTGATTGGGCAACACAAGGCAACCATGCTTTTCTGCACTAGGAACCAGGGCTATTGTAAGCTTTATCTGCTAAGGGCTCTGAGCGACAACAACACTCAACCTGGTATAGTGTTCAGTTTAACAAGGGATTTGTCCCAAAAATATACATATATATATATATATATATATATATATGGGTCATCTGCGGGTCAAACCGCCTGACTATAGCCCCGGAACCCTAGTCAACAGGTACACATGGATCCCGTAGGATTCTACAACAAGCCTTGGAGCCACCAGGAGCTCCGGACTGCAAGGACCTGCACGAGCAGGGGTTGTGTGATGATTATTGTGCTTGTTTCGCTTTATCGAGGATGAACCTTCCCCTATCACAATTGCTAAGTTCCTAAAGTTATAGAAATATTCTCTTCAATGTTGAGCCAAATAAAGATTTATCTTAATATTCGATTACAGTGAACACACTTTTGGCTCTTGATCCATTGAACCATTCTCATATCAGAAACCCGAGCTTCTACAGAGCTTGTTATTTAACGAATGCATTGTCGAACAATAACCGAGGACATGGCGCAGTTTGTCGATGAAGAAGGTTAATCATGAAAAATGTTCTGCGCTATATGCTTATTAAACGCGAAAACAAGAGAGAACTGATCTAGCTGGCAATATTAATAGCGTTGACTCGAGACCAGATACACAACGCACTGATGATTGAGCTATGAAATAGAGATAGACTTGAAAGCAGTACCACGTTCTGGTGTCACATTATGTAGACTACTATGCCGAGTGGGTTGCTCCGGGCTCGTATTGCTTCGTTGCCGTTCCCGAAGTCTATGCATTCTGCGAACAGCTGCCTATTTGGCGTTTCTGGGTGCAAGCAATGTTGAGGGATATCCCGACAACAGTTTGCGGCTCTCCTGCCTTTGAGAAAGCGAAGCTATTCAAGCGACATCAGGCCCAGACAATGACCCAACTGGTATGAGAAGTCGCCTAAATACGGATAGCCGTCTGCGTGATCGACTTGCACATTCATTCTTTACACTCAGAACTCGATACAGACTAGGAAACCTGTCGCAAGAACATGGTCATGGATCACATATCGACGGGCATCTGAGTGCGAGCCGGATTGACATCCGATTCTCCATCGTGGCGGCGAAGACAGTTCAGCAGTGAACGTGCATAGGCAGGAAGTCTGTCTCACCAGACATCTGCGATCGCTGAGAGCCAAATATTCCAACTGGCATTTCTTAAAGTGCGTCGAGGCTTGTATCTTGGTGTCTCGGTGACTTGGCTTCCTTGTTACTAAACGGCCAACTATCCAGAGCAAATAGACAGTACGCCATCAAGAAATTCGGTTAGTCTCCTCGGTCGAGATCTGTAACTTTTCAAGTTCCTCGCTTTAGTTTTCACGATCTTTCAGTCGAAATTCGCGGCTTACTACTTTGAGCCGGGATAGCACAAGTGACAAAAACGGCCACCTTCAAGATACTACACAAGTTCGTTTGGTGATGTCTTCGGTGTTGTGGCTTTCATGAATTAAAGGCACGATCTCCATGGGTGGCCGTCAAGTGTCGGCTGACCTGTTGGCCAGCCAAGCTTTGCGCGCTGATTGCTTCTGCAAATGAAACTGCATACCTATGATCATAGTCGCACACAACATATGTTGTTGATCAAGACGTATTTGATTTGTCTTTGTCGCAGGCTCAGAAGTGGACCAATAATCTTTGGTTTGGACGCTAATCGACTCTATTCCACATGGGCCAATTGCACTGGCGGCTTAGCTGAAATCAAAGAATGACGCAACCTGGCATGGTTACGGATCCGTACAAGCCGTACATGGGGGACAATAGCGAAGCTAAGTTCGCTAGGTTAGAGCTCACACTTGGAGCTGGAGCTTACATGGACTTATTTACTAACTGGTTAGAGCTCAACTCAAGCCATTGGACGTCATTGTCAATTGGTTTGGTGCAGCCACACAGAGGGCAGCGCAACAGAAAATCTGATGAAATGCAATTCTGTTTGCCTTGAACCGCGCACATGGGTGACGGGAGGGGTCAGTCTCTGGACAACTCTTCTGGAAGCCCCGTAGTCACAGCTCCAATTCGCTTCGTGCTAGGTATGTTAGGCACGGGGATTTACCATCGAAAGAGGCTACCTATCTAACACAATCTACAAGTACAAACTGTAGCTCTAACGGGGCCCCCGATCGTGGCTCAACTTGATGTGCGGGCGATGTTGTTGTAGACTAGACTACGGTTAAGTAATACCGGTAGTTAGACTTGACTGGACTAGACTAGGTACCCGTCTCCAAGATCAAGGTCAGAAGTCCATCCCACTTCGGAATTCTTGTCAACGGCCTTGATTCCGACACTTTCTTACACTGCGCAGGCACTGTTGATCCGACCTTGTTTGTCTCCTTGGTTTCGGTTTCTTCCTCTCCTCCTTCTTCTCTATGAAACGATATGCGCGTCTAGGGTAGTCAGTCAGTCAGTGCCGCCCGCAATTTGTTAGTCACGCACTGTGACCTTTCAACCAATCCCCAAGTTGCCTAACTTTTTTTCCTCTCCCTCAAGGCCCGAACTGCAGGAGCCCAGACGAGAAAGCTCGTCCATCTTATTGCACGCGCAGTTCATGTTCTCAGCCGTTGTGCTTGAAGGCCGGCTGTCACATGTACTTCGTCCCATCACGGCGGCTTTGTTTCACCCGGGACTCGTCGCAATCCCGAAATTTGCAAGTTTGCGACAACCCCCCCCCCCCCCCCCCCCCAGCACTAGCCATAACTACCTTTCGGTATCGGATCTCTAGAACCCCGGAGTAAGCATGTACTGTCATGCGCATAGCCATACCAACGGCAGATAGCTTCAATGGAGGGGGGTAGCGGATCACAAGGCCGGGGACCGGCCAGCGACGCCGGAGCCGAACCGACTTCAGCCACCTCCGAGAAACATCCTGCGCCGAGTAACTCGAACCCATCAGAGGCCGCCGCGAACAAGAGGAGGAGGGGTCTAGGTGTCGTCACCCCCAATGCATGCACAGAATGTCGCAAGAAGCGCGCCAAGTGCGACGGGAAAAATCCCTGCAGGAGATGCCAATCCCAGGCCGTGGAATGTGTCTACGAGGTACCTGTGCGCCAGTCGAAAGAGCATCTGCGCAGCGAAATCGAGCAGTTGCGAAAACGACAGCGCCATAATGAATCTGTCATGTCTGCGCTCCAGAGCTCAGGCCAATGGGAAGAGGTCATCGTACGCTTGCGCAATGGTCAGACTGTCGAGAGTATTTCGGAATGGCTTGGTGGCGCTTTGTCTGCCGGCAGTGGCAGTGGCACTCTGCACAGCTTCGCACAGCGCCCAGGACCTTCAAATGCAAGGGGTCCAGGCCCAGGTCTCACGCTTCCACCACTGTCTGGGATAGCAGACTTTGGATTCGGCAGTACCAGCACTCACACGACCAATACTAACACTACCGCCGCCACTGCTCTCCCGGGCGGCTACGGATCCTTCTCCTTCGGACCGCAGCACAGTCAGAAGCACGAGTTTGATCATCAGAGTCCCTGGGCCTTCTCCTCACATAGCCAGACGCAGTCTACGCGGAGCAATTCCCACCCGGATGTAATGCAGTGGACATCGGATGTGCCCCCGATAAACCGTGTCGGTACCTGGGTGCAGGATCAAGCATCCACTGATGAGCTGCGCTATAAGGGAACCGGTCAGATACTTGCCCCCTTGGACTCACCAGATACGAAGTCTTCGCCCACTACTACGTGGACTGGCATTACGGGAGATACGGCTCTGGTACAACATCTGCTCGCCTTATATTTCTGCTGGGAGTACCCAACATTTGCATCTCTCAGTAAAGAGCATTTCTTGAAGGATTTCCTCGATGGACGTGCCCGATATTGTTCGCCCATCTTAATCAACGCCTTGCTTGCGCTCGGCTGCAGGTTTTCCTCCCAACCCAGCACACGCGCCAATCCGGATGACCCGACGACTTCCGGTGATCACTTTTTCAAGGAGGCTCTCAGGCTACTCGCAAAGGAGTCGAATCATCACACACTTACCACAATCCAAGCCCTGGGCATAATGTCTATTCGTGAAGCAAGTTGTGGCAGAGATTCGGAAAGTTGGTATTATGCGGGACAAAGCGTGCGCATGGCTATCGAAATGGGTCTGCACCGGTTGAACGGCGACGGTGATTCGGATGAGATGGCTGTTCAAGCTGCTACCTTTTGGGGCGCCTTCGCTCTAGACCATGCTTGGTCCCTAGCAACCGGCTCGTTGCCCCAATGTTCTTGCTTTCCACATCTTCCGCCCAAACCAGCCATCATTGACGATATCGAGGCTTCTTTATGGGTTCCCTACACTGACAGTGGTAAGTGCAGCCCCTTGCTGATCAATCCCTTGGTGTTGATTCCCAGTACTTAGCATCTGATGACTTAGGTGCACCTTTGCAACGGTCCTGTGAGCAGCCATCTAATGTGCGCTCCGTCTACACGTGTTTTTGCGAGCTGAGTGGACTGGTTCATAAGTCTTTATACGTGCTCCATTCACCGGGGAAGCCGGTGACGAGCCGTGACCTTCTCAACATATACACAGAGTATCTCAACTGGTATGATCAAATACCCGAAGTACTACGCCTCGGTACCAACTTCACCCCTGCCGTCCTTTTTGCACATATGTATTACCATTTTGCAATATTGCTCTTGTTCCGGCCTCTGATTAAACTACGAATCATTGGCTCGAGCATCAGGCCCCGGGATGTCTGCGCTCAGGCCGCAGATGCTATTCAGGGGTTATGCAAGTCATATTCACAATTATATACCCTCCGAAGAACGCCGTCATTCGTCCCATATTTCGTCCTTACCGCGGCAATCATGCAGCTGGCTTTGGGCGCCGTTCATACGCCCATACAAGACACCATGCCAGACACTAGTTCCTCCGGTTCAACGGCGAAGCCAGAAAGTGGAGATGCGAGCCATACCCACCCACGACCTTCGTCGTCTAGCACAGCTGGACCCAGGTCGCCCTCAAGCACCTCAACTACCAAAGTCAACCCGCGAGGCGTGGATGCCATTAATCAAGGCATCGCAGACCTGACTGAAATGGCCCCTTGCCATAATTTCGCCGAGCAAGCCCTTCACATCTTGCGATATATGGCGAAGAAGTGGAACGTTCCAGTCAACATTCCTCAATCACGCGGGCTCTCCTCCAATGGCGATATGAACGATCTCGTAAGACCACAAACACATAGCCTCAACTTCTTCGTGCCGAACTTGGCGGAAGAAGACTTCATGTGCACATGGGGGACCGGAACTAAAGGCGCAACCAGCTCACTCAGCGAAGGACTTCCGGGCTCGGAAGCCCAGGCCGATGCCGATGGCCAAGCAATGGGACCCAACAAGATGAGGGGTCCGAGCAGCACAGGGAAGCAGTCTCGGATCGAAGAAGAGCTCGGTGCCGGGCCCATGGCACACGCGGTGAAGAGCATCGAAAACCCGCTCTTCTGGCCGTTTCCCATGCAGGGCAGGCCCATGGTGCCTTCGGGTGGACGCATGCTGGAGGAAGCTGGTTTTGCGTTACTGTAAGCGCGCGTCACCCAGACCTCGTTGGTATACGGGGGAGAGAAATATCTCCCTTGCGGTTCATTTGGGATAGCTGATATACATATTCATCCTCCTTGAAGCATAGAGTTCTGGAACGCGGGAGAGAGCATGTAGAGGGGGGAGGGGGAAAGACCCTCGATGATGTCTTTCGCACTGTGTTGCCCATGATGTAGAATTACATATATTACAGGTGGCTCAGATCCACGGAGGTTCGATTATGCTGTTCGAGCGTGAACGGAGACAACACCCGGCAAATTCCTGCATGCACATTTGTCTTGATTTTCTCCGGCAGCGTCGCAAGGCCACATGTGTCTTTCTGGCATGAAGGACTAACTTCTGGGCATGCCGTGCCCCGGTTACGAGGCGCGAAATGTCTGTCAGCTTCGTGCTACCATCATCAACCCGGGGGGGATTTATTTTGACGAAACCATGTCAAATCTTTGCGCATGGGACGCTTTCGCCATTGCTGTGGTTCCCAAGAACCCTCAATAACCTTTTCTTCTTCTGTTCTTTTCCCCCTTGGCTGCGACATCGTTTAATTTATTCTTGTAGTAACGATCCAATGCGTATGGTTTATAAGACATGAAATATGGTACATGTAATGCGAACTCCCTCCGGTGACCCTGCCTTATGTTTTTCACCCTATGCTCCGACCGGCCCTTATTCGACAATGTGTGATGCAACTCCTCTGAAACTGTTCTATGCTAACATTACGCCGCCACAAGGCGTCTACCACCTTTTCGAGGGACTACGGCTTTTGGTTGGACTGCGGGCCCTATCGCCCTTGCTTGGACTTCGCCTCCCGCTGGGGGTGTGGTAGTAGGACGGAGGCGGAAGAGCTTTCTGTACGTCAGGCGAAGCATCCGTATCAGGTGTTTCGTCGTTTTGGATGTGTTCTAGATAGCGAGATCTCGGTGTTTGCGGAACGTGGCTATACATGATTTGTGGGTGTGGTTGGAAGGCAGATTGCGACGACTGGGGTGGGTGCGGTACGAAAGCGAAGCTTGATGGGGCCTGACTGCTCTTTACGAGTGAGATGCCGCTGAAGCAGAAAATGGCGAAAAGAGCGATGAAGGCAGCCTATGGCGGCAGTTAGTATCGTTGGGTTAGTATTCCTCCGGCGTGGAATGTTGAGGGTGGACCGAGGTTCTGCCGCAGACTTACCAGCGTCTTCCAATGCATAGTCTCGATGATCTCGTTGAGAATCTCGACAATGTTCCTGGCACCGAGTCGGACCCGCATAAGCTTGTCCGGGTTCTGGCTCATACAAGCTTCCCATTCGTCGCACATGACATTCATGGCGGGTAGACGCTGTTCTCTGGGCGAGCAGCGGTTATCGGCGTAGTCTCTGGCGCACTTGGCCATTTCCTCTACCACGACAGCGCGCAGCTCCTGTTTGGCCGCCCAAAAATCATCCCGGAAGCTAGCCACGACGACCCAAAGAAGCCAAAGTGCCAGGCCGACAACGGCCAGGTTGAACAGTAACGTGACCCAGGATCCCAAGACGATGGGAGCGTCGGGATGCTTCTGGATGACAGAGAGGAATCCACCGAACCAGCCCTTCCTGCGTGCCGACTTCTTGGGTCCATGGTGATCGTTTGGCTGGTACACGCTGTCGTCAGAATCGTTGGCCTCGGTATCGTCCCACTCATCTGATTGCTTGTATGGGAGTCGGAAGCCACTGATGTCCTTATCATCGTGACGTCTCTTTCGCTTCCGTACCTTGTCTCTTGTGCCAAATGCCGTGGAGCCGCGGGGGATTTCGCCTTTCCCGGGGGATCGCTTGTACATGGCAGAACTCAGAGCCTTGGACCTTGCCGGGGTGAGGGTCATCTGGCTGAAACTCCGCATGTTGTCCCTGCCATCGGTCTCGGGGGTATCTGGACAGCTGTCCATGTCGGTCTGGGCCGGGCTGTCCTCGGCAGCTGAGGCTTCGGACAGGGCGTCCATGTCGACAAAGGGTTTGCGGGGTGTCGTGAATGCAGGGTTCCGGAAGGGGGGCGCAGTATTTGTGCGGTGGAAAATAGAATGTGATGAAGAGAACGCTGAAGAAGCACGGCCTGGAGTTGGGGCAAGCGGTTTATGGGGGCTGTTCTGTGTGCTCGTGGTTGTGCTTGTGCTTGGGCCTGCGCCTGCGCCTGCGCCTAGGCTTGAAAACCGACCTGGTTGACCAAAGGTGTTTGTCCGGGGCAGACCGAAGGCATTGTTGTTCTGGGCTCTCTGAGCAGACTGTACAAACGGGCTGGTGGGATCCAGCGGCCCGGTGCTCTGATATTCCCAATCCATGGGGGATTCAAAAGTGCGCCTCTCCATAGCTGGGAAAGAATCAATCAATGGACCAGTTCTGTCCGGTACATAGCAAGCAGTGTTTCGAAAGGGTGCACAGCAACGATTAATCTCGAGAGCGAACGAACGACGTGTGCAGATCAACGATTGGGAACATAAACGATAGATATGGATATGTGAGAAGCGAAGCGAAGCGAATAAACGAACGACGAATTGAAGAACCGATCCAACTTTTTGGGAAGCTGCAACTCGGGCAACGGGCACGCCACAGTAAACAAACTGCCAGACGTGCGCACTGGATGTGGGCGGGGCCAAGCGGCTCGGGGGATCAGGTCAATTCTTAATCTATAATTCCGAATCCTGCATTCTGAATTCTTCTAACGGGGCTTGGCAGGTAAGGGAAGTGTACGGATCCGTAATCCGTACTCCGTACTCTGTACTCTGACTACGTGTGTAGGTATGCCAGTGGCGCTAACGTCAATCAACCCTGGTCAATCTCAAGGCTGGAGGGACTTGCGCCTGCACTTGCCTTCAGGTGCTCGTTGCTCTTGAGTTGGGACCCACTTGAACATTTCTGGAGAGTCGGCAGGGCGATTGAACTTCGACCTCAACTCCAGCTCGCGACTGCCAAACCGAGCACCATTCTAAATTTACTTCGAAACTTGGTGATTCTTCCCAAATTACATGATAGTCTCTGTGCTCTCGCCACCTCATCATCATCGTCATCTTCCTCTGAGTCTGGGTCTGAGTCTGAGTCTGAGTCTGAGCTTGACCTCCATAACGTATCCGAATCCGAATCCGAAAGCTGCTTTGAATCTGCTCCCTCAATAAACAACTGCGCTGTTCTGACCTCCGGCTCTCACATCCCGCTCAGCATCAACCCTTTTGGCGTCTCTCTCACGCCTTCCCATCCCATCATGTCAGCAGACGAGGGCTCGCCCCCGGCGTCCATCCACGAGGAGAAACAGGATGACGCGCCCGAGGACAAGGAACTAGGTGATTACGATGTACAAGCAGCTGCCGACTCAGACAAAGACGCCTCCGACGGAGCCCACTCAGAAGACGACGACCTATCAGAAATCGATGAGGATCAATTCGGCGACTACGATCCCGCAGCCGCTCGTATCGAGGAGAAGCCCGTAGAGATCGACGAGGATGTAGCTCGAACTCTTAAAGCCGGCAAGCGCAAGGGTTTGGCCACCAAGAAGCCCAAGGAGGGCAGGAGAGACAAGAAAAAGCGCAGACGCGACGACGAGGACAACGATGGTGCAGATGGCGAGATCTTGAGTGGGAAGCGTTCTAGGAAAGCAGGCGGTGCAACATCCAGCAAGAGGCCTTCACCCGAGCTTGTCGACGAGAGCACTCTGACACCCGAGGAGAGACGACGTCGAGCCATAGAGAGAGCTGCTACTGGCGAGACAAAGACCAAGGTCAAGCGCAAGAAGAAGGACGAAGTTGTACGTTGTATACTCCGATATATACACATTTATCATACCGTCCATCACACTAACCTCCACGGCAGGATCTCGAGGCCGAGCTTGACGAGCAAATCGCCACTCTCAAAACCGCCATGGAAAACGCTTGTCGAGACGACAACAATGCTCGCCAACAGGGCCAGCCCGCCCTCCACAAGTTGAAGTTGCTTCCCGAGGTCATGAGCCTTCTCAACCGAAACAACCAGCAATCTGCCATTGTAGATCCCGATGCCAACTTTCTTGAGTCGGTCAAATTCTTTCTCGAGCCCCTGAGCGATGGTTCGCTGCCGGCCTACAATATCCAGCGTGACATCTTTCAGGCCTTGCAGCGTCTTCCCATCGAGAAGGAGACATTGATGGCAAGCGGCATCGGCAAGATCGTTCTGTTCTACACCAAGAGCAAGAAGGCCGTGCCGACTGTCAAACGCTTGGCTGAACAGCTACTGGGCGAATGGAGCAGACCAATCCTCAGGAAGACCCATGACTACAAGCAGCGCCAGGTTGAGACTCGGGATTTCGATTACCAGTATGTTGCTCTTCCTCGCCTCATTCTCAGCAAAGAAGCATTTACTAACTCGATCTGTAGGGCCGCCAAACTCAAGCAAGTCGTTGGCTCTTCCCAGTACACCCTCACCCAACGCCCTGTTGCTTCGCAGCAGTCACTACGTGATGCAGAGCGAGCCCGTATGTTGGCTCCTGTTAACCTCAGCAATCGCGCTCGTGTCAGCGGCCTTCCAGCTGCCTACACGGTTGCTCCCAAGAGCACCTTCGAGCCTTCGCGGGACGGATCCCATCGACCTATTGGTTCGAGCGGTGTTGAAGCTTTCCGCAAGATGACACAGAAAGGAAAGAGGGGCTAGGCGCGCTCTCACTGAGCTTGGTTGGATCATTAGCATGGAAGGTCGAAGGCGTTTGGCGTTGGGTTTTGTGGCCTTGATTGAGGAAGTGCAACCAAATACTGAGGGTGTAGTGTCTAGGCGGCCGGGGTGGAGTTTATCGCACTCTGTCTATGGACTCACATTGTCGCCAGTAAACATCAGTAGAGTCATCTCCAGTTTACATGATAGGTAACCATCTACTAATGGGAGAGTTGGCATAACTGTGCACAACGAAATCTAATCGGCATGTTCTGACAATGAATTACCATCTCGAGACAACCTATGGAGACCAAGCATCATAATGTTTAAGCGTTAAATCTACATGACTGAGAATTCAGCCTAGACTAATGGTTTTAACTCTGAGTTTTCGGCGAAAGTATCATCTGCTTCGCCCATCTGTAAGTATATATTCAGGCAATTGCGAACCCAACGATCCCGGCGCCCTTTTTGCCAAATGCTGCCAGGCTTTCAATAATGCTCCCATGGTGGATCACAGGCAACTAACTCAACCAGGCGCACAAGAAGTCATTCAGACTGCACAAGTAATGAATGCAGCAAATAAATGCACCCGGCCATTGCAATAATGGCCACAGCAATTATGATAACATCCCGCCAATCCTGGTCTGGCCGGCAACGCGCGTCTTTGGACTTTCTCAAAGGTCTCTACATTCAAATGTTAGTGACCACGGCGGAAAGGAATTGGCGGAAACCCGATTTACCATGGGAGGTCTTTCACTATCTTCCCAGTCAGTACAGTGGCGATAGAGCGATGGCATGATAGCTGGCAGCATTGAACGAGAATCAGGTATCTATCACTGTGAGAACGTGGTGGGAAAAGTTGTCACTCAAATGTGAGACACGAAGCAAGTCTCGCCGCTAGGAAGAGTCGGCCAGCTATTTGAACTGTTCTAAGAATCCAGCACATTCATCATGCGTAGCTGCCTCTTCCTCCTCTTGCGTGGATAAAGATAGCAAACTGCATGAGAAGCATGCAAGCAGGGGGTTTGATTGTCGAATTGGTGGACAAACCCGGAGCGATTGGGGACCAGCAGGCTCAGCAAATCCTTGCAGATCTCGGGCCGAGATACGTCCTGGGAAGAAATGCAACCCGATTCGCCGATCGAATGCCATATATATGCATTGAAGCACGAGGTGACAATATTGGAATTTCAGATGGACCTCTACTACATGGAATCGCGGGTTTGCCTTTCGTCTCAACCACTTTCTGCCTGTTCGAGACCATCGGCTGAAATTTATCTGGGAACACTGCCTTCAAAACTTGCCCGTTTTTTTTTTAAGTCGAAATGGAAGTAGAAATAATACGTCCACGTCGCACTGCAGATTCGGAGCATTGGACTCACACATGTTCTTTCTTTCTCTTCGGCATCTTGATCGCTAGTGTTGTTACATGACAGCGGCATTTTAGTTTAACATTGACCCACTGACTGCAGCCTAAGAGATGCTACACTTGCCGGGTCAAACCTCCTTGCCGCCCATACTTACCAGTCCTTGCTATCAAAAGTCCCATCGGCATGCCGCGCACATATTGATGCATTTCGCCTTCTGCTGACATAATGCCGTTTGCTACTGTGCAATCTGCTTGGAATCCATTATTTCTACTGGTGATTTGTTTCACCTTACTGGACGATCTTCCCCTTGCAATTTACCCCGATTCCAGGGACCGTAACGGCCGAGGTGCTCTCACGTATTCCTTACGATGCGCGGTCTATAACTAACTCTGGAGGTTCCATATAGTGGAGGCCATGACCCATAGCAGCAAGACATAGAATACGAAGTTTTCAGGCCGATGGCATAACACATATGAATAGTTAAACTCAATAAGTAGCTGAAATTCCGATGAGGAGTTCCTCGGTGCAATGGATATAGTCACGTAAAACGACTGCTAACAGACGCCAGAAACGAGATTGCTTCTTCTGGCCCCAGGTAATCGATAGTATTGTCCCTTGAAGGGAGATAGAGCAATATTTCAGTGCTCTCCGTGCCTTTTTCCCTTGCCTTGCATTTACGCCCACTCTTTTGATACCGACAAGCTTGGTTGGATTTCGGGGCTAATCGTGCAAATGACGCGCTCTTTTCAGAAGTGTTGGGCGAGTAGTTATCGGATCCTGCTGATCACCAGCAAGTCCGTCGTCACCCAGGTGCGACCCGACCTCCGGCTTCGATCCACCGTAGCTAAGATAAAATAAAAACCGTTGCGGCTGCCCTGCCTCCGGGCATCGGAAGGCAAACTTAAAGAGCGACTATAAAGTTAGTCAAGGTCCACAAAATGACTTACATGATGACGGGCGACTATCCGGAGAAACAAGTTCGTGTTCCATATGATTAAGGCACAGCCAAATACTATGTCACGAGATATATGTACAACAAGTAGTAGTCTCGTCTTGGAATGCGCCCATCTGAGAAAATTGATTCAGCTGTCAGCCCTATTCATGCAGTGTGACATACGTCGAGCCATTCTCATCGAACCAGCAAGCAAGGGTGGAGTAGTTGGAAGTGCCAATGAAGACTGGGTGCTTGGCGCCCATGTCAGCTTGCAACGCCGGTGAGAAAATGTCTGCTCGTCTTTTCTTTTGTCCGACATTTTCTGCAGGGGATTGTTGGGGAAATTATGAAATTATGGCCATGGTCGGTAAGGCGGCAAGCCAACGATTGGACATGTTCTAGGCGACCCCTTAATGAGGTCAAGCTTAAAGTAAGCATACGAGATAGCCGCCAATGACCGGCGCCTGTCAGCCCCATATCATCCAATTGAGTTTAGAGCACTCCATCAATACGAGCGTTGAAGATCAAAAGAAATAACCGTCCGGGGGGGGACGCTTCTATTCCTAACGTTAGCATATTATAGATGGCTCCATCGGATGTTCCTTGCCCGCCTGATGATTCAGAGTTGCATTGATAACGCAGGTGCAAGGGGGTTTGACAGCCAAAAAGATCGACAAGTAGTCTTTTAATAAACAAGTAGAAATAGCCCACGAGCGCCCCCGGTGTCGACTTGACTCTGTAGATCAACGTCTCGCACACCACATTCGTTCAGCCTCAGCGATTGCTATACCATCGCTACTTATACCACAACAAAAAAAAAAGTTTAATAGCTTCAATCTTAATTACAAATTTCCCTAAGCCGAGAGCATGCGTTGGTCCCTCGTTTTAACCGCCTCGGCGGCTTCTGCGTCTATTTTACGCAGGTCGACCTTTGGCGATAGTATAAACCTTCCAGCCGAGGCGTTCCCCAAATTCGAGGTTGTGTCCCTCGAGGACGCCAAGGCGGGAAAGGATCGGGCGATTCAAGGCCTCCCGGATCCTGATAATGCCACCGACACCACAGAAGCCACCGCCGTGACGCACGGCTTTTCCGTCATGGCCGCCACCGCGTCAACGGCCAACGCTGCCGCCTGTAGCGCCGACCCCAACATCCGCTTCGAGTGGAAGCAATATTCGGATTCGGATCGTCTCGCCTTCGTCAAGGCCGTCAAGTGCCTGATGAACAAGCCCCCTTCCGGCAACTTCGCCCCGGCTAAGAGCCGATATGAAGACTTTGTCCGCATCCACCAGGACTACATGAACAACGTGCACAACAACGCCAAGTTCCTCATCTGGCACAGATATTACCTGTGGACATTCGAGCAAGTCCTCCGTACCGAGTGTGGGTTCGACCGCGCCATGGTCTGGTGGGATGAGACTCTCGATGCCGGAAAGTTTGGCCAGTCCGACATGTTCACCAACAAGGCCTACTTCGGTAGCCTGCCGGCCAGCAGCAGCCCGCAGTGCGTCACCGACGGCGAGTTCGCCGGCCTCATTGCCAACATCGGCCCCGGCAGCACCAGCTCACCCCACTGCTTGTCGCGTCAGTTGACGGAGAGCAACACGGCTCAGTGCAGCACAGACTTCATCAACTACTGCAACCAGCGAACCAGCTATGCGGACTACGAGAGCTGTCTCGAGTACGGTCCCCACGGCTACGGACACAACGGCATCGGAGGTACCATGGCGGACGTCTGGGCCAGCCCGAGTGACCCCATCTTCTGGATGCACCACTCGTTCATCGACCACAGCTGGAGGATATGGCAGAACGCCGACGCCTCCCGCATCGAGAGCATTAACGGTAACGATGCTGCCGGAAATGCCCTGACCTTGGACACCATGGTTTACATGGGCGGAATCCGCCCCGACGTTCGCGTCAGGGACATTATCAACACCCTGGGCGGAGTCCAAATTGGTAGCGAGACATTCTGTTACCGCTACACATACTAAAAGCATATGAAGATGAGATGAAAAATAGGCGTATGTCGCAGCGCTTGTAAATCGTAATCTTTAATTGAGCTCGTGAAATGAGTCTTGTTAGTGCAGCGTATCAAGTAATCAATAATCAAAATAATTGCTGAAATTCTGCCAGCCGTCATATTGTGGTTACTTGAAATTCTTCAACGTATTTTCGCCCTGTTTTGTAGGCTTTTCTTACCTTTTACTCTGCGAACATGCGTCGTATCTCATGAGACATGATTAAGCAAGGTAACCCAGAGTTGTGAAGAGACAAGTGAACAAAACAGTACTATCCAAGCTGAGTATAGCTACAGGCCGCAATTCATTGAGTCGAGTTTGTAGTGACGTGAACCCATCGTACCGTGTTGCTGTTTGTTCTTCGAGGCTACGAAATAACTGAATGGCAATGGCCAACTGGAAGTGAAAGTTGAGAGACGCTATTGGAGGAGGGGAAGAACATTTGTAACAGCCCAGGACTCGAGGATATCGGCGCCTCGTCCAAAAAGTTGAGTGATCATCCGACCAAATGACGAGACATCGCCATAACAGCCAGCTCAGCTTGACAAGTATTGTGCGCGTTTCGTACAATCACGTCATCTTAAGTTCCGGCTCTTCAAATCGGGGATTCCCCAAATCACGCCTAGACGCCCGCAATCCCTTGCGCCATTGACGTGCGGGACCTTGCTTGTTCTTATATATATCACATTTGCAGTTCTCGTAATGCCAACACGCGACGAGAATCGGTACATATAAGACTAGCCATCTTCGCCATGGGTTATTTGCTTGCCTTCGTCCTTCGTTCGCGCTTCTACAACAGTTTCTACAGGAATTTGAAGAAAAAGAAATTGTGCCACATGCAGTGATGCAATAATATGCAACTTTCAATTTGTTGTAGTCATACCCAGCCTATCCATCATAGCAGCTAGCTTTGCCTTGTTCTTCTCGCACATCGGCGATGATGATATCTTCTGTAGTGGGATAATCCGTAAGGAATAGATATCAACGGCTACATCGATTAGCTGATCAACCTACGGTACCCATTCTCTCCGTTTCCAGTCGCCCTTTCCGCTATTGTTGGATAGAGCAAGGAGACAGCAGTAACTGCGGCGTTTGGTTGCATTGTCAGATTGTTTTCCTACAGCCCCATCAGTTTTGGTAGTTGTTATAGGGACCTAGTTGCTCCTTAGCTCAAGACAGACCTTGCTGGAGGAGTTGATATAGAGTTGAGTCACTCTGCTTGCGGCTCAGTACCGACCGGTCATAAGCAGTTTGGCGTTGACCATGCTGCTACTAATGCGACTTACACCAGATGCTTGGCAGTCACGATTCGATGGGATGCTTGGATACCTATACTTCTGAGCAGACTCGTGGATCCTTCCTGGAGTAAGAGGCTGGCTCGAAATCACTGGCGGACGTGAAACGAATACACATACTCTTAAGAACATCATTTTACCATCGACTCTCTACTATGTGCGAATCTTCCTCGTCCTACTATTTCACATATTCTCCATGAGTATCGCGTGCGCCGGAAACGGTGAGGTGTCTGAATCCGAATGAACTTTTGGACAACCCTTTTGCTTGTTAGGTGGTAGGCAATCAACTTATTTATAGCTTCTTGTGGGTCTGTTATTACAATGAAATTGCTAATGAAGTCGTTTCCCTCATGCCCACGGTGGGAAATTGAAACCAAGAAATGACTGACAGGCCGCATACCTCATGAGTACGATGGACTCTGCGGAGGTAGCACAATGCATCAGAGAAACGACGTTATTGTACACGGATCGGACTTCGAGACAGACGCTGAATTGGATCATGTGATAGCATTCATTTGCATGGATTCTCACTGTAAAAGTCGTCCAGATTCGATTTTGCTCTGCTGCCAGCAATCCAGTATCATAACCCCCCCAGCTCGTGTGAAAGACTTCCAGTCACTGGAGTACAATTTCTATGCCTAAACACCCATTGGCCATAGTTTTGTGGAGATCAAAAGTAGGAAGATTGATACCCGGGCCAGAGTCAAATCCTTAGAAGTTCGAATTGCGCGAACATCGCGTCCACTTCCCAATGATTCTTCGCGTGTCGGTGAGGCCTTAGAATCACAATCTGATAATGTGACCAAGTTCTCGAAGAATTCCTAACCAATGGCGAGTCTTCAGATCATATTCCGATTTAGTGGCTGGAGTGAGGTGGGGTAGATCGAGTTTGGCAGATGCCCGACCCGAGTCCGAGTCGGGGACCCGCTGCATGGAAGCATGACGCAATTATACCTTGTAGTTAAGCACTTTTGAAGATGGTATCCTGCAAGTCATTGGCTCTAACGATAATAACTGAACAGTGGCATATTATACGAAGCTGAAATCAACAGCTGCATCCGTCAAACCCCCCACTGCCTTGAACATCGCAAGGGTGTAAGTAACATGAGGTGGAATGATGTGCCTCGATGATTTGTTTTTAGGACACACCGTAAGTTGTCTGCTTAGGCTGCTGTGAATTAATTCGAGACATCAGGCCGTCACAAGGTGTGGAGAGACTGCGGAGTGAGCAAGATGAAGCATAGTAATGTGACTTGAAGCACATATGGCAAAATTAGATCCGATGCTACTGGTCCTTGGCAGATTTGTGGACTGGCGTAGAGTTGTTGTCAGAGAAGCGGAACAAGATTGAATCGAGTTGATGATATCTCAGACCTGCATGTCTGAGGATCGAAATCAGGGGCCCGTTACTCACCTCACGGGTGGTCGATAGGTTCCACGCTAAAACCACTGCCGGATTGCCCAATTCGTAAACACCGGTGCATTAGCCAGAGTGAGGCAAACTGCCATGAAGAACTTCGCGTGTCTTCGTGACCAGACATGCACTCACAGAATGCCCCAAAAAAAAAAAAAAAAAAAGACCACATCGCTGAGAACATCAGTTATCGCAACGACACAATGGAGGAGAGAGCACTGATCGTGTTGCGGTAACCCCTACGCCTTAGCGGTCCACGAAGTCGTGGATATGTGGTGTGACTGCAATGTTTCGAGATGAAAGAATCGCAAGCGTCCAAATGTCGTACAGAGATATTGTGGGCCACTGAGGTCATCCTGTCAGGGGTGTCTGTACTGGCGGAACCTGTGAACATGAACACGAACAAGAATATTCACATACCAAGACCATATGTTTAGGTGTGCAAAGGACAGCTTACTGGAGAACAAGGCCAGGGACTGTGTGTGTGCCAAAGGTTACTGATGAAGCGCAGTGTCTTGGGCTTGGTATCCGTACATGAAAGAAAGAAGCTGCACACAAGCGTCAGACGTCGCGCCTCATAAAGCGGTTTCTGGTTCTAATCATTTCTAATAAACGCACCGAGTCGCCAGTCTACCCACCTGCCTCGAGTCATTCCTAGAATTTTCCTCTTCAATCTCGTTCGAGCTGTTCTGACGCGAGCTTCACTCTCTGTGTTTGTGCATTGCTATGTACCTTAATTCAGCCCACATTGTGTGTGCCTCTTGTGTATTCTGTTCTACTATAAGACGCCAATAGAGTTTGAAGTTGGTGATTACACTCAATTCATGCGTCATTTTCGATCCCACCGCAAATACCATCATACCCATAACATACCATATAAAGTAAATACAGGCAAGCGATACTGAGGGACACAAAACAAGCTTGGATTGCCATGACGTCCTGAAGATCCATTGCAACGACCCCGAATCTGCGAAACATCCATTACATACTTGTACACCCTCCGAACAAGCCTGTTCACCCTGGGAACAGAGCTCCAGACTTCAGCCTCCCCCGCCATCCACTATCATCATCCCACCACCCACGTTAAGCTATCCTATCGTCTGCTCATCGATAACGTCCTATTCGCCTCTCCGGTTCGTCGACTCTGCCAACCTCGCCTGCACCCTGAAAAGTGCCGTCGCCTCGTGTCTTGAAAACACATTTCTTCCGAAAGCGCATAGAATTGGAGAAGAAGAAAAGAAAAACATCTGGCACAGTCGGATTATCGAAAAGAATTTAGATCACACCAATCCAACCAACAGCGACACGTCCGGCGCGTCGCATCCAGCATCGTGTATTGTTGGGCAGATTGGGAGTCGTCGCGCATTACCCTCGAAGTCGCAATTGCACCGTACATCGCACACCGAGTCTCGTGCAAACCTGGGAGAATACCTCAGACTTGTAACCGGAACAGCTTTCTGCTTCCCGAGTTTTCACGACGGTTCAGACACACGATCGGACGCCATGAACGGCTCGGAAGCGCAAGAAGTGACAGCGGCTGTCAAAGCTAGCCAGCCTCTGACGAAAGACACTCAACCTTTGGCGGAAGCTCAAACTCCAACGCAAGCAGAACCTCCGTTAATGGCCGGCGCGAATGGCAGCTCATCGATGAGCAAAAAGCGCAAGAAGGACGGATTGAAACCAATCATTACAACTGAAGCCCCAAGCCCGACTGGGTAAGTCAAACTTTCATATCTTATATAACCTGTCGCGATCATCGGCGTCTTACAACATTCGTTATGTATGCGACAGCACCCCTTGCTCGGATTGCTCCATCTTGCTTGCCAGTGCATACAGATGAGTATCCGTCAGTGCCAGTTGAAAGCCTTTTTCAAAACGTTCAGCATACACATCTGTGGCCGACCGACATGTCATTAGTTTGGCTTTGATTTGCGAAACATGTCAGTCTGCAGCATGCTCCCTGAATGGCATTGTATTATTGGAGGCGGGGCTGCACACTTCCTTGAGCAAGGGAGTCGAGATCAGCTCTTATACTTGGCAAAGACATCCATGGAACAAGCGCGTCATGGAAAGACCAGAGTTATGATGCTTCGCTTTCCATTGCACACACTTGGGGCAAGTCACAGACCTTATCTGAAGTTGCTCCAAAGCCAGCGGCTGTCGAGTTAGCTGAAAGTCTGGGCGGGCGCTATGCAACTCTTCAGGATCTCATACTTAAGCCAGATCAAAGCGCTTGCGGGAGGGGGATCGTCAATTGGAACCCGCTTTCACCTGCGTCTCCTGCATCGCGTAGCGGTCTGATTTGATTCGAGATTTATCGCTCACACCAGCGCATGCAAATTCACTGGCGCGCTGTCAGGCCGTCTCAATCAACTCGTCCTCCTCTGCTTTCTCCGCCATTTCTGCAACCCCAGATCATCTTGTTCGGCGTTCATATCTCCTCCTCCCTACCGTCTGCTTAAGGTTTGCGAGCCGTGACACAGCACGGCGGCACAAACATGATGAAGAAAAGGTTACTAGCCTTGGACCCTAATTCACCTATCCACACTCCCCCACCACACCTCTCACCACCTGTATCCGTACCCATCCCCCCTTTGAAGTGAAGCTGCAAGTGCTGGCGACCATGGGGATTTCAAGCTCCAACACTGCATAGGACCGTGTGCCCCGTCCTTGTCCTGTCCTTGTCCTGTCCTATCCAGCCTGGTCCTCACCAGAAACAGCCATCAGTGTCCGGTCAGGGTCAGGGTCAGGTTAGGCTAGGCGCCTGGCCGCATGCCTGCAGTTCTCCTTGTTGCTTGCCCACAAGCACCTCGCAACTGCGCTGGTACTCTGCCTATTTCACTACGCGCCCAGCGCTTGCCATTCGTTTGCTGTGCATAACTTGTCCCCATTCCTGACTATCCCGTGCGAATCTCTGCTTACCACGATATATCCTCCAGGGCGCCGCATATCTCAGCCACCATGAATCAACATTCGCCCACATCATCGTCGGGGCCTGAGGACGCTGCCGAAAATACGGCCGATGAAGAAGATTCCGAAGACTACTGCAAGGGTGGGTATCACCCTGTGCAGATCGGTGAGAAGTTCAAAGATGGCAAATACACGGTTGTGCGCAAGTTGGGCTGGGGCCACTTTTCGACAGTCTGGCTTTCACGAGACAACACCAACAACAAGCATGTCGCCTTGAAGGTTGTGCGATCCGCCAGCCATTATACCGAAACCGCCATCGACGAAATCAAGCTCCTCAAAAAGATTGTCGAGGCGAACCCAAATCATCCGGGACGGAAATATGTTGTTAGTCTGCTGGATTCATTCGACCATAAAGGACCCAACGGCGTGCATGTCTGTATGGTGTTCGAAGTGCTAGGGGAGAATCTTCTTGGTCTCATCAAGAAATGGCACCACCGGGGTATTCCACGAGAATTGGTCATGCAAATTGCGAAGCAGGTGTTGATGGGCCTGGATTATATGCACAGAGAATGTGGTATCATTCACACCGATTTGAAGCCTGAAAACGTCCTCATTGAGATTGGCGATGTGGAACAGGTTGTCAAAAAGGTTGTCAAGACCGAATCTGATACAGAAAAGGAGAACCACAGAAACGGCCGCAGACGCAGAAGGACGCTTATCACGGGCAGTCAGCCTCTGCCTTCCCCTCTCAACGCCACGTTCAACCGTGACAACCTATTCCCCTCGCCAAAGTCGCATACGAGCTTGAACGCTATGATGCAAGACAGTAAGTCCTCCTGCCACTCTGACAGTGCTGTCGCAAACCTGCCATATTGTCCCTTCCCAGCCAATGCCCTCTGTGAAAGCCGGCCCTCCGCGTGCCTGGCTATTTTGGTAGCCTAAGCATCATCGCTGACAAATTGGACAGCAACTCCAGGTGCTAAGAGTCCAAATGACGATTCCAGGGAAAAGACTGCGTAGGTTGACAATGAACGCGGTTATTTTACCAGACTAACCTCTTCTAGGGACATTCTTACTAAAGAGGTTTCCGGTATCTCTCTTGATAAACCAGGCTCAGGTTCAGGTTCAGCCTCACCTGGCGACAAGAAGAAAAAGAAACGAAAGGGACCTATTATCAACGTGAAAATCGCTGACTTGGGCAACGCCTGTTGGGTTTCACACCATTTCACAAATGATATCCAGACCAGGCAATACCGGTCGCCTGAGGTCATTCTTGGTGGGAAATGGGGTGCAAGCACAGATGTGTGGAGCATGGCTGCTATGGTGGGTTACTTGCTTTAAACTTGGGTTGCCTGCTTTTGCTGACTTAGTACAAGGTCTTTGAACTCATTACTGGCGATTACTTATTTGATCCTCAATCTGGTACCAAGTATGGGAAGGACGATGATCATATCGCCCAAATTATTGAGTTGCTCGGCCCCTTTCCGAAGGAACTCTGGAAGAATGGCCGCTGGTCGCAGGAGATCTTCAACAAACGAGGCGAGCTGCGAAACATTCATCGATTACGCCATTGGGCACTGTCGGACGTACTGAGAGAGAAGTATCACTTCAAGGATAGCAAAGACTTGACTCCGAAAGAGCGTGAGGAGAAGGAGCGCAAAGCCAAAGAGAAGAAATCAGACGATGAGGATGAGGAGGCACTAGAATACCATCCGACCGAGGTGGCAAGTTTCCTGACCCCGATGCTGGAGCTGTTGCCAGAAAAGAGAGCAAATGCTGGTGGCATGGCGAATCACCCATGGCTAGACGATACACCTGGCATGGAGAATGTCAAACTCGAGGGTCTAGTCCCCGGTGTCCGTGGCGAGGGCATAGAAGGTTGGGCGATGGAGGTGAAGAAGCGATAGTCCGCTTTTTCCGTTTATCGAGAATTTGACAACTTCTCTGCAGAAGCTCAGGGGCAAAAGGGTCCAGCAGCATTAGGGTTTGGCATACAACCACCGTTCAGACCCAGAGGTGGCTTTGCAGAAGTTGAGGCGGTCGAAAGAGATAGTGGCCTGCAACTTCCCCGACTGACTTGTGTCAGTGAAAAATAAGATCCAATATACGAGGTTAGATTTCTCTCGTTTTCTGCCTAGCATTTCACATATCATAATTTGGAATGGATAGAAGCGTTGATTTGAGACATGGGCTGCTGTCATGCTGTATGCATGGATCCATCAGTTGTGCTCGGGGGCACTGTTCCAGCCTAGAAAAGAATAAGACTGAACAGCGAAAAAAAAAAAACTTCTTCGAGACTCTGGCTTCGTGCACGATGTTTGATTATCCTCGGGAAGCGGCTCATAGATACCATCCAAATTGTGAAGCCACATGTTTTTAGTGCACCCTCCAGTAATTGGTGTCGACATAGCTCGCTTAGAAGTCCAATAGATTTCGGGCATGGAACGATGTTGTTTTCTATGCCACTGGCAATGGCCTTCTCTGCCCCTTTAATGCGTATATATGTGTGTATGCTCGGAACTACTCAATTCATTAATGACTGTATCCGGTATCTTGCAAGAAAGGATATATTTAACGAGACCGATGATTGACATTGGTTACGGGAGGCTAGCTCTGCACAAACCCAAGCAGACGAGGCAAGTATCTTCATAGACACTTGAATATCAAAATTACGGCCAACAGGACTTTGTTCATACCTCGGCCATTTCAATGCGATGACAGGCGACTAAAATAAAATAGTAATACAATGGCTGGTTCCGGACTGTACAAATAGTGCAATGAGAATGGCCATCACAAGTGGTCAATGTGTTCCTGTTTCTTAATAGAAAACTTTTATGAATTGATATAGAAACTGGGGTTCCAAGAGGAATACAAAGTCAAGACCCTCACCCATGCTTATATGCGAAAGACTCGCATACATGACTGGTCGAGCTCAGTACCCCCATGCCTGTGTCTCTAAAGCTCTCCCAATGACTTGGGTTTAGGCTTTTCACCTGGGGGATAGACAAGGAGAAATTCCGTCTGTTGCCCGTAAACCCAGTCCCATGTGCCCGTTTTCTCATTCCAGTAAACATCTTCCTCCTGTGGAAATATGATAGTACGGTTTCTCTCGGGTACAAAGTGTTCAGCGAACAGCTCGACGCTGTAGTAAGTGTTCTTGAGCAGCGGAAGATCTCCGAGAACAGGTACACCATCCTGAAGGTTCGTCATACCTACAAATGTTCAGTCACTTCGAGTTACACAGTTATCAGTCTGACGCGGCTTACCAATGACCGTTCCGGCACTGTGGCCAAACTCGCCGGTCGCATGGCAGTAGATTTTGCCATTAATCCCTTCCTCGTGCGCTTGTGAGAGAATGTTTCTGAGGATATCATTGCCGGTGAGGCCAACTTTCATGTTTTCTCTCGTGATATCTTGAAGCCGATTGACTTTCTTCAGGCCATCAAGAAATCCCTGAGGGATATCAGCTGCTGTCTCGCCGGGCTGCAACACATACGCTAGGTGCTGCGTGTCGGTATTGAGGCCAAGAGCAGTGACCCCGAAGTCTGTATGGATGATATCGCCATATCTGATGACATGGTCTCTCGGGTCCATCTCATTCTTGTCGCCACCGGCAGGAAGATCATCTTCCGTAAGCACATAAACACCTGGTTGGAACCAAGTTGTGTAGTTCAGCGCTTGAATCTTCTCGCGCATCCACCACACAACGTCTTCCGTAGTTGTCTTGTTAGAAACGATGACTTTGCTGCTGAATCCCTCTTCGATGATAGCCCACGCAGTCTCCATTAGCTTGCTATACCATTCCAGCCGATCGTCCACCATTAGAGCAACGAGTTCGATGCCCAGCATAGGCTCGAGCACATACTTGTCGGCCCACTTCTTGCCGAGCCCGGCAGCAATAGCATCCTTCTCACCAGCGTGCAACCCGCCCGAAAATGCAAGCTCCGAGGCGGTATTTAAAGCGATTGAACGTGGCTGCGCCGCCTCGAGGATCTCCTTCAATTCCTCCCATACGCGTGGTGTATTGTCGATCCACGAATAATCCGTTGAGCCATTTCCCGGTGCCTTGGCTAGGAAGAGCTGAGTGGTTCTTCGGCGCGCCGAGAACTGGATGAAGTCCTTGAGTGCCCAGAAAGTTGTATCTTCAGCATATTCGCGCTGGCTGATTAGCCAGGCGTCGATGTCATACTTACGCAGAATCGCCGGGATGGCGTCCTTTCTCTCCTCGGTCCATGCATCCACTATCTTTGCTTGCTCACGAAGCGGAGGCAGTGTATGAATTTGTGGTGTCTTGGTACCGACGACGAGAGTGCCAGCATTGAGCAGCAAAGTCAGCGCAACGGTTCCAGATATGGCACTAATCAAGCCCCGCATGATGTTCGGCTTCTCGATAGTAAGCTTATGTTGTATGAGGGAACACAGTTTACAAAGACAGGTGCAACTGAAATGTCGGAATCAGATCAGAAGTATGTATTCTATGGTTTAATTATAGTGGCGAATGGCCGCCTACGCGTGGCGGTAACAGCAGGTACGGTAGCAGAACACCGATCCCTGTTACCCACGATGAAACTGATGGTACACCTTCTACATCAGGACTGGCAGGAGGTTGAACTCCGATCGTTTTAGTGTTTCGGCTTAAGCTATGAATAACCGTTACAGACCTATTCCCGTCCAATCGAAATCATGCGGGCAGAAGTGTGCGAAATGCTTCTAGACTAGAGTAGATTATTATAAACGGACATGTCTCATTATGGCCGAACCATATATTGATATGATTCATTTCAACGCATTGACAGATGGGTATAAACAAGCGTTGCTAGCAGACCAGAGGAGCTCTCGGTTCTCAACACTAGCTCATCAAGAAGCGTTGTTCCTTTTGGCTTTTCTCTCCTTGTCCCAGATCCTCAGCGCTGTGATAACTGCCATTACAGCCCACCTCTCACCTAGGACTCCCGTCGCGCCGCTGCCAACAAAGCGAAAGTTGAGGATCTTGCTAACGCTCATGCTGGCACCGGCCCACACAGCGACGACTTCCTTCTTGTCAGTCGAACGAGACCCTCCGCCTACGGACTGTGCTTTACTAGGCATACCGTCCGGCGCATCTGTCGCCAGGCGGATCAGCTTCCAGCCCGAACCATAGCCTCCGAGCGCATCCACCTCTGCACCGTGACTATGTCGCCACTCAAAAGGCTCACGTCGTCCCGTAACGCCCACCTCGATGGAGAAGCTATGTGTCCCGTGTCCAATACCTTGGAATTCTACGTCTTCTACCGCAGCACGTTGCCCTGAACCGGGTAATGGCGGGAGTTCGACGGAGGCAGAACGAGTAAATGCGCCGCTGTCGACGCCTGCTAGTGGTGGAGACGACTCGCTGGGGCCGCTGTGCAACACGACGTCGGGCTGTCCACTCCATCCGCTGTGTGTCGAAATGGCACAGAGTGGTTGCGACTGGTGCTCCCCCAAAGTATAGGTTCTGACGAAGGCACCCGCACTGTACACAGAGAAGGCCGGAGGAAACTGGCGGTTGATTTGTGCTTGTGGTATTTGCGGCGGGCTCTGCTTCGATTGTGTCTTGTTTGCGGACGGGTTTGGTGCTCTGTGCGCTGTTGATCCGCTGGACGACTGAACTGGGACTTCTGAGTATGGCGGAGGCGCATCTTCGGGGGGCCCTGATAGCCGCTTGGATGCCTCCTCTTCGCTGCCCATTTTGATGTTCCGATAGTTGTTGCTCGACTGAAGACCTGACGATACTGAAATCTCAAGATTTATTGATCAATGACTTGGAGCACGGATCGGGAATCCATATGATATAAAAGCTAAGTATCGCTCGACATAGTAAGCCCTGTAACTAACTAGTTCCCAAGGCGGACGAAGCCTACCATCTGCACTCGCCGCGGGGCAGTGTAGCATAGCCCTTACAAAAACAACATGACCACGACGGCTAAGGTGATCCTTCTCGGAAACTAATGCCGTCAGCGCCACTACTTCTTTCCGTACTTTTTCGATACTTATGCAAAATGACAAGACGCCTTTGTGGCAAATGGGAACACGACGATTTCAAGGGACACATTGCAACTTCAGCATAATATAGTTAGGCGATGCAGCCGTCCCTCATCAGTGGCCAAGTAATAGTATGTTGTTGCTTGACGCCGCAACGACAGAGTACACTCGTGAATGCCATTACGATATGGTTTACTGTCAGTCTTGCACGGTTCTTCCTCTGTATGTAGAATACTATAGTAAGCCACTAGAAGCGAAACGAAATATATGCCTATCGTGCTTTCGAAAGTCCAACAAGATTTCACCGTTTGATCTCATCTCGCTCACATATGGCAGTTAGAAGAGACCCAGGTGAATGGCATAGTTGGGATGACAGCAACCTCATGGCCGTTTCACGGAAGACTATGTCGAGAAAAGAAGTTGACGAGGTGCGGACTTGTGAAGTTGAAGTTGGCCGTCTGATTGGGTGACCCGGCAAGGTCCAGGCCGAGTGTGCTAGGCCAAGCATGACCAAGACCTTCCACCGTCAGCGCTCTGACCTCGGCACCTGGGCAATCCCAAACCTCCTCCCAGACACCCTCATATATCTCCTTGACTTGGGGTTCAGGCCATTCGCCATCATACTTGCCCTTGCAGCCGTTGCGCTCTGCCCATTGGCGTCTCCATAGCCTGACGTCTGGTTCGGGTCCGAAAGAACCCTCTTCAGGAGTGCGGCCATGAAACGGAGTGATGGTGTCCTCCACTCCATGCGCGTGGAATATCGGCGCAGGGCGAGATGGCGTGCAGTTATGGAAAGAGAAAGTCCCTTGATACAACGCCGGTGACACGGGAGCGAACGCTGCGATGAGGCTGGAAGTATCTGGCCTACATGCCAGGAGAGCGGTGAACCCGCCGCCGTTAGACTTACCGCAAGCGTAGATACGCTTCGAGTCTACATTGTACGTCGCGGAGATGGTCTTGACGATATCGTGTACATAGGCGATCTAGCACTTGTGAGCGATGCGGGACACAGACACAGGCTACGGAAACCTACATCGTGGACTGTACTGTTCTCGTAGGGCGCGCCTTTCCATATGTGCTTCATATCCCAATCGGTGTTGTTCACGCCTTGGGCATAGGCAGTCAAAAACGGCTTGCCTGCGATACGCAGGGCCGGGTCGGAGAGTTCCGTGATACGTTGTTGCTTCTCACTGAAACCACCAGCTGATAACGTCTTAGCACCCAATCGTAGCATGTGAATTATGTGAACTTTTACCGCCATGAAAAGAGAGCACGAGAGGGTGTGAATCCGCATGATCGTACGTTGGTGGGACATTGAGCAGAAATGTTCGCTCTGTTGGGAGCGCATATTTGACGTTGCCAGTCGCTGGTGCATGTGGGCTGAGTGATGGTCGGGATAGAACTATCTGAGATGCTAATACGGTCGAAGCGCTCAGCGCCAAGGCTATTGTTTTGAACATTTCGAGCCTAATTTCTTGATGCAAGAATCTTGGAAGTCAGAGCAAGTATTATTTCAGACGAACTGGATATAATTAACGGCTACTGGCAGCGTCGGGAGGAAACCGAAGAGTATTGGTGAAGAACCCGCTTTATAACCCCACTGCTTATCACGACATCGTACGCAATCGCCCTGTATCGTACAGCTGACAAAAAACAATATCGCAATGATTTATACCTAAGAACCGCCAGCTTCTCTATGTTAGGATATGTTGACATGGCCACCACGCCTAGATGTACTTTATAGGCGATCTAGTGGCACCGAAAAGACGCGGGAGAGAGAACTGGTGGTAGTTTTGTGACCGTCCAGTACAAACCTCAAAATGAAGCCCATACTGCGGTCTTTTAACTCCTATTCGTTGTGTTTCCTTATTTGAAGGTTTAGCCACAATTGAACCAGATCATTGTCAAATATATACACGACAGAATGTATTTACATAATATCTACAACCATAACAAATCGGATCCTCTCTTGGAGACACAATATGCTTCTGCCATCGTTTCGTGTCAGTCGGGTAGTTCTGTTCCTGGACGTACAAATTGATACGAGTGGTACATTTCATGAGATTGTCGCACCAGAATCTCCGCTCATCAAGAACCCTTGCCCAGTCGAGTTGTCGTCCTCATCCTCATCGGAGCTGTCATCATCCCCTCCACTCATCAAGTCGATGACTAGAACTGACCCAGAGCTCAATGTATCGAGCTGGAATCCCGCTTGCAAAACATCCGTGGTATCAAAAACGCATCCAGCGACATCAAGACTAATGTCGGCATCCTTGAGGGCCAGACATACGAGGCGGAAGTGCTCGTGGTGCGAATCTTCCAGGTCGCTACCTTCTGAGCCACCGTCGAATATCAACACGGCATTCCCGTGACTGAGGCAAAAGGCCTCGCTGATCTCGGGCCGTGCTGGGTTCTTCAGCGCAGCCGTGAGTTGTGCCGGCTCAGTTTGAGCACTGATAGCGAGACGCGTAAAGATGCGGCTGCTCAGCAGGGTCTTGGCTGCGTTTGGGTCTGTCGGCGAAAAGATGGAGACATTGGGTGGCAGCGCTGGCACGCTTGGCTGTGCGTCTCTTGCGGTGGCCATCTTTGTTCTCAATTGACGATGTGATTGTCAGCGTGCTCAACTATAACGAGCTTGCAAAGCTGCTGCTTACCTATTCGGTTGGTATACCTTTTTCACAGGTTCAAGGTTTTCGCACTAAAACTCCCATCGCATTGCATTAGCGTGGGGCTTCTTACGGTGGCACTGTTTTAGGGCTGTGCTCATTCCCTTGTACGGCATTCATTCTTAGCGAACATGGGGACAGCTTGAGGGAGGCCTGGGGATTTTCGATATTCTCATTTGATTTGCAGGCAGCCGACAAGTGAATTTGCGGCTGCCTCGCTTGCGTTGCATGTAGCGTGAAATATGCATCTGCTGGCATGCATACTAGCCAATCATGGCTTGCCAACTTTTAAGGCAGACAGTTAGAATATGGAGACTCGGCCTTTGTTGACTATCTCGTGCGATGCGCTTCGCCGCAATGAATCCTGCGGTGTCATGCTCCACGCCGAAGTCTGAGGTTGCTCAGATACTTAAGTCGCCTGCGGACAGCACAATGGCTGTATTTCCTGTTCTCTCGTTCACACCCTCAACCTGTTCCGATAACTCCTCAAAAGCAATTGACATGACGGCAGACTCCTCTGCAAATACTCTCTTTACGGAGAAGGTGCCACTTCAGAGCGAACCGGGCAGCGCTGAAGCCAATGGCACCACAACCAACGAAACACCCGAGGACCAACCCAACGGAGAACAAGCAGAGCCCAGTGCTTCTTCTCCTTCTGGAGAAGAAGGAGAAGTTAAGGATACCAAGCCTGAAGATCAGACTATGAAACCAGAGATCAAGCATCTCGATAAAAAATTGTAAGCACTATCTAGATACTTTCCTGCCATTTCTAGCATGTCTTGGGACTGCATATTGTGTATGAGAGGAACGTACTAATGAAATTGATATAGCGACGAGGATGGCAACAAAGTGTACACTGAACGCAAAAGCAGAGATGACAAGGATGACAAGCGGGATTGGTGGGACCTTTTCGCCCTTTGCGAGATTCGCCATTTTTGGGAAGATGGTGATTTTAAGTGCACACAACTTCACGTCAATTCGCCTCTACTGAAGCAGCTTCTCGAGGATGTCGTGGGCGACTTTCCAAACGAGCCCATTGATGCTAGCTCTGAGGTGGAGATCGACTTCCCGGCATATTGCCTCTTCTTTCACCGCGAGGATATTGAGAGAGAGGGAACCAAACGCTTTGCCGAAGACGAGGAAGGCCAGGCTCATCTTAAGATATTATTAGAACACATCGACAACACCCTAGAGGATGAGTTCAAATCTTACAGGAGGGCAATGAACAGCGACGCCAAAGCCATCAACTATGAACATCTCTGGACCATCTTCAAGCCTGAGAGTATTGTGTTCCTCAGTCTTCTTGGACAACCTCGCTGCTACAAGCTCCTCAGCTTTTATTATACGGAAGGTGAAGAACCCGCCCTCTGTCTGTCAGTTGAGTATGTAGACTACGACGGCGACATGTTCGGCACGCGTACGACTTTATTCCGTATCCCGAAGTACTCTGGGACCTTGCGTATCGAACAACTAAATGTTAAACCGCTCGAGTTACTTGCCAACAAGGATAAGATCAGTGAATATCTCATCGAACGCGGACACCGCTTTGAGAAACTGGTCGGACAGAATTTTCTACAGTACAGTGGCGTGGCAGTAAAGAGAAAGGATTGCGGATATGAGCGGTTCAATCTTACGGGGCGAGTTATGATCGATTGCAAGACTTATCATCGTCTCGATCCAAATGACGCTTTCAGCGTGTGTGAGATTGCACGTAGTGAGGCTGCTAAGCGCCAGCGCGAGATTCGGAAACACAACGATGGTTCCGGCTTAGATGACACTGGAGAAAGCAGGGTTGAGGATGAACTCTTGGACGAGGATCGACTCCTTACCAATGCAACGGTCCGCGGCTTCGCTTTCACTCACAAGAGATTCCTGGAATTTTTCGTCGACAAACTTTCACAAATTGAGTGGAACACAAAATGCTTCGACCAGTTGGTTCTAGATCCCGCGCCGAAGAGAACTGTTCAGGCCTTGGTCTCGATGCACGCACAGAGGAATGGCAACGAGGATGGCGCATTCGATGACATCGTCAAAGGCAAAGGCCAAGGGCTCGTGATGGTATTGCACGGACCCCCAGGTGTCGGCAAAACGTTAACAGCAGAATGTGTTGCAGAGTGGGTTCGCTGCCCTCTCTACATGGTGTCTTCAGGAGACCTGGGTACCGACAGCACTTCACTGGATAGTCAACTGACCAGAATCATGGACATGACCAGCACATGGAGAGCAGTGTTATTAATCGACGAAGCTGACGTCTTCTTGGAGAGGCGTAGTCTGCACGACATGCAGAGAAATGCGATGGTTTCTGTATTCTTGAGGGTTCTAGAGTATTACTCTGGTATTTTGTTCCTCACTACCAACCGCGTCGCGACCTTCGACGACGCGTTCAAGAGCAGAATTCACGTTCCCTTGAGATACACAAGCCTCACCAAAGAATCAAGGCGCATAATTTGGCAAAATTTCTGCTCTCGCGTTCCTGGTGGTGCCGACATTGACGAGGAAGGGTTGGAGCGTTTGTCAGAACATGATCTGAATGGTCGGCAAATCAAGAATGTGGTCAAAACAGCGGAAAGTTTGGCTGCTTTTGAGGGTACAAAGTTGGACGTAGAAAGGCTTGAAGAAGTCACCTTGATCCAAGCCAAGTTCGAGAAAGACCTACTGGAAGCTACAAAAGCTGGCGCAGAAGGAGTATGAACATTTTTAGGGGGTTCACGTCACCGGGAAGAAGGTAGGGAACCCTGGTAATAGCATCATCACAGCAATCTCTGAAACACGGTTTCATGCAGAGAGTATTATAGATAGACAAAATTATTCTTGCCAGATATTGAGAAAGATTCCATTTGAGCTGTGTTGGTTGAAGAGAACCCCTTCCGTGTGATCCAACCACCACAAATGATCGTTAATGGCGGCACTTATGATAACACAAATGAACCTTTCGACAACTGTGTCTGGCATACCGGAGGCGATGGATGTTGTATATGATTAGGTGTTAGTTGGCGACTTGGACTGATTAGTCGGCGAGTACACATCAACAGGATGCGTAGTCCTGCCAAGCAATGGATTCAATAACTCGCTCACCCAAACCTATCGCCTATGAACAACAAAACATCATAATGCCAGGAACACAAATTAGAAACGGATGATGCAAATAAATAGTCTAAGAATTGTTGAGTAATCTTGCTAGAGTAATATATAATAAAGTGGGCAGTTTTGGGTGCGCCAGCAACGAGGTACCTAGCTCGGCCAAGCGCTAAAGAACAGGTATCTGCACTTAAAACTTCCGAGTCTAGCAGGCGCGGTAGATCCAAGGTGTCATAGGCTACAGCCGCCGCTGTTCCAATTGAACTCGATCCTAATCCTAAGTAAGTGTCATCATAGGTAAATGAATGGCGTCCTTAGGAATGCGACTAAAGGGACTTACTGTGGTACTCGGAGACCGACCAGCGAAACATTGGCGGAAACTTAGAAATGCAACCAAAATCCATCAAGTTATGTGGATACGGAGCAAACTCCGGACGACTCTCAGTTCCCGAGACTCATCTCGTCATGACCCTATCAAAGCCGTATGACATATGCGTCACAGCCTAGCTCATCGCGATTACCATTCGAAGAAGAGAAGACGTGGTAGTCAAAGTGAATTGCCAGTTGAATTTGAAATGTAGGGGATTTTCTCCTCATCTTTTTCCATTCGAAGAAGTCGTGATTTCGCTCAAGTCGTAATTTCGCTCCTGTTCAAACTGTCCCAAATCAAGTATGTGATCCACACTATCCCGTCGCTTGTTGTGCTTGTCTGTATGCCTCTATCTTAAAACCATACAATCATTGCCATTATTCTTATGCTGACATCTGCATCACTTCATCTAATTGTTTCTAGGAGGTCGGTTTGGGTCTTTGGTGTGGCAGTCGTGAATGCTCATATTCACATGTCTGATATTGGCGCCCGGCTGCTCGTTCGCAATGATAATAAGCGGGTGTCCATGTTTTAATTGAGACAGTGGGAGATTGTGGATTTATCTTTAGCTCGGAGTATGATATGTGATGCGTCGAGCGACAAAAGATTTACTTTTACCCGTGACGAGTCCATATGGTAAGGCTCATGCAATTCGTACTTTGTATGTACAATGTCTAGAACCGTATGTTACCTTCATTTGCGCAGGAGAGACTGGAATTGACTTTACTAGCCCTAGTCATTATTATTCACAAGCTGAACGGCGTCAGCCGCATACCGGACCGTGACAGCGGAAGTGTCTTGCGTGTGTATTCATGTTTCGCATCCTTCATTACAGGGTGTGCGAGTGTGCAGCAGTCTTGTCACTGTGTTGCATCGCATTTTACATGAAAGCATTACCGGCATAACAACTGTAGATGCCCTGTCGTAACTCATCTTCCCCCATGGTTCGCTTGCGTTTTCGATCTCGCTTGTGGACAGAATGTCCGACACAAAAGTGATTTCCCCTCTAGACTAGAGTAAACTAATCGCGTTTCCTGGGACATGTAGGGGGGCCTGTCGCATTTTCCAAACTTTGCGGTTTGGACTGAGTGCCTATCGATAACCTTATCCTTTCAATTGGGTCTTTCTCATGCATGCCCACCCCACCCCTTGATGTCATCTGCACGTCTAGATCTGAGATCGCGCCTTTTAGGCTCGTTCGGAGGCTTGCCGCCGAGCACTTTAAAACCGTTCTGCTGATTTGGGAATCGCCGGCGGCACTAAAGCAAGGGCAAACGGGTAACAGACAGGGGCCCATCGCGGTCGGACTTCGTAGAGTAGAGAATTGACAGAATGACTTGGGAAAATATATCTGAGATATGAAGCTGGGATTGCTCTACGGCGGACAACTTGAGATTTATCGGAAACTTAGGGGCATTTTGGGTCATCAGACTCTGTGGCTATTAATGATGGGGTCAAGTCTCTATTCGTAATGGCACCTCGTAGTGACGAGAGAATGCATCGTCTACCTATCGTCTACCTATCAGATAGCCGTCATAGTCAGGTTGAATGACCCACGATAAAGCATCTTGACCGCCAATTCCATTGTGCTGGGTAAAATAAGCAGAATCCCTTCATGAGAATTCCACAAACGCACATTCTGTCCAATCTGCCTCGTCAAAGTGAAGAACCGTTCCAGTGTATCTGACCAAACTGGCCAAGTCACATCCATCCACAAAACCAAATAAAATCAAATCAAATGAAGCCCATCTCACACTCTGCTGTGGGCCACAGAGAACGCCGGGAATATGCAGAGGTATCCTCGATGGAAATAAATGCAATGCCAAACAATCCGAACGCAACCTAAAACCGGGAACAATCTGTGGAGTGGAGGTGACCTGGGGCTAGACGCTGCGCACTCCGGGTATCAATATAAAATGCCCCGATGCTGTGAATATCGGAATCCTGAGATGTAGTGATGCCGTGTAAACAAATGAAAACCATAAACAAACTCCGAAGCTGGTCATGGAGTAGAGATGATAAAGTCGCTGTGATACCGGCAAACGTCGGTGAATTCGAAGTAGGCCGAAACTATGCGGTTGGTTGGGCATGTGAGAAGTGTGAAATCGTGTGTCCACCACACCGTCGTCGTACGTAGAGGCCCATGCCTGATAAGGTCCTCTACCGCTGTCTCTGCAAATTGGGACCGCCCGCCGGATATCGGTCTACACAAATCGTGCAACCCATTGTTTCTCTAGCCAGCCAACCTTGTCAAAAGCTGTCCACAACTTCGAAGCCTTATTGACATCGATCTTGCAAGCCTGCTGAGCATCCGTCTTCCGAAATTCTTTACCGATTTTGAGACAGTTCAGACGAGCAATGAACATCCGGCGTTTGCTGGTCAAATATGTAGCAGCGTCTAGTCGTAAATTTGCTGCTAGAGCTAGTTCGTCCGGATGAAGCAGATCCCGCTGCGGATCACTGCTCAGATCAATGGGAGCACCCTTCCAGTCCACCTTTAGACTGTTTGCCTTTGATGGTAGAGAGTTGAGAGGAGGACAGTAGTCCGGCAGAGCGCTGAAATCCTTGTCCTCTCGACTGGGTGCAGCAGTTCTTCTAGATGCAGGATCAGGAGTAACGCTGACACGCTTGATTACTGCGTGCCTTGGAATCTGAGCAGCAGGAGACATTGCGCGGATTGGTCGAGGTACGGATGCAGAAGCCTGCAACGGTCTGACGGAAGGTTTTGGTGGCTTGGAAATTCGCTGGACCTGGGTGCGGATTGACTGGGGCTTTGCTGGTAGTATTGGTTGTAGTCTATGATGGTGAAGACGAGAAGAACCAGCCCTTCTATCCGCGAGAAGTTGAGCACGCTCACGTTGAAGCCAGCTCTTGGGATTTTCCTGACACTTCTTCATGACCTCTGACTTGAAGTACAGCATTAATTCATATTCCTCTTGGCGCGGTGGCGTTGCTTCTCTGAATAGAGAAGCTTTCCTCGCCTCAACATGATCTTCTACAATTCGCTGCGTTTCGATTGAGTCATCCCGGGCGAACAATGGTTGTTGGGGTGGTGATAAATCGTGCGCAGGATACAGGATCGGATCGTTCATGGGAGTACTGTTTCTTGCCTCAATGGCTACTGAATGGTTAACCTTTGAGAGAGGACTGATCGGTGGCGAGAGCGGTGGGTTTGGTCCATGTACCCTTCTCATGTTTGAAGTGGCTTGATCCATTGTCCTAGGTACAACCGTTGGCCTCGCAAACGAATCCATTGGTGGCAGTTCAGGCGGTGACATGAGACTGCTGATATCGAAGGGCTTCTTTGAGCCCGCGGCAATATTCGGAGATGCCATGGTATTGGGTTTGGTGTTTGATCTGGGGAAGAATTCTGTCGAAGCAAAAGTAATCTTGTTCAACTGCTGTGTGAAGTCTTTGACAGGCAGCATGCGAGCAGGTTTGTCAGCCGTGTGAGTCTTATAAGTGGAGAGTCAACGGTCAGGTGGCGAACCAGGCAGAAACCAGAATGCGTGGGAGCAATTGGCTCAATTGACAAATCAACCCGGTCAATGCCTCGAATAGCAACGCCAAATAATATGTAGACAGATTTTAAGCGTAGTTTGTTGCAGTACAGGTCGTTGGCAATGTTGCTTGTACAGGCGTGTATGAGGCGAGGTCGCTATTGGAAGTTCGTCGAATAAGCAAGAAGACGGACTCGGAAATAGGCGTTAAAATTGGAAATCCGTTAGTCTCTCTGTGATGGCGGGCTTGATTCGATTGTCCAACTTTGCAAACCAGAGAAACAACGGGATAGGGAACAATCTGCTCTTAGGTATTCTTATAATCGCAACAACCAACAATCGTGAGGTGGGTTGCTTGGGTTGCCACTATTTGCGGGGGAAAGCCCAAAGATGGTAGGGAAGCGGTATAGGACTTTCTAAACCCACTACCCAGAAAGCATGCATAGATTAATAGCGGAAAGAGGCACACAAAATGGCGGCGAGTGCACTTGAGTCTTAAGAAAAGCCATAGACTGGAAGTGCGTAGAAACCAAGAACAGAATGGATTGAAGAAAGGGTAGAAAGTGGTGAACCCATTAATGGATGGCTCATTGAGAAATAGAGACAGACGAGAGAAGGCAGGCGAAGGCAGCCCCCAGAGGAATCCAAGCTGATCAAACCCAGACTGGCCGTTGAGTTGTGGGTGTACTTCATCGGGTGATGGACGTGGTGGTGTCGTCCGAAGAGTCACTTCCCATTTCCATGTACAACCAAGTAACCTGAAGTCAGTCATAAGGCAGGGCCGACGCGGCGGGCGGGCGCAGGGATCTGACACCACAACGCTGGCTTATTTTGGGATCGACCCTGCGTGAGAGGATTAGATTGATTCTGAAGTACTCAAAGTACCTCCATAGCTGAGATACTTCTGTAGCCATAGAGTGCAATTCTCTCCGCATGACTTGGCCGACCACCTAGGCACAACCAACGGCCGACACTTGTTCGAACGCTTAGTCTAGGCATACACCAAGTCTGGCGCGCAAGTTGGTTGCGTCAATGCCAACTGGAACGCATCGAGACCTACTTACTGCAAGCAACGGTTCACATTGCACAATTTTTTCCAAACGAATCGAGTCGCTCTGTCCAGACTTTCTAATCAATGTTTGTCAATCGCAGCATGCTGTGGAATAGAAACGAGAAAAGAGGGGTAGATAGAACGTGACCACTGGTCAAGATTGGTGGATGGGGGTGTGTCTCAAAGCAAAGGGCGTGTGATGCATCCTCGTGGATCAACTGTGTGGATTTGCATCCAGGATACGCTCAGGTCCACTGTATTAACGCCCAATAGGCATCGGGTTCATCACACCCATACTTTTGACGAGAGATCCAATCGTGAAGACGAATTGAGTGCTACCTGCGAACCTGAGTCCGCCCGGAGGCTTCATGAATTGGGTAGCAATGTCGAGTTGCGGGTGTGCATACTGTACATAGCACGTACTTGCGTCAGAGCCTAGTTCTTCCCCTCTTGATGTTTCCGTGTCAAAATGTGAGCGCCCACTCGGCCAAAGACAAGAACTAGGTATGCGCGCTGCATCGTAGCATGTTGATGTCGCGAATTGAGATGTGCCAGAAGAACAAAAACCGGGCCTGTGTCTCCAGCTGGGCGAGGCAGCAAGGGCAGGCGATACTCTTTTAATTGATGTGCTGAATCTGTGTCGTGTCGCAAGCTTTCTGGTGCCTCGTTTCATGCGGCTACAGAGTCGAGATAGAGTTGGCCTTGTGTTGCCCAATTGCTGAGACGCGGCATAGCGGGCAGCGCGGGTTCTACTGCATAGCTCTCGCGATCAAAGTCCAAAGTTTATCTGACATGTCATCATCCCGTCAGCTAGGACACGTTGCCAAGCTCCCAATGGGAAGGCAGACATAATGGAGGAGCTAGGAAGCAAAACGTGGGACATGAAGGAGGGCTATGGAGGCATTGAAGCCCGCACCTTCCAAAGGCAGACTGCTAAACAGGAGTGTATGAAGCTCAATGGCAACAATTCTACATGTTCCCTCATCCGTGTCATCGCTGACTCGGTGAACGAGTGACAAGACAAGACAATGCGAACAACGACAATGTACCGTGTAATAAAAATAAACGAAAATTGGGTTGTTTTGTTAATCCGCGAAGTATACATACTTTCTTGTATGTTGGTCCAGCTTCATCAATAGGCTTCCGAAGGCAGCAAAGAAGGACACGCAGTCAATGCCAGCGCGAGAATGAATTGGCCAATTGCTGAGGGGCATTCGCTAGCAATGTGGCTACTGCAGTTCAGTGTTTGGAGTCCCTGGCTGTGCTCGGTATCGTGGGGGCAAGGCAACGCTTTCTCAAATCGTTGTTGGCCCCAAAGGAGAGAGTGAGGTCTGTGACTCATAATGCGAAGGCAACTTTTGGGAGCCTGGCATTACTGTCGTGCACTGAAGAACGGTTTGGCATTCTAATGGGTCACGAATATTGCTTTCCTGGCTAAGCTCTATAGAGAGCTATTATGGCAGATACATGATGCTGACTGGCCAAATCAGCTCATCCATTGTCTATTGAGGATTAGTGTCCCCAACACCCTGTGTAGCTGACCCCTGTAGTGATCCAGGCCGTCAGTGAATCAAAGTACCGATTCACCTTGTAAAGGTATTGTACAACTCGGTACTTGAGCCTAGGGCGTCATCTGCCCATGCCCGCTTAATCGCGACAAGAGGCGTGATGTTATCACTCAGCACTAAACCCTGAAAGTATGCTCACAAATCCAACATGGTGGGTCAAGCCTTTGGAAGCCTCCAATCTAAGCAGAGCGCAGCTCACCGGCGATTTCCAACAATCACTACTCTATCGATAACGTATGCTGACGGTATTACTTATCGCCGCTTTCTAGATTGCATAGCCTCTATGGATAGTCAGTCAAGACGTAGGGCAGTAAATTCGGACTCGGACTTTGCGTGGACTTATGTCCTTGCTGCAAAGTGGTACAAAGGCGTCATAGATTTCACATTTCACACAATGAGTTGTTGGGTTGCGCAATTCCGCCCCGAGGCCGGATTCTGGTTTTGCCGTCCATCAGTACAACCTTTCAACTCCACAAGCCGACCTGCGCTGTCTAGCGGTAGACAGTGAATACAGTATATCTTGATACTGGGTGGCTGCGAGGCAGCCTAGTGGCACTGCAAGGCATTTGAGTATGGAAACAGGACAAAGATTGGTACTGTACATGGGTCAAATCATATTCCGTTCATGAGCCAAACCTTTGATGCCTTGCGGCGTATCAATAGGCTAAGCCAAGATACGCCTCAGCAATCACCAGCGTAAACCATAACGCAACATTTGTAGTATATCACATTGCCAGAGAGGAGAGGAAAGGCTACCATTACGACACTTAAACAATCACCTATCCTTAGGTCAAAACGTCAGTATCTGAAGAGGCTACGAGCATTGGATGTACATTGGCCTGGAGTCTGGAATGCCTGGTTATCAAGACAAATCAACTGACGTCCGCACACATAATGCTCGAGACTAGTTGTTATTCGACGAAGCTGAGGAGACTGCCGATCATTGACCGCTTCGGGCATTCAAAGTCTCTAAATGTTATTGGCTGTCGACTCTTGCTTTCTCCTTGTGCTCCGGAGCTTCTTGGACCCCTCACGTCTCTCCACCTTTGTGGCCAGCATACATTGTGTTCAACTACGGGCGGCATGTTCCTCTGATGCTCTCCTGTTTCACTAAAAGAGTTCATTTTCATTGCCCGAAGCGACCTGTCTCTTGAGCCAAGACTCCGTCAGCCTTCAGCCACACCTTTCCAGAGTAGATCATTCCTAGAATTACCTGCTGTTGACCACATGACCCTCCTGCCCGTGCATCATTGTAGTTCGGAGGGCTCCTATTAGAACACCGACATTGTGCGCGGGAATCAAAAATTATTGCTTATCGCTCTATCTTGTTTCTATTACAACATTACACATATTACCCTACTAACCTCACCCGAGCTAGCATGCTCACTTGACCATGCTATCGCTCAACAAAAGCCACATGAGAACGGTTGTTATCGCCTGTTCCCAATGAAGCTGCTTCAAGATGGTGTGTGAGCCCACTTTCACATGTTCCACCTGCCAGGTTTCGTGTTGGTTCTGTGGATTCTGCGCAAGATTCTCGAACCGCCCAGTTTGTCTCATTGCAGATGAACCCAAATGGAAGTCGTCTGTCTGGTATCGGTCTTTGGTTCTGTCGCTACCCCAGCTCATTCCACTATCATTATCACCCCTCATTTGTGCTCCATATAAGTCTAGAACGCGGAGCAAACGAGCCCCACAGTCACTGGTGCGACGACTCAATGCGTTGGTGTATTCAATCTTGAACTATCACAACATATTGGCTGATAATCACGTTGTACCTAATGGAAGGTTGGCCTCGGCTCTAGATATGGTCAAGTAGTGATCGAATTATACAGCTCACTTGCAAGTGCACAGGGGTAAGCATGACCTTTGGCAGTCATTCTTGAACGTCTGCTTGCTTGCTTGAGCGTCTGCCGGTATCAGGAAATCCTTGTAGGGCCGATCTCACCACGCAGGGCCGTCAGCCTGCAGCAAAACATCATTATGCCCCGGCCGCGCTCCATCCCAAGACTTTGACTCGATGCTCTCGGGTAGATGGCCCCACTCTTGTCAACGACCGCCAGATTCATCTTTTGTCTGTCTAGTGCCGCAGAGACTTGCTAAGAGTTCTAACCCTTGACAGCATATAGTCCATGTTGATGGCTTTGGCAGCGCTGACGTGCATGGACATGCGGCGAGCGTACCCATGTTTTAAAATGGTAATATGACGCCTACCTCCTCGAAACCATCCAACCACGGATATGCTTCACGTCGTTCCCCAATCAAGTACAATGGTAACCACACGAAGCGTGAGCCTCACTGCAGCTAACTGGCCGCATGTGTTCGGCTCTTGCCCTGTACAACCTCTCATTAGGCGAGATAGGCTTCTTCGGAGACGAACTTCGTGCTGCCCTTTTAGCCCTGTTCATCTCATCGGCTCAATGTAAGATCACTGCCCGGGATCATAATACTGGTAATCCAAATTGGGGTAAATGCATGGTTCGTCACCTATAACATCCCGAACTAGTCATCAACGCAACCGCAATCGAATGAGGCGTCTGCCATATCAAGATCCATGCTTTCGGTATGCTTTTCGCCGGCACAAGATTTCCTAGCTTCGACGAGGCTCCGAGTGCTAACTGGCGTGCCACTCGCTGACTGCTTGGAGTGAGACCGCTGTATGGTTACAAAAGGCACGAATGCTGCCTCTTCATGGACATGGGTATTTTGAGTTATCCAATTTTATTTCTATCATTTCTCACCCCAACTGGGTTGTTGATCCTGACCTCTCATTTCGTGTGGAGTCTTGGCTGCGGATTTAGTCGCTTTTGGGACTATTACTGCAAATAAGCAATTCATCATTCAAACAAATTACCCAGAATTCAGCCACAACAAAACGTCTCGACAGGCCTTCACCTCCATAGCTTAAACCCTTTTCAAGGCTTGCGCACTGAACTCAAACATGGCGGCCTATATGTGGGAGACCCAAATCTACCCAAGCGAAAAGTTCGTTGAATCTTGCGGAGCAATCTTGTTTGACCTGTCGGGAAGGTCTAAGAAAGTTTGCCTCCTCCACCTCATCAAGAAGGACCACTGGGTGTTACCTAAGGGCCGGCGCAACTGCAATGAGACGCGCCAGGATGCGGCAGTTCGAGAGGTCCGAGAAGAGAGCGGATTCGCATGCCGGCTGCGACCTGTAACGATGCCGACACGAGCTCCATCCGACATCGAAGCAGCGGATGTGAAGGATATGGCCAGAACGTATCACAACCTTACAGAGCCTTTCTTCTTGGAGGTCAGAGATCTGGAAGAAGACGGCGTGAAATTGGTTTGGTGGTTTATTGCCGAGCTCGACAGAAGTCAACTACCAGGCAAGGCCGAGATTCATTTTGTACCTGAATTCTTCGACTACGAAAAGGCAATGACAGTTCTCACTTTTCAAAAAGACCGCGATATGTTGCGGAGAGCTATCAATCTTGTAGAAACCGCGGGTTGGGTTGGCTTTCGGAAATGGGACTAAGCTGAAGGCGCGACAACAGCATCACCATAGAAGGAAAGGGAGCTCGTAGCTCACGCGTTTTAGGCATTTGCACTGGGTGGGTTGTTATCGAAGGGGGTGACATGACTGGAGATCATACCCGCAAACTCTTGCACTATTGCTTTCTCACTCGATACCAATTTGGATTTCTTTTGCAGTTTCAGGCGAACCATAATCTTACGCATAATTCCATCATCTTCGCTACCCGAACGCCGGACGGTGTGGAAGACCCCATTTTCATGCCCATGTTTGCCATGCTTTTTATGACTAGGCGATGTCACGGTCTGAACGTTCTCCGGGGCTAGCCGGATCGATCCTCGCAAGCCCTGAACCCCTGCTGCGTTGAGTTGCGATCTCGTGACTTACGATTCGCTGCCGACTCCTTGGTTGGTGAACCTATTCAACCTTTCCTAGAGAGCTCCTCGAAGAAAAGCCCTTGGATTGATACATTGTCCACTATTTGCCGCCTTCTCTCTTTCATTCGACAACTCGAGACATCACATGGTATCATTCATGTATGTATGACTTCGAAAGCAGAGACGTATAACTGTGGCATATGACTACCAATGCCAACTCCCTCATAAGCCTGTGGGTAATTCACTTCGTCTGGGGAATGTACGACGCACGTGGCCGAGTATGAGGCTGCAAGTGTTCCACGACATCGGCATTCATTGCTGTGGTATATACCTGTATGTGCACAAATTGCGTGGCTCGCGAAATACGTGGCGAGTGCACATTGGAAACCTGAGCATTCGCATGTCAGTATGTCATTGATTCTCGAACCAGATCATAGTTTTGATTGGTACGTTTGCTTCAAGTCTAGTCAGTCTCAAGGATTGCCTCGCGAAATCTTCAAATGAAGAGGCCTTGATGCAGCAAGCTACCGGGTTCAGACAGTCTTGATCCAATAACTTATCGTGGCAGGAGTTGCAAGTAAGCAATGCCCTTGGCTAATTCATTTTGATCGAGCCCAAGGCTAACCTCGGCCAGGAAGCAGCAGCAATTATTCATCTTTCGTTGTAAGTGAACAGATCCAGGGCCTAAAGGGATACGAAACGTGCGTTCCCAAAATGGCTACCTCTGTCGAACCCACCACGCCTCGAAGGCTGCACAAGACGAAAATCTTCTTTCGAAAATGAGCCAGGATGAAATGATCAGGCTGACTGACTGCCTGACCGAAATGAGGAGCACATTGTGATTGCTTGACAGCCACCAGTTAGGCCCTGGACTGAGGCAATCGAGCTTTAGCCAAGATGACACCAGCCATTACAATGACACGCGACTTAGTCTGGCACTGCCGACAAGATTCCTGGTATTCGCCTCTCAATATTTGGTACTGCATTTGTCTCATGCGTCCCAACAAGAGATCTACCTTCAACCTGTGTATTTCATTGCGCTTACCAACGTTTCAGTACCAGACCCAGCCAATCCGATCACATGTACTATCTGTCTATCGCCTTTACCTTGATCGTCCCCTTCATGGAGCTCAAGGCCTAGCATTTGATTCTAGTACAAATAGCACCCACCGTATGTATAACACGTGCAACTCTATAAACAGTCTCAGATCTTAGGCTATACGCTAAGGTGGTTATCGTGGCCAACCTTTCTACTAGACAAGCCGCTCCAGATTGTCATCTTGAAGGTGGATACAGACGAAAACTCTGTGCATGATTTACGTATACCGCGTTAAGCACCCTTCTTTCAACCAAGGCAGAGACACCATCTCTACCATCTCATCTTGATTAGTATAGTGGTCAGTATGCCAGCTTGTCATTCGATGTGACTAGTAACCGCTGGAGACCCGGGTTCAATTCCCGGATCGAGAGGATGATACGAGCTACTCAGCTCATACTTTTTGTGTTTTTGTCCATTAACACTTCATATGATCTTACATGAATGAGATGAGGTTAGTGTTGGGGTTGTGATGATAAGAACATGGCGCATACGGATCCGTACAGAAAGGAGGACTAGGAGATAAGCCCACCACTACTAGTCCTAGAGGGAGGCTTATCAATCTACGGAGCCTATGTTTGTTAGACTTCGAATCCAAATAATACGCATGTAATTGTTTATTTCGTTTTGAATCACGACTTGCTTAGCAATAACAGAAACAAAGCTCGATATTAATGATCGCATGATTTGCTCTTAGGGTGTCAGCAGTAACGATTGAAGACTGGCATATATCTCACCAGGACTATAATTTACCTTGATTGAAATTCCCATGAATTTAATCAACGAAAGAAGAAGTGTTTAGGGATCTCCATATTGGTGCATCGCTGTTGCTAAAGAGGAACCTATCTATCATGCATGTATCGTGTCGTGTCGTAGTAAAAACGCCTGTTGAAATCCTGTGAAATTCACAGCCCGTCGTTCTTCACTGGGTGTATCAATGCACCTCTCAGACACATCGTGCCTCCGTTTTCTGCCTCCCATTCTTGTCCGCCAATGCCGCCCTCGTTCGCACCAATCCACCGCCTCCAGAGTGAGCTACCGAACTGTGCTAAGAAATAGAATGTGCTGCCCAGGTGATTGAATTCACCAAAGCCGGGCGCTGCGTTATCAAAGAACGAAAAGACGCTCTCCTTCTCATTCGTGGGCCAGTTAAATACTCGATTCAGCCACTCGAGATTCCAGGCGCGGTCTAGATGCACTGGCAATGGAGGGTATACAGCCTTAAGACCGTAGTGCAGCGCAATGCTTGGCGGGAAGACTTCGGGGAACATGCTGTGTCGTTTGCTCCAAGTCTCCTCGTACATGATACCGAGCAGACGCTTGGACATGCGGGTGACGGCAACGACAGAGCAGCGTCTGGGCGGCAGTTCCAGTTTTGTGCTATATCCCGTGACGTCGGAGGCATGTAGCCACGTGGACTTGGCGACGTCGAAGATGGGGTTGAAGGTGATGAGATCCGCCGGTTCGCCGACGCCCCATTCATAGTTGTCCTTTTCATAGGTTGTAGGAGGGAAGACGCCCTCTGGATATGCAGCCAAACCTTATGCGTTTTCGAATTTCACTGGCCCCCAGACGGGTGGTTCAGACCCTCCGGCGGTCATATTACCGACAATGTCGACAAACTTGCTCCATGTGCCGTGCACGCTTGGTATGTAGAACTTACTGCTGCGCTCCCATAATCCTTTGCGTGGTTGCTTGTCCGACCATTTGGATATTGCATTCGCAAGCTCATAATAGTGTCCCGTGTATCGGACGTCCATCTCCCAGTTCCAGAAGAATTTGTACTCAGGATGCTCTTGGGAAAACCATTGCACCGGCCAGTGTCCTGACCGAAATACGCCAGTTATGGAACTGTGCCTGTGCTCCTGGAATGAGTCGACTCCATCAAATCCAGAAGTAGTGTAAAAGATTTTCAGCAGCTCTTCGGACCACAAAGTTGTTATGCCCCAAAATTCTCGAGGGTCAGTTTTTTTCCAATACTCGCTGATACTCGACTGACGAGCTCCATATTGGCAAGCTGAGGTTTTTGATCTCGACTAGAAGATGGACATCGTACTCGGCCCCAGACTTCAACGACAGCTCGTTGACCATCGCCCGGATGCTAAGCATCTGCGCATCCTTGTATTCATAACCTTGCCAGGCTCGCAAGACAAAAGCTTGCCTTGCAATTCGATTCGAGGCAGCCGCAGCCCCTGCCTGGGTTCCACCGAACCGTCGTGTGTTCTTCTCATGGCTTCTTGACCGGAATCTCACTCGCAGAATTGCTTTCATTCTTTGCATCTTCTAGTTCCCCCGTCCAATATCCCAAAAGTGAGATATGGTGTCCTTCTTTCGATTGTTCAAATGCGTGTCCCACGAATACCGATTTCCAGGGCCTTAGAATGTGGAGAAGAACGACTATAACGAGAAGAAACACCGCTATTCGCAACATCAGACGCGATGTCACACGCACGATCGCCTTCATTGTCGCTTGCTTCCCACGTCAACAAGCTGTCAATCACGAATGCGCGCGCACAAAATGTATGGTTGTTTATTACTCAAGCTTAATCATGAGCTTAAGATAACATGTGGAAGGAACAAATGACTGAACAACGAAAAGGACCAAAACTTCGCATGTTGGTAGATAAGCAACTACCGAAATAACAAGGTTACACTTGACAACGGATCAGTTGCTGAACCATCTCGGCTGTGACGCAAATCTCTTAAAATAACACACTCATACCACAACCTGGGCCGCTGGGGATAGACGCGGTATGCAGGCATGTTTGCTAGTACCATAATATGATTACTCCGAGTCAATCCTGCTTCAGCACCAGCCGTCCCAGATATTGTAACAGAACAGTATAGAACAGTGGAAGTGCTCCAGTCTCCAGAAGCAATTTCAACACGTCATCTTATTTGCCATTTTTTTTTTAAAGGCAAGCCCAGACCATTTTGTTGTGAAAGCATGACCCTCACGCAAGTCGATAGTTTCTTCACTTAGATGTACTGGTTTAGCCGAGAAATTAGGTTTAATGGAATAAGGATTCGTTCCACATTGAGGGCAGTGTCATGGTGTCAACTGTACTTACGTGTGTGGGTGGTTACGTAGCCGCTCACAGTGAAGTACAGCCAGGATTATACGGAATCCGGACCCTGCAGGTCTGCGATTTCGCCAATTTGGTCTATCCAACAGAAAGAGCGCAGGTGGAGAAATGACAAGCGCTCTCGCGTTGACGTCGACCACTCGAAGCTTGGCTGTTAAGCACTGGGCAAGCCAAGGTTCAACCATGCCTTAAAATATGGGTATTGCTTTTAAGGATCTGAAAATGACCGGTTGAATATACGATTGGGTCAAGTTCGAAATGGGTGTGGTATTCTCTGGTCTCGGCGGTGGTTCCAAGGCTTCTCTGAACTATTTGACGAATTGTGGGAGGGATTGAGCTGCCGCCGATAGTGCAAGTGTTCTTTTCAGTTGCTACTATCCACCTTCAATGGAAAGGATCGGACATATTCAGCTTGATGAAACTTGCATCATCATCGCGCTGACACAAGAATTTGGTCTACCCGATGATTGCGGCTAGCAGTGACTGGCAAGCAGCATGGAAGATACCTTGACTAACAAGTGCGATGATCAAAGCAGAGCGCCGTGTGAGAGTGCAAGAGGCCGCTTATAAAGCACGAGTAAGATACGATTGTCGTTGTTTCGCGTGCCTTCCGAGCGATGTGGCTGATTCATGCCATGTTCTCCGCCCGTCCCAAAATGTAATCGTCATGAGTATTAATTATGTATTGCCGGTATTTGTGACGCTGGTCAATTATGCTGCTTGTTGCGCATACCGAGCCTCGTTACTTAAAGCATTCGCGACAATCAAGTGCTTGTTATAGATAGCCCGTGCTTTCGCTTTTCATGAGTGTGATAGTGCTTTGTCCTGCTAATCGGACAGCGCCGTGCCCCTTATTCCAACATGCCCGTTTAGTACTCGTCTTGACACCCAACAAAATCGTACAATCATATCCGCAGGTTGCATGCTGTAGGAAGAGAGGGACACAGTGTGCATCCAGCAAGGCCTCGATGTTGCCTCTGGTTCAACCACTGGTGCTGAAGTAGTAGTTCTCCCACAAGTACTCGTAGTCTTCGAGTATGCTTCCTACGAAGTTAGGCATTCGCCGTTTGAAGCCACCTACTACAACCTTGGTGAGGTTTTCGTAAGCGGGGCCTCTCATCGCCCACCAACCCATGGCCCACACTCGCTTACTCCATTCATCACGCTCCAGTGCTGTCGCTCTGAAACTCTTATCGCGGATCTGTCTTGCGGCATACTCAATGCTCAACCCTACGAGCCATGGCGTCCATGACTTTTTGTTTTCGCTTCTTGCAAGAGCTATGGCGTATACGAGGGGCGCAAGGATATGTAGTATTTCGGCAGCTTGCGCGGAACCGTGTAGAGAATTCAAAAGTTTCGTTGCCGGTTTGATATCGTCCGCTGTCAGGACCTTGCTAAGCAGGTATGAACTTATGTCGCCTGGATTCGGCAAGCTTGGTAGATTGCTGCCTGTGCGCGGCATAGACCACTCCTTTTCATGTGCTGGTTTTGCGTTGCCATTCAGTGCAAGGAAGCTTTCTTCGGTTTCTTCTCCCATCAACTCTTTGAGGGCGTCCTCGTTGCTCTGACCGTCCTCCTGCTCGGGTATGGGTTCTCGTTCGGGGAGAACAGGTGTGACTAGTGGCCTCGAATTCGTGATTCGCAGAAGCAACAGTTTGCATACAGCCTTCATGACTTCGATCAGTATGACCACACGCCATCGCACCTTCTCGCCGCGCCGTTTTGCTGCCATCTCCCACAATAACTCTGTGTACTGCACTACCTGCAAGAGGAGTGCTACTCTACGGTAAATGCGACTTTTGGCGGTCCAGAAGCGGGTGTATCTTGCATGAGGACTAGGAATCCTGGAAGCTAGGCCCGGGATATGGGCAAGCGCTTTCAGCAAGACAGCATCGTGGTATAGCGATAGGAGCTGGACGCCTGAATGTATCGACTCGGAGGCTATTTCGGCATCGCGGAAGCGTCCAGGTATAATGTACGTCAGTGAGCGCAGTGCGCTCTCGATCTGCGAAACTGATTGCGCGTTCTTGGTGATGAAATCGCTGTACATATGGAGCCATCTTGGTGGTAGGGACAGCACTTGGCTGACGGGGTTGTTGTTCTTGTTCTTGTTCTTGTGAGATTGACCGTTTGGGCGGGAATTGCTCTCGAGAGGGTCTGCAGACGCTGCCATGGTGTTTTTATTGCAATCGCATGTCCAGAGATGCAACAAAGGGCAAGACACAATCGCGGCGAGAGGCTTGAAGATTGCGCTGCTGTATTGTGGATAGTGTTCCGTGAACCGATGCGTGTTGCAATCTGGCGTATGCAATTCAGCGCCATCACGAATGGTCGCATTTCCACAAAGCTGGGTGACTGCCTCGGCTGGGGGAGCTAGGACCACATGCTGCCGGGATCCTCCTCTGGCTCGGCTGCGGTATTGCTTTTATGACTCGTGAGATAATCCGTACTATGCAGGACAGTGCTCACTTATACTTACATGGCGAGGAGATTGAACTTGGCTCATCTCCCCTGCCCATCAGATCACGACAAGCAATGAAGCCCTGTGGACCTCTCTTTCCTCTCGTCGCCTAGTTGCGCTACTCAGGCCTAGGTTAGTTGCTTGCAAGATAGTCGTAACCGTAACTATTGTCATCCGGCATTTAGTCACAGCAGTCTAGCCCCAGCTTCCCCAGTGTGAGATCCAATAGCACATGTGGACCCTTGTATAAACAGGCCCACAGCTTCGCGATCATAAGTTTTAATTAGGCTCGCTGGAAGCTCTTTCGGCACTCGAATCAGCACACTCATCTGACACGGTATTTAGCCGCCACATGAGAGTGATCTATCTTATCTCACCACCACCACTACTTCAATGGACGCTATCATGGAGCATTCGATGATTCATGCTTCGGCGTTATGGTTCAAACGTGCCAGCTGAGTACCCTCCGCGAATATGTAGTTATTGCTATTGCCCAGGCTTGGAACCCTTTCAATCATGCGGTCGGATATGCGCGTTCATGATAGGCAACAAAGCTGGCGTGTCACAAGCCTGATGAAGGGTCTCGGGATGTATCTGCGCCGTGGGGCAGTTCACTTAGCATCTTTGTTCCTGACGGCGGTGCTTGGGTTATTGTCACGGGCGTATTGACGTCTTATATAGTGTAAATAATGTTCGGCTTAGCTCTAGGGAGCCTTGCAAGCCACATCCCCAGTGTTGTTCAGAAGCCCCAACCAGATAATTAAGAACTATCAGGTTTTCCGAGCGTTTCGCGGCCGTTTTAAGTCGCGCAATAAGGTGCAAGACTTGTTCTTTTCTATGTTCCTCGATAAGGGGTAGAAGGTTTCCCCCTTCGTTATGCTATAGAGAAGACTAACTTATGACCTCATATAGCACTCGGATTCGTAAAATATAGTATATATATTTTTATTAGCAATACCAGTAAAATGTCGATTTACTGCTTGGTTATGTATACCAAATCGTGATCATGTGTTACTAATATATTTAATAATTTCAGAGTTTTCAAGCACATACGACCATAGCTCTTAGGAAACTCGGCATCCCGTCCGCTCTGCCCTAGATAAACTGGGAAGCGCTGGATTAGTACTCAGGTGGGTGACCACTGGGGAATCCCCGGTGTTGTATGTTTTTGTCTCTTTTGTATTTCGTATTATTTTTTCTTTTCCTGAGGCTTCGTGTAATTCTACGTTGCTACAACACCAAATCATCACATACGACCATAGCTCCTAGAAAACTCGGCATCCCGTCCGCTCTGCCCTAGATAAACTGGGAAGCGCTGGATTAGTACTCAGGTGGGTGACCACTGGGGAATCCCCGGTGTTGTATGTTTTTGCCCTTTTGTGTGATTCTGTCTTCACTAGGATCCAAATACATCATATAATCTGGGCGAGTTTGAAGTCGACCACTTAGACCAAAATAGCCTAAATACCATTAGCTATGTCTTTCATAGATATTGGGAACACATCCTGACATTCTTGCTTAAATAGAGCCGGCCCTAGAATTAGTTGCTCTGGCACGCTATAGCCACAATAACTAGGGGAGCTGCTTTTGGGCATTCTCATGGCCGTCTGCTTTGTCCCATATAAGAGCTGAACTAGTGATGGCTAATGTAGTACGAAGGACGCAAGAAGTGAAGCTCATGACTCTATGCCAGCAAAGTGCAATGTAGACACATCCCCATGGTCGTCGCGTGAAGCATACTACTTAGTGAATCTTAAGCACTGGAGGTGCCATTCAATCGTCATACGGGGATACCACAGCAATAGCGTCATCTTATTGTGATGGGCATACCGAACACTATCACTTGCCTTGACATGTGCTACGGGCGCGTATACTTTGTAAAAATTTACTCGAACGTGTTTCGGCACAAGATGTCCCAGAGAGAGTATGCTAGGAATCTACAACTCATAGACCAGATCTGAGTACTGGATGATTGGATACAAGCGTGTTGGAACACAGTACCACCTATCAGCTTTACTAAAATCTGACCACAGTAACGAAGCTAGATACACCGGAGGTCAAGTTTGGAAAGTAGGGGAAATTTTGGACACTTCAATTTTCATGTAGGAGGGATGACTCGAGAGTGACTTAAGCGCATGCCTTGAAAACTAGCGCGTCGAGAACTCTCTGCTCCTTTGCTGTAGAACACAAGAGAAGAAAGTTCCACCGTCTAGTCCAAGAGCATGACGTACAATCGAACCAACGGGATACATCTTTCTGTAATTCACACTATGGAAGCCCCCAAGGTCCCGTTGCGACGCCAGACGTGTCATTGTAGCGGAACAATGGTCACTCCATAGCGAGATACCCAGCGATGGTTCTCGTCAACGTGGCTAGCCGTCGTCGCAATCCAATGCGGCAAAGGTTGCCACTGATAGTATAAATTCCATGTGGCAGGTGCCGCGCGTTGACTATTAATCGGTAAACCATTGTAAGGTGTGGTTCTTTGACTGGGCGAGAACCACATTAATCATGCGAGTATTGGCGAGTTTCTCAAGTATCGATCGAGTCTTGACGCTATCAGGAATGGGAAGTATCTTGGGTAGTTTTCCTTTGGGCCGGCTTCATCATATCTCAGGATCGAGCAAGGTCGAAGAGCTTGGAATACTTTAAATGCGGACCGAATAACCCACCTGGAACACAACCTTGAGCACTCATCTGACCTTGTCCCACGGGTCAAATATGCAGAGCGGCGAAAGAGCGTGGTTTGATTTCTTTTGTGATCGGCGCCCGTACTTGTCTGCATGTTGACGATTGAAACCCAGGACTTTCTCTTTTGCTAGTGCTTCTATACGTATGCGGTTTTTGAGAAATCAGTGTGCTTCAAAAGGAATTCTCTTTGACAGCGTCTTGTCACTTATATAATGAAGCGTTTCTACTACGGAATATCGTCCCGTACCAAAGACCGGCATCACAAAAAGTGCCGAAGGCGATGTTCTTGAGCCGCCTAGAGATACGTACTAATCTTGCAGACCTCCCATTGGTAGCCCCCACGGGGTAAAGGTTAATAGGGGGCAGGGGTACTTGACGATCGACGTGCTTCCAGTCCTTCTGCGGCGCTTGGCACACCGTCAATGGAGTTCTTATTGCCGTCAGGTTATATTCCATACCGCTGTCCGTTGACTCAGCTGAATGTAACCTCTCGATGCGAGGCTAAAGTCTTCGGTTAAAACTGTCAACAATCATAAAAGGACGACATTCCCAGTATCCGGCCAATCAGAGCACGGCTGGATCGCAACACACAGCTAGACGATTGGTCGAGAAATCTCAGCTTGTAATCCTTGTCTGACATTCATATTATACCCAAATGACAGGACTTGTGGGGACACTGCTCGACTTCGGCAGTTATACTTACCAACGGTGGCGATGTTCAGACTCATTGTGCCAAGGTCACGCGACTTGGCTCGCCATACATATGTGTTTGCCGGGCAGCACTTTTTCTTTTCTGCACTGCGCATACCTGAACCATCGACTTACTTGAGAATCATTGTCAAATTTGATCGAATCAAAGTTGTCACTCGTCAAGATGTACTGGACCACACTTGCAGCTTCCGCGCTGTTGGCGCAGAACGTCGCAGCTCAGCAGATGCTTCGGTTCGCATGCTCTCAGCTCGTTGTCGAGCGAACCGACCCTCTCGTTAACCCTGGAATGACCTACACACCGCATTTGCACCAGATAGTCGGCGGAAACTCGTTCAATGTTACCATGGACCCTTCAACTCACGATCTGGCAGCCCAGTCGACATGTACCTCTTGTACGTTCAAAGAGGATTTGTCCAACTACTGGACCGCCGTCATGTTCTTCCACCACAAGAACGGCAGCTATATCCGTGTGCCACAGGTCGGCAACGGTGGCCCTCAGGGACATCTTATTCAAGATGGTGGCCTCGATGTCTACTATATCCCAAGTGGAAAAACCACAGCTTTCAAGAAGGTAGACAACCCGTGCGTGTAGAGCTTAGGAGCTTGTACTTACAGATTACAGGGATTCCGTATGCTTGCCGGTTCAGCAACAAACACAGATACTAGCAAGGTCAGCAAGGGCAACATCTGTCACCGCTGCTGGACTTCTACGAACGATAACACATTCGTTGGTGGTGCACCTTGCAGTGGAAGTGACACCGTCGATATCCCTTCTGACTCGAGCTGTAAAATGATTCGACAGACTATCATTTTCCCTACGTAAGTTTCCAGAGGACCTCCCTGCGAGGAGACATTGATATTAACCTTTCATAGCTGCTGGGATGGCAAGAACCTCGACAGTCCTGACCACCAGAGCCACGTCTCATACGGCGGCGCAACAGGTGCTGCTGGTGGTTCTAACTCCTGCCCTTCCACCCACCCAGTCAAGCTTCCACAGATCATGTACGAATTAATGTGGAACGTCAGCTCTTTCTCAGACAAAAGCACGTGGCCTACTGATGGAAGCAAGCCGTTTGTCTACAGCATGAACCTGGGGTGAGACTTCTCAAGATGACCTTCTTGTGTGCGAGATGTTGACTTTTTGCGTGACACAGTGGATCCGCCGCTCACGGAGACTACGTCTTCGGCTGGAAAGACGACACGTTGCAGAAGGCCATGGATAATGGCTGCCCCCTCAACACTGACTGCGCCAAGGCTGGCACACACGCCCAGACTGCCGCTCAGTACAATGCCTGCAAGGTCAATCAGCAGGCACCGGAAGCTGTCGATGGATGTAAGCAGATATTTGCCGCTTCAAACTATTTTGCCTCGTATCATTAGCTGACCACGAACGTGAACAGGGCTCAAGGCAATGCCAATGGGCGAGATGTCGGTTAAAGCATAATTCTGAATACGACGTGTAGTCCGATGAGTACCGTATTGCAAGAAAGTCTGACTGCAAAGCCGGGAGATAATTTTCCCGGGAAGAGGTGGACTTGGGGTTTTTTCCTATAGAGCCTGGATCATAGGAGATGCACAGAAATTCGATGAAGTAGCACTGCGTGATTGCATCATTCATTTTTCGTGACTCGCCACCTCTATCCAAGCGTGAACAAGTCTTAGCGGATTCGGCTCTAGCTTCATATCCATTCTCTATATCTCATGGTGCAGCACTTTGGTGGTGAGGAGTGCAATTTGCTTTTGCTGTATGCGATCACACGATATATGTTAGTTTGAGCCGGGTGAGGAAGCAATGATCTAAGGTTAAAGAAAGCTGGCTGTGATGCTAAATGAAAAACTCCAAAATTTCCGTTCGGTTGAGGAAGATAACGCTGAAGATGGTGCCATTCTATCGAAAAGGACTTGAGCACAAATGCAATCTTCGTTAGAATGACCACCGCCACCATCACCAGAAATTCTCATTGGATTTGAGACCATGTTTATTTGATATCTACTCACACCCTGTAACAAATCCACTCTAACTTCCACGTTCTCATTCTTAAACTCGGCATCAGCTTATCGAAGAACGACTTAAATCATTCAGCTGTTCTTGGCAACAAGGGCAGCAAAGTTTACGTTTTGCGCCGCGGCGAAATCGTGACTCCAGTAGTTAGTCACGTCATGGACAGGGAAACTAGAAGAGCCCGATGATGGGTTCGAAGGCTTGCTTTTGGAATATGCAAAAGCCAGGCGATTGGACCCCGTGGGACTGAGGACCTTGGCTCCGCTTGCGCCTGTGTAGGAGGTGCACCCGGTGCATTTTGCGGTGACCTGCCAGTGCGTACCATTGGTGTGTGTGCCAATCTTGAGGACTTGTAGCGTCGCACCACTATAAACCGCTGGGGTTGAGTGGCCACTTCACCGTGCGTCAGTAAAGTCTTGCGAAAGTATCCCGTGAGAACTCACGTGGCCCATCGAGGTGTGATAATAGCGCTGTTGCCGTTTGCCCAACCAATTGTCAGTGGGTTTTGGACCATGCTACCGCCCCAGGCGAGTCCAGTCCATCCGACCTCGACAGGTGCTGCAAGCTGGACGACGGCGTCATATGGAGCGTTGGGAGTCGCATTACTCGGGATGGCGACACGAATGGTCAGCGTCTTGCCAATGGCGTATGAAGCTGCGTACGAGGAGAAAGTAAAACCCGTCTCGGGATCTGTGGTGACTACAGAGTCGGCAGCGAGTGCGCCTGGTACGTTAAGTTATTTAGCACGCTGACAAAGCGGATTGTAGATCAAACCTACCAAGTGGTGCAATAGCCGCCAGGACGGCAGCTCCGATATTGCAGCGCATCGTGAGTCGAAATGATGAGCGGTAACCTCGTAGGGGTTGCAATTGTCCAGTCGAGAGCCCAGCTGCGATATTCAGTAACTGATTAACCAGTGTCGTGAACAGGAAACTGAGTGAGACTTATACTCCTCCGGTCCCCTTCATGGAAACCTTCTTGGCCAGGCCGGCGAACCGAGAAAGTTGATTCCAGGCCCAATCGAGTTATACAGTGACGCAGAGAGCACGTTCTAGATGAAGTTCCGCATTACAATTCGGGTAACGATACTACCACAGGTGCATTTGGAGATCTCATGCGAGCCTCGGCCATGTGCTGGGCTATTTAGCCGCAATCACTGCCGGGAATGTCATAGGGAGGGTATATTGTAACACTATAATAGAGCTATTAATAGTTATTTGGAATCCATAATGCGTGGCTATTGACGGATCCTTCATACTCAATCGAAGGGTACTCCAATGACGGTAAGGGTATTGAATCAAAGTGAAAGCAAGCCGACCAGGTCGCAGAGCAGTCCATTATAACCTGCATTCTGTATGTGACATGCTCTATTTTCCTGGAATCAGTCAACGACAATGATCCTTTGATCGCCAAATTAGCTACATGCACGCGAGTATCGAATTTTGTAACCAAACAGTGGTAATAAGCGCCAAGGGCCCAAAACCCAGAGCAGGATTCAAACAGTCATTTCACTCATTTGATGCCAATATACGATCTGCGAATTCCTATACGAACATGAAACCTTTTTTTGAGATGTTCTATTAACAGATACGCGATAGTGATCGTGACAAAGCAATTAGGAACTCAATCAAGTCTAGGGGGTGGATTAAGACGTATATTTCAACATGTTCTATTTAGCTGTAGAGCATCTCCTATTTGCACACCATCTCAATAGATCATATTGACATCAACAAAATTCAAGTAAACTTACAGATCTTTGCTTCTCCTTTTATATACACAATGTTGTACTTACCACATCTCTGGGGACCCCGAAAAGTGCCCAGATGTAGACCCACCCGTTCTCATTTTCTTTTCGACAAACCCTTGATACTTCATCAGTTATCATTACATAAAGTTGCTGTCCCCGTTGAAGCTTCGGTCTCCTTAACAACACCTAAAAGCCCCGCGATAGGAATTACGCACCTACACGCGAGACCGATCGAGATTCGAGAAGGAATGTCCCCTCTAATTCCAGCAGTTCCGCACTTTACAAGTTCCCCTGTCGACACCAACTAAAATGAATCAAGCACCACTGCATCGGGCAAAACAACTATACTGCTTAATAGCTCCAAGGCACAGCTAGGCTCAGAAGTCAAATTCTACTTCAGATGACGGTCCCTACTAGAGCTTTGGATGGCCACACTGGTGACCTACGTTACTCTAGAGGTTCCGAGCCCTCAGATGTCATCGAGATAAATACCCTGGGCCAAGGCCCAATACTTAAGACAGAACTCTAGGTACTGTACTGCGAGTTATTAACTTATAGTCAGTGACTGCCTCAGTTGTAAACAGCAGAGTGAGGATATCTGGTAAAACCCGTACGAGGATAATCCAAGCATTACCACATTTAAATGCTGAGAAAGTCCAGTGAATGTACTTTAGAGCGTGGTCTCTAGAAATATGAACCGTGAGACTGGATGTATGATTGCATGTATGTTGATGGATCCAGAAGCAAGCAACATCGTACAATCTCATACTTGCTTGAGCCTGCAAATGTATTGTCGGTGATTCTCCGTTGTGTAAAAAGAGCCCAACTCCCTAATTCAAGTTCAGCTCATGTCATATGCCTTGCATTTAGCCAATAACAGCGAAAGTTAATGTACTCAGTAAGCAGTGCGATCAGCCTACCATGGCCTGATATTTTGATTGACGAATATACTTATTGTTAATGCCTCCATTGGAAGAGAGCAGATAGTGCTTAATTTTGAATTGATCCACAATATTTAGGCCTTGAGGACGGTGGCTCCATATCCATGAATTGTTGCTATGGTCCAGCAATCCCATCCACGGGCACTCTAACCTCCTGCGTATCATCAGAAGTAACTGAGCGAACCGGGATCTGTTGACCTGCAAGTTGGGATAAGTCGCAATAGTGATGCTGCTATGACCATAAGTGGAACTGTTGGAACAATGTTAGGCGACAAATACTGTAGCTACTGTACAACAGCTTGGCGAACGAAGGTGCTGCTGCGATAAGCTTCCAGCGTGCTCGCACATTCAATCAAAAGCAGCACCCAATGCTTAGTAGTAATTACCATTGATATGCGCAAACAAGACAAGTTTCATGCCTTAAACCTGCGTATCCTTCAGTGTGATGAATCGCAGGCCGCAAAAATTCCATCGTGAGTCAGGAATCCGTGCGTCTGTCTCTCGTGGCAAACCCTCACTATAATACACCTCCATGTGATTTTTTTCAGCGACTAATCCCCCACGAAAACCCACAGAGCTCAGTAACATGTCGATAATGAAGGTCAGGGATGCCGTAGAGCTCCGAGACCTCGACGGTATTGCCCCCAGGACCCAGAATGGAGTTACTATCGTATACCAGAACCCACAGTCTCCTGTACGAATCACTGGCTTCGCCGTACCAAATACCCTGGCAGAACGAACCAGGGCTCAGTTTCGCCAACATCGAAGAATCTGGATGGCTTGCGGTATGGTTGTCTTGGTTGTTGTCACTATTGCTGGAATCTTGGGAGGGCTCTTCGGCAGCAGCCTCATGAAAGACCATGGAGGCAGCGATACGACACTGTCACCCATGTCGTCACATTCAATCTTCGTGGCCATAACCAGTGCGCCTTCGTCTCAATTTACCACCAGCACCAGCACCATCGCACCGCTTTTGTGGACGACCGCGCCCGTGGCGACCACCACCGTTTCCCCCGCAGCCGCAGTAAGTGCACTAGTATCAGAAGAACTAAGAAAAATACTGACACATCAAGTAGACACCCTCAACCTTCAATACCTGTTCCTTGAATAACTTCCACAGGAATGCAAGCTTTGTGGGAGTCTATGACCCATTAATTACCACAGACCAGTTTACATTGATTCCGGCAACGGGCCCAGGCGAATGTTGCCAGAACTGCCACAGGAGAACAAGAACGGCAACAAGCTGCAATGGTTGGGCCTGGTTGGAGGACCTGTGCTGGATTGTGTATGGTTATCCCGGGATGTCTCCCAACGAGACATGCCCGAAGGGTTACCCGATGATAACCATTGAAACCGGCGGGCCAGAGAAGAACTTGGCGGGCTTGGGTCCTTGCGGTCGAGATTAAGATGGAGTACAAAGAATTGCGTCTTCGTTTTCTGGCAGATACGATGTTCTGATAGTCTGATAAGCTGCCCATAATGTCTTCTACATCTCAAGACCATAGAAGATGAACGAGAGCATGAAATAACTGACCTAAATGCTGAAGAAGATACCTGAAACAACCATCGAAGGCTACTATATATATGATTTTCTTGCTCGGGCAGTTTCAACTGTACCAGCCAGAAAAAGATGTGAACATGCGCGCATGCAACACGAGCGGAGTGTCTCAATAGTTGAGACTAGAGCGAGGCGTTGTACCTAAAAACCCGAACAAGATATTTTTTGCTCTGTCTGAATAAGAAGATTTGAAATAGTCTAATAACTCAGAATTTGACTTCAGATTTCGTATGCCATCCGGAAGTTGGCTGAAAGAGGTGATTATGCTTGATCTGCTGAATACTGCTATGCTAGCATTGTCTTTAAAACGCAGACATCTGGCCGCAGGCACAGGTATGTATAAGCAAAACATATGTTATCGTTGAATTTTATCCGTGGACATAATTACTGCCACTGATGGGTTTGTTGCAGTGTTATACTTGAAACAGCTACTCTTTCACCCATCGATTGGTATACTGCCATAACGCTAGCTACCAATGATGATGTAGCGCAGATGTCAGTTGCGTTGCTGATATTGTTGCCATTGGATGATCTTCGCTAGATGAGATCGTCATAAGGTGATGGAAATGGTTGTAAGAGGTTAATAAATATTACAAGTTTAGCGTGTGAGAAGGGTAAATCAATAGATTGCACTGTGCGGTTTGTGAGGCGGGCATATCATTTGAGTCCGGCTACTCTACGGCTAAAGTCCGTGCAAATCTGCAAACCGAAGCTCAGGAACGCATCCTCCAAGATCACTGTCAAGTTGGAAGTTGTGGACAATTATTAGTGAGATTATGGTATTGCATGAGGGATCACACTGAGAATCTTGCCAAGTGTGGTGGTTGATCAAGATGATCCCTGATATAACTACATACTCTATTTGAGCGTATCAAGAATTTTAAAGACGTTGACACCCGTGAATCTTGCCATCGCTTCATTATTCTGCAGCATTCCGAGAGGCTTGAGGTTAAGAACCTTCAGAATCACGTGTTGTAATTCCATTGACACTGCCGAACAGGCTTTCCAAGTCAGTAGATTTTCTTGAGAGCCTCCGACACATGCCCATTCTCAGCGCGGCACTTCTTGATCCCCAACAGCATTTAGCCGCACCAGCCTGTGCAAGTCGTATGGTACATATGACCAACATAATGCGCCTGGAGCACTGGTCTCCATGCATCGAAATGTACACCTGACATGCATTTCCCAGTCAAGTTAACCCCAGATATTCGGTCCAACTACCGGGCATATGGTAAATTCTTCAGAAACAATCAACCATCACGGTCCCGACTCCCGGGCCATCAAGTATAGGCGGAACCAAGCTTGTGTTGATCACGACTAACTGGCGCCCACAAATCTTCCCACTTGTGCATGCTCGGTTTACCATACCACAGCAGTATATCGCGGTTTCGCTGACATGCTCAAAGCGACTGCTGCAGTGTTTTTTTTAAGAAAATGCAGCAATGTGCGGAACAATGCCAAGAGCACCACTGGGTCACTTACAATCCGCCCTCAATTGCCATACTGGTGATTGTTGCCTGGATGGCTTAAGAACCAAAGCTTCCTTGATCAATGCAATGTCCTAACAAAAAGATATAATCTGAGAAGCCGTCTACATCGTATAACTCCACTCGTAGATATGTCTCTATTGGTTGTATTTTCCCAACAACTGTTGTTCGGCTTTGTTGCTGTTGCAGTTTCTCGTATAGCTAGCCTGGTATAAGAACCCATCAAGGGTTCTCTTCTTCTTGGCAGCGTCTGCTTTGATAATGGACATCGCTTAATATATTGACTTCGACAACTGATTTCCACTCTTTCGTTATAGTTGATCTCTTTCAGTGAATTGGGCAACGCAACAATACGTTGTTTGCCTTACCTCTGTCAGTGACGGCACATGTTGTGTCTGCCATGATACTGTTACCAGCCAAATCATTGGAGGAGAGGAGCACCTGGGCCACCAAGCTTTCCCACCTGTAGCTGGAGGACAAACCAATCAGCGCCAACAGTCCAACTGTAACCTTATCATGACGGCCACCAAGACCCAGATGACTTCGACGGCATCCCTGTGCCTATCTCCGTCACGATCGCTGGTAGCCGAATCATTGCTACCTTATGGAAGTAGTGAGCACATCAACAACGTCCTGTATGGTCCGGATGTACCCCATGAGCAATTTTGATCCACGAGATGGGTCTTCGGCAACGTGTTGAACAGCAACAACTGGGGCACAGCTATCGTCCTCAGCACCAGCATGTGGAGCAGGATTCCCAGCGCTCTACAGCTTGGCAAGCAGTTGACTAGACATGAGCTGCTCACTCTCCACCAGACAAAAACACATCAATTACACCCTAAATTGTGCCCAGATCGAGGCTGTTGGTTCGGGGTAACCAGGCTAGGGCAACCTCCTGGACTCCTCCTAGCGGCATAGTTTAGATCAGAGCAAAAGGCCATTGTTCTGTCACCATACACACCAAGCTGTTGCTGCGACAGCTGTGTATTGTATGGTGGTGTACATTTAGATCAGGACGAAGGAACACTCGCAAAGGCATACCGCGCGTCAAAACTGATGCAGAACCAACGGAGCTTTGCGGCTTAGGCTACCAAAGCTGTGTGGTTGGCATGCAAGAGAGATGTTCCGCAAGCATACTCGTGTCAATTCCAGGCCTACTACGATTAGGTGTGCGACGGATTGATGGAAGCATCCTGCTTCGTGTGGCGATGTCAAATCTTTCAACGGGGAAGCGACGGTGGATAGACCTCCATAAGTGTGCACAAGCGTTCACGTCTTGCTTAGCATTGGGCAACTTCAAAGTGACAAAACGAAATCGAGAGCTGTACACTGAATGCTTGGTGGTAATGCTAGACTAGCTGGCTCTCGGATAATGGACGGTAGTACCGTATAGGATACACTTGGAAGAGTATAAGTTGCGAAGTTGCGCCTCACTTGGGTCGTAGCGTCGTTTTCGCGACTTGTGGCTGTCGGATTCGTATTCGTGTTCCTCTGCTCCCGACTAGTCCGACTTTCCATTGAGGGAAAGCGCCGTTGACACCGCCTTCAGTATTGAGCAAGCTAAGTTAATGGCTACCGTGCAGCAATTGGCCAATGGCTTGTGGGGAGCTTCTAGCCCAAGTCCTGGTCTCATTGCGGATTACAGTCAGGGTCGCAGCAAAGGAAATTCGGGTTGGGAAGTCTGGGTGAAATCTGCATGTGCCTGGGCGACGGCAACATTAGACCCACAATTTAATTTCCCATAGTCCCTTTTCCTCGACTTGTACTCCTTGGGCACGATCGGGACCCCTTTGTGAGACTTCTCCCTCTTTTTGTACTGTAGTGTCCCGAATACGACATCTGATCGCTTTCTTCGTCGTCCTTTCCTCGACCTCGCTTGCCAATCCTCACCAAGTCTCTACATAAAACCGCTTGTGTCGCCACTCCTGCTTCTTGCTGTTGAGTTGCTTCCGTACTTGTTTCGTAGTGACTGTTCTTATTGCCCCACCGCCTTCAGCCCCCTTAAATCATTCAACATGGCCAGCAACGCCAGAAAGGTCGAGCTCGAGAAGCAGGACAGGGAGCGTGATGCCGCCTTCAACAAGGCCATGCACGGCAACTCCGCCCAAGCTGCCGGTGGTATGCGTGCCATGTTCGCCAAGGGTTCCGATGCGAAGAAGGCTGCCGTTGACGAGTACTTCAAGCACTGGGACAACAAGGCAGCCAAGGACGAGACGGAGGAGGACCGCAAGGTATGCGCCACGCCCACCATCTTCCACCCGAGAAAGAAAGAAAACATGCTGATTCCAGTTTCTTGGTTTTTAGGCGCGCACAGCCGAGTACGCAACCCTGACTAGACACTACTACAACCTGGCGACCGACTTGTACGAGTACGGTTGGGGCCAGTCCTTCCACTTCGCCCGTTACTCCCACGGCGAGACCTTCCACCAGGCCATTTCGCGACACGAGCACTACCTGGCGTACAGGATCGGCATCAAGGAGGGCATGAGAGTGCTGGACGTGGGCTGCGGTGTCGGCGGACCTGCTCGTGAGATTGCCAAGTTTACTGGCTGTCACGTTACCGGTTTGAACAACAACGACTACCAGATCGAGCGCGCTACCAACTACGCCCACAAGGAGGGTCTGTCAGACCAGCTCTCGTTCGTCAAGGGTGATTTCATGCAGATGGATTTCCCCGACAACAGCTTTGATGCTGTCTACGCCATTGAGGCCACCGTCCATGCCCCTGAGCTCTCTGGTGTCTACAGCGAGATCCAACGTGTCCTGAAGCCCGGAGGCATCTTTGGTGTCTACGAGTGGCTCATGACCGACAACTATGACAATGACAACATCCACCACCGTGAGATTCGTCTTGGAATCGAGCTGGGCGATGGCATCTCCAACATGGTTAAGGTGTCAGAGGGTATCGAGGCTATGAAGATTGCAGGCTTCGAGCTGCTCCACCATGAGGATCTGGCAGACCGCCCTGACCCTTTCCCCTGGTACTGGCCTCTGGCTGGTGAGTGGAAGTACATGCAGAGTATCTTTGACAGTTTCACCATCGCAAGAATGACCAAGTGGGGACGATGGACAGCGCATCGTTTCACTGGTCTGCTCGAGGTGATCAAGCTGGCACCTGCGGGCACTCAGAAGACAGCAGACAGCTTGGCGGTGGCGGCAGACTGCCTCGTTGCTGGTGGTCGGGAGAAGCTATTCACGCCGATGTACCTGATGATCGGCAAGAAGCCCGAGAACTAGGCTTGCATATTTATTTTTTTGCGCATGAGGACCAATGAGGGAAATGGGACAGCACAGGTGCTTTTGGCGCAACAGGGGAGCATCGTCAGTAATGACACCGATAAATGATGAGGCCAGCAAGTGACGGGATATCAACTTTAATAGAGGACTGGCCGTGGCCTGGCCTTGCCATATTCAAGTAGCAGCCAGGCCACGGCCTCGCATTCTTGTACATATCATAATTCAAGCATCAAGAGCATCACCGCATGGCCAGCAAGCCATGTCTAATATAAATCATAGAACACTGATGAATACCAAACTTACTTGTGCGCATTCCTGTGTCCCGCTCGTGCTTCTATGCGCTGCGTCGCTCGCCTCACAGATAAGCATCAGGCACGCTGTAAGTAGGTGAGCCTCGACGGGACGGGCGATCCCCCAACGAGGCTCGAACCCTCTCAGTCCAAAATGTCCGGGTGCGCAGTAATCGCGCCGAAAGCAACGGTGGGTCCACCATAACACAGTAGCTGATTGGCCCAACAGCTTCCTCAATGCTCCGAGAATTTTAGTTGAGATTGGCAGCTTTTTGCTACTGCGAAAAATCCCGCCAGCCATAATCATAAGCAAGGAGCTCCGTCTTCTCCTTGCGCATCACGACCGCGACTTCGAACTCGACCTCATTTCTTCCCACCCGTCAAGACATCAGGACGGCATATCCCGGTGGCTATCTTTGCTTCTTTTGTCCTGGACAGTCCCCTTTAATCATCAATTGACTTGAGGTCGTTTCTCCCCCATCATATCATCCATACCATGTCGCGATACCTCCGACCAGCTGTCCGGGCAGCTACCTCCGCCTCGCGGACCACTCCCTTCGCTGCTTCTGCCATCCGATCCGTCCCCCGAGCCACCGCCACATTCGCTCTGCAAAGAAGGACATACGCTGAGTCCAAGGGCGTCAAGGAGTATACTGTCCGTGAGGCCCTGAACGAGGCCCTCGCTGAGGAGCTCGAGGCCAACGACAAGGTCTTCGTCCTGGGTGAGGAGGTTGCCCAGTACAATGGTGCATACAAGGTGACCAAGGGACTCTTGGACCGCTTCGGTGATAAGCGTGTCATTGACACCCCCATCACCGAGTCCGGCTTTGCCGGCCTGGCCATCGGTGCCGCCCTCAGTGGTCTGCACCCAGTTTGCGAGTTCATGACCTTCAACTTCGCCATGCAGGCTATTGACCAGATCGTCAACTCCGCCGCCAAGACCCTCTACATGTCCGGTGGTATCCAGCCCTGTAACATCACTTTCCGTGGCCCCAACGGTTTCGCATCTGGAGTCGCTGCTCAGCACTCCCAGGACTACAGTGCCTGGTACGGTTCCATTCCCGGTCTCAAGGTCGTCTCACCCTGGTCCGCTGAGGATGCCAAGGGTCTCCTCAAGGCTGCCATCCGCGATCCCAACCCCGTCTGTGTGCTCGAGAACGAGCTTCTGTACGGCCAATCCTTCCCCATGTCCGAGGCCGCCCAGAAGGACGACTTCGTTATTCCCATCGGAAAGGCCAAGATCGAGCGCCAGGGCAAGGATATCACCATCGTCACCATCTCTCGATGCGTCGGTCAGTCTCTCGTTGCTGCCGAGGCCCTCAAGAAGAACTACGGTGTTGAGGCCGAGGTTCTCAACTTGCGATCCATCAAGCCTCTTGACGTCGAGTCCATTGTCAACAGTGTCAAGAAGACTGGCCGCCTGATCGCCGTTACTTCCGACTTCCCCGCCTTCGGTATTGGATCCGAGATTCTGGCTCTCGCTTCCGAGTACGCTTTCGACTTCCTCGATGCTCCTCCCCAGCGTATTACCGGTGCTGAGGTTCCTACTCCCTACGCCCAGGGTCTTGAGCAGATGGCCTTCCCCAACGAGAAGCTGATCGAGAACTACATTGCCAAGATGCTCAAGTTATAAGTGCAAGCCGGCGGCAAATAGTCGAGGCTGTAGGAAGACAACTTAACGAGAGCAGGCAGGAGTTAAGATGAGCGCTACTGCCATCAATATGAGGCATTTGGGTTGACCCAAGTGCCTCATGTATATCATACTCCGTGGAACAACACATACAACACCCAATTTCGTTGATAATTGCAGGATGGCGCGGTATAGACTGGGGTTGAACATTTCACTATTCGTTAGCGATGGACGTCAACGGATGGTATTTCTGTACTTGTAACCTAAGCTAGGCAGGTTGAATTGAAGCCGAGTGAATTGGACGCCCCTCGCTCAAATACTGAGCTGATTGATTGTGCATTTTCCCGACACTTGTTTTCAAATCAACAATCTTGCTCATGAAAACCCAGTCGCAAATTCAGACAGGATTGCCCAACGACTAATGTTGAGCAAAAGACAATACACCCTATATGAAATCCTGGGATGCTGTCGCTTGGCGAGCAGAGAGAAATACACCTATGAATACCTGTCACCCTATACAAACGTCCAAGTTAGCCTCATACGAAAAAAAAAACCCCGACAATAAAAATAATCTTCCCAATCTGTTACAATCATGGAGCAACCCCCTGGCTAGTCTTAGCGTCGGTACACCCCGGATACCCACCCAGACACAAAGATTCAAGTACCAAAGTCTTAACATTAGCGTGACGGTTGCAAGGAATCATGTAGTTCGAATACTTTACAGACGTCACGAGCGTGCAGTACCCGAAAGAATCATGTCTTAGTAGTTTTACTGCACATCGAATACCGCAACACAATTTATCACACAGTACAGATGGCTGCCACGGCGGATTTTTATTTGTTTAGTGAACGCTGAAGTCATGGTCTCTACCCCTTAACGAGTACCGAATCCATGTGCATCAGCGGAATCATCCTCTAGCTCGCGATCTCAGTTCCCACATATTCCCAACGCATCCTTATGATCCGATCCTCAGACGGCATCGGAATCTCTTCAGATTTCCAGGAATACATGGTCACGTGGGCGTTTGGGGGGAGCTCAAGCCGGCGTTCGCCCCCGTCATCGTCCTTGAATATGTAGGTCTCATTTTGTGCCATCCAGAGAACAGTTCCGTACTTTTTCGCAAGTGCCATCGTCTTGATGTGCTGCTGAAACCCCGGGATATCCTCGTCGTCGATCACGCTCGGGTCCGTGGCCCAGTCCACGTCAATGAGATCTCGCAGACTGCCTCTCCAGACGCAGTTGGTCTCCGAGTCGATGAAGACCGGCTCACCGTATTTCTCAAAGTGGCCTGAGAAGATAGGGTGTCCACGCATTTCGGAGGGTTTGTAGTAGGCGACTCCAGGAGGCCAGTGACGTCGAATCCGGAAGCGCAACGGGGAGAGGAACGGGTGCGGGTCCGGCTGGGAAGGATCGCATGGCTGCGGACTGGCGAAGTGGAGCTCCATGAAGGAATGGAACTGCTCTTGCAGGACTTTCTTGCCGGTGTTGGCAGCAAGCGTCCAAGAAGGCATTGTGAGTTTCTACCACAAATTGTCGGTTGAATTGCTCACACTTGAGCTAGGACTCGGGGGTGCTTACATTCGTCGAGTTGGTCTTTACGATTACACTCGCAGGCTTCTCTTGTTTCGGGTGTGATATGGAAGAGGAGCAGCTGCTGAAGTCTGTGGAATGTGCTTCTTGTGTTCTAAAAGATATGGCCATGAGTAGCTTGTTCTGTTAAATTCAAGCCTTAAATAGACTTTCGAGACAATGTAAATTAGAGCTTGGTTTTGAATCAACCCCGTTCTTGCCTTTTTCAAGGACCATGGCGAATTCATGTGAATCATCGTCCCATACCAAACGGTGAGGTGTATGTAACGTGAAAAGGGAAGGTGCATCACGATGCAATTCAAGATCTCTTCCTGCAATGCTGGGTGAGTTTGTGGGGGACTAGATATTGAACAATCCAGTGCTGGTAGCATTGGGTCAACGACGGAGTTTTGTGACCGCATCATGCTAGTTAGCGACTGAGTGGCTCATGACCTCGAGGCATGGCGTTCCCCGTCCCGTACAGACTACAGGACATGCGTGTCACGTGCGATATGTGACAGTGAGTGTATAAATGTCAGTACAACTCAAGAACGTGATTACCAATGCTGAAAACATCATGTACGAGTCCGTAGAACGTAGCACAACAAGCACTGCGAGATTGACTCCGCTATTAGGGATCTAAACCCGAAAGCCCTTTTGCTCCTTTGAAAGGTTCCATTCGAGCTGGTTGTACGACAATGTAGGAGTAGTAGAACAAGTTTTGTATCTTGAGAGCTCCAAGCTCGAAGAGGTCAAACTAAGATCAAACTCAGGTAGACAGCCTGGTCATCAAGCTTCTGTAAAGGTCCTCTCAATTGCATTATCATTCGGCCGGCAGGATTTCTTTACTTGCCATGCAATCTAGGACGTATAGTAAGTATTGCGACGCGCATTCTGAGATTGTGACAGATCCAGCCAAATTAAATATGCATGGTACGCCCCATCTATTCTTTTCATAGATCCACTCTGGTGGGCTGTGATAGGTGCAAGCAATAGTCATACTAGTCTACGGCAACAATCGCATTGTTGCCTTGTGAACTAATCAATCTCATTTGTTAAAAAAAATATTCATTTAAAGGTGAGTCAAGCTCAAGACTAAACTGGTTAGCCCCAGAACCTCGTCACCAACCAAGCCGCGCAAGGTTTTTTTTTTCCCAGCAAGCACGCTCCAGGCAGCTTAGTGGGTCCTGGGCAATTGCTCTTTTCAACAGCAGCGACAAGTACGGAAGTTTTTCGACACTGCGCCAGTGAAGTGCAGCAATTCTTCACGGCAGCATTATATACAGATTCCTCCAGTTCAAAGCTATCGACCGTCACGATGAAAGTGGTTCTTGTCAACGGAGGTGTCATTTCTGGTGTCGGAAAGGGTAAGTTTCATGCCCCGCGGAACATATTTTGACCATGTCGAGAGGGTGTGATGAGCTGCGACACAAGAAGGCTCGTCAACAAATCTGATTGAGTCCCTGCTCGGTCCTATTGTGACAGCATGCTAATCTGTGGTCGATTAGGTATTATCGGTATGATAATCCGCAAGATTCGGTGCTCCTCAGTCCATTGACATGTGTGAATAGCCAGTAGCGCTGGCCTGCTGCTCAAGACTCTGGGTCTTCGTGTAACGGTAAGATAAAAAAATTCAATGTAAATCTTGAATTCTTGCTTATTTTATACTTTTTAGGCACAAAAGCTCGACCCCTACTTGAACACAGATGCTGGACTACTAAACCCTCTCGAGTAAGCATTTTGGGGATTTCATAAATAAATGTAACTCACTAATACCGTCAGGCATGGAGAATGCTTCGTTCTGGCCGATGGTGGAGGTAAGACGAACAAGACGAGCAAGCGGTAGATACAAGAGCCCGCGCAGTCGCATCATCTATGCCGCTCCTGGCACGGCGGGGAGAGAAAAAACCAGATATTCTCGCCCCAGTCATCCCAAGTTTTGCCAGTGTTACCCTACCAGCATCCCATGTTTTTTTTTTGTATGATTCCATTGCTCCGGCAAGAGGCATGCAACAACATAGGATTGGGGTTTCGATGATAGCAGACTCGCCAGGGCGCGGACTTTTGTGTCTACCACTTCGTAGAAGTGTTCAAGGAAACATGCTAACTAAATCTCACAGAGACTGACCTTGACCTTGGAAACTATGAGCGGTGGGTTTCAGATACTCCAAAATGACTTGGAGCATTACTGATTAAATGTTTAGTTACCTTGGTATCCAGTTGAGCCGTGACAGCAACATGACCACCGGCAAAATCTACAAGCACGTCATTGATAAAGAACGACGAGGAGACTATCTCGGAAAGACTGTTCAAGTCGTTCCCCACATCACAGATGCCATTCAGGAATGGCTTGAGCGAGTGGCTAGAATTCCTGTCGATGACTCAGGAGAGGCACCAGACGTCTGCATTATTGAATTGGGTGGCACAGTCGGCGACCTTGAGTCCGGCCCATTCATTGAGGCTCTGGTCCAACTCAGACACAGACTTGGACCGAAGAACTTTTTCAACATTGGCGTTTCCTTTGTTCCTGTCATCAACGGAGAGGAGAAGACCAAGCCAACTCAGAATGCTATCAGGTCAATGCGAAGCGCCGGTTTAATCCCTGACGCCATTGCCTGTCGTTGCGAACGACCGCTCGATGACGCAACCATCCGAAAAGTCGCTGTCAGCTGTCAAGTGGACTATGAGCAGGTTATCGGTGTGCGAGATATGGAAACTATCTACCAGGTGCCCCTTCTCCTCGAGGAGCAAGGCCTACTTAAGCTCCTACAGAAAGGATTGGGTCTCAACGAGCAAGCTGCGCTGCCAGCCGCGCAGATTGAAAAGGGTCAAGCCTTGTGGAATCTCTGGAAGAAGACCGTTGTCCCTGAGAAGCACTTGGAGCCGGTTAACATTGTTTTGGTCGGCAAATATACATCTCTCGATGACGCTTATCTTAGTGTCCGGAAGTCATTGGAGCATTCGTCTATGCGATGCAGGCGCAAATTGAACCTGGTATCAGTCGATTCTGAGCATCTTGAGCACGACATGCAGCAGAAGGACCCTCAAAAGTATCACAATGCCTGGAAGCTCGTTTGTGACGCCCAGGGTGTTCTTGTTCCTGGTGGTTTCGGATCAAGAGGAGTGGAGGGCATGATCAATGTTGCAAAATGGGCCAGAGAGCGAAAGGTTCCATACCTCGGCATCTGCTTAGGGATGCAGATTGCTGTCATCGAATATGCTCGCGAAAAGTTGGGCTTGAAGCAGGCAACCTCTGAGGAGATGGATGGTCACGCAGAACAGAAGCTCATCATCTTCATGCCGGAAGGCTCCAAGGAACAGATGGGTGGCACAATGAGACTCGGCACGCGGTCATCCCACTTCAAGCCCGGTACGGAATGGAGCAAGCTCCGTGCCATCTACGGAGGCGGTGATGTCGTTGAAGAGCGCCACCGACACCGTTATGAAGTGAACCCCGATTACATTGAGAAGCTGGAAGAGGCAGGGCTTGCCTTGACTGCCTTGGACGACAAGGGTGTACGTGTGGAATGCATTGAGTTGAAGGATCATCCATTCTACGTTGGGTAAGCAATACATTGGAACGGGCTTTAACGAAATTGAGATGAAATGCTGACCAAGTCCAACAGAGTGCAAGCACACCCCGAGTACACCAGTAAGGTATTGGATCCTTCTCCTACATACCTTGGCTTCGTGGCAGCAAGTGCAGGATGTCTCGACGAGGTGATCGAGCAAGCAACCCGCAAGAAGGAAGGCCTTACGAACAGAACTGGTGGCGCTTCCGGCTTTTAGGCGCCAGGGGAAATGAGGTTATAGATTGCATGGTTGGCGTTGGCTTTTTAGAATGATGAAAACTTTATGGATTGGGAATCAATGAGAGGAGCTCTAAGTAGCAAAGAAAGTTAAACAAAATGCGTTAGAGCGAGCAAATGCAGAAACCCGTCTGCGTGGTTTCGGTTGCCAGCTTTAGAAGCACATAGACGATATACGGGCTCATGTCGAGTTTTATCGCTGAGCTGTAAAATAAGCAAATGTAAATATAGTCCCAACTATCCAGGGCTAAACCACCCTTGTCGTTCTTCATTTCATCCCCTACGAAGGACGGTGTATTTCCCATATCTCAATTGTGCTCTAGAGGACGTCTGATGGCTTATAGACGAAATAATTCTGAATATTGGCATGTCCAAACAATACGTTGGAGAAATCAGATAGAGCGCATAGCGATGAGATTCAGTTTTAGTGAGTTTTGAATAATAACCAAGATTCGTGCTACTGCACATATTTGTGATAACATGGCACAACATTAGGTTTTCCACCGTAAACGGTTGAGTTCAAGTTTTTTCATATCTTGTTCATCAATGCCGAACCTGACTGCATGTGGTCCATGTAGTTCGCTATTTATAATTTGTTACTCATTAGCCAGCAGTGAAATCTGGAAAGCCCATCGGGAACGAGAGTGCTGAATTTGTTAGTGAGGCACCCCTCCAAAAGCCTGCTGTCCAGTCCATTGGCTGATGATTTTGAAGACCATTTCCATAGTATAGCACAAAAATTGTTCTAACATCAGAGGGCCATTATGGCAAAGGTCAAACAAAGACTCGAAACCAATGGATATACATAGCAATGTTTTGTTACATCACTTCCTCGTCCAGTCTATTAAGACTGTCTTCACAACTGGCGCCAGCTGCGCCAGCGGATCAAGTTCGCCCGCCCTGAATCTTTCCTGAGGTTAAGTATGTCAAGAATTTAAGATATTTGCTTCAGGATCAACGGCAAATCATTTCTGTTTGATCAATTATCTTCGGACCTCAGGAGACTTATCACTTTCACAATTTCAATGAGCAGACATGGTGCAGCCTTAGCCGTAGGGTACAAGCAATGAAGCTTATGGGTCCTCGTTACTTCGGCCTCGTCTCCACGTTTAGTCACCGGCGCATTCGCATCACTCATTTACAAAAGGTTTCTATTCAGCTCCCACCATCCAAGATCTTCAGTAGATACTCTTCCGAGATGGCACGCACATATGAGGATGCGTTGTCAAATCTTGCGGCGCTGCAATCTAACATCGCGATTACCTCACTATTCGCTCCACAAGCTCCAACTCCGGCGTCGGACTCAACGCAAGGTACGAGCAAAAAACAAGACCTCAATGCGCTTGCAATTCCCGAGATGCTGGCATGGCTCGGCAGAGCAGGACTTTCACAGAATGACTTATCCAAGTTACGGTGTATACACGTGGCAGGCACAAAAGGCAAAGGCTCCGTCTGCGCATATCTCACGTCAATACTCACGCAGAGCGCTCTCCGCACCACGGCCGGAAAGGTAGGCACATATACTTCGCCGCACCTGGTCAGTGTGCGGGAGCGCATCGTTCTCGACGGCCAGCCGATCAGCCAAGAACTGTTCACGCGCTATTTCTTCGAGGTATGGGACGCGATGACCTCTTCCGGGCGCGCGGAATATCTGCAGCAGAACCCCGAGACCAAGGCGGACGAAAGGCTCGAGGCTGAGCTTCAGGGGCCGGCGACAAAGCCGTTCTACTTCCGCTTCTTGACCATCATGGCGTTCCACGTCTTCCTCCGGGAAGGTGTCAAGAGCGCAGTCATCGAGTGTGGGATCGGCGGCGAGTACGACTCGACCAACATACTCCCCTCCGAGGCAGTGACGGCGAGCGTAGTGACTCAGCTAGGCATCGACCATGTCGGCATGTTGGGCGGAACTCTGCCGGAGATCGCATGGCACAAGACCGGGATCGCGAAGCCCGGCCGGAAGTGCTTCACGCGGAAGCTGGATAGTCAAACAGGCAAGGAGGCCATGCAGGTGATGAGGAAGCGAGCCGAAGAGAAGGGCGCCACATTGGTAGAACTGGACGATGAGGCCGTTGAGCGATGGGGTGGAGTCAGACCAGACAATGCCGACAGCCTCGAAGGCCATTTTCAGAAATACAACCAGGCCTTGGCTAAAGCAGCTGTCGAGGAACACCTGAGGTTATGCGCATCAGACAGCACCTTTGAGTCGAATCGCGAAAGTCTTGCCGAAATGATATCCGAGGGTCTGCGCCAAGCCCGGCTTAGGGGAAGATCTGAGACCAGAGTAGAAAAAGACATAATCTGGCTGATCGATGGAGCTCACACTGTGGAGAGTCTGCGCGAAGTCGCGAAATGGTATGAGGGGAAAATGGAATCGCAAAATGGGGCCTCACGAATTTTGATCTTCAACCAACAGGAGCGCGATGTTGGAAAACTACTGCAAGTCCTTCTAGAAAGGAACGAATTCCACAAGGCGATATTCACCAGGAATGATCTACGGCCACGAGTTGGCGACGAACCGGAGAGAGACATTTCAGTCCAAGAAACTGCTCTCAACACTTTCAAGAGCACATTCCCCGGCGCGGATACTTCTCTTATCATCTCTGATAACGTATCGGACGCGATCAATGAGGCAAGGAGGCATGCTGAAGCCAATGCCGAGAAAACAATAGTGTTGGTAACTGGCAGTTTGCACCTGGTCGGTGCATTATTACAAACCTTGGAGCCGGACGCTCCGAGATAATGTTGAATTATATACTAATCGAGGGTATCAATGTTATTCCTTCTATCCGCCGGTGCCCGTTAGAGCGCGTCTGCCTTTTCTAGAATTCCCAGAGCTCCTCCTACCAAATGTAGACTGCCAGTGATAAGTGCTTGTACCGTCTCCTGGCCCCTGACGTGTCCACCCAGGTTTCTAATATGGTTGATTGCGTCTTCAATCGTTGGGAGGACCACAACCTGTGCGCCGGGATCCAGCGCTGACCATTTGTCTGCAAATTGGTGCTGAGCAGTCAACTTCTGAATGGCGTCCGGGTCATACTGGTGGTTAACAAAGTCGCGTTTATAGCCAGTCGCGGCGTATGTGATGTTCGAGCAGAACACCACATGATCAAAAGTACCTTGTCCTTGGTCCTTTAAAGCAGAAATCATTCCTTCCAAGAAATCCACTGCCTCTGTTCGGCCCTGTTGGTTGAATATCAAGGCTTTGGGTCCTTCTCGACTGGAGCACTCGCCTGCAAACCATTTCGTGGCCGTTTTCAGACTGTCAACAGTATGCGCTCCGTCAATGTGCCACACCACTGGGCCTTCCGGCTTGACTTCACATCTACCCCGCCAGACGACTTGTTCCAGGCCATCTACGAACTCTTGAGGCAACTTTTCCGGATCGCGCACAAAGGTTGGATCTAGCCTTTCTAGTGCCGTTTCGGCGAGGGCCACACCCAGAGTGGCATTCTTCTTTTGGAAGAGCGCATCAGGACGGACTTTCACCCCGTGCAGTCTCGGGTCGACTTCCAGAGCCTTCAAGTCGACTCCTTTCTCCTGAGCCCGCTTCTGTAATACCTCCGCCGCCTCGGGCACCTGCTCAATTGTAAAAGCTGCGCAACCCGGCTTCATGATGCCTGCCTTGTGCCAGGCAATCTTGTCCACTGTATCCCCTAGAGCAAAGACATGATCGATACCCAATGTGCTGATACCTGACGCGACGGGCCTCTCCACGATGTTCGTCGCATCGTACTCGCCGCCAATGCCCGTCTCGTAGATGGCGACATCGACGCCCTCCTTCAAGTACACGTGGTAGCTCATCAGTGTAAGATATCGCGCGTAGATCGGCCGCGTAGCCATGGGGATACCGCCCCTCTCATGCTCCGTGGCCGCGTGATTCGCGTCGTGTTCCTTCTCGCGCTCCTCCGCCTGTCCTAGCAGATCCCAGACCTCAAAGAAGTACTTGGCAAAGGTGTCCTCGGCGATCGGCTTCCCGTCGATCCTGAGCCGCTCGCGCACGGCGATGAGATGCGGGCTGGTGAACAGCCCGATCTTCCTCGGCACCCCGCGGGAGTCCTGGTACCTCTGCAGGATGGAGGCGGCGAAGGCGCATGTGCTACCCTTTCCTTTCGTGCCCGCGACGTGCAGGATGTTCAGACGGTCGAGATCGGAGGGCGACAGACCAATGCGCCGCAGGTAGATGCGCATCTCGGCAATGGAGGCGGCATCAGGGCGGATGCCAGCCTTGCGCCGGGCCTCGATGATGGCGAAGGGCGTCTGGAGGGAGTTTAGGGCATCAATTGCATCCTGTCATTGGGTGATTGCTCATTAGATATGGTTTCGTCGAGTTGGCAGAACAGGAAGTCAAAGCGAGGGGCATGCTGTGCTGAGGTCATGGTGGGGGGCTTCTGTAGCTCAGCTTTTATGTGCTGCAGGGGACTCACGTTATACGTTCTGCCGCCCTGGGTTGCCATTGTGCGCCGGATGATGAAGCTTGGGCTCGTCAGGTTATGTAGAGGGGCAGTGGAAAGAAGAAGGTGTCGAGACACATGACGCATCCCGGCTGAGCTGCTTATCATGTCATCATGTGGGCGTTGTCTAGTGAATCAGGAAGGAAGCTGCTTAAGAAAAATCGCGTTTACGCCGGTTTGGCGGTCCACTTTTCCGACTTCGGACTTGCACTGGATCAGTGTCATGAATCGGCTTGGAAATTTATACATGATAAAATCATAATGCTCGAGTAGGCAGTTTAGGTGATCAAGTAGTTGATATGATTCAACCAAGCCCCTTGAAGGAACGGTGCGCATTTATTTAGTCGTCTAGATGAAAAAACACGCTGCAGTCTTTTATTGTCCATATCTCAAGGTATTAACTTGTGCGTACCTGATATATGTGCTTCTTCTACGTTTTCTACATACCAAGCGCCATCATACATACACCCGCAACATATGAAGACATCAGGCGTTCTGCTGTGAATATCCTGCGTCATCTAGAATATCGTACAAGGACACCATCTCGCAATGTCCTAAGCAAAATCTCAACGCTGATTTCGCTTGATCGATTCTTGGACACTCTCCCAAAACCAAAGTGGCCCTTTCGTCTTATTCGTCTGGATGCTGAACCTACTTACAGCGCGAAAATGATACCACTTACGAACGGCATTCTCTGTCGACGTGTCCCTGACATAATTGACGATCCCCAACCTCTGGTTCTTCGGTCGTAGCTCCGACAGAAGAACCCTGCTCACGCGTGGCTTTGCTATGAGACTCATGGTAGAGATCTCCAACGCGGTGTCGGCAGGTAGCTTGGAAAGGTAGCGCTTCAAGTGTTGTTCCGAGGTCCGAGCAAAGGGCGGAAGTCGCATGGAAACAAGCAGCACAAAAGGTGATGTTGTCCACCCCACGAAGAGAAGGGGGATTACGCCACTCAGGGCAGCTTTTATTGTCAACACCAAGCCTTTACAAGGTTGTCACTTGGATATACTCACTTCGAATTGTTGTTGCCGTCCAGCCTTCCTTCTCATAATATTTCGGCGTCACCACGTATGTGAAGAAAGTAAAGATGAGGATGGTGGATAACTTCACGCACGCTATGAACGTGATTCGAGACACTCCGGCATGGAAGAGCTGCAATCTCTCAGGATATTCTGTCAAGGAAATTAGCACATGGACCTTACTGGAACAGGTTAAGAATTCGTCTGACTGTATTTGGTTCCAGGAGCAGCACCACTAGGAGCAGTCGCAGCAACCTTGGGGGATGCCTTGGCCGCGGTTGATGCCAGTCGCTTGCATATCTGGACTCTGTAGCACTGCGCACGAGGGGCGGTGCTTGATATTGTGCGCAAGATTGGCCTCAGAGAGCTCAGTTTGGATCCTCTGATTGCCGTAATGAAAAACATCACGATACTACGGGCAACTCGTCGCGCGCTTGTGGTTGAATATGTTCCTGGGATCGTGTTGAGAACCCGTCCATCCAACTAGCAGGGGCTGTCTTTAGTGCTGGTCTGTGCCCAACTAGCGATTCTGTAGAGCATCATAATAGCATGGCTGCGTGGTTACCAAGATCAAATTGATTCATGACGTTTACTTCACAGCTTCGAGGACTGTCCTCTCTCAAAGACTCTACGCCTTCTAATAGACCTTTGCTCTTCGCTCAGATACTCTCTGGATGGAGCTACACAGTACGGCTTACACCACATTCTTCTCCAACCAATCGGACCATTCCTTCTTCCCCCAACCAGAGCTGATCTCGTTGTTGACAACGCCATCAAAGATGGCCGTCGGACTGACATGAACACCAACCAGTCTAGCTATCTTGATAAGCACCTTGAAATCATTCGTGACCTTGTTTCCAGTGTTCAAACTACCTTCGTCCGATGCCTTGTCGCTGACCTCTAGACGCTCGTACACCTGTTTCTCATCGACGCCAACACTGCTTGCGAGCTTTGCCAATCTCTTATACGTGTTGTTGCGTGTCTCGTTCACGACGTTGACATCGAAGTAGTCCTTTTGTTGTTTGAACAGTGCATCACTAAACTCCCAGAACTTCTCCGGTCGCAGCTGCAGGACTGCGACGGCAGCCTCATGCACCAAGGTCGAGCTCGGGTGCCAAGGCTGGACCTGCTGGCGGAAGACGATCTCGAGACCCCGCGACCACTCGCCGCTCTCCCGAATAATGGGAACCACGGTGTTGTAGAGCGTGTTGAAGAGCTTTGCGGAGAATGGGCACACGTAGTCGAGATAAATCTCTAGTGTGTGTGCTGTTGCTGCCACGCCAGTGCTCTCCGGCGTTTGCGGCTTGGCGAACTGCAGCTTCTGGCCTGCGAACTTGGGTGGGACGGCCATTGTATTGGAGATTCGCTGGAAACAAGGTCTGTTCGTGCACAGGTTGACTTGCTAGAATTTGAACCGGCGGAGTTCTTAATTTAGTGAGGTAGATTCTGCCGTGCCTCAAGTAATGAAAGATCTCGAGTTCTTTATCTGCAGTCTCAGAGTCCCAAATGGCGGCATCCGAGGCCCGTATTGAGACATAGCAGCTATCCATGGCAAATGTCGTAATCGCGCATGCTTTTGGAGAGCTTCCATGGCGGGGTTAAGTTATCTTTAAGGCACCGCAGCTCCGCTCTCTGGGCACCTCCGTCACCTTCCTGCTGTAACTTTGTATTGGCCCCGGGTTTCCCAAGTCTATCTACTTTGCGTTGGACATCGCTGGCCAATTCCTTCTTGGGGTTTTGGGCCATGTTCGTGCTTTTACAAGAATTTAGATGCTAAAGATAAAATTTTATCGTGGTTTTAGGCTTTGATAATTGCAATAACTATATGGGATCCTTCGCTCCAAGCTTGAACTTGCAATCACAGGTGGGTTGTTAGCAGAAATACTCTGCGTGGGCTTTGGATTGTAGATCACAATTTTATACCATTGTGAAACTATCTCGACTCTGATATGATGGGTCGTACTTGACAAATATTCAAAAAAAATTAATTTCCATGATGCTATACTGAGATTGCCTTGGGCATCTTGTCAACTTTATCATTGCTTGTTCATCCCGTAGGCTAGTGAATGCTGTGATAGACAAGGACCAGTGCCAAGTGTTCGACTGCCTCGAGCATAAGATTTTGAGATCATAGTGTAGTACTGTTGTCTTGGTGAAAAGTCTTGGTGTGGACATCTTTCAACTGCCAATGTGCTTTATTACTTATAGTCGGTTTCTTATTTTTATTTTCGAACTTATTTTGGTCGAGTAGTTCTGGTGGGTACTTTGCGTCGTCGAATACTCGAAGCAACTTCACCTTGAATTCCCAGTAATGCCAGTTTCTTGACAAAATTCGTGTGTCCAAGTTTGGGTTTCATCTTGTTTCTTATACCATTCATCGATCATCTCGTCGAACGCGTCTTCATCGCTTTGAAGAGTGGACAGGACATCCGGTATCATTATGTCCTCCTGTAGGCAGGCATAGCAGACCAGAGAATTATAATAACATATACTGGTAACGTATCTGGAAGCGTAAAATATATGTCACTGCCAATACAGTCCTTGACAATAACCATGACCCTATCTCTCTCTTCAAAATTTCCAGCACCCTAATATTTGCATGCATGTCTCATGGCCTCTTCCTGCTCGTTGTTGAGAATCAGATAGCCGTAGCAGTTGACCGAAAAGTTTTGTCTCCTAATATCCTTCAGTCATCTATACGTTCGAAATTCATTATGCAGTGTCTCTAAAATTTTCCTCTTTCCCTGCGGGGGTAGCTACACAGACGAAAAGGAAAAAGAGCGGCCGTACACCTCGAAAATATATGTCCCTTGTTTATTGCCAATACTAAGAGTTTAGCTAGTGGCGGCACAGATTGTAGAAAAAGACTCGAGTGTTAGGTTTGTGTTAAATGAGCGAGTGAAATACGGGACGTAAGAGAGCAACATATATCTTGAGTGCCCAGCTGAAAGGAGTATAGGAAGTCTGGACGGGACGCCTCTCTTATATGGTCCGGAGACTGAAACATTCTGGAACATGTAAAGAAGCACTATTTAAGATCAATACGAACACAGAGCTAAGCTTCTAGCAATTCATCTGCAAATTGTTTTGAGATTCGAGGTGTAGTTAGAACTGTTATTTATTGATTTCTGTTGGCTCTAAAATTTTAGCCACGTATCCTCGATCTATTCAGGTACGCTTTATCGACCGCCCATATTATTTTCCGCAAATGAAAGCCACTCCCCTCACTTCTAGATAGCATACGGAGACACATATTTATGTAGCCTCCTAACAGTGGCCTCATGTATCTACCTGCAGCAATCACACTAGGTAGCCTTCAGTGGAACGGAGGTTAGCTCTGTCCCTCACCGTCACATCACACTCCATATCAAGAGACTACTCAATCAATAGATCACTATTGAAGGGCTCTAAATTTCTTGTCTCAGAATTTAAGTCCCACCTACCCAAAATACTAGAAAGAAGGGTGATACCTATGTGCTTCTGTCAATCAGTCGACATAAAAAAATGAAATCGAAAAAAAGGGAAAAGATTTAGCACGAAGGAACCGAATTCTCTCAACGATGTGGTAGTCGACCTGTCGCAATTTGGATTAAATTCAACTCTGTTCCCTGGATAGCATCTTGTCCGAGAAAGCTTACGGTCAATCTGAGCCTAGTGTCTTGGACATTGATGGCAACGAAGGATGAAAATCGTCATATAATTGCACCAGATCAAGTAGCACGCCTATATGGTTCTTTAAACGCTCTTTCTAAGATTATGTTCAGACAGATTTCAGCTTTAGCCCGGAAAGTAAGTCAGGCATGTTTGTTGAGCATATGCTATTTTGGTTCTGGTGGGCGCAAGTAGAACTGGAAAAGTAGAAAGGTCGAAATAGGATATAGAGGACCAGACATGGGGTCGTGGGCTTGGAATGTCGACGCGTAGATTCCTAGTGGTACCTAGGAATAATTCCGAATCCTTCACAACATGCACAAAATTCGAACTTTTGTAAACGATATCGCAGAACGGAATTATTTGAATGGTGTACTGATAGACTTTAGCCGCGCGTCGTTTGTACCTCATGCTCGAAATCCGAAAGGGAGTGTCAAGCGTGGGCTCATAGTGAAAAAGGCAAGATGAAAGGCATATCAAAGAAGAAAGGAAATTCCGTCAAAGGATGTGAAGTGGGACATCGGAGAATATATGGATGCTTGAATCAGCAAATTTCTGCCAGCCGAGCATATTGTTTTTGCGGTAACAAATGCACTACACAAAGTTTGTGAAATATTTAATGTAGTGCTGACCAAAAATTCGTGTTACGAAATCATTCACATTAGTCCTGTAAATAGGTTCTGCCGATATAGATTATACTACTGCAGTATCACTCTTCTACCACAAGGCCTATCAATTCTGCACCCATAGTAAACTCTGTCCCACCAACATGCCTACTCTATTTTCCCTGGAGGTTTTGATACCGCCAGGAATATTAAAACGATATTATCGACGCTTATAAGCTGTTGTTAATTAACAACTGTCGAGAGGTCTGGCATATCAGCTCCAAACTCATCCTCAATAGTGCCTTCGGCTATGCTGTGGAAATCGATAATGACGAATACGAACGGGAGCACACTTCCATGCCGTTTCCACGAGCTTTGGACTCCAGGCGTCGAGAGAAAGATCAATTCCTGGTTCCTCAGCAACGAGTCGAAGGCAAGCACTTGGAGAAGCCCTCCCGAGTTAGCTAGCGATGACCTCAAACGTGCCAGGACACAACTAGGTAAACATTTGGTATATATTCGCGCCGTCACGAGAGAGTTCTATGGCGATGCAAGTTGGGTGTATGGTGGCAGAATGGCATTATTGCAGCCAATGTCAGATGTTTGGTCAGATGTTGGCGAGGAAACCGGCGTGATAAGAAGCGACGAGCAGGTCGCCCAGCTTCTCGCTCAGCATATTCAAGGCAATTCCAAGAAGGTAATTCTCGGTACTTTCACGGATAGAATGCCGTCTGTTCAACCCTTCACGTTCAGTCACTCCAATATCCATGGGGCAACATCATGGTCAAGGAGGGCCACGTAACCGGCTTGCTTGACTGGGAAGTGGCCGGCAACTATCCTGTCTGTCATGAGTTCGTCAAGGTGACACCTTTGCTTGACGGTATATGCCTTCTCAGCTTAGTCATCTGGAGGCCCTCAAATGGCGTGAAGTATAAGGCTTACTGGCAGCTGAGGACGAGGGGAGAGAAAACCTTTCAATTAAATGCCGAGTACACATCAGTATCGGCCAGATCTAGGAATATGAGCCGAGGAAGCAATGTAAACGTATCAACACGAGAGCGCTGTTACTGCAGAGTGACATGAAAGCCATCGTGAAAGAGCATATAACGGTTAGTCCCTTTTACTCCGCGTAATAAGTACCGCTGCTATTTATTCTGGCGCCTGTACAGTGATTCGGAAAATGATCAATATCTCCACGGTCTACAAAAGTTGGACGTATTCGTCAACGATGTTGCTATGCGGAACTATATGGGTGGGGGATACATAGACTTCGCAAGTGCTTTTATAGCCTCTCAAGACGAGTCGGCGCCGGCTTATATATACGGCATGATTGCACTTGAATATGCAAGAGAGGGGCCATGTAAGGACGACGACGAACTTGACGAAATGATCGACGAATGCAACGAAGGCCAATGTGCCGTCGTACTGGGAAGCGCGTCCAGTACAGAATTCGTTCAAAGTGGAATTACAAGAAGACTAAACTGCGTGTTGATCATAGAGCCGACTGATATCCCGTAGCGAAGACTCCAGCTGGCGTTGAGGGGGCCCAACACATATAGCGTGTATAGGAGAGGCACATCACTGAGTCGAAAGCGTTACAATGCAAACCATCAAAGCCACGGTCGATGAAACGTTCTGATCGATGTCATTCGCAAAGCCTCTCACCCATTAGGCGGAAGCTTGACAAAGGCCATGCATTGCTGGTCAGGCTATAAAGACACTCTTGAAAGGCACCAGGGCTGCGGTATAAACTCCAATGCAATACAAACAGATGAAAAACTCTTTATGGTACAACTCAAGTGTGCGGTATCTGTTACACTCTATGACCGTGTGGTTTTCCTCTCCCCGGACGCGAGACGCAAGCCACCTCTATTAGACACCACTTTCCAGCTTAGAAGTTCCTGCTCATGTCGTTTCTAATTCTTTGGTAGTCGAACAGACCCTCGATGCTTCCAACAGCGCTGACAGCAACATCCTGATCCCATAGCTTCTTGTTGGCGAACTCCATGACGTCCTTCTCGGTGATGCGGTCGATGGTGCGCTCGATCTCACCAGGGCTCATGCGGCGACCGGTGGTGACGATCTGTCGGCCAATATCCTCGGCGACAGCGGATGTGCTGTCGAGGGACAGGAGTATCGAAGCCTTGAGCTGAGCCTTGGCACGCTCGACCTCAGACTCGGTCACGCTTTGGGAGAGACGGGACCACTCGCGGAGGGTGAAGTGGACCAGGTCGTCGAGGCGGCTAAGCTGGTCAGAGACCAGGTAGATACCCCAGAGACTATGGCATGTTAGTAAAGAATGCTAGGATACCGTTTCTGAGACGGGTCTTACCCAGTGTCGCTGTAGCTGGTAGAGAAGCTCATGAAGCTGTTGGCCAAGTCGTTCTGGTGAACGAAGCCGCTGAGCTTGCTGCCGGAGTGAGGAGCACTGCCCATAGCCTTGTCGTAGTTGCCAACAATAGCCTGGGTGACCAGAGCAGTGAAGTAGTCGTCGTCGTTCCAGCTGACACCCTCGACAGCGATGGCGATGTGAGCAGCGGGGATGGTGTCGTCACGGACACGCAGGTCGGAACCGATGAAAGTAGGCTTTCTCTTGGACAGCAGGTAGGCGGAGTTCTGGGGCGAGGTGGTGGGCAGGCCGGAGAAGTTCTTCTCGGCGAGCTCGACGAGCTGCTCGTGGGGAATGCCACCAGCACCAACAAGGACCATGCGGTCAGCTGTGTAGTTGGTCTTGATGTAGTTGTTGAGCTCGGTGCGGGTAATGTCACGGATGTTCTCCTTGGGGCCGAGGATGGTGCGGCCAAGGGGCTGGTGCTGGAAAGCGGTGGCGTGCAGGTGGTCGAAGACAACCTCGTCCAGCTGCTTCTCAACCTCTTCCGACTCGCGCAGGATAACGTCGCGCTCGCGCTCAATGGCGCTGGGCTCGAGCTTGGAGTTCTGGAGGATATCGGCAAGGATGTCGACGGATTGCGGGACGTCGGCGTTGAATGCCCTTGAGAAGTAGACGGTGTTCTCACGCTGGTGATATAGTCAGTAACAAGATTTTGTCTCAAGACTCAAGGTCGCGGGCTCGAATTTGACGCACCGAGGTGTATGCGTTCAAGTGACCACCCATGTTCTCAATCTCGAGCTCCAATTGCTGCTGCGTCCTCTTGGCTGTGCCCTGTTTGTTTTGTCAGCCAGTCCATGGTCGGGTGCGGTGCACGAGGTGGCGGCGTGTGTGTACCTTGAAGGCGAGGTGCTCGAGGAAGTGTGCAGTGCCGTTGGTCTCGTCCGTCTCGGATCGGGAGCCGGCGTCGATCCATACTCCCACTGTCGAGGTCTGGGCCCATGGCGAGTATTCGGTAGCAATCTGTAGTCAATGGGAGTCAGAGACAGGCGAACCCTCGAGTGGATTGGCCAATTGGGGGAGGGGAGGGCTCACGGTCAGGCCATTCTTCAATGTTGTGGTTTGAGTCTTTGCGCCGATGGGCGATGACACGGGGGTAGCAAAACCTCGCTTTAATGTGCTCAGAGCAGAGGCAGAAGCAGGAGCAACAGCTCGGCTGCGGATGCCCTGGGCGAGGTTCAAAGCTAGTCTCCTGGATGCCATCGGGACTGTGATGGGCGGTGGTTAGGGAGAGGATTGAGTGGTTTGATGTGAGTTCGTCACAATCTCGGATCGGCTTTTTTTGGGCTTTGGGGCAGGCTGGGAAATGCAGACACAGACACAGACACAGACATGCAATCAGAAAGCTTGCAGGCGAATGGGAGTCGGTGCACGGGTCAAATTTGTGTCCGCCTGAGAATCGAGGCCAAAACAAGGAGAAAACAGCAATAAGCTGGACTTGGTTGGTTCCAATTGGCCCGAGAGAACTCTGCTCGTTCCGCTCGCTGCCGAATTTCATGACATCGGCTAACGAAAAAGCGCCCTCTGCCTGCCACAAGCTGTGGCGGTGGCTGCGGTGCGATCCACAACCCACGACGGTTTACAGCTCAGCTCAGCTCAACTCAAACTCAACCCGTCCCAACTGTGGCTTGACACCTACCGCATGTTGGTTGGCTCGAGCTTCCGTACCGCCCCGCCGTCTCTACTAAGGTGAAGTATTAATCCCCATCATCAATCAATCAATCCTATCCCACGGACAACTCGCTTCGAACCACAATTCCTGCATGAGGCCGTCATACAAGTTGTCCACACTGATTGGTGGTGAAACAGCTGCGAGTGCAGCTCGGGATCCTAATGTGAGCTCCGCCATTTGAGTATTGCAGCTCAGGTACGTACTGTGCAGGTCATCGGGTCGCAATTGCATTTGTAGTCTATTGCAGTACATAGACCTCTACAGCCGCCATCATTACATTACACTACAATACATGGGCTACCATCCGTCTGTACCCTTCTTGCACTGTTGGCACTTCCAATCCAAATCTGCTGCTAGACACCTTGCTTGCTCTCCCACTTGAACATCTCCCACGCCATTATCGCAGCTATGAGTGACGAAGATTACGACTTTGGGAACGAGTTCCAAGCTGTCTTCATTCCGAAGCAGAAACCCCCACCTGAACCCATCGTCACAGGCGAAATGGGGGCAACAGTCTCCAGCTATCCACCACTAGGACAGGTGACCCAGCTCAAAGACGGTAACATCAAGTTCACCGTGCTCCTGGAAGTCGAGGATAAAGATGCAAATGAACCATGGGAACTCGCTGTCTGGCACAACTCCCATGGGGGCGACTGGGCCGAGACTGCCTTATCCCCCTTGAACAGAGGGCCCGCGCCCACTTCGTTGCAGAACACCCCCGGGCAGAAGACACGCCTGTACTTCACCACCTTGCTATCTGTTGCAGACACGCTCAACTTCACACTCAAGTTCCGTGGCTCTTCCGATAGGGAGTGGAGATGGGTCAAAGACGAGCAGAGTATCGGCGATGGTGCCATCATAATCAACCCCGAAAGGGGTCTTCAAGCTTCCATTCAATTTTCCGATGTAGTCCAAGACCTGAACCCAGACCTCAAGGTTGCATCTGCTACGAGCCAGTGCCCGGGCACTCAGCTGTGGACCATTGAGGCACCCATCGAAGCTGCTAAGGATGAGGTATCCGCTTATGCCAATTTCAGAGTCGGTGTTCCTTGGGGAGGCTTCCTAGGGTAGGTCATGATGTGTCTCTATGCACACGTTTCATCAAGTGCTGACATGAGTGTAGATGGTTCTCCCTTGTTCGTATTTGGACGCCATGGCTCGCTCCGCGTCATGGCAAGACTGATTTTAGTCTTGATAAAGATGCGGTCATGGTAGCATTCCTTAGTCCCACGGGCAAACACCTAGTGCTGCTTGCTGTGAGCGGCGTCAATGATGTGGTAACAGTGATACAGCACTCAGAATCTGGACAACCTCAGATCCACGTGAGCTCTGCAAATCGTTTTAAGCTGAAAATGTGCTCACACGGTGTTCTAGCTTCGTAACGATGGCGAAAGCTCAACTTCTGGCATAGTGCTGGCTGCAATTGGTGACAATTTTGAGAGCGCATTAGCTGCTGTCATTTACCACTCCAGAAGTGTCATTCAAGCAGCGAAGCAAGTCAATCACGAGCTCGATGTCGAACTCAAAGCACTTCAGGAAGGTGTCAAACCTGAATGGATGGAGAACTGGTATGATGGTTTAGGTTATTGTAGGTTACGTGTGGCCATGTTATCCCCAGTTTCCATACTGATTGTACAGGCACGTGGAATGCATTAGGTCAAGATTTGACGGACGAGAAGGTATTCAATGCTGTGGATACCTTGGCGGAGAACAACATCAATGTTACCAGTCTCATCATTGATGACAACTGGCAAGACATCGACTATACTAATGAAAGCCAGTTTCAACGGGGTTGGAAGAGTTTCGAAGCTGATCCCAAAACCTTCCCCAAGGGGCTCAAGGAAACGGTTAAGCATATTCGTTCAAAACACCAGAACATCCAGCATATCGCTGTGTGGCACGCGCTATTGGGCTACTGGGGCGGTATTACGCCCGATAGCAAGCTGGACCAGACCTACAAGACTGTTCTGGTGGAGCGGGAGGACTCTAAGAGGCGTAACCTGCCCCTTGGCGGCCCCATGACGGTGATTGCAAAAGAAGATGTGGGCAGATTCTACGATGACTTTTATCGATTTCTCTCAGATTGCGGTATCGATGGTGTCAAGACCGACGCGCAGTTCATGATTGACACCATAGAATCGGCAAAGCATCGACGAGAATTAACCAATACCTACCTGGATGCTTGGATGATCTCGTCACTCCGACATTTCAGTATCAAGGCCATTTCATGCATGTCCCAGACACCACACATTCTGTTCTACTCGCAGCTACCGCGAAACAGACCTGCTGTTCTAGTCAGAAATTCTGACGATTTCTTCCCCGCAATTCCGAAGTCGCATCCCTGGCACATATGGACAAACGCTCATAACAGCTTGCTCACTCAGCATCTGAACATCCTACCCGATTGGGACATGTTTCAGACCATCCACGACTATTCTGGATTCCATGCAGCCGCTCGCTGCGTAAGTGGTGGACCCATCTACATCACCGATACCCCCGGGCAACATAACCTTGATCTAATCTACCAGATGACTGGGCCAACACCCCAGGGCAAGACCGTCATCTTCCGTCCGAGTGTACTCGGCCGTGCACTTGATCAGTATGTTGGATATGACGATGACGCAATCCTGAAAGTCGGGTGCTATCACGGCCGGGCGGTAACTGGCGTGCCCATACTTGGTGTGTTCAATATCTCAACACGCCCCCTGACAGAGCTCATTCCGCTGTCGCGCTTCTTCGGTATCACGCCTTCTGTGAACTATGTCGTACGAGCACACAGCAGCGGCATCGTGTCTCCTATCGTCAAGCCTACGTCGGCAGCAGCGTTGATTCCGGTCTCACTGGAAGAAAGGGGTTACGATATATTCTCTGCCTTCCCACTGGAGCAATTCACCAGCGAGAGCATTGGCAGTGTCTACACGGCCAACGTAGGACTGATTGGCAAGATGACGGGCGCTGCGGCTATCGTGACAAGTGAATTCGAGCTGCTTTCTAACGGCCGTGTATTCCTAGATACAAGAATCAAGGCGCTAGGTGTTCTTGGTAAGTCTTCCAGCTGTCGGCCACCCGGGAGGGATACTAATGATGAGCTAACTGAAATGTAGGCATTTACATCTCCACGCTCCCTCAGATGAGTCTTGAAAATGATTTCATAGCCACCATTCAAGGCCAGGCTATTCCACCTGCGACGGTTTCCGTGAGCAAGACAGACAAGCACGTCTTGCAAATCGATGTAGAGGCAGCTTGGAAAGAGATGGGGCTCAAAGCTGGGTGGAGTAATGAGGTTGAAGTCAAGGTCTACTTTACTATTGACCACTTTGATGATGAAGAATAGATAGCTGGGTGGCTGAAGACCAAGAAACAAAATCGTAACATAGACGTAAAGTACAATTGAGTAGCCGAGAGCTGAGAGATCCCGCTTATGAAAAAGATATGTAACACTTTCCTATTTGGCTGAAGTCCTACACCTGTGAGCAGGCATCGGAACAATTGCAAGCTAACCGAAGGGGCTTAAGCTTACCCCGCTGCTTGATTTATAAGAGTGCAGCAAGACGTTTTGTGACTTATAAGCCCCTTCGGAACCAATGTTATAAGTAGAAGTAAAGCACATTTCTAAGTATTTAGGCATCGTGGCGCAAAATTCACCATGGCGCCAAAGATTTTTCTGTAAGTACTTACCCTATCTTTCTCTGAATTCTAAAGCTGACGTATTGTCAGGACGGGCGTTACAGGTACGTAAATCCATGGTGTGTTGAATCATCCAGCCTGTCTGACATGAAATCAGGTTTCGTGGGAGGCGAAGCCTTCTACCAACTCTACGAAAAGCATCCAGACTTTGAGTACACGCTGCTTTTGCGTAATGAGTCCAGAGGCAAACTGTTCCTAGAAAGGTACCCACCGCGAGAGAACATCAAGCTGGTGTATGGAAGTCTGGATTCCGAGGATGTGATTGAAAAGGTTGCGGCGGCAGCGGACATCGTTGTTCGTACGTGCACTTGTCACATATGCTCTCGACTTAGCATCGCGGATACTGACGTATAGGCAGACACGGCGGATTCCGCCGACGACGAGCCATCAGCTCGTGCTATCGCCAAAGGACTTGCAAGCAGTCATTCGGCAGAGAAGCCTGGGTACTGGATCCATGTGTCGGGGACCATGCTCATCGCGGGCCTCGACAAGTTTGAAGACGTCAAGTTCCGCAGAGACACGGTACATGACATAGATGACGTGGTGCTCATTACCGAGGAGCTGCCAGACAAATGTCCACATCGACCGATTGACAAATTCGTCCTCGCGACCAACAAGACATCGTCCGGAAGTGTGAAAACTCTCATCGTCTGCCCACCTACCATCTACGGCCAGGGACGCGGTCCGGTCAACCAAGGCAGTATGCAAGTCCCAGGCTTGACGCGGTTCACTCTACGTGAGGGCTACGCGCCGATACTTCCCCCGGGAACCGCCGCCTGGGACCATGTACACGTCCGCGACCTGGGCACGTTCTTCGTGCTCGCTGTCGAGGCAGCTCTGGATTCCACCAAGAACACAAACCCGGAGATCTTCGGCGAACACGCCTACTACTTCCTCGAAGGCGGTGCACATGTGTGGTCAGACATCGCGCGCTTCATTGCGGCCGCGGCCGAGAAGAAGGGGCTTCTCGAGGATGATAGTAAGCCGCATGTCCGCGAGGTTACTGAAAAGGAGGTTGGCCATCCTAGCTGGGAGCTGCACTCGCATGGTATTGCTGCGAGGGCGAGGAAGTATCTTGGCTGGGAGCCCGAGGGGAAAAGTTTGAGGGAGACAATCCCCGAGACGATTGATATTGAGTCCCAGAAGTTGAAGAGTAAGTGATGGTAAAGGTTGGAAATAAAATAAATACAAAAGACATATAAGTCAAGCTCGTGAGGCTGGCCTTCTGGCGAGTAACCTCTCCTATGCAAATGAGTCCTGTAGATGCACAATAGAGACCAGTCATTCACAGACCAAAACCGCCCGACTACAGCCACCAACATCAGGGGTGGTGGGCACTAGACGCCATCAGTGGGTTAGCGGGCAAGATCGGAAGGTCGGGCAACTGACGCCGGGCCGGGTGCAAATCCGACCCTAAACTTGGTCATTTGGCTATCATCTCATGTGAGAGCCTTCCTGGAAAGCTTTCGCGGCATCCTTTTGACGGTCTCCCAATCTCCACCTCACCACCTCACCACCCATAACCCAAAGCCCCTCTACGCACCTGGCAAAAATGCTGCCCTCATCGGTGCGGCGAGTGGTCGCTGCACCACCGGCAGCGATCCTTTCCAACTTTGCGCCGACAGCAGCCCGAGCGACAACTGCCGCCACCGCCTCGGCCTCCTTCTCATACAACCCCAGAAGCCAGCAACGGCGGCGATACTCGTCCTCGAAACCCTCGAGTCCGAACGACTCCTCCAAGGGGCTGCCCGCTGGCCAGATGACGGCGTCGCCCGCGCAGTCCTCCAAGTCCTCCGCCGAGAAGCCCGCTGGAGAGAAGCGCAAGCGCAAGGCCAAAGATAGCACAGATGCCCTCGGCAAGCTGCCAAGTGTGCCCAGCACTCACCATGTGCCACAAGAAGGTGCGTCAGTATGGCTATACAAGGCCAGAGTAATACAGAAGCAGAAGCAGAAGCAGAACTAACGTGCCCTGGCCCCCCCAGCTCTCGCCTTGTCTACCTTCTTCTCCCTTCACCGGCCCATATCCATAACCCAGGGCTTTCCCAGGACCGTGAGCAACGACGATTTTGCACAGATCTTCGTGGCGCGGAGTAAAAACCCAAAGTTCAGCGATGTCATGTCCACCCTCTCGAGAACCGTAGACGACCTCGAGCAGCCCATGCAGGGCCTGTCCATGGCCCACCAGGACGCCATGGCCGCAGAGCAATCCGCCGACCACATGCAGAAGATTGAGGTCAGACGTCCGAACGGCTCCGAAGCTGGCATCCAGATTCAGCTCAACGCCATGTCTGGACAGTTCCTCCCCTTCCGCCCCCCTCCTCTGCCCCAACCGCAATCGGCAGCCCCTGCCGAAACCGGCGCCCAAGAGGCCCTTGACGCCCAACCAACGACCCGCGTCTACAAGGCCATCTTCACTTTGGAGGAGACGACCGAGGCTAACGGCGAGGTCAGGATAGTCGCTCACAGCCCTACCCTGGTTGAGAATGACACTGTTCCAAAGACTTTCCTCGAGCGCATGGCTCTGCGCCAGCTGCGCCGCGAGGAGGTCCGTGGACAAGCCGATCAGATGGTTGCCATCAGCGTCAAGAGACAAAGAAAGCTCAAGATGAAGAAGAAGAAGTACAAGAAGTTGATGAAGCGCACCCGTACCGAGCGCCGCAAGCTGGACAGAGTGTAAGGAGCCATGCCATGCAATGCTCCTGTGTATCAACAAAAGAGACGGAGAGTGTCGCGCATATGAAACGCTCCCTTCAGCGTCAGCTGCATTTAGACGCGTCATAATACGATGGGATGGAGGGAGCAGGTCTATTTAGTCATGTTTGTCGGGAGATTCATGGTATACGTTTGCTGCATCATGCTCTTGTATTCTCCTCGAGAGCATCACCCTATAGACATCCACGTATTTCCAATCTACTTGCATTTTGATTTTCTATCCATATCGAGGAATTAATCCTTCTCGTCGGTCAATGATTTGACAGGTTGATCTACCATGAGACCCAACAATGACTTCCCAATCTCTGCTGCAACCAGCACCGTTGTCTCACCTGCATTATCATAGACCGGTGCCACTTCGACCACGTCAGCCCCAACGACTCTGACTCCGCTCAGTCCGTCCAGGATCGTGAGTAGCTCCCTGCTTGTCCACCCGCCAGGCTCGGCCGTCCCGGTGGCTATTTGCGAGTCAGCTAAAATCCAGCAAGGCCGGGTGTGAGTGAAACAGGTCCAGAGAACGGTGACTTGCCAGGAGCAAATGCAGGGTCCAGCACGTCGATGTCCACGCTGATGTATATCTTGGCGTCTCCCACGCGCTCCTTGATCCGCGAGATGATGCCTGACGCACCCACGAGATCCAAGTCGCGCGCGGTTATGGCGTGGAAGCCGCAACGCAGGTCGTTGCGCATGTCGCCTTTGCGTCGCGCCAGCGGCGCGCGGATGCCCGCGTGGACAGAGGTGTTCGTTATCAGACCCTTGAACGTCTGTGAGCATGCGCACCGATGCAGACCCGTGCGTGTCGGGGTCGAGGTTTGTTTGCTAGCAGCGCGCGTTCAAGTCCTTACCTCTTCGTGCGCGATGTGGAGGAACGTGCCATGGTTGAGACCGCTGAGCAGGGAGGTGAGCATGGGGTGCGGATGAGCTTCGAGGAGAACGAAGAGCTTACGCGTAGTCCGAGATTCCACCCCCTGAGATATTCGTGGGTCAGCATGATTCCGCATCAAGATATCAGCACTGGTAGCTTCTTGGCCTTACCGAGCACTTTTGGATCCCAAGTATCTAAACTTCGGTCAACGTCCCGCTCTGATGAGCTCATATGTCACGGCTCACCAATGTGGCTATCGAAATGTACGACGGCTACCTGTCCCCATCTCTCCTTGACAGACCGCAGCGCTGATAATGTCGTCGTGTGGTCGCCGCCCAGCGTGAGGATTCTAGGCGTCACGGAGTGGCTCACATTAGCAGATCTGCGTCCCGAAACAACCCTATGCGCCTTGTCTAGTTGTTTGAGGGCATAGTTGTTATCTAGCCAGGTGAGCGGCACGTTGCCACAGTCCGTAACGACGGCCCATGACTTCAGAGGGTTCTTGCCTGGGATGTAGCGTCAGTAGCGTAAAGGAGCATGTGACGATGTGAAAACTGGGAGAAGAGGTCCAGACCAGTATATACACTCCACGAGGCCGAGGCCGCGATCCTTTGACTTCCGGTACGGATACCGGTCGGCCCGTAGCGAGCACCGGGACGTGCCGTGACACCCTGGGCAGCATTGTCAGTCAGTCAATCATTTGGACCTGGATAAGCTGCGGCGTTGCCCACGCACGGTGTCAAAGGGCGCGCCCAGGACAGCGATGTCATAGGGTTTGTCATTGGCCTCCTCGTCTGAGAGGCAGTTCAAGTACGGTAGATTCGCATACGTCTTCAGCCCGCTGAACTGGCTGCCGCTGATGATATCAACATCGCTGTGGGGACCCGAGTGTAGTGGGATCTGTTCGGTATGGAATGCCGGTGGCTGTGGAAACTCCCAAGCCAACGCTGTAGATATCGGCAAGACGCGTGATCCGAGCAGTACCAGTGACGCTGGAAGAAAGTAGGATCTGAAGAGAGTATAATAGCGCATGATTGAAGCCGCTGTCTCGAGTGTCTCGAGTCCGTCTTAGCAAACGTTGAACATGAAGGTGTTAGCGGACGGAGTATGGGCAGCCAAGTTCAGAGATACCTTTCGGCCGTAAATCTGCAATTCGGAGGTCGAGCCTTTGCAAGGGTGCTGCTTATCGTGATACCTATGGAGCACCTTAATACCCTATGCAAGGGTTCCAATGAGCGCTAGTCTAACGTTATGAACTAGCAAGGGGTTGAGTATACTGATCGAATGCGGGGGGGGGGGAGCGAAAGCCATGTTTCCCCATGCGGATCAAGGCTGCTGTCGCCGATTAATATCAGAAGGATGTGCATATCCGAGTGCATACTGAGTCTCTCCTCAGGTCAATTTAGCCCAAATGTAACTACCTCACCACTATGAACGCATCACTGCAGAGTAGGGTCCTAGGCCACAAATATAATGCTTACGAGGGTTGATACAATTGGCATGATGGCGTTGTCGAAGCAACGATCTTGAATTGCAGTACGGCAAGATGCGGGCAATTCAAGTATTTGGCTTCTTCGGCCTCGTCAGCGCGGAAAATGGGCTTGACGGATGGCTGCGATATGCAAGACTTCCAGACCATGTGCTGGAGCATGCCAGGATCCCATCCACAATTGTTGCACTGAATGACTCCAGTGCCAGTCTCTTGTTTACGGCTGGGCAAGAGCTGCAAAAGGGCGTCGAAGGTCTTTCGGGCGAGAAGCTCGAAGTTAGTTCGCATTTCAGTAGCCAACAATCCAGCATCGTAGTTGGGACTCTTGATTTACTTAGAGCAACTGCAGCTCAGGTGCCGGAAATCCTGGAACTGGGAGGAGATGGTTACTATCTCAACACCACAGGCTCCAAGGTCTAGATCATTGGCTACAATGAACGAAGTGCTCTGTACGGAGCCTTCAAATACTTGTCAATGCTGGCTCAAGGGAACTTTTCAGAGGTGGCCTATTCCAGCAATCCCAGTGCCCCGATCCAATGGGCGAATCAATGGGACAACCTCGACGGCAGCATAGAAAGAGGCTATGCGGGACCGTCGATATTTTTCAAGAATGGCGGAATTCTTGGTAACCTGACCCGAGTCGCACAATATGCCCGTCTGTTGGCATCAGTTGGTATCAACGGAGTAGTGGTAAACAACGTAAATGCAGCGTTGGCTGCGAATATCCCCCTCCTGAATTCATCAAACATTGAGGGTCTAGGCCGGATAGCTGATGCTATGAGGCCATGGGGGGTTCGATTGGCGATCTCACTGGATTTTGATGCGCCGAGGAACAACGGTAATTTGTCCACCTCAGATCCGCTCGACGCTTCCGTCATCGATTTCTGGACCGACAAGACCGCAGAATTGTACCAACATGTCTTCGACTTGGCCGGCTTCCTCGTGAAAGCCAACTCGGAAGACCAGCCCGGACCTCTCACATACAACCGCACATTGGCCGACGGGGCGAATTTGTTCGCAAAAGCATTGCAGCCACATGGTAACGGAGTGGTGATGTTCCGTGCTTTCGTTTACGACCATCACCTAAACGAGACAAATTGGAAGAACGATCGTCCCAACGCTGCCGTGGATTTCTTCAAGCACCTAGATGGTCAATTTGACGACAATGTGGTCATACAGATCAAATATGGCCCCATCGACTTCCAGGTTCGCGAGCCGCCTTCACCACTGTTCGCAAATCTGTTAGAAAGCAATATCGCTATCGAATTACAAGTTACGCAAGAATATGTGGGCCAGCAAAACCATCTTGTCTACTTACCACCACTGTGGAAAACAATACTAGATTATGATCTGCGGGTCGAAAACGAGACATCGGTGATTGGTCGAGATACATTGTCTGGAAAGAGATTTAACAGGACTCTTAATGGCTATTCCGCCGTGATCAACGTAGGGACAAATACCACGTGGCTTGGTCATCATCTTGCTATGTCGAATTTCTACGCGTTTGGCCGACTAGCATGGAACCCACAGGAAAATGAAGTCGATATCGTGCAGGAATGGACCCGTCTGACGTTTGGCCTCAACAAAGAAGTCGTCGATACAGTCACTGAAATGTCCATGGCGTCTTGGCCGGCATATGAGAACTACACAGGTAACCTTGGCATCCAGACTCACGGACATAACTGGTCCTCACTATGGCCCCAACCCTGCTTCGCAGGACGACAACGGCTGGGGCCAGTGGACGCGAGCGGATGCAACTACCATAGGAATGGACCGAACCGTCTGGAATGGTACCAGCTTCTCCGGTCAGTATCCGCCGGAGATAGCCGCAAAATATGAGCAGATCAAAACCACACCAGACGAGCTGCTCCTCTGGTTTCATCATGTGCCATACACTCAACGCCTCAAGTCCGGCAAGACGGTCATACAACACTTCTATGACGCACATTATGCTGGCGCGGAGAAAGTGCAGGCATTCACAAGTCAGTGGGCGTCCCTCAAAGGTCTGATCGACGAGCAGCGCTTTGGTGAGGTTGCATTCCGCTTGGAGTACCAGACAGGCCATGTGATTGTCTGGCGGGACGCTATTAATGATTTTTATCGGAACAAATCATCGATACCAGACGAGAATGGGCGTGTGGGCAATCATCAGTGGCGTATTGAAGCTGAGGATATGGACTTCAGTGGGTACCAAGTCGTTTTCGTGTCGCCGTTTGAGACAGCGTCGAATACAAAGGCAATCCGGACGTCTTCCAATGATACAGCCGGAACGGCGACCACCACTTTAGATGTTCCGTCTGGTGTATACGATATAGCGGTCAATTACTACGATGTGATTGGAGGCTGCGCCAGCTATGAGATCTCTCTCAACGACAAGCTCCTGGGAAGCTGGGTGGGCGATCTTGAAGACAAACTCGGCAATACCTTCTCATCTCAGTTGAACGGCCACTCGGCAACACGCATCTATTTCAAAGGTATCCACATAAACAATGGAGATGAACTGACAATTGAAGGGACTCCCGACGGGGCGGAGCCCGCACCGTTAGATTATGTGTCCATACTGCCTGTCGGCGTTATTGATTAACATCATAACACCCTGTAATATAATACCACTAGTGAATCATGGATCAATGCGACATATACAGTAGTGTAACACTGAGAAGCAGCTGAAGCATTGTTGATATATGGGCCCTGAGCTGGATATAGGACAGTGACCCTTCAATCACACTGTTCTTATTCTTTTGCCATCCAGCTCTTATTCAGTCTTCGCTACGTTGGCAAACAAGATGCATTGCTGAAAATGTGGCCTATTAGTTTATCATAACTCGGCTGGCAGCTACATAAATAGGTACTTAGTGGGATATCCAATTCATGCCCCCGAATGAACGGATCAAAGATATGACATAACATGATATGCGGCAATATGGGGAGGCTTGACTCTTCGGATCGAATTCCTAGCTTCAAAGGAACACATCTAACTCCATTGGCACTCGCTCATCCGTTGATCATTCGTTCAGCCAGTACTGATCGAGATGGCTTTTATCTCGCAAATCTGATTTTTTTCCCTGAATGATACCGCGTGCCTTTGTCTACCAACCAAAAACATTTTGACGATAGCGTGAGGTCTAGTATAATCGCGTTCTCTCGGACAAGCCCCACGAGAAATGTTCCCCGGGTGCTACAGGTCGTTTTTGCTGTAAGCTTTCAGGCTCTATGGTCCAGACTTTGGGGGCACCCATTGCTTGATAGCCTGGTTTAGGAGCGGTATTCTGCTATAATTCATCACCGATAGGCTTTCTTCAGAAAGAGCGGTCCATGCATAGGTGTTATACGTGGATTTTGTTAATATTACAACCGGGTACCGTTTGCTACAAACACCGGCATTTGATAGATACATCCCAAGGTACATACGCGACAGGATGAGTACCTCCGATTCCCTTCTCATCAGAACATTCCAGCTTCAAGTCAATGCTATTATGGCAGCAATAAGTCTGCTCTGCACACAACCAAGATTCCAAAAATTGTAAGAGTTTCCTTCCAAACGCCCTTTTATCAATGATATGATATTATTGTTCTGTTCTTGGATCCGTTCAAACCTGCGGGACCCGTCTAAGGCTTCCACAACTGAACACTCCTCATTGATCGGCGAACCTTTCGATCTCGCTTGTTGAAGAGAATGGATGAGTGTTTGAGGGCCGTAGTGCCGCACTGCACGGATCGGATGGCAGAGTTGTTGCCGTAGGGGCAGGCCATTCCAAGAGTGGTCTCGTATCGAATCGCATCAGCTTAAGAAACAATTAGTAGATTTTCATTTGCCTAGCCGTTTCGGGATTCGATAATCACCGGTATTGAAAGTGGTGTTGACGACAACGTCGGGTGCACCGCTCGCACAAATGCATGATGCATACCCGTAGGTTTCAGTGTCATTCTTGGTGAGACCTAGAACGCAGTCTCTGCAAGTTGTGTTGAAGTTGCCGTTACTATGGAGCCGAGGCACCATGTCAGTACCATTGGATCGTCCGAGGTTTAGAATGCATGACAAAGGAAGCCATACGTAAGACCAGCAGGGAGTACAGTGCCGTAGGAGTTGGCAAAGCACGGAACAATGTTCAGCTGTTCACAGCGGCCATTGCAAGAGGCTTGGATGACGACACCCTGAGCTCCGACATTCTGAATGTCCAGGAGGCTGCAGAACTCCAGGTACGGGCTAGCCAAAATGCCCGTTGCAGCAACAATGGCGAAAGTGAGGCTGAAGAGCATCTTCATCTTGGGCTTTGCGGAGAAGAAGGATGGTACGCTGGGACGATCGGGGATGGTGGGACGATGAAGAGAGCGAGCGGCTTGGAAGTTATTGCGCAAGTGCTACGAGTGTGGTGTGGAGTGTTGTGGTGAGCAGTTGGTTGAAGAAGAGAAAACCGTAGATCAGAACTTGAAGTGCTTTGGCATCGAGCTGTGACTTATTGGGTTTCGATAGAGCAACTGCAGAGGGAAACCACGAAGGTGCATACATTTTACTACTGTGGGATGTTATTGTTAGGCGTACATAAAACATGCACACTCCCCATTCGTACCTTCCTGGTTTCGCTATGGTTCCTGATGATTAGATTAACTATACTAACTAGTCTGGAACGCACTTCACCTACTTGCTTGCAATGTTAAAAGCCGCCATTCAGTCATTCTCTTCTGGAGTGTCCTTCTCGACAAGAGCCACAATGGATACTTCTAATGGATTATCGCCATTGTATTTTGTATGTGAACATCACACAACTAAAGAGGACAGGACAATGACATGCAAGCCTAAGCTTAATGCGAGCATAAGTCTTTAATATGGATGGAGTCGGCTAGTAATACGATTTTTGACTTTATCTTTACCATACGGAGAGATCGCGAGATCGAATCATTGGCAACCAAAAGGTGCGCCTCAGAGATTTGCTTTGACGAAAGCCTCCTGAGGGTTTGATGTAGAGTGCAGCTCCTTAGCAAGTAAGTCTGCAACCCCCTCAGCGACACCCCAGCTGAGTTCGTAGCCTCTTCCCCCTAGTCCATAAGCATGAATGACACGCTTTCCATTGTGCAATTTTTCTGTCTCCAATCGTAGACCACCTTTCCGAGTAGGACGCCTTCCCACAATGTCTTTAATAACCGTCATTTTGCCTTCCGTTCCAAGGATTGCAGGATACGTCGCCGCGAATTTCCTCAGGAGGGTTTCCCTCACCTGTGACGATGGTTCTGGGTCCCAATTGTCAGGTTCTTTCGTGCCCCCAATGATTGTGCCTCCCTCGAAATTTCGAGGTACAGAAAAAGTCCAGGATCCATCAGCATTTTGGCGCGTGACCGTCGCAGGGCATGAGTTAGCAACCAAGCATGTTTGTCCTAAGAGTTTCAGTACCATCATCGTAGCGAGCACATGGCCTCGGCCAGCAGAAGCAGCTACTCACCTCTTGTAACAATCATGTTGCCGTCGTTGAAGCCAGCGCCGGAGCAGTTCACGACAAAGTCCACTTTTGCGACTTCCTTCATGGTGAAGACCTCTGCGGGGTCTCGGATTTCTTGCTTCAGCACCTTGCCTCCACGAAAACCAAACCTTCGCAGAAGGAAGCTACAATATACCATGGGATTTACACACCAAGTATCATATGTGAATCCCAATTTTACTCTGGAATCGGGAAACTCTTCTGGTTTGAGCAAACGAAACCCAGCCAATCCCATGGTGCTTGCCTTAGCTTCCGTGAGTGCCTGATATGCCTGACTAGGGGCCTCAAGATACTCGATGCCGGGCATCAAGGTGATACCAGCTTCCGAATTATTTCCTTGAAGCTTCAACATCTTCTCGAATGTATGCAGCGCCATTTGGTGTTCACGTTGTTCCACTAGATTTGTTGGCGGCACCCAACGATTGTGCGCACCTCCCCATGGTGAGGTATAATTAATCTGTAGCCGGGGATCAATGGTCTCGAAGGGGCCTGGGAGATCACGAGCAACGATTGTAACCTGTTGGCCGTCCTCTTGCAGCCTCAGCGCAACGCTGAGACCGATGACTCCGGCTCTGTGACGCAGATTAGTCTTGAAGCACTGTTTCCAGATCATGTAAAAGTTACCCGATGACAACAATCTGCACCATCCTAAAATTCTGGTTCACAATGTTTTGCAACTCAAAAATTATTTGGATGACTGTAATTTTCACACTCAGTATTCCCGAATACTGAGTGACGCGATAATGGCCGTTGTGATGCCGCATAGCATAAGCACCGGCCATCGGAGTTTGGGGGTGGGGCAGTTATGTTATTGCATTACTACCCATGCAGATTGTTTATCATCATGCAAAAACAGCTTGCTGTTGTGATGATCATGTTCTTAGGTATTGTGGTTTATACCATCATTTCATAACGTCGGGGTTCTTTGTTAGCATGTGATTTGAATTGCGCAATTTTATCATTTTTGTAGTGTTCTCACATTTAAGAACCATGTCAATGCTCAACTCTCAACAGGAAACTTCGACATATTTGTAAGATACCCACAATTATGGACTATAAAATATTATGTCTCTCATGTGATTACCGTCTGCAAGTGTATCGAACAGTGTAACATACGTAGCCCTTGATCTTTGGATCATCCCGCCGAGCCAATGCTTCCTGCCTTTGCGACAGTAGCAAAGCTTATTGACCATTCACGACTTTGTATGCCACGATATTCAGCCCCCCCACACAGTTGGCGAGACTATTGTTGTTGATGTGAAAACTGGGAGGTTCAATGCATTCCTCATCAGCATAGAAATTGACCGTCTTCCCCGGCACAATACTACCACTCTTTCTTACTGATATCATAAAGTTAAGACTGATGAGTTCGCAGCCCGTCTGCGGTGCCTTTCCAGTGATCGTCAAATATTGACCGGTACACAGTGTGTCACGGAATACCATGAAATTCCAGTCCCAATCGTTGCTTACTTCTCGCTTGTCCGGAGCATTGGTCGTGTGGTTGACAAACATGTCTACCTTGGGAGGGTGAGCAAGGTAAGGATGTGCGGCTATAGTGTATGGGCAGATCGCAAAAGCGATGATGATCGAAATCCACATTTCCAAGGCTTTCTGGAGAGTACTATGGTTATCTGGTTGTCGTGATAGTGTGAGATGTGCTTGTTTTGTGGGGTTTTATGATATTGGTAGGTAATGCTTGTTAAATCGAAGTCTTTCCAGCCTCAAGCAACCCTCCTTTATATTTGTCTTAGTCAGTGTGGTTATGTATTTGGTGTGTTTGTAATGATGTTGTCTGCGGGTTTTTTAATCTCTGGTTTAACCTGGAGGTTCGTGATTCACACGGATTTCCGATTGATACTGTTGCATCTGATGGTATGACCAGCAGTTTTTCGAGCCAGTAGTAGCTCTTCCTAACAGTAAAATTGGGCAACATGCTGAGACGAACTCCAAATTATATATATACATTTTTTGTGTTTCTGGCAACCGCAACAAATCTGCAAGATCAGGCGTCATGTTCCGAATAGTCCTCTCGGTGTGAATCTCGACCATGGTTTACATCTGCTTTATTAGCAAACCAAGTCAGTAGTCCTGTGGCGAAAGCCTTACTACTTATTGTTGAATATATAATTTCAGTGCCCCGGTAGAAACGTAATAGGTGGACCAGTTCAAATTTGAATTGCACAGTAACTAATGAATGCCATCCACGAAGCATCACATATAAGTTGTGCGAGGTTAGTAATACATAAGTATAAAAATGTAGACGGTCTGTAGATCCAGCATAGTAGGCTGGGGCAGATGCTCAACCCCAGGTATGCATCTTTCACTTGGCCAGAACGTGCGACTACATTAGCCAAGCTCAATAGGCGCGTTGGTCGGCTGTTCACAGACCTCATCTCGCCGGTCCACAAGGCGCTCACGCTTAACTTCACACTAGTTAATAGTCTTGGAAATGAAGATTACCATTGCCGGGCTTTACTCCATTTTTCAAGCTTCAAATGTGGAAAAATGCAAGAAGACGGTGAAGACGCCAAAAGGGATTTCGACAACTTCGTCCCACCAAAATCATGATTGCCGCCGGGAATATCCAATGGACAGGGGTATTGGTCTCGCCCGCCAACCACCGCCTGCAGTCGCCTTAGTAGTCGGGCGAATCAGCGACAACATCACAGCACTTCTACGCGCCCTCCACACACATCCAGCAGAAGTGACACCCATGTCAATAGCGGAAATCGCGTTATTCTATTTTCGTCATGGCAGCGAATAAGAGTTGTTTGCTTCCACTTCCTGATATGACAGATGGGGTCCCGCGTGTCGAACTACACATGCAGGCACTTGCAGGCGGTTGAGAGGACCAGCAACCCCCACCAACCACATGTCTGCGTTGAGCGCGCAGTCGTTGGCCTACATATCAGGTCCGCGAAATGCGACTGAAGAATGGGCCACTCAGCGCCGCCGGTGATGCAGGGCTGGGTTGGGGTTCAGCATCTCTCTCGGCGTCTGTGGTAAGGTAATGTTATAATGTGGGAATGTATATACAATTCTTTGTACGCTCCACCGACCCCTCGTCGCTGAAGTGCCGAACGAAGTTTTCTCCTTCAGTTCTGTCCATTTGCTGGTTTGACTTGTAGCAAGTTGTCTACGGTCTTTCCATCGTGCGTCGAGGATCTGTAGTTCCTCCGCTTGTATTTTGTAATCTTTCAATTGAGTCGCGGTGGCATGTTTTGGTAAGAGGTCAATCTACGAATTGCAACGAAATCACTCGTCTATACAACTAGAAAGTAGTGACTTCTACGCAAGCCGGTTCAAAGCAAGGCCAAAGCATTTGGGGTGATATCGAAGTCAAGACATCAGGCAGCATGTCGCCAACCGCAGGACCCTCCGGAGGGTCGTTTTCTCTCTTTCCTACCACGAATCCAGCGAAACCGCCGTCTAGGAAGACGACCCCACGACCTCGAGCGGCCTCGCCCGAATCTCTGGGGCAGGAACATGGCCAATCCTTTGAAATGACACCCCCACGGCATGGAAGAAGAACGCCAGAAGACCTCTCGTTATTCGTGATAGATGGGTCGCCGCAGCCCGACCAATACGTCGAGGGACCAGCTGTAGCACAGCCTGTCGCTGTGGAAGATGCGCCGCAACGAACAGATACGGCGTTTTCTGCTGCCACCACCCTGGCACGAGGAAACAGCACTCGATCCAGAAGCTCAATTGCAAAGAGGCCTTTTGAGGATGTCCCTGAATCATCTTCCAGGGAAGAACCAACTGGTTTTCGATCTATATTTCCACAATATGATCACACATTGCCATTCAACCAGCAGGACTACTATCCAACACAAACGAGTCCGAGCCATATACCACGGCAAGTAATCAGTAGACAATCGCATATGCCGCAGAACTCTGAAAGCCGAAGCCCGCCGGTCAGGAGTCCAGTTAGGAGTCCTATGAGCGCTGAGTCGGGACGGAGATGGCCACCAAGACAGCAAGATCCGCCCGTAATCCCGCCAGTAAGCACCACAGACGACCTCCGGGACTACTGGAAAGCGGCAAACGGGTGGAAAGCAACGCAAAGCGATGGCAGAACTTTCTGTTTGAAACTGGAGCCTGAGAAGGACACACCGATATACTATCTGTCTTCCCAAACGCAGCCTTTCTACCACATGCGCATTGTTCCAACATCCGCTTCAGCATATATTACGCTAAGCCGTCATGATCCTGCGAAGCCGTTCAAAGAGCGGGACCCCGGGGCAGATGCAAGCCCCAAAGGCATCCTGGCGGCACTTAGGGAGCCCGACAAAGCAAAGACATGGCATGAGGCCATCAATACGACTCTCGAGGAGGAGTCGAGACGCTTACCCCCAGAAGATGGTCTTGTTGCGCTCCTCTACCCCAGCGCAGCGACGAAGATGGCCCTCGACAAGCCTGGTGACATTCAAGCCGTCATGACAGCGGAGCGCGAATGTGCACGCCTCGTCTGGGATGAAGACATCCAAAACTACTTTTTGGTACATCCAGCCTTGGCCACTCCTTTCTGCATCACAGTCGAACGGAACCCAGCTTGGAGCCGGACTGAATACACCCTCGAGCACATTGAGTCGCCGCAACACCTGGCCAAGCTGACCCGCAATGGTACCGGTGAGGGCTGGATGGAGCTCGATACCCTCATCGCCAGCCGGATAGAAGCCCACTATATTCTCGACGTTGCGGTATCAGCTCTGCTCATCGTCGCCAACTTCGATGAGAAGAACAACCACATAGAGACATTTGAGCCACCACCAAACTTTCCACCACCGGCGCATATGCGCGAGTCCGGGCGGGAGAGCAGAACTAGCCTTGCGTCGAGGCTGACTGGCGGTAAGGACAGCAAGAAGAAGAGGAGACGTCACAAGCTCGAGGAAATGGAGATGGACCTCGAGAGCCAGACAAGCAGTCTCGGCAAGCAGCTCGAGGTCAAGGATAAAGACAAGCTACCGAGCACGACGAGGACGGTTATCAAGCTGATCACGTTTGCATTCAAGTGCTTCATCTGGGCACTGACGCTCGCGTTCAAGGCATTGGTGGCTGTCGTCGCTGGCTTGAGCAAGTGCCTGACAAGTGAGAAGTTGTGAGTTGGGTAGACGTAATGATATAATGATGGATAGGGTCTGGGTAAATGGACGAGGACATGGGAACTAGTCACTAAGATAGTGTGGATTTGGATACCTAGTTGCTTGCAGGCGGCAACTTTTTTGCATCCCTCTGGTATATATGACAATACCTTTTGAACATGGTCCGGTGTTTGTGACATGGAGCGGAATATGAGTCGGATTGTATATTTAGGTAAATTATTTTCTTTCATGGGTATCATTTGCTGTAGATAGCACTCGGGTGCTCACTATGGTTCGTGGCGAATAGAAAACATTTCATGGCTTTGGATAATTTTAACGCTTCCTCTCGCGGACCTTGAACTTCTTGCCCGTCTTTGTGACACCGCCAACAGTCTGTGTCTTGGCCATCTTTGCTCTCTGCATCTCGAGTTCGTTTTCGGCCGTGGACACGGCTTTGAGCCGCTTCTTGGCAATTGCTAGGCGTCTTTGCAGCTTCAACAGAAGTCTTTCTCGCTGCTCGGCTCGCAGTTTCTTGGGGTTCTCTTCGCCGTCCATGCCCTCGTCGACATCGGCTTCGTCCTCCTGATCCTCCATGTCACCCGCCAGCCTCTCTTCCCGCTCTTCCACACCCTCTGCAAAGACGATCTTCTTGGGCTTCTGACTCACGGGTGCGTCGTCCAGCCAGTCGTCATCGCTCTCGGCGTCGTCTGCCGGCAGTCCCTTGCCGTCTAGACTGCCGCCCATGCCGACGACCCTCTCCTCCAGCTGTTTTACCTCCTTCGTGGCTGTGTTCCGCACCGTCCTCAAGTAACCAACATCCTGTGTCTTGAGCAGCCTGACCTCGTCCACGGACATGGCGCGATTCCCTCTGTCGCCGTCGACGGTTCCGTTCCATCGCTTTCCCTTGGACAGTCGGCCCTGCGGTCCCTGCCGCGACAACATGCCGAAGAAGAACTCATCATCGTTGCGTTCGGAGGCTTTGGCGCGCAGGGCTTTGAGGGTCTTTTGCTTGCGCTTGTGGTCTACTTCACGGAGTTTTCGATCCTGCCAGGCGGGGGAGCGGGTTAGTCAAGGTGTACGATGATGAGTCGGGGGCTGTGTGGGGGACTTGCTTTGGCCTTTTCGAGGATGCCGAGGCGCTGGCGCTCTATGGGCTGAGCACGCTCCCTATGGACGCGCCGATTCACGGCGTTGCGTAGTGAGGACATTTTGGGCGGTTTGTGGTTACGGTATCTATGGTACGAGGCCAATGTCCTCTGGTGGTTTAATCGTTCTTTGGCTTTGGCAGGCAAAAGAATTCTTATCGATAAGACTTAAACTTGGATATCTGAATATTTTTATGGGGTAATGTCATTAGCCTGAGGTATGGTCCGTGCGGGGGCTTTCCAGACTTCCCTTACATGGTTACAGTATTGGTTATAATTACCGGCACGGTCAATCCAACCACTTCCCAATCAATCCACATAACACATTCCCCGTGAGCTACGCCTCTCTTCGGATCGACAAGCCGCGCAAGTTCGTCTACTACACGATATTCGAGCTTGCATTTCGAGATGATGATAACCGTCTATTACATTCTTCAGTAACTCATGATAAACTACAGTAACATTTTAAGTAATACGGTCTTGTAGGTCTTCTGTGCTCTCACTGCTCTCTTCCAAATCGTCAGTGGTTGGACGCAATGCCCAGCGACATGTTGTCAACCAATTTTAATTTATGGCCAAGAGTGGTGTGAGCAACTTCACATTTGAAACCACGTACTGATGAGAGTTGAATTTAAACACGAATGACTGCCAGCATGGTTAAGACGAGTCCATTTATCATTCAGAGTTCTGGAAGCCATAGTAAATCGACTTCGCTATCTCAAATTCGCTATGCCCAAACAAGTCGTACGCTGTGCTTTCCATCATGGAACGACAACAAAAGAACATGCTCGGGTTGGTTGTCGGACTGTCTCATGATCTCAATTTCAACCTCTTTGAGCGAGGTCGCAGTGCCAACCCGACAATATGTTCCTTCTGAGGCGAACACGGCTTCCAAGACCAATGCGGCGAGTGCAGCATCATCATCCCATATCCTCGCTCGCACCATGTCTGACAGGCCTGTATCTATTTGTGCGCCAGATACCGTGTTTTATCGGATGATGTAGAAACGCCTTAGGATGTGCGATTGTCAAGATCTACTAACAACAAAGATGGTCAATGCATGTTAAAATCAGTATGAGAAGCCAACGAACAGTTACTGACCTGATAATTTGGCCCTCTGATATAGGCTGTAATGATAACATGGTGTGATCATGGCTTTGTATTGATTCCGGCCGCCTTCGATCTGAATTGATGCAGATCTTGAACACGAGACATTCTAGAGCTGTGTTTCTGAATAGACCTGGAGTCAGTAAGATCAGACGACGTGACGCATTCGAGGAGCCTGGAGGGGGTCCAGATCACCCTGGTACATGGTTTCCGTGATAAAGATGGGTATTCAAGTTTAAAAACTTCAGGTGTTATATTAAAGAAATTACACAATATTGACGTTGTTTGTAATCTATAAGTACTTTGGTGGTGACCAAGTGGCCCAAAATTTTCATGGCCTTGAGAACGCCTTTACTTGAGAGTCGGTACGCCATCTACAATCATTCACGACATCTTAAAACCACAGACTCCAGAACATAGGAACAATTAAGCGTGGTCATATCCTGCGCCCCTCTGCCAGGGGCTTGAGTTGTTTGGACTCCGCACCTCAGGCGATGGTGGCCCATTGTGACCATTGGTGCTGGCTGGCGGATTTATGCTTAAATGATTCGTAGGTGAATTTCTACCACTCGTCGGGTTCAAAGGACTGTTACGATGAGCATCGGTCGCAAACGGCGATGGTCCGACACGCGTTCGGGAGTCTCGCCACGAACTCCGTGATGGCCCCGAGCCGGCTGTGGACGGTCGCATCGAATGACGATGACCAGATTGAGAAGAGTTGGACTCGTTCTCCCCGTCGTCGAGATCCAAGCCGTGGCCCTTTTCACCCCGGGCAGTGCTGGCGAGTGCATTGAGTTGATCCGCTGCTGACAAGGAGTTCATCGACTTCATGAATGATGCACGCTCGTCGCTCATGAAACGATATCGCCCATCCGGGTTCTCGCGGAAGAAAACGAAAGCAGTCGTTATGATGCAGAAGATTACAAGCACGATCGTTGTGACCGCGTTCAAGATCCAAACGACAACACCGACTATGCCATTGACAATGGCCGGCTACAGACTATGTTAGTAATGTGGTTTTGAGATTTCATTTGTTATTTGACAGGTTCCGAGAAATGATTTACTTACTTGTCCGAAGACTTCAGTGAAGAGAAGCAGGCAAATAGCGTTCAAGAAATTGACAACAGCAATGGTAATGTTGAAACTGTTCATCTTCTTATCCATCCATGGTCGCATCACGCTAGTGGTAATCAGAACGGCTGCCTCGAGAATGATGAAGCCAATAGCTTGTGCAATTCCCGCATCCTGACCTAAGCCGATGAACATGCCCTTAGCTAAATAGTAGCCGATGATGGGTATTATAAAATAGTATGCTGATGCTCGGAATTGTATGTATAGAAATCCCCACTTGTTCAGAGCTTGAGGGTCGGAAAACAAGATATAAGCCGGTGTTTTGTGTAAATTTACGGACCGGCGAGCGAGCTGGACCACTTTCCAACCAGCCCAGGCTAGGGCAACTGTGCTGTATAATCTGTAAAAAAAAATTGTGTCAGCCTGGAGACTGGAGGTCATTTGATACCAGGAGGGTGTATGAGCTTTGAAAAAAAAAGAAAAGGAAAAAAAAGGGCAACATCGTAGGTGCGCTTACAGGAAGAAAACAGCCAAGACCATTTCCGCTGGAGAATCGTTCTGGGTGAACTCCCAGAAGCAAAGAATCGTGATAGCTGGGAAACCAAGAAGAGTTATGCGATATAGAACGCCTTTAAGCACGACACGCCAACCATTGCGGAAGTCTTGAAACTTATCGCTCTTGATCAATCCAATTCTCGTCGCAATCTCGCAAAGTCCTTTTGCCGCCACAACGGCGAGGGCCGAAAAGGCAAGAGCAAGGCAGAAGAAGGTAAAGCCGGTCAAGAAAAGATTAGTCGACTCAATCCTGGATCTATAGGCAACGCGTTGCACGCCCGTAACGACATAACTGCCTGATGAATTCTTGATGTTGGTCCGTTTCGCTAGATTTGCCACATGTTCGGTCGAGCGCCCAGGCAACATTGCCAGGGCCCGCTTTGCCAAACCCATAGCAGGCCCGAGGACAGGCAAGGAACGCTTTGAAACTTGTACCGAGATAGTCTCAAGGGTGCTGAACAGTTGTGATGGCGTGCCTCCGGTAGCTCTCTGGTACCATGTAAAGATGTTTTGCCTGTCAAGGGTCAGCCTTTCATAATTCTCGTCGGCAATTGAGCTATTCATAACTTCGCTCATGTGGCCAGGAGGAATATGACGTGAGACAATTAAAACGTACATGAAGCCAACGTTGATAATACCAATACTCCATTGAAAGTCCTGTGTCCAAGCCTGAACTGACGGTGGTAGAGACACCCCAGTGAGCCCAATCATGGCTTGTGCTTGGAAGTAGTTGCACAGAGCCACAGCATTAGCAGCAATATGCGAGGCAGCATTTGAGTGCCCTAAACCGCTGATGATGGCACTGGAGAGCAGTGCCAGACCTATGACTGCTGCAGAGGCCCATTTCACGCCGAGCAGGTCCACAGTTTTCGAGTTCGAAATTCGGGCTTCGAGACAAGCCAGACTCTGACCAACGTTATCTGTGGAGTTTATGTACACCTTGACCGTGGCGTCGAGGTCTGGAAATGAATAGGCTATCGACGGAATCATCCTTGTTGCAGAGGGGCTGATCCGAAGAATGAAGGGAGTTGACGTGTCGCCAGTTTGCATTGGGCAAAACCCAGCGATTCCGTTATCACAAGGGTCAATAACTCTGCGCATAATTTCATAGCCGTATGCTGCGACGGCTATATCAAATACGACATTCCCCTCGATAGAAGAAGTTGCTACCATGTTGACATTGACTCTATTATCGCTCGGGTCGAAAACGACGTCAAACTTGCTTGCCTGGAAACCAGAGTTGTCCTGACATGTGTTGAGACTCGTCGACTGCAAGACATTTTGAGAGGCGACGAGCGCCCCAAGAAAGGGAAGTGCGAACACTTTCGAAATCCTCATAGTGGCGGTTGGCGATACAGCCGCCGCTTGCTCAACAAGATTGTTTCGAGCAACGAGCACTGGCGATGGGCTATTTTGTAATGATTAAAGAACAAACGTTGACGTCAGGCGATAATGATAGACAGTACAAGTCGAAACGAATGATTGATGATGGTCGGGATTAGTGTGTTGCGACAAGCCCGAGAGTAAGAAGGTTTGCTTATCATCTGCAAGCCGGCGACGGGGCGTTAACCTGGGTCAAAAGCAAGCGAGTGAATCCACGTCAATCACTCCATCATTACCTCGAAGGTCGTTGGCAAGACTCTATCATCCGCAACAAGCGATTGAGAAGGGATGAAGAGCTCTTGGTGGTTTGAGGTTGCTATGATGCTCTCTGGTAAGCAGAGAGCGTCTGACGCCAAACTTGACCAATCTCCCTCAGGCGAGATGAGATGCCTGCACATGATAGCCGCTGTCAAGTTCTTGGATTATTGGAATGTGGGTCGCTTTGGGGGGCCCGGACTTCTCCGCATCGAGCCAGACAACAGGGCGCAGTCGCTGCAGCAAATCTTGATTGAACGGTTGAACTCACAATACGAGCTGGCTCCCTGGGTCGTGTTGTGACGATTACGATATGTTCTTCCTCTGCATGAGCCAACCACCATGACCCCGCATGATCATTGCTGTATTCGTGCAACTCTGAAGGATTCAGCCGACCCGACACGAATGCTGCAGATTGGAAGACGCCTAGAACCTCGACCTAGAGTCTGGAGATTTCAATACGATTTCTCCACTGAGTAACATTTGAAGCTCGCCCCGGTCAAGAACGGAGCGTCGGGCCCCAAATATTACGCTTAAAAAATGGCGGGCTGCGCTAAGAATTAGTTCGTCTGCTGCCTAGAGGTCGTCGTCGGAAAAAAGGGGGCCACTTTCCTGTTTCAACCTCAATCACCAGTTTGTCAAACTCAAAAGTATAACCGTTTATGGTAGCAGACGTGTGAAACCAAGTTGAGGTTATTACTTTAACACAAGTTTAGCTAATTACAAGCTCCTCAAGTCAAGCTTTTTCTTAGTCGATGGAAGCTTTTTAGTGCAATATTTCGCTCGAAGCACAGATTGGTGGTTTTTGGGTTGCCCCATTCTATACGACACGGGCATCTTGCATCGGCTATACTGGAAGACATCTACAACTATCACTCAAACGCGGCTGTACGCCACGGAAATTACGACCAGAAAGAGTGGATATGTTTATGGACCAACCGCTTCCATCTCTTGTTTTGACTGGAATGTTCGGCTAGTGACGATCGAGAACTGTTGATGTCCATTTGGCAGCCAAGAGGGCTCTGTGTGATGTAGTCAAAACGTCTAATATTTGCCTGACTCTGGTGTCGCATAACAGAGACCAAGGAACTGTCCGAATTTCACTTGCTCAACATATATTATTATGTATGAATTCCACCTGGTATTTGCGAGGCCACGTTGAAGCGAGACAGTTCGGTCATCAACGAGGTATACATACTTGATGAAACCAACCATTTGATTACGATAAGGCGATATTCTTGAGCAATAGATCTCATACGAGGTTGAAGCGGGCAGTGCTAGGCTAGACCTATAGCAGCCTTTGTTACCAGTTCTATGAAGGATACTGGGGCCCTTGATCTCGCAAAAGTTACTTAGTCTCTCCAGCCTCGTGAAACTTTCGACATCGAACATTGCTATGGTTAAATTGTCAGGCGTAATATAACTCACTTCATAGTTCGGTGTTCTGTTCCAAATATTAAACCTGCTCATTCTCACTTTGACGACATAGGACTCCTTGAAACATCCCGGCCACGGCCTATAAATTAGACCGGTGATAATACACCTTTCCCACAAATTATGCACGGCATTAAGTTCTAACCGTTTTAAGTAGAGCTTCTCTGGACAGCTTAAACATAGATATCTCTTACCTCTAGCATGATAGCGCATCCTTCTTCATTTCCAACTACCTAGGAATCCAAAATGCCTCACGGTTAGAGACAAAGCCTACCTCCGAGACGACATGAGGAAGTCAAGCACATTCACGAAATTTACCCCTTACCGAATCATCATAATATGAGCATGTGTGGTCACAACAGCAGAAGTCCTGGCACAAGTATGCCTAACGAGGTCATCCATCTACCACATTGAAGCCACCGCCTAGCATAGCCTCAATCAAACTCGGGGTCACTTCTTCTCCATCCCACTTTTACCCGGTGGTGTACGAAGGTCATAATTGTTTTCAGATTTACTAATGATCCTAGCTCCCATTTTCAACTGTCGGAGGGACAGGAAAATTAAGGTACATTATTAAAAGATACTAGAAGCCAGTCTGCTTATATATATAAGGCAAGTTTCATTTTTATTATAGTTCCAGATGTTGCTCATCTGTCTCGTGATGGGTGGTGTTCATCTCATATTTCATATTCACACAGAATTAAGCTAAGGTTAAACAACTTCCTCTATTGATCTGTCTAGAATTGGGTTTTGTTCCTTTTACTTCTTTTTATCCTTGGTTTTTCTTCTCCTCTCACAGTCCCTTGGCCTCCAGGACTGGTGCCTCCTCCGGTACACGGGTGGGACGGACAGATATGCCTATGATCCCAGCGATCATAGCCTCCAGGGTATCATTATCCGCTCTACCAAGGCGGATAACACCATCGGCAGGCGTTGGTGTGGTGCCCGTCATGGGCAATGGGAGGAGTTCAGCAATATACGTCTCCCACTGTCTCAGTTCCTGATCCTCTCTTTCTTTATCGCGCTTCTTGAGCGCCATGATGATGTCCATTATCTTCTGGTGCTTCATCGCCTGGTCAGCCATCCAGTCCTCGGCGTGCTTGATCAAGGCTCTTGCTTCGTCGGAGATGTCAGCCTCTCTCTCGCGTTTGTCCAGCTCCTTCTGGATCGCCTCTTGATAGATGGTCTTTGTTTGTTTCCAGATCTTTTGCTCCTGCTGGATAATTGGCAGGCACTTTTCCTTGATCTTCACAATTCCCTTTTCCACCCTGGTCTTCATCTTCTTGCTCCATTTCTCGTTCTCGATGAGCTCCTGTTTGATGGTGCTTCGCTTTCCGGCTACCTCGTGTTTTTTGCACTCGGTAGGGTCCTGAGATGAGAGCCAGTCCGCCTCCTCCTTTATTGCAGCATCACGTTCGGCAGGATCGATAATGAGAGTCGTAATGTCGCTGTCGCCTATGGCGATTTGTGTGCCTAGAAGGCGCGGCGGCTTGGGATGGTAATACTTCTTGGCTATCTCGTCCTTGTATCTCTCCATGATTTGCTCTGATTTGGGGTAGATATGTACCTCATGGGAAAGAACGATATCGCAGTTGGGTGGAAAATGGAACTTGATGCCATCAATGAAACAATATCGCTTGGAACCGGGAAAGTGCAGTTCAAATCCATTCTCGCCGTAAACACCCTTAGGCTTGAGATTCTCAGGATACCAGAACCAGTAAGACCCCTTGCACGTGATGTGTAGCTCTTCGTACGGGGTTTTAATGGGCGGGCAGCGCTCACAATGGATGGGGTGCTGCTCGATAGATTTGATATCGATCTCCTGATACTCAACCTCTTTAGGCTTAACCGATGGGTGGTTCTTACGATAGATGATGGTGTTTTCACCGTCTCTCAAAAAGTCCCATTCTTCTCCGAGTCGCAGGACAGCAATCGCGACTTCTTTAGTATCAGTCATAAAATATGTTCGTGTCAATCCACCAGGAAATTGGATTAGGCGATCTTGGACAATCGGCCTAGCGTTACTTGGAAAGTAAAGTTTTGTCCCTGAGAAATCAAGTATTTCCACGGGGTAGGAGCCAACATCAAGCGTACTTTGTGTTATCGAGGAACCTGGAGCGACCAGCTTTCCCTGGGCCGTCATGACGCTTTCCATATCCTCGATGTACGCATCACGCTTGGCGTTGAATTCTTCCGTACGGACAATCTCATCCCCTTTGATGTGATAGCACATACGCCAGCCCGTCGGTAGCATAACAGTGGTGGGCCCATAGGCAGACTGAAATAACTTGACTTGTCCCTCGCTGTTTCCGAATAGGATGTAGCTGCTACTTACAACACGTTCGAGGTCACGGGGAAAGAATATCTTTACTCCTCCTTTAATGGCGACATGGTCTTCTGCTATATCAAACAACAGATTCTCAGCGGAGTACTCATTTACGGTACTATCGTCTGTACGAAATATTCCAGTTAGCTGAAGCTTTTGTACAAAAAAGATCATTGACAATTATGCCGATTGCTCTGTTTAACTCGGAGGATAAAATGCGTAACCATAAGCAGCAATGCGGGTAATCGTAAGAAACAACATAGTCGTGGAGGTGGAGGTGGAGGAATAGCAAAAGCTGTAGGGTCGAAGCTCCATTCTTGGAGATTGATAACATATAAGACAGGCAACCTAAGGGCATTATCTTACCTGTATAAGAGGCTTGGGTACTACTGCCTGTTACATGTATTGTGCAAGCTTCTCGGAACATATCTCCCTGGATTGCGTTGACATCCGGGGGAGTGAACTGATCCGGTTTGCCAAGGCAAACACTTCTGCCGACTTTGTTGCACTTTCGCTGCTCAATATCACCACTGAGACGGACCCGGTCGAGCATCTTCCATGAAGGTGGATAGATGTGAACTTCGTTGCCATCATAGAGAATGTCGTGACCGGTAGGCGGATGCATGGTGATGTCGTTGACCGGCATAGAATCGAGAGAGTTACTGAAGACTACCCTTTTATCCTTGATGGACGGAGGTAATATGTCTGAGGGGTAATATATGGTAACATCGCGGATCATGAGCTGATTCTCTTTCTGACTGAAAGGTTGCGGTCCCATCGCCCTTAGTTTTTCTGCGGAAGTAAGGCTTTTCGACGCAGCTTGCGAGTCAGGTGATTCTAGAAATCGTGCCATAGCTCGGAGATCCATTCTACCGCATGCAAACTCGCATACTTGTATGCCGTCAGAAACATAGCGGATTTTATTACCCTTGTCTAGGACTAGCTTTGCGTTGCCTTTCTTGCAAAGAATAGACACAGTATATCCCACGCTGGTTTGACCGTTTGTTTGAGTCGTTGTGAATGTGATTCCATCGGGAATCCTCTCGGCCTTAAGGTAGTTGGGAAAATACAACTTGGTACCCTTCAAGTAAACGTGTTGCGCTCGAGCGTCTATCTTTAGGTGTTGAACGGCCCTGTCGTAGGCTTGAACCAGAGTGAGGTCTTTGCATGCTATCTTCAGCTCTGAAGAAAATGGCCAGTCATCCTTCTCTCGACATCCGGCAGAAGCACGAGACTTTAGGCGGTAAACTTTGAGAGAATCCCCATCATTCTCGACATTCATGTCAGCAGAAACCCGCAAATCAACCTGGCGCCAAAAGATCTCATGATCCATAACGCAATTCGGAAACCTGACGCGATTACCAATCACCACAGGCGGAACGTCGCGTGGAAAGAAGATTGCGGTATCACCGACTGTGATACAGTCTTCATCCGTGGACATCACAGCCCCATCGAATGTGGTTGGAGATTTATTACCAATCGAAGCCCGAGCCGATACGGATTGGCCAGGCTGATTAGCGTTTGCAGCCATTTTGGTTTCGGATTCCAGTTTGCGGAATTCTTGTGTTGTATTATTGTTGGAAATGTTGTGTGGATGTAAGGTGGACTGGGGGCTGCCTAGAGTTGCGCTGGGGAGTCGAACCGCAAGTACTGCGTCAAAATAAGCTATTAGGAATACGAGAGAAAGCCAAACAGAGTAAGTAAACCAAAATTTACCTTCTGATTTCTGAGAGGAAGAAGAGTTGCTCCACTTGCTGTTCTTGCTACTTTCTCCAGAGTATTCCTCAATGGTGAATAGTCCACCAGAAAGTGGGCACAGCTTTGCTGGCAATTGTAAGCGCAAGTCGTCAATTTGGGGAAATGATATATCAGTTGCCTTGTGAAGAATTAAGAGGTCGAACTTTGCCATATTGGCCAGAATTTCCCCAAAGCCAGAGAATACGTGTACCTTGCTGGTAGTGCCCGACGAGCTTCTTGGTGCCTGCTTCACCTTCTACTACGCCTATAACAATGTCAACACTGTGTCGTTTCCATATTTGTTCAATAAATAAGCTGAAAAACTTATAGACGTTTGGGGCGTATCCACCAAGCTTCCAGTCTGTAGCTGCTATGTTCTGGGAAGCCGCAAAATCTGCCAACTTCAGTGTCTTGTCATCGGGACACTGAGCCTTCCAGCTTTCGTAGAAGAAATCTAGGTCGGTCGAGTCAGGTTGGACGATTCGGAGGCCGCCGTGTGGGAATGCTTCACGGAAGTGATCATCCAGATTTGGGGACATTTTGAAGTGAATGGCAACGCTAATGCCTGCCAGCAAAGGAGAACAAAGCAAGAGATAGGGAACGGAATGAATGAGGCTGAAGTGGGATTCTGGTGAGCGGATGAGAGTAATTGTGTAGGAGTTTCTTCCTCAAAGCTTTTCTGCGTGCCTATCGTGGAAAAAAAAAAAACACGGAGAAGCATGCAAGCTACACCCTAATAAAGGGTTTCTGACCCATTTGTGGCTGGTAGTGCTGTGACCTCGACGACATCATGGTGTGGTGACCTCGACGATGTCGTAGTTCAACAGGGTTTCCCTTTCACGGCGTCATCTACTAGATCTGTCCAGTGTCGGACAAGAACCTTCATAGTGAAGTCAAACTTGTATTGGGGTTTTAAATCTGTGCTCATAAAACAAGGTCAGCCACTGGAATATGATCTCATTATAGATCACTGCAAGGACAAAGAAGACCTAGTTTTCGACCTTTTGTATTTGATACCAAGCAAGAACCTCGCCTAATGTGCAGGGGCTGATTTATGCTTCCATAGTATAACTACCCCCTTCAGTCTGGTTTGCCGTATGGTGTTCACAGATATTGCCTTCTTGAAACTGGGATGTTCCCTCCAAGGTGCCATCCACACAAGTCTAGTCACACCTTTAGTTGTTATACCAAAGCCGGATAGCTCTTCCTCCAACAAGTGATTTTTTGTTATCGTTAAAACAAAATCATATTACCAACAGTGGGTTATTCACCACCACCGGTCGTATTCTATCTCTAGAGTTGGAATTGTGCCAGTGCATTAGACTAGACCATCTGTTTCACTTTCTGGTCGGATCTTTTGCCCCTGCTTATTGACCAAGATGAGAGCGCAGCAGTTTGGTCCCAAATGTTAAATCAATCCAGTGCAGCTTTATGGTTCTCTACGGACAGCGAACGGACCGGTCTTGCCATCAATAATTCTCTCCATCTCCATAATTTCAACCCCTCAAACACGGCACGCCAAAACTCCAATGCCAAAGTCATGAGTTCGAGTCCCTGGAAGACGATACGAAAAACCTTACGCTTTACTATTTGGGAGCGTCAATCAAATGATTGTCGTCCCTAGCTCTTGCTAAAGCCTGTTGTATTCGATCATTCTCCTCGGCTCTGATCCTGCTTCTTGCAGATTCTAACCTCTCGACACCTGCGTTGATTGTCTCGATGTGCACGCTCAATGGAATGCTCGCCTGGTCGGCTAGCAGCTCGGGCGCTGCAACGCGATCTCTCAAATCGCTCAGCTTCGTCTGGATGTCTCCCAGATCATGCACCAACCCCACAAGCTGCTCAACCGCCGAAGTCCGCTGCGATTCGACCGCTCGCAAGAGTCCCAGTTGGGCTCGCAAGTTGTGCAGGCGGCGGTTGTTAGCCCCGACAAGTGTCCACAGCGTCCAGAAGACTTCGCTTTTCTTCTCCTTGACTTCGTTGCCAGAACGCACAACGTGCTCATTGATGAGCTGCAGGTGATTCTCGGCTTGCGTAAGCTGTCGTAACACAGCTTGAGCCTCGACGATCAAGTTAGCTATCTTGTCGGAAACCAGTGCCGTGTGCTCCACATATTTGTCGAGAAGCAAGCGCTCATCGAAAACAGCGGGTTGGAATGGCGAGAACAGCCAATCAGTCACTCGAGATAGTGTGTTGTCGTGCGCTGCTCGTTCTGCAGATATGGAGTCAATGTAGCGTGAGGTCCAGCGGTTAATGGATATGACAGAATCGACTGCGCTACCAACGTGAGTATTGAAGCTTAGAAGGTCGTTTGAAATGCCTCGCATGGATTCGATATAACCGTCGAATTCATAAAGTAACTCGTCACGTGCGGGGAGATCCTTCTCATATTTGATGATAGTGCGGAGATCTCGCACAGCTGCTTCTGATCTTTTCATTTCCATAGGCAGCGAAACACCTGATGCAGATGTCTCGAGAACTTTTTCGAAATCGGCTTGCACATTCATGAGTTCATCAAACTCAACCGGACCCGAGCCCTCCTTTCCAGGAACTGACGGCAAGTCTGGACAGAACGGCAAATCCAGTAACGATACGCCTGGGATTCGGCATACCGGTGATAAAGATGTCGTGATCGAGTCCTTGATCATGTTCCTGGCAATGATTCCAGCACCAAAGGTGAGATACGCTGCTAGAAGAATGGCCAGCGGCCATTTTGCGTAGCGCAAAGCCATGCCAAGCACTGATAGACACCAAGCTGCAGTTTCGAATAGTGCTCCGGGTAATGCATACGAAAATCGCTCCCACGGCGTGGGCGTGCGATATTGAGAGTCATGTGAGTCGTGCCTCCTTAAATTCCCCTGTCCATTGTCGTAAGATCTCTTCTGATGACTTCCACTTTCCTCCTGTCGATAGCCACGACGGCGAATAGCGTGTAACTCATCCGTGTTTGGGCGGATGGTTGATTTTGATGAGCGATTGCCCCTTCTCGGGCTTTCAACTTCCACCTTGGGCATAAAGAACTCAGGCACTGGTGTGCGTTCTTTATCGGCTGATGCTAGTGACGGATGGAAAGGGGATCTTAGAATGACCTGGTCCTCGTCTGCATTCGTCGCAAAGTCGCGAATACTATCCTGAGACCCTATGCTGAAGTCCTGAGATGGGATGGTTCCTTGCGATTGCGATGGACCACTGGAGATGATCAGATCGTCCTCGTAGGGATCTTGTACGATGGAAGTGTCGAAACTATCGTTCTCACCGCCCTCGACCATACGCCAGGAGCTCTCAAAGGGCAAACTTGCGTAGCTGCTTTTCTTGCTTGGTGACATGTTTCACTCAGCAGGATGTTGACATATAGCCTTTACCAGACTTATGCCATCAACGATACGTCGCCTTCACGACTTTTGCGAGTCAAACTGTTCTTAGTCTGGAGGATAGAGACTAGTAAAATAATTCTGACTTAGAGCACAGAATGACCGAGATTGTGAAGATCAAGTCGCGTTGAAAGCAGTTCTGAAGCGCGTCGCACGCTAAAGTGGCGAAAACGTTGTTGCAGATATGGAGACGGAAGTGTTTATTTATATGCCGAGCTAGCAACGGATGAGCCTCGAGTACAAGGGTAATGTGATATTGCATACGCGATGACTCATAGAATTCCGGGGATAAGAGTGAATCGGGACTCGAAAATAGTTGCTATGGAGGAATAGGCAGGGCCTGTTGCCTTGCGAATGTTCATAAAGTGATTGTTGAATGCGATGCGAGTTGAAGGCAGCGGCCCGTCGCGATATGACGTTGTTCGATACAGGTTTACATAATCCGGATGTAGTACCATATGACTGGGCGGACCCCTGTCACATGAGCTCGATATCAAACTGCTCTTACCATGTTCGACATAGTGCACGACGTGTGACAGGGGTTAGGAGTTGCACTAGACGGGGTTAGGCTTTTACAGGCAGAGAACGCAACAGAGCCTGCGCCAGTGCCTGCACCTGCACCGTAGCCTGCGCCAAAGATTCAATCGAGGGTATTCTGCTGTCCGGCCAGATGCCCACCCCTTATCTGCTACGTACATACTACTATGTATGTATATATGTACCTTCCCCAGTAACTTTAACAAATACCGTATTCCCGACAAAGGGGACTGCCGCCCCCCTTCGCCCCCCGGACAAACTCTAAGCACGTAAAACACTAACCCTAACTAACTAGGTTTACCAGTTCTTCTAAAACTGTCAACCATCGCGGTTACGGAATGCCATCCGGCGTGTTCGAATTTGAGCTTTGGAGGTGAAGATAAGCACGGGTCAGCACGGACCAAAAGCGTATCACGGACTTTATTTGTTGTACAATCCCGACCGGGGGAGGTAGATTAGCAGAAATGGGGTGGGCATCTAGCACGACTGATATTTTGGCTCTCTATGGGTGACGCGGAGCGTTTTGGACTGTGAGCTTCCCATCCTCATGGTTCGCAACAGCCACATACCATGCATAGGATGTTGTTGAGGAGGATATCGCGGTTGCGCCCTGCAAGATCATCGGGGTCGTTACCTAGAATATATCGCAACGGCCTCTCATTGACGCAGAGATCATGTTCGTCATGCGCGACCGCAGGGACACCTCCCAAACCTGCAGCAGACCACCGGCAGCTCGGTTTGCAGCAAGAGCTCTTCACGACCTCGATATACAGCCCCGGCTCGCCCATGTTTCTGCCCAATGGCGCAAAGATATTCAATCGCCTTGTCGAGTTCTTACGGAAACAGTACATTCGTTACGGCTTTGACGAAGTAATTACTCCTACCATCTACAAGAAGGCTCTTTGGGCCAAGTCAGGCCACTTGGACAACTACGCCGAGGATATGTTCACAGTAACTAGCACATCCCCATCGCGAGCAGATGCCACCGAGAATGGAGAGGAAGACGAGTACGGACTCAAGCCGATGAACTGCCCAGGCCATTGCCTGATCTTTGCCTCTCAGCGCCGAAGCTATCGAGACCTCCCCATCCGATACGCCGACTTCTCTCCACTCCACAGGAACGAGGTTTCTGGAGCACTGAGCGGATTGACTAGGGTCCGCCGATTCCACCAAGACGACGGCCATATCTTCTGCAGACCGTCACAAATCGAAGAGGAAATCAGAAACACCCTCGACTTCGTGCGAGTAACATACAAAGTCTTCAAGCTAGGGCCTTACCGTCTCGCGCTATCCACCAGACCAGCCGACCACTTCATCGGCTCTGCCCAGGATTGGGATCGAGCTGAGGGCGCTTTGAAAAGAGCACTTGATGCCTCGGGATTAGAATGGGGTATTAATCAAGGCGACGGTGCATTTTATGGCCCCAAAATCGACATCATTCTGAGAGACTCTGACGGAAAGGAACATCAAACCGCTACGATCCAGCTCGATTTCCAGTTGCCGAAGCGGTTCGAATTGGAGTACCAGGCGCCAGCACCGGAGCTGGAACAGAAAGGCGAGGTCACTACCGATGCCGCCAGGCTGGCCGAGTCGGGCCCGGTCACACCCGTACTTATCCACAGAGCTGTTCTGGGCTCCGTCGAAAGATTGATGGCCTTGCTGATTGAGCATTACAATGGGAAGTGGCCATTTTGGCTGAATCCTAGACAGGTCATGATACTTGTGGTAAATGATAGCGAACCGGTCCTTGATCTGGCGTATACAACTCGGAACCTCTTGTTGGGTATTTCTGGGTCAAAGAGCAGCGATGATGGCCCAGTGTCCAATGCTACTCAGATATCCGTCGACATAGACGACAGAAAGACCAGCATCGGAGCCAAGGTACGCGAGGCCAAGGCCAAGGGCTACGGGGTCATCGTCACGGTCGGTTCAAGACAGATAGAAAAAGGCACAGTCACGGTGGACACGACTACACTTTCTCAAGGTGATGCCAGCGGTGACAAGTACAAGGAAATGTCTCCACAGGAATTACTTGATATATTGAAGGCCAAGATAGATGCATACGAGTGAAGGGCCAGCTGGCAGCCTCAGTAATCGTTATCCTCAATCTTGTGGACCGTCCTTGTTCGGTCCAGCTCTTCGAGCCGCTCGAGAATCTTCAACGGTCTGAAGCAATTAGCGAGAGGAAGATACAGGGAGGGAACTGTGCATACTCCTTGAGTTTCTCGTCAACTACCTCACCACCAGCTTCACGCTCCTGTACCAACCTCCGGCGGACTTCAAGCTGTTCGCGCATGTATTCCACGGTGCGACTCAGGACGAGGCCTTCGGAGCGCCCTTGACCGTCAAGTCCGGGAACAAGTTCGCATAATTTGTCGAACCCATCTCGGATGGCCTGTCGGCGCTTCTGTTCTGTGTTATGTGTTGTAAGCATATATGTACTAAAATCCGAGGTTGCATTTATTTGATCTGTACCTGATGCAATGTGATTCTGCTTCTTCTCCTCTTCAGTCAACCTGGTCTTCTCATCGGCGCCATTGAGGCCGGGGCTTGGCGAGTGAGATGACTTATCAGCCATGATCACATATATCTCATGACAGGACAGCCACGAGTTCTATCAGTGTTCTCCCTGATGCAGACCCGTCAATCGCAGAAGTAATGTGCGACGTGGTAGTGGCAACAAGAATGCATGTTCATCCGACGGCGCCGGTGCTTGGTGATAATGATTTTGGCAGCCCTATCTGACTTATCATGCGCGTCGCTTCACCTGAAATCTTGGGCAGGGTTGTCATGTGAAACTGCCCCGCCTCCCCAGATCGTGTCAACGATCCCGAGGGTGGGAGCCCCTGCAGCAATTCCGAACAACTGGCGGCGACAGGAACTTAGGACGAAGCTGGAAACAGGAGCGCACGAGCCAAAACGGAGATCGATTCGATCCCATAGCACGTGTGGAATGACAAGATAGAAAGCAAGTGTTGAGGCTCAAATCCCCCGCTGCTTATTATCAAATCAAAGCTTCCATGTCACGGACTCTGACAACCTTCCGTCCAAGTAATTAGCGGGGTTCTTAGGCGACATTTTGTGACGTACCTGCATTGTGCGCCCCACCATACCGTGGCGGTCGCCAGCCAACAGTCCACCCATTTTTCGACTCGATCCGACTTTGAGGCAGACGTCGATAGAAAAATAGATAGATAGATAGTGAACAACGGCTCTCTTGGGAAGAGCCCCTGACTCAAGACATCATCTCTCTCCCCCTCTCTGAACTCTTCGCTATCCGCTATGGCCGAGAACGAGCCTCTCGTCCCCGCGACCGAGGACACCCCCAACTATCCACCTCCCGACTACATCACCGCCGCCCGCGAGCATGGGCTCAAGCTCCGCCAGTCAGCGCCGCCTCGGAAGAGCCCCCAACCCTTCGACATCCCCATTCTCAAGTACATGAAGACGCACAAGGTCATCCTAGCCTCCGCATCGCCCAGGCGCAAAGCCCTCCTGGCCCAGGTCGGCCTCACGGACCTCGAGGTTGTCCCATCGGCCAAGCCCGAGGACCTCTCGAAAGAGGTACTTGGTCCGTACGAGTACGTGGCCTCCACGGCACGCATGAAGTGTCTGGATGTCTACACGAGCGCTATCAAGCAGGGCAAGGAGCCCGACGTCGTCATCTCGGCCGACACCATCATCGTGACACGAGAGGGCAAAATCCTGGAGAAGCCCTCGAGCGAGCAGGCCCACATCAGGATGTTGAAGCACCTCAGAGACACAAGATTCCACAAGGTCCTCACGGCAGTGTGCTGCATGGCGCCCAAGGAGGAGCCCACGCACCCGGGCTATGAGATCTCGTCGTACACCGAGGAAACGAAGGTGTACTTTGCGAAAGAGACGGATGGCTTGCCAGATGATGTTATCGAAAGCTATGTAAAGACGAGAGAGGGCGTAGACAAGGCTGGTGGTTACGCGATCCAGGGTCTCGCCGGCATGGTGCTGATTGAAAAGGTGGACGGCAGCGTGGACAACGTCGTAGGATTACCCGTCCGGAAAACTCTTCAATTGTGTGAGAAGGTCGTTTTCAGGCAAGGAGAAGTGGATTCTGACGACGAGGGTGAGGACGACTAGGGACCACCCAATTCCAAGTCCAGATAATGGAAATATTCGTCCAGGGTTTCAATGAATTGTTGTCGAGTGCGTCACTTCGAAAATTCGAGGATCAAAAGAAAAGGACATTCACGGCTGGGCATATTTATCAAGTTGTAGAGTCGGTCATGGGCAACTCCATTCTCTACCAGAACACTCGGGGTTGAACGGTATGCCTTGGCTATTTCTATACGCTCGAGATTGGAGTCTGTACAGGAGTTATGCACGTGTCTTGGCGGGCTATATCAAAACTATTTTTTTCACAGCTGCTAAGTATATATGCAGCACTGACAAAGGACAGTGGGAAATGCGTGCCGTGTCGAGTTTTCCTAACTTGATGGTTATCTCCAAACTTTGCATCATGTTTGTGTAAACCCCCTCCCCCCCCCCCCCCCCCCCCCCCAAATCGTTTGTGCAAGTTTTGTCCTTTTCCTAATTTCTCTATGAGCCGAGGAACAAGAGCTGGGGCGGACTGATGTCCTATGTTGTTCCTGCTCCGGCGGTGAATTTAATCTTATTATTGATGCGTCGCTTCCGGCCTGCGCCAACAATCAATTAAACATCGCTGTGTACTCAATACAGTAAGGCATATTATCTCCATCTCTGTAGAGTGTGGGGTTTCTGCAGGGGTAGACCGGCTCTTGGTCTTGGCTTGGGGTAGCATTGAGGGATTACTATTGAATCCACAAGCATCATACGCTGTAGAATCGTGGCCAGCTCGAAAACGCGTTGCAAAGTTGCAACCCCTCCTTCTTAGCTGCGGTACTTTGGAAGGAATTTCAGGAATCCTGTCTTGGCGCAAGGACGCCCAGTATATCTGTATCCGGGCCCGTAGCCAATCCGGAATCGAGTCGCCTAGCCACGTGCCCGGAAGTGATCGGCAGGGATTGGCCAAGTCAGGTAGTATCGGGTGGCAGCTATAATTGTAAGCCACCAATACGCAGCCGTTCTAAGTATGTAATTGGAGCTCCGCTGCTACACTCGACGGATCCCAAGGATATGGGGTATCTCGGTGTGCGAATGGGCGACGTACAGGGTCCCGGCGCATTACTTGTTGGTAATAGGCGAATCCCACAAGTCGACTTGGCAACGTTGGCCTTTCAGCTGGCGCTTGCTTCGGGAATGGGATCGACATGTGAATAGACGTGGGAGCTCCGGTGCTCAAGTCGACGCTGGTAGTTCACTATAAATATCGTGGTTGAGCCACAGGTGTATAGTTGTGGTTCAGGATCGGCACAAGATTCCAAGTGGTGGTTTGAGTTAACACTTATTGTGGTTTGTCTCCCTCAACGAAGTTTCTTGACTCCTCCCCTCAACTGCATCGATCTCGCAGACTTCTGGAGCCACAAGGTCAAGATGAAGTTCATCAGCACACTCGCTCTTTCTCTCCTCCCGGCCGCAGTGCTGGCCGCTCCCGCCCCTACGGAGAAGCGCGCCAACGAGGCCATCACTGATGAGATCCTTTTCACCATCACACTTCCTGCGTTCACCACCCGCCGCAACGCACTCAACCCATCTTACCTCGACTGGACCAGCGACGGCTGCACAGACTCGCCCGACAACCCCCTGGGCTTCCCCTACGTGCCAGCCTGCAACCGCCACGACTTCGGCTACACCAACTACCGTGCCCAGAGCCGCTTCACCAAGGCTGCCAAGGCATCAATCGACACCAACTTCCAGAAGGATCTCTACTACCAGTGGTATGTGCGAGCAAAGATAAACCTTTGGAACAAAACCATCTTCGTCGAGAGGAAAACCAACCCCGCTGACTTTTTTTTTTTTTCGATACACAGTAATGTCTACAACAAGTACGTGAGCGTGTGCAAGGCTTTGGCGGACGTTTATCACGCCGCCGTAGTCGAGTTCGGTGGCTCAGACGCCACCAAGAGGGACGGCTTGTACGAGGAGAAGTTGCAGTACTACAACCAGTTAGTTGCAGACCTCAAGGCCAAGGGCGAACTCCCAGACTACGCATAGGGATTAAGGAGTGAGAAATAGCCTGCAGTCCTCAGGTGTACGCCCAACAGCAGGCTCGCGCCGCCTTACCCGATAAGGATGTCCGAGATGTTGGCGTAGTTTAGTCTAGCATAGATCAATAACACGCCAGTCAGCTGAGGTGAAGTCTGGCCTCCATCAATTTGGGCATTTGATTGCGCAGAAAAGAGAAATTTATTTCTTGATGGTGTCGGCTTCCTACACTATCAGGCTGATGTCATCACGTTGAGCGAACGATTGGTTCCCACTAAATCTAGTCGTATCGCAATATCAACCCCCAAAATATGCTGAGTATGAGTGAGTGACCGAATGTTTCCTTAGAGCTCCCGTGGATATAGTTGGAGTTTCAAGGTGACGGTTCACTGGATTGATTGGTACGAAGAAGAGCAACGTAATTCAAAATGGGACAATTTCGGAAATTGTCGGTTGGTGTCATTGGGTTTTCTCTGATCACCGGTGTTCCCTGTCTTCACTCATTAAGATTTAAAAGCTCCCATGATAGCATCGAGGTGTCGTAGGCTGAATCTGACATGATACACACTTTCCAATCAGGTAGGGAAGATCCACATAAGGAAGAATCAGCTGAGTCATCTCTCGAACAGAAAACTCCAGCTCAATTATCTGTGCCGTAGATACCATATATTACTATACATATAGCTCTCATGCTTTTCCTTTCCGGTGATGCTCTGTTACCTTTGGGTACTCACCCGCCCCTTCTAGTCATAACAAAGCCTTCCGAGCAAGGTTCCTGGAAACCAAGAAGCAAAAATGCGATTCCAAACATTCATCATACTGGCAGTTTCTCTCTATGGGAGTCTGACAAAAGCAGCTCCTGTGGAACCAGCCATTCCAAAGTTTGTACACGATGCCTCGCACCGCTACCACTCATTAACATATGCAGCTCGGCTTCAGCATTCCCATCTCAAGAAAATGATGTTGCATCTCACACTGATCCTTCATACCATTTGAAAGAGCGCGATGGAGAAGCAGCCGCTACCCCGTGTCTGAGAGCCCCGAAATGTTCGTTCACAAGTACATAAATGGACAGGTATGGGACAGCGCCATACATCAGAGTCACAACGGCCGGAGGTTGAAATCATGCAGAGCACGTGGTCATTAGTGACAAGGGATGTGAGACAACTGGTTTGTCCAAAACTAGCCTGCATGGTCTATAGATCTCAAACCGGAAACTTTGGAAATAAAATTTTGTTTCGTCATTATGCATCTCCGCCATGTGCATTTTTTTGTTCTGCTCGTCCTCTTGCTGGTATAAACCTCACCTGTCAGCAACCGGTCCGACTTTTGTGCAGGTGGCCCCAAGGCATGCAAATGTACGAGCCTGGGAGCAAATGATCGAGCGTTGCTGACGCACGATTCTGAGTTATGACTTTTCAGTTCATGCTTGGTTGAGTTTCGGGTACTTTTCCCGTCATCTTTTGGTTCTAAGCTCAACTGGGTATAAGTATAACATTCAAGGAACAGTCAGCGCCAACATGAGTCAAAATTTCCTTGACGTTATGAGGCCGGTGTCTTTTTGGTGAACCTCTACGATCGATACCTACCGTAGCACTTCCTTCCTTCCAATTAGAGCACAAGCCGCCCAACCTGAGACTTTGCAGACAGAATGCAACCATGATTTTTATACTTGCGATTCTGACTGCATACTTGGGTTTCTACTAGCAACTAGCTACTTTGGGGAACCTAAGGCTTGGGAGATAAATGTTGTTGATGCACGCTAACTATGGGTACAGCGACTTAAGGTTCAAAACCAGCACATACAAAACTGAAAACGGGACTGTTGCAATCTACGTACAACCAAAAAACGGTACCAGAGAACTCCTCTAGGGTGCCTAGTTGTATGGAACGCTCCGGAGCTTGAACGGAATTCTCAAGGCTTGCAATCATCTCTGTGCACGACTTTGCGCTACCGTTCCACGTCGCTTCGAAATCACGACTTCGTATCTCAAAGAAGGGTCCCGTTCGTGGATCTCGTCTTTTGGTTTCTAGGTTTATGCTGAAACTGGTGGGAAAGATATCTAACGAAACACTGATATGTGATTATTTTTCGGTGGCTTTAAGAAGATACGGGCATGGCGAGCAGATTCAAAAGACGTTGGTATTGTCGTGCAGGAGAATAAAGCACCAAATTGATCCAGGTACATATCCATATGTTAGTTACCTTACTGTTATTAAACAAGTCAAACTCGCGGAAAGAATTTATGGTAATGAAGCTTGCCAGATATATGCATATGATTGGCTCGTGCTTTTCTTAGTAACACGCAGCTGCAAATTTATGGCTCTATACTGTGTGCAACCAAAGTAAGTTCCGAATTATCACGTTGAATATTGCCTTGACCAGCAAATCCGACCACCGCCGACTAATAAACCGTGTGAATCGTCATATTTCACTGATCCGTAGCACTAATCTAAGTGCGCTGGTACGATAAGCACTCCAGGTCCCCTGTCCGTTAACGATGGGGCCGATTTTGTCGGTACAAGTCTTCAAAGACAGAGCCAAGACACTGCCGCCGGTAGGGAGAACAATCTTCAGATCATCTTATCATATGTCGTCCACACGGAGCTGTAACTCAACGCGTGCGTCATGCCATATGGTCCAAGAGCCATGTCTCTCAAATGGGTAGGCCTTTCGATAAGCAGACCGCATCTCTCTTGAGATGAACTAGGTTCTTAACGAAGAAGTGCTTCACGTAAGGATGTAAAATAAAACTTCAGCAAAGTGCCAGACGTTGTTCTTGTACCAGTAACAAAGGCAACTCGGCAGGAAAAGTCCCCAATCTGGTGACTACGCTTGACTTGCTGTGTTTTGTGACGAGATACAACCCCATAACTACGTTATCGCCGAATAAATCAAAATGTGGAGTGGGTCAACAAGATGAAGTTTTAACCGAAATACTTAAGCTACAGCATAATACACTTGTTTGTTTGTTTGTTTGTTTGTTTATTTAACGCCGTTGCGGTGGCTGCGACAGTAGCTTGCGCGTGCTCCCAGGGGCACAAAGGCGTGTTTACCAGTTCTAATATAAATGTGAAGAAGAGACTGCGGGGCCCGTCCCATTAGAAAGGAGGCCAAACCGTGCTCCAAGAGGATGCCATTCCAATCCCTTCCATCGCGACATTTGGATTTCCAGGCCTTGCTTCATGTTGGTCTGAAGCGTCCGATCACCCGTAGGCTTGTTATTTGATTGCGAATGGTACAGAAGTTTGTCGGTTAGGCTATCATGGGCCTGTTAGCCTTTGAGCTACGCTTGTGTGTGGTGGTGGTTTTTGTGTCTATAGAATTGTGTTTCGTCCCTCTTGAGTTGGAAAATAAAATTTGTGAAAAGTCCCATACTCCACCACATCATAATACATGAGAGTAAGAAAAGTCATGATATGAGATACTGCTTAGTATTCATGACTAATATGGTATAATTTACGGTTTGTCATGTGCGTCTCATGTAAATGGATATAGTGTGGGTGAGGAGCTTGAGAAGAATTTGCTTGGAAGACCCGAAGTAGACAGAAAGATGATAGAAATCGCTGAGAATAAATTGAAAAGCCATAGGTACTGGTTACATACTGTCAAAGTATTGAATTTACATCGCGAATTGTTGTAACACAGACTCTGGTACACCTTATATGAAGACGTATGGAGAAGGGGACTACTTAGTTCTGAAGGCCGTATAGTATCAAAAATACGGACCTAATATCCCGGTGTAATTAAGTTGGCGTTCGGTCCGAGTCTGCTGGGGTGAATCCCCTCGAAGACACGCTGGAAATTTCGGTCGGAGAGCCTGGATTGACATGGGAGTACTTGATATGTAGGTAGTCCTTGTGTGTTGCGGAGCTCCGCTATGATCAGCAAGGTCGCCTTAAGGTGTTACAATGGGCGAGCAAAAGTCTCCGAACACAGGTACTTTCCCCACCAAGACTCATCACTTTTATAATGTCACAATAAATCATACAAAGATGGTAAAAATATCTGGTTTTATTGTTATTGATTGCTTTTTCTTGAAGAGGAGGGGGAGGGGCGGGGGCGGGGGCTGTTGAAGGGCTGTGTTTGGGGGTTTTTTATGTACTGTTTTGGTAGGTGTATTGTTTCTAATATGGTTTAGGCGTGTCTCATCTGTTAGAAGATTTGTGGCAAGCGTTCGAAGTACTGTCGTCTATATTCCCTGTGGTACAGGCACTCATCACATAGCAATCCAACGTACAGAGACTTTTGCTCAATCACTGGAGGTATGATTGGAGCCTGGCTGACCCCGCTCCGCAGCACTGCGCAAGCACTGAAGCAACATTCGTATAAAGAACGAAAATTGTCCAATCGTCAGTCGCAACATAACTAATCTCCACGTCATGTTTGGCCAAGCAGTGGAACTCAAATTGGATCGTCGAACTATGTACTCTAGTCAATCCAACTGACACGCTAGTGTGTTAAATGAAATAGGCGCTCCATCAATCTTACGATGACTGAGTATTCCGCAGTGTTGCTGCCTTATTTCTTTAACTTGAGAACAACAGGATGATGAAGAATTCAAAAGTATAATTGTTTATTCCAGGGGGGAACCGACCATCATTTTCTGTTGCTCCAAGACCGAGTCTCCCACTCTGCTGAAGTTGGTGGTCTGTCGCCACCTCTGCAGTTCGAAACGTAACATACTTAAATATGCGGGCCAATACGACCCTGCAACATACCGCCTCCTAGTACTTCTCCAGTAAGATCAAATGCTATGATAGCGGGAATGCTGAACAAGGCAAGAGTATGCGGGTGTGCATACGATGCGGTAGGACAGAGGACGTGGCATGAGACTACAAGCATGAGTTTAAAATAGTGAACTCCCACATGCTGAGAGTTCCAAAGAATCGAGCCACTAGCAATTGATTCATTTTCCATGAGAGGTCTACAAAAATGGCCCTAGGATCTGGCGATATCAGCCCGGCCGTTGTCTTCGGCGCCCTTCTTGTTTTGACTGTCTGGATCGTGCAAAAGATCTTTTCGAAGCGTGACCAGCTTCCGCTTCCTCCTGGCCCAAAGGGGCTGCCTTTGGTAGGAAACTTATTGGATCTTCCACCGTCCGGAAAGCTGGAATGGCAGCACTGGCTGAAGCACAAGGACCTGTATGGCCCGATCAGCTCTGTGAACACCCTGGGGACAACAATTGTCCTCATTCACGACAAAGATATTGCGGTCGAGCTTTTAGAAAAGAGGGCAGCGAAGTACTCCGGGAGGCCGCACATGATGTTTGCGGTGGAGCTGTAAGATATCTCAGCATTGCCGAATGAGATCGAACGTGCGATGCTAATCGGCCGGCAGCTGCGACTACAGCAAACTCCTCAGCTTTGTGGGGTATAACCAATACTTCCGAGACTTGCGTAAACTGATGGCTGGTCAATTAGGCGCCAAAAGCTCAATGACCAAGCTCCATTCGGCCATCGAGTTTCAAGTCCGGCACTTTCTATTGCGCACCATGAAACACTCTGAGCAACTGACTGAGAATTTGCAAGGGTCAGTATAGCCCCAACACCGCCCTTGATATGCCCAGTAGTTGGAATGAGCACCAGAATCCTAACACACCACTGTCCGTTACAGTCTGACGGGTTCTCTTCTGCTCGAAACTCTTTACGGGTACACCCCGTCACCGAAGGTCCATGATCCTCTCATTACCATGGTTAACAAATTCATGTACGAGTTCGGGATAGCGGCCATGCCGGGTGCTTGGCTCGTAGACATAATCCCCTGGCTTCGTTATCTGCCCGACTGGGCGCCTGGTGCCAACTTCAAAAAGATAGGGCGTCAGTACAAGAAGACGCTACAAGATGTAGCCCGCGTACCTGTGGAGTTTACGGAAAAGCAAATTGAGGCAGGCGTTGCAAGTCCGTCCTTTGTCCAAGGCTTGCTGGAAAATAATCCCAATTCCAGAGAGCGAGACACAATCAAGTGGGCCGCGAATGCCCTGTACGATGGAGGAGCTGACACTACAGTCGCCGCTTTAAGCTGGTTTTTCCTTGCCATGACTTTGTTTCCAGAAGTGCAGCAAAAAGCCAGAGAGGAGATCGACCGGATTACAGGCGGCACTCGGCTTCCCAGCTTCGAGGACCGGGAAACCCTTCCTTACGTCGAAGCCGTTGTGAAAGAGACATTACGGTGGCGGCCTATCGCGCCTTTGGGCCTTCCCCATGCGACAGATGAGGACGATGAGTGTCAAGGATATTTTATTCCGAAAGGATCAGTCGTCGTCCCGGCAATTGCGTGGTTTGCAAAAGACCCGGGCACGTACCATGAGCCTGAACAGTTCAAGCCTGAGAGATTCTTGGGCCCGAGTCCGGAGCCGCTGAGCGTGGACTACGTATTTGGTTTTGGGAGAAGAATCTGTCCTGGAAAACACCTGGCCGATGCGAACCTGTTCTTGGTCATCGCGCAAAGCTTGGCTACGCTTGATATCAGGAAGGCCGTCGATGGAGATTCCGGAGAGGTTATTGAGCCACTGGTAGAAGCAGCCCCGGGCCTCATTATGCACCCGAAACCATATACAACTTCCATCGCACCTAGAAGCGAGAAGTTTGCCGAATTGATCAAGCGTGTCGAGGTCGAGCATCCTTGGAAAGAGGGAGACGAGAAAATGCTGCAGGGCCTGATCTAGGTAGCCAGAGTGCGCGTCGATAAGCTCAGAAGCATAATAAGGCAGTGAATGTACACTCAAACTGTCGATCTTGTAGTGTGTTTGACCGGATGGATGAAAAAAAAAACCCCCCCTTTGGACATCTAGCTTATTAATATTATATTAGAGGATCTGCTGGACGAGTAGCTCCCACAAAGTTCATGTAGATAGTCTTCTAGCAGCTGAATAGCCAACCTTGTTCTTTCTCTCGTACATAACATAGGGTCGGCAAACATGCTCAACCTCATCCCAAAATTGCCGTTCATTCCATGTCTATCCTTACGCCTGACGCCTGCTTCACCCCGATAAATGTAGGTTGTTTTGTGTTTAGATGATGTAATTTCCATGATGCTGGTTCGTATATACAAGGCGAGGATTGGTCATAGCTCTCGAACGGTAGAGGCTGCGACTTGGGTAGCTGCAACGCCTACGGAGGTAACGGAAAGCGAGAGGGCTTCCTTGTTCACGTTGACGTTGGCAAGGGAGGCAGCACCGCTGCTTGCCTCTCCGCCATTGACATAGAACCAGGCGCGGTCGATAAGGAAGGAGATGTGTTGGGGGAGGTAGAGAGCGGAGGCGATGGTGGTCATGGAGAAGAGCAGGAAGACGACCGACCAGAAGACGAACTTCTCGGTGGGCGTGAACATGTATACTGCGAAGGTGACCTCGACTTGGTATTGCTTGAGGCGTAGCCAACGACCGAAGCGTTGTAGGGGGGAGCCAGGCTCATCGTTCTTGCGGCGGTATTCCATGATGTGTGGCTTGGAAGGGTGATTTCAACTGGGTTAATATCAGGAGGAGGAAAATTGTCGTCGGGTGGAACAGGGAGGCACAGATGCTCTCAGATGCTCACTCAATGCGACAATGAAGAATGGATTATAGTAATGGGGTCGAGCGTGCGGAATTGGCGGATGTACGGAGTAACGAATGACAATTGAGTGTTATCGTAAGTTGAAGGAAAAGAATACGGCTCCGTTAGAGCGTGGAGCGATAACGATTCGCCATGGGCTGGATCTTTTCACGGGAAATGAATCTGGCACGTGCTTTTCCGAAAAGGGGCACCTGCTTATTGTTAGGAAGTGATTTTGCAATTCATCGCGTACGCGTAACCGCGACCGTAGCCGTAACCGAGCCCCGTAACGATGTGGGCCCAGACCTGCCAAGTCAGTGCGCAATGGTTAGAGTTACTGTGACGCGTAGTGAAATCCCCACATCCAGGTGAGCTTGGAGAATAGCCCCCCCTCCCCCACTGATTCCCATCGCCGCCGTTGCAAGTGCCGGGAACAGCCGAGACACAGTTTAATGTTATCCGTAGTCACTCACATCATTCTAATGCATTCTGAATAAGCCTTATTCCACTCCACACACTAGTTGCGCAATTGCCTTACGGATCAATATGATAGTTGACGTTCGTATAGTGGTGATATTCCATAAAATATCTGGGCGTTGGCCTATTAACCCATTTGCCGGTTGAAGCAAATCATCGTCGTATAAACATGCCCAGGGCAGCAGACAATAACATGTACACAAGGTGAGCCAGGTGTTTTTCCAGTCAAGACATGTTTAAGGCATGCGTTAATTTGTGCGAGTGTCACAACCCCTAAGCAGTCTTCTCATAGAAGCTGAAGCAATAGCGTTGGGGAGGTATCAACCAGTCCGTTTCAAGACGCCACAAATGCGATATCCTTATGCAGTATGAATAGGTAGCACATACATTCATTCAGTTCATCCACTCGGCGGCCATTCATTTCATTTGTTTATTCAGTCTTTCAGTTGCCCGGAACTATGAACCTATTCCCATTCGTAATCAGCCAGCCCCGCGCTGCAACCCGACGAGGTTGGTGCTGCTGCCCACCTCACCAATGTGAGGTCTTGAATAGTATATTCAAACCGCTGCAACACGGATTGGAGAGAGCTGTCGATATGAGGGTTTGTAATTCTCCAGGCCTGGATATTCCTCGCACAATGTCAGTAGACGCGTCAGGTAGGGACCACCATATTGGCATTCTGTCCATATATGTGCACGACTTCCACTCAGCCATCGCTTTCATAGTCGCTTAATTCTTGCACTCTCGTGTCTTCCATCAGCATGTTTCCTTCCTCGGCATCGCCCACAAATAATTGCAGATGTGCGTTATAAGCCGCCCGTACCGTCTCAGCGGCGTCCTCGTTCCCCGTCTCGATATAGAAGTTTTCCAGGGCCGAAAACGAGAAGCCGATGCGGCCAGGGTCCTTCTCCCAAAGCAGCTCCTGCGCCGTCGCTAATGCCTTTTTATACAAGAATTCAGACCTGTCATTGTTGCCCATCTTCCACTCCAGCTCCGCTCGTATCTCTGTGCAGTTGACTAATTGATTGTCACTAATCAGGCCGCCGTTGTCTTTCCATCGTTCAACTTCGCTAAGAACAGCGTCAGACTTGCTGTACTCTTTATGGTCAATATATATGCACGCAATGAACATTCGGGTCGAGTTCAGCCGCTCCTCAGCTACCTGGATATCCGGCCCTGGATTTTGCTGAATCCACTGCAGGGCATAGTTTAATTTCTGATGGGTCTGTTCTGGAGTGATCAGGCCTAGATCATGAAGCTTCTTTGCCACGTTGATAGTATGCTTAGGCCAGAACGAGTTGCCTGGTCTTGAGTCGTCGTGGAACAGACCGAATTGCGCGTCCGTAATGGGTAGTGCTAGTTTCTGAACATCTTGCACGCTCATCCGCCGCACACTGGACCAGAGCACCGTCATAGGATGAGACCTTCCAAAATGTATTTGCGACAAACCCGCGGCTAATTTGGCGAAAGACTTCGCTATATCCTCTCCGACGTTTGAAAGCTGTAAGATGGCGTTATATGTTGCCCATACAAGTAAAGGATCCTGTTTCTTAAGGACACTTCTAAACTCATCGCAAGATTTATTCAGAACTTGAAAGTTGGCGGCTAGATCCCGCTTCTCGGCAATCTTGTATGCTGCAAGGTTTATCCCTTGTGACCAGAAATATGTACCAGTGAGTTTTTCGTCGTAATTGGCAAGGTTCCAGAGCTGGTCGTTCAGTTGCGTCCTCGAATATGCTACCACAGCACGAATAGAGTTTTCGGCAAGACGAACGTCATCTGGAGCACTAATGGTGCCCGGCAGTGGCGTGGCTGGCCCTGGTGTGGTCGGCGTTGGCGTACCATAAGAGCTTTCTGACCCCGGTGACCGTGACAGGGACTTGTTTGACTTGACAACCAGAGACTTCAGCCGTTTAGAGCCTAATTTACGTCCGTGGACAACGGGAAGATGGGTCTCATGCCCGGCTGCAGTCTGGACCTTGTACTTCTTGACTTCACCTGCTTTCAAATTCTTTCGGAAGTCCCATTGATGAAAGCGCTGCTTGTACATCTTTGGTCTGTCACGATCGTGAGCATCGTGTCTCCGTTCATCGAGGGGCTTACCCGTGGTACATACGTAGCAGTGAAGTTATGCTCCGTACGCATGGCATCAGCGACCTCTCTTAGGGGCTTGTTCTCCTCCAGGTATAGCTGTGCGATCCTTCGCTTGTGCCGCTCCCAGTCTCCACGCTGGGGCGGGGCATCGGCCGCGCGAGCCGGCTGTGACATGGCCGATCTCGTGCCTCTGAGCTATAGCGTCGATATATCGGCTATCTGGGGCTGTCATGATATGATAGCTTCATCTAAATATTGAGGTTGAGTGGCAATAAGCCGCCCAGGTTTTGTCGGATGATTCCGACGGTGCATATGAGAGGTGACACCGTGCGTGAAGTCAGGTTCGGTTTCGGCAGATGGCCGCGCCAGCAGGGGTGCGACCAAAGCTAAAAGGGAGGTCTTGGCATTGATTCTGATTGGTTACCGTTTCATGTCACTCGACCGATATTGGCCTCCTTGATGCAGCCCTACGCGTTTGCAGATATATTCGAGTACGTCCGGCAAGGGTCTGGATTATATTGACTGCATCACGGTTCCTGGTGCTTGCAAACGCAGACCACTATGTGGATCCGGCTCGCAGGAATAGCTCAAAGTTCTAATCAATAAATAGCCGTCACATTGTCTTCGTCCAAAGACCGCAATTGCAGTATTTAGCGACGTGTCCGTGGGTGGCATTTTATCTGTGTTCATTAGGGGAACGGTAAATCACAGCGGAAAATTCGAAGCGTGTGGTGAGGATAGAGTCCTATGCACACTAAATGACAGTGTGACATCCAAGGTCTTACTAAATCACAGCACAAGGATGATTGGGTTTCGAAGGAGCATTCCAAATAACGTACTGCAGATCATACATGGGCAAATGTTATCTGCTCAAGACGAATCCCCGTCGGTCATATTGTGCGCGTCGCTCACCATCCTAACTAGTTTGAACCTCAGCAACTAGGTCCTTTCGTGTCACTAATTTCGTCACTGCCAGAATATCTTCCACCTCACTGATTGATCTCCTCACACCCCAAAAGAAATTTTCGGCACAAGACCTCGCCAGGCGCGCTTCACTATAGCCATGATCCGTCCTAACCAATCAACCCACTTTTCATGTCTTTTTTTAGCGTTATCCATTCATCATAGATTTAAAGCATGAACAAGATCATTAAACATGCTGAGACACTTGTGCAATTGCCCCGAGGGCTCCATGGTCCTTCTCGCTCCCTTGAATATGACCATGTTGAACCACGATAAGCACAACTTCCGGCGTTTATCCGCTAGTAATCAATAGGAGCATAAATACATGAGGCTCTGCAATTTATGAGCTTACCATGCACGAGTAATAGAGCAGAACTACGATGCCTGATAGCAGCTGTTTGCTGGTTCAGTATAAGATCTTTGCCGCACAAGTATTCAAACCCACGATTACTAGCCGTCTTTCTAATTCAGAAACGTAAAAGCGTTCTAAGCAAGCTATTAATTGAAATCTTGAAATTCGCTCTGAAAATCCATAAGCCTACATGCCACCGGGCCTCGTTTTTGTGTCAGTCGTTTTCGTATACGAGCTCATATCGCTAATCTCTAGTAACAGCCGAACATACTGCTCAACCATGTCGCCGCTCCACGTCAAAGTCCTACACGGAATTTTCTACAAGTGGCAGTTGTTGTTGGCAGTAACTGGTGGCACAGCAGCTGAGAATGAGCAGCCTTATATATTAGTAGCGCTACCGATTAGCAATCCGTGCAGCGTCGACGTAATTGGCGGAATGAGGACCGCTAATCAAGGTAGCTCTCCGCCCAGGAGATGTTGTATTTTAAACTGGCATTTGCCCATCAATCTCATGCAGAGAACAGTAGGCAGCAGGGAAGAAAACAGAGGTTTGGAGCTATTGCTACATTGGTTTGTCGTTGAGATACCCGTTCAGTAGTGGATTTGAATTGTCACTTTGATTTCTATATCAAATTGCTGCCACTTAGTAAATAAGGATTTTGTCATTTACTCGTGCTGAGAACTCTTGCTGGCCGATGCTCACACAGTGCCTCTGGAAGATCTGGTAGATGCATCAGAGCTACATAGAGAACTCTCACGGTGGACTTCCCTACACAGAGCGTGAATCGCCAACGTGACCATACTTCTCCATGCTCCATTTCTTAAAGCCCTCTGCTAGTGACAATATGAACTCCTCGTTGTACTGCAAACCATCCTTTTCCCATCCAATACGCCCGGCCTGCCAAGTCAACCAGTTCTCTGCCTTGACTCCTTCCGGTGCCCTCAGAACGCCAACAGCGAGGTCGACGATGTTCTTCCTGTCGTGGCAGGAGTAGAAGATGACGGCGCCACAGACACCACAAAATGACCTCAAAACATCAGGGGAGGACTCGAAGGTCTTCATTGTACCAATCAGCAAATCTGGCTTGATGCTGGGCTCACACCGATCCAATGGGATGAAGGTCCACGAGACAACGTGCGTCCCGCTTGTGAGGCGGCAGTCGTCACATGCGTCAATGGTAGCAATCCATTTGCGCTTGTCAACGGGGGACACAATACGCTTCATTTCGGGATCATCACGGTCCCCGTCGCGAGGTCTAGGGACAGTGAAAGAAACGCCACCACACTATAGCATTTGAAGTCGGTGAGTGATTTTTTTTCCTTTTTTTCATAAATGGGGCCGGGGGTCTTCGGGAATACTGCGAACTGGTCACAAAAGGACAATTGCCTCTGATAGGCGATCGCGGCTCCAAAGGCATGGTAAAAGAGGTAAACTTTTTTTTAAAAGAATAAAAAAGGATTGCGGAAATTACTTACGTGGCATTCAGCTCGCAGGCGCTCTTCACTATCAGCGCCATATGCTGCCTCGTTGTACTTCGGTCGAGCTGAATCTCCCTTCGGGTTCCAGTCCTTCATATCTCGATCGCCTATACGAAAGAGAAAGTCATTATAGCCTCCGCCTAGAGCAGACTGACTGAAGACGTGCGAGTTGATCTGGTAGACAGGCTCATTATTTGTGAAGATAGATGTCGAGACGGTCCAATCGGTGTAGTCAGGCAACGAGCCTCCGATGTGGCAACCACAGGTGGAGCAGAAGTAATAGATAGTATCAGCGTTCGGAATGCGGTATGATGTCAACTTGTCCTGGCTAGATGGGGCGACGAAGTGGGGAGCAACGTTGTCTGGCAGTGTTGCATGGAAAACGCACAGCGTGCCGTGAGAGTAACGGCAGATGGAGCAATGACAGAGATGAGTGTTCAAAGGAAGATCTGAGGTCTTTAACGTCAAGGTGAAATGAACGGATTTGCAGTAACACTGCGCAGCCACAGTTTTTTCTTGCGCTTCAATTTGTGCCATGCTCAGTAATTGTGCTGGTGTTCAAGCTTTTGGTTGCTGTAAGATGATGATTCTACGCGACCATCACAGCTTGCATGGGTACATATACGGGTTCTTATAGAGGAAGCTACACGGGGTTCACGCGCCCTACGCTCGACAGAAAGATATGTAGGCACTTTGAAATCTAAACAGAGTCGCGATATCACCTGACTTCTGCCTGGAAGATATGTGCAGCACCATCATTTTCATTTGCCAGTTGATCCTTGTGCTACCCATTGAGACGCCGCTAAGGTGAGGGGCAGGCAGTTTCGAAGTAACGGATTGGCTGGAATGCACAAAGCTGAGAAAGACATGCACTAAGGTTAGTGCTTTCCAGCCCCGGTTTTAGAGGCGCGTTCATAGTTCTCCTGTTAGTGATCGAGTCACTTAGAGTGGATATTCATGTGCTTTTTTATGCTCTACTTTTGCAATCAGTCGATCCAGTAACACACTGAGAAAAAAGGCATAGATAAAGGGAAAGGGAAAGGGTTCAAGTGAACTACAAAATCGCATGGCGACGCTACGTTGGTTCTTACTGCGAAATGAGTTTCATTGTGCCATCGAACAAGGATACTCTCCTAGAAGAAAGCATTGTTTCGAGTGATACTATACATAATACCATGCCTCTGCTAATTCTATAATTATATAGTTATATCTAGGGGGAGATTCCACACATGGCATTCTTAACTGGCTGAAATCAAACCTTAAGATGAGGACTGACAGTATTGTGGTAGATTCGACAGAATCATTGTTGATATTCGAAAAGTTGCGTCTAAATACAGAGCAGCCTTACGAGGATCTCTTAGCGGGCGAAGAGTTAGCCATATCTGATACTTCAGAGGAGAGCCTGACCGATGTAAGCAAGTTTCTTGGGTAATTCACAAATTGCTGAGACTATTGAATTCATTATATAGCGCCGGATATAGCTGCAGTCCATGAGAAGCTTTCCGGGGACTTTATGAGACCATCAGGAACGAAGGTGACAAGCATCCTCGGGCTATTTGACGAGGAGCTAGAATTGATTGTCTCATCTCGACGTAAACCATACACCACTTTGAGCGGTCCTTCGGACAAGGCTAGAATTCTTGTCTTTTGTGTGCGGCCACGATTCAAGCTCATATCGACAAAGAAATTCAAGCGAAAATTTCCATTAATTTGCCATTCAAGCACAGCATAACAGACATGGAAGGAGATAGGTAAGCTGCTACTTGGGGAGAAGAATAAGGTCATTACATGAGGCACATGTAAGTAAGAAGGCCGAAGAAGATTGTCATACCGCCGCAGGTGGCAGGTGGCGTGCTTCATCGAGAGCGTAATTGCCAAAAGCTAATGAACAAGCTTACGCAGTATCGGCGACTTCGACTCGCTCTCCACTCTGATGAGAAATAATATTGCAACAATGAGAACAAAATTACAAAGACTAATTTGAATAGGATCGGTGCCAACTGTGTTGTACCTGATGCAAATGACATGTTGTCTTGCCCAGCACTCGGCTCATGCAATGCAGAAGATGGCCACATATCAAAGGAGACCGGAGTCGTGAGTCCTGATAATGGACTTCCAAAACTCGTCACAAATCGGAAATCAACATGAGCTTTATACTTTTCAGACATCGCCTACCATTCAAAACATATCAAACTTGAGATGAGTATCGCCGACTTACCTCTATTACCACGTCTTTTTCAAAGCTATCTCTTTCTCTTCCTGCCGGCAGCGCCCTTGTACCGGCAAGCCACCGAACCGCAAACACATCTCAAGCCAGTATCTCTAAAGTAGTCCGGCCCATAGTCAATGAAGATCTGCTCGTTCTCCTCGATGTCTCTCTTTGCCTGAAACGCGACAATCTGCCTCCCGCCAACACACTCGACTCTTACCTCGACGTTGTTGTCACAGCTATGGTTGAAGAACCGGGTCAGATTCCCGTGCGTCTGAGCACAAACCCTCGCGATGCCTGCGATCTCGAACGTGTACAGACCAGGCACGTGGATATTAGCGGTTCCCAACGGGAGCAGTTCACCAAGGTACTCACCCAGCCATTTCCACTTCTCGATCCGGCATCCCGGCTTCACGTAGGCGCCGTTGCCCATGGATATTCCCGTGTCGCGAATCTCGATGGACTTGTAGAGGCGGCGCGCGGGACCACGTCGCCAGATCAGGTAGCAGTCGTCGTCCTCGCCGTCGTTTTCCGCATCGCAGTCCTCGATGAACTGCCTGCAGACGAGACAGATGAGCTCGTCCTTGTTCTGGCCCAGGATGGCGTCTATCGTCAATCCGACGTCGACGCCGGCGTGTCTGGATCCGCGCCGTTTCTTCAATGGACCGAGTCCGTTGGTCCACTTGGCGGGATCCAAACGATACTCCTTGATATCTAATGGTGCAGGAGTGCCCTTGATGCGACGGCGTAGTAGCCGGTTACGATTCCAGCCCCTAAAGGACGTGTTGTGAAATTGCGGCGCCTGCCAGACCATGGTGAGCCAGGGATATAATCTAGGAGATCGGGGAACTTACTGTGATGTAGGTGGTCGACATTTAGGCCATTTGTGATACAAAATCAGGACATGTCGATTTCTGAGGCTTGTGTACAATTGTGTTTATATGTATATCGATTGTCCTTGGCGTGTTTTGTTTGCTCTTAGAGGCAATTTTCTTCTTCTTTTCTTTTATTACTCGCACAAACAGATAAACAAAGACGTTATTCTTACAGGAGAGGGGGAGCAGGAGCATGAATGACTCCTCGCGAACCATGATGGTTAGAGCAACATATAAATATATCTTTGCAGAGCTCCACGTGAAGAAGCTTAATACCGAGGCAATACTGACGCCGGTGGTACCATGGACGTAATTTAAATAAATGCGGTCTCATTGTAAGCATTTGTACCAGGACAGCGAGTGAAAAATATCAATTATGAATGAGGACCCATCCTAGAACGCCTATGCTATCATGCCACATACATGCAAACCATTCTTGATAGATCTACATCAAGAAATGCAAGAACGCTAATCATGTGAAGTTTCTCAATGCTCATTTCGGCCGCAGTAATGGATGTGCTTCCGTGTTGAGCACGTACTCATCCAAGCTGATAAGATCTGGGGATGAAAATATCAGCCAGAAGTATTTCAATGTTTCAGCCGTCCAGAAGCTCTCCATTGAGTCCAGCTTCTGCGTAGCACCACTGACGGTAACGTCGCTGATTGCCGAGAAGGCCAAATCGGTTTCCGTTGATTTCTTGATAGACTGAAACATCCGCCAGGCCATCTCTTGATATTCTTCTTTCCCTGTCATACGGTACATAAGAAAAATACTCTCAATGGCCTCTGGTCGAAGTAGATAGCGTGGATCGCGGGCGTTCTTAAAGCCCCTTTTGAGGCTGGAATCACCGTCTGCCGTCCAGGCATCTTCATCCCACGCGCAAGGCTCGAGGCTTGGGCATGGGAACAGGTTGTAGATTTCCGGCATTACCCCCGTGGGGAAGGAATCATAAACCCAAGCGCAACCCTTGGCAATTTTCTCGCCAATTGTAACATGCTCTGGAATGTTGAACAGTTTCCCACCCAACCCATACATGCCACCTACGAAACATGAAAGATGCTGGCCTTCACCTTGGAGCTCAACCGCGTTTGTGGACGGGTCGACAGTGATATCACCCGTGAAGAGGATATCGTCCTGGTCGGGAAGCATTGGGCGAAACAATAGGTTTTTTGTCACCGTATCCATTGCGCCTCGGTAGAGCTGTTCGTACATCGGCTCCAAGCCACCCAGTATCGCGTACATCTTTGGCAGATACTCGTAAAGCGAATCCGCCAATGCACCCAGAGTGAAGTCGCTCCCGGTGGACACATCCATGAACTCTAAATCCAGGAACGTCGGCCACATGCCGGGAAGCCTAGTCGTATTTTGCGACTGCTCTAGGAAACGTGAGACCCGGTCGATAGCGTCGTAGTACTTGTTGTCGCCAGTGAGCTGCGCCAATCTGGTGAATTCCAAGCCCGACGAGGTGGTCGAGGCAGCCGGATCGTGAGTGCCCGGTTGCAGAGTGCCGTCTTTCGCCCTCTTAAAATCCAGCCAGAAGGGCGGCATGCGATTGGGCGTGTCGAATGCTGAATAGAGCATGTCGCCCACCTCGATTGCCTTGTTGAGTAAGGCCCTCTCCTTGCTGAGATCGTACGCAGCCAGCAGCCCACCTAGATGCCGGATGGTTGTCTCGAAGAAGTTGATGGAGGTTTCCTTGGTGGCCCAGTCGATTGTGACTGCGGCTGCGGCGGCGTCGTAGAAGTCATCCTTCAGCCCCATGATCCAGAGCGTGTCCAAGCTGTCGATCAGCGTTGCGGCCCATCCTCCAAAAGTGTCCTTTGGATAGCCCGACACAGGCTCGAGCTCATCGTACATCCAAGCATATTTCTTGTAGCTATCCCAGCTCTTCACGAAGGCATCTCTGACAGCGGCTCGTCGGTCGCTCAAGACAGCGAGCCTGTCCTTGGTGGGTTGCTCATCGGAGGCGAAGTCGTACTGCACTTTGGGGAGCGTGGGCAGTGTGCCGGTCGGCAAGGGAGTGACGCTTGGAACTGGGTGTCTCTGAGGCAACGCCGACCAGTCGTAGCTGCTCTGGACATATTCGAAGTTCCACACCCGGTCGGGCTGCTTCGGTATGAATATGATGAGGACATAGAAGACGAGGATACCGGCTGCTACCGAAAGCAGTCGCGTTGGACGCCTGACGAGGGCCGCCATGGTCATGTGGTTGTTCTGGAGCAACCACTCTCCATGTTCGGCGAGCATGGAGGAACCACGTAACAAGGTGCCGGCTGGAATGAGGAAGGGCTGAGACAGCACGTGGAGATCTGGGAGGAACGTCCCGGGCCAGCGTGCACAATGCTCGGGATTCTGCCAGTCTGCGTCGCCAGAAGCCGCTCCCGACTCCTGACGACCGCAAACCGGGAGAGATGGCGCTGACGAGCGCTGATGGGCGGCAGTTGCAAGGGTCGCATCCGCCAAGGCCAAAGACGATAACACCGTCTTTGAAACCGGGGGTCGGATGGATCTGCCTGCTGCTGCCACAGGTGATAAAGCGCTTAGCGCTCATTCGCTAGCTAGACTTGGGCTTAATCTCCCGCTGATGGGGCCCTATTTTACCGTCTGCGGGCGCTGCTTGGCTGCTTTGTTCCGACACTCTGGACACTCGCATTGTGCGCGTGCAGAACGGCGCGTTCATATGCACGCACGCATCCGTACCTGCGCGTCCACCATGAGATAATATAGCTACTGTGAGCACACCACACAGCGTTGGCCTAACCCCGTAATTGGGTCACTTGGTTGTACTTGACCAAGACGACTTCCACTGAGACGGCCAGCCAACTTCCTTCCACAAAGCAAAAGACCTCGTCGCAGCCGGCGGCTCATCGATGGGAACTCAAGGCAAACGGGCCGAGTTAGGCGTCTCCAAACTTTTTGGTTTGACTACGAGTATTGGTGTAACTGATGCATTTACACCTGATTCGACGAATCCCCCGGCGAGTGTTCCAGCTGGGATACCAAGGTTAGCCTGAGACCATGGATCTACCATGATACATGCAATGGGAATGGGATGAAACTCGACAATGCTTAACGCCATGGCGGACACTGGCCAGGTCAGTGCCAGACTCTGCTCCATCTTCTGGCGCCGAATGTAGGTTGGTGCATGATGCCGCCCTTGACGGATCACTTGTGCTCGGTGGCTACAATCAAGACCAAGTTTTTGGTGCCAACTTCACTCAACCACTTGGCTATAGTGACGCCACGGGATGTTGGACTGGCATGAAAGTACACCTTTCGGGTATAATCCTGAATTTTCGCAAGCCAGCCCTTCGTCGAGGCAGCACGCTGGTTCCGGTCATGGGTAGCAAAGCCCTAGCAGCGTGCCAAAACGGTACTGTGGGTGATATAAGCACAAATACGACCTCGTGATCAGGGAACTCGTTTTCGGATTCAGCTGCAGCAAATTTCCAACGCAACACACAATTATCAGCTCGTGCGATAGCAGGCAATGCGGTAAGGAGGTGCGATAGTGGTGGCATTGATAGGCCTGGTAATCTTTCTGCTTCGTCGTTCCCGGAAGAAGGAGGCTGCCGAGCCACTGAGTTCTGCACGAGCTGAGCCAGGCTCAGATAGCATACCGTACAATCGGTACCAGCAGCACTCGCATCAGTTCGGTGAGAATATATATGCTTATCACGCACCGAAAGACGATCATTAGCATGAGCTGCACGATGCCAGGTTCGGTGTGGCGGAGTTGGACGGGGCAACACGAGCAAAGGGTGTACGAAATGGATGGCGATCACCGCGATCGATGAAAAAAACCGCTGCTGAAAAATCATCATATGAGAGATTTACCCTGGAGCTAATCCATTATCCCGATGTTTACAGACGTAATCATTAATGTATAATTATACACCCAATGTAACGCCATGTCTCCATTTCCACGACATACAGCATAGGGTATTGTAACGGGGCTGTGCAAATCCAGCTTCCATAACCATGTAATGCTATACTGTCACCCACTATGTACATAACTCTGGAAGCATGTGTGACACAGACGATTGCAGTAAATATGCAAAGCACGCATCCGCCAAGCCCTTAGTATTGATGTCATTAACTGTTCCGCTGATAGATTTCAAATATCCGATGATGGGGTATATCCAAGCTGCAGTAACGCCGAGACCTGACTTGCGCCGAAGTCAGTATCAAATCCCACAAGAACATGCCAATTACACCAATTATCGTAAGTTCGTAGATACTCCCAACCAAGTCAACACCGTGTTGACCTCGCACCACTAAACGCCTTTAAAATGTTCACCCAATTCTTTTATGATTTTTGAACGCCAACACGCAATGCTGAGGCCACCGTGATACTACATTTCATGGCCAGGGGAAAACTTTTGCGACGGCCTTTCTCCCTAACGGAATGTCAGTGTTTGAGTTGAGAAATCGAAAGGCACCAAGACTTACATGGAGGCTTACCATCGTCGCTGCGGTCATCGACCGGTCCAGCAAGCTCACGCATACGTTGTCGTGTCGTGTCAGGATCACGCGTCATATCGGGCATCTCAAAAGCAAATGACTCCGGCTGTCTTGGCGAGGAAGGAGGGCTACAAAGATGCTTCTTCACAGTACTGCTCCACGAGTTTATTCGCGACTGGGCATCTTCCGGATCTGGCCTAATAACGACCCTAGGCCTTAGACGCCTAGTCGCCCGCTCTCGTCTCACCATACCGTTTGTGATCTTAGGTGAGTAACCCCTGGGAAGCATTGACATTTTGCAAATAGGACATAGCGAGCTGATCTCGCCAAGAAATTCGTCGATACAGTCCGGGTGGAAGATATGGCCGCAAGGGAGTTCCCGAATAACGGAGACCTTGGATTCGTAGTACTCGAGGCAAATATGACATGAAGGTTGATAGTCGGGTGGTGGTAAATGCTTGCCTGCCGTCGGATCGGTGCTGGATGATGCACCGTATGTGCCTTTCATTTCGGCAAACAGTGGTGAATTAGGAGATGGTAGAGATGCCGAGGGAGGGTCATAGTTGTATGTGAACAACGGAAAATCGAGGATGTGTTGTGGGGGTACTGTGACACGTTTGATGCCCAACCCTTCCAGGTCGGTATCTCCGCGCATGACACGTCGACGTAATGCTGCACGGCGACGACGCTGTGCACAATGCATAAACATTGAAGTGCCTCCCGCCACGGAGATAAACACGCCCGCGATGATCAATATCCAAGCCCAAATGGGCAGGGTGGGTGAGTCGTAGGCTACCCGTAACTCCGTCCATATCCGCACGTAATCTGCTGAATCTGGATGATATAGAGCTGAGATGTTAGCACCGTAGGGCACTTGGTTCAGACTGCCAGAGTATAGACTGAGTTCGTGCATCATTTCAGTGCCGCTGGCGCCGGGTATAACATAGATTGGGTAGTGATAGCTGGACATCCAGGACTTGCTGCTGCCATCGTCCAGGGTCCAGGTTGAATCGTCGGCACCAGGTGGTTGAGATGTATCATTGTTGGGCAGGTAGAAGAGAAATGCTCGGAGCTGATCGGCACGGGTTGATGTCAACAGTGCCTTTGTGCAGTTGGCGTCAATCCATGGGGCCAAAGCTACTAGGTTGTAAGTTGTGGGCGGCAGGTTTGATTGACGCGTAGCATTCTTGGGTATATACGCGGCTGCTCTCTCCGAGCATGCGTCATCGGGGTCAATATCCGGGACATAGAGGAGCCCCTGAACAGTACCATCGCTTGGTGCGTAATTCGTCGAGAGTGTTGTGATGTTTTCTGTTATGGATTCAGAGTATGCTATATCCTTCTAGAATCGAGGGGTCAGGGCCAGTCCGTAGTGTCTGTCTAGGGGATGTTACTTACAGATATCGATGTGATATTCCTTAAGATAGTGCTGGAGCCTCCGTTTCCACCTTGCCAAGGATTGCTGAACAAGAGCCTAGACTGCCATTAGCACTGGATCTGTCATGTAAGTAATAGCACAGGTATCGTATTGCACCATTGCTGGTGACGATGCTCCAAGTGCGCGTGGGTATCTTGTGGAGGAGACATGATATGGTCGCGTGGCACGGGGAAAACGGGAAAGAAAAAGCGCCCCAGAACCATGCACACACGCGCCGTTGACAGCATGTCTCATGGCAGGCAGAACAAAGATGAGCGGCGACAACTCAAGGGTCGGGTTTGACCAAAGACAGAACCAAAAACAAAATAAAAATAGAAGGTGTCATAGTAAACGTACACAACATTTCGGACCTGGGTAAGTGCTGTGAGTGAGACGTCAGTCGAATTCGCCAAGACTCCAGCATTGGCGCCAAGATGTGCCAATCAACGGGTTTTTGGAACGTCGCGGGGAAAGACAAAGACTCGGGACGACTAAGAAAAGCCAAGACAATTGACATACACATGCTCGACGATCATATTTCCAACGTGTTAAGGCTTTCGCTCTGCACGAAAGACATCACCAGTTCTAAATTGAGAACCTTGAAGACCAGAGAGTGCGTTGCTGCCGCCGCTCTGGACAACGTTACGGTCGGAGCCAGTGAATGGATTTGGGAAGAGGATCAGGTGCAATGAATGGGACGGATGAGGAACCTAGAAAGGATTCGAGATCCTCGTTACGAATAGTGGTACCAGTAGAGTAGTCGGGGGCGCTTCTGGGGGGGCGGACGGGCATCAGATTGTGCATGCCAAGAGAAAAGAGAGAGATGGAGGGACTGGGTGACGGGGGGATCAAATGAGAACATTTTGTTGCTGGGCCCTGGCTATGCTAACCCTGGCTAGCACCTCGGAAATAGTGAAAAGTTCCTGGGTACGGAGTACGACCTTTCAGGTAAGGGTCATGATGCATGTGCAAAGAGAACTGACGGAGACGATTCCTGAACGACAAGGCGGGCGGATGGGGTAAACTGTTGATGGGCTGTGCGATCGAGGCCTCACTTCATCATCAGCTGGCCCAACATTGAAGTTGGATGTGATCCCCAGCGTGGTTTGGATGCCCGGACCCAGGCACTGATGCCTCCCCAAAGGGAATGATGCATTAATCGATGTGGCTACCGCAGCTGAACTGACGAGTCATGCCAGACTATCAAAGCCCCTGGCCAATGGCTGGCCCGGGCCATCCACCTTCGCCGTCGTCTGTCCATGCAGCTAGCGCACGCCCCACATGTGCTTGGAAAGCTTGTCTAGAAAGCTTGTCTATTGAGCTCCGTCCCAGGCAGATCAAGGTGGTACGGGGAGCGCGGAGTACGTTGGCAAGAGTATCCAGATATGCATCCACTCTTTCTTTTCATATTGCTTCTACTGAAAAAAACGACCTTCTCTCGTCTTCAAGCTGAGAATCGAGGATCATTCTTCTAGTGCAGAGCATGGCTTGTCACGTACTAGTACGTCACACTCAGGACCTGAAACGGGGTCCATCCAGCTCCTACACTTGGTGCTCCTCATTCTAGGCTTTCTCAGTCACAGAAATCCCATACAAACAAACGAATACTATAAATAATACTTGGAGTGATGTCACATAAACATTCTCGCCCAAATACTTCGACAAAAGAAATAACAACTTCTGCTTCATCCCGTATCCGTCGCACGCGATGCTCAACATCTGCAGGGGGACCCGCAGTCCTCTGCTTGGGATATCACATCCGACGTGTCAAATGCCCGCGAATACCGAGTCGCGGTCTAGACTGCCATGAATCAATATCAATTCTCTTTTTTTTTTTTTTTTTTTTTTACTTTTTATTATTATTAATCAGTTCACCAGATAGAGTCAAGCTGTTCACGATCTGGCCCACAGAGACATGTCGCGACAAGTCGTACATGATCTTAATCTTCAGATTTCGTTACGTTTTGGCTATGATAACATCCGAGGCCAATGGCAGAGCTCAGCGATGCCTCCAGTGGAAACAAAAGGTAGCCGCCGCCATTGTGTTGTAAGAACGCCAAAAAGGCACAATACCCATCCACGCAGTTCAGTGTCCACCTTACATCCAGGCTCCAATCGTGCAATCCAGGAAGTCTGTAGACGCGGGCACCGAGGCGGTTGGTTCCACACGGTATTCTCAAACCCCAGTCCAGAGGCAACCCGTCACCCTTCACTACTGCAAGACTTCGTGTATGTGTGGGGAGAAAATCGGTACACTTCTGACTAGTATTCCATACCAAACCTTGAATATTGCAGAGGGGAGGAAAAGTCCGACGGATCTCACCCAATTTACCCCAAAAGGCTCTTCTTTTAACATATGATAAACCATACATTATTAATTCAAAGATCAAAATCAGCTAGCAAATATAATAGCGTTTTACACAAATAGAAACCCCCTTTGAGATCCGTTATAGTATAAAATACAACATAGATTACGCATAAACAAGTGTCGGGTTTTTCCTCCCCTCTGCGAGCAATTTAGAGGTCTGGATTGTTCATTGCTTGCCTTTCTCTTACGATTTTGTCTCCATGCCGCCATAAGTTCCTCGCTCTCGTTTCACGTCCGTGAGATATTCCTCAAGAATTCCACAAGCCAGTGCACTGCCCTTGACGTGTTGGTTGACATAAGCCTCCTTGTTGTCTCCTAAATAAATGGCTCTATTGATTATTTGCAGTGAGAGCGTCTATGTAATTGTCATTCCTCTGATACCTACGCTTGATTTACTTGAAGGACCTTACTCCCAGGCTCGGGTGGGAATTATTATGGAGTCGGTGAGTAGAGGAAATGCCAAACCAGGAACTGATCCTCTTAGACCCCTACTAATGACGCTTTCTCCTCCGCTAACGGCATCTCAGCTTGTCTGCCATGATATATAACTTTAGCATATAACCTCACAAGCAGGAACAATCGTCCGAGTCCTTCCGCATACTTAGCATTTGCTCCACATAGGTGACTAGCACTTGCACTAGAAGGTTCTTCTGGTGCACAGAGAGAAGCTTCAGCATCAATGAGCTTGTCATATAATTCCGATAACCGCCAAGCCATCAAAGAAGCCTGCGTCGACTATTCATCCTCCTCATATATCTTCAACGTCTAGGTCAAAGCACTTCTCCTGGTACAACTGCTGATAGTGTAGCTGCAACGACCTCGGTAGCACATACATCAAAGTTATGAAGCTCATCAGGGCTGTTTGTCCATGCTCATCCTTCGCCTTAAGATGCCTTTCAGCTCCATGTAAATCTCCATCGGAATCTGTCTCCTCATAGCGGCTGGCATAACTGCCGCTATCAGTATAGTACCCAATTAGTTCAGATATGTACAAATATTATCTGCAAGACACTTAACCTCGCCATTAAAGCTGTCCAGCTCTTCGTGCTCGGACTGTTCCTCGCGTTAGTCGCTTTGAGCCCAAAGTTGGTCGTCGTTGTTGCTGCTGGTATTGATGCCTTCTTGATCTGGCCGACTGACAATAGGATTTTGATGCTTTCCCATGCATTGCGGAGCTTCGTGGTGAAATGATACAACTACACCTGTCGCATGTCAAGAAAGATTACCACGAGTGTCTAGATCCTAGCGTCATTGCGAGATGATGTGTAGCGATGCATAAAGAAATGGGGGCGGCCAGAGTGGAATGTGCATTGCGCCAGGACGACAAAAATAAACTCATATCATGCGTGGAATACCATCGCAATAGATCACTCGTCGGACTTCGGCTACAATGACTTCGAGGGTGGCCATCACAATAGTAGCCAGTCAAATGACAACGTAATAGGCGACTACCAACCACAAAGTTGAAAATAGTGACCCGATGCAATTTTGCGTTGTTTTTAATTATTATATGATTAAGTTCTTTGGTTCTTGATTTTCTCCTGGAACCATTGCAGTGATACTCAGGTACGCAAAATCTACACTATAATCATATGCAGACAACCATGGCTGCTAACCAAGACATCAGTTATGATCCTGCCTCACTTATAGATACTCCAAGACCCGCTAGTTTGATAGAAGAAAAAGCAGAGGTAGAACCAAAGAAAGAGAACACAAAGACTACATTTGTTACTTTGTAGCTCAGATTTGAAGTGTCACCAAAACATATTTATCTTCAGTAAAACAGTATCGAAGAATGCATTGTCTTCCGTTATTGGTTTGAAACTGAGCAGCTCAAATACTTGGTATGCTCTCACCCTATGACAGGTATGTGATTGGAAATTCGAAGCATTGTCTATGTACGCATCATTTCATTTGCCACAAGCTCTTCAGATGACTGTCTCTACCGTAGAAATATCTGGACTCTGTCACTAGATTCAGGAAGACGTAGGGGTAGGCGTCCAAGTGCCAACACTGCTAGGTCCGGTAGGGGTCTCATTGATAGCATCATTGCTCCTGACACAGCCACTCTTGGCCGTCAGCGCAGCCGGGCAGGCTACTTGCTTGAACGTAACACTGGGGTTGTCTGCACCCTCAAACCAGTCGAAGCGCCAATAACAACCAGCCTTGAGTTTCTCGGGGAAGGAGTCGCAGTCGGACCGGCTTGAGACACCACCGTACTGTTGACCCCAGCCATTGGGAGGAGCACCGTACTGATTCGTACAGGCATTGAAGAGGCCGACGCCACCACCTGGCATCTGTTCATGCGTGTCAGTATTCCAGTTCTGCGTCACTCCGATTCTCGCGAATCAGCTTACAGCAAGATCGAAATGATTCTGGCCCAAATCGCCACCGGTGTTGCTAGCCTGCACGATCATCTTTTTGCCCTGCACAGATCCACTCGTGAAAGTCAATTCATAGCACGCGCAACACCATGTCTGCTCATTGGAGCCCGAAAGTTTGACTGCAGCCCACCCGTAAGACATGGTTTCGTTGACTGCCCAGGGGCTCTGATCGCTGCACATGTATGCCGATCCGCCGTTGTCGCAGCCCGACTTGGTATCGGAGGAGCCCAGATGGTTGTCGGATTTATCGCAGGTACCAACATACTTACCGCTGTTGGTCTTCATCCCCCAACCACAAGAAGGTTTGCAGCAGTCCCAATAACGAGTGGTCTGGCCGCTGCCGGAAGAGCCCTGGGCGCAGGCATAGGTGGCCAGGGATGAGAGGAGAAGCAGGGAACGCATGTTGATGTAGGATAGAATGTTTGTGAGTAGCCGATGAAATGGCGTGCTGGGTATAGAATATGCATTTGGGTTGCTTTGTGGCGCCAGATCTTATATTATAATAGCCATTAAAAATAACGTCAAAAAGTGTACGGCTGTTCGAAAAAGCGAATCGGAACTTCTCTGCCTCTGATGTCACAACCATATTGGCAATCTGATGCCATCTATAAAGGCTGTTCAAAACAAGGCACGTAATCTTGACGGAGCTCCGCGCCAGGAAGCTTTCTGGTAAAATTGGTTTCATCATCTGGTAAAAAGGCGATTATCACGGAACCTCCGTCCCGATGATATTGGCAGCTAAAGACGGTATAGAGTGACCCATTTAATATCCCGTTCTCCGCAATATCATATAGGACTAACAGCTTACCCCTGGCATTAATTAAAGGCCTTAGCGCGATGGATTCGATATTAGGAATGGTCATTGCAAAACAGGGCCTATGTAGACGACGTTTTGGATACTTGCTAGGCTAGGAGATAACGAAAAATTTCACACGGCAACATACGTAGAACAAGAAAAACATGCCTTACAACCAGCTTCTGATCTGACCAAATCAAATTTATTTGTCGGCCATGTCATAATTGCTATGACACCGACGCCTCAGCAATGGTTGTGCCTGAAGTCTATAATTATGGGATATCATAGGCAATCACGCAACTTCTCCTAGGAGCCCCAACCGCCACGGCGTTCGCCATCATCATCTCGTCGGCGCTCGCCACCCCCCATAAAGCGACCAGCCATATCAATGGCGTCGCCAACGAAGTCATCATCTCCACGACGCTCATCGTTGTCTCGTCGTCCACCAAAGCCGCCATCTTCCCGGCGTCCGCCAAAGTCATCATCTCGACGACCTCCGCCGAATCCTTCATCACCTCTGTCTCCGCCGTGACGACCTCCATGACCACCGCCGAAGCCTTCCTCTCGCCTATCGTCATCGCGGCGACCATAGCCACCGCCAAACCCTTCATCACGTCGACCGCCGGAGTCATCGTCACGACGACCTCCGCCATGACGCTCTTCGCGGCCACCACCAAATGAGCTCTCTTGGTGACTTTCGAAGCGCTCTTCATAAGTATTTCCGTTGTCATCATAGCGACGCTCGGTACGCTGCTCATATCCCCCTTGGCGGCTGGGGCGAGTTTCAGTACGCTCTTCGAAGCCGTACGTGTTCGTGTTGCCTCGACGGTCCTCATCTTGCTCGTAGCGACGATATGTCTCAGATTCACCCCCGCCAGAGTATTCAGTCCTTGAAGCCTCCGCTTGGCTAAATCGGTCACCCGAGCGTCCGTACTCTGTACGAGTCTCAGTGTTGGAATTGTTGTCATGGCGGCTCTCGCCATAGGACTCTGTTTCATTCTTGTTGAAACCGCTGAGGATGGAACCTCCGATGTTGCTGAGGAAACCACCCAGACCACCCTCACTTGACTGTTCTTGCCGGCGACCAGAACTGCCTGATCCTGAGGTTGGCAACGAGATGCCAGTTTGGGACTGAACAACATCTGATAGACCACCAGTGATACCACCAACGATGGCATCAGCGGCTGCGCCGGCAATGCGATCCTCAAAAGTACCGCCCTCAGCGAAGTTCTTGTGCATTCCGAGGGGCTTGCCACAGCCGTGACCTGTGTCGTGAACACCTTCCTTGTGGTTCTCCCCGTTCTGAACACCTCGGCGTGAAAGCTTCCCACGGAACTCGTCCTTTTCACCGTCGTCCTTCTGGTTCCACCAATCTTCGACGGAGCGAATCATGATCTGTCTGCAATCCCTAGCACCATCCTCACCCATGTCGCGTTGAGCGGGATGATGCATCACACCGTTGATAATACGGTTCATTGTGCGGTCAATGTCGACATTGTCATCATCCCAAGCCTCCATCAACTGCGGAACAACCCACGCAACAACCTTGCTGGCAGTCTTGCCGGCAGCCTCGTTCAGAATCTATTGATCCTGTTAGCTCATGGTTGAAAGTTTGGTGTAAGCGATACTCACATTAGAGAAATGATCCTTGGACAACATGGAGTGTGTAGGATCAGAGCATTCATCGTCGTTGAAAACAACGTGCTGCTCATTCTCGCTGCTAGCAATAATTTCGGCAGAGCCAGTTCGCAGCTCGTTCTTGACCTGCTGAAGGACCGGAACGACAAGAGGTGCCATAATGGAGAAGACCCATACGGACAATTGCTCCTCGAGCTGCTCAACAATCTTAGGTAGGACGGGGATCTTCTCGATAGCCTCGCTAATATTCTTCAAGAGCTCATCATGGAACTCGATCGCGGGCATGATCTGCTTGAAAATGTTCTGGACGTAAAGAGTGTATTCCTCTGGGTCGCGAGGGGAGATTGACGTGTTCTCCAGCTGAGAGCTGCTGGCACTGTCCTGGATCTCATGCATCTTCTGTTTCTTGTCGCCCGAACCGCCAATAAGGCCATCCGGGATCTTGTCCAAAAGGTTCTCAATGTAGCTGGTATCATTCTTGGAGTTCTGCGTAAGAGTGCCCTCAAGTTCGTCGATTTCATTCTGGGTTAACTTGTCAGACACTACATTATGCATTAGTCTCATCCAAAAGCGGAGAAAACAGCGAGGTTTTTGATTCCATACCTTCACCAGTCACAGAGTGCAGAAAGTCCACACCACCAAAAGTACCGGTGACACAAGGGTAAACTTCCTCGCGGGCACCTTCAATTCGAACCTTGGTGCTACGACCAACGTGAGGGAAAATGTCGCGCTCGCCCAACTCAATGAGAGCCAGCTCAGTGTAGTTGCTATGGGCCAAGAAATCTAGTATGGTGTCAGTCCAGCATGCCTCTCATCCTGGAGTAGCATCCGACAACGCGTCTCACCTTCGCAAGCGTGTAAACCGGTGCCCATCAATCTCAGAGCTTCGTAGAAGTCATCCTTGTTTCTGTTGCGGTTGTATGAGCGGCCAAGCTCAATGCACCGACCAAATAGTTTCCGGATGTGAAGCGCGGTTGTCATGATGTTGATGTTTTCATTAGCGATATAGTTCTTAAGACCAGTTCGCTCATCGATGGCGAGTTCAACACGCTCATCGACGGGGCCACGAAGTCGCCTGTCATAATCGCGGGCATCAACGCCAGGAGCAGGGTAGCCCTTGGGGTTATCTTCAGTCTTGGGTCAGCCACGTATTTTCACACAAACCAGTACATATCGGGATGATATTTGATGGACGCAGCATCGGGCTAATATCGCGAGTCCAAATCGCCATTTTGTGAAGGTCTACTCACCAATGTGGTCCTCTGGGCGGTAAGTGCCGAGGCGGTCAGCAGTAACCTCGAATTCTTTGGAACCATAACCAAATGTTAGGAAGCCGAGAATACAAAGCAAGAGTCGGATAGCCTCAGCAGAAACAGCCTTTACGGTTCCAACATCGATTGCCTGGGAATAATCACGGAGCCAATTGCCAAAGTAGACGCGTGAAACGGCCAACTTGTCGAACTTCTTGCCGCCGGCGGCACGGGCCAAGAGAAGGGTGAGGAGAGTGTCCTCGATATCGCCGTGACGCCCTGTTGAGGAACATTATCAGTTGCTGAAACAACTAAAAGACAGCCTAAGACCGAGTGCAAGCTTACAGTTTTGGCCTTCAACCTTGGAAATAGAGGCAATATTGCCAGCACCGAACGCCAAAGCCGGTCTGGCATAGACCAGCACAACCACCAACGCCAACAAGGCGGGGTAGGGCTTGAAAGAAAACATTTTGACCTGCTCAAACGTTTGTCAGATATGCGCAAAGTTCGAGGATCGAATCGCGTTTATGGTGTTGATGTAAAATAGAGAACGGCAAGTCTCGAGAAGACTCAAGTTCATATGGTCTCGGAAAGAAAAGACAGAAAAATCCAGGGGCCTCCGAGCTTGATGCTTCGTCGCGGCTGTGACGTGTTTTGGAGGGGCAGCATGAAAGCTCACCCCCGACAAACGAGGGGATCTTCTGGATTCAAACGATGCCAAGCCGCGATGTGCAGAATGTGTTCTGCTATTGGATATTTTAGCTCCATGCACAAATGGGTGGAGGTTTGAATGTGAAACGTTGTGGTACTGGCTTAATCGTTTGGCAGGGGTCCATTCCGCGAATTCCACAGCAACAACAACAACAAGATAAGAGCATACTGCAGCGTTATCGCGTCGTGTCCTTCTCTAGATGCTCTCTGCAACACCAATCGCACAAACATAGTTATGCAGAGGTCAAGTAATCGGCAGTATGGCGCAATTGCCTTTTGGACTTCTACCGCTACTAATCTCATTTGAATGGTCGTCACGACAAATCTTGTCTTGATTTGCAGCAGACAGTGCACCAATGCAGATCAGATTCGCGTGATGGGAATGAATCTCCAACCCCTCACGGTTAGAGTATCTGGGCCCTGAGCGAGGCGCTGCCAAGCCATTTAGAGCACAAACAAGTGGGCTTGTTCACGAGGCGGTGTTTGTCAGTCATTTGACGGTGTAGGAAGCGAAGCATGCCTTTGGCTTCGCGTGTGAGGCTACTCTCCCACAATTAAAGTATGCTGTGACAACACGCTACCGTGTATCCGAACTCGCTACATTTGTACTCCATGTACACACTACACTGTAGTGTTTATCGAAGATTCAACATAAACGCTGCTCCCGACCAAGAGTATCTCTCGATTGAGTTGTCGAATCCGACCATTCCCCATAATGAGGAACAAACACATGTCCTCCCACCGACGGAATTCTATACCCCAACTCTCATGAGTTTCATTGTCGCATACGCAAACACAGAAGTTGCATCAAGCGTCTTCTCCTAGCCTGGCCCGTATTCGTGGTCTGTACTATTCCCACGGCAAAGCAGCTTTCAAGTCAGCACTATGTATAGGTTTGCAACCCACTGGATGCACAAATTAGCAGGAGCTCAAACATAGCCTTATAATCGACCCTAAGCTTAAACGAAGACACTACAATCATGAACAACATCTAGACATCAATTGTATTATTTCGTGTTTTCATACCGATTGTGATGCTCGTCGGTAACCATCAGACCTATGACTATGCATTGGAAAACTGAGAAGGATTTCGAGTATACATGAATCAGTAGAATGACTCCGTTGCATTGCAATACTTACATGAGTAGCATGAATTCGACACTATGATCCATTTAGTCCTACCTTAAAGCTTTATGAATTCACACTCAGGATTAAAATAGGTAATGTTTATGATGAACAGGCAATATCTAGCATAGGGGAAATCTGTGAGCACCTACCTGGAAGCAACGGTGAACATCGAGGACGTTCGCTATCGAATGCCATGCAAGTGGTTGGTGATGCATATAAGACTTTGCGTGCTTTATGCTGTACAATTATTGAAGTAGGTTATAACACGCGAGTATGTAGGATGTTGAAGGAACGGCATAGGTGCTGTCAATGGACCATCAGGGCCGCACTCGAGGTGTATAACCGACCATGAGCGGATCATCTAAGGCAAGAGCTTCGACATTCGCTTCCAACCTCATGAGGTAAGCTTTATATATATGTATATATATATTTTAAACTGCGCGGGTGTAACCTCGGACATGAGTGTTTGGTGCAGTAAATTCACAGTGGGTAAGAACCCGAGATTAAGGTAACTTGTATTGAACAAGTCAGGAAGGTATGGAATCCAAGTACTACATGAATAATACCAGAAGCTTAGGATGAATGGAAGAGAGCGTCGTATGAGGTAAAGGGCCGTCATTTGAACTGTAATATAGAGAATATATGACCCGCTCAAGATGGAATACCTGTGGCCATACGTCGCGAAACAGGCGCTGGGCGCTTTGAGCTGGATATGACTTGTGGGATAGAGTGAGGGACAGCATCGCTGGGAGTGGTCCTATATAAGCGGCGTTTCCCCAGGCATGACGGCTGGTGCTTGAGAAATAGCTACTGGAGGTGCCTCTGTCGACAACTTGGCGAAGGATACTGGATGAAAGACGTGTCGACTAGTCTAGCACTGGGTTGGAAGTGCTGGAGCATGCAGTGAACGGAAAGAGCTTCAGTGCTGCGGTCAATGACGCTGGTACAGGGGAAACATGATCGATCAAGTACCAGACATGGAGGGCGATGCACCAAAGCCGATGTGTTCAGTGTACTCGAGCGTGGTTGCAAGGCCTACCTGTGCAATTGAAAGAGATCAGCTCGTGCAACTGAGTCGGGCGATACTAGCGGGGTGATTTGTAGCGATGGTAGCTTGGTCAGTCAGTCGCCTGGCTGCGTGAATGCAGCAGTCAGGAAACAGTAGTGGTCAGATCGATGGAACTCCTGGCAGCGGAGAGCACTTGAAAGCAAACTCCCCAGTAATGTTTTCACAGATGGAGGGTGGGAAGCTTTGGGACCCTCAGAAGACCCAGGGCTGCCGAAGAGTTGGGGTGTAGATTGGACTGCCGCTTTAGTTGGCTAAGTTCAAACTTGAGCCCAGTGCAGCAGCGTCATTTTGAATCAGCCAGTTAGCGTCGTGGGCGGGTGTCACCAATGGAGCCTTGCATGAAATGGCCTAAACACCACGAAATTCGCTACATCAGCACCCTCACGCGCCATGAACCCTCTAAACATGAGCTGGAATGATAGCAGCAATAACAGGGTTTCGATGCACCGCCTGTGACGTTGAAACACGGAAAAATACTCAGAAAAAAGTAGAGAATCAAACGACAATATGGAAAGGCCCCAGATTTAACAGTGAGAAAAAGAAGAAGACATGCTAGGCAGTTATGGTCATTATGCCACGACCTTCAGAAATGGTTGCTAAAAGTACCCCGGGCCAGGAAGTTGCAAGCCCCGGTCTTGTGCGTGGCTGCTGTTCATGTCACTGATCTAATCGTATGAGCTCACTGGAGACTTTGCTGGCCCAGCGCGTCAGTACAACAACATGAAGTCCAGGTATTTGTGCAGGCTGCTACCGTTGTCCTCTGTCCGGATTTTAAGATATAAAAAGAACTGGGTGTTTTGGAATCGAATTTCTGATACTTGTAGACATTCAGAGAAGCTTGCAGCAGACAATTGCGCCTTTGCAACGGGGTTTGGTCCATAGTAATAAAAGCTGGCTCTTGTGGACTCGTGCTGGAAGAAGTACCTTAGCGGAGGACTCGAATGCCCAGGCGGATTGGGGTTGTTGGGTGGAGGCACCTTTAGGTGGTGCCTGTGAAAAGTGAGAAAATCGAAAATTCGGCGCCCGCTTGGAGCTGGCTGATCCAGCGCAATCAGTGACCACCTGGCCCCTCACATAAATGCGAAACCCCCCAACCTCAGGCGCTGTTCCGCGCCGCTCCTCTCTTCCCTTTTTCCACCTCACTGAAAATTCCTCTTTTACTGCTCCACTGCAGAACCCCAAAACACCCCCTGCCTTATTGATTCAGGACAACGTTCAGGCCATTAACTTTTGAGCATCACAACGCTACAACTTCAACATATTCAGCACATCCACAGTTCACAATGGCCCGTCCCAAGAAGAGTGATCAGAAGGCCGCCCCGCCCACGCCAGTCGCTGCAGCTGTCGCGCCTCCAGTACTGCTGCCTCAAGCACCCGCGCCTGCTCTGCCCCAAGTCTTGCCTGATAACAGCGGTGCAACACTGGTGATCAACAAGGCCGATTATGCTCGTCTTCGCGACTCTGTAAGTCGATATTTTATTGCCTCTCGACACGCCATGCCCCAAACCCCGCCTCGCATCCATGGCTATGTGCACATCCATCAACACCAGCTTCTTTCGTGTTTTCTATGCCAGTCCCAATCTCACCGTCGATGGACTGTCCACAATATATCTTGATCATGCATGATATTTTGATGACGAAGTCTTGCGACTCGACATGATATGAGTCCTGTTTATACCAAGAACGAGATGTGCTGGGCAATACATGCATCAGTCATCGCATTCTTTCTCCGGGACAACTTCCATCATGCCGCGTTACTGTTGTTCTGGAGACGCGTTGTTGCACCACCCACTGATATGGTTATGTCTGGTCAACCTGGCCTTGTCCCTGACACCGGGGTAGTCAAGTACCATGGTCCTTGCTACTTTTGTGTCATGAAGATCCTATCTTATAGCTCATCCGCAGTTGCAATTTTACACCATGAACAACATGACTAACCTGATACCAGGTTCACTCACGACTTTCCACCATTCAGGAGCTTCTCAGAGACTTTGCTGCCGACTATCTCCGTCAAAGCAACCTTCTTCTGGGAGAGCCCACTTCCTTAGACGCCATTCCTAGTCTCGGCGCTCTGGCCAGGCTTGATGGCGCTGCCTTGGGATTCGCTCCGCCGCTTGCTGAGGCTGCTCTCCCTGTTGAGGAGAAGAAAGAACGCAAGAAGCGCCAGCATGATCCCAACGCCCCAAAGAGGCCTTTGACCCCTTACTTCCTATATATGCAGACTGCCCGCCCTATCATTGCCAATGACCTTGGCCAAGATGCTCCCAAAGGTGCAGTTCAGGAAGAGGGCCAGCGTCGCTGGGCTGCTATGACACCCTTAGAAAAGAACGTAAGTTTTACTTGTCAGCACATGTTTGCTGAGTCATGAACTGACCGCTTCAGGCTTGGAACAACGCGTACCAATTCAACCTTCGTCTTTACAATGCCCGCGTGCATTCGTATAAGGCTGGCAACCTTGCAGCTAGAGATATGAGCGATCAAGATGCTCTCACTTACGCAGACGCCAACCAGGTTGCACAACCCGCTTTGACTGGTATCGAGGAGGCTGCCGCTGCTGGTGTTAATGACCAGGATGCCATCGTCGAGCAGCTTCAAAACTCTGTCCCAGTTGTAGCTGCCGCGCCGGAGGAGGCCAAGACCCCTAAGCCCAAGCAGACTCGCAAGCGAAAGAGCACTGCCGCTGATGGCATCGAGGAGGGTGAGACTAGTGCCGTTAAGAACGCTGCTGTCACACCCGCCAGTCCTGAGAAGAAGCGTAAGCGACAGTCCAAGGCAGCAGAGCCTGCGTCCGAAGAACCTAAGAAGTCCGGCCGCAAGAAGAAGAACGCTTAAGCACCTGTTCGTGCCTTGAGTGTTCCTATATCACTTTTCTGCTGTCATTGAAGATACCACTTTTGTGTCGATGTGTATAAAAGACGTCAGCTTATCATGGACACGTCCGCCGTTGGTGTGCAGCCATGAATCGGCACCGCGAGAAGCTCAGGTTTTGGGAATCTGGTTACTTTGCTTTGATTTGGGATGTATGAGTCTACGAAATACACTGCTTAGCGAGTGAGGCATGACTCACTGCAGAGTTTCAGGTACAGATCAGGCGTTCGTGTGGGGAGGTTATTAGTTCGCGTTGTAAGGTATAAATACATACTGTTCCTACACAATCAAACCGTTAAAGCCCAATTTCAACCAACCGTGCAACGAATGACTGAGGTGGAGATCATAACCGTCTCGGAATTGGAATATGGTTGTTTCGATGTAGTCGATCCAGCAATCCGAACCCACCGTGGTCACGCCTCTCCCAGAGCAGAGCGCAACAATGGTCTGGATTTGATAGGCTGTACGGTAAGCTTGCAGGGATATCAATATTCTAAAGCTCATCAAACCCAGCAACACACCCCTGTAATAGTATATTATGCTAGCCTAAAAGGTTGTCCAGGGCAAAGTTCGTGGTGACAGTCGGTCTGCCTAGCCACCTTAGAACTCGCGAGGAATTCGTCATAGCTACCAAAACTCTTATAAGCTTTGCTTGAATCTTTGTTTCTTCTGCTGATGAGTAGGAACTTCGACAATCGATCGTCGGCTGAAAAGAGAGGTTCGATTGGGAAACCGCTGTACCAAACCACTTAGTCTTCCATATGGTTGTTAACGGAGGCTATTGCCGAGTTCGTCCTTTATTTGTTATCTTCAGGTGTATTTCCAGTCGCAATTCATCGGGGACGGGTTGAGTAATGAAAGCTTGCTGGCATTGCTGCGTACGAATACGGAAGGGTATCTCTGTCTGGACAGGTCTGCTTGGGAGAATCCTTGAACGAAATCGGCCGGAGGCTAAGTCTACGGAAATGCTATGTAACGAGGCAACCATCATAGGTTTTATTCAAAGGCTTAGTTGATGACATTTAGTTAGAAGTAACTGGGACAGCTACAAAATGACTTTCGACTTGCAGCATCTTTCCATACGCCGTGTTGCTTCGGTGGTATGAGCCTTGAAAGACCGTCCTCGACTGATGATAACCATGTCGGAATATGGTAGTGAATGACAACCATACAGTGAGATACCGATGCTGATACTCTCTTACTACTACAACTTCTTGTCGTGCTGTCTCCTAAGGTCGCCTCCTCTCAGCAGCCACTCAATACACAAACCATTGCTGACTCAATGGCAAGCTCTCCGCAGGCTCTGCTGTACACACCATGCCATCGGCTTCGACGGTATACTTTTCTGGATCGACCTTCATCTTAGGCATGACGTCATTGAATTTCATATCGCGTTTGCTGATATTCCTGCAGTTCTTGACGGCCTCGACGCGCTTACGTAGTCCATACGTAGCAATCGTGCCCGAGGAGATAGATGCCTGGGAAACAAAAAGCACGCTCGTTCTTGGTACCAGCGGTGCAAACATGGGCCGTGCGATGATCGGTTGTACTGTTGGAATAGAGGCGTTGGGGTCGCCCTAAATAGTAATTAGCAAAACAATATATAGCGACTGGGAATACGGAGCACGGAGCGTTCGTGTACTCACCATTTGCGCATAGGCAATTAGTCCGCTCTTCACAATCAGACTAGGTTTCGCGCCGAACCAGGCAGGATCCCAGACTACAAGATCAGCAAGCTTGCCAACCTCGATACTTCCGACCAAATGTCCCATTCCCTGAGCAATCGCTGGGTTGATAGTATATTTGCTCACGTATCGCTTTACTCTGAAATTGTCTGCATCAGTGCCCTCATCTTCCTTCAGTGTACCTCTTTGGACTTTGTTCTTATGCGCTGTGTTCCACGTCCGCAGGATTACTTCACCGCAGCGTCCCATAGCTTGAGAGTCAGAGGACATCATGCTGATGGCGCCAAGATCGTGGAGCACGTCCTCCGCGGCAATGGTCTCGGCACGAATTCGAGATTCTGCAAACGCAACATCCTCGGGAATGTTCTTGGACAAATGATGGCAGACCATGAGCATGTCCAAGTGCTCGTCAAGGGTATTGCGCGTATATGGTCTGGTGGGGTTTGTTGAGGATGGTAGAACATTAGGGTGCTCGACAACACTAATGATATCAGGAGCATGACCACCACCAGCACCTTCAGTGTGATAGGTATGAATGACACGGTCTTTGAAGGCCGCAATAGTGGATTCAACATATCCAGATTCGTTCAACGTATCTGTGTGAATGAGGGTTTGAACATCCAACTCATCGCAGACGGACAGGCATGTATCAATAGCTGCAGGTGTGCTGCCCCAGTCCTCGTGGAGCTTCAGCCCACAAGCTCCAGCGATCACCTGTTCACGCAATGCTTCGGGTGCGCTATCGTTGCCCTTTCCGGTGATACCTATATTGAGCGGAAGTTCATCACAGGCTTGAAGCATCTCTCGCATATAGTTGGCACCAGGTGTACATGTCGTTGCACTGGTTCCAGCACTACAACGTTGTATTAGCTCGCCGTTTGTTTATGATCAGATATTAACTTACCTTGGACCCACACCACCACCCAACATGGTGGTGATACCGCTGGCGATGGCCTCCGGAACTTGTTGCGGACAGATAAAATGGATATGTGAGTCGAAGCCTCCAGCCGTAATGATCCTGCCTTCACCAGCAATGACATCGGTACAACTTCCCACAATCATGCCTTCAGTGACGCCATCCATGACATCTGGGTTTCCAGCTTTGCCGATGCCGACAATGAAGCCGTTTTTGACACCAATATCTGCCTTGTAGATGCCAGTATAGTCAATGATAAGCGCATTGGTAACAACCATGTCCAATGTAATCTTATCTGATCTGCCAGTGGCCTGTCCCATGCCCTCGCGAAGTGTCTTGCCGCCGCCAAATTTGCATTCATCGCCATACGATGTTAGATCTCGCTCAACTTTGATCCAGAGATCCGTGCTTCCTAGCTTTATGCGGTCACCGGTGGTTGGTCCAAACATGGTCACATATGCACTGCGATCCATCTCACATGCGCTGATGGATCCCATATCGCCTACTGGTCCCGGACGATGTGCAAAACCTGCCTCCTGTAACTTCGCAATAATTTCATCCACTCTGCCCAGGTCTACTTGACCTGTGGCTAAATAGTTGCCACCATGAATGACTTTGTTCCCCGCGATCTCAACGAGAGTCACCGTCTTCGTGTCACCGGGCTCGAATCTTACCGACGTGCCTGCGGGGATGTCCAGCCGGAAGCCATAAGCTTGCTTCCGATCAAACTCCAACAGTGGATTCGTTTCAATGAAGTGGTAGTGACTGCCTATCTGGATCGGCCGGTCGCCTTTACTCGTGACACTGAGCTTGACCCTCTTACGGCCTTCATTGAGGGTAATCTTCCCCTTCACCGCAATCACGGCGCCTGGCTGCTTTGAGCCCTCATACAAGGATGGTTCCGCAGATGGGAACAAGTCTGCATCTGGGACAGGCAGAAAAGAGCCGTAGAGTGCGCGCGCAAGGTCACCGTCCTCACTGGCAATGGGGTTGTGCACCGTGACAAGATAAGTGCCCGTCGGGAACGTACCTTCGACCTGGATCTCATGGAGCGTGGACGGCACAGAGGGCTGGACATGGCGTCTCCCTAGCATAGTCGAACCCAGGGCCATAAGATCTGCAACAGTGTGGGCACCATCACGAATGAGTTCTTGGAGGTTGTTGGCGATGAGTGCCTGGTTTCCCGCGTGAGCATGGCATGCTGAGTTATAGTGAAAGGCAGGACGGTGGCCAGCCACGCATCTTGAAATGAGTAATTCTTACAGTAGCTTCGGAATGATTTAACTTCACGCCTCGTGCCAACCTCTTTTGAGCCTGAAATCCAAGCTGTGAGATGACGAGCTTGTCGATCTGTGTTGCGTCGCTGTGTTAGCCAAGGCCCAGGTTCTGTTTCCTGCTGTCATAGCAATGCAAGGGACCACGACTCCCGTCACGTTCCGAGGTAACGTTGACTAAAACACACCTCTTTGGGAACCAGATGCATCTTGGCAAGACGGCTCGTCCTAGGGCCAAGCCAAGGAGCCAGATACAATAATATGGCAAAAGCTCGATACAGAAGTATTTTAGAATCTCAAACTCACGATAGCAAGCAGCAGTTTCTTTTTTCACTCTCAAGCTTACCCAAATGAACTTGAGAGAAAACTCGCGCTTCGCCGGTTTGCGTGGGGGCTCCGCTACCCCGCAATGCACGATAAGACATGTGCACTCATCGTAAATAGTCAGCGCTCGATAGCACCGAGCTTCTGAAGAGCCATTGACCAATCACGGCCCGACTTGGTGTATCATCTATAGGCGTGCAGTATGGCGCGGGTCGGCTTTTGTTGACTGAACGACTTCACTTAATCGGGCAGTCTCAAACTTCTTGTCGGATTCATCCCCGATATTTGTCACAGGAGAAATGCTGCTCTCTTTGCACTACTTAAGATCGCCGCATTGTACCATGAAATATGGACGCTCAGACGAAGCGAATTACCGAGCCGTACTTATTAACGTTTGTAGCGCGGCCAGTCAAAATGGACATATAGACCATGTAGGTAGGGAGTATTGATGACAAATGTTTCTGAACAATGAAAGTTGCACTGTAGGGAGGGAATAACACGGTAAACTTTGCCATATGGTACGTCGGATCTGCCAAGCCTCCGTGAATTCTGGCCGGAAATGCTCCATGCCAGCGTAGTCATCTCGGGCGTTTATGACTCACCCCGAAATAAACTTGGATTACACTCAAGTCCCTTGAGTAGTAGACAGTGATAATTCTTGAGATGTGACACCGCAACCTTTGTGGCGAGACGTGCTGGCGTTGGCGATCGGGGTCTCTGATGACAACATGGTGTCCTTGCCACTGAATGTTGTCATTGGAGAGTATGATGTGAGGGTTGCATTAGACACTCTTGTGTAGTTCATCGTGCTGAAAGTGAAGGAGAGGGTGTGTCCGAGCTTGATACAGCGTCGTAAGTTGAAGGTCCCTAGTACTAGACTGAAAATTTTGAGAATTAACTTACGGAGTGCTGGCCAGAATGTTGATAACGGTGTATACATTGTTAACTTTGCTGTCGCTATGAAGACAAACACCAGTTTTGAAAGTATTCTGATACTTGTGGTTGAAATATCCGCCATTTGATGTCCAGAGGTTTATGTTGTCGAATTCTACATCAGTGCAAAGGCCACCCTCAGTGCATTCGAGTTGAACAATTCGGCGTGGGAATTTTCGGTCTATACTTAGTGACCATATCAGATTGCTGATGTCAACTCTAGTACTCCCACGATCCTCTCCCCATCCCACATTGACATCGTCCCATAAAACCGTTTAAACATGGCCATCTCCGCTGTGGGATTTTAAATAACATACACCTGCGCCGTTTATATACAATCATTATACTTGATATTCTCGACGGCAGTTCCTGTGCCATCTCATTGCACAACGATGTTGTCGCCGTACCTTAAGCCAACCTTGCTACGCAGCGGGTGAGTACCAGGTGGGATATAAATGAGCCCACCACCGACCTCTAACAGTCTACAAATGCGTAGGAAAAGGCGACACCAAAGTCTGGATCCTCGGCGGCACTCTGGGCTGTCACATTGCAATACCTTGCTCGAAGCTTTGGTTTAATTGGATGTTATACCTAGGCCCAATTTTACCGGTCAGCTGTGATGCACTGGCATCGCGAGGAGACCAGCGATGAAGGTGCCAGTAGACATGTTGGATGATAAAGATGAACTTCTAGTCCTAAATGAGTGGATCTTTGCGAACAGTGCATATGCCGGGCTTTGAATCCGATCATAAGCCTGTACCCAACGCAAGATATCGTGATGTTCAAGCCAATGTGTATGTAATATCAACGATTCAACATCTGTTTCGATGAAGTGAGCATACAAATGCTGAACGATTGACCTAAATTTTGATGGGAGTAAAAATAAAAAGAACCCCCCTCAACAGCAAGATCAAGCTGGCCAATCCCAGAGATCAAAAGTTTGTATATGAAGATTCAACATTTAAGGAATGAATACCCACGAGATGGGTGCGGTGACAACCCTAAGCTTAGACTAGTACATGGTAAATAGCCTTGGCTCATACCAGTCCGGTGGGATGGGATAGATGCACAATATTAACCAAACAACCCTCCTTATGCTTCATCACTTCCTTGTGCGGATGGATAGCCCAGTATCGTGGGCCGTTCCGCTAGGACAGGCGTCTCTAATGAACTTCCGCTGAGCTTGTGGATGTAATACCTAGTGTAGGTAACAAGCCATGGGTTGTGTTCGCAGGTCCCCAACTTTAGACCCCCCTAGGATTTGACTCTAAATCAGGGAGGCGTACAGCAGATCAAACAGGGAAGTTACTGTTGTTTAAACAGTGTTATCCACAAGACTGTGAAGGTATCTGAAAGATATTCAATATATATAGAACAAGTTTCATAATTCTAAAACTCATGTAGCATGTACAATGGAAAGTGTGCCTTGCTATTGGGGAGTGTCATTGTACAATAGGGACTTCTTGTTCATTGCTCAATGACCACCAACTCCACCAAGAACTTGACTGTGTGCTTCATTGCTGCACTGCTCTTTTAACCATAATTCCAGGAGGGAACACCGAACGCCTATGAGGGTATCATGGTGAAAAACATCGCCAGTAGTTCTTTCCACAGAGGCCAAATACAAATCATTAATTTACATAGCTCATTCCTCTTCGGCTTCTTCATCCCAAACCTGTCGCTCCGCTTTCGTCAAGGGCTGCATCACCTCGGGCTTGAAAATGGAACTGTCAGGATCCGATGCTCGAGGAACCCTGCCGAGATTGGGATCGTCAAAGACAGTGCCTATGCTATCGATCCACCGGCGTCGGCGTTCCATGAGAGTCTTTGCGACATCGCCGATGCCCGGTCGAGCCATACCCGCCGCGGCATTGCCAGCTGCCGAATTGCCCCCGCCAGCACCGCCTGGTCGCTTGTTCTTCTTAGATTTGCCCAGAGTACGCGTCCTCTTAAGGTATGCGCCTTGGACCTGGGTGTCAAGATCTTCAAGGATGGTCTGATACTCTTGATGTGCCATTCGTTCCTTAACAAGCTCCGTGAGCCTTGCTTTGCGAGCACCATTAATTAGCATTTGGTCGCGCAGCCGGCTCTGGAGCAGCCGCAAACGGCCTGCAACCTCATCATCGAAGTGGCCATCGTAGTCGCCATCAAACCCATCTTGCGGCAGGAACCCGATATGGCGTAGTTCCTGCTTGATGCGCTCATCGACTTGTGTATAGTCCAGCTTAGGATGCGTAGCTTTCTTCCAAGCCTCGCTACTGGATTCCGGCATGCATGAAGCAGGTGGTAGACTCTTGCTATCTTCCTCACTGACCCCATTGACTCCGTTGACTCCACTGATCCCATTAATCCCATTAATCCCATTCGCTTCACCGTTCGTCTCGGTCTTAACCTCAAATTCGCCGTTGATACCATTGGTCATGGCCTTGTCTTCACTAGACTGAGCGCGTGCCTCGGGGCGCATGGCCTGGAGTAGACGTGAAAGAATTGGCCCTACCGAGAGCTTGTCGGACTCTGCTGTATCATCAGCCATATGGTCGATAGTACCACGAGGCTGGTTCGGAGGCAGCGTGTCGCGGCCAGGAGGGGTAGAGTCTATGGCCATCGCACCGTCCTCTTCTGCCCATATCTCCGAGTAGTGTCGTTTTCCGCGCTTGGGCATGACGAAGGGCGCGACGCGGTCGCCGCGTTCTCTGAGGAAGGCCAGGTCTTCTTCGTTGAAGGTTCTGAAGTAGGGCTCGATGTAGGTTGTGAAAGTGCCGAAGGAGATCTGGTTTGTTGGCTTGGCAATGGTGAAGTCCTTGTCAGGCGGATCGCCAGCGATGAGGTCGGCAAGATCTGTTTCTGGGTAAACTGCCACACTATATATTTCCCTCCGCTGATCTGGTGGCATGTCTGGTGTGACTGGAAGAATCTCATATACAGTCGGATCGGGATATGTGGAGGGGTCTTCGCCAAAGGTCTGGAATTGAGGAGCTTCGCGTCTTGGAGGGGCACCTTCATCCTCAGAGCTCTCATCATCGTCATCCTCCTTCTCCTCTTTGGGCTTCTGCTTCTCGTCTACGTCCATAGCCCCAGGTGTTTCTTTGGCAACTGGTGAGAGGGACGAGCTGGCGGAATCGTTGTCGCGGGAGAGCTTACGAGGTTTGCTCGAATCTCGTTTAGGTGATGACCGATCTGAACATGAGATGATTAGACTACTGGGGTGTCGGTGATGCATGCAGTGAACATGGACCACAGGCTGAGTTGTTCATGGTGGGGAAGGGTAATGTCGCCAGAAGGGCAGCTTACCTGGTTTGCCTTCTTGCGGCGGAGCAAGACTGTCGTTTGCCTTTCTCTTTTTCTTATTGGCTTTCCTCTCTTCATCATCTCGGCGCGGCTTCGCTTCATCCCTTCCAGAGGCGGACAGGTCTTCGAAATGCATCTTGCTTCTCTCGCCGGCGACAAGTCGCATTCCACGGTCGCAGAACGCGCCTCGGCTCTCAATGGTGTCGTGAAGCTTCTCCAGGCGGGCTATCAGGCCATCCAGGCTTTTTGCATCTGGTATGGCAGCATTCGAGGCGTTCGACTCGGCCAAATCGTCGAAGGATATAGAAGGTAACGACTCGAATTTCAGCTCTTTGATGAACTCGGTCTCGACGAAATCACTGGATGGCAGGTTCGGGTTTCCTGAGGGTGGAAGGCCTGCGCTTGGTGTGGTGTTGCGACTGCGCTGACGAACAATACCCGAGTTCTTCTTCCCAGTACCTTTTTGGCTTGGCGCTGGAGGCATCTTGAGAAGTTGATGATAGTCACGATGAGCGCAAGAAATTGACCTACTGAAATGGATATAAATCGATAATTAACCGTCGATTGACGTGCTGTTTGGATGACTAGGGAGCGACTGAGCTTATGACACACAGACCACCTGCCCACAAGTGTCAGGCGCAATGGGGAAAGGGAAAGGCCAAGGCCAGACGGCGAAGGGGAAGGGGAGGATTCCACACTAACTTGATCTAATTGTAACTCAGTTGCTGCGCTGTCCCGTCCGCGCCTGGGGTTCTCCAAGACATAATAAGGGTAGGCGACAGGGGACAGGATAGGACCTCGCTTATTGAAGCGCCGTTTGTACAAAGTAGAAGAACAATTGTTCTCACATAAAGATATACAGCGTCAGTGGCCCCTCCACTGTGGGGTGGGGTCAGAGCGTTCACTAAGGTTGCCTGCTTGTCTAGGTTAGGTTAAGTTAAGGTTAAGTATTGGACAGTACTGGGCTGGGGCAGTAATTGTTGACAGACAGACACACAAAAATTCATGAAGCAGCATGAACGCCAGCATTTACAATACAGGTCTGGCTACTGTATAATAACCCGTCTGATCTCACATTATACTGCTGCGTTCCTCTCAAAACATCTATCCGTCAATATTAACATTATCCCGCTTTATAGTTGCTGAAATCGTAGAGATTATGCTCTCTTGTTTTCTACCCCGACGTGCTGTTTCAATTCAAGAACTTGACATTTGAATACTGACAGGCGTTGGGAACATAGTCTTGCAAATGCATATTAAGGAGGTGGGACATAAACTACTTTCCCAAATCAAAGCCAAGCAATTACCTGATGGCAAACAGATCCTCTGACCACAACTCCCTGGGTTACGAACGGTTTCGTTCATTGGTATGATCTTCCTGTTCCGAACCGATGGGAAGGGGGGCAAGTCATATAAACTGCAGCAATGATCTCCAGAAAGCTCTTTGGATAGAGGCATTTCAGTACGTCAGTCATTGACCTGTTTTTCTCGCAAGCAGTTTGGGACCGGCACCGCCGACAGCGGCTAATGCCTCCCAACCTGTCTGCAAGTCATTTCCGTTCTAGCTGTAGCAGAGGGACCTTGTCATACGGCTTGATTTCTCTCGGTGGCCGTAGAACAGGTTACAGTAGCATCATCCTGGCGAGCTATATCAATAGCCTTCCATGACGGATACCTCGCCTCTATGAAAGCCTATCGCGGTCTGTGAATCTTCGAGACCGGAATGCTCCTCCGAAAGACAACCTACTGTAACTACACGTGGCCCATGCAAAAAAAGCAGCTTCCGAAAAACGACTACATACTAGGCCTTGAACTTAGATGGAGAGTGTTCTACCCCAGACGTTGTAGCTCGTGGCCAAAACGATTGGACGACAGTTCCCATTGACTCAAGTTGCACGCAGTCTATAATCGTTCGTGTGGGGTTCGCAGGGCTGGTGGGGCAAGGAGATTTCAGGGTCTTGTTGACGAAGATCCCCTCAGAGTACAGGAACAACCATTCATTGAGGCACGCATCCGTAGCTGCTGAGGAACACGAATCGCCTGAGCCACTGAGCTTGTTGAAAAGCCCAAAAAGAAAATTTAAAAAAGTGACCCTTAATGGACCATTCTTTCTACATGGCCCGTCCAACGAGGACGAAAGGCAAAGCACTGCATATATTTTCTTTGGATTCCTTTGCAATGAACCCTTTCCATTTTCCATTCTTCCTTGCCAATACTTCTTAGTCATTGCCAATTTGTTCTCGTACAAAGCTCACTTCAACATCTTGCTCCTCTGCTACATATAGCAATGAGAGAGTATCATGGCTTCTCCTGGTGGTAACGTTTTACCATTTCACCCGCAAACCAAAATCTACCTTGCTGGAGTAGCAGTTGTTCTTTTCGTAAGCTTCTGCTTCTCTACATGCCTAAAACATAAAAGCGCTCCGAATCACGATGAGAAGCCAACTTTTTTTCGAGCTTTGTGGCTTTTCGCCTACTCGTGTTTTCTAAAGCCCCATAATGGCAATGAGGAGGGAAACCAACAGGATGCTCTTGAGAGCTTCTACAAGACCCAAGCTGGTGCTTATGACGTTACCAGAGGAGCACTTCTCAAGGGCCGTGAAGACATGTTGGCCCTAGTAGCAGCTCAGCTCCAATACAGAGCTACAAACGATGGCAAGGTTATAAAAGATAAGAGGAGGATTTGGGTTGATGTGAGTTTATGCCGTGATGTCCTCCTCTCTAGCTAACGTCAATAAGGTCGGTGGTGGAACTGGTTTTAATATTGAAGCGATGGGACAATTCGTTGACGTGCCTCGCTTCTTCTCCAGTGTTTATCTCGTTGATTTCTCACCGTCATTGTGCGAGGTAGCCCGCAAGCGCTTTATGCGTCTAGGCTGGACTAATGTGAAAGTTATCTGCCAAGATGCGAGGAAGTTCCGCCTCGAGGACCATGAACTAGCCTTCGACGGCGGCCGTACCCCTGGTTCGCCTCACGCTGGTTACTTTTCACAGAAACGCCCTGACCAAGGTGGCGTCCATCTGATCACCATGTCTTACAGCTTATCAATGATTGTAAGCCTGCCAGGTGGAGGATATTCTCAGAACCAATACTAACGCTCTCCTAGCCGGACTACTATTCAGTTATCGACGCCCTTCCGTCGCTTTTAGCACCCGATGGTATCATGGGTGTTGTTGATTTTTATGTACAGTCTAAAGTTGATGTTAGTTTTCGCAACTACACTGGCGGCTTAATCAACCGCCATACCAACTTCCTCCAACGCACATTCTGGCGTGCGTGGTTTGACATTGATCGCGTCGCACTTGAGCCAGGACGACGAGACTACTTGGAATACCGGTTTGGTACTGTGTTAAACGTGAACAGTCGAAACTACACTCTCGGTCGCATCCCTTATTATGTCTGGTTGGGCTGCCATAAGACACCCATGTCATCCGCTCTACCACACGAAATTGTGGAAAAGGTCGATGCTCTTGTCACCGAGTCCCCGTATCTACATCCGAAGAACCACTCGAACGCCCTGTCGCGTGCTGTGGAGAGAGCGGCCCCTGAAATCCGCTCCAAAGCATTTGATGCTGCTGTTGTCAACCTGTCTGCCAACCTACCTCTGCCGTCATTCTTCTACCAAAACCATCACTGGAGAATCTACTACGATGATCAGCTCAAAAAACACACTCAATTCAACGATGAATACATCTATGCTTTCACCTGGGAAGACACTCGTGTGGATGAACGCATTCTCAACCTCAAGTCAGATGATGTCGTTCTGGCTATCTGCAGTGCAGGAGACAACATCCTGTCTTATGCACTCCAAAGCCCAGCAAGAATTCATGCTGTCGACTTGAATCCAACCCAGTGCCATCTACTCGAGTTGAAGGTTGCTGCATACTCGTCTCTGCCGTATGAGGACTTTTGGAAGATATTTGGTGACGGAAAGCACCCGAACTTCCGCTCACTGCTCATTACGAAGATGTCACCTCACCTCTCAAGTCGTGCGTTCCAGTACTGGCTTGAAAACCACCACGTCTTGTCCAAATCAAAGACAGGCCTTTACGACACTGGAGGTTCAAAGCATGGCATCCGTATCTTCCGATGGATCACGCGTGTCTTTGGCTGCCGAAGTGCCGTAAAGGATCTTCTCTCTGCCAAAACATTGAACGAGCAGCGGGAAATCTGGCGCCACAGAATCCGCCCCGCGCTTCTTTCGCGGTTGGTGTCGAAGTTCGTCGTTAGTCAGGAATCCTTCCTATGGACCGCTCTCGGAGTGCCCAAGAACCAATTGGCCATCATCGAGTCCGATCACGCCGAGTCTGAGGCTGTGTGTGCTCCCCAGCCAACAGCCAAGAATACCAGATCGCACGCTATCTGGCAATTCATGGTTGACACGCTTGATCCTATGGTCGAGTCCACTCATATTGCGGCGGACAACCCATATTACTACATTTGTCTTGACGGCAAATTCTCCCGTCACTGCCACCCGGACTATCTATCCAAGCAGGCGCACGCACGGCTATCACGGCCCAATGCATTCGACGGTCTCCGCATTCATACTGATGAGATCGATGAAGTAATCGCACGTATCCAGCCAGGCACACTCACAGTCGCAGTGGTCATGGACAGTATGGATTGGTTCGACCCAGGCTCGACCGCTGCCGTGGCACAGATCACAAAGCTCAACCGTGCTCTTAAGATGGGAGGGCGCGTTATGCTCCGCTCTGCCGGCCTCAAACCCTGGTACATCAAGCAATTCGAAAGTCATGGCTTTGCCGCCAAATGTATGGGCTCCAGAAAGGGTGGTTTGTGCATTGACCGTGTCAACATGTATGCAAGCTGTTGGATCATGACCAAGAACGAGAATCTTGCGCCACCGACTCCGGGTCCAGAGGCAGATGTGGACGGCGGTTCAGAATTAACAGAGTTGGTGATCTAATGATTGGTCAGTGGTTGACACAGGTCGACTCTCACAAAAAATGCGGAGAGAATTGGATGACATGAGTGTACGAATGCGGAACCAAAAGCTTTGGGGGGAAACAGGGTGGCTAACAACCACGGTCAGTGATAATGGAAGAAGACAGGGCAGCGAATTAAAGGAGTGACGAAACTGTCAAATATGCGATACGCAGTAACAGGACACTCATTAGCTATAAACCTAGCGCAAGGAATACACACGAAAATCCATTGAACCGTGACGACTTTCCTAAACCCAACTATTTTTAGTGCAATCCTTCACAAACTAACATAAGAGTCTTGGGAACCCAGAGGATGGCGCAGCTCAAGAATCTCGGTGCCTGCTACTCGACAGTGCCTTAAAAGTCCCTTTTTTTATTTGTTGCCCCAGAGTCGAATCTATCCGACTTCCTTCTGTGACCTGACGTTGCAGGTCTGACGTCACGTATTAGGCGACAACAAAGACGGGCCGTGTCTTCAACTGCAAACAGCACCAACGTATCGACTGTGAACTTGAACGTGTCAACGTATAAACTAAGCCTGCGCGAACAGCAGAAATGGCGCCTGTAAGCAGCGAGCCGGAGCAGATTCGGGTCGCGCTCAATTCAGCTCGACGAAAGGCGCTGTACAATCTCGTGATAGCAATCACTGCATACCAGCGTAGCCAGATAGAGCTGCCCCGCGATTCCCCGGAAGGCTCGCCTCCACCGCTGCCCAGCAGAACAGCAAGTGGTAACTCAATAACATCGACTCTATCGCCAGCACCTGCATACACATTTGCAGACGATGCTGCACGCCGCGAAGGGAGTACAGGCTCCGCCGAGAGCCCACGAGCTCGAGATCAGCGCAGAGATCCACCACCGCCCGAACTCATTCGGCTGCGCAAGGCCGCACTGCGACACTTCGACTCATGGCGCCATGAGGTGCTGGGTAAGCTAAAAGAGATCGCGATTGCACCCGATGACCAGAAGGTTCTTGATGCACGCAGAAAGCGCGATGAACTCATCACGAAGAAGAAAGCAGAGCAGCCCCAAGAGGGCGAGGACTTGATCAGTTTTGACAGTGCCTCTGGGATGTGCGTTGTGAAGGATTCGAAGGAGAAACTAGAGTCTATGCAGCATTTATACCATCCGATACCTACCAGGTTGACCACCATTCCTATGGATGATCGCAAGGAAGTGTTAAGTAGCACTTTAATCATGCTCCTTAGCATTGGCAACTATTCTGCCTACTCTCGCGCATTAGTTTGTTATCTCGCTTCGGCTTTGGAGATCTCGCCTTTGTTCTTAGACAAGGAAGAAGTCGAGATCGCAACAACGATGGTGGAGACGGCACAAAAGGCCGAAGAGGAGAAAAAGAAGAAAGGTGCAATGTCTGCCGATGGTGAAGCAAAAAAACGCGCAGAATCCGGGCAGGCCGGCCGCTTCTGGAAAGTCGGACTGGCTTCGGTCGCTGGTGCAGCTATCATTGGCGTCACAGGCGGACTGGCAGCACCACTTGTCGCTGGTGCGGTGGGAGGACTGATGGGAAGCGTTGGGCTTGGAGGGCTTGCCAGCTTCCTTGGCGTCTTCTGGATGAATGGCGCCCTAGTCGGTACCATATTCGGTGCTTATGGCGCGAAGATGACAGGAGAAATTATTGATAAATACGCCAGGGAAGTAGAGGACTTTTGCTTCTTGCCACTTGCAGATGAATGGGGCGAGCATTCTAAGAAGGAAGGACCCGCGGCCCGACGACTGAGAGTCACGATCGGAATCAACGGTTGGCTTAAGGAAGAAGGTGACGTCACCAAGTACTGGCGTCCATTGGGTGACGAAACTGAAGTCTTCGCCCTACAATACGAGGTGCAGAGTCTGCTAGGCTTGGGTGTTACGCTCCAGGATATGATCACTTCATACGCCTGGGCTAACATCAAGGTGGAGATCATAAAACGGACAGTGTTGGCGAGTCTATGGGGTGCTCTTTGGCCCATCCATTTGGTCGCAATGGCTAGTAAACTCGACAACCCTTTCAGTTTGGCCCGTAACCGATCAGAAAAAGCAGGCAAGATTCTTGCCGATGCCTTGATTAACAGAGTCCAAGGGGAGCGCCCGGTGACCCTTGTTGGTTATTCGCTGGGGGCCAGAGTTATCTACTGCTGTTTGAGAGAAATGGCAGATAGGAAGGCGTTTGGCTTGATCGACAGTGTGGTACTTATTGGAGCACCTATACCATCTAACCCAGGACACTGGCAAATGATGAGGACTGTCGTATCTGGAAAATTGTTCAATGTCTACAGCGAGAACGACTTCATTCTTGCTTTCCTTTACAGAGCTACAAGTGCTCAACTCGGCATCGCTGGCCTGCAGCGAATTAGCGACGACGTCGCAGGCGTTGAGAACCTCGACTTGAGCGAGGACGTGCAAGGTCATTTGCGTTATCCGGAGCTTATTCCTAAGATCTTGAACCGGTGTGGCTTCCTCGATGTCAAAGGAGGCGAAGGTGAAATTCCCAAGGAAGAAGATAGAATTGACTTACACGACAAAGACTTCGCGGAGTCTGGTAATCTCATCGATATAGATGCTTCTGAAAAGAAGAGGCTTCAGCCTTCCAAACACACTGAGGAACAGATGGCAAATGAAAAGTTCGATCCAACGGTAAAGAATGTCCAGGAGGAGAAGAGCGATCTCAGCGTTAAACATGCAAAGCTGATGGGTCACAAGGTCGCGGAAGAGCATAAAGCTAAACCTCCAAGCCCAACAGCCACAAAATCGCTTTCGCCACTACCAGAAGCAAGCGATCCATTGACGACATGGAATGCTGGTGCGAGTTCCGGCCAAAACCACGGAAATCGGGCATTCAAGAATGATGCACTCCCAAATCGTGCTGAGGTCGAAGGAATGCACGGTCACGACGACGAACATGACGACTCTGACGAGGAAGAATTCGGTGGTATACAGATGCATGATCACGATGATGATATGATCACAGTGGAGCCTTTGAGCATAGACGATCACCATCGGTAACTTGTTCATGGAAACAACAAAAATGTATAGTAGTATGGTTACCATTCCCTGTGGATATAGCCAGCGTTCCAATGAGATCCGTTTGCGGGAAACGCCTTTTTGCAAGAGCCGTCTGACAAATTTGTGGCAGGCTTGATTCTCAAGGAAGGATTGGGGTTTCCAGAATCTGGACAGCGCAATATCCTTTCGGTCATGTTACAGGGCCATGGAGCAGTGCTAAGGATAACCTTGCGACCTAGAAGGGAGCTACAAGTTAAGTAGGGCAGATCAGATAGGCTTCGAATGCCGAGGAAAACCATCCCGCTCCGAGGGATACGATTTTGAGGCAAACAGGCAAATCGACATTATCAGCCAAAGCCCAAGTGGCTAACGGAGATGAGTTTATGAAACCGTCCAACGACCTGGAAGTCGTCAAGATTAATCTCGGTTGTCAAAGCTCTTTCTAGTAAGCATCGCAGGTCAGAGATCGCTTGAGACAACAGATGCGTAGTTAAGTCCATGGGAGGCACCAATGTAGGAGGACAGCAATATACATGTGGACATTTATACATCTATGAGTGAGATCAATAATTTTATACAGACCGCACTGCTCTTCTAGCTTGCCTGCTCGGCCTCAATATTCTGGGCCTTTTCGTACTCCTCGGGGGTTCTTGTCTTCAACTGCAGGGCGTGGATGCCTCCCTCACGCGCCATCTCATCCTTGAGCAGCTGGTAAACCATACGATGCCTCGCAGGCTGCATTCTGGCGGTCTTGAAGGCATCAGAAGTGATGTAAATGCGGAAATGTGTCTCCTTGGACATGGAACCTTGCATGGCCTTGTGATGGGAATGCAGGTGCGAGTCGTTGTGAATCTCCAAATGCGTAGGAGCAAATGCGTCTGTCAACTTTGCCCGAATGATGTCTTCCACAGGCGTCTGCGATGAGGCGGACTCTGATGCCATATTTCTGACTCTGTGGTAGTTCAAATTGAGCTGAATTTGTTGGCTGATGGCGAGAACCTTGCTGCTGTTACCGACACGAGCACCTGCCAAGGGGCGGAGCAGTGTGGATCGGGAAAGCATGGGGTAGGGGGATGTCCTCCCGATGATAGACACAGCTGTGTCTTGTGCTGTTTGGCTGCACCTTGCGTAATTGAGAGAATTGACACTCAACTCAGCGTGGAGTGATAGTCGAGCTACTGCAGCGGTGGTTCGGTAAGGTGCCGAGGGAAATTACCGGGCGGGCTTAGAAGTGCGACCGTAGCTGCTGCAGATGCGTGCGTTGGGTGCAGCTTTCGCCAGATCTGGGGATGAAATTGATATAAATGCTGGGGCAAGACAGTTTGTTGGGTTTCGATGTGGAACTTTATTGGTGTAGTTGGGGAGAATCGGCTTCCAGGTTCCGGTGAGAGCGTTGGTTCTTTATATTGTTGGTTGCAAATGAAAATGCAAATGCTATTGAGAGGCAGGCGATCTGGAATCTTGCTTGCTAACTTAATTTTCATGCACTGGACGTCTGGCCGTTGCGATAGTTGCACCGCGGGTACCGACGTCAGTAGCCAGCACTTGAAGATGGTTGCTAGGTTGCTGCTCACACGGCAAGAAGTGGTAATCTCCTATGGACGCCGGGACAGTATGAGGTGAAATGAATCTTTTGACGCGACTCGATTGTAATGTAATAACCCCCAAATGCCTTCGCGTGGGAGGGACCCGGCCACTTCCAAATTCTAGGCCAAGCTAACCTGGACGAATCGATGACCATGAGCCTGTACTTTCTTTGGATGAGCACCGGCAACTGCAGTACTGAAGCCCCCTGTCGCACGCTACTAAACTCCGGGTTCTCCGCCAAAAGCAACCCCAAGTTCAATGTCCAGGATGTAAATGCAACTTGCAGTGCGTGCCGCAGGCCTCAAGCGAGAGCGAAATGCCCCTCCAGATTCCAATTACTCATGTACCCTACCGTACACACATCACTTGAGCGCTAGGCTAGACCTCGACCAGTTATAGCAGGTACATTTACCCAATACACTGGAGTACATACATACAAACATGGTTGCATAGTAGTGCTGTAGCTAGAACTACGGTTTAGAGCTCAACCTCCGATGCTGGCAGCTTATCCACACCTTCCGCAATACTCCTCCTTTCCTTGTCCGGGATATGTATACTGTATCACCACCTGCATAGTTGTATTAATAGTTTATATAAACCCCCTTTCCGTAATGTGGAGGTGTAATGGGCCTGTTTCTTCTCTTTCTACTTCTTCCGCTTCTTTCTGGGCCTCGAATTGTCGGAAGGCGACTCGTAAACCGCCTGCAGAATTACGCTCCCCAGCAAGAACAATTTCTTCTGCTGCTGCTCCCTTCACTCGGCCTACTCCCCGGCGATCCTTGCCTCGGCCCTCGCATAGGCACATCTACTGCTCGTACATGATGGCATCCACTCTTCCCAGGCTCCCCCTCTTCGAGGCCATTTCAAAACACCATCCGGAATCGACAGCAGTAACACATTGCCTCTCGGGGCGCACTTTCAGATATGGCGAGCTGCTCCCGGATGTAGTACGAGCACGCGACAGGATCTATGAGGCGGCAGGCAAATCAGATATCCAGGGCGAGCGCATAGCCTTCTTGGTTGAGAACAGTTATGACTACGTCGGTGAGCACCCTCGATGTCCCAGAGTTAGAGGCCGTCTGTGCTAATGTAACGTCCAGTCACTCTCCTCGCGATTCTCGCAGCTCGCGCCATTGCACTCCCACTCTCCCCTCCATTCCCGCCCGCCGAGCTGCAGTATATCCTCTCCCATTCAGAAGCGCTTTTGCTGCTTCACTCGCCCAAATATGCTACCAAGGCACAAGAGATCCTCTCAACGCCCTTCCCGAGCCCTTCGCCGAATGCTGCACCACATCCACACCCTATATTATACGAGCTGCCCAAGCACTATGGAGGTAGCTCGACTTCTGACTCAATAGCGATATCTGATAATAGGGATTCGGAAGGAGCAGGCATGATGCTATACACGTCTGGTACCACAGCTAGGCCAAAGGGCGTGCTCCTGCCCGAAACGGCGTTGACCGCGCAATGCCACTCGCTGCTCTCGGCGTGGAAGTACTCTCCGAAAGACCGCCTACTGCATGTTCTGCCGCTACACCACATCCACGGCACCGTTAACGCTGTTCTGACACCTCTGTTTGCCGGAAGTACAATCGAGTTTCTGTTTCCCTTCAATGCAGATGCTGTCTGGCGGCGGTTCGCGAACCCATACATGAGCAAGCTGCTACCGAACGTCGCAAATGGTTACGACACCCCTCCATACACAAGCGGTAACGTAACGCCTGTTGACGACAAATGGGCGCGCATGTCCAAGGCGCCCATAACCTTCTTCACCGTGGTGCCCACCGTCTATACACGTCTTCTGACAACACATGGCACCTTGCCCGAGCCAGTCGCAACTGCTGCTCGACAGGCAATTTCCCCCTCAAATATGCGCGTCTCCATCTCCGGCTCAGCTGCCCTCCCTACACCCGTAAAACGCGCCTGGAAGGAGTTGTCCCATGGCAATGTGCTGCTTGAGCGCTACGGCATGACCGAGGTGGGTATGGCGCTCTCCTGCGGCCTCTCGTATGTCGACCGTGTAGATGGCTCTGTCGGCTGGCCACTGCCGGGCGTCGAGGCCCGGTTGGTGGATACCGACACGAACGAGATTATCGAGGAAGGCGAGGAACACGACAGCCAAGGCAAAGAACGACAGGGCATGATCCAGCTGAGGGGCAAGAACGTGTTCCGCGAGTACTGGCGCAACCCCGAAGCGACGGTCAAAGAGTTCGTCGAGGGCGAGGACGGCCGGGGCCGGTGGTTCAAGACGGGCGATATCGCGGTGCGGAGGGCTGTTCCGGGAAGCGGGAGCGGCGAGAGCGGCGAATTCGCACAGGGCAAAATGTACTTTATCCTCGGGCGCGCATCCGCCGACATCATCAAGTCCGGGGGCGAAAAGGTCTCCGCGCTCGAGGTGGAGCGCGAGATGCTCTCCCTGCCCAACGTGGCCGAGGCCGCGGTGCTTGCGGTGCCCAGCGGTAAATGGGGCCAGAAAGTCGGCGCCGTCATCGTACTAAACCCCGAGTACAAGGAGCGGGGCTGGAAGCCGATGGAGATGCGGAAGGCGCTGAGGGACAGACTCGCCAACTACAAGATTCCCCAGGTGTTAAGAGTGGTCGATAGCATACCGCGAAACGCCATGGGCAAGGTCAACAAGAAAACCCTTGTAAAGGCCGTGTTTGTGGATGATTTCAGTGGAGATGAAATGTGAGATAGGGAAGAGGATATTACAATATCTGTATATACCAACAAGATAGAGTGGTCTTCTCAAAGAGTTGACTAAATGTATGGGTTGCCCATCAGGCCGTAGATAGCACACTGAAATATTGGGAAGTATTAGAGTTGGGTAGATCCATCAATCACGATAATGAACATTGCATAAAGGACTCGTATTTGATGTTTCATGTGAGCATAAGACTGCGAGGGCAACAGAAGCCCTTTAGATAACCACTGCAGAACTCAAAAGACAGCTGCCACTTCCGTCCACAAATGATGGTATCTCCCCCGGTGTTCTCTCAAGATGATATGAATTGGACAATAGTACATGAAGTCCGAGGCCTCTCTTCGTCAAGTCACAAGTCAAGCAAATCTTTTCGTTGCTGCCTTGTTTTACCATTCCCCTTCCAATGAAATGCCACCATGCTTAGGGATATAAGATCATGGCCATAATGGAGGTCAAGGCATGTCCACGTAGAAACGATACGCGTATGTAGCGACGGTCGTGTCCATGATGCTCACTCGAAATTACCATATCGCCGAGTTTTGGGTAAAGGAATTTTGCTTAGGCGGTGAACTTGGACTTGGCACGCGTGCTACCACTATGTGCCGCGTCTGTGTGGCCCGAGAACTCAACAACCTCGTCCGTGGGGAGCTTGAGGATGTTCTTGAAGCGCTTGCCAATCTCCAGAAGGATGGCCTGGCCCTTGGCCACGGGTCGGCCCTTGCCACCAGCAATGTCGCCGTCGCCCTTGCCGGGAATGGGCTTACCGATAGTACGAGTCCAGACACCGACACGGAAGAATGCCTTACGCACGTTGACGACAACCCCCATGACCTCACCATCGTCCTCGTCCTCAAGCATCTCACCGATGGCTGCCATCATTGTGTGTAGCCAGATGTCGTTGATGTCGACGGCACGCTTCTCCTTGAAGGAATAGGACCACTTCCCGCCGTGCTTATTCTGCGGGTCTTCCCATTCCGGTCGGACACCCTCCTTGAACAGATGGTAGTCGGATTTGAGAGCGAGGTCTGAGACAGGAGCGATGTTGTTCTAGAGAAAGGGAAAGGTGCGTTAGCACAAGTAGAATGTTACGAACGAATCTATGGCTGTCAATCAAAACTTACGTAGATGCCCCAGAACTCCTCAACAGAGTTGAAGGTGATGACCTCCTTCAGCAGATCGTTCCAGTTGTCACCCTAAGTGGTGTCAGTCTATCATGGAGGTGGAGGCTATGGTAGATAGGATAGGATAGAATAATTACCTTGCCGTTTGAAGGCTTGGTGAACCACAAGGTCCACTTGTTCTGGAGGGGGTGCTTGACATTGAAGTTGTCCTTGTCGTGGAAGACAGTGACTAACTTCTCGGTCATGTCAGCAGCAGAGATGCCATTGTCGTTGTTGTCGCCGTCGGGCGAGACGGGGATTGTCTTCAAGTCGACTTGCTCGGCCATCTTGTCTGTGGTTGGACGCGGGGACGGATGAGGTTGGTGATTTGTGATGGATTAGGGAAAGGCGACCTAGTTCAGTGCGGTATCGTATCGGTAGAAGACGAAGTCGGCGCCTGCTTTAGATGGGAAGAGGGATGGGATGGTTCAAAGGAGCGAGTGCTTGGTGATAACAATTGTAAGTCCAAATGTTCAGGCACTGGTTTTTTTTTTTGGCGCGAATTCAGGAAGGCGCAACTTAAACGGTGATAAGTCGGCCTGTGAATGGGATTTGAGATTTGATTTCGTCGTGGGGCAACCGAATTGAATTGACTTGAATTGAATTGAGTCGCTCCTGTTGTCGAGAAAAGGTAATTAGATTGCGGGGAGGTGCGTTTGATTCAATCAGATCAGAAAATCGTGATAATCGTTTGTCGTCTTGTCTTGTCTTGGCTTTGGGGTCGATATCGCGACTTTGCGCCAGGCAGAGCCACTTCAGAATATGTCGTCACAAAAATAATGTACTGTATTTGGTCTCAGAGGGTTTTCCCACGTTTGACCTCAAACTCTGACCTCAGCTCGAGGTCAGAGCCTTATTCATGGTGGGGGCTTAGCAATTTTGTGCACAGACTTTTCAACAAGAGAGCCCGCCGCCAACACCATCGTCAAGTGCGGTCCGGTACATGTGCACTTGTACATGCTGAATCTACCACCCACCTACCTGCGTTGGGCTGCTACTATATTTATTATCATCGTGTTGTGTTATAGTAGCACGTTCTGAAACCCCTGGAGCATGCTTGCATATCTGTCAACCAGAGTTTGCTCCATTGCAACTAAAAGGGCAACCTGTTAAACGCTAGGCACTGCATGCATCTGGTTGCTTTATTCTAACAACACTTGCTACTTAGTAGCCATGGGTATCTCTGACTACGATTAATGTAACCTTAGTGATACAAGCTTGCTGTTCTGCTCAAACGGTTTACACATGCTCTTACCATACAGCAAGACATACTCGCCTTGGTACATATCATTCATTAGCTCTGTCAACCCTTCTGACCTGATGTCGGGGTAGCGCGAACAGGCGCTGAACTTGCGATACTGATATCGTCGCGCAATTTCCCCCCCTCTTTCCTCTTTTTCTTCATGAAAGCTTTGAACCCTTCCTTGCTGAGCGTCTTTGTTGGGTTGCTGCTTCTAGGCGCTAAAGAGCGCTTCCCAGCTGTGCCTGCTTCTGATGGTAGCTGCGAGGTACGGAGTGCTTTCTTTGCGACAGGCTCATCGACGCTAGGGTTTGTAGGACGTTTTTGAGATGATCTACGAATGTCCTTTCCCGCTGCAAAATGCTGGGATGACCGCTCATCCTCGCCTACAGTTTCGGGCTGCTCGAGAAGAGGTCCAGAAGGTTGAACCTCTTTATCTGTTTCTTGATTTGACGTCATTATCAGTGATTCTATGTCGTCTTGAGATATGACCTTCCCCTCACCACTTTTGGCTTCTTGAAGACCCGAGGAGCCAGGCTTCTGCTCCTTGTTTTCTGGTGGCAGAAGTGCTGGGGCCGGGGATTCAGATGATCCACGCATGTTCTTTCGCGTTGCAGTGTTACGCATTGACTCGATATCATCGGCATATAGCTCGAGTATTGCTTCCAGATTTGCTTTCGTGACAACTTTGGTTTGAAAAGATGTAGGCAGTTCCTCGGCCGTATCCATGTACCAATCGATACACGGTAGAGCATCGTCAGTGCGTTTAACGTACGACAGATACTCCTCTAACCACGCTCGAATGAAATCATCATACTGGTACGTCGCAAGTCGCCCTTTGGGTATAGATAAACAACCTGCAAGAAAATCCTCTAGGGTTCCATTGTAGCTGGGGTATGCAATACAATACCGTAAAAAGGGAGGCTCATCTGATTCAGGCAAGGAGAACACTAATCGGGGCGATTGCGGTTTATAGACCGGCGTTCGTTGTCGACAAGTGCGAGTGGTCACATGCGCAGGCAGCTCCGTGGTCTTAGTGGTCTTAGTGGACCGTGTGAGCGTCTCAGCCTTCTTTGACTCCGAGACAGTTGGTTGGTTTACCCTGAGAGTCTCCTTGACTGCGGTTGTGGTCGGCTGTGGCATTTTAAGCGACTTTGCCGGACTTCTGTGCGGCTTTGCAAAATTAGTTGCTGGGATTACGGATGACGCAGAATCCACAGATGATTGGGAACCCGGAATATCATAGCCAGAAATAGTCGCAGGGGCAGGTGGCATATTCTTCAACACAGCTGCCTTCGTACTTGTGGCAACACGGCCAAATACTGTGTCGATGCTAGCAAGATCCGAGCATGGCCTTGATCTAGGTATTTCTGCACGGGGTTGTGGGATGAAGGCCGCAGCATCGAAAGTACAAGGAACTTGAATCTGGGCTGAGGGCGGTGTCGGGTTCAGCTCGACATCTTTTCTCAATGATGCGGAGGCTTTTGCGAAAGCTTTTGGGGCAGCAACCTCCAGGTCCGCCTCCGAACCGAGACTGCTTGAAGGGAAATCGGGAAATGATGACCTTTGTCGAGTGTTTGCAGCATCCATCGTCGGTTGCAATGGCGACCTCGGGGGGATCTGCGAAATGAATGGCTCCTGTTGAGCGGCTTCACATGTCGGTTGAACGTGCCGATCAGGGGTCGGGCTGTGAGGTGGAGGTTCTCTGGCCACTGGCGGGACGCCGTCATCCCTTGGAGGGCTTGGGGACCATGTAATAGATGTGCCAGCGTCTTCCTCGTCTTCTGCTTCATCATCGGACAACGGCCCTGGCGACGGAGACGAATGAGGTGGGGCATTGCCATCTATACGAGTGCTTTCGTGTTCGTTGCCACCAGGTTCCTGGGGTTTATGGATAGCAGTCAATGCAGCCTGCCGCCTATGAAAGTCCCTCATATTTTTGAGAACCTCTGGTGGTATGTTTATTCCAGGCCTCGACTGACGGCTGAGATGTTGAGCCCATGAGTCGGACTTATCCAGTAATTCCTGCTGCTGCTTGTGGATCTTGAAAAGAGATCTTGGAAGCCGCTGCTCATCCAACAAGTCCATAACCGACGACACAGGCTGCGAGCTGCCATGGGTGGCTGTAGCGACCTTTGACCTGGCCATGGTGAAAAATTACAGGGCTCGTTGAGATATGTGCCGTGAACCTCCAATGTTGTGGATGCTACTGTTCTACAAAGAGCAAGAGCGTCCTTGCTTCAAAAAGCAACCATGAGAAAAAGCTTTGGTAACATTTCCGAAAACCAACGACTCGATATGCCTTCTATGCAGGGATCTGGTTCTCGTATGTTCCAAACAACCTTGGGTGGCAGAAATGATGGTCTTTGGTATTGAGTGAAGATATGTAGAGTCCAGACGCGTTCTGGATGAAGTTGGATATCCGGGCATCAGCGCGATGTGGGGCTGACAGCCACCCATCATATTCGCGTGAACCTGACATCAAGCAAAAGCAATCTGCTGCCCCTCTATTTACCCAACCTGGGTCGTTACATACATAGTTAAGTTACAGTAGGTACTCTTTACACAGTACGGACTTAGACTAGCATAGAGTACTCCGTCCTTACTTCTGTGAATCTTCATATCTAGCGGGACGGGACGCCTGTACTATTAGTTGTGCGCAGTGGGGTAAATACGCCAGCTTCAGCGGGTAGCACCCTTCGAAAGACACATAGCATTTGCTGCTCCTGGCTCAGTGGTAGTCTAGGGTAAACTACAGTACGCATCCGTATCTGCTCAATCCTTGGAGCTTTCCAGAGCTCCTCTGGCCCACCATCACAAGTCCCAAGTTCCGACTTGCTCGACAGCTGCAACTGCAACACCGAACTTTTGTGTTCCCCTTTGCTCATCGTCACCACTTGACTTGCGTTTAGCCTCACGAATACCACACGAGTTTTTATGTGACACGATTTTCTTTGTTGCTACTACCGCTGACTTGTTGAAACTCTTGTTTTGTTTTGCTTTGCTTGACAGCCGCCGATACCAAGTTGCATCTGAAGTCACTGCTCAAGCTGCTGCAACGCCGATGGTATATAAACCCGAGCCCAACATGAGGACATGCCATGCTTGACCGTCTGATTCAAAGGTGACTTTCGCACCTGTTCTACAAAACGCCCCGATGAGTAGTCTTATTTCCGACCCACGACGATACCAACCATGTCGACGAAGCATCCTCCGCTCCAACCACAGGCCTCACCCATGACCATCGCCTCTCCCACCACATCGAAAGCCCGTCGCGATTCTTCATCTTGGGCAGGTCCTGCACAGGGACCAGTGCGACCTGCCGTCAGCCAGGAGCAGCTTGCGCAGGCGCTGGACAAGATCCACGACTCGGCAAATCAGCGCGATGTCTTGACCACCTTTAACGAGCTTAACCCGCCCCCAGAATCGAGCACATCCCCCGAAAACAAGGGCTTCGCCGGCGACTTGGTACAAAGCGGCTTCAGCGGGCTGTACTCGAGGTTCAAAGAGGCCGTCGGTGTCACGGGGAGGGAGAAGGGTCTAGGCCAAGATGATGCTGATACGGATGCTGCTTCCAAGAGGAGCTCCAGCACAACCACTACCACAACTGTGCCCAAAGCTTCGATATCACGTATCGACACAGGCCTGACTATTTCTACACTGGCTTCTGGCTCTACCGACTCCCTGCGCCCGCCATCTGGTGGCTTTCCGGAAACGAGCTCCCAGCAGCAAGCGGCCAAATATCTAGGGTCGGCTGCTTCTGGTACAACTAAATCGGCGTCGTCAAGCCGTCAAAACATCTCGACCATAAGTAAATCGGTGGCTGTTGTGGCACCTGTCACTGTGAGTGCGTTCAAAGATGCTCCACGTAGTGCGTCCAGCCGGGCAGACGACATCTCTATTCGCACTACCGATTCCAGGAAGAGCTCCGCACGACCAAATGACAATGCAGGGATACTGCCAAACCTGGAAATACCGGGCAGATATGATAACTCCGAGTCCAAGAGTGCAGCGTCCCTAGAAAAGATCGTGATACCTAGCCGTCAACGCCGAGACGAGATTGTAGCCGCGGATGGTAATTTGGACTCACCTGTAAGTCCTGCCAAGAGCACACGATCCTCTGCGGCGGCATCCGTGCATCAACACATTGAGGACCAAGGCCTCCTTTCCCCTACAGCTAGACCTAGTGCAAGAGACGCAGCGCGGCGTCCAGCTGTCATTGATCGTATTACTGGCTCACGCAATAGAGGCTCGCACTCGAGGTCTTCCTCCCTTTCGCAGAGCACTGCAGAGCCTAGCAATATCATATCTTCCGCCCATCAGAAGGTGCGGCATGACACATGGGGTCGTGATGATAGGCCGCATAGAATGAAGTCTGGCGCCTTCCGGATACCTGGAACGACTACAGACGAAGGCGCACCAGATACCGTGAATGCCACCTTGGAGCACATGAGGAAACAGGTTCTCAGCAAGGACTTCTGGATGGCAGACGAGGCGTGCAAGGAATGTTTTCACTGCGGTGCACCATTCTCAGCCTTTCGCAGAAAGCATCACTGTCGAACATGTGGCTGCATATTCGACAGTAGATGCACCACCATCATCTCAGGTCAGAAGTTCGGCGTGGCAGGCACATTGAGGGTCTGCAAACGTTGTCTCGACATTATCAGTCAGCGGCAGCAGGACGCAAACATATCGGAAGATTCGGCTGACGACTCTTATCTGCCTGCCATCTTTCGCTCCAACCAGAAGTCTGTGACGCTCAAGCTGCCCGATTCCGACAAAGGGGACACGAGCCCCGTCAGACGACCAGAAGACTACGGTCGCGATGTGAGGTCGCTTGACACGCCTATGATGGCTATTCCAACTCGACGGATCGGTGAATCATCTAATCGCAATTCCGCCATCCTCGAAATCGATGCCCCACAACTAAGCAGACCTAGCTCATCGAGATCTCTCAAGTCTCTTGCGGCAAGGCCCCAATCGTCTAGCCATAAGCGACATCATTCTAAGCACAACCTCTTTGGTCGGTTCAAGCCTTCTCCAGCTGCAGACGATCGAGCACCATTCCGGCGATCCGCCAACGAGGAAATCGCCAAGAAGACTGGTCTTCCTGCATTCCATGACGACAATGTAATCGATCCTGACTTGGCCCCTTTCATGTCAGATGAATCAAGTGGGGATGAGCAAACCAGTATCTCTCAGATCATGGCTGGAGGTGACCCCAGTTTGTCTACCCTGGACAGTGACAAATCGACTCTTGGGCCGTATCTTGGAGCTGGGCGAAGAAATCGGCTTAGATACCCGGCGGAAAAGAGTATCAGCGGACTGAGCGTCTTCAATGAGAACGGGGCTCCAGGCTCGTACATCAGGTCTTCACGAAAACGCAATGCTAGCATCGCCAGTGCAAGCGTTTACCACCTCCGTTCACCACGACCTAGAAGTGCCCATCTCAGAGGTCCAGCCGGGTCTACGGAGACACTGCCCACTTTCGAGGGCCCTGCCACGGGGATCGCCCCAAGGTTGACAAGAAGCTCGTCAATGAAAGGAGAGAAAGCGCCCCGCGTCGAACTGAACCCAGCAAGTCTATCCCACGTACGGAAGCTACTCCAACAACTCTTACGAGACTCCGAAATACCAAATCTCGCAGCCTGGGAGAAGGCGCTTATGCCGATCCTGCTCAAGTGTACCACGTCTGTTGACCCTGATGTCGAAAGTGGCGATGACATTGACATTCGACACTACGTCAAGCTGAAAAAGATCCCAGGCGGACGACCAGGTGATACCAGCTATATTTCCGGTGTAATATTTACCAAAAAGCTAGCTCAGAAGAGCATGCCGAGGCGTTTGGCGAGTCCTCGCGTTGTCATTGTCTCATTCCCCATCGAATATCGGCGACACCAACAGCACTTCATGAGTTTAAAACCGGCAATCGATGAAGAGAAAGAATTCCTCAAGGTGATTGTCAGCCGCATCGTTACTTTACGGCCCCAGCTGGTGCTAGCCGAGAAGTCCGTATCTGGGTTGGCATTACAATATCTCTCTGAACATAATATTGCCGTCGCATACAACGTCAAACCATCTGTCATTTATGCAGTATCGCGATGTTTAGAGGCACCTATTATATCGTCAATAGACATGCTGAGTCTCCCTGTAGAACGGTTTCGCGTAGGCAGAAGCGTCGGCTTTGAGGTCAAGACGTACGTCAACGAAGAAATCCCCGGAAGGAAGAAGACGTACATGTTCCTCTCTAGTAGCAACGAACAGCTAGGCTGCACAATAGCTCTTCGAGGTGCACCTACACCTATTCTCACAAAGATCAAGCAGATTACTGATTTTATGATATACGTTGTGTACAATCTCAAGCTAGAGTCTTGCTTAATGCGCGACTCTTACATACAGCTTCCTGACAATGAGGAGTTACCTAGTCAGCACAGCGAGGAGAGTAAAGTGTCATTGAGCACTTTCGCCACCAGCGATGACGACGCACGGCAAAGAAGTCTATCCACGATGACTTTCGACGAGCTACCCTCGCAAAGCTCCGTGGAAAGCAACAGGGAAAATGAAACGCCGCCGGAATCAGATTCAGCGATCGCACAAGCCAACCAGCAGATCAACAAGTTGATCTCACTTCACGAGACACATGGCCGAGCTTCCAATGATAGTCTAATACCTGATGATGCACCGATGCCAACATTCTATAGTGACATGGTGGCCAAATATCAGACCAGAATCCTCTCTGCATCTCCATTTGTCAGGTTCGCTCAGCCTTATCTGCTGATGAGAGCACGAGAACAAGAACGGCGGCTTGTGCACCTGAAAAAGTTGCGAGATCAAGACATTGTCGAAGAGCGTGGCGAAGGGGACAGGTCTAAGCCGCAGAAATTCCAACTCATCAAACCCCACATGGTTCATCAGACGGGACAAAAAGCACCGCGTGCCATCATGGAAGTGCTGCATGCCGTCCATGATGTTGAGTATGACAAAGCTTTGTACAACTATCGTGTTCAAACGCGGCAGTGGGAGAACCACATCAAAGCCAATCTCGATTTTTTCGAACCATCTGCTCATCAAAATATTGTTGTGCTGTACTCTGTAGTCTGTACGGAGAACAAAGTCCCATGCGTCGAGCCTGGACTTATTGCCATCCAATTCTATGATGAACATGCGGAGAACGACAAATTTGACTCGGACTGTACTTTGGGTCAATACATCGAGGATGTTTGTTATGGTGCCGATTCGATATGTACTGGCACATCTTGCGATCGCAAAATGCTCGCACATCATCGCACCTATGTCCATGGCGATGCTCGAATCACATTTTTCCTTGAGCAAAATAACAAAAAAGGCATATCAAAGGATAGTATCACCATGTGGAGCTACTGTAAAAACTGTAAGAAGGAAACTGCCGAGACAGAAATGTCTCAGGGAACTTGGAAGTACTCATTTGGCAAGTATCTCGAGCTTTCGTTCTGGAGCAGAGGCACGCGCCTGGTCAACAATGAGGATGGTGACGCTTGGGATTGTCCTCATGACCATCACCGTGATCATATACGCTACTTTGGGTTGCAAGACAAGGTGGTGCGTGTTCATTATGACCCCATTGATCTCTTGGAAATCGTTGCTCCTCGAGCACGAATTACTTGGAAGGTTGAGCATGATCTCAATTTAAAGAATGAAATTTTCACGGCAATACAAGATCGATGGTCTCGGTTCACAGCATCCATCAAAGCAAGGATCAAGGCAATCAGGCTGGATAATATTGCCCCCGAGAAAGCAGAGGCTTGCAAAACCGAAGTTGAGCGCTTGACGAAGAAGGTTCAAGACGATCATGTCTTAATCATCCGAAGGCTGCAGGATTCATACATGAACTCCAAGTACTATGAAGTCATTCCTCTAAGTGCAGTCCTGCGAGGTGAGATATTCACAAAAGTCACGGAATGGGACGCTGCTTTTGCCAAGTTCGAAATTGATTTCCTTCCCACCGAGAAAGACCTTCGAAGGCTGACAATGCTTCAATTGCGCAAAATGTTCACAGATGAGTCGAAGGAATCCCTCATCAGTAACGAAACTCCAACTGAGACACCAGACGCAACTGAAAAACCATCGCAAATGTTTGGACCTGAAAGTGCAGCTAGTGAAATCAGCGAAGTCAGCGGAATCAGTGGAATCAGTGGAATCAGTGAGGAGCGGCCTAGTGACCGATTAACGGAGAAGGAGCCCGTGCAGATCGTCCCAGACCTTGATATGAGCGTAGGGGCCGACGCTCAAGCGGCGCCTGTTCTAGCTCCTGACGCCGTTCTAGAAAGAGCCGAGCCTTTGGACTTGGCTACCACGCCTGCGACTCCTAGACAAAGCTTTCTCAACCCGAGCCAGACCCAGTCCATCGATGTTCCTCCGCTTGTGCCGGACGAAACGCCAGAGGCTGAGCTGTCAACTCCCACCACATCGCCAGCACCGTCTGTTGCATTGCCAAATGTAGGCGGCCCATCAATGTCGGTGGCTGAGCAGATCGACCAACTTCGTCGGCGCCAGCAGTCTGTCGTTCTTGATGAGGCTAGAGAGGTGAATGCCGGAACCAAAGACTCGCCTCAAGCTACGCTTGAGCCTCAAAGGACTGTGGTTCCTGAAAACCTTCCGTCCCGTAGAAAGGGGTTGCACGTATCGCCTCCTATGGTCCGTGCTATGTCACAGCCAGCACATAGTATGCCGACTCTACCGCGTACCCAGTCTGCTAGCAGCAGGAAGTTTTTCGGCCTTGGCAAGGATAAGGACAGAACGCCAACGACAGAGCAGGCTTCTAGCATAGATCTACGTAAAATCCCCACAAACGAATCTGTCAAAGGCGAAAAGAAGCTCTTTAGTCTGCGGTCCAAACACGGAAGCAAGTCCTCTATTCCTCGATTTGTTGGCCGTAAGAAGGATTCGAGAGTGTCTACTCTTGCACGTCACTTTGAGCAGTTGAGTCGCGAGTTTGAGAAAGAGAGAAAGAAAGATGAAAAACAGCGTGCTGCTAAGATGTCACACGCTCGGGCTTTCCTCCAACGTTCTACAACCAAGGCTATAGTGGAAGTATACGAAGATCCCGATGAAGCCGTCCAAGAGCCGGGTCAGGCTACAGACGACTCTGCGATGGACAAAGATACTGAGGGCACCAAGAATAGTGGAGAGGTTGATACACACACTGATATTCTTTCCGATGCTGGCGCCGATGGCGATGATGCCACCCCAATAGCTCGGCCAGGCATGCTCCAGTTTCCGACCGATACTTCACAACCACAAGCTGAGGAGCGTCCAAATGAAGATACCGCTACCGAGGCAGAAACGGATGATCAAGCTCAAAATACCAGCCAACTACCAACAGATGACGAGCAGGGAGAAAGCGATACGGAGCAATCTCTCCTTGAGGGAAGCGCGCTGGAGGAGATTGCGGATTCTCTCGATCCTAGCACTGACATACCTTTGGAACTACCGAAACAGGACAAGACAAACTTCATGAAAATTCTCACCAACTTCTGGGCAGAACGAAGTGCGAGCGAATGGCCAGCGTTGGAATATCCTATTAGCGCGATGGATCACTTGTTCGATCATTCTGATATTATTGTCAGAGAGGATGAGCCAAGCTCATTGATAGCTTTCACATTGGATTGCGAAGAATATCGCGAAAAGGCTAGAAAATTTCACGGGCGAAAGGATCCAGAGGTCCTTGAAAGTGAGATAGACACAGAAGGTCCCGGCATCCCCACAGCTGACTGGCACATGGCCAGTGAAGAAGGTCTCGAGGCCAGCATGCGGAAGGTTGGAAGCAAACATCTCAAGTTTCAGTTCAATGAAGGTTCCGCCAAGATGTTGGTCAAGATATTCTATGCAGAACAGTTCGATGCATTGCGGATAAAGTGTGGCTCTGCTCATAGAATCATTGAGTCCTTGTCACGCTGTTTGAAATACGACTCCAAGGGCGGAAAGTCAAAGTCAGTCTTCCTTAAGACCCAGGATGATCGACTGATGATGAAGGTAAGTCTTCACACCCCCAACCCTTGCTCAGAAAGCTACTAATCTATGCACAGTCTTTATCACCAATTGAGACCTCCGCTTTCCTGAAATTCGCTCCTATATACTTTGAGTACATGGCCGAAGCCCTGTTCCGAGATCTGCCTTCCGTCATAGCAAAGATGTTGGGCTTTTTCCAGGTCATAATCAAGAATCCACTGACGAATACTGAGATCAAACTTGATCTGCTACTCATGGAAAACCTTTTCTATGATCGAGCGCCAACAAGGATTTTCGATCTCAAGGGCTCCATGCGGAATCGAAAAATTCAGTCAACTGGCGAGCAGAACGAGGTTCTTCTAGACGAAAACATGGTTGAATATATATATGAATCACCACTCTTTGCGCGTGAGCACTCGACCAAACTTCTGCGCGCCTCGGTCCGGAACGACACGCTTTTCCTCGCCAGGCAAAATGTTATGGATTACAGTCTTATGATCGCTGTGGATGAAGCTAAGAAGGAACTCGTCGTCGGAATTATTGACTGCATTCGCACATACACGTGGGACAAAACGCTTGAGAGCTGGATCAAGGGACGCGGCTTCGCTGGAGGGGGTCGCAATCGGCCTACTGTGACGAGTCCACGGGAGTACAAGTCCCGTTTCAGAGAAGCCATGGCTAGGTAAGCTCGCTTCACCTTTTACTTGTTGCAATGTTCCGACACTAACAATGACAAAGGTATATCCTAGAAGCGCCAAACTGTTGGCATCAATTCCATGTACCCTCGATGCACAGACCACCAGCATACCTCAATGCGATTGGCGATGATGGGGCCGAAGAGCTTGCTCAAGAGTAATCGTCTTGAAGCCAGTGAATGTCTAGGTAGTTCCGGATCATTCAGATGAATGCTATGGATTTTGGGTTGTGTTCTTGGGAGGGCATTGCGAGGCGTTGGGACAGCATTGATATATAGCATAAAGACAAATAGGTCTAGTAGCCAATAACGATGCGTGAAATGCCCTTTGTGTAAACTGTTGATCGTCACAGCTTCCGACCACTGTCTGTCAATTCATGAGAGTATGACCATGATGGGCCTTTTTTGTCTGTCAGACGCACGTAGTTGCTATACTGCTTCCAGTCGTTTAAGGCTGCGCTTCCTGTAAGATTGCGCTGAAATGCAACCGACTAATTATACCATCCAGGCGGGCGCTCGCCTAGAGATGCCCCCACTAAAAGCTTCCAAGCCTCAAACTTTCAGCTCAATGATCTCATAACCGCTAATACACCACACAGACTTGCCTAATGCACGGAACGCAGCACGCGTTTGTCTGAGAGAGGAGGAGAACTCAGGGCTAAAGGGCTCGGCAGACTGGAAAAGAAAATCATGTCGATAGATCTGAACTGGGAGACCCTCACCGTGGGTCCGGATGGCGAAGACCTCGCCGCCCGCATCCGCGATTTCATTCACACCAAGTTCCAGACGGTGCCGCTGCCGCGCTTCATCAAGTCGGTCAAGGTGCACGACTTCCAGTTCGGCAGCATCCCTCCCAAGGTCACCCTCAAGGATATCTGCGACCCGCTCCCAGACTTCTACGAGGAGATGCCAGAGGCCGACGAGCTGGATGACGAGGAGGAAGAAGGTGCCGACGGGGCCGAAACGGAAGATGGGAGGGGCCCCAACCACGTCGATGAGGTCCCGGACGCTATCAGGGCCGCGGAGCGGAGGCGGAAAGAGGAGCAGAGGAGGAGGTTGGCTGGCGGAGCCGGCAATAGCAGGAGTGCCAGTCCAGCGCCGGATCATCTCGGCCACGTTCACACGGCGGGCCTGCGGAGCGCGCCGCAGACGCCCGATGTCGGTTCACCCTTCTTGGGACTGGGCGTCTCGACACCCGGCATAACTGGGGGCACGGCCAACATGGCTCACTACTTCCCGAGCCACATCGCGACCGGCTGGCCGTCGGGCACACAGACGCCGCTAGCTGCCGTGGCCACCTCGCAGCATCTCAACGGGTGGCTGGAGTCGGGCGGGTCGTCTTATCCGCAGTCGCCGTCTTCGCGAGGCACAGGAGGCGGCGGCGGCCATAATCGCAACCGCTCACACAGCTCGATTAGTATACAGGACTTCCCTGCTGCTTCACCTCCGGCAGGGGGCCCACTGAGGGAGAAACATAGCGTGTCTACCCTTGCACCAACCTCGGCAGGCCATTCGAGGCCGCCGACCAGGGACACGGGAGCGTTGGCGGGGAGCGCGATCGAAGAAGAGTTCGACGATGTGGACGGGGTCAATGATGGTGATCTTGGCGACGAGGACGACGAGGATGAGGAGGAAAGGAAATTCCGCGAGCCGCGCATCGAGGACCTGCAGGCCGTGTTCCGGATCAAGTATGCGGGCGATATCAAGCTCATGCTGACGGCCGAGATACTGCTCGATTATCCCATGCCTAGCTTCGTGGGCATACCGGTTAAATTAAACATCACCGGTCTGTCGTTCGACGGCGTCGGAGTTGTGGCGAATATCAGAAAGCGGGTTCACTTCTGTTTCCTTAGCCCCGATGATGCAGTTACAGCCGTCGGGGACGACGGAGAATCGGACGAGGCGGAGGATGGTGCCGGGCGTGTCCAAGGTGAAAAGCGACAAAAGGGTCGGATGGGCGGTCTGCTGCAAGAGATCAAGGTTGAGAGTGAGATTGGACAGCGGGAAGGCATGAAACAAAGCCTGAAGAATGTGGGCAAGGTAGAACGCTTCGTGCTGGAGCAGGTAAGAAGGATATTCGAGGAAGAGTTCGTTTACCCAAGCTTCTGGACATTCTTGGTATAGGCATGGAAAAGCATTCTGGGTCGAATTGAAGCATGAGGCGCTGTATATGTTGTTGTACATTGTTGCCATGAAGGCGGCTATCTATCTATCGCTACTCGCACATGGCTCCTCGCTCGTTACAGCAACTCAATTTACTCGTCATGGAGTTTGGTCGAGCTTTGTGATCTTATCGACCCCAGGCATGTGCTCAGATCCTCTTCTGAATAGCCTGTCAGCAAGTCCAGCTGGTTCCGCCTCTGCTCCTTCCCCCTTTGGATTTCTTCGCCTTTCTCCCTGATACGTTTGGCTTTCTCCTGGATGGACTCCCCTTTCTTTGTGATAGAGTCCCCTACCCACCCTACCAGCTGCGCCGTCTTATACACCAAGCCCGTATTTTTGACTTGGGCTTTCGCAAGCCATTTCTGGATCTGGCCGGTGAAACCTGTCCCTAGAGCTTGAAACCACTGCAAAATGCCGTTTCCATTCCTGCTGTGAACCAAGTGGTTAGCTGTGCACGATCGAGAGTTTCATTCTTCCGATAGGTCCCTGCCTTGGTTGAAGGGGCGCGGGTCTCGAAATTACTGATGATTACTGACTGCAGGATGCCGGGGAGCTTCTTGAAGGGCGAGGCCAGCTTTCCACGAAGCTGTTTGAAGGAGGTGCCGAGTCCTACGAAGGCGGTACCGAAGGCCCGGAAGGGGCCGGAGAGCTTTTCGAGAGACTTTTGATATGTATTAGTGATCTGACCGTTTGGAAGAGGAAGTCCCGGCAGCCTACAAATATTTTTCCAAACTTGAGAGAGCTACGCACGTTGCCGCTTCGCTTCTTCAAGCCGCGGAGCCATTTCCTGGCACGCGGCTTCGCCAGCCGCTTGCGCAACCAGGAGGATTTGCCAAAGAGGCTGCTGAACCGTTTCCTAACGACATTATCGAACGAGTCCATAATTTACAATCGGGGCGCTGGCGTCCCACCGGGAAGAAGATGTGTGGTTTTGGGGCCGGGAGCTGATCCAAGTGCCGGAATCAGAGGACCGCGCAGATACTGTCAAGAACGGCAACACCCGAGGCTCTTGCGCTCTGTATCTCTCGGGGACTCGTACTTTTCTGATAACATGAAGAAGAATAAATTTGATTAATCGGGAAAGAAGACCATTTTCTTCTTTCTTCGGTGCAGGTTGGCTTGTGGCCTGCCATTTTATTTACTTGATTCTTCTATGTGGATCCTTCTGGGTCGCAACAGCAACAAACGCGCAAGGCACCAACTACAGCTGGGACATCCTTGTTTTGTCTGAGGATCCATCGAGAGCCGCCTCATCTTCTTGCAATCCAAGTATCCAGAGACGTGTCTTTCAAATGGTGCAGCTTTCGAATCCTTTGGCTCGGCCAGATCGTAACGATAGTAGCGTTTTGTCAGAGATCTAGAACGCAAATTACTGGTGACCCGACTCGCCAAAAGAATTAAAAAAAAATATTCCCTTGTCTTTCCGAGTGAAGCAGACGAAAACTCATCTTTGGTTATCACGCGGTATTATGCGATTTTTTCTCCATGCATTATGAGCCGCGTTCGACACTTGGTGCTTTGGATTCGTATGATCATTGTTGTGTCTTGAGCTTGGAATATTACTCTAGCTGAAGTTATAATTATCGATTGGAATAACTCCATCTTCTAATGTGTAGCGCCCAGCACCATGAGGCTAATGCTATATTTACATACCATGTGTTGCACGATGCAAATGTTTTCCCCGACCTTGCCTGGATGCCTCTAATAAGACAGGTGACTTGTGTTCCTTTTTGCCACCCGACAAACGCCGCCGATGCGATGATGATGATGCCAAAATACATATTTTTGTGGTGACCCAGTACTTCAATGTACATTTTCAATCCAATGCGGCCTCAATGGTCGTCTCCTGCGCCAGTCAAACTGCTCTCAGTGCTGCAGACGGGTTGTACAACCCTGGTGATGCAGGTCGCTGAGAATCATAATGCGAAAAGCCATCTCCATATTCTGGATGATGATTACCCATAACGCCATGAAAAGAAAAAGCCCGAACCAAATCTATCGCAACCCCTCACCTCATCCGTTCTTTCTCGAGTTTTTCAACATTCTCTTCAGTCAACGAGTCGCCTTTGGGAAGCTGGCTCTCCAATTGAGGTTTGGATGCGTCAGTTCCGCCAGCAGCGTCCAAGAGCTTATCGTCCCGGAGTTGCATCGCCAGCTCGTTCGGGTTTAGGGCCCTGCTCTGCCCTGAATTGTTGCCACTGAATGACCCAAAAGGATAACCTGTCGCCTCATGTGATCCATTTCCAGTCAGTGGTTTTGGCGTCAGCAAATTAGCGTGATCACCGTCATGATTGTTTGGCGGGCAAGGGGTTTCATCGTTTGGCGTTGTAGATCTAGTGTCTACATCACGCAGACCAAACGTGGGTATGTCTGCACTGAGACAATGCTCTCCAGCCTCTGAGCAATCCGAGACCGACACATCAGTGTGCACAGTGGAAGTCGGACTCATCCTTCGGGCCCGACTCCATTTGACGAGCATCTTTTCTAGCATCTTTCCTCTCACTGGCTTGGAGAGATAGTCATCCATGCCAGCCTTTTTGCACTTCTCTCTATCGCCCTGGATTGCCGATGCAGTCATGGCAACAATGGGAACGTTCCTTGTAAATTCCTTGTAAGGGACATGGTGGCGTAGGATATGAGTGGCCTTGTATCCATCAATTACAGGCATCTGAACATCCATCAAAATAATATCTGGTTTCAACTGTTTACCGGCTTGGGAAGATTCCATGTATTCGAGAGCTTCCTTTCCATTCCAAACAGCTTCAACCTTGAAGCCAAGTTTCTGGATAGTTTTGATGGCAATCTGCTGATTGATAGCGCTGGCCGAGATTAGAAAAATTCGGTCTAGGGCGGTTCAGACTACTTACTTATCCTCGACGACAAGAACAGAAAACTTGGCCCGTTCTGGCATCGATAGATCCTCCTCAGTGAAGACTAGAGGTGATGGTATATTGATCGATCGTGCTCTGTTGGGCGACGGTTTATTCGTAGTACCACCTAATGGACCGTTCGGTGGAGTATGAAGCATGTGCTCGTACTCTGAGCTATTACAAGAAACGCTCATTTCGGATTGTAAACGATCGGGTAAAGCACCAACCTCAACGATGGACGACGTTTGTGGTGTTTGGGACTTGTTAAATGGAATCCAAAACGTTGCGGTTGTGCCGTTCCCTAAAGACGATTCCAAGGTGATTCTACCGCGCATAAGCTCAACGAGATTTTTGCAGATAGTCAGGCCGAGACCAGTACCGCCAAATTTTCGCGCTGTGGATGGGTCACCTTGACTGAACGGTCGAAACAAGCGCTGTCGGACCTCCTCTTCAATGCCGATCCCACTGTCCTCGACAACGAATTTGATCTCGATGGTATCCCGCGTTTCTTTTTCTTTCCATACAGAGAACTTTACGTGTCCATTGTTCGTGAATTTGATACTGTTTGTCAGTAAATTCGTGATGATCTGCCTCACGCGCCCCGGGTCTCCCAAGACAACCAGATCGTGGGCGATGTCTGCGGACACGTTGGATCGAAATTCCAGATTCTTCCTCTCCGCGGCAAAGCCAAGCATCTTCGAAACGTCTTGCACCACGACTGATAGTGAAAACTGTACCTCTTCGATGTCCAATCGCCCAGATTCCACTTTCGAGAAGTCGAGGATGTCGTTGATGACAGTCAACAGAGCGTTAGCCGATCGGACGATGTTATGTGCATACTCTGTTTGCTCTTCGCCGAGTTCCAGGTCAAGGAGGAGCTCGGCCATGCCAATAACGCCAGTGATGGGCGTCCTGATCTCATGTGACATCTATGGACGGACGTCAGTCAAAGCACTACATATACACCACCACAACTTACGTTTGCGAGAAACTGGCTCTTGAGACGACTGGCTTCCTTTGCAGCTGCCTCGTTCGCTAGTAGTTGCCTTTTTTCTTGGGCCTGGGTCTTAATATCATGTTCTCTCTCCTTCAACTCGGTCACATTCATGATAATGCCGATAACACCATCGACAACAGATTCACTCGTCATGCCATCTCGCGACTGTTTGCCAATGGTAGGAATCAATCTTGTGCGGAAAAATTGATCATCTAAAGACCCATAAGCATGGAGTCCGCCATGAATACTTGTGTGCTTACCCATCTCATGTTCCTTAATAAATTCCCGCCGCGATTTTCCGTCGAGCATCTCGTGGAGAGGCTTCAAGAAGTCAACGATATCCCCACGTTCCGTTCGTGGGTTGAGGTCGTTGAAAACATCGTCCACGTTCTGCCCGACAAATTTCAAGGCGTAAAGGTCGTCATCGCTGCTGTCGTCCTCGTGAACCCGATCGGCCTTTTTGGCCCTCAAATTGTCCCATATCAGGGCACCTTCAAGCATGGTCAGTTTCCGATTCCGGTCAACAGAAAATATTGTTGTTTGCCCATGCGAAAGAACACTGAGAAGCTGCTGTCGCATTCGCTTAGCAGCAGACTTGGTCTCCATGCTCTCATGTACATCGGTGCATGTGCCAAACCATTTTTCGATTTGGCCGGTCTGCTTGTTTCTCAGAGGCAGAGCTCGTCCTAACATCCATCTCCACTCGCCGTGTTTGTTCAAGCATCGGTATTCCGTATAATATGGGTCTCCAGTCTGCAAGCTGTGCTTCCATCTTCTAACCGTGGCAGGCATATCATCCGGGTGAAATGGATTCTTCCAACCAAGCCCCAGCGATTCCTCTGGTGCCAAGCCGGTGTAGTCGTACCAGCGAGAATTGAAGAAGTCATGCATGCCATCTGGAGTCGTCGTCCAAACCAGCTGTGGCATAGTGTCGCAGATAAGCTTGAATCTCTCCTCGTCTTGTTCTTTGATTGTGGTGATCTCTTGAGCCATATCAGTTATATCCCGACAAGTAACAACTCCGGCAACCATTTCTCCTGTGGCAGGGTCATTGATAATCTCGCCAAGAACGTCAAATATAATTTTCTTGTCTTGAAGTACCTTCTTCATGCCAATGCGCCAGCCGGAGAACGGCTCACCGGTCCTCAAGAGAACTGATATTGGGAATTCACTCGGATCATATGGACGTGTAAACTCTTCATCCCAGACCTGCCATTTGTCGAGAAAGCCAATACCATCTCGCCCAGCTTCCGGTGCCGCAAAGGGGTCGATAAAAAGTTCACGAGCAGCGGAGTTTATGACCGGCGCACTGCCATCTTTCCACATAGCTAGTATGGGCATTTGCGTGTTTTCGAGAAGCGCATCCTTGATTGTAATTATTTTCTGAAACAAGGAAGGCGAGGTCGATTTTGTGCTGCGTGAAGGAGGGCCCATCGGGGGGAAAGGACTGGATGACAACGACACAACACTCGGGTTGTACGTCGTAGATGGCGAGCTTGAGTCGTGACTCGAGCTGACCGACGGAGGATTGGAGTTGGAAATCGATTTCTTGTCAACATGTTCCAATGTTGTTGTCGTAGATCTCGATACCTTTTTCCTGGTTGGTATTGTTGCAGTAGGTGTTTCTGTATTGGTGAAAGTCAACGTAAAATAGGGTTGGTGCTCCTCTATTTCAAAAATGTTGATGATCATCTTGGCGAGAACTTGCTGAGAGTCGGTATTTTGGGGTTTGGTGGTCGCGTTAAACGTCTTAGATGACATCACGACTTCGACGACCGAGGTTGCAGAATCACCGCCAAGCTTCGAGGCTGCCTGTTGTGTATGGACAAAATTCGATTCTTCAACGAATTCTTTGGGACCAGGAGTTGTCGGCGTTAACTCCCCAGGCACAGCCCCATCCGGAGAAGGTGGTCTCGTCATGTACTCGGCGGCTTTTGTGAGCCCATCAGTTACCAGAGAGTCGAGAAGTTCGTCCCAAGAGATCCAAACAGGCCGGCCATCTTGCAGCAGGTCAATGCCCACCTGCGACATGGTCTGCCCGCGGAGTTGGTCCACGATAGACGTGACATCTTGAGGCTCAGTTGCATCTGTCACCATGCCAAGTAGCCGACACATGGCTTCATTCGCCAGTACTACTGTTTTCAAGTTGTTGAGAACCAATACGGGAACCGGCAAAAACTGCATCGCCGCAAAAGCGAGTTGACCGGGTGAGACATATGGCAGGGCAAGCTTGAAAGGGCTTCCCGACTGCGACCTCTTGCTCCTGGGAGACATGGCAGCGTCGCCATCTGCCGCCATATGATCATGGTCCAACAGCTGCAGAGGCCCATTCCTTCTCAGACTCAATTCGGGATTCCGGCGGGGTGGTGGTAAATCTGCGGGCGAAGACCGTGTTTGAGCCGCATGTCGAGGCAGAGCTCGTTCGGAGGGGTCGGGAATTGATGAGCGGACATGTTCAGCGTGATCATGGGCTGGGTCCAGAGCTGTTGATACCATTGCGCCAACCACTAAGACACGATGTAGGTGCGAAACTGACACAAGCCCATTTGATATGGATGGCGTCAGAGGTTGTACAGTAAGCTGGGCACACAATCGTCAGAGATTTGAGGTTGAATTCTAGGTTTGCGCACTGGACAGCTTTAGGTGCCCTGTTAATGGTCAAGGTAGGGTACTACAGTAAGTCGAAGGCGCGCCGGTAGTGTTTGGATGCAGACGGATGGTCGGTAGTGGGGGATAGTCTGGAACGGACTGGTGCAGCCTTACACTATGCAGAGAGTGAAGTGAATTGCGGTCTGCTCAAGACTGAACCTTGTCTTGTCTGCTGTATCCCGCCTGTATGATCAGCCATGTACGTAGGGCCTGAAGATTGGGCTATGTATGGTGTTGTATTGTTGCAAGTGAGTTGGCGTATGAAATACGAACGAATTCCGCCTCGCCATCCCTTGCGCAGGGCTTAGTCTCACAGGTCAGTTGTCGTCCGTCTGTTGCGGTCTATGTCGATGATGAGGCGGGGAAGGTCGGTGCTTAAACATGCAATTCATACTATGTAAAACGCACTTACAAGGACTAGGGGTGTGCTTGTACTTCCTGCAGAGGTCGAGATTCGAACGTTGTTGGAATGCTGAACAACGTCGAATTTCAAGACGAGCAAAACGAACCAACGACCACACTTTAGTAAGTAGAGGTGAAGAGAAACACCCAACCAAGTGTCAATCAACTACCTGTGTGTGTGTGTGTGTGTGTGTGTGTGTATGTGAAAGAGGGAGATCGCGCGCTGGACACGAGCTGATAATAATGCCCGTGGAGAAAAACTGCAGATCAAATGTCGAAAGGTTCGGGGGGGAAAAAAGGACTAAAGTCAAGCAGGGTTTCGTGCTACCGTGTAGATCCCAGGTGTGTGAAATTGATTTGTGTAATACCTAGCAATAGTCTACTTCAGGAATGATGAACTAGCAATGAGAAAGGCACGAAACAAAACCATCCAACTGGCAAGAGTTGTGCCAAAACATTATGCCGTCATGGCAGTACTACCCAACGCCATCTACATTAGAATAGAGCTGGCTCTCAAATCGAATGATAATACAGCTTTTCGCCGGGAGTACACATCCGACGGCGCTGCTGCTGCACCATGAGCAGGACTGGGTGTCATGGCAAACAAAATGGCTATGTTGGATAGGATCCGGCGAGGGCTCCGTTGGAATTGCCCTCTACTATAAGTTAGCCAGGTTCCATGTGTGCTCTGGCTGTGGGCTTTACCGTATGTGTACTTGAGCTGAAGGTGGGAATTTTATTTAGTGTTGCGCTTAAATTCAGAATGGGACACCAACTCCCGAAGGAAGGTCAACAGATGGGAATTGTTTGGCTGAAATGAAGAATGGCATCGGCCTATGGGTCAAATTGGGGGGTCGCAGTCCCACCGCCAGGCAGATAATGGATGGGTAAAGTGACAGAAACCCATCACCATCACGGGGCAAGGCGAACTAGACCCTAGTAGGTACGGATCCGTACAGTAGTATTCTGCGTTACTTCCCGCCGATGGCCAAACCTCCCAGGCATGCAGATCAAAAGTCGGTCATCGATGGGTCTAGACAGCAGAGATCAAAGCCAAGCCGCGCTAGTCAGCTTTTTGCCAGTGCGGTACGACTTTTCCGCATCGCCCTTGACGTCATAAAGGGTCATAAGCAAGGGCCCAGCCCGCTTTTTTATGTCGCGTCGGTTCCTACTGTACGGATCCGTGCATACATAGTAAGTACTAAGTAAGGGTTCTTGGGGCAGGCAGGCTTGGGCTTTTGGGGTTTGCATTGCATTGCAGGGGGCCAAAGGACGACATACTCATGACCGATATCTGAAGCAGCAATCGCTATGTACTAAGGTATGTCCATACTTGTTGACCGTATGCCAATGAAAACATGCAAGACTGAACCCTGCCAAGTCGTTTGTCCAAAAGTTTAATAAATGATGACCTCCAGAAGAAGCGGAACAATAATGTTGAGTCGGAGTACTGTGCGGAGGTTGGAAATAGGGAAACAGCTTGCTTCGAGTTCACCACATCAGACATGTGAGGTTTATTAGCCAGCTGCGTGGCTGGATTGAGTGAATCGATTACTAATCAATTTGTGCGGCGGACCAGAATTACCAAACGCTATATTTAATTGCTCCAGATTGTAAGCAAATCCGCAACAACGATAGTGCAAGGCGCAGTAATGTCCAGGAAAGAGATTCGCTTGAAGAATAGCAGATTCAATGGTGCGGCATCAGGTAGGTTTTCCAAACAGATCTAGCTAAGCATCAGGGTATCTGTCTATCAATGGTTCTCATGGCAGTCGTAGTTATCGTCATTTACAGTGCTGTTCCTTGTCATGTCGGACAATCCCCTCACGAACTTTCCTTGACCTTACCGCAAAGGTCGCAAGTCCAGAGATTCCAATCTCGCACGCGCCCACAAAATGAACATGTCCAAGTTTTCGACCTCGACGCCAAGTTTGTATCGAATAGGCTACCAGGTTGGAGCGTGGCGGCTTTCGTTGAGTTTGACATTTCTGGCCGTGTCGGTGGTTTTGGTCCCCTTTCTGGGCTCCCGGTCAAATACACGGTTGTTGTCCGTTGGCGCTTCGTCGTTCGTTGCGACAGCTCCTTACTAGTCTCTTCAGCCCTCTCCACGCCGCATGCATCGCAACACAGATAATCCAATGGGTTTTGCAAAGTACAGACTTGACATGTCCAGGATGAGGGGACAGAATCAGCAACATGGCCGGTGTCAAGGCTGGGCATAGGAAGCGCCGGACGAGTATCCGGCACGGGCGGCGGAGGCCGTGGTGGGATTTTCTTGGCGCATGCAGCTTCTTGTTTAGGAGGCTCTTGGGGAGATTCCCATCGTCTTGCGCTACCAGCCGGGTTTCTTGCAGTCACTGGTTGATACGACTCGCCGTACTTGACCCTCTCATCTTCCTGTACCAGCTCCCACAAAGCTTGCGCAATAGCGGCCTCATTTGCTGCATCCTCTTCAGCCTGTGTGCTAAAGCCACTTTTGGTGGCTGTATCGGCAATAGCCCGAATTTCGTCTTCGTTGTGGGTGTTGTTAGCGCAGCCTTGGAGAGTCTGATTGCGGCGTTCCACGACATTGGCAATGACCCGCCGAATGTCCTCCCCTGGTTGGACCGGTCTTCCGCCTAGACGTTGACCAGATCCTGCGGAAAGTGTGCGACGCTTCTCAGCAGCGACCCTGGCGAGCCGACGTGCCTCTGGTATCGAAATGGTTGGTCGACCCCCTAAACGATGACCTTCAGACAAGAAGCCTTCGCCGGTATATCCCTTCATCATGAGGGCCTCGTGTTCGTCTCGAAGCTGGTCCCATAGAGCATGGAATTTGGCATCGTGCGGACCATGCACGATGTGCGACAACTCGTGTAGCATCGTATCAACCACCTGCTCAATGGGAAGGAATTGGTTGCGGTCAGCGGGATATCGAAGTCGAAGACATATCTTCTGTCCACGGTTGACGTTGAGCCCTAGAGTGAGTGAGTAGGTTAGTTGATACTCGAACCGTACATGATCGATCTGCTTGTGGACTACCGACCCAGTAGATTTTGTTCATGGGGGTAGAACTCTGTCAGTTGTCGTACTTTCCAGCCCCGAGCTCTCATTATTGGCTTTACCAATGAAGCAACCTTCCGCAGAGTGTGCAAGGCATCTTGCGCCCTTGGGGAGTCCTTGAGATGAGAGTACGACAGGACCAGTGGATCGATTTCCGGCATCGTGATGGATGTCGTCGATGCGCCTGGATGGCCAGTACAAGAACGCAGGCGCAGGGATACGATCAAGCCAAAATCAAATTCAAAAAGAAACTTGAAAAGAATTACGAAATGAAAAAGACAAAAAGACAACCGAGGAAGAGTGCCTTAGATGGGTTTTTGGGCGTGTATTCGCATAATGCCATCGCATCACCTAAGCTGCTGGTCTTGGGGGGGAAAGATCAGGCTGGAAACAAAGAAGCTTCGAGTAGGTAAATAAGTAATGTAATTAACGCGCCACTGCACGCGTAAAGTGCAGTTGCCTTAACTACGTACTGCTGTTAAGCAGGTTGGCAGTGGGGCAACGTTAGCACCTAAAAATACATTGTATGGAGGGGCAATTGAATAGCTCCTCCTGTTGCAGTCACCAGGACTAGGTTAGCAAGTTGAAGGTAGGACAGATGCACACCATTTCAAAGTAGACTACGATTTAGTTAAGTCCAAGTGAATGTCGTTAGGACCGCTTCCACTTGAAAAAAGAAATGGTCGTATTCCTCGGAGACAGTGTATTTTCAGCGAATTGTATCGTATCAGCGTCCATGTCGTTGCTCTCTTTCAACCCTGTCACTCGTCTAGACTAGCAATACCGTAGTATGGAGAGAGGAGGACCATCAAGCCCTGCGGACATGGTTTGAAGCAGCTTATTCTACACACGGCCCGCGAATATACAATTTGCAAGACTGTGGATACAAAGTAGTATCTATACTATCCGTTCATGGCTCCGGCCCCCATCACATTGTAACTTATTCTTCTGGCTGCAGCTCGGTCCTGAGTAACTTTACAGCCAAAGCTGCTGGCCGTTAGTCAGCACAGCCATCTCCCGTTGAAATTCAAGTTCTCGCAAGTAGATATGACGGCAATCTTCTTGAGTAATAGATTTACTTACTGCCAGACCTTGGTGCCCAGGCGCTAATCCGCTTCTCTCGAAACCAGTCTTTTACCAGCTCTACACTCCTACTCTTGACTGGTGAATCAATCTCAACGCTTGAAATGCCCTCTCATCAGTCCAGAGATAATGGCATGAAACCCCTCATATTGACTAATCTAGGGTTTTCATAAGGCCTAAGGGGTCAGGATAAGTCAACGTATCTGACACTGCCTGCGCAAATCGACCTGCACTAGACTACATTTTGAAGATTCCCACTGCGCCGATGCATGAATAACAGATGCGAGCTTCTAATCTTGGTTCTCTTGCTTTCTTTGGAAGGAACAATAAAACCTGCTTTGGATCTTGATTATTAAAACAATTGCTCGGTCGCTGTGTAGCTGTCTGCAATGTCGATTGTTTTTGCTTTGCAAATTAAGTATGCAGAGGCGCAGCAGGCTCATCTCGACCGTTGGCAGGGATCTGACTTAAGCTTGATCTGACAGGACCACAACCCGCAAGCTCCACCAAATATCTACATAGGGCATTGGCTTTGAGTCCTTCGAATGAAGAATTTGGACATGTGCTTGAGCCTCGTCTGCCACACAGCCGGCATTGCGTGAGCATGGGCAGGCGCCAAATAGCCTCAAGAATTCCGAAGGCATGATGTTGCAAGGATCATGTAACGGGTCCCTTTGACTGATCTACCATCAGATGCGACCCCCTTGCTCACAAGCATCAAGCACATCATCCTAACGGTCCATCGCCTAGGCTTTTGAGTCATTTTTAAGCATATGTAAACGCTTTCCAGTGGTCTCTAGCTGATTTTGTTGATTAAATATGCTGGCCTCGGAAGAGCGGGATCTGAGTCTGATAACCATGCGTGAAACCAGGTCCCAAATTGTAATCAATCTGAGTCCAGGGCCAGGTTATATACATTCTTTTCCACCGGCATTCGTATATCTCTGTCGTCCTAATGGGTCTCTTCTTCTAATTCAACAGTGAGCTGGTCTTCTTGCAACTTCCTGCTGTCATTTGTTAGCTGGTCACGTTCCAGGGTTGCAGGTCACCTTCTCCTCCGTATGCTACGTCAGGTCCACAGCCGAGATCATGAAGCCATATTTTTCCGCTGTTGTGTCAGCAGCTATTTTCGTTCAAAATCTTGTTGTTCGGGGCTCTCCGCTCAAGATCATTGAAATAGATATATCGGGAATCTCGACGTTGGGTGGCATGACCTTTAAAATCCACCAACAACCAAACAAGGCGTTTTCTGGAATAAAAAAGGGACCTTTGGCAATTGCGCGTACTTACGCAAAGTTTGGTGTGTCTTTTCCGGATGACTTGCAGTCAGTGATAGAACAGTTGTTGGAAGAACTTGGTCTTTCGAAAGGCCATGCCGGCAATAGCACGACTGTTGTAGGTCAGGGTAAGTTTTTCTTCTTCTAATATTGAGTGCCAATGAGTTCTCCCTCTGACCAAACTGATAGGTGAGGTGGCTGCCATTCCTGAGATGTTCGATTCAGAGTATCTGTGCCCGGTACTAATAGGAACACCGCCCCAAACACTAAACCTAGACTTTGATACGGGCTCATCAGACTTATGGGTGTTCTCATCTCTCACACCGTCAATTCAGGTTGATGGCCAGACGATATACAATCCAGAGGAAAGTTCGACGGCAGAAGAATTAGAGGGATCTACGTGGTCGATCACGTACGGCGATGGAAGCGCTTCAAGCGGAGTTGTTTTTACAGACAGCGTTTCAGTTGGAGGAGTTACAGTGCCAAACCAGGCAGTTGAGGTCGCTCAAAAGGTCTCATCCGCATTCACCTCCAGAGCCAGCACTGATGGGCTGCTTGGCCTAGCTTTCAGTGATCTAAACACGGTCCAGCCAACCCAGCAGAAGACCTTCTTCGACAATGCCCTAAATAACTTGGCTTCCCCCTTATTTACCGCCAACCTTAAGCAAGCTGAAGGTATGTTCCCCCGTCCCATACGTACGGTGTCTTATGTCGGAGTCGCTTAATTAGTATTTGCAGCTGGGAACTACAACTTCGGATTCATAGATCCAACGGAGTTTACTGGGGACATATCTTTCATTCCAGTGAACGCATCATCTGGATTCTGGCAGTTCACAGCATCGGGCTTCCGCGTCAACAACTCAACGGCAATCTCTTTCCCACACGTTGCTATCGCCGACACCGGTACGACACTGTTGTTCGTACCGGATCAGATTGCAGCCGCCTATTACCAGAATGTCGAAGGGGCAGTGAACGACGTCACAGGCGCTGGCGGGTATACATACCCGTGCTCTGCCACACTGCCGGATTTCACAGCCATTATTGATAATTATGAAGCTTTAGTTCCTGGATCGATCATACCTTTCGCCCCCGTGGATGGAAATACGTTCGAGGATGCAACGACCTGCTTTGGTGGACTACAAGCTACGCCTAGTGGTCTACCATTTTCCATTTATGGCGATATCTTCTTGAAGTCGCAGTTCGTGGTGTTTCATGGAGGTAACCAGCAACTAGGGTTTGCATCAAAGCCTTTGTAGGAATTGTTTGGTAGTATATTGGCATCTGCATACCACAAGGTCGATCTTGAGGATGGATATGGTTGTAGTGGGACTTGCATCAGGGCATGATCACAACAATTTGGGTTTAGAAGATTCTAAAGTCACACCAACACAATACATTGCATTTGGCACAAATTTTCATTTAGAAATGACCTATCATTACAACAATCTGAAAACTCCACGCCGTATCATCCAGTCGAAATGCGGGTAAGTTCTTCGAATCTGGATGGGTTGTTCTCATATGGCTTACGATGTCTCCAGTTTCCCGTGACGTTAGCTTCTGGCCTAGTTGCAGCTGTTCCAATTGGAACACCTCCGCAGCCGTTTCGTCTCATGTTAGATTAAGTTGCCGAGCGGTTTTCCGTCCCAAGCGCCACTAGAAACGGTGAAGCATAACGGCGCGGTGCAGTATACTTTACAACTAATGATGACACATATGGACTTGGTTCAAACGTATCATCAGCCGTCAGCTATGCTAGAGTTCAATGTAGGGGATGCGAGGTTCTTGATACATTCCATGTTACCTGGTTATCAATCCTCAATCATCGATTCTCAATTTTGATCACGCCTCAACATTTGCTTGGGGGACACCAGGATTGGATACGATGGTGTATTAGGCTTTAGTCCAAACGCTCATCTACCAAACTACTATGCAGCACGAATCTCCCAATGGACGGATATGGTTCAGAGAAACTTGTTCGCTAATGATCTGTTCACTTTAGATGTACCAGCTTCAAGAGAGAGGCTGGCGAGTTGAATTTCAGTGTTATAAACCCGAAGTACACCACTAGTAACTTCGGAATACTGCCACTTGTGGCAGATGGCGGCTGGGCTTAGTCCGTGGCCAGGGACTCCTTCACGTGAAATAACCGCACTCACGACGAGTACCGACAATTCCCTGATGGAGCAGGCGTCATCACTACGGGTGATTAGTTCAGGGCATTGCCGTGAGACTTAGTGAGATAGATCTATAAACAAGCTCCACAACCGTGCGATTTACTTCGTACGTTCTGTGGGATCGAGTGTACATTCCGCAAGGTGATAGTGACACCATTTCAGAACCCGCCGATGTCCTTTAAAAAAATACAACCGGCCGAGGTGTGCCTTTGACATATTTGGTATAGAAGCTTTCCACGGAGGTAATGGCTTATATACAAAATCCGTTATAATACTGGGGTTGCCATTCCGCAACATGTTTTATAGGTTTATTACCCGTGATTACGTTTAAGTGGTTGATTTTCAGACCATTCGTAATAATTCGTGGTTTCGATCTCGATAATCGTGAGATTAGATGTATGGACTTTTTCGCCTCCATGATACAAAGTACGAACGTTAACTAAACACTAGCGATGAAAACGATATCATAATCTAATGTCAGGTTGAACCTCGAATGGATAGGCAATTGGTAAACGTAACGCGGTAGATCCCACTTCGTAGAGGAGGTTTGTGTGGAACACATCTACGTCAAACAAAGCTCGCGAAACCCGAAGGCTTCTCACTATCTACTTGCCTATCTCTGTTGAGCTCGATAGCAAACTGAATACACCCAAAGGATTTAAAGGATTCCAGATCATGATTTGCACTATTGGTAGCTACAATTCAAACAGGTAATTTTGTTTGTTTGGTTCTTTGGTACTTGGGTCGCGAATTTCCTTTTGCTTCCGAGACAAACAACACAATCGTAGAGATCCAAAAATCTTTTGGACAGCATCCTGATTGTATGAACTCTGGACGAACTTCTGAGTAGACATCCAGACCTGTTTGCTTTGTGGGATTAGTGTACTGTTTCGGCCTTCCAGGTCCTCGGGAGTCAGTCAGTCTATAACTATAGTCGAGGGATTGCCCCCACACCTGCCGGTTTGCACTCGGTGTTGTTTTCTCCCATGCTGACGCGGTCACAGCTCCACTATTCCCATCAGGATCCCGAGAAAACCTTTGATCTCACGATATCATACGACTTGAATCCTTCCGAACATTCGCGGGATTGCATAAAGTTGAAGCACTTGCACGACTCTGGAGAGCACAGAATCAAGTCATGCATCATTGAATTCCATAGTGAGAGCACAAGAAAACACTATGGCAGATACCCTTATAGCACGCGCTTTGGATAGCCTTAAACTAGGCCACAACCTAGAAAATTGGCATATCGCAACATATCGAAATATTGCCGTTTCTGTTGCCGTAGGTGTTCCTCTCTTCTCATACTGGGTCTCAAACTATCGCGCATGGCTGGCTCTCGGGCGCGGTGGTCTACCTCCGAACCCTTTGGGTTGGCTAGTGCAAGCTTGCCTGCATCCCATATCACGATCCGACACCAGAGCTCCTGCGCCATGGACACTCGAGGATACCGAAGAGTTGTGGGGTACCGCAGGCAGGAAATCCTTCTTCATCGATGGACGCATCCCACCACGGAGGCACGGCGCTCGGCCAAACGTGCCTAGCTATGTCGCGCCACAGCGGCAGACGAACGAGCAGGTGCACCCGGCGATGCTGGACAAGATGGAGTCATACTTATCCGATCTGGTCGCGGCGAACCCGACTACGTACCAGCTCAAACCGTCGGGGCTTGAGGGGCCCTTTCGGAACGCCATATGGCTTGCCGATAACTTCAACACACCGATGTATCTCCGAGGTACCAAGGGCGAGATTGTGCATCCGCACGATGAGGGAAGCACCCACCTAGTGCTGAGTCTTTCTGATGCTACCCGGGCAATTGAACTGGGGTGGGCTGAGCGGCACAAGCTTGCTGGCGCGTGGGGCGAAGTCATCCCTTGGGGCTTTGTTCTTGTGTATGCGCCGCGAGATGGCGATGACTTCGAGATCTGGAAGAATTTTGTGCTGGCTGCGGTAAAGTTCAACGCAGAAGCTGTTGGCAGTGGTGACACGAGTGTTATAACCCCGGCTATATGATTGGCTAGGAATTGAGCATCGAGCGCTTGGTCCAAATCATACAGCGAACGAAGAAAACATTTTTTTCCAGTCTGACCTATCATCCAATTTGATACCCTAAACTGATAGTAACAAAACCCATATCATATACTCTGAGACGGGAAACCTAGAAACATAATGTGCAACAGCGAATTTCTCCAAATCTACTTACATTTACATGCTCCCTATTAAGCTCTAAAGACTCACGCCCTTTTACCCAAACAGATATCTCTCAACTTGTCCTTCTCGCCACTTTCTTCACACATGCCTCTGAACATTCCATTACCATCTTTATGCTCCCATAGCTCCTTCGGTGTGCCAAACTCAGCAACCTTGCCATCGCTCAGCACCAGAATACGATCAAAATCCGCGATGGTGCTCAGACGATGAGCAATGACGAGCAGCGTGCTGTCTTCAAACTCTTCACGAATAGATCGCTGGATAAGAGCATCAGTGTGCATATCGACTGCTGACGTTGCCTCGTCAAGCACCATGACCTTGGGGCGTGAGACGATGGCGCGCGCCAAGCACAGGAGCTGACGTTGTCCTTGAGAGAGGTTGAGGCCACCTTCAGAAATGGAGCTCGAAAGGTCACGGAATATATTCGTGTTCTTCTTGGTGACTGAGCCATTCTCAGTGATCGACTCTGGTGTTGGTGTTCCTGGTGCCGTCTCCTCCTCTGAAACTAGGTGAACACGTTGCAGCGAGTCAAAGAGCTCCACGTCGGTGTGATCGTTGAAAGGATCAAGATTGGTTCGGATAGTACCAGAGAACAGTACAGGATCCTGTGGAATAATGGCGAGACGTGACCGCAGGTCATGTAACTTGATCTTGGAGATATCGACGCCATCCACATAAATTGACCCTGATTTGGCTTCCAAGAAACGGAAGAGGGCCAACGTCAAAGACGACTTGCCTGCTCCAGTCCTGCCTACAACACCAACACGCTCATTACGGTTGACACTGAATGTCAGTCCCTTCAATACGGGCGATAGATCAGCAGCATAGCTCACGACCAAGTCGTTAACCTCAACTCGCCCTTCAGTGGGCCATGCTGCCGGAGGACTTTGCCCCTCGAGATTTTCTGTGGGTAGCTCGCTGTACTCCACGACACGTTCTGCTGCGTTCATCTCCAGTTCGATGTTCGAGTAGTGTCGAATTGTCCACCTACGAATGAGTTAGTATTCTCCCCTTCTAAATGAAAAATATCAAACATGACTTACATGACAGTGCCTGAGAAGTCCAAAGCAAAAGCTAAAGCAAAACCGGCCAGTGCAGAATCCATGTCAGGAGTTAGTAGAATGAGCATTGCCACAAAACTGGCGAAGAACGATCCTACTACCGACATGCGCCAACCCATCCATCTATTAAAAAGCCACATATGCCAGGTAGTAATCGTCCAATCATCGAGCTTGCCATACATGCGATCGACATAAGTTTGCGCCTTGTTGAAACCCCGAATTGTTGAAACACCGTTCAGGGCAGACCCGAACTGTTCAAATACTGGGGATTTCGTTGTGCTTTCAAGTCTCTTGGCGGGGCGGGCGCCATGCAGATATATGCGTGCGTAGTAGATACTAATAAGTAGGAGTACAAAGGCGAGAATCAGGATGATCGGTGAAACGAAGAGGCCAGCAACGATGACGCCAATAAGATTTAAGAGAGAAGCGGCACCAAAAGCAAGCGAGTATGCCAAACGGGTATCCACGCTGTGGAAGTCGCCGGTGAAGCGATTCAGCACTCTTCCAACCGGGACGGTGTCCAGCCAGCGAAGAGGTGCTCTGAGAATAGCAAAGTTCAGCTTGGCAAATAGCTTTCGAGACGCCTGAATAGATCCTCGGAAGATGTAGTAATATCTAACAGTCCCCAGTACGGCACTAGTGACTGCCAGAAGAACGTAGATACCAAGATAAAATCCCAAGCTTCTATCCTCTTGCATAACCAGAGGTTGCATCATTCTGTGAGAAGAAACCTGCTGAAGGTTAAGTGAGTAGATATATGCGTGCTGATCCGTGTGGTTCTTGAGCTTTTCTGTCTCGTACGTCTCTGTCCAGATCTTGAGCCACCAGGATCTACCAAGGGTCAAAGCCTGGACAGCCACAAAAAATAGAGTAACGGCACCCCAGAAGACCCAACCTCCAGTGGCTTGTAAATATGTAGCATAAACATGCTTCTTGATAGCTCCCTGTTCGCGTCCTTCCTCCTCGACAAATTTGCGGGGCTGTTGTACTTTGGAGGGTACCTTAACAAGAGGTGTTTCGGCCGGCTCGTCATCAATTTGAGAAGTCTCTTCTGAATTGACAGCGGTTATGTCCTCATCGGTAGGTATGTCAGCATCGGTCTGGTGGCTCTTAATCTGTTCCAGAATTCCGTCCTCTTCAAGCTCCGATCGGAACCCAGCGTTCAAAACGACACCATTGCCGAGCTCCAGCAAGTACTTGGTCTTCGGTTCGCAAAGTGCAACGTGGTGAGTAACCAGGATGCGTGTTCTTCCGGCGCACAGCTCACCATTGAGGCACTTCTCAAAGATGTGGCGGCCGACATGAGCATCAACAGCGCTGAATATATCGTCAAGAACCAATATACCTGCTCTCGAATAGATAGCCCTAGCCAATGTAATTCGCCACTTCTGTCCACCAGACAAATTGATTCCATTTGCGCCAATCTCTGTATTTTCACCATCAGAGAACATCTCGATATCCTTCTTCAAAGCACAGACCTCAATGGTCTTGTGGTAACGTGCTTCATCATATGGCAAACCAAACAGTATGTTGTCTTTGATGGTCGCATTCTCAATCCAAGGAATCTGGGCGACATACGCAATGGCACCAGGCAAGATCCAATTACTCTTGTTGGCCCTGCTGTCGTGTCTTTGTTCCAACGGTGGAGCCTTCGGCCGACTGACAGATCCAGACAAAACGTCAACTTCACCAAGAATGGCAGCAAGCATTAATGTCTTTCCACTTCCTGTCTTGCCTGATATGACTGATAGCTCGCCTTTTGGAAATGTGACTGTAACATTGCGGACAGCAAATCTTTCGGGATCGTTGTCCTTCTCATCGGCTGGCCAAGCGATCGTTGCATTGTCAAATGTGACCTCGTCAGCTTCACCCATAATGTCTTCGATCTCTGCACCTTGCAAATAATCGTCCAATCGTTTCACGGAGACCCATGCATCTAGTAAGTCAGTAGTCAACTCTGGAATGATGGACAATGTAACTTCCAGAGCTCTGAAGACTCCTAGACTGACAAATGCGACTGAAGGAGTTAGGACATCGTGTACGGCGGCGTATACTGCGAGAGAAACTGCCGCCAGCATGATAGGGCTTGTGACCCAACATCCAATAAGCATCGCGTCATTGAAGAACGCGTCCCAAACACATTTGAGTTCCCTCTCGCGGACTTCACCGATCTTTTTTTCCCACTGCGGCTCCAGTGCTGAAAATTTGATCTGCCGAATGCCCTGTAGCGCTTCGGATACAACCTCCATCTTTTCATCTCGAACCTTCATTAGACGATCCTGTGCTGCGGAATACCTCTTGCTAAAGAAGATGTTGACAGGAGTGATCGCCAACATACTCGAGAAACCGGCTAGGAGAGCTTTCCAGCCAAGTAGATCGACCAAAAAGGCCAGCGAAACAGCAAGCTTGAAAACGCTTCCAGGAAAATAGAAATTGAACGAGCTGAAGTCAGAAACTCGTTTGGCGTCAACACCAATCAAATTGACAGTCGATTGCTTGTTCTTCTTGAGCTGTTCCTCCTCATTATCTTCAGTCAACTCTTCTTGTGGAGAATCAACCGTGGGCACAGCTCCAGATGGGGCTGCAGTCAACGGGTCGGCATTCTCCGGTGCCTTTTCCTTCTTCTTACTGGAACCTTTGATATCCTTACGCCTCATAGACTTCTTGAATATCAAAGAAGAGAGTTGAGCCCGGAGAGGGATGCAGATTTCGGCCCAGGAAAGCCAGAAAATATAGGCCTCCACCCAGGATTGAGCAATCATAGCCACAGCAATCCATATCACCCACATCCAGGCTTCGTAGCCCAATGGCTCATTGGACGTCCGTTGTTCTAATAGTCTGAGAAGGTGCCAAACACACCATTGTGGCGCGAAATTTAGGAAAGACGTCACAAGCGTTGTGAACCATTGTATGGCAAACTTCCACTTGTGCGCCTTGATAATTGAGATCCAAAGTGGACCCGTGAAATTGCGACTCTCCCAATCTAGTGTCGTCTCCTCTGCCCGGCTATAGTGATCTGGTCTTGGAAGATCATCTAGGTCAAGGTTCTTCTTCTCTATTGCCTGGCGAAGTACAGCTGCAGGCCAACTCCAATTGAAATGGCTCCAGAACGATTCCGTGTAATACCTGTCGACAATCTTGCCTTTGTGGTAAACATCCGGTCTCCGCGGGATTGTGACACTCGAGAAGGCCAGTGCAATGAGCGTAAAAACCTCTACCACCCGCATGGCAAATATTGCTGGATCATGCTTGATCAGATGTTGCGCAATCTTATCATCCTGAATGACCAGAACAATTACAAGCAGTAAGCACGAGAGAGCTGAGTAAACCCCCAGGTCATGAGAAGTCCTTGAACTGCGTGTTGCGGCAATGCAGACAGCCTGGGCAGCCAAAAGACCCTACAATATTACATCAGTATAAATTGGCGACAGACATTGTGGCGGGTTTTCTTACCCAAGTTCCTACACTGAACCAATTCTCAAGGAAGATGCCATTCGTTTCGCCCAAGGTAGAAAGGACAGCCAAAGCAATGGACAAGCCGAGACCTGTCAGGGAAAACAACAGTATGAATGCTTTGGGTATCTTGGCAGTATAAGCTTTAACAGCCTCGGGCGTTGATTTTCCATCTTCATCTTCATAAACCTCGGTTCGCGGCTCACGGTTTTTCAACTGCGCAGCTGAACTGACAATGGCTGGAATCGACAAAAGCCCGACCAATCCCAAGCCGACCGCGGAACTCGCGAGTATAATTGTTTTGTCCGACATGCTTATGGTTTCCGATGCGGGATGCAGTATACTCCAAAGCATCAAAGCTTGCTACTTTCAGGCGAATTTTGACTTCACCATCCACTGGGGCCTGCTGCTGCCGCGTCAGTTATAGCTTGAAGTTGCGTCAGAGCACGTTCGCGCTAAGCAGCCGACTATGACTGCTGATGACAAAATGCAAAACTCTCAGGGTCTTCAGGGTGTCGTCGTAGAGCATCGGTATGAGTAACCTTAGGTTTGAGGCAGCGAATGGCCTATCCTTAATACTGGGTGACGAGAATACAAAATTTTCTTCTAGGCAGTCACTCTAGGCGTCCCTGACACATCCACAACCCCGTCCCGAGAGCTGGGTATGCTTCTGCAGGCCTCTGGAGTCTGGACGAGCTGCATGCGGTAACAACATTTAGTACTAGGGTAGTGCTGAGTGCGTATTGGTCCCACGCCGCTTGACTCATTCCAGGTCGGCGAGGCGGGCTATCGGGCGAAAGATACGGGAACGAGAAATGAGACTTCAGATGTTCTTTTGCTCCGATTCGTCAATGACGGATTGCGAATGGCATGGGCCTATTAGGGCGATCTTATAATGCTTGATAGCACCTCGCCAGAGTTCAGTGGTCAAGAAGCAAGTAACTAGGTAGGTATGCAGTGAGATGACAAGCGTTCGGCAAAAATTGAGACTGCCATGGGTATTTGATACGCATGGTGGCCGTCGGAATAGATACTATATTTGGTATTCTAGAAGACCTTTACCGAGCAGTCCAGCCAACCAACCAAGCGACATTGTCTACAAGAAGCCCTCTTCCAAAGCTCGGGAACCTTCTCGCTGAGTCTTCCCTTGCGAGAGAAGTCTATGATCCCCTGGTCGTCTACGCAAACCGATGTGCGGCACAGTTACAGGGGAAAGTAGGCTAAGCATAGAAAGAAGTGCCTTACTGCTCGGATAAGAAGGTGGATTGTAGGATTGGCGGCGCTTGCTGTGGGCATCATGGTTGTTACGGGAAGCCTCTTCGTCTGTGTGTAATTAGCGCAACAAACGCGGCGGGGCCACCAGCCACCAGCCAAACGTCGCAAAGTACTCTGCATCCCAGCACGTATGATCTGTAGGTTTGGTACTGGACTCGTGATACTGGGGATGCAGTGCAACTGCTGAAGGGGGTGTCGGTCTTGTCTGCATGCACATGTATGCTTCAGAGGTCAAATGATTCAGATCTAAATGCCTGATAGCCTCCACCAAACACTACTTCTTAGTTCTAATAGCATCATCTCTTCACGATTCTCACGGAATCCTATACCTTACGACTATCTACATCGAAGGCCTAAGTACTATACACGCAACTAACCTTAGGCGAAGGCCATTGGTGCTTCGCCAAGCAGTTCATTCGGTAAGGTCACTCTACTTCCCGATACCATAGAAATATGGCTCCCGATCAAGTCATGAGGATGCCTGGACGAGCTTTGCACCATCTCTTTCGTGAATCTTATCACGACCATTGGTTGGAAATCATGTAACTAGTACCATGAACTAAGCAATTTGATGTTTGTCCCATATGCCAAGACAAGAATGATGGGGAACCAACGCAAAAGTGGCCCGGAATGGTGTGTAATAGTGGATGGGTGTAAGCACGAAGAAAACGTCGCAAGATCTGTTGCATACCAGACTTGCCCCAGACTCTAAGGTTAGCATCTTGGCATTGATGAGTCTTCCCCGTGCTAAGAGCATACTAAGAGCACACGCATTATGTAGGTGATGCGGGCAGCTGCCAATCGATCTCACAGCGTTCTTCGGCGAACGCTTCTGGGTACATCTTTTCTGTTAGTCTAACTAGTGCAGATCTGACAGATTTCAGCTGTCCGAGTCCACAACGTTGATGGATGTTTCCCAGTTGCTCGGCACATGTCATACGACATTCGATCGCCAGATTACTGATTGGAAGCATTCTACCGACTTAATCCTGTGTGCAATACATTCTCGATGTTTGATTGAGCTCATCGCCGAACGGATAAGTTGCAATTTGACCGGCATTGCACTCTGGTTGGACAATTTCATAGCCTGTCCCTTCGGTCACACCGCTCCAATGTTTGAGACGCCCTGCTGCGGCAGGGGTTCATGACGCCAAATCAATGACCTAGGGCTGTTGTAGGGATTAAATTCTGATACTGTTGTATCGGAGGGTTACACAAAGCTGCGATATGACCGTTTGATCCGATCGACGCACTCATGCTTCATGGCGATCTGTTCGACGAGTAAAACGAGGACCCCGGATGTTACACGAGAGCATCAGCCCTGCCATAGTCGGCGTTAAGCATAGCTGTTGGGCCCGCTGGCTTGATGGCGTATGCATACAGTAACTTGGAGGATATATTAACTTGGCGACAGCCTTGATTTGGGGCTCAAGGGAGTAGAAGACTTGGCAGGATATGTGCATCTATAACATGAATTTACAACAAGACTTGGAAAGCACAGAATGAGTTCATTACCGGCACAATCTACAGGCTTTTTGACAGACTCCGACCTGGCAGGTAAGTATACTTTGGAGTTGTTTCATACAGGGTTGCAGATATGTGGCATTGACCCAGTGCAAACCGACTGGAGATTAATCCTTCTGATGCGAACATAGCTCAGTGTTCCGCCTGTGGGATTACGGTGACATACTGTGGCTACCGATCCTGAGAATTCGCGTGTAAAGCACACAAGACTCCGAGGATCAAGGGAATATGGCACCCAGTAATCCCCAGCCCAAGACATGTGTAACCTAACCTAGGTGCTTTAAGGATCAATGGTGACAGTGGCAGAGCGGGTTTTTATCAGCTCCTGGACAAAAGCTAGTGCACTGACCGTGGGGTCCAGGGTACTACTACGTATGCACCGCGATGAAGCTCTAACCTACAGAAGTACAGAGTAATAGAGAGGCATTCGCATACCATAGAATGAGGTGAAAGGCCAAGACAAGGTAGAATTGGCTGCTTACCGGCCAGGCTGATACAGCGTCCTGTAGTGGACGCCATTTGTTTTCTGCTAACCTAGGTTAACAACATTTGGTCTAAGCAAAGCAATATAGACACTGTGCCCGCTCATATGTCTAACGTTCAACACCTATCTAACTTAACGGTTACAGGCTTCACGTTCATAAATTACATAGCGAAGGATTTCATAGGCCTGCACACACGTATGGCCAAAGTGCAAGTGTTGGGGATTGACCAGCCAATACCTACATGTAGAATATGGTACTCGTTGATTCAAAGAAACGCGCCTGGGGTCAAACGGAGTGCTGTACAAACATTCTAACCTAACCTATTAGTGGTACAGTAAATGTTGAAGCCGGAAGAGGGAACATTGGCGAGCGACAGGGTGCCCCATAAGCCCAGGGCTCCATTGGTCTGACACGTCCAAATCCAAATTCAAACGCGACACGGCAAGCTGTCGAGACTGAGACTAAGGTTAGACGTGTGTACTGCAGTGCAGTCTGTAGCCTGTAGCATGTGGGATTGAATCCAATTTAACGGGCCAGAATCCGCAATCGAGATACATACAGATACAGCTGAGCTTGCTGACAACACAACGGCATCATCACTGTTTTCTGACAATTCCCAATATCCTGCCTTTTGCGAACACTTGCTGTAGAAACGCGTCTTCTTTAAAATTGAATTTTTTTTTAAATAAAAATTGACAAAGACCTCACCCTAAATTACAACGAGGTCTGCCAACTTATCAGAACAGACGCCGACGACGACGCACGATACAGACAAACTGCTGGACCAGCTTTCTTCACTTCCCCACTACCAAAGTTACAAAGCCTTTACGGCCAACTTCAAAACAACCGACAACCATCCAGTTGCTCGTCTTGAAAGATTTAGCCATCGATCAATCGGGTACAAAGGACCAATTACAAACAACGGGAACTGGTATTGATGCCCCCGAGGCGCACAAGTTGTCCGCCCCCCCAAAACGACTCCTGCACCAAGGCGGCCGGGACAGCAAAGAGCTTCTGACTCCTGAGGCTGCTTCGACGAGCCTTGCCTTGCGGTAGGAGCGGCCTCCACTGCACCTATCATCTACTTATTCGGACGATACACTTCAAGATCTTGTTGAAGACGTCTCGCCCGGATCATCTCAACCAATCATTTGTAATGATCCGTCTATGAACCTGATATAACATTCAAGATGAAGAGCACTCCCCTGATCATCAATTGGCACGACTCCACGAGTCCTGTCTACTCGGCCCATTTCGAACCTAATGGCAAGGGACGATTGGCAACCGGAGGCGGTGACAACAACGTTCGGGTAGGAGCAAAGTGCATATACATCAAGTTCCGCGAGCTGATCAGGCAATAGTTGTGGAGGATAGATAGTGATGGCGAGGAACGCAAGGTCGAGTATCTCTCCACGCTCAGTAAACACTCTCAAGCTGTCAACGTGGTGCGGTGGGCTCCTAAGGGTAAGACTGTCCTCTCCGAACGCCATATATTAGACTCGGGGAATCAATGCTAACCTTGGACCTTCTTCTAGGTGAGATTCTCGCATCTGCCGGCGACGATGGCAATGTAATCTTATGGGTCCCGGCCGAAGGCAGCCATACCATCCTCGGAAACGAAGACCTCGATGACAAGGAGACGTGGCGAACGAAGCACATGTGCCGCTCGACCGGCGCCGAAATTTATGACTTGGCCTGGTCCCCGGATGCTCAACACTTCATCATTGGCAGCATGGACAACGTGGCCCGCATCTACAGCGCAGCTACCGGATCTCTAGTACGCCAAATCGCAGAGCATAGCCATTACGTCCAAGGCGTTGCATGGGATCCTCTAAACGAATACATTGCGACACAGTCTTCCGATCGCTCCGTTCACATCTACTCGCTGAAGAACAAAGATGGCCAGTACACGCTCCTAGCCAGTCACGCCAAGATGGATCTACCCGCCAGGCGCATCTCATCCAGCAGTCCCGCTCCTCCTGATTTCGGCCACCGGTCTCTGCTTGCATCCGCTGAGACGTCAGGCGCTGCAGTCGGTTCACCAGTGCCATCAGCTCCAGGCACGCCGACCTCGATGCCCTTGCCAATGAACCCTCCGAGCGTTGTTAGCCACAGCAGACGCTCGTCGTTTTCTTCACGAAGATCCGTCTCACCTGCCCCTTCTTTGCCACTTCCGGCCGTCATGCCTATGGAGCCGTCGCCGAAGCCTAACATGGGCGTTAGGAATGCGAATCTTTATGCCAACGAGACGTTGACCTCCTTTTTTCGGCGCCTCACTTTCACCCCAGATGGTAGTCTCCTTATGACGCCAGCAGGGCAATATCAAGTCCAGCACCCTGGCGAAGGCACAAGGAATACGTACGAGGTGATTAATACTGTCTACATTTATACCAGGGGCGGCATCAACAAGCCTCCTATGGCACATTTACCGGGACACAAGAAGCCATCCATTGCTATTAAGTGTTCCCCCATCATCTACACCTTACGGCAGTCGCCACCTGTTACAAAACATATTACGATTGACACATCTTCGGCCGAAGAACCAATTCCAGCGCTTCCAGAGCCGATTTCTAAACCATCGCCTGCACCATCAGTTATGGACCCTCCTCCCCCACCATGTTCAGCTGGTCCAGCGGAGAACGACAAATCCGATGGAACACCGAAGCCTTCGAATCCGGACACGGGCGCCTCAACACCTGGCCCAAAGCCGACTTTCGCGTTGCCATATCGCATGATCTACGCCGTGGCGACACAGGACACAGTGCTGTTGTACGACACTCAGCAGATGACCCCCATCTGTGTGGTCAGCAACCTTCATCTGACAACTTTCACTGACTTGGCATGGTAAGTTAACTCAACATCACGTCTATCATAAATACAAGAGCTGACGGTCCTAGGTCGAACGACGGTCTTACCCTGCTTATCTCGTCATTTGATGGATTTTGTTCGACTATATCCTTCAGTCCGGGCGAGTTGGGCACGACATACACAGGCGAACTAGCATCTGTAAAGGCACCACCTTCCGCTGCAACTGGGACTTCTTCCAATCAAGCCACGCCTACACCGATGCCGACTTCCTTCGCCCCTACTTCACCTTTTCATGGTGCTCACCAACATCGTAACTCAGCCAGCTCATTCACTGCGCCCTCGCCTCCAGCCTTGACTGCGGCCTCGTTTGTCAGCATGAGGCCATCTTCTCCAGCCCGCTCAAACAGCACTTCATCAGTCGCCACGCAGGCTTCAGCTGCAGTCATGTCCAACCCAACGTTGATTGGAGGTAGCGTGCCCAGCATCGCCGCAACCAACTCTGGCAAGGTGACAGGAGTGCCCATGACCACGCCACCCGAGACACCCAGAAGTGGCAATGTTGTCACTGCCGGCGTCAAACGGGATGCTAGCGAGAGCGAGAAGGATGAGAGTTCAGCGACCGCCAACCAGCCCAAGAAGCGACGTATAGCACCCACTTTGGTCAGCGAACCAAAGCCTTGATTGGAGACGGCCGCCGGGCGGACTCCCCTGTAATGAGTTTTGGGCGTTCAAAAGAATTGATCGTGATCGATTATGCCAGATACACCAGGGAAAGCATATCGGAAGGCGTTTTAGGTTGTTGTATTAGCTTCATCGGTACAGTTACATATGTGGCTACCGTCTCAAATTTTTTTAAATTTTTTTTTTTTACCTGGTTTAGAGCAAGCGCCGCTCTTGCAAATTGTTATGTATTACTCAGTGTTGGAATTTCTAGACCCTTTCTGTCATGAGTGCGTTGCAGCTCGTGGCTGGGGACAAGACCAGGATTACCTGATGTCAATATTTAATTCGTTACCATGTCTTGATCGTACTTCGGTAAGATCCATGACTGCAGACAGTATCCAAAACATGTTTGTGGTGCCTCGTTTACCACGATCAGAGCAACCGAGACTGTAGAATGTGAATCACATCACTAGTGAGATTTGAAGTCGACCGATATGATTCATAGTATGACTATGGTCAAAACAAAGCATTACGTTGTTGTTTTTGTCTCTTTTCATCTTCATCTACCTAATCCTTGTTCCTCAATGAAAGTCTTGTGTGATTTCGTTTCCTTGTTGACATCTCAGGTTTTTCGTATGGAAATCCGTTCCATGTGCTCATGCTATCCCTATATGCCCATACGCCTGTATGCCTATACTATAGGTGCAAAATCGCCGATTTTTAGAAATAGGTAAAAAGAAAAGGCGGTGGCTTGGTCCACTTGAGAAGTCGGCAGTGTTTTAATGAGACAAGTGAGAGTAATGATGTAAAAGACAGTGGACTGACTGCAGCCCTTCCATCTTGGACAAAAACAAAGAGATCAGACGTCCGGTACGTTCGGTTTAATGAAATCATAATCATCCACTGTACTGAAGCGGACATTTCATGATTTGATGCTCACAAACTTGTGAGGTCGAAAGGTACTGCTCTGAAAAACACCCAAAATGCAAAATTCCGTGAAAGGATGCTCTGCGATTGTGAGCATTCCCAACACCGTTGCTTGCGTGAATAACTCCTAAACGCCTTTTCCTATCGCAGCCGACAGTGTTCAATATTGCTAAATAGTCAGTGAAACAGAGATTGAACGAGAGCGTAGTTCCAAAATACAGATTTACACAAATAATAGTTGGGTACCTGTCCAGAACCCTTAGATTGCAATACGTCAATACCTCCTCCGCCTTAACCGCAAAGGCATTGGAGTCATGATGCATCACCAAGAAGGGCTTTCAATGGTGGTCTTTGCTCGCGGTGACGTAGTACGCAATGATTGCTGCAACCAGGGAAGCGTAAACAACGATCTCTGCGACAAAGAATATCTTGATGACCTTCCGCTGCTTCTTGGTGAGTTTATAGACCTCTCCCTGGGTCAACCAAGACAGAGAATTGTCGAAGTTTCCATTGAGTACCAATATGGCGAAGAAAGGCAAGATACTAAGACAAAGCATCGCGTAGAAGAATAGCTGTCGTCGCGACTTCGCTTTGTACGAGACGTAGTGGTCTTCCGCTGCACGCACGGCCTCGATATCTCTGTTCATGATGCTATGTAGTGTTCTGTCCGATGGCCCAGGCCGAGTTCGTTTGTCGTTGGGTAATGTAAAGTTGAGATGGTCACCACGGCGGTTATATCGGTTCTGCTGAAAGGGAATTCTCTTTGATGCTGTGGGTGTGTCCGCAGCTGTGCCATGAGGCATTGTCAGAGACCTCGAAGCGGAGGCATCCAGTGGTGTCCACTCACTCAAGTCCGGAGTATCTGTCAAAGTTAGCAGGTTTTGAGTCAATATCAACTGTTATGACTTACCTTCGACATGAGCAGTTTGCCAAGGTGGTGTGAAAGTTGAGGATAGATGTGAACCATGCCGGACACGGTGACCTCTCCGCATGTAAGCAGCCGAAGGGAGAGGGAGAGGAGTAAATCCTGGACGCGCGGATAATGCTTCGCTGAGAGAGCGCTTGCCTTTTACTGTCGATTCAGTCTTGTTGGTGTCCTCGCTTGCGCGTCGAATTCTTTGCATTTCCTGCGCTTCTGAGAGGTCAAGCAATCTGAAAGAGAATTTCGATGATGTAGAGGTAGGAGCGTCAGAGAAAGTATTCGCTACCCTGGGAGATGGCTGGTATCCCTCACTGTGCTGCGATGTTGGTGTACTTTGGTAGGGAGATTTAGGAATATTAAGCATAGCTGGGTGACGAAAATGTCCACGTTTGTGCTTGTGAGTTTCTGTGACAACCTCTCTTGGCACAGAAAGAGGATATGTATTGTCATCCAGTAGTTCTGCAGTATTGTTTGAGGCCATTGATGTAGACAGAAGTGCACTCTGAGTCCCACAAACTGCTCGACTGCTATCGACGGGAGGAGCACACGTGGATGTTGAATCACGGAACTCGTATTTGGCTCGTGCAGTGTGGTCCGGTTTGTAGGTGAAATAACTGCTTGGCTCCGCTCGTTTGTAGTCACGGCGGAAAGGATTGAATAAGCCGGGTTGTGAGCTCACTTGTTTGGGGAGAGTCGAGTCGAAACGTGAGCTATTTTGTCCGAATCCATTGAAGCGCGAGACGTATGTTCTTGGAGAGGCCGGTCGCTTCGTATTTTTTAGATCTTGCATCTCATAGGACTCAGCAGGATCGTATGGGTGCTCTATAATGCGCTCTCTCGAACTAAATCTTGGCAAAGCATCTGTGTAAGCGTCGTCTGAATAGTCTGCAATACTGCTTCCAGTTGCTTTGATACCCTGACCGAGACTACCATTGCCCGGGGTAACGTCACAATCGGATTCACTTGTCGCTTCAGTGACCCAGTCCCCATCGGCTACCTGGCTGTAGGGAGACCGGTCTGGGTCGCGGTGGCTTCTTTCTATGGACAGCCCGAATTTGCTGCGTTCAGATTTACCGACTTTCTGGTTGAGAGTGAGTTCTGAGCTCTTATTGATAACCACTCTGATGTCAGTATTGGGGTTGTATGGGCTGTCACCATGCAGAGCCCGAAAAGCAACCGGATCAAAGAAGCTTCCTTCTTGACACCGGTCTTCTGCAAGATGGTGTAGTCGCTCGTCAGATGTCTTCTGCGGTAAACATTCCGCATTCGAGATCTTTTGAGGACATGTGTCACTGGTCCTCAATATTCCACTAAGCGTTCCTGAGAGACTAATACGTCTCAACGCACAGCTGACCTCTCTCTCCTTTCCAAGCTGCCGCATACGTTGGTAATGGTCATTATCATACTTGAAGGGGTCATCGTGAGATGAAATCGAAGCATCTGCAGCTCCAGATGTCAAAGACGTGTCGAAATCGCTCCAAAAAGGGTTTAAAGAGGACTCTCCAGCGACCTTTCTGTTTCGATTCGATGGGATTCGTAATGGTTGGGGTACTAGGCTCTGAGTGACTTCTCGCCGACCTCCCATAACGCGAACAGAATCATTATCCGTCAACCATTCTGCATCAAAGCCATCTAGAGCCCCAAAACTGGACGCCCGAGGGGATGGACTTGGATGGACCAAAGTGGATGCACATCGTTCCGGATCTGACTGACTCAAGCAATCGTTTTCGAATTCGTTCTCCGACCGGGACCCGATAAATTCGGAAGTTTTTTGTGCTTCGTTTGGAATTCCCAAGATTCGAAGCTGAGGGGGAGAGCTTGTCTCACGGCAGACGTTTCTGCTTACCCTCCTCCCAATGCGGTCTTCCTCGCCACGAAATCCTTGTCGAGTAGCAGCTCCTTGTGTGCGATTAAGCGGCTCAAATGTGTATGCAAGCTCCGAGCCGCCATGGGCGGACGATGACTGGTCATCGGTGCTTGCAGTATACTGGTCAACAATATGGCCAACGGTGCTGTCAGTAATGTTGTGGTGTTGGACATCTTTGCCACCGTTGTCACTTACGGTTGTGATGGTGGTTGCGACAACATCCTTATCTGTACGCTTTCTGAAGAGCTGTGCAATACTCTGCCGGTCGGTCAAAGATCTGCCTGCCATGGAGCGGAATGGAATGGGTGACACAAGATCAGAAACATGTTGACATGGCGCCCCAGAAGCCTCTGGTGTTTCCTGACTGAGAAGTCCGTCGACTGACGTGGGGCTGCAAAGCTCCTGCAAGCCTATGTCCGAGCTAAACTCCCCTTCGGCGGACGATTTGCTGAAAAGATTATTCGGTCCTAGACGGGAGGTGATTTTGCGATGAGCTTCGTCGAGATTGGGAAAGAGAAGTCCACGAGGAGTCATGCTGCGCTTCGGGCCGGTAGGTATGTGATCTGACGAAGGAGTGGCTGGCAGGTCTTTGGTGATGGGGAAAAGGTCACCCTCCTCCTGGCTCTGTTTGGCAGTCATGATGCGCAGAATTTATTGAGTCAGCTGCAGCTTCTGCGACAAGAGGATTGGTGCAAAAGGTTCAAATATCACAGGAACGCATGAATCGGTGTTCCTGGTGGAAGCCACAAGTCAAATGCGATGCACATCTGATCTGCTTGGATATAAGCTCAAACTGGCCCACAGAAATGAAATATGATCTTGACGTACTCTTTGATGCGAATCAAACCTATTGACAGTGGAAGCTTCAGGCGAATGATCAAAAAAACAAAAACAAAAAAAAAAGAAGAAACGAAAAATGGTGCGGGGTGTGATCAACTAATAAGGTTGATGTTCAGGATTTGATGATATCAAGCTGTGGCTTAGCTGTGATGGTAGCTGGTTGATTTTCGGGAAAGTGCGACCACAAGACGATGTCTTCAGATGGCTTCATTCAAATCAGACTGGAATTTAGGTGATGCAGCATCTCAGTCTAGCCCCAACTGTTCAATTGATAGGTTGGCTCCGAAAAAAGATAATGAAATTGATCACGAGGAAATCCGGTGACGTCGAAAATTTGGTGAGTAACTGTGATCTAAACAATGCAGAACCGAGAGTACTAAACAAATGCTCTGCTAACCGAAAACAATTTTTCATAAGAATTTGAAGTTCGAAATAATGAGTCGCCGTCACATTCTGTTCACGTGTGCTGTACTCATCAATTTAATTAGACGGTGAAGTAATTCAACATCCACAACTTATTGGCGATTTGCCGTCAATCCAAACATCCATGCAAACATTATTTTCACTTTTATTTTACATTAAAAATCACCATTTCAGTGTTCTTTTATCTCACCAAACTATTGCGTCAATCAAATCAGGCATTTTAGGCAGTTGAAACTTTGTGCCTTGGACTTGCCCATGATGTACTTCTCAACAATAACACTTTTATCGGCCAATGTTTTATTGACCAATTATACAGCTCACATGCATGTTGACATGTTTACGCCTGGGGGCCTTTTACTTGAAATTGTAACACAAATTACTAAATGTCATGAGGATATTTCCATATGAATTCCTGCAGTTTCAATAGTCTGAGAATAATCTTTGGTATATTATGGCCTTGTGTAAAGTGTGGGGAATGGGGACTATAATTCAGAGCTAAGCTCCACTACTATAACGAAACATTATAATAGCCCTTGTGATTCTTCCCCTCTATTTGCTGACACTTGAGAATCCATTGAAGATGAGTAAACTTCCTCCACTTATCCATCTAGTCTAAAAGTCCAGGCCGCAAATTATGTACACACATCCTGTATACACTTCGCTCACACATCACCTCCGAATAAACAATCGGGCAGATCTTTACAGATCCTAAGAAAAAGATTCGCACTAGTCTGTCCTCATAGGCTATTCGTCTATTCAGTACAAACGCTTTCTTTTCAGTAGTCTGGATTAAGTACATTCAAGTAGCTGTTGCTGTGCGATGGTCAATAACTTTAATTATGTGTGTGCATGTGGTATTTGAGAATTACGGTATCATTAAGCACCCATGGCTTACCCTCCAGTTGAGACATCAGCGGAGATACAAAGAAACGCTGCGGACAGGCTCAGACAATATGGCGGCGGCGATAGGTGCCCGTGCAGATTTCAAGGTCTAAAGACCAAGTGTGGCGGAGAGCAATGATTTGACCAGTGCTCAAAGAAGTTCCAGCATGTACATCAACCTTGGGCGCCGAAGATTGCCTGTTGTATCAGGGTACGATCGGCATATGTTAGCACAAGAATTAACAAGTTTACTGGGAATTTCCATAATTTGTTTGAATGCTCAGGGTACCCCACAGGATGCGACAGAGTAAAAATAACATATCACATAGCGCTGATACAACACCTGTTGATGTTGACACGAGACACATAAGCACTGACTGGTCGAAAGATTTTAGTGTCTTGTGGTCGGGTTATGCTGAGGAATCAGGACTGCAACATGGATAACCACAGTCCAAGATGAAAGGAGACTTCGGCATAGGGAACAAGCTGATGATAATGACGTGAAGGATTTGGGCAATTGGCCACAACAATGATCTTCCAGGTTGTCTCAGAGACAGAACAGTTTGGACATGTTGGCAAAGCTGCCCAACATGAGGATTTGCAGACACAAGCACTGATTATTGCAACGAAGCCAATTTGGCAGTCAAGGCCAAACATGAATGGTGAAAATGCCGGGAATCTGAAAATTCCTTGGTTGGAGTAGGTCACATCGATGACACATTCTTTGGACATCCTCATTGCCCTGCGAACTCATGTTAATGACCAAAAATGCTGGAAACAGGTTGATATTTGACATGGCGTAATGTGGCTTGAGACAAGAACCGCCGAGGACAGGGTAACCATTTTCTGCCAGCTGTATACCGAAATGAGAACATATAGAATTTCAAAGGAAAGAAAACAGACATGAAATCAGCCGTTGCTTTTGTGGCCGAGCCGAGGAGGGGTTGTTGAACTGCTACCATGATTCTATGAACATGAAGCTCGAGCGGCTGATAGTGCAAACGGCAATTAGCTCTGTGCACAAGGCCTTTGGACAGCGACGAAGCGAAGATCTTGGCGAAAACCCCCGCGAACCACTAACAACGACCCAGATGAATTGTGATAGTGGTGAACACGATTTGGGGGCGATGAAAAGTTGCTAATGCCTTGTATTGTCAGGGGGGATCTGTGAATTTGCGGCAATTGATTGATCCTACCTCTGCGAGGTTGCAAACCTTGTGATCAGTGAGGCCATGGCGTCTGGATATTTCTGGCCTCACTGAACGCAAAGCCATTGCCAAATTGCCTGGGGGGAAGTTTTGTCCCGGTGTCTGAACTACTTACTCCGTACAGGCAGTCAAAAATTGCATGCGTGGACATGTATTGGGTGAGGCGATCTCGGTCAATCTCATTGCGATTACTCAAATTTGCCCATTGATAGCAGGCTCGGGGATCCTCTTTAGTGGTCCCGTAACAGGAAAACCCCCTGAAACTGTGAATTTAGGCATGACTCGGAGTGTTAAAGTGTGACCGTAATTCAGTAGGGAAAAAACTTTCAGCACCATAATTAAAGTCATCCTTGTAAAACAGGCATATCTCGAGACTCGCCCTTGCACGCCCTTGTTCTGGGTTCCGTAGCTCCCCGTAGCACTCAGCCATTACCACCATGAGGTCTGAACTGGCACTAAACGACCGCTGCAAGGGGCCAGATGGAGACTAGCTTTGCACGTGAGTCCGCGTCCAAGCTTGATATGGATACCAGTTAAAGTGGGGACTCACGGCGCGTCGGTCAACTACTATCACCATTCAACGTGTTTGCCTATGCAACCTGAGAAATACGGCAAGGAGCCTGAAGGAGGCGCACTGGGTTGCCGACATGGGTCCAGGGCTACATAAGGATGGCTCAACCCATCAGAATCTCCGTCTGCAATTATCCAGCACCAAAGCCATACCAGGTAGGCAGAAAGAATCATCTCGTTTCTCGTTTTCTTTCGCATCGTTTTCGCATCGCCATCATTTCCGCAGCCCTCCATCTCAAGACACACCAACACCGCCGACCCTTCCCACCCTGCCGAACAACTGAATCCTCGGGTCTGGTCTCAAAACGGCAATCGCCATCCATTATCAATCATTTACAGCCATCACCATGTTCAGCCGCCGGGTCGAACCTCCTCCTGTATCATCCACCAAGAGTTTCTCGAAAGGTCACAAGAAGTCGAGTTCGTCAATCAGCAAGGGCAGTTCGGGGGTCTCGAAACACCGTCACGAGTCGGGTCGTCGCCGTCAATCCGTTGCTACATCTACCAACCCGACTTTGTCGCCTAATGGGTAAGACTTGTGCTAATGTCTGTCTTGGGCTCACTGTTCATCGTATTGACTTTCGCTGTCCACAGTAGTTTGACTCCATCCATTATCACCCTCATTGTAGGCAAGGAGCAACGAATCTTTGCTGCCCACGAAGATGTCCTCGGGGCATCGCCATGGTTTCAAAAGCAGCTATCATCACTGTTTATGGATACCGACACCGCAAGCCATAAGCGGATCCACATTCCCGATGAGGAGCCCGAGATCTTCAGCTCCATCCTAGAATACATGTACAAGGGCGACTACTACCCTCGACTCATTCACAACAAGAAGAGGAACTCGTGGGAGCTCGAGAAGCCGGACGAAGGCCGCAATGCCCTTGAGGCAACCATTTATCATAGCGACACCGATGGCGATATTCTCAAGGATACCGTCATCTACTGTGCAGCCGAAAAGCTTGGGATGGAGGAGTTGAAGAAGGTCGCTCTTCGGAAACAAGGTCTTCGTAGGTCTATATACTCTTTGCTGTCCTTGTCGTATGTCGCTAATACTGGGCAGAATCCGGCATCCAATGCAGCACAATTCTGGCGTCCGCTCGCTATGCCTATGCCAACACTCCTGACACCGACTCAAAACTCAGGGCACACTACCTTGCTCTGATTATCCGCAGCCGGAACACCTTCAAGCGAAGCGGCACCATGCAGCTCGAGATGTTCAATGGTAACACACAACTGTTCTTTGATCTCTTCGTCGCTCTTTGTAACCATGTCGACGATATTTCCAGCGCCCAGTAAGTCTCTTGTGTTTCCAGATACCAACATCCTCTTATAACTAATCCTTCTGGTAGAAGTACGCCTCGAAGCAATCGCCACTTCTTCTAATTTCTTCATCTGGTAATGAAGAATCACAGCACATCAGCTATCGACTATCTCCCTCACTCTCGCGCTCTCTCTCAATCTCTCTCATATTAATAATACAGCCACACTATGTTTGTGGCCGGCACTAATGATTTACGTCTCTGCTTCATTCGCCTTTCCTGGAAGAATCGGTTTTGCAGTTGAGCGAAAATAATGACCAAATACCACATTACGGAGAAGCGGGCGTTCACGGTCTTTGAGTTTTGTTTGGCTTTGTTTCTGGGTGGCTATTTGTATCACTATCGTTCTGCGCGATGCCCTTTGATTTGGAAAATTTTGGCGAGCATTCATGGCTCGCATGTCCGCCATGGCCGGGTAGCGAAATACGTTACTATCGAGCTGAAAGAGTTGGCGGATATGAGCGAGAAGTCCAGCTAGACTGCAAGACTGCAAGACTCGGAGGACATGATCTTAGATTGATGTATCACTACACTTCTTACTATCGTTGATGGTATTTTCTGCCCTGATCAATACTGAATCCATCAGATCCGGGCCTCTCACATTCAATTGTACATAATACATCTATAATAATCTCTTCTCCACAAGCCTTGTGAACCTTCTTGCCGTGCAGGATTCCGAGCAGAGGCCAATCTGTTGAGAGCACAGGTCACAGATTCCAAAATAGCACAATAGGCAAACCTGTGATCCAAGAAAAGGAACTAGACATGGCCTCCCCCTTATTCCAATACTCATGTCGTCGTCACAATGAAACCTAGCGTCCGCGACGCAAGTAGTCGCCTAACTGAAAATGCATCCATGAGCTCGCTTTCTAGATTGGGTCGCCGCCGAGATCCCAAGGCACGTCCTACGATTCGTCAAACGAACATGAACCGGTCCTACCAAGGGCCGTTTGTCGACTCGCAAAAAGTCCCCCGGACACTGACAGTCATCCCGCATCCCTGCTTGAAAGGTAAAGTGCTTGCAGGATTAGGCCCGATCCACATCCTCCCATCATCCATGACACACCGGGTCCGTGTGTAGTTTTGGCGTGAGTCACACTAAGCCAGGGTATTGACCAAAGGAACTTGTGCATGTCTCGTTAAATTTTCTGGTTTACTTTCTTTTTTCGGGGGGATGGAAACGGTGACTCGACGCCCATCACACACACAGGAGACGTGGATCCCATGGAAGGCGGTTTGGCTTAGCAGTTGACGGGTGGCTTTCCCCGGAGCTAAGGCCCTCTCGTCGCGTGGCTTCGGGCATGTCCGGCTACACTGCTCATTTGAAGTGAGGTGTCCAAGCTCTGTGCACAGTATTAAAAAATCGGTAATGAAACACGTCAGGTAAATATCGAGATAGATAAATTTTGCACGTTTGGACGAGGTGCAACCATGCAGATGGATTGCGAAGGCTCTCGTGTTGGCAGTACTGATCACGAGCCGGCGCTAATGCTGTAACTACCTGCAGGTATGTAGGTTAGGTATATTCCAGCTGAGGACACTTGAGATTTCTGCGCATTGCGACAAGGTCCACGCTGCCTCGGCTGTTCCGCATGTCACGGTTATGGGTACGTTTCGCCTTCCCCAGGGTCCAACATTTTGCTCGGGTCGGGTAGGGGCTGCTTGGAACACAGTGTAGATCTCCTGGGAACGCTTGCTCTGAATAAGGCTGTCGTGAACGGGTTGAGAAGAGGACGGAAGTGGAGTTGAAATAGGGTGAAGAGCTAACCTAGAAAACTCGCTAGAAAGAGGTGGGACTTGCCGGGGCTGCGGCACCCGAGATTGGGAATTTGGGACGTCGTGCACCCTGACCTTTTTCTGATCTCAAGTAAACAAAGCGTCCACTCTTGATATCTGAACCATGCATTATTGACCTGCAGAGATTTTCATGCCAAGACAACATGGATAGTACAGTTCGAATTCCGAAATACAGTTGACTGGTCCGTCTATGATCTACGCCTAGAGTAGTTCACAAGACGTTCTCTGTCGAACTGTTTGGCTTGCCAGCGTCGCTGTATCAAATATCAGTCTATCTCGTTAGCGAGTCTTTATGGTATGTAATCGAGATATACATATGGAAGAGGTCCATCAAAAACCCGATAATCAGGTATTTTAGAACGAGACTAAGGTTTATGGTCGACGTACTTGCGTCATAATCCGAACCTCTTTTTTCACATTCTGATAGGGGAAAGCCCAGTTTGCGCATATGAGCAGGGCTTCTGTTGCAAATGGTCGCAATCATATATACAAAACAAACAAAACAAAGTACATGATGTTTTTGCAATGTCCTGATTAGTTCAAAGATGTCATTCTAGCAGAAATAGAAGTCTCGCACGGCTGCTCGATATCTGGATCCAAATTGTACTTCACATAGGCAATGGTTCGACATGTGAATGCTGCGCCTAATTCGTGGCCAATAAGGTTGTATTGTTCTGAATCCCGCCACCGTCCAGATATCAATATGGGCAAACCATATGATTGATGTCAAAGGCACGCCGTCAAACAGATAATATTGCAGACACGTAGGAGGCCACCTTGTTCTTCGATAAGGACAAGACGCCTCTCAAGCGAAGTTGCGTAATATGCGTGTATTCCAGAGCATTCGTGCATCTACTGTGATGCTCTTATTAATTTGGTTATATCTAGCAGTCGATCAATGTAAGGACGGCATGAAGCTTCATGTCAACCTCCAACAATCTTGGTAGTCAGACAATCATCGTGAGGTCCTGGCTTAAGCCAACATAATGGAAAGTACTAACAAAGGCAACATTTCCATATGTTTTGGGGGATTTATGGCATATTCTGGGCATTATCTTGATGGTAATCCGTCGGTCATGACGAGTCTTGCATCAACAACTTACAAATCATCTTGCTGGTAGGTATAAGACCAGAAAAACTTACCAAACAATGCAGAGATTCGGCTGTTTGGTCAATACGAATCCTGGGTCACCATATTCAATGCGGCTCTTGCGTCGTTAATTTGGGATATGCGCCAAATAACATGCTTGTCGAAAAATATCCATGCCGAGTGTGCGCCTAAAATTTGGGAGATAAAAAAAAAGCTTCTCACATAGATAATTAGAAGAATGAATAATGAGATATACATCCATTGTCTTACCGCTGGAGGAGACTTTCGCCTAGGAGCACGCTGACTCACCCCCCGGGGGTGGGATGGGATGAGTACGAATTGTTTCAAGGGAATACCAGTTGCGCACAATGACACGAGTATCCAGGATGCTTCGAGCGTTACTCAAGGTATTGGACTCATATATCCGTGGGTGGATGTTCCATGTATTATGTAGGATGACGCTGAGACTAAAGCAAGTGAGTAAAATAGGACACAAGCTGCAAATTTACCGACACGCTACGCAATCAACAATGCGCGAAGAGCATTGTGCATGGAGAACGTCCTCTTGTCCGAGCGTGCAGACGCTGGGCTTCAGAACTCCAGCACCGAATTCCAAGTCAAAATTACGAGCGAAGAGGTTCAACCGGTTAGTGCTGCAATGCTACCGTTATCAAATTTAGACAAATTAGAGCTATGGATAGACGGGGTGGGGACACCGCAGCAGAGTCTCCTGTCCACTAGACGTCTAGAAGTCAGATAAAAATAAACTATACGGACTTGCTAGTACGGTAAGGTATACATAATAATAGCGAGGTTGGATACCCTATCTATGTAGGGGGAGGAACTTCTAGATAAGGTAATAAATATTATAAGGTATCGGGGGCTCGTTAATTCTACAGCTGTAGTGAGAACTACTAAGCCTGGAACGAAATAGTCCCGGTATATACAAATCGTAAGCTAATGTATTGTTTTGACTAACCAACTGCTATCTCTAGTATTGCACTGGAGTGACCTAGGGCACTCGGGGATGAGTAAGTCTTTGGTTTTTGGAAACCTCGGTTATATCCCGACCTTAAGTGGCCCGTATTGAAGAGAGTGTAGCTAGGCACCCACACGAGGCTTGGGTCGCGTATAATGTTGGCATCAGTCCACTGGAAGCTCGATGAAATGAAAAATTCTATTAGATTGTCGGAATGTCGATTTAACCGGAGCTACCAGTCGATATTTGGTACTATCTAGTCTGAGTCTTAAGGTCTTGTCAATATGATGACACCAAGGAAACTTGTCGATCTTCACAAGCACCCTAATGGCCGAGTATAGCAAAGCCATGATGAATGTAACTTAAGATAACTAAAACAAAAAATAGTACCAGTATTATTGGAACAATCAAGAATGTAGATTTGATATCAGCCGATCCTCATTTGCTCTCCGGCAGGGGAAAAGAAAAAGACCGTCTTCGACTTAGCAAACATGAGCTTACGTACCGTACCGTAGGCTTCGCCAAATGCAAAAAAAGACTATTAGTACATCCTAAAGAGCTGATCTTGAAAGTCACAGTGCTGTTACTATTGTGTAATTAGAGGTAATTATCACACGGATCACTTTTGGGTCACCGTTTCACGCCATTGGATTCGCAGCATGCATTGCCGTCTGCCTATTGAACAGATCAGAAGAAGGGTTTAATTGATAAGGTCGACGTACACGTTCCTGCAAGATGGCGAGTATAGATTAACATCAAGTTACTACTCTGGTGCTTCAATATGGACCAGTGTTCTCCTCATACCGTCACAAAAGATTTAGCTAGGTCATTTCTCTTGATCTTGACCCAATTGGTAATTGTTTGGACCTAAAATAAGATCCGAGACCTGCCCATATCTGTGTCGTCCATCGCTGGCTTAGCCGTCGGTGAATCGACTTAGTTGACGATAGCTTCCATGTAATCTAAGGGCCCAACCTCTCTCTATGCCCATCTCCCCAACTGATGGTCCTCCGCCTAACCCTCGCCGATATGCTCCCGTTCCCAGAACTGGTTACTCAAATCTCAGCCTTCGCACGGCACGACCACGCAACAAGAAAAATCCATCCTCTTCCCAAAGCTACACGCTGCTGGACATACTACTGGGCCAACACCGAACGCCGTTCACTAGATTACTTCCGTTGAGGAGACTGACCAAACCGTCGGGTCTCTCCTTCGCCCGCCGTCAGCGCCGCGCTCGAAGACACGTGTGGCGCAGAACTCATGGGGCTTTCTGTAATCGCTCATCAAAGAAGGACTCTAGCACCCATGAGCCCTGGCAGTCTCACCAACTCGGCAGCACACCACATCTATCGAACTGTGCATGACGAGGTCGATGCAGTCATTCGACTGGAATGCGGGCGTCGACCCCTCCCTCGGTGCTCGGCTGAGTGGAGGGAGAATGTGCCGAGTCGACCACGGGGTGTGGCGTTTCTTCCCTCATGCTTTTTCTGGTCCTCTTTCCCGCATTACGTTGTGTAGCGACCATGGTTCGATGCGCTATGTTGTTTGACCTACAAGGTTCCGATATTATGCATCTATAGCTCTTTGTAATATCAAAAAATTACAGCATACCATCAATGGCAGACAACGCAAGTAAACAGGACCCGTTTTCCCCATATCAGAGAATGGAAAGCCCGGTGCCTGTCACGGCGGAAGCAATCGTCTGGTAGGCTTCAGCTTGACGACTCTCCATCGACGGGGCCGCAGAAGTAGTGTTTGTCTTGGTGGAGGCGGATTGTTACCTTGTCTTCTACTGTTTTGCAAGCAACGTACAATTCCCAGATGCCCCCTACTTTCCAGATATTCAGATGTATGCTTCCTCTCTGATCCTGAAAATTCTTCCCAACGGACGTCTAGGGTCAGAACACGGATTGTGTAAGTTCGCTTCGCAGTCTTGTAACCCGTTTTTCCACGTGAGCAACAATACCATCCTGCATATATCCTTGCAAAGCTAGAGTATGACATTCTGGGGTTATATCTAAGCACGTGTGGATGTCCATGTTGTCTTGGTAGTATTCAGTTAGACGACGACAGCCAATATTTCACATACACGAAGCAGTTTCCAACTCGACAAATATATTTAGGCGTGTTAGCAGTTCTTCGGATGTATCTGTCACTATTAAATTTCAATTTGGGTATCATTTTGCGATCTTCTATGCACTTTCGTCCATCTGCTCCGATTGCCTCAAAGGCGTTGTACCCATGCTTTCAAGGCCCCTGCCAGGGGTGTCCGAGGGCTTGGACTGATTCAGCAATGACTTGGCTGCTGCCACGGTGCCATTTGTGTCGCTGTTCTCAGGAGCAGGTCCAGTCCCTCCCATCAAGGACCGATATCTCTCACCTGCCTCGTTCAGCAGTTGCTGAAGCTCCGGCTCCCTTCGGTTGATATCATCCCGCTCGCGTTTGATCCTCTCGATCTCGGCTTTCGCCGCCTGGACTTCGCTCAATTTTTGTGCGAGCTTGGCCTTGTAATTTGTGACCGCGACGCTCAGGTCCGGTAGGGGTGTGATTTTGGGAGGAACCTGGCCGCCGTCCCGAGCAAGGCGCCGCTTCTGCTGTTCCCGCTCCTCGGCAAGCCCGTCCATGCCTGCTCGGGTCTGCGCGGCTTCGTATGCAGCCCTCCTCTCGGCCTCGCTGTCATCTGAGGTCTCATCATCATCTACACCTTCGGCCTTTGCGATCATAGACGCGATATCTGCTCGCTTCTTCTTCTGCGCCTGCCTCTCTGCTCTGGCGCCCAATGAGAGCCCGCCATCCTCAACGAAGAACGAGTCGTCTTCATCTAGATTGTCATCATTCACCAACCGCTTTTCTTTTTTCTGCGAAATGACGCCTTCTTGACGTTTCGCGAGTAGCGAGAGGTACGACTCTCCAGTTCCACGATCGTCGTCGGAGAAGGAGATGAAGTCGTCTGCGCCGGGCTCCTGCGCCCTCCTAGCGCGTCGGTCCTTCTTTTCCTGGATCTCGGCGTCGGTCAAGATAGCTGTAGGTTTTAATGTCGAGGATGTCTCGACGAGAGTCGCGCCTTCCAGCTCAGACGGGTCCAGAGACATTTCCACGTGGTCGTCTGTTATATGCAGGGACTCAATGTTGGCGGGTGTATTTGGGGTTGCACTCTGGAGCTCGGAGAGATATTCTTTGCTATAACGCGGCCGGTCTTGATCCTCTTCCTGTCCCGACGGTAAGGGTAGGCGGTTGTTCTTGGTCAAGCCCCTTTTGCGCGCACCCTTTTCTGTCGCGAATGCTGCCAAGCTGCCGTTGGTCGCCTCAATGGGAGGCTCCTCGCCGCCCAGAACCATGGCATCGTCATCGTCGCCGGCTCCAAGCGATTGGGTGGGCGCGCCGAAAGAGAGCTTGGAGCTAGGTGCTGCGCGTTTCTTTGGCTTTGAGGAGGCGCCTCGGCCTCCCAGAGATGGGCGCACGACGATGGGAGCGCCTCCGTCTTGGTCGTCGTCTTCTGCGGAGCGCTTCGGGGTCTCGTCTGATATGCTGATCGCCTTGCGCAAGGAGGATTGCTTCAATGGGCGCGACTTGAATGTGGGTTGAAGCGCGGGTCCTTGGTCGAAGTCGGATGTGGGCTGCGGTGTATCCTCATCGTCGTCCTCGTTGTGTATGATAATCTTGCGCGCTTTGCGCTTGGCCCCAAGTGCACTCATGCTGGATTTTGCCTCGGTTTGTAGCACAAATAAAACATCGCGGTTCTTGGCGCCTCCGGAAGCTCGAGGTGGACTTGACGTATTTACATACAGTACTTTGGGGGCTGTTATCTGTCTTATCGATAAGACCAGGCATCCGTTATCCAGTCAGCCAGTGTCCCGGCGGGGAGGGGCCTCAGCTTGGCCGAGACTAGACTAACCTTAGGCAGACCTTACAGTGGCTCTAGCTCCCGAAAAGAGCGTCTCTGCGTCCCTGTCGCGCGACCTCCAACACAGCGACCTGGGAAAGTGACCGCGATCAACCCGTCCTACAGATCCAAACCTCCACACCCCAAACCCAACACACAACAAGATGGCGCCAGCACAGCCAGAACTCAAGAAGGTACGTTGAGACTCCCTCCCGGTGTCCCGCAATCCCATGTATGGGAGGCTTCATCAACTCCCCAGACCCCCAAATGCTCACCACATAAATTTGGCACAGTACCTCGACAAGAAGCTGTTCGTCCAGCTCAATGGCAGCCGCAAGGTCATTGGCGTCCTGCGGGGCTACGACGTCTTCCTGAACATCGTTCTCGACGACGCAGTAGAGGAAAAGGACGGCGGCGAGAAGGTTCGCTTGGGCATGGTTGTATGTGATAACGGCCCTACCCCCTACCCCTGCCCGCCAGACGAGACACGCTGGGGCTAACCCTTTCCCTACAGGTCATCAGAGGAAACTCGGTCGTCATGCTGGAGGCTCTCGAGAGGATAGGCGGCGACCGTGACCGTGGCCCCCCACGCGACTAGGGAGGACAGGCGCAGAGACGAATGGAACGGACTGCCAAGGAAAAGCCCACGATACCCGCGAAGTGCTCAAGGGGCATCGATCGATCGACCACGGAAAGACTCGGGGAAGCTTTCATGGGGAGCCGAATGTCCTGCTTGGAAATAGTCGACGGGCCACCCAGCCAGGTAGGCTGGCCGAAGCCTTGCTTCTCCCACGACTGGATGCCAACTCCTGCCTCGAGTGTTCGGCGTCTGAAGCATTGTATATCGCAAGACGAGAACGGGCATGTGCTCCCGCGTACCCGCGAGATGCCCAACAAAATCGAAAGTTAGAACCCAGCAATTTACCCCCATGTTTAGTAAATTTGTGGAATGTGTCGTCCCTGAAATATCTCGTCGCCTCCGAGTTGTGCATCGCAAATCAGGGCCATCTTCCAAATCGGGCTCATGGGACCTGATTTGTGGAAATCCATGAAATAATTAGCATGGCCATGCCGTGGTGGCAACCTGCAAGGCCACGCCGTCATGTCTGCAATGTGCTACGCAGCGGGTTCCCGGAGATCGAGCCAAAGCTGATCCAGTGTTTGGCTCCAACAGAACAGACATCGAGACGCACCAACGATGTAAATCAAGAGCGGTTCTGTCATTTCGCAAGTGCCCAAGCTTGCGCGCGTAATCTTGGAGGCATGCCCAGTAGCCACTCCGTTCGCTGTAGGCAGAATCTTTTTGTGCTTGCAGCATCAACTTGAAATGTATGGTTTGCATCTCCTCTGTCAGAATCATGTACGTTTTGAGCGTAGATCTGCTGCAACGCTTCCTGCATCAGGCATTATTTAAAGGGGGAAGAAGAGGGTGGGGGGCACAGCAAGCAGTCACGATGCTCTCTTCTAAAACCATCTAGTTGAACATGTTTGATTCTTCTAAACAATATGAAACCCTCGCTCGACAACCAAATCGAGATTCGCAATACTATATCCGATGACGGTATCGGTTAACTGTACACTATAATACACCAGTGCTATCGATTTTCTAAGCACCGATGTCCGCCTATACCCCATTCCGCCAGTCGTTCCGCCGGTCATGCCGCCAGCTCATCCGGGCGCGTGTTTTCGTAGGACAACCTCTTCTGACACCCTGCTCTCCTATTCACCTTGAAGCAGCCTATTTGGAACCTCTCGAGACGCCGGCTCCGATGACACCGGGCAGCTTCTCCTCCCCAACGTTGAAGAGCAAGTTGATGCTGAAGCCAACAGCACCGACCATGAAAAGAGTAAAGCCAACAAAGATCCAGAACGGAACACTGACGTCCTGCTTCTGGCAAGCGACTCCGCCCCAGTACCAAATACTCTTGCTGTTGCCCTCGTGGGTCTTCTGGCAGTGGCAAGCGAAGCAAGCCGTCTCAGCACCAGCGGCGAACTTGTTCAGGCAAGCTCCGTGGCCGCTGCATTCCGAGGTGGCGGTCTCGCAAGAATTCTTGGAGGCAAAACACGCGGGGAGAGATCCCGTCTTGGCGACGAAAGGAAGTGGCTTGAACGATTGGTCTTGGTCGTTGTTCTTGGAGGAGGCGGGCTTTGAGGAGCCGGAGGTTGTCTGGATCTTGGAGGGCTCGGTCATTACGGCCTCGGTCTCGAAGAAGTCCCGGCGAGCCACTTTGTCGGAGGTGGTGCCGACTGGAGCCAGGATGAGAGTCGTCTCCATGTTGGAGGAAGCGAGGGATCTCAGCTTGGAGAGGTTATCTGAAAGCGACTTGACAGCTTTGGGCTCCCTTGTGACGTCGTATTCGAGATACAGAGTCTTGCCGATCCAGCACTTCTTGTCGGATGTCACTGCACTCTCGATGGAGCATTGGCCCTTGGGCGCCGGGGGCAGAGACTCGAAACGAGGCGTGGTGAACGCAGGCTCCTGGGCGGACAGCACATTCTTCAGTGCCTTCATGGCGGTCTTGTCTATGTTGCTAAGAAGCAGGACGAGTTGGTTTGGCTCATGGGTGGCTACTTCGGCGAAGAGCCGTTGCGACGTCTTTCCATACCGGGCGATATGATGTATCTCGTCCTCGGGGATATTCTCGGCGAGCTGGTTGGCATAGCCAAGGCGCTGTTGCAGGATGGCCTCAGCGATGGGGGCTGATAGGGAGGGAGCAGATGCCTCGCCTGAGGGTTGTCGCGATCGGAAGATGTATGCTTCGGCTTCGGGTGCGTGATGCTGCGCAGCTGCCAGACCAGCAAAAGCTGGCACCAAGAAGCTGAGGAGCTTCATTTTGTACGGGTTTCGCTTGACGACCGCTGCGATGCGATGTGATGGAATGGCTGGGAAACGGGGAGGTTGTTGCAAGTGATCGGTTTGGAAGCTGGCAGGACCAACTACGGTCCGGAGTACGGATTACGGGGATACAGCAGTTTGTCTAACCCAAGGGTAACTATCTAACCTAACACAAAGAGCTGGAGACGTAATTGCTCCGTTTGGCTCTCGGAGGGCATTCATTGCATTTGCTCCACGTGATTTAACTTACCTACCAGCTGCCTACACACCCGCCCACTGTGAGCGCAACCTAGGGACGTGCACAGTGCCGACGTCTTGCTCAGCGCATGGTCCACACGGTAAGGCATGCCCAGATCACGCGCCGGCTTACAGTTCATTCCGGGACGTCGTCACTGTGCGGTCCACCTGTCCATCCATCGGGTACGTACCTTCCAGCAGTTTGCCTTTAGACTAGACTAGGTTAGCAGTAACTGACTATGCCTCTGACCTTAGCAGTTCGCCTCCCTGTTGTTAATTAATACATGGACTTAGCGGCGGCGTTGGGCGAGGCTACAACCAGGGTCGTCACTCTCAGAAGCCAAGAGGAAGAAGAGGAAGAAGGAAAAGAAGAAGAAGAAGAAACAAGTTCCAATCATTCACCGCTACACACGGTACTTGCGATAGCAACGGAATCATCATTCTGCGGCGCAACCCTCCCCAGGAACCCTCACGCTTATTCGTTCCGAGTTACACTTCGCGAATAAATCCAACCACGCCCTCCCATCATCATCATCATCTTCATCTTCATCGTCATCATCATCGCCTTTCTCGGCCGCCGTTGAAGGCGTGCCACAGCAGCACCGACGCCATGCTGCGCTTGTTACGAACAAAGCCGGGCCACTTCCGCCCGGGCCTACTCCAGCGCCTTCAGACAAGGCCTAGCACCAGACGGCAACCCGATCCCGATCAAATACAACTTCAAAGGGTGAAAGTGCGGAGGAAATGGTTCAGGCCATGGGCTTTCGCCGGCGCCTTCGTCGTATACTACACCTGCTACCAGCTCTACACCACATCCGTCTTCGGTGTGCTGGGCAAGTGGTTGGACCAGGAGTTTGCGAAAATGTCCCCCAAGGAGCGGAGGAAACTCGAAAAGGAATTGGCAGAAGAAGACACAGCTCTATATATCCCGCTGCCCGGCACCACCAAGCTCGTCGAATCCCCGCCATACAAGGGAACCGATCCCGAGTGGAAGCAGTTCGCCAAGTTGAGCAGGGATCCCCAGAAGATCCAGAGCATCAAGGCCTCCCTCGCCGAGTACTGCAAGAAGGCCATCGAGAAGCACCCGCAAATCAGCCACGATTTCGGCCCAGAGTGGAAAATAACAAGGGCTTGGCTCGACGTCGCTTATCCCCAAAGGCCCCCGCCCGCTTTCGAACGACAAGCGTACAGTACCCTTTATTCCCCTCTTGTCTAACTCTTCCGCTAATTTTCATATATCTGTGTTTAGGTTGTGTTGGGACGAGGACAGCCTGTCGGTTGTTTCCCAGCCAGTCGACTCCGACACAGTCTTCAAGCTGGAGCGCACTCTGATGCCTACTGCCATGACTTTGTCCATGTGGAGTTTTAGCGTCGCTCTCGCAAAACACAACTTCTACAATGTAGCCAAGCAATTCGGATACGAGCCAAGGGCCGAACAGGTCGCCACTGTCCAACAGACACTCGACAGGATACGCCAGCATATGGAGAAGCCCCCTTCATCGAGGACGCCAGGATCGGTCTCAGACCCAACATCTCTAGATGCAAAGCCTGACACAAAAGACGAAAAGGCCATGGGTCCAACAAAAAGACAGACCGCCGACGGCTCCACAGATTCTGCTCCCTCACCGCCACCGTCGTCAGGAGAGATGTCTGATTCCACCACCGGTGGCAGGTTTCCAGGACCCATCAGCCCTTTTTCAAAATCTCAAGAGTCAGCAGACGGCAAACAGCCCAGTGCTAAAGACGTGCATGGTGTTCGAGAGGTCTCGGGGCACACTGCTGGCGCATGGCAAGCCCTTCGACAGAAATGGCAGCAAGTCTGGAAGCCAAAGAAACCCTTTCCACCTCGGGGTTCGGTCAAATTTAGCGGTCTTGTTGAAGTAGCAAGTCCTAAAGCATCCCTTGTGGTGGACGTGCTGGCCTGGTACGACCCAAAGACAAATTCTGTGGACGGCAAGACGTTGAGATTGGCGTTGAGGGCCATTAAACCTCGGCAAATGAGCCCTGCGCCGTCCAGGTGAACGTCTTTCAAGTATCTGGAGCGCGTTTGACGGAAGGGGGGAAAAAACAAACACTTGAGAGCCAGTAATAAGTATTTATCTGGTGCAGAGCTGCTTCTCTTGCGGAATACAGCCATTTTATGCCGGGTCGTCTACAAATTCACCATACCAAGTCGGAAGGTCCTATTGCGACGCCTAGCGGGCACAGCAGAATGCATGCCAAGGTTGCGGATATGAGTACGATGAATGGCACTTGGGACAGTCGTGGTCGAAAAAGTCTCTCACGAATTGCAGAACTGATAGTTCAAGATACCTCGTGTGATGGCCTGAATTGCGCGTTGATGAAGCGATCATCGAATCGGCTTTTGATTTGTTACGGGCATGGGAGCGAGCGATTTTCTGGTATAGGGCAGCATAGCGAGGTTTGATATGAAATTCCTTGCATAGACTGGTTTGAAGGCAGATCATCCCAATGTCTAAGAACAGTTGGTGCCCACAAAACGGAGGATATTAACCTTTGAGTTTCACGAGATATCCTGCGGGACCAGAAATAGTAAATCAGTAGTGTTACATTATAGGAGGTGTTTACTGTCGAGCTCAAAGCTGAGAGTTGCTTTGTCTATTCGCAACTGGATCGCTAATGGCGAAGTGTGTGAGAAGATTATAGCATAGTGTAACAGACTCCTTATCTGTCATTATGCGGTTCACTGCCACCCAATCTAGACATACTACAAAATACTACCCACTCTAAACCGCATAAGACTTTTTACCATAAACCAGTCCATCATTCAGCTTCGTGATTGCCACCCAGTCCGGGGTATATTGAAGCGCTTGTTCGAGCGCGGGAATAGTACCTGGCCTGTTCGCATCATTCCACTTACAAAATACCTCGACGTCGATCTTGTTGCTCACATCCGTCTGCTTAGGCCATTCGACATCCACTATCCATGGTTGACTCCAATTGCGACGGTAGAGCATGATGCTGTCCAAGCCCTTTTCAGGCACTGACCCGAAACGACTATCAGGGGAACTGCCTCCCGACACCACGAAGCTTGCGACAGGTTTTGAGAACCGTACGCCACAAGTCCTCGTTTCGATGCCATCGAGCCGGAAATGTAGCTTGTTGGCGTATCGCTTAGGGTTGAAGCTGATCCAGTCCGCGAGCGTTCTATTTCCGCTGCTAATCTTTGGAAGTACACTTGAGCCATCGTAGGTGCAGTAACCCATATCTGGCCTGTCAGATGCTTTGGTCTCGCATACAACCTGCCTGCCCATAGCAGATGGTATTGGGGCCAACGCCTGACGAACATATTCCTCCACGCCCATGAAATGAATAGATGATTTCCCGGTATCTAAGTTGATGTCCTGAGAGAAGTAGATCTTGTATCTGCTGGAGGCACTGAAAGGGAAAGCGAGAAGATTGTAAGCCAGTGTTGCGGCAAAGACAACGAGAAGGAAGACAGGAATATGATGCGTCACCCGGTGTATGAATGGAGTGGTAGGAAGAACCAAAAGAATGCTGACGATGGCAACCAAAAGATAAGGGATCAAGGTGCTTCCACCATCAGCACCGGTTTCTTTCACAGAAGCAACAAGTTCGAGACCGAGTTGTCCGAACAGAACAAGGAAGAACGGCCCGATAAGAAGAAATTGGAAAAACCATAGCCAGCTCGGAAGCCTGCCAGACCACAACTGCTCATGACCGAATGGTTCAGTTATGGCACTGTCGTCGGTCGTCGTGTTGTCCATGATGGCAGAGATCGAACGCCGATAGACTGTACCAAAAGTGGTCTTGCGATCCTTCTTGCTGCTTCCACCGACCAATGGACTCGTCTCATCAGGCTCTTCGTCAGGCTCCTCAGCTGGTGCTTGGCCATCGTCGTTATCATTTCCACCGTTCACATCGGCACTCGCCTCGTTCACGCCTTGGTCAGTTGAATCACTTCTTTCGCGATCATCTATGCGCACGTTTGTAAAATCGCGTGTGTCGTGGTCATCATAGACTTTCTTCGCAAACGTAGTCTTCTTTGGTAAACCAAAAAGTTCGAAGAGAGCTAGTAGGGTAGCGAAGAATACCGCAGTCTGGAGGAAGACGAATGGGTAGCCGGCTGCAATGTGGAAACGATCCTCGAAGACTGTGACTGCGACCAGGAGAGCCCATGTAATGGTGAAAAGCCAAAAGAGAACAAAGCCGCGATGCAATGCACTCGGTCGAACAAAATTCGCACCGGCCATAATAACCCAGAAGGCAAAATAGAACAGCGACAGCATCATGGTCCAGACTGTGTACTCGTAGCTGTAGATGACGAAAGGGTTGATCTTTCTAATCAGGTATGCCGATGCTATGACCAGGCCTCCTGCAAAAAGTAGAGCCAAGGGAAAACGGATGATACCTTTTCGACCACCAAGTGTTACTGGCTCAAGGGCAGCTTCGTCATAAGCAGCTTTCGTTGAGGAGAAGAAGTAGTATTTGTCGCTTCGGACCAGGACATAGGTGAACAGCATGAGAGCGAGTGGGGTGACGATCAGGAGCGTTAGAGACCATGCGAAGAGATCATGGAGATCAAACAGGACGAAAGCCTTTCCAAAAAGGTCGAACCAGACACCGTCAGTGGGGGCTCCGTTGGAAACCTTTTTCCGGTTTCCGTCAGAACGATCCCCAACAAACGTGTCACCGGTATCTCCAGACAGGCTCTTTGTTGTATGAACAGAGTGCGATAGCATGTGCCAGAGACTGTCCACAGATGTATGACGCGTATCATCCTGATTTGTGTGGTATCGCGCGCGGGGACGATAAAAGGCGAGGTCCAGCCCTCGCATGCCGTATATGTCATGGAAGACCGAGTAATCAGTTCCGCTGCGAATGACACCAAGACCCCATGCATCCGAAGAGACGACGGAGCCAAACGGGTTTGGGCCTCCTCGATAAGCTCGAGTAACCTCTGCATCGGTGGTCCTGAAAAGATTTGCCCTGCCTCCAGCTGCAGCTCCTTCGAGGTTCAAGAAAGTGTGGCAGAATGGCATGAGTGGATGGCTTCCGAAGGCACGGGAACCCCAGAGCCAATCCTCCTCGTTGTTGTTCAGAAGAGCGACGATTCCTTTCTGTGGCTGGTTACCATGCGCCGAGAAGTACTTGATGAGCTGAAGGACAGATACAACAGCCATTCCGTCATCCGTGGCGCCAAACCCCGTGGACACGGAGTCAAAGTGTGCATTTACGAGAACGCCTCCCCTGCCGATGACCTTGTCCTCGTGATGGGTGTCTTCCCACCAAGTACCAGCGGGATCATCTGTGCCGCGGATATAGACAATGATGTTGTTGCCCTCAAAGTACGTGCCAATCGTCTTGGGCTGAAAGTCTGGGCCTTGCAGAGGCTTTGGGGCCCTCTCTTCGCCCACTAGGGTGACATTGCTAATATTGTCATCAAAGATGACGAGGTTCTTATCGGCTGCTCCATTTTCTGTCTTGATCTCGTGTACACGCCGGAGTAGCCATGCACGAACGAGATCATTTTCTCGGCTGTTATATGGATGGTAGGCCCGGGCCAACGTAGCAAGATCGGCCCAGGCCTCGGTGAGGTTGAGACCAGCTTCGATTCTGTCCGGTGAAGGGGCGGGTGGGACGGTCTCGTGAATGAGGACTAGAGGTATAAGTAAAGCGAGGTAGGCTAATGTGGTCCAGAACGTGACCGGGCCAGGCCTGAAGGCTATAGGATTACGGGCACCCATATTGGCGTCTTAGGGACGAAGGCTCTGTTGCGTTGCTGATCGGAGAGCCATAAGATTCGACAGGAAAACGTAAGAGTCGAGTCTCAAGGTGTGGTGGTGTGGTGTATGATGCGATCCGACAGCGACGTCATTGCCTCCGGCGCTTGTGGTCAATTCGGGTCGTTGCTGATTTACCTGCTGCGACTGAGGGGTCTCAGGTAAAGAAAGCGAGTTCAATGGAGTCTAGACTAAGTTACAGGGAAGCTAGAGCCGCCTAAACCTGCCGCAGTCAGCACTATTGTCGATGCACCCCAGGCTGTTTATCTCAGCCATAGCTCAGATGCAGCGGTCCACCTTCACCGCAGTCAGGTCTGGACCGTTGAGATTAATACACATACAGTACCAATCTTGGATATATGCAACGGCGCCGCAAAGCCAGAAGAAAGACCAAGGCTAGGGAGGGAACTTATGTTGCCAAAGATAAAACCTCATTAGGGTCACATTGCGATACTGTCTCACTCGAAGAGCTCTAGACTGCGTCGTAGCATACACCTATAGACGGCAAAACCCTCCATTCCAAACAAACGTCTGGGGCGTATATTGCCTGCCTGACAGGGGCGCCTGGGCTCTTCGTGATTATTTCATGATACGCCCGAAAGCTCCCTAGAGCCATCTCGAAAGTGACAAGTACTGATCTAGACTCGTTTACAATAGTGTCTCGGTTAAAAAGGTCGATGTCACCCGCGGGTGCGGAAAATGTACACATAGAAGACAGTCGAGTAACCACGGGTATGGCCCGCGGTTGGTCCTATGGACTATGACATGGGTGTCTGCGTCAGATCATATATACCATTCCATGGCGGTCTTGTTACTGCGCAAAATGGACCACGACAGTCACCATATGTGTACGCTGGGTGGACATAGCCCACCGCCTTTCGATTCGTATCTCCCGGGGCTATGTATCTGTTAATATGCGAAGAGCCGAGACTCACTACCGATTTTCCTCGACAGGGTTCCCCACGGGGTAACAATAACCATGCATATGCAGTGGACTACTAATATTCTCTAGTGATACTACATCAGCACCGGGTGATGCTGTGCACGCTGTTTCCCCACATCGTGTTTGCGTTTACTGTACTAATACCAAGTCTGAGTGCAGGTTCGATGCGTCACCCTCTTTCTCCATCATAGCGTCATGAGAACTCAACATGCAAATGGAGCCTTCTTGATGGTGGAAAGTCTCGCTGGTCGCTCCCCAACGCGGGTGATGATCTGCAATGCTTTCGTTGATGTCAGAAGTATCGTAAGACCACCGAATACCCATGCAGGTCCCGCCAGATCATGCTCATGTTTATAAAAGAGTGTCTTCCAAAGTTTGATGATATAATGTCTGCTTTTCCGTGCGGGCCATTGAGAAGTCTCTAACTTCCGCACATTGCGAGACTCGCCATACTGCGATTAAGAGATGAAGAACTTCCTGAATATGATTCTGCTGAGCAGTGCCTTGCCAGCAGCCCAGCACGCCGAGGCACAAGATGTTATCACAGATGACGCAGCGTTCTACGGCAAATCGCCGCCAGTATACCCGTCGCGTACGTACAGGATGCCCAAAGTTGATGTAAGGTGATCTAATAATGTCTTAGCTAATGCAAGCGGTGTTGGAAATTGGAAGAGTGCATATGCCAAAGCCGCCAACTTTGTCGCTCAGTTAACCTTAGAGGAGAAAGCAAGTACAGTCAAATTCGGGAATTAGTACCCAATCTGCTGATACTTGATGGATATCAGGTCAACTTAACAGGCGGTTATTCTGGCGACAATATCTGTTCTGGCAACATCCATCCTGTCCCTCGATTAGGATTTCCAGGCCTCTGCCTGAGCGATGGACCTAGCGGCCTAAGATCAACAAACTTCGTGTCTAGCTGGCCAGCTGGTTTCTCAGTCGGTGCCAGGTACGTGTCCCTTCGATGTACTTGATTACAAGTATTCAACAAATCGTTAGCTGGAATCGGAATCTTGCACAGCAAAGAGGTGTTGGTATGGCAAAAGAGTTCAAGGCGAAAGGTGTGCAAGTCGCACTTGGTCCTGTTGTTGGTCCTCTAGGCCGCATTGCTTCTGGTGGCAGAAACTGGGAAGGTGGGTTAGCAGACTCGAGAGCTACAAGTGGTTCTAACTATGTCAGGCTTCAGCAACGATCCCTACCTTGCAGGAGTATTAGCATATGAGACTGTGCAGGGCATGCAGTCTGTTGGTGTGACGGCCAGTACCAAAGTATGGCTTGTAAAATGGCAGTTATCCAGTATTATACTGACTATCTTTAGCATTTTATTGGGAACGAACAGGAGACGAATCGAAACCCTGACAGTGAAAGGAATATCAGTGCAGTATCGGTAAACATTGACGACAAGACGATGCATGAGCTCTATCTCTGGTACGCTTTTCAGACCCTATAGTTTTGAAATGTTCGAGACAGCGATGCTAACTTCCACGCAGGCCGTTCCAGGACGCCGTGAAAGCTGGCACTGGTTCAATCATGTGCTCTTACCAGCGAATCAACAACTCCTACGGATGTGCGAATAGCAAGACCCAGAATGGTCTGTTGAAGACTGAATTAGGATTTCAGGTATGATAGTTCTTGATCAAGTCGCTCTTGAGACTAAACCCCTAGGGATTTGTTGTCTCCGATTGGGGTGCTCAACACGCCGGGGTAGCCTCAGCTCTTGCAGGGCTCGATATGGTCATGCCCTATGCCTCGCCATATTGGGGAGATAAGCTGGCTGAGGCGGTCAACAACGGCTCGGTGCCGGAGTCCAGACTAGATGACATGGCTATTCGGTAAGTTATGGCTATCTTTACTCTGTAGGCCTTTCGCTCATAGCATCGAGGGTTGTGGCGACGTGGTATCAATTCAATCAAGATACCGACTTCCCGCTCACAGGTGTCGGCATGCCATCTAACCTTGCCGCACCTCATCAAAAAGTCATTGGTACCAGTCCAGATGCGAAAGAAGTACTGCTACAAGGCGCGGTGGAAGGTCACGTCCTGCTCAAGAATACAAATAACGCCCTACCATTAAAGTCTCCACAACTTATATCACTCTTCGGATACTCTGCCCAAGCATTTGCCCGATATTCGTGGGGAACTCCAGGGTGGAATGGAGGTCAAGAGTCATTATCGCTTGAAGAATTCGCGCTGTACCACGACGATAATATACTAGGCCCTCGCTCACAGATAGCGTCGAACGGTACGTTGCCGGCGGGTGGTGGATCCGGTGCAACCCAGCCAGCGTATTTGAGCTCGGCTTTCGAAGCTCTAAGCCAGCGTGCGTTTGAAGATGATACCCACTTGTGGTGGGATTTTCAATTCGACAGTAATACAGGGGTGGATCAATCATCGGACGCCTGCATTGTTGCTGTAAATGCATTTGCGACCGAAGGTTGGGATCGCTCGGGGTGAGTGGTTCATGTTGTAGAAGCTCATATTCCACTACTGACTTGTGTTTGTAGATTACATGATGACTTTACAGATGACCTCATCCTGAAGGTTGCCAGCCAATGTAACAACACCATTGTGGTTTTTCACAACGCAGGTGTTCGCTTAGTCGACCAATTTGTTGACCATCCGAATGTGACAGGTAGCATGATAATTCTTTTATTGTCTATAACTATAACTAATCAACTCTAGCTTTGATATTTGCTCATGTACCAGGGCAGAATTCTGGTCGTGCATTGGTTTCAATATTGTATGGCGATGCAGTCCCATCGGGAAAGCTCCCTTATACCGTGCCACATAATGAAAGCGACTTTGGAGCTATTGCAAATGAGACGGTGCCAGACGGCATATGTAAGTCAACCAAAGAATAAGACTCCTCAGTTCCATTGTCGTTCGAGAAAATACTAGTCAATGACCTTCTCAGCCAATAGGCTCTTCGAGAAGTGAGCGTAGTAGTCCAGGACAATACAAAATCCTAAAGAATATTCCTCCCCATTAACATTATGGAAATCTAACTATGGTTTTCTGGAACACAGATGCTTACTTTCCACAATCTGAGTTTTCCGAAGGTGTCTATATTGACTACCGAGCCTTTGACAGACGGAATATCACTCCGCGGTATGAGTTTGGGTTTGGTTTGAGCTACACCACATTCAACTTTTCCGCAATTGAATCATCTGTGCTGCCAAGTGCTATAACAGGTGCTTACGCTTCCGGTCCTGTGATCGAAGGCGGCCGAGCCGACCTGTGGGACACAATGGCAAAGGTTTCCGCCGTTGTCACGAACACGGGTTTATTGAGAGGTGCAGAGGTAGTACAAGTCTACATTGGGATCCCTAATGGACCTGTCCGACAACTGAGAGGTTTTGATAAAGTTTCCCTAGCACCAGGTCAGTCTGCCACTGTCAACTTTAATTTGACGCGCCGAGACCTCAGTACGTGGGATACTATGGCTCAGGAATGGCTTCTTCAGAAAGGAGAGTACCGGGTTTTCGTAGGGTCGAGCAGTCAAGATCTCCCGTTGGCATCTACTTTGGCCATTTGAGTGGCCCGGTACTGCCACATGTGCCGAAAACTATATCACCAAGCTACAACAGCCTATCCCTATCGACTTGATACGGATACGAAAACTCGGTTGTATAACCGTTAGTCCAGACAGAAATAGTGGTCGAGCTCAGCGCATATCTTCTGTTGCGCAGGTCAATGGAAGCAGTACTGATGTTCCTTAAGGTGCAAGCACTAGTCGAAAGTCGTACTATTTACTCATACTTTGTTGATTTCTAAATTGTGATCGGGAACGAGATTAGGAAAGAATCCAACGATTGGTTGCTTTGTCAAACAGAGCTACGGAATAGGAGTAGTTGGGACGCTGACGCCATCGCCATAATGCCATGCCGACAGACGTACGTGAGAAGAGAGTATCTCCCTCGGACCCGAACTAGGTACAATCATAGGTTATAATCAATTACTATTCATGCATTTGCTAATTCGGGAATTTTGGGACCATTGGACAAATGAGTCCATGTGCATCATTGGCTACTTGGTGTGTACAACCACTTTATTTATTTAGGTGCCTATGCAATGTCAGTCCAGTCTCCAGTCTTCTCGACCACAGGTAAGCACTACGTACTGTGGAACTGCTCGGAGACTTTTGTCAGACACTACGGGTCCGTAGATCAGGTTGGCCCGTACCGACCTCGTGGTGTCCCAATATTACTAAATAATATGATTGTCAGTACATGACCGCCCGCTTCTGCAGAACAACAGAACAATAGAACAACAGAACAAAAGAGAAGAAGCAGAAGAAGAAGGAGGTAGGGGAGAAATGTTACATAGAATTTTATGGCGCCAGACGACCTAAGGCTGATGAAGGACAAATTCACATAGTATGAGAGACGATATTCTTTGATGGTGCAATACACTATTTTACTTTAGACCAAGGTTAATAGATTAGCCACTATACAAATTCGGAGACTTTTCTCTGCTACGTATCACGCAAATAGTTATAAATCTCACGGGCTTGGCGTCCACCTATCGCAATACGGGACGATCCGATACTACCCAAACAATGTGGCCCATCATCATTCACCCGACCGGTGGATTTCTTGCATAATCAGTCCCCCCATCTTAGGATTACCAATCTCGTAGAACCTATATAAATATCTCGACGACTCCTCATCACAACGAATATTTAACAGGTTATAAGAAGAAGAGCAATATCAACAACATCCACCACGATCGAAAAGTCAAAGTAAAAGCAATCTCGTAAAACAAAACGAAATATGTCCACACCAACGAAAGTACTTGTCGTGGGGCCGACGGGGAGGACTGGAGGCTCTGTGCTTGACGGCCTCTTGGATTCGTCGACAAACTTCGTATGCCATCCGGTCGATATCACCAAAGAGTCACCTTGCTAATCAATAACACAACAGGAGATTACAACGCTGGTCAGGCAGGCTTCGGTGGACAAACCCGAAGTGAAAAAATTCAAGGACCGTGGTGTGACAGTAGTGGTCGGAGACCTGAGAGGGCCCAAACAAGACCTCGTCAAGATTTTGAGTGGCATAGATGTTGTCGTATCCTGCATAGTTGCATTTGATCTCGGCGCCGAGATTCTATTAGCGGAAGCAGCCAAAGAAGCCGGTGTGAAACGTTTCGTGCCAAGCTCCTTCCAGACCCCGGGACCCAGAGGCGTCATGATATTAGCTGACCGAGTAAGTTATGACAGGCGTATAATCTGCCCTACGCATGCGCTAACTAGAGCCAGAAAGACGAGGTCTTGTCAGCGGTCCAGCGTCTCCATTTGCCGTGGACTTTGATCGACGTCGGCTGGTAAGTGAATCCTCGAGCTTTATCACAGGCCTAATCACTACCCCCCTCCTACCACAGAGGAATTTTGTACCAGCTCCTGCCATGTTTCACAGCCTGTGCTAATATCCAATGATTGTAGGTGGTCAAACCAAATCGTACCCCCACTGCCTTCAGGACGCACAAAGAAGTTCGTGCTTGAGCATTTCAGCAACATCCCGGGCGACGGAACGGTTCGAAATGGGTTCACGGACCTTCGTGACGTAGGAAAATACGTTGCAAAGATCATCGTGGATCCAAGGACGCTCAATAAGAAGGTCTATGCATACACTGAAGTATCCACCATGAATCAAGTTGTCGACCTGATGAGCGAACTCAGCGGAGAAGAGGCGATCCGTGATTACCTTCCGGCGGAAAAGATCCAACAGGCGATCACGGAAGCTCAGAAAGACTATGAGGTGGAAGAAAAGAGACAGCAGGCAACGTTAATTCTCTTCATCAATCAATATTGGCAATCGTGGGGTGTTCGGGGGGACAATACTCCCGAGGCTGCCGAAATCTTTGGCTACTTGGATTTCAAGAAGCTGTACCCCGATGTTAAGGGGAAGACTATCAAGGAGTTGTTCCAAGGAATTTTGGATGGCTCAGAGACGCCTATTAAGCCGTTTCAACTATAAATTATTTGGCAGGCACATCAGATATGGAAATGTATTCATTTACAGTGTCGCTACCAACGTCTAAGCTTTAGTATCACCAGAACAGACATTTTGCACATCAACCAGTTGTCACCCTTTGAGGTGCCCACATAGTCGTCGTATGGTCTCGGAAAGCCCTTGACTAGAGCTTACTTTGTTTAATCAAGTGGGCGTTAACAGGCGATACGGCTTTACCGGTCTCGTGGAACGTGACAATGTTTTCCATGCCCAAGCTCTCAAATCCAATGTGGGAATCAAGTGACGCGCCAGCATTGTGCGACAAGACCTCCACATTCTTCATTTTAATCAGCTCCTTGTTGACGTTTGGCTCATCGAAATGCACGTCCAACCCAGCAGAGTAAAGATGGCCACTCTTGAGTGCATCCACTAGGGCGAGCTCGTCCACGAGTTTTCCGCGTGCAATATTGACCAACCGAGAGCCCTTCTTCATCTTCGCCAAAGCGGGCTCGTCAATGAGCGTGCCCCCCGAGAACGGGGTTGCAACGAGGACGCAATCGGCTTCTGCTAACAGAGTGTTCATACTCTTATGGTAAGTAGCGGGGACAGATGACGGGATTTCGACAATATCGTTGTAGACAATCTTCATGTTCATTGCTAGGTGCGCCTTTTCGGCAATCCTGCGCCCAATTCGGCCATAACCAACAATGCCAAGCGTGAATCCGTTGGGGTTGCGCGTTATGGCGGCCAGGTTCTGGTTGGCGTCTTTGAACTGGTCAGCGCTACCTGACCGAGCGGCTATCGCAGACCACGAGAACAATCTGAATGTCGATAATATCAGCCATATAGCTGCATCAGCCACCGACTCTGTGCATGCTGCCGCCGCGTTGCAGTAAATGACCCCTGGTCCCGGCTGTCAGCTAATTGTATCGTGCGCCAGGTCTGAAATATCACGGGAGAAGGGCGAATGGCGTTTGGGAAATTTGTCTGAGCTCACCCTTATTTGCTAGAGCTACCGTATCGACCCAATCGAAGCCAGCACCCGCACTGGCATATATCTTGCACGAGTCTGGTAATAATGAGATGAGTTCTTCATCCCAGTTTCCCATCTCGCCGCCCGTGTTCCAAAAGGGACGATACATGGCAACGAAATTGCCAAATTTCTTGTCCTTCAGGGCTTGTTTGAACTCCTCTCGCGGCATGCTGTAAGACCGCCTAATGTCAAACTTGGACTTGAATGCCGCGTATTGGTCATGGTTCCACTTGATGTCGTCGCCGAGCTGCAATACTATGGGCTTTGCCATTGTGGTTTTCAGTATACTAAGTAGGCGTACAACGAAGATTCAATAGATACGCAAGGCCAGATTTCTTCACCTACAACGCCCTCAACAAAGATATTTATTAGGTCAACCCCTTGCTTGTCATTGGGGAAGAAATCAGGGTCGGGGTTTTTTGCCGTTGTCGTAAGTTCTTAGCGTCGTACCACGGTCCCCAACGATTCAATTTGGCAAGTTGCCTGGTTGCCTATTCGTTCCATCGAACTAGTTTAGGATAGTAATACACTTGCACCGATTTCACTCGTCGCACGCTATCCCAACACTCGACCAATTCTTTGATTCCAATATCGAGATGGTGTTTTCTTGGGCTAATTCGGAGTCGATCCCAGCCTTCTGAATGCGTGGCCGCACCTGAACGTATGAGGTAGTAGTTGAGTTAGTCCCCGCATGTATATGTGTGTTGCCACACCCTTCCGAGTTCACGAACTTGAGATTAAGACAAATGTCCCCCACGCTTGACGTAAATAGGCTCTCGGCACTAACATGAAGTGTGTGGAGTTAGCGCGTTTTACCCCATACTTCAAAACGGGTCAAAATCCCCGAGGAATTGTTCGGCGACACCTGCACCATGGACTTTTTGAAGACAATGCAGTCAGATCATCATACTTACTCTATTTTAAGTACTCGTTAAATTGTCATTTAGTCTTCTCCTTCGGAAACTGAGTTCCGATCTTTCTGTATCCTTCGCTCCCGAAGGTATCGTGGACACCACTCAGAACAGCGTCGACGGGGTTTGGCTGCGGAAAATGGAACGCGATGTCAGGTAATGAAAACCTGAGGTTCGCACGAACGGTTGCGAAATAGTCCAAACAACAAATCTAGTAGTCACAACTTCTATTCCCTTCAGGCTCCATCGTCATTATCATCATCATCATCATCATCATCAAAAATGGCAGCTCTTCCCCGCGCCTTGCCTCATCAACTCCCGAAGGCAACCAAGACCGCTAGGGCAGTCTTACTTCGAATGCCTGAGTCCTTGAACACATTAAAACAGCTATGCCAGCGGAAAGTGGAGCAGTGTGACTACGTGCGGGCAAAATCTGTACAATCAAACATACCGATATACGACTTATCGACAACATCTACATCAGACACAGAAGCTGTCAATGACCTTCAGGACGAGTGGCACCATGCACTGAGTTCTGGCCCCGGAGTTGTAGTACTGAAGAACTTCCTCACAGACCATGCAGCCATAAAGCAATCCAACACTGCTTTTGAGCGGATAATCGAGAAAGAAGCTCAATCCGCCAAAGGCGACCATTTTGCAGCCGCCGGTTCTAATTCGCGGATCTGGAATTCCTTCCAGAAGCACGCCGAAGTTGATCCCACCAGTTTTGTTCGTTATTACTCAAATCCATGGTTAGCACGAGTGAGCGAGGCTTGGCTTGGCCCTTGTTACCAGGTCACCGCACAGTTGAATATTGTCAGACCTGGTGGGAAGCCTCAATCGGCTCACAGGGACTATCACCTGGGATTCCAAACAGCAGATGCTTGTGCCCGGTTTCCACGGACGATGCAACTGGCAAGTCAATATTTGACACTTCAAGGTGGCATTGCACACTCCGATGTACCTTTGGAAAGCGGACCAACTAGGTTGTTGCCCTTCTCCCAACTGTTGCCTGAAGGATATATGGCTTGGCGTTTACCGGAGTTTACTCAGTATTTCAACGAGAACTGGGTGAGCTTGGCGTTGGAAGTGGGCGATGCTGTGTTCTTCAATCCAGCATTGCTTCACGCGGCCGGAGAGAACAACACAAAGACTGTTGATCGAAGTGTCAATCTCCTTCAGATTAGTAGTGCATTCGGTAGGCCAATGGAGAGTGTCAACGGCCCAAAGATGGTGCGCAGCTGTTGGGATGCCCTTAAAGACTTTGCTGCGAGGGAGGGCTCAGGCGAAGGTACAAAGGCGTGTATCAATGCATTGGGGGAGGGATATCCTTTCCCTTCCAACTTGGACCAACGACCGCCAGGTCCTGACGGGATCACACCGACCAGCGAAATCGATATTTTGTGGGAAGGCATCCGAGAAAGCTGGGGCACGGAGAGGATAGTGAAAGAGTTGGAGAAAGTTCAGATCGACTCTGGATCATGATTGTTCAGGATGAAATGAAATAATCTATCTGGACGTATGACCTCCGCGCAAACAAACAGGCTAGCCTGATCCCTTAGCCAAGGATTAGTCCTTACAACGTTCCTTCTTTCAGGCTACGATGCGTGGCCGGCGCATGAGCGAAATGTAGATATACAAACACAGCCAGGCAATCCCAAGGAAATTCGCGACGCAACCACCAAGACCTAAGACCCAAAATATTACGGTCCGTTACTACACAACGTGACTTGTCCTAGAATCAAGATATTTAGTCTAATTTGACAGCACAAACCCTCCAAGAAGGCCAGTAATTAGCCAGAGCTGACATTTGCCTGTACCCCACACCTTGGCATCACCACCTTTGTCCTGCCAAGAGTCGTGGAGTTGAAATGTTCATATGAACTAAGGGTCCCTATCAAAAGTTTGCTCATTGTTTTTGTGGACTCTGATATCATTCTCGAGGCGAAGATAGTGCGCTCGGTTTATAGCCATGATCCTGTAGCAATAATAGAAACACTCGATTTCTGCGACCGCTGCAATGGTGAAGATGCCGATGAAGTATCCACTCATGTCCCGAGATCAGCACTGCTCGCTTCATGTCGGTGCTCCCGGATGCGCTTTCTCCAACTTGGCCACCAAATTAGCGAGAAACAACGCCGGGCCCAAGTCTCCGTGAAGTGGGACCCAAGATCGGTCATGTAGCACACAACGGTATAATATCGAGCCGCGGCTAAATGTATCCTAGAACAATGAAACATATACATAACGCATACAGTTACTACTGCCGGTAGTGTGAACTTGGCTAGTTTTGGTCGCTATTATGATGGGATCTTGGATAAAGGGTGTCTCAAATGGATCCTACACGATGGGTGATGGCGATCACGATATGTTTATCCCTGATGGAGATCGAGTTTGCATTATAAACAAACCTTTGATTATGGTCTTTCAAAGACTGCTATGATGTTTTCTCGTGTGTCGAAATTTTAAGCACCATTGAGGTGTTACATGGTTAATATACTGCATGCTCTACTGTGGCTGTGTTCTTGGGCATTTCCCGTGCTTCTTTGTCTAGATCAAGTGGTCTAAACATGTTTTGTATTGTCACACTCACTCTCCATTAGCCATCTATCTATCATAACATAGAGGCGGATCTACCGATTGGCAATGGACCCTGGTCTTGGCAGATTAAAGCGACGGAACTGAGTTTGGTCCCATGAGATCCACACAGCAGTAAGCAAACGGGATTGACTTAATCTTAGTCTTGGCCTAACAAGACAGGAAACCCAGGAGACAATTGCTCCGGCGGCAAATTGGGACCAAGGAAAGCTCTGCCGACCATGCCTCTCCTTTGCTTTATTTTCAAAAGGAACCTTCTATATCATGTAGGTCATCTCGCAACCTTGAAGGATAACCCATCAAACACTCTCTAAATTGTCACGTCAAAACTCGAACATCATGTTGTCACTATTCATTGCAGCAGGTCTGCTTGGCCTCGCAACGTCCCAGCAAGTCGGCACACAACAGACGGAAACCCATCCAAAACTATCTTGGAGCAAGTGTACTAGCGGTGGGAGCTGCACCAGCACGAATGCCGAGGTAGTCATTGACTCAAACTGGCGCTGGCTCCATGGTACTAGCGATACTAAGAACTGCTACGATGGTAACGCGTGGACCAGTGTCTGTAGCACTGCTACCGATTGTGCCCAGAAATGTGCCCTCGAGGGTGCAGAGTACTCGAAAACATACGGAGCATCAACAAGCGGCAATGCTTTGACCCTGAAGTTTGTCACGAAACATGAATATGGTACCAATATCGGCTCACGTTTTTATCTTATGAACGGAGCTTCCAAATATCAGGTATATAGTTACCCTTCTGCTACATCAACAGTCACTGCCCCATGGTGTACACTCCGAGGCTTCTGCTATATGCTTACAGAATAAGAATTGGCAACTGATGCGTTCAAACGTGGAATGCTAACCAAGCCTACTAGATGTTCACACTCATGAATAACGAATTCACCTTTGATGTAGACTTGTCGACTGTTGATTGTGGTCTCAATGCTGCCCTGTACTTCGTTGCCATGGAGGAAGACGGCGGAATGAAAAGCTATTCGACCAACAAGGCCGGCGCCAAGTACGGTACTGGATACTGTGATGCGCAGTGCGCAAGGGACTTGAAGTTTGTGGGTGGCAAGGTGCGTATCCACAGTTCGCGTCTCATCATTGTCATCTGTTGACAATTAACAGGCGAATGTCGAAGGCTGGGCACCGTCAACAAATGATAAGAACGCTGGTGTCGGTCCTATGGGAGCCTGCTGTGCTGAGATCGATGTCTGGTAAGGCCGGCTTTCCAACCCCAACATGAAATTTCGGTACACTGATCAGTAATCAGGGAGTCTAACTCTCACTCTTTTGCGTTGACACCCCATCCTTGCACTGAAAACACTTATCACGTCTGCACAAAGAATGAATGCGGTGGTACTTACTCGGATGATCGTTTCGCCGGTAAGTGCGATGCTAATGGCTGCGATTATAACCCGTATCGCATGGGCAACACGGATTTCTACGGTAAAGGCAAACTTGTCGACACAAGCAAGAAGTTCACGTAAGTTCATATTGCCAATCCATGGGGTTTATGGAGTTTTACCCTAACCTTGCTTCAAGGGTCGTCACCCAATTCCAGCCCGACAAGGTCACCCAGTTCTTCGTCCAGAATGGTGCCAAGATTGAGATTCCTAGCCCAACATACGACGGTATTTCCGATAGTAGCGCCATTACCCCGGAGTTCTGCGAGAACCAATTCAAGGTATTTGGCGACAGAGATCGATTCTCTGAGGTTGGAGGCTTCCCACAGCTCAACAAGGCTCTTCAGGTACCAATGGTCCTGGTCATGTCTATTTGGGACGACGTGAGTTTCATCTTTTGGTGTCGACTTTACATACTCCAATCTAACATCTTGTTAGCATTATGCAAATATGCTATGGCTCGATTCGACATACCCACCAGAGAAGGAGGGCGAACCAGGCGCCGCCCGCGGTGACTGTGCACAATCGTCCGGGGTTCCCTCGGATGTCGAGTCCAATATCCCCAACGCGTAAGTCCCCCCTTTGCTGATGAAAATAAAACAAAGAGCTCATGAAATCGTAGTCAGGTCGTTTGGTCCAACATTCGCTTTGGTCCCGTCGGTTCCACCGTCAAGGTCTAAACTAAAATGGAAGTCTTACGCCAGATTGAAACTCCCAATTGCGATTGGGATAAACCTGGCGTAGTTGTGTAGACTCTCTTTTTTCTATCTCTTCACATACGATCATTTAAGAGCTCATTGCCACATTGTATTTGTTCCTTTTCCTGGCTGTGTCCGCATCGCTCCGTTTGTGTATGTTATTTCAGTCAAGCATCGCCAGTAGAAGCAAGTATGATTTTGCATGCCTGGCCATAACACCTATCATTTCAATATGCTAGAGAGTCACTATCAATATTTGTACGTTACCGGTGACCGCGCCAACTTTCGATGCTAGAGAATCATGTCTTCATCCTACAGTGCCTTTGAATCGCGTAATCTTGAAGCCACCAGGAGCTCGTGTCTGAAAAACGCCGGTCGGGTCGTACTTAAGAGCCGCTGCCTGGATTTTTCCAACATTTTGTGCACCGTAGCTAGCGAGAGGGTCTTGTTGCTGATAGGCATAATTGATGTATTCCCATTCAGCAGTGGCGCCAATGCTGGCAGCATATTCCATCGTCGCGTCACCAAATTTGCGCATTTGTTCCTGGGCGACGGCCTCCTGCTCAACACCATTGACCGCGAGCGTGAACAGGAGCATGACCACATTCTCTGTTTCACGATCAAGTCCTAGAACGTTACCACCATTGGCGGCACTGTGCTTAGAGAAAATTGTGGGGATGGACTGGAACATAGCCTGGGTTACAAAATCACCATCTGGAGACTGCTCGTCCATGAAATCGCACAATTCTTCATGGAGCTCGATGATCTTCTCATACACGCGCTTGTCGTTCTTAATAGTTCCTGTCCACCAGATATCGCGATAGCCACTGGGCTGCTCAAGTTCGTTCGTGAGTTCTAGATGGCTAGCTGTTCGCATGGTGGTCGATAGATTATCGGGAATTGCAAAGAACTCATCAAACGCTGGTGCTTCTACGTTACCACCCGTGTCTTCGTAAGCAGCGATGATGATTATGTCCTTGAGAGATGGTTGGTACGACCAAAAGACGATAGCAGAACCATTCACGTCGTTCTGCACGTTGTTGGTCCAGTCAACGTACGCATCAATGTGATGAGGACCAGTGGTCTTGTTGTATTGTACAACACCTCCCCACAAAAGAGGGACATCGAAAGCCTGCATGTCGAACCGAGTAACGACGCCAAAGTTGGATTGTCCTCCCTTCAGTGCTTGAAAAAGATCTGAGTTATCGGTGGTATTGGCATTGATGATCTCGCTATTTCTGATTTAGCAAAAGAGTGTCTCCTACTTGTGCGGCAATCAACTTACCCGCTGGCTAGAACAACCTCGAAGTTAATTACGTTGTCGCAGGCAAAGCCTTTGCGGGCCGAGTAGAAGGAATTACCACCGCCGGTGAGGAAACCAGCCACTCCGACAGAAGCAGCACGACCGCCTGGTACTGTTACATTGTGAGGATCGAGGATTTCATAGACGCCTCTCCATCTAGAGCCGGGGTAAATAGATGCGACCTTGGATACTTCATTGTATGTCGTTGCATTCATCAGCCCAAGGTCAATAGTAACACCTTCCTCGACTATATGGTGTTAGTTCCTTGTCAGCAGACATAAATAGGTTCACTCACTGTTGTTGGCAGGCCAGATAAAATGACCTCCGCTTCGGACAGCAAATTGACAAGAAGACCTCTCGACCAAGGTCGTCACGGCCAACGAAACCTGTTCAGCAGATGTCGGCTGAGTCTGCAACGACGGCAGTAAGCTTGATGTCCATAAAAAAGATGTGAGGTCTTACAATGCACGAAGGAGTTAGCTGAGACGTGATCGACCAATAAGATTTCGTACGATTCTCATATAACTCGTTGCCGGGATATATAACTGATATGCCTAAATTTTGCAGAGACACGCACTATCATTTGATGCTGTTAGTACCCTGTAGGTTCATTGTTTGCCGAGAAGTTGTTGACTTACACAAGACGAAGTACTATTACCGTGACCAGCTGCGACCGTTGTAGCCAACATAGCTAGGGCTACGAGAGCTGGCGACAGGTATGGAAACATCGCGAACGGATAACAGCTCAAAATTACTCCAAAATGGAAGCTCTGAGTTTTGTTTTCCACCTCTCGCTTACGGTTTGATGTTAATGAAACGTAACAGAACAAGCTTGTCAGTTAGGGGTCAGTGTGTGGGCAGACTTGCTTTTTATATGAGGGGGAACTGAGATTCCCCATTTTTTGGAGATACTGCGAATAGACGGAGACACTCCAGAACCAGAACGGCTACTGAACGCAGCCGTCCATGCATTCTGCCAGCAAATAATTCAGAAGTTCGGATATGGATTGGACTGGTCGAACAAGGGGCTGACGGCCTGGTTGCTAGCTTTTTGGTTAGCATCGCGGTGGTGCATACCTCAGATCGGCCTCATCCCATGCTTTCTGGCTCGGCGCGATACCAGTTAAGTAACCCTTCCCGAAGCTTGCTCACTTGCTCGAGTCCGGCCCTGCTCTGCTTCATAATCCAAAGTCACTATGATCCAGAGAGCAAATTAGGCTTATACAAGACAATCTAATGACTAGATTGTTTGGTATGATTCGTTTTGATCGTCTGGCTTTACTAGACAATAGAATAAACCGTGCTGCAAGTTGTCCAAGTGTTCAAGGTCTCTGTGCTTAGTGCAAGCATTTCGGAGATTTCAACTAGCACGCTATAGCGCTTTCAAACGGGTTCCTCTACGGTGCGTCATGCCCCATGGCTTGATACTAGAACTTCATTCGCTATGCTTATCAGGCTATGGCCCCTGTATCCCATTTTGCTCCACGTTGTAAAATAGTGGATATGTTCCTGGTTGCCTTTATACTCGTGTTTTTTTTTAAAAAAAGAAAAGAAAAAGAAAAAAGGAAAAGAGAAAGGACAACGATTCCCTTTCCTGCCCTCCCCACTTCCATGGGGGGAGAAGAGAAGAAAAGGAGATGGCAAATAGATCTGTTTTAAAGAACGACAAACCATTGGGAGTTTATCAGGCGATTCAGAGTGCCGTTTTCCAGCTGAACGAATTGGCCAGACAGAAGCTGTATGCCAAGTCAGGTACTGGGGTGTACTGCGGAACGGCTGTTCCGATATGTTTGCTGCAAATGCCTGCTTTTGCATGTTTGCTTCTAAATTCTGTACATGAACTGATGAATTATATTAAGGTTTCCAGATGCTTGTGCCTGCCAAGATTGGTAACCATAACCACAAATTATGAAGTAGTGTCAATATGGCACGGCCTGTCCCCTTGACCCTCTGGACGGGTTTTGCTTAGTCTGAGCAAGCCGGTCGAATTGTTGAGCTTTGTAGACATAAAGTCGCTTGACATGTTGAGAGAAGACACCAAGTGGAGATGCCCCGTGTCATCGAGAATGGTGCTATGGTAGAGTCGGAAGTATGGATCTGGAACTGTCGCGATCATTCAAAGAAGTGCATATCTATCTTGCACAATGGGTTGGGGCCATGCAATGCTTATTGGTAAAAGCCGATGAATAGGTACTCGAGTCTCTTACGAAAGTCCCAGTAACACTTCCCCCACCAACCCAACTTTTAACACGAGCGGCACAGACTGTCAAGCATAACACATGTGAAATACCACTTATGGGTCGGTTCTCTTGGCGGCCATAAATGTCTCTTTCCAGTTCCCAGTGTGTTACACTGTTCATAGAATAAGAGCTGAAAATTCAAGTGAGGTAGTTCGTTAGCTTTGAGTTTAGGGATTCAAATACAAACTTATCGCACAACCAGAGTGTCCTAAATGATCTTGGATGATCGACGTACATGTGTATTACAACGGTTCGCTCCCGTCTAGCCGTCTGGGGATTGACATCTCCATATAAAGAAGGGCCCGGCTTAACAAAATCGTACAGAGCATTACTTAGTCCTGAAACTGCAGGAATTGTTCTCAAGATTGTACGGTGAGTCTATTGAGCAGCTTCACAGGTATATGAAAGCAGGCCTGTAACTAATTTACTGCACATGTATTATGTCGCATCCTTATCTATGGTACCAACATTGTGCTTTATGCCAACATAATTCGATAGGGTCGCCGGTACTACTTTGCTTGATCATCAGTGAGGGTTAGTCCCCGTGATACAATCTCAGTTGTCTGATGACATCGTAAATCTTGAGGTATAAAAGATTGTTGGTTCTTTTAAGCTAACGATTGAAAAATTCCTCATATTACGTGGTTGATAACAACATCTATCACATCCAGTTTAGCAACTAACGTATTCAGCGTGAGCTCAAGTGATAATTTGGTGATAACATCTTGATCTTGAGAAAGTCACCTTCACCACCACTGCGAATTGCCCTTCATCAACGGAACAATGACCATCATGGCTGCTCCCGCCGACTATCAGGTCAACAATGCGAATCCACCACAAATAGGGTATATACAGATAATTACTGTCTGCATCGTGGAGAATATACTAGCGTGGTGTTTCTATTTCAAAGACTCTACACGAAAGTAGGAATCATGGGCAAGTTTCAAATCGAAGATAGTAAGTCCCACGTCATATATACGGGATCACAGAACTTCTTAAATATTGACTCTTCACTTCATAGCCACTATAATCTTTGCTTGGGTAACTTCCGTTGCAACGCAGTAAGAACTCCTCCGCCTGTATGTAGTGAAGGCCGTCGGCGTACATGCATGGGAGATGTCAATTAAATGATACAAATATTTCAGCCAAGTAAGCTCGCTTCCGGGTTTATGCTGCTTCTACAACAGCCAAGAAGTGTCTGCTAAACTTAGTAGTAGGTGATTTTTTGCTGCTCCTCTTGTCTACACCTTCACAGTTGCCTCGTCCAGAGCCACATTATGTCTGTTCAACAGAGGATTTTCTCCTTTCAAAACATACCAGACCACTGTTTGGGTTACGTTGTTTATCTGCGTAGGCTCGTCGATGGATTTATTTCTCAGTCTCCTATTTGCATGCAAGCCACTATCAGCAAGTTGGGATCCGACCTTGGCTCAGACTTCAGAATGCCTAGATAGGGGTGCTATATATGTGGCAACTGCGGGAATCGGCGTCCTCACAGATGTCTTAATGCTGGCGCTTCCGATCTTAATTGTTATTAGTCTCGAGATTCCTCTCAGACAAAAGATAATCCTAGTCGGGCTATTCGCAGTCGGATCAGCGTAAGTGTTTCTGGGGATATGTATGGTTTCTTACCACTAATAGTTGTACAGGACGTTGATCACTTTCATCGTGCGACTCGTCATCTTACTACAAAGTTTTGCCAAACAGGACCAGGCATATGCACTCACGAAGGGTACACTCTGGATGTAAGAACATGATCCCAGAAACATGAACTTTCCGCTTGTTATGACACCAAGATGCATTGAGTCGAATCTACCGATCATGTGTTGTTGTCTTCCGACCTTACGAAGCTTCTTCCGACCTGTTGCGCCCATTCTTATTGGAGAGAAAAGGTCGACAGACGGAGACGCCTCTAACCAGCCAGGCCGATACGCTCTCAACACCTTTGGCAGTAGTCCCATGAACCCGAATGGTCAATGATTTAAGTTCGATACTCTGATGCGCACACAAGGGACTCAGCTTAGAGACGAAGATGACACAGATGAGGCGGATTAATTACGGCCTGATAGGAGGTTCCACAACGTGACCAATATCTGTGGTGGTGTGGGTTCGCAGTCGTCAGATGGTGGTGTGAAATTCGGCAATGAGAGCGAAAATGCGATAATCAATTCGAATACGGTTGCAGTACAGTTCAGCTGTGAACCATTATCTATTTAGAGGAGCTTCGATTAGAATTCAGAAAGATCGAATAGGCAAGCGAATGGATCCTAACTCTCCAATCTAATTAATCCTCCGTTCAGAGCAAATAAATGAAACGGATATAAATCTAGATACTGATCTGTTTTCATTATGGGCATGAGGGTTGACTCGTGGTTCTGAAGCGCTTCTTGGCCTTGAGTTGGTCGTATTTCCAGTTAAGACTGACTTCGACATATTCCTTAACTGTTCAAACACATGAGGTCTCAAGGGAGTCAATATAAGGATGGCCGTATCATGGGGCTCACCCAATCTTCATTCTGAAGTTCCTCCTAACCATCAAGAAAGATCTCCAGATTCAGCGCAGCAGCGCATGGTCCCTACCAATTAAAACCCTCACTCAAGCTTTAGGATATGCATATTAGATAATTATCGCTATTAGATTACCATTGCTACTAGGCACGCTCGTTAGAAGCAAGTGCGAGTCTAGCTTAGTATTGTGATCAAGCATAAGCGTCTCATCACGGATGCTGATAGCATCAAAACTACAAAACATACACTATCGGGTATTTATTTGACCAGTCAAGCTCCGAAATCCTCGAAAGTGATTCCTTCACATGGCTTACACACCCAATTATAACCCAGCGCTGAACGAAGTGTGGAATGGGGGCGATCAATTCCCCGTAATTCCCGAGATCAGTATCCGCTGACGTGGGTGACCAGTGCCATGTCTCCCCATGGGGTATGTGAAGCTTGGCGCTCGGTACAAAATCAAAGTCTCTACATATTATGCTCCAAAAACGCAAGCTGTTAATAACTCGACGATAATGCCAGCAGTTGAGAAGACGCAGGCTACGGAGGATGCACCGGTTGATAACGAAGCCCCGCCCAATGGGGGAACCCTGGCGTGGATGCAAGTCGCTGGTTGCTTCGCACTTTACCTGAACACATTGTAAGTGACCCAACCGCTTCTCTCTGGAAATGTCGTTTTAGTGAGGCGGCTAATATTTTTGCTTAAGAGGCCTTCTTAATACCTTTGGAGTTTTCCAAACGTATTACGAGACGACTCTGCTCAGTAACAGCTCGCCGTCAGCGATATCTTGGATTGGATCGACCCAGGCCTTCTGCTTGATGTCGATCGGCGTCTTTATCGGACCTCTGTACGATGCAGGTTACTTTCGTGCGCTGCTGATCGCCGGAACCTTCCTCGTTACCTTTGGGTTTATGATGACTAGTATAAGCTCAGAGTACTGGCATGTCTTCCTTGCTCAAGGTATCGCCATCGGCCTTGGTACTAGTTGTTTGTCTATACCGTCCATCGCTTTGGTGCCTATGTATTTTACACCTCCGAAAAGAGCTTGGGCAATGGGCGCCGCAACTATGGGTAGCGGGCTGGGCTCAACGGTCTATCCGATCATGTTCCAAGCGCTTTTAGAGAGGATCGGCTTCGCTTGGACTGTAAGAATTCTGGGATTCATCTCGCTTGCTTTCTGCGTCTTTGCCATTATCGTTACGCGACCGCGTTACAAGAAGGCAGTGGTGACGGGCCGGTGTATGGTAAAAGCACGTTCATTGGGCACCATTATACGAGAAGCAAGGCTGGGAGAGAGGAGCTACCTTATATACGTGGTTGCGGTGTTTTTCAACAACCTCGCCTTCTTCGAGCCGCTGTATTATATCGAAACCTATGCCACTTCGCACGGTATGGAAAGCATGGCGGTTGCAGGATACTTGCTAGCCATTCTCAACGGTTCTTCGATGTTCGGACGACTGGTACCGTCGGCCATGGCCGGTCGCCTCGGGACAGTTAATACGTTTATTATAATATACCTCCTCAGCGCCGTGAGCGTGTTCTACTGGATCAGCGCCACCAACACCGCGGGAAACATAGCATTTGCTGTGCTATACGGTTTCTTCTCTGGGGGTGTGGTGGCGTTCCAGCCAGTTGTGTTAACTTCAATCACGGATGATTTTGCCTACCTAGGTACTCGTCTTGGCGCTTTGTCTATCATGAAAGGGATTGGATCTTTAGCAGGTCCTCCAATTGCCGGCGCTATACTGGAGACGTCTGGTGGCTATCTTGGTGTACAATTATTCACAGGATTCGCAATCGTGCTTTCTGTCGGGTTTGCAACAGTACTGAGATTTATGTTGGGATCAAAACAGGCCGCCAGATAGCGAGTCCTGGTGTTATTGTCTCCCAGACACAATCGCAGGTGGCCGTATCAGTCCTCAAAGCAGGATCGATTTTACATATCGACAGTAATTTGACGTTTGTATAAATTGTAAGAATTATCACGGTTGCCGTTCATCACGGGGGCGGATCGTACTTCCTTCCGCATTACTTGGCTCCAAGCCACTAGATTGATGCAAAGAGAAATAGTGGCTTGGAATGGTGAAGCCAAATCATGTCAAGCTTTCGGCAGAGATTTGGCTTCGTGGGATATACGCGCACGAAAAGGCTTGTCTGAACAGCACGATTGCTGGGCTGTCAGTGTGAAGTTGGGTGTTTATGGGGATTTCATGTTTGACCAACTTTACATGGCAATTACAAGTTGCGTTTCCATGATTACCCTGGTTGTCTCCTGTGACGTCAATTCATCCCATTTGCCGTTTGACAGCAATTGAGTGTGGAGAGTACTCCGGGCTTCGTCAGGAACAGAAGGACTGTGACTGGACCACAAAAGCCAGAGGGTAACATTTTGATGGGCGACCGGCAAATCGGCACATTGCCAAGCCTGAGGTAGCCCATTCAAGCCCACCCAAGCCCATTCCAGGCCTTTGCCATCAGAGCAATAACATTAATTTTCCAGTTTGCACACGAGTCCTCTTAATATCTACTGGAAGATCTTGTTTGTATTTTTAATTTTTAATTCTCTCTCACATTGTGTCTTCCTACAAAACTAAAGACTCAAGCTCATCTACGTGGCAAGTAATCATGGTTTTCTGACATTACATCTATTGCACAGCAAATTGCCACGAACGTGGATTTGCATCGCAGAAAGCCACACAGCGTGCCCACTACTCAGCCTCAACCATACATAACTACTTGCTTGGTAGACTTTGGCTCGACCAACCTACGCAGTACCTGTAGGTGCTTGGTACTCGCGCTAGCGACTCGGTATGTAGCCAAGCAGAACAGAACATGAAAGAAAGCATCACATCACATCATATCACGCCTGTCACCGGTGCCCCTTCGCAGACACAATGCTGATACGGACAAAGTTAAGGTTACCGAATTGGCTTCATAACTCAGCATTGACCTCGAGGAGACCGACCTTCTCGGACCATCGAGGTTCGCTCGTCAGAAATGCGTAAGTTCCTGTTTCCACACCCGCTCTTCCTTGGTCGAGAACCAGTTCCCACCCGCACTTTGGAGCAAGTATCTGTATCTGGCTGCATGTGCATCGCCCGTATGCATTGTTAGTGCAATCGGAACCCGTCTTATCTCCACGCCGTCATGACATCGTGCACAACGGTCATCAAGCCAGCCAGCAGCAATTCGTCACGGCATCCATCATACAATTGCTGCGTATGTATGTACGTATCTGATGCTAGCGGCAAAAGGAAAGACAGAAAGCAAACGACAAGCAGGCAGGCAGGCAGGCAAGCAGGCAAACAACCAGTCAAACAAACAAATAAACGAGCAGTTTCAAAGTTGGAATTTTTGTGCAGGCCAATGCCGGTGGCGCGTGTTCTTGCAGCCAAGGAATCTGATATTGCATCTACTTGGCAAACGTGACCGACATCGTCAACGTGGTCGCAATCTTCGCGTTCCATGGCGACGTCTTATCAATTGGGTCAAGGCGACGCTGTTCCCCTTGCACGCAAGCCCTGTTCGCCTACTGATCTCCAAGCCACTTGTCTCAGTGGGGAAAGATGCCCCCAACAGCGGACCAATGCGCTATCGCCTCGCATGACACCTTCTGGGGTCATCCCATCTCCCATCCCCCATCCCTCCGATCAGTGCTCACTGCTCACTGCTCCTTGCTCGCGCTGGTCGGAGAGATTTAAAGAGCCCGTTGCTATTTATTTCGGTTGCGCCTTGACCGAGCCTCACCTCCCTCCTGTTTTCCTGCTCTTCCATTAAGAACACCTCCCACCTTGGCGCCGCATCTGCCAAATCACAACCTATCGATGAAGGAAACCTCAACTAACCCCAAACCCTCGTATACAGATCGAATACGCTCATGGGCTAGAACACACGCGCACCAAGGTTCGAGGCGACCTAGCAACACTCTCCCAGTAGCCAACAACTCGGGAGCTTCATCAGCAGAAGAGAAACATGTCAGTCGAAACGGCTCCAGCGGCAATCCAGCTGTCCCCAATACCACCGGTCACAACCCTGCCGCAAAGGATACCGACAATGCCGCCAAGCCAGTCGGTGCGGCATCTGAAGCTGAGGGGACGGGGACTGTCGTGAACCAGGATGGCGCCCCTCAGAAGAAACCTAATGTTGCTGTTCGATTTTGGTTGAACACCAAGAAGTCGCTTTGCCACAGCTGGGTCAACGTACTTCTCGTCTTCGTCCCTGTCGGTATCGCCGTCTCACAGGTCCCCAACCTGTCACCCGCCGTCGTCTTCGCCATGAACGCCATTGCCATCATCCCTCTGGCTGGCCTCCTCAGCCATGCGACCGAGTCCGTGGCGCGAAAGCTCGGCGATGCGATTGGCGCTCTGCTCAACGTCACCTTCGGTAACGCTGTTGAGCTGATCATTTTCATCATTGCCTTGGTCAAGAATGAGATTCGAATCGTCCAAGCCTCCCTTTTGGGGTCCATCTTGGCCAATTTACTTCTCATTCTTGGTATGGCATTCTTCCTAGGTGGTCTTCGATACCGCGAGCAGATCTACAACAGCACCGTCACCCAGATGAGCGCTTGCCTTCTCAGTCTGAGTGTCATCAGTTTGGTACTGCCCACGGCGTTTCACGCATCATTCAGCAATGATGCCAAGGCTGATGAGCAATCTCTCAAGATCAGCCGGGGCACCAGTGTCATATTGCTCTTGGTGTATGGTATTTACCTCTTGTTCCAGCTCAAGTCACACGCCTACATGTATGAGTCAACTCCTCAGCACATTATTGATGAGGAGTCTACACCGGGCCCTGCCGCTGCCTGGCTTGACAGCTCTAGTTCAGAGTCAAGCTCTTCGTCTGATTCGGACAGCGACGACTCCAGCCACTCGGGAAACACGGTCTCGAAGCGTGTCAAGAGAGCCATTCGCAACAGACGTCGTAGGAAGTCCAGTTTTGCTTCTGTTGACACTGATGCCAACACTGCCACTTCTGCTGGGAGCAAGACTGTTACCCCTCCGGCCGGAAGCTCAAAGTCTGGTGATTCCACGGCGGCTGGCTTCTTCCCCCGTCCCACTACCGCAGGCAGCGAGGAAGCCATTGAAGAGGAGCCACCCAAGCGTCAAAGAAGGAAGCACAAGCACAAGCGTAAGCATCACAAACGCCGAACAAACTCGACCCTGTTGGATCCCGAAGACAACGTCGTCGCATCCCCGACTTCTGAGAACGTTGTTGGGCTCGTCCTGCCTGGAACTACTGGGCTCGCTAACAGTAACGGCGAGCCACGTCGTGTGGATTTCGCTGACACGGTCAATGCCATGGATGGCAACGTGGATGGTGATTTCGGGGGGAAACGGCCGTTTAAGAACGTGCGTGGGTTGTCCTTCCTTCCGATTCAGAACATTGCGCCGCCGGTATTCAAACGAAATGCGCAGGATCTCCAAACACCTGCCACCGGTTCCGTTCCCCGAGTTCGTTATGGCATTCGAAGAACGAACTCGCTTCCCGGCAGGCTCAACCAGGAGATGCAATACCGAGCACCTGGTGCAATGATGCCAGCGCAAATGCCGTCTTCTGCCCTGACAGCTGAAAACGAAGCTGATGCCGAAGCACACGATGAGGACCTCTCCAAAACAGCAGCTATTGTCATGCTTCTTATTTCAACAGCTCTCGTCGCTGTGTGTGCCGAGTTCATGGTCGACTCCATTGAGGGGCTTGTCGAGAGTAGTCCTCTAGGTGAAATCTTCATTGGTCTCATCATTCTGCCCATCGTTGGCAATGCCGCCGAGCACGTCACAGCTGTCACGGTTGCCATGAAGAACAAGATGGATCTCTGCATCGGAGTGGCCCTGGGTAGTTCGATTCAGATTGCCATTTTTGTCACCCCGCTTGTGGTTATCCTTGGGTGGATCATGGACCGCGAAATGACCCTCTACTTTACGCTGTTCGAAACGGTGTGTCTATTCGTGTCGACCTTCATCGTCAACTTTCTCGTGCTGGATGGTAGGAGCAACTACCTCGAGGGTGCTCTCTTGTGTGCCACATACGTTATCATCGGTGTGGTAGCATTCTTCTACCCGGAAGGAAGTGATGCAAATGACTGGGGAAGTTGATCCCAGCACCACGTGTTGGGGTGGAAAGTGCGGGCTATAGAGGTCGCATGGTGAAGCGATCTTGTAGATGGGTACCGCGTTGGAACTAGACGACAGGAGTTGAGGTGCATGCCCCAAATGAATCAGTGGGCGCGGTCAAGTACGCCAGCCAACTTGGCCCTTGCAATAGTTTGAGAACATATCTAGTCGAATCATGATAAAAACAATGGTTTCTCATAGCATATTCATCTATGCTGTCAGCTACAATACTACTACTTACTCCCTTGGTAACCGCACACTTGATTCCGCAGCAAACCAGACCGGAGCAAGCGACGTCCGACGTAAGACCTCTTGAAAATGCACACACGTCCCAAAAGTAAATTTATGAGAGTATTGGTATTGTTTGGGTTGTAGCATAACAAAACCGGGAAGATGGTGGGTGATGCACTTTAGGCAAACTTGTGCTGTGCGGGAATCTACGGCTCCTAGAACCCCCCTGAAAGCCCCGCACAGGCTCTGGTCATGTCGGCAGTACATACTCCGCATTGTATTTCTATGACAATGTAGTGGAGGTACGGTTTATTGGAGACATGGTGGGAACTGGAGAGTCTGGGGAAGCTGAGAGAGGGGGGGTCCAAGACTACTTAAAAAAATAAAAAAGCGGCCAAGAACGACGTCAGATGGATCTTGCACATGCTCACCGTTTTGACTGAGGCTGAGCAATGCACCCAACAGACCTGCACACCGTCCACCCACCTATTGTTGTCCCAAGGTAATAGTATCGAGTACAACTCCAGGCAAAGCACAGCCTGCTTAGATAATGAATTAAACACCTTCTTTGCCATCACAAAAACCGCCTCCTTTGTCATCGTTATTTCCCCGCCAGGTTGCCTAAATCAGTGTGATGACAGTTACATACATGCAATCATCCACTTCACATATTTGCAGCTATAATACATTCCACGTCACGTCACCATTTCCATTTCCGCATTCACTTCCATCCAGCCATCACGCGTTTCTGGAAATACTGAACTATAAATCCTAGGCGCGACCCTCAAGAGCCGACATATCTTTGATCTGATCGGCAAGATCACCACACAGCAGGACACGACGCGACACCTCACGACGCGAACCTCGTACATGATGTGTTTCGGCAGCAAGGACCAATCCAACGCCCCGGCGTCCAAGCCGACGCAGCTACCACAACAGCGACCGTCGAGCAGCTCGTACCCATCGAAAGCACAGGAGAGCACAAGCTATGCAGCGCCTCCAGGCCCGCCCCCCGCCAAGCAAGCTGGAGGCCCTTCGAACCAAGACGATTTTGCACCCCCCGACGGCCCCCCTCCTCCGTCTTCATCGAAGCAGGCTCAATATGACGACTTTGCGCCACCTCCTGGGCCGCCTCCCGCTCACGACTATGCGCCCCCCGCCGGTCCTCCGCCCTCACAGAATGAAGCCAACAAGCATGCGTGGGAAGAAGCAGTACCGGACACATCTTTGCTCCCACCGCCTCCCAACTACTTCGGCAGTTATGACCGCTCTCATACCAACAACGCTACAGAAGCCGAGGCTGAGGAGGGCGAGGACTGGTGTAGGCGGTTCCAACTTTACGCCCCCATGCAACTGGATCAGCAAACCCAGAAGGCAATTCAGACTGGTAACATCAACCTGTTCACCCCGCCGTCCTTCAAAGGCGCTCTAGCGCAGACGGGTCTGGGAGTCTGGAAAGGATTCACCTATCCCAGTGCCACAGACACGTGTATCGCTTCATACCCACCGTTGTACAGCGCCAGCACACATAGTCCATTGGCGACCGGTCGGAAGAAGACAGCGTACTACGAGGTCAAAATACTGCCTGATAGCAGGCGCGAGATTAGTCTATCCCTGGGCTTCACGGCTCCGCCATACCCCGCCTTTCGACTGCCTGGTTGGCACCGCGGCAGTGTGGGTATCCATGGCGATGATGGTCGCAAATACATCAACGACAGATGGGGAGGCAAGGACTTCACGGCGCCGTTCAAGCGTGGTGAAACTGTGGGTCTCGGAATCGATATTATCCCAGGCCACGGCGGTGGGATTGTGGTCGAGATTTTTCACACCAAAGAGGGCCGCGAGGTTGGACGATGGAATTTGCACGAGGAGATCGATACCGAGAGAGATCTGCCCGTAACAGGTCTCGAGGGCTTCCACGATCTCTGTGCTGCAGTAGGTGTTTTTGACAAGGTTCACTTCGAGATCGTGTTTGCCCCCTCGCAGTGGAAGTGGAAGGGTTACCAGGAATGAGACTGTCCTTGCTTGTGTATTGTGATGCTGGACGAACGCTTAGATATGCCCAGATAGGGGCCAAGCAGCTTTCCCACTCATTCAACCTTATAATCAAACCCGTGCTTCACGGCAGTATTACGACCAGAAAAATACAACTCCCCTTCCGCGTGATGTGACAACTTGAGGAATCCTGCAGAATCAGGAGTGACTTGCCAAATAGCCAACCTTGGAACCCAGGATGGCCGACCATTTTACCATCATGCTACGACGTCGGCCCGTACAACGCGCATTTCGTCGCAGATCCCAAAGTAGGTGAATTGAAATCGCTCGAGGCCATGCATAAGTCGCTTATTTAACGCTATCTCTAGCCTGCTCTGTTTCTTGTTGGATCTGTCGCCATTGAATGCTGGCCAGAGCCTTGTATGTGTCAGCAGGTATCTCTCCTCTGGGCTCAATATCTCTGAGCTTGTCGAGGATAGATATCAGGTTTTTGAAGACGTCTTCAAGAAGGCCCACGCATCTTTGCGCCTTGCCCTTCAGGTCAGCGACGTCCCCGCCGGACTGGCCGCGCTCCGCGACAAGCCTAAATATGTCTTGGACCTGTCGAATCTCTCTCGTGGCGCGTTGGCCGAACTCGGAAGCGCGCCTTTGGAACTCGTGAAGGCCATAAAGCTTGTCGTCATCGTCGTTGGCGGGCACCTCCGGGGCCGCCTTGAACCAGGCACCGGCGACTTTGGCCAGTCGAACGACGTCGTTGAAGAGCTCGGGGAGCAAACTGTGGCGGAGGCTCATCATGTTTGGGACAAAATTGGGGGCCGTCGGGTCGTTGCAGGCCGTGAACAAGACTGATTTGAGTGCTGCTATGTCCTCGGCTGAGAACCACACCGGCTCCTGCTCAACTGAGGAGGCTCCAGACATCCTGCAACTTCAAAACCTCGCTCTGGCTGTATGGTTATAAAACGACTGCTTATGGTAATTAACAGATACAGAATGTGGTTCTCTCTGGAGCTTCACCGATTCCTCCTTGTAAGACCGAGGAGGTGGTGAAGACCAAGTCTGTATATATATACATAGCATAGTGGGTCTCGCTCTGGCCGTGGATAGCCACCAGTCTCGTGACCAGCTTCATCAGAATGCGGCAGCATCGTATTGAATAGACATAACCATGTTGCATGGAACTAAGCTCACTCTGTACTTTTTCAGCTGAAATGAGCCGCTGGTGGGATTGATGGATATAAGTCCTATGATGTTCTAGATCGCTCTACGGTTAGTGCAAAGAGCTAGAGCGAGCAAGGAAATGTGGAAACGGTCTATTTTCATGGTGCTGCACCAATCAAACACCAGCCAGAGCCCAGCTGTTGCATGCTTTTCACACTATGACTATTGTTTTTGGGGGCGATCTAGAATCATGGCGGGAACAGATATCCTCAGCTGCTTTCAGCTCCGAACAAGATGCACACGATGACGCGGCGCGCTACAGCTGCTTGTGGCTCTTGGAAGATTTCCGTAACAAATCGCTTGGTTTTTTTCGACAACACGTTCTTTTGGTGTCGTTTTGCGACCACTCGCCTCGTTTGCAACTTAGTAGAACGAAGGACCTCCACCGGCTGGTAACGGATTGGTCCACAGTTCTATAGATTATACGATAATTTGATTGGTCTGTCTAGACAAGTGCAAGTACAGTATAGGATCAATTATCGACGTTGCACAAATTACGGCCACTAACACCTTTGCACATCCTTCTTAGTGGGGTTTGGTTTGGGTTGATTTTTATTTTATTTTATTTCTCATAACTGCAACGTGTAGTTGAGTGGTTGTACTACAGCCATATGTCAACACTGAAATGTAACCGCTCATCAGGATTATCAACTTCTGCTAAACTAACCTCCATTTGGTGACATTCTCCATCGGGTGGAAAGACTGACACGCTGTGATAGTCCCTTGTGAGTGTACAGACTGTTAGCCCCCCTTTTACAGCACCCTTTATTCTGCAAAAGATTAATGATTGCATGGAGGTCAAATCCTGGTAATCATGCAATTGTAAAACGGCATATGGGGAGTGCTTGTAAGCAGAGCTGCAATCTTTCATACAAGAAATCCTGGCATGCCCCAGTGGCTTGGCCTTGGTTACCTTATTTCCTATGCTTGCATGTACTTTACTTTAGATATCGTCAAAGAGATTATGGACCTAAATATCATTCATAAGTAACCTGCTTACACCTGCCCCTGTGTTGCATCAAGCATATCAAATGCACAGCTAGTAATTAGAATTAAGTGCGAAATGGGGGCAAACATCATATCATGTCAGCAACCATCTCGAAAACTTGCTAAGCGGCTCTGGCCATCGTAGACCCCGGCACAACTGAAGAATCCTTAGTTGTTTCGAGTATGAATCCCAAAAAACGTAGTCAGTGTTGTCTTCGTTGATTCAAGTGGGAAGAGACTATCTACCATACCTCACCTGAAATGACTTGAATTCAGCATTGACTAAGAGTAGTTTAGTTTTGGTAAGTCAGCGTATGGTCACTTGTAGCCCGTAATAAAGAGGGACCAAAAGAGAAAAAAAAGAAAAGAAAAAAGGGATAAATAATAAAAGTGAAGTTGGTGGTCTAGCAGGTATACTTAAGATTTTTGGCTTGACATACATTGACAGTCCGCGATTGCATGCGTTCCCAATTTCGTCCCAAGGCAGTTTCATTGCAGTTCTGAACGGGACAGACAATTTCAAGGAGCGTGTATATTTCAGTTTTTACGCACAAAAGAGTGTGATATAGTCCGAACTCCGTAATTACAATATAAATCAAATGGAAACCAATATAACTGTAGTAATGCAGTTATTTGAAACGAATGTGGTCAAGTCCAAGCATATAATCAAAGCGCACTACTAGTACCTTGCCCAAACGTCACCCACAACCGCCCTGTGGTCACTCATGTATACGTTGTTCTTGACGTTATTGAGGACTTCGTACCGAAGTATTGTCCATCTGTTGTTGGCCTTGGGCCCTAACCAGATGAAGTCGATGCGGGACTTTATCTGGTCCACCGTCGCGGGATCGAAGCCAGTAAATGTTTCGTACGGTCCGTACTTCTGTACTGTATTTGCCGACGTATACATGTCTGCCAGATATCCATCATTGACAACGGTCGTGTAGGCATCCTCCCCGGGCTGGGAGTTGAAGTCGCCCGTCAAATACACGGGCAGTGGTCCATATCTGGATTGGATGTCTTTGATGACCCTCAACACGACTTGGACACCTTTGGTCCTCGCCTCGGAGCTCGCGTTGTCCAGGTGCGTGTTGGCAGCGATGAACCTCCTCCCGGTCGCCACGTGCTGGAAGACGCCGACATTGACAATGCGCCGGCTGTTGGCATTCCATCCATACGACGGCACATCTGGCGTAGGGGACAGCCATTTGGTCTGCTGGAAGACCAGACGCATCTTCGACGGTTGGTAGAAGATCGGGTTGTACTCGCCGGCCGTCCTGCCGTCATCACGGCCAACACCGATATACGCCCAATCATTGCCGAGTCCTCTATCGATATCCTGTAGCTGACTGCTCAGCACTTCCTGGAGGCTGATCACAGTTCCGGAGCCGGTGCCTAAGAAAAGAACCAAGTTAGTCTCGCTTTGCAACAATGCATGGCGGAATTCATACTCACGGGAGGCACTTGAGGCTGTGGATTTTAGCAAATCAATGACCAGTGGAGCTCGAGTAGACCACTACGTCTCGGGTCAGTATTTCCTTCTTCTAGATAAACGATGCCTTTTCAAAGATTATGAGACAGTCAAAAAGAGCTCAGCTCGCTCTTATCGACAACATATGCCCTCATGCATGCTAGAAAGGGTAGAAGCAGTTTGGACATTGCTTACAGGCCGCTCGTTTATACCCCGGTTTGTTGCGGCATAGCGAATGTTGAAAGAAACAATGCGGAGCGGCACTGTCTGTGCCATTGCCAATCCTATTGTGAGGCAAATAGTCAAGACGAAAGTTACCAACCGCATTGCAAATGGAGTTGGTAGTGAGCTTTACGATAATGTGAACCCCAAAGGCTTGAGAACCCGCGAAGCGTTTGTAAAGAGGTCAAAGAAAGTTTTGATATTGCGAGTCAAATCCGTACAATACAGAATATTGCAGTGCTCGGTTGCATGCAGAACTAGGTTGAGATATTGCTGCCGTTGTATCATCTATATTTATATCTTGTCTCGAATCGCCCATGTTATCCGCTCGATTAAAATTGAAAGCCTATCCTACGCTCGGTTGGTCACAATGTACGATCATAAGTGACGCCAACTTGAATGGTGGCTGGACCAAAGGGAACTAGTTCAGCTAGTATAGTCAGCACTACTTTTTATCAAAGGGGAATATAGGCGAAGAAGAGTCGCCGCTGCTTGGCATAAGGGTCCGAGCTAGCCCTTGTGACGTGATTAGCTGAAATTTAGGAGCCGCACATGTGCACAACCGACTGAGTGGTAGCTTTCGTAGCGTTGAGGTAGAGTAAGGTACACAGTATCAATTGATTGAAAGGAAGAGACGGGGTGGGTTGCCGTCCAATTATATAAAGGTATAGTAGAAGGTTATCTTCCTAGTGCAACAGGGGCTGAATGTGTTTGTCCAATCTGAAAAGTATCTAAACCTTGTGGTCGTCGACATCTAAACCTCGTGGACATCAACGACATCACCGTATTGGTTGAGACCAATCTCCTTCTTCTGGAGGGAAGCCTTAACCGGGTTCTTGGCAGCAAATATCTCATCGAGTTCCTCAAGCTGAAGAGGATAGAGTTAGTGTACGTGTTGGCTGCGTGGTTACTCAAGGCTAAACTTACAGTGCGGCCCTTAGTCTCAGGCAGATACATCCAAATGATGAAGGCCTGAACGGCATCCTGGATAGTGAAAATTACGTAGGTGATCCAGCCAATCTTCTGCATGGCAACGGGCCAAGCAAATTGGTTGAGCAGACCCGCAACATTGACAGCAAGGGAGGAAAAGGCCATGCCTTTGGCACGCATTTCAAAGGACAAAACCTCGACAGGATAGAGTGCTTGAAGGGGCGTGATACCGACGGAATATACCGAGCCGAAGATGAAAATCATGGCGAGCGAGGCCTGAGATGCAGAATTGTTGGTACCTTGTCGGGCAGTACCGTCCTCGTTGATGCCACCACCAGACTTGGCAAACTCGGAAGCGGCGATGGTCATGCCGAGCCAAACAACACAACAGGCAGTGAAGGAAAAGAGCAGCAGTGGTCGACGGCCTACTTTGTCGACCAGAAATGCACCACAAATGGCGCAAAGGAACTGCTGACAGGAGTTGATCAGAGTGATATTAGCCTGTTGAATGGGGTTGGTGTAGCCGGCAGACTCCAGGACAGCACCCAAGAAATACGATAGCACAGCATTACCGGCCCACTGACCAAAAATGGACACGGCCAAGTTACAGCAGAGACGGTAGACGGAAGCGCGGTTACGGAACAGGGCACGGTAATCCCACCATCTCTTGTCAGCACCATCCATGTTGAGAAGCTCGTCGTACTCGTGCATCTGAAGAGATACCCAAGCACTATCGGGGTTGCCATTTCCGTGGTACTTTGTAAGCATGGCTCGAGCAGCCTCCTTCTTATTGTTGACGTAGAGCCATCGTGGAGATTCAGGTAGGAAGAAGACGAATAGGATGATCAGACCAGAGAAGAGGGCTTGAAGCCATGTGATCAGGCGCCAAGAGTAGTCACCGCCAACGTTGAGTGCGCCACGAGCGGCGCCGGCAGCGATGATGGCACCCGAGAACCAAAGGGTGTTGTACATGGCACCAACTCTTCCGCGGTAGGCGGGGTGGTTGATTTCGACAACGTACATGGGACCAGCAGCAGCAGCAATGGAAACGCCGAAACCGAGCAAGAAGCGACCGCCCATGAAACCACCAGAGCCATGCGAAGTGCCCTGGATGATGGTACCAATGATAATAAGGCCAGCGCCGATAGCCATGCCAATCCTTCTGCCCCAGGTGTCGATGGCCGGACCAACGAATGGAAGTGCGACGACACCACCAATCTGGTACATGGATGACACGATACCAGCCCAGATACCGGAGCTTTGTACGTCGTAGTATGCCTTGAAAGCCGGGTTTTGGAGCAAGTTGTTGATGAGAGAACCATCGTATCCGTTCATGGTCGAGCAGAAGAAACCGACGAGTGAGAAAGCATAGAGCAGGAACTGGAATTTGGTAGTACCGCTAGGAGGCTCCTTAGTCATGGCTTCTGCGAAAGCCTCATTGCCCTTCACGACCTTGACCTCAACCTTCTCCTACATGGAAATGTTAACAAACAAACCACAACAGCCTTAGATGACAATGTTACCTTTTCGGGAGAGGCCGAGACGTCGTGGACGTCAATTTCATTCTTCTCGGAAGACATGGTTGCAACAGTATGCAGCACAACCTAAATCTATAGAGAAAGTAACACCAATGGCGGTGTTGTTTATATCACAGACTGGCCGTGAGTAACCCGGGATCAAAAAGACTGTGTCGAGTGACAACGACTGGCGAGGGTAAAGCAAGTAAGCATCGACACGCGGGCAAGCGTGTTCTTTATATCAAGGGTCGTCCATAGTTTCCAAAGACGGTGACAGCCAGGATCCTTCGAGCAACATGCATGCATGCAAGGACGCTGAGATGAGCACCCAAAGGTAACACATCCAAATCGTGGCTGCCAATCCGTTCCGAAAATCGCGTGCCGCACCCCTGTCATAACTGTCTTAAGTTCGAAAACATTGCTTACAAGGGGCATGGCTACATGGCTAGAGCCTTGGCCAGATTGGTCTCGTTTCTGTGAGCAAGTCAATCAATAGCCACTACCAGGACGGCGCGCCCAGGCTTGGCTCCGAAGGTTGTCAGCTTCATTGGGTTGGGGAGATAGGTCGTTGGCAGCATGTAAGTGGTTTGGAACAGGGAATTATCCCCATGTTTGGCATTGATGGCATTGTTCAGTGCATCTGGGGAAAACGCCTTCCCCGGATCGGCGGGTTCAACTACTCCGCAAGCGTGCTAGAGCTCCACCGCAAAGAACTGTTCACGAGTCTGCAAACATGTCGCAACGGCTTTTGTGGAACTTGGAGCCGATATTCTGGCAAACCTGTGCGCTTTCCAAGCGCTTGACGACATTGTTTCTGGCTATCGCTTAAGCGCACCACGTCGAGTCGGGAGTGGCGCCTCAAGGTCGGAATTTCGCTTCGGGATTTGAATTGGAGTCTGGGGGTTGGGCTGGGCAACAGACGGAATGCGGCCCTCGATTCCAGGCGGTCGCCAAAGGCAGAATGACCCAGCAATCTGGGGTAAGCTTAATTTGGGGGTTTGTGCGGTCACATCCCCTAGTCCAGGTCGGATGCCACACCACTGAAATCGATGGCTCCATACCGGCCCATTGCTGTGGTTCAATCAAGAAAGTCATGCAAAGCGAAGTGGGAAAGGGGGCCGATATCAATGGTGCATGCGCGAACACTCGAAGCTTTGCTACCGTGCTCTACCATAGGCTCACAACCAAGAGCACAACATTTAACTCTTTACCAGTTTCGTTCACGGGCCGCCTCCCTCCGCCTTCCATCCTGCTGAACAAGGGTTAGTCAGGTCCAGGCCTGAGGGTCATGCTCGAGACACGAAAGAATTTCCCTCCAGTCCGGTTTGGACTTCCTGTGTCTCATCTTGCTGTCAGGCAAGCATAACCCGGTCAGCTTACGACTGGCGGACAAGCCTCGATTGATTGGAGCTTAAAAGCAATACCTCGTGAGCAGCGCGAAAGGATTCCCATAGTCGCTATGTTGTCTCGACTCCCATCTTGGACGGGCCGATCGTCACACAATCACCATGTCAAGACAAATTGTGTTGTTTCGGATGCAATTCGTTCCCCTCCGGACAGCTAATGTCGATTCATTCGGTCTGTGGAAGCGTTAATGGTCCTCACAGAACCGTTTGTGACAGACTTCATTCGCCCATATGGCCGCCGATCTGAGCATGCATGGTCTCTGTGTTCTTGGGCATACCACTGAGCTACATGACAGCTTCCAGATGTCTAGTAATAGACCTCGGCTGCGAACACTATCGATACAGAAATCACGAAGTAGTCATACGAACTTGAACATTTATTAGTCCAACTGTGACAAACCATTTGTTCCATATTATATTGTTAGATCCATATTTGCACAACATACAGATTTCTTAGTGATCTCCGGGGTTATTCTGTGTTATATTAATGAACCCCCACTAAAAGTCGGTTGTGTTCTCTGTGAATTTGTGTGTGTGCCACTTGCCACTCTACTGGTAGGTACCCTGAGAAGAGATCAAAGATTTTGATCTTGGCAATCTTGATGCATTGGCTCAAAACTTTATCGCCCTTGTGCTATACGACCGAAGGATGTCAGTATCTCGGGAGCGCATGGTCTAAGCAATGAAGTGTTCTGATATCTTTCCCGTCTTGTATTTGAATTCGATTACCGTTCAAACATCGCCCTCGCTGTCCGTCTACTTGTGAAGAATATTGTCACTTTAATATTGGTTGTTTATCACACAAAGTAAAGACAATTAAGTTATCCTCAAGTTGCTGTAAACTATACAATCCATGGAAGACGTTGAATCAGCATTGAAGGGCTCGATGATGGGTCTCTTAATGGTACAATTTAAAATAGAGACTTCATAATACTGTATACATATGGACTTGCGTTGGAAGACAAACTGGTTGGTCGTCGGTTCCAAAACCATGGTAACACGTCTCCTGCAGCTTAGAATTCAGCTACTGACACTCAAATCCTGGCACTCGTGAATGTGCAAACCCAATCATCCATTTCATAGGAGTGGAAGATCCTCTTCCAATGCGACGCACTGGGTTCGGTGCGCATTTCATTGAGATGACAAGGCTAGGCTCGCTTAGTCCGCGTTGCCGATGGCCGCCTGTGGCAAGCAGTCCATTGATGATGGGTAGACTCATTACGGTCACCTATTACGATCTTGAATGCTATCAAGGCTTGCCACGGAACACTGTAATATATCCCGAGAACAGGCACAGTCAGGACGATATTTCCGACACTCGTAGAGTTACTCTTTCACCTGATATCTCAATCAAATGCCTATTACTCTTTTTCCAACATCAGTGAGACATTTACCACCCTTCACAAGTGCCTTAATTTCTCCACTGGAGGATGATAAAAGGAGATTCACACGACCTCCACAAACAATTACAACACCATGGAGAAGAGGAATGAGCCGGCGTTGCCCTCATATTCTTCCAGTACGTTCACCATAACGAAGCAATACCATCGGTCCTGAACAATATCATGCATGCTCGCAGATGCTGCCAAAGACGTATCCTACCACTGCCGCTTCAAGCGGCATGGATCGCGGAATTATGTGTGTGTTCTGGCTTGGCCGGCCGAAAAGTAAAATCGTAGAATACATAGTCTAGCTCTTTCCAGCCTCATGTCGTTGTCTATGAGGCAATCAAGTAACACATGTCGCAAAGCAACGAGGCTTGTTCTTCATTGCTTCACATTATTTTAACAGCACTTACTTTTGAGATTCAGTTTGAGCTCATTAAATGTTCATGCGATTTACGTCTCCATCAGTGTCTACGACTTACTAGGCGTCAGGCTATGCCTAGCACAAGCATTCGAAGAATCACTCCAGGTGATCCCCCATGCTGGAAACACCAATAGGTGACCCGCTCAGCATCCGCCAAGCTTTTGTTATTATTATCTTGATGTGACCTTTGCTGATTTCTTGCCCTAATGAAGACTCACATTACAATATACAGAACTTAAAGTAGGCTCAAGGTCTTTTATAGTAAATATCAATATACGAACTGAAAAAAGACTTCTTAAGTAGGGAGCAGTTTCCGAAAGCTGAGCATACTGTTGTTTGTAATCATGGTTGACGCAAAATCCAGTTTGAAATTTCCAAAAGCTTCTATACGCTCTTGGTGATATATAATCATCATCTTGTGGCTTGTTTTGTCACTTCCTTTCAGTAGCTGACGCGTATTACAAACTCAACCTCCCAGTTTGACAATCTCACTATTTCCTAGGGGTTCTGAGTGTCGAGCCGTTATCATACCCACCTAACAAAAGGTAGGATAAGGACAAGACTCAAGTCCTTTCCATCCCAGATTTCTATTTAACATATCATTTGTTCGCCGCTTTATTGGAAGCAAGCAAAAATTACAAATTACAAATCACAAAGAGATAGGAGTCGTCAATCACGCGTGCAGTGTGCGTCAAATTCTTTCTTACGCATCACGCAGAGCCTATACGACTGGCGATCGCCATGCCTCCTATTCACACGACCAGAATATGCAGAATGGTTCACGCTATTACTTAAATTTCAAGACCACAATCGAACGGCCAGGTGATTGAGGTGACGTCAGAGCTTGACTACCATGAAGGTACCACGGTGTTCACCCAGCACGCTCATATCAACGGGGAGGATCGTATAAATTTCCCCCGAACGGACGCAAATGACGCGCACACTTTCCATTGCCATCTAAGGAGGCTGCCTGACAGGAACGCCTTGATATGGATTTTCGGGCTTCGGAGAGCGGTTATCCTTGCCACCTGGTTCACTTCTATCAAGTTTGGTGCAATAGAGCCATTGCGACCTGGCCTCATGGTGCTCTTGGCAGAGGTATCAAGGACAATCACCCGTACTTTTTAAATGCAAAGACGCGAGGAGCCTTTCGCATCACCAACAATCTTTCCAAATTGTTGCCTCGGAAGTGCAATTCCTTTCATGAGTCGTTCTCACCCGCCTGAAGCAGGTGCTCAAGAATGACGAGGGAACCCAATCGTCATCTCGTCGGAGCACTTGTCCGTGTGGAGCAACTGCTAGGGGAGCTTTACGAGAAAATCACATAAGAGATGTAGGCTTTCATGAACCCAAGCTTTAATGTCTGCCGGGTCTTCCCAACTGTTTGGCGGCAGCCGGGCTGATCGTAGGCCGAATTTTGAAGTGGGGGGAAGAAGGCAGATGTTTCAAGCCACTCGACGAGAATATTCTCAACGAACACCAATGCGGGCATGAAGAGCTCGGATTTGCTTACTTGAAGCAATCAAGATGTAGGAAGCTTAATACTGGTAGGAACACAGAACTTTCAAGCACGAGAACTTTTCGTTCTACTGAAGGATTCGGCAATATAGGAGCAATAAGGAGCGACTCGACGACTCAGAAGCGTTTCATCATCAGCTACAATATCAAAAACGATGACTCTGACGACGATGATCTCTCCCCTCCCCACTATTTATGGACATCTAGTGAAGGCTCGGCAGGTCACTGCCTTCTGATATCAACATTGATACATATCAAAGCGAAAACGGTGATACGGGTCTCAGGACCAGGGCCTGCGCTGTGTATGCAGAGCAGACAGAAGGGCGTTATGAACCGACCGGCAATCAAGGGAACGGAATGCATTGATCTCATTATAGACTGACAGCTGGTAAATTGCATGAGCATTCGGCTTTATCATCATCTGGGAGGGGGGATGGCAACAGTTGCCTGTACCATACATATTCAGACTTGGCAAAACTAAATACCCCAGATTTCCATCTCGTAAGGGTTGACCCGGCTCTGATAGTCTGATAGTGTGAACGTCACCACTCTAGTTATTTGTGTGCGGTGATATTTCGAGATAATGTACATAAAATTTGTGCCTAGCGACCTCTATTTACAGCCGTCGTACATTTTATACAATTGCTAAACCACTGCCTAAATCTTACAATCAAACCCTTCTCTATAGTGGACTCTCTACAGCGTCCTCGCACCGACCGCAAAGCTCATCTTCAGCTGGCGCAATATAGCGCCAGCAACGGGAACACTTGGCCTCCTTGGGTGGACGGATCATGACAATGCCCTTACCACTGCCTCCGTGGGCTTCAAGCTCCTGCGTGTACTTGTCCCAATCTGGATACGTAGAACTGGCGTCCTCGGTATTAATCTCGAAAGATGAGACGACGAACATGTTCGCAAGTTCCTCTGCGTACTTCTCCAGCGTAGCAACGATGCTTGCATCTGAAGTCGACACTATCACAGAGCTCTGCAAAGACGAACCCACAACTTTGTCTGTTCGGGCTTTCTCCAGACCTGTCTTGATGGCGGCATGGACTACCATCAGAGTGGGTATATCTTTGCGAAGTACTATCAGATCCTGAGTAATGCGATCTTGTGGGACAACAGGATCGTCGTAAAGCTGGTGAAGTGGATGAACCATGTTTCGGTCGTTCTTCATCCACTCAGGGCGATTATCCCACGCCTCGATGACGAGTGACGGGGTCATCGGTGCAAGCATTCTCATGAAACCATTAAAGATAGGCTCCAGGACACCGCCGCCGTCTCCGCAGTACAGTCTGTCTTTTGACGCCTCGACATAGAAGGCCGACAGATCGTTCGTGACCCATCGATTCAGCGCATTGAAACCTCTATAGAACTCATGGTTACCGAAAGCCTTACCAACCTCTTTCATAGTATCCTGCAGATGAATGAGTGCGATGTGATCTGCGGTGATCAGTGGCGCTGAGCGAGCAGACTCGTGCATCGATCCTAGCAGCATTTTGGTGATGGTTCGATACTTGATCAACGCAGTGTGTATAGCTTTCAATACTGTTTCACTAATAGCAACATCCTTGGTGTAATCGCTGCTTGCTGCCCACAGTCGCAAGGCGTCAGATCCCAGGGCATCATATGTAGGTGGACCCTGAGCAGCTTTACCCTTCTGCTTGACAGGTGGCAGGAGAGTGCCGTCCATGACTTGTTGGGGCTCAATAATATTACCAAGTGACTTAGACATCTTCTTGCCCTCTCCATCTAGGGTGAAACCATGGGTGATGAGTTGTTTGAACGGAGCTCCTTTGACAAAATCACTTGTCTCGACTGCACCTGCAGCGATACGTGTCAACAGACTCGATTGAAACCAACCACGATGTTGATCAGAGCCCTCTAGATAGACATCAGCCTGGCTAGGCATCATACTCCAGCTGCTACCGCTGTCGAACCATACGTCCATTGTATCAGTACCTCGCCTGTACTTTCCAGGCAGTCCGGAGGGGATCCACGCTGGATCGTCTGATGCGTCGGACCACCAAGCACTCGTGCCACGCTCTTGCATGACAGACAGAATGTGGTCTACGGTTTTCTCGCTGACGACAGCTACTCCGTCCTCGTCGTACAGAGCTGGGATTGGGACACCCCATGCACGTTGTCTCGATATACACCACTCGCTACGACCCTTGACGAAGCTTTCGAGTCGCTTTTTGCCGACCTCAGGAAAGAAGCGAACGTTTTCCAAAGCCTGTAGCGCATCATCTCTAATATGCGACACATCGGCAAACCATTGCTCTGTGGCCCTGATGACAACAGGTTTTTTCGTCCGCCAGTCGTATGGGTACTTGTGCTTATATTTCTCGACATGCAAAACGTCATTTCCCAGTAAATCAATGATTGACTGGCTACCACCTTCATTTATGGATGGCGCCGAAGCCACAGCTTCTGGATTTTCCGGCAGTGCATCTGCGGTGAACTTTCCCTCGTCGTTGATAGGCGCCGTAACTGGCAATCCCAAGGTGCGGCATACTTCGTAATCGTCAAAACCGTGACCTGGTGCCAGATGTACGAGACCAGAACCCGAGTCTGCCGTCACGAAATCCGCATGTATGATTGGCTGTAGCGGTGCTGCTGCGCCTTTGAGCGGATGACGATATTGGAGACCCTTGAAGTGTTTTCCCGAGATGATAGATGTGACCGGACTGGCGTTCTCGGACAGCATCTCCGCAGTTCGATCCAAGCGAGGCCGGGCTACTATGTACCCATCTTCGCCGTCGACAACAACAGAATAGTACATCTCTTCGTGGATGGCGATGGCCTGATTGGCAGGCAATGTCCACGGAGTCGTTGTCCAAATTATGGCATACAGCTTGCCCTTGACATGCCCAGCAGCCTCCTTTAGCTCCTGAACCTGTCTCCAGGGTTCGTCGAGGGCGAACCTGACCCACGCAGATGTGGATACGTGGTCGTCTTGGTACTCAAGCTCGGCCTCGGCCAGGGCAGTCTTGGAAGACGGCGACCAGTACACAGGCTTGTACCTTCTGTATATGAGGCCCTTGCTGACCATGTTTTGGAACAGTCTGAGCTGTCTCATCTCATATGCAGCATCCATGGTCGTCCACCTGCGATCCCAGTCGGCCATGACACCAAAACTTCGAAAGCTCTTCATCTGTTTCAGGACGGTATTGCTCGCCAAGTTCCTGGCAGACTTGCGGATCTCGACAGGAGTGAGGCTCTTGCCGCCGTCCTCAGATCTACCCAGAGCCTTGAGCTCGATGGGCAGGCCGTGGCAATCCCATCCCGGCACGTAGTCGACGCGGCGTCCTTGCTGGACTTTGGTGCGCAGAATCATGTCCTTGAGGATCTTGTTGAGCGCATGGCCGACATGCAGGTTGCCATTGGCGTATGGCGGGCCATCGTGTAGAACAAAAGTGTCGTTGCCGGGTCGGTTGCTCTTCTGCCATTCATAAAACTCGTCGGCGGATCGTTTGATATACTGGTCCCTCGATTGGAGTGCGGGTCTTGGTCTACAGAGTTTCAGCTGAGCAAGTCATGTCAAGTCGACACGACGACTGCGTACGGGAAAGTGGACTTGGGAAGCCTCAGGGTTGACGTCCAGGATTTTGACATGATGATTTCAGGAACATGGCGGAAGCTGTCGCCTCACAATAGTTGGTCGCGTCGCGAAAGAGTTAACCTGTTTACTGCAAGTGTCCCATCAGGATTTGATCGGGAACCGGAGCTTTGAAATTTTGGTATTGAGAGCCTGAGCTGTACTACAGGGAGGCACAAGGCTGCATTTAGTGATCTAACCTTAACGCATGCACACCATGTACATAGCTCTCTACGTGCTGCCGAGCTGCCAATCAATCCACTGGAACTCCCTAGCCACAGGGCACTAACGCCTCTAATGCAAGGCTGAGTCTCCCGCTTTTATAGGCGTTTGGAGAATCAAATCGTGATGACGCATGTTTCCAGCGGGACAGTAACCATTGGATGTGGCTCTGAGGTGGCTAACACGACATAGCCATCGTAAGCTCTGCAAGCCCTTGGAAATCGTTGGCTCCAGATACAGCCGAGAGACCATGACCACCACAGCGACCGAGACGAATCAGTAATGGCGCCCATTCGCCGATATCTTCGCATCACCAAGTACTCTGTGCTCGAAGTGCGCATTTACCTGGACAACCCAGCTCTCGCGCAGTCATGGCTCTTACATCCGCGACACAATGTGCTGCCTAGGATCATGGAAGCTGTCCGCCCGCTGGTTCTGCCAAAGCTGCGTGAGGAGAAAGAGCGCGCGCGCAAGAAGAGCACCAAGAAGAAGGGAATCAAGGATGTCGTAGCGGAAGGTAAGTTCTGGCATGACAGAATGACCGAGAGACAGACCAACAAACAAGCAACCGACTGTTGGCATGGCCGCAGAAGGTCGCACGCCGTCATTCAGGCATGTTTAAGCCACGTTGGTCACTCATCTATGCAGCGATTTATTTACATTACAAGTGTACCTCCAATCCGAGGAACATTGTTTCGGTACAGCTCATGTACTGATCAACGGGCCCTTGACCGGGCCACGGCGTAGATGACTTCGAGGTCTCGATCTTTCTGACCGAAACAAGCACCCGCCACTCACTACTCACGAAGCACAAGCATTTCCATGACAAGACTCAGACCAAGTTGACCTCGGCATCGGGTCGGAGCCTCGTCGGCGCATCCAACGAAGCGCCCATCGACATCGATCTCGCCGCCGCTTCGGCCCCCATCACGCTGCAGGAAGAAGACGGCCAAGACGACATTGGGGCTGCTCTGGCTGCTATACCTGCAGCCCCCACAGTTCTACTCGAGGACATGGCGCCAAGCACGCGGCCGAAGCGAGCGCGCGCACACACAAGATACACAGACGCGGGGGTCGAGCAAGAAGAAGATGCTGACAGCGATCTCTTCATTGCATCAGACGACGGTGCGGCGGATGTGGACGCAGAGTCGCAATCAGCCAGTGCAGGTTTACCGCCCCCGCATAAACGCCGCAAGGAAACGTCGGCAGACGGCACTGGGGGCGATGATAAAAAGAAGCTTGCCATGGACATATCGTACGAAGGCTTCTCCATCTACGGGCGAGTGCTGTGTTTGGTCGTTAAGCGCCGCGAAGTTCCCGCTGCGGCGGGAGGCAGTGGTACGGTCGCATTGGGGGCTGGTAACAACGACAAGACCCAGGGCCAGGGTCAAGCCATGATGGAGAACTTCATCATCTCGACACAGATACCTGCAGGAGAAGTAGCTCCATCTTGATCGGTCCACTGACTCACAGACGTTCCTTTTCCCCAGCTGTTTCGTAATAAAAATAAAACAAAAACAATCCCCCCCAGATCTTCCTGGGTTTTCAGACGGCAGGATATGCTGGTGGGCCGATAATAGTGACCCTGCACAACAAAGCGAGCAAAGCTGAATGAGCGGCCGAGAGATTGATCCTGCCAAATATTGACTCGCAATCTATTTCTTGCCCGACTTGCGGCCGGCATGCACTTCTGCTCAATAGGCAATCCGACAGAATGAGGATCAGCCGCTATCGTGGTTTGTGGCGCTTGTGGGGACGGAGATAGACTTGCCATAACCTCGTAGTTCGCGGCCCAGCTTGCGTTGCCAAGAGCTCCCCCGACCCGACGAGCCTTGTGAAAGGTGGAGTCAAGGTTCATCAACCATGTTGGCTATCCTCTGTGACACGACATGCGGCGCATGCAGATGCAGACGATTGTCGATCAAGTTTCAAAAAGTGACATGGGGGCCTGCCAGCCGATGGCTATTGAGCTTGTCGGCGCTGGTCGGCAGGCCGGCTCCTCGTAGAGCCAATCCGGGATACCATCACGATTTTGAACACGATGATCAATGGATTGGAGGCTTAGACCGTGTGTTTTGCGCATGGCCGGACATTATTTAGTGTGCTTACTTGTAAGAATGATGATGTAATATCTATGAAATAAGAAATAACCGTTGTCTTCATGGTAAAAGGGGATCGAGTTCGTAGTGGTGTGAACGAGCGGGAAATGGTGCGTTTCCCACTCCATGGCGCCAAGATAGTGTCAACCCCATTTCCCATCCCGAGGCGGCCGAACAGCTCGGGCTGCGATCCTGTTCCGTAGGACCGAAGAGATGCAAGGTAATTGGGTATTGCGGTCGCGGGAGAGCCTGGTGCTGTTAAGAGAGATACTGTAATCATAAGCTGCAATCTCGTTATCAATGCTGCGCCTGCCAGCTCTACTGTAGTACATACATCAGAACCTGGTGGGTGAGATACGGGGTGGAGAGACACGACGCCGGGATCTTTTAGGCAGGGCTACACATCCATCAATACACGGTTGAGCTGGATCCGTAAACTGGTGCCTCTCAGGCTGAAACAGATTGTATTCGCTCATTGAGGAGCAAAACTTCCAGGAATTAATGTCTCCATATGATTGACACCATTACAGTGCCAGACCTAGGTACTCTGGACATTCATTTGGGAATGTACCTTGCATGGGCAGTATCAACGAGGTGGTGTGTGGGTTTAGGTCAGCTGAGCAACCGGCCAAGGATTAAATCACGCCAGTATCATCGATATTGGCAGCATTATGACTTTGTCCATCAATAAATCCCATCACAAACCTGTAAGTTAGTATCTGGCAGCCTAGCAGCGGGATACTGGGGAGTCACAGGTACAACATGTTTGATCGCGGGGCGTGGTCCTTTCTGTCTCTCCGAGTTGATCGATTGGTTGCTACCCCGACAACTGATGAGATGAGGTGTCTGTCGTTCGATGAATCTGCGTTTCAACCACTTCGGGGGCCAAAAGTCCGCTCTGTGCGGTATCTCCAAAAGTAGAATTCAGCAATCTAGCTTGCATGAGCTCAGTGCTTAACGTCGGAAGAACAATTGATTTTGCTGCTGCGCCGCCGATACGGTAACTTTTTGGTGTGGCGATACCACTTAGCATATGCTAGTTTACCCAAAGCGCTGACTGACTGACACCCCGTTCCGTCCTTGGCATTGAAACGTGTTTTTGACAGTGCTTCGGGTCAACCTCCATGTCAGAAAGGTACACCGCGTCTTGACGATATCGTGACGCTGTATATAATCTCTTCTATTGCATGGGTGCGAGGCTAGCGTCTATTAGATCAGTTGGTTATCCCCAAATTCCTCACCATAGCGGATTGCTTCACACATTTTGATTGGCACCAGATGAGGGGGCAGCCGTCATCATGAGTTGGTGGTTCCAAGTAGCAGCGTTATCTCCAACACAAACAGCTTAGGCACTCGAAGTGACAGTTCATATGCATGCAGCCATCTGGTTGGGATTGTGTGGAACGCAATTGAAGGTGTGTCTTGCGTAACTGCAAGCCCAGGCGTTGAGCAATACATATTGCTCAGACTAGATCACGGAGAGTGGTGACACCTGAAAGGCCAGGGTCACAGAGGAGAGGTTGCATACTTGCTGTTGTGTCCACGAAGCATCCCCCCACAGCCAACCTTAGGTTGTAATGGTGGCGGCAGATCGGAAAATGGTGTCTTGGTTTCGTAGCCTCAGCTTGCGCTGGCGTGAAGCAATTGCTGCCAAACCAACAGCTCAACTCTGCACAGTAGCACTTCGGTGATTATGCGGCACGGAATGATCATTTTGAGCATTGTGATAGAAATATCGGTTGTCGGCACACTACAAAGTAGTTGAACTGGTTAGGTGATGTCGCAGCGTGGCATCTCGAGATCAAATACGAAGTACCGAAGACATTGTCAGTAATAGTGGCCTTTACAGGGATGTTGTTTTTTCCCCTTGTGTCCACGTGGGAGACGAACGCGGCAAGGGGGCTGAAGCTCAGTCGTACCTTGGTACAGAAGGATATTTCGACATATCATTGGCTAGTTGAACGATAACGCATGCACACCTACCCAAGCCTCTGGGTAAACCAATTGATCCGCCACAGTTGTTTCTTCCCGCCGTTGAAGAGTACTCGCCCTATCCGAGGCTTGGCGTTGGGACCTGCCATGGTGTAGCTTCTGTGCGCATATCTAGGCAACTGTTTTTGAATGGTCAGCTTGTTCCGAAGAATTGTGAGATTTGCACACTTAGTTATATCAAGTTGACCATATGCAGTCACTCACACCAGGAGTTGTCGTAATCCAAAATTGTGCCCCACAAACGTATTGAGACGACAACCCGGTAGTTGAATGACATTGCGCATTCAGTCAACATCGCCAACTATTTATAGGACAGCTGGACGCATTCTTGATGGCATCGCCTCCAGATGTGATGACGTGGAAATGATTGAGCTTCATCGAATTGCATAGATCGAAATCCAGCAGGAAGAAATAGTGAGAAGAAACGAAGGAGAGGGAGAAAATGGAGCCACAAGGCTGCATATTGCAATGACTTTATCACTGCCAAGTGATTTTGTGAGGGTAGCTGATATGGATGGCTGGCTAAAAGTTCCAGGTGCAGCGTGGGCAGGTTTTCAGTACCAGGAAGCAAACTAAGCAGGCCAATACTACCGCAAAGTCGTAGTCGATAGTTGAGCTCATATACAAGTATTGGAATGAGTCTGTATCACGACAATTCCTGAAATATCAAGTAGTCGTTATTGTTAGCTGCAGTGAGCAGTCTTCCAAGTTGCACAGCATGGAACAGGTCGCTTAGAGGGATGCCTTACTGGGATGTCGAACATGTTGAAGCTTTAGCTCACCAAGGAAAACAATACTCTCGGTAGGGATTTTGAGCTGATACCTAACAGCTGGCCTTTGCTCTTGCTATCTACCCTGCTAAGTAAGTGCTAACCGTACTGACAGGCCGAGAGCTTAAACGACATTGTATCGAGATTTGGCACGAATCGTCAAGGATACTAGAAAGAGCTCTCTGGATTTCAACGAAGTTCTTTAATTGTGAATGGAGTGTTTCTAAACAGGAAATTTCGGCTTCCCACTCTTGGGCATTATGCCGACCCAGTATGCTGGGTAAAGTTGGCAGGGCTGGAGCTATGTAGAAGTGCCGAAAGCTGTGAAGGCTATGTCCTACCGGCTTCCAAGTTTTCATTCGATTCAGCGACATCATCAGACGATCTGCTACATTGCTGATGATCAACACGAACCCTTGTTTTTTTGTCCGTGTTTGCTGCTTCTTGCTGGGCATGAATTTGTTTCTTTTCTGGGTTTTTTCTTCTTCATCTGCTGTTGTTTCGTTGTCTTCCCAAGTGGCTAACCTGATTCGTTACCAAGGTCTACAATAATCTGTTGCGAACACCGTGCGCAGGCCCAACAAAACGGTCAAGCGATCGCCCTTGCGGGCCTGAGCGACGCCATGATGATGCAAAAGTGTCCAACGTCTTGAAACAGGGGATTCTGGGGATGAGCAAGAAATTTTATTACGAAGGCAAAAGAACTCTGGGGGTTCCGAGCAGCGTCCCCTGGTCGACGTTAGCTATGGAATCTGTCGTAGAACCTTTCTAGAAGGATGTCAAATTTCCGAAATGGTTCGTGCTTGCACTAATGGCCTCAGCTAAACTCGCTGAACAGGGGCATTTGAGCTGCGTTGGGGCCTCCAGAGAGTCTAAGCGTACTTGTCTCGGCACTTGCGAGAGCAAAAAAATTAAATTTATTCAAAACCTCTTGAAACTCTTGTAGAGCGTACTCTGAATTGAACGGTTGTTCTACTCCGTAACTACATGGCATGGAAAACTCGTTGATGAAAGTCCCACTTGGAGTGCTGCCAGTACCCCACAAATCCTCTCTCAGATTCAGGGTCTTTTTGGCGGTCAATCAAATTCCACAAACGCCTGTGGACACCATGACTGCATAAGTACACAATATGGAAGAGGCATGCTCGTCACTACTCTGACGGCTGGTTTTGTCGCGGCATTAATCATATCTATATTTGAGCTTCGCTGCGGTTTACCGCTTGACATGGGGAGCCTGTCTGGCTTGGCGGTTATGGTGTCGAAAACATACCACGACAAGGTTGTATACGTTTATCTCTGAGTAATAATGAACTGCATTGTGACTGCAACGATGTGGAGTAAAATCCAGCCATTTCATGAAAGCAAGGCTGTAGATGTCAGGTATCAAGTATCTTGGTTAGTCGAAGTCTGACATGCACCATGTATGCATCGCTCAGCCTATGCCGACTGAAACATATGCGAGTTAAATTTATACCTACAGCCTCATGCGGTAGCCTTGCTTTACTATATGCAGCACTTTTCTCTCATGTATAGATAGATGGCATCTGTCTTATGGATATTTTCCAATCGACAGTTGCGGGAAAATAGGCCTAT